GATAATTCCAAATCTGTAACTTTTTTTTTGAAAAAACTCGGGCCGATTTTTTTTTTGAAAAAACTCGGGCCGATTTTTCTTGAAAAAACTCGGGCCGATTTTTTTTTGAAAAACTCGGGCCGATTTTTTTTTTACATTTTTGGATAATTCCAAATCTGTAACTTTTTTTTGAAAAAACTCGGGCCGATTTTTTTTACATTTTTGGATAATTCCAAATCTGTAACTTTTTTGAAAAAACTCGGGCCGATTTTTCTTGAAAAAACTCGGGCCGATTTTTTTGAAAAACTCGGGCCGATTTTTTGAAAAACTCGGGCCGATTTTTTCTTGAAAAAACTCGGGCCGATTTTTTTGAAAAACTCGGGCCGATTTTTCTTGAAAAAACTCGGGCCGATTTTTTTGAAAAACTCGGGCCGATTTTTTTTTGAAAAAACTCGGGCCGATTTTTCTTGAAAAAACTCGGGCCGATTTTTTTGAAAAACTCGGGCCGATTTTTTTTTGAAAAAACTCGGGCCGATTTTTCTTGAAAAAACTCGGGCCGATTTTTTTGAAAAACTCGGGCCGATTTTTTTGAAAAACTCGGGCCGATTTTTCTTGAAAAAACTCGGGCCGATTTTTTTTTGAAAAACTCGGGCCGATTTTTTTTGAAAAAACTCGGGCCGATTTTTTTTTTACATTTTTGGATAATTCCAAATCTGTAACTTTTTTTTTGAAAAAACTCGGGCCGATTTTTTTTTTTGAAAAAACTCGGGCCGATTTTTCTTGAAAAAACTCGGGCCGATTTTTTTTTGAAAAACTCGGGCCGATTTTTTTTACATTTTTGGATAATTCCAAATCTGTAACTTTTTTTTTGAAAAAACTCGGGCCGATTTTTTTTTTACATTTTTGGATAATTCCAAATCTGTAACTTTTTTTGAAAAAACTCGGGCCGATTTTTCTTGAAAAAACTCGGGCCGATTTTTTTGAAAAACTCGGGCCGATTTTTTTTTGAAAAAACTCGGGCCGATTTTTCTTGAAAAAACTCGGGCCGATTTTTTTTTGAAAAAACTCGGGCCGATTTTTTTTACATTTTTGGATAATTCCAAATCTGTAACTTTTTTTGAAAAAACTCGGGCCGATTTTTTTTTTTGAAAAAACTCGGGTCGATTTTTTTGAAAAAACTCGGGCCGATTTTTCTTGAAAAAACTCGGGCCGATTTTTTTACATTTTTGGATAATTCCAAATCTGTAACTTTTTTTTGAAAAAACTCGGGCCGATTTTTTTTTTACATTTTTGGATAATTCCAAATCTGTAACTTTTTTTTTGAAAAAACTCGGGCCGATTTTTCTTGAAAAAACTCGGGCCGATTTTTTTTGAAAAACTCGGGCCGATTTTTTTTTGAAAAAACTCGGGCCGATTTTTCTTGAAAAACTCGGGCCGATTTTTTTGAAAAAACTCGGGCCGATTTTTTTACATTTTTGGATAATTCCAAATCTGTAACTTTTTTTTTGAAAAAACTCGGGCCGATTTTTTTTTTTGAAAAAACTCGGGTCGATTTTTTTTTGAAAAAACTCGGGCCGATTTTTCTTGAAAAACTCGGGCCGATTTTTTGAAAAACTCGGGCCGATTTTTTTTTGAAAAAACTCGGGCCGAAAAAACTTTCAAAAAAAACTTATTTAATTATTTTTTTGAATTAAATGTACTCGAAAGATGTTAAGAACAAGAATTACAATTGATTTCATCAAAAATTTCAAATTTTTTGATCGAAAAATGACTCGTGGCAAAATCAGGAAGGCTTCCTAATTTTGCCATGGATGACGTCATCGATCAATTTTTACTCAATAAATGCTTAACAAATGAATTTCAATCAAATTAAGCCTAAAATATTGAAAAATTGCTTCCATGTAAAAATGAAGTCGATGAGTTTTTTTCAAAAATCTCGGGCCGATTTTTTTTGAGACCTGAGTAAGAAGTTACAGATTTGGATTAATTCAAAAATGTAAAAATGAAGTCGATGAGTTTTTTTCAAAAATCTTACAAATGAATTACAATTGATTTCATCAAAAATTTCAAGTTTTTTGATCGAAAAATGACTCGTGGCAAAATTAGGAAGACTTCCTAATTTTGCCATGGAAAATCATTTTTCTGTATTAAAAGTACTCGATAGGGGCTGTTAGCCCCCAGGCGGGACAATATTTGATCAAAAAATAGAATGTTCTTTAGACAGTACTCAATAAATGCTCAATAAAATTTTTCCGGAAAATAATTTTTTTCTGAAAAAAGGTAGATTCTTTTTCTCACGTCAAAATTTTTCTTCGAGCATTTCTTTGCAAATTGATGGTCATTTCTTGTGTCAGAAATGGTCAAGTGGTTAGATCACGTGTTTTTTGTTTAGAAGGTCCAGGATCGGATCCTTTTGGACGTTCGCGAAGGTATGATTTTCGGAAAAAATGGGAAATGTCGCAATTGCGACATTTCAAAAATGAGAACAGGGGGGACCCCATTGAAAAATGCTTCTTCCATCGAGACACCACCCAATCGGGATTTTATTAAAAAGGTAGATTTTGTTCTATTTTTTTTTATTTTACTTTGTGTTCGATTTCATTATATATTGTGTTTTATCTTACTTACTGCGTGATTTTTTCTCTAACGGTGTATTTTCCGCTCATCGTAAATAAATAAATAAATAAATAAATAAATAAATTCTCTAGCTGTCTAGCCTCTCTGCGTCTCCAACATATTCATATTCTCTAGCTGTCTAGCCTCTCTGCTTCTCTAACATACCCATATTCTCTAGCTGTCTAGCCTCTCTGCGTCTCTAACCAACCCATATTCTCTAGCTGCCTGGCCTCTCTGCGTCACTGACATATTCATATTCTCTAGCTGCCTAGCCTCTCTGCGTCTCTAACCAACCCATATTCTCTAGCTGTCTAGCCTCTCTGCGTCTCTGACATACTCATATTCTTTAGCTGTCTGGTCTCTCTGCGTCTCTAACATACCCATGTTCTCTAGCTGTCTGGCCTCTCTGCGTCTCTAACATATCCAATATTCTCCTGCTGTCTGGCCCCTCTGCGTCTCTAACATACCCACATGCTCTAGCTGTCTGACCTCTCTGCGTCTCTGACATGCCCACGTCCTCTAGTTGTCTAGCCTCTCTGCGTCCATACATGAACTAGTCGCTCCGGGGACCCCCGAGTTAACCCCCCTCCAGAAAAAAAAAATTCGAAAAAGTTAACCCCCCTCCTCTTGTAAAATTTTTTTCTGACTTATGAAAAAAAGTTCAACATGCCGTGGAAATCATACAATAGTTGTTTCTCAAGTCTTACAAATTAATTGATGGCGGAGGCTTTTATGAAAATTTCTGTCAAAAAAGAAATTTTTATATTTGCTTCCGCCAGATTTTTTTTTATTCTACGGCGCCAAACTTTCTTTATCGTAAACATTCGCCGCCCGTTTCTGCGCGGTGCTCCTGGTGTACTGGCTAACGCGTGGGGGTTTCGGTCAGGAGGTCACCAGTTCGATTCCCTCTATGTGTATGATTTTTTATTTTTTCTTTTGAAAATTTACTCAATGTTCAATTTGTTATGTTCCACTGAATCAATCCAAGTGAAACTTGTCTCAAATGTAGTTTAACTCTCGTAGATAAGATATATAACAACTCTGGTCAATTTGAAGACGTTTCCTTTCTTCTATCCCCCCTCCGTATGTTAGCAACCAGCATTTTTCTTCAATTTTCAGAATTTCTCGATTTTTATTTCAGTCAGAAACCACTATACCGACATTGATTCGTGTTAAACACTAGTAAATAAGTATAGAAAAATATGCCAAACAATTATTTGAAGTTTTATGAAGAAATGGAGCTTCTATCCCCCCACTCCGTTTTCGGAGGCTGAGACTCCGAAAACGGAGTGGGGGGGTAGAGGTCGTAATTTGCAATTATACTTCAAATAATTGTTAGACATACCTTTCTATACTTATTTACTAGTGTTTAGCACGAATCAATGCCCATTTAGTGGTTTCAGGAGAAAAAAATTTGTCAAAATACCTGAAAATTGAAGAAAATTTTGGTTTTCAACATACGGAGGGGGGGTAGAAGAAAGGAAACGTCACCAAATTGACAAGAGTTGTTATATATCTTTTCTACGAGAGTTAAACTATATTTGAAACAAGTTTTACCGCGCTTAGTAACGATTAGATGCTATATTTATATGAAAATTCAAAAAAATTGCCCCAAATATGCTTAAAAATGCTCATTCTAGATCTAGGAAGGGGGGTTACTTGAAAGAAACCACAATAAATTGAAACAAGATTATGTAAAATTGAATAAACAATAGTTTTACTGCATTTTAAACACATATCACCTTCTTGGCATATGAAAATTTCGAAAAAAAATGAAAAAAAAAATTTTTTTTCTAATTTTTTTCCTAATTTTTTTTTTCAATTTATTTTTGAAAAGTTAAGGCCCCCCACAAAATTTTTTCAAAAGTTAACCCCCTTCCCTCCGGTTTCGGAGAGGTAGTTCATGTATGTCTGCGTCTCTCCATATTCTCTAGCTGTCTAGCCTCTCTGTGTCTCTAACATATTCATATTCTCTAGCTGTCTAGCCGCTCTGCGTCTCTAACATGTATAGCTCGAGCAGAGCGAGTGTAAACCGGAAGCTTCCGCGAAGCGGTGGTATCTTCCGCGTAGCGGCTACTCCCTCTGCGTCTCTCCATATTCTCTAGCTGTCTAGCCGCTCTGCGTCTCTAACAAACCCATATTCTATAACTGTCTGGTCTCTCTGCGTCTCTAACATGCCTGCGTCCTCTAGTTGTCTAGCTTCTCTTCTCGAGCGGAGCGAGTGTAAACCGGAAGCTTCCGCGAAGCGGTGGTATCTTCCGCGTAGCGGCTACTCTCTCTGCGTCTCTCCAAATTCTCTAGCTGCCCACCCTCTCTGCGTCTCTGACATACCCATATTCTCTAGCTGTCTAGCCTCTCTGCGTCTCTAACCAACCCTCCAATACTTCCAGGTGCACCATCGCTGCATGTCAGCCCTGGCTCAAGAATGTGACCTCGGCGCTCTCGCCTATCACATTCTCCCACCAACCCACATCTTCCCCGCCTTCCTCGAACGCAAAACCTCAACATCGGTCAAAACCGGCGCCGCCGCCAACTTCGGCGCTCACTCGGTCAGCCTTCTTCAAGCCATCTCACCGTCCACCAACAATCGACCGCTTCTAGTTCTGATAAATCCGAAAAGTGGCGGAAAACAGGGCGTGAAGATGTTGCAGAAGTTCGAATATCTGCTGAATCCGCGACAGGTTTATGATTTGAGCAAAACTGGGCCCGAACCTGGGCTCACGCTGTTTTCCACCCTGGCTAATTGTAATATTTTGGTTTGTGGTGGAGATGGAACTATTGGATGGGTTTTGGAGTCGATGGGTGAGTTGGGAGGGGCGAGCGGAAGCTTGCGGAAAGCTTCCGCGAAGTTAGCTTGACGTGGCCGCTACGCGGAAGCTCGAGCGGAGCGATTGTAGACCGCAAGCTTCCGCTTTAGCGGCCACGTGGATTTCTATGAGGTAGAACGTCGGTATTCTGTTCCGCGTCGTAGCAATCCACGTGGCCGCTGACGCGGATGCTTGCGGTCTACACTCGCTTCGCTCGACACATGGCAAGGCGTCGCTGCTTGACAACACGATTTACCTGTCAAGCAGCCAACCCTTGACAACTGAAAACTAGCTGTCAAGGCGTCGCTGCTTGAGGTGCATCTTGTTTCCAAGCAGCCAGCCCTTGAATTCTGAATTTAGCTGGCAAGGCACTGCTGCTTGACAGGTGTATCCTCAAGCAGCCAGCCCTTGACAACTCAGATTAGCTGTCAAGGCGTCGCTGCTTGACAACACGATATACCTGTCAAGCAGCCAACCCTTGACAACTGAAAACTAGCTGTCAAGGCGTCGCTGCTTGACAACAAGATATACCTGTCAAGTAGCGACGCCTTGACCTCTGAACATAGATGTCAAGGCGTCGCTGCTTGAGGTGCATCTTGGTTTCCAAGCAGCCAACCCTTGACAACTAAAAACTAGCTGTTAAGGCGTCGCTGCTTGAGGTGCATCTTGTTTCCAAGCAGCCAACCCTTGACAACTAGCTGTCAAGGCGTCGCTGCTTGACAACATGATATACCTGTCAAGCAGCCAACCCTTGACAACTGAAAACTGGCTGTCAAGGCGTCGCTGCTTGAGAACACGATTCACCTGTCAAGCAGCCAACCCTTGACATCTCGAATTCTAGCTATGCTGAAAATTTCCAGACAAAATCTCGTTCCCCTACGGTCGTCCACCGGTCGCGGTTCTTCCGCTCGGCACCGGCAACGATTTGGCGCGTTGCCTCCGCTGGGGCGGAGGATACGAGAATGAGAGTCTGCACAAAATTCTCGAGCAAATCGAGAAGGCCACTCTGGTAAGTGTGTGAGCCAAGCCAAAATCCGATCTGAAATTCAAAATTTCAGATCGATATGGATCGATGGCAGATCAATATTGAGAACAAGGCTTCGAGAAGAGCCAGTGAGAAGGGCGATCAGCCACCGTACAGTATTATCAATAATTATTTTTCGATTGGAGTGGTAGGTTACAGTACTCCGCAGCAGAGTACAGTACTCGAACTGCAAAAATGTTTCTGCAGGACGCTTCCATCGCTCACCGCTTCCATGTGATGCGCGAGAAGTTTCCGGAAAAATTCAACAGTCGAATGCGCAACAAACTATGGTATTTTGAATTGGGAACCAGTGAGACGCTTTCGAGTTCGTGCAAAAATCTTCACGAACAAATTGATATACTGTGCGATGGCGAATCGATTGATCTTGGTGGGTTGACATCTGGAAATGCTGAAAAATCATGATTTTGCAGGTCAAACGGCAAGCCTGGAAGGAATAGCTCTCCTGAATATCCCCTCAATCTACGGTGGTTCAAATCTGTGGGGCAGAAGTCGAAAATCGAAGGGAAAAATGCCGGGTTTCTTTCCGATGAAAAGTGCCGAAAAGCTGCAACTTCAGGCGCGAGTTCAAGATATCGGAGATGGTTTGATTGAGCTGGTTGGATTGGAATCCGCTATGCAGATGGGACAAATTAAGGCGGGAGTGAGGGGAGCGAGAAGGTTGTCGCAGTGCTCGACGGTGGTTATACAGTGAGTTGTGGCGGCTTTTCCGCATTGTAGCAATCCACGTGGCCGCTGACGCGGAAGCTTGCGGTCTACACTCGCTCCGCTCGACCTCGAGCACATTGCGCGAGTGTAGACCGCAAGCTTCCGCGTCAGCGGCCACATGGATTACTATGAGGTAGATCATCAGTATACTCTTCCGCGTTGTAGCAATCCACGTGGCCGCTACGCGGAAGATAGTGCCGCTTCGCGGAAGCTTGCGGTCTACACTCGCTTCGCTCGAGGTCGAGCGGAGCGAGTGTAGAGCGCAAGCTTCCGCGTCAGCGGCACGACCACGTGGATTACTATGCGGTAGATCATCAGTATGCTCTTCCGCGTTATAGCAATCCACGTGGCCGCTAAAGCGGAAGACAGTGCCGCTGACGCGGAAGCTTGCGGTCTACACTTGCTCCGCTCGACCTCTTTGCTTGAGTGTAGACCGGAAGATTCCACGTCAGCGGCCACGTGGAAGATCTCTATGGTTCCCACGTCATAATAGTCCACGTGGTCGTGCCGCTGACGCGGAAGCTTGCGGTCTACACTCGCTCCGCTCGACCTCGAGCGCGGAAGCGCGAGTGTAGACCGCAAGCTTCCGCGTCAGCGGCCACGTGGAAGATCTCTATGGTTCCCACGTCATAATAATCCACGTGGTCGTGCCGCTGACGCGGAAGCTTGCGGTCTACACTCGCTTCGCTCGACCTCGAGCGCTTTGCGCGAGTGTAGACCGCAAGCTTCCGCGTCAGCGGCACGACCACGTGGATTATTATGAGGTAGATCTTCAGTATGCTCTTCCGCGTTGTAGCAATCCACGTGGCCGCTAAAGCGGAAGACAGTGCCGCTGACGCGGAAGCTTGCGGTCTACACTCGTAGCTATACTCTCTGTGTCTCTATCATCTATTGTAGGTTAGAGACGCAGAGGAGCTTGTCAAGGAGTCTGAACCAAAAATCTATCTATAGCTTCTCTGTGTCTCTAGAATCTCTAAACTCTCTCCTCACATAGGAAAGTTAGAGACGCAGAGAAGCTAGATTGACTTATGACGTGGCACACAGTACCCGAATGGGTGAAAACTTGAATCCCCCCATAAATTTTCCCTTCAGGACCCACAAATCATTCCCAATGCAAATCGACGGTGAACCATGGATGCAACCGCCGTGCATAATTCAAATAACTCACAAAAATCAGGCGAAAATGCTAGTTGGTAAGAAATTTCAGAATTTTTGCAACAAAAAAATCTGAAATTTTGCAGCTCCGCGAAAACGAAGTTCTTGGATGCTTTTACGACGACAATCGACGAATGATGATAATTGAGCAACTTTTTGCAACGACAAAATCACTTTTTCTAAATTATTTATGAATTTTTTTGGGAACCTTGGGTGTTATTTACAGATTTTCAGCTCAAAAATCCCTCAAAAACCCTTGAAAAAACAAAAAAAGCTGAAATCTTCGCTTTGAAAATTTATTTTTTCTATTTTTTGAAGCGCGCGTGGTACGGTACACATTTCTGCAAACACGTTGACGAAAAATTGCACACATTTGAGTGAAACGTCATCATTTTTGTTTTTTTTGCCCGTTTTGACGTGGAACGTGTTACGTGGCAGCCGTGTCCTATTTATTTTCGTCTATAAAATGAATCAGTCTGACGGGTTTTGCCATTTTGCAACCAACACCAAAGTGGAATATTCCAAAAAGGCATCAGAGAAATTATGATGAGATGTTCAATTGTCATCATTTTGATCTATGCTTTCATTATCACTGTAAATGCTCAACACCAATACAATAATCCAACTTGTCCAACACATCAACAAAATCCAAAGTTGAAAGACGTGTATGTTCCGCGGACACTTTTGATTTTTGCAATCGGTTATGATGCACCTGACGCAGATGTAAGTTTTCCCGGAAATTATGAAAGAAAACTAACAGAAAATTTGTATTTAGAGAGAAAAGATGACATTTGTTGTTCGACAAACTGCTTGCTTCATTCCGACACATGACAATATAACTTCTGCCGCTTATTTTCTTCACAACAGCCTCTTCGATGCTGATAAAGATGCTCGAGATACACTGAGTACAATGGCTCAATATTCAAAATGTAAGAACGTTTCACAAATTTCATTGACAACTTATAACTTGTTTTTCTAGTAACTGATCAGGTATCATGCGATAAGTTTGGTGAAGGTCTCAAGGAATTGAAAAATGAACAGGCCTTGAAGAACTATGAAAGATTCAAAGTCATTGGACACATGAGAAAAATCGCAGACGATTGTGATTATGCTCTTCAATGGAACAATGCACAACTCGATTCGAAATTTGAATTCTTCATGATTCGATTCGATAACAAGAAAGATCCTGGGATCATTTCATTGAATTATGAGAATATTGCTAGTATCGATCCATCTCGTAAGTTTTGACAAGGCTTTGCAATTTGAAAATGAGTATTTGAGAAAAAAACTCCGAAAACTCAAATTTGGAGCATTTTGATTACAAATATGCTCGAATTTGTTCTCAAATTGTTCCAAATTCCACATGGCTTCTAAAATTGCAATTGCAAGTTGAAACAGCTCCCCCGTTCATCGTCAATTCAATTTTCCATGAAATATTTTTGCGTTTACAGAAACATCACCTTCTGCTGAACTCAAAAACGTCACTGGCACATTGTAAGTTGAAATTCCGAATGTCTGGAATCTCAAAATCAATATCAATTTTTCCAGCATGAATTATGTTCTTGGCGCTGAAACACCACCACAGCCACCAGCTGCAAAACCCAAAAAGAAACCTATTCCGATCACTCCTATTGCGATTGCTGTTTTTGCTATTTTATTTGTTATTTTTTGTGTTGGATTTGTTGGTCTCAGCTATTGGAAAAAATGGTGTTGCTTCAAGAAAAAGCAAGGTGAATATTTTGGTGGAGGCTCGAGCGATTTGTCTAAATATTGAAAAAAATCACAATTTTCAGATTCGAAGCCGATTGTCGCAAAAACATCAACACCAGCTCCACCTCCTCAACCAGCTCCACCTATTTCACCTGCTGCAAAAGCTGGAGAGGCTGATGGTAAGATTTCCTAGATCTTGGATCCAATAATGTTTTGATTATCATTTAGATTCTACATATCGCACATATAGTGAATGTTCAATGGGCACAATTGGAACAGAAGGCCGTGATGATCTTGGTGAGGAGTATAAAGCAGACTACAAGAAACCTGTGCACAAGAAACTCACGCCAAACTAGTCATTTCTTACTTGATGTTTCTTTTTTTTTAATTCTAAACTACAATCGGATCATTTCTTTTTTCATAAACTCTTTTCCTGTATTTTTTATCATTTTTTAAATTCCTGAACTTGAGTTCAAAATTCCACGTTCTAAAATTTCGCAAAATATTTTTTTTTATAAACAAAAAAATTTAAACTATTCGAAAGCAAAACAAAAAACCAGTTTTTCGGCAAAAAGGCAATAAATTACATTATTTCTCAATTAATTAATTAATTAATATCCAGCATAATTTCCATAATATTGAGGAGGAGGAGCAGCATTGCTCATATTAGCAGGAGGATTGCTCATATTAGGTGTATAACTCAAATTAGGATTATAACCGGGATTACTCATATTAGAATATGTCGGATTGCTTGCACCCGGGGGAAACCCTGGATTGCTCATGTTAGGGTTATAACCAGTATTGCTCATATTAGCACCATTATATGCAGGATTGCTCATATTAGGAGTATAATTATATCCTTGTTGTTGTTGTTGTTGTTGTGGATATCTTGAAGTTCCAGTCCGATTAATTCCAGATCTTGCAGAATTTGAAGTTGGTGGATTTGTGAGATTTGGCGGTGGATCATTCCAGCCAGATAATATTGGGGCTGAAAATATCAGATTTATTCGATTCTTTGGCTGAAAATCTGAAAAATTCTGCATTTTTTGATACTAAATAAGCCTAGAGTCTTGTTTGGTATCAAAAAATGCAAAAATTCTCATTGCCGCACAGAAAAATGGGCGTGGCCTAGAAAAAAACTCACCATTTTTCACCGATTTCACCTCATTCTCCTGCTCATCCACACTTTTTCGATGCGGATCAAATCCGGGAAATTGTGGCGTCGAAATTTTGCCACCAAATTTGTTCCTCAAATTTTCGCGCATCTCCACCAATGCCGGATTCTGCGTGCGATTCTCCTTGAGAATTTCCCACAAAATGTCGTGCATCTCATTTTCCTGCAGAATTCTGGCGTAACTCATCAAAGCCTCTTCGTATTGTGCCAAATTTTTGGGGGGATTTGCGATTTTCAACGCTTCGATTTGATGAAATTTATCGATTTCGGGGAAAAAATCCAAATTTGTGCTGATGAATTCGTTCAAATCGCCAGCAATTATGAGTGGGATTAGGGCTTGGAGGGGATCTGAAAATGTCAGATTTTCTGGCTGGAAATTCACATTTTTCTGGCTGAAACTCCAAAAATTCCAGATTATTTGAAGCATGGCCTCGTGACGTGGCAATTTCATTTTCAAAAAAAAAATCTGATTTTTCCCTCATATAATTCTCCGAAAATAATCAATAATTTGCCACGTCATAGCTCAAACTTTCAAGCAAAAAATATTGATTGAAAATTTGGGCTATGACGTGGCAAATTATCGATTATTTTCGGAGGATTACATGAGGGAAAAATTCGATTTTTTTTTCGAAAATGAATATTCGAAATTGCCACGTCACAAGGTTACGCTTCTAAAAATCTGGAATTTTTTGAATTTCAGCTCAAAAAAGAGCATTTTTTCTGGAATTTTTTTTGTCGACCAACTTTTGTGCTGTTTCCAAACATTTGCAACAATTCTCATCAAAATTTCAGATTTTCTGGCTGGAAATGCACATTTTTCAAGCTGAAATTCCAGATTTTCTCAAGCGTGACCTTGTGACGTGGCAATTTCGAAAATTCATTTTCGAAAAAAAAATCTGATTTTTCCCTCATATAATCCTCCAAAAATAATCAATAATTTGCCACGTCATAGCTCAAATTTTCGAGCAAAAAGATTATTTTCGGAGGATTATATGAGGGAAAAATTCGATTTTTTTTCGAAAATGAATTTTCGAAATTGCCACGTCACAAGGTCACGCTTCTAAAAATCTGGAATTTTTTGAATTTCAGCTCAAAAAAAGAGCATTTTTTTCTGGAATTTTTTTTCTCGACCAACTTTTGTGCTCTTTCCAAACATTTACCACAATTCACATCAAAATTTCAGATTTTCTGGCTGGAAATGCACATTTTTCAAGCTGGAATTCCAGATTTTCTCAAGCGTGACCTTGTGACGTGGCAATTTCGAAAATTCATTTTCGAAAAAAAAATCTTATTTTTAAATTGCCACGCCACAAGGTCACACTTCTAAAAATCTGGAATTTTTTGAATTTCAGCTCAAAAAATAGCATTTTTTCTGGAATTTTTTGAATTTCAGCTCAAAAAATCGACCAACTTTTGTGCTCTTTCCAAACATTTGCAACAATTCTCATCGCATCTTCCAAATCCTTCAAATCCTCAATTCTCACAATCAAAATGCCCAGCATATATCGCCATTTTTCCACCGGAAAACCGCGCACAAAATCCTCGATTTTCGTCGCAAACAATCCACGTTGCGCTCCAAACTCGGCCGATTCCCATTCGACACAAAATCGATCGATAATTTGGGCAGTTTTTTCAGCAGTATTTTCAGCAGCCAAGAATTTCTCGAAAATTCGAGAAACTTGCGATTTATCATGAGCTGAGGCGTAGATTGTGGCCAACATCCATTTTTTCTCCGAAATCAGAGAATTTATGATGATTTCGTGATTTCCGCATATCGCATTTGTGACCAGAAGCCAATCGGAGGAATCTGCAAGTTTTTGAGCTATGACGTGGCAATTTTTGGGCTCAGAATTCCAGATTTTCAGCCAAAATCCTACCTAAATTCTTCCAATCCAATCCATCTCTATCTAAAAACGATAATTTCGCTCCAAATTCGTTTTCAAAACTTTCAGGCGTTGAATTTCGCGAATCTCTTTCCTCAAAAATCTGCGCATTCATTTCAGCTTCATCCATCAATTTCAGATATCTCAAAAATCGTCGTCTACTCGATCCTTCAATTTTCGCCGCCAAAAAAAGCCAGACAAGTTGTCGTAACTCTTCTCCCTCGTTTTCCGCTTTTTCCATCAAAAAATCGGCAAAAGTTTTGAGTCGTTTCGAATTTTCGGCGAAAGTTTTGATGTCCTCAATAACTTTTGACGGTAATTTCGAGGCAGAATTCAAATTTTGAGTCGATTTTTTCGCTGTGAAATCGGCAATTTCACCAAATCCCACTTGATTTTTCGACGACGAAAATGCGAATAAATTCGCGATTTTTTGGATTCCACTTCAAATTTGACATTGAGCTCTGATTTTTGAGCTCAAAAATTTCGGGATTTTCCAGAGTCCAGAGAAGAGTTTCGGATTTTGACGAGGAGATGATTTGATTTGAAGAGTTTCTGAAAGAATTGAGTTATGACGTGGCAAAAATTTCATAAAAATGCGATTTTTTGACCCTAGAAAATTCGAGAAAGCAAATCGATTGAAAATTTGAGCTATGACGTGGCAAATTATTGATTATTTTTAGAATTCTCGAATCTTCTAGGCTCAAAAAATCGCATTTTTTGAAAACGCACACATCAATCGATTCAACAGCTCCTTCATTTCCTCTAAATTCAAAAATTGCCTGGCTCAACATTCTCGAATCGAATTTCCTCACAATTCCCTCGTCAAATCCCAAAAACACCTCATTTTCAGAATTCCGAGCCCAACAGAAACTCGTCGAATTTTGAATGGAGTTCAATGCAAAAACCGGCCGCCCATGTTGTCGCAAATCCCAAAATTCTAGCGAATTTTCGCTGAAACTTGCGAAAATCGCATCGGAATCGCGAGCGAATCGCAAATCCTTGATCGAATTTCGATTTTCGCGAGTTCCCGGCGAATACGGAACCCCTAAAATCGCATCCCAAAGTAAGACATCGCCTTGCGAACCTCCGGAAATGAACCATTTTCCAGTCGCTGAGCCCGAAATTAGGCTAACTCCCGAAATTTGCGAATTCTCGTGTCGTTTCTCGAAATATCCTTGCTGATTTTGCGCGTAGAATGCCACGTGTCCGGGCAACGTTGCTCCGCCAATTACACCATTTTGAGCCCAGAAAATCTGATGAAATCCTTGATTTTGTTGGGTTGGCTGAGAGAAGGAGGGCGGAATTGCGGAGTGTTGTTGTTTTTGTTGGATTGAGGTGGAGGGAATGTAATCGAAAGTGGAATCGGTGGCTAGAAGAAGACCCTGGAAAAATTGGGTATTTTTAAGAGATTTTGGTGAGAAAATCGAGATTTCTATGGTTTTTTTTTACCTTGAAAAGTGAATTTCTCACAATTTTCAGTATTTTTGAGCCAGACATCTGGAAAATTGATATTTCCAAAACAATTCCCCAAAACCCCTACCTGTCCATCTGGCGACCAGCAAAAAACACCCGATTTTGAGCAGAATTTCGTCATTTCTCACTGAAAACCAAAAAAAAATTTCACTTTTTTTGCGATGGCCGAAAAAAAGAGGGAAAATGTGCTCTATGGAAAAAAGGAAAATGCGTTTTTTGCATCTGCCAGATGCCCTTTTCTTTAAACTTGTGGTGCCTTCTAGAGATGCAGAGACATGTGCACACTCGTGTGCATCCATGTGTCTCTCCCTCTCTCTGGAGACCCTCATTCTTTGGCTTGCGACCACCAACATCGGTTGCTAAACATTATTCTGTATAATAAAGATCTTACACGTTAATGTGATGTACTTATGATTGGGACTGGGTAATGGGGATGACTGGGAGGTCATCTATCCATTACATGGAGGTTCCGACCGTTTGAAGAAATTTTCTGGGGTCTCCCATAACACCAATAGCCCCAGAAATTTCGCGAACTATTCCGCGGTCGAGAGCTAACCATTCTATACCGCTACACACATTCGACTACTGTTATCTGTCTAGTATTTTTATTTATTATCGTCTGGAAAAATCCGAGTATTTCGAAATATTTCGAAAACTTGCACTTTTCGTCTTCAACAACTTCTTGATCGATTTTTGTGAGCCGACATGCAGAACAAAAGAGCGCCTGCATGTGTTTCGAACTTGGTTGAAGAAGCAGCTGGTGAGGGAAACCAATTAGAGGAAGAAGAATTTTCAAAAAAATTGAGTTATGTTCGTTATATCTTTCTAGGCAAATTTTTTCTCGGTTTTTATTTGTTCCTAGTACGTTTTCAATGGTTTTATTATTAGGTTTCCTGTCCCTAATAAGAAAACAAATTATGGTCTTCTTGTCGTTTCTTCCCCATGATTTAGTATTGAAAACGAAACATCTAAATAGTTGAAAATTTTTAAAGTTGTATTTCACTTGTTATTCCTTCACTTGCTTATTCTTTTTATTCCACCACCCAGACGCCCGATAATATTGTAAAATTCCATCTTACTAGATACTAGGCAGACCCAGACCATCATAAGTACCCCAAAGAATCCGTGTAACTTTGTGTTTGAATGTATTGCTTGATAATATCAGATTGATTTGTATTTATGATTATATGTTTTATGTTAAGACATCACCGTCCCGGTATATTTCAGCCGCGAGGACGCTGGCTTGTATCGGGAGGGGGATGTGGTGCCTTCTAGAGATGCAGAGACATGTGCACACTCGTGTGCATCCATGTGTCTCTCCCTCTCTCTGGAGACCCTCATTCTTTGGCTTGCGACCACCAACATCGGTTGCTAAACATTATTCTGTATAATAAAGATCTTACACGTTAATGTGATGTACTTATGATTGGGACTGGGTAATGGGGATGACTGGGAGGTCATCTATCCATTACAAACTAAACTAAACAAAACTAGCAGATGCTTTGGTGGCAAAGAAAATCTCGAAGAAAAAATTCGTTTGGGGAGCTGGAATTTAAAAATGTTTGTAACAAACTAGGGTTTTATAATTATAATTTACAGATTTTTAGCTCGAAAAACCCAAAAAACTCGAAAAAATAAAAAAATTTGAAATCGTTGTGTGCAATTTCAGGAGACGGTGTTTGCACACAACACATTTTATTTGACGCCATTTATCTTTTTTTCGCTTTTTCACATTTTCAAACCAAAACTCCGTAGTCAAACGCTTTATTCATCATCACTTTCATCAAAAAATGAAATGGTACTTTCATCATCTTCCTCAGAATCAGAATTATCTTCAGAATCACAGGTGGCATCGCAAGCTCCCAACCAAATGTAATTACAACTTTGAAAAGCCAAAATATACTTATTTTCATCGATTTTCGATTTGATATTCTTGAAACCAAATCGATCAGAAACACCGAAATGGGCGCCGAAATCAAGTTTGAATCTTTCCGAATTTTTCGAACATTTGATATCCAGCCCTTTGAAATTCTCGTGTAATTGTCCATTTTGCCACAAATCGACAAATTCCTTGAGATTTTCCATATTCAAATTATCATTCATCAAAGATATTTGAGTTTTTGAAGCTTTCAATTCTTTCAGTTGATCAAATGAAATATTTGTAAATGGAATTCTGATCGATTTTCTCACATTTTTCAACGATTCAAAATCAATAAACTTGTATTTGAGTATATCGATTTGTTTTGATGTGCAAGAAATTTCGAATTCTTTCAAGTTGTTCAAATTGTTGAGGCGAATGTTGCGAATGATTTTCGAGCGCATTCTTTGTTGCTGAAATTATAAGAGTTTTCCGTGCTCCACTCGAAAAAAAACTCACAACATCAATCGATAATTTCTCCAATCGTTTCCCAATTCTCTTCAAAAAATCCCGCAAAACCGGTACAACCACCTCAAAAATCGATTGAATTCGAATCTCCGTGGAGCGCGCTTTCCCATCCTTCCCCAAATATTTGACTTTCGTCTTGAATTGTCCGAATTCCTCGAAACAAATGATCAAATTCCCATCAATCGATAAAGTGTAGATTTTGGCGGTTTGAGTTAGGCTAACTGACTTGAAATAGTTTACCGATTTTTGCGTTTTGATGTGTAGAGCACGATTGACGGCGCCGAATTTGAGCAAACTTTTTTGATCCAAATTATCGATAATGTTTGGGATTATTTCTATTGGAATATCACGAAGACCAACCATTTTCTACTCTAGTAGCTATTTGGAATACGATAAAATAATACAAAAAAGAATGAGCAGCTATGGAGCACCTTGCTCTTTTTATAAGGATTCTTATCTCACGTAAAAATCTTCAATGAAAAATCGAATTTGGCGTGAAATAGAGTGTCACGCGCCTTTAAAAATCACTACGGTAGTCGTAAACACTGTGCCACGTTTTTTGACCGCCTGTTTTGAAGACGCGCGTCCCGTCGCGATGTTTGTTGTGTGTAGTTCTCGAGGAAAATTTTTTCATTTTCAGCAAAAAAATGCTTCAAACTCCGAAAGCAAATGAACAAACATCAAATTTATCAACATATACATTAAAAGGCATCGAATTTCTCGAAAAAGTTGGTGGTTTTGTAAAAGAACGTGCAGCACTTGAAGAAGAATATGCAAATCGATTGAAAAGTTTGGCGAAAAAATATACGAAAAAATACGAAGATGATGAATTGTTAAAGCATTCGAGTTATGTTCAAAGTTTTAATGGATTTCTGAATCAAATGGAAAATGTGGCAGATGAACATTCAGCGATTTCGGAAAACTTGAAAAATGAAGTTGTTGGATTTGTTAGTGCAAAATGTGTACAACATAAAAGTGCTAGGAAAAATATAATGAATGATTTATCGACTATTGATGATGATTTGAATAATTGTATTAATGAATTATTCAAAGCCAAGAAAACTTATTTGTAAGTGGCTTAACTCGAAAATATGTGTTTTTGAGTGAAATTTAGATGAAAATTCAGGATTTTTCTTTAGAAAAATTGATTTTTCCAGATTTTTGACTGCAAGATTCTGAATTTTCAGCAAAAACAAGCTGTCACGAATTCTAGACCTTGTTTCATGAAAAATCTTGCAGAATTTGTAATTTTCAGCCTTCTGGCTCCTGGTTTTTCATGAAAATCAAGTTTATAAAGGGTCTGAAGACAGATTTTGTAAATTTGATTTTCACTGGAAATTTAGCAGCCAAAATACTGAAAATTACAAATTCTGCAAGATTTTTCATAAAACAAGGTCTAGAATTCGAAACAGTTGGTTTTTGGTGAAAATTCTGAATCTTGCAGCCAAAAAGCTGAAAACATTCATTTTTAGGAGGTTTATCCTGTGAAACATGCATGAAAAATAGCTGAAAATCATTTAAAAATATGAAATTTCCAAGATTTTTCAGTTTTTCATGAAAAATTCATTGAAAATCAAGTTTACAAGATCTGGCAGACAGATGTTTGCCGAAAATTATCAGCAAAACTTTGTAAACTTCATTTTCAATGAATTTTTCATGAGAAATCCTGAATTTTCACCTAAAACTCTCCAAAACCCTTCAAATTAAAGTTTTTCAGTCGTTCATTCCGCGAAGCCGAAAACGCCTATCAAAAATACCAAAAAGCCGACAAAAACATGGACATCTCTCGCACAGAACTCGAAAAATCGCGACAATTTTCGCAACAAAAACTGGAAGCTGCGGAAAAATCAAAAGAATCGTATGTGGATGCGTTGGAATGCGCAAATTATGGACAAAACAAATATTTCGACAAAATGTTGCCAATGATTTTCGATCGATTTCGAATTATTGATAAAGAGAGAATTGAGGATTTGAGAGAAATTATGGGAAAATGTTTGAAAATTGATCGAGAACATCAGGCAATTGTTGAGGAATTTTGGAGAAAATCCGAAAAATTTGGAGAATTTATTGATTCGGATAATGATTCGATGATGCTTTTAGATTGTTTTAGGTTAATTTTTGAGTCCTGAAACGTAAAAATAGCTGAAAAATCTGAAATTTGAGGATTTTTTGGCTAAAAATATCCCGAATCTCATTTTTTTCAGATCAAAAATCGAAAAATCGGCCTCGTTCGAATTGGACGATTTGGGAGATCCGAAAATTGGCTGCAATCGACCAATAGGTACTGAAATGCTCTGAAAAATCATCTGAAAATCAATATTTTTAATGAAATATATATTTTCTAGTAGTTTCCAACCCACTGATCACAATTCCATTGTCAAAAATCGCAAATCTCAACTTCTAATATGAGTTATTTTTTGGAAGTGGAAAACTTGGAACTTTAGGAGGTCAGAACTAGATTTCAAAATGATTTTCATAAAAATCTGATAGCATAGCGTTGTTCAGGAGGGTCGATTACATATTTTCCTGGGTCTCGCGGCGAAAAATCGATTTTCTCTGGGTCCTGGAGCGAAAAATGCATGAATTTTCTCTCCAAGACTCGGAAAATCATCAAAAATCCCACTGGGACCTGAAGAAAATCGATTTTTCGCTGCGAGACCCAGGAAAAGCATGTAATTGACCTTCCTGAACAACGTCATGCTATCAGATTTTCATGAAAATTATTTTGAAATCTAGTTCTAACCACCTGAAGTTCCAAATTTTCCATTTCGAAATGATAACTCATATTAGGAATTACGATTTGCAGTTTTTGACAGCGGAATTGTGATCAGCGGGTTGAAAAATATTAGAAAATATTTATTTCATTAAAAATCTAGATTGCAAGTTGAAACCATCCCAAAAAGCTTTATAAAATTCAAAATTTTCAGATTATCTCGAAAGAGTTGAAGCCTTTATGTCACCAATTTATAAACGAAAAGATTCGCCAATAAAAATCCGATCATTCCGTCAACTCTTCAAATCTCAAAATTCATCTCCAAAATCCAAAAATGACGAAAATCAAGAATATTCAGAACTTCCACCTAAAGTTCGACTGCGATGTTTGAATGCAAAAATCAAAAAACTCGAAAAACAACTCGAAACCGCGATTCAGGGAAGAGAAGGATTGAATCGACTTCAGAATGCTTATCGAGAAAATCCGAAATTGGGAAATCCATTAAATTGTAATGAAAGTTTGGTTGAACATGCGAAAGAGATTGAGAGATTGAGCTTGGAAATTGAGAAAATTCGATTGATTAGTTCCGATGTTGAATGTGCTATTATTGAAGGTATGCAATTTCTGGAGGTGGAGGACTCGCGAAAATTCAAATATTTCATAGAATTTGGGTGGTTTCATTTGAAAATATGCATTATTTCTGGAAAAAACACGAACTTTCATTGAAATTTGTCAGATTTTTGACGGCAAAACTTGATTTTCATGAAAGTTCATGTTTTTTTGCAATTTTCGGATCCAAATTTGAATTTTTTGCATATTTTCAAATGAAACCGCCCCAAGTTTTATGAAAAATTTGAATTTATAATTTTTGCCGCTAAAAATCAAATTTTCAGCCGGTGATTTAACCGAAGGATCATTTTGTGGTCGAGATTCGACAATTGATACAACAAGATCGGGAATGTCTGGATGTTCAACAAATATTTCATCGAAAACCAATACTTTGGATGAAGCTGGATTGGTAAGGGCTGAAAATCACTGAAAATTTGGAATTTTCAGACAAAAATGACTGAAACTCGTCAATTTTTGGTCAAAAGTGCCCAATTTTCAGTCAGAAATCATAAATACCACTAAAAATTTCAATTTTTGCAGTACAGCGATGGAAATTCGGATTGTCTCCCTCATATTCCATCAGATCTACGATTCGTCTCATCGAAATCATCGACAAATAGTTCACCAATGAGAAATTCCGCGAAATTCAACATTTCCACGCCGATTTCCAGGTTTTTATATTGAAATTCTGAATTTTGTTCAAAATTTGATTTTTTTTTTCAGATCCAATTCGCCACGTCAACTCTACACGCCGAAACGAGAAAAATCGAGAAAAGTTGGCGAAAATCGGGAAATTGAAGTTGGTCGAGCTGTTGTGATTTATGAATTCGAGGGAAATTCGTATGGTACGATTTCGGTGAAAGAGGGCGAAAATGTGATATTGATTGAGAAAGGAAATGATGAGGATGGATGGATGAAAGTTCGAAGGTTAGTCTTGTGAAAATCTCAGAGACATGGGGGGACTAGGTTGCCAAACAGCAAAATCTAGTCCCCTATTCCAAATCCTAGCTCAATATTTCCAGAATCCCAACAAGCTGCGACGAAAAAGGCGAAGAAGGATTTGTGCCAAGCAGTTATTTGAAATGCGCGTGGAATATCTGAAAATTTCAGCTATTCTGCTTTATTTAAATATGATCTCATTTTCCAAAGAGAATTTTAATAATAGTTGTTTTTTCGATTTTTTTATTTGTGTGTGTGAAATAAGTAGGTATTTTTCTGGTTTTTTGTTGTGAATGGTAAAGTTTTATTGATTTTTTTTGTACCGATTTCGAGGAAAACATTTTTTTGACGATGAAAAACTCATCGATTTTCTTTTGAACACAAAAATGAACAAGTAAAAATGACGATTTCATTCTAATATCATGGATGAAAGTTCAAAAAAACCAAATGAAACATATGGTTTTTTTCGAATACAAAAGAAAAAGAAGAAACGAGTAAAAACGACTAGTTGGGCGTGAGTTTCTTGTGCACCGGTTTCTTGTAGTCCGCTTTATACTCCTCACCAAGATCATCACGGCCCTCTGTTCCAAGTGTGCCGCCCATTGAACGGTCGCTATACGTGCGAAGTAAAGCATCTAAATGATAATCAAAACATTATTGGATCCAAGATCTAGGAAATCTTACCATCAGCCTCTTCAGCATTTCCAGCGGCTCCGGCAGCGCCCGCAGGTTTAGCAAGTGGTGCAGGTTGGGCTGGTTGAGCAGGTGGAGCTGGTTGGAGAGGTGCCGCGGGTTGAGGTGGAGTTGGTTGAGCAGGTGGTGCAGGTTGGGGAGGTGGAGCTGGTTGAACAGGGGGTGCAGCTTGAGCAAGTGGAAGTGGCTGAGCAAGTGGAGCTGGTTGTGCAAGTGGAAGTGGCTGAGCAAGTGGAGCTGGTTGTGCAAGTGGTGCAGGTTTAACAGGAGGTGCAGGTGGAGTTGCTGCAGCGGGTGTTGATGTTTTGGAAACTACCGGCGGCGAATCTGAAAATTGTGATTTTTTTTTTCAATATTTAGACAAATCGCTCGAGCCTCCACCAAAATATTCACCTTTATTCTTTTTCTTGAAGCACAACCACTTTTTCCAATAGCTGAGACCAACAAATCCAACAACACAAACACCAACTACAATAGCACAAACACCAATCGCAATATAGGCCCAATCAGGAAACTGGAACTCCTCTTCGGTTTTGACAGCTTTCGGTGGTGTTTCAGCGCCAAGAACATAATTCATGCTGGAAAAAATTGATATTGATTTTGAGATTCCCGAAATTCGAAATTTCAACTTACAATGTGCCAGTGGCGGCTTTGAGTTCAGCAGGAGGTGATGTTTCTGTAAACGCGAAAATATTTTATGGAAAATAAAAAAGACGATTAAAACTTACGAGATACATCGATACTAGCAACATTCTCATAATTCAATGAAATGATCCCAGGATCTTTTTTGTTGTCGAATCGAATCATGAAGAGTTCAAATTTCGAATCCATTTGCGCATTGTTCCATTGAAGAGCATAATCACAATCGTCTGCAATTTTTCCCATGTGTCCAATGACTTTGATGATGTCATAGTTCTTCAATACTCTACTGGTTTTCAGTTCTTTGAGGCCATTACCAAATGTATCGCATGATACCTTTTGAGGTTCTAAAAAAATATGTTCTCAATTAATTTGTGAAAAGTTCTTACTGAGTGATTGATCAATAATCGTTGACAATGTATTTTGAACATCATTATTAGGAAGTAAGATGACGAAGAAAAGATGAATGGCAGCAGAAGATATATTGTCATGTTTCGGAATCCAGCAAGCAGTTTGTCGAACAACAAATGCAATCTTCTCTTTCTACAAAACAACAATTTGGACATTATCTTTGGGAATCAAATTCATCACTAATTTTAGGTGATAAATTATTCTTATTTTTGTTTCCTCTGTATAATTTCCGAGAAAACTTACATCTGCGTCAGATGCATCATAACCAATAGTAAACAACAAAAGTGTCCGCGGAACATTGACGTCTTTCAACTTCGGATTTTGTTGTTCTGTTGGACAAGTTGGAGTATCGTATTTAGCATTTCCAGTGATAATAAAAGCATAGATCAAAATGATGACAATTGAACATCTCATCATAATTTCTCTGATGCTTTTTTGAAATATTCCACTTTGGTGTTGGTTGCAAAATGGCAAAACCCGCCAGACTGATTCATTTTATAGACGAAAATAACTAGGACACGGCTGCCACGTCACACGTTCCACGTCAAAACGGGCAAAAAAACAAAAATGATGACGTTTCACTAAAATGTGTGCAATTTTTCGTCAACGTGTTTGCAGAAATGTGTACCGTACCACGCGCGCTTCAAAAAATAGGAAAAATCAATTTTCAAAGACGAAGATTTCAGCGGGAACTTTTTCAGTTACAGATTTTTTGAAGTCGTATATGTTATTTTTGGTCAAAAATGATTAATTTTCAATCAGAGATCATAATTTCCACCAAAAAAATTCGATTTTTGTATTGATTTTATTAATTTTTTTTCTTGGGTGGAACTTATTTCTTGAGTTTTGATCCCATTATTTGCTTTTCGCGCAACATTTTCCGGAAAGATTTTATTTTTCAGTTTTCTTCGGCTTTATTGCGTAGAAATTTGTTACTAAAGATTGCCAGAAGATTTTAGAAATTTCAGTTTGCGACAAAATCCTCCAGATTATCCCCGCTCTTCAACAATATCCTTCATTAGAGTGTCAATCTATTTCACTTCAAGTGGCAAGCCAAAAAAACGAACGGAGATACTTGAGAAAACGGTGCATTTTTGCGTGAAATCCGCAGTTTTTTCCGCGCTGGTCACTCAAAAAAAAAAGATGATCTATCAAAAAACCGCAATTCATTCATTCATCAAACAATTCTTCTTCTTTTTTCGCCCCGATCTTTTTCGTCTGCGTCTCCTCACTCTCACCATTAAATGTGTTCTTTTTCGCGTTTTCTCTAGTATGCGTCACTTCTTTTTTTAATGAGTCATATATACTTTTGGGCTTGGGAAAACTCCAATTTTCTTTTGAAAAATTGAAAGACTAGAGAATTTTTGAGAAAAATACGAGTTTTTTGGTACAAAATAGGTATTTATTGTCTCAGTCGCAATTTGTTCTACTTATTTCGAATTTCCTATTTAAATACCGCCCTCAATTTTCCCATTCTCTTCTTGTTTTTTCGTTTTTTTCTCGAGAGAAGATTTTGGAAATAAAATGACTTGAAAATCTTGAATTTTTCAATAAAAAAATGTATTTTTCATCTTGAAAATATTATTTTCTGATATTAAAAAATTCTGCATTCTTTTCTATTCTTTGAAATTCTGAAAATAATGGATTTTCTTCTTGAAAACCTCCAAAAAAACTTCTGAAAAATAAAAATAATTTTCTAGCTGTGCATTTTTACGTGACGGTGTCAGTGCACACAATCCAACCTACCGTATAGCTCGTGTGCGCTAGAGCGATGTTGCATTCTTACTTTTATTTTCCACCATTTTCAACGCGGAAAACATCGGTTTTACGATATAATAATCAATAATTTCTAGTGCTTATTCATTGTTTTATTTGCTCAACGCATCGTCCTTGTATCTCTCTCCTCGCCCCAATTTATTTACTTTTTTTCCCCACAAAAAAAAAACGAAATTTTTCAGAAATGACACTAAATTATAATGCACACGAAAAACAAATCGAGGCGGCTTATCGATTAGTTGGCGACTCAGCTGATGGTGATAAATGGTGGGAAATTTGATTTTTGCGGCGGAAAAACGAGGCATTTTTGCAGGGTGATTTATGATTATGAGGGGAATTCGAATACACTGCGAGTTGGAGAAGAGGGAACTGGTGGATTGGATGAATTTGCTGGAAGTTTTAGCTCGGGAAAACTTCAGTTTGGAGTTATCGCGGTTAGACTTTCCAGTGATGTTATTCCAAAAATCGTGCTGATTCATTGGGTAAACCTTAAATATTTGGAAAATCTTGAAATTCAACAAATTTTCAGCAAGGCGAAGGAGTTCCAACTCTCCGTCTAGCCTCAACCACCCAACATGCAGAAGAATTCCGTCGATTTTTAAAGACTGTGCACATTGTTCTGCACGCAAGAAGTGAAATTGATGTTGAACCGGATGTTATTCGAAAAGAAGTTGCGAAATTGCCAGCAGCAAATACAACAGCTCATGTGAGTTGGTTCTGAAAATCCTGCTGAAAATGAGAAATTTTTCAGGTTGAATCAAGTTATAGTTTGCCGGAGAAAATCGAATCGGTTTACAAACCAACAAAACCACATGTTGAATTGAATCACTCGGCAAGAGATCAATTTTGGAATAAAATGAATGATGAGGAGAAAAAGTTGGTTTTTTGGGGGCGAAAATTGCTGAAAAATCAAAAATCCAATTTTCAGACGAGTTGCCGAGGAGAAATCCGCTCACCAAGCTCAACAAAAGCAATATGAAGCTGACAGGCAACGAACAGCTGCTGAAATTCAAAGTCAGGCTGAAAATTATCAACCTGAAAAGGTTACATCTGTATATAAACCAATTAAACCACATGTTGAGCTGAAATCATCAGAAAGAGAAGAATTTTGGAATAAAATGAATGAGGAGGAGAAAAAGTAAGTGGTTTTGGGTGAAAATTGATCGGAAACTTGAAAATTTACATGAAAAACGTTGTTGTTGCTCCAGGAGCCAAAAAAATGCTCAAAACTCTTTGGAAACCCTAAATTTTTTATCTGATGTTCTATTTTTCCCTTAAAATCCGGTTTTTCAAGCCTGGAATTCAAAAAAATTTTGAAAATATATTGAACATCTAGATTTCTTGGTTTGGAACCTAAAAAAATATTAAAAATGCTCCAAGACTCGAAAAATCACATTTTCCAGTCTTATCCTCAAAATCAACCTGAAATCCGATTTTCAGACGAGTTGCCGAAGAAAAATCCGCTCATCAAGCTCAACAAAAGCAATATGAAGCTGACCGGCAAAGAACAGCTGCTGAAATTCAAAGTCAGGCTGAAAATTATCAACCTGAAAAGGTTACATCTGTATATAAACCAATTAAACCGCATGTTGAGCTGAAATCATCAGAAAGAGAAGAATTTTGGAATAAAATGAATGAGGAGGAGAAAAAGTAAGTGGTTTTGGGTCTAAAACTTGAAAATTGATGAAAATTTGAATATTAAAGTCTAAGCCTTTCAAAATGACTGAAAATTGCTCAGCACTTGCAGATGTAGCTAAATCATATTTTGAGGGTTTTCGTAGCTGAACCGTAGAAATAATTTAAATCTCCAGCTAAATCGAAGCAGCAATTTAGCTTGGTGTTTCTGACCGATTTCTCAGCTAAAACACACATACGTTTTAGCTACGGTTTTTTGGCGCGCAAACATGTTTTCTTCGTTTTGTTTTGTTTTTCGACGAATTTCGTGGCCTAAAGTTCAGAAAAGTACTGATTACATATTATATCGTCTACGCGTCAATGTTTTATCAATGGAGAACGAGTAAGTTCATCTAAAAGTTACGTTTTACGTTGAATTTTTGCAGAAAAACAGTCAGTTTGTTGCGTTTCTCGAAAAAGTTGAAAGTGATGGCGAAATCTTCAATAAATTAGGTAATTCCAACAAATTTTCCAATATTCCACAATGTTTCTCAATTTACAGATGTCAATAACAAGAAAAAAGCCGGATGTCACGGATGTCGACCAATTTGGCTTCTAATAGGTTTTTGGGAAGTTAAACCGCCAAATGGAGTCGCAAAATGCACAAACACCACATCGTCATGTTTTGCCAGCCTACCGCCCTATTGGGAAATTGTAATTGCTGCTTTTCTATCCAATATTCGGCCGGTTCAGGATCCAGAAGCTATCAAACAACTGCGAGAAAAATAAGTGTTTCTGGTGAATAACTGGCTATAATTTCATATTCTTATGTTATTGTATGTTTCAATACGAATAAATGTTTTATATTTGCAAGTTTTCTAACTACGCCAAATACAGAAAGAAATCCGCATGAGCAGTATTTCGCAATAAACAGGAAAACAGTTTTCGTAGCTAAAACATGCGTGTGTGTTTCGTAGCTAAAACAGACTTCGGTGTGTGTTTGTAGCTAAACCGCACACTGTTCGTAAATAAAACGCAAGTGTCAAGGGCTGCGATCGGTTGAGCTATGAATTAGCTACATCTGCAAGTGCTGAGATGAATACTGTCGCGAAAAATCAAAGTTTTCTGCAAAATTTACAAAAAATTATATTTCTACTTCAAAAATTCTGAAATTTTTCTAAACAATTAACTTGAAATTTGAAAATGATGGTTTTTTTGGGTCTAAAACTCGAAAATTCGAATCCGACTTCAAAAATCCCAAATTTCCAGGCGAATTGCCGAGGAAAAGCGTGAAAATGAGGCGAAACAGCTGAAATTCGACGAAGAACGCAAAAGAACTGCAAATGAAATTCACGAAAAAATGGAAAATGGGCAATTCGAGAAGAAGGAAAAACCAGTGATAACTGGTGGATTGGTTGGAAGTCGAAAGGAGATTTTTGCCAGTAAAGGTGAGTTTTTGCGGGGTTTTGATGGGAAAAGTGCGAATTTTGAGGGCTTTTTGGTCTGGGAGGTGGAAAAATCAGGTTTTTTGATCCAAGAGCCATCTATCTCCAAAATCTAACAAATCCAAATTGTCTTCTGAAATCTCCCCAAAACCCCCTAGAATCTTTGCAGACCCTCTTCCCCTTCCAAAACCAATTGGATCAAATGGATCTTCTCCAACATCAACTTCAGCCAAAAAATGGCCGCCAGTCTCAACAAATCATCAAAATCAAGAGATTCGAGATGTTGTGAATCGCCAAGAAGCACAAAATGCTGCTCAGGAAATTCCACAAGAGCCGACTAAAGTTGCCTATGTTCCAGAGCCATTTGGTGAGTATTTTGGGGGTTTTTGAGATGGAAAAACCTATTCAAAATTATATTTTTTCCAGTTCAAAAACCGATTTCTGCACCAGTACCAGAATCGCAACCCACTTACGATGCCTACGAAGTTCCACCACAAGAACCCGAGCAACCACAATCGCCACCAACATTTTTACCACCGGCTCCAAAAGTTACGCCAACTCAACTTCCACCACCACCTTCACAGTTCAGCTCGCAATATGACACGCTACCCGAAGATTCGTGGGGCGATGAGCCAGAGGAGAAAATGCCGGCTCATATCTCGTCGCAATATGATTTGCCACCGCCGAGTTTTGAGCAACAGCCAGAGGAGCCGAAACAGAGCTGTGAGTTTCGGGGGATTTTTCATTGAAAATATTCGGAAAATCATGTATTTTAACCTAAAACACACCAATTTTGACCAAAAAATCAATATTTTCAGACACATCTACCACTATTACACCACCAAAAATCGATCAATACGATTTTCCACCGTCTGTGGAAGAGTCGTTGAAAGCGATGGCTTTGTGGGATTATCAGGCGGCTGATGATACCGAAATATCATTTGATCCTGATGATATTATTACCGATATTGATCAGGTATGGGAATTTTTGGGGGGAATTTGGACGTATGGGGCCAGAAAATTAGTGAAGAAAAACTTTGGCCCAAATTTTTCTTCACTAATTTTTGATATACCACTTTTGTGAATCTGATAAATCGATTTTTAATGAAAAAAATAAAAAAAAACATTGTGTTCTAATAATTTTCGACCCGCTGATCACAATTCCATTGTCAAAAATTGAAAATCTCAACTCCTAAGTGGCTTTGGGAGGTCAGAACTAGATTTCGAGATGGTTTCCATGAAAATCTGATAGCATATGGTTGTTCAGGAGGCTCGTTTACATATTTTCCTAGGTCTCGTGGTGAAAAAAGAGAAAATTCAGGCATTTTCCGCTTCAGGACCCAGGGAAAATCGATTTTTCGCCACGAGACCCAGGAAAATATGTAATCGAGCCTTCTAAACAACCCTATTCTATCAGATTTTCATGAAAACCATCTCGAAATCTATTCTGACCTCCCAAAGCCACTTTCAAAAAATAACTCATATTAGAAGTTTAGATTTGCAATTTTTGACAATGGAATTGTGATCAGCGGGTTGGAAAATACTAGAAAATATATATTTCATTAGAAATCCAGATTCCTTATAAGCTCATAAATTTTCAGAACAGCTTCTAGAAGCCTTCAAAAAGTTTCTCTAAAATTAAAAAAAAATCTAATTTTACAGGTTGACGAAGGTTGGTGGAAAGGAAAATCGCCAAATGGACAAATCGGCCTGTTCCCAGCAAATTATGTGAAATTATTGTGAAAAATTGCATTTTCCCCTTTTTATTTTAGTCCTTAGGTACCCCTTTCTGTTAAATCAAACCCCTTACAATCAAAATCCGGTCTAACATTTTTATTTTTGTGAAATTTTATTTATTGCTAACCTACTTACTTTTTTTCTTACCAAAGATTCACTTTTTATTTTTCCCAATAAATTATTGTTGCTCTGTGAGTTTTCTGAAGAAACGTGCGCCGTCCGTTTTTCGTCTAACTCTCTGCGTCTCTCATCTCTCTCTAGCTAGAAGCAGAAGCTTGACAACAACAAAAAATCCGAAATTTTGAGAAGAATTTTCATTTTTGATCTACATTTTTGCACCGCGCGAACGCTTTTTTCCGCAATTTTTTTCCTGAAAATCGATTTTTCTCGTCACTTTTTCGTGAAAAGCATCCAATGATGGAATTTTTCGGTTTTGCTCCACAAAAAATGGCTCAACGACATCCAAGTGTTGGCTGCGCGTCGATGGTCAGCGAAATGGAAGTTAAGGTAAGTCGCTAAGGGGTTCCCAGGTTGTCCGGGAGAACTACACGGAGTGCAATTGCGAAATTTCGCTAGTTTTCTAGTAAAAAGTGAATCTTCACGTAGTATTTGGCTTATCCAAGAGAACTACACTAAAAATTGGCGGGTTTCGAGAAAATTAGAATTTTTCGTTAGAATATCAGCTTTTCCGAGAGAACAACACGAAAAATTGGCGGGTTTCGAGAAAATTTGAATTTTTTCGTTAAAATATCAGCTTTTCCGAGAGAACTACACGAAAAAATGGCGGGTTTCGAGAAAATTTGAATTTTCGTGACGAAATTTGATTTTGTCCAAGAGAACTACACGAAAAAATGGCGATTCACTGACATTTTCGAATTTTACGTTAGAATTTCAGCTTTTCCGAGAGAACTACACGAAAAAATGGCGGGTTTCGAGAAAATTCGAATTTTTTCGTTAGAATATCAGCTTTTCCGAGAGAACTACACGAAAATTCTCCGAATTTCGAAGAAAACTAGCTCAAATCAAAGAATATTTCGGCGAGTTCAAAAAATGACCAGCAAAAAATGTTTCTGTACTTTTCGCCTCCTAAAAAGTCAACAAAAACCTTCGAGTTTTCGTACCCGATCTTCGTTTTTTGCGTAGGTGAAAGGTGAAAACAATGTTTTTGCTCTTCTTAGACCGCACAGCCAAAATTTGAAGGAAGAAAATTTTGTTTATTTAAAATGACGAGAAAAATTAGGCCGTGCCTCCTGTGGGAGAAAACAAATACGCCAAAAACATTCGTATATAAATATCGGACGAAAATTTCATTTTTCAAAATTAATTCTTCTTTTTTTTTGAGCATTTACGCTCTATTGATAAGACTTTCTTTGTATTTTGTGGCTATTAGTGTTTTGTTATCAAAATATGGACATAAAATGATGTTTGTGTACAAAACACTGTGTATTTTGTAGGTAGAATTGTATTTTGAGAAGAATTGGGGTAGCCGGGTTTTTCGTGCGAAAATTCGAATTTTGAGCTTCTCCGCCTCAAATTTACGTGACCTCTAGATTAAATTTTAATTTTTCTGGCTCATTTCCAACAAATCCTCCTCAAAAAATCATCTCTCAATCATTTATTTGCACTTTTCATTTCAACATTTATTTTCTGTTGTTCGGCCGAAAAGTCAGTTGTTATTTGAAAATTTGTCTATTTCTCTAACACTCTCTATCTATTGTTGACACGTTTAAAGGGATACCAGTTTTTGTATTTTTGTCATTTTTGAAAAGAAATATTTGCTAGTTGACCCGATAAAGATGGGAAAAGAAGTGAGTTTTTTTTTGCAAATGCGCTCCATTGAGAACAGATCACAATATTATTGTTGTTTGTGAGAAAAGGGGGTGATAGCGAATTTTTAATACACACATTTTCAATATCGATAAAAAACCACATGATAAGAAATGAAACAATCATTTTATTTCGTGTGTTGAAAAACATATACAATGAACGTTTCGTTTTCGACAAATTCTCTAGGAATTCCAGCGAATTCGAGTAGAAATAGATTGATGTCATTGAGAGAAAATACGAAGGTTGGTTGAGTTTTGAGCTGGGGAACGTTTTGATACCAAATAGCTATAGGAATTTGAATTTTTATATGAAAAAACATTATGTTCAATGAAGCGCACTTGCAATTTTCTGATTTTTTTTGTGAATGTTACTTGGCACGATCATTTTGATACCAAGTAGCTATATGAATTTGAAGTTTTGAGAGAAAGACCTTATGCTCAATGGAGCGCACTTGCAATTTTCTAATTTAGATACCATAATTCATAAGAACTAGTTTCGTTAGATCGAATTTGCTAAAAGGTCCCAAAAACCACGTGTTCCATAGGGCGCACAGGCCGATTTCTATATGAAAACGGGTGAATTCGCGAATTTTGGATGGAGATGACGAAAAATCGGAGCTACCATGCTGATTTTCGAAGAATAGCCGGATTCTCAATAGAGCGCACTTGAATATTCGCATAATCAACAAGATATAACCTACAAAACCACCCCCCTCCCCCAAAAAAAAACTTGAAAAATCTCACGAAAAGATTGTTCTTTGTAGTTTATAGGGTCATCTGACACGTGGTATCCTATAAAACATAAAACCTATCATCATCTCCCCTTGTGTTTCCCAAAGTATTGTTATTTTTGTTCTGCCAATCCCGCTTCTATCAAATTCCGGTTTCTCATCATCATCTTTATTGCGCATCACGCATCTTATCGGATTTTTTTGCGTCCACCAGAAAATTTCATTTTTATCTCGCGCCTTATTGTTTGGATCTTAATCTGGACACTTTTTTTTCTAGACTTAATCTATAATATAAAATGGTTCCACAACCAGTGCATCGTTTACATTCAATTGATCATAAAGCTGAGGAGGTAAAATATTGTCTAGGGTCCAAAAATAGAGAGTTAACTTAACTTGGGCCCCTCAAAAGTGCTGAAAACCCTAGAAATCTCCAAATTTACAGAGCTCTGAAGAATGGAAATCGTCAACGAAACGCGAAACATTGGGATCGCTCGAAGGCGAGTTGGCGAAACTCTTGTCAACATCCAGTGCCGAAAAATTGGAGTTGAATCGCACCGAATTGTCGGGATTCCGAAATTTGTTTGCGCGATTTTTGCGCGCCAAACCGACGGTCGATTGGCAGAAAATCGAACCATTGCCCGAGGGATCGATTCGACCGTATAAGAATGTGAGTTTTGAGAGGGAATTTGGGCGAGAAATTCGAACTATACGAAAATTCAATAGGAAAACTAGAAAACTTCATTATTCTGGGTACGAATTCATAAAAGTGGTGTACCAAAAATTAGTGAAGAAAATTTTTTGGTACGCATTATTGTTGAAAAATGTGGGAGCCATAAAAATAACAACCAGTGCACTTTACTTCGTCAGTCGCGTGCGGCTATGCGTCGCGGTCGGGAAACAAAGGAACAAATGATTTATTGTTTCCCGACCGCGACGCATAGCCGCACGCGACTGACGAAGTAAAGTGCACTGGTTGTTATTTTTCACGGCTCCCACATTTTTCAACAATAATGCGTACCAAAAAATTTTCTTCACTAATTTTTGGTACACCACTTTTATGAATTCGTACCCAGAATAATGAAGTTTTCTAGTTTTCCTATTGAATTTTCCTATAGTTGGAATTTCCCGCCAAAATCCCCAAATTGATGGGAGAAAACTGAAACTCGCTACAATTTAAGCCGAAAATCTGGTTTTTGAACGTTTTTCCTTTCAAATCAACTAAAAATGATAGAAATTCGAATAAAATTGGGAAAATGTCACGTTCACGTTTCGAAAAAACACTGAATTCCCCAATTTCCAGCTTACACCAGTCACCGATCGTGATTTGATCGCCGCCCAACTCAACAAATTGGTCGTCGTCAAACTCAATGGAGGATTGGGAACATCGATGGGATGTAAGGGGCCGAAATCTGTCATTTCCGTCAGAAACGACCTCACCTTCTTGGATTTGACGATGCAACAAATTCAGGTAGACTAGATTTCCCCAAAATAACAAAGAAAAGTGGAAAATTTTGCAGACACTCAACAAAACGTATGGAGTTGATGTTCCATTGGTTTTGATGAATTCGTTCAACACCAACGAAGATACTGAAAAAGTGTTGCGCAAATATGCAAATGTCAAAGTCAGTGTTCACACTTTCTCACAATCGCAATACCCAAGAATCAATCGTGAAACTTTGATGCCAATTGTTAAGAGTTTGGAGGGAGAGGATAATGAATGGTGAGTTTTTTCTCTACATTTTGATATGAAATTTGTCAAGCTTGGGGGTGTTTTAATGCGAAAATGCGAAATTTTGAAATTTTTCGAAAAAAAAAATGAAAAATAATCCGAGAGAAGTACACGTCGCGGCGAGACCCGTGTGAAAAAATATGTGCGCCTTGATTTTTTATTTTCAATTTTTTTTCGAAAATTTTCAAATTTTCGGTTGTTTTGAGGGATCACGTATTTTCAATCGAGGAAATTGCTGAAAAACCTACGGTGCGAACCCCTACGTGTGTGGTGCATTTGTGCGTCAGCGTGTTTGCACACAAAATATCTCTGCGCAATAGCGTCTCTCTTTTTCGCACGCTCTCTCTTAAAGGAAATTTTTTCAAAAAAGCAATAGGGTCCCGTCACGAATACCGCGAGAAAAAAGTTACACTAAATCCACCACTCGAACCTTATTTCGATGCAGTTTTTTACGTAGATTCTAATGGTGTATATAACTTTTCATATGGTTCAGCCAATCTGAGTTTTTCCATTACAAACGGTTCATGTCCCTTTAAACTGGCGTTGCCGTTTTTTCTTCAGAAAAAAAATGCGTGGGATTTCGGGGTTGAATAGGAAGTTTAAATGCATAGGATTTTGTGCAAACTGATTTTACATATTTTAAAGTTATTTCCAGAAATTTTCAAGTCTGAAAAATAATTGAAAAAACGTTTTTCTATAAATTGAATTTTCAGCTGGTATCCACCTGGTCATGGTAACTTCTACGAGGCTTTCCACAACTCGGGACTTTTGGACAAATTCTTGGCCGATGGAAAAGAATATTGTTTCCTATCCAATATCGATAACATGGGAGCCACAGTCGATTTGCAAATCCTGAATTTCGTGCTCAACCCAACCGCCGGACAAGTTCAGCCCGAATTCTTGATGGAAGTCACCAACAAAACACGTGCTGATGTCAAAGGAGGAACTTTGATTCAATACGAAGGACGGCTTATGTTATTGGAAATTGCTCAAGTGCCAAAAGATTATGTGGATGAGTTCAAATCGATTAGCAAATTCCGTATTTTTAATACAAATAATTTGTGGGCGAAATTGGATGCGATGAAACGAGTTGTGAAGGAGAATCAATTGGAGATGGAGGTGAGTCTTTTTTGTCAAACACACGGGAAAATCTTTTTTTTTACAAAAATCCCATTTTCCAGGTTATCGTAAATCCAAAACACTTGGATCGTGGACTCGATGTAATTCAACTCGAAACAGCCGCCGGTGCCGCAATCAAATCATTCCGCGGTGCAGTTGGTATCAATGTTCCGCGAGCACGTTTCCTTCCAGTCAAGAAAACCTCGGATCTTTTGCTTTTGATGTCAAATTTATACGATATCGATAATGGAAGTCTGACACTTTCACATCAAAGATCATTCCCATCAACACCATTGGTCAAACTTGGTTCATCATTCGATAAAGTCAAAGATTATTTGGCAAGATTCAACGGATCGCCCGATCTTCTCGAACTCGATCATTTGACGGTTTCCGGTGATGTTTGGTTTGGAAAAGATGTGTCATTGCGAGGAACTGTTATTATAATTGCGAATCATGGTGAAAGAATTGATATTCCGCCTGGAAGTATTCTTGAAAATAAGATTGTTTCGGGAAATTTGAGAATTTTGGAACATTAATTATGTATACTCGGGACTTTTTTTAATTTGATTTTTTTGATTGCCATTTTTAATTGAGAGATGAATTTATTGCCTTTTGAATTTGTTTTTTTTCTTTGAACGATCTCCAGAAAATTTGAGAACTTCAAGTAGTTCCAGAGAGTTTTCAGCCATTTTTCATAGAAGTGAAGGTTCAAAAACTGATATTTTCAGATTTTTCATAGAGTTTGAATTGATATAATTCTTCAAAGAATCTTCAACACAAAAATCTAGCTCTGAAATCGACGTTGAAAACTTATTTTTCCTATTTTTTGAAGCGCGCGTGATACGGTACACATTTCTGCAAACACGTTGACGAAAAATTGCACACATTTTAGTGAGACGTCATCATTTTTGTTTTTTCGAATGCTGTGACGTGGAACGTGTGACGTGGCAGCCGTGTCCTATTTATTTTCGTCTATAAAATGAATCAGTCTGACGGGTTTTGCCATTTTGCAACCAACACCGATTTGAAATATTCCAAAAGGGCATCAGAGAAATTATGATGAGATGTTCAATTGTCATCATTTTGATCTATGCTTTCATTATCGCTGTAAATGCTAAAAAGAATACTCCAACTTGTCAACCACAACAACAAAATCCGAAGTTGAAAGACGTGAATGTTCCGCGGACACTTTTGTTGTTTACTATTGGTTATGATGCATCTGACGCAGATGTAAGTTTTCCAGGAAATTATACAAAGAAAACTAAAAGAAAATTTGTAGAGGGAAAAGATGACATTTGTTGTTCGACAAACTGCTTGCTGGGTTCCACAACATGCAAATATAACTTCTGGCTACTATTTTATTCCACACAGCTCGGTGATTGACAATAGAGAACTTAAGAACATAGTGGACAAAATATCTGAGAATTCAAAAAGTAAGAACTTTTCAAAAAATTCAATATGAACATATTTATTGCAGAAACTGATAAGGTATCATGCGAAAAATTTGAGGAAAGTCTCAAAAAATTAAAAGATGATAGCGCCGTGGGGAACTATGACAGCATCAAAGTCATTGGACACATGGGAAAAATCGCAGACGATTGTGATTATGCTCTCCAATGGAAAAATGCACAACTCGATTCGAAATTCGAATTCTTCATGATTCGATTCGACAACAAGAAAGATCCTGGGATCATTTCATTGAATTATGAAAATGTTGCTAGTATCGATGTATCTCGTAAGTTTCAATCATCTATTTAATTTTCCATAAAATATTCTCGCGTTTACAGAAACATCCCCTCCTGCTGAACTCAAAAACGTCACTGGCACATTGTAAGTTGAAATTTCGAAATTCTGGAATCTCAAAATCAATATCAATTTTTCCAGCATGAATTATGTTCTTGGCGCTGAAACACCACCAAAAGCTGTCAAAACCGAAGATGAGTTCCAGTTTCCTGATTGGGCCTATATTGTGATTGTTGCTGTTGTTCTTGTTCTTTTAATTGCTGCAGCACTTCTCTTTTGCTATTGCAAAAAGAAGCTCTGCTTCAAGAAAAAGAATAAAGGTGAATATTTTATTGGTGAAAAATTTAGCTAATGTTTTTGTTTTTTCAGATTCCAACTCTAATAAGCCACAAATAGTTATTGGCACCAGCAAACCGGCACCAGCTGCTACAGCTGTAACTGCTTCAGCATCGGGAACAGCTTCTCCAGCCGCCGGACCTGTTGCAAACCCAGTTGTTCCTACTCCAGTTGTTGCTGCTCCTCCGGTCCCTGCTGGTGCGCCACCACCTGCAGCTGCTCCGGTCCCTGCTGATGCGCCACCACCTGCAGCTGCTGAACCAAGTGCCAGCGGTAAGTTTTTTCTCAGTTGACAAGGGTGTTTTTTTTTTTTTTGCGCGAATTCAAAATTTTGGCGAAGGTCCCAGAACTTCAGAGCGGGCCCGATCTTTTGAGAAAATCAGATTTTGTCGTCTTACTCCTCATTTTTATTTTCATTTAGATCGATGCGTTGATCGAAGCAATGTTTTACGAGAGGATCCATCACTTGGTTTTCTTGATCTCCATACGGTTGACACAACCGGCAGCGGCGGAAACAAAGGAGATCATGGTAATGAAAAAGACAAGAAAAAATGATCGGCCGGAATCCTTCACCTACCCCCATACTCGCTTTATTCTAAATCTTTGATACTCGCATCCACAATCTGTATTTCTCGCTTTTTTTTGTATTCGATTGATGGGTAATGAAGAATTTGTATTTTTGCGTTCTAAAATCACGAATTTGGCTGGAATTTTGAATTCAGGCAAATTTTGAGAATTTAAAAATTTAAATTATTCAAAAAAAAATTGACGATAGGTTCCCCTGTGCGAGAACCCGTAAATTTCAGCCAAATATCGATTTTTGATTGAAATTTTCAAATTCACAGTCGTACGAATAAAATCCTTTTTTCAAATAGCCGCGAGTGCACACAGTACACGCCAACGTCAAAGCACTGGCGCGTTTGTGGTGCGCCTTTTCGGTTTTTACTTTCATTTTTCAAGTTTTCGAAGAGGTTTGGGTTTTTTTTCCTTGTTTTTGTAGATTTGTATAGTTTGTTTTGTCTCTGGGCGGTCTTAAACCGTCCCAATCTTGTTATAGAATGATTTGCGATCAATAAATCGGTTGCTTTTCATACTCTCGTTGTATTTATTGTTTGTAAAGAGTGGTTTTTATCCACTAGAATCTTTTGTCATTTTTCAATTATCCTTAATCTCTCGTGGATGTTTTGCTTGATTTTCTTCCGAAAATTTCAGCCAAAAATCAAATTTTGGTTGAAATTTTCGGGTTCTCGCGCAGGGGAACCTATCGTCAATTTTTTTTTTTGAAAAATTCAAATTTGAAACTGAAACACTAATCAAAATTTAAGAAGCTTCCGCCTGAATCTGAAAATTTCAGCCAAAAATAAAATTTTGGCTGAAATTTTCGGGTTCTCGCACGGGGGAACCTATCGTCAATTTTTTTTTTGAAAAATTCGAATTTGAAACTGAAACACTAATCAAAATTTAAGAAGCTTCCGCCTGAATCTGAAAATTTCAGCCAAAAATCAAATTTTGGTGGAAATTTTCGGGTTCTCGCACAGGGGAACCTATCGTCAATTTTTTTTTTTGAAAAATTCAAATTTGAAACTGAAAAATTAATCAAAATTGAGAAAGCTTCTGCCTGAACCTCAAAATTTCAGCCAAAAATCAAATTTTGGTGGAAATTTTCGGGTTCTCGCGCAGGGGAACCTATCGTCAATTTTTTTCTCGATTTTCGCTGAACACAAAAAAGTTTATCGATCGATTCATAGAAGCATATAAAAGCAATTAAAGCGTTGTCAATGAGTTAATTAATTAATTTTTGTCTCGTTGTATTAATATTCGTCCCCTTCTTCACCATTATCCTCCAAACTATCAACTCCAACCTCTTCATAATCTTTCTCCAAAGCCGCTAAATCTTCACGAGCTTCTGAGAATTCTCCTTCTTCCATACCTTCTCCAACGTACCTGGAAAGGGATTTTCTGTTTGGTGCCGAAAACTTTTTCCTAACTCACCAATGCACAAACGCTCTCTTGGCATACATCAAATCGAATTTGTGATCTAGTCTAGCCCAGGCTTCAGCAATCGCAGTTGTATTCGACAACATGCATACAGCTCGTGGAACTTTGGCCAAGTCTCCGCCCGGCACTACAGTAGGTGGCTGGTAGTTGATGCCGACTTTGAAACCGGTTGGACACCAGTCGACGAATTGAATGCTTCGCTTGGTTTTGATGGTGGCGATGGCGGCGTTGACGTCTTTTGGAACGACGTCACCGCGGAAGAGAAGGCAGACGGCCTGAGGAAAACATTTACTGTGAGGTATATTGTCGAAATTGAAAAATGTGGCCGCCGTAAAAATGAAAATCAGTGCTGGACTTCGTCAGTCGCGTGCGGCTGTGCGGCGCGGCCCGAAAACAATGATTCATTTTCTTCCCTTCTTTTCCGACCGCGCCGCACAACCGCACGCGACTGACGAAGTCCAGTTGTTTTCATTCATTCAGTTGGTTTTCACTTTTTACGGCGGCCACATTTTTCAATTTCGACAATAGTTGGGCATCGACTAAATGACATTTTCAAGTTTTTTAAGAAACTCAGTTGAAATATTGGGTTTTAATGTTATTCATAGGATATAATAGTCTAAGACGAACAGAATGATATAAATTTTGATGACTTTACGTTATCCATAAGTGATTTAGCGACGTTTAATCGATCGACTCGGCTTATCGACTAAACCTCGTTAAATCACCTATGGATAACGTAAAGTCATCAAAATTTATATCATTCTGTTCGTCTTAGACCATTATGATTCATATAATGAATAGACTCTAGCAGCCCCAACTCACCATATATTTTCCATGTCTCGGATCGCACTTCACCATCTGATTATGCGGCTCAAAACACATATTCGTGATCTCGGCCACCGACAATTGCTCATGATACGCCTTTTCGGCCGAAATAACCGGCGAAAAAGTGGCGAGTGGGAAATGAATTCGGGGATATGGCACAAGATTGGTCTGGAATTCAGTGAGATCCACATTCAAGGCTCCATCGAATCGCAGTGATGCTGTGATTGAGGAAACAATCTGGCCGATGAGGCGGTTCAAGTTCGTGTAACTAGGACGTTCAATATCCAAATTGCGTCTACAGATGTCATAGATCGCTTCGTTGTCAACCATAAATGAGCAATCTGAGTGCTCCAAAGTTGTATGAGTTGTCAAAATCGAATTATAAGGTTCAACAACTGCTGTCGAAACTTGGGGAGCTGGATAAATCGAGAATTCCAGTTTCGCCTTCTTCCCATAATCCACTGATAATCTTTCCATCAAAAGTGAGGTGAATCCACTTCCAGTTCCACCGCCAAACGAATGGAAAACAAGGAATCCTTGAAGTCCCGTGCAATTATCAGCCAATCTACGGATTCGATCCAAGGTTAGATCGATGATCTCTTTTCCGATGGTGTAATGTCCACGAGCGTAGTTGTTTGCCGCATCTTCTTTACCGGTGATTAATTGTTCCGGATGGAAAAGGGAGCGGTAGGTGCCGGTGCGGATTTCGTCTGCAAATATGGTACGGAGTGGACTTTTGGTCCGTTGGGAGGTGTTAGCCCAAAAATCTAGATTTTACTTGAAAGTTAATTGGACTTGGGCTAATTTTTCATGTCCGCAAAAATCCAACGCTTAAAATTGGTCCAGGCTTAAAATTAATATCCGAGAAAACTTGAAAGGGCTCAAATTTGACGCTAAACATGCTCCTAACCCTAAAATTTACTCTAAATTTGACTCTAGGCTTAAAATTCATTCCAGCTTACAGTATAGGCTTTAAAAAGTTCCTAAAATCCATGCTAGGCTTATAATTAGGCCCGAAATCTTTCCTGGGCTCAAATTTATCCCCGAAATTCATTTTAGGGCTGTTTTTTACCCTAGAACCAATAATCGGCCTAAAATTGAGCCCAAAACTATCACCAGGCTCAAAAAAGGCCTCTAAACCTTCCTCTGGGCTCAAATTCACCCCAAAATCTTTCCCTGACTCATTTTCCCTTCAATTTCCCTCCCAAAATGCTCCAAATTTTTGTGCTGCTCGGCAAACATCAATTTCGAATTCTACTGCTTCTGCTCCTCATCTCATTTATTTTCCATTAAAGTGCAAAAACCCGGCTCCGGCCGGCTCTTTTTTCTGTTCTTTTTTTTTCAAAAAAAAAAAAGAGGACGAGAGAAAACTAATTACATTCTAACCCAAAAAAGCTGAGAAGCCGAAAAAACATTTTTTTTTTTTTCGGCGCGCAATTTTTTGATCTACCCATAAAAAGCATAAAAAGTACAAAGATACATATATAACATAAGATATAAATATTTTTCAATGAATTTTTGAGAAGATCCTCGCCAAAAACTGAGACAAGGAAAAGTCATGAATAACAAATATGAGGGCTTGGGAACTTTTTGGGATGATTTTTGATGCCCGGGATTGGATCGGGGGTGAAAAATGAGCCCGGGGTCGATTTTTTTGAGCCCAGGAAGTTTTCCATGGTACATTTTGGGTCTAGGAACCTTTCAGAGATAGAATTCAGGCCTAAGGGCCTTTTTGGGGTGATTTTTGAGGCCGGAGTCGATTCTGGGGTAAAATTTAGGCCTAGAATCGATTTTGGGAGCCTTTTTAGGCCCAGGAAGTTTTCCATGACTAATTTTAGGCCTAGAGTCGATTTTTGAAGCCTTTTTAGGCCCAGGAAGTTTTCCATGGCAAATTTTAGGCCTAGAGTCGATTTTTGAAGCCTTTTCGAGCCCAGGAACCTCCCCGAATTCAAAAAAAAATGTCCTACCAATAACAGTCGGCTCCAAATCGACCATAACAGCTCGTGGAACATGTCTTCCGGATCCGGTTTCCGAGAAAAACGTCGAAAATGAGTCGTCGGAACCGCCGAGCGATTTGTCCGAAGGCATTTGACCGTCGGGTTGGATTCCTGGAATTTGAATTTGGGGCTCGCTGGCTTCTCTGGACTCTCTCGAAATTTTACGCTCTCTATGCAAGCCCCTCTGCGTCTCTAGCTTCTCTAGACCCTCTCGTTATCTAGTGTTCTCTAACTTCTCTGCACTCTCTCTCTCTCTCACTTCCTCTCCTTCTCTAACCCCCTTCCTCTAGCCGTCTGCCGCACTCACCATGCTCCAAACAATACAACTCCCAACACGCATTTCCGATCTGAACACCGGCTTGTCCAATATGAATCGAAATCACCTCTCTCTGCAAAAAAGATAGGGATTTAGGGCCTAAATCGGGCCTGAAAATCGGGCCTAAAAAGGCCTGAAAATCGGGTCTGAAACGGCCTAAAAAGGTCCGAAAATCGGGATTTTTGGCCCCGTATTCCTAACGGAAATGTTGTTGTTGTTGTTGGTTCACGCCTCAACAAATTCAAAACCTAAACAGGTGTGTTACCGGAAACCGGAAATGCTGCCCCGAGAGTTAGCCGAAATCATTTGGAGCGTATTTGAATTGGGGGGAGAAGAAATTCAGTGGGATGGAAAATCAGTGATCTACCAGGAGTACTGTAGCTACAGTAATTTTTTTAGATCTTCAGAATTTTTCAGCCAAACATTTTTGATCTACAGTATCTCTACAGTAACCCTACAATTCTCAAGTGGCACAATTTTTTGATCTTCCAGATTTTTTCGTTTCTACAGTACTCTTATTTCTGAGAAATGTGAAAGCTACAGTACCTCTACAGTAATCAATGCAAATTTATTTAGAAATGCCTACAGTACTTCTTCTACAGTAACCCCTACAATTCTCAAGGTGCACAATTTTTTGATCTACAAGATTTTTTGGAACTTTTTTTCAAAATTACTGTAAGAAATTCGAAAGTTCATCTATCAACACCAAATTTTTGCACATTTTTCAAATTTTTTTTCCAAAAAATCACCCAAGGGACCCTTTTCAAAAAAAAACGAACCATTTTTCGCGGCCAAACAGAAAAATTCGCAGAGAGTTAGTCTAAGTCTGAAGAAAAGAGGAGAAAATAAGTAGCAAAAATAGAGGGCTCCGCCCCTCCATTCTTCTCTGCACACTCTCTCATTTTCATGTGCTCTTTTCTCTCCAAAAAAAAAGTGTGAAGGGTCATTTTTGGAGCACAAAAAAAAAAAACATTTTCGGGAGAAAATTGAGCCAGAAAAAGTTTATTTTTGGGTGAGGAAAATGAAAGTTTTTGTGTGGGGAAAAAACGAGAAGAAATTTGGAAATTTGAATTTTTGAGGGATTTTTTCTCATCATTTTTGAGCGCAAAATGCTCAAAATTCTACGTGGATTTCGAAATTTTCAGTTTTAGCTCAAAATTTGGAGCATTTTGAGCTCAAATATAGTTTAGTTTGGGCTCGAAATGCTCTCAATTTTGAGCTGAAACTGAAAAATCTGAAATCAACGTGGTTTTGGAGCATTTTTTTAGCTCGAAATGCTCCAAATTCCACGTGGTTTTCAAATTTTTCAGTTTCAGCCAAATTTTCTGAAAATTTCAAATTTTATGGAAAAAAATAATTAAATTTTTTTCTTGAATTTTTTTATAGTTAATATGAGCAATGTAAAGATTGGCTTAGACTTTACCAGAAAATTTTCAGATTTAAAAATTAACATGAGCAATGCTCATATTTGGGCTCAAAATGCTCCAAATTCCACGTGGATTTCACATTTTTCAATTTCAGCCAAATTTTCTGAAAATTTCAAGAGTAACTATCTAATATGAGCAATCTCAAAAAATAATTAATTTTTTTTTCTTCAATTTTTTAAAAGTTGACATGAGCAATAGTTAGGTTGTCTTGGACTTTTCCAGAAAATTTTCAGATCAAAAAATTAATATGAGCAATGCTCATATTTGGGCTCAAAATGCTCCAAATTCTACGTGGTTTTTAAATTTTTCAATTTCAGCCAAAAAATCTGAAAATTTCAAACGTAACTATCTAATATGAGCAATCTCAAAAATAATTAATTTTTTTTCTTGAATTTTTTAAAAGTTAATATGAGCAATGTAAAGATTGTCTTAGACTTGTCCAGAAAATTTTCAGGTCAAAAATTAATATGAGCAATGATCAAATTTGGGCTCGATTTTGCGATTTCAGCCAAAAAATTCTGAAAATTTCAAGAGTAACTATCTAATATGAGCAATCTAAAAAAATAATTGAAAAACAATTTTTTTCAGTTAATATGAGCAATGTTTGTCTTCGGCTTTTCCAGAAAATTTTCAGATTTAAAAAATCAACATGAGCAATGCCCCAGTTTGGAATCAAAATGCTCCAAATACCACGTGGAATCTGAAATTTTTAAATCCAGCTCAAATATAAGCATGTTCGAGCTCAAAATGCTCCAAATTCAAAGCTCATTCTGAAAATTTCAGATTCCACGTAAATATTTGAGCATTTTGAGCCGAAAATCGGGCTCAAAACCTGCATGTTCCTTTAAAAAGTGCACCAATTTCACCATTTCCCATTTCCAATGTGCGCCAATTCCAAAACAAACAAAAAAATATCGAATTTCGCGCTTGCCCACTACAGTATGCCCTTTTTGGTCCTCCTCCCATGAAAAAAGCGAGAGAGAGAGAGAGAGAGTGTGGATTTTGGAGAGACGCAGAGAACAGGGGGGTATTGTTTTACACATTTTTCCATTTTCGCGCACCAGAAGAAGCTCGAGCTGAATCTAATGCATTTTTGCTCAGTTTCGGCAGCTCTCCAAAAAATATTTTCTCTATTTTTCTATCATTTTAGTATTTATGGCACATTTTTGGGATAAGCTGTGGGATGATCAAAAAATTTATGGAATTTTTGATGAGTTTTGGGCAAGGGGTCCGTATGTTTTTTGAGGGAATCGGGGGTTTTGAGCTCGCATTTTGAAGGAAAATGCTCCAAATTCCATGTGGAATCTGAAATCTTCAGTTTCAGCTCAGAATTTGGAGCATTTTGAGCCCGAATTTGATCTGAAAATGCTCCAAATTCCTCGTGGATTAGGATTTTCCGAATTCACGTGGTTTCTGAAGCATTTTGAGCCTAAACATAGTGATGTTTGGGCTCAAAATGCTCCAAATTCCACGGGGATTCTGAAAATTTCAGTTTTAACTCAAAATTTGAAGCATTTTGAGCCCAAACACCATCATTTTTAGGCTCAAAATGTTCCAAATTCCACGTGGAATCTGAAAATTCCGGAATCCACGTTGAATTTGGAGCATTTTGAGCTAAAATGCATCAAATTTCAAGCTGAAGCTAGAAATTTAGAAAGTCACGTGAAATTCGGAGCATTTTGAGATCAAACATCATCATGTTTTGGCTCAAAATGCTTCAAATTCCACGTGGAATCTGAAACTGTTACTTTCAGCTTGAAATTTGGAGCATTTTGAGCCCAAAAACCACCATGTTTAGGCTCAAAATGCTCCGAATTCCACGTGGATTCTGAAAATTTTGGAATCTACGAGGAATTTGGAGCATTTTGAAATCAAACACCATCATTTTTGGACTCAAAATGCTCCAAATTCCACATGGAATCTGAAATCTTCAGTTTCAGCTCAGGAATTGGAGCATTTTGAGCCCGAATTTGATCGGAAGCTAGTAATTTTGAAATCCACGTGTAATTAGGAGCATTTTGAGCCCAAACACCATCATATTTGGGCTCAAAATGCTCCAAATCCCCTTCCAAACCAAACGACACTCCGCACAATTCCGACAGGCGTCTTCAATAAAACGAGTACGCCTGATTTTGAAGCGTTTGCCTATTCGTTGTTGATGAAGCCTAACGGGATGAGTCTGCGAAATTTTTTCTGAAAATTTGCGATTTTCAGCCGTGTTTTTTCTTTCTTCAACAAAGTTCATCATCATTCAGCAAAGTTCAGTGAAATTCAGGTTTAGAAGCAGGTATTTTGAATTTTCTCCACACAATTCTCATCGTTGCTGATCGAACAGACGCAATTTGTCAAACGATGGCAGAACGAGTCTGCAAAAAAGCGCGCGTGGCTCAGTGGTAGAGTTCTGGATTGCCAATTGGGAGACCCAGGTTCGGGTTTTGCTCCCGGCAAACTTTTTTTCATTTTTTTCAAAATATTTTTCATGTTCTTCAAAAATTCTCATAAATTATTCAAAATCACCTGATAGAGGGTGTTTTAATGAAAAATTCATGGAAAAAACGAATTTTCTCATAAAATTTCTATTTTTCAGTGAAAAATCAAAGTTCTAGATAATTTTCGACAAAAAATGCAAAAAACTCACTTGTTGGATTGTATCGATCTCTCAAAATGCACTGACTGCACGCACTTTTGATGCAGAACATGTGTTCGGGATGGCAGAATTGTTCGATGGAATTGTGGGTGCAACCGATGTTCACACCTGGAAAATCATGAATTTTGGATGGAAAAATCAATCGTTTCACCGGAAATTAGCCTAACTATGTGTAAAATTCAAGAAAAACGAGCGATTTCGAGGAAAAATTCAAATTTCCTCCTCCGCACACAAAACACGCCAGCTGCAAAACACTGGCGCGTTTCGAGTTTCGCTGGCGCTTCCTCGGTTTTTTTTTATTTTTTTGTTTTTTTCAGTTTTTTTGGGGGTTTTCGGCGTTTTTCGGGTGAAAATTGTGTTGTCTCTAAGCTTTTTGGCTCGAGAATCGGGAAAACTTGGATTTCCAGAGGAAAACGGGTGGAAAAATCTGATTTTTCAAGGGGGATTTGATGTTTTAGGTAAAATCTTGGTTTTGGAATGTGGTGCTTAGATTTAGGACTGATAAAGGGCTTAGGGGCACAAAATCATTATATTTAGTTGAGCTTAAGCCATGATTTATGCTTAGAATCAGAGTTCTGACTTAAATTTCAGCTTTTTCGGGAAAACTGGTTGGCAGTTTATCTTAGGCTTAATTTTGAGAACTATAACGTTAGGCTTGAGCCTTGATTTAGGCCTAAGATCAATTTTCAGGCCCAAATTTTCTTCTCAAAAATTATTTTAGGCTAAAAATTAGATTTTCCTTGAAAAATTCATTTTTCAACGTTTTTTTTCGTATAAAACGTGAACTTCTCCACGTGGCAATTAGAAACCCCTCATTTTCTCGATGATTTCAAAGTTAGCCCAACTCACCAATAAGTGGACTTTGTGGAATGGCCAAACTCGCTCCAGCCAAGCAAAAAACGACGAACACGACAATCTTTGAACCCAGCATTGTTTCGAGACTGCAAAAATGTCTAATTTTCGCGTTTTCGAAGAAGCAAAAACGGGCGGGAAAATGAGTTTTTAATAGGTTTGAACTCTTCGACATTTCTTTCTTTCTCAGCTTTTGTCTGAAAATGAATAGAAAAGTCTGTGAATGGAACTAATTTGCATACATACGTAGGTAAATCTATGTGTTTTTTTTTCGTGGTATAAGCAATTTCCGGCCGCTAAATAACATGCCGTGTGAAAAAAATGGCGGAGAAAGATGATATTTTCGGCTTGTACACGGATCAGTGGGTTTTTTGAATGAACATTTGTGGCTAGTAAACAGAATAGGGGACTAGGTTTCGCATTGTTGTGAAATCTAGTCCCCGTGTGAAAAATCCTAGTCTCTGCTTGGTTTGAAGCAGTTTTGCTCAGAATTCCACGTTGGATCTGAAAATCCCGGTATTAACCTGAAATCTAGAGAATTTGAAACGTTTGGTTTCGAAATTCTCCAAATTTTCAGGTGAAATCAGGATTTTCAGATTCCACGTGGCATTTTGAGCATCTCAAGCTTCTTCAACAACCCGGGGACTAGTTTGTCTATCAGCAAAAGCTAGTCCTCCGGAAAATTTCAAAAAATTTTCCCGATTTTTAAAGCGTAAACCTCAAAAACCAGAGTCGAAAACTGAGACAATTGTTCGGTTTTTTCGACAAAAAACGAATTTCTTTTTGCTCCAACGAACAAAAAACTAGAAGAAATTCATGAATAAGTTATGGTTTAGACCTTGACACAGAAAAAAATGCGTTTTGAGTAAATTAGAACCTATTTCTATTTATTTTTGGAAACTTTTCACCTGCGTTGAGCAGAGAAACCGCTGAAATTTGCTTCGAATTTCATGCTGAAAAGGTGGTTTTCAGATTCCATGTGGAATTTGGAGCAATTTGAGCCCAAACTTGCTCATTTTTGGGCTCAAGATGCTCCAAATTCCACGTGGATTCTAGATATCCAATTTTCAACCTGAAATTTGATATCAAACATGAGCATTTTTGGGCTCAAATGTCTGGCTGAAAATCAGATTTTCAGAATCCACTTGGGATTTGGAGCATTTTGATCCAAAGCTTGCTCATGTTTGGGCTCAAAGTGTTCTAAATTCGAAGCTGAAGCTGTTGACATAAAAATGCTCCGAATCAGAATTCAACTTATAAATAGTGTCTTTCATTTTCAGAAAAAAAACACCTGCCCTGAGCTAAGAAATGAGCTCTGCTTTCCCTTTTTAAACCCGAAAAATGTGCAATTTCTAAGGTGGCTCCGCCCATTTTCGCGACGCGGTGCGGACAAATCCAATCTATTTCAATTCGAATCTCACATAAAAATGTGCACATAAAAATTTGTAGGTATTCAAGAGCTCAACCTACCGTAGCTTCGCTATTTTTGCTCCGCGAGCTCGAAAACACATCATTTTGTATTGTTGAGAGCAAAAAAAGAGAAGAAAAAATGTTTCTAGGAACTAATCAACTCTTTTTATGTGACAAGTTATGATTATGAGAAAAAACACGTTTGGTGTGAATATACGTTAATTATCAGAGAGTTTATCAAAAGTTCTTGGGAGTTCTCGTGATTTTCAGAGAATTTCTCGAATTGCACGTGTCATTTCGAGCATTTTGAGCCCAAATTCACTTGTGTTTGGGCTCAAAATGCTCCGAATATTGAGCAGAAAATTCTGAAAAATTCAAAAATTTATTACACATCGAGTTATCATCATCATTTTTTGATTATTTATACAATTTTGATCCCGGCCACCTCCATATTCATACCAGAAATCAGAGCGGATAGATTTAGTTGAACTTGAACACCGCCACCTTCAGCCAAAACTGTCAATTGTTCGGGTTGTTCCAATGAATTTTGTTCGGTTAGCGATTCAGACATCTGGAAGGATTAGATTTTCATTAAAATTCGTGTGCATTTTTCTGAAGAGCTCAATTTTTGGAGCATTTTGAGCTATTTTGAATCTCGAAAATTCGAAATTTTCATCAAAAATTGTATTTTTCAATAGAGCGCATTTAGAAAAATTTCAGAATTTTTTATTACAAAGCGTGATTCTCAATAGAGTGCTATTTTCTATATTTCGAACCAAAAACCTGAACTTTGAGTCCAAATATGAGGGCTTCTGGCTCAAAATGCTCCAGAAACCTGGCTGAAATTAGAATTTCCAGATTCCACGTGGAATTTGGAGCATTTTGAGCTCAAACTTGCTCGTTTTTTTGTTTTTTGGTTCGAATTATGAAAAATAGCAAGTACGCTCTGTTGAGAATCACATTTTGTAATGAAAAATTCTATAATTTTTCTGAATGAGCTCTAATGAAAAATGCAATTTTTGTTGAAAATTTCAAATTTCGGGCGCAAAATGCTCCAAATTCTCTGCTGAAAATGAAAAATCTGAGATCCACGTGGAATTCGGAGCATTTTGAGCACAAAAACCTTCGTGTTTGGGCTCAAAATGCCATGTGGATTCTGAACTCACAGTAGAAATATCGCAATGTTGTAGAGGTGGAATATGATCTCGGCAAGTGTGATTTTCTCCGGGCGAAACCATTTCTGAAGTGGCGAGCGACTGAAAATGCGCAAAATTTGGAGCATTTTGAGCTCAGCTCACAAAAAAAACTCACCGGCTCATTTCCAGTATAACTCGAAAGTGTACAATTGGACTCGGTGTCCGATAATAATTGCTCCAAATTGCCACGTGGCAAATAGATGAGTTTGGCTTTTGGACGTGGGATGCGTGAAGTGTAGTTGGATAGATTTGTAGTGGTGGCGAGAGAACCGGTGACGGATGATGAGGAACGAGTTCCTGCAAAAATTTGGAGCATTTTGAGCCCGAACATGACTAGTTTCGGACCAAAATCGAAATTTTCAGATGCCACGTGGAATTTGGAGCATTTTGAGCTTAAACATGACATTTTTTGTACTCAAAATGCTCCAATTTCACAAAGTTTCTGAAAAATCTGAAATCCACGTGGAATTTCGAGCCCAAATTGCTCACCTTTCTGCAAAACCGGAATTCTCGACGGCGAAACCTGCTTCTCTTCCGCTTCCGGAATCTCGCAATCCGTTTCATCCAAAGCGGAAGGTGCGGCAACCGAGCTTGCGGATGAATCCGTGAGCTCCGCCGCTTGTCTCGCGGCTCGTTTTCGCGCTTTGGCTCGTTTGCCCATTTCCTCGTCGAGTCTGGTGTTTGAGATGCTTTCGGCGGTTCGCGCCGATTCTTCGAGTCTTCGCAACTCGTCAAGATTGAAGTCTTGGGCCTGGAAAACGGGTTTGGCCTGTTAGGCTTATGGCTGAGCCCCCAAGGCTTCTGGAGAAGCCTAAGCCTACAGTTAGATCTATGGTTGAGCTTAGGCCTATAATTATCCCTACGAAAAAGCCTAAGCCTATAGTTAGACCTATGGCTAAGCCCAAGCCTATAGAGAAGCCATATGTCAAGCCTAAGCCTATAGCTATGCCTATAATTAAGCCTATAGACAAACCTAAGCCTACGATAAAGGCTTACGACCTATGGTTAGGTCTGTGAATAAGCCTAGAGTAAGGTCTAAACTTAACTCCGGGGCTACAAGCTAAGTTCAAGCCTATCCCAAAGCCTAAACCTATATGGGCCTCTTTTCAGGCCGAATAAGCCTAAACCAAAACGAACACCCATATAAATATATAAATAAAAACAACATCGGGAAAAAAAAGTGAGGCGAAAAACATCTTAGATCAGATCGAAATCTGTGACCTCAAAACCAAGCAAGCTGTCGAAAAATCGGCGAGAAGATTCAAATCTTTTTCCGGTTTTTTTTCGTCAAAACTTACTGTAAATGTTTCAGTGTCGCTCATTTTTGCACACAAAAAATAATCAAAAATAAATGGGCTCTGGCATTTTTTTTGGGAAACAAAAAAAATTTTGAAAAGGTCACGCGGAAATTTTTTTTCAGCCGAATTTGAAAGTTCATTTGAAAACACCCTATAATTATAGCACACATACATTTCGGTAAAAAAAAATATTCTCAAAAGTTTTACACACCTAAAGTACACATATACTTAGAAAATGAGCACAAGCTCCAATTCTTCTGAAATTGAAGTTATTGATGATTTCTACAAATCCTACCCGATAACCTGTGATTTATCATATAATCCATTTTTCGAAATATTCAAATATATAATTCAGGTGGGTTATTTGTTCATTGGAGCATGTTTGATCATTTATATGTTATATATTATGTTATTCAAATATCGATCGATTTATTTATCTAATAATTATTTTCGTATTTTTATTTTTGATTTGATTACGGTAAGGAGGAGGGGGAGGGGTTGAACCGCGACGCGGACACGCGACGCGCGGTTGCTTATGTTAATTTTAAAGTGTACTATGACGTACGAAGATTATGTATTGAGAATATAGTTGATTTTCTGTTGAACCGCTACGCAAGCACGCGTTGCAGCATTGCTCAGGGTCCCTAACCTATCCCATTTTTCCAGACCCTCATCCGAATCATCTTCGATATTTTCTTCGGTCGAGTTATCCTATATATCTCCCCACTTTGCCCAATTCTAGCACCATTTTTCTCCGATTACTCATTCATCCTAAAATCCCACAAAGTCATCGAAAACTACGTGGCAGCTTCGAAATCCGTCTGCCAAGTTATTCTAACTCTAAACCGGATGACTTGCACAATGTTCCCAATAAGTCATAAAATGATTTGGGATAAATATATAACCTTAGCAATGCTTCTCAATTTTCTCCTACCATTTGGCGTTGTTTGGAGTCTGATGTTGAGTCGGGTTTATGGGGGAGCAATACTTGGCGGATTTTACACCGGTTATATTCGAGCTATCGATTGGGCGAGTTTATCGCGACTTCAATCGATATGCGTCACAATTTCGATCATCCTAACTCTCATATTTTCAACACTAACTATCTGGAGTCTGAAAAACCTAAGTGACCGTGTCAAACACGTCGAGAAAATGCTATGTTATGTGACATTTTGGCTGACTGGAGTGTTCGTTTTCATCTCTTCGATTTGGTATTTTTGGGCACTATGTGCTAAATGCACCGTTCCTTGGATCTTCCAATGGCAATTTGTTAGCTATGATATAATGATGTTGGGAACTCCAATCATTATGCTTATTATAAATCGGCAATTGAGGGCTCAGATGTTTCCGAGGCTCTCTGATGATTCTAGAGTTACACCAGTTACTACAGTTGTTTTACACTAGGTTGGATGTATCCTGCACTTTATAATTGCTCAAGCCTATCTTATTCCCACAATTATTTCTCTTGGAGACCCTTTTTTGTTTATATATCTCAAAAGTTTTCTCCGCATTACTATGTATTACGATTACGAAAAATGAGCAATTCCTCTTCTTCCGATGATTTCTACAAATCCTACCCGATAACCTGTGATTTATCCTATAATCCATTTCTCGAAATATTCAAATATATAATTCAGGCGGGTTATTTGTTCATTGGAGCATGTTTGATCATTTATATGTTATATATTATGCTGTTCAAATATCGACCGATTTATTGGTCTAAAAGTTATTTTCGAATTTTCATTTTCGACTTGATTACGGTTCGTAGAAGAATCCAAGTTAATGTAATACCAATTCAAGATCTTCCAGACACTTATCCGCATTCTCTCCGATATGTTTTTCGGCCGAGTTATCCTAAATATCCCTCCACTTTGCCCAATTCTATCCCCATTTTTCTCCGATTACTCATTCATCCTAAAATCTCACAAAGTCATCGAAAACTACGTGGCAGCTTCGAAATCCGTCTGCCAAGTTATTCTAACTCTCAACCGGATGACGTGCACAATGCTCCCCGTTACTCATAACTATTATTGGGATAAATATATAGTTCTAGCAATGTTGCTTAACTTCGCTCTTCCGTTTGGCGCAATCTGGAGTTTGATTCATAGTAGAGTTTATGGCAAATCTACATTTGGTGGATTCTATACGAGTTATAAAAGAGCTATAAGTTGGGCGAGTTTATCGCGACTTCAATCGATATGTGTGACTATTTCGATAGTCCTGACGCTGATTTTTTCAACACTAACTTTCTGGAGTCTCAAAAATCTGTCAGAGCGTGCAAAAAATGTGGAGAAAATGCTATGTTTTGTGACATTTTGGTTAACTGGAGTGTTCGTGTTTATTTCCTCGATTTGGTATTTCTGGGCATTGTGCTCGAATTGCTCCTGGGATAATCCTTGGATCTTCCAATGGCAATTGGTTAGCTATGATTTAATGATGTTGGGAACTCCGATTGTTATGATCATTATAAATCGGCAATTGAGGAATTAGATGTTTTCAAGGATCTCTGATAATTCCAAAACTACATCAGTCACTGTTCTTAGCTCGAATTGATGTGAATAAATCATATTCATTTATCGCATTGCTCATGTTAGTTCTATTTGCTGAAAACACACATTGATAAATGCCAAAAACCTATGTTGCTCTATAATTAAGTCACAACTTAACTTCAACATCAAAGGTTGACAATTTGCGAATCGCAAAAATATATCTTCATTTTTTCCAAGAATTTGCTTCATTAAACAATTTATCATCTTTTCTAAAAAAAATTCGCTATCAATTTCGATGATTTAGGCTAACTAGATTCCAAAAATCGTGATTTTCGGTCGCTATCAGTTCTCACAATAATTATTTTTATATACATACATATTATTTTATTTACCAACAAGCTTATAATTATCAAAAATTTCGAAGCAAGTCTAGTTTATCTCGAAATTTTCTGCTAACTTTAACTTTCTCCGCAAAAAATGAGCAATTCCTCTTCTTCCGATGATTTCTACAAATCCTACCCGATAACCTGTGATTTATCCTATAATCCATTTTTTGAAATATTCAAATATATAATTCAGGCGGGTTATTTGTTCATTGGAGCATGTTTGATCATTTATATGTTATATATTATGTTATTCAAATATCGATCGATTTATTTATCTAATAATTATTTTCGTATTTTTATTTTTGATTTGATTACGGTGAGGAGGAAGAGGGAGATGTTGAACCGCGACGCAGACACGCGACGCGTATTTTTCAAATTTCACAAAATTTTTATCGATTTTTTTCAATTTTTTCGAAATTTCTCCCCAAAAAACTCACCAATCGCTTCTATTTCTCAAATCACACAAAAATCATCGGAAATTCGAAATCTTCCAAGTTTTCCACGTTGAAATCCGATTTTTCATCAATTTTTCAAGCTGAAAATCAGAAAATTTGCATTTTTAAAGTACCATAGAAAAAACCCACCTTTTTTCGATAATCCTCGGATTTTCCGCTGGAAGAGATGATTCCAGAACATCTAAAAATTCAGATTTTGACTGAAATCCACTAATTTTCCCCCGCAAACCTGAAAACCCAGCAAAAAAAAAATGAAAAATAAAAATATTCTCGAGTTGCGCTAAACAACGGGCAAGCGCACTTCTTGGAGTGTCGTTGTGTTTGCACAACATTTTTCGTTTTTTATATTGGAGCCGCGCCGCACACACGCAACGCATCGCTAATATTCCACTTCCAGGGTCTTATAATGATTCTAATCGATATATTCTTCGGTCGAGTTATCCTATATATCTCTCCACTTTGCCCAATTCTAGCACCATTTTTTTCCGATTACTCAATTATTCTTAAAACTCACAAAGTTATTGAGAACTATTCTCGCGCATCAAAAGCCGTCTGTCAAGTTATTCTAACTCTGAATCGAATGACTTGCACAATGTTTCCAATGAGCCATCAATGGTTTTGGGATAAATTCAAAGCTCCGATCTTGCTTCTGAATTTTTTGCTGCCTTTCGGCGCGATTTGGAGCTTGATCTTGAGCAGGGTTTACGGTGAATCTACTGCTGGTGGATTTGCAACAAGCTACAAAAGAGCAATAAGTTGGGCGAGTTTATCGCGACTTCAGACAATTTACATAACAATATCGATTTTTGCAACGCTCATTTTCACAGCAATCACACTTCACAAATTGAAATCTCTTAGAAATCGCCAAAAATCAGCGGAACTTTGCCTATGTTTTGTCACATTTTGGATAACTATTGGCTTCTGTGTAGTTTGCTCATTTTGGTTTTTATGGGTTTTTTGCGCGGATTGCTCATATTATTATCCATCGCTTTTTCTCTGGCAATTTGTGAGCTATGATTTTTTGAATGTTTCAACTCCGATTGTTATGATTCTAATCAATAAACAACTTCGGAATCAGATGTTTTCTCGATTTTTTTCGACGAATAAAATGCAGATTAATCATGTTACTATTGTTAGTGAATTGAAGGTTTAAAAAGCTTTATTTAATTAATTAATTAACTTGATAATTGATAAAAATTACTTAATTTGCATGTGTTTTTGAAGAAAATCATCGATTTTGATCTTTCCGTCGATCTCTTCGACGCCGAAAAGGAGAGAATCGACTTCACGGCTTGTCAGCTTTTCGCCTGGAAATCTGATTTGTAGCTCGAAATTTGGAGCATTTTGAGCTCAAACACGAGTATATTTGGGCTCGATTTTCAGCCAAAATCTGAAAATTTCTGAAATCTTGTTTGGGCTCTTTATAGCTCTTCAAATTTAAAATTAAAATAATCAAGTTTGGACTCAAAATGCTCCAAATTCCACGTGGAATTCAGAAATCCCATTTTCAGCTAAGAATTTGGAGCATTCTGAGCCCAAACTCACCAGTATTGCTCAACATTCCTCTCAACTCGGCCAACGTAATAAAACCATTTCCCTCTCGATCAAAATGCGACAAAAGTGTTTGGAATTCTTGCAAAGAAGTGGATCTTCCACATTCCTTCGACATTGCCTGAAAAGTTCAGTTTTTTGGCTCAAAATGCTCCGAATTCCACATAGAAAGTGGAAATTTCATTTTCCGGGGGAAATTTGGAGCATTTTGAGCGCAAACATGAGTATACCTGAAAAATCGGCATAAATTCTTGAATCGAAATCCGTGTATCCGGTTTTTTCTCCCATTGTTTCGTCATTTTATTGATCGATTCTTCAGTTGGATTTAGCATAAGTGCTCGAAGAGCATTTGGAAGTTGAGAAGCTGCGATTTTTCCATCTCCGATTGTATCGTAGAAATGGAATGTGTCGTTGATGTCTTCTTGACTCATTTTTAAAGCTTCTGAAGGGTGGCGGGCTGAAAATATAGGGATTTTGAGTTGAAAATACAAGTTCGCTCCAATGAAAATGAGGATTTTTCATTGAAAATTTGAAAAATTGCAACTACGCTCTAATGAAAACCCGGTTTTCTTGTGAAAAATTTTAAAGAAAAAGCGAGAATAGCTAGTGCGCTCTAATGCAAATCGTAACTTTTCACTGATATTTTGAAAAAAAATAATCGAAAAATGCAAATGTGCTCTAACGAAAACTCCCTTTTCTCATAGGAAATTCAAAAATCAACAGAAATATCAACTGCGCTCTAATGCAAATCGTAAGTTTTCTATTAAAATTTGAAAATTAGCAAGTGCGCTCTAATGAAACCATGGTTTTCTCTTGAAAAATATAAAAAATAATAGAAAAAATCAAGTGCGCTCCAATGACAACCCGGTTTTCTTGTGGGAAATTAAAAAAAAAAATCAAAGGAAATTTTAAATTTTCCCATCAAAAACGTCGGAAAAATGAAGACAACCAGAAAAAGAAATGATAAAATAAAATAAAACAAAAATAAATAAAAACAGGACATGAAAAATGGGGTGAATCATCTCCCGGCCCGCAAAAAAGCAACAAAAATATGATTTGTCATTTTTCTTTCAACACACAATAAAAAAAATAATATTTGGGGCTATTTCGGGAAAATTTGGATTTCTAGGCCACATTTTAGCTTGCAGGCCATCAAAACAAATTCTTAAAAAAAAACATTTATTTTTATGAAAAAAAACTTCACCGGTAAAAATTGTAGATTTCATTTGGGCTCTTTTGTGAATTTTTGGATTTTTTCTGGAAATTGCCACGTCAGCGAGAAATTTGGAGCATTTTGAACCCAAACATAGTGATGTTTGGTCTCAAAATGCTCCAAATTCCACGTGGATTCCAGAAAAAAATCCCAAAAACTTCGCGCCTATAGCAACGGAACAACATCATCATCATCATCAATATTAGCAATCGAATTCGGATCATCCAGCAAACTTTCGCCCGAAATTGGTGGTGTCAGCTCATTTTGATGGTGATAATAAGGCGATCCATTTTTCGCGGGGAATTTTTTCGTGCCATTTGTTTGCACCTGGATTACTGTAGTTGTTGATGTTTGCATTTGATCTGCAAGATCTTCTTGATCTTCCTCTTTTTCGTCGTGGATTGTGGGAAATTGGAGAATCAGATTTTCGAGGTTCTGCAAAATTCTAGGTTAACATGAGCAATCCTAAAATTTAAGCCTAGGCTTGTGAGGTCTCAAATTAAAGCTCCTAACATGAGCAATCCAAAAAAGCTTACCGCATTCGGTTGCGAATTCTGGATCAGCGTTTCTATTGAAGCACGACGTGTTGCTGGAGTTGTGGCGCACAGAAGATCGATGCTGGAAAATTTCTAGTTGATCATGTGATCTTCAGAATCCACGTGGAATTTGCAGCATTTTGAGACCAAACATGAGCAATGGGGCTCAAAATGCTCCAAATTTCGAGGTGAAACTGGATTTTTTGGAATCCACGTGGGATTTGGAGCATTTTGAGCCTAAATATGATGGTGTTTGGGCTCAAAACGCTCCAAATTTCAAGTCGAAACTGGATTTTTTGGAATCCACGTGGAATTTGGAGCATTTTGAGCCTAAATATGATGGTGTTTGGGATCAAAATGCTCCAAATTTCAAGTTGAAACTGGATTTTTTGGAATCCACGTGGAATTTGGAGCATTTTGAGCCTAAACATAATGGTGTTTGGGCTCAAACTGCTCCAAATTTCGAGGTGAATTCAGAATTTTCAGAATCCACGTGGAATTCGGAGCATTTTGAGCCTAAATATGATGGTGTTTGGGATCAAAATGCTCCAAATTTCAAGTTGAAACTGGATTTTTTGGAATCCACGTGAAATTTGGAGCATTTTGAGCCTAAATATGATGGTGTTTGGGCTCAAAATGCTCCAAATTTCAGGCTGAATTCAGGATTTGCAGAATCCACGTGGAATTCGGAGCATTTTGAGCCTGAATATGATGGTGTTTGGGCTCAAAATGCTTCAAATTTCTAGCTGAATTCGGGATTTTCAGATTCCACGTGGAATTCGGAGCAAAAATAGTCATGTTTGGGCTCAAAATGCTCCAAAAACTCACTCAGTGCACAACGAATCCATATTGGGCGACCTGAGCGGACTGGAAAATGACGAATCCTCCGTGTCACTCGACAAATCATCCTGTCTCGAACTTCTTCGCGATTGATTGTTGTGTAGTTCTCGCGAATTCCGAATGAGCAACGAATCGGTGGCTCGCAGCAGTTTTTTCGGCTCCAAATTCGAGAATTCCGATCTTTCGGATGCGCCTGATTGAATTGTGATCTGTGAGACGAACGAATTTGCGATCTCATAGGATGGCGGACCATTCGAAGGATCGAACTTCTGATCTTCATCTGGATCTTTGTTTGTCGACGGCGAATAATTCCAGTCGGATTTGATGACGGTGTGAATTGAGGAATAGGGCGGCGCTTTTTCGGGAAGTTCTTTGGGTTTTGGTGGAGAGGTGTCGATGAGACATTCGAGATCTTTGTCGAACATTACACGGTGGTAGCCTGGAAATTTTTGAGATGAGCTCGAAATTTGGAGCATTTTGAGTGTAAATATGATGGTGTTTGGGCTCAAAATGCTCAGAAATCCACGTGGAATCTAAAGAATTTGGATTTCACGTGGATTCCGGAGCATTTTGAGATCAAACATGAGCATATTCCGACTTAAAATGCTCCAAATTCCACGTGGAGTCTGAAAATCCCAAATCCAGGCTGAAATTCTGAATTTGATCTAGCCCAAAAAAATCGATTTGTCATCATTCCTAGCTCAAAGTTTCGTCATTTTCAGTCAAATTTTGAGATTTTCAGATTCCACGTAGAATTTGGAGCATTTTTAGTGCAAACATGGTGGTATTTGGACTCAAAATGCTCAGAAATCCACGTGGAATCTGAAAATCTTGAAATTTGACTGAAAATGACAAAACTTTGAGCTATTTTCAGACCTTCTCCTGATTTTAGGCTCATTGAATTCAGAATTTCAGCCTGGATTTGAGATTTTCAGATTCCACGTGTAATTTGGAGCATTTTGAGTGCAAACATCGTGGTATTTGGACTCAAAATGCTCCAAATTCCACGTGGAATCTGAAAATCCCAAATCCATGCTGAAATTCTGAATTTTATGAGCCTAAAATCAGGAGAAGGCCTGAAATTTGATCTAGCCCAAAAAAATCGATTTGTCATCATTCCTAGCACAAAGTTTTGTCATTTTCAGTCAAATTTTGAGATTTTCAGATTCCACGTGGATTCCGGAGCATTTTGAGTGCAAACGGTGACTCAAAATGCTCAGAAATCCACGTGGAATCTGAAAATCTCAAAATTTGAGCTAAGAATGATGAAACATCGATATTTTCAGGCCTTCTCCTGATTTGAGGCTCATTAATTTCAAAATTTCATTTCAGCATGGATTTGGGATTTTCAAATTCCACGTGGATTCCGGAGCATTTTCAGCCCAAATATGGTGCTATTTTGGCTCAAAATGCTCAGAAATCCACGTGGAATCTAAAGAATTCGGATTCCACGTAGATTCCGGAGCATTTTGAGCCCAAAAACCATCAGATTTGAGCTCACCTAAAATATACATAACCAAATCGTCCAAATCATCTTTATCCACCAAAAACTCCAATCCCTGACTCGGATTACTTGCCAATCGAATCGAAATCATCGATGCCACGTCCGTTTCTCGATTCACCACAATTTTTCCAATCAAATCGAATCCGATGGATATCGAAGGTTGTCCTGATTTCCCTGGATGTCGAACCAAAAGTCCAGTCCTCGGTTCGACTTGCATCAACATATCGATTTGTGATTCTTTGAATGTGACACAAAAACTTCGACCACCGAATGATGGCAAATGCGAAACGATGTGAATATATTTCAATCGGACCATTAAACTGGGCTGCGTTTTGAATTGTTGAAATTGGGCTTCAAATTCCGGAGGAAATCCATTCAATGAGGGACTTTCGGTAAGTCGAGATGTGTCTCTTTTGAGGTAGAATCTGATGTGTTTTCGGATTTCACGGCGTTTCACGTTTTCGAGGACGATTGAGGGAAGGAAGGTGGCCAGGCCGTATTCTCGTCTGCAAAATTTGGGGTTTGAGAGATAGTAGGGGGCCCGAAGGGGGCTTAGGGGCTTTTTTAGGCCCCTGGGGCTTTTTTTTTGACACTAAAGTCCCCTTAAAGGCCTTTACGGATTTTTTTGACACTAAGGGCCCCTTGAAGGGCTTTGAGGCCCTTTCTTACCTTGAGGGCCCCCCTAGAGGCCATTAGGGCCATTAGACAGGCTCAAAACTTTTTTTTGGATTTCTAGGCCATCTTAGGCCTAAAACTGTGCAGGGCGTGCTGCGCAAGCCCTGTAAAGACAGATCTTTTAAAAATAGCAAGTGCGCTCTATTGATAATTTCATTTTTGTGGAAAATTCAAAAAATCCCGGATTTTAGGTCAAAATTATACAAAAAAGCTCGATTTTCCTGTCAAAAATAGCAAGTGCGCTCTATTGAGAATTTCATTTTTCATGCGAAAATTCAAAAAATACAGGATTTCAGGTCGAAATCCGGCGAAAAAGCTCGATTTTCCTGTCAAAAATAGCAAGTGCGCTCCAATGCAAATCACACATTTTTGTAGAAAATTCAAAAAATCAAATTTTTCTATTAAAAATAGCAAGTGCGCTCCTATGCAAATCACACATTTTTGTGAAAAATTCAAAAAATCAAATTTTTCTATCGAAATTAGCAAGTGCGCTCCATTGAAAATTACACATTTTTGTGAAAAATTCAAAAAACTTACTCGACTCGATTCACCGAAACCTTGTTGTTCTCCTTCAAAATTTTGCAATCAAACGCGACTTGTTGAACATGGAGTGCAGCCAGCCGAATACATGCCTCATATCGCATTTCCATCGCATATTTGCCTCGAACCACGTCATTCACACATTGTTGATAATAATATTCCAATGCTTTCGGATCGGCTAATAATAGAAGAAAAGCATCGGAAGGGGCGAATGAGAGACGGAAAACACACTTGAGATGTTCCGAATTTGGCATTTCGGTGATCTGAAATTGGGATTTTTGAGATCAGCGTGAAATTTGGAGCTGTTAGACACCAAATATGCGGCAATTTGGTGGAAAAACAACGATACTCCGCATTTACACCTCTCAAAACTACCCAAATTCGGGCTCAAAATGCTCCAAATTTCGCCGATTTTCAGAATTTCCCCTCAAAAATACCCAAACTCACACTTTTGATCAGACAATCGGGCCTCAACATACTAATTCGACTCGTTCTGGCTCCCAACGAATATTCGAGTGCCAGCGAAAAATGCGCTTTTGCGGTGATTTGCAATTTTTCGAGAATACTCTCCAGAATCTGTTTGACACTTGTTGTTTCGTCGTATTTGAAGGAGCGAGTTTGGCCGTTTTCGAGAAAAACTCGAAGAACATTTGGGAGACATGGAGGGAATTCGGGATTCTGTGAAGAAAAACATTAAAAAAACTACGTTGCTCCGCGTTTACACCACGAAATTTGACATTTTTTGATACCAAATAAGCCTAGGTTTGCATCCTTGAGAAAAATATGGATTTTTAAAGGTGTAAACGCGGAGTGTCGTTGTTTTTCATTAAAAACAACGATGCTCCGCGATTACACCTTGAAAATTATCGGTTTTTGATGCGTAAAAGCGGAGTGTCGTTGTTTTTCAAAAAAAAACTTCGTTTCATAGTCAAAAATCAAGAAAACAACGATGCTCCGCGTTTACACCTTCAAAAATATCCATTTTAATGGATTTTTTAAAGGTGTAAAAGCGGAGTGTCGTTAAAAATTCGAAAACTAGTCATGTTTGGTGTCAAAAATCAGCAAATTCCAAGCTCCTCACCTTCTCACAATTACTCTGCACCAAAACCCGATCAGTAAATCGAACTTTACAATTCTTCCTAGCAGATCTCGGCCTTTGTGGTATTTGTTGTACAGTAATCCTCAATTCATCTTTAGTTCCTCTCACCGCATTCACAACAACATCCTTCAACTCATTTTCCATATTTTGTCCGTTCACTTCGAGAATCTGATCATTTGCGAATAATTGTCCGTCGGAAGGTCCGTCTGGCGAAACAAATTGGATTATTGTTGGAAGTTGACCGGCTGCTACGAAACCGAAGCCGATGTCTTTGCCGCGACGAATTTGAACTGTCCGCTTGCCTTCCGGAGGCCGCGTTTTCCGCGGATCTGTGTAGGTTGTCGAGCGGTTGAGGTGGCTGCAAAATGAGCAATTTTCTAGTAGAAATTGCAAGTGCGCTCTATTGAGAACCTCAAATTCCTAAAGAAAATTCAAAAATTCAAAATTTTCAATAAGAAATTGCAAGTGCGCTCTATTGAGAATCACATGTTTTTCAGGAAAATTCAAATTTTTCTTCGAGAAATTGCAAGTGCGCTCTACTGAGAATCACATTTTTTCAGGAAAATTCAAAATTTCCTATGAGAAATTGCAAGTGCGCTCTATTGAGAATCACTTGTTTTCCAAGAAAATTCAAATTTTCTTCGAGAAAATGCAAGTGCGCTCTATTGAAAATCACATTTTTTCAGGAAAATTCAAAAAATAAAATTTTTCTCTTCAAAATTGCAAGGGCGCTCTATTGAGAACCTCGAATTCCTAAAGAAAATTCAAAATTTTCCGGAGGAAAATGTAAATGTGCTCTATTGAGAATCACATAATTTCCAGGAAAATTCAAATTTTCTTCGAGAAATCGCAAACTATTGAGAACCTCGAATTCTCAGGAAAAATTCAAAAAACCTAAATTTTCTAGTAGAAATTGCAAGTGCGCTCTATTGAGAATCACATGTTTTTCAGGAAAATTCAAATTTTATCTTCAAAATTGCAAAGGCGCTCTATTGTGAACCTCAAATTCTTAGGGTAAATTCAAAAAAAAAAATGTTTTTCTAGTAGAAATTGCAAGTGCGCTCTAATGAGAACCTCGAACTCCCAAAGAAAATTCAAAAATTCAAAATTTTCAAGTAGAAATTGCAAGTGCGCTCTATTGAGAACCTCAGGAAATTTTTTTAAATATGTTTTGTCTTCAAAATTGCAAACGCGCTCTATTGAGAATCACATTTTTTTCAGGAAAATTTGATTTTTCTCTAACAAAATTGCAAGTGCGCTCTATTGAGAACCTCGAATTCCCGTGGAAAATTCAAAAAATTATCATTTCATATCAGAAAATGCAAATGCGCTCTACCGAACTCACTCAATATAATAGGTATTTCCCTCGTTATCCTTGGCCTGTTCCCAGCCATACGGTAGTCCTAATCGACATCGCCAGGAGGCCCATGGCGGTTCCCAGTGTGAACTTCGAGTCGTGTGACTGAAACAGAAATTGGTCTACGGGTCTTGCGGGGAAAATGGGGTACTGTAGTTTTTGGCGGGTGGTTTTTTGATACCAAACAAGCCTAGGTTTGATGAAAAACAACGATACTCCGGGTTTACACATTCGTAAACGTGGAGCATCGTAGTTTTTGGCATGTTTGGTATCAAAAAACGTGAAATTTTCGCGTCACTTCGACTCACATCAAATCCTTGATCTCATCAACACTACCCGAACAGCAAATTCGCGGCGGCGGTGGCGAATTTGCCGAATAAAATTGTAAACTTTTCGATTTGATCATTCAAATTTTGCTGCTGAAGTTTTTGTTTTGTGAGCAAAAATTTTACGATTTTTTTCGAGAAAAAAAGGCAATTTGTGATGTTGAAATTCGATATTTTTCAAGCAAAAAAAAGAGGATTTTCTTGGTTTCCAAGAAAAAAACGAAGAAAAAAAATTCGGGGAAGGAAGGAAATTGGAATTTGCAATTTTATTAGCCAGTTTTTTTTGTTTGTTTTTTGGGGGAAAAAACGAAGAAAGTTTTTTTTGGAGCCAAAAATCGTGGTTTTTCGAGCAGGATTACTGTAGCTCAAATTTTCGCGCGAAAATTTGAGTTTTGAATTTTTTGAAATTTGAAAAATTTCATTTTCGCGCGAAAAACTACGGTATTGAAATTATGAATTCAAAATTTGAAAAATTTCTAATTTTTCGCGCCAAATTTAACCCAGGATTACTGTAGTCCTGTTTACGGAGCGAAAAAAAAATTCAAAATTAAAAAAAAAACTTTTTTTAATTCAAAATTTAAAAAATTTCAAATTTCTGGCACCAAAAATCTCTTTTTTTTGTTTTCTTCGAAGAAAAAGTGCAAAAATGTTCAAAAAAATGTCAAGAACAAGAAAAATGTGTTTTTTTTTTGAGCACAAAAAAACACAAAAAAAAACTAGTCCGAGAGAACTACACACTTTTTTTGTTATGAAAAAAAAAACAAATAGAAAAAAATCGGATTAAAATGTGATTTTTTAGCGGAAAATGATATTTTTGACGGCACAAACAGAAAAAAAAAAATGAAATTTACCCAAAAAATCCGTTTTCTTTGTCTTTTTTTTTTTTTGGGAGCTTCGAGAAAATTTTCTCCAGGGATTATAAAAAATTTTGTGTGTTTGAAGCGTAAAAAAAAGTTTTTTTTTTGACAAATTGAAAGGTTCAAAAATTGAGCTACAGTCTATTTTTGGTGAAAAATTCAGAAATTCAAAAAAAATTTTTCTCAAAAAACTTTTCCTCAAAAAAAAAAATAAACAAAAAAGTGCTGATTTTCCTCACTTTTTTATTATAAACAAAAAAATTTTTGGAAATTTTTTTTCCGAAAAAAAAATCTCTTTGGGGAAAACGTTTCAAATGAGTTTTGCCGGCGGCGATTTTTGAAAGCTCGTGAGAAAATTTGGATAAAAAAGTACAGTAGTCCTAAGAAATTTGGAATTCAAATTTTCGCACCGAAAAATCTACAGTACCCTTAAACCTACAGTACCCCTTACACTTACTGTATGTAGAAAATTCGACCATTTTCCAGAACACACAAATCGCATTGATCTACTATTGAAGATGTTGTCGAATGATAATCTTGAGAATCATCTGAAAATTTGCAATTTTGCGGCATGGTTTTGTGGGCGGGGCTTATTTTTTTACCCAGAAAATTTTGAAATTGCAATTTTAAGGCAGGCTTTTAAAAGCAGAGCTTATTTTTCATCCAAAAAAATTCGAAACTGCAATTTTGCGGCACGGTTTTGTGGGCGGGGCTCAATTTTCTTCAAAAATTTGCAATTTTGCGGCACGGTTTTGTGGCTTTTCGTTCAAAAGCAAGTTAAGATATGAAGCTCCGCCCACAAAACCATGCCGCACTTGAAAATAGGGAAGTTTCTAGGCTTTAGAGCTAATTAGGGTCATTTTAGGCCAATTTTCGTGATTTTTAGGCCAATTTTCGTGATTTTTAGGCCATTTTCAGGCTTTTCCGGGCCCAAAAAACTCACCATCTTCCCCAAAATTCGTCTCAAAAATCACCGCCTCATTTTTCGATGAACTCGACCCGTTTCGACTTGTCATTTTGCAGGGAAAACTGGAAAAAAAAAACTTTTTTTGAATGTGTTAAATTTGCATAAAAATTATCGATTTTTTGCAGGCGAAATTGAAAAAATGTATGAAAAATGTTGAGAAAAATGAGAAAATGGAGAAAAATTTGAATAGGCCTCATTATTTCGGGAAGGCAAAAAGGGTGTTGTGTTTAACATAAATAATTGATCTAATTTTTGTTTTCTGTGCTCCTCGGAAAAAGGGCCAAGAAATGGTTTTTTGATTTTTGGGGGGGTACTGTAGCTGGAGAAATGAGCGCGGGAAGTTTGAAAATTCAAAAATATTTTTTGAAAATTTGGATCTCACGGGGTTTTGGCTAGAAACTGAGGGCGGGAATTTGAAAAATTTGAAATTGCCACGTTTTTAAGCTGAGAAATGAGCGCGGGAAGTTTGAAAATTCAAAAATATTCTTTGAAAATTTGAATTTCCCACCTTTTTTGCTGAAAATGAGCGCGGGAATTTGAAAATTCAAAAATTTGAATTTCCCACTTTTTTTGCTGAAAGTGAGCGCGGGAAGTTTGAAAATTCAAAAATATTTTTAAAAATTTCAATTTTGCCACGTTTTCACCTAATAAATGAGCGCGGGAATTTGAAAATTCAAAAATTTGAATTTGCCACGTATTTTAAGCTGAGAAATAAGCGCGGGAATTTTGAAAATTCAAAAATAGTTTTTGAAAATTCAATTTTGCCACATTTTTTTAACTGGAAAAAATGGCGGGAAGTTTAAAAATTCAAAAATTTTGGTTTTTGTTTACTATGGTACTTCTAACGTTCACTAAGCCTAAGCTTAGGCCTAAGCCCAGCTTAAATCAAGCCTGATATAAGCCCAGCCTGATATAAGCCTAAGACTCGCCTAACCTAGGTCCAGCCTAAGCCTAAGCTCAGCCTAAGTCTATTCCGGGCCTAACCTAAGCCCCGTCTTAAACAAGCCTAAGCCTAAGAAAAGCCTTAACCAAGCCTAAGTCCAGCGGAAGACTAGACTTAGGCTAACTAAAAAAACTTAAGAACTCAGATTTCAAAAATTAATCTGGAGCTCAAACAAATAAAAATTCAAATTTAGCAAAAAATCAGCAAAAATTTCAATTTTCGTCTTAAAAATGCTCTTTCGAGCCCAAAACCCATGAAAAATCGCATTTTTCGCCACCAAAAAAGCACATAAAAATTGGAGCTCACAATATAAATTCCATTTGTTTTTTCGGCCTCTTCTTTTTTTGCCTTTTCCTCAAAAAATCGATAAACGGACCTTTTTATTATGCAAAAAAAGGGGAAAAGCGAGCAAAAAAAAAAGAGCACAAAAAGTTATGTGTGTGTGAAAAAAATGAGCACATTATTTTTATTATTCTCAAAAAAAAAATTTTGGAGCTGCAAATGTGCTCTTCTGAAAAATGAGAGATTTCACAATTTTTCCCTTTTTTTAAGCATGAAAAGGTTAGAGAACGAGAGAGTGCAGAGAAAAAGAGAATGAATATATATTTTTTCTTTTTTGTGGAGAAAAAAAAGGGAAGGCGAGTTATGATAACTCGATTTTTTTGTGGAAAATTGAAAAAAAAAGTTTTTTTGCTGGTAAACATTACGAAAAGGAAAAAAATCTTGAAAAGAAAATTTGAATTCAATTATTTGCCGCTTAGAATTATTGATCAAAAGGTCCTGGTTCGAGCCCGATTCAGGGCAAACTTTTTTTTTTGAAAATATTTGAATTCGAATTTTTAGCGGCTGAATCAGATTATTGATCAAAAGGTCCTAGTTCGAGCCCGGCTCAGGGCAAACTTTTATCCAGAAAATTTCGAAACAAAAAAGACAGAAAAAAAGTTTCTGGTTAGTTAGGGGACGAAAAAAATTTGATTAAAAAAACCAGCCAAATTAGATCAACTTGTAAGATAATGCATTCCTTCTTTTCGCCTTTTTTTCACCAAAAAAAAATGAAAAAAAAACACATTTTCCCATGAAAATGTGTGTTTTCAGCCAAAATTGGAGTTTGTGAGAGACGAGAAAAAAGAAAGTACTTGGAATTCCCGAAGGGCGACTACATAAAAAACAAATATTCCAAAAAAAAAAAACAGAAAAAAAAATTTCGCCCTGAGCCGGGCTCGATCCACGACCTTTTGATCAATATTTTATCTGCAATTTTCAACCAAAAACTACAGCTTGACACCACAAAAAATTCCAACAAAAAGCCAAAAAACAAAAAAATATGGCGGAAAAATGAAAAGAAGCTGGCAAAAAACAACTCTTGCGTGTGCTCTCGAAGAAAAAACTTTTTCTTCTTTTTTTTTAGTTTTTTTCGCTTCAAGAAGAAAAAGAACGAAAAATATGTCATTTTAAGAAAAAAAAACAGGGGGGAAATGAGCATTTTTTGGATGAAAATTCAAAATTCCAGCGTCAAACGAAAAAAATCGAACAAAACCATATCAAAGTTCAGAAACAAACCGAAATCGGTCAAAAATTGTCACATTTTGTGTAACAATTTGGCCAAATCACATTTTCGACCAAAAAATTCTCGTTTTTTTGTTCTAACCACAAAAATTGTTTCAATAGACCAAAAAAAAGCTCTTGAGAAAATTATTTTCCTTTTTTTTTCACAAAAAAAAAATTCGCCAAGAGCACATTTTTTTGTTGTGTTTATATAATGAGAGGGTTCAAGTGGTCCCGACGAAAAAAATTTCGAGGAAAAGTGTATACTGTAGTTTTAGACATCAAAAATCTGGCGGAAAAATGTTTTTTCTCAAATTTTTCCCCAAAAACCGCCCCAAAACACTCACCATCTTCAAAATCTTCAAAAATCCTCAATTTTCCTGAAATTCCATTGAAAAATAGTCAAAATCTCCGTTGCAATGTGAGTTCTTCATCAAAAAATCAAGAAAATTCAAGAAAAACACATTTATTCCGTCAAAAATCATCAAAAACCAACAAGTGAGAAAAAAAAACGAAAAATCAATTAAAAACACAGCAAAAACAATGTCTACCGTACCTCAAAGGCGCAACACTATTTTGTGTGTTTTGTGACGAGACTCAACGCGCTTATATTTGTGTTTGCAAAAAATTTGAAAAATTATTATTTTTTTTTTGCAAACAAAAAAAAAAGATTTTTCGTGTTTTCAGACGTGAATGCTGGCAAATCCAGTCATTTTTCGATGGAAGAAGGAGCTGGAAATTGGGACCATGCTGGACATCGTTGAAAATTCGCTGGAAAAGCTGAAAATGTGAGTTTTTCGGGGCGAGACACCAATTAAATTTCTCCTTTTCCCGGAAAAGGACTTTTTTTTTCAAAAACAAAAAGGAGAAAATAAATAAAAGAAGAAAAATTGGCCAATAAAAATCTTGGAGAAATTTATTAGTAGTAGTATAAATTTTGCTTCAGGAAAAAATTTCGATTTTACATTTTTCAAAAAAGAAAAACGGGTTTCCCTCTGCAAAATCTTTTTTTGCCTTCTTTTGTGTTGGAAAAAATCACAAAAGAAAAAATTTCGTCACCTTTTTTTGGGCTTTTTTTTTGTTGAGAAAAGTAGAAAAATCGATTTATTTATTTATAAGTTAGCTGCAAAAATTGAAATTTAAAAAAAAATCAGCAAAAAATATTGAATTTTATGTCGTTTTCCTGATCTTCTGTGAGATTTTCCTTGAGTTCGCCGATTTTTCTGAAAATTTTGGATTTTAGCGCTAGAAGTACTGTAACTACAGTAATTTTCGCGGCAAAACCCACCTCTCCAATTCCTGACAATCCTGCAGATTCTCAAATCGAAATCTATAAATCGTCACATTTTCCGCGGTTTTCATCTCAATAATTTGCGAATTTTCAAACAATTCTTTAGCCTGAGCAATGATTTTCAGATTTTCAGCCGAATTTTCAGCAATTATAATTTCTAGAATCTGAAAATCTTCTGAAATTGACCGTTTCTTCTTAGAACCATCATCAACTGTCGTATTTTTTGTTGTAGTTTCAACTTGTGAATTGACATTTCCACAAGTTTCAGAAATCCCCAAAATTTGGCTGAAAATGATGGAAAAAACTAGAAATTTCTGGAATTCGAAGATCATTTTTGGATTTTTTTATTGAAATTCTCTGAAATTCTGCAGATTTTATACCAAAAAAAATTTGGTCAATAAATATTTGGAAAATATTTTTATGATAGTATAGTATTGAAAATAAATAAGGAAACTGGTTTTCACCAGGTTACTGTAGACTACTGTAGTGAAAATTTTGAAAATTAAAAAAAAAAAATTTTTTGTCGATTTTTTTCCTGAGCTTTCCCCGAAAAAAAAATGATTGATGATTTATACACATAATATTTTTCTGCTCCTATTTTCTTCTCGAAAAATAGAAAAAATATTTTTTTTCTCGATTTTCTCACCCAAAAATGGGGTTTAAATGGGATTTACTCTGCGGTTTTCTCGATTTTTCACTTTTTGCCCGCTTTTTTTCGGCGAAAATGAGAGAAGAAGATGAAAAACTCATCATCAATCTGTCAAAAAATTTTGCTCAATTTTTGAAGTGCCGTGTGCCACTCTCTTTTCAATAATTTTCTCGAGTTCCATTGAAAAATAGGCAAAAATTTTTGATGGAAAATGCATTTTTTTTCCCATCAAAAACAAGGCTTTTTGATGGATTTAACATGAAAAATTTGAATTTTTGATATCTCCGCCCGAACTTTCGCGGTTCTCTGCGTCTCTGACCAGAGTCTGTCGATTTCTGGTTGTCTAACCTTATTTTGAAAGATATCTAGCTTCTCTGCGTCACTGACCAAAGTCTCTAGTTGTTTGGAATTCTCTCTGCGTCTCTAACCCGAGTTTGCCTGGTTTCTCTGCGTCTCTTCGAAAGTTTCGAGTTCTCTGAACACCTCTGCATCTCTAACCTTACTTTGAAAGTCTCTAGTTGTCTGGGGAAGGTTTTTCTGCGTCTCTAACATGTCCATATTCTCTAGCCGTCTAGCCTCTCTGCGTCTCTAACCATCTCCGTGTTCTCTAGCCGTCTGCTTTTTTTTTGGAATGTTTTCGCCGAGAAGATTTTCGTTCCTTCTCCACACCCAAATTTGATTCGATTTTTAGTGTTTTTTTTTTCGTCGCCGCGCTCGAAATTTTTTTTTTTCAAGAATAAATTTTTCTTCCTTTGTTCGGTAAACAACGGATTTTTCAAGCCAAAAATCGGAAATTTTCACGATTTTTTGTACCCAAAATTGCCACGTGGCAGACAATTTCCAAATTTTTGTTGCGCAATTTTTTTTGTCGCACACCTGGTCCAATTTCCATTTTTCAAGGCCGAGAAATTTCATTTTGCAAAATTTTTTTGGATTATTTTTCATGCCACGTGGCAAATATTCATTTTTCTGCGTCTCTAACGTTTCTCTAGCTGTCTAGCTTATCTACGTCTCTAACTTTCTCTAGATGTATAGGCTCTAACTTTCTCTAGCTGTCTAGCTTCTCTGTGTCTCTAACTGCGTCTCTAACTATCTCTAGATGTCTAGCTTATCTACGTCTCTGACTATCTCTAGCTGTCTAGCTTATCTACGTCTATAACTTTCTCCAGCTGTCTAGCTTCTCTGCGTCTCTAACTTTCTCTAGTTGTCTAGCTTCTCTGCGTCTCTAACTATCTCTAGCTGTCTAGCCTCTCTGCGTCTCTAACTTTCTCTAGCTGTCTAGCTTCTCTGCGTCTCTCTCCCCCTCTCCTTCTATACAATAAAAAGTACACATTTTTCCTTGTCATTTTTTTTCTGACACAAAAAAACCTCATCTCAATTCGTTCCTCGTCATAATAATAAATCTGCTGCAGCTGTCACCCAAAAAAAAAATTTTTTTTTTCGTGCAAAAATTCTTTTGAAATTTGATCTACCTGCTGCACAGCATTTTGACAAGTTGTCTGGCTTCTCTGCGTCTCTAACCTCTTTAATTTGAATTGACATTCCTACTCTGCGTCTCTAACTAAGGTAATCCTCGTTTCTCTATACATCTCAAATCCCTCTCCATCTCTAACCTCATTTTTCTCTAGCTTCTCTGCCTCTCTCTATTGAATTTTTTGAATACTTTTCTTCGAAATTTGTTTTCCGGTACAGTTTTCTTCTTCTTTTTCTCGTTCCACAATTTTCTGGTTTTCTTTCTTTTTTTGTTTGTTTTTGGCCAAAAATGTGAGAAATGGAGACACGATTTTATTGCATTTCATTTTGCAAAATAGACTTTTTTCCAGGATTCGTTGAAAAATTTGGAAATGTTCGAACCGACCAGGATTATTGTGAGTTTTTTTGGGAAAAAATGGTTTCCGCGGGCACTGGGAATCGATCCCCCGACGTTTTGCTCAATAGAAATTTGTAAAATCATGGAAAATTGGATATAAAAAATATTCAAATTTTTTAGTTGCGCGCGCACAAATTCGATTTTCTTTTCCGCTTTTGACAAATTTTCTCACGGTATTTTAAAAGAATTTTTGATGAAGTTCTTCTTTTTCTTTACTTTTTGTTTGGAAGAAGAGGATTTTTCGTATTTAAAATTTGGGAAAAATATTGGGTGAAAGGTCGGGGGATCGATTCCCAGTGCCTGCGGGGTTTTTTTTATGAGTCAGAAGGTCAGGGGATCGATTCCTAGTGCCTGAAAATGTTTTTTTTCAACATTTTTCTGATCAGAAGGTCCAGGGTTCGAGCCCCGCCGCCTGCAAATAATTTCAATTTTTCCCCTGCCCCGTGGGAAAATTGATTAGAATAGAGAAGAATATTAGAATATTTATTATTAATTACAAAAATTATTTGCATTTCTGATTTTCCCCTTTTTATTATTATTTGATGAAAGCACAGAAGCTTTGTTAAGAGCACCCCAAAAGTGCACTTAAAAATACGAAAATTGAGAAAATATGTGTGCGCGTTGAGCTTTGAAATCTGAAAAAAATGTTTGGCGGGCAGTGCGGCTCGAACCCTACACCTTTTGATTAGAAAAATTCGGAAAAAAGCTTCGCAGGCACTAGGAATCGATCCCCCGACCTTATGACTAGAAAAATTCAAAATTCCAATTTTTCATTAAAACACTTGAGTGGTCCCATTTCTCTATCTCTCTCACTTCCCCATACTCTCTAACTTCTCTCTGATTTCTCTCGCCGTCTCTTCTCTCTCACACATTTTCCATATTTGCTCATATACTAAAAACACCACACAGAAATACAAATACAAATACAAATATTCCATCGAAGCTTCTCTTTTTTTTTTTGCGAAGACTGTCTCGTTTCTCTGCCGCACTCAGGGGTGGGGAAAATGTCATGGCCTCATGTTGTCCTGTCCTTGAATATGGCCTAAACTTGTCCTGGCTCGAACATGGCTTGAACATGTCCTAAAGCCATATGCCCAACCTGTCCTCGCGTGAACAAAAATTAACAGAGCAATTTTTTTTTCTGCATAAAAAAAAATAAAAATGCGATCTCTTCTTTTTTCGGCGTGTTTTTTCTTGACTAAAAAAAGAACCTGTCCAGGACAGGACAGGTAGCCAGGTTTACACGTGGACCTGTCATGGCTTATGTTCTTACCACCAAAGCCAACATGAGGACAACGTGAGGCCAGTTTCCCCACCCCTGGCCGCACTCTCTTCTCCGTTTTGATCTCTCGTCGCCTGAGAACTGAACAAATAAAGAGACCGATTCCCCCCTTTTTACCATTAGCTCAAGACGAACTCTTTTTTTTTCCCGATATTTTTTTCGGTTTTCGCCAAGAAATCTGAAATTTTCAGAAAATTTTGATCCCGGGGCTCATTTTTAACGTAAAATCTGATAATTTTAAGGTTTTTATACCCCAGGGTCATTTTTTCTATAGAATTTTGTGTTTTTCTGGGTTTTAAAGATACAGGACTTGATTTTTGATGAAAAATATGAAATTTTCAGAAAATTTTGACCCTGGAGCTCATTTTTAACGTAAAATCTGATAATTTTAAGGTTTTTATACCTTAGGGTCATTTTTCCTATAGAATTTTGTGTTTTTCTAGGTCCTGACACGATTTTCTAGGTTTTAAAGGTGCAGGATTTGATTTTTGATGAAAAATCTGAAATTTTCAGAAAATTTTGATCCCGGGGCTCATTTTTAACGCAAAATCTGATAATTTTAGGGTTTTTATACCCTAGGGTAAGTTTCCTTCAGAATTTTGTGTTTTTCTGGGTCCTGACACGATTTTCTGGGTTTTAAAGGCGCAGGATATGATTTTCGAGAGAAAATCCAAAATTTTCATCCCGAGGCTCATTTTTCATTGAAAATCTGATTATTTCAAGGTTTTATACCCTAGGAAAATTTTTCCTTCAGAATTTTGTGTTTTCTTGGGTCCTGACACGATTTTCTGGGTTTCAAAGGTGCAGGATTTGATTTTTGATGAAAGATTTGAAATTTTCAGAAAATTTTGACCCCGGGGCTCATTTTTAACGTAAAAATCACGATTTTTCGAGTTTCTGGTAGTACTGTAGATTAAAAGTCGTGTTGAGACCTGATTGAATTTTCCAAGTTTTTCTGCTTTTTTTCGAAGTACAATAGCACAAAAATCATCCAATTTTCACTAAAAAATTTGAAAATCCCCCGATTTTTTCTCAAAAATGTTAGCCCATTAATTTTCTTGCCGCTCCATAATTTTTCCAGACACAAAAAAATCAATTAAATTTTTTTTTGTAGTCTTCTTCTCCTTTTTTGCCCTATACAATTTCCGACTCGAAAATTTATTACTTTTCACTTTTTTTCTTGATTCGCTCGAGGAAATGGAGGATTTTGGATGGGATTCTTGGGAGGATTCAATTTTCTAAAAAAAACGTGTCAATCAAACCTCTACTGGCGCATTTCTAGTGTCAAGACCCCGAAATTTTGGTGCCACCAAAAATCCCAAATTTTTTTTTCGTAAAACCTTGGTGCCCCCCAAAATTTGTGTGTGTGTGTGTTGATAATTTAATTATCTCCCAGCTCCGCACTGCTCAAATTTTCCAAACATGTTTTTTTTTTCTTCGCGGCCTCTTCTTCTTCTTATTTATTTGTATTTCTTTCGTTTTCGCCGATCGTGCTCCGCGAGCACAGATTTTTGAGCAGCATCGAAAACACGAGTTTTTTTTGCTGTACACAATAATATGTGGGTGGTCTTCTCGAAAAATGCTCTTTTTTGACACCAAAAATGCGCCAGCTAGGAATTTGCTGACGCATTTTTTGTACAAAAATTAGATCAAATCAATAAGAAACCCGATCCCTAGTGGATTTTTCCGACTTTTTCCCCCCAAAAACTTTTTTGTTGCTCATTTTCTCCTAATTTCTGGCCGATTTTTGTCTTTTTGCCATGCTTTTATCCAATTAGTCACTAATTTTGGGCGGGGAAAAAGTTTTTGGGAATTTTTCATTCTAGGTTTTTTGTGTAGTTCTCTCGGAGGAGGATGTTTTTTGTAACCTGATATTCCTTTTTTTTGATAAAAAATCCAACCTGTTTTGCACCATCTGTTGAAATACTGTGCAAATATATGATCCCAAACACCATTTTTAATAAAATTACCAAAAAAATGCGTCAGTATACGATTTGCTGGCGTCTTTTTTGTAGGTTTTTTTCCTCCAGAAAAAAAATTATTTGAAGATGAATTTATATTTTTTTTTGGAGAGGCTCTTTCCCCCAGAAAAAAGTATTAAATTTCACATTTTCCTTCCTTTCCTCTCATTTTATTAAAGTGGGCTTTCCGCTGAAATTTGATAGGGGTTTTGGGATAAATTCTAGAAAATTTGGAGCATTTTGAGACCGAACTTGCTCATGTTTCGGCTCGAAATGCTCCAAATTTCACGTGGATTCTGAAACTTTTAAAAATTCTAGAAAATTTGGAGCATTTTGATACCAAACTTGCTCATGTTTCGGCTCGAATGCTCCAAATTCCACGTGGATTCTGAAACTTTCAAAAATTCTACAAAATTTGGAGCATTTTGATACCGAACTTGCTCATGTTTCGGCTCGAAATGCTCCAAATTCCACGTGGATTCTGAAATTTTCAAAAATTCTAGAAAATTTGAAGCATTTTGAGACCGAACTTGCTCATGTTTCGGCTCAAAATGCTCCAAATTCCACGTGGATTCTGAATCTTTCAAAAATTCTAGAAAATTTGGAGCATTTTGATACCAAACTTGCTTATGTTTAGGCTCAAAATGCTCCAAATTCCACGTGGATTTCAGAAATCTCATTTCCAGCTCGAAATTTGAAGCATTTTGAGACCAAACTTGCTCATGTTTCGGCTCAAAATGCTCCAAATTCCACGTGGATTTCAGAAACTTTCAAAAATTCTACAAAATTTGGAGCATTTTGAGACCGAACTTGCTCATGTTTCGGCTCAAAATGCTCCAAATTCCACGTGGATTTCAAAAATTCTACAAAATTTGGAGCATTTTGATACCAAACTTGCTCATGTTTCGGCTCAAAATGCTCCAAATTCCACGTGGATTTCAAAAATTCTACAAAATTTGGAGCATTTTGATACCAAACTTGCTCATGTTTAGGCTCAAAATGCTCCAAATTCCACGTGGATTCTGAAAATTTCAAAAATTCTAGAAAATTTGGAGCATTTTGATACCAAACTTGCTCATGTTTCGGCTCAAAATGCTCCAAATTCCACGTGGATTTCAAAATGTCATAAATCCACGTGGCATGCTCTGAAATTAAAAAAAATTCTGTATTCTTTCTTTCTTCTGTCTCTCATTTTCTTGTTCCCGACCGCCGCCAAAAAAATCGATAAAACTCTGTGCTATCAGGTTACAAAAACGCCTATTTATTTATTTTGCTGTGTACTTTTCTCCCCCCGACATTTTTTACTCAAAAAAAAAAAAAAAAAAATTTGGTGCGAAAAGCGCCAAAACAAAGGGTTTGACTTATTAGTTATTCTTTTTTTTGGGAAAATTTTTGTGAAAAAAGTGCACATTTTCTATGGTTACCAAAATTTTCTCGATGTTTTTATGTACATTTATGTACATATTGTGGGCCTTTTCTTTGCCTATGTGTCATAGTTTTTCTCTTTTTTCTGGGCACATTGATAAGAAATGAAATCTATAAGGTATTATATCACATTTATTTTCGATAAGAACCCTTTTTGGCACTTTTTTAATCGAAAAAATTGAAATTTTTGGATAATTTTGGCCTGGAAAATCCACGTGGCAAAATTGGGAATATTTTGATCTCTGACTGTCTGTTTTCTCTGCGTCTCTAACCTGGGCACACCTTTTTTAAGCTGGAAAAAATCCACGTGGCTTTGAATTTTGTTAGGATTCAGAATTTTTTAATTTGAAAAAAAAAACATTTTTTTCATATAGAGCCCCAGTTTTCAGCTTCAAATTTTTTTTTGGCTCAAAAATCCACGTGGCAAAAAATCTCTCTCTCTCTCTCTCTCTCTCTCTCTCTCTCACTTTCCCATGCTCTCTAGCCACCTGATTTCTCTGCGTCTCTACCCCTCTCGCTCTCTCACTCTCTGCTCCTAAAAATGATACATAAAGATAATAATAAGTGTCAAAAAAAAGTTAATGGCTCTTTCTTCTTGACTATTTTACTGTACTGATAAGGAAAATCGATATTTTTATATGGTTTTTAGGCACAAGAAAACCTTAACGCTCTTAAAATCCCTCCTGTTGTTTTCTAGAGCACAATGGACCCGACAGCCATGTATCCTGGCTATCTCCAACAATACGCCGCCACATCATCAACCGCCTCAGCAAGTCGACAGGAATATCCGCAAGCCGACCCGAGTTCCTCTAACTCACCGGCTCCCACAGTATCGCCGGGCTCAGCAAATCCAGTGTTAACTATTCGACTATTGATGCAAGGCAAAGAAGTTGGAAGTATCATTGGGAAGAAAGGAGATCAGATCAAAAAGATCCGGGAGGAATCTGGAGCGAAAATCAATATATCAGATGGAAGTTGTCCGGAACGAATTGTGACAATTACCGGAACTCTAAATGTTATCGGAAAAGCGTTTACGATGGTTTGCAACAAATTCGAGGATGACATGATGAATGCGATACCGAAACCGCCGATTACGATGCGATTGATTGTGCCGGCGACGCAGTGTGGAAGTCTGATTGGCAAGGGTGGCAGTAAGATCAAGGATATTCGAGAGGTGAGGGTTTTCGAAGGGGTTAGAACTTTTGTTGAGCAAACTTTTTCACTAAAAACGTCGAAAAGGGGTTAATTAATTAGGATTTAATCAAAATTTTAATTAAAAATTGTGTCAAAATTCACGATAAGTGATTTTTTCAACGATTTTTTGAGGCGTAGAAGGGGTTTTACGACGAAAGCCCGTAAAACTTTAAAAAAACCGGTGAACGTAAAAATTCCCAAAAATTTCAAAATTTTTGAGCTATTTCGGTTGATTTTCAAAATGTTGTAAGTATAAAGCATGAAAATCAAGCCTGAAGCCTGAATTTTTGAACTGAAAATCCACGTGGCGGGCTTTTCTGGTTATAGGGCCATTTTAGGCTATCTAGACTATACTATTTTTTTGTGACTTATAAGCCTAGAATATGCCTGAAGCATGAAAATTAAGCCTATAATTAATCTATTAACTGAAAACTCTTCCAGGCAACCGGTGCATCGATCCAAGTGGCCTCAGAAATGCTCCCACACTCAACCGAACGTGCCGTAACACTCAGCGGAACTGCCGACGCCATCAAACTATGTATGGTGCAAGTGTGTCAAATCCTGCTCGAAGCGCCGCCAAAAGGATCGACCATCTCGTTCCGACCGAAACCCACGTTCAATCCGCTGGTCATCGCCTCGTCGGCCGCCTCGATTGCCGCACAACAACAACAAGCGCAAGCGCAACAACAGATTGCCGCGTTGGTTGGCGGAGGACAGGTGAGAATTGCGGGCAGACCGGGTATGGGTTGAGACGAAAATTTTTGCGATTTTTTGACACCAAACATACCTAGGGACGAAATTCGGAGGGAGGGGGCTTAACTTTTGAAAATTTTGGGGTTTTTATGCTTTTTGGGATAAAAAATCAGCAAAAAATGGGTTAGGGGGGGGGTTAACTTTTCGAAAATTTCCCCTGGAAGGGGGGTTAAAGGCAGTTAGACAATTATTCCGGTTTTCCTCAAAGCTTAGTGTCAAAAATAGTTTTTTATGAAACGAACCAGTGAAAAAATTCCGAAATCATGAAAGTTTATACGAGCTGAGAAAATCTTGTGTTTTCAAAATTTCAAATTGCCCCCCACGTCCAGCGGATTTGTGTGTGTGTAAACACCGCGACGAATTTTTGCACAGGATGATTTGAAGTTTCATATTTTCACAATATGTCATCCCTATCTTTTGTTTGGTTCAAGTTTAACCCGGTTAAAGTCAGAGGCTTCGTGGGTAGTCTCCGTCAACCGGAATAGCTGTCTGACCGCCTTTAACTCAAGGGTCCCCGCAGCGACTAGTCCATGTATGCCTAGGTATGATTTCCCATCCCAAAAAACCCTGAATTTAATTCCAGGTTCAACAACATTTGGCACTTCTCCAACAGCAACAAATGGCACAAGAGGTAATTCAAAATTTTCAAACGAAATATTTTTTTTACTGATCGATTTTCTCCATTTATCCAACCTGGCATGTCTCACCTGCCCACCTTTGGAACCACCTTTTTTTGCTTTCGCATCAAGAAATTTCCTCTGCACGTTTTTTGACACCAAATCGTATTCGGTGTCAAAAAACGTTGCAAAATCCAAAAATGAAATCTATAGATTTTTCAGTTTCCCCCCCCCTCCCGACCCAAAAATCCGGTCTCACCCATCGTTTTTTCTCTCGTTTTCAGCTTGCTGCCCGTGCGGCACTTTACACCCAACACCAGCAACAACTCGGACTAATTCACACGGGTTCCGCTGGGGCTTCCGCACCGTCTGCCGCTTCTGCCGCCGCAAGCTCAACCGCTCAAGGTTTGTTCTCTCTCTCTCTCTTTCTCTACCCACCCTCTCTATTATCTACACTATCTCTCTCTCTTCTTTTAGCCACGCCCCCTTTTTATTGATTGATTTTCTCCTTGGAAAATGTTTTTGTTTTTGTGTGTTTTTCAGTGAACAAAATCTTGAAAAAGCCCCCAATTTTCAGTCAAAATCCTTGAATTCCAGAACTGTATATTGGTCAGAACGGTATGATTTACACGGCAGCCGCCGCAGCTCCGCAAACCGTTTTGACGGCCGACGGAAAAACGATCGATGCAAACACGTGGGCGATTTATGAGCAGCAACAACAACAGCAACAACAATTGTTGAATCAATATGCATTAGGACAAAGGTACGCGCATTTTTGCCTTTTTCGTGCGAAAATCTCAATTAAAATGTGGTTTTTCTGCTAATTTGCATGATTTTTTTGGCATATTTGGTGAAATTTTCGCCCCATCTCTCAAATGTTCCCTAATGTTGATTGATTTTCTTCCAGTATGCTAATGGGCACACCATTCATCAAAGGTGTCTCCTCAACTCCACCATCTTCAGTTGGCGCAACTGCCGCAGCTCAAGGTGCAGCCGCCCAACATCATCATCATCATCGCCAATCACAATCGCAACAACAAAAATCGGCGTCCGGAGGATCGGCGTCCTCATCGGCCAGATATAATCCATACTAACCAACGACACTCCACGTTAACACACACGTCTCTCGTTTCATGTGATATATACATACTTTTTATTTATTTATTGATGTTTTTTGGCCCCTGATTTCGCAACATCCAATTTTTCCAGATAACCCACCCTCGAGCTTCAGAAAATCCCCAAAAATTCTCCATTTTTGCACCTCATTTCACCGTTTTTTCAGTTTTTTCCCTCCAAGTTTCAATTGTGATCAGTTTTAGGATATATTTTATTGCAAAATTTTAATAAAGATTTTTATTTGATTGCTCAAAAATCTGTCAAATTTTCAGAAAAATTCAGAATCCACGTTTTTGCATAAATAAAAAGTGTGCGGCGCTTGCAGAAACAGTGTGCGGTGATTTACAAAGGGGCGGGGCTTGGTATTTTTACGAATTTTCCGCTCAGTATTTTGTGTAGTTCTCGAGGAAGAGCAAAGAGTTCAAAATGTTTTTAATCAGTTCTCCTTGAAACAAACCTCAACGCTGATAAATAGATTAATTTTCAACATTCCACACCCAAAATGCTCTTTGTGCTGCTCTTTCTTTTATTTTCTAGTCTACAAGCTGGTAGGCCTAGATCTGAAAATTCCAGAAAATTCTATATTTCAGCCAACTTATGTCCAAATGGCTGGATCTTCTCCCAATCCACATCCTATTGCTATTATATCTCAAATAACTCAATGACTTGGGATCAAGCCGGCCCGTTTTGTAGTTCAATTGGAGGATCTTTGGTGAATATATCGAGTAGCACAGAAGATCAGTACCTGGCAAATCTTACAATGATCTCTGCTCTTTGGCTTCAGCCGTGGATTGGAGCTCATAGAGCCACCGCAGATGGATTATTCTATGATTTGAGTGGTGAGAAGATATCCGATTCATATTGGGCTGCAAATGAACCTGGTGTGAATGGAGATTGTGCAAGTTATCGTGGACTTGGCACATCTACAGGAATGCAAGTTACACAGTGTTTCAGTTTGCAACCTGCACTTTGCAAACAGCAACCAGCATTGTGTCCAAATCAAACACAATATGGGGGAGCTTATACAAGATCGGGAAATATTACATCACCCGGATATCCTGTGCAATATTATAATAACTTGGATTGTATCTACACTATTAATTGTAAGATAACTAACTTTTTCTGAAAATTGCGACTCACTTTCAGCTCCAAATGGCACCTATATAACTATAAAATTCAGTCCATTCGACGTGCAATATCAATTTGATTCTGTAATAGTTTACGATGGTCCGAATACAACTTCAAAATACCTTGGAGAGCCCACATTCTTCGGACGGAACTCGTACGAAAGTTCGAGTAATGTTATGACATTTAAGTTCCACACAGATTCATCGATCACAAGTGAAGGATGGTTAACAACATGGGCGGCAAAGTGAGTAGGGATCCTAGAAAGCCCCCGCATAGTTTTTTGTCTTGCAGACCCGCAACACCAGCAATTCGTGTAACTGGAACTAATGGAACTCTACAATCTGGCAACTATCCAGAAAATTATGATGCTTATGCTGAGCAATTGTATTATATTTCAGTTCAATTTGATTTTCAGATAAACTTGACTATCACTGATTTCGATACTGAAACAAATTATGATGTTTTGCAAGTGTATAACGCATCATATATCTCAACCTCTACTCTAGTTGCCAAGTGAGTTACCCTAAATCTTGGAAAGCCACTTCAAAATGATTTTCTAGCTTGTCTGGAAGCTCTGTTGCTCCATGGAACATTCTATCACCCTCCAATTATTTGACACTGAAATTCACTTCTGATGGATATTTACAAAAGAAAGGATGGTTTGCGAATTGGTTTATTCAATAAATAAATGTTTCTCGATTTCTAGAAAAGCTTCAAAAATCTGGGTGTCTTCAGCGCTAGCGATTTCTCAACAAATCGATGCGCCTTTAAATAATAGGCGGATTCGTTGAACTTCTTTGCCAACATCTTTCGCACCAATTGAAGTCCATCCTGGTTGATTTTGAAAGGGCCGGCGGTGTCGAGAAGATTTCCGTTTTCGTCCATTTTCGCCGGCTTGCCGGTGAGCAATTTGTGAAGAATTAGGCCGAGTTGGTGGATGTCTTCAGAGCGAGATTCGATGCTAAAATATCGTTTTTTTTTTCAAATTTCTTTTTAAAAAAGCAAAATCTTACAGTTCATCCCCATTAATTTTCCTCAAATTCGCTCGATTAATGAGCAAGCAAATCATCGGTCGAGCACAATTCTCCTGAAGAAAATGAATATTGTCCAAATTGATCGCCAGATGTGATAATTGATTTGTATGCAGTTGAATCAGCGCCTGAGCCAAGTCATTCAAAATCATCGCCGACATCCAATCAGGAAGTGGGAATTCACCATATCTTTGTAAATATTCGGATAGTGAGAGCCATGTTTGATTGGTTGAGGTGATAAGATTCGAATCCTCGTTTTTTGGAGATCTTTTTTCGGCGGCGATTATATTTGTGATATATTCATAGTCTTCTCTGCAAAAATTGGATTTTTAGGCTCAAAAAATCTGAAATTTTCAGCCAAATAACTCACTCATAATCCATATCCACACAAATCATATTATTCTCCTTCAAACTTTGACGATTCGACATTTCCGAAGTTGGAATATATTGCTTATTTCCGGGCGTTCCAACATAGTTACTACTGCTATTTCGCTTCATTTTTCGCTTTTTGCGGGGAAAAACTGTTTCCGATTCGGAAAATTATCAAAAATGCGGGAAAAATTACGGGGGGAAAGCGGTCACGTGAAAAAAAAACCAAAAAAACTCGACCTACGACACTCCGTTTGTGCGCTTGCCCGTTGTTTAGCGAAATAAAATTCGTAATTTTTTTTCTAGAAAGTTGTAATTTTTGATTTTCTTGCTTATTTTATGCTAAATTTATATTTTTCACTGAAAAAAATATGTTTGAAAATTCGGCTTTTCGCAAGAAAACTTGAATTTTATCGAAAAATCGATTTCCTCGAAAAATACGCACAAATCTGATAGTTTTATTGTTAGATTTCCTAAAAATTTATTGAATAAACCAATTCGCAAACCATCCTTTCTTTTGTAAATATCCATCAGAAGTGAATTTCAGTGTCAAATAATTGGAGGGTGATAGAATGTTCCAGGGAGCAACCGAGCTTCCAGACAAGCTAGAAAATCATTTTGAAGTGGCTTCCTAAGATTTAGGGTAACTCACTTGGCAACTAGAGTAGAGGTTGAAATATATGATGCGTTATACACTTGCAAAACATCATAATTTGTTTCAGTGTTGAAATCAGTTATAGTCAAATTGATTTGGAAACCATAAGCAACTGAAATATAATACAATTGCTCAGCATAAGCATCATAATTTTCTGGATAGTTGCCAGATTGAAGAGTTCCATTAGTTCCATTAACTCGAATTGGTGGAGTTGTGGGTCTGCAAAACAAAAAACTATGCGGGGTTTTCTAGGATCCTTACTCACTTTGCCGCCCATGTTGCTAACCATCCTCTATCCGTGTAAGTTGAATCTGTGTGAAACTTAAAAGTCAACACATTACTCGAACTTTCGTACGAGTTTTTTCCGAACCACGAAGGTTCTCCCAAATATTTCGAACTTGTATTCGGACCATCGTACATTGCAACATAGTCAAGCTCATATTCGACGAGATATGGATCGAATTGAATTGTGATGTATGTGCCATTTGGAGCTGAAAGAGAAAAAAGTTATGACGTGGCAATTTTCAGTTAGTTATCTTACAATTAATAGTGTAGATACAATCCAAGTTATTATAATATTGCACAGGATATCCGGGTGATGTAATATTTCCCGATCTTGTATAAGTTCCCCCATATTGTGTTTGATTTGGACAAAATGCTGGTTGCTGTTTGCAAAGTGCAGGTTGCAAACTGAAACACTGTGTAACTTGCATTCCTGTAGATACACCAAGTCCACGATAACTTGCACAATCTCCATTCACACCAGGTTCATCTAAAAGACTTTGAAATCTAGATATTTTTCCGGTTTTTTATCGCTTACTTGTAGCCCAATACGAACTGTATACCCTATAACCTCTTGGATCGTAAAAATAACCATCTGTGGAATTTCTATGAATCGCTAGCCATGGTTGAAGCAAATAGCTAGAGGTCAGATTTTTCACAAATGTGCTCTCTGTAAAGCTGGTGATGTACACTGAAGATCCTCCAATTGAACTACAAAATGTGGCGGCTTGATCCCAAGTCATTGAATTGTTTGAGACATAGTAGCAATAGGAGTTGGCTGTTGAGAAGGTCCAACCATTTGGGCATAAGTTGGCTGGAAATTTAAGATTTGGCTGAAATTATAGTGTTATAGTGTTATAGCCTACCAGCTTCCAAACTAGAGACAAATAGAAAAATTAGCGGAAAAAGCATTTTGAAACCAAAAACCATTATCATCAAAAAATTGAGAAGGGTCGTAAATTTTCTTTTTCGCTCTGATAAATTTCATTATTTGCTCTTTTCACAAAATGCTACCGTTTTGGCTGGTTTTGGCTCTAGCTTTATCTACGTCAGAAGCTGGTAGGTTATAAGACTATAATTTCAGCAAATCCAAAATATTCCAGCCAACTTATGCCCGAATGGTTGGACCTTCTCAACATCGAACTCCTATTGCTATTATATCTCAAATAATTCAATGACTTGGGATCAAGCCGGCCCATTTTGTAGTTCAATTGGAGGATCAATGGTGTATGTGTCGACATACACGGAAAGTGTATTTTTGAAAAATCTGAGCTCTTATAATCTCCTTCAACCATGGATTGCGGCTCGTAGAAACACCACAAATGGCAATTTTTATGATTCAAAGGGTTATACTATACCAAAATCTTATTGGGCTACAAGTAAGCTATTAGCTGGGGAGAAATATTGAAGTTTCAAAGTCTTTTAGATGAACCTGGTGTGAATGGAGATTGTGCAAGTTATCGTGGACTTGGTGCATCTACAGGAAGGCAAGTTACACAGTGTTTCAGTTTACAACCTGCACTTTGCAAACAGCAACCAGCATTGTGTCCAAATCAAACACAATATGGGGGAGCTTATACAAGATCGGGAAATATTACATCACCCGGATATCCTGTTCAATATTATAATAACTTGGATTGTATCTACACTATTAATTGTAAGATTACTAACGCCCGCTTGCCACGTCATAACTCAGTTCTTTCAGCTCCAAATGGCACGTATATCACGCTTCAATTCAATCCATTCATCGTGGAAGATGATTATGATTGGGTTTTTGTTTACGATGGTCCGAACACAACTTCAAAATACTTGGGAGAACCTTACTATTATGGACGGAACTCGTACGAAAGTTCGAGTAATGTGATAACTTTCAAGTTCCATACAGATTCATCAGGAACTGATAGAGGATGGTTAGCTTCATGGGCGGCAAAGTGAGTAGGGATCCTAGAAGGCCCCCCGCATAGTTTTTTGTCTTACAGACCCGCAACACCAGCAATTCGTGTAACTGGAACTAACGGAACTCTTCAATCTGGCAACTATCCAGAAAATTACGACGCTTATTCTGAGCAATTGTATTATATTTCAGTTGCTTATGGTTTCCAAATCAATTTGACTATCACTGATTTCAACACTGAAACAAATTATGATGTTTTGCAAGTGTATAACGCATCATATATCTCAACCTCTACTCTAGTTGCCAAGTGAGTTACCCTAACTTTTCATAATATCTTATGATTTTTTTCTAGCTTGTCTGGAAGCTCTGTTGCTCCCTGGAACATTCTATCACCCTCCAATTATTTGACACTGAAATTCACTTCTGATGGATATTTACAAAAGAAAGGATGGTTTGCGAATTGGTTTATTCAATAAATAAATAAATTCACTTCTCCCACGGCATTTTCTTCCCATTTTGATACGATGTATCATACCATTCCTTGATCAACGCACTCAAAACCCCATCAACATCTGCTGTATTATAAGCATTACACGACCAAATAACATCAATCATATATCGAATCTTTTTCTCTGCGTCTTTGTTGATTGGCGGAGCTGTATATTCTTTGAGGAATAGCCATTTTTTGTAGAGCATTTCCAAATTGTTGGTGGCTGTTGCCCATTCCAATTTTTTGTCGTGCACCACTTCATAGATCATATAGATCCATGATTCGAAATCGTCGGCTATTCCGAGTCGTTGACCTTTGTGTTGACGGCGAGATGTGAAGCGGTTGGGTTGAGCGATACGGACTTTTTTTCTGCAAAAAAATTAGAGCATTTTGAGCCTAAACTTGAGCAAGTTTGTGCTCAAAATGCTCCAAATTCCACGTGGAATCTGAAAATCCATCTCCCCTCCCAAAATTACCCACTCCTTATCATAATCCTGAACAAGTTTCAATCTAACCGTGGCCGTAAATCCCGAAAAAACAATCATGCTCGGCGTATTGGCACTCAACGAAAACGAGCTGGGTTGAATATCAAAATGTGCACAATTCACCTCATGAATCTCTTGAATACTCAAAAACGTTTCGCGAACAATGTGCGTATAGACGTAGGGCTCGAGATTGTGCAAATCTTTGAGCACATCCGCAAAACATCGACCAGTGCGGCTGGTTAACAGGTAGTGCACATTGCCAACGTCGCCAGATTGGTAGATTCGAATCGCGCGGTTTGAGCCGTTTTTGTTGAGACGCACCAGGGTTATTCCCTCGTTCTGCAAAAAAAAGTGTGCAGCGGGTGGGGATCGAACCTGGGTTCCACGAATGTTAGGCACGAGTGTATACCACTAGGCCACACAGCTGTTTTCTCTCGTTGCCGAAAATGTCGCATATAAAATGCGCGCGCTCACCTTAATCCTGCTCGCATTTTTGTCTTTCAACTCGAATCGAAAATCGAATCGATTTGTGTCGACGAAACCGCGAGCCTCGACACATCCGAATTCGCCTTTCACGTCGTGTCGGAAACGAAACGGCGCATTTTCGATGAACACTTTATCGCCGGCTTTGTAGTGAAGCACATCGGGATTTTTTTCGGATTTTTTTTCGGTCTGGAAATTGGAGGAGGTTCAGGAGGTTCCTTGAATCTAGAAGCCTAGAAGGCCCTCTGGAAAATTCCTGAGGCCCCCTGAAGCCTGAAATGCCCTCTGAAGCCTGGAAGGACCTTCTAAAAATCTTTGAGGCCCCCTGAAGTCTCAAAAGCCGTCTGGAAAATCCCTGAGGCCCCCTGAAATCTAGAAATCCCTCTGAAAAATCCCTCAGGCCCCCAAAGTCTCTGAGGCCCTCTAGAAAATCGCTGAGGCCCCCTGAAGTTTCTGAAGGCCCCATGGAAAATCCCTGAGGCCCCCTGAAGTTTCTGAAGCCCTCTAAGGCCCTCTGAAGCCTGTTAGGCCCCCTCTGAAGTCTCTAAAGCCCTCTAAGGCCCTCTGAAGCCTGTGAGGCCCCCACTAAAGTCTCTGAGGCCCTCTAGAAAATCCCTGAAGCCCCCTAAAGTCTCTAGGGCCCTCTGGAAAATCCCTGAGGCCCCCTGAAGCCCCCTAGCCCCCCTGAAGCCCTCTAGGCCCCCTGAAGCCCTCTGAGGCCCCCCTGACCTCCATAATTTTTGCTCGTGTTTTTTTTGTTTATCCTTTGGGTTCCTGGCCAAAAATTCTCTAAAAATAGCGGATAATTTTTTTTTGCGCCGCCCAAATTTTGCTCAAAATGACGTGGCAGGTTTTCACGTCACGTTTTCCCGAATTCTTTCACATTTAGAAATTTGAAATATTCAAAAAATGCTCAAAATTTTTCTGATTTTCACAATTTTTTTGCAAATTCAAGCCTGGGAGACTCGTAGGTTTCTGAAGTTTTCCTGAAAATTTTCTGAAATTCAAACTTTCAGCCGGTTGTGCGAAATTCCACGTGGCAGCCGAATTTGACACGTGGCAATCGATTGCCACGTCACAGGAGTTGAGTTTGGCCGAGATTTTTGCGTTGAATTTTGGTGTGGCAAAGCGATTTGAATCGGGAGCCAAAATTTGTGTCGCGCACCGTAAACCCGGAGTGTTGTTGCCGTGGGCGTTGAAGGTTTTGGATGACAAGAATGAGGATTTGGTGCAGTGAGTTACCGTAGTTTTTTTTGCCGCCAACAAAAAAATTCAAATATTTTTTTCCAGACCCTACGATATCGATTCAAAATATCGAAAACCAACTCCAAAACATCAACCAGGATTCCCGCCAATTTGAAATTTTTTTCAAAAATAAATTTTTCCCACCCTCCTCCAAAGTTTTCACAGTCTTTTCTCATTTTCGCAGGCGAGAGAGCGCTAGAGACGCAGAGAATGCAGACAGAAAAAGGCACGCGGTGTAGGATATTGATTGTGTTGGGGCCCGTCTCGCGCACTCCTCTCCCCACACACTCTCTCGCCCTCGCCTCACATTTTCGTGTGGCATTGACAGCGAGCGAGAAAAAGGGGTTTTTCGGCTGTTTCCATGTGATTTTTGCTGAAATTTTATGTTTTCTTTGTTCGATTGCATTTTTTTCGTTGAAATCGCTACTGTTTTTCAAGGCGCATCTCGCGTTTTTCGATGAAATTCGTTTTAAAAAATGTATTTCAAAAAAAAAAACGTTTAGGGCTACTGTATTTTCAAGGAACATACCAAATTTTGTTTGTTCGCTGCGAGATATCTCTCGGAAATTCTGTGCGCCTTGAAAACATCTTTTCTTTATTTTTTTTTCGTTTGCTCCCTAAACTCTCATTTTTCTCGTGTTTTCCTGGGAATTTTTGATTTTCTAGGAGTAAATAGAGTTTTTAAAGGGACATGGGTAGTTTTTCATGAGATTTCCCATATTTTTAATGCGAGAAAATGTTTTTCTCCCGGGAAAAAACATTTTTTCATGTTTTTTTCTATTTTCATCGCTTTGGCCTCTTATCAAACCCATCAATCACGTGATAATTTCAGAATCACAACCCGGCTGAAAATCAATAATACAAAAATCAAGAAAGAAAGAAAGAAAGCCGTGCGCGATTTTTGAATGGCCAAAAAAGACGCGCCATCGGCGCCTATCCCAATCGGTGCGGGACCCGGAAAACGTGGCGAACGCAACAATTCCGACGCCAATCCCGATGATATGTCGATTTTATCGTATCCAGTAAGAATTTTAGCTGAAAAACAGCTGTTTTTCTCTCCGCCTCTTGAAAAAATCCCATTTTTTCAGTATACATTCGACGAGCGGTTTTCTCTGGAACCCAGATCGGTAAGTATAGATTTTTTTTTGTTTTTTTCTCAAATTTTATCAAAAAAAAAAATAAAGTGAAAGTTGTTTTGTGTTGTTATCAGCCCAAAAAACCTTGTTTTCTCTCCAATTTCAATTTCAAAATATTTCTATTCGCCAAATTTTTCTTGGCTTTTTCATGAAAAAAAACAGCTGATAAGTTAGACTAAGTTATCTCTTTTTCGTTGAAAAAAAATAGTATAGAAAATCTGAGAGAAATTATTACAATCATCGATTTTTTCGACTAAAACAATATTTGATCTCTGCGTCTCTCAAATTCCTCGTGCTCTCTCGCTTTTTGCGCAGTTTTTTGATTTTCAACATAGAAAAATCATTTTTCACTGAAAATGCTCCAATTTTTCTCCCTAAAAATGAGAAAAGTGAGTTTTCCTCGAAAAACGGCGATTTTTGTGTAGTTCTCTCGGAAAACTTAGGTTTTCCACAAGAACTACACACAAAAGTTCAAATACGCTCTATTGATAATCCTGAGTTTTCCAAGAGAACTATACAAAAAAAAAAGAAAATGCGCCCCATTGAGAATTGTTCGGTTTTCCAAGAGAACTACACAAACAATTTTCATTGGAGCGCATTTGCTTTCTCGTGTAGTTCTCTTGGAAAACCTGGGTTCTCCAAGAGAACTACAAAAGAAGGAGCTCTTTATGGCCTAGAAAACCAACTAGACAATTTTCTAGGCCAGCAGAAGCTCTTCGTTTTGTAGTTCTCTTTGAAAGCCCGAGTTCTCCAATAGAAATACACAACAAAGAGCTTTTGATGGCCTAGGAAACCAACTAGATAATTTTCGTGGCCTAGAAACCCAAACCAACCCCAATTCCCCGTGTAGTTCTCTCGGAAAACGCGAATTTCTTGCAGTCGCCGAACACCACACGTCACTCCTACGCCTTTGGCAATTCGCCAATCATGGAAACCTCCACAACATCAATCCACACCGCCCAAAATCATCATCAGAATCTGAACCAGAATCAGACATCTCAAATTCTGAATACACCAGACAACACCAATAGCTCCACCCAAAACAACATCAGCAGCAGCAGCAGCCACAACAACAACAAGAAGCTGATGAAACTCGATTTGGATTTGCTGGTGATCGGCGAACATGTGATTCGAGTTACTAGCGATGATGTTTGCCACGTGGAAGGCGGATCGATTATGTTGACCAATTATAGGGTGAGTTTGTTGAGAAATGGGAGATTTTGAGCCAAATTTTGAGATTGATGAGGAAAAATGACGAAATTTGATATAGAAAATGTGAATATTCATGAAAAATCGATTTTTCAATGATTTTAAGCAAACATAAAGAAATTTGATATAAAACGTGTAAAAATTGAAGAAATGACGTGTTTTTTGAAAAAAAGAGTTTTTTTCTCATTTTTAGATTTTCAAAATGGTAAAAATGTGAGATTTTTTGATTGGAAAAACGAGAAAATTCGGAATTTCCGACCAAAAATTATTAAAAATATGAATTTTTGACCAAAAACCATGAATAAGGTGATTTTTCGGCTCGCCGAGCAATTTTTCATTGAAAATACGATATTTTCACACCTGACGAGACGTGTCCAAAATGGACACTGTACATTTTTTTCAAAGGTCACACTGCATTTTTTTTCGAAAAAAAACTTTGTTTCCTTTTCATCAACATTTAACTTGGGGAAATAAATGCACATTTAGTTCAGTGGTAGGCCATTTTGCTAGTGTTCAGAAGGCCCAGGTTCGAATCTTCATTCGAGCTAACTTTTTTTATTTTTTCCCAACTTCAAAAACAACTTCAGCTTGCGAATTTTTCGAAGTTTCTCGGTGAAAATCAACTCAGCAGACTTTGTTTTAGTGTTGTAACATAATGTGCAGTGTGGAATTTACGTGACTGCTTAGCAAACCATAGTGTCACTGAAATTTCAAAAAAATTGACTTTCTATGAAAAAACTTCAAATTCCACACTGCACATGGGTAAATTCAAAAACTACGCTTAAAAATACACCAACTTTTTGAATATACCAACCCTTGATATGTGCTCGGAAAAAAATGCCGTCCGATTCTTTGTAATGTCCATATTTACCATTGAAATGGACACTCCAAAATAACAGCGAAATAGGGCATTTCCACACTGCACTCATGGTTTTCCACACTGTCTATGACCTTAGCAATCTATTGGAAAAAAATCAACTATATCCGTTAAGCCTAAGCTTAGTTATCCTAACTTCAAATTTTGAACAACGTTGCAACGCATTCGTTTGAAAACAGTTTCCTTTCCACCAACATTTTCCCCTCAGGTGAAAAGAGAGATGTAGCCGAGAGGTTAGCATTTTAGACTGGCGAGCATGATACCAGGGTTCGAATCCTCCTGCCCGCGGACTTTTTTTTTTCGAAAAACGTGAAAATTTCACGCTGCACATTTTTTTTTGAAAAAAATTTTCACACTGCACAAAAAATTTGGGACACTCTCTCGTCAGGTGTGGATATTTTCGACCAAAAAATGAATAAAAACCAAGAAAATCGTGATTTTTTGACTCTCCGATCAAATTTTGGATTTCTAGGCCATTTTTTGGTTTTCTAGGCCAGAAATTGAGCGAACCATGGCCTAGAAATCCAAAAACGTGGCCTAGAAATTCAATTTTTGCAAAATTGGGTTGTCCAAGAGAACTACACAAAAATCCATCAGAAGCAAATGCGCTCCAATGAGAACTTCACGAAAATTCTCATTGGAGCGCATTTTCTTTTTCGTGTAGTTCTCTCGGACAATTCAGGATTATCAATAGAGCGTATTTGAACATTCTATGGCCCAAAATCTGTGAAAATTATGATTTTTCCAGATTCTGTTCCTTTCGGATACTTCTCCTCAAACTCTACTGATCTACACATTAATGGAACTCGAAATAATCGATTTACGCGAACAAAACCAAGTTATGATAACTATGAAAGGCGGTCGTATTCAACAATTCCTATTTTCGACGTCAGCCGATTCGAACACGTGGCATCGAATTCTGACCGATATCGTAAAAGTGCTAAATTCGTCGCAAAACGTCGTGAAAACTGGAGGAATCATCAAAAAACATCATCATTCCAACGTCGATTTTGTTGATGAGATTCGCATCGATTGTTTTGCGTGGGCATTTTGTGCTGCTGTTCAGAAATTCGAGGATTTGAGATGGTTGAAATCGGAAGGATCTTATACACCCGAAATTGTTGGAGTCGATTTTAGGCGATTGAATATGCATGAGCATTTTAAGATTACGGCGATTAATGAGGATTTTAAGTGGGTTTTTTTTTTTAAATTTGCAATTTCTGAGAAAAAATTGTGTTTAAACGATGCTCCGCACAGGGGTTTTATTACTACCGAGAATTAATCACGTACAAAACATTTTATGTGACGACAAAAAACCTCCGCAAACAGCGCGCTACGTGGCCGACAAAAAAAAACAATAACGTGTGGCCGGCCTCGCGAGATGTCCGTCGCTGCAAACACACATATAGCCCGACTTTTTTCTTTTTATTTGTGTCTTTTGAGCCAAAGGGTTTTCAATTTTCTTTTTGAAAATATGAAAATATAAGCTCCGCCCACATATCTGTGCGGAAAAAGATGGGCGGAGCCAAATTGCTCGATTACAATTTTACATTGACTCGGTAGTGAAAAAACCCCTGTGGCTCCGCAATTACAGCGGTGTAAAAATATTCAAAATTCATCATTTTTCACATTTCTAGGATCAAAATTCATCAAAAACCCAAAAATTTGCAATTTTTGACCCAGAATTAGCCTAGAATCGATTTTTAATGTGAAATTGTGTTTGAACAATGCTCCACAGTTACGCCTTCAGTTTTTTCCACTAAAAATTGTGAAAATCGATATTTTACATCAAAAATTCATGTAAATTTCAATTTTCAACGAAAATCTTGTGAAAGTCTGGTTTTTTATACCCAGAACCTGTAAATTTTCCATTTTTTTTCAGTTTTCAGTTCAAAATTTGGAATTTTTATGAATTTTAAGCCTAGAAATGTGAAAAATGATGAATTTTGAGGATTTTTCAGCATAGTGTAATTCCGGAGCATCGTTTGAAAAAGTTTTTGATTCGAAATTGATTCTAGGCTAATTTTAGGGCATTTTTCATGAATTTCAGCTCAAAATGATCTGAAAATCCAAATTTTTTCAGAGTTTGTCCAAGTTATCCACGAAAAGTGATAATTCCAAAAGGAATGGACGAAGATGAGCTGAAAAAAGCGGCCCAACATCGAAGTTCGAATCGATTTCCGGCTGTGATTTGGAGGTGTCGAAATACGGTAGGTTGGGGCTTTTTTTAGCGAAAGATCATTAAAATTGTTCAATTTTCACCCAGAAAACTCGATTTTTCACCGAAAATTCGAAAAAAAAATCCCATTTTCATTCCAGAATGCCACACTTTTACGAAGTTCTCAACCGCGAATCGGAATTTCTGGATTTGGTCGAAGTTTGGAAGACGAGAAGCTGTTCGAAGAGGTTGTCAGATGCTCGCAAAAAGAGGGACAAGAGCCGAAGACTTTTGTGATTTTGGATTGTCGAACATATACGGCAGCAATGGCGAATCGATTTAAAGGAGGAGGATCTGAATATGCGGGTTTGTCAAGGGGAAAAATCGATAATTTTGAGCTGAAATTCATGAAAAATGACCTAAAATTAGCCTGGAATTGATTTCTGGTTCAAACGATGCTCCGGAATTACACCAGGTGTAAAAATCCTCAAAATGCATCATTTCCCACTATTTTTGATTTGAAATTGATGAAAAATGACCTAAAATTAGCCTAGAATCAATTTTTAATTCAAACGATGCTCCGGAATTACACCATACTTAAAAATCCCCCAAATCCCTCTAATTTTTCCAGAATACTATCAACGTGCTCAAATCGATTTCCTCGGGCTCCCAAATATTCACGCAGTTTCAAGCTCATTCAATGCGATGCGAAATTTGTTGAATGGAAACACGAATCAGGACCAATTGCTTACTGTAGGCGCTTTTTTGGGCGGGAAAAATTGAATCTTTTGGGATTTTTGGGACTCTGAAATTACCAGAAATTCAAAAAAAGCATTTTTTGTAATTTTAGGTGACGTGAAATTACGAGAAATGCATATTTTGCTTAAAATTGAATTTCTGGTAATTTTAGGTGACGTGAAATTACGAGAAATTCAAAAATTACCTTAAAAATGTCCTAAACCCTATATTTTCCTTACAGTCCCTCCAAAACACTGGCTGGTTCCAAAATATCAGCAATCTCCTCTACTCAGCATCACGATGTGCCGAATATTTATCAAAAGGACACTGTGTTCTCGTGCATTGCTCAGATGGTTGGGATCGAACTGCACAAGTGACATCGTTGGCAAAATTGATGTTGGATGAATATTATCGAACTGTTAATGTGGGTTTTTGGGGGGATTTGGAGCATTTTGAGCCCAAATTTTATATGAAAACCAGGATTTTTAGGTTTTTCATGAAATTTGGAGCATTTTGAGCTCAAATTTGATATGAAAATCTGAAAATTTGAATTCTCATGAAATTTAGAGCATTTTGAGCCCGAATTTGACCTGGAAACCAGATAATTTGCTCAAAAACCTGGATTTTCAGCTTTTTCATGAATTTTTAAATTTTCAGATACAAATTTCAGCCTGAATTTGATTTTTCAACCCGAAATTCTTCTATTTTTACAGGGTTTCGAAGAGTTGATTCGAAGAGAATGGCTTGATTTTGGACACAAATTTTATGATCGACAACAGTATGGTAAGTGTTTTTTTAGGGGGAATTTGGAAAATTTCTGAAATTCTGGAATTTTTTTCAAGTGAAAATCTGAAAATTCAGGTTTTCTAATCAAATTTGGGCTCAAAATGCTCCAAATTTTATGAATATTCAATTTTTCACCTAAAAATTTCGAGAAAATCTGACAAGGGAACCTTTTTTACTCAACACTTCAAATCATGATGAAATTTTGTCCATAGACAGCTTTTGGGACCATAAGAACACCCTAAAAATTTTAGTCTCCCAATGGACCTCTGAGCCAAGTTCTGGGCTCTCAAAAGTTCAAAAAGGCCTAAAAATGGTCATAAAAGTCATCATAGCTCTATTTCAAAATTTTTTTTGGGAGAAATGAAGTTTCAGATATTGATCAGCATAGTCGATTACCTAAAAGTACATCAATAAAAAACTTTATTTCGAAAAATTTTGAAGTTTTTTATTTTTGGGCTGAAAATTCATGAAAATTCATATGTGCCCCTGCTCATTCTTTTTTTCAAAATCAAAAATTTTTCTGAAAATTTGATTTATTGATGCTTTTTGGGTAAATCGACCACGCTGATCATCATCTGCTACTCAGTTTTTCATAAAAATTATCGAAAATTGAGTTATGACGTGTTTTATGAGCCAATTTTGGCAATTTTCGAACTTTTGAGAGCCCAGAACTTGGCTCAGAGGTCCATTGGGAGACTAAAATTTTTAGGGTGTTCTTATGACCCCAAAAGCTATCTATGGACAAAATTTCATCATGATTTGAAGTGTTGAGTAAAAAAGGTTTCCTTGTGAAATTTCAAGTCTTCGAGCACAAAAATCGATAATTTCTATCCAAACTCCAAAAAAATGCCAAGTTTGGGCTCAAAGTATTCAGAATTTTATGAAAAATCTAAAATTTCACGCAAAAATCTGAAAATTCATGTTTTCTAGTCAAATTTGAGCTGAAAACATTCAGAAATTCAAGAAAAATCTGAAAATCAAGAATTTCCAGCAAATCCCAGTAGTTTGGGCTCAAAATATTCAGAATTCTCTAGATATACTTGAATTCTAATTTTTCTAGTCAAATTCGAGCTCAAAATGCTCCAAATTTTATGAAAATTCAATTTTTCAGACAAAAATTTCGAAAAAAATCTGAAATTTCAAGTCTTCGAGCACTAAAATCGATAATTTTTATCCAAACTCCAAAAAAAGCCAAGTTTGGGCTCAAAATATTCAGAAATTCAAGAAAAATCTGAAAATGAAGAATTTTCAGCAAATCCCTGTAGTTTGGGCTCAAAATATTCAGAATTCTCTAGAAAATCTGAAATTCTAAGTTTTCTAGTCAAGTTTGAGCTCAAAATGCTCCAAAATTTTACAGCGCTCTCAAATTGGGATTCCGTCGAACGTTCTCCAATCTTCCTTCAATTCCTCGAAACAGTTCGACATTTACAACGAGAACAACCATGTGCCTTTGAATTCACCCACGCTTATCTCATCAAATTGGCTCAACACGCCTATTCTGGCCTTTTTGGCACTTTCTTATTCAATTGTCAACGCGAAAAAGAAGAAGCGCTGAAGGAGCGGAAAAAAGAGAAATTGGTCGAAATTTGGAGGTTTTTGGGAACTCATAATGCCGAATTTGTTAACCAAACATTTGATAATGAATATAAGGGACCACTCAAGACTATGAATTTTGGAGTTTTGCATTTGAGAGCATGGCATGAGGTTTTTACCGATGAGGAGGAGAAATTCACCGTAAGTTGGGATTTTTCGCGGGTTTTTCGGTGAAAATTGTGGATTTCCCAAAATTTTGATGAAAAATCGATTGTTCAATAGAGCACAATTGTACAATTTTTTCAAGAATTGGTTTTTTCTGTGAAACTTTTGATTCAAAAACAGTTTCCAGCCAGAAATCCTGAATTTTTCATGAAAATTGTCGATTTCCCAACCAAATTTGAAAATTTTGATGAAAAACCGGGTTTTTCATCAAAAAAAAAGGTTCAAAATTTGAAAATCTACACTAAAAATCAATAGTTCAATAGAGCACACTTGTACAATTTTGTCAAAAATCGGGTTTTTCACCAGAAAGTAGGTTAGAGGTCGAAATCCTGAATTTTTCATGAAAATTGTGGATTTCCCAGCCAAATTTGAAAATTTTGATGAAAAATCGATAGTTCGATAGAGCGCACTTGTGAAAATCATATTTTTGACCAAAAAAATTCGAAATTCAAATTGACCCACTAAAAATCGATAATCAAATGCGCTCTAGCGAACTCGAGAAAATTCACAGAAAAATTCAAAATTTAAATATCTGTTAAAAAATTGATAGTTCAATAGAGCGCAGTTGCACGAAATTGAGAAAAATTGAATTTTCGACTGTAAAATTTGAAATTTTTGGTTGAAAATCAATAGTTCGATAGAGTTTGATCATATCAATGCAAATTTCTAGAAAAAAACCAATTTTTCTGAAAATGTTCAAATTTTTCCACTACAAACCATTAGTTCGGTAAAGCGCGTTTGCTTCTAAAATTCAAAATTTCAGAAAAATTCAAATTTTTCTACTGAAAATAAAAAAATCAAGTTCGATAGAGCGCACTTGATTCCCCTCTTCCCCCAAAAATTCCCATATTTCTAGAATCTCTACAAACCGAACACAATTCAATGCGCGCTAACACCAAGCGGAAGTACACCACCAAAAGAAATCTGCGAACGGCCGGCTTCCGGATGCGGAAACACAATAACCATGTCACAATCAACAACAACTTTAATCAAATCGAAATCGTCCGAATCGATAAGTTCAATCAATATCGATCCAAATCAATCATCCCACAATAATCATATAGTATCATCACCACCAAATTCATGTGCTGATCCATTAGCTCCGCCCCCTTCTTCAGCTTCTTCCTCATTATGCCATAATAATAGTTTTGTCGCCGATGCTTCGATTATTATGCATCAAAGTCAGACGACACATCATTGGCAATCGAGAAGATCAGTGACTGATGTTCAGGATTTGATGGATTTCGATGGAATGCTCAAATATTATGATGAGGAACAAGAGGTTCAACGGAGGATTAAAATGAAACATTGGGTGAGTTTTGGGTGCAAAAAAACGTGTTTTTTTAATGAAAAACTAGACCAGGATGGTTTTTTATCATAAAAAATCGTTGCAAACGCGAAATTTTGGTTTTTAGTACGATTTTACCTTGAAAATCGTCCTCTCTTCGAAAATATGGACTAGGAAACCAAGACGTTTTCGTTTCCTAGGACGTTTTGGTTTCCTAGGCCGCGAAGGTTTTTTCTTACGATTTTTACCATAAAAAATCGTTGCAAATACAAAATTTTGGTTTTTCGTACGATTTTACCTTGAAAAATCGTGTTTTTCAAGAAAATGTGACCTAGGAAACCAATAATTTTGGTTTTCTAGGTCATCAGGGTTTTTTCCACGATTTTTACCATAAAAAATCGTTGCATACACGAAGTTTTGGTTTTCGGACGATTTTTACCCGAAAAATCGTGTTTTTCAAGAAAATGTGACCTAGGAAACCAAACATCCAAACAAAACCAAACATTTTGGTTTTCTAGGCCACGCAGGGTTTTTCCACGATTTTCACAATAAAATATCGATTATTACACAGAAATCTGGTTTTCGGACGATTTTTACCATTAAAAAATCGTCCCGCGAAGGTTTTTTGAACGCTTTTCACCTGAAAAATCGGAATTTTCTGAAAATGTAGAAATTCTGGTCTAGAAAACTTTTAAAAAACAATCACAAACCTCATTTTTCATCAAAATTCCCCGATTTTGCAGCTCGAAATGCGCGAACTCCAACAAAAACGACAATTAGTCTCAACAAGTCCCGCAAAAGCGGATTTGGCCCAAGAAAAGAGCACGCCATCCGAAGATGGACAAAGTTTGGAACGAGTTGGATCCGATTTTATGTTGGTGAATCATGATCCCGAAATGCCGAGTTTTGGGTGAGTTTCTAAGCTGGAAACTGTGTGGCCTAGAAAACCGGATGTTTGGTTTTCTAGGCCACCTGGATAATTTTAGTTTTAAAAAATCGGATTTGAAGCCTAAAATTTAAATTTTTAACCTAAACTTCAATAAAATCACTGAAATCCTGTAATAAAAACTTTTCAGTGATTTTCAGCCTCGAAACCATCAGAACTTCAATTTTAGGGTAAAAATTTGAATTTTAGACTTCGAATCCGATCAAAAATTAGCCGGTGGCCTAGAAAACCTCACTAAAAACTTTTCTAGGCCACGTGGTCTCAAAATTCACGGTCCAATTTCTATTATTTTCTAGGGCTCGCTATTGGGATGCTCACGATATGCCGTGTCACATTTGCCGCAAAGAGCTCAAAAAACGCTCATTATATCTGGAAGACGGTGAACATCATTGCCGAAATTGCGGGCATATTGTGTGCGAATCGTGCTCCAAACACACTTTTCATATTGCCGAAGATGGAAGAGGGAAACAGAAAAGAGCGTGTGATAAATGCTATAAGATTATGCAGAATATTGGATTGGCTAGGTAAATATTCGGCGGGTTTTGCCATGAAAATTGGCCGAGTTACGTGAAATTTGCAGATTTTAACCGCAAATTTCAAATTTTGGCTCAAAAAATGAGCCCTATATCAAAATCAGGCTAAAATTTTCACAAAAATCCACGTGTCTTGGGTCAAATTTGGTGTGAAAACTCGAATTTTCGGCTCAAAATTGATTGAAAATAGGAAGAACCTTAGAAATACGGTGAATTTTCTACTTTAATGCGAAAATTCACTGTATTCTGAGATTCTCATCAACTTTGAGCCGAAAATTCGAGGTTTCACACCAAATTTGATCCGGGACACGTGGATTTTTGTCAAAATTTCGGTTTTTCGAAGTTTCAATAGGTTTTTGAGCCCAAATTTGAACTTAGCGGTTGAAATCTGCAAATTTCACGTAACTCGACTCATTTTTAGACGAATTTTGAGCTAAAATTTGAATTTTGGGACGAATTTCAGTGATGCCACGTGGAATTTTGACTGATCATTAATTTTCATATCCAGAAAAAAAATGAAAATTGATGATCAGTCAAAATTCCACGTGGCATCACTGAAATTCGTCCCAAAATTCAAATTTTACCGATAATAATCCCAAAATTAGCTATACTTTCACCTATGACGTGGATCTTTATTCCAGATCTCACTCGCTTTCGGATGTCGAACTATCAACATCTCCAATATTATCCGAAACAGCTTCATCACCATCTTCATCATCTCCACCTCTACTCCCACAATCATTCTCCTCCTCAAACTCCCAAAATGCCCCCTCTACATCACCCTCCTCATTTTCGCTGAATATGATGTATCCAACACAACATTCACCCTCAAATTCATCATTTCATCAATTCTCACCGGCTTCTTGTAAACAATCACAATCGACACAATCAATCGATCAAACGACTAGTAATTCGCCTGGATCTAGCCAGGCTGTTAAAGGCTAGAGTAGATTTGGTTGGGGGATTTTTTGGCCATAGTTATGATGTGGCGGAAATTTCGTACGAAAACTGCGATTTTCTAGTTTTCGTACGAATTTTCATTCAAAAATGATCTATTACGTGGCAAATCCCGACCGAAATCAAGGTTTTCGATTCCCACATTCTTTGTAAAAAATTTCGCCACGTCATAACCAATTTTTGGTGGGATTTCGTCCAAAATTCCTATTTTCAAGCTTAAAAATTGAAATTTCGGACGAAATCCCACCAAAAATTGGTTATGACGTGGCGAAATTTTCTACAAAAAATCTGCGAATCGAAAACCTTGATTTTGGTCGGGATTTGCCACGTCATAGATCATTTTTGACGACAAATGAGCTATGACGTGGCAAAACCTCAAAAGAGCCCAAAAATCCCCCAATCCTATCCAAAAAATTGTATATTTTCAACCCCTTTCACTTTTCCCTCTCTCCTATACTAATCGTTTTCTTTTTTAGTTCTTTTTCTTTTTTTTTCATATTATTTTCTCTATTCTGTGATTTCTTACCTTAAAAAGCCCCTAAATGTCTCCCCACTTAACTGGTTTCTTATTTTTTATTTTGAATAATGATTATTAGTGTATAGAAAATTGCTCCAAAAATCGAGTTTGACAACAAAAAAACAATCAAAAATTCTGTGTAGTAGTACAGTTCATATGTACATATTTATAAATATTTTCCCAATTTTTTTTTGTATTTTTAAACCTGCCCCTTGTAATATTTTAGTGTATTTTGTTTTTTTTTGTGGAATAAATGAGTTATAGAGATGAACATTTGGGAATTTTAGGTGAAAAACTGAGAAATTTCAGATTTTCCTGCTGAAAATTCGAAATTTTAGGCCAAAAATGCGAAATTTTCCGGAAAATACTCCTCGAGAACTACACGAAATCCAGTTCGCTGCAAGATATCCGCCGGATAAATGTGTGTCCCTTTAATTTGTATTTTCATTATTATCGATTTTTCGCCGGGTTTTCAGTGTTTTTTGAAGCAATGCATCGTATTTCATGACAAAAAAATTGGAATCGAGTTAGGCTTGCCCAAAAAATGCACATTTCCATCTTGTCCCGCCTTTTCTTGCTGTATAAACAACATAAAAATAAATAACTTTCGTCTCCATCTCTAATTTCTTTTCCCCCCACTTTTCATCTCTGCGTCTCTCAAGACGCACTCTATCTCTCGCTCTCTTTTTCTCGTTTCCTTCTCATTCTTTTTTGTTCACCCACCCATTTTTTGCGCGTTTTTGCAGCTCGCCATCAAAATTTTGTGGATTTTCGACGCAAAACGAGTGAAACACGTGAAAAATGAGCAGCTCCGAGCGACAACGAGAAGATATGTGAGTTTTTATGGGAAATTTGGGATTTTCATGAAATTTAAACGAAAAATATGTGGTTTTTCATGAAATTTGGCGTTTTGTCATGTAAAATTCGATAATTTTTCATCAAAAATCGCCAAATTTCGTAATTTCCCCCTGAAAATTATCGATTTTTGCCCGCGCAATGTTCAAAAACATGAAAACAGCGAGAGGAATCCAATTAAACCGCGCTCATCCCCTTTTTTTCATTACTCTCTCTTTTTCTGCTCCTTTTTTGATGGAAAATAACAAAAATTGCGAAATCTTGATAAAAAAATATGAAAGATGTGGAAATTCTTTTGGGAAATCGAATTTTTATGGAGAAAAATGGGAAAAAATCGCAAAACTTTACAAATCGGGGTTGAAAATACCTTAAGCGCCTTAAAGTCACTCTAATAGTGCCTTAAGAACCTTAAAATATCGATTTTTCTTATGAAAAAACCCTAAAATTCATGAGAAATAGTGTAAAGACCTTAAAAACCTCCCCAAGCACCCTAAAGACCTTAAAAACCTCCCCAAGCTCCCTAAAGACCTTAAAAACCTCCCCAAGCTCCCTAAAGACCTTAAAAACCTTCCCAAGCTTCCTAAAAACCTTAAAAACCTTTTTCAGCAACCGCGGAATCGCAGAATATCTCCAAATGACGGGCTACACTGAAACCTTCTCAATGTTCCTAAAAGAAGCCTCATTGTCTGAAAATGATATTAAAATTGGTGCTGGAATTCTGGAGAAAAAGTGGACAACTGTTTTGCGACTTCAACGAAAAGTCAACGATTTGGAAGCGAAATTAGCCGAAGTTCAGTCGGAAATTGCTCACGGAGCACCAACACGCGATAAAAGACAGGCTTCCGATTGGATTCCACGACCACCGGAGACTCAAAAACTAATCGGACATCGACTTCCGATAACTCGCGTCATATTTCATCCACTTTGGAGTGTTATGGCTAGTTGTTCGGAGGATGCGACGATTCGAATTTGGGACTATGAAAGTGGACAATTGGAGAGGAGTTTAAAGGGACATACGGATGCGGTTAATGATGTTGCATTTGATGCGGCTGGAAAGCAATTAGGTGAGCGGTTTTGGGGAGGTTTTAGTGGAAAATTTGTGAAAATTGGTTGAAAATGAAGATTTTTAGTGGAAAAATCATGAAAATTGGTTGAAAATGAAGATTTTTGGTGGAAAAATCTTGAAAATTGCTCAAAATTACCTAGACTGGGTGAAAAAGCTTGATTTTTCGCCCCCTTTCCGATAAAATTTCATTTTCAAACGATGCTCCGCGTTTACACGTGGATTTTCTATGAATGTTGACCTAAAATTTGAATTTTTAGTCGGAAAATCATGAAAATTGGTCAAAGTTACCTAGACTGGGTGAAAAAGCGTCATTTTTCGCCCCAGGGACTTATTTCCGATAAAATTTCATTTTCAAACGATGTTCCGCGTTTACACGTGAATTTTCTATGAATTTTGATTAATTTTGACCAAAAAAACTTGATTTTTCACCAAAATTCAAGATTTTTCATTTTCTCAAGCCTGAAATTGATTTTAGGTTGAAAATTTGCATTTTTTCGATTATGTAGACCTGAAATTCATTGAAAATTATGAATTTTGACCCAAAAATTCAAAAAAAAATCATCGAATCATCGATTTTTTTTGCAGTCTCGTGCTCAACAGATCTAACAATCAAAGTTTGGGATTTCGGTCAAACGTACGATTGTTTGAAGTCATTAAAGGGACACGAGCATACGGTATCATCGGTGACTTTTGTGCCAAATGGTGATTTTGTTTTGTCGGCAAGCAGAGATCATACCATCAAAATGTGGGATGTGAGTTTTTTGTTTTTGGGAGGAATTTTTAAGGACCTTAAGAATGTGTCTAAAAATCATCAAGAACCTTAAACATATTTTAAGAACCTTAAAAATAACCTTAAAGACCTTAAGAACCCCAAAATTCTTCATTTACCATCGTAAGCAGCTTTCTAAGGACATCAGGAACCTTCAAAATCACCTTAAGGACCTTAAGAACAAAGCTACCTTCAAAATTTTCATTTTTCACCATAAACAGCTCTCTAAGGACATTAGAAACCCTAAAAATCACCTTAAGGAGCTTAAGAATCAAGAAACCTTCAAATTCATTCATTTTTCACCATAAGCAGCTTCCTAAGAACTTTAAGAAGCTTTAAATTCACCTTAAGGACCCTAAGAACCTAGCAACCTTCGAAATGTTTCATTTTCACCAAATTTTCACAATAAAAGCTTCCTAAGAACCTTAAGGACCTTCAAATTCACCTTAAGGACCTTAAGAGCCTAACTACCTTCAAAATGCTTCATTTTTCCCCAAATTTTCATTATAAGAAGCTTCTTAAGAACCTTAAGAAGCTTTAAATTCACCTTAAGGACCTTAAGAACCTAGAAACCTTCAAAATGCTTCATTTTTCCTCAAATTTCCACCAAAACCCCTCAAATTCTTTTCAGATTTCAACCGGTTACTCTGTCTTCACATTCCGCGGACACAATGATTGGGTTCGAATGGTTCGAGTCTCGCCAGATGGAACACTTTTCGCCACAGCCAGCAACGATCAAACGTGTCGAATTTGGTCGATTTCGACGAAATCCGAAAAATTGGTGTTGAGAGATCATGAACATGCAGTGGAATGTATTGAATGGGCACCTGATACCGCTTATGAACATGTCATTGGAAAACGTGAGGGATTTTGAGCGGAAATTTTGATTTTTGGCCAATTTTGATCTGAAATTCATGAAAAATTATGAATTTTGACCCAAAAACCTTGATTTTCCATAAAATTTGAAGATTTTTAACTTCTGAAGCCTGAAATTGAACATTTTGATGAAAATCATGAAGCCTATCTTCGATTTTTCATGAAAAATCTATGTTTCCAACGACACTCCGCAATTACGCGGCCAATTTTGGCGCCTCAAACTTTGTTTAAAAATTTTTTCATGAAAATGTTGATTTTAAAGGGACATACAGTACTCCTAAGCTAATATCCAAAAATTTGGCGATTGTTAAAGGGACATACCGTATTTTTCACCAATATTTTCTTACAGAACCTGAAATCGGCTCCTCAACTCATATTCTATTCTCCGGATCACGCGATCGAACAATAAAAGCTTGGAATATTTCAACTGGTGACGTCATTTTTACACTTCAGGTAAGGTTTTGTGGGAAAATTGAGCTGAAAATTTGGATTTTTCATGAAATTTTGAGCTAGAATTAATTTCAGGTTCTCGGAAATGGAAAAACCTTCAAAATTATCAGAAAATAAAAATTTTAGGCTCAAAAACCTCAAATATATTGAAAAATTAAGTTTTCCATATCGAAATTCATGAAAAATCACAAGATTTGCACTCAAAACATCCAAATTCCATAAAAATCCCAAATTTCCAATCAAAAATCAATTTCAGGCTCACGAAAATTGGCTCCGCGGCTTAGCTTTCCATCCAAAAGGCAAATTCTTGATATCGGTTGCCGATGACAAAACTTTGAGGATATGGGAATTGGCACAACAGCGATGTATGAAAACAATTGAAGCACACGATCATTTTGTATCAACTGTTGGTAAGTTCAGGGTTTTGATTGAAAATTTGAAAATTTTGCAAAATTTTGAGCTGAAATTCATTAAATTTGAGCAATTTTGAGCCATGATGTGATTTTTTCAAAATTTTTAAATTTTGGAGCCAAAATCTACAGTAACCCCAAAAATATCGATTTTATTGCAGCCTTCCATCAATCTGCACCGTATGTCATCACCGGAAGTGTCGATTTATCGTGTAAAGTTTGGGAGTGTCGCTGAAAACCGCCTATTTTTCCAATTTCCCTGAATTTCGAGCTTTTCTGTCCATTTTCTTCTATTTTTTGTGGAGCGCGCGAAAATTTTCAAATTTTTGCGCGCGCCAAATTGACCACCCACGACGGTTGTGATATTTTCAAATTTTTTTTTAATTTTTTCTTTTCCCGCCTTCCCCCCGCTTCCCGTGCAATTTTTGTCTTTTGTACACACTTTCCCCCATAATTTAGAGCATTTTTCTTCGTTAATTAATTAGCCTATAATTAATTAATTAATTCTATGAGTTCTATTCAACAAAAATATATATTATGAGTTTACTGTGAATAAATGAATTACTGCTTTTTTGGAGCATTTTGAGCCCAAACTTGCTCAGAACATTAGAAAACCAATTCATTGCATCAATCCTGAATCTTGCTCAAATCATAAAACTTGATCTTCCCATTCACCGGATTCATCTCATGATCCGTATCAAACATACAAATTCGCACACCGTGCATCAAATTCACACAAACGCGCTCCATCGGACAATCGGAGGAAATTCGGCAAATGTGCGGTGTTTCGCTCGAAATCTCGCCAGTGTCCAGCGCTTTTTGGCCGAGAAGCCAAATTTTACCGGATTGAGTGGCAGGATCGGCGGGTTTTTCGCAGAATGCGTATTGATAGATGGGTTGAAGTGGAAGAGAATAATCACAGTCGATGTTGGTTAGATAGCTGTGTTCAGATAAGATCGGCTTTTTCAAGTGTACACGTCCTGAAATGCTACTCATAAGGGAAAAGCATAGAAAGAAACATTAGGTCGTCAGTTTCGTGCGGCTGTGCGTCGCGGTCGAGACAACAATCAATGGGACCGCGACGCATAGCCGCACGCGACTGACGAACTTATGTTTGTTTCATTTATTCTACGCCCTTTTTTGGCTATCTTAGATAGCCTATCTATCAAAGATTTGATGAAATATACCAAATCGACCATGTTGATCACAATGCTGAAGTCAAAAATTACCCTGTGAGAACTTTTCTAAAGCTCGAAAGAGCCTATTTTCACTAAGGTAGAAAATCATTTTGAACTTGAATAAGGTTGTTCACCACATTCGAAAACCTATCAGCTTTTTAGTTAATTGAAAAAAAATGTTGATTTTCCACCCTGGAACAGGGTTCCGAACTGGGTCGGTTCTCGGGGCAGATCGGGTCTGGTTCGAGTGGGTTGGACCCAGATCCAGAACAAAAAAATGGATGAACTACCCAGAACCGAACCCGGAAAAACAGTTCTGGTTCAGACTCGACCCAAACCCGACTCGAACCAGATCCACCCATAACCAAACCCATTTTTGGAGAACCAACCCAGACCCAGACTCAATGGATCAGACTCGGGTAAGACCCAAACTCATTCGAGAATCAAAAATACCCACCCGAACCAATTCAACCCAAATCCAACTCAAATCCAAACCATGTGGACTCGGGTACCCGGGTAAAAATGGTTCTGAAAAAACAATTCAAATTTATTCGATAATAAAATAATTCAGTTTTTTTTTCCAGAAATATTTTTAAGAAGTTTGATGTCGCTATAATTTTATTTTATTATGTTTCGCAAATTTCAGAAGTTTTAAAAACCATAACTAGCGGGTATAAGAAAAAAATTTCGGTTTTTTGTTGAATTTTTTCAACAAAAATCAAAATTTCGGTTTTTGTTGAATTTTTTCAACAAAAATCATGATTTCAGTCTCAAATTGATTGAAATTCATTTAGTGGGCATCATTCGAGTAATATTCAAAGAAAGCGTTTGAGAAAAGACTCTTTTCAAAAGAGTTGAATAGCCGATCAATGAGAATCGAATAAATGTTTCGATAACTGGTGAATATACCCCTCCAGCCGCTCGTCATTGAGCGGCTTGAAGCGGCTCACGAGCCGAGTCGCTAATTCATTCCCTAATTCACGTATGGATAAAGTAAAGTCATCAAAATTTATATCATTCTGTTGGTCTTAGACCATTCTATCCTATGAATAACATCAAAATCCAATATTTCAACTAATTTGCTTAAAAAACATAGTGATCAGCATGGTCGTTCGATATAATACTCACTTTTCGGACAACAATGTCCAAATCGACATGTTCCACGAGTTCTGCGATCTTCTACATAAGTTTCACATACAAATCGAATATTATCAACGGCTGTACACGGTGGCTCATTTTCCCACGGTGTAACACCATCAAAACAATATCGAATTTTGCGATCACCTCGATTTGGTTCACTATTACAATGTTCGCCCTTACAAAAAAACGCGGAAGTTCCGATTTGTTGGGGTTGACATCGGGTCTTGATTGTTCTTTGATCTCCGCAAGGACTGCTTACTCTAGATGATGGTACACATTTAGTGGTCCCAGAATCACACCAATAGTTGAATGGACATTCGAAATGATATTTACAGCCACACGTCGATGGGTCTGCAAACAAAAACATTTTAGGGATCAATAATTTCGGTTAAACTTACCAGTCTTCCAACAATCCGCCGAGACTTGTTGCAAAAACAATGCACAAAACATTGAGAGAATTTTGAATATTTCCACTTTTGCTTTCATTTTTCGTTCAAAAACTGACAAAATCTGGAGCGGCCCGGGTTTTTATACCCCTTTTCAAGAAATTAATAAACGTGACCTACATAAAAAAAAACACGAAATCTTTTGAATTTTTTACGAGGTCCCAAATAAAAATGTACGCTTTCAGATTTTCAAATCCAGCTCAATTTCATGGATAAAAATGATGAATCATATTTTCGGAGTCACTCCGAATTTCAGATTTTTAGTAAAAAAAAATCGGGCCGATTTTTTTGATTTTGATCATTGGAGAAAAAACTCCAATGATCAAAGAGATTTTCTATTATTTTTGTTTGAAAAACCGTTTGTTTTTCAGATCCACCAACAATCATCACTGAAGTTGTTCCGAAAAGTCTCATCGCACAAGAAAAGAAATTCGGTGCTATCAACGATCCAACTATGCATTCAGCAAAACAATGAACAATTTACCTTTCTTTTTTTGTACTATTATTCCTAAACCCGATTTTTCCTTTTTATGTTCAATAAAAATTCCATGGAAAATCGATTTCTACAACAATGTTTTCACGAAATTCTTCAAAAATAAAAAACTTTAGTATTTTCACAAATAAATAAATAATATTGAACAGATGATAAATAGTTAATTTACATGAAAATATACATTAATTGAGTTGTAATTCACCTCGAAAATCGCCAGCTGGCAGATTTCTTGTGTTAACATCATCGAAATATGGATGAATCAACGATTTTTTAGCGGAGATTCGAAGTTTTGGGTCGTAAATCAGCAAACCTTGTAACAAATCGAATGCCTGATCGTCGATTTTGGATGTATTCGTCTTTTTGTCGATGAATTTGTCGCGCAAAAAGTTGTCACGCCATTTTGGAAACGTCATTCGATAATCTGGCAATGATTCGACACCATTCCACTCCAACTCAGTCGGTGTTCCAAGAGTTCTGAAGAAAAACCGTATATTGTTAATTTCACACTTTTTCGAAAAAAAATACCTGAAGATTCTGAACAACTCATCAATCTCCGAATCTCCTTGAAATAGCGGTTTCTTGGTAATCATTTCAGCGAATATACAACCAATCGACCACATATCAACACCCATCGAATATTTCTGAGCGCCAAGCAAGATTTCAGGTGCGCGATACCATAAAGTGACAACTTCATGAGTATAAACTCTGATCGGAATGCCAATTGCACGAGCCAACCCGAAATCTGCCAATTTGATAACACCATTCGTATCAACCAGCAAGTTTTGTGGTTTAAGATCGCGGTGAATCACACGACGTTGGTGACAGAAACACATTGCTTGAAGAATCTGAAAGATTATTTATGAATTTTTAAATCAGTTCAAACAAAATACCTGGAATGTGTAACTTTGTACAGTTGCTCTATCGAGATATTCATCCTTCTTCAATTTATCCATATATTTTTTGAGATCCGACGAAAGAAACTCAAAGATCAAATATAATCGATTCTCTTGCATAATAACCGCCTCCAATCCAACAACATTCGGATGTTGCAACTCTTTAAGCAATGAAATCTCGCGAACTGTCGTCGATGGAACTCCTTCATCTTCGCTTTCCAATCGAATTTTCTTCATCGCCACCAACTCATTCGTCCTTTTGTTTTTTCCTTTATATACAACTCCATAGGTTCCTTCTCCGATTTTTTCGAGTTTCAAAAAGTCATCCAATGAGTAGGGCGCCTCACAATTTGCCATTTCCACGTGAAAAATTCAAAAAAAAAACCGGCGAAAAAATGAAAAATGAAAAAGAAAACGCCCGTGGCATACTGTAGAATGAGGGCGTCACGAGACCCAAACACACAAAAAATCAATGCGCCTTTATTTTATTTTTTCATTTCGATTTGTTTTTTTTCGGGTTTTCCATGAAAAATGCTGTTTTCATGTGATTTTCAAGATTGCAAAATAATATAGACGTTGAAGTACATGTTCTGACGTAATTTTCTCGGAAAAATGTGTGAAAATTGAATTTTGTTGGTCCCATTTTGTCTCATAATTCATTTTCCAGTCAGCCACCCCCTCCCTAACGCAATTATCTCCAGTTATTTATATAATAATAATAAGAATAAAGTGTGCGACCCCCAGCAAAAGTTCACAACATTTCATACTTTTATTCATCATACGCGTTGTTGTGTTTCAAGTAAAAGAAAAACGAAAAGAGAGAGAGAAGAGAATTAGACTGTGAGAGTGGGAGAATTTCAGAAAATTATGTTTTTTTTTCGGCAAATAGGGCAACAATTTGATGATGTGGTGCGATTATCTTCCATACATTCCTGCAAAAAATGAGATTTTTGGTGAATTTGGGGGGAATCGTGCGATTTTCCACCAACATTTTAATTTAGAAAATTGTTTTCACTCGTCATTCAAAGTGTAACGAACTTTTACGTTTTGTTTACCTTCCCCCACACATGGAAAATTGAAAAATATCATTTTTCGAAATTCAAAAATCACAATTTCGCGCGCTCACCTCCGTTAAACGGAATTGCGGCGCGTCGTTGAGCATAGTGTGGTTGTGAAGAGGCGGATCCCGACAAGAATCCATCATCTGATCGTTTACCGTACATTCCACCGGAGAATCTGCGGAATGGCGCATTTCCGCCAGCGGAACGCTTGCCATACATACCGCCATTGAATGGAATCGCTCGTTTTACGTTGAAAATGTCTGAAATTCGGGGTTTTTGTGTGAAATCAAGAAATTTACACTTGAAAATACAATTTTTCATGGTGTAAACATGGAGCATCGGTTGAAAACCTTAGAAACTATGATTTTCCATAGATTCGCCTAGAAATGTACGATGCTCCGTGTTTACACCTCAAAAAGTTCCAAAAATCCCGGATTTTCCCTTTGTAAACACGGGACATCGGTTGAAAACCTCAGAAACTATGATTTCTCATAGATTCGCCTAGAAATTTACGATGCTCCGTGTTTACACCGCGAAAATTCTAGAATTTCTGTTCGAACGATGCTTCACACCCTGTCTGAAAACTTCTGATTACTCATCTGAAAATAGTAATTTTCAGACCGAGTTCTGGAAATTAATAAAACTTGTTGAAGCGTTTTCCAATAAACTTGCTCAACTCGAAAAAAACTATATAAATGTATAAACATATTTTCGAACTTTTTCCCCCGCTTAATTTACAACTTTCCCCTTTTCTTTTCAAAAAGAATCGGGAAAAAAATGAAAAACAATCGTGATTTTCATGGAAAAAGAAAAGAACTTTGTATTTTCAAGGAAAATAAGAAAACTATCAATTTCCCATCACATTTCTTAATTTCCGGAGATGGTTGAAAATAGAAGAAGAAAAGAAGAAGAAGATGTCTTAAATTACACAAACAAAGTGGGAGTTTTTTCGGGGGGAATTTATTCAATTTTGGTCAAAAATCAGGAATTTTCTAGAATTAACTACAAAAATCCCCGTAAAAATGGAGCATCGTAGGGTTTCGAACGTGAAAATTGATACTTTTCATAATTTTAGAGGTGTAAATATGGAGCATCGTTTGAGAAATCTCAAAAATCCAATGAAAAGACGATTTTTGAGGTGTAAACCCGGAGCATCATAGGCTCCACGTTGAAATCTCTTAAAACCATAATTCTAGACCAAAATTTCGCGTCCAACCCGAATTTTCAGTCAAAAATCTGAAAATCCACGTGGCAAACTAACTTTTCGGATGAATTTCGTCGTCATCGATAAATCTTTGCATTGAAGACGAAGACGATGAAATGGGAACTATCAAAAAAACGCGGCCACCTACTTCTTCACTATCATCTGAAAAATGATTTTGATGAGATTTTTGGCTGAAAATCGGGTCTGAAAACGCCTACCCTCTTCCAAATTTGTCGAATAGGCCACAGTTGTCGAAACAATCAAAAATAATAGGGAAACATTGAAAAAATACCACATTTTCTGTGTGTTTTACCTGAAATTTTGAAGTTTTTGAAGTTTTCACGAAAAAAAACAAGCTTTTTGCGCGCGAAAAATGATCGCATCGAGGAGGAATCGATCCCCCGACCTTTTGCTTCACAAATGTTTGCTAAAACGAAATTTTGAGCACACAAAAATTCAAAAATGAGCCCTGAAAATTGAGCCATGGAAAAAGGGGCGTGGCTTAGATGGAAAAAAAAGTTTTTTTTCTCTTCTATGCTCTTTTTCTAGGAGCTCAAGACAAAATTTTGTGCATGCGACAAAAAAAAAACAAAAAAATTCTAATTGGGGCTAGAAAAAGAAAATTAGTGTTTTTGAGATTTTTGGCACGAAAAGTTGGAAAATTGAGAGAAAATCCGAATTTTTGAGGCGGAACTCTAAAAAAAAATTCCAGAAAATGAGTCATTTTTGAAGTCAGACAACACCTGAAAATGAATAGCCTATTATTTTCAGCCAACAATTTTCAGAGAGACCTGAAAATACTTGAAAATCGGCTTGATTTTTGGTTCCTAGGGCTCCGAAAAATGCAAAATTTTGAAAAAAATTCAAATTTTCATCAAAAATTCGCGGTTTCCAATAGATTTTCGGGCGAAAATTTGCATTTTTTCTGTGAAAAAAATCTTGAATTTTTGGAGGAAAATTGGGAAATTGCAAAAAATTTCAGACAACATTTTCTGGAATTTTTGAGCAGGTTCAGTTCAAGGTTCAAATTTTGGCTGGAAAATTTTTTGAATTTCGCGCCAAAATCTACAGTACCTATAAAACTACAGTAATCCCGAAAATTTTCAAAAAAAGGTCAGGGGTTCGATTCCCACTGGGAACTACTATTTTTTTTGAAATTTTTGAATTTCGTGCCAAAATCTACAGTATCCTTTTGCAAGAATTTTTTTGTTTTTCCGGGAAACAGGAAAAAATATGGGTGGTTATAAAATGGGCCGAATTTATGTTGGAAAATTAAAAAAGTGTACTAGCGCTCAAAATTTATGAATTCATGTTATTTTTCCGCTGAAAAATAGCTGTGAGCTATGACGTGGCACAGAAAATTTGCTCAAAAAATCACTACAAATTGTTTGCTGAAAATTTGTCTGAAAATCCAAAATTACTAGAATTTTTTGATCTGAAAATCCTCTTGAGATTATCTGACCATTATAGGGGTTTTATTTGAATACGAAAATAAATTTTGATCTCGGGATTACTGTAGTTTTTAAAGGGACATAGCTATTTTTCAAAAAAAAAAAAACAGAAAAAAACAAGAAAGCAAAAATAATCCAATTTTTTTTTGAAAATTAGTTTTTTTTTTTGTTTTTTGGTGCGAATCGAAATTTTCAAAAAAAAAAAAAGTTGATAGTTCCAAGGAGGAATCGAACCCTTGACCTGTTTCTTGGAAACTATTGAGCTATGACGTGGCAAAATGAAATTTTGAAAAAAAATGTGGAAGCACGAGAAAAATTGAAAAATTAATTAAATGAGCAAAAATTCGTGCTCAAAGTGGGTGGAAAACTTTTTTTTTCTACCGAAAATTTTTCATCAAAATTTTTTGAATAGAATTTTTGAAATGAATGAATGATCGATGACATTTTTGGGAGTCGGGGCGAAAATTTTCAAATAATTTTTTTTTCAAAAAAAAAAAAAGTGGCGCATCTGGTGAAAAGATGCGGAATTTATTATTAGATGATTCGTAGACCGACGGGTTTTTAAGTAAATTAGGAAAAAAGGATGAAAAGATGCGTTTTTTGTGTGGGCGGCGCGGAAAAATGACGAATTTCCGGGTCTCGCAGCGAAAAATCAATCGATTTTCTGGGTGATTTTTGGGTCCTGGGACGAAAAATTCCCAAGAAACAGGTCAAGGGTTCGATTCCTCACCGGAACTATAAAAAACTTTTTTGAAAATTCGATTTTCAAACTTTTCTGGGAAAAGCCGGAAAAGTTTTAGTCAACGAAAAAAAGTAAAAAAACTTTTTTTCCAGAAAAAAACCCCATAAAAAGCTCCTAAAACGAGGAAATTATTATTTTTTGAAGAAAATTTTTTTCAAAAAAAAAATAGTAATAAAAAAAATTTCCGGGTCCCCCCGAAAATATTTTGATTGATACATAGTTTCAATGCATTTTTTAGACACGGAAATTTTTTTTTTTTTTTTGAAAACGAAAAAATTGAAATTCTAAGCCGAATTGTTGACATTGTGGAAAAAATTTTGTCCTCGAGAACTACACAATTTTTTTTTTTTGAAAAAAAAATTTGCAGCTCCCATGAGGAATCGAACCCCTGACCTATTTCTTGGTACTGTAAATTTTGCGCGAAATTTGAATTTTCAAACATTTTTTGGCACTAAAAATCATCAAAACACAATTTTTTTACGCTTGTGAAAATTTGTGACGAAAAAATTCAAAAAAAAATTACGTAATTTTTTTGCTGACTAGAAAAAATGTGATTTTTTCGAAAAAAAAAATCGTAAAAAACAAGAAGAAAATTGAAATTGAATTTTTTTTTCAAAAAAAAAAATTTAATTGAAAATAAAGATTTTTCTAGTCGATAATAAAAAAATTTAAATTTTGCGTCAAAACGTGGCCTAACTTTTGCAAAAACTAGGCCACCACCATAAAAATACCCAAAAATAATGCAATTTTTCACACACAAAAAAGGAAAATCTTTATTTCTCCCAAAAAAAAATTTTTCTGGCCGAAATTTAATTAATTTTCATCATTTTTTTGCAGCACGGGATTTTGTTGGAGAAAAAACATAGAAAACTGAGAAAATTCGAATTTCCGGAAAAATTTTCATAATTTTTGCATTTCGTAGATCAAAGATAATTCTTCCAGGTTACTGTAGATCATGGATTTTTTCCCCAAAAAAAACTTTTAAAAATATTTTTTGGTTGTTTTCAACTTCCGTTTTTTCCTTTCCGTAATCTGTCCCTAGAGAAAATAAAAATATAAAAATAGAAATATTTTTGGTTCCTTGGCTACTGTAGTTTTTGGGGGTACTGTAGATTATGTGAATTTACAATTAGAAAAAAATATTTTTTTGTAGTTCCGGGGAGGAATCGAACCCTTTACCTGTTTCTTGGAAATTTTTCGAATATTTTGTGGGTTACTGTAGGTTCTGAGGGTACTGTAGATTCTGGAAAAACATGATTTGTTGCTGCGCGAAATTAAAAAATTTCAAAAAAATTTTTTTTTGTAGTTCCGAGGAGGAATCGAACCCTTGACCTGTTTCTTAGAAATTTTTCGAATATTTTGTAGGTTACTGTAGCTTCCGAGGGTACTGTAGATTCTGGGAAAAAATAATTCGGTGCTAAAAAGTTATGACGTGGCGAAATTCAAAAATTTCAAAAAAACATTTTTGTAGTGCCGGGGAGGAATCGAACCCTTGACTTGTTTCTTGGAAATTCTTGGGTTACTGTAGGTTCAGAGGGTACTGTAGATTCTGGAAAAACATGATTCTCTGCTAAAAATTTATGAATTTCAAATTTTGAATGAGTTATGACGTGGCAAGGCTATTTTTGGGGCCAAAAAAAAACTTTTTTTTTTGAATAATTCATTTTTTATGTAGATCACGAGTGTTTTTTTTATCAGCCGCCTGTGGCCGACAAAAAAAGTAAACAAAAACAACACGCAGTGCAGAGTGTGTCAGCCGGTTCCAAGTCTCTCTTTTTCTCTGCACCCTCCACACTCTCTCTCGCCTGCGTTTATTTTCGAGATGGGTGGTCAGATTTGGGATTTTCTCCTGATTTTCTTACAGTACCCCTTGACTACAGTAAGCCAGCGCCTAAAATCCATCTACAGTAATCCAAATTCTACAGTACCCCCCTAAGACACTACTGTATTTCGGTCGCTTACCAATTTTGATACAGTAACCCTGCGCGTCAAAATCTACAGTACCCCCTGGACATGTTCCCCTCACATTTTTTTGCCCATAAAAAAGCCTGAAGGAGAAAATGACCAGCCATTTTCTTCTCTGCACTCTCTCCACTCTCACACACACTCTCTCTCTCTCTCCCTCTGCGAACAAAATCAATCAGCTGTTTTTCGCTCTGCGTCTCTAACACACCGCGGTTTTGCACGAGCTGTTGCTGCGCTGCGATTTCTAGGCCAAAAATTCATAGAAAATGGGCCCTAGGCCCTAGAAATCTAGATTTTTTGATATATTTTTATCCCAAAATCCATTAATTTTTGCTTGTCCAAGAGAAGTACACGGATTATTTCAGAGCATTTTTCCAGGCTTTCCAGCCTGAGATTTCTGGACCCTGTTTTACTGTTTTTAGGCCTTCTTCTGGCCCAGTTTTCAGGCTTTTTTGGGCTCCAAAAAAAGTGTGTTTTGTGTCAGAGGCACGTGACATTTTCCAAAAAAAAAGAAAAATGTTTTTCGATCATATGAAACGCAAATAGAGATAGAACAAATTGGCTTCTTTCTTTCTTTTTTTTCGAAATTTTTTTTTGAAAATTCTCAATTTCGCGCATAAATCTGGATTACTGTAGTTTCGCAAACTACCGTATATTCAAATTTTGTCCTTGACAACAACAAATACATAAAACTGCAGTCAATTATTATTTTTTTGCCCGCAAAAAAAATATTTTTTTGTTTTTTGCTGCCACAAAAAAAAAACAAAAAGTGCAGTTTGAAAATTTTTTCAAAAGACCTTGATAAGAAGAAGGAAAATATTTTGCCAGGTGTTTTTTCGCGCTAAACCTAGAGCTACAGTACCCCGAGAAATAGAAAACTTTTGTAGATCACAATTTATTTTCGATACCAAAACTAGAGCTACAGTAATCCAGAGATCACAATTTTCCCGCCAAAAATCCCCTATTCAAAAACAAATAATAATACCCTTTGTTTATTTGTTTTTGCCCATTTTTCTCTGAAAAACAAAAAAAATAGTACGATTTTTTGGAAATAGCTGACAAGTTTCCAAAAATATCGATTTTTGGTCTAAAAAATCACAATTTCTCGTCAGCTGACTCGATTTTTGTGTCCAAATTGCACCTGTCTTCTTTTGACCTCCACACACACAATTTTTTTGTCTCTTGATCTACCAAACCAAAAAGATCACATGTTTTTGCAAAGAACATTTCTCATTCTCATTCTCATTTTCCCCACTCCTCGTGCCATGTACTTTTAGTACAACTCCCCTAAGCTCCGCCCACTTTTTTTTCACATAGCAAAAAAAATTTCTTTTTTCCCCGTCTCGCCTTTTTTTGCTCAAGATCTTTGCATTTTTCGTGTGTGTATCTCATAAGAAAAAAAATTGCAGAATGAAGGTTCTCGAGAATTCCAGCAAACACAACACGCCCAAGAAGCACAAGACTTTCCAGGTGAGTAGATCTATAGGGGTGGCGCCTAGACACCCATATATATCCCTCAAGCATCCGCGCCTAGAGCTCGAAATGTAGCTCTCAAGCAGCCATCCCTTGACCACTAGTTTTTTCTCCCAAGCAGTCTCTTCTACACCTCATATAGCTCTCAAGCAACTGCTCCTAGAGCTTGATATCTAGCTCTCAAGCAGCGAAGGCTTGTATCTCAATTTAGCTCACAAGCAGTGGCCCCTAGAGCTCTCTATCTTCCTTCCAAGCAATGATCTCTTGTTATCATAATTTAGCTATCAAGCAGCCATCCCTACACACCTATTTTGCTCTGAAGCAGCCATCCCTTGTCCCTTAGTTTCTATCCCAAGCAGTATCTTCTAGAGGTCTGATTCATCTCACAAGCAGCCTCTCCTAGACCCTCATATAGCCCTCTAGAAACCGCGCCTAGTGCTTGATATATCGTTCCCAAGCAAACGTCCCTAGTGTTCAATATCTGTCTGCCAAGCAACCATCCCTTGACCCCATCTTCTCTCCCAAGCAGCCTCTCCTAGACCCCCTATATAGATCTAAAGCAGTCGTCCCTATAGCTTGATATATTACTCCCAAGCAGCCATCCCTTGACCCCAATCCTGTCTCTCCAAGCAGCCATCCCTTGACCCATCTTCTCTCTCAAGCAGCCATTCCTTGACCCCATCCTCTCTCTCTCTCAAGCAACCATCCCTTGACCCCAATCTTCTCTCCCAAGCAGCCATTCCTTGACCCCCATCTTCTCTCCCAAGCAGCCATCCCTTGACCCCCATCTTCTCTCCCAAGCAACCATCCCTTAACCCTCATATATATTTCCAGCACTATCTCCCATCGGGCGATCGTTGTTATAGCTGTGTGCATTGCCGTGCCAACCTAGCCTCACACACCGAACTCATCTCCAAATCATTTCAAGGAAGTCAGGGAAAAGCCTACCTTTTTAATGCCGTGTAAGTTATTTTTGTCCTCGAGAACTACACTGATTAGCTATTCATAATGTGTGTGTGTGTGTGTACTTCTCTCGGACAATATTTATTGTCCTCGAGAAGTACACACGGATTATTCTATTTTTCGCCGGAAATTGTTTTTTTGCTATGAATTTGCATCGATTTTTCACAAAAACTTGTCCTCGAGAACTACACAACTCGAAAAATTTCAAATTCAAATTTTTCAGCGTAAACGTGGGTTGTGGTCCAGCCGAGGAACGTGTTTTGCTAACGGGTCTTCACGCCGTCGCTGATATTTATTGTGAAATTTGCAAAACCACGTTGGGATGGAAATATGTGAGTTTTGCGCTGAAATTTCGCTGAAAATCGAGTTTTTTGACCCAAAATTCATTGAAATTGCGCATTTTTACCATGAAAAATTTGAATTTCCCTCCAAAATTCACATAATTTGCGCCAGCTATTGTTTTGCTGGCGCATTTGTTGTTCTCAAAGTTCAAAACGAGAAAAACAAGCTTTTCTTCCCTTTTTCTTCCAAATAGCGGCAAAAAGAGGAGAAAAACAAAAACATTATCGATTTTTTGGGGGAATTTTATGAAAAACCCTATTTTTGACTAGGAAAAGCCATGATTTTCACGTAAAAATCGATATTTTCTCATTAGAGCGCGTTTGCTCCACCGAATTCGCATTTTTCCCAAATTTCCCCCTTCAAAACCCCTCAAAACTCACCGATTTTCCAGGAACACGCTTTCGAGTCGAGCCAAAAATACAAAGAGGGCAAATACATCATCGAATTGGCTCATATGGTCAAAGACAATGGTTGGGACGAGAAATCGAGCTGAAAATATTGATTTTTGTGTCTGAAAATTGCGATTTTTCCCCGTATTTATTTATTTATTTGATCTCCCCACATGATTTTTCGTCTTTTTTGTACATATTCATATTTTTCATTGAAATTTAGGTAAAAACCTGGTTTTTTCCCCACCCAAAACACCAAAATATAGGTCAAAATTCACTGGTTCCCACCCATTCCACCCCGATTTCCCGATTTCCCAATTTCCCACCCGAAAAGCCCGAAAAAAATAAATTTTCCCGTCCCGAAATAAAAAAATTCAAAAAAATTGCGTTGTTCGCTGGAGCGCACTTGCGCGTTTGTCCATTCGAAAACCTGTTTTTTTTTGTTTTTCAGCTGAATCAGAAGAAAAAAACGAGTAAAATGAAGAAATATTGATTTTTGCGAAGGTTATCAATCGGTTTTGAGACGCGTGAAAAACAAAAAATTGCGAATTTGTCATTTTTTGAAAAATGGAGAGGAGCGAAATGTGAGTTTTTTGGGGGGAATTATTGTTTTTGCGCGAAAATTTAGATTTTTAAAAATAAAAATTTGATGGGGAATTGTCCTCGAGAAGTACAAGATCCAGATTTTTCGCACTAGAAATCAAATTTTCAAAAATGTTATTGAAAAAAGTGAAAAATTGATGCCACGTGGCAATTTTGACGCTAAAAATCGATTTTTCGAATTTTAGAGCGAAAACTTGTCCTCGAGAACTACACAAACTTCAAATTATTGTAAAATTTACTGCCACGTGGCAATTTTACCGCTAAAAATCGATTTTTTAAATTTTAGAGCGAAAACTTGTTCTCAAGAACTACACAAATTGAAAATTATTGAAAAATTCACTGCCACGTGGCAATTTTGACGCTAAAAATCGATTTTTCGAATTTTAGAGCGAAAACTTGTCCTCGAGAACTACACAAACTTCAAATTATTGAAAAATTCACTGCCACGTGGTATTTTTACTGCTAAAAATCCATTTTTCAAATTTTAAATCGAAAACTTGTCCTCGAGAACTACACAATTCAAAAAATTTTACATTTTTGACACCGAAAATAGTTTCTTAATTAAATTTTCATTAAAAATCACAAATTTTTGGCCAAAATTCGAAATTTCGCGCAAAATTTGCATATTTCTCTGCGTCTCTCATCCACTTTTCCGCGAGAGATAAAAAAGCGAAAAGTACACATTTTTCACTGATAAAAAAGGGGTCAACACACACATTTGTTGTGATTTTATTTGTTTTCGCTTTCGCTCTTCAGCAAAAATTATTATTATTATTTATGAGCTGGGCATCTTCGCAATTAAATCTAATCGATAATGAGCATTATGATGAAAATCTGTGAGTTTAAACGTTTTTGGCTGAAAATTCGCGAAAAATGCGTTTTTTTGACCCCGAGATCATGAAAATCGCACCGAAATGATTTGCGAAATTCACGTGCGCTTCAGAAAAACGCGCGTGGCTCAGGCGGTTAGCGGCGCCTGTTTTCCACCCACAGGGTCGCGGGTTCGATCCCCACCCGGTGCAAACTTTTTTTTGCAGCTCCGAAACCACCGAAATCCTCTCAAATCCCAATGATGACAGTTTCCCGCACCCGCCAAATTTTGCGCCGCCAACAACACTCCGCCGTACACCAATGGTCGGATTCATCACATTCCTCGTCGCCACAAAAATCACCACATTTCTCGTGTACACCGTGTTGTTGATTGTAGCCGAACTATTTCTGCATGTCTCGTTTTTCTGGACCGTTTTTGCGTTTTCGATTGCTGAAGTTGTGCTGATTGGCATCACCGTGTTTCATTTGGTGCATCCGACGCTGAGTGAGTGGAAATCGGAGGTGTAAATGCGGAGCATCGTTGTTTTCATGAAAATTGGTGTTTGAACGATGCTCCACGTTTACACCTTCAAAATACTGATTGAACATTTAGATTTTCAAAGGTGTAAACCCGTAGCATCGTTGTTAGAAGTTCTAAACTATGCTCCGCGTTTACACCTTTAAAAAATGATGAAAAACTCTTTCTTGACCTGAATTTTCATGGTTTCTCTAGAATTCTAGTCTAGAAGTTAAAATTTTGCTGATTTTTAAAGGTGTAAACGCGGAGCATCGTTTAAAATTGAAATTTTCGAGGAAAACTACGATGCTCCGCGTTTACACCTTTAAAATTTGATTTTTTATTGATTTTTCACGGAATTCTGGTCTAGAAATCAAAATCCTAATAATTTTTTAAGGTGTAAACGTGGAGCATCGTTGTTTTTGTTTTAAACGATGCTCCGCGTATACACCTGCAAAAAATCTCGAAAAACTAGCTTTCTGGCCTAAATTTTCGAGATTTTCATGAATTTTGGGTCAAAAATCGCGATTTTTCTCCCCAAAATTCAAATTTTCAAAATTTCAGCCGTCGTTTTTGTGATAATTGGCTCAGAAATGCTGCTCGGAATGGTCAAAATTTTGTTTGCGATTTTTTTGGAATATTTTGATGGTGGCAAAAATTGTGTGGAATTGTGAGTTGTTTTTTTTTCTAGATGCCACGTGGCAATTTCAGCCAAAAATCTGAAATTGTTTTTTTTTCGTTTCAGGCAGAATTGTGTAATGCTGAATATATCTGAAAATGAGCGTTTCAGCCTTTTTTGGTTTTGCTCAATTACTGCACTTTATGACTATTTTTTGGCGCTCATTTTTATTACGGTAGGCGATTTTTTGGGTGAAAAATTCGGAAAATTCGTGAAATTTCGATCTAGAACACTAAAAACTACGATACTCCGCGTTTACACCTCTAAAAACATGGAAATTATGCAATTTTAGTCAAAAATGCAGTTTTCAATGAATTGTAAACGCGGAGTATCGTTTGAAATTCACGTTTTTTGTTGATAAATTACTGTCCGTTCGCCAGCGAAGGAAACGCAGGCAAACGCGCCCCATTGATAAACAGCACATTTTTTTGCGCGGCGATTCAAACATGAAGTTTTTTCTCGGGGTTTTTTCATGCAAATTTCCAGTTTTTTAGAGATCGGTCTACAAGATTGCATTATTAAATGAAAATTATGCAATTTTCAATACTTACATATTGTTTCCACTCAAATTTTCATCGTTTTTTGCCAAAAAACTGCGAAAAACAATAATATTTCAGTAAAAATTCTGTGATTTTATGAAAAAACGCAGTTTTCCAGTAAAATATACTGGATCAAAAGTTTATCAACAAAAAAAAAATAGAAAAAATTATGAAAACTTGAATATATTTGAAAAAAATTGTGCAATTGTTGAATCAGTCGAAGATAGTGGCGCCAAGTAGAATAGATGAACCTGAAAATGTTCAGAATGTTGCAAAATCCAGAAAATAATGTTGATTCAAGATTTTAGATGGAAATTTCCAGCTTTTTGTTGAGTTTTATACTGTTCAAACTTCATCTAATAAAAGTTAACTTTTTGTGCATATAAAAATAAAAATTGTTATTTTTACTTGTCAAAAATGAAATAGGATGTACAACCAGTTCAGATAGCTAGCATTGCGATTTGCAATAACATTATTTGAGTGAAAAGAACAGACTTTTCGAAGATTTTCCAGAAATAAAAACGTTTTTTGCACTTTATTTCTAAAATTTGTCAAATCAAGCCGAATGAGCGCTTAAGATCACTTACCTCACTACTCACATTGATAATCTTCCTGCTCCAAATGCCACATAATCAATTTTTCTTTCCGGCTGGCGATTTTTCCCGAAATTGTCATAAATCCCAACTAAAATAATTCAAAATTGCGATGAGACAGCTCCAATATTGAAAGGGAAGATGCCCAATCCTCCTCAAATGTATATCTTTGCCTCTTTCTTATATATTCATACCAAAAATCGACTTTCTGTGTAAAATTGAGCCAAAATCGTGCAATTTTCGAACATCTGTAAAATCAAAAAATATGCACTTTGAACACTCTGATGTACTGCTAACTTACCTAGAGATGACAGAAAGTTCGAAATACCATTCGAAAAGATGGGTTTTTCGACATTTTTCGGTCTCGAAAAATCCTGGAAATTGAAAAATTGCGTTTTTTATCACTAAAAACTCATAAAACAAAACAAATCACATGAAAGGTGAACACTCTACCCTCATTTCATCTATCTAAATCAAAAAACTCTGAAAAAGTCTCGAAAACAACTTGAAAACACAAAAAAAACGGAAATTTCCGTTTTTTCAAAAACAAAAAAAAATCGGGGCAGCAGAAAAAAGAAGTGCGATGGGGCGCGTTTCCTTCGCTGGCGAACGGACAGTAGGATACTCTGCGTTTAAGAATTTTTAGCGCGAAAATTTGAATTTTCAAAAAAAATACTTTTTTTCAGCATTCTCCTCAAATGCACTATTTCGAAAGTGGAGATCAATATCTTTTTTGAAAAAAAAATTAATTTTGAATTTTTTCGGGTCCTATTTTTGCGGGTATTTTTTTCATTGAAAATAAATGTATATTTTTTGTTGATCAGTTTTTTTGTTAATTCAATTATTCCGGTTTTTTCGAGCCCAAATGTGTGTATTTTTGCCTAAATTTTCACCAGAAAATTGTCCACGAACAAAACTTTGAATTTTCAACCTACAGTACTCTGCAAAATCTTTTCAAGACCCGATTTTTTCTCCAATTTTTTCCCCTTGTTTTTGTTTTTGTTTTCGTGTTCTTTTTTCTTTCTCTTTTCCCATTCATTCATTGCATTTTATTCATTTTCCTCTTTTTTTGCCTCAAAAAACATTTTTTCAAAACGAATTTCGCCCCAAAAATATCTTTTTGTGCTGTTGACATTCGATATTTTGCTCATTTTTCAAACTTTTCCCTTTTTTTCAAAAAAAAAAAAAGGAAAAAAGTTCGCGCCGGTACTCGAACCCTTGACCTTGTGATCGTCAGGCGACGCGCTACCCACCTGAGCTATTGATGGTTTTCTAGAAGCGCACCAAAATTTTGTTGACAGGCCGCGCGCGCCCCAAAAAACTTACCTATACACAACAAAACAAAACAAAAAAAAATCATGGGCGCCTCTGTCTCGCCCACTCTCTCACCTCCTCCACACTCTCTCGCCTCCACTCTCTTTCTCTGCCGCTCTCTCTGCCTCCACTATTTTTGTTGTGTGTTTGCCTCAGTCGTTTTTCCCCTTCTTCTCGTTTTTTTTTCTTTTCGCGTTTTTTTTCCACACATTTTTTTTGCGTCTTTTTGGTTTTGGTTTTGGTTTGATCCATTATCGATTTTTTTGTGGTTCGAAAAATTCCTAGGAAAATCTAATTTTTCATGGTAAATTGCGAAAAATTGCGAAATTTTTGAATTTTCCCGATTTCCCGTCGAAAATTTGTTTACAAAAAAAAAGATGCCCAGTTTTCCAATAATTGATAAGGGAAAAAATCGTTTTTTCCCCGATTTTTCGTTGCAAAAGAAAATAAATAATGCTTATTTTTGCTGCCATGTTCCTTTGACGACAGTAACCTTGGGGGGCAGAATTTCGAATCAATCGACCTTCGAAATTATTTTCTTGGTTCTCTATTTAGCCACTGTGTTTTATTCTTAGAAAGCTAAAAAAAATTTTCGCTCGCACCGTGGTTCGAACCCCAGACCTCACACTCAGTGAATACTAAGCTAACCGGCTGAGCCTTTTTTTGTTGTTCTCTATGATGAAAACCAGTTCGTGACGTATTAAAAAGTTTTGAAAAAAATTCCCGCTCGCACCGGGGCTTGAACCCCTGACCTTTCCCCCCGGAACTCTGAGAGCTAACCACCTGAGCCATTTAGAAAAAAAATCTTGCGCCCACCGGGGTTTGAACTCTTAACCTCACACTCGGCAAACACGTCACTAACCGGCTGAGCCATCTGGGACTTTTCAAGTTTTTCTATGATGCAAACCAGTTTTGTGACGTATTTTTGTGATGATTTTAAAGTTTAACATGAGTAATTGTCATCTCTCTGCACTCTCCTCATATCCTACACTATCTCTCTCTCTATTTCAAAAATCTATAGATTTCCAAAAAAAAAAAATTCCAGCATTTTTCAGCGCCTACAACTTCTCTTCTTCTTTTTCTGCCAGTGCCAGCTCGGAGCTCGATAGAAATAGTGTGGCAAATCGAGAGAGCGTGCAGAGAAAAGAGCCAGCCCCCCGAAAAAGAGACATTTTTTGTGTGCGTCTCGCTCTCTGAAAATTGGAGGAGAAGAAAAGGAACGCGCGAACACTGCTGCTGCACACGAGAGAGACACGTGGAATCGCGGAGTGTCGTTGTCTCGTCGCTGGTGTTTCCCTGGTGCCGCTTTTAGATAGTGTGAGTTTTTGCGGGGCTCGCCGATTTCATATGCGAAAATTGCGCTGCATTTCTCAAGCGCCCCGTAGTCTAGCGGATAGCACGCGCGCCTACCAAACACACCACCCCATTTTGCTCGGGTTCGATGCCGGGTGCGCGCAAAATTTTTTTTTGTTGAACTGTTTGTTTGTCCAAAAAGCGTTTTTTTTTTTGTTTATCAGCCTCTCTTTTCTCTCGTTTTTTTCTGGTCGTTCATTCGTTTCAGCAAAAAAAAGAAGAAAAAAGTGAAAAACAACATGTTTTGGTCGAAGAAGAAGCGACTGGTACGTAAAAGTTTTAGCGAAAACAACTCTGTTGTTATGTATAGTTTTTTCTTCATCTAACTGAATAACTAGGAAATAAAAGAAAAAAAAGTTTTCGCCGGGAATCGAACTGGGGTGATGAAATTGGCAGGCAAACCTGCTAACCCCTAGGCTACCCGGGGGTTTTCGAAATTAAATGAAAAATCCTGAGAGATGAAAAGTAAATAAACAAACAAACAAACAAACAAATAGTACCATTGGGTACCCCAAAAAAAAATTTTTTTAATATTTTTTTTTCGAACATGTTTATAATACTGGTAGTTGATAAACACATTTCTCTCTCTCAATATATTTTCTGGTTTTCGTTGTTTTGGCCAAAAAATTGTGTTTTTCGGCTGTTTTTTTCTAGTTCCTCTATTTCTCTAGCGATTTTTCCAAAAAAAAAAAAAAATTTCGCTGCCGGCATCGAACCCGTGACCCTTTGCTTGTCACGCGCCCCTCCTAACCACTTGACCATCTTTCTTCGCGCTTTTCTCTAGCTTTAGAGTTAGAGACGCAGGTTTTTGATCTACTATACAAAATCGCGCGCGCATTTTTCTACCTACAGTACCCCTACAGTAATCCAATTTGTTTTTTGCAGAGGGTGTAGTCAGTCTTCGTCAGAGAGTATATTATTATTATTATTATATTAATTCGTCGTGTACAGTATACATACAGTAACCTATCCTATCCTACTTTTTGCTTTGTAAAAATCGTCTTCTACTAAAAAATGAGCACAACTCCAACCAATACGACTACAGTAACCGGGTCATCGCCTACAGGTTGGTTTTTTAAAGGGACAGGGGGGTTTATCAACATTTTTTCCCTTCAAAATAGTCCAAATTTCACGAGATTTTTTTTCGCTACAGTACTCCTCCTACAGTAATCTAGCTCAAAATTTCTTGGCGTGAAATTCTGGAAGACTACAGTACCCTGAGAAAAAATTGGGCCAAAGATTCCAAAAAAAATGGATCAAAATTATTTCCCTTCAAAATAGTCATAATTTTAGGGGATTTTTCGCTACAGTACTCCCCCTACAGTAATCTAGCTCAAAATTTTCGTGGCACCAAAAATCCAGCCAAACTACAGTACCCTGAGAAAAATTGTGCCAAAGATTCCAAAAAAAAAAAATGGATCAACATTATTTCCCTTCAAAATAGTCCAATTTTTCGGCTACAGTACTCCTACAGTAATCTAGCTTTAAAATTTCGTGGCACCAAAAATCTAGTCAAACTACAGTAACCTGGGGAAAATTGTGCCAAAGATTCCAAAAAAAAAATGGATCAACATTTTTTCCCTTCAAAATAGTCCAAATTTTACGGGATTTTTCGCTACAGTACTTCTCCTACAGTAATCTAGTTCGAAATTTTGCGATCTGGGAGACTACAGTACCCTGAGGAAAATTGTGCCACAAATTCCAAAAAAAAAAATGGATCAACTATTATTTCCCTTCAAAATAGTCCAAATTTCACGAGATTTTTTTTCTACAGTACTCCTCCTACAGTAATCTAGCTGAAAATTTTGTGATCTGGAAGACTACAGTACCCTGAGAAAAAATTGTGCCACAAATTCCGAAAAAAAATGGATCAACATTATTTCCCTTCAAAATGGTCCAAATTTCACGGGATTTTTTCGCTACAGTACTCCTCCTACAGTAATCTAGCTGAAAATTTCGTGGCACCAAAAATCTAGTCAAACTACAGTACCCTGAGAAAAATTGTGCCACAAATTCCAAAAAAAAAATGGATCAACATTTTTTCCCTTCAAAATAGTTCAAATTTAACGGGATTTTTTCGGCTACAGTACCCCGTCTACCGTATTCCAGGTACAGTAACCCACCATCACCAACAATCATCGCCTCAATCTTCGCCAATTCCCACCGCCACAAATCCGAACTCGAATCGAAATACGCCGATTTCGACGAATCTACGCGAAACAAGTCCCGGAATTTTGGGAGAAGAGCCACGTTTGAATGCGGATTCTGATGATGGATCACATGGATCACAAGATCCGGGCAAGATGTTTATTGGTGGATTGAGTTGGCAAACTACTGCTGGTTAGTAAGGTTTTTAGGGGTTTTTACGTGAAAAATTATGGATTTTAAGGTCCTTAAGGTCTCTAATGCAGTTTTCACGTTGAAAATGGTTAATTCTCAGCAGTTTTTTAGAGTCTAGGGTAGTTTTTTTACGTGAAAAGTAAGCAATTTTGAGGGTTTTTAAGGAGTTTAGGCTCTTTTTAAGGTCCTTAAGGTGTCTAAGGCAGTTTTTCACGTTAAAAATGGTTTATTTTAAGGTATTTCAGGTTCTCAGCAGTTTTTCAGAGTCTAGGGTTGTTCTTTACACAAAAAATAAGCACTTTTGAGGGTTGTTAAGGAGTTTAGGCAGTTTTTAAGGTTTTTACGGTCTCTAAGGCAGTTTTTCACGTTAAAAATGGTTAATTTTAAGGTATTTCATATTCTCAGCAGTTTTTTAGAGTAAAGTGTAGTTTTTTACATGAAAAATAAGCAATTTTGAGGGTTTTTAAGAAGTTTAGGCTTTTTTTAGGGTTCTTAAGGTCTCTAAGGCAGTTTTTCACGTTAAAAATGGGTAATTTTAAGGTAGTTCAAGTTCTCAGCAGTTTTTAGAGTCTAGGGCAGTTTTTACATGAAAAATAAGCAATTTTGAGGGTTGTTAAAAAGTTTAGGCTTTTTTTAGGGTTCTTAAGGTCTCTAAGGCAGTTTTTCACGTTAAAAATGGGTAATTTTAAGGTATTTCAGGTTATTAGTAGTTTTTAGAGTCTAGGGTAGTTTTTTAAATGAAAAATAAGCAATTTTGAGGGTTGTTAGGGAGTTTAGGCTCTTTTAAGGTCTCTAAGGTCTCTAAGGCGGTTTTTCACGTTAAAATGGTTAATTTTAAGGTAGTTTTGGTTATTAGCAGTTTTTAGAGTCTAGGGTAGTTTTTTTCGTGAAAAATAAGCAATTTTGAGAGTTGTTAAGGAGTTTAGGCTCTTTTTAAGGTCCTTAAGGTCTCTAAGGCAGTTTTTCTCGTTGAAAATGGTTAATTTTAAGGTAGTTCAGGTTATTAGCAGTTTTTTAGAGTCTCTAAGGTGACTAGGGTAGTTTTTTACGTGAAAAATCGGTGTTTTTGAGGGGTTTAAGGTGCTTTAGGTTCTTAAGGTTCTAAAATTTGCGATCTACCGATGTTTTTTTTTTGAGGTACTGTAGTTTTGCTTTGCCACGTGGCTAGATTTTCATAAAATTTTTAACTTTTTTGCTAGAAAATCCCCCCAAAATACCAGTTCTCAATTTTTTTTTGAACAAAAACACCTAACTACTTTTTTCAGTTTTGTTTTTTCTTCTTTTTTTTTCGAAAATGAACAAAAAAAAACTAGATGCCTTCATATATTTTTTGGTTGTTTATTTGTCCACTTTCCATTCTGTTTTTCTCTAATTTCTCCCCCAAATTTCTTCTTACTGTGTTTGAAAGAGGACTGTTTTTGTGTTTTGAAAACACAAAAACACTCTCTCTCTGTATTTTCGCCTTTTTTTCCAATGTATTTGAGTCAAGGTACGGTTGTTTTTGGTGCAAAAATTTGCCACGTGGCACAATTTTTTTGGGGAATTTTTTAGATCACAAATTTTAGCCTCGGAAATTTTTTTGTAGATCACAGAGCTACGCGGCACAAATTTTGAATTTGAATTTTTTTTTGACACCGAAATTTCCACATAACTACAGTACCTCCAAGAAAATATGGATCGTCTTATTTCGATTTTTTTGCTACAGTACTCCTCCTACAGTAATCTAGCTCAAAAAAATACAGTACCCTGAGAAAAATTGTGTCAAAGATTCCAAAAAAAAAATGGATCAAAATTATTTCCCTTCAAAATAGTCCAAATTTCACGGGATTTTTTTGCTACAGTAATCTAGCTCAAAAATTTGTGATCTGGAAGACTACAGTACCCTGAGAAAAATTGTGCCAAAGATTCCAAAAAAATGGATCAAAATTATTTCCCTTCAAAATAGTCCAAATTTCACCGGATTTTTTCGGCTACAGTACTCCTCCTACAGTAATCTAGCTCAAAATTTCGTGGCACCAAAAATCTAGTCAAACTACAGTACCCTGAGAAAAATTGTGCCAAAAATTCCAAAAAAAATGGATCAAAATTATTTCCTTAAAAATAGTCCAAATTTCACGGGATTTTTTCGGCTACAGTACTCCTGAAGGTTAAAAGTACAGTAGATCAAATTTTCCACGTGGCAAACATGGCTACAGTAACCTGAGGAAAATTTTGCTACAAAAATTCCAAAAAAAAAGGATCACAATTATTTCCTTCAAAATAGTCCAAATTTCACGGGAATTTTTCGCTACAGTACTCCTCCTACAGTAATATATCTCAAAATTTGAAAATCTGAAAGACTACAGTACCCTCAGGAAAATTGTGCCAAAGATTCCAAAAAAATGGATCAAAATTATTTCCCTTCAAAATAGTCCAAATTTCACGGGATTTTTTCGGCTACAGTACTCCTGAAGGTTAAAAGTACAGTAGAGCAAATTTTCCGTGGCAAACATCGCTACAATCTGCAAAAATTTTACAGAAAATCTTCGCGACTATTTCGGTCGTTTTGGTGAAGTGAACGAATGTATGGTGATGCGTGATCCGGCGACAAAACGAGCTCGCGGTTTTGGTTTTATCACTTTTGTAGATCCGTCTAGTGTGGATAAGGTGAGTTTTCGGGCTTTTTTAGGCCTGGGCTGGGATTTGGACCGAAAACTGGGCTTTTTTTGCGGAAAAATTGGATTTTTTGGGTAGAAATTAGGCTTTTTTAGGCTTCAGGCCTAAGCTTTAGGCTTCTTTCCTTAGGCTCACAATTAGGCTTACTTTTAAGCCTAAAATAGTTAGATCTGAATCTAGGCTTCTAGAATTAACTTTAGGTTTAACCTTAAAATTTAGGTTTAACCTTAAAATTAGGCTTATTTTGGACAAACCTTAAAAATAGGCTTATTTAGGCTTAACCTTAAAAATAGGCTTATTCGGGCCTAACCTTAAAAATAGCCTTATTTTGGACAAACCTTAAAAATAGGCTTATTTAGGCTTAACCTTAAAAATAGGCTTATTTAGGCTTAACCTTAAAAATAGGCTTATTCGGGCCTAACCTTAAAAATAGCCTTATTTTGGACAAACCTTAAAAATAGGCTTATTTAGGCTTAACCTTAAAAATAGGCTTATTTAGGCCTAACCTTAAAAATAGCCTTATTTTGGACAAACCTTAAAAATAGGCTTATTTAGGCTTAACCTTAAAAATAGGCTTATTTAGGCCTAACCTTAAAAATAGCCTTATTTTGGACAAACCTTAAAAATAGGCTTATTTAGGCTTAACCTTAAAATTAGGCTTATTCAGGTTTAACCTTAAAAATAGGCTTATTTAGGCTTAACCTTAAAATCAGGCTTTTTCAGGCTTAACCTTAAAAATAGGCTTATTTAGGCTTAACCTTAAAAATAGGCCTATTTAGGCTTTACTTTAAAAATAGGCTTTTTCAGGCCCAGTTTGGGCCCAAAAACACGCGATTTTTGCAGGTTCTTCAAACTCGCGAGCACGAATTGGACGGCAAACGAATCGATCCGAAAGTCGCGTTCCCGAAACGAGTTCAATCGAAGGTAGGCGAATTTTTCGCGCGCGAAAAAATCGCAGTCGCAAAAAATTTATGCAAATTTTGCGCAAAAAAATAAAGTTTTTGGCGGGACCCCCCTTATAGCATTTTTTTTTTCGAGAAAAAGAGGAAAAATTGAAAAAAAAAACGTATACACACATCACTCACATTAAATTGAGCATATATTTATTTTTGCGGGCTCTGTGCTCGCCAGAAGAATAGAAAAATTCTCTGAAAATGTGTGTTCTTCTCTTGTGACAGATTAATGAACCTAATTTTGAAAAGTTTTGCATTGGGGCGCACTTGCTGCCTACCCTCTTCCTTTAAAAAAACTTCCAAGATTCCCTTTTCTTCTCCCGAAAAAGTGGAATTAGTTGGATTTTGATTGATTGTGACAAAATAAGCCCCAAATAGCACAGATGTTTGAAAAAATTTCGAATTTTTTTGAAATTTTCTTCTTGCCGCCAAAATTTTCTTAAAGCAACACGAGAGACTTTTTGGGGTTACTGTAATTTTAAAGGAACAGCCACCTTTAATTTCTATTGAAAATTTGAAGGTATTACTATAGTTCGCTTCAAGACCCAAAAACTCACAAATTCGAGAAAATTTCCGGGATTACTGTATGTCCCTTTAACCGTAGGCGATTTTCTGTAGATCGAAACCTGTAACTCGAGATCCCAAAAACTCACAAAATCTTCGAGATTTCCCGGATTACTGTAGGTCCCTTTAAACTTCGAAATTGTTGCATTTCTGTAGATCAAAACCTCTAGGATTACTGTAGATCTCTTCGAGACCCAAAAAATTCAAAATCAAGAAAGTTCCCGAGATTACTGTAGTTCGCTTCAAGACACCAAAAAACCATAAATTCTCAAGGATTTTCCGGGTTACTGTAGGTCCCTTTAAAATGCATAAACGAACATGCGATGTTTCTAAACTACGATAGATCGCTTTGAGACCCAATCTCCAGGATTACTGTACCTCCCTTTAAGATTTATTTGTTTATTTTTCTTTGCTGTTCCAAACCCAAAAACACATTATTACCTCACTTTTCCCCCCCAACTTTTTCCATATTTTTCTTCGCAACCACTTCCTATTTTTTCGCCATTTTCTTCGCCTCAAAAAATCTTTTTTCTTTTTTTTTTGGTTGGTCCGCCCATTTTTTCTTTGGCCAAAAAGCTTTCAACCGCGTTTTCCTTACTTTTTCCCCTATTTTTTAATCGACGTTTTACATACATATATTTATTTTTTGCTCAAGCTTAGCTCTTGTTTTTGCTTTTCTGAAGAAAGTAAACAACAACTATATTAATATTTTTCTATAATACTTCCTTGAGCTGAAAATCTCTCTATAGCATTTTTTGCCTGAAAATTCGGGCTCTCCTCTACGTCTCTGCCGAGGTTTTGGGGTCTCTGGTTGTCTAGCTTCTCTATCTCTGCGTCCCTAACCTTTCTCTAGCTGTCTAGCTTGCCTCTGCGTCTTCTATATAACTATACATCTGAAAATCTAGGCTGAAAATGGCATATGTCTCTTATGGTTTTGTGCCGACGGCGGCCGCCGCCGGAATTCCGTCAGTCGCTGGAATTGGGGTAGGTTTTGGCCTTTAAAAGGGTCCCACAACGAAGTACTGTAGAAAACAGCGCGCGAAAATCTTTTTCAAAAAAGGAAAAATGGGGTCCTGCAACGAAAAAAAAAATTACCACACAGACTACTGTATTTAAAGGAACATTTCATTTGCAGCTCGTCACAAAAACGAAAAAAGTGTTCATTGGTGGTCTGTCAGCGACTTCCACACTTGAAGACATGAAAATGTATTTTGAGACGTATGGAAAAGTCGAAGATGCCATGTTGATGTTCGACAAAGCCACTCAAAGACATCGAGGTAGGTTAGAGAACGAGAGGAGATGTCTGGTTGTCTAGCTTCTCTCTGCGTCTCTCTTCCTCTAGTCGTCTGCCTCTCTCTCTCTGCGTCTCTAACCCTCACCGGTTCTTTTTCCAGGCTTTGGATTCATCACATTTGACAGCGATGAAGTGGCCGACAAAGTGTGCGAAATCCATTTTCATGAAATCAACGGAAAAATGGTCGAGTGCAAAAAAGCGCAACCCAAAGAGGTATGTTCCTTTAAATTTTATCCTCGGTTACGGTAGCCCCCCTTTAAGCTTAGAGGCCTGGAGAAGCCTGGAAGCCTATAAAAGGCCCTCAAATCCTTTCAGAAGCCTTGAGAAGCCCCTTAGAAGCCTAGAGGCCTATAAAAAGCCCTGAAATGCTTTCAGAAGCATTGAGAAGCCTAGAAGCCTATAAACAGCCCTGAAATGCTTTCAGAAGCCTGAAAAAGCCCTTTATGAGCCTAGAAGCCTATAAAAAGCCCTGTAATCCTTTCAGAAGCCTTGAGAAGCCCCTTAGAAGCCTAGAGGTCTATAAAAAGCCCTGAAATCCTTTCAGAAGCCTGAAAAAGCCCTTTAGAAGTCTATAAAAGCCCGAAATAGTCCTAATAAGCTCGCTAAGGTCTATAATTGCTCTAAAAGCCTTTTAGAAGCCTAGAAATACATTAAAGGCCCGAAAAGCCCTCACCAAACCTCTCTTGAAGCCTAGAACGGCCCCTGGTTGCCTAGAAAGACCTTCAAGGTCCACATTAGTCTTAAACAGCTCGCTAAGGTCTAAAAGCCCAAGCCTAAGCCTAGAAAGACTCGTTAGAAGCCCTAATCAGCCTATTATCGAAAATCTCATCGATACCACGCGCCCCACCGAAATAAAAACGCAACGCAGACCGCGTCGCGTCACAACACACACAAATAAAGAAACGATTCAAATTCCCTCCGTTTTTTGTGCGTTGCGGTCTGCGTTGCGTGTTTATTTCGGTGGAGCGCGCGTGGTACCGATGAGAACCCCCCAATTTTCACCCGCAAATCCATTTTCAGGTAATGCTCCCGGTGCAACTCAACAAATCGCGCGCGGCCGCCGCACGAAACCTCTACGGAATGCCGCCCGAACAACTTCTCGCCTACGCCTCCTATGTGCCGGGACTTCGCGCAACAATCGGCAATTATTTGTATCCGCAAGTCGGAAATGGCAAGTTTTCTCCTCGATTTTTTCTATTTTTCGTAGCTCAAAGAAGAAATGTCTTTGAATTATTCACCGTCCAAACAAATTACATATAAATGCTCTCACTGAAGAGCCCCCCCCCCTTTCCTTTCCTTTTTATTTCTACACATACTTCACAGCTTTTTGAGAAATGGGCAAAATTGTTGAAAAGAGTTTGGGCTGTTATTAAAAAATTTTTGAAGGGGGCAAACTTGAAAATTGGATTTTTTGTTTCTAGTTTGCAACAAAAATCTATAGGAATGTCGATTTTTGGGCCGAAAACAGCAGGCCACGTGGATTTTCAGTTCGAAAATTGACGAAAAATCAGTCTAGACAGCCTAAAAAGGCCCAAACCCCTGATTTTTCGGTCTAGAAATCCGAAAAACAGTTTGAACAGTGCTGGTGAAGCCTGCGACGTGGATTTTCAGTACGAAAATTTATTCTAGACCTAAAAATCACGAAAAATCAGTCTAGACAGCCTAAAATGGCCCTATAACCAGATTTTTTGGTCTAGAAGCTCAAAAACTTTGTAAACAGGGCTGCCACGTGGATTTTCAGTACGAAAATTGATTCTAGGCTTGATTTTCATGCTTCAGGCATATTCTAGACTGAAAAATCACGAAAAATCAGTCTAGACAGCCTAAAATGGCCCAAAGCCCAGATTTTTTGGTCTAGAAATCCGGAAAACTCTGTGAACAGGGCTGCCACGTGGATTTTCAGTTCAAAAATCAATTTCAGGCTTGATTTTCATGCTTCAGGCATATTCTAGACTGAAAAATCACAAAAAATCAGTCTAGACAGCCTAAAAAGGCCCAAAGCCCAGATTTGTGGTCTAGAAATCCGGAAAACTCTGTGAACAGGGCTGACACGTGGATTTTCAGTTCAAAAATCAATTTCAGGCTTGATTTTCAGTTTTTGGACTCCTTGAAGCATAGTTGAGCGTGCAAAATACTAAAACCACGTTCCAGGCTCAAAAATAGGCCCTAACTCAAATTTTCCGGTCTAAAAGCCCAAAAAGTCCGCCAAAAAACATTCCAAAACCCGGAAATTTTTCCAGTGTTCAACCATCTACCAACTGGCTACGGACTGCCCACCAACTCTCTAACCGGTCAATCATCCCGCCCACCACCACCCCACGTTCAAACCGGTCCCCATCAATTCGACACCTCGGCCCTCTATGGCCTAAACTCACAAACGGGCCTGAACGCGGCCGCCGCAGCCGCCCAACACTTGGTCGAACAACAATCGCAATTCTTGCAAAATCAAACCGCCTATCATGCTGCTCACAATAAACAACCCTATTAAAATCGTTTTTTTTTTGGGGGGAAATATGTATGAAAATACACGAGGTGCCTATCTGCCACACACTTTTTTCTTCTTTTTTTTGGTGAGTTTTGGGTTTTTTGATGAAAAATTGCTTAAAAACCCTAAATTTTAGGCCAAAAATTCAGAATTTCATCTGAAAATCACTGAAAATCCATGTTTTCCATATTTTTCACCTAATTATCAACCCAAAAATCCCAAAAAATAGTGTGTGGAGATGAGAGAGTGCGAGAGAAATGAGAGTGTGCGATAGAGCGACATTCCATTTTTACTTTTATTTTCGGGCGGTTTTTTTGTTTCGCCTGGATTTTCCGGTTTTTAGAGTGTGGATTGAGCAAATTTAGAGTATTTATACTCAAAAAATCCAAATTTTTCCAGATTTTCCTACCAACTCATCAACCAATTCGTCTAAAACCCTACTAACACCAACAACATATGTAAAAACTTTGTAAAAAATCAAAACCCAATTTTTCTTGGTAGTAACCATCGACTAGTTGTTGTATAAAAAATCGCTTGCAAAACAATTTCCACCCGAAATTATTTTGAGTTCTTCTCCTCGACTAGATGGTTTTTAGACGGCCCCTTCTTCTTTTCATTTTTGTCATTTTTCTCTGTACAGTATCCACATTTTTTCGCGCAGAGACCCTTTTCTTCGTAGTTTTTAGGACCATTGTGAACCCGGTGTTCGATTTTTTTTCTTCTTGTGTTTTTGAAAAATATTTATGGATAATCTTATCATATTTTCATTAAAGACACATCAGCCACTGGAAATGAGTCAGAAATGGTGTTGTTATTCTTTCATAACATGTTCTAAGGAATCGAAATACATAAAAATAAAGAAAAAATTTTGAGCCTGGCAAAAGTTAAAAAAAAAAAATAATTGTTTTTGAAAACGCTCAGCCGACGGGAATTTTTTGACGGTGTTTGCACACACTCCGTGACACTTTTGTGTACCGTATTCCTTTTATTTATTTTTTTTATTTTTGTTCAATTTTCCAATTTTTACTTCGTCTTTTCCCGATTTTTCATGTTTTGAACTGTTTTCATTTCACAAAAGATGGAGAAATGCGATTTTTGTTTAAAACCGACAACAAGCAATAAACAATTTACATACTCCAAAGAGTTTTATGCCATATTCGCTGCAGGAATTACCGCCGGAAAGTTGTATACGCCGGATATCAAGCGATTATGTAATCTGAACCGAATCAAGATTTTGATGATATCTTCTAATGCCCTCAAAAAACCAAAAACGTTGAATTCCAGCCCAAAATGCAGTGATCCGGAGTTGAAGATCGAATTGGATGGTTGAATTCTAGGAAATTATGTTGTCGACCTACTTCCAGCAATAAATTGACAGACAATTTTGAAAAAAATCACCAAAACCTCTCAAAAATCGTGAAAAGTCCAATTTCAACACTGAATTGATGTAAAACTTCGAAAAATCTCAGAAACCCCTAAAAAATCTCAGAAAAATCAAATTTCAGCAAGAATTGTGTGCTCCAGAATTGAAAATCAGATTGGATGGTCGAATTCCGTGAACTTGGATTGTCAAGAAACTTCCAGCACCAAATTAATCAAAAACCTCGAAAAAATTCGAAATAAATCTCCCAAAACCCTCAAAATAACGAAAAGCTCAAATTTCAGCCAAAAATCGTGTGCTCCAGAGTTGAAAATCAGATTGCATGGTCGAATTCCATTAACTTGGATTGTCGAGGAACAGAATTCATCGAAAATGTCAAAAAAAAAATCAGAAAAATCTGATTTCAGCCAGAAATTTGTTGAAATAACTCGAAATGTAGAAATCCATAAAAATAAAATTCTTCTCCGTAAAATTCTGCTTCGATTAATATATTGATCAATGAAATTGGTTCAGAATGAGACGAAAACGATCAATCTCAAAAACGCCAAGTCTCAAATTGAAAATGTGTGTTTGCAAGTTTGTGTGCATTTTCCCTTTCACCGCCTATGCCTCTTCGGTTTCTCATTTTCATGACTATCTATTCACAGCGAAATGGGCAGTTTTAGACGGGCTTTCAGATCAGCACAAGACATCCTGATGAAATTGGCGTTCTGATTCATAAACTACAAACAAACGAAATCCTCGAAAAAAAAAAAACAATAAATATTCTCCGAGAGAAATACACAGACGTGTGTGCAACAGAGCGCACATGCTGTTTTGTCATTTGAAAAATATTGCGCGAAATCTGTTTTTTCCAGTGGCTGATGTGTCTTTAACTCGTCTCGTCTCTTTTTTTTGAATAAATAAATCAATAAATATTTTTGAAAATTTCGGATCGAATTGAATTTTCAGCACAAAATTTGGAGCATCCTCCCCTTATAAAAAACGAAATCACTGAAAATTTGGCGTCACATTAAATGTTTCCTTCAATAATGTGCAAACACCGCTTCGTTTTTGAAAAATCAACGCGCGTTGCGAGACACGGGAGAAAAATTGTGTGCGCCTTTGATGAGGGGTACGGTAGAAGTATTTGTGAATTTTATTTATTTATTTCTTTTTTTTTGAGGGTTTGAGCGCTGCAATTTTTGGAACATCTAACACGCTTATTGTAACTTCAGGGGATTTTTTCTTCAAAACGGGAACCCCACTCTAACTCTGACTCTGAGAATAGATCACATCAAAAGTATAACAGTTGGGAACCCTGAGAATTCTCTCCAACTACTTCACGAAGAGTATACTAGTTTCGAGAAAAAATGAAAAAATAAAATAAAGGCGCATCGATTTTTTGTGTATTTGGGTCTCGTGACGACCTCATTCTACAGTATGCCACGGGCGTTTTCTTTTTCATTTTTCATTTTTTCGCCGGTTTTTTTGAATTTTTCACGTGGAAATGGCAAATTGTGAGCGCCCTACACATTGGATGACTTTTTGAAACTCGAAAAAATCGGAGAAGGAACCTATGGAGTTGTATATAAAGGAAAAAACAAAAGGACGAATGAGTTGGTGGCGATGAAGAAAATTCGATTGGAAAGCGAAGATGAAGGAGTTCCGTCGACGACAGTTCGCGAGATTTCATTGCTCAAAGAATTGCAACATCCGAATGTTGTTGGATTGGAAGCGGTTATTATGCAGGAGAATCGATTATATTTGATATTTGAGTTTCTTTCGTCGGATCTCAAGAAATATATGGATAAATTGAAGAAGGATGAATATCTCGATAGAGCAACTGTACAAAGTTACACTTTCCAGGTATTTTGTTTAGATTTGATTCAAAAATTCATAATTAATCTTTCAGATTCTTCAAGCAATGTGTTTCTGTCACCAACGTCGTGTGATTCACCGTGATCTCAAACCACAAAACTTGCTGGTTGATACGAATGGTGTTATCAAATTGGCAGATTTCGGGTTGGCTCGTGCTATTGGCATTCCAATCAGAGTTTATACTCATGAAGTTGTCACTTTATGGTATCGCGCACCTGAAATCTTGCTTGGCGCTCAGAAATATTCGATGGGTGTTGATATGTGGTCGATTGGTTGTATATTTGCTGAAATGATCACCAAGAAACCGCTATTTCAAGGAGATTCGGAGATTGATGAGTTGTTCAGAATCTTCAGGTAGATATTTGCATTTTCTAAAAACAATCTCACAATCAATATGTTTTGTTTAGAACTCTCGGAACACCGACAGAATTGGAGTGGAATGGCGTCGAATCATTGCCGGATTATCGAATGACGTTTCCAAAATGGCGTGACAACTTTTTGCGCGACAAATTCATCGATAAAAAGACGAATACATCCAAAATCGACGATCAGGCATTCGATTTGTTACAAGGTATGCTGATTTACGACCCAAAACTTCGAATCTCCGCTAAAAAATCGTTGAATCATCCATATTTCGATGATGTTAACACAAGAAATCTGCCAGCTGGCGATTTTCGAGGTGAATTACAACTCAATTAATGTATATTTTCATGTAAATTAACTATTTATCATCTGTTCAATATTATTTATTTATTTGCGAAAATACTAAAGTTTTTGACGATTTTTGAAGAGAAATCGATTTTCCACGGAATTTTTATTGAACATAAAAAAGGAAAAATCGGGTTTAGGAATAATAGTACAAAAAAAGATGGGTAAATTTTTCATTGTTTTGCTGAATGCATAGTTGGATCGTTGATAGCACCGAATTTCTTTTCTTTTGCGATGATACTTTTCGGAACAACTTCAGTGATGATTGTTGGTGGATCTGAAAAACAAAAGGTGTTTCAAAATAAAATAATGAAAATCTCTCGAACCATCAGTTTTTTCTCCAATGATCAAAATCGTTTTGTTGTCTTCTTCCTTCGATTTTTTGCATTTTGAAAACAATTTCTTGCGGAATGCCAAACCGACAATCAATAAGACAACAACAATTACTGCAACTACGACGAGAATAATAATCAAAATAGTGTTATCTCCCGATTTTTCGGATGGTTTTGATGGCGTTGCTGTTGTTGGAGGTTCGACATCGGTGCCAAGAATACGTTGCATGCTGGAAATATTCAAGGAATTTGGATTATATATGAGAAAAAAAGGAAACTTACAAAGTGTAGGTGACATTTCTCAACTCATCTGTGGCATTTTGTTCTGTAAAACATTGTTTCAAAAATGATTCATATTGGGAGAAAAACCCACTTGCTGTATTGATCGTATTTATATTCGGATAGTAAAATGTGTTTGGATCACTGCCAGTTGAAAACTTGATTTGATACAACTCGAATTTCTTGTCCAGCTGTGTCTCATTGAACGCTTTCGGATAATCGCAATTGGTTGTTCCCGCCATTAAATCGTCATGAACAATCAATTTGATCTTATTGACTGGATCCCAAGGATAGTTTTTCAGAAAAGTAAGACCAGATTTGAAAGTATCACAAGTTGCGAATGCATTTGTCTCTGAAATATTTCACATTCACAACATTTTTTCAAAAATTATCCATACCCTTGAAAATTGATTCTATGAATGTTTTTGTATCTTTGACTTCTGTATGATCCTTCACCATAAGATCATTATTGAAATGATGAATTGCACCCGAGTTTATATTTTGATTTGTTGGAATCCAACAAGCCAGTTGATTCAATAAATACGCAATTTTTGCTTTCTGAAATGTTGGATTTCGAAATTTAAAAAACAATTCGTTAACGATTCAGACTCACATCAACTCCTTTTTTAGAAAATCCAATAACAAAGAAAATTATGATTTTTTCCGGATATGTTATTTTATCATTTTTTGTTGGTTCCTGGCAGATTGGATATTTATACTGTCCAAAAATCGAAATCACATTCAAAGCCAGAATAATCAAAACACAACATGCAATCTTCATTTTGTCGCATCAAACAGTCAGATCAGATGGTAACCGTTTCGATCCAATTGATTTTGTAAAACTGACTTAAGTCTTGTGAGCAAAACTCGTTGTGCCACTTTTAATTGGGACACGTTTAAGTAGAACACGTCAAAATTGATTTATTTTTTGTGGTTTTTGGAAACACATCCGAAAAATTCACGCGGAGTTCTGCAAGTGATTTTAAAGGGGGGGTAAGACGACAAAATTTTTTTGTCGCAAAGTTAAAGGCTCCCCAAAAGTAGTAAAACCTCCAAGGGATTTTTTCCGGAAACGTCCAGAAAAAATGTTCCATAAACTAGGTATACGTTGAAATTATTCCATAAACTTTTGGACAACGTATACGTTGAAAAAAGTTCATGGAATATTTTTTTCGGACCTTTTTTGGCCTTTCGAGAAAAAATCCCCTGGGGCTTTTACTATTCAAAGGGAGCCCGATTCATTGAGCAAATAAAATTTTGTCGTCTTACCCCCCCTTTAATTCAAAAAAATTGAACACTCCAAATACAATCACACTTATGAAGAAATTTTTATTGAACTCGCAAATTTGCTGAAATTGAGTATACATAACAAGACATGAAAGAGAAAATCAATGAAAAAATTATTGTTGATTTCTATGCTGGAGATACATACATCATTATGTAAAAAGTAATAAAACTCAAAAAAAAGATAACAAGAAATGCAATCATGATTATGTATCCAAATGGAAATTCTGAACTCGGCTCTGCTGGATGATATACTTCTGTTATTGATGTTGTTGTTGTTGATGAGGATGAAGCTGAAGTTGAAATTGAAGTAGTTGTTGTAGGTGTTGTTGTTGTCGGTTCTTCAATTCCAAGAATACGTTGCATGCTGGAAATATTCAAGGAATTTGGATAATTCATCGAAAAATGAAAATGGTGAGGAAACTTACAAATTATACGTGGCATTTCTTAACTCCTCGGTGGCATTCTGATCTGTAAGACATCTATCGAATATGGATTATATTTGGAAAAAACTCACTTGCAGATTTGATCGAGCGTACATTTGTATAATATAACGTGCCCGGATCATTGCCATTTGTGAATTTTATATCGTACAACTCGAACTTCTCGCCCATTTGTGTATCGTTGAACATCTTCTGATGATCACAGTTTGTGGTTCCCGCCATTAAATCATCATGAACAATCAATTTGATTTTATCGACTGAATCCCAAGATTTGGCTTTGATGTTTTCAAGACCCTTTGTGAAATGTACACATGTTGCGATCGTATTTGGATCTGTAAAACATAGTTGTATGGAATGAAAATTCTTTCGAAGATATCCACAAAGTACCATCAAAGATGTCCTTCATAGTTTGCCATGTCTTTTTCACGTGCATATTATTATTTTTTTCCGCGCCGTTGTTAAAATAATGGAAAACAAAAGATTGAACATTTTGATTTGTTGGTATCCAACACGCTAATTGGTTCAATACATAAGCTATCTTATATTTCTGAAAATTAAAATTTGAAATCTCCAGAAATTCATTATTTAAACTTACATCAATTCCATCATTACCAAAACCTATAACAAAAGCAATGACAATTTTTTCGGAAGAAGATAATTTATCATTTGGTTTTGGATTTGGACACTGCGGATTCTCATAACCAGCGAATATTGATACCACATTAAAAGCCAGAATAATCAAAACACAACATGCAATCTTCATTTTGTCGCATCAAACAGTCAGATCAGATGGCAACCGTTTCGATCCAATTGATTTTGTAAAACTGATTTTGTGACCAAAACTCGTTGTGCCACTTTTAATTGGGACACGTTTAAGTAGAACACGTCAGAAATTCAGAAGAATTTCTTGATCTCACATTTTAGAAAACCCAAAAATAAAATCAGAAAATAGAAAAGGCTTCATTTACTTTTTAAATGAATTCGGGGAAAAAAAAGGAAAACGCATAATAATGATTTTTTCCAGGAAAAATCAAGTATTTAGGGACGGGGCAAAATGGTGAAAAATCGGAAAAAAACGGGGGAAGAGCATCCAAAGTTTTTTGTGGCGCGCAATTGACAATTTCAGATCAAAAGTTCAGACGGATAATCTTCTACAAATAAAAAAAGGTAAATATTCAATTTTTCATTCATTCATTCATTCACAAAAAAATCAAAATCTAACCTTTTTTAGGAACTGATGATGGTTGTTTTGAAGCAAGAGGATCCGTCTTTTCATCCGTATTCTCACTCTTCTCCTCCTTCTTATCATTTTTCTTCGCCAATTTCTTGCAAATCTTTTTGCGGAAAATAATCAACAAAACACCAATCATAAGCCCAACGATCACAACTATGACAACAATGACAATGAGAAGAGTGTAATCATCGTCGGATTGTTTGGATGATTTGGCTTTTGAATTGGTGTCAGCTCCGAGGATGCGCTGCATGCTGGAAAACGGAGAAGTTGGATGATTATATCGATGAAATGTGATAGATGAGGAAACTTACAAGTTTTTGGTGGCAGTTTTGAGATCAGCGGGGGCATCCAATTCTGTAATACATATTTAATAACACAATAACTGCTTCACTCCAACGTAGACATTAAACCTAACAAAACACTCACTTCCTGTTTTGATCGTGGCAACATTTGGATAGTACATTGTGTTGGGATCATTGCCATTTGTGAATTTCACTTGATACAATTCGAATTTCGCGCCCATTTGTGCATCATCAAATAGTTTCTTGTGATCACAATTGGTTGTTCCAGTCATTAAATCATCATGAACAATCAATTTGATCTTATCAACTTGACCCCAATTATACGTTTTCAGAAATTGAAGTCCAGTTGTAAAATTGGCACATGAGGCGATTGAATTTGGTTCTAAAAATCACTGTTATGATATTTTGAAAAAATAACAACTGGGAATTAACCTTCAAAAAAGTCTTTTATAAAATTCCACGTCTTTTTCACTTGTGTATGATCATATGTATTCATATCCTTATTGAAAGTATGAAATGCGCCGGAACGGACATTTTCATTGTTTGGAATCCAACAAGCCAATTGGTTCAATAGATATGCAATGTTTTCTTTCTGTAAGTGACAGTTTTTAATTGTTTCAATAGCTTAGATTTTAAAAACTCACATCATTTCCAATGTTACCGAATCCAACTACAAAAACAATAATCGGTTTCTCCGAAGTCGATAATTTAGTATTCTTTGTTGGTTCTGGACATTTAGGTCTCTGATGATCTCCCAAAATCGAGAGCACATTCAAAGCCAGAATAATTAGAATATAAAATTCCAATTTCATTTTTTCGCATCAAATTTCGGTTGGATAAATTATCAGATGACAACCGTTTTAATCAAAACTATTTTGTAAAACTGATTCGAAAACTGTGGTTCGATTCTTGTGACACGTTGAATATTTGGAACACGTTAAAGTAGAACACGTCGAAATTGAAATGAGTTTTGTGTTTTTTTTTTTGAAGCTTTGAGTTTCACGTGGAAATTTTGTTTGAATTGAGCATTTTTGGGATCAAAATGCTTTGGAAATCCACGTGTCACAATTTTTCATAAAAAATCTTGAAAATTTGAATACCCTGGGTTACTGTAGAAAATTATCTACCAATATTCAAAATTGATCCAAAAATAGATTTTTGGTGCCAATTTCCCCCTGAATTACTGTAGATTTTGGTGGAAAATCAACACATTCAGCCAAAAAAACCTGAAGTTCAATTCTTCAACAAATGATTTATTGAAAATTCAAAAAAAAAAGTAAAGAAAAAGTAAGATCAACGAATTTTTCGAATAATTTGGAATAAAAAATCATGAAAAAGTTATTTGAGCAAACAATAAACAACACCAAAAATAAACAAAATTAAAAATATAAATCCGAAAACTCCTAAAATTGTGTATACATATCATTATCATATCTAAACTTGAAAAAGTTGATGTGTTTTGAATTTGAATTTGAATTTGAAATTTGAACATATTTTTCGAAGATATCACTTTTTTCAATTCCGCAAACTCATAAGCCGCGGACTCTCTGAATATACTTTTTTTTGTAACTTCGGCAGATGAAAGAACCAGACAAGAGATAAGTCTCACTGAATCCCTATAGTGCACAACTCTCTTTCAACATTTTATTGTTATGGTGGCGCAAACTTTCCATTGTCACCAATAATAAGGGTTTTTTAGTTCAATACTGATTGTGAAACTACATTGGATACACACGTGATTCCTATGACAAGATATAATATAATATTAATTGTGTAATTTAAAGCTCCTATGATTCTTCAGTGCTCTGCCAAGGTTTTTTTAAGGCCATAATCAAGATTTGAGCACAATATATTTTTGATAGATTTACTCTTCCTGATAAACATATGACAAATTCATCTTTCGAACATTCTCAAATAGAGGTTATGGTGCAAACTGGAGGTTGTCGACTACAATATTTCAACAAAAAACTGAAAACTCGATGAATGAAAATCTGATAGAATGGAATTAACAGAAGATTTGATTTGGTATTATTCCAACATTGAGAAATTTTTCAATGTTTCAAATATCGGATTTTATTTCAATTTTAATTCTCTTATAAAGTTTGCGGAATTGAAAAAAGTGATATCTTCGAAAAATATGTACCTCGGAAGTGACTCCTTTAACCCGATCCACTTATTTTGATGTCTTCAGCAATAAGGAATGAGATTTGAGTATTTTTTTTCGTGCGGACTGGCTTGGTGTCGTCTACGACACAATGTTCTATCCCGAACACTGAGTGACTTCTATCGTCACACCTAATTACTAATGATCCCCTGACTTACTTCCTGATCTTCGGCTTCCACAGTCTACCGTGTCGTCGTCGCGCGCTTCTTATCAGGACCGGTGATGAGTACGAATAGTTGAGTACTAGCTTGCAATTATAGACTGCCGTCTCTTCCTTCCTACTTTACGACCCCACTTGTGGGCGTGGTCTCGAAGGGGCGTGTCTATCACCATGGCTGCCGCCACACTCCCGGGCGAGAAAAGTATAAAAATCGATCTCGATGCTCCATTATTTATTATTCTTCATTGTTTTATTTTATATTTTTTATTTTATCTTTCTTTCTTTTTCTTCTTATTTATATCTTTTAAATTCATTCTCTTTAATTTTATCTTTGTTTTTTTTTTTCTTTTCAGAATCATGTCTAAGCGAGCCGCTATTATCGACGACAGCCACATATTTTCCGCTAATCTCGCATTAGCGATGAAACGAGCTAAGCAGCTCGAACGAGTTCCGAATCCACCAAAGTGTTATTCCTGTTATGGCCCACATTACATTGGAGACTGCGACCAACTTAGCCTTGCTGATAAAAAGCATTTTGTATCCACCCACGCAGTTTGTGTGGTATGTCAGCGCTTTCAAAAAGGTAAATTTTCTTTTATTTTTACTAAGTCAATAATTATTTTATTAATTTCTTTCAACTATTTCTATCTTTCAGGACCACATACCTATGTAACTTGTCGTTCACGCGAAAAGGTTCCTCTCTGCCAAAACACCATTTGTGTTACTTTGGGAGCTACTCATTCTCCGAGTTTATGTTTTCTTCCTCTTGTTCTACCTTCTCTTCAAAATTCTATCTCCTCTTTAACTCTTCACGATCAGGATCAAGCCACAACTTCACCGGCTACTAACTAATTTAATTGTATAATTGTTTCTTTCCTTTGGACTATCATCAATTTATTATCCTTGAATTGCTGTTCCTTTTTTTTTTTTTTTTTTTTTTTTTTTTTTTTTTTTTTTTTTTTTTAAATTTTATTATACTTATTAATGTTATGCTTCTATTATTATTATTATTATTATTCTGAATAAATCTATTTATATATATACACACTCTCAATTTTTTATTATGTTTTAAATGCAACATCTTACCAACCATGGTACTAAATGTCTTAGCATTAAGGCCACACTAAATATACTTATTGCCGATCCACAAATTGTTGGCAAATTTTTTGCAATGTTCTCTAATTTTTTCCACCATGATTCGTTTTCTTCCGTTCCATCATGTTTTGGACTATATGGCTCTCCTCCTTCTCTTTCGTGATGATCTTTATCTGGTTCATCTTCTGATGGAATGTATTGCAAATTTCCTTTCAGCACTACCTTATGCGATTTACTAGTTGATATTACCTCGCATGTCTCGTTCATACTCTTTTCACTTGTGAAAAATCGAATATTATTTTGTTTCTCACTTTTCTCACATTGGATTATTGATTCAAATTTCCCACATGACATAATTACTGTAATAGTTTCTTCTGCTTTACATGTCATGTTCACTTCCGCTCCTTTCTTACAACTAAAACATCCAGTTACATTTGAAACTTTACTTATTTCAAAATCTCCAGTTCCAACAATCATGTCAACGTCTACTTTTTCTGATGTCACTACTTGTAAATGTATTTTGTTTCTTAAATCAATTATATAAGGGTCAAAATTCTCCTTATTCCTGAGTTCATATAATTGGTTAATACTAGGAATTTTATTATCCTCTTTATCTAACACTTTTTGTATATTTGGGTTTTTACATTCACAATCTGCATCATCATCTGAATTTGTACATTGACATGTTTCATTATATTCACATTCGCCTTTCTCATTACAATATACTGCTAAATTCTCTAACTTTTTTGATCTTACAATTTGTTCTTTTGTTTTTAGAAACCACGTTGAAAACACATTAATTAGTTCGTCATTTTCATTAGATACTAATGTTATATTCAAGCTTCCGCCATCATCATATTTCATTTCATGTGTAAATCCTTCTCTTAATTTTATGTCAATTTCAAATGTATCTCCATTTTTTGTATACACGATAGTTATGTCCACTTCTGTTGACCATGACTCACATTGAAACATTTCAATATATTCTGACTGGTTAAAAATTGCATAATTTCTATAGAATAAACATCCTGACATTGGTAATCCACATCCACATAATATTCCTCCACAACTTTGTGCACAATGCGTTTCACCTACATATTGATTTGCAATTTGTAATTCTTCAATTTTTGTGTCTCTTGTTATTCCTTCGCATGCATTAATTGCACATTGTCCTGCTGTTGCACAATGTTTATATGCTTGTGTTTTAACAATTGAATTTCTTGTAAAAACAATTTCTCCTTTTTCACACTCATGTGTTGCACCTTTATTTATTATTTTATAATCCACAATAGGAGTATTATTATATTTGATATTCATACATACTTCTTTATTTATTGGTGAAAAAAATATGTCTTGAATACTACTTATTTTTCCATTTACTCTTTGTTCATGAGAAATCGGTATATTTTGATCGCACGCATAACAATTTTTTGCTAGTAACATAATAAGAATTATTGGCACATTTCTAAATGTTGATGGTCTAAAATTTCTCCAACTTCCTGTTTCACTTGTATTAGACGATTTCCTTCTTTTCTTGTTTTCAATTTCAATTTTTTCGTCTTTCTTATTAAACTTCACTCTACTATGCTCTTTTCTAGCTCTCTTTTTCCACATTTCACATAATGTTGTTGTTCCCAGATAAATCATCCATAAACACATTATTATGACAATTATCAAAATTATGCTAACTAGTAACGGTTGGCATTGTGGGAAATATATTGCATCCATACAAAACTTACATGTTATTTTTTCACAATAATCTCTTGCTTGACAAATTTGTTCTTTTACAATTTCCACTTTATTTTCAAACTTTTTCCATCTAATTGTATGATTCTTCGCAGTCACTTCTGACGGAAAATTCAGTTCTGTTCTTCTTTTGCTTTCACTTATAATACAATTACTCTCTTCACATACCGTATATTTCTTCCCTTTTTCAAAATGATTATCAATTAAAATCACACCATTCTCGGTACATATTATTCTGGATACATTTGTTTCGTAGTCTTTTTCAACTATCCTCATTTTTGAATTTTTTCTCTGACTTACAATCCATCTGGCATTCTCTACATTTGTGTCATTTGTCATTGATTCTTTTTGAACTTTGGTCAATAACTTTCCTTTTGCATACACACACGAATCAAAAGTGATCCAAAATGGTATAATAATGCATCCATTAACTTCAGAAAAATGGGAGCCATTATGTACCTCAAAACCATAACAAAAAGGATCCATAATGGATCCATAAATTCTATGGGGTAAAAATGGATCCTTTTTGAATTCAAAAAGCATACATTTTTCTAAAAAATAAGTATGCAAAATGAATCATTTTTGCGTAGTTTTTTTCGTTTGAATTGGTGGAAAGCTGCGATTAATTCATTTATTTTCAAAAAACAAAAATGAAAAAAAAACAAATTGCTCGTGAAGTTGCAGGATGGGGTCCAATTAGATTGTTGAGGTAGAATTTTTGAGCAGTTTCCTTGATTCCAAAAGCGCATGGCCTCCTGGCTCATTTTGGACTTGTCCTCTTTTTTGATCCCTGTAAATAAAAAATGATACACTACAGGTTTCAATTTTTTTTATTTAAAATTTTCAATTTCTCACAGGGGGATGTGTGAGCAGTCTCCAGAGTTTTTCACGCGGAGAAAGATTCCGCTTTAAGTCTTTGCTGCAGGACTCTCTGACAGTACAAAAATGAGCCAAATTTGAGAATTTCTGAAAAAGCTCTTTGGAGAGTCCCGCAGCAAAAACAAAAACTGTACAGCAACATATATGTATAATTGAAAACCTCCAGGGAGCAAAAAACTCACTCTAGTAAGTGCGCACATTGATTGACTTCGTCGGTGGCTTCCTTGGTAGTGGCTCACCATTCTGATGACTGACATCCAGTAAGTCATGCGGCGGGGGTTCAGGATTTCGAGAAGACTGAAATCAAATAAATTGAAATTGGGTTTAGATTTTGAAACGAACCGCTTTTTTGAAAAAAATGTACCATCGTTGCTTCGCGGCAGACCCACGAGTTTTTGGAGGCATTTATGTTCAAACCTGATGCTGAAAAATCAAAATTAATAGCGTAGCAGAGCTGAAGGGATCGTAGAAATATAGTGAAAAAAGCGAAAGAAAATAAGAACGCAACAATGAACAAATCACACAATCACGAAAACTCAATTGAACACACCCACAGGTGGAGAGAGGTTTTTGGTCAAAATTTGGCCCAAACTTGAATAATTTTTGTTTAGAAATTGGTCAATTTTTGACCAAAAACCCGATTGGTACGAGTTTGACCAAAGATTGGGCAATCTCCCTCCACCTGTGGCCACAGACATTCACAACAAAAATAGATTACTAGAGAGAAAGGTCAAAACAAGAAAAAACGAAAGCGGAGTGAACCAATATCTACAGCTCAAATCAAAACACTCAATATTACGCAGTTTTATCATGCCTCAGAGATTCGCTGGCCAGCTCACCACTAGATCAAGATCACGTGGCCAGAAAGTTCAAAAAGGACTGAATTTGATTGATCAATACGATTCGGCAACCAGGTCGCCTTGCATTTTCAGGCGACGTGGTCTCAAATCTTTGTCACCCAGAAAGGCTGCTTGAATTCACAACAGTCATTTTTTCTGTTTTTTCTCATCTAATGGTTTGAAATACTCATGAAAAACAGAAAATAAGTCATATTTTTAAAAAATGCTCCAAATCACAAGTTTTTCGGAATTTTTTCTCTCACGCGAGGTCGGCTCGAGGTGGACAACCTGGGCGATGTGGGCTGTATGAACTGTCCGAACTTACGGCCACGTCGTCTTGCAAAAAAACCCGGGCCATGTGGTTGTCCATGTCAATTTTAGATTGGTAGTCGATCCCACCTAGTAGCCAGCTGGCCAGCGAATCTCTGAGGCACAAAAAACAAAATAAAACATGAAAAACATAGAAAAACGCCGAAAAAACACAATAATTTCGAAAATGAAAAATTAATTGGAAGAAGACGCCCATGTGGATTTCTCTTCCACGGCCATCTAAAAATGGATGCATTATACTTCTCAAAATTCTCAAAGAAAAATAATGGATGCATTTTTATTCTCATAAAGAATGCATTTTTTCTCGCGTTTAATTTTAAGGGATACAAATTGTTTGCTATTAGTATGCAATATTTTTTTATATCCATTATGGATCAGTCAAGATTTCCCTGTGTACATGTACTTAAATACATCTTTGTAAAGTACTGCATCTGTTGGTCTAAGTATACTTAGCGCCATCAATGTCATTACTATTCCTTTCGCCATTGCGCAACCCGTAGTACTTCGCACCTTCTGTTGATCTGTTACCGAATTGTTTTCCACATATCGTATTTCTAATGGTATCAATTTATTAATTGGTCTTTTTATTATTTGGGGACCTTTGTTGGAATGTGTTCTTACTGTGGCTGATCTAACAACTTTATCTCTTGAAATTACTACTTCTTCAATTTTTCCTAATCTCCAATCTTTTCTCTTTCTCATTTCATCTTTAATTAGCACAATTTCCCCTTTTTCGGGTATCTTTTCAGCATGACTTGCTCCTTTTTGCTTTACTGTTTTCTTAAAATATTCATTGTTCAGAACATAGTCCCTACTCCATACTTTCCAAAACTTTGATACATATTTTTCACATTCTCTATAACTTTCTGTATACTGGTCATATTCTTTATCAAAATTCTTTGGATCATATTCTATATGGTTCCATTTTGGACAAATTAATTGCGCTGGTCTTAGAATATTTGTCCATACATCACTTTTTTCATCATTTGACACTACCGTAATCGGTCTTTCATTTATTATCCTTTCAACATTAACTACCACTGTTTCAAAATTAACGTAATTCACAACATTCTTTCCCATTGACTGTATCAATGCCTTTTTCACAATTTGTACCATTCTTTCAAATACGCCGCCTTGCCAAGGTGCAAGTGGACAATTGAAAATCCATTCTATATTTTCTCTATTCATTGCTTGATTTAATTTTACTACGTCTTTTTCTGATTTCAATATTTTGTTTGTTAAAACAAAACTTGCTCCATTATCTGATCTCATTCTTTTTGGAGTTCCTCTTCTACTCATAAATCTTGAAAATGCTAACAAAAATTCATCTGTTGATACAGTTTGTGTTACTTCTAAATGTACCGCTCTTGAGCTTAAACATGTGAATACTGCTATATATGTTTTTATCAATTCATTTCCTTGTCTTACTTTAAAAGGTCCACAAAAATCAACAGCACTATTTTCAAATGCTCTTGTTGATGCAGTTACTCTATCTTTCGGTAAATTTGGAGCTTCAGGGTATTCATACGGTCGATTATTCATTTTTCTACATTTTACACAACTTTTTAGCACATTTTTCACTGCTCTTCTCAAATTATTTCCATAAAATTTTTCATTTACGAACCCCATTGTTGTATTTACTCCTGAATGTCCATACATTTCATGTAATTGTGAAATTATCATTTTTCCTAGTTTTGAATTAGGTTTTATTACTCTTAAAAATTTTAGTGTTTCGCCGTCTAGGGCATTTTCTAATCTAGTCTTTCTGCATACCAAGTTTTCTTTTTTCAACAGACCTCTCTTTTGATTCTCTATTATTTTTTCATCAATTTGATGCAATCTCAATATCATTTTCTCTGAATTCTTCACATCGTTCAGTTTCAACTTCTTTTCAGTTGACATTCCTTCAATTTCTGGAATATTTTCTAATATTTTCTTTTTTGACTCATTTCCTACTTTCTCATATACTTTTATTTTTAGGAATTTCAATACAAATGCAAAAACATTTTTTGCTTTCTTCCATGAATTTGTGAAATCTAACTCCAATCTACTTTTCTCCTGCTCAATCAAATTCACATTAACTACCTCTTCTTTATCAATTTTTACAATTAATTCTGTTTTCCACGATTTTTCGCTATCTTTTAACCATTTTGGTCCATAAAACCAAATTGATCTCTTGAGCTCTTCTGCTGTCTCCACACCTCTTGTTATTAAGTCTGCTGGGTTATCTTCTGTTCTTACATGCCTTAATTCGCACTTCATGCCTTTTTTCTCTAACTTTCTAATTATCTTCTTGATTTCTTTGCACCTGTTTTCTACATATACCTGTTTCTTTTCATTATTATTTATCCAACATAATGCAATCATGCTATCTGAATGAATTGTGCATTTCTTTATTTTTAAATCTATTTGATCAATTATTTGGTCCGCTAATGTACTTCCGAGTGTTATGCCTGCTAATTCCAATTTTGGAATTGTCACAGCATTTTTCTTTCCTGCTAATCTTTGCTTAGAAGCTAATAACTGTATCATTCGTTTTCCATTCTCATTAATTATTAAGTATGCACATGCACCATAGATAAATTCTGATGCATCTGTAAAAACATGTAACTCATATTCTTGATTTTGTGAAAATTGGACTTCAATTCTTTTCGTCTCCATCTCACATTTTCTTATTCTTTCATCATACTTTTTTATAAGATCATATGTCTCTTTTGTAATCTTTGTACTCCAATCACCTTTTGCTTCGAAAACTTTCGGAATTAATAATTTTCCTTCAGTTGTCAAAGGTGAATGAGTTCCCAAAGGGTCAAAGATACTTCCCAAGTACCCCATTGCTTCTCTTTTCGATAGAATATTTTCTTTTAACTTTCTTGGTTGTTTCACTTTAAATGTGTCTTTTGTAGTTGACCATTTGTAACCCAATATCTTTTGATTTTCACCAGATTTTGATACATCTTCTGGTTTCAATATTTTTGTTAAGTCTTCACCGTTTATCCAATATTCTCTTAAATTCATTTTTAATTTCGAAAAGAAGTCTTTCGAATACTCACAAATATCTTTTAGCTCTTTTACATCATTCAGAAAAATGAATAAATTATCTACATACATTGATTTATTTATCGCATTCATTACATGCTCATTTTTACACTTTTTATTAGCAAAAAATTTAATTGCTTCCATTAGCAAGAATGGTGATGATATAATTCCAAATGGTATTCTTGTAAATCTATAGATTACTATATTATTTTTTGTTATTGGTTTTTCGATGTCTCTTGCAAAAAAGAAACAAGTTGTATTTCTATCTTCTTCTTTTAGCCAAATCTGATGGTACGCTTTTTCAATATCGCTCGATAACACTTTATTCGATGTTTTTGCCTTTAGCAAAATTCTTTGAACTTCTGGTACCTTTACTGGACCTTGTGCTAAAACTGCATTTAACGATTTCTCGTTCTTTTTTGAACTTGATCCATCAAATACTACTCTATCTCTTGTAGTTTCTGAATTTTCATTAGTTACCACCTGTACAGGCATGAAATAACATGGATTTCCCGATTTTTCTATTTCATCCATTGTTATCTCTTCAATGTATCCAGCTTTAAGATGCTCTTGTAATGTCTTTTCAATTTTTCTCATTTTTTCTAATCCATTCTTAGTTTCTCTCAGTTTTACCAATCTTCTGTATGAAATTTCTCTATTATCTTTTAACATTTCCTTTCCATTTGGTTTCCATGGCCATCCAACTTCTATCCCTTTATCCGTAATTTTCACACTTTTTTCAAACTCTTCCAGAATTACTTCATCATTATATCCTAATTCTTTTTTATGAGTTTCTTCTAAGAAAAACATACTTTCTAAAGCTTCTTCTTCTTCAATATTTGTTATAAACACTGAGTTTTCACTATTTTTTTCTTTATCTGATGCTTTCCCGCAAATCATATTTCCAATTGGTGTTTCTACTAGATGCATTCCAGATGGTAATTTCGTTCCTTTCATTTTATTATCAATAATATCGAAGAAATAATCTAATCCAATCAATATATCTGGTTCAAACATTCCCTTATTTTGGAAATCTTCAATACCCTTTTTCTTCAACTCTTTTCTATCGGCCTCTGATATCTCTACGTTCTTTCCTTTACCTGTTATATAATCAATTACATATGCTTCAATTCTTACATTTCCCGCTTTTGTTCTTATTATTACCTCCACTTTATCACATACTCTTTCTGTCACGTTATTTCCAAAATGATTTATTCGAAGTTTACAATCTTTCTTCACCACTTTCAAATTCTTAGCCATCTTTTGCACGATAAATGAACAATCACTTCCGGTGTCCAAAAACACTGTTGCAAATCTAGCTTTGTCTTCTATCATTATCTTCAATCTAGCTGTTAATAAATTACTTCCCCAAGTTGATGTTGCGTATTGTCTAGTTCTTACATATCTATCTTGATTTCTATCATTTCCATTATCTCTCTTTCCTGAATAGCTTCTTCTATTTCCTTCTACTGATCTTGATCCTCTTCTATAATATCTATTATCTCTCTCATTTCTGGATCTGCTTCTACTTTCATACTTTCTATAATCTTTTGATCTACTTCTGAATCTATCGTTTTCTTCTCTTCTCCCTCTGCTGAAACTTCTACCTCTACTTCTTTCTCTAAATCTTTCTTGGCTCTTGTAATCTCTTGATCTATCTCTATAATTGTCCCTTGATCTATTTCTATAATCATCTCTTGATCTATTTTTATACCCATCTCTTGATTGGCTTCTATTTCTTTCTGGTCCCTTTTCTTCATTATCATATTTTCTCCGATATGGTGTCTGGTCTCTTCTAACATCTGTTTTGTCTCTATTTTGACCTCTCTCTTTTGATTTATCCCATCTTGTATTTCTGTCATTTTTATATTCTTTTCTTTCAAATTTCACATCTGGTTGACCTTTTTGTTTATAATAACTTCCATTATCTTTGTAATATGATCCTTTTTCTTTCCAACTTGGTTGTAAATCTTCTTTTGTCTCAACTTTCAAATTTGACAACTCTTCTGCCAAGGATACGGTACCATGTGTTTTTGTAGTAATTTCAATTTCCTCTTGCATTGTAATGTAATTTTCGATGATTTTCATCATTTCTTGCAATGAATTGAATCTCTGATTTTCCAAGGATCTCTCCTTTTTAATCAGTTCTCTAATCACATGAGCTGGGAATTTGGATTTTATTTCAGCCATATATGGAAGTTGATTTGTTTCGATACCTAATCTTTCCATTCTGAGGATCAAAATGATTATTTCATTGAAAACTTCTCGACAGCTTGAAATTTCTGGTTTAGCTGCTTTCATGTTTTTAATATTATTCCAGATAGCTACATACTGATAATTTAGATTTCCGAACACCTTTTTTAACATTTCAACACACTCTTCATATTGAGTTCCGTCATCCGGAAAACGTGAAACTTGGTCTCTCGCTTTTCCTCCGGTTAACGCTTTCAGAGCTCCTTGTTTCACAACATTTGGTAAACTTTTATCTTTATGAATAAGTGATTCAAACATTTCGATGAATGTGCTAAATCCTTCTTGTTCTCCAGAATATTTTTGAATATCAATCATTTCGTGCTTCATCAGGAAGTTAGCTGTGTTCCAGCTTTCATTCTTTTCGCCTGCATTTTTCATCATTTTTTCTAATTCTGTCATTTTCTCAACTATATTTTTCATGTCTTTTTCATCTTCTTTTTCAGTTTTTTCTTCGGTCTTTACCACATTTTGTGATTTCATTATGTTTTCCAATTTCTCTTTTGTGTCATTTTGAATACCTTCTTCAGCTTCTGCTTTTTTCAATTCTTCAAACAAGTTTTCTACATCTCCTTCTTTCATTTTTGATTGTATATCTATGTCTAATTCCTGCAATTCTTCTCCATTTTTTCCTTCATTTTTTTCAAAAGCTTTCAAAAGTTCTTTATGTCTTATTCTTACAATTTCCAGTTTTTTCTCTGCATAATCCGACATTTCTTGGATTCCCTCATAACTAATTTCCAATAATTCTTTAACTTTTTCTCTGGTTATTTCAGATCCTTGTAACTCGGATAACTTAAATATATTTTGGTTTACTTTTTTCAGTTTCGAGAACTCTTGTTTTATTTCTAGAATATCAGCTTTTTGCAATTCATAATTCATTTCTAGATTTTCCTTAATCTCTTCTTTAGTACCATCCCATTTCATTTCTTTTTTGTATTTATTATAAATATCGTTCAAAAGGTTTTTCAGTCTCGATTTTGTGCTGGTTTCTTCATGTCGATTTTGGAGCAAAAGTTCATTGATCAAAACGTTTGCCATTTTTAATTTTTCTTATTTTTCTGTTTATTATCTTCTTTAATAAATATCTTGTTTTTTGGATTTTTAGGTTTTTCTTTGTTTTTGGTTTTTTGATTTTTTCTGATTGATTAAATTATATATTGAATAAATATTTGAAAATAGATGATTATTATAACTAGATGATTAAATATACTTGATTAACAATTTAGTTCTTTATTGAACTTTGATTATTTATTTATGCCTCTTTAGGGCTCGCTGTGCGATCTGTTTTTATAAGCCTCTTTAGGGCGCCTCTTTAGGGCTCGCTGTGCGATCTGTTTTTTATAAGCCTCTTTAGGGCGCCTCTTTAGGGCTCGCTGTGCGATCTGTTTTTTATAAGCCTCTTTAGGGCGCCTCTTTAGGGCTCGCTGTGCGATATGTCTTTTCAAAAACGATTTCTCGCTTCTGTCGACGGTCTTTGTCTTTCGACGGTCTTCCTGGTGAGCTAGCTTCACACAGGAAATTTTCCCAGGGGCCCAAAATATCCCAAAAAACTCCTCCAACGAAGAGCCCACGTTTGCACTCCTGCCACAAGCACTAACGCGGTGACTTACCTGACTACTGCCTGGGATGACTGGTAGTCGCCTTTTCACAATAATTAGTTGCCCGAGAACTGTTAAGACTCGGTCCGATGCACCAAATGTCGTCTACGACACAATGTTCTATCCCGAACACTGAGTGACTTCTATCGTCACACCTAATTACTAATGATCCCCTGACTTACTTCCTGATCTTCGGCTTCCACAGTCTACCGTGTCGTCGTCGCGCGCTTCTTATCAGGACCGGTGATGAGTACGAATAGTTGAGTACTAGCTTGCAATTATAGACTGCCGTCTCTTCCTTCCTACTTTACGACCCCACTTGTGGGCGTGGTCTCGAAGGGGCGTGTCTATCACCATGGCTGCCGCCACACTTGGTTCTAGGAATTATTTTAAACTAACTGAGAAAATGAATAAAAATAACAAAATCTAGATAGTTTTGATGAAAAAGTCTATAAAAAACAAATGTTTTATCGGAATGAATAATGGTCGTTCTACGCTTTATTAGAACATTGTTATACGTCTGAATTTTTGATAAAACATTGAAGTTTTCTTAATTTTTACTCAAAAAATAAAAAATAAATAAAAATTACAGTAATTGTGTTTGTTTCAAGCGCCTATGCAGACAACACACATGTGTGTAGGTGGTAAATGTGTGTTGTGCGCGTGAGTGGAAGTTAAAAACTGATACAAAACTTTTCTGGGGGTCCCCCTTTTTTCCATTTTTATCGACTATTCCGACGTAAAATTGCAAGGCGGATCTAATGGATCGAGTGAGAAATCGCGGAAATTGCGTTTAAAGGGTGAAAATTGGCGTCAAAGTTTTTTCCTCAATTTTTCTATTTTGCCTCTGAGTTTTTTGAAATTCCGTTAATTCAGGCTTATAGAGCGTCTCAAGAGCTACAAAATCCTTTTTTGATCATTAAAAATTATGAATTTTAAGCTGACTTTTGATTTTTTGAAAAATTGCCCTTTTTCGTGTTCACCCCCCTCCACCAAATTGGTGGAACGTTTTTATGAAAAATTATATGGTGGAAAATGTTCACCATGCATCCATAGATCAAGAAAAAAATTTGAGCCGATTCTAAAATTACGACCTTTTTTGTTGTCCGAGCCCTTTCAATAAAATTCACCTTTTTGCAAAAAACGTCTCTTAAACCTGAAAAAAATACTTACTTCCTGTTTTGATAGAGGAAACGGTTGGATAGTACATTGTGTTTGGATCATTACCAGCCGAAAACTTGATTTGGTACAATTCAAACTTTGGGTTGAATTGTTTATCTTTGAATATCTTCTTATGATCACAATTGGTTGATCCAGTCATTAAACCATCATGAAATATCAATTTGATCTTACTGGCGGTGAATTGATATGTTTTTAAAAAGTCAAGACCAATTCCGAACTTCGCACAAGTTGTAGCTGAATTCGGCTCATTAAAGATATCCTCCAAATTTTTCCATGTTGTCTTTACATTCGTATTTCCATTTGTATAAGTGTCATTATTGAAAGTATGGAAAGCACCAGATTCGATGTTCGGATTTGTTGGAATCGAACAAGCCAGCTGTTTCAATAAATAAGCGATGTTATTCTTCTATAAAGGACAGTTTTGATAAATTTTAATATATTACATTTAATTTACTTACATCAATTCCATCATTACTAAATCCAATTACAAAAAGAATTAGAACTTTATCCGGTGATGTTAATTTATCGTTTTTTGCTGGTTCTGGACATTGCGGATTTTCATAAGCCGCAAAAATCGAGAGCACATTCAAAGCCAGAATAATTAGAATATAAAATCCCAATTTCATTTTTTCGCATCAAATTTCGGTTGGATAAATTATCAGATGACAACCGTTTTAATCAAAACTATTTTGTAAAACTGATTCGAAAACTGTGGTTGTGTGACACGTTGATATTTGGAACACGTTAAAGTAGAACACGTAACAAATATTTGAATTTTATTTTGGTTTTTGTTTTTTGTTCATGAATCTTGAATTTCACTAGGAAATTTTGAAAAATAGGTTTCGAGAAGCCACGTGTGGCACAAAGCATCTCAAATGTTGCCGATTTTTTGTCACTTCCTCGTACTTGATGAGAGGGTGTGCAAAAATAAGAGACCTTAAACTGCAGTTTGAAAAAAACAAATTTTCGCGTGACATTTCTTCTGCCACGTCAACTTTTTTCGAGTCGTTTTTTTCACTATAAAAACCAGAAGCTCAGCTTCTTCAACTCATTCTTACAATTAGTAGTCTGAAAATTTTCAGAATCTCTCATAGTTCTAAAAACAATAAAACGATAACATTCGAAAATGAACTCGAATGTAGATTTGAAACTTGGTTTTAAGGTGAGTTGAAGTGAAGAATTTGATGTAGAAGCTATGCAGATTTTGTTTTCCAGATTGGTTTGATTATTGTGGGAGTGGTGCATTTGTTGTTGGGTTTGACGGTTGTAATTCAAGCTATTGGGTTTGTTCATAAATACTACAGGAATCTTGTTATTTTTTGGGAATATCAAATTTTTTCAGAGAAAATATTCTACTTGATGACGTTCTCGATGAACAGGACAAAATTAGTTTTACTCGTACAAAAAAAATAGAAAAAGAAGCCACAATTATACCAGCTGTTTTCATGCCATTCATTGTTGGAACAGTCTGTCTGATCTCCGTCTGCGCCAAACGATATTTTATATTTTTTGTTATAATTGGTGCCAATATTCTTGAACTCATCCTATTTATTGTTGCATTGGTGCGCTCTCATCAAGTCTATGGTGGTTTGAGTGATCATTTTGATATGTGGAGAAAGGCAGACAAAAATAAGACAATGCTATCGATTGAGAAAAATTTGTATGAATGTCATTGGAATCAGGTCTGAAGGGAAATCTTGTATTTTGTTATATTGGATTATTTCTGACGATTGTATCAATTGCATTCACTGCACTTCTTGCATTCATGAATTTTCCAAGGCGAACTTCTGGTGGAAATGGCCAACAATTTCAGGAGAATCCTTCGAAATGACTAAATAATGAAAATTTTTGAAGAAAAAAAACGGATTTTTGACAATATTTCATGTTTGGTCTCAAAAAACCGCAATTTTCAGCTTCTTAATTAAAAAATCTTCATTAACTAGAGTTAATTAATTAATTAGCTAATAAATATCACAATTAGTACAATCGAATTCACAGATTTTTGCACAAAAATCACAATAAATTATGGGTGGAAATGGGGGAAGAAAATCACAGTTGCCAAAAGGAGGGAAACAAGAAAAAATGATAGAAAATATGGATAAAAATCTAGTAGGAGACGAAAAAAATTGGAAAAAAAAACTATGTACACAAAAACGCGGGAAAGGGGGATTTTAGGGCTAAAAAAGAGCAAAAATCTGAAAATTTCAGAAAATTGGGAATATTTAGAGTCCAAATAAGCCTATTTTCAGGGCTGGGCCCAAGAATTTCAAAGTCTATGCTTGTTTAGACTCAAAAAATGCCCAATTTTCAGTCAAAAATCTGAAATTTTCAGAATTTTCGAGCCCAGGCTTGTTTAGACTCAAAAAATGCCCAATTTTCATCCCTGCGACAACATTCCTTTCTGCGATCCGTCGCACGCGACAATTTTGACGCGTTCAACTTTTCCGCCTTCGACCGCGTCTCGAAAATCGACGCCCTCCATAATAAATGTCCAAACATTGTCGCAGTATCGGTAGGCTCGCAATTTATCGCCACGAAATGTCACCTTAATGAGATTAGGGTAATTAGGGTAAAATTTGATGCTCTTTCACCTTAAATACCCAAAAATTAAGGTGTTTGGGTCAAAAATGCTCACCTTATTCTTGGCTTTTTGCGGCAATGTTTTGTTGAACGATTTATCGAATACATCCATCATTTTTCGCGATAAACTATCCGGAATCATTTCTGTAATGAAATTAATTTAAGGTGCTAATTAGCTCTAAAGGATTTAGGGCCTTATTAAGTTACATTTTAGCACCTAAAGAGGGTTCCCTAGTTAGATTAACTTAAAATAAAACCTTAAAACCTCATTCTTGGTTGTTAATCAAGATTCAGGGCCTAACAAGGGAAGTGCATAGGGTTAGGTGTTGAACTTTTGATGAAACGTTCAAAATAAACCAAATCGACCATGCTGATCACGAATCCAAAGTCAAAAATTGCCACAAATACCTGTGAGCACTTTTCTGGAGCTCCAAAGTTGAAATTGAGTTTTGGTTTTCCTCCATTTTCACCCTGTTTCTGGGTGGAAAATCAATTTTTATAACACGATTAAGGTTGTTCTTCACATTCGAAAACCTATCAGCTTTTCAGTTTATCAAAAAATATGAAAAACCAGGTCAAAACTGTAATTTTCGAAAATGCACGAAAAACTTTGAAAAACGTGTGTATTTACGTGTGATTGTGTGTATTTTCAGGAAATTCTTAAAAGTTGCAGTTTTCAGCTGGTTTTTCATATTTTTCGAAGAACTGAAAAGCGGATATGTTTTCGAATGTGGTGAACAACCTTATTCATGTTATAAAATTTTATTTTCCACCCAGAAACAGGGTGAAAATGGGCAGAAACCAAAACTCAATTCTAACTTTGGAGCTCCAGAAAAGTGCTCACAGGCATTTGTGGCAATTTTTGACTTCGGAATCGTGATCAGCATGGTAGATTTGGTTTATTTTGAACGTTTCATCAAAAGTTCAACACCTAACCCTATGCACTTCCCTTGTAAGTAGAATCCTTAATTAAGGGCTCTTAAAAGCGACTTTGATACCTACATTCAGCTTAAATTTGATAAGGCCCTAACCTACGGAATTTAAATTTTTAAGGTCCTTACATTAAGGCTTTGAAGAGTCTAAAGGCTTGAAATAAGGCTTTAAGTTAAGCCTCTAAATTTAGGCTTTTCTAAGGCCCAAATTTAGGCTTTTTAAGGTCCTTAGCTCAAATTTCATGAATTTTTCAAATTTTTCCCTAAAAATTCCCCAAATCCCATATCCTCCCCAAAAAACCCACGTTCAGCCACCAAATCCTCCAGAGTCTTCTGAAGAGCCTGTCCAAGTGTGGTATTCCGATACAATTGATAATTCGGCTTCTCCATTTCGGCTGTGGCTCCTTAATTAGAGTAATTAGGGCGAAAATTAGGGCGAAAAATAAGAAGATAAGGTATTCTCTCATTGAAAATGGACAAAACCATGAGGAAAAATGGACAAAAAAATCGATAAAATCAACAATTTTCTTAACAAAAACATGGAAAAATGAGTAGAACAAGAGAAAAAAACAAAAAAAAACCGGGATTTTTAAGGCAAAAATAAGGTAGTTAAGGGCTTAATTAGGGCACTAATTAAAACACAATTTAAAGTCTTAATCACCCTAATTAAGCCCTTAATCACAACAACAAAAACAAAATAATTAACTAACAAATTAACTAGATGTAATTGAGCCTTAATTAAGGCCCTAATTAAGGTCAAAAACCCTAACAACTCCATTGCTTCCAGCCGTCAAAATTCGATGGGGATTTGAGCCAATTACGAGCAAATCCAATACTTCGTCTCCGCCGTTTCCGAGTTCCTGTAAGTCATTTTTTTTGGGATTTTTTGACATCAGGCTTATTTGAGCTGAAAATTTGGGGACTTTTGAATCTAAACAAGGCTAGGTTCATTTTTTAAAAGATTATTTCAGACTCTGGGCTAAATTGGTCTTGAAAATCCAGATTTTTCGAGTTTAAACAGGCCTAGACTTGAAATTTACAGATTTTCAGGCCCTGGGCTTATTTAGGCTTAAAAATCCAGATTTTTCGAGCCTAAACAGGCCTAGACTTGAAATTTACAGATTTTCAGGCCCTGGGCTTATTTGGGCTTGAAAATCCAGATTTTTCAAGTCTAAACAGGCCTAGGCTCAGTTTTTCAGATTTTCAGGCCCTGAGCTGATGTAGGTTCAAAAAATCCGGAAATTTCAGCAAAATATCGAAAAATTCAGAATTCAGACTTGAAAATTTCAGTTTTTGCGAGAAATTTTCCAAATTTTCAGACCATAGCCTTATTTATACTCAAAAAATCGCAAATTTTTCAAAATTTTCAAATTCCAAGCTCACCTTAACCATCGAACTATCTCTAGCGTCAAAAATTCGAATAGTTCCATCAATTGATCCACAAGTAACATACGGTGCATTTCCTTCCATCGACCAAACAACTTTTACGATTGCCTGCAGGAGAAATAGGTCAAAATTCATGATTTTCAGCTCAAAACGTAGCTCTAGAGCTCATATTCAGTAGTTTTTTGCTCAAAACTAAAATTTGGCTCTTTGGACAAAATTAGGCCAATTTTCACAATAATTTAGCTCTTGAAAAAATAAATTTTTGATATTTCGGCTCAAAATAATTCAAGATTTCCAGCTCCAGGACAAAAAATAGGTTATTTTTCTCGATTTTCAGCTCAAAAAGTAGCTCCAGAGCTCATTTTCAGTGGTTTTTTGCTCAAAACTATAAAATTTGGGGTCTTTGGACCAAATTTTCACAATAATTTAGCTCTTGTGCTGAAATTTCGGCTCAAAATTCAAGAGTTTCAGCTCCAGGACCAAAATAGGTCATTTTTCTCGAATTTTGGCTCAAAAAACAGCTCCAGAGCTCATTTTCAATGGTTTTTTGCTCAAAACTATAAAATTTTGGGTCTTAGGACAAAAGTGGGCCAATTTTCACAATAATTTAGCTGTTGTTCTGAAATTTTTTATATTCCGGGTTAAAAATTCAAGATTTTCAGCTCCAGGACCAAAAATAGGTCATTTTTCTCGAATTTCAGCTCAAAAAGCAGTTCCAGAGCTCATTTTCAGTAGTTTTTTGCTCAAAACTATAAAATTTGGCTCTTTGGACCAAATTTTCACAATAATTCAGCTCTTGTGCTGAAATTTTTGATATTTCGGCTCCAGGACCAATAATAGGTCATTTTTCTCGATTTTTAGCTCAAAAAATAGCTTGAGAGCTCAAAATGCTCACCTGCATCTCATTAGACTGAAAAATGCTTCTTGGAGCATTTGAATCCATCTCATAAATGCACATAGTTCCATCATTTCTACCAGCCGCAAACCATGGATGCGAAGGTGCCATCGAAAGCGATTCAACACAATTTCCAACCTCTTCCTCTTCTTCTTCACCATTTTCACCAATTGCAGTTCCGTTTGTCGAAATTGTTGTCGAATTTACGCCTGGCGGCGGGAGAAGCGAGATTTTTTTGAGAATATTATCGGGCGAAGCTGTGGAGATCACATTTACAGTTCCTGGAAAAAAATTGGGGAATTTTTGAATGATTTTGAGCTCTGGACAAGTTTTTTGATGAAAAATTAGAGTATTTTTGAGCTCTGGAGCTGTTTTGAGCCAAAATTCTTGAAAAATGAGCCAGGAGAAGCTTTTGAATCAAGATTTGACAAAATTTAGGTATTTTTGAGTCAGAAATTAACGAATTTCATGAAAATGATTAAAATTTCATCATTTTTTATGAATTTTAGGTTGAAAATGTCCAAATTTCATGAATTTCAGCTCTAAAAATTCCAAATTTCCCGATTTTCAGCCCAAAATCCACCAAAACCTCACCACTTTGTGTTCCAACAACAGCAACCGGTTGCGAAATATGATGATCGATTGCGGTGATTGGAGAATGAAAATATAATTGAGTGCTCGTTTCTTCGCGCAAAAGCCATAATCCTGCAAAATTTTAAAAATTCAAATTTTTCAAACATTTTTTAGACGTGGATTTAAAAAAAAAGCGAGATTCAAAAATTCAAATTTTCAAACCCAATTTTTCGCGCCAAAATCCACAGTACTCTAAAAAATTTAAAAATGCACATTTTTCAAACATTTTTTACACGTACACGTGGATTTTCAGCGAGATTCAAAAATTCAAATTTTCAAACCCAATTTTTCGCGCCAAAATCTACAGTATTCTAACCAGCCAAAATTTGAAAATTCAAATTTTTCAAACATTTTTTACACGTGGATTTTCAGCGAGATTCAAAAAATTCAAAACCAATTTTTCGCGCCAAAATCTACAATTTAAAAATTCAAATTTTTTCCGCTTCAAAGATTATTTTTGGAATACTAATTAGTTTCTGCTGACGTCACACACAGCCTATTTTTGGGCTGAAAAAATTTCAGATCCACTCACTAACAACACCATTTCCGTATCCGGTTAGGATGCGTTTTCCGTCCGGCAACAAACATCCAGCTGTACACGGTTCACCAGTTCCAGCGTAGACCTGCAAGAATTTTTCAAATTTTTGGGTGAAAATTTTTGAAATGTCATGATTTTTGAGCAATTTTCACGATATTTTGAGGCAACATTAAAGTTTTCAAGGGTTTTCAGGGTATTTTCTGATGAATTTCAGTGTTTTGAGCAATTTTCACAGTATTTCAGGTCAAAAATCATCATATTTTCCAACAAAAATCCCCCATTTCCTTATCAACTATACTATTTTTCACCCCAAAAATGTGCAGTGAGCAAAGAGCACATTCAAATATATTATTCATTAGCATGTGACCGGAAAATTCCAGTTTTTTGGGTGGAAAATCGGAATTTTTGCACATTCCTCCCACAAATCCCCAATTTCTATTATTACAACTTTTAGAGTTGCGCAGTAGGACGCCGTGTCGAAAAATAAGAGCATAATTACATAACACCTGCTGGCTTTCACACTTAGCCTAAGTATTTATTTACTACATGGCGAAAATCGGAAGATTTTTGGGTGGAAATGAACAAAAATTCGGGATTTTTCATGAATTCCGGGTACAAAGTACAATTTTCAGCAAAAATTCACTATTTCCGGTGAAAAAATCAAATTTTCCAGGTTTCCGCCAATTTTCCATCAATTCTATGTTCAAGACCGGTTTTAGGCCAATTCCAGCATCATTTTCAGCCAATTTTTCCACCCAAAAATCCTCCCCGCTTCCCAAGATTCGTGATTGTCTTTCGTCAAGTTTGCTTTTGTTTTTTGTTCAAATATTGATTCTCCCCTTGTGTTTTGTGTTACTTCTTTGTTTTTCTCGACACAGAAAATGGTGTTTTGAGCTCAACCAAAAAAAAGAGCCAAATCAAAAGTTGCCATAGCAATAGAGAATATCACGGCGTTTCTTTCGTCTGATAACAAAATCGGCCAAAAATGTGTATAGTCAGAGGAGCGAAAGGGGGAAAGATGCATTTTTGAGATTGTTTGGCGCGAAAAAACTTTTCAAACAGCGATAGTCATCTTTTTTTGAATATTGGCGGAAAAAATCGTAAAAATAATGTAGATCAAAAAAGTTCTGGAGCGAAATGTTCCTCCAACAATTAGTGGTGCATTCAAAAAGCGATCCGGCCAGATGTTATTTTCTCTCTATTCTCTCCGACCTATTTAATTAGTCTAATTAAACATTATCTAATTAAGAATGTCACAAACTGTTTCAAATTAGATAATTTTGACACGCTTTTCTGGTCCCAGATGAGATTTCTATGTAGATAGATAGATTGCTCATGTTAGAGAGATTTACTGAAGGAATCGTACAACAAACAGTACTATGACCTTTTCTTCTCTTTTATCAAAACACATAATTTTTTTTGTTGATAATGCATTGATAACCTAACCTACGTGTTGAAATAATAAATTAATTTTTGATAAGGGAAGAAAGTTTGGCGAAAAAAAATCGCTGAAAATCTCAATTTCTGTCTCTCAAATTTGAGCTCAAAAAACAAGACACTTTTGTTTCACATCTCCAATTTCATCCCATCTTCTTCTTCTTCTTCTCAAATATTTGTCGTCTACAACAAAACTCGCCAAAAAAAATACATAAAGAGAATGCGGGGAGCAAATTCAATTGTGTGCACATTTTTGTCACAGAAAAAAGTTCGGCCGCCGCTTTTTTTCTCTTTTGACATGACAAACTAATGTTTTATTCAGTAAGAGGGGAGAAAGACGAAAAAGAGCCAACAATTTTTCAGAGAAAAATTCGAGACCTGTGCTCAAAAATCGGATTTTTCGTACCATTTTGCTCAAAATTCCGTCGGCGCGACCATTTCCAACAGTTTTATTCAAAAAAAAAAACTTCGACCCTGACGGACAGTGAAAAAAAGTGAAAATCGTGTTCGAAAAATCGGCGCGAAGGTCAGTCCAAAAAAAAGAAGAAGACAGTTTCTTTGTTGGATGAGAAATTAACAAAATACGAAGAAAAAGAAGAACCATCTGTTAATGTCCCATTAATCTTTGGGAAAATGGACAAAAAAGAGGGAATTGCACTTTTTCGTCGGGGACAAAGTTTCGAATTCATTTTACAGCCTATAATTCGAGAAAAATCGTGAAAACTGAGAGAAAAACGCTTCCAAATTGAAAAATTTCGACTAGAAATCGTTGGCCTCAGAAAACTTATGAAACTTGAGGGAAACTCTTTGGACTATGACAAAAAGGCCTTACGACTCAAAAATTCTGTGTGAAACCAGAAAAAATGGTTTCACTAGCTGGAAATCTCAAAAATCACGCTGAAAAGGCGAAAACCTTGAAAAATAGAAAATCCAAAGCCACTAGAGCTCAAAACTAGTTAGAAACCACGAGAAAATCGCAATTTTTGCTCAAAAATTCTCCAAGGTTTGAAAAATCCTAGTGGAACGCATTAAAAAGCCGTGGGAAAGTGAAAAATCACTAAAACATGTCGAAAATTGGTCCGAAGCTACCGAAAGACACTGAAATTCGTCCGAAACTACCTAGAGGAACTTAAAATTCGTCCGAAACTACATAAAACCACTTTAATTCGTCCGAAACTACCTAAAGACACTAAAAATCGTCCGAAACTACTTTAAGACCCTAAGATTCGTCCAAAACCATAATTTCGCCTCATCATCCCTCTAATCAAACATCAAATTAACCCAAATATCCATGTTCCAAGCCAAAAAAAACTAGGTTCCTCCAACATGTCACTTTTAGTCGGTCCCCCGATATTCTCCTCGTTTTTTTTCCAACGCCGGCCGGCCGGCCAGCCAAGCGTACACACACAAAAACGACGACGAGAGAGTGGAGGGCGCAGTGACGAAAAGCTGCGAGATAGAAGAGAGTGGAGAGAAATAGAGATGTTGATGTCAGAAAACGAAGATGGAGACGAAAAGTAGCCACGACGAGAGAGATGAGAGGGTGGTGAGAGAAAGAGACAGTGGGGGGAGCGCTCGGCGCGCAGGTGGCAGCAAAAACGCGATGATGGGAAAATACTAGAGAGTAAAGTGACTCTCTCTCTCTCTCTTTTTCTCTTTCAAAGCACTTTGAGAGAGAGTTTTTTCGAGGACGACGAAAACAACATTATTATTATAACCAGAAGGGCTCCGCCGGCTAACGCCGGCTTCTCCTTCTGGATTGTCCCGGCTTCGCGCGTAGTTTTCTTTAGGTATAAAGTTTTTCGAACGGTTTGATTCTTCAAAACCGTATGGTGATTCATGGAACGTGCAAACTTGAACATTTTCATCTATGAAAATAACTTGCAGACTTTTCATAAAGATTGCCATAAAGTTTTGGAATCAATGGTTAGGAATCATTTTCGAGAAGTGATGAAATGAATTTTAATCCAAAACTTCATAAAATTTTGGAATTTTTCGTTTTCATTTTTGAATAACTGTAAACGCGAATCGATTGACTGGGCACAGTGTGTAATTTACTACCCGAAATCGCTAGACTTCAAAATTTTCAATGGTTTTTGGGGTAGATCAAAAATAATTTTTCCCTAAATCTTTCATTTTTGCGTTGATTCCACCCCTGAAAACCCTGTCAGGTCTAAAAAAATGCGCGAAATTGTTGGGTAGTAAATACACCGTGTGCTGGGTATTTGCAGAAAACTAAATACTCTTCAGAAACTCTTCAGAAAAACTAAATACTCTTCAGAAAAGCTCAAAAAAGATGCCGATCCAAAATTTATAGAAAATTAAGTTCTGTGTGACATTTTTTACTTCAGACTGTAAGTTTTTAACTTAGATTTTTGAATTCAAAATTCGAGTTCGAAAAATATTGTTTCCTTCTTCTTTGAAGACTGTTCTATTTTCTTGAAATCTCTTTTTTCAATGCCTTTTTCCCTATTTTTCCTGTTCAGAACCGATTTGTATAGTTTTGAAGTTCAAAAAACAAAAGTGCAGAATCTACGGAATCCATACGAAATCTCATAGAAAACTGTTCGGATCTGAACAGAAATTTTTAGAGGAAAAAAGATGGGGTTTGATTTTTAAGCCTAAAATCCTATGCAAATGTTTCTTTCATAAAACTTCTGAAAAGTGGATTCCGAGATGAATTTTTATCAGATACTACCTCAGAAGCTTCAAAAACCTGGATTTGTCATCATTTTTGGCTGAAGAATTCGAAAATCTGATTTTTAGTTAGTGAATGAACCCTTATGAAATATTTAGAGAAAGATAATTTTTGATCTACCCCAAAAATTATTGAAAAATTTGAGAGTTAGCTATTTGGGATAGGACTCTTTTTTCATTCAAACTCAAATTTGCTACATCTTAAAAAAACAAACCACAAAATTTCGAGAAAAGTTATCTAATGGATCAATTCATTTGAAGAAAAAATGAATTTCGCGACATTTTTTGTCGCGAAATTGCAATTCGCGAAACGACACGAAATTAATAAAATAAAAGAGGAAATTCTTTTTTCGTGTGTTGGGTCTCGCAGCGATTACGTGTCCTTTTAATATTTCTCCTTTATTTTTGTGTTTATTTCGTGTCGTTTCACGAATTGCAATTTCGCGACAAAAAATGTCGCGAAATTCATTTTTTCTTCAAATGAATTGATCCATAACATGTACTTTTCTCCAGTGCTTCTCTGACTTATTTTCTATGTTCAATCTGAAACTTTGTCGTGGAAGAGAGAATCAAAATACATCTGACTTCATCGTCCTTTCATTATTTTTGTTGAGAGAGGAAATGATTAGTTTTCTCGGTCATATCGGTTCTCTTTCAAGGCTTACAAAATTTCGGATTGTTAATAATTGCTTGAGCTTAACTATATTGATACTCCCGAACACATCAAAACTCACTATTAAAAAATTCACATCGAAGCCTTTACTTCTCTTCTTGTGAGAGAAATTATTCAATATCTGAAAGTTCGAAAAATTTTGAATTTATCTACAGTAGTTTGACTCACTTTATTTAAATTTATTTTTCAAACCGATTAGTAGTAGAGTAATAGCGAGAAATGATTAAAAATGTCCCGCTATAACTGAGCAATAAAAAAGATCAGATAAGAGACGTGACCTAGCCATTTTTTCTGATTAAAAACGTGCTCATTCTTTTTAGCACGAAAAAAGTTTTGATTTTTCACATGAAAACTCGCGCACTTTTTGAAAAATCGAATATTAGCGCCTCAATGGGAAAGAATTTGGGATAGAATAGTGAAGGTCCCATCAAAAATGGTCTTCTGGAAATTGAGAAAAGTCGAGCGACACATTTTAAATCCGAAAAATACATTGAGATTTGCAAACTTTTCATTCTCCGCGCACTCACATACATTTTGAGAAAGAATGAATAAGATGCGCACCGAGCTGCCAACATTTAGAAACTTTTTCTTTTTTTGATCATCAATTTTTATGCACACAGTTTTGAGAACGGGACCCGGACACACTATTGCCAAAAAAATTTTCCCAATTAGTATATAGTAGATACTCGTTGGATTTTTGATCTTTTATGGGGGGAAAAATTCGGAAAATAGATTTTTTCGCGATTTTTAGGGATTTCCCGGTGAAAAATCATTGCTTGGTATAAAGAAACCGTAAATCTTGGATTTCCAGTGAAATTATATTATTTTTTGTAATTTTCACGATTTTTCAGGCTGAAAACCATGTAAAAACCGAAGGAAGCCAAGCTGTCACGATTTTTGGGCTAAAAATCGTGTAAAAACCAAGTATTCATGATTTTTGGGCTAAAAATCGTGTAAAAACCAGTAAAAACCAAGTTTTCATGATTTTTGGGCTGAAAATCATGTAAAAACCAGTTAAGCTCAGCTCGAAGCCGAAATGTTTGTTGTCCGGACGTATTTTCACGATTTTACGGCTGAAAATCGTGTAAAAACCAAGTATTCATGATTTTTGGGCTGAAAATCATGTAAAAACCTGTTTAGCACAATTTAAAACCAAAATTCTTGTTGTTCGTACGATTTTTCGGCTAAAAATCGTGTAAAAACCAGCCTGTATTCCAAAATTCCATTTCCCCTTCAAAAATCATGTTACCGGAACCGTACGGGTCAAAATTTTATGATTATTCGAAGCGAATACAAATTAACCCCGTTTTGCAACAACTAAATGGAAAGGGATGAACAAAAAAACAGAGATTATCCGTCTGTGTGGGGCGCGCGCGCACTTTTTAATCTAATCCGATTTTTGATCTGTGTTTTTTTGGATTCTGGGTGATAAAGGCGAAAAACAATGAAAAATTCGAAGGATTTTGGTACGAAAATTGAGACCCGAACTTGTTTCACTTGAAAAATCCCAAAATTTCCATTTTTTGCTCCAAATGCCACTAAAAATTGTTTAGAACGTTTTGTCTGTACGAAAATCGAGTCATGTATTCAAAGTCACCAATTTCATCGTACGGTGTACAAAAATATGGCTCGGGACTCCATTTCTCCAAAAATTCCTGTCCCGCGCTCAAAGCCTTATTTGTGCTCCAAAACTACACTTTTCTCATCAAAACAATAATAATTCCACATCATAAACAAATAAATATATTTAGTTTCATCTCTCTTTTCTCTTTTCCCATTTTTAAATGGTGTAATATAACCATGTCTGCCGCACAATCTCATCGACAAATATTAATAATAATAAAATAATAATAGTAGTATTTAGTATAGGGAAAAAAAAGATGATTAGAGGGATGAGAGTGAAGAGACGCAGAGATATTCTCTCGCTCTATGCAAATATTTTTGAGATGATAAAAAGTGCGAAAAAAAGAGCGCGATTTTTGTTTGTTTTGGAGTGGACTGGTGTGTTTTTTGAAGGGAGGTGAGATCAAGAAAACACCTTGGAAAATCTTGATTTTTAGAGCCCTGGACCTGGAAAATATGATTTTTCATGAAAAATTAGATCCTGAGCTGAAAATCATGGTCTAGACCTGCTAATTTTGGTTTTTTGAGCTCAAAACCGTGATTTTAGGTAAAAAATAGGTCTGAAGTTCAGAAATTTGATGGAAAATCAAGCTCCAAGCTTATATTTCAAATTTTTCCACGGCAAATAGTTGCCCCGTGTGAAAAAGCTCAATTTTCATAGTTTCAACTAAGTTTTTCATGAAAATTCCCTAATTAAGTCCGAAAGCCCGAATTTCCAACGTATTTAAGACGAAAATTCAAGCCCCAAGCTTCTAATTAAAATTTTCTACTGAAAACGGTTGCCCCGTGTGAAAAAACCCAATTTTCATCGTTACAACACAATTTTTCATGAAAAATAATAAAATTTAGCCCAAAATCCCGCAATTTCCACCCCAAACACACCTTCGATTGAACAATTCCCTTATTTCCAATCAACCACATCCACAAAATGCCGTCTTTATCTCCAGCGAACAAAATATCGGCTGTATGATGCCATTTCATCCATTCCAAATCGTTGCATTCGTCAATCTAGAAATGGAAGAGATTTTTCATGAAAATAGGTCAATTTCACGTGAAAATCACCAAAAAATACCTCAGCTCTCGATTTTTTGGTGCGAATATCAGTAATAACAATTTTTCCACCAATATCACCAGTAGCCAAAAGAGTTTCGGAATTATTGAAGAGCACATGAGTTACCGAATCTTTGTGTTCGACTTTCAAAATCGGTTCGGATTCGGATTCGTTTTGATCGAAGAGAAATGCCACGTCATCTTCACCGCCTGTCGCCAACCAACGATTTGAGGCCAAAGCCACAGCGAAACAGTCTTGAGAATGAGCTTGAAGTGACATCAAAGAGTCGTCGATGATTTCGGCTTGGCCTCCGGCACTGAAAATGCGGAATTTTTGGATTTTTCATGTTTTCCTGGTCAAAACCATTGTTTCCTGACGGAAATTGCATGGAAATTTGGATTATCTAACTCAACAATGAAAAAAATCCAAATTTTCAGACTTAAATCCACATTTTCACACAAAAATTGGATTTTAAAAATGAAAGATTAGATTTTTCGTGATATCAGACAAAAATCTGGGTTTTCTGAGTTTTTGCGTGAAATTCAGCGAATTTCCAGCTCAAGCCATATTTCCAATCAGTTTTTCACCCAGAAATCCACTCACTTCGACGTGCTTGCTTCATCCTCGTCATCTGACGCATAATGCATCGCCTGATCCTCGTCAATCTCGATTATCTGCAAAAATTCATGGTTTTCTCTCAATTTCAAAATTTTCCCGATTTCCCAACCTCCTTGATTTCACTTTCATCAATGCGATGATTATCCTCGTGATCCATGATTACCTGAAAAAATATTTTTTTGAGCAGGTGGAAAATCACGCTATTTTAAAAAAGAACAAGAGCGTCCAAATCGAGAGAGATGACAGAGACGCGAAAACTCCCTTTAAGTACAGTAGTTTTATGGTATTTTCGTTTTAAATACTTGACAAAAACAGGATTTTAGAATGCTATGGGGGCGAAAAACTTAAACTTTGGGTGGAAATCTCGAAAATTCACTGTTTTTCAACAAAAAATCATCGAAAATCAATAATTTCTTATCGAAAAGCTTCGAAAACAGGAAACCGAAGAAAAACGAAAAAAAAATAAAAATTCACGAGATGAACCGCGACGCATACGCCGACACAAATTCACACGCAACGCGGTCATGCAACGCGTCCTCATTTCATCTTTCCATTTCCCCCAATTTTGTGTGTGTGTTGACGTGGCAGTGTGAGCGATAGGTGAGAGAGTGTGCGAAAATAAGAGAGTTGAGGGGTGAAAACGAGTGGCGAGAAGAAAAAGACGCGCCCACCAGTCGATAGTTGGCTGAGCGCCCCGTTGTATTCTTCTCCTCTAGCCATTTTACACACACACAACACTCATATAATATATAGAAGGAGGTGCAGTAACTCGGGGACCTGCAACGCGTTTCTTGTTTCTCAAAACCCACATTTTATGGACGCCGTTCTCGGCGGATGATACGTCTTCCGTGCGCGTCGCCAATTTATTCGTGCGGCGTTTTCGCCGCTACTATTGAACGTAGTTACATCGTGGGAGTACAGCAGAATGGCCAGTGTGTCGAAAGCGTTTCGCGCCCGGGCCTTCGATGCCAACAAGTCTATGGCGATTTATTGGGGCCAAGAGTTGCCGGATCTGTCGGAATGTGCGACTGGCAATCGGGCCGTCACACAAATGCCGTCGGGGATGGAAAAAGAGGAAGAAATGGTGAGTTATAGGCAAATCTATGCCCGATTTTTCATTTTTTCTTTCTGTTTTGCGTTTTTATGCATTCTTTTTGATTTCTTATTACTTACCGTGTTATTCTGCGTAGGTTCATATACTTTTTGTTAGGATTCTCAACAAAAATAACATAGGTACGAAATAACATGCAAGTTTGTAGCTACAAAGTTGTTCTTATCCAGTTTTTAGCCAATTATTTTATAGTTTTAAGCTTTTCTTATTGAGTTTTACCAATTTGATTATTCTTTGGTCACTATTGGTCATTTTTGTTAGAAAAATTTCGGTTTTAAAGTTATTCCTCTTCACTTTCAGTCAAAGATCGGACAGTAAAGGTCATTCTTAATTTCAATTTATAGTTTATAGTCATTCCAATGTTATTTTTATGATTTTCCGATCAATCTAGATTCTTTATATTCAGTTTTGTTTGAAAAATGTTGGTTTCAAAGTTATGTATAGTTTCAGTCTTTTAAGGTTTCTAGTTCAATGTTATTGTTTAAGAACATCCACAAGTTTCTTCTAAAGTCAAATGTATGCCCCAACGTGTTTTGAAATTAATTTCAGTCAAAAAACGTATAATTCCGGGCTGTGCTTAGGGTTCCTTATGTAATTTTAATGTTTAAAACTATTCAAAATTGTTATTAAAGTAATTTTTCCTAGTCTGAAATTGGTTTTGTTTGCATTTATTCGAATTCAATCTAAATTTCATTAAAAATTGAAAAAGTTTTGATCTCTAGAATTTTTCCTTTTTCTCATAAAGTTCTACTAACTTGGCCCAACTCGTATTCCCATTCATTTTCCTATTTCCAATTTCTCATTCAAAATTCTCATTTCCTTTCACACCACGGCCACGACCAATTTAATATCCATCTTCTTTTCCTTCCCAAAAACAATTCGTTTTTTTTCTTCTAATCCACCATTTTTTGTCAATGTCTGAGAGGATTTATATATCGCATCACTATATTATTATTATTTTTCAATGGTTTCCACTGAATAGCAGGTGCATTTGACATATGCCCATAATCTCTTTAGATATGCCGAAAGTGGCAAGTCAGATTTATAGTTCTGAAAGTGTATTTGTATAAGTAGCATATCATAAACAAAAGTATAAAGGAATGAACAAAAATAGGATAGGATTAGATTAGCGATTATAATATTATTATACAGTATACCTGATTGAAGTATTTAATCAAATTCATAATCTAATCTATTTGTTTATTTATTTATTTATTGAAAATGATTTGTTCTAGGAATCCCATCTGCAAGATGCAATTCTCGCCCAACAAGCAAGTACATCCGGCGTTCAAGTCAATCATGTTATTCCAACTCCAAAAGTCAATCAAGTCGACGTCGATCGATACAACCTAGTGTATCAGAATCGTAATAAAAATCGTTCGAAATATATCAAAGTTCATGGTTTGTTGTTTTTTTGCATTGAAAATGGATTTATTTTCCGTTTGACGCATTTGTTTATTGTCCTTGAACTAGAATTTTGCATTTTTTTTGTCTGGTCACATGATGCTGTAAAATGTATAGGGGAAAAGAAGAAGAAGAAAGGAAACATCTGTTGTCATCAGTAGAACAGATTTACGATAAGTTTACACATCACTTCATATCGAATATCCGATTTGACCCCGGATAAGAGGTGGTGTGAAATTGATAGTGTTTTTTTTTTTTGAAAAATTGGAAAGGGAACACTTTTATTATCATAGAAGAAATAATCTTTGATTTCACTCTTATCTGAGGTCAAATCTGATGATGTGTAAACTTATCCTAAATATCTTCTCATTTTCAAAAGTGTCAGTAGCGAACTCAGTTTCTTGATTGATTAAAACAAATATTTTTCCTATGCAGAAAAATTTTGAAAAACTGAAATTTCGGACGAAGAAAATTCAAAAAACTTCCTTATTCCCCCTATCTCATAATCAATTACTCATGTTTTTTCTTCATGGTTAACCGGTCAATTTTTTGTTCACATCACACAATGTTTTTTGATCAATTAGTTAGTGTCGGGTTTTCCCCCCAGAGACTTGGGCTTTTTAAAGAAATCCCCCAGATGTCAATTTATTTCTGCATGCGCGCGTAAACAAAGCCCGCCTCTCATTTTTCTGACCTCGCATATATAATTATTTTTAACAAGTATTTACATTCGAAAAAAAAATCGGGCATGCGATTGTCACATGCACTTTTTTGTCGCTTGTTTATCTTTTTCCGCGTTTTTTTTTGACAAGATGAAAAGTGCAAGCAAATATTGGGACGAAAATGAACAAAAATCGCTTTTATTTTTTCAAAAATAGCATTTTTCAGCGTGGCAAGCACTTGAAAAAGACGAGCCCGAATACGATTATGATACTGAAGATGAAGAATGGCTAAATGATCATCCTCATATTGAGGCAAATGTTTTGGAGAGGATATTTGATACGGTTGAGACGAACTCGTCGGAAACGCAAATTGCCAGCGAGGATTCGGTGTTGAATATTCATAAAAGTGAGTTTGTACTATTTCACAGTGTCCCGAACGCGTATTGCGCCAGCACTCCACACTCCACACACTCTCTCGTTTTCTCTCTATCTCTCATCCGTCTCTTCAGCAAAGCGCGCTCTCTCATCTTTTTTTGCGCTTTTGTTTTCTTGCTGAAAAATGCTGGAAATGGAATTTTTGTAACTAAATCGAGTATGGAGAAGACAGAGGAAGAAAAATTGAAGCTGTTCCAAGTTGTTTCATGAAAAATGGTTGAGAATGAAATGAGCAGGAGCTCTTCAAAAATAAGCTTGTGCAAAAACATCATTTTTGACCCAGGAAAGCTGATAAAATTCAGTGCTATACTTCCAAAACATTGAAATAGGACTCCCCAAGTCTGTGAAATCAATGATAATTCAAAACTATGCCGTTTTTGTTATTTTCATTTCCATCGAAATTTGCCCAAAATTGATCAAAAAACCAGATTTCAGAAGTTTATTTTGATCAAATATCTCCTAAAACACCTTGAAAGTATTCTAATTCAAATATTTATCATAAAACAAGTGCCGAATCACATTTTTCCTTCATAAAATTTGAATTGTTTTTCTTCAAAAGATATTAACTAACTCATTTTGAATCCAATCTTCACATGTTTTATATCAAAACGTTCCTCTCATTATTCTCCAGAAGATATAGCTCAGTTTGGGAGTTTTCATGCAAGTAAAATTCAAATCTAATCGTTTCAAGAAATAACCTAGTGTTAAATTTTCAAAAAACCGACAAACAGGCTTGTGCGCTCTACCGCACATGCACCAAAAATGCGCACAACTTTTCTCTGGCTACGCGTTCGGGGCACTGTGTATTTTAAAAAAACTGATAAGAGGGGGACTAGGATTTTCGTATTTTGTGGAAATCCTAGTCCCTCGATGTTTGATTCATTAATGATTAAAGAGGTACTAGGTTTCTCATAGCGGGTACTCCTAGTCTCTCGATATCGTGTCCAAAAATAAGAGGGACTAGAATTTTCTTTTGATCTGGAAATCCTAGTCCCTCGATTTCATATCCAAAACTAAAAGGGACTAGAATTTTCTTTTGATCTGGAAATCCTAGTCCCTCGGTTTGTGATCCATAAATTATTGAAGAGTTACTAGGTTTCTCATAGCTGTAAATCTAGTCCCTCGATTTCATATCCAAAAATTAAAAATTTAGAGAGACTAGGACTTTTTTTTGATTTGGAAATCCTAAATCCAGTACCTTGTTCACCAAAATTCCCAATTCAACCTCTTCTTTTCTCCAGATATTGATCCGACGGTGATTTATGAAGTTTACGAGTATTGGCTGTCGAAACGAACATCGGCGGCAACAACATCGGGTTGTATCGGAGTGGGCGGTTTAATACCGCGAGTCCGAACAGAATGTCGAAAAGATGGGCAGGGATCGGTGAATCCGTATGTCGCATTCCGAAGGCGTGCTGAAAAAATGCAGACGAGAAAGAATCGCAAAAATGATGAGGATAGTTATGAGAAGGTGACATTTTTTAATCGCAATTTTCTAGCCAAATTCTAACCCATTTTTCATTCAGATCTTGAAATTGGTGCACGATATGTCAAAAGCCAGACAATTGTTTGATATGACAACAAAACGAGAAAAAGGCAAAAATGTCGGTTCTGGACATGGAAACAGAGATTTTGGCGAAGCGAATGGAAATGTCCGATTTTGGAACATCGACAATTTATGAAGAATTGAACGAGAAGCTAAGAACGGCCACAAAACCGCTGGTACAAATCAATGGATCAAATCAAGACGAGAAAAAGAAGAAGAAGGCGAAAAGAACGAAGGGAATCGACAAGGATTTGGTGTCGAAAGCGTGGCTCAAAAAGAATGCCGAATCTTGGAATCGACCTCCATCATTGTTTGGAAATGTTGGTGGAGAGACATCGCAAGAATCAGCGAAACCCGCGCGACAACCGCTGCCTGATGGAAAATATACTTTCAAACGAAGGAGAGGTTGTGTATATCGTGCTGCTTTGCCAGTTCAATATAATCACAATCAACCAAGAGAAACAGCAAATGAAAGAGTTCCACAGAATATGCGATACTATGAGACATTTTTGCCGAATTCACAAGGAAATGTTCGATCGATTGGTTTTGCGAGAAAACGTGTTGGAAGAGGTGGAAGAATTGTTTTGGATCGGATACCAAGAAAGGTTGAAACAGAAGAAGAAGCACCGGAAGTTGAGAGAAGAGTTCCGCGAATTGTTGATCCTTGGGAAGAGGAATGTGTCATTGATACATCTAGAAGCTTTGGAGCGCGAATGCATCCGTTTGCTGAATTCTTGCAAGAGGAGGAAGAGGATGAGCAATTGTTGAAGAAGAAGAGGTATTTCGAACGAGCGGATCGGGTGAATTTTGATGATGAGGATGTGGAGAAAGAGTGGATTTCGAGGTATTGTGGAGCGTGGAGAGATGTGAATGCGAATGGAGCGGAAAGTGAGTATTTTGGGGGGTTTTTGGGCTAAAAATCACGAAATTTCGATGTTTTTGAGCCTGGATTCATGAGAATTGAGATTTTATTCAAAAATTCAAGTGTTTTCTGATGAAAATTGGAGAATTTCAAAGGATTGAGCCAAAAATCTAGAGATTTTTCGTCCTAAAATTCACGATTTTCTGGAGTTTTTGATGAAAAACTGAAAATTTAACCATTTTTCGTCTTCCAACAAACTTCATCTAAATTTCGCAGAAATTGAATTTCCCAAGCGGAAAACTTTGATTTCCGAAATGTTATCCAAATTTCCGGTCAAAAAAAGGAATTTCCTGAACAACATTTCAAAAAAAATGTTTTTTTTTGCAGAAGCTTCTCTGGAAACGTCAGACTCATCGGACAAAAAAGCGGAATGTGCTCGAATTGGCGGCGGTGGAGATGGTGAATTTAGTGAAGTTGAACGAATGGAAGTTGATGATGCTGAAATTGACGAGGAAGAAGCTGAAAATCCATCACAAATCTCTGAAACATCTCAAACGAACGGGATTAAAGCGGAAATTTTGCCGACGACTCCAATCGAAGAACCACCACCTTTGACAAATGGAAATGGGAATTTGAATGGCAACGGAAATGGTTATAAAAATCATCATGAATTGTTGAATGAGGAGGAGAGGATGATTAAAACCATTAAAATTGATATGCCAAGAGAGGATTCGCCGCCGTCGAAAATTGCGCATGAAACATCGGGCGATTTGTCGTTGTCGGGAAACGAGTTGGCGGGCAGAGTGGAACCGACGCCGGTTCCTGCGAAGGTTGGTGATTTTCTGAGGTTGAGAGAGGATTTTGGGCTGAAAATTTACGATTTTTTGAGTTTTCAGTCTGAAATTCTTGAGATTTGGCTAGAAATTGTTGAAATTTTTGATTTTCAACCTAAAAATTATGAAATACAGCTTATTTTGAGTTGTTTCTGTCTATTTTCTAAAATTTCGATTTCTTTCTGTAAAAATGTTCCCCTAAAGGCCTAAATTTATTATCAGCAAAATCTGAAACTAGATTCTGAAATTTTAAAATTCAATTGGTATATTGTAGATGTGCGGAACGGTATCGGACTCGGATGAGTGGAGAGAACCAAGCGGATCACCATCCGAATCGAATTCATCAACAGAATGGGAAAGAAGACCAACCACCTATAAAACATCAGCAACCAATACACAAATGATTGTAAAAGTTGTTGATGTGGAAGAAGAAGAAGATGAGAAATATGATGATGATGACGATGATGAAGATATAATGATGAATGAAGAAGATTTGGATTTAGAAGATGAAGATGATGAGGTGGAAAAACGAGTTGGTGGATCGGGAAGAAAAAGAATGGGTGAAGAGGAAGAAGATGAGACTGATGATGGGAAGACGGCGAATGCTGCTGGACCAACACCATCTATCAAAGAGTGCGTTTTTTATGTGAATTGTGTGAAAAATGGGTGTTTTCTGGTCTAATCTACTGAAAAATTGAAATTTTGAGCCCGAAATTGTGAAAAATGAGCATTTTTGGGTTCTGAAACCTAAGAAATTTTGAATTTATGGCTGAAAATATGGTCAGAATGCTCGAAATTCAGAAAAATTGTGAATTTTTTTCTGAATTTTTATCAGAAAAATCGGATTTTCAGTAAATTTTAGCTGAATGAAAATCTTACAAATTCGGCCAAATTTTGAAATTTCCTAAAAACTGCCACGTGGAAATTGTCATTTGTCTAATTTTCTTATTTTTGCAGCGCCCTATCAACAGTAACATTAATGGAGCGAAAAAACAAGTTTATTCTACCTCCATCCAAAATCGGAACTTGAATCAACTTCTTCTTCTTCTTCTTCATTGCCTTTTGAATCCATCTCAAAACATTGTCGTTTCTGATACCGAACACTCTGTCCGCTTCTTCTTTTTTTAAAGAATTGTTATTTTCCCCCACCTCCCTCCCCCCACGTTTTATTCTCAAAAAACTTGTATAATAACGAGGTTTTCCTTGGAAAATCCTTCCTCTTTTCTAGTAACCCTAGTATCACGCCTGTTTTTTTGCGACGGTGAAAAATTTCACTACGGTACGCAATTTGTGCATTTGTGCGTCGCGGTGTTTACACACTAGATAGTGATTTCAGTCCGTTTTCAGCATGTTAGAGGCATTTTCAGAAAACGCTGAATATATCATTTGATTCGTCTCGTCGAGATGAGTCAGGAAAACTATTTATTTGTTTTTGAAACGCATTCTCAAAAAAGTTATGGGCTAAAAATCAAACTCTGAGCAAATCAAAGGCGCACACATCTTTCGAAAGAGTGAGGTCTCGCAGCGATTCCAGTTTTTCACGTTTTTCTACGTGAAAACGCCATTTTTAAGGCTTCTACTATACTTATTCGAAGAGAAGAGATGAAATTACGTATGTATGAATGTTTTGAAATTTTTCTGGGGCCCCCAAGATATAAAACGCGGCGCCGCCAAATGGAGACCGATTTTTTTGACGTCCTATTACTGTACCGACGAATTTTGTTCAGGAAAAACAGGCGTGAGTATTATCCTTTAAATATTTAAATATTTATATAAACACACACACACACAAAAAAAATCGAACTTTCTTCTCTCAAGTCTCCCCCCTTTAAAATGATCTGGAATATATATTTTTTCTTTTCTGTTTTGTTTCTTTTGTCCCCTCATTATTAATTGATACGAGGTCCTTTCTTTCTTTATATTTTCCTGTATACCGATTTTCTCCTTTTTTTAATCAAAATTCCTTTTTTTTGTTGTATAATATTCCCGTCCCAATTTTTTTTCGTTTTTTTTATAATTTTGCCCCTCCATTTGTTTAAACGCGGTATTTTTTTTATCCTAAAATTTTTCCCCTTTTTCCATGTTTTTTTTTTGAATTTACACAAACGATCTCGATTTTCAGCCAGCCAGCGAAAAATTCTCCAAATAAAAATCAAAAATTTTATCATCATGTTTCCGAAAAAATTGCAGGCTGAATTTGGAGATTTTCAGAGAAATTTTTTATTCAGTGGAAATTTCGGGCTCAATCAATATTCAGCATCTTTGACACACCAATAAAACAATGATAGATTGCATCCAAGATCGTTGAGAAGATTGAACTTGATATGAATACAATACTCATTGCTGCCAGCATTATTCGGTTCACCACTATGGAAATGTGTGGATGTGAATGCCTTTACTGCATCCGAATAATCGGCAAACGCATCAGACGACCAAACAACAATCTGTAAAAGTATTCGAAAAACTTGTGATAAATCTAATACTCACTTCTCTCGCCGAACACGATCCACTTCCAACAACTGCACAATTCGATCGTTTTGTCGCACCAATCCATACTTGCACATTGTTTCGGATGAGAAGATTATATTCTTCTGGTGATGTGAACGTTGACAATTGACCACCGTGTTCTACACAATCACGAGCTGCCGAATGGAAGTTTTTCTGAAAATGTTGTTTGCATGGCGATTTAGCCAATCTCTGACTCACTTGTTCCATGAAATAACGATGACAAACAACTCGTCCGCTGCCTCTTTCAAATCGTTGCCAGCCATCTGCACAATGTGTACGCTCTTTTACGTCTTTGTAGAAAATCGAGCATAGAAGTGGAGCGTCGCGTCGATGGAGAAGTTCGAAATTATCGCGGCCGCTTCTGCAAAATTTTTTGGTTTTTTTTTGAAGCGAGTGTATTTATTTAAAGGGACATGCGCTCGGAGCCGCTTGCCTGCGATAAAAAATCATCTCTAACATGAGTTATGGGCTCTGAAAACCATCAAAATTATTGCTCTTCGGGCTCTTCAGAAAGTCGCTCAGCAAAAAATGAGAACAGAAGCTTTCTCAGCGTGAAAAACTGTACAGAAACATCATATATGAAAATCCTCGGGGACTCATAACACACAAAATATTTTAAAGGGACATACACTCGCGGAAAGCGCTCGAGGCCGCTGACGCGGAAGTTCGCGGTATACACTACCTCCGCTCGAAGCATTGCTCAGGTTAACATCGAACGCTTTGCGCGAGTGTATGTCCCTTTAAAATATTTTGTGTGTGAGCAGTCCCCGGAGATTTTCAATGGAACATAGATGTTTCTGTACAGTTTTTCACGCTGAGAAAGCTCCTGTTCTCATTTTTTGCTGAGCGACTTTCTGAAGAGCCCAAATAGCAAGAATTTTTGAAAATCCATGGTTTTTAGAGCCCACAATTCATGTTAGAGATGATTTTTATCACAGGCAAGCGGCCCGAGCGCATGTCCCTTTAAAAAATACACTCGCGCAGAGTGTTCGCACTCACATAGGTTCAGAAAACGTCAAAAACGTGCCAGCTCTTTCCTGACATCTATCACCATGAGATTGCGATGAAAAACTATAGTATTTGGATTGCATAGCAGGCAAATTGCCACGCGGCTCACACACAAAATCGCCATAAGATTTGGAGAAATGCAAAATTCTCGAATAATAATGATAATATGTTTGATGATTGGATGTATATGTTGTGTGATAGCAGCAAAGATATGTTGGTGAATAGGCAAAAATGAAGGATTCTTTGACATCAGCAGAATCGCGCAAAATTTTCATTTTTTCAATTGTCGGATCGAATACATCAATTGTTTCAACATCGGCAATTGGGGCCATTGATTTTCGACATTTTTCGATGGCAAATGTTTTACTTTGATTTTCCAACCTTTAAAAATAGACATTTATTGAAATTTGCAGTGAAAATTGAATAGAAATCTTGATTTCACTCAAAAACCGCGCAAAAATTCAAAAATGCAAGCGGAATTGCGGAGTATCGTTGTTTTTTTTGCAAATTGAAAGCGTTTTCACTTAAATGTTTTACCAATAATTATAGGCACCCGAAGTTCTCCAAACAGTCACAATTCCTTGTTTCAAAGTAGGCCAATAGTATTTGGCCAACTTTTTCGACTTATAACCAAAACTGTTGGGCGTCTCATCGGGTCGATAGAAACACATTGTTTGAGCTCGATGATTTTCGGGCATTTTGATCAGCGAATTCGGTCCGACGCTATAAAAAATCGCCATTCCGTAGACAATCGCATAGTTTGGACCGTTGCCATCGAATTCGATTTGATCTTTAAAATCGTCTCTTGGTTGCACCCAAATTGAACTCATTTCTTCAAAGTATACTGTAAAAACTCGGGTATATTTCGAATTTTGAGCTTGATATCAAATGAAAAATCTTTCGAAACTCGCTCACATTCAAACAATCGAATCAAATCCTCATCAAACAAATCGACAATTTCACTTTGCACCACTTTTCCCGATATTTCCAGCTTGGTTTTGTCGTTTTCGCACAATTCTTTGGCATTTTCATACGAAATCAGTTTCGTCGACGCAATTCGATAGCAATATCCATTGATTTGAGTGTAATCCGCTCGACATGAATACACATTTTCGTAGGTGCATTCGGGTCGATTTGTGTCGTAGAGTTTGGCCTCTTTGACTGGGTAGGGGGCCTTTGTTTTGCAAACATATTCGATGTTGTCCTGAAATTGAGTTTTGTGAATATTATATGTGGAAAAACACCACTAAAACACGTAAAACACAAAAAATCAATATTGTCCGAGAGAAATACACGAAAATGCAAGTGGAATTGCGGAGTATCGTTGTTTTACGTTTATTTTTCACGCCTGTTCTGCCTGAACAAAATTCGTCGGTACAGTAATATGACGTCAAAAAAATAGGTCTCCATTTGGCGGCGCCGCGTTTTATATCTTGGGGGCCCCAGAAAAATTTCAAAACATTCATACATACGTAATTTCATCTCTTCTCTTCGAATAAGTATAGTAGAAGCCTTAAAAATGACGTTTTCACGTAGAAAAACGTGAAAAACTGAAATCGCTGCGAGACCTCACTCTTTCGAAAGATGTGTGCGCCTTTGATTTGCTCAGAATTTGATTTTTAGCCCATAACTTTTCTGAGAATGCGTTTCAAAAACAAGTAAATAGTTTTCCTGGCTCATCTCGACGAGACGAATCAAATGGTATATTCAGCGTTTTCTGAAAATGCCTCTAACATGCTGAAAACGGACTGAAATCACTATCTAGTGTGTAAACACCGCGACGCACAAATGCACAAATTGCGTACCGTAGTGAAATTTTTCACCGTCGCAAAAAAACAGGCGTGTTTTTGAAGAAAAATAGGTTTTTTCATGCAAAATTGATTGGGAATCTTGAAATTTTTGCAATTCTCAAGAAAAATCTTGAATTTTCTTGAAATCCACCACAAAACTCCACTTAAAAACGATTTTCCCTCGAAAAAACGCGTAAAACACAAAAAATCAATATTCTCCAAGAGAAATACACGAAAATTCAAGTGGAATAGCGGAGTATCGTTGTTTTTTTTGCAATCTTGGACCCAAAAGCATTGCTCATATTATAGATACCTGTGTAGTTGTTAAACTACTCCATTTGACAGTGCACGTCAAACCCTCCAAATCTGTGCCAGAAACCATTCCACCACTTCCAACTTTTCCACAGAATCGCAAAAAACTCTCGTCTCGTATGGCGGATTGCAAAGTTGGCGCAACTAGGAACAGCAACAATAATAACATGTGGATTTTAGAAAATAGTTGCATTTTAAAAAGAAAAACTGATTTCTAGAGCGCACAACTGCTTTTAAATACTCTTCGATTGCCACGTGGCACTTTTTCCAGGTCACGTTTTTAGAGAGCAAAAAATTGGACAAAATCAACAAATATTTATATATGCATTATATTGTATTTACAAGAAAAATGAAAGAAAACCCATAATTAAATTTTGAATTGAAAAAAATCAATAAGGCAGAATTCTGGAGATTACCGTAGCAATGAATCGAGGTTGGCAGAAGATGAAGAGGTTTGGCTGGAAATTTTGGAAAATTTCAGACAAATTTTTGGAGTTCTGAGATTTTAGGAAATTTTGAATTTCAGTCAGATTTTTAAGAAGACATCTGGATTTTTCAAAAATTCTAGATTAATTTTTTGGCGCCAAAATTTCAAAATTCAAATTTTCCCACCAAAAAAAACAATCACTCACGGTGCTGAAGAATCCATCGAAATTTTGAGCGGAGGTTCGGTTTTCTGACGAAGCGGAAGATTTCCGGCGGTTTTCGAAGATTCCGATTCGACTTCCAGGAATCGAATAAATTGTTCGGTTAAGGTGGAAGACGATTTTTGATTGGGGGAATTTGAGGCGAAAAATGAGGGACCAAAGGATTGTTTGACAGCCGAGCGAAACTGCAAAAAAAAATTAGATTGGGCTGAAAATCGAAGGGAAATTTGAGAAATTCAGTAGAATTTTTGAGATCCAAAAAAAGTATTAAACTAAAAAAAAAAAGTATTAAAGAGGTCATTGCTCATATAATTTATTCAACCCGAGATTCTAGTTTAATATGAGCAATCCTTTGATGATTGCTCATATTAAACCAACTTTTTTTTGGTAAAACTTGAGCATTGCTCATATTAATTTTCCTCACCTTTTCCATTTCCTCTTTTGGATATTCCAAAATACTAGCCAACAATAATGCGATATCAGCTCGTTTCGATGGTTCAGCCATGAAATAGTTCAGGAATAATTGTCGAAGTGTTTGATCATCGATACGGTAGGAATCTTCCGATTTTTTTCAAGTTAGACGAACTCGGAGCTCGAAGTTCTTCTATTTGATTTTCGAGTTGTTCTGCAATAAAAAAATCGATAATTTCTCACAGGGGAGTACTGTAGGTCAGGGTTACTGTAGTGATGTTTATAGTTTAATTTTCAAAACTTGAAATTTTTGAAATTTAAATTGTAAAAAAAATATTGAAAATCTACAGTAATCATAAATATTTTTCGAGAAAACATCCTACACTATTGTACTTTTGAAACGAAAATTTCTAAGAGTACTGTAGGTCAAGGATACTGTAGCTTACGTTAGAACCGGATAAAACTACAATACTCTTCAAATTCATCTAAAAAATTTTCAAAAAAATGCCCAAGATTACTGTAGAGGACTAATAGAAAACTACAGTACCCTGGAAAACTCAGATCGGAAAATTTCTAGGGGTACTGTAACAATTGTAAGTCATGGTTACTGTAATTAAAACCTACATTCTTGTATTTTGATCTCAAAATTCTAAAGATTGCTGTAGTTTCTCCCACCAAAAAGCTACAGTACCCTAGGTAGATCACCAAATTCAAAAAGGTTCCCAGGGTTACTGTAGTGCCCGTTTTTTGTGTGTGTGTTTGTGAATGAATCAACACAACACAACAAAAAAGACCACCCAAATAACAAAAAAAGAGATGAGAGAGTGTGAAAAAATGAGAGAGTCTAGACATTTTTGTGTGTGAAAAAGGGCATTTTTTGTGAACAATGGAAATAAATAAAAAAAAATATGAAAATGGGCCAAAATTTGGGGGTTTTTTAAAGGAACATTGTTGGAAAATGTATTTTTGAGCCAAGATTCATGAAAAACGGTCCGAAATGACCTAGAAAATCAAATATGGATTCCCAGGCCATTTTGAACGTGTTAACATGAGCAATACCTTATTTAGGTTTAAAATGATCCCCTTAACCTGAGCAATGCCTTGAATTAATGCTCTTAACATGAGCAATGCCTAATTTGGCTTGAATTGAATTGAAGAATATGAGCAATGCATTTTTTCTCAAGGCCAGTTGGTACTGTATGTTCCTTTATGGAAAATCTTGTTTTAGAGGCACAAAGCTACAGTACCCCTTAATATTTTCCTGGGTTACTGTAGACTGTTTTAAAGGAACATGGGAATTTGAAGTAGGTAAATTACAGTAACCCAGATTTATTGGCGGAAAAATGTTCCTTAAAGGCACATACAGTACCCACCTGCCTAAAAATGCATTGCTCATGTTAAGATCTTCAATTTAAGCCAAATTAAGGCATTGCTCATGTTAAGATCATTAATTTGAGGTATTGCTCAGGTTAAGGGGATAATTTTGAACCTAAATAAGGTATTGCTCATGTTAACACGTTCAAAATGGCCTAGGAATCCATATTTGGTTTTCTAGGCCATTTTTCATGAATCTAGGCTCAAAATTTATCATTTTCCTCGAATCTTGGCTCATTTTTGCTCAAAAATCCCAAATTTTGGTTCAAAAATGCTGCTCTCACCAATAATTTTCTGTTTCTGTTCGCATTCCATCAATTTCCTCTCATTTTCCTCTTCAGCCGCCTGTTTTTCCACAGTTTTTCGTTCCAAATTCTCTCGAATCTCCTCAATTTCCTCTTTCAGATTGCGAATTTCAGTCTGGAGTTCGAGATTTCGATGAGAAGACTGGGATTTGTCGGTTTCGTGATCGATCGATAATTCGTGCACGACGTTCTGAAAAATGAGAGGGAATTTAGGCTAAGTTCGGAAATTTTCTGATTTTTTGATGAAAATTTGAGAAAAAATGATAAAAAACATGATTTTCATCAAGAATTCAAAATTTTTGGAAAAAAATTTTTGCTCTTAACATGAGCAATGCAATTTGGCTTAAATTGAAAATCTTAAGGAACATTTTTCCGCCAATAAATCTGGGTTACTGTAATTTACCTACTTCAAATTCCCATGTTCCTTTGAAACAGTCTACAGTAACCCAGGAAAATATTAAAGGGTACTGTAGCTTTGTGTCTTTAAAACACGATTTTCCATAAAGGAACATACAGTACCCACCGGTCTTTAAGAAAAAATGCATTGCTCATATTAAGAGCTTCAAAATTGGAAAAGAAAATGTTTTCAAAATTTGGAAAATTGGGAAAAATCCGATTTTTTGATCAACAATGAGTGAAATTTCAGATTTTCCATTGAAAAATCGAAATTTCACGTCAAAATTAAGCCCAAGGATCAAAATTTTCAGATTTTCTTGAATTTCAGGTCAAAAATCAGCTCCCAGGCTGAAATTCCGTGAAAAATCCAAATTTCTGCCTGAAAAAATCGTCCAGGGGTCAAAATTTTCAGATTTTCTTGATTTTCAGGTCAAAATTGAGCCCAAGTATCAAAATTTTCAGATTTTCTCGAATTCCAGCCTCAAAACCCACCTGTAAACTAGTCAATTGTTCAGCTGTCAATTGTCTCTGTTTTTCCACATTTTCATATTTTTCCTTCCATTCTTCTCTCGATTTTTCGACATTTTCCAGTTTTTTCATCAATTCTTCGATATTGATTTGAAGTTGTTGAGTGGTTTCAGATGCTCCCATTTTTTGAGCATTTCCACTAGCTTCGAGCTCTGTAAAATTTGGGTTTTTTTTGGCTGAAAATGACTGAAAATCAGGGTTTTCTGGGTCAAAATTCATCAATTTTCACCATTTTTGGCTCAAAAATGCTCATTTTCAGATTTCCATCCCAAAAATCCAACCTCGAACCCTCTGTCTCAATTCAGTTTCTCTCTGTTCACTTTCCACCGCTTCTCTTGTCGAATTCTCTTCAACAATCATCAGATGCTCTTTGAGCCGCTCGAATTCTTTGCCACGTTTTTCCAATTGTTCAGTGGAGCTGGAAATAGATAATTTCAGATTTTTTGGCTGAAAATTTAAAAATTTTGATATTAAAAATGGCCTAAAATGCAATTTTTAGGCCTAGGGCTCATTTTATAGCTGAAAATCCTAAATTTTCAGCCAAACTATGCTAGCAGGGCTTGCGAAGCACGCCCTGCACCCTTTTGGGGCTTAAAATGGGCCGGGCCTTCACGAATGGCCTAGAATCCAGTTTTTCGATCTAAAATTCATCAGTTAAAAAAATTAGTCCCAAAAATATCAAAAAATTTTGAAACCTATTTTTTCGGGGACAGAAAATAGGAGATTTTCAGCCAAATTTAAGATCACAGAAAATCGAAGGTCTTGAAAAGCAGCTTCACTTCAAATTTCAACGAAGAAACTTCAAAAATTTATTGATCATCACAGGTTTTGATTTTCAAGAAAAGTGATCAATGCATATTTCAAATTCCCCTTCGTAGTTTTCTCAATAAAATCTTTGAATTCAATTTTTCCTCCTCCAAAAACCTCCACAATTTCCTTCAAATCAATTTCACTTCTACTCACAATTGTTCGAATAATTCGTTTTATATCCCCACTTTTAATAAGACTCGCAAAATAATGTGATTTATTTCGAATAACATGAATAAGATCATAAAGAGCCTGTTGAATATATCCACTTGTTTCATCCCAAATTCCTGTTTCAATCTCATGATAAGGTTGACCAAATGTTTTATGTGCAAGATATTCTTTAAAAACCAATCGAAGTTGATCAAAGTTCTGTTTAACCAATATTTCGTTAATAACTTCTTCATCTGTATTAAACAAGTATGCAATTCCAGCCAAATGCAATTTCACTGCATCTTTTTTCGCTTTTTCAATATCAATATTATTCGATTGATCCCGTTTTGCTTCAGCAACTAAAACTAGAAAATCTCTCAAATCTCCACTTGTATCATCTTTCAAATCAGCTATCAAATCTTGATCATACAAATTATTATAAGCCCCCCTTATAGCATATATTTCTTCATTTGTTCTTGATACCAATATTTCAATAATAACATCTTCATCAGTTCCCAATCCTTTCATCGCTTTATATAATAATTTTGCTTCAAAATATGGTTTTGTATCGAGTAATGCCAATATGAAATATTTGAAATCATCATCCTCATTGCTCAGTTTATCGTTCAAAACATCTCTCAAATTTTGTCCAACAATTTCTTGATATAAATCAACGATTTTTTCAACTTGCGAATTATTTCGTTCACATAATATTCTAATGATTTCCGTGATGTTCAAGGTTTCATCAATTGCTGATTGAAGATCTCGGACATCATCGATGTTTTCAGTGGAAACGGAATAAATTGACAAAAATAAAATAGAAATCCAATACATTTTTGGTTGATTTTTTGGTTATTTGTCGCGGTTTTTAAATTGAAATATTTTTTGGTGGGGCATAAACCCTGAGAAAATTATATTTTTAGATTTTATGAACTGCTTGGGAAATTAGGAAAAACATATGGGCATTTGAAATATGGTTTAATCACTTTTCTTGAAAATCACTGTTTCTCTGTTGAAATTTGATGTAAAAACTTCGCAAGCCGTGTAAATATTAATTTTTGTCCGAGAGAAGTACACTCTGAAATTTTTCTGAGAATCTCCTATTTTCTCTTGCCCGAAAAAATACGTTTCAAAATTTTTAAATATTTTTTGGGACGAATTTTTCAATCGATGACCAGTTGCTACATTCTTCCCATTAAAAAACGCAAAAAATAAATTCTCTCCTAAAACCGCAAACACCTCCACATGACGCAACCGTGCACACTAGCGACTTGCCAAGTGCAGCAAATGCGCTCTATTGCAAACTCATTTCAATTTAATTTTTTTTTTTGGGAACACGGAAATCGAAATTTTGAGGACCCGGATAGGGCCCACTAGTCAAAAAGAATATATCCGTCAAAAAACAATCAAAAGAGCATTTTTCATGGCCTAGAACTCCAAAATTGAATTTCTAGGTCATTTTTCACCATTTGCACCCCCAAAATCACCCACTTTTCCAATTTTTCCTCCGAATTCCTTGCAATTTCCATATATTTTTCCAATTCTTTATAATATCCCATACTTTCTTCATGTTTTTCCATCAATAATTTCTTCAAATCTTCTTCATTTTTCTCTTTTTTCTTCATTTCTTCTTCTAATTCTACAACTCTTTTTTCAATTCCTTCTATCAAATTTCGATCAATTTCTTCAGCTTCTTTCAGATTTTTTCGTAGAATTTCCTCATTTTTTGATAATTCTTCATTTTTCGAAAGAAATTGGGATTTTAGATCGATTAATTCCAGAGTTTGATCTTCATATTTTCTTTTCAGCTCTTCAATGTACAATTTCATGGATTCGACCTGAAATTTCAGATTTTGGGTGATTTTTGGCTGAAAATTTGAAAATTTTTCAGATTTTTGTGCTGAAAATTAGCTAAAAATTGAATTTTCGATGAAATTTTCAGATTTCAGAGAAGTTTTGGTTGTAAAAGAGCTCACATTTCCCTCATTTTCTGAATTTTCTTGCTCATTTTTCCCATCCACAATGCATTTTTCCATTTTCGCCAAATTCTCCGTCAATTCTCCCGTTTTTTCCTGTTCATGAATCAATTGTTGTTGACAACGCAGATATTCACGATCTTTTGCCAAAAGCTGCAAAAATTGGAGGATTTTTTAAAGGTGCATACAGTAATTTTCACTTTTTGAATCAAAAATCGATGATTTTCGATAATTTCAAAGGTGCATACAGTAATCTGGGAGAAAAATGAGAAAATTTCGATTTTTAAGCCGAAAATCGATAATTTCCATCATTTTAAAGGTACACACAGTAATCCTGGCTTAAGATGAGCAATTTGATCAAATTCTGATGAAAATCACTAATTTAAAGGCACATACAGTAATCTAGGCTAAAAATGAGCAATTTGATAAAAATTAAAGGTACATACAGTAATTTTCCCTTTTTGAGTCAAACATCAATAATTCTAAAGGTACATACAGTAATCCTGCCTCAAAATGAGCAATTTCATCGATTTCTGGCTCAAAAATGCAGTTTTTCATCGATTTTTCAAGGTACATACAGTAATCCGGTCTCAAAATGACCAATTTCATCGATTTTTGGCTCAGAAATGCACTTTTCTACCATTTTTCAAGGTACCTACAGTAATTTTCACTAAAAATCTCAAATTTCCCCTCAAAAATCTCAAATTTTTAAAGGCGCATACCGTAATCCCAACTCACCTCATTAGTCAATTCCTGATTTTCTTGAGTCAACATTTGTTGTTGGAGTTGTAGGCTGTTGGTTTGCGAAATCATTTCATCGATGCAATTTTGACGGACCTGGAACAAAATGGGTACTGTAGGTTTTGGCGCGACAAAAAAAATACGGTAGATCAAAATTTCATGGCGTACCTCAATTTCTCGCTCCAAATTCCTTGCCGAACTTCGCAATTCCTCACATTCTTCCGATTTTTCCGTGTTCGCTTTGAGAGCTTCGGAAAGTTGAGCCTGAAATTAATTTCAGATTGAGAATTGGGGAATTTTCGGGCTCACTTCCAGCATTTCCGTGTCATTTTTGAACAATTTTTGGGGATTTTCAGCATTTTCACCCGAAATTTCCTTTTTTTCAGCGGGAATTTCAGCATTTTCGGGGTTTTCAGCCAATTTTTGTTTGAGTTCTGCGATTTCAGCGCGTTTTTCGTCCAAATCAATCGATAATTCGGTTCGAAGATGCTCGAGAAGTCTGGAAAAAATTTTGCGGCCCAAAATTTTCAGATTTTGATGAATCCGGGCTCAAAATTCATCATTTTTCGAGCTTTTTTCGCTCAAAATCCAAAAAAACCCACTCAATTTTCTTCTCCAATAATTCAGCTTTCGTATCTTCAGTTCCAGATTTGGCTTTCAATTTTTCATTGACTTCTCTTAACAATCCCGATTCTTCAGTCATATATTCATTTTGTCGTTTGAGTGAAGCATTTTCATCGCGGAGCGAATTAATTTCAGCCAAAACTCGATCACATTCAGCTCGATGCGACTGAAAATATGAATTTTGAGCGGGAATTTTGGGATTTTTTTTAACCAAAAATGGGCGGAGCTTCGAGTTTTTGCAATTTTGCCGCACACTTTTTTCTAGATAAGTATTTTTTGTTGACGTTTTGATGTCATGAACAAATCAAATAATTTTGAAACGTATTTTTCAAGGCTTAAAAATCTGAGCTTTTCATTGATTTTCAGTGCAAAATTGGATTTCAGGATAATTTTAGGTCAAAAAAGCCCATTGTCAATGATTTGTATGTTAAAAATCGTAATTCTCACAATTTTCCAGGTAAAAATGTTCCCAGGGTCAAAAAATCCCAATTTTAATGAATTTCAGGTTAAAAATCAGCTCTCAGGCTGAAATGCAGTGAAAAATCCAACTTTTCCCAATAAAAATGGTCCCAGGGTCAGAATTCTCCAATTTTCATGAATTTCAAATCAAAAATCAGCTCCCAAGCAGAAAAACCGTGAAAAATCCAATTTTTCCCAATAAAAATGGTCCCAGGGTCAAAATTCACCAATTTTAATGAATTTCAGGTCAAAAATCAGCTCCTAGGCTGAAATTCAGTGAAAAATCCAATTTTTTTCAATAAAAATGGTCCCAGGGTCGAAAAATTCCAATTTTTATGAATTTTGGGTCATTTTCCCCTCCCTCACCTCCTGAATACTTCTAAACTGCTCTCGAAATTCTCCAATATCTTTTTCACTATTCGTTATAATATCTTTCATAGTTGTGTCATACGTGGCTACCGTACTATTCAATGCCACATTTTCTTGGATCAATTTATGATTGGATTCTCGTAGTTTTTCGAGTTCTTTGTCGATTTCTCCGACTGCTTCTTGGAATCGATGAACATCTTCTCGAAGTCTTTCTCTTTCAGATCGAGATTCATCAAGGGCATGGCGAAGTTTATCGACTTCTTCCTGCAAAAAAAATTGATGAAAAATGGTGAATTTTGAGGAATTCTAGGTCAAAAACCGATAATTTCCATAGTTTTTTGGATAGATTCCGAAAAATTGGTCAAAAATGGTCCCTAGAGCTGAAAATCTTGAATTTCAGGCTAAAAATGGTCGCCAGAGTTGAATTTCTTCAAATTTCATGAATTTCAGGTCAAAAATGATCCCTAGAGCTGAAAATTGTGAATTTCAGGTCAAAAATGGTCTCTAGAGCTAAAAATCCTGAATTTCAGGCTGAAATTGGCCCCCAGAGTCAAAATTACCCAAAAATCCTGAATTTCAGGTCAAAAATAGTCCTTAGAGCTGAAAATCTTGAATTATGGGCTGAAATTGATCCCCAGAGTTAAATTTCTTCAAATTTCCTGAATTTCAGCTCAAAAATGGTCCCTAGAGCTGAAAATCCTGCATTTCAGGCTGAAAATGTCCCCTAAAATCAAAATTACCCAAAAATTCCGGAAATTGGGTCAGAATTCTTCAAACTTTCCGAATTTTAGGTCAAAAATGTTCCACAGGGGTCATTTTTCATGAATCAATGGTCAAAAATCCCCATTTTAAACATTTTCAACCCAAAAAACTCACATTAACCATCGTATCGCAATTCTCTCGTCTCTGACTAACATTAGCAATGCCACTTCGCAATTTCTCGAAATCTTCCGACAATTTTTGCAATTGTCCAACTGTTTCCATATTTTCGCGTTTTGATAGTTCATATCTTTCTTCGTATTCGATCAAATTCGCTTTTAGGCTATCTGAAAAATTGGATTTTTGAAGATTTTCAGATAATTTTGAGCCAACTCATATTTTTCATTGAAAAATTCATTTTCAGGTTAATTTTAGGTCAAAAATATCAAATTTTTGAGAAAAAACATGATTTATAGCTCAAATTTCACCAAAAATCCCAAATTTTTATCTCATTTTCATCCCAAAACCCCTCCCAAAACCGGCCTTACCAATTCGATTATTCAAATCCGCATTTCTCACTTCAACCACCGCATTTTCCCTTTTGAATCTTTCAAATTCCTCATTCAAATCATTATAAGCTTGTGTCAATTCATTATTTTGCTCTTTTAAATTCGAATTCTCCTCTGCGATTTCCGATTTTTCTTTGATTTCAGTCAAATTTTCAGACGATTGTAAAAGTTCCTCTTTTTCGAGCAAAACTGCATCCAAAGTATCGGCATTTGAAGTTGAAGATGATGCATTGTATTGCAGAATCTGAAACGGGAAAATTTTCAGATAATTTCACTTCTAGCTCATTTTAAGAGCTGAAATTCATGAAAAAATCGATTTTTTGAGCTGAAAATCATGTTTTTCTGAATTTTCAGCTTCAAAAATCTCTAGAAGCTCAAAATTTAGTTTAATATGAACCTTGGAGCTGAAAATTTGTAAATTTTGACTCCTGGAGCTCATTTTTACTCGAAATTGGTAATATTTGGTCTTCAGAACTGAAATTTCATGAAAAATACAATTTTTGGGCTGAAAATATCTGAAAATTCCAGATTTCCAGCTAACAATCATGCTCAGGAGGTAATTTAGCTAAAAATTGCACAACTTTGGTCTCCAGTGCTGAAATTAGCTCAACCTTCGTAAATTTCTGGTCTCCAGAGCTGAAAATTCTCAAATTTTCACTCCTGGAGCTCAATTTTGCTCAAAATCCGCTATTTCTGGTCTCCAGAGCTGAAATCAGCTGAAAATTCAAGATTTTTAGCTCAAAATGAGCCTTGGAGCCATAATTTCTCTTAAAATTAGCATTATTAGACCCCCAGAGCCCAAACCCCCCCAAAATCCCAACCTGTAAGCTCTGCAACTTCTCCTCATACATTTCCCTCATCTCGGCCACATTATCCGCATGCGTCTCAATCAAACTCTGTATCTCTTGCTCCTTCTTCTGCCGCATCTCCTCAATTTTCCGCTCAAATTCCAATTTTGACACTGTTTCTTCCGCCGAATTTCCATTGCCGACCATCGATTTCCAGTGCAAAATCTCTTTTTGAAGATCCTCAATCTGCCCGGAATCTGAAGTATTCCAACCGGAATCCTGGATTTGTTGAATTTCACATTTTAACTGTTTTATTTCATCGTCACGCTGTTTTATCATCAAATTATATTTGGCACCAATTTGATCCATTTCCACGTGTGAATCATACAATTGTTGTTCAAGATCTTTCTTTTCCGCCTCTAATTTCTCCAATTTCGCCACCTCAATCGCCAATTTCCGCGCCGCTTCCGCCTCATTCCGCTTTGCCACGTGGATTTCTGTGTCTGGATCTTGAACCTCTTCCCTCGCTTCATTCAACACCTCATTTGCCTCATTCATCACCTCGTTTGCCAAATCTGACAATTGTCCTTGTATGTTACGCAGCCAATTGCTCATTTTAAGTGGGATTTAGCTGAAATCAGGTGTTCAACGTGTTTTTTTTGGAAGAAAATGGGGTACTGTAGGCGGGCGGTGTTTGCAGATTGGACGGCGAACAGCGGGCATTTTAAATGACGCGCACGTTTTTTTATTTTTCGCGTTTATTTGGAGAGGTTTTTGAAGTGTTTTAGAGGGTTAGGGAAGTTATAATAACTCGAAAATTGATAAAACTAGAAATTTACAGAAGAAATATCTAGATTTACCTGAAAAATCGGGAAATTTTTTCGAAAATTCACCGAAAATCCATTTTTAAAGAAATTATGCTGAAACTCACCGCTTCCAAAGTCTAAATAATCGAAAAATGAGCATTTCTCCTAATGCCACCTCATTTTTTCACGTTTTTCCTCAATTTTTCGCTGAAATTCTCAAATTTCAGATGATTCCACCTCGAATTCGAGCACATCTTTATGCCAGCGGCTTATTCATCACTACAGTAGTTGGAGCATGGACAGTTTATAGAGGAGCTATGGAATTGAGGGTAATTTTGATACTAAATATGACCTAGAAATCCGAAAATTCTCTTCCAGAAATGGACAGTCGCTGCTCCTCGCCTTCAACACCAAGAAATGGAAGATTACCTGAGGCACAAGCAAATCCAGGCTCAAAAATCCTGAAATTTTCGGACAAAACGTGTAATTTATTGATTTTTTAGTCAAAAAAATAAGAAAATTCCAATTATTTTTGATTTTCCATAGTAACATCCAATGCAACATTAATTGTGGCCGATCGATTGTTGGATTTCTGGAAAATTCGAGATTTTTGGCTGAAAATTGAGCAAAAATCATGGATTTTGGGTCGAAATTTACCTTAAAAATCTCGCGAGCCTCTTTCGATCCTTCACCTTCCAAAATATTCACACATAGACGATCTCTCTTGATTAAATCGCTTTTGATTCGAGCGATCTGCAAAAATTCGGGGATTTTTCAAGTAAAAATGGTCCCCAGATGTGAAATAACCCAAAAACATCAAAATCCACATCAAAATTAGTGCCCGGTCTCAAAAAATCGCATTTTCCATGATTTTCAGGGTCCCCAGGACGAAAATAACCTAATTTTCACAAATTTTACGTCAAAATTGGGTTATTTCTATCCTGCGGACCCTGAAAGTCATGGAAAATGCGATTTTTTGAGACCGCGCACTAATTTTGATGTGGAATTTGATGTTTTTGGGTTATTTCACATCTGGGGACCATTTTTTCTAGAAAAATACCAAATTTCACGTTAAAATCAGGCCCCGAGCTCAAAAAAGCTTACATGTAATGGTAGACTTTGTCCAGCTTCAACGGTTGCATAAACGGGTGTAACTCGATACATATTATTGTCGGAGCATGTGATTTTTAGAGCAATTCGGTCTGAAAATTGGTTTTTTTGGGGCTTTCGGGCTCGAAAAATCGGTTTTAGGCTGTTTTTTGAGCCCGGAAGCTTGGAAATAGGCTCCAGAGCTCAAAATTGGCCAAATTTTGTGATTTTTGAGCTTCCAGGCTTCTGGGCTCAAAAAACAGCCCCTAAAAATCATTTTTTGAGCCGGAAAGCCTGGAGGCTCCAAAAATCCCCCCAAAACTCACTATCCGAATGATTCATCAACGTATGCGTGGATAATCCGCCTTCTACAGTAAACCGCGCGCAGCGCGGAATTACCGTAACTCCGGCAGCAATGTGACAGCAACATGTACAGCCGGATTGTCGTTCGGATCTGCAAAAATCGATTTTTGAGCCAAAAATCATGAAAATGTGCTCAATTTTAAGCCCTTTTTTTCGAATTCGGAGAGGCAAGTGCGCTCCAATGATAAACTATTGATTTTTGGCCAAAATTCAAGTTTCTGGGCTCATTTTTGAGCTCTAAAAAATACCTGTCATCATTTTCAGCACTCAAAAATTCAGGAATATAAAAATCGGGTCTAGTATTATAAATCATATAAATATTTGTTTTTTGTTGAGAAAATGAGACCTTTTTCAGGAAAATTGGGAAAGAAAGAAAATGAGGCAGAAAATTGAGAAACGGAAACAAATTGGTTTGATCATTGAAGTTTTGAAGATTTTTGTGAGAGATTCTCAGTTTTTTTCAGCCTGGATTTTCAGCCGAATTTCAATTTTTCTGAAAATCGTGTTTGGGCTCATTTTGTAGCTCTTGAAATTCTGCGCAAAATGAGCCTAACAAGCATGATTTTCAGTAATTTCAGATTCCGGCTGAAAATCCGTGCTGAAACTTGAAAAAAAATTGAATTTTTTTGACCCACCTTCCACTAGATTTACTGGATCTTGCTGATCTCATCAAATATTCCATATCAGACAAGGCGATGGCTGAAAATAGTCAATTTTTTTTTTGCTGAAAAACTTTTTTTGGCTAAAAAACAAGTTTTCTCCAATTTTTGACTGAAAAACTAATTTCGTTTTTTTTCAGTCAAAAAAAAAAAGGAAAAATTCACTTTTTGCCAAATTGAAATTGAAATTTGAGCTCCGGAAAAATAGCTACAGAAAATTTGATTAAGAATTCCAATTTTCTGTGGGAAAAATTCATTCACATTTTTCCGGGAAGCCCAAATTTTCAGGCCTAGAAGCCTAGTTTTTAGGCCTGGATCCAGAACTCACCAATCATTGGCTCGGGTGCGTCCAATTTCCGGTCCGAATTTCGGCCCGGCGTAAGTCGGGCCGTTCCAAAAGGCCGGCCTGGTCCAGGAACAATAGTTGAGGAGGGTGACGTCATTTTTTTGAAATTCTGCAAACCTTTTTTGAATTCGGGCAAGCAAATGCGCTCTATGGAGAAAATATTGATAATCGACGGTTTTTTAGTGTAAAAATCAATATTTTCTCATTAGAGCGCATTTGCACCTCCAAAATCAATAATTTTTTTGAATTCGGGGAAGTAAATGCGCTCTAGTGATAAATTATCGATTTTTAATGAAATTTTGCAAATTCTACATGAAAAACACGGTATTTCAAAGCTAAAATGAGATTTTTGCCGAATTTTTTTCCATGACAACAAATCTAGTGAAATGTGGCGGAAGATTGATGTTTTTACGATTTTTTTCAAGAAAATAAAGAAAAAAAAAGGAAAAAAGTGCTTTTGAACTTTTTTTTCTCGAAAAAAAAGTGGGCGAAAATGGAAAAATAATTGGCTAGAAGCCAAAATTTCCGGAAAAAAAATGAAAAAAGTTTTTTTTTCGTTGAAAAAATGGCGAAAACTTGTCATTTTCACTCACCACAGAGCAATTTAAAATTCTGGAGCCCGAAAAAACTTTTAAATCGAATTTTTTTTTGAAGTTGCGCTAAATTGAAACATTTCGGGGTCAAAACATAGCAAAAATTTTTTTTTGAGGTTTTCTAGGCCATTTTTTGGGTTTCTAGGCCATAGTAGGTGAGTTCTAGCGGGAAAATCAAGATTTTCAAATCTGGTATTTTTTTTTGAATATTTTCACCTCATTTAGTATCAAAATGCACCAAATTTACGTCAGCAAACCATTTGCTGGCGCATTTTTTGTGCAAAAAGGGTTTTTCTCACCTTCGCCAAAACCTGCAACCTTTCTTCAGTTCTCGCCGTCGAATTTTGAATTTTCGGAGAAAATTCGAAAATTTCTTCATCATCTAGTTCTTCCAGTGCTAATCTTTCCAGCATTTTTGGCTGAAAAATCTGAAAATTTCAGTTTTTCACTGAAAAACACATCAAAAAACACCAAAAATGATGAAATTTGAGATAAAACAATGAAAAAAAGGCATACAAATGAATGAAAAAAGTTTTTTTTTGTTTGGAGCTCCCAAAAAAAGAGCACAAAAAGGAGAAAAGAAAGATGCTGATGAGAGATTTCAACAAAAAAAAAAAAAGAAATTTTCGCACATCATTTTTCTTCGTCTTTTTGGGGGGCGCCTGGGGAAAAAATTCAAATTTTTTTGAATTTTAAATTTTTAACGCAAACAAAAAAATTCAAAAAATTTACTAAAAAATAACAAAAAAATCTAGCTACAATTAAAAATTCCCATAAATTTATTCATCCAATTTTTCCTGACGTGTTGGTTTTTGAGGATATCTGAAAATGAGGAAAACATTAATTTTCGGTAATTTTTTGGCTGAAAATTTCAGATTTTTCAGTAAAAAATCGATTTTGAGCTGAAATTGTTCAATTTTGAGAAAGTTTCGAGCTCCGGAATTGATTTTTCATGAAAATCACGAAATTTCAATAAAAAATCGAGTTTAGGCTGAAAATTTCAGATTCTTAGGTTAAAAATTATTTTCTCTGGCTCTCGGAGCTCTAAATAATATAAAACTCAAGAAATTTCACTCAAAAATCAATTTTTAATTGAAAATTTCAGATATTAGTCTGAAATTCTCAGATTTTCAGCTCAAAAATCAATTATAATTGAAAATGTCCAATTTTGAGAAAATTTCGAGCTCCGGAATCGATTTTTCATGAAAATCACGAAATTTCAATAAAAAATCGAGTTTAGGCTGAAAATTTGAGATTCTTAGGTTAGAAAATGAATTCTTTAGCTCTCGGAGCTCTAAATAATATAAAACTCCAGAAATTTCACTCAAAAATCAATTTTTAATTGAAAATTTCAGATATTAGTCTGAAATTCTCAGATTTTCAGCTCAAAAATCAATTATAATTGAAAATGTCCAATTTTGAGAAAATTTCGAGCTCCGGAATCGATTTTTCATGAAAATCACGAAATTTCAATAAAAAATCGAGTTTAGGCTGAAAATTTGAGATTCTTAGGTTAGAAAATGAATTCTTTAGCTCTCGGAGCTCTAAATAATATAAAACTCCAGAAATTTCACTCAAAAATCAATTTTTAATTGAAAATTTCAGATATTAGTCTGAAATTCTCAGATTTTCAGCTCAAAAATCAATTATTAATTGAAAATGTCCAATTTTGAGCAAATTTAGAGCTCTGGAATTGGTTTTTCAAGAAATTTTCAGATTTTTCACTTAAAAATCAATTTTTGGCTGAAATTGTCCAATTTTGAGCAAATTTACAGCTCTAGAACTGAAATTTTCAGATTTTTCACTGAAAAAATCAATTTTTAATTGAAAATGTCAAATTTTGAGCAAATTCAGAGCTCTCGGATCAATTTTTCATGAATTTTCCAAAATTTTAGGTAATTTCCCCCGAAAATCCCCTACCTCTGCCACGTAAAGCTCTCATCATTTTCATAGCTATGCTCAACAATTTCGGGCTCTTCCAACTTCAATCCTTCCTCGCTCAACGCCTTGAAAAAATATTTTTGATGTTGACTTTTCTCAATAATTTCTTGAGAAACTGCGGGTTTTGCGAAATGAATTCCTGATTGCAGACATCTAAGGGCTAGAATTCGACCGATGTTTAGAGAAGCTGATGTGTCGACTTTACTGCAAAAAATTGAGTTTTTCTCATTGGAGCGCATTTGCTGCAGCGAATTTGAAAAATTCTGATTTTTTTGGTGTAAAATTCATTGATTTTCACCAAGAAATCAATATTTTCTCATTAGAGCGCACTTGCTTCTTCGAATTGAGAAAATATCGATTTTTGATCAAAAATACATCATTTTTCCCCCATAAATCAATATTTTCTCACTGGAGCGCACTTGCTTCTCCGAATTCAATTTTTCCCCCAAAAACCAGCCATACCTATACAATTGTGCTGAAATTTCGGGTTCTCTAGTCGAAGCCGAAAGAACAACACCATCTCGATGATGAATCAAACGGCCTTCACGATGCGATTTTCCTTCGACCAATTCGACTCTGAAAATCGATACTTTGATAGGTTTTTTTCGGCTGAAAATCGTGAATTTTCATGAAAAATCCAGTTTTTTTTCATCCAAAATTCATGAATTTTGCACCAACTTGTAGATAAATTTCCGCGCTTCTCGATCGGTTTCAAATTCGAATCCGGAACTTTGCGCTTGTCGACCCAGCAGCTCGTTGTTTCTTGGATTTCGATTCACGAAACGCGAGACGAATTTTGAGGTCATTTTCTGGAAAATTTCAATTTTTGGAGAGAAATAAATGTTTTGCAAGTCTTAGTTGAGAAAAACTGTGCCAGGCTTCCATAAATACGTCTGAAAAGTGCTAAAAAACAAGTTTTTCTCGAAATTCTCATCAAAAACCAGGTTTTCCCTTGAAATTTCAGCCAGAAATCGATAATCTAGGCTGGAACTTGCCACGTCATCAATTTCCCAACTCTGAAAATCCCCCAAAACCTCCGAAAACCGGGGAAAAAGTGGCGAAAAAAGAAAAGTATTTTTCGAGTGTGCAAACACCACGACGTCAGCGCACACACAAAACACCACACCTGACGCGCAAAAATATTTATTTTTGACAGGAAAAAATGGGGGTTTTTACAGGGAAAAAGACGGAACTAAATAGAACTAGAAGAAGAAAAAGAAAGAGACCAGTAAAAACATCAAGATTTATCAGATTCTTTGGCCGAAGTCGACGAAGTTTCACTGATTTCCTGATTCATACTACCGTAACCGGCATCCACGCTGGCTTTCTGGAAATTTCGACGATTCTCCGTTTGATCGACCATCTGAAAATGCTCGACGTGCGGGAAGGGTTGCTGCTGCTGCTGCTGCTCATTTAAATGCCCTGGAATCGGCGGAGTGTCGTTGTTCATGATGAATTCGGGTTGAATGAAGTGGTGGGGGGTCCCGTATGGAATGGGATGGTAGTATACGGTAGTTTGTGGCGGTGGTGGAGCGGGTTGCACCTGAAATATTTGAACATTTTTCTAGTACCTACAAAAAACGCGTCAGCAAACCGTTTGCTGGCGCATTTGGTATCAAAATGCGTCAAATTTCGCCACCTACCGTATACCCGGGATAAAAATTGGCGCCAAATTGATGATAAACCGGTTGCGGAGCAGCTGGAATCGGCTCCTCATAACAATGATGATAATGATGGACCAAAACCGAGGGCGGTTCCAAGTTACCGTAACTTTCCGCTTTCCGCATTGCAGCTTGCGGTGCGGCTGGCGTATAACCTGAGCAATGATCGAATGATCTTTGGGTGGCCCAATAATTTTGAGGTTGCAGGCTGAGTTGACGCATTTGTTGCGTCAAATTTGGTGCGTGTTGCGGCAAAATTGGCATATTTTGCTGCTCAAAAGACTGTGCTCTTTGTAGATCATGCGACAGGCTTGCTTGACTACCGTAGTCTCGCGGGTCTCGTCGCGAATTTTGACTACTGTGTCGGGTGAAGCGACCCTCCATGAAATCGTTGTTGATTATCAGATCCGCGAATTTGTCTTCTGGCCTAAAAAATGTTTTTTCTTTTTTTTTTTGCATTTTTTTTGACACAGGGAACGGTTTACTGACGCTTTTTGCGTCATTCTTGCACCAAAAATGCGCCAGCAAACGTTTTGCTGACGCATTCGAGGTGTCAAAATGATGCAAATTTGAAGTAGGCTACAAAAAACACGCCAGCAGACATCTGAGGCTACGCGAAACGTGTCAGCAAAGGGTTTCCTTACGTATTTGTGGTGCACTAGAGAATATAGGCTTGTGGGGTGTCAAAATGACCGGAAATCTTCGTTTAGCTACAAAAAATGCGTCAGTAAAGGGTTTGCTGACGTATTACAGGTGCCTAGGCTTATGAGGTATCAAAATAACCCAAATTTCCCACCAACTACAGAAAACGCGTCAGTAAAGGGTTTGCTGACATATTACAGGTGCCTAGGCCCCCAAAATTCTCACTAGCTACAAAAAATGCGTCAGCAGGCGTCTAGCTGGTGCATTTCAAGTGCCTAGGCTTATGTGGTGTCAAAATGACCGGAAAAGCATCAGCATAGGCTTATGTGGTGTCAAAATAACCCAAATTTCCCTCTAGCTACAAAAAAACGCGTCAATAAACCCTCCCCTGACGTGTTTGGTGTCAAAATGTCGCCTACATTTTGGTCTTTTCCGATTTATTGATCACAATCTCCGTATGTTTATTGGTAACATTATGATCCAATCCAAACCAAGCCGCACATCTATGAAACAACATTCTGTGATAGGAAGAAGGTAGATCGATTTTCTGGCTTTGTTCCACCGGATTCTCAACAAGTTCGCGCATAATTCTCTCGAAATATATCAATTGATCGCGATCTTCTTCGGATTTGTGCAAAGTTCGACGAATGAATTGACGGAGATCGGTGCCACTTCGGTCAGAATAATCAGTTCCGGTGGATTCTGCAAGAATCTTGCTGGATTTTGGTGAATTTTTGCTCAAAAATCGCCTTTTTTGGGCTGGAAACCCCTAATTTTAGCCCCCGCGAAACCTGAATTTAATTTCAGGTTTCAAAAATGTCATTATGAACTTTTGTCTCATTTCCCCGCCACATGACTCAAATAATTATGGGGTTTTGTTTTGTAGAAAAATGGGGAAGTTGATTTTCAGCAGGGATTTTCAGCCTGAATCTGAAAATTCTGAAAATCATGTTTAGGCTCATTTTGTAGCTCTTGAAATTCTCTACAAAACGAGCCTAAACATGGATTTTGGAAATTTCAGATTTAGCCTAAAAATCTAGGCTGAAACTGAAACTAGTGAATTTTTGAGATTCTGATTTTCAGCCAGGATTTTCAGAAATCCGGAAAATCATGTTTAGGCTCATTTTGTGCAGAATTTCAAAAGCTTCAAAATGAGCTCTATCTTGATTCTAGAAAATTTCAGAATTTGGCTGAAAATCCGGTCTGAAACTGAAAAATTTTCAAAAATATTCCAGCTTCTAGGTTTCAGCGGGGATTTTCAGATAAAGTCTGAAAATCCGGAAAATCATGTTCAGGCTCATTTTGTAGCTCTTGAAATTCTCCACAAAATGAGCCACAACATGATTCTAGAAAAATTCAGAATTTGGCTGAAAATTTAGGCTGAAATTCCCCAATTTCGAAACTCCCAAAACCATATCTTATTTATACTCATTTTGTGCCAAATTTCAAACCCTTCCACAAAATCCCAACCTCTGCTCAAACTTTTCGACGTGCTCCACGCATGATGTTTTTGTCCAAGCCCAGGCGGCCGTAATTTCGTATCATCGTCTCCAACAATCGCATCAACACGTTGTAGACTTGGTCTAACTCCCAAACTCTCCGAATTTTCCGCTTCTTCCTCCTCAATCACCGGTTTTTGTTCATTTTTCGAGTTTTCCGGCTCTTCATGTGTCGCATTTTGCTTCGACAGTCTTCTCCGCATGCTTCCGGTGCGTCTGACGCCTTCCGGAGGTGAGGATGCTGAAAATATTGCTCATTTTTGAAATCTCCATGAAATTCCGGTCAGTTAGACATCCCACATCAATATATTCCACGAGCTACCAAAAATGCGTCAGCAATAGGTTTAGCTGGCGCGTTTTTGGTGCTGGCGCAATTCCCGCTCACCTTTCTGCTGTTCAATGAAGTTGGAATTCGTCATAATTACCGTAGTCGATCTGCGTCTCTCATTCTGCTGCACTATCTCCTCCTCCTCCTCTTTGTCAGACATTTTTGACTGATGTTCCTTTAAAAATCACCTACAGTACTATAATTTAAAGGGACATGAGTTTTAAAAAAAAGGAGAAAAAAAAGCCCAAAAAGCAAAAAAATATGAAAATGAGGGATTATATGAAACTTATATGTTGTGCTCTTTTTTGGCTCCAAGCTCCGCCCATTTTTGAGTTGTGGTAACTCAGAAAAGAAAAGGTTTCGCAATTTTTTTCCCTTTTTGAGTAGAAAATTGGCGGAAATGCGCTTTGACGCCTTTTCGGGGGGAAAACATTTAAAATGAGTCATTTTTGAGAGGGGGGGGGTACAAAATTTGCGTCAGCAAACGTATTCGCTGGCGCAAATCCCGTAGCCTTCAAAAAACCGCCATTTCCTCTCAAAATGTCGTGAGGAAATTGCAAAAAAAACACGAATTTCCCCCCACTAAACCAGGATTATCACGCTTTTTCGCATTTTTTTTGTTGTCTGAAAATGAATTTTCAGCGAAAAAAGTTCAACCGGAAATCATTGGCGAACAACAAAAAAGGATGAAAAACTAGATTTTTATGTGTATATGTTGTGTTACTATGGAGTTTGAGGGAGGAAATTCAAAAATTTCAGACAAAAATCTGATCCGGAAACATTTTTGCGAGCTGCACATTTAAATGCGCCATTTGAGGCAGCTTTGCAAAACACAAGATAGCTCAGTGGTAAATCGTTGACTTGGCGCGCGCAAGGTGACAGGTTCGATTCTCACTGCGCGCTCTTTTTTTTTAAATTTTTTTTGTTCTCGAAAAGCTGTAAAAAAATGAAATAAAGGATTTTCATTTGATTGTCAAGCTTCAAAGCGAGAAAATAGTGTGTGAAATTGAGAGAGTCAGGTTAGAGAAATAAAGATGTGATAAAATAAAAAAGAGAAAGACGAGCTCTCATGTCAGGTAACAAAAAAAAACGCGAAAAAACGAAACCCAAGTACAGGATCGAGTGAAAATCGTCGAGAGAGTGTGCGAAAACGAGAGAGCGCAGAGATTTCGAGGGTTTAAAGAGAAAGAGAGAAATGTGTTTATTTATATGACTTAATAAATACATACATAAAAGACCGTGTAGATCGAAATTAGCACATCATTTTAATACATCCCTGACTGGAGCCTATCAAATAGGCCGAATTTAGGCTAAGTGGAAGAATTGCGGTGGGCTGGCCGGGTAGAATTTCAGATTTCAGGCGGGTTTCGACAGAGGTGCGCGAAAAATCGTGGGTTTTGTAGATTCTGCAAGAAATTTGGCTGAAATTTCAGATTTTTATTGGTTTTACGGCCAAAAATCCTCCAATTTTCAGCTAGAAATCCCAAGTTTTCCTCAAAAATTCTGACATTTCTCGTTTGCTCAGAATTATTAATGTTTATTTTTTTCTGATGCGAGACAGGTGAATCATGCTTCTTTTTTTTGAGAAGGCGTTGGAAAAAAAAAACTTTTTTTTGGGGAGAAAAAATGAGGAGGAAATGTGCACTTTGATGTTTTTTGGGTGCCAAAAAAATAAATAGCAAAAAAAATTCAAAAATAAATAAAATAAAATTCAAAAATTTCAATTTTGACGCCAAAAATAGGTGTTGTCTCGCATTCTCGAGCTGTCTGCGTCTCTAACCTTTTTTCAACTTCTCTAGCTGTCTGCACCCTCTGCATCTCTAACCTACCCTAATCACTCTAGCTGTCTGAACTCTCTATCCCTCTCCTTCTGTTTTCAGCCGTCTAATCCTCTAAGTCTCTAACCCTTCTCATTTCTCTAGCTGTCTGCACCCTCTGCATCTCTAACCTACCCTAATCCCTCTAGCTGTCTGGACTCTCTATCGCTCTCCTAGAATCTCTAGCTCTCTGAATCCCTCTGCGTCTCTGACCTCTAATGTCTCTAGCTGTTTATCCCTCTGCATCTCTAACGTATCCTAATTACTCTATCTATCTGGACTCTGTATCGCTTTCCTAGAATCTCTAGCTCTCTAAACCCCTCGGCGTTTCTGACCTTACTATCTAGCTGTCTGGACTCTCTCTCTCTCTCCAAGCTGTCTAAATCTCTAGCTCTCAGCGTCTCTAACCTATCCCAAACACTCTAGATGTCTGCCTATCATACAGATCCTCTGCGTCTCTAACATTTCATATTTCTCTAGCCGTCTACGTCTCTAACCCCTCATATTTGGTGTCAAAAAATCGCAAATTTTCGCGCCACTCACCTCAACATCGAATTCGCCTGCAATGTCACCAATTTCGCATCCTGCTCCACCATTTCAGCCGCCATTACACAATCCGACAATTACTTACTTTGATACTTTGATAGTCCATTATTCGAGCGAGTAGCTGTGGACCAGATGTTTCCAGGAACTTCGGCTTCTAGCCAATCGTGACCAGGGCATTTTACTGGATATTAGCCCGATCCTTCTTCTTCCGCCTCCCCCGAGGCCTTGCAAGTTGATGTTGTGTTGGTGCACTTTGACTTCATTTTGCACGTCATCGACCCATCTCTTTTTCGGTCTTCCTTTTCTTCTTTTCACGCCATTCGGAGGTTCCCATAAAGTTATAATTCTGCATATTCTTTGAGTTGGCAAGCGCACAATGTGTCCAGCCCAGCGCATTTTTATCTTCATTATAAACTTTTCCAAATTTGGTGGAGTTCCCGCGTTTGCTTGAATCCATATATAGTTGATTGTTCTTTGGATTCGTTTGATATCTTCAACTTTCGTGTTCCAAGTTTCTGAAGCATATGTCATAGCACTCAAAACGCTGGATTTCAAGAAGTGGTTTTTCTCTTTGATTGAAATTTCGCTGATTGCAGATGCAATGCTGTGATATGCCGCCCAGCCAGCTCTTATTCGGTTATTTATTTCTGAGTCCAAAGCGCCATCTTTCCTGAAGATTCTTCCCAGGTATTTTATTTGATCAACATCTTCAAGTGGCTGACCATTTACTCGAACACTTGCATTGTTGGCGCATTGATTTCTCAACACTTTTGATTTGGCAGTGTTGAACATCAAACCAGCTTTTTCGCAGATTTTGGCAATTTTTGAGGCACGATTTGAGGCGTCTTTCGGGTTTTTGTCGATTAGAACGAGATCATCCGCAAATAATAATCTTGAAATATATCTGCCATCGACTCGAATTCCAAAATTCTCCTCTTCATCATCTTCAGGTAGTGGATCAGCTTCGTTCAGGAGTTTGTGTAAGGCAATTGCGAAGAGCGCAGGTGACGACGAATCTCCTTGTCTTACACCTCTTTCCACAGGTATTTTCAATTTCTCTCCAAAGATCTCGATCTCTCCGGTGCCCAATTCGTTGCAGCTTTTTATGGCTTCCATATATTGTGGATCGAACCCAGATTCCAACACACCTTCCTGTACCGCACTCCAGTAAATTGAATCAAACGCTGCACGATAATCGATAAAAGTGAGAATCAACGGCATGTCATATTCTTGGCATTTTTCCCATAGGCAAGTGATGGATTGTAGATTTTCTGAGCAAGATCTTCCACATCTAAATCCATTTTGGGTCTCATCCAGATAGCTCTCAGCTTTTCTTGCCATTCGTTTTGTCATTATTTTTGTGAATACTTTTCCAGGGATTGATAGTATGGAGATTGGGCGGACATCTTTCAAGGTTTCCGGATTTGGCTTTTTCTCCAACAATTTAATGCGAATCTCGTTCCATTCAGGTGGATATTTTCCATCTTCAATCAATTTGTTGAAGCATCTCGCAAGATTCTGCTGCAGTTTTTCTCCACCGTGTTTCAGCATATCACTACCGACTCTATCCAATCCCATAGCCGACTCAGATTTCAATGTTCTTGTTGCTGAACTCACTTCATCAATTAAAATTGGAAATGGATTTCTTGGTTTTTCATTGATCTTTTGGCTTCTTTGGCCATGATTTTTGAACTGTTGAATGAAGTGATTTTTGATTTCGAGCTTGATTTTTGACCGATTTGCTGTTGTAGTACCATCCGCCAGCTTCAACTTTCCAAATAGTTCTTTTCGATCTTCCATTCTACGATATATCTTTTTGATACTTTTCCTTTTCTCGACCGCCCGTTGGATCATTTGGCATTTCCATTGATCAACATCTTTTTTTTTTTTTGGTGTCAAAAAATCGCAAATTTTCGCGCCACTCACCTCAACATCGAATTCGCCTGCAATGTCACCAATTTCGCATCCTGCTCCACCATTTCAGCCGCCATTACACAATCCGACAATTTTCGGTGAATTTTCAAAAATGGCCGAGTTTCAACAATTACACCCGGCTCATCCGAATCACCAATCAATAATTGTGAGGAATTTATCCAATTTAGCTGCAATGGGGTACTGTAGAAGGGGTTACTGTAGAAAAAAAAACAACAACCTACCGTAGTCGTATGCGTCGATGGAATTTGTGCCAACATTGTGATCTTCCCGCCGTTTCTCGCGTCAACAATCGCCAAACTTCCATTTGACAACGCGACAGCCAATTTGTGATCTACAACGGTTACTGTATGTCAAATTTTCGAGATTTTTTTTTGATCTACCATTCTCTTTCACTGCAATTGCTCTAGTCATTCCTGAATTCGGCGAAACCTTCAATTCACTACAGAATCCAGCAATTCGGGTGTCGAAAATTCTGAAAATTTTCGGGATTTTCAGCTGGAATTTGGAAATTCTGAAAATCGAGTTAGAACTCATTTTGTAGATAATTTCAAGAGCTACAAAATGAGCTCCAACTTGATTTTTGAAAATTTCAAATTTTGATTGAAAATATTGGCTAAAACTGAGAAGCTCAAAAATAACCAAGTTTTGGTTTCAGCCAGGATTTTCAGATGGAATTTGGTAATTCTGAAAATCGATTACGAGCTCATTTTGAAGAAATGTTCAGGAGCTACAAAATGAGCTCCAACTTGATTTTTGAAAATTTCAAATTTTGGCTGAAAATGGGGGTTGAAACTGTGAACCTCAAAAAATATCAAGTTTCGGTTTCAGACTGGATTTTCAGCTAGAAACTGAAATTTTAAAAATTCATGTTTGAGCTCATTTTGTAGAGATTTTCAAGAGCTACAAAATGAGTCTAAACAAGATTTTTGAAAATACCAAATTTTGCTTGAAAATCCTGGCTGAAAAATTGAGCTTCTGAGGATTTTGCAGCTAGAAACTGAAATTTTCGAAATTCATGTTTAGTCTCATTTTGAAGCGCTCAAAATTCGCCAAAAAACTCACTTAACAGTCGAATTCAGGCTGGAAATTACAGCCAAATTGTGTCGATCAACACTTGCCAATCCACAAATCATTCCACTATTTTCCGTCTCATTCCAGTCGATTTGAGCCAAAATTGTGGAGCGAAACGGGTCCCAGATCTGCAAGAAAAATGCTCATTTTTCACCGTTTTTGGCTCAAAATGGCTCATTTTTCGCGCCAAAACCCCAGATTTTCTCACATGTAAACATCCATCCGTTGACGCAATCAAATTATCGGCCAAAATCGCAACATCGAGCACACTTTTCGTATGATTTCGATATGTGGATTGACATTCAACCGATTCTTTTTCCGGTTTTATCGACCACAATTTGACGGTTCGATCGGAGCTCGCCGAGCAAAATGAATTTTCGTTGGAAATTGCGGCGAGTTTGCGGATTTTTTCGGAATTGTGACCGTTGAACGTGCACAGGGTGAGGTGGTCGAAGCGATCGGTGCTGAAAATTCGCCAGAGAAATTTGGAGCATTTTGACACCAAATGAGGCTGGAAAATTTTTGGGGGAAGATTTCATGTTGAAAATTTTCAGCCAATAATAAATTCTGTAAATTTTCCAAGAGCTACAAAATGAGCCTGTAACCAACCTTGCTCCACAAACCGCCGCCGATATTTTCGCACACCAAGCCTGGTTCAAATTGCCGCCAGTCGTCTCGATTCCCCCAAAAATCGGTGTGAAATTGGACGGTGAATTGAGGCTGGAACTTAGGCTAAATAGCCGATTTCCACCGGATAAATTGGATGAGAATGAGGAGGGAGATGGCTGGAAATTGGCTGAAATTGGTGCTAGATTCGAGGTGGAATTCGGATTTGAAGTGGAGACAAATGGTATGAGAAATGATGGATCCGGGCAGAATTGCGATAGAAATGGCACACTCCAAACATCGGTGAATTTGTCGATGATTTGTCGGACCATAGAGATTGGAATCGGGTAGAGATTCTAGAAATTCAGTTTCAGCTAAATTTGGAAAATTCTGAAATTGAGTTTAGACTCATTTTGTAGAGCATTTCAAGGGGTTTCAGATGAGCTCAAATTCAACTTTTGGCTGAAAATCCTCCCAGAAAAAACTCACATTTTCCCCGGATTTCTGCGAAATCTGCAATTCCTCATTGGTTTCATATAATTCCGCAAAAGTTTCGAACAATTTTTTGAATGGTTGACTTGCATAAATTCGCGTATTTTCAGTGCCAATTCTTTGCGAGACGAAAAACAGAATTTGGAGGAATTTGCAGAAAATCAAATTTCGCGTCTGATTTGTGGAGAATGGAATTGAGGTGTCCAGAATTAGTGATAATATTGGATTGAGGATTTTTTGAATTATATATTCCTGGAAAAAATTTGAAGGTTACTGTGGCTACAGTAATCTTTCTGGAAAACTGCTGCGAATGAAATAAATAAATTAGCAGACCATTTGGTCTGCTTCACAGCATATTAGAAAAAAGTAGCAGACCATATGGTCTGCTGTTTTTAGAGTGAGAAAAATAAAAAAGCAGACCATATGGTCTGCTCAAAAACGTGGTTTTTTCGCGCCAAATCGCTACAGTAACCCAAAGCATATTTGATCTCAAAAAATCCCCAAATTCTCACCTCCAAATACGTCATCAACAGATTATCAGTCATTCCACGAATCGAGACCTCAACAATCCGGAAAATCGACAAAATTCCCGTCTCAAATCGCGAGCCCATCGTTGCTCGTTTATTGATTTTCTGCTCAATCAAATCGATACAAAATGGCAAATATTGTACAGTAATAAATGTGACACTCCAAGTTAGCACAATTTCCATCAAAATCGATTCGATTCTTGCCGAAATTTGATCACCTTTTAGAGTTAGGCTAAATACTTTGAGGTCGGAATTTTGCGGAGATTCCAAATCTTCGGAAAAACACGAAGCCAAAATTCGAAGCAAATTTGAGCTGATAAATTTGGCACAAATAATTGGACCATATCTTTTTGCCAGCCAAACTATACTTTCTTTTGCAACAATCGATCGATCTTCGTTTTCTGATGCACAAGCTTCGATTATTGGAGGAATAAAAAGATCGACAAATTTTCGAGAACCGTAGCAAATTGAGACGGAGAGAAGGAATCGGCGATCGAGAAGCTGCAAATTTCCAGACCGGATTTTCAGCAAGCTCTTAAAATTCCCTTCAAAATGATTCCAAACACCCACCTTAACCGATGTATCCGATTGTATCAGCTCAATCATCGGACGAATCAGATCTTCCAAAGCTTCCTGGCTCAAACATCTTGTTATAACCGGCATTAATTTATGTACAGCTTGAATGCACGCTTCTTCGTCTTCGAGCATATTTTGAAACGCGGTGACGACACAAAATTCGAGAAAATGACATTTTCGGATTGATTTTTTGAGAAAATCCACTTCTTTTAGTAGGACTACTTGCGATCTTTTGGCTGAAAAAGAATTCCAAGAGAAATAAACTCAAGAAATCAACTCACAAAACTTTTCGGTATAATATTTCCTCAATTTATGATACGCTTGAAATTGCATAAAAATCGCATGAAAATCCAAAATCTTCGCTGGAATATTCAACAAAATCCTGGCGAAAAATGCAAATTTCTCGGGTTCCACGTGGATTTCTTGCTCGCCAATCAAAAATAGATCAAAAAATTGTCGATAATTCGCAGGTATACGGTAGGCGTGCATTTTCACAGCATTTTTCAAATTGTCGTCAAAAATCGGGGGTATTGTGAGTCGAGCGATTAATTCCACAATTTGAATCATCATCTTTTTTTGAGACTTCTATAAGGAGTACTGTAGCAAAGAGAACTTCAAAACTATTTTTAAATTCTCACATTTTCGCTTCGAGACCTGGCTGACTTATAAATCTCATATAAACTATTTTCATCGATTTCTGGTGTCGTGTCATTTCCAGAGGCGCGTTGGAAAATTCCAGTTTCGATAATTCGCTGATTTTCTTCTTCAGGGGAGCTCTGAAATTTCCAAGCTCATTTAGTAGCAAATTTCAAGCTCTCACATATTTCTCTGGATTCCTTTGCGGATGCGATCTCTCAAAAAGCTGAACCATTCCAAAAGTCCTCAATCCTCGCCGATGTTTTTCCACATAACAAAGATGTCGATTTAGTGCCGCGACACTTTTTTCGTCCGCCAAAAGTACACCGAAAACCAAATCAATCCATTTGTGCAAATTCGACGAAACTTCTTCGGATTCCAGAATTTGGCGATGATATTTTATGAAATCCGATGGATTTTTGATGAAATCCGGGAGTTTGAGATCAGCCATATCGGGGTGAATTGATTCTGCAACATTTTTTTGAGTTTTTTGGCGCGGAAAATCCAAATTTTTGAGACCAAACAAGCCTATCGCTAAACAGCAGACCATATGGTCTGCTAGTTTATTTCTATACTCTCGCCAAACATCAAAAAAATCCCACTAAAAATTGCTGGATCCTCAAAAAATTCCGGAATACATTCGTCAGGCGTCCATTGATAAATTCGTTGAATCGAACTCGGATATTCTTCAGGAACCCATTTCCGTCTCACATATTTACACAAATTCGATTTTGGCTCAATTCTTGCACGATACGACATATATCCGATGTCTGAGAGAAGTTCGGGAACATGATGCGAGGGCTCGCGCGAGAACATTTCTCTGCAAAAAAATTTCACATTTTCCAATTTTTTTCTCTCAAACTATACAAAATTCCTGATCTCAAAAAAAATCAACTTCTCCCAAATCCCATCATTTTTTTGTTCCCCATGACCTTCTGTTCGAAAAACACATGTTATACCTCTCAAAACTCGGCGGGGGCTATAAAAACAAAAAGCAAAAGCTCAAAAATTTTCAGACATGAAACTCCTCATATTTTTGCTGGTTTTAGTCCCTCTGAGTTTTTGCGTTGTGGGTCCAATTACCGATTATGATGGTGAGACCAGAGAACAGAATCCAGTATATTGCTACGAAGTTGGAAGAAGAGAGTATCGTCAGAATATCAAAGGACACACCAATGAAACATTGAAAAAAATCGAGAAAACTGTGAAGGTAAGGATAGAGTTAAAGCCTCCCAACCTTCAAAATTTCCAGGATTGCATCTCAAGAGTTGCATTGAAAAACGAAAAAGTTGCCAAAGTACAAGACGAATTATCAGCAAAACTCTACAAAATGCTTATTATAAGAAGCGTCGAATTTCCAACTTGTAACAAAAAACTGCGAGAAATCACCAAAGACACGGAATGTTATGCAAAAACACAGATGGGATTTGATGAATGTGCTAAATATTTGGGTTTGGGTGGATGTATGATTCCATATCAAAGACAATATTGTGGTGATGAATATTTGAGAAATCTTCAAGAAATGGCCATATTTTGGAATAAGAGTTTGCATTATTCATGTATGCAAGAGTTTTTGAAGCAAAAATTTGAATAAATGTTTTTTTATTTTCTTGAAACTTGTCTGATAGAAAAAGCAAGCAGACCATTTGGTCTGCTGTAAAGAGAACGAACAAAAATTAACTAGCAGACCATATGGTCTGCTGCTTAGCGAGCGAGGAAAATAAAGCAGACCATTTGGTCTGCTGTTGTTTAGAGAGCGCAGAGAAATAAAGTAGCAGACCATATGGTCTGCTTGTTGTACTTTTGTTCTCTTGCTGATTCTTGGCCTTTTTACTTTACAGCACAATTTCAGCAAACCACATGACAGCCGCAAGTTTCAGTTTCAGTTTCAGACTTTAAACAAGTTCCCCCCTCAAAAATCACCTCATTCTTCAAAATGAAGATCCTATGCTTGCTGCTCCTATGTGGATTAGCAATTTCTCAAAAACTTGAGACACTTTCCGCATATCAAGGCGTGACGAATCCGGAGAACTGTTATCGTGCTGGATGGAATAAAGTGGCCAAACTGAGAATCTATACACAACAAGAACTGGATGATGTTAAGACCGCAGTTAAGGTAACTAACTTTCCAGGAAAAATTTTTCCCACAGTCCCAGCTTTCAGACGTGCATTGGTCAGCAAGCTCTAGTTAACCCAAAAATCGAGGCGGTGAAAGAGAAACTAATCGAAAAAATCTACGAAGGAATCCATTTCCGAGCTGTCAAAACTCCCGAATGTTATCAAAAAATGATAGCTGATGGTTTGAAGAACACCGAATGTTGGAAGAAAGGAATAGATCCTGAAGATCGTTGTAGCAAGGATTTCGGAACTAAATCATGTCGAATTCAATATATGAATGAGAGTTGTGGAAAACAGTATTTTGAGGATTACAAGGAGCTTATTCGATTCGTTGATAAGAAACCTCTTCATCCATGTGTCGTCACAGTTCTTAGATATGGTCAATTAAAAGCGAGCTAGATAGATAAATCTTTAGGAATCCTGATTTTCCCCCAATTTAGACATAAACTTTAAATTTTAGTATAAAGCGAGAAATTCAGGATTTCTGTGTGTAATTTCAATTTTTAATTTCAATAAAGCATTCAAAACCCCCCACGTTTTTCCACATCACAAACATTTCCACGAGTGTTTTTTTTTTCAAAAAAAAAATAAAAATAAAAACAGAACAACGAGACTCCGCAATTCCGTTGCATTTTTGTGTATTTCTCTCGGACAAGTTTCGAAATTTTTCGTTTTCCGGCGTTTTTTGTGATTTTCAAGGAAAATCATGCTATTTGGTTGAAATGCAGTGAAAATTCACTTTTCCCGGATAGAACAGGCTGCAAATTCTCGAAATTTCAACAAAAATCCATCTCCTGATCAAAATTCCACTGAAAAATCAAAGATTTCTCAACTAACTATACAATGTTGTTTTGTTCTTCCCAAATGTTTTATAGATTTGACCTCGTCTCTTTGGTTTATCTCTTCTCTTTCCAATTTCCAACCAACTGTTTGCAATATCAAGCCAAATTTCAGAATTCACTCATTCGTTCATTTGCGGAGAGAAAATGCTATCAACTTTCTGGATATTCTCTATCATTTTTTTGAATTTCGCAATTTGTGAGGAGAAATTTGGAAAATTGAGTGATTATCAAGGCGATACTCGCGAGCAAAATCCAAGGGAATGTGTTGAAAGAGTTCTCAAGGAGGAAAAAAGTCTAGATGAGGCTAACGAATCAATTAAGGTGAGTAATCAAGGCTCCCCAAGCAAAAAATAAAGTAGCAGACCATATGGTCTGCCTGCTGTTCAGAAAGCGACAAAAATTAACTAGCAGACCAGTTGGTCTTCTTTTTTTATGAATGCCTAAAAATCAAATACTTCCAGACGTGCATCATCACAATGTCCCAAGTGAATTCCAAAATCACGCCAAACATCCAATCAAAACTCATCGAAAACCTGCAAAACTACTACAAACTCATAAAAATCTCGCGTCCTGACTGCAATTCTCAACTCAAAAAGCATTTTCCAGCCGATAAATGCGTCAAATCATCGACAAACTTCAAAGCCGGCGATTATTTTTGCAACGAAATTTGGGGAAAAGATGGATGTGTGATTGATAAATTGGAGAAATATTGTGGTTTTGATTATTCGCAAGATGTTTATAATATTTTTGCATTTTTGAATGGCAAAGAAATGGAGTGTATTGAAACTTTCTATCCATCTGATGATAGTTAGGCTAACTTTGTGCAATTTTGAGCATTTTCAATAAATTTATTTGAGAGAAAAAAGTGTCTATCAATATTTTCCCATATATAAAACCAAAAATTCTTCAATTTTTTATATTTCCATTATCAAACATGATACTTCAATACATGTTTTTAATAATCTTTCTCCTTCCAACCCAAATTCTCTCCTCAAAAATGCGATTCAACACAACATTCCACTGCAATCTCAACATTTTCGCAAGATCTCCAAGTTTCTCCATAAGTTTCCGGGATAAGGATAAATATAGTGCGGCCGATCCGATAACCTATATTTTTTACCGAATGTTTGAGACCAACAAATTTCACGAGGTTTTCGATGGTGCAATTCATAATGATGAATTTGGCTCGAAAAACTATTGGATTTATATGTGGCTTAGACATGATTGTTTCAACGATGGAAAGTTTCAAAGATTTTACATTGGATTGAGTGAACCTTGCCCTCTTGATAAAAATTGTCATTATGACATCAATCTTGATTTAACTAATTATATTAACAAACCTTGGGGTTATTTGGTTAAGAACAGTTATTTTTATTGAAAAAATAAAAAATCAAATCAAATTTCCGTTTCTTTTCAACAAAATTTTCATCATTTTTTAGATGACTCTCACAATAACAAAAAAATTCAAATAAAAGCGTCTCCCTTTCATAAATATGTCACAAACATGAAATTTCTCATTGTTTTCCTTTCTACTTTTTTATTAGTCTCCTCGACTGATATCAAATTCTTGGACGATTATCCAGAAGCTCTCAATTGCTTTTACAATGCTCCAAAACAAAAAGACAGGTTGCCACTTTCTCAAGAAATCTTGGAAGTTGGCAAAAAACGCATAGCTGATTGTATTGACAATTTTGCAAAATCAGACAGCAAAGTTGGACAAATTCAACAAGAACTGACTTCCATCTTTTTGCAAGCCTATGAATTCAAACAAGTTGATGAATATGTTTGCGGAGCGAAAGTTAAGAGTCTGCCAGTTTCCGAATGTTTTGAATCAACTGGAATGAAACCTGGCGACAATTTTTGTAACGAAGTTATTGGGAAAGATGGTTGTATGCTTCCAGTATTCGAGGAGACGTGTGGAAGTGAATTCGTCGCAAAACTACGCAATCTAATTTCACATGATAGACGATATCATGTATGTCTTGATTGATCAATAAACATTTTCTCATCCAAAAATAAAAAATAGTCTGATATTCATTCCCATGTATAAAAAACATCAATCTTCTGATTTTTCTTCATAAAACATGTTGTTTCTATACATTTTCCTCCTATCAATTTTGCCCCTCTCAATAATCCTCGGTGATTCAAAATTCCGATTCAACACAACATTCTACTGTCATCTCGATCAATATTCAAAATTCGCAATAGATTTCAAAGACCGTGACAAGTTCAGTCGAGACGATAAAATAACCGAAAAATACAAACGGGAATTCGAATATGGTCATTTCCATGAGATTTTTCACGGTATAATGTATGGTGGTGATGAAATTGGTTCGAATGAATATAAAGTTGTTATGAAATTGAAACATAATTGTTTCAATGATGCAAGATTTAAAATATTTTATATCAATTTAGATGAACCTTGTCCAGAGGATAAAAATTGTCATTATGACATCATTATTGATTTAACAAACTATGTTAGTACACCTTGGGGTTATTGGGTTGAAAACTTTTATTTGTATTGAAAAAAAATCAAATAAAAATTTCTTGATGTTCCTTCCAACAAAATTTTCATCAAAAAATGATTCACAATGACAAAATTTCAAATAAAAGTGCCTGGCTATTCATAAAAGTTCCAAAAACATGCGATTCTTAATTTTCTTAACATTTCTATGTTCCTATGCCTTCTCAACTGATATCGGATTCATAGAAGATCACCCAAAAGCTCTAAATTGCTTTCACAATGCTCCAAGACAAAAAGACAGGTTTCCACTTTTTCGAAAAATCTTGGAAAATGGCAAAAGATTCATAATTGATTGTATAGAGAATGTTGCAAAATCAGACAGCGAAAAGCAGAAAATCAAGAAAGAAATAACATCTGTCCTATTGCAAACTTACGAGTTCGCACAAGTCGATCAAGAAACCGTGACAGCTCGCTAAATTGTGTAGAAATATAATTTAGCAAGTCTAGAAACATAAATACATCAATGACACGTTAGAATGACTCATTATCAACAATTTTCCCCATAAAAGCGTCCATAATTCATAATTTCTCAAAAATGATTCTTCTCTTCCTGATTCCCCTAGTTTTTTCCGCTAATTTGGGCTACTTCGAAGATTATCCAACAATCCATAATTGTTTATACGATGCTCCAAAACAATCGCATTCCTATTTATATCCTCTCCCATATGAACAATTAGAATATGGTAAACAAATGATAACAGATTGTATCGCAAATATCACAAGTTCCCAAAAATCATTAGAAGATGTTCAAGATGCGCTAACTTCAGCAATCTTGGAAGCATATGAGTTCAAACAAGTCGATCAATATATTTGTGAGAACATGATCAAGAAGCATGAAATTACGGAATGTTATAAATCAAGCGGTTTGAAAAGCGGTGATGATTATTGTAATGATCAATGGGGAAAGGATGGATGTTTGATTGAGATCTTCCGTGAGATCTGTGGAGAGGAATATCTTCAGAAGATGAGGAATCTAAATTCATTCGCTTCAAAAAAATATGATGACTGTGTTCAAAAATATTTCAAAAACTTGGAATAAAATTGTTTTGTTTTGCTTCACAAACTAATTTCTGTCAAGCGTTTTCAGATTCCTCAATTTCAGAAAAATCATAAATTTTCTGATGAAAACGTCCCATAACACATGTTCTTCTAGAACACAACATATGTTTCAAAAGTTTCAGCTTTTCTCATTCATTTCTCAACAAAAATGAAAATGAAGCTATTGATTCTATGTATCCCGTTAGTATTATCTACAACCATTTATGAATATCAAGATGGCAAAACAGCTCCAATAATGTGTTACTACGGTGCTAACAAAGTAACAAAAGAACAACTTGAAGCTCGATCAATAGTTCATATGACCACGACAGTGCTGGATCCCGAAATAGTGAAGATGGCTCTCCAATACATCAAAGAATGTATTCACGAAATGTCGAAAGTCAACGAAAAAGTTCGAGTGGACGAAGATCTCCTCGTCAAATTAATCTCGACAAAATTCGAAGTGTACAATGTTCTTAAGGCGAAATGTGAACCAAAAATGGAGGAGATCAAGAAATCGGAAACCGAATGCTATAAAACGACTCTACCTGGTGTAGCATTTTGTATAGAACTATGGGGAAAGGATGATTGTATGAAGAAGTTTTATGCGGAAAAGTGTGGAGAGGATTATGTTCAGAAGCTGTGGGATGAATATGTGTTTTTCTCAAGAGGCGATTGTAAAAGCCTTGGTTATAGTCATTGATTTTCTGCTTTTACATTATTCAATAAATCATTTATCTAGAAAACATTTTGTGAAAAGACAAAAATAACTCTGAAATTCCAATTTTGTATCAAAAAAGGAAGTTCAAAATTTCAGAAATTCTCCAAACTTTTCGAGGTCACATCTGAAACTCTCTCAAAAAAAAGAAAAGAAAAACAGCTGCTGAAAATCACAACAAAAACGACATAGGTGAGAGTGAGACAGTAAATGGAGACGCAGACAAAAAAGGGGCAAGAGAGTGTGTCACGTGAAGAGTTGCAGACGTTGAAATTTGATAAAAATGTCAACCCTCCTGATATTTATGTTGTGCATAGCTTATGGTTTACTTTAAAAATAAAATAGAAAAAAACATTGCTCATATTATATTTCGTTGGAGCGCGCATGCTTCCTCTAATTGAAAATTCAGAAAATTTTTTCATAATAGCGCACTTGCTCATTTTGCTTTGAAAATGTTTTAATTTTCCTGATTTTTTGGTCCAAAAACAATATTTTCTCATTAGAGCGCGTTTGCCCATCCAACTTCCAAAAATTCTCGAATTTTCATAAATTTTAGCCTAGATTTCATGAAAAATCAAAATTTTCTCATTAGAGCGCGTTTTCTCCCGCCCGAAACCTTCCCCGAGTTAAACTAACTTCAACTGATCGTCTCCTTTATTCAATCGATATTTGGTTCGATTCAGCGGCCGAAAATTTCCACAAAAATCGGTGACCCATGGGAAAATCGGATGATTGTGCACTGAAAATGGCAAATTTTCAGATTTCCCGACCAAAATTGCCTATGACGTGGCAAGCTCACCTTCTCCTCGAACTCTTCCAGCTTTCTGGTTCAAAATGTGCAAATATTCAAAATTCGAAATTTCGCGCCGAATCCATTTCCACTGAATCTCTTCCAAGCTCAAATTTTCAGCATTTTCAGCTTCAGCTCTTCTCAAAAATTGTCCAAAAACATCAAATTCGATCCATAAATCGTCGGAAATGCGAAAATTTTCGATTCGAAAATCGGCCCAGATTCCACGTTGCAAAATTTGCGAGTAGATTTCTAGGAGACTGTGTGACAGGAAATTGAGGCGCTGAAAAACATGAGGAATTTCAAGTTGCGGCATGGTTTTGTGGGCGGGGCTTCAGCAATTTTGCGGCACGATTTTTTGAACCTACCTGTAGATCAAAATTCGGCAAATTACTGTACGAATACCGTATCAGGGTCTCGAGTGGAACATGTTCATTTTTCCTACTGTAGACCGCGAAAATTCCCGAATTTCGTTCAAAAATCGCCACGGGAAGCAGAAAATGTGGAATTATTTGAATCGCGTGAAAAATTTCGGTGTTTTTCTGAAAATTTTTGGAATTTTGGGGGAAATTGAGCCTAGAACTCACGTGGAAAGTTGAGATTTTCAAATTTTCAGCCAATTTCCAAATTTTTTCGGTGTTGTCTTCTTGTGCAGTTAGCTGAACTATTCGAAAATTTGGCGAATTTTCGGGATTTTCGCGCACGTTTTGGAACTCTGCCAAATTCCACGGCATTTTGCTGGAATAAATTAAAAATCAATTTTTTGGGGGAAAAATATAAACAAATTTTGAAATATGAGAATTTCAAAGTAAATTTTTGGCGGGAAAAAAATATTTTAAAATTTTTTTGAAATAATTGGGCCTAGGTTCGAAATTTAGGCCTTAAAAATCTAAATTTTTCAAAAAGGCCCAAATTTCCAGCGAAATTTTCAGATTTTTTTTCAAAAAATCCAAATCTTTGTCTGAAATTGGACAAAAACACAGAAATCTATGAAAAATCCCAAATTTTCAGCCAAAACCTTGAAATTTTCAGATTTTCTCCAAAAAACCACCCAAAACCATACAAAATTCCCAAAAAACAAAAATTCCTCTCGTTCCAAATTTTATCTCTGCACTCTCTCACTCTCTCGCCCCATTTCATTCATTCATAAACAACTTCTTCTCTTCTCTCTTCACAAAAAAAAGCGAGAGAGTAGGAGAGTGGTTAGAGAAACGATTCATCAAGGGTTAGAGACGCAGAGTAGGGAGAGTAAGGTCTGGTCTATGTAGAAAAGCACGCCGTTTTCGAAAGGGAGAAGGTGAGAGTGAAGAGACGCAGAGACACATTTTGCGACGAAAATTCGTCTCTTTCTTTCTTTTCCTATATTATTATTATATGTTTCTTTCTTTCTTTTTTTTTTTATTTTATATTTTTTGGATTTTTAGATTTAAATTCTTTAAATCTCAACCCAATTTTCAGCCAAATTTCAATTTTTGCTGGGCAAATTTCCTTTTAAATGTCAACACCTCCCTTTGAGGAGGGACCATCTTCTGGTGAGTCATTTTTCGGGGCGGGAAAAAGCCTGGGGGGCCCCGGTGATTTCCCGCGGGAAACTGGGACATTTTTAGATGGGAGCTCACAATCCCTAGGGTTTTGCCGTACCAAATGATCGAAATTTCGCGTGGATTCTACAGCTAGTGATTTTGGCCACAAAAAATAACTTTTTAACCAAAAAACACTGGAATTTTTCCGGAAAAACCAAATGAAAGCAAAGTTTTTGCTCAAGAAATCACCAAAAGCCCGAAGAATCCAAGATTTAGCGCGAAAATTTTTAGTACGAAAAATCGGCGCGAAAATTGTGAATTTTTCAAGACCCAAGGCTCCATAGAGTACCTAGAGCTCAAAATTTCGAGGAAAATCGGATTTTGGGGGTGAAAATTGGGATTTTCTAGAGCCAGAGCCAGAAATCTTCGAATTTTTGGTGCAAATTGAACATTTTCTTACCAAGAATCGCTGAAAACTATAGGATTTCATAGAAAAATCGACGAAAATCAGTTAAGCCACAAATCCTAACCATTTTCCCGCCAAAACCTAGATTCAAAAATTCTATTTTCGCTTTTTTCACGAAAAGAAGATTATCTCGACGTCCTTGAAAAGTGCAAGTGACGAAATATTTGAAAATTGAGGAATTTTCTGTGTGGAACAGGTTCAGGAACAAAATCAGGCCAGGATAGGTTCGAAAATTGGAGCTTACTGGGAAATCCGATGAATCTAGCTCAAAAATGGCGAAAAACAAGGTCTAGAACCATTTTTCGATGAATTTTTGATAGAAAAAGCATAAATTCGAGGGTGAAAAATCCAAAAATCAAAATTGCAGGTCCTGGTGCACTACCCGAAGATCCGCCAGCTGGCGAACAAGCCGAACCAGTCGCCTCAACAACATCCGAACGTTTCGATCCACCCATCGAACCCAACGATGACGATGTTTTCGATGGAGAATTCGAGGTGAATTTCAGTTCAGATGAAGATGAAGAAGAGGAAGAATATGAAGAGGATTCCGATGATTCAGATTCAGATTCAGATGACGAAGAAGATGCTGTGATTCTTGAACGACTTGTTCGAAGCATTCTTTCACAGGATAGAAACGCTTCTTTGAAACCTGAAGATTTTCCGGATGCCGGAATTTGTTTAGAAATGGATCCGGATGAATCGGAAGATGAGGAAGATCTAGATCGAGAAATACCAAGACATCTCACGAAAAAATGGGCATTCAGAATGTAAGTTTACATAGTTTTTGGGTCCGAGAATCCCCCAATTTTTAAGGCTCGAATCTGAAGCCGAAAAAACGAGTCGTCAAAACGCGGTGCTTTCTCAACTCTGCTTTGTAACCAATTATCGAAGAGTCACCATCAGAAGTATGTTTCCGGATGGTTTTCAAAGAAATCTCGACTGTCAGCAGCCGTCGACATCAAGAGATTATCAAGAAAATCGAGAAGATGACGAAGGATCTGAGGAAGAGCGCGAGGAAGGCGATGCGGATAGTTCGGATGATGCGGAAAGTGGTGCGGAACATCGAGAGAATCGGCCGATGCGGAGGAGAATGGTACAACAACATTTGGAGAGAAATAACAGGATGTGAGTGCGATTTTTATAGCGGGAACATTGGAAAATCCGGGGGACTAGGTTTCTATAGTGAAAAACCTAGCCCCCTTTTGAAAAAATCGAGGGACTAGGTTTTGTTAAAGAAAAACTAGTCCCTCGCTTTTAAATCAACGATTTTTCATTGAAAAACCGAGGGTCTAGATTCTCCATCTCGGAAAACCTAGTCCCTCTTCAGAAAATACTGAGGGACTAGATTTTCCATCTCGGAAAACCTAGTCCCCCTTCAGAAAATGCCGAGGGACTAGTTTTTATACTCACAAAACCTAGTCCCTCTATACAAATTTCAGTCAAAAATCGAAATGTCTAGCCCAAAAATCACCCAAAATTTTGCCACGTCATAACCCACTTTCTTCCAGAGATGCACATAATCGAATACGAGAAATAGACAAAATCACAATAGATATGTTGAGAAATGCAATAGATGAAGCCAAAACATTTTCGCTAGATTGGCATTTATTCAGAAATTTGAAGCCTAGAAGTTATTATGAAATATCAGATGATTCGGATTCGGAAAAAGAAGATGAAGAAGAAGAGAAAGAAGTGGAAAATGTGGAGAAGGAGATGAAAATTAATGGATGTGTGAGTTACTAGGGCTAAACTAAGGACCTAAGCTTAACCAAAAAAATTCTGATTTTCAGCGATCACCAGTTCGAAAAATGCCAGTGGTAAATGGAGCCAAAAAACTTGTCAACGGACATCGCGAAACTTCCAAAAAAGAGGAAAGTTCTGAAGAAGAAGAAAGTTCGGAAGAAGAAGTAGAAGATGAAGAAGAGGAGGAAGATTCTGATGAGGAGGAGGATTTTCTGGAAAAACAGAAATCCGAAGAGCTGAAGTTGGATTTAGAGCGAATTGAGAGGCGAGAATTGCGACGGAGAGCTGGACTCGAAGAATATAATCGGGATTTCCAAGAGATTGAGGATGCGTTGATGGAACAGGGGAGGATTATATCGGAAAGGGTGAGCATTTTAAGGGGGGAATCTGAATTTGGACGGGAAATTCATGGAATTTGAAGAGCTCAAAATTCGGACGAAAAATAAGGGATAAGCCAAATTTTCTAGAAAAACTCACATTTTCGGCGTTTCCTAGGACATTTTGAATCAAAAATGAGTAGAAATTCACGTGTTCCAGATTTTTTCATTAAAAAAACGCGTGAACTATTTAGAAAAAATTTTAAAAAACATTTCGAAAATTTAGAACTATGTCTCCAGATGAAAATAAGGTTCATAGGACGTATATTCTCTCTAAAAATTTGAATTTCCTCTTTTCCTGCCTTGTTTTCAATAGAGCGCATATTCTCTCTAAAAATTTGAATTTCAATTCATACCACCTCATTATCAAAACAGCGCACTTGCTCATTTGAACCTAAATTTTAGGCTCCTAAACCCTAATGTAAGCCATTTAAAAAAACCTCCAAATTTCCAGATGATCAGCCAAATCAACACAATGACAGCGCTAAGCGAAGCCAACTTCCTTCGATATACTCAAGAATCTTCGAATTTCCTCGAAGAACTCGGATCTTCACATTTCCAAAGTCGGATTCGAATGAATTTGGATGATTTGGTAGCCGTTGAAGATGCTCGAATCGAACAAATGGTTAAAGATACTTTGGCTAGGAAAAGGAGAAATGTTTTACCGTTTCCTGGATATAAGGAGGAAAGGGCGGGAAGTTATCGGAGAATTGTAGAGGAACCGGATTCAGAGGAGGATTCTGATGAGGAGGAAGAAGAAGAGGAAGAAGTTCAGGAAACTTCGGATGAAGAAGAAGAGGAAGATCTAGAAGACGAAGATCAAGAATCAGAATCAGAAGATGAAGATCCTGAAGAAGAAACGCCGATCAATAAACATATCCGTAGAGAACTGGAATATAGACATCATCGCCATCGAATCGCCGATTTCCAACAACCCGGTCCATCGCGTCGAGACTACACCGGCTGGCAATTCCGCACCTTCCACGACACCTTCGAGGAGCGTCGCAGATACCGCGCGGCAAACCCGCAAGCTCAGCCAAACACCCGAGCCTCCACAGGGTTTAGTGTGTATGGAACGAGAAGTAGCTCGAATTTAGCTCCGCAACCTCCGCAACCAAGGTACGATGAGGAATTGTATGAGAATGAGTTGATGAATATGGCGATGGCACAGACGCAAGCGCAAGGTTCACCGTTTGGTGGGTATCAGAGTCCGGTGAATGGTGCACGGGGAACACCGAGAAGCCCGCTGGTGCATAGCTCGAGTAGCTCGCAATTATCCACCCTTGGCGCGTCTTCTTCAACAGTGGTGAATCATGTGAATCCGATGACAAATCATATTTCGTCACCGCGACCGCAAAGATCTACACCGAATCATCTACCGAATGGACATCATCATATTCAATCGCCACCACCAACAACAACAACAAACATCACACCAAAACAGCGAAGTGAAACGCCGGTGATGAGCACGAGAAGTTTGAGAAAGGAGGAATTGTTGAAGGAGAAAGAGGAGAAGAAGGAGAATTTGGTGGAGATTTCGGCTAACTCGAGTCAGCAGCAGAATTCGAAACAGAAACAGAAGGAAGACAAGGAGAAGGAGAAGAGTAAACCGGAGAAGAAACAGGATGAAAATGAGAAAATCGAATCGGAGGATGAGGTAGGGGATTTTGGCTAAAATTTGAAACCTGGAAAACCAAAACACATATTGGTGGACGAAAAACCAAAAACATCTGCCTAGAAAGCGATTTGGTGGCCTAGAAAACCAAATTTAAGATTCTGATGGCCTAGAATACTGAATATATGCTTTCAGAGGCCTAAGAACCCAAATACAAGCTTCCGAAGATCTAGAAACTCGAAAAAATCACATTTTACTAGCCCAGCATCTGAAAAAACTCTTAAGCTCAGGGTTATTTTCTAGGGAACTCCCTGAGTTTTCCTTTTCTAGCCTGAAAAGACGATCCCAAACCAAAAAATACTACTAATTTTACAGTCAACCACCGAAAATCACGACACCTCAACAACAACATCAGCCTCCTCAGCCGCCAGAATGCAAAGAAAAAAGAAACTGGCATCGTCAACTGCTTCTACCTCGAATATTCCCGAAAAGAAGAGCAAAAAAGTGGATGATGATCAGCCGATGAAAGCGCAATCGAAACGAACGAGAATTTTGAACAACTCGAAATCGAAAGCCAATGATGAACCGACTTATTGTGTTTGTAGTCGGGTTAGTGATTTTGGGATGGGAAATTAGGGGAAAATGTAGGAAATGCTGCTAGGTTTCACTAATTTACACATTTTTAACATGAAAAATACAGAAAAGAAAAGCCGGGTTTCTCAAATTTTCTCCGCAAAATCTTTGAAATTTCTCGTTACCTCCTATTTTTCTAATGAAAATCTATCAATTCTGCAAATTTTCAACTTTTCTCACTCTTCTAAACATCGAAAACCCCGAAAAAGTGCAGAAAACAAAAAAAAGAAAAAAAGTCAAAAAATAGTACAGTTGAAAATTTTGAAGGCGCACACATGTTTGTATTTGGGTCTTGTAGCGATGTGAATTTAAAAATATATTTTTTTCTTTTTTTCGCAAAAACACAGTGTCCACAAAACGACGTTTCTGCGTCTCTTTTCGAAAAATCTCTCGTTTCGGTAGAGCGCGTTTGCTCGTTTGTCTTTTTTCAATGGAAAAATCGAATTTTTTGCCGATTTTTCAACTTTTTCTTGTTTTTACTCATTGTCATTGTTGTTTTTGCAAATTTTAATGAACGATTTCTTATTCTATGAATATCAGAGAACATTTTCATGTATAGATTGTTTCATGAAGTAACGCCATAATGCCGTTCAAAAATTTTAAAGATTTTTGTTCGTTTTTCAGGTTTTTTTGGGTGTCACCAAAAAGTGAAGAATACTCATTTTTCGAACTTTTTGGAATACGAGGACCACATTTGGGATGAAATGGGATATATTTGGACCACTTCTAACGACGACAGATTTATTTTCATATGAATCGATAGATGTTACCAGTGGTGCTGTTGAACTGTGGTCTGATGCTTGTTTGGATATAAAATGATTCGATTATGATGGGAGAGAAGCAAATTAAGCTTTTCGTAGGTTTTTTGCTTCAGAAATTTCATAATAACGGTATTTATTACGGTATTATTGCAGGTTCACGCTGGTCATCGCTACTATTGGACATTTACTGGTTCAAAAAATATGTAACTGCTCGTGATATTTGATTTTTGACAAAATCGTAATCGGATTGGATGTATCTGATCGTAATTTCGAATCAACCACACATTTTTTCAATGAGGGACATTGCGCTAAACTCGCATTGGAGGATCTGGCTTTCCAACACCAAAATCAGGAAATTTGTTATTCAGAGTACTAGAGGACAGTGAAAATATCGAGAACACACATGAAAATCCACTTGACGATGTATATGTTGGTACTATGAAGAAAATAGCGGTCGTTGGAGATGGTTGTATATGTTTGATGGCTCAAAAGATGATCAATTGAGAGGAACTCATATTTTAACAGTAAAATCCGACTCTTCTCATTGCTAAATTCAAATTTTGGAGCTTGGTAGAGATTTCACGATGTTTTTTTCTGAAGTTGACAGGAAAAGTTGAGTTTGAATGGAAGAATGATGTTCCTTATTGGCCAAAATTATCGATTTGTGATATTCGGAGCTCTATAACTCAGCTAAGCAGTTCATTCGGATCCTGACAATCTTTTTGTTGTATATTTTCATATGGTCTTTCTGCTGATGTTAAGTTTCAGCCGGTTTTTCAAAATGTTTTTGTAAGACACGACTTTCTATTATTTATAAATAAAGATGTATTTAAATAGTTCGTTTTTTGTTACATAAAACTTTATCATTTAAATTTTTCACACTTGAATTCAGGTATTTCTTATTTTTTAATAAAAAAAAACGCTCAAATAAAAGTGTTTTGCTAATTGCAAGAATTTTTAGGTTCGAAACTTCTCATTCCTAGCATCAAATAAACTGGTATACTTTGATTCGCGTAGTTCCTGGCCTCTAGAAGTAAATTTAGCAAAAATTTGGTTAAATTTCAGCTAAAATACTTCATGAAAAACATATAAGTTTTTCTTTCGATTTTATAGCCTTCAAAATTTCAAAAATGAAACGAAATGTTATTTCTCTGCCTTCCTTTCATCCTCCTCTACTCGCTCATATACCATTTACCCGTGAATTTCTCGAATTTATTGAAAATTTTCGAAAAAATTCAAAAAAATTGAAAAAAAATGAGAGAGTGTTGTTTGCTGTAGAGACGCAGATAACGAGAGAGCGCACACACCTCGCGTCGTCCTGTGGATATTGTGAAAAAAACTATAATTTTTTTGCAGATCTCTTTCGGCGAAATGATTGGCTGCGACAACGAGAAATGCGAAATCGAATGGTTCCACTTCGAATGCGTCAATTTGTCAAATAAACCCAAAGGCAAATGGTTTTGTCCCGAATGCCGTCATCCGGATTTTGGAGCGAAATTGCCGAAAACCGCCACATGTCCGCCGCCAGCATCCACAACTATTTCAACTGTTAAAAAATAGAAAAGCAGCTTACTACTGAAAATAGCCAAAATGTTTAGAAATATTTGTTATTCGTTTTTGAGTGAGTATTTTTGGGGGTTTGGGAAGGTTTTTGGCGGGAAATGTTGGTGTTTGAGCTCAAAATGCTCCAAATTTCATGTTGATTCTGGAAATTATGGATTCCACGTGGAATTTGACGCATTTTGATATATCACATGAACAATATTGGGCTCGAAATGCCACGTGGCACCCAAAAACCCGCCAAATCTTCCCAAATCCCCCCATTTTCCCCCTCCCACGCTGGTCGTTTAGGATTTTCACTTTTTTCTTGTTGTACCCGACAATTTTCTAGTGCCTTTAAAAAATTAATTTCAGCTTCATTCATTTTTTTTTGCAAAAACCAAATTTTGTGCCATTTTCAGACCTCATTCATTTTTTCTCGAATTTACCCTAACTCGGTTGTGAATTTCTTATTTTTTCTGTAAAATTTCAATTTTTGTCGTATATTTTTGGTTATAATATGTATGTATTTACTTGGTAAATTTTGAGCATTTTTTTTTGAATTTAAAAACAGCATTTATGACAAGTTGAATATAGGCTTTTGAAGCCTGAAATTAAATTCAGGTCAAAATTTGAAAAATCGTGCTATTGGAAATTATTTCGCTGGGATGGATTTTGTGGCTGGAACTGCATTTAATTCCACAATTTGAATCATCATCTTTTTTTTGAGACTTCTATAAGGAGTACTGTAGCAAAGAGAACTTCAAAAATATTTAATTCTCACATTTTCGCTTCGAGATTTGGCTGACTTATAAATCTCATGTAAACTATTTTCATCGATTTCTGGTGACGTGTCATTTTCAGAGGAGCGTTGAAAAACTCCAGTTTCAATAATTCGCTGATTTTCTTCTTCAGGGGGAGCTCTGAAATTTCCAAATGCAAATTTCAAGCTCTAAAACCAGATTTCTCATATATTTCTCTGGATTTATTTAAAATTTCAAGTTTTTTGATCGAAAAATATCTCGTGGCTAAATTAGGAAGGCTTCCTAACTGTGCCATGGATGACGTCATCGATCAATTTTTGAAAAAAAAACTTATTTAATCTTTTTTTTTGCATAATTATAGACATGGCCGTCTCCAAACAGAAATTTCGGGTTGGAGACAAGACTTGAATTGAATTTTTATTTAGAATGTTATAAATTCACCGGCACATAAAAATAGTGAGATCAAAGGGAGAGAGAAAAAAAGGGGTAATTCACATGAAATCGAAAAATAAATAGGGTGAATAAAATAACTTCCCGACTTTTTCTCAATAATTTCATTTCTGGATGAACTTCTGAATTTTTACTTGTTCTTTGACACTGTTAAAAATTTTCTGTCAATTTTTAAGCCTAAAGCAACATTTCAAGTTTTTTGATAAAAAAATGACTCGTGGCAAAATTAGGAATGGTTCCTAATTTTGCCAAGGATGACGTCATCGATCAATAGGATTTTCTGGTTTCAATTTTTTTTTCAAATTAAAAAATTTTTTTTTTGGAAATTTTGAATTCCCGCCCAAATCAAAATTTTGATTTGGGCGGGAAAAGAATTTTTGAAAAAAAATTTTGAAAAAAAATTGAATTTTCATAAAAATAACGAATCAATCAAAGTCCACCCCAAGTTCTCTGCCCTCCTCTATAATTAAGTCAAGTCACACTTTTTTCGATTCCTAATATAATTTTCTTCGTGCCGTTTTGTGATTTGCTTCTATGTATTAAAAATGTCTTTCAGATGAATTGATTTCCTAACTCAACAAAAATGGAATTCATCCCTCAGCTCTACCTCTTCTTCCTCTGCATTCCCGCAATTCTCCTCTGCATCATCATTGCCTCAATAATCCTCAAAAAATACCTCAAATTCGGATCATTCTTCAAAATCTTCATCGTCTCCGGTATTCTAGACATTCTGCACGGTGCCATGTATTTATGGTGGCATTGGGTGCGCTTTTGCTATCCCAGTGAGCTCTACATTTTAACCGCGCATTTTTGCACATTTTTTGATCTACTCCTATGCATTGTTCATCTAGTTTATAACTTTTTAATGGGCTTGAATCGATTTAGCGCAACTTTTGTGAGCTATTCAACTTTCTGGACTTCAAAGTTGGTGACATTCTACCTAGCTATCGTATTTCTTATTTCAACTATTTCAAGTTACCCTATCTTCAAGGAAGATAAAGATATCATTTTGGAAAACGGGACTTTTATAATTCTAGAAAAACCCGGATTAATTCTACAGCGTATGATAGTTGCTGGATATGCGCTGATCTTTGAAACCCTTTCAGTTGTCCTAAGTATCCTCACAATTTATCGATTGAAAAACTTCAAAACAACTCAGGAGAAGAAATTGATTATTGTGACGTCATCACACACTTTCATCGCCCTGCTTTTCATATTATACGAAGCGTCGATGGTTCTCAAGTTCACTGATCCTCTCTCGATATTTCTGCATAACTATTTGACGGCTGTGGGATTTACAGTGCTATGTTTCAATTTTTATACGATTCTTGTGGCTGATTCGAGAATCAGGAAGGATTTTGTGGGCGTTTTGATGTTTTGGAAGAGGAGTCGCGGTGAGAAGATCAGTGCTGTGAATTCGAAAAATCGACATTGAAGGAGGTATGTGTGATCTTCCGCTTGTTATGACGTGGAATCTGGCGGAGGCTTGCGGTCTACACTCGCTCCGCTCGAAAAACGGGGATTTTTATGACGTGGATAACCTTGGTACAGCGTGAGAAACATACCTTCTATATATTTTTTTTCAAAATATCACACAAAAAAATTTAATTGTGGGAACATTCATACATCTATTATTTCAGAGTTCGAGATATTTTCCAGTTTCCACCTCACAAAATGTTCGAAATCTACATCTACTTCCTCTACACTCCCGCATTCTTATCAAACATCCTAATAGCCTCAATAATCCGCCAAAAATACCTCAAATCCGGCTCATTCTACCAGATCTTCTTGGTCTCCGGAGCACTGGATATTCTGCACTTGGCTCTTTATTTTTGGCTTCATTGGGTGAAGGATGTCTATACCGATCAGCTCTACATTGATACTGCGCATTTTTGCACATTTTGGGATATGTATTTGAGCATTTTGCATATTTTTTGCAATTTTTTGATGGCTCTTAATCGATTTAGCGCAACTTTTATGAATTTTGGGAAGGTGAGTGGCATTTTGAGTTAGAACTGCTTGAAAATACTGACAATATATCTAACCGCGACGCACACGCCTCGCATCCCAATCTCATCGGTACCGCGCGCTCCACCGAAATAAACACGCAACGCAGACCGCGTCGCGCCACAACACACACACAAATTTTCAAATTCCCTCCGTTTTTTGTGTGTGTGTTGTGGCGCGGCGCGGTCTGCGTTGCGTGTATATTTCGGTGGAGCGCGTGGTACCGATGAGATTTCCGATAATACACCACTTTTCTTGCAGTTCTGGACCTCTAAACTCATCAAAATCTACCTAACCACAATATTTATCATCTCTACAATCTCTTCCTACCCAATTTTTGTTGAAGATAAAGAAATCACAATCACAGATGGAGTTATTAAAATTATTGAGAAACATGGATTAATAATCCAGCGTATAATAGTTGGAGGATACGCGATTGTATTCGAAGCCATTTCAGTTATCCTAACTATCATCACAATTTATCGCATCAGACATTTTGCGACTTCTCACGAAAAGAAATTGATTATTGTTACAACTACTCATAGCATCATCGCTTTTATTTTCATATTACACGAAGCTTCGACAGTGTTGAAGTTTACTGATCCAGTTTCTCAATTTCTTTATCACAATCTGACAAATGTTGCGTTCACAGTGTTATGCTTCAATTTTTTCACGATTCTTGTTGCTGATTCGAGAATACGGCTGGATTTTTGTGCGATTTTGGGATTTTGGAAAAAGCGGGGAAATGGAACAATCAGTAATGTTAATTCTAATACTCTTAATTAATAAATAAATGACTATTTTATAGTGTGTATGTACATGTATATGTATTCAGAGAATTCACTTTTCAGACAAAAAATTAAGAGTTGTGAGAACTCAAGCGTACTAGATTTTTTTTAAATCATCACAGTGCACTGGGCGAAAAATGCTCCAAATTTATCTCTATTTTCTCTACATTCCTGCGACACTTTTATCCATAATTATAGCATTCATCCTTCGAAAATATCTACGATTCGGCCCGTTCTACCAGATTTTTCTGGCCTCCGGGATCCTGGATATTCTACACTGTCTGATATATCTATGGCTCCATTGGGTGAAAATCTGTTATCCCAGTGTGCTCTACATTCATACCGCCCATTTTTGCACATTTTGGGATTTGCATTTTACAATCACTCATTTTGTTTATAATTTTTGTATGGCCGCAAATCGATTTAGCGCAACTTTTTTGGGATTTTCGAAGGTATGACGTGGAAATTAAAATTTTTAATTTTTTAAGCAAGACAAAGTTGATTTTCCAACAATTTTTCAGTTCTGGACCCCTAATCTCACCAAAATCTATCTAATCTCAATATTCATAATTTCAACAATATCTTGCTATCCAATATTTTCAGAAGATAAAACAATTATTATAACTAATGGCTTAGTTACAATAATTGAAAAGCAGGGATTAATTATACAGCGTATAATAGTTGCTGTATATGGCATAATCTGTGAAACCTTCTCAATTATCCTAACTATAATTACAGTTTATCGATTAAGACATTTCAAAACTTTTTATGAGAGAAAATTGATAATTGTTACAACTTCGCATACCGCGCTATGCTTGATTTTCATAATTTATGAGATTGCAGCGGTTTTCAAATTCACCGATCCAATTTCTCAATTTATTTTGACTTATCGAACAATTATTGCGTATTTTTACATGTGTTTTAATTTTTATACAATTATGATTGCTGATTCGAGGATTCGACGAGATTTTTTGGCGGTGTTTTGGAAGAGAAGAGCGGGAAGAATCAACCATGTTCATTCTAACACTCTTAATTAATGAATAAATGATTAGTTAAGCTATAATGTTTATTTGAGCCAAAGAATATTTCAACTTATCACAAATATATGTTTTTGAAAAAATTAATTGGGAGAACTTATTCTATATTTTGTTTACTGGATTCAAAAATGGGAATGGGAACCTTAGGAGCTTTTTAAAGAACTTTAGGGTTCTCCAGGTGACTTTAGAAGGCGGTTAGAGACTTTATAATACCTCTGGATACCTCAGATTGTACCTAAAACCTTTGGCCAAAATATTTTGTAGGTTATATGTGACATCATTTTCCCAGGTTCTTTGGTTTCATAATTGCTTTAATTAAAATCAAAATTTCGCGATACATCCAAACCTGGAGTTCAGAGAACTTGGGAAAGCCCTCGAAAACTTTTGTAGATTGGCAGAATTTTCCCAAGTTTCTTTGGTCTCTCCAAAAAATACACCAATTATAGACCTCATTACGTATGTATATAAACAAAAAAGTCCTGAGAACATTCCACAGTTCATTTTCTCTCAAAAATGTGGATAACCTTTTATCTCTACTTCTACATCTTCTACATTCCATCAATAATGTTTTGTATCTTCATAAACTACATCATGCGAAAACATCTCAAATCCGGTGCATTCTTCTATATTTTCTTCGTCTCCGGTATTTGCGATATTTATCATTGCGCAATTTACATCTGGCTACACACCGTGATTTTGGCCTATCCTTGCTATCTTTTTGTGATTACTTCGCATTTTTTCTCGTTTTTTGATATGCATTTGTATATTATTCATATTTTGGTCAATTTTTTGATGGCGGTTAATCGATTTAGCGCAACTTTTTTGAGTTATTCAAAGGTTTGGGTGTTTTTCTTTGGGATTTATATTTGACCGACACGACATTTCTTGCAGTTCTGGACCCCGAAACTCGTCAACACATATCTAATCACAGTTCTACTTATCTCAACAATATCTTGTTATCCAATATTCATGGAAGATAAAGATATCATAATCACCGAAGAACGAGCATACGTCAAAGAAAAACATGGTTTATATGTGCAACGTATAATCGACGGGATTTACATCATAATCTTTGAATCAGCCACGATTTTCATCACTGTTTTGACGATTTATCGATTGAAGAATTTCAAGCCCGCACGGGAGAAGAAATTGATTATTGTGACTGCTGGACATTCGATGTTTGCGATGACTATTGAGTTCTATGAGATTGCCACGGTTTTTGGGTTCAGTGATCCGCTTTCAGAGTTTGTGGAGAATTATGTGAGTTTGAAAAGGAGGCAGGGTTTTACCGGTGAAATGTTTTAGTGGATGGCATTCTCCTACGCTCTTCTCTCCTGCAACTTCTACACAATTTTGTTCGCCGATTCGCGAATTCGAAAAGCAGTTTTTTCGTGTTCGATTTTCGAGCGAAAATCGACGATGATTTTCACAAGAACAAGTAATACGCTTTGAGTTTTTGTTTTGTTTTGAATAATATCTAGCAATCTCTAGGGAATTCATGATGATAAACATAATTTTTTATCATGAATTTATATATTTTCAAACTTCACTTTATTCAAATCACCTGTTTGACCAAAATACGTTTTTTCTTTGAATAAAAAGGTTGATTAGCTTGTCAGTTGTATGTATTCACGAGTTTAAAAAGTTCCTGATTACATTTCAAAAAAAAAATCCCAACCAGGAAATAAATGAATTTTGTTCCCCAACTTCTCATCTACTTATTCTATATCCCTGTAATACTTTCAAGTTGTATCATAGCCTTCATAATCTCTCAAAAATATCTACGATTCGGCCCATTCTATCAGATTTTCCTGGCCTCTGGGGTCCTGGATATTCTACACTGTGTGATCTATCTATGGCTTCATTGGGTAAAAGTTTGTTATCCCAGTCAACTCTACATCGATACCGCCCATTTTTGCACATTTTGGGATTTGCATTTTTCTGTCACTCATGTTTTGTATAATTTTTGGATGGCGGTTAATCGATTTAGCGCAACTTTCATGAATAGTGGAAAGGTAACAGCTATGACGTGGTATTTAAAGAGATTTATTTTTTTTTAAGTTTTGGACGGCTAAACTTACCAAAATATACCTATTCGTCCTTTTAATTATCTCAATGATATCTTCCTATCCAATTTTTGTTGAAGATAAAGATATCACAATAAAAGATGGAATTGTTACAATTATTCAAAAACAGGGATTAATTATACAGCGTATAATAGTTGCGGGATATGGAATAATCTTTGAAACCTTCTCAATTATCCTAACTATAATTACAGTTTATCGATTAAGACATTTCAAAACTTTTTATGAGAGAAAATTGATAATTGTTACAACTTCGCATACCGCGCTATGCTTGATTTTCATAATTTATGAAATTGCAGCGGTTTTCAAATTCACCGATCCAATTTCCCAGTTTATTCTGGCACATCGAACAATTCTTGCCTATTTTTTTCTATGCTCTAATTTTTATACAATTATGATTGCTGATTCGAGAATTCGACAAGATTTTCTGGCGGTGTTTTGGGGGAAGAAGAGTGAGAATCGGGTTTGCAACCAAGTTAGCATAAATATATAAAAATTTTAATGTATCTTGTACCCAAAGATTATTTTTATTTTCCCATAATTTTTTTTTTTTGAATTGAAAACAATAAATAATTACTCTATGATTATACTTACTTATAAATTGTGAGTACTAAAATCACTATTCAAAAATGTTGATAATCTTTCAACTCAACTTCTACATCTTCTACATTCCAACAATAATCCTATGCATTCTAACAACCCTAATCCTCCGAAAACACCTAAAATCCGGTGCATTTTTCTACATTTTCTTCGTCTCCGGAATTTGCGATATTTATCACTGCGCAATTTACATTTGGTTACACACCGTGAAATTGACTTATCCTAACTACCTCTATATTGTAACTTCGCATTTTTGCGCATTTTTTGATATGCACTTATATATTATTCATATTTTATGTAACTTTCTGATGGGTCTCAATAGATTTAGCGCAACTTTTATGAATTTTTCGAGGGTGAGTTATGACGTGGCAATCTTGGAAAGGTTTCTGATTGGTAATCAAGGGGTTTAAGGTTGCTATGTATTTAGAACAACTAACAATTAAAAATCTTAGTGATTATAGTTTAAAAGCTACAGTATAGATATATGTATTTGACCGCGACGCACACGCAGCGCGGTCTAAAACATCAACATTTCTTGCAGTTCTGGACGCCTGAATTAACCAAGATCTACCTGATCTCAATTTTAATTATATCTACAATATCATCCTACCCGGTTTTTCTGGAAGATAAGGATATCATAATAACCGAGGAAAAAGCCATAATTAAAGAAAAACATGGATTGTATGTGCAACGTATAATTGATGCGATTTATATCATAATCTTTGAATCAGCCACGATTTTCATCACTGTTTTGACGATTTATCGATTGAAGAATTTTGAGACTACTCACGAGAAGAAATTGATTATTGTGACTGCTGGACATTCGATGCTGGCTTCAGCTATTCTATTTTATGAGATTGCCACTGTGGCTGGGTTCAGTGATCCGGTTTCAACGTTTTTGGGGAGTTATGTGAGTTTTTTTTGGGGGGGGGGCAGGGACCTAGCTAGAAAAACCTAAAAATTTCCAGTGGATGGCAATTTCCTACGCCCTTCTCTCCTGCAACTTCTACACAATCCTAATCGCCGATTCTCGAATTCGCAAACAACTTTATTCCCGGATTTTCGGAAAAACTGCAAAAAATCCGGAGAATTCTATGATTTTCACCAGAACAACCACTTTGTAGCATACGTGACAAACTTGAGTTACACTTAGCCTAATTAATTTTGTTTACAAGTTTAGAAAATAACACACAGTAATGTTTGACACAGATAAATTTGACAAGCATAATTATACGGGGCTTTGGCCGTTTGAAGTAGAACTTAGGTGATCTCAAAATCAAAAACTATGGGTGGAGCTTGAGATCTCTCCTATAAAATAGCATAAGTATCAGTTCACCTGGACCTCGCGAGGCCTTAGGTCACTCTCTAGATGCCTCCTCCCATGTTCATAATCCTCTTGATCTTCTCAACCACCGCAGCTTCCGCAACAAGACTTCAGTGCCCATTTAAATTGGCTATCGGAGGAATTGTGAGAGATCGGAAATATTCACGGGAACTAGACTATAGTCTAGGCCGGGGGCCGTTAATTGTTGAAATTTTTTTGTAGTCTTTGTCGACCTTTTTTCGATTTTGAACAAATGAATAAGTTAATTTAAAGAATGCAGTGTCCAAAAACACAAGATAAGTAGAACATCAGGAGCATTAGGGGCAAAAAAGGGGCGGAGCCTATCGTGGGAAAAGCTGCAGCTGCTCCGCGAGAGAGTATGCAAATGTGAGAGAGTGCGAGGGGTGCTAACAAAATATGTTGATGAGCAGATGATGAGCAGGTGACAGTTTGATTGACAGCTTTGAACTTTAAAGATCATTATTCAAATTCCTGAGCATTATTCAAATTCCTGAGCATAGTTCAAATTCCTGATCAAAGAACCAATCGATGAATAGGCAGGTGGTGGTGAGAGAGTGTGTAGACTGTAGAGAGTGGGAAGACATGATGAGATGATGAAGAAAGGGAGAAGAGAAGATTGCGAAATATTGCAGATGTTCGAGAAGAAGGAAAAAAGTTTATCAAATTGAAGCATCGAGAGTTGGAGAAAAAAGTTGAAAAAAGTATCATCATGTATATATCAATAGAATCGTCTCAACATGAGGAATCTGAATATCATATTTAAAATATTCATACTTTCAAATTTTTTCCCGAAGAAATTTGAAACTTTGAATAATTTATAATTTATAACAATATGTATATCAAACGAATCGGATTCGAATAAAAAATAATTTTAACTAAGCCGGAATGTTTTAAAATAAATGTTTTAGTAAATCTACTGAAAGAAATGAATTTTAAAAAAATTTATAAAAAAATAAATAAATGTTTTAATTAATACACATGCAATAGAAATTGAAATAAATAACTTGTTTTTTTTCTGAAGAAGAATAAAATATTTAAAATATTCAAAGTTCCAAATTTTTCCAGATCAATTTCGCCAAAGTTTTTACAACGATATGGATATCAAAAAATCACGGAATGTTCGAACACAACTAGTTTCAACAACCAACATATGAGCCGCATAATAGAATTTTTAAATTTTATTCCGAGTTTTCGAAAAATGAAATAAAACCATTGTTTTTTCTGAATAGTGTATTTAAATTTTTGAACCATTTCAGGTCTTCTCAACAATAAAGAATTTGGAAATTCGAAAAAATTTAAATACATTCAAATAAAAATCTTTTTGGATATTCTTATTCCCACATTCGAAAATTGTATATTTCGTTTGTTAAACAAAGAATCAAATATGCCGCCGCCTATCAATCATTTTTTGGTTTTGAACCAAGGTGGCGGAGGTGACAACTCAATAGCGGAGAAAATGATGAATCGAATTTTTTTATTCAAATCGGATTCGAATTCAAATAAATTTGAATTCTTTTTGAGATAGTCAGTTATTTTTTCAAATACGTACAACTTATAACGAAAAAACAACAGTTTACTTTATCATCAATCAAAAGAATTTAAATAGATTACCTGACAAGTTAATAACCGAAATATAATATATCTAAAAAATGCTGCTCACCGTGACGTTAGATTTTATCTTTTTCGTAAACAGAGTAATTATAAACATATGGATGAACTATTATTATAAAAAATGCGCACTTATCAGGAGTATCTTAATATCATGGGCGTGGTCTAATACAGCAAATGTACTATTTAAGCGTAAGAAAATACCACATTCCATAGCCAAATGGATCTCTTGAGATATTTGGAGTCTCACGGTTTTAACACCAGACGTAATAGGGACTATTACCCTATTATGTTACACCTTGAGAATAATAACCTTCGAGGATACCTTCGACACACTGGGCGCGATATCGGCTCATTAAGAGTGTTCCCGGCGAGAGCCGGGAACACCTGGTTCCTGCACCAAGGAAATTACATTTCATTGGTAACCTACTACAGGTTAAGGTAAGTCTTTTCTTTTTGCAAAACTTTTTTTAATCCAAAAAATTTTTACAGATACAACATACGTATAAATGGGAATGAAATAGTTGTTTATCAGCCTGCTGATCCGGGGTGCTGGTATCCCGCCAGTATCGTAATTTTGGATGATTAATGCAACATCAACAGCAAGTTCAAGTTCAGCAACAACCATATTATCATTTGTTTTTCCATTTCGCAATCTTCTCTTCTCCCTTTCTTCATCATCTCATCATGTCTTCCCACTCTCTACAGTCTACACACTCTCTCACCACCACCTGCCTATTCATCGATTGGTTCTTTGATCAGGAATTTGAACTATGCTCAGGAATTTGAATAATGATCTTTAAAGTTCAAAGCTGTCAATCAAACTGTCACCTGCTCATCATCTGCTCATCAACATATTTTGTTAGCACCCCTCGCACTCTCTCACATTTGCATACTCTCTCGCGGAGCAGCTGCAGCTTTTCCCACGATAGGCTCCGCCCCTTTTTTGCCCCTAATGCTCCTGATGTTCTACTAAGATACAACAAATTTCTTTAAGTTAGATCTGCAGGCACTACCGTACTTCAGGATGTGCCTTTAAACGTGAAAGGCTATTATTTTTCGACTTGAATCACCCAAGAAAAAACACAGAAAATAAAGGAGAAACATTAAAGGGACACGTAATCGCTGCAAGACCAAACACGCAAAAAATAATTTCCCCTTTTATTACCGTTTGTCCCATGTGATCGACAATGTGACTTAATAGGCTTTTTAGCAGCCAACCCTATAATTTGAGCCGAATCAAAGTAGCAGGTATGATTATTTCGCATAACTTTACATTTCGAAAAATGCAACTAGTTCCTCAAGTATATCTCTACTTATTCTACATTCCCGGAATTATTTCAAGTATCCTTATAGCCTTCATAATCTCGAAAAAATATCTGAAATTCGGTGCATTCTTCAAAATCTTCCTGGTCTCTGGGATATTCGATATATTTCACAGTTTGCTGTACTTATGGCTCCATTGGGTAAGGTTTTGTTATCCCAGTGAGCTTTACATTCAAACTTCGCATTTCTGCACATTTTTCGATCTACTTTTCTGCATTCTCCATCTAGTTTATAACTTTTTAATGGCTCTCAATCGATTTAGCGCAACTTTTGTGAATTTTAATAAACTTTGGAGCTCCAAACTCGTTAAAATCTACCTAATTACCCTTCTAATTATCTCAATTATCTCTTGTTATCCAATTTTCGTCGAAAATGCAACAATTATAATTAATTCTGGGGTAATTACAATATATCAAAAGCAAGGATTAATTATAGAGCGTATGATAGTTGCGGGGTATGCAATAATCTTTGAAACTGTCTCAGTTATCCTAACTATCGCAACAATTTATCGATTGAAAAACTTCAAGACTTCTCATGAGAAGAAATTGATTATTGTGACGTCATCACATACTTTAGTCGCCTTCATATTTATATTATACGAAACTTCGATGATTTTCAAGTTTACTGATCCAATTAGTGTATTTGTGGCCAATTATCATACAACTATTGGCTATTTTTTCTTGTGTTTTAATTTTTATACAATTCTTGTTGCTGATTCGAGGATTCGACGGGATTTTTGGAGGATTTTGGTTTTTTGGCGAAAGAAAAAGATGGATATGAAAGTTAGTAATGTTAATTCGAATAATTTTCATTGAAAAATAAATTTTTTTTTGAAAATAATGATTGTGTTTGCTTTTTTATTCTAAAAATACCACGAAAACATTTTTCAGGTATAAAAATTAAAGGGATATACTTTAGGCACACAGCGAAAATATACATACTTGTGTAGTTCTTCCGCATTAATTTTTTTTCAGAAAAAATTATTTTCCATCAAAAACCCGTCCAAAAACCGGCCCAAAAAAACTCACCAAAAATCCACGAATATCCAAAATCCATCAATTTCGCAAAAATGAGCAATGAAGAAATTGCGGCAATCCTGAAAATTTAAAAATTCACTTTGAAAAAAACTCGCTCGCTTCAAAAAAAATAAATTTTCTGTGGCGCGTTTGCGCTAAACAACGGGCAAAGCGGAGTGTCGTTGCAAAAAGGACAATTTTTTTATTTGAAGAAAAAATCAAATTTTGAAGGTTTAAAGGGAAGAAACTTGTGTTCCCCGCAGCGAAAATTTAAAAAAATGTACTTGTGTAGTTCTCTCGGACTATAGTTTTGGTCATGAGAGATTTATCGAAAAATCAAATTCAAAAAAAATCCGAGAGAACTACACAAGTACATTTTTTGAATTTTCCTTGCGGGGACCACAAGTTTCTTCTACACAGCTGCAAAAACCGATTGTGCGCCAGCAATGTCTCCTGCACTCTTCTCTCTCGCCCTCCACGGGCGTGTGTGTTTGTCGGCGTCTCTATAGGCGCACACACTCTCTCGCCGAAAATTTTTTTTTTAATTTTTTCTCGAATTTTTTTGAAAAAAGCTGAAGTTAGCGGAAGTTTCAACGAATGAATCGTACATGAGAAGATAGAGGAGAATGAGACGAAGACAGAGAAATATAATTTGTTGAGTGAAAAAATTTATTAGGCGTGAAAAACGTGAGATTTTGAAGTACCCTCACAAAAAAGATATTTTTGAAATAATGAAGCAAAACTTTCAAACTTTTTATATGAAATAAGATGTTTAATATACTTATGTTGAAAAAAGAAATAAGAACTTCTTACCGAACAAGGAATTTGTACTGTTAGACGAGAAAATAACCATTCTTTGTCTTAAAAATTTCTAAGAACCGATGTTTTTCGGGAAAAATTTCATCAGTGATTTGAAAAATTACAAGTATGGCTTACAATTTCATGATAAAATCATATTTCATTCTCGCTGAGAGGATTCTGAAGCTTTTGAAGCATGATCTCTTCTAACAATCAGAATACCACATTAATCATCGAAATTTGAAGTTTTATTCCACAGCTCCAAATTTTGCGGCATTTTTTGATCGAAATTTGAAGAAAATTAACAAATCTCAAGTTGAAAACAACAACAATTTATTTAAAATCTGTTATTTTAATAGTATTATCAACTCCACTTCGTCCATGATCGAAACCGTTGATTCCACTTGGCTGACGTTCGCAATACCTGAAAACAACATTGTTTGTTTGAATTCAACAGTTTTGAATCACGGACATATGAAATATTAGTTCTCATTAAAATAAAATGCGATGAAAATGAAAATAGAATTTTACTTTTCGAAAATGAACGGTAGAAATGTTATTTGGACATGTATCTTGATATAGTTTTTGCTGCTGAGAAAGATCGACTAAGTCTTGATACTCCCCCATGCCTCTATCATGGTGAACACAGAGTGTAATTTACTACCCGAAAAATTTCGCGCATTTTTTGAGACCTGACACGATCTTAGGGGTGGGACTAAAATCGACGAAATTCAACGCAAAAACGAGAGATTTAGAGAAAAATTATTTTTGATCTACCCAAAAATTAATGAAAAATTTGAGGTCTAGCGATTTGAGGTAGTAAATTACACCATGTGGTGAAATAACGCCAAAATCACGGAAATATTGAATTTTTATTATTTCTTCAATTGATTTCACTATTTTATAAAAATCAATCAAAAATAGGAATTACCTTCATTAAAATGTTCCTTAGAATCCCAAAACTCTCCTCGTGAGTCTCTCCACGTGATCTCCTTCGCGAGTTTCTGGTCAGTTCGGCAATCAATTGGATTATTTCGTCGAAATAATTTTTGTTTGGGACTCTCCGACATCTTCATGTTTCCGTCAACTCGTATCAGGCCCATCTGAATATAAAATCATAATTTTTTCACAAATTTAGATACAAATAACTCACTTTTCAACAACAAAAATATTGATTTGACGACCTCGAAAAATGCCTTTCCAATGCATCTCATCTCACTCAAAACCATCGGAAAATCATCTCCGGCCAATTGTATATTCATTCCAACTCATAAAAATTCAAACTCGATCAATTCCAGAATAAAAAAAATTTTCTTCGAAAAAAATGGACTTCATAAAAACAACTTTAGCATCCGTCAGCCCCATTTTCAGCACTCGATCCAAACATAATAAAATTCTCCTTTAAATTCTCTACAAACGATAGTCTGTCCGAATATGTGAAACTTCCTGAAAAACTCACAAAAAAATAAAAAAGAAGAAAAAATTAATTTTCTGATGGAAAAAAACAAAAAAAAAGAAAATTTTTTTCTCGTGCAAAAACCGAAAACGCGTCAAGTGCTGGCGCGTTTCGCGCGATCATTCAGTTTTTGCAGCTGTGCTTCTCTTTAAACCTTCAAAATTTGATTTTATCTTCAAATAAAAAAAATGTCCGTTTTGCAACGACACTCCGCTTTGCCCGTTGTTTAGCGCAAACGCGCCACAAAAATTATTTTTTATTTTCGAAAAAAATAAATTTTTCTGGTTTTTGAGGCGAGCGCGTTGTTTTTCAAAGTGAAGTTTTAAATTTTCAGGATTGCCGCAAATTTCTTCATTGCTCATATTTGCGAAATTGATGGACTTTGGATATTCGTGGATTTTCGGCGCAAATTTGGTGAGTTTTTTTTGGCGGGTTTTTGATAGAAAATAATTTTTTCCTGGAAAAAAATAATCCGGAAGAACTACGAGGTTTTGGTGGATTGGGAGAACGCGGAATTCGTCCAAAATACTGGGCTATTGATGGCGGAGTTTTCTTCGATGATGGAAGTTCACGGCCTTTCAAAAATAGGAAAAATTGCAAGTTGAGAGAGATGCAGAGAGAGAAAAAACCACCTTCAAATGGAAATACGAAACACCAATTCCATTTGCAGTTCGACTCCTCGTTTCGAGACCAAGCGCGGGAAACATGTTTTTCAAATATTTTCGAATTCAAAAACGTTTCCCGCGCTTGGTTTCGAAACGATAGATCAAATTATTTGTGAATTTCGTGTTTTGGATTTTTTTTGAAGAATTTTTCTCGTTTTCTCTGTGTCTCTCTCGATTTACCCTGTAAAAGGCCGTGAGTTTCAAGCAACGTTAACAATGTTCTTTTTCAAGTAGCCTGATTTTTAAAGATGACCAGGAAATAGAAAAAAGTTTTCAGTCTTCTATTGGAACCGGTTTATCACACACACACCCATGTGTATTGAACTTTGATGAACATATGTCAGAAAAGTTAATTGAGATTTTTTGGAAGAAAAAATGCAAAACCGTGACCACCAAATGATAGGAAAAAACCACGAGATTTTTTTCACTTTTTTTAATTTCGAAGTTTCAGTTCTGTTTTTGCAAGTGCGCTCTACTGAACTGTTCAACAAAATTTTCAAAAAACAAAAAAACATTGCTGCTTTAATACTTCATTACATTTCCACAAAATTACAAAACACTTAACGTTGTTTAAAACTTCCATCATCGAAGAAAACTCCGCCATCAATAGCACAGTATTTTGGACAGATTCCACGTTCTCCCGATCCTCCAGGTTGTCCAGGTTGCCCTGGTCCTCCTGGATTTCCTGGCCCTCCCGGGAATCCTGGAGTTCCTGAAGGTCCCTTTGGCCCAGGAGTTCCCGGATATCCCTGTGCTCCTGGTCTTCCTGGCGCTCCATTTGGCCCTGGTGGCCCACGTGGTCCTGCTGGTCCTGGTAATCCTGGGGTCGATTGTCCTTGAGCACTGAATCCTGGTGGCCCGGGTTGCCCTGGTCTTCCAGGTTGTCCAGGTTGTCCGCGTTGTCCCTTAAGTCCTGGTGGACCTGGTGGCCCTCCACCAATCGCTCTTCCTGGTTGACCTGGTCGCCCTGGATCTCCGCGAAGTCCTGGACCTCCTGGTGGTCCCGGTGGTCCTTGAGGGCATTGTGGACATGGTTTTGGTGTGGTTGGATGACACAATTGTGGTGGTGGACGACCTGGATTTCCGGGAAGTCCGCTCGCTCCAGGGCGACCTGGTCTTCCTGGCTTTCCGGGAGCTCCCGATGGCCCGGCTGGCCCTGGAAGACAACAATTGTTGCATTGATCGTAGGCGGCACGTTTCTCGCGGTTAGCATGAGTGGAAGAGTTTTGATGGGCGGATTTTGGTGCGACACGAATGTGATTGACTTCAGAATAAATGTCACGAGCCGAAGCGCGACAATAAGAAATCTCATGGTTCAGGTTTTGCTTGATGTTTTGCACATAGTTGAAAACCATTGGAATAGTGACGCAGAGCTGACAAAAATTTTGTTGAAGCGGCAGATCTTAACACTCCCAAAACTCACCGAAACGACAGCCAAAACCGAAAAAGACACAGCCGAATAGGCGACAAATCGATAGGCAGTACGCCTCGACATATGATCTTCTTCTCCCATGGAAAAATCTGAATCAGGATGAATTTCAGAATGGGTTGGGGTTCCATTTATAGTCAATTTTTCAAGGTCGTACTATAACTGCGAAGTAATTGCGGCCAGAAAAAAAGTTGATTGTATTTTTTTGTTCGGAAAATCAAGTTTTCTTGTCCAGAAATGGGAGGGGTTGGTCATTTTTTATCAAAAAAAGAAAGAAATTTTTGGCGCTTGGTGAATTTTTTTTTTGAAATGAAATTTCACCAAAATCCACGTTATCAGGTGGTCACGGTTTTGCTTTTTTTTCCTGAAAAAATTGTCAATCAAAGTTTCAACCATAAATAATTTTTTTTTTTTTGATAAACCAGTTCGCCTAACTTATTTCCTGGTAACTAACTATTGAAAAAATCATGAAAAGTTTTATTCAAAAGAATCAATAACATTCTTCCTTTCGAACTTCATAGGAATCTTCTTCGCATTCTTGATTTTCAGATGGATTTTCAGCCTTTCTCATCCCGGAGTCCATTTTGTATTCATTTTCAGAATCCCTTTTCGCTTCACTTCTGATGTTTTCAGGTCTAATTTCAGGCGAAATTTCAGCTTCTGAATCTGAAAATCTCCTTGGATCTAGTTCTTCAACCATAATTCCAGCATTTTCCGGAATTCTCGCCGGTTTTTTCACAACGAATCTCAAATTCTTCAAAACTTCCACCAATTTTTCATCGATATTTTGAGATGCCAAATCGAAAAGCGATTCGAATCCACTTTCCTCGTAGTCATTTCCGTAGATTGTGATTTTTGGGAGGGATTTTAGAATGTTCAGAAGTTTGGTAGAATCGGAGCTTGAATTTGAGTTTGAGGTGGAACTTGAGGTTGAAGGTGGACAGATGCAATTTGTAGATGTTTTGGCTGGTTCTGCGGAGCCCGAGCTTTCGAGAGTTGCTGGAAAATTTGAAGATTTTCGAGCGATTTTTAAAATTAACCCAACTCCTAAACTCGTTTCGCTCGTCATTTTTTCAAACGTGAATCAAATTCATTTTTGTTCATTTCTCGATTATATTTCATTTCAAACTTGCGGTTAGTTTTTTGGGGACTTTTCTGGGTCTCTTAGTTTTGCATACTCTCTTGTTGTCTTGTTTCTCTGCGTCTCTCGCTTCACTCAGACTCTAGTCGTCTGGTTCCATCTAGCCTATCCCTGATATCTATGACTTTGCTAAGTTATGCCAACTCACTTTCCGGATTCACAATCACAGCCTCCTTCACCAGAATTGGTTTTGCTGTAGTCGATGTAGATGTGATAGGTTTTTTTGAAGTCGAACTACTTATCGCAACTTTCTTTGCAATAATTTCCAAATCCCTCGGGCAATTCATATTTGTTGTATATTGATCCCAATCTCCTTTAGTCCTTACATTTCCAATAACAACATTTGGATCAATTTTCATTATCAAATTATGATAATGTGTTCCAGCCCAATATTCAATCCCCACAGAAGTTCTTCGAAGTTGTACAGCAAATGGCAATCCTCTAAAATAGGGAGAAAGTGCAGTTTGTTGATTAACCCATTTTCCTTGAGAATTCATTGAGTTCATTTTCATCTGTCTTGGAGCAACATATTGAAACTCCAAATGAAATACGATGTTTCGACTGGTTAAAGTATTATTGTATCCAGAATATAAGAAGACTTCGGCGGTTTTCGGAGTTTTCCAAGATTTTCCCCAAAACCAAAGTGACATATTCACTTTGAATGGGGTTATCAGGTGGACTATTTTGTTGGAGAAATCAGCGTTCTGAAAATCAATAGCGGCTAGTTTTCAGGAATTATCCTGACTCACAATAACATTACAATCCAAATCCGGAATAGCAGCGGTTTTTGGCGCCACTGGAATCTCCTTGACTGAAAAAATGTCGTTATAACTGCATGCCATCGTTATCTTATTCTGTATCCAATCTCCAGTTGTTCGAACATTTCCCAAAATTGAACTTGAGTTTAGTTGAAGTGTCACGTAGTTCAAATCACCCTTCATAATCAAAAATGACCAGTGAAGATTTCTGGAAAAAGAGCCGCTAGTTAGCAGCCAAGTTACACTAACTTGTTGGATATAGGAAGTTAGCCTAACTTAACTGACAATGAAATGTTACGGTTTCTCAACTCACTCACCTTATCTGCAGCACAAAATCTTTCCCTCTAACAAATGGCACCGCAATAACTTTGTTCACACTTTCCACACCATTTTCCACAGAAAATATCTTCATCCAACCAGTCACAAAATCCAAAATAACATGCAGTGCAATTTCTTGACTATTTTCATTATTCTCAAATCCTCGATAAATATAAACATCACTTCGATTCGCATTTTCCAAGACTTTTCCGTAGATGTAAATTGTATTATTTCTTTCAAAAGGTTGGCCGAATCTTATCATTTTTCCGACGAAATTTGAGGATGTTATTGTGTTGCATCTCAAATTTTGTAGACTTTGTAGAGATTCTTCGAAAAAGAATGAGAAGCCCCATAAAATTACAAAAATAATCATTTTTTAATAGGAGAATTTTGGTTTTGTCGGGGTTTTATGCGAAATTTTTAATGATTATTAAAATTTTATTGAAACCCTTTTACAACCCTCATTAAATTATGCATCGAACATCTCACTGAATCGAATTTTAGCTTCGCGAACTTCTCTTTTTGATCTTTTGGAACTGGAAATGTGACGAGGATGCAGACGATTTTCTGAAAATTTGAAAATCTTTTCAATTTTTGATATCTGAATTACTGTGATGTTTTTTCTCTGGACACTCCTCTTTTTCTTTGATCTCTCGATGATGATGATGATGTTTTTCTGAAAAACCAAACATCGATGGGAGGTCAGATTTTTCAACTTACTTTTTTGAATTTCTTCTTCTTCTTCATGACATTCTTCCTCGTCTTCTACACGATCTTCAACACATTCCTCTTCAGGAGCTTTAGTACTTTCTTCTTGATCTAAAAATATCATTGATAAATAATTCTATTCGAATTTTAGTTCAAACCTTCAGTTGTTGAAGAAACATTGGCAATTGTAGTAGCTCCTTCATCAAACGTTGATCTAGATTTTAATGCTGGATTGGTTGACGTTGGTTCAGTTGTATCATCAATGATAGGTGTAGAAGAGACATCTGGGTTCGATGAACTTGTTTCAGTCATACAAGTTGTGGTTTCCTCACCGGTCTCCCTTTGACCAGTTGTAGTTTCAGGTTTAGATGTTGTTTCTCCATCATTTCCACTCAATCCAGTAGTGGTTGATTCTGAACTTGATTCAGTCGCACAAGTTGTAGTGTATTCGTTCATTCCACTTAGACCAGTTGTAGTTTCCGGTTTAGATGTTGTTTCTCCATCATTTCCACTCAATCCAGTAGTAGTTGATTCTGAACTTGATTCAGTCGCACAAGTTGTAGTGTATTCGTTCATTCCACTTGTACCAGTTGTAGTTTCCGGTTTCGATGTTGTTTCTCCAACATTTCCACTCAATCCAGTAGTTGTTGATTCTGAACTTGATTCAGTCGCACAAGTTGTAGTGTATTCGTTCATTCCACTTAGACCAGTTGTAGTTTCCGGTTTAGATGTTGTTTCTCCAACATTTCCACTCAATCCAGTAGTTGTTGATTCTGAACTTGATTCAGTCGCACAAGTTGTAGTGTATTCGTTCATTCCACTTAGACCAGTTGTAGTTTCCGGTTTAGATGTTGTTTCTCCAACATTTCCACTCAATCCAGTAGTTGTTGATTCTGAACTTGATTCAGTCGCACAAGTTGTAGTGTATTCGTTCATTCCACTTAGACCAGTTGTAGTTTCCGGTTTAGATGTTGTTTCTCCAACATTTCCACTCATTCCAGTAGTAGTTGATTCTGAACTTGATTCAGTCGCACAAGTTGTAGTGTATTCGTTCATTCCACTTGTACCAGTTGTAGTTTCCGGTTTAGATGTTGTTTCTCCAGCATTTCCACTCATTCCAGTAGTAGTTGATTCTGAACTTGATTCAGTCGCACAAGTTGTAGTGTATTCGTTCATTCCACTTGTACCAGTTGTAGTTTCCGGTTTAGATGTTGTTTCTCCAGCATTTCCACTCATTCCAGTAGTAGTTGATTCTGAACTTGATTCAGTCGCACAAGTTGTAGTGTATTCGTTCATTCCACTTGTACCAGTTGTAGTTTCCGGTTTAGATGTTGTTTCTCCAACATTTTCACTCATTCCAGTAGTAGTTGATTCTGAACTTGATTCAGTCGCACAAGTTGTAGTGTATTCGTTCATTCCACTTAGACCAGTTGTAGTTTCAGGTTTAGATGTTGTTTCTCCAACATTTCCACTCATTCCAGTAGTTGTTGATTCTGAACTTGATTCAGTTGCACAAGTTGTAGTGTATTCGTTCATTCCACTTAGACCAGTTGTAGTTTCAGGTTTAGATGTTGTTTCTCCAACATTTCCACTCAATCCAGTAGTAGTTGATTCTGAACTTGATTCAGTCGCACAAGTTGTAGTGTATTCGTTCATTCCACTTAGACCAGTTGTAGTTTCAGGTTTAGATGTTGTTTCTCCAACATTTCCACTCATTCCAGTAGTAGTTGATTCTGAACTTGATTCAGTTGCACAAGTTGTAGTGTATTCGTTCATTCCACTTAGACCAGTTGTAGTTTCAGGTTTAGATGTTGTTTCTCCAACATTTCCACTCATTCCAGTAGTAGTTGATTCTGAACTTGATTCAGTTGCACAAGTTGTAGTGTATTCGTTCATTCCACTTAGACCAGTTGTAGTTTCAGGTTTAGATGTTGTTTCTCCAACATTTCCACTCATTCCAGTAGTAGTTGATTCTGAACTTGATTCAGTTGCACAAGTTGTAGTGTATTCGTTCATTCCACTTGTACCAGTTGTAGTTTCAGGTTTAGATGTTGTTTCTCCAACATTTCCACTCATTCCAGTAGTAGTTGATTCTGAACTTGATTCAGTCGCACAAGTTGTAGTGTATTCGTTCATTCCACTTAGACCAGTTGTAGTTTCAGGTTTAGATGTTGTTTCTCCAACATTTCCACTCATTCCAGTAGTAGTTGATTCTGAACTTGATTCAGTTGCACAAGTTGTAGTGTATTCGTTCATTCCACTTGTACCAGTTGTAGTTTCAGGTTTAGATGTTGTTTCTCCAACATTTCCACTCATTCCAGTAGTAGTTGATTCTGAACTTGATTCAGTCGCACAAGTTGTAGTGTATTCGTTCATTCCACTTGTACCAGTTGTAGTTTCAGGTTTAGATGTTGTTTCTCCAACATTTCCACTCATTCCAGTAGTAGTTGATTCTGAACTTGATTCAGTTGCACAAGTTGTAGTGTATTCGTTCATTCCACTTGTACCAGTTGTAGTTTCAGGTTTAGATGTTGTTTCTCCAACATTTCCACTCATTCCAGTAGTAGTTGATTCTGAACTTGATTCAGTCGCACAAGTTGTAGTGTATTCGTTCATTCCACTTAGACCAGTTGTAGTTTCAGGTTTAGATGTTGTTTCTCCAACATTTCCACTCATTCCAGTAGTAGTTGATTCTGAACTTGATTCAGTTGCACAAGTTGTAGTGTATTCGTTCATTCCACTTGTACCAGTTGTAGTTTCAGGTTTAGATGTTGTTTCTCCAACATTTTCACTCATTCCAGTAGTAGTTGATTCTGAACTTGATTCAGTCGCACAAGTTGTAGTGTATTCGTTCATTCCACTTAGACCAGTTGTAGTTTCAGGTTTAGATGTTGTTTCTCCAACATTTCCACTCATTCCAGTAGTTGTTGATTCTGAACTTGATTCAGTTGCACAAGTTGTAGTGTATTCGTTCATTCCACTTAGACCAGTTGTAGTTTCAGGTTTAGATGTTGTTTCTCCAACATTTCCACTCAATCCAGTAGTAGTTGATTCTGAACTTGATTCAGTCGCACAAGTTGTAGTGTATTCGTTCATTCCACTTAGACCAGTTGTAGTTTCAGGTTTAGATGTTGTTTCTCCAACATTTCCACTCATTCCAGTAGTAGTTGATTCTGAACTTGATTCAGTTGCACAAGTTGTAGTGTATTCGTTCATTCCACTTAGACCAGTTGTAGTTTCAGGTTTAGATGTTGTTTCTCCAACATTTCCACTCATTCCAGTAGTTGTTGATTCTGAACTTGATTCAGTTGCACAAGTTGTAGTGTATTCGTTCATTCCACTTAGACCAGTTGTAGTTTCAGGTTTAGATGTTGTTTCTCCAACATTTCCACTCATTCCAGTAGTAGTTGATTCTGAACTTGATTCAGTTGCACAAGTTGTAGTGTATTCGTTCATTCCACTTGTACCAGTTGTAGTTTCAGGTTTAGATGTTGTTTCTCCAACATTTCCACTCATTCCAGTAGTAGTTGATTCTGAACTTGATTCAGTCGCACAAGTTGTAGTGTATTCGTTCATTCCACTTAGACCAGTTGTAGTTTCAGGTTTAGATGTTGTTTCTCCAACATTTCCACTTGATCCAGTTGTACCTTTAGATGATCCTGTAGTTGTGTCTTTTTCGATTACACTCGATCCAGTCGTGGATGTAGGAGTCATAGTGGTAGCCGTTAGATCCCTCGGGCAATTAATATTTGTTGTATATTGATCCCAATCTCCTTTAGTCCTTACATTTCCAATAACAACATTTGGATCAAGTTGCATTGTCAAATTATAATATTCTGTTCCAGCCCAATATTCAATCCCCACAGAGGTTCTTCTAAGTTGTACAGCAAAATGCAATCCTCTAAAATAGGGAGAACGTGCAGTTTGTTGATTAACCCATTTTCCTTGAGAATTCATTGAGTTCATTTTCATCTGTCTTGGATCAACATATTGAAACTCCAAATGGAATACGATGTTTCGACTGGTTAATGTATTATTGTATCCAGAATATAAGAAAACTTCTGCTGTGTTCGGAGTTTTCCAAGATTTTCCCCAAAACCAGAGTGACATATTGACTTTGAATGGAGTTATCAAATGGACTATTTTGTTGGAGAAATCAGCGTTCTGAAAAATTGAGTTTTAAGCTAACGATGATGGTATATTTGATTCGTAAAATCAAGGGTTTTACTCACAATCACATTACAATCCAAATCAGGAACAGCTTCAGTCTTAGGTGCCACCGGATATTCGGCAGTTGAAAATATATCTTCATATTTACACGTCATTGTAATCTTATTCTGTATCCAATCTCCAGTTGTTCGAATATTTCCCAAAATTGAACTTGCGTTTAGCGAAAGTGTCACGTAACTTGTATCCCCTTTGTAAATATATAATGACCAATGAAGATTTCTGGAGAATTAAAATTTTTGTACGGGTCAGTGGCTTCAAAATATTTGAGAGAGAGAAACTATTGTGAGAAATTGATGAAAAAATCAACAAATAGTGCTACAAAACCTCATTAAAACCAGAGTTCCGAATTTCAATTCATTCCTAGTACAGTACTACCTAGTACCTTGATTGCGATGCACTAGTACATAAGGCATTTAACCAAGGCCTTGTTTAAAGGTACTGTTTAAACACATTTTTGTGTTGACACCAACTTTCCTACTTTGCTCCTAAGGTGTGCAAAACACGTTTTTTCTCTAGAAAATGTCAATTTTTAATAAAAATTCGAATAAAAATGCATTTTTCACCTCCTAGGAGCAAAGTAGGAAAGTTGGTGTCAACACAAAAAATGTAGCCCACCTCAAGACCGTTACAGTGGTCGTCGAAATTTCTAAAAAGCTTCGAAATTAAAAAGTTATGATAGTTTTAAAAAAAAACTCGGAAAATGTGTAATAGTCTGGTAATAGCCTTTAATAGCCTTTAAAAGTCTGTTCCCGACCGTATACCTCACCAAAATGTTCCCCGTGCCCAAATACCTCATTATCAAAAAATATTTTTTTTGGTGGAACATGCCTTATAGTACAGCTCTAGATCATTTTCAGTACTGTACTAGTGTACTATATTTTCCGTGTTTAATTCCGCATCTTGCCTAGACAGGTAGCGTCTAAATGAATTAGGGCCTAGACATTCAAACAAGGCCTTTTTTTTTTAAATGTACTGCTTAAACAGTACTTTTAGGCAAGGCCTTGTTTAAATGAACTGTTTAAACAGTACTTTTAAACAAGGCCTTGCTCAAACGTTAAGTGCAGTAGGCTGTTTAGTACTATTTCCTAGTACAAGTACTATGCGGTACTAGTACTTGAGGCCTTAGAGTCGGAACCCTGATTAAAACCCGTTTCAATCCTAATGAAAGTCCCTTATTGGAGAAGGCTGCGATTTTTCCAATAAGCACAAGTGAACTCTGTTCATTCTGCTAACTTACCTTATCTGCAGTACAAACTCTTGTCCCCTAACAAATGGCACCGCAATAACTTTGTTCACACTTTCCACACCATTTTCCACAGAAAAAATCTTCATCCAACCAGTCACAAAATCCAAAATAACATGCAGTGCAATTTCTTGACTATTTTCATCATTCTCAAATCCTCGATAAATATAAACATCACTTCGATTCGCATTTTCCAAGACTTTTCCGTAGATGTAAATTGTATTATTTCTTCCAAAAGGTTGACCAAATCTTATCATCTGATTCACAAAGTTTGAACTTGTTATTGTATTGCAGTTCAGCTCTTCTGGTGTGTCTTCAGAATCTCCTGATGATGATGAGAGAAGCGCAGTTTGGTTCTCAGCTCCTTCAAAGACCAGAGATTTTGGTATGGTTGTTGTAACCTCTAGATCTTCCTCGCAAATCTCTTCTTGAACTTCACATGATTCTTCTTCTTGTTGAACTGGTCTTCCCATCGAAAGAACACCCGAAAACCATAAAAATAGAATGAATATTGAATGAATTTTCATTTTCATTCGTGCTCTCCCCGCAAAATTTTGATTTTATTTTATAGCAAATTTTGGGGAAGAATCATTAAAATTTTAACAACCCTAATTTTATTGTTCTCAAAACGCGGCAACAACCAAAATCTTTATTTAATTAAAAAATCAAATTTGTTTGGTGGAAGATACAATTGGCTCTGAAGTAGTTGTAGAGATTGAACTTGGTGTAGTCCCCGAAACTGTAGTTGGAGTTCCTGTTGGTGCATAGGTGACTGGTGGCAAGCTGAGAGCGATTGGTGGAGTTCCAGTGGTGCTCAAAGTGATTGGCGCCGAGCTCGAGGAAGTTGCAGTGGCCCCTGTCACCAGACTTTGTGTAGTTCCAGTCGCATTTCCCAATTCTGGTGGCAAAGTCGAATTCAAGTGCTCTTTGGCGAATCCACCAATCACTGGAAGATTTTCGGGATGATCCTTGTTTTCAGCGATTTCATGAACAGATTGACGGATTTTTTCGACTTCGGCCGAATCTTCGATCGGTGCTTCGATTGATTTTTCGTCGAGGGGGACGTTTGTACCATTGATCATTGGGACGAGAGCTAGAAATCAGGTGTATTGAGGTTTTGAGAGCTGGCGCTCTAGTTGTCTAGCTTCTCTGCGTCTCTAACGTTGCCTATACTCTCTAGCCATCCGGTTTCTTTGCTTCTCTCTCTATGTTGTCTAGCTTCTCTGCATCCCACGCGTTGACATGCTCAGGTTTCTCTGCTTCTCTCATTCATATATGTTGTCTAGTTTCTCCCTGTCTCTTAATTCCCTTGTTATATTTTGTCTGCGTCTCTAACGTTGCCTATACTCTCTCGCCATCCGGTTTCTCTGCACATCTGATTTTCACGTGATATCTAGACTCGTATGTACTGTAAGCTTCTCTCTGTCTCGTAACTTCCTACACTATCTATTGATCTATTTTCTCTACGTCTCTAACGTTGTCTATACTCTCTAGCCATCCGGTTTCTCTGCTTCTCTCATTTATCTATGTTTTCTAGTTTGTCTCTGTGTCTCAATCTCCCACACTCTACTGATCTACCTTCTCTGCGTCTCTCATTTCCCTCCACTCTCTAATCTCGTCTAGACATATAGCTGCTCTACGTCTCTACACTCTCTAGTCGTCTGACATCTCTGCGTCTCTTCTCTTACTATTCTCTCTCTCTCTCTCTCTCGAGCGGCGTTGGTTCCGCGAAACCGCTCAATCACACTAGAGTCTAGTAAGTTAGCCTAACTGCCATCTTATCCACTCACCAGTCGCATGAACCTCCGGATTCATCGAATTTCCAAGCGGCGCGGCTGCCACGCAGCCCACGCCGACCACCAAAATCAATAGAAACATTGTCAGAGAGGAGAATGAACTAAAAACTGATAAGCTATATAGCTAAGCTCTTCTTTTTTTCTGAAAAAAAAGGCAGAAGGGATTATGGGCGGAGCCAATTATTATTTATTTATTTATTGAAACCTAGCTAGATAGGTAAAAAGACATAAAACATATGAAAATCAATGGTTTGTTGAAATATTGAAGGGGACTTGAGGAAGTTGTAGTTTCCACTCCAGTAGTGTTAAGAGAGGTATTTGTGACGTCGGAAAGAATTACAGTAGTAGATTGGGTTGTGGGATCAGATGCGGGGTAAATAGGTGATATTGTAGCATCTGAAGCCGGATAAATTGGAGAGATTGTAGAAATTGAGTTAGGATAAATTGGTGAAGTAGCTTCTGAATCCGGATAAATCGCTGAAATTGTAGCATCTGAAGGTGGATATATTGGTGATAATGTTTTTGGCAATAAAGTTGTTCTCAAAATCGTAGTAGCCTTGGATTTCTTGGTTGTTTTTGTGGCGGATTTTTTGGTGGTTGCTTCTTCCCCATCAGTTCCAATTGGCGCAACTAGTTCTAAAAATAAATGAAAAAGTTTTGATTTCTATTAAAAATTAGCGGGTTATTCATGTATTCATGTATGAATAGGTTAATTTGAATAATTTGAAGCTATTCATTCGGAATTTTTATTCAAATTTTGAAAAAAAAACTTTTGATCTTGAAAAAAAGATGATGAAATTGTAGTTTGATGTGAAAAATATTAGTCATTTTTCGAAGGGAAAAATTCATGTTGAAAATAAAGCGAAGGTTGAAATTTCGAAAAAAAAATTCATAGTTAAAAAAAATTTGAAAATAAGTTTGAAGCTTCCAAAATTCTGCCACGTGGCTTTGATTTTTTCCGGAATGTCAGGAAAAATTTGTCATATTTAAATTTAGTTGAAAGCTAATTTCACAACCAGATTTTTTTTTCAGTTTCAAAAATCCACGTGGCATATTTAGGCTCATTCTATCACAAATTTCTTCCCAAATTTAAATTCAGATCAAAAATTCCCCCGAAAAAAACTCACGAGCTTTCAAAACGCCAAAAAATAAAATCGATAACAGAACCACGAAACTTCTCATAACTTTTTTTTGTTTGAAAAAAAATTCAACTTCAAAAAAAGTTTCCAAAGTCAATTTCCGTTCTCCGAATTTTCTCTTTGTGTGTTATTATCAAGCTGCTTTTCTTTTTTCACACGCCAGCTCAATTTTCAGCGAATTTTTCCCATAAAAAATCCAATTTTTTTTTCATAAAGTGACGGGGGAAAATAATTTGATTTTTTCCGCGAAATTTCCTTTTCCAAGAATCAACTTTCAATTGTTTTATTCAATTTTCTACCAGTTTTTCAGCGACAAAATCGCAAAAATCGTGTCAAAATCAAAGGCGCGATTTGTTAATCGCAACTCGCGTCGCTGCTGCGAATTTTCGTCGCCGCGGAATCGCAAGCTGCGCAAAACAGCCGGGTAATTAACATTATTATCATTATTTTCCTCCTCGTCTTCGTTGTCGTCGCTTTCACTGGATAATTCCACATCGCCAGAGGTTCCTGGAAAAAAAATTTTTGAATTCAAATAATTTGCCACGTGGCAATAAATTTTGTAGTTCTCGAGGAAAAAATTAGGAAATTTTGAAAAATGAAAATTTTAAATTTTTTGAAACTCAAATCTACGTGGCACTAATTTTTCTCAAAAATTCAATTTTTATGTGACAAATCAAATATTCTAGGAAAGTTTTTAAAAATTTTCGAAATTTTGAAATTTTTCAACAAAGTTTAGCTCTTTCAAAAATATAAGTATTCGAGCCAAAAATCCACGTGGCACGAAAATTTTCAAATTTTGTAGTTCTCGAGGACAATTTTTCGGAATTTTTTTTTGAAAATTCGAATTTTCGCATTATCAGCTCATTTTTAGTTCATCAAAAATCCACGTGGCACGAAAATTTTCAAATTTTGTAGTTCTCGAGGACAATTTTTCGGATTTTTTTTTTGAAAATTCGAATTTTCGCATTATCAGCTCATTTTTAGCTCACCAAAAATCCACGTGGCACAAAATTTTCATGCAAATTTTCTGAACACTTCAAAATTCAGCTCAAAAACAGTGCCACGTGGAAAATTTCAGATTAATTTTAAGCTCATCTTACCTTCCACAAAACAAAAAGCGTCTGAAAATCGGAACAAATCCAATTCATCAATGCTCGAAATCGGCTCTTCGGGAGTTATTCCAACTTGCCAACATCGATATTTTCCAGTCTTTCGATACTTTTCAAAATTCATCGGCAAATTGTCCGAATTCAAAAATGCGCTTTTGAATTTGTGAATCTTGTCGGGTTGCAAGAAATGCGTTTCGAGCATACAAAATGCGGTGTAGATTGCACGAAAATCTTCGCCGATTGTGAGAGCAAACGATTTGAGCAAAAAATCGAAGCGGGGTGAAATCGAGTCTTCGGCGCAGAGATAAATGTCTTGAATTGTTTGAAGTGAAAGATAAATTCGGTGAATTGAGGAATTCTGGAAAAATTGGGGGATTTTTGGGATTCTCTGGTGAAAAAATAAATTTTAGAAACTTTTTTTCAACTTTTTGCCTGAGAATTCGAATTGTTTCGAATAATTTTTTCAAAATTCAAAATTTCCCGCCAAAAAATAGTTACCTCTCCTCGATTTTTCCTCGCCACACATTTGCTGGTTCGATCGGGCTTGTCAAATTTCTGCAAAAAAATTTTTCAGCGCACACTTTTATGGGCGTGGCCTAAAATTTTCATTTTTAAAAACCGCAAAACCCTGTCTATCCCAAAAAAAACTCACCAAATATCGTTTGGCAGCCGGAAAAATGGCGGCGAAATCCTCATTTCTCCCAGAATTCTCAACAATTTTCAAATCCAGGAAACTTTTGTTGAAAGTCTTCAGATTATCCTCATATTCAACGTGTTCTTTTCGTACCACACGTCTCTGAAATTTTAGCGGGGAAAGCAAGGCTTCGGGAAGCTGAAAATCGTCGTTTTGCATCGAATTTTGGCGGGTTTTGAAGATTGTTGGCAGGTTGTGGGTCTGGAAAAATTCGGGGAAATTTGAGGAAGTATTTTAGTGGATTGCTCATGTTAAAGAAATATTTATTGGTATTTTTTAATATGAGCAGCACATTGTGTTAAAATAATCAATTTTCTAGGGATTGCTCATGTTTAGAGTTTGAAAGTTTAATATGAGCAATGCAATGTTTTGAATTTCTTGTGTTAGAGGTTTTTGAAAACTTTTTGAGATTGCTCATGTTAAAGAAAGTATTTTCAGCATGTTTTTAAGCATTGCTCATATTAGAGCTCAAAGTCCATAGTTTTTTCTATCAGAAAACTATTATTTTCCCGCATTTTTTCCAACCATTGCTCATATTATGAAAAATTCAAAAAATTTACCTTCTCAAAACCCAAATCCATCGGAACACATTGTCTAAACCCATATTGTCTTCTCCATCTCAAATTTCCCACATCCCAAGTCAAAATTTGCGGATGAAAATTGTCGCCAAACGGTAGTTTTCCCGCGATTTCCGGGATTTTTGCGGATTCTCGAAGGATTTTTGAAATATCGTGACCTTGCCAACATTTTAGACGCATTTCGAGTTGATGCAAATATGTGTCAATGTCGAATTTCAGCTCATGTTCATTTTCATTTTCATTTTCAACTTCCCCATCCAAATCAATCGATAATTTGAGTGCAAAAAGAATATAGGCTAAAATCTTGGTTTCGGGAGTTAGCAGAACTTCTTCCTCACTAGATTCGTAGAACAAACTTTCGCGATTTCCAAAACAATTCATAAAAGCGGCGTAAGATGTGTTGGGTTTCATGTCAGCGAGTTCGGCTAAACTATAGCCGTTTTTTGAGTTGGCTTGATGCCAAAAATCGAAATTGCACGGGATGAGAGAGTGGAGAATTAGACAACGATGGTGGAGATCGGAGGGAAGATTCAGATTATCGATTAGTCGAGCAGAGAGCTGGAAAATTTATAATATGAGCAATGCCTTAAAATTTCTCATATTAATGACTTTTTTGTTCGTCTAATATGAGCAATGCATCAAAAAAGCATTTTTTCTTTTAGAATAATATGAGCAATGACTAAAATTTCAGCATTGCTCATATTAATGACCTCTTGTTTTTCTGAAAATTTTTTGCGGAAATTCGAAAAATGTCCCAATTTTTTTGTCAAAAATTGAGGCGGAAATTCGAAAAATTCAAAAATTTTTTTCAAAACTTCGAGAGAAGTTCCTAAAGACTAGAATAGTTTAATATGAGCAATAGTTTAATATGAGCAATAACTAAAATTCAGTATTGCTCATATTAATGACTTTTTTCTGACATTTCGAGATTTTGGATTTTTTTTAAATCAAAATTCTAAAAACTTTTCAATTTTCCAATTTTTTTATCACAAAATTAAGGCGGAAATTCGAAAAATTCAAAATTTTCGGAAATTTTTTGACTTCGACTTGAAATTTCGGGAAGACTTGCATTGCTCATATCAAATTTTTTTCCAAAAACTTACCTTCTCAAATCCTCCCGCCTCCATTTTCAACTCCAAACTCTGTTCCATCAACACCACCACCCGATAAATCTCATAAAGCGGAAATCGCAAATCGGTTTCATGAAAATCCAAAAAACTCTGCCATTCTCCTTGTTGCTGTTTCGATTTGTATTTCTCAAATCCTCCACGATTCAACAAATTGATCTCTTTTCTCGAAATTCCGAATCGATCTTCTCTCAACCATCGAATTATATCCGAAATCAGCAAATTCCTACATCCAATCGAATTCGCGGCAAAATACAAAATTGCTGCCAAAAATTCCAAATTCAATAGAATCTGCGACGCTTTTTTCACCGCATTCTTCGAAATCCTGGTATTAATTCTCTTCAAAAATCCCTCTCCATCAGCGAATGTCAAATTCTGCGTCTCCTCAACTAATGTACTCTCTTCTTCCTCTTCTTCTTCTTGCGCTAGTGTTTCATCCAAATTTCCTTGCGTCAAAAGTTGCCAAGCGGCCGTAGATTGTCCCAATATTTTCAATCCTTTCGTTTTTCGCTCTTCAATTTTTCTCTTTTTTCTCTCCGCCTCTTCTCTCTCATAATCTTTATTCTCAACAATTGCACTGAATTGCAAATCCACGTCATCTGTGAGTTCTTCGTTGCAAAATGCGATTTGACAATGTGACAAATATTTTTGAAAAATTCGCAAACACGCTCCATTGTACTCGGGCGGCATGTTCAAATCATTGACTAGAATTTTTGCGCATCTTGAAAGAAGTTGGGAAAATGTTGCTAGCCTGATTCCTGTTCGATATAGATAATCTGGTGTGGATTTTGGTGGAATAACCTGCGAGGTTCCAGGCTGCGAGGTGAAGAATTTCGATTTTTCGCGCATTTTATCCTCCTCACTTCTAACTTTTCGTTCTTTTTCTTGATCTTCTTCTTCATCTTCACCTTCTTGAGCTCGTCCACCAGCAACTTTCTTCTTTTTCACCCGAATTTTTGCTCTTCCAACATTAATTCGTTGCTCATCCTCTTCTTCGAGTTCCTCGAAGTTTTCTAGCATTGCACCGCATGTATCACAATACATAAAACCATCAGTTAACGTAAATCGTGTTCCTCGACAAGAATTGCAAGTTTGACTCGACATTTTTGCTGAAATTCGGGAGTTTTAGCGAAATTTTGAATTTTTTCAAAAAAATAAAAAATACAAGGGCGTCAAATAAAATGCAAAGTACGCAGAGTTCGGGTGACGGTGTTTGCAGACGCGAAAAATATTTTTATTTTTTTGAATTTTTCGGCAGGGTTTTCGTACGTTTTCAAGCCTTAAATTTATTGATATTTAGACTTGACTATAGCAAAATGATCAGCTAATCATCACTGTATTTTTTTTTGCAATTCGAGGGAGACGCAGACTTTAACGTGTGCAGACAAATCTCTCGCCGAAAAAGGGGGAGAAATAGTGTGTGGCAGACACACTTCGTGTCGAGACCAGCGAGTGTCTGCGTCTCCTCGAAATTGCATTTTTCTATTAGGAAAAAACACAGTGTCATTTCCCATCTTTTGAATGTAGAATTGAACTGTGGTTTTTCGAAAAAAAACATATTTTTCTCATAGCGAATGTGAAAAACATGTTTTTTTGCGAAATTTGATGATGAATGAGCTTTAAATGTGAGATAAGTTCACCTAAATCATCAGTCGAAAATTGTTCATTGTTTGAAAGTAGAAATGAACATATTTTTGAAAAATTACGTTTTCACGTGATAAAAATCGAGAAGCCTAGTAAGCATTTTCCCAAATTTTATACTTTTTTACGTTCTGAAAAATCCCACAAACATTCCAAATACTTTTGACGACAAAATTCATTGTATATCAATCAAAAACACACAAAAAACGAAGCATTGTTGGGTTGGGGGTGTACAAGTTTTAATAAAACAATTTTTATTGGGGGAAAAAAAAGTATTTGTCGGCCAGCGATAGCGCAGCCTTACGCGCGTTTTGAATGGGGAGAACTCTAGGCTTTGATAGAAGTGGAAATCGGTATCTAGATAGATTTAATTAAAGGGGAATAGGAAAAACATGATATATACAAAGGGTAGGAAATAAAAAGAAAAGCTAGTAGACTATGAAAAGTTGGGGGGGGGGGAAGTTCGGCTAGGCCGCAAGTTCAAAAATAATTATATTATTCGATGTCGTCATCATTTGATCTACTAAAGGCGCATAAGAACATTCGGAGGTACGGTGAATCTTAACACAAAACATATGTATAATTTAACTTAGTAAATCAAGGGGCCATGAAAAATGAAAATGAAAATGAGTATTGAGTTGAGTAGACGAAAAAATGAAAAGAGTAACAGGTTTTTTTTTTGAAATAAGTAGGTATAAACAAAGTCAAATAATATTATTTTCAAATATTAATGGGTCTTGGGCGAATTGGTGGTGGTGATATCGTGTAACCGCTTTCGACGATTCGATCGAGTTGAGATTTTTGTTGGGCGTCGAGTGGGGTGAGGGTTGTGATAAGGGAACACCAATTGGCGGCGCGGACACGGGTTGCCGCGTGGCGGACCAAATGAAGGGCGTTGCAAAGTTCAGCGGATTCTGGAAGATTTTTTATTTTGTTTTGAAATTTATTTTATTTTGTTTTTTAATCATGAAATCATTTCTCTACGTCTCCAACCTTCCAATACTCTCTGAGCTTTGCTAGAGAGCATTTGAAGGGTAGAAACGCAGAGAATCTGACAAATGGTGACGTGGAATTTTTATCGGACGATTTTGTCATTTTTAGTTTATTTCTAACGTAAAGTTCGTGGAGAATTTCGGATTTTCAAATGAAAGTTATGATTTTTGAGCTGAGCTAAAAATCAGGAAAATTTCAAGATTTTTATCTTTTCACTGAAAGCTGGTGATTTCTGACTGAAATCGTGGATTTCTGGCTAAACGAACTAGATTTCTAGCTAGAATTAAGGTTTTTACCCTCCCAAAACAAACCTTTCTCCTCATCATAATGTACATTCTCTCCTCTCAACTGTTGCAAAATCGCGGCTCTCTCATGATTCCGATTATGCTGCAACAAGCTGACAGCATCCAACAAATCCGCCAATGTTCGATGCACTTCCATCGGCATAATCTGTCCACCGCGCAATTGTTCCATCTTCGCCAAAAGTGTGCTGATTCTCGCGTGTTCGCGGAAAAAGTCAACGATCAAGCGATCGACGCGTGATGGCGCGGTTGGAAGTCGTGGAATCGGAAGGCCATTTGATGATGAGATTTTCTTTCCCAAGTTGTGTCGAGCGAGTTCGGCTTCGGTTTGTTTTCGCTCTTTTTCGAGTTGTCGATATTCCTCAGTTGTTTCATCCAACTTTGTTTGCAACTGCATCATCATATTATATCGCATTACAGCCCATTGCTCATTTTTAGTAGTAACGGGGCTCTGAATCCTTTGTTGTTCCTGAAGTTGTTGATTCTGCTGTTGCTGCTGATGATAAAGCTGTGAGAAAAGTGAATCATCTGGTGGCAGAGACCACGGCGAATTATTCGCTGGCATAGGTGGAGGTGTAACCTGCTGAATTGGCTGTGGAATCTGTGTGTTCGCATTCGAAGTATTCAAATTCAACTTCAAAAGTTCATGAATCAAATTATAATCCGATTCTGGTGGATTATTCCAAGTATCAATCTCATATTTCTCAGTGTTCAGGCTTGCACCAGGTTGTTGTTGGTGTAAGTAACTTGGAAGATTGTTAACACTGCTGGAATTGTTGAAGAAGACTGGCGATGGACGATCGCTGAGCAATGGATGATCGTCGAGTTGAAGTGCTGGTGAGGTTTGTGGTTGGGAAGAGGAGGTCGACGAGCGAACACTGCTGTCGGTGGTTTCACTGTCGTTTGACTGAAAATAGAAGATGTTAAGACCTGCGTCTCTCAATTTTCTATGCTCTCTCTCTCTCTCTCTCACTTCGCTGTAGATAGGAATGTGAAATCTAGAGTTTTGCCACGTGGCATTTCCGGCTCACCAAAATTTTTCCGAAGTTTTTTTTAGTCTCTCTCAGCGCGGAAGCTTGCCATCTATGTACACTCTTTGAAAAAAATCTCGCGGGCATCCGGCGTCGAACCCCGGACCCCTCACTCCATACTCAAACCACTACCACTTCTCATATTATTCAAAAGACCAAAAAACTTCTATTTTTGTGTGACGCATTTAATTTGTCTTGTCAGTTCTTTTTTTTTTGTAAATATTTTTCAGTACCACTTCGTGTTCGTGTTCACCTTGAATGAATGAATGAATGCAAAAAAAAAGTTTTTGTGTGTGTGTGCGCGACACACAAAATAGAGAAGAAGAAAAACTTTTCTTCTTTCTTCCTCCCTTCGAAATTTTTTTTCATCATCTTGGCACAAGGCCAGAGGCCGAAAAGAAAAAATGAACGTACCTGGCACCGCGCCCACGACACGCCCATTTTTTAATATTCTATTATTTTTCATGTTGTGTGTGTGTTTTTTGCAAGAAAGAGCAGAGACGCAGAGAAGGTTCGGAGAGCGTGGGAAAATCGCTTGGAACTCACTCTGCGTCTCTCGATTTTCTTATACTCTCTCGATAGGTGGACATATTTTGAATATGAGAAGGAATATGAAAATAATCATGGAAATGTTTTAATTTCCGGTGGCTGAAGCGGAAATGTTGATATTTTTGAGAAATGGCGACATATTCGAGCTAAACATGGAAAAGGACGCGGAAAATTGGATTTTTAAAAAGATTTTAAATTTTAAAAAATTCACGTGGCTTTGCTCTTGAGAGAAAAACCTTCAGAAACTGAGGAATTTCCAGAAATTTTTGGAGCCACGTGGATTTTTCAGCTCGAAAATTGGGTTGTGATGAAATTTAGAGCTTTCCTGAAAAATCCACGTGGCTCGTTCAGAAAAATCAGAAATTTCCAGATTTTTTAAAACTAAAAGTTTAGAGCCACGTGGATTTTTTTTGAGTCAGAAATTGCGAAATATGACGAATTTTCACTGCGCGAAAAATTTGGGTTTCGAAATTTTTTGGAGAAAAATCCACGTGGCAAAGGTCAAACTTTCAAAATTTTTGAAACGATTTTTTTTCAAACAAAAAAAGTTAGAAATTCTAAAGTATGCCACATTGCACTTGTTATCAATAACAAAAAAAATGAATTTCGAAATTTTTAGTGCATGCCACGTGGCAAGAAAAGCCTTTCTAACCTGAGTGATGTCTCTGTGTCTCTCACTATCTCATGCTCTCTTGGCCGATTGCTCAGGTTAGTCTGAGAATAGCTCGTCCAGACCTCACACGAGTTTTTAACTTTCCGTGATCTTTGTTAACCTGAGCATTCCTTCAAGAAGTTTCTCTGCGTCTCTTATATGCTCTCTAAGGTCAGCCTTATTCTTCCATTGCTCATTTCAGTCTTCTGCGTCTCTCATCATCCCTCACTCTCTAAATAGTCCCCTTTGACTAACCTGTGAATTGACCCACGAATACACATTATACCACGAATCTTGTGTCCAAGTTGTGGCGAACGGCGAGTTCGATGTGGCCGGATCCATTGTTCGAGCCATAATCTGAAAATGTCGAATTTGAATTTCGCGCCGAAAAGTTTTTTTTGGCGCGAAATTCAAAAAAGAAAAGAAGACATCTGGTTCATTAACCCAAAAATCTCCTTTGAGGACGACACATTCGAACAGAAAAAAAAACAATCGGGGTGTGTGTGTTCTCTGCGTCTCTGTGCTCTCCACTCTCTCACCATCTCCCATTTTTTTTCGAAAGGGGCGCCGTGGGTAGAGGCGCCAGACACTCTAGGGGGGAAGAAGGCGGGGCGTACCACCCAGAGACTGGTAGAAGAGAAACACGACCACACACACCGGCGTCTCGCACTCTCTCGCTTCTCTCTTTCGACCGCCGCGGCGACCTTTGAGGCGCCGAGAGAGTGTGCAGGTTGGAGAGACGCAGAGCGTGTGTGTGTGTTTTTTTGGGAGGGGGTTTGGGGGGGGAGTGGGAACGGGAAGATGTGGATTTTTTTACCCCGAGAAAATTTTAAGATATGAGGTTTTACTGCTAGAAATCTGGTTCAGTAGAAGAATCAGAAAATCTGAAATTTTGCTGCAAGAAATCCACGTGGAAATTATTTTTTAGACCAAAAATCATGAAATCTAGTTTGGCTCGAAAATATGGACTGTGACATTTTTTTCGGAAAATTATCAGCGCGAAATTTGAATTTGAATTTTCAAAACATAAGATTTGGCGCCAAAACTATGAAATTCAAAGTTTTTTCCGAAATTTCAGCCGCGAAAAATCTGAGATTCAAATTTTTTTGTTAAACTCTGCGTTTCACGTTGAAAATCCACGTGTCAAAAAAAAACGCTAACATTCTGTGATAAAAAAATTTCAAATCCAAAAAAAACTTGACAGATTTGAAATTTCAAAATTCTACTTTTCTGAGATTCAAATTTTTCTTGAACTCAATTTTAGCACCAAAAATCCACGTGTCAAAAAAAAAACGGCTCAAAAAGTTGCAAAAAAAATCTCAAGCCAAAAAAAAAGAGAACGAATGGATGGAAAAAAAACATAGAATAGAAAAAAGTATGAATGTACTGGGGGAGAAGGAACGAGAAAACTAGAGATAAAATAGAGACGAGAGAGTGTGGAACATCAGAAGAGACGCAGAGAATGACATACAAAAAAAACGAAGAACAGCAAAAAATAGACATGGAAGAGCAGCAAATGCGACCCCCAGTTCTTCTGAAAAATTGTGAAATCGCGAGGCTTTTCTCCAAAAATGGGACAAAAAGGGGCGGAGTCTATAGGATTTAGAAGCTCCGCCCACTTTTTTCTTGGGTACAAACACCTGGCCCTTTTCTGGGTTACTGTAGGGCTTTTTTTGAGCGCCACAGATGGCGCAGCTGTGCTTGGAATTGAGAAATGAGTTGGTTGGGTAAATTTTTTGGGGGATTTTTGCCACGTGGCATTAGTTTTTGCGCGGGAACTGGGGAGATTTGAAATTTGCAAAATAAAAAATTGAATTTCGTGCCACGTGGCAAGGTTTTCTGATTTTGAATTTTAATATTTCGCGCCGCTTTCAAAATCTATAATATTTTTCGCGCCAAAAATTGGAATTCAAAATTTTTGCGATGATTTTAGCACCATAAGTTAAATTTGTTAAGTTTTTGAAAATGAAGAATTTTCCACGTGTCAAAAAATTAGCCACGTAGAAAAAATTAGTCATTTTCAAAAAATTATTTTTTTTTGAGTGATAAGAAAATCTGGCGCCAGTCAAAATTTAAAAAATTTTTGGATTTTGAACTTTGCGTTGGCACGAAAATTAATTAAGTTTTCAAGCTAATGAAATTTCGGCTATTTTTTTTCAAATTTCATTTTTTCCCGCCGAAAAAAAATCGGATTTTAAAGGCGCATCCTCTCATTTTTCATCCCATTTTTCATCTTGTTGTCAAACCAAAACCAATATTGACTCGCATTTCGCATTTTTTCAAGAAAAGATGAAAAATTTGCACTTTTTTTCGAACGCGACCCGCGAAAAAACTAGTTTTTCTTACGATTTTTTTCAGCGACCCCAAGGTCGCCTCGAAAAAAAACGTTCTCTTTTTTTAAAGGAGGAGTAGGTTTCTCAGGGTTGGCTTTTTTATTTGAAAATGCTAAAAAAAAAGAAACAGTACAAAAAGTGATTGATGAGGAAAAATGAAAAAAAGAAAAAAAATTGATGGTGAGAAAAAAGAAAGTAAAAAAAGAGAAGGTGAGAGATATTTTGGGTTTCCCACAGGCGATTCATGTGCGCCCGGTTAGCTCAGTCGGTAGAGCACCAGACTCTTAATCTGGCTGTCGCGGGTTCGAGCCCCGCATCGGGCTGATGCAATTTTTTTTTGGGATTCCCTGACGTGTCATGAAAATTGGAAGTACTTTAATTTTTGGCGTGAACAGTTTTAAGATTTGTTTTTTTCACAGTTTCTGAACGAAGAATCAAAATTTTGAGGCAGAAATCGAAATTTTTTGAATTTCATCAATTTTGGTGCCAAAATCTGACATTTTTCCAAGCTTCTTCTCAATTTTCCCTCACAACCTCGAATTCCAAAAATAACATAACACATATTATTATTTCCCATGGTTCCAGTGGCTGGTACGAAATTCCACCGAGTCAAGTCGCACACACGGCAAAAAATCGTAGTATACGACTATAAATCTCAAAAAAAAGTGCACTTTACATACGAAATAGGAGAGACGCAGAGAAAACGTCTTGGGTGGTCTCCGGCGGCTGCGGCAGCCAGGGAGGCCCAGAACACCCATTATGTTTAATGAGATTTTTTGATGTATTTGTACTTTTTATCTTTTTTGAGATTTTTGAGGGGCTTTTTGACTTTTGAAAAGTCTTTTCTAAAACATAAGGTTTATTATTTTTGATCTTAAAATTAAAAAACAAACAAAATAAAAGAAATTTTTGGGAAAATGGAGAAAAACAAAAATTACAATAAAGAAAAAAGATAAAAATTATTATAAAATACTATACCGTGCATATTTATCAATCGAATTGAGTTGAATTGAATTTGGAAGAGGAAGGAGAATCCTGGAAAAATTGGGGGAATTTTTTATGATTGGAAATTTCTATGGAAACTGGAAATTTTTGGGGAACACAGCTATAATTTTTACAGAAAGTTTCAGAGAATATTTGAAACAAACATTATATTTTTCGGAAAAAATTCAAAGAATTTTCAAACATTCTCTGAACAGAACATTGAAATTTATCGAAAACTTCATTTTTTTTTTTTGAAAAGTGTTCATTTTCCACAAAAAAACAATAAATCCTCACCTTTTCATTAACCAATCAATAAGACGATTGAAATTGGCTCTGTTTGTCATTTCTTGGTCCACGAGCCGGTCTCGGACCATCTCTTCCTTGTTTACATTTCTCCACATATTTTCGATGATCATTTCGAAGTTGATCCGGAACTTGTTGTCCACTTTTCTCCAAAATCGAAATCAATCCCTCGTAATTCGATCGATCATTCCACCACAAAAATGACATTGCTTCGCCATTTCTACCAGCTCGACCAGTTCGACCAACTCGATGAACATATTCTTCAATATCCATTGGGAAATCGTAGTTGAGAACGTGGCTGGAAAATTGAAGGGTTTCGGAGGGAAAAGGTGAATTTTGAGGTCCTACAGATTTTACATTCATTTCAAACAAAAATTAGATAACTTTTCCTGACAATCAGCAGTTTTTGAATGTTTCTTTCTCAAAATTATTTAAAATTTTTGTTTGAGTCAAACATTGATTTCTAATGGATTACGAAACCAAACATCAATAATATTCATGGAAATTTCAATTTGTTTTTACCAAAAATTGCTAAACTACTTTCAATTTTGCTAGGCTCATTTTGATCCAAATATTAGATTTCTCAGTAAAAATAGTGATTTCCATGAAAATTATTGTTTTTTGTGCAGAAAACCACATTTCGCTCGAGTTTAAACTCAATTTTCTCGCAAAATAAATTGAATTACTCACGTAATATCTGGCACATCAATTCCTCTGCTCGCCAAATCAGTCGCCACCAAAATCTGGACCTTTCCCGACTTCAAATCTCTCAACGAGTTCTCTCGATCTGTTTGCGATCTTCCACCATGCAAACCTTGCGAATTAATTCCCTTCATACAAAAATCTGAAGACAAATGATCAGCCATAACCTTGGATTTGACAAAAATAATCATCTTATAATTGTTTTGATGTGTTTTATTCAAAAAATCGACAATTTCCAATGTTCGCTCGAATCGTTGATCATGTGGAATGAATTCGAAATATTGTTTGACTGTTTGACAAGCGGTTAAATCAAGACTTCCATTAACTACCATAACAGCTTGTTTTGTATAATTGTCAGTTAATTTGCGAACATTTTCTGGCCAAGTTGCGCTTGTCAAAGCGACCAATTTATCTGGACGAACTTCAATAAGAATTCGGCGAATTGATGATTCAAAACCCATATCTAACATTCGATCAGCTTCATCTAACACAACATACGTAACATTTCCCAAATCAATAATTCCTTCCGATGATAAATCAGCAAGTCTTCCAGGTGTAGCGATAACAATTTCCGGGGATCCCTCACATGCTTTGATTTGTTCTTGTCGACTACTTCCACCATATAAGCAAACACTTTGATATCCATTATAACTATATTTTCGAACTTCTCCTTCGATTTGTTGAGCCAGTTCTCTGGTAGGACTTAGGACTAGAACAAATGGACAAGGTTTCTTCTCATTTGCTGAATAATTCTTGAGTTGGGCTTCGATGTGTAGGAAAGCTGGTAGAAGGAATGCGAGCGTTTTTCCAGAACCGGTTTGTGAAACACCAATACAATCCTGACCGGAGAGAAGAATTGGCCACATTTGAGATTGGATAGAGGTTGGTTTGGTGAATTTATTCTTTTCCAACTCGTTTATCAGGGCTTCTGAAACCAATTGAATGTTAAAAACGTTTAAAAAACCCAGTGACTCACCATTTTCGCCAAAAGCTTGTCTGAAACTTGCAACCGGAGGTGGAATATCGACCGTTGAATCTTCATGGAACGGATAAACTTTCATATCTCCACCTCCTAATTGCAACTCGGATATCTCTGCTCTTGACAGATTTTTCTGATCTAATGGGGTTTTATACAAATTCCTGTCGATTTCCTTGAATCCATCGAATCTGTCATCCAATTTTCGATCAGCAATCGTTGATTCGATTGTTTTTCGAACTACTGGCACATCAACTTTTGGTTTGAGAATTGGGACAAGCGTCATTTTCTTGAATTTAGGGTTTGAAAATTTTCCGAAATGAAAAAAAAGTTAGACTGTGCAATGAACTCTCGTCACGAAAACACCGCATGGCAGTGTAGAAGTACTGTAGTTTTCAGAGTCTCGCAACGCAAACACCGCCTGGCAGTTAAAAAATACTGTAGTTTTCTCACAACATGTCATGTTCCTTTGAGGTCTCGTAGCGAAGTACAAAAATACTTTCTTTTTTTCACGAAAAAAGTTTTTCACAGAAAAAGAGAAAAATGGCTGAATGGACTGCTTGTAATAGTTGTGCGATTGAGGCGAGCAAAACAACATTGGTTTTAACAACTTGTTATCATATTTTCTGCTCGCCGTGCTTCAAAAGAGGTAAGAAATTGATTTTTCCTTCAAAACTTCGAGAAAAAAAATTCCAGGCAAATGCCCGCTATGCAACATAAATGTTCAAACCATCGAAATCAACAAAAACTTGCCACCACATCTTTTGCAACTATTCCAAGATCCAAAAGATCGCGAAGCCGAAAATCATCGATTGGTAGCCCGTGTCGTCGAATTTCAAAGTTTTCATCGAACAAATTTATTGGAACTCGACAAGAAAAGCTTGGCCGAATCGAAGAGAAACTTGTTGAAACGGATAGCTGAAGTTGACGATGGAGAGAAACTGAAGGCGGCCAAATATAGTTTGGATAGTCGAGTTGCTCAGAAAAAAGTGCAATGTGCACAATTGGAGAAGTTGTGAGTCTTAAATTTTGCAACAAAACTATAAGGATCTAATTTTCAGGCTTGCTAAAGAAGAACGTGAAACGACTCAACTCAAACACGAAAAACAACGAATCCAGGAGCAAAAAAGAGCAATGGAGCAAAGAAAAAAGCTGCAAATTCAGCCGCGCGACAAGAAACCAAAAATCCACCGGGAAACTCAAAATTTTGCGCCAACTTCTGGCGAAGTTTTTCCAAGTTTTATGTTCGAATCTCCAACTCCATCATCTATGCGAAGTTCTTCTTCTTCAACATCGAATTCACTTGACAATAATTCATTTTTCGATTTCAATTTTTTGGGAATTCCAAGCTCAAAATCAAGATGTTCGGGTTCTTCAAGATCTTCAACTTCGTCTTCTTATCGATCCGATGAGCCGCTTTTTTGAGATGTTTGTATTTTTACTTGTATTTTAGATTTTCAAAGAGTTTTATTGGATTATGGACCCCAAAAAGTGCCGATTTTCCTAGATTTTTTTTGTTTTCTATCATGTATATTTCAGAGTTTTATTGAATTTTTCAAGATTTTTGTTCTTAATCATGTAAATTTTCAAATTTAAATCAAAATTGAGCTCTATTACTTGGCTCATAAATTTTCCATAATTAATTAATTAACAATTTATCATCAAGAATCACATTGCAAATCCACCAGTGACTTCTAAAGTCGCTCCAGTGATATACGAACTTTGATCGGAAGCCAGGAAAAGCGCGGCATTTGCAATATCTTCGGGAGAACCCATTTTTCCTTGAGGAATTGTTGCGATTATAGCTTGAAGCACTTTTTCCGGCATTTTTTCGGTCATTGGAGTGGCGATGAAACCAGGGAGGATTGAATTGACTCGAATGTTCTGGAAGAAAATTGGGATTTTCAGAAAAAATGTAATTTTTCACACATTTTCCTGAAAATCTAAGGTTTTCTCAGGAAAGGAAACTTTTTTAATTGTATGAAAATGATTTATAATTTTCAAAAATTTGAAATTTATTGGTAAAGCTTCAAATTCCTACAGAAAATCTCAAACTCTTTACTAAAAATCAATTGAAAAACAAAAAGTTTCTCAGAAATTCCCAAATTTTCAAACCTTCTTCGCCAATTCTTTCGCCGCAGATTTCGTGAATCCAACAACTCCCGCTTTTGTAGCCGCATAATTAGTCTGTCCAAAATTCCCAATTTTTCCCACAATACTCGAAACATTCACAATTGACAGCGGTTTTTCATTCGAGATCGCAAGTCTCGCCAACATTTTTGACATCAGAAATACACTCGTTAAATTCACATCAACAACTTCTTTCCATTGTTCCGTAGACATTTTCAAAAGTGTCGAATCTCTTGTGATTCCCGCACAATTTATCAGAATTTCTGGGGAATTTGGGATGGTTTCGATGAATTTTTGAAGATTTGCAACTTCTTCTTCCTACAAAATATGTTTATTCTCACTCGAAATTCAAAAAAACAAGGAAAATAACTAACCTTCGCCACATTTACCGCAAAATGTAGATGATTTTCACCTTTCAAAGCTTTCGCAGTGCTCTCTGCAGTTTCCTTCCGTAAATCTGCCACCAAAACTCTTGCACCTTGCTCCGCCAGCTTCTGGCATATCGCCTTTCCAATTCCTGAGCCTCCGCCAGTCACAACAGCTAATCTAGCAGCCAGCATTCTCGAAAAACTTTTTTTTTGTTGCAAAAAAAAACAAAAATTTTTTTTTCAAAAAAAATTAAAGCGCGACGAGACCCAACAAGAGAAACGTGTGCGCCTTGAACAATCCTACTGTATTGTGTGCAAACACCGAGCAACGTGGCAAATTCAAAACGTCATTTCTTGCCAGAAAATCGATATTTCGCGAGAAATGAACGTTGCGAATTGGATGGATCGATATAAGGTAACTATTTGATCTACTGTAGACGAAAAATATGTCGTAAAGTTCAGTGTTTCCACTGCACCGCCCGTATTTTTTATTTTTTCATTTCATTTCTTTTTTCTTCGTTTTTTCTTGATTTTTTCGTGATCTACTGGAAATGGGTGAGTATTTTGAATGATTAAATTTTTTCTCATTAAAATTTTAATTCCAGGTAAAAAAGAGTCCAGCCAATGTCCGGAAATTCCAATCGAATGCTACAAACCGCAAATCTACATTCCAGCAATTCCCAAGAAAAAAGTTGCAGTTCCAATCCCATTGAGATGCACAATTCCACCGAAACCACCTACAAGCCCAATCAAAAATCACACCAGATCTAAATATTATAATTATTATAAGCCTAGGCCTTGGCCAAATATATTTCGCAAGCCAAGATGTTATGCTTATGGGAAGACGGTTCATGTTTTACACGGTGTGAAATACGCAGATTTGTTCAAAAGCTATAAAGGAGTACCGGGTTTGCATAAAACTTACGGTGAAAATCATGAGAAATTGTCGATGGAGAAGCCTGAGCTACGAAATCGTCTGATGAAGATTGCGGTGAGGTTGCATTTTACAAGGGAACCTTTTCTACTCAACACTTCAAACCTTGATGAAATTTTGTCCAGAGGCAGCTTTTGGGGTCATAAGAACACCCTAAAAATTTAAGTTACCCAATGGACCTATGAGCCAAGTTCTGGGCTCTCAAAAACTCAAAAAAGGCCTAAAAGTGGTCACAAAAGTCATCATAGCTCCATTTCAAAAATTTTTTTGGGAGAAATAAAGTTTCAGATATTGATCAGCATAGTCGATTACCTAAAAGTACATCAATAAAAAACATTTTTTCGAAAAATTTTGAAGTTTTTTATTTTTGGGCTGAAAATTCATGAAAATTCATATGTGCCCCTGCTCATTCTTTTTTCCAAAATCAAAATTTTTTCTGAAAGTTTGATTTATTGATGGTTTTTGGGTAAATCGACCACGCTGATCATCATCTGCTTCTCAGTTTTTCATAAAATGGATCGAGAATTGAGTTATGACGTGTTTTATGAGCCAATTTTGGCAATTTTTGAACTTTTGAGAGCCCAGAACTTGGCTCATAGGTCCATTGGGTAACTAAAATTTTTAGGGTGTTCTTATGGCCCTAAAAGCTGTCTCTGGACAAAATTTCATCATGATTTGAAGTGTTGAGTAAAAAAGGTTCCCTTGTTAGAAAAATGACGCTAACTTCTTTCAGAACTTCCAAGATCCTCCCAAACTTCAATCCTCATGCCCCAACGAAATTCCCGAATTCCTCCGCCCCCTTGAAAACCCCATCGAATTCCCGGACTCTCCGGAATTCCACGGACCTGTAAAACTGGATTGGACCAAAGAACCTGAAGATATCTTGAATTCTGGTAACTTTTTTTCTTTTTTCTGATAATTATATGTAGTTTCATATAAATTTCACTCAGATATTTCGAAAGTTAGCGCAACTTTCGATGGTGTTCGAAAAGATGTGCCTGAATTTGTACCATGTCATAATTGTAATCAAACTATGAAAATTTGTTATAGAAGAGCGAGTTATCGTGGAGATATGAGAGTTTATCCGGCTTATAGGTGGGTTTTTGAAGTTATTTTGTGAATTTTTCGAATTTGATTTTTCCAGATGCTTGAAAAAAGGCTGTCAAACCTTCCGTTCGATCGCAAAAATGTTCGAAAAACCTGAAATCAACCAAAAATCCAGCCAGGATATGTATCTTCTCATGGATTCGCCAAAAGTTATTTAATGTCTTGTTAATTTTTTTGTTCAACAAAAACTGGAATAAAATATGTTCTTCTTGATGTTTTGACCTATTTCCGCACTCGAAAAAATCGATAAAATACCCATACATATTATTATTAGATAATAAATACATGCACGTCCTTTTCTCCCTTCTTTCCTTCGCTTGTGCATTTTTGCGTCGCGGTGTTTACACTGACCTGACACGGTTCTTCCGAGAAGACAGAAAGAATTGTTTGTTTGATTTATACTATGAGAGAAAAGGACTTGTTGTATTTATTTTTAGTTTAGTTTAGTAGTTTGTAAAATAGTTTTTTGATTGATAAATTTATCGATTTGTTAGGTGAATTTCTGGTTTCTTTGTCGAAAAATTCATTTTAATGTAGTTGAAAATTTATGACCTAGTTTGGAGTTTTTATCAAATTAATTGATTTTCTCTGATGTGATGAAAAATATGAAGTTTTATAGATTTTCAGTTTTTCTAGAAAAATCCATAATTTTTTGTTGTTGAGAAAATTGTACTTATTATTTAGTTTTTTAGAAATTGTTCTATGTATTTTTCCCGAAAATTGAATTAATCGATTTTGTTTTCAAAATATTTTGATTATTCACGTGAACTATGACGTGGCACTTTGAAAACATAATTTCAAGAATTTAAAAAATATTGTAAAATAATTTTTGAACGTGACCTTTTGAATCTGATATCACGAAACCCAAAAAATTTTCAATTTTTGAAATCTGCGGAGCAGAAAGTTGAGCTTTTTGACGAAAAGTATGTTTGAGACTGCATTTTCAATAATATTCAGTTATTTCTTGTTTTGAAAGATTCTGAACTTTTCTAGCCAAATTCATATTTCTCCCGTTAAATCCCAAAAATTCAAATTTTTCATTAAAGATCCGATCAATGCGATATGACCAAAATCGAATGAAAAACGTGTCTCAAATCATAAACGACAATAATTCGGATATGAGTGATTGGGGTGTTGGCACCAATGGTGTCGCAAACGGAAATGGAAATATTGGTGCAAGTTCGAAAAATAATGGAGCAATATTTTCACCGCCATCTTCAAGATATGGTGGAGAAGATGACGCTTCTTCAACAACTCATTCAAGGTGAGAAAAATGATAGATTTTTCACATAGTTTCCATAAAAAAATGAAAATAAATATTGATTATTTACACAGATGGTGATTTATGGGAAATTTGAAAAATCAGAATTTTGAGGGCGAAGGCAATTCAAGAAAAAATAATTTCAAATTGAAAATCATGAAAAATTTAGTCTAGAACTTGAAATTTTTAATTACACTTGTTAATTAAATTCTGGAAAACTATTGAAATTTAAATTTTACTTAGAAATTCTTAAAAATATCACGTTCAAACCAGAAAAAAAACCAGATTTCCTGTTTTGAATCCCAGAAAAAAAATCATTCCCCAATCTGTTTTCGGGACTCAAAAACCTTCAGAAATCCTCCAAATTTTATTTTATGTTCTCCAAGCCTGAAATTCAGGTTCTAGAATATTTTTTACTCGACAATATCATTTTTTCGAGGCATTTTAAGCTCTGAACTTTAAATTTGATGAATTCAAGCCAAATTTAAGGTCCTAAAGTCATTTTTCTTTTAAAATCCCCCAAAACCCCTTATTTTCAGACCCCGCCGAAGTCGCCTGGACAACGATATTCAACCACCGATGCCAATTCTCTACCCACGCCCACAACAACATTCCACCCGTAAACTTCCCAAAAACAACGGTGTTCCACGTGGAATCGATCCAAATATGGTAAATGGAAGGAGATCTGCTGGAAATCATGGATCACATAATGCAACTTTCAATGGATATGATTTGAATTATTCAAGAAGTAATTATAGTCTTCTAGGAAGATCGTATGCTAAAGATTATTCAAAAAGATCTGGGGGAGGTCAGATTTTGGCTCCCCGAAGGCCGAGATCTACTCTAGGAGCTGGACTGAATTATGAAAGTTATTCGACGTCTGGAGAAGAGCCAGCTGAAGAAAATCTAGAGGAAGATGGATCTGAAGGAGAATCTGAGGGATCTGAAGAGGAGGAACTTCGAAAATACTACCTCCAGGCTCAGAGAGCACAAGGATCGCGGAGTGTAAATTCAGCCTCGCAGGCATTTTTCGATGGTGGTGAAGCCTATTATTTTGGAGTTGTTCATTTGGATTTGGAACTCGTTGCTCATGTTATAAAAACGTGTCCGCCACCCAATGAATATTATGAATTGCAAGCTATCGAGAAAGTCGCTTATATTTTTTATTGTGCAGTTTACAAGAAACCATATCATAATATACAGGAATTTCACAAGGTTTTTAATCGCGAGTTTTATAAATTTGTTTGTGCGGGAGATAGCAATGATTTGGCGTTGTTCAAGGTGAGATTTGGTGGGGAATTTGAAAATTTTGAATTTTTCTAGCTAAAAATCAAGATTTTCGGGGAAATTTAAAAAAATAGGGTCTTCGAAACCTTGAAATCCTTGTACAAAATCAGTAACTTCAGGAAAATTTTTCTGAAAATCCAATTCAGCCTGAAAATTGAAAAGTTCTGGAATTTTTTGGTCTGAATCTAGCTAAAAATCCGAAATTTTGAGCCTAGAAATTCTCAAAAATGATTGATTTTTTCCTTGAAAATTTGTGAAATTCTGAATTTTAAGCCTGATTCAAGGCCTAATTTTAAGCCTAGATCAAGAAAGCCTTATTTCGAGCCTGACAATCCACAAATTCCATTCCAGATCTGCAAATCAATGCAAGACCAACATCGTCTGAAACAACTCGAAGAGTCCAAAAAAGCCTATGAAAAAGCTCAAAAAGAAGCCGCCGAAACCGCAAAATTGGATTTCAATAAATATAAAGGAGAAATCAGTGATGAGCATCATGTGGAAATAAATCAACCAGAAGAAGTGCTCAATTTCGGACCACTCAAATTCCATTCCGGACATGTTTTTGCGAATTTCGGAATTGGCGGGAAAATGGTGATTATTCGACCGGCTGGAAGTATTGATCCAACAAATGGACAAGTTTTTAGCACCGCGAATATTGGAGTGGAAGATTTGAGAACGTTTTTGGCGAAAGATGAACAAACGATGAGGGTTATTGAATTGGTGCAGAGTTTTAAAGGTCCCTTGATTCCTGGCCAAACTCCCACACATTCAGTTCGTCTTTATATTCAACGACAAATTGATGCGCTTCGAAATGTGGAAAAAAGTGGAGATGTGAAAAAATCGGAAATTGTTGATGCACTTTTGGTTTGGCAATTGTTGGAAATTATGGTTCAACAGCACGGGGTCAGTTGGATTTTTGGGTGGATTTTGATCCAGAAATTGCTCATTTTCCCTCTACAAAACCCCTAAATGCAATGTTTTTCAGCGAGTTACTGGACCCGATGTTGCAACTTTGTTGACAAATGCATCGGAAGAATTGGCGGAAAAAACTGGAGTTTCAGAAAGTTTGGAGAATTCTGCGAATTCGAACACTTCGAAATTGGAAGCGAAGGAGAAATTTAACAAATTTTTGCTTGGCGGACATGTTAATGTGAGAAAAATGGGGTGAAAACTGGGATTTTTGGTGAATTTCGAACTGAAAAATCACCGGAAAATGATAATTTTTAATCTGAAAAACCATTCAAAATCAGCTAAAATTCCTGAAAATCATCTGTAAATGATAATTTTCCACCTGAAATTCAAAAAATGTTCCAGGAAGCCATCGAAAGTGCAATTTCTGATGGATTATACGCTGACGCAATGACCCTAATTCGACGTATTTATCCAAATGATACCAAGAAAATTGAGGAAATTGAGACGCGTTTCTTGCATTTGAGATCGATTGATGATCCATATGCCACGTTGGTGGCTGTTGCACAAGATCAACCACCTCCGATTTTGGTGAGTGGTTTTGAGGAGGATTTGGGGAAAATGGGGTAGAATTTGAGATTTTTGAGACCAAATAAACAAATTTCGATGGAATTCGGAGCGTTTTGATATCTCATAAGCCTATAATTAAGAATTTAATTAGTGAATTTTCATTAAATTTACACATTTTGTTTTTCCAGTGCCTTAATTCAGTTGAAGCTTCAATAATTATTGATTTTTTGATACTAAACAAGTCTGGAAAGAAAAAAAAATCTGAAAACTTTCAAATTATCCGAAAATTGCTCATTTTTCTTCCCAAATTTCCAATATTTCCAGACGAATTCGGCATTCGACGATGATAATAACTGGAAACGCCACGCAGCTATAATTCTAGCAAATTTATCAAGTCCAACAGCAATGCAAACAGTTTATCATTTGGGATTAATGTTATCGAAAAGAGAACGACACTGCGCGGCTGATTTTTGCCTTTTGGTTGTGTGTATTTTGGCTGGATATGATCCGTTTTTACCATTGGGATATGCGTGAGTTTTTATGGATTTTGAGCTAGAATTTGTACGTTTCAAGGATTTTTCAAGGCTAGAAATTGTGAAAAGTCATTGGTTTTTTATATGTTTGACAAATTTTTTTTCAAAAACGCTGAGAAAAAAACAGAAAATTTTTGATTGTTGGTGAATTTGGAGCTGAACTTTATTGGAAATTTTTAGCTCATAAATTTACTGCTTGAAATATGCTGAAAAATAAGTTGTTCACTTTAAATTAGCGTTAACGTTGAAATTATGAGCTAAAATTATTTCCACTGAAAATTATGAAAAAATCCGATTTCTGACCTGAATTTCGAAATTTTCAAGGTTTTTTGGTGTGGGAAATTTATTCACAAAATTTTTAAACAATATTTTTTCTTTCTTTAGAAAAAATATATTATTTTATCAAAAATTAATGTTTTTATACCAAAATTTACCAAATTCCTTTGAAAATTCTTAAAATTCCCCATTTTTTCAGAGATGGCGAAGAAAAATCACGAAAACACATTGGCCTCATTCACTCTGGTTCTCATATTCTCAACAAAATTGACGGATTATCTGGAATTGCCGGCTTCTCATTCACTGATTTACACGCCACCGATATTTTCGATTTTGCACTTCGACTTTCGAATCCAACTTCAGAAACTCCTCTCGCAAAATCCAAAGAGTATCAAACAAATCGCCTAGAATACATTAAGAAAATTGCGAATTATGGGGGATTTGCGACTGATGCATTTAGATATTGTACAGAGGTTGCGAGATCGATTTGGCCGCATTTGGGAGCTGCGATTTTTGAGACGGAATATTTGGAGGAACTCGCGGAATTGGCGGAGAATTTGAAATATTTATCTGCAAGTCCAATTGGGGAAACCGAATGGATTCAAAGTTTGAGAGCTATGATTGGAGCTGGAAATTTGGTTGGAAGTGCTGAAAATGTCACTGGAAGTGAAATTCAAGCTGAAAATCATTCCCAGGCTCAAGCTCCAGAAAATTCACATGTCCAAGCTCAGACACAAAATCTAGCTGGAAATATTCCTCAAACTGAAATTACACCGGGAAATCTTGCTCAACTTCAAAACCATGCTGGAAATCATATCCCATCTCAAAATCAAAATTCCCAACCTCAAAAACCGGCTGAAATTCCACCTCTACCCAAAGCCCAGTCAAATTTCCAATCTGAAGCTGAAAATTGGCATCAGGACCGTCAAACACCGATCGATTTTGCACCCGCCAAATTCCAACAACCCGACGATTTTTCTAGCGATTCAGCAACTTTGGAAGAGGATTCGGTGACTCTCACCGAATCTACAGAAACTTCACTGGTTTCTGCTCCACCGGCTCCACCAAAAATTGCACCAATTCCTCCACCAGCTATCGTTCGCCCGCCAATTGAAATTCCTGCGCCAAAACCACCCCAGCCAACATTGGAAGCCAAATCGCCGCGCAGTGAATTGGAGGATTTGTGGGCACAAGCTCCGCCGGCAGTTGCACCAAAAATTGCACCAAGAGTTGCGCCAAGTCATCAAGCACCACCACAGGAGCAAAAACAACAAAAACCGGAGCCAAGAAGAGAGAAGATTGGAGAGGAGGTAAGGGTTTTCGGGATGAAAATTTGAAAATTTTGAAGTTTAGATCTTCATAAATCTTAAAATTAGCATTTTTGAGCTGAAAATGAACTTGAGAAACATTTCAAAGTTTTATTATGATTTTTGAGCTGAATATGAGCTCATGATAGAAATTTTGATCAAAATTTATCTTTAGGCGTGTTTTTCAGCTTTAAATTATACTGAAAATGAAGATTTTTAAGGATTTTGGGTGGTTCGGGGATGAAAATCTGGAAATTTCAAATTTCAACTCAAAATTGAAGTTTACACATTCATAAACCTTCAAAAAATTAGCATTTTTGAGCTGAAAATAAACTTGGGAAACATTTTCGAATTTTGATTTTGGGCTAAAAATGAGCTCATGAAATTCCCCAAATTATACTGGAAATTGAAATTTTGAGCTGAACACTTTCAGCTTAAAGTTAGGCTTAAAATTTAGCTCAAAATTCAATTTCTGATCTGAAAATTAGGATTTTCTAGGAATTTTTATTTTACAAGCAAGATTTTTGAACTTAAAATTCAAATCAGAAAAAAAACATTTCACGAAAAAAACCTGGAATTTTTACATATCTCATTTTCTAGCCTAAATCTTCCAAATTCCGTCAAAAAATCTCTAATTTTTCCAGAAATCCGCGCCTTCGCTTGGAAATGATCGAAAATCGTCAAGTTGCCGTGGATGGTTTGGTTCAATTCGAGAAAAAGTCATCAAATCAATTCCCTCGAACAATGCAATGATTTTACCGGATGATTCAAAACCTGCTATAACTTGGGATCCGATATCGAAAAAATATATTGGAGCTGGAGTTGAAGAAGAAGTTGTTGCACCACCACCGCCAGCTATGAATATGGAAATCGCACCAAATTTGGCCACGAATCCAACAATTTCGACGAATTCCAGTACAAATAGCTTGAGAAGAGGTGGAGCGTCGAGATATTTGAAAGCGACTGGAATTGCGACAAGTTCGAATTCGGCTGCTGGAGCTGCGAATTTGGCGGCGCCTGATATGATGATGGCAATGATGCCACCAACTGCGGCACCCAATTTTGGATTTATACCAGCTGTGCCAAGTGATGAATCGGATGGTGAGTAAGGGAGGGATTTGGAGCATTTTGAGTGTAAATATGACTATTTTTGGAGGTTTTCAAAGGAACATACAGTAATCCTGAGATTTTTTAATGAAAATTGACGAAATTTGAAGGTTTTTAAAGGGACATACAGTAGTTCTGAGATTTTTCAATGAAAATTAAGAGAATTGCTTATTCTAAACCTACTTACAGTATTTTTAGAAGTATTATTCGGTTTTTGATCTCGAAATGTTCAGCTCACCGTATTTTTTGAATTTCAAAGGAACATACAGTAATCCTACTACAGTAATCCTGATTTTTTTACCTGAATTTTTTTCGGATTAGGGCTCGTTTTGAAGCTATTGAAATTCTTTACGAAATGAGCCCAAATTTTATTTTTGAAAAGTTTTGAATTTTGTATGAAAATCCCGAAAATTAAAGATTTTCGGCTGAAGAAAATTTCATCATAAATTTTATTTATGCTCATTTAGAGCCCAAATGTCATTTTCAAAAATTCTAAATTTTTTGCTGAAAATCCCGGCTGAAAAAAGTACTTTAATAATTTTCCTAATTTTTGCAGAAGCCTCAAATATTGATCCATTCAGTGCTCAAACCGAAACGACAACGAATCAGGCGAATAATTAGGCATTTGAGCCCGATTTCTAGGCTTCTAGGGCTCAAAAGCTTATTTTTCATGTCTAGAAGCCTGAAATTAGGCTCAGAGCCTAATTTTCAGGCCCTTTGCCTATTTTTATATTAATCTGGTCTTCTTTTTTTATTTATTGATTTTTGATTCATCGATTTTTTTCCCTTCATGTCAAAATGAGTTTATTTATTGATTTTTTCTGTGATTTCTATTGACTTCTATTGATTTTTTCCTCTGTTGTGAAGCCCCGACCCTTTTCCCCCTTTCCCCCTTTTTAAGCCCCCAAAAAATTAGATTTTCAAAAAATTTACGGTTTTTATAGTGTAAAATAAATTTAAATTATCGATTTTTTGCGTGCTCCAATTTAAAAATTCCCCCAAAAAAAAATTCAGAAAAAAACGAGATTTTCGATCATTTTGCGATTATTATGTATCAACCTGATGTGAGTTTAGAAAAATCTGAAAATTTCTGAAAATATTGATTTTTTGTTGCAGTCTTGGTTTTTGGTGCTTTTCGAGCTCATTTTGGTCGGCTCCGCCCTCTACAATTCTCTCAAATTGACGCGTTTATGGAAGATTTTGAATGGTATACGGTAGTTTTAAAAGGGCGCGGGAGTACTGTAGGGATCACTCCAATTTTTAAAGGGAGCTACAGTAACCCTGGGAAAACCTACAGTACTCATATTTTCTAAAATGATTTCATTTTTAGCTACCGTAATCCTCAAATTCTACAGTAATCATAGGAATATAATTTGAGAGCTACAGTATCCCTATCATTTTCTTTTTCCAGACGGGACCCGTGTTCAAATTCAAGGCGCACAACGTGCACCATCAGTTGCCACGTATTTCTCATTGAACAGCAATGTTTCGACAAAAAATAAGAAGGTAATATTATTTTTGATCTACAGTACCCTTGAACTACAGTATTCTTTTTGTAGGTCTCGAGCAGAAGAGTTGCTCGTTTAGATTCGATGGGAGATGTTCCGGAATCGTTGGTCGATGAATTGGTCATGTCAAATTAGAAGAGCCTTTTGAAAATGTGAAAATGAATTGATTTTTGATGATGTTCCTTTAAATTTGGATACTGTAGATGAAAATTAGAGTACTGTAGATGAACCTTTGAATTACAGTAGATTTTGAAAAGCGGATATAGGGACAAAGCAGCGGGATTCGAAGCCACAAAAGGAGGGTTGAATGATAGACATAGTTCTTCCCGCCTACACCACGCGTGTAAATCTAGAAATGCAGCGCGAAAGTGTTGCAGTTTTTTCCTGTTTTTCTTCAAATTTGCAATTTTTCCTTGTTTTAAAAAACGTGATGCTAGGGAATTAAAGTAGAAATCAGTTTTTTTGCCATCAGAAAATTTTCGAAATTGATGTTCAAAAACATTTTTTTGAATTAAAAATTCCCGTGTGATCTACTTTTGAAAAATTTATTGAATAACAAAAATGGAACATTTTCAACAACAAAAACAAAATTTAACAACATTCAAAAAATATTTTGAATAAAAGACTGACCAAAATCCAACATTCAACTAGATGAATTTGAGTGAAGCGGTGAAGAATCGAATTTTGGTGGAGTCTTTGAGAGTTTTGAACTCTGGTTTATCGGCAAAATCCTTGAATTCTTTTGCGGTTTTCAATGAATCAATACATGCTTGCTGGAAAAATAAAATTAAGTTTAAAACAAATTCGACTATAAAAAATAATTTCAAGTTTTGCGCAATTTTCAATGTTTTTTTTATAAAATGGCAAGTTTGAAAAACTAGAGAATAACTTACCATCAATCTATCATCTGATTCAAGTTTTTCAGCACTTCTGACTTTAACAATCAATGGAATCGTTGTTGAATTCATTCCTACATCCAAGCATTTCTTGAACAAAGGACCAGCGTTCAAGCGATGAGCAAGATCAACTAACGCGCCAAAATTATTAGCTGAAAAAATGTTAACGGTATTTAATATGATTTCTCGTTTTATCAAACTAACATGTTATTTGAATCGGATCCGGATGAACTGCTGCGAGAAACATTGCAAAATCTTTGCTATCTGTAGATAGCAAATTCAGCTCTGATGCAGTTAAATGATCTGCTAAAAACTTCGAATTCATAGCCAATAACTGAAAATTTAGGTGAATAGTAAAGTTTTGCGGAACTTAAACCCTTACCGCTTTATTAGTAAAGAACTTATCTTGACCAACGATGACAGCAAAATCCCTATAGTTGATACTACTTTGATCAAAGTTATAAAACTTGAGATCAAAGATATAACTAATTGTCGAGGATAAGTTTTGAACATAATCAGTAGTATAAAAATTCTTCCATTCCATAAAAGTGTAAAGTCCATAGGATGTGTTTTTACTTGTCATAAACAAAGGATTGGCGAAACCTTTTTTGAAAGTTGTACCATCCGCCTTGTGAACACTAAATGATGCTTTAACTTCGCAAATCCAGTTTGTAACAGAAACCGATGGTGAGACTTCGAGAAATGGAACAAGATATGCCACATTTGAGGTGTCGGTGTTTTTGAGTAATCCAGATTTCCTGGAAATTAATAGATAGTTTCATGAACATTTCATTTTATTGTGCATCTGATCTGTTAACGTTTGCAGAATCATTGACCAGAAAACTGAAGGGATTTTTAAACAATATTTATCAAATAATTATTTTTTTCTAGAATCTATATTTTTTTGACATAAATTTTTTATCGTTTTCTCACAAAGATGAATTCGAGTACACAATGTTGCTATTTTTTTAAACAACTCACCATATGAAGCCGTCGATTTTTATTTCTTGTCCATAAACACTTCTATTAGTCAATTCATTGACTTTGGTGAATGTGGACTTGATTTCTTTTCCAATATGAATTATTGGATTCATTTCTGAAAAAAAGAGTTTGATTTCTCATGCCTTCATCAATTTCAACAAACCGGAAGATCAGAATTCTAGAAATGCTCGTTTTCGCGAAGCTTCGTCAAATAAAATTAATTGAAATTAAAAAAACTCAAAATAACGATGAGCAATACCGTTCGTCACGAGACCATACACACAGTATACAAACATGTTCCTAGAAACAGTATTTTTTATTTTTTCATTGATTAAAGTTTTTTATTCAAAATAGAAGAAAAGGCAATTAACTAATGAACCAATGCAGATTAATTTTTTTAATAAAAAATAACTTTCCCTATCCAGAAAAACGTCCTAAAACAAAATATACAGTTTATTTTTTTAATGTTATCAACGTCAAAATAGTTGGCACTAGCGTAAATCGGAAAGCTAGAATCAAAATCTTTCAGCACGCGCGGTTTGCAATGCGACAGAAAATAATCAAATTAAATATTTTCCAGTCTAATTCTTTGTTTCGAAATATATCCGCTGACGTGGCAATTGAATTTTCAAGCCAGCCACAGGCATAAATTTCTGACTTTTTTTTCCCGTCGGCTCCGCCTCCTGCCACGATTACACGTTTCACGTTTTTAAAATAATTTTTTCGTTTTCATCGTTTTTTCTTCACTAAATTTCGAAATGCAAAAAATCAGAAATAATTATTCATTGAAAAAAAACGTGCCGCACCTTGCCAAATAAATCCCGCCTCCCGATTCACGCGAGAATTTGTTTTTCTGCGACAGGAATTTCTGAATTAAAAAAGTCAAGAATTTATGCCTGTGCCAGCAAAATTTCAGAATTGCATAATCAAACAATTTCCACGTGGAATTAGATTATTGTCCTTCTTGGCGCCGCAATATTAGATGTTGAAGCTTTCCAACATGTTCTTTTGAAGTGTACAGTTTTTCAAATTTTTCTCCTGAATATTTCTCGAAATGTAAAACAATAAATTTGGAAAAAGTCAGAATATTTTTCAAATAAATAAATTTTCCCGATGAAAAATGTGACTTTTTTCAGGGAACAAGCTCCCCTTTAAAAAAGGGCAAAAAAGCACTCACCGACAAATTGCTCAGCCACCCATCAACACAACTTTTTTAATATTATTTCCTACTTTTTTTTGTGTGTGAGTGTGTGTGAAGCTAGGGTTTTTTCACGCCAATTTTTGATTTTTAAAAATTTTGAAAAGTAGAATGAAAAAAAAGTAGAAGAAATCCAATTCTAAAATTGGGGCTAAATTTTGAGTTTCAAAAAAATATTATTTTCAAAATATAATGCCACGTGGATTTTTCGCGCCATTTTTTTTTGATTTCGCGGTTTCAAAAGGATTTTGAAAATTTCAATGACGTCACTTTTCGTAAATTACAGTAGTCCAATAATTTGTTTCCAAGCTTGCAGCAAAAAATCCACGTGGCACAATTCTTTGAATTGAAACTTTTGAGTTAAAATTTTGAAATTTGGGCTTAAATTGTTTTTTCCACGTGGCAATAACAAATAAGATTCTTGTCTCTAATCTAATTTTCAAGATTTGAGGCTTCTTCTATTTTTCAACTAAAAAATGACGCATTAGTCTCAAATGTGATCTCCAAAAAATTATCGATTTTTTTCACTTCTGTTAATTAAACTTCCCATAACTTGTAGATTTTCCACATATTATTTTTACTATGAAATTTTGATTTTGAAATGTAGAAAAATCGGTTTGAAAATGGGAATCACTTAAAAAATTCGTCATTTTCTGGTTCGAGAAAAAAATGATAATCTTGATGTTCTTGAAATTCTGAGGATTAGATTAGATACTGTGGAATTAGTGGACTTAGCTTATGAGATATCAGAAAACAATTTGACGCCGAAAATAAGTTAACCGCGAGCTTCCGCGCACGCGGAAGCTCCAACAAAAAATCGATCCCTCCAAGAAATCTGAAACCAAAAAAAAAAATATTATTTGTCATTTTGCTGTCACCTTTTCCGTTTTGGTTCGAATTTCGAGACTTTTTATTTTTATGCACAAAAAAGTGCATTTTTGGTTTTTTTTTGGAAAATGAAGTGAATTTGAGAACTTTTGTGAACGTTTTTTTTGGAAATTTTCTAGAGGGTACTGTAGAGGGTTTTAAAGGCGCATTTTTTCAAAAACCTACAGTACTTCTCAATTTTTTGCGCCAAATTCAAATTTTCAGGTCCCAACACGATTGTTTCCTTAAAAATTCCTGGAATTCCAGTTTTCCCTTATTTTTCTTCATTTTTTGATGAGATTAGGATTATCTGATGAATATTCATTTCATATTTATTCAAAAATGCTAATCCGAAATTGATTTTCTTTTAAAGCAAAATTTTTTTGCTCGAAAAAAAATGCAAAGTTTTGTGATGTGTAACTAACACATCTCATTAGTTGATTAAAAAATCTTGTTTTTTTCATGTTTTTTTTTGAAAAATGAAAAATTTCATGTTTTTCAAAAAAATATAGAAGATCTACAAAAAACTTTTCTTTGAAATTTTTGAATTTCAAAAAAATTTTTAGCTACAGTAGCCAAGATGAATTAATATATTCAAATTTTAGGTTAAAACTCTGTAATTCAAAAATTTTGGACACAATTTAGCCACGTGGATTTTAAGGTATTCAAATTTGAGCCTAACCCTAACTCTAAACCTAAAATTTATCAAATAAAGTTAAGCCTAAGCCTAAGGGTTAAGCCTATACCTGGTCTGAAAATTTTAGGCCTAACTAAGCCTAAGCCTAAAAAATATAAAATTAGTGTCAAACATAAATAAATGCTGGCCAAAATCGAATTAAGTATTAAAATATTCGTGTTTCTTGTCTCAAGCAAGCAAAAAAAATAAAATAAATTATCGTTTTCCGTTGCATTTTCGCTTTTCGCGCGCGTTTATTTTTTTTTTTGACGCCGATATATATTTTTTATGTTTGACTTCTTCTCGTCGCCCCCCTACTTTTTTCTACTCTGAGCAATTACTTTTTTTTGCCGTGCTCACATCAGAACCACTCTTCTTTTTTTCACAACTTTTTGTTGTCTGCAAACAATCGAGAAAATGGGACCTTTTTTGAGTTTTGTGAAAAAAAAGTTGGAAAAAATCTAGGATTTTTTGGTGTCAATAGAATTTTCATGAAATTTTACAGTAGAGAATTTATTTTAAAAGTTTTGAAATTCAAAATTCCACGTGGAATTGAAGATCTGGAATTCACAGTAACTCAAAGCTGAACTACACTAATTCTAGATTTTTCGACACTAAACTTCAACAATTTTGTCACGTGGCAAATCTTATTCAAAATGTATTCCAGAAAATGACACAAAACATCATGTTCCTTTGAATTCAGGATTACGGTAGCTCTAAAAATTTGAAATTTGAAAATGAGATTAGGAATCCCAAAATTCCACGTGGCAAATTTTAAATTTCGAAATTTTGATAATTATCCGAATTTTTTAAATCAATGTTTCATCTAAAATTTGCCACGTGGAATTTTCTTGACGTCAAAACTCGATATATTTTCCATTTCGATATCCCGCCGCCCTCATATATTTTTTTATTTATGTTTTATTTTTTTTTCTTCTTTCCCTAGCAGAGCTCTGAGAGCTCTGCGCGACACCTCGATTTCCTATTAATGTCAACTCCATGTCGCTTTTTTCCTCCCTCTTTTTTCCACTTTTTTTGCGCGAGGCGAAAAAAAAGTTTGTGAAAAAACTACGGTAGCATAAAAGTAGATTTTTTCTCCCATGTTCCTTTGAAGTCCTTTAGATTACTGTAGTGTTTCTGTGCCACGTGGCATATTTTTCATCTTGCAAAATCTTGTCATGTTCCTTTAAACCCTCCAGATTACTGTAACTTCAATTGCCACGTGGATTCCAAATAATTTTAATCAATTTTCTGACTGGCCCCGCCAAAAAGTGCAAAATCTCAACGAAAAAAAATTAATATCCGTTTTTTTCGCCCAGCCAAAATAAAATCAAATCATAGAAAAAAATAACTCAATTTTTTTTCAGCATTCAGCTGAAAAAAGCAGGTGTCAAAAAAAGTTTTTCCAATTTTTTTTTGATTAAAAATTTCTTTTTCTGTTTTTTTTTCCGCGTCAATTCGAATTAGTGTGACTTTTTTATGGATAAAAAGAAAGAAGTCGCAATTTTTTTGAGCAGAAACAAAAAATGAAATTATTTTTTTTAGTTTTGCTGCTCCTTTAAATTGCCTAAGACTACTGTAGTTAGCGTATATAGGAGCTACAGTAGGCTAGAGGATTTTTAAAGGAACATGCTATATTTGAAGCTATAGAAGTTTATTATGCGCCTTTAAAAATCACAGTAATCTTTCTTGATGGTAGTTTTAAAGGAGCATAACATTTTTCGACAATTTTCATCATGTTCCTTTAAAGATTTAAAATACCGTATTTTTTGGCGCGAAAAAATTAGTTTTTCAAAATTTCAAAAATTAATTTTTTATTTTTCATCTGAAAAACTTTCCAATCCTATATTTTCGCCCAAAAAAATTGGCTGGCGTCTCGCCAAAAATCCATAAATAATAAACTTGTTTCGGAAGTTGAGAGAGGTCCTTTTTTAGGAGTATCATAAAAATATTATTGACAAAAAAAATGTTTTTTTTTGGGAGCAGCGAAAAAAAAATTGTTGTATGTCCCTTTAAAGCTCTACAGTACCCTTTATATTTTTATCTATCAATTTTATCTAATTTTTCCAAATTTCCACCCAAAAAAATTCAAAAATTTTCAGATTTTCAGCCGAATTTTTGGCTGAAAACATGTCATCTTGGAATGATGCTTGGGACAAAGGAAAACAAATGGTCAGCCAACCGCTAGCAAAGTAAGTTTTTTTGTGCCAGCGAAAAAATGACTTCCGGTGCTAAAAAGCTTTCAATTTTTGGTGGCGAAAAAAAATGGATTTTTGAGTGATTTTCAGCCGGAAAAAGTTCATATTTGCTCATTTTCCATGAAATTTAGCTCGAAAAACTTGAATTTTTCATGAGAAATTCGATTTTTTCACCATTTCCACGGCAATTCTTCATTTTTTCTTTCAGAATGACAAGTTCTTCTCCACCCCAACAAATGCAAATGCAAGAAGACCCTAATGCAACAGGAAATCCAATGCAATCGCATTCCAACAAAATTTTGCAGGTGATTTTCAGAGTTTTGGGCTGAAATTTGGAAGAATTTCTGAGTTTTGATAGGAATTTCGAGATTTTCATAAAATTTTGAGCAAAATGAGTGCGAATTTTCCACGTGGCAAAAAAACGAAAAAATCTGAGATCTTTTCAAATTTCGCACTGAAAAATGCTTTTGCCACGTGGTAATTTTTTTTCAAATAAAAAAAATGAAACCTGCGTCTCTAATCTCTCTGGTTTCTCTAACTCTCTAACCTCTAGAACCCCGCAAAATTTGAATTTTCTAATTTTTTCTGCAAATCATCTACCATTTTTTGAAAAATTCAAATTTCGCACCGAAAAATTCTTTAGCCACGTGGGAATTTTTTCAAAAAAAAAAAAAAGAAACCTGCGTCTCTAATCTCTCTAGCTTCTCTGGTTTCTCTAACCTCTCTAACATCTCTAACATCTCTACCCCCGCCAAATTTGAATTTTCTAATTTTTTTCTGCAAATCATCTACAATTTTTTAAAAAATCAAATTTCGCACCGAAAAGTGCTTGGGAATTTTTTCAAAAAAAAAAAAAATGAAACCCGCGTCTCTAACATCTCTAACCTCTCTAGCTTCTCTGGTATATCTGGTATCTCTAACCTCTCTAACCTTTCTAGCTTCTCTAACCTCTCTAACCCCGCCAAATTTGAAATTTCTAATTTTTTCTGCAAATCATCTACCATTTTTTGAAAAAATCAAATTTCGCACCGAAAAATTCTTTTGCCACGTGGGAATTTTTTCAAAAAAAAAAAAAGAAAACCTGCGTCTCTAACCTTTCTAGCTTCTCTGGCCTCTCTAAGTTCTCTAGCTTCTGTAGCCTCTCTAGCTTCTCTAACTTCACTAACCTCTCTGCCTTTCTCCAGGTAATGGAATCCACGTGGATCGGAAAATGTCGAAAACGTTGGATTTTGGCAATCCTTGCCAACATGGGTTTCATGATCTCATTCGGAATTCGTTGCAATTTCGGTGCCGCCAAAACACACATGTTCAAAAACTACACAGATCCTTGGGGTAAAATGCATATGCACGATTTCAATTGGACAATCGAAGAAGTGAGTGTAATGGAATCCTCATATTTCTATGGATATTTGGTGACTCAAATCCCCGCCGGTTTTCTTGCCGCCAAATTTCCGCCCAACAAATTGTTCGGTTTTGGAATTGGTGTCGGCGCATTCTTGAATATCATTCTTCCTTATGGTTTCAAATCGAAAAATGATTTTCTGGTTGCTTTCATCCAGATTTGTCAGGGTCTTGTGCAAGGTGTTTGTTATCCGGCGATGCACGGTGTTTGGAGATATTGGGCACCGCCGATGGAAAGATCGAAATTGGCTACGACTGCGTTTACTGGAAGTTATGCGGGAGCTGTGTTGGGATTGCCGTTGAGCGCGTTTTTGGTTTCGTATGTTTCGTGGGCTGCACCGTTTTATCTTTATGGTAAGGAGAGATTTGGGAGCGGGAAAAGTACAGTAATCGAACTGCAAAAATTTAGAGAAAATTTTTGAATCAATTCATTTTTTTGTTGAGAATCTACAGTAATCGGACTGCAAAAAAATTAAATTTAGTGATCTACAGTACTCAAACTGCAAAAATCTTGGCGAAATTTCTGGAACCAACTCTTTTTTCTTTGACAATCTACAGTAATCGAACTGCAAAAAAACATAGCAGTTTAGGGATCTACAGTAATCAAACTGAAAAAATCTAGGGAAACATTTTAAAATAAATTTTTCAAAATTATCTACAGTATTCGAACTGCAAAATCTAGGGAAAATTTTTGAAACAACTATTTTCTGAGAACCTACAGTAATTAAACTGCAAAAATCTAAGAAATTTTTTTGGAACCAACTCATTTTTTCTGAGAATCTACAGTAATCGAACTGCAAAAATCTAATTGTAAGGAAAAATTAAAATCCAACTCTTTTTTTTTTAGAAAATCTACAGTACTCAAATTACAAAAAAAACAATGAATTTCAGCCCTACAGTACTCAAACTACAAAAATCTAGGGAAAATTTCGGAAACAATTATTTTCCTGCTGAGATCCTACAGTAAACGAACTGCAAAAAAAAACAGCAGTTTAGAGATCTACAGCAATCGGACTGCAAAAATCTAGGAAGATCTTTTTGGAAACTTTTTTTGAGAATTTACAGTAATCAAACTGCAAAGTAAAATAATCAAACTACAAAAAAAAACTCACCAAATTGTCGATCTACAGTACTCCAACTGCAAAATCTTCTTGCAGGTGTGTGTGGTGTAATCTGGGCAATTGTCTGGTTCTGTGTCACCTTCGAAAAACCCGCCTTCCACCCGACAATTTCACAAGAAGAGAAAATATTCATCGAAGATGCCATCGGTCATGTCTCAAGCTCACATCCTACGGTATGTCTTCAGAAGTTTTCGCGCCAAAAAATCAAAATTCAAATTTCCTCTGCAGATTCGCTCAATTCCTTGGCGCGCAATTGTGACCTCAAAACCAGTTTGGGCGATTATTGTGGCGAATTTTGCGAGAAGTTGGACGTTCTATTTGTTGCTTCAGAATCAGTTGACTTATATGAAAGAGGCACTTGGAATGAAGATTGCTGATGTGAGTTTTTCCGCAAGCTTCCGCGTCGCGGCAAAGTTCTTCGCGGAGGCGAAAACAACGATACTCCGCATTTACACCTGGAAAAATCCAAGTGATTTTCTGAACGCAGCTAACCGCTGCGCGGAATTTTCCGCTTCCCAACCCACCTTTCTTTTTTCAGTCCGGAATGCTCGCCGCAATCCCTCACTTAGTTATGGGAGTAGTTGTATTATTCGGTGGCCAACTCGCCGATTATCTTCGCTCCAATAAAATCCTCTCAACAACCGCCGTCCGAAAAATCTTCAATTGCGGTGGATTTGGTGGCGAAGCTCTGTTTATGTTGGTTGTGGCTTATTCGACATCGGACACTTCGGCTATGTTGGCATTGATTGCGGCCGTTGGAATGAGTGGATTTGCGATTTCTGGTGAGTAGAGAAGAAAGATATCAAATTTCATATTGAACTTTGATGTAAAGCTGAATTCAAAATATAAAAAGGGATTTCGAGACCCTGAAGATATGAAATCAAACAAATTAAATTTTAAAATTCATAACAATTTTAACACAACAAAACACTCGATCAAACAAAATCCAAAATACGCATCATAATACGCCATTTCGTATTATCTGTCAACAACGAGAAATTTGGTTCGCTCATCAGATTTTTGATGTCCTTCGCAGATCCTATCGATTCGATTATTTTCCTCATCAACATATCAAAACCATTTTCATCAGCGAGTTTGATTTTAAGAATTCTTCTCGAAGTTGTATTTTTCGTCATCAGGTATTGCTCGCAGGAATGGTAAAGTAATTGAACACCGAAATCTTTGGCGATTTTCAGGAGATTCTTGTATGTATTTTCTTCAATTGAACTGAAATTCGGGTTGAATGGAATGAGAATATAGCAGAAGTCTGTTGATTTTATATTGTCCAATGTGATGACAGTTTCAGTAGATTTTTGAGTGATGAACAAATCATAAAAATATTTCGACTTCGAGCACAAAACCTGGAAATAATTGAATAATTACTGTTCTTCCACGAAAATGAAGAGCGGCGGTGTTTGCACACTTTTCGCAGCTACCGTATACAAATTGGAGGGAGTTTAAAAAACAATTTTTTTCTTTTCTTTTTTTTCAATTTTTTTCGCGGATTTCGTTTGTTCGTGGTTTATGAGTCAGAACGCCAATTTCATCAGGATGTCTTGTGCTCATCTGAAAGCCCGTCTAAAACTGGTCATTTCGCTGTGAATAGATAGTCATGAAAATGAGAAACCGACGAGGCACAGGCGTCGAAAGGGAAAATGCACACAACATGGCAAACACACATTTTCAAGTTGAGACTTGGTGTTTTTTAGGTCGATAGATTTCAGTTCATTGTCAATCAATTTCAGTCATCTATATATCAATCGAACCAGAATTTTACGGAGAACAATCTCATCTTTATGGATTTCAACAATTCGATTGCTTTCGACTTTATTTTGGACTGAAATTTGAGTTTTTTGGATTTTTGAGGGTTTTGGGAGGGGTTTTCTGATTTTTTCGCAATTTTTTATCTATTCAATGCTGGAAGTTGCTCTACAGTCTAATTTCACGATATTCGACCATCCAATCTGATTTTCAACTTCGAATCACACAATTTTGGCCTGAAATTTGAGTTTTTTGGTATTTTTGGGGGATTTGGGACATTTTCTTCAGATTTTTTCGGAATTTCTGATGAATTCAGTGCTGGAAGTTGCTCTACAGTCTAATTTCACGATATTCGACCATCCAATCTGATTTTCAACTTCGAATCACACAATTTTGGCCTGAAATTTGAGTTTTTTGGTATTTTTGGGGGATTTGGGACATTTTCTTCAGATTTTTCGGAATTTCTGATGAATTCAGTGCTGGAAGCTGCTCTACAGTCTAATTTCACGATACTCGACCATCCAATCTGATTTTCAACTTCGAATCACACAATTTTGGCCTGAAATTTGAGTTTTCTGGTATTTTTGGAGGATTTGGGACAATTTCTTCAGATTTTTTCGGAATTTCTGATGAATTCAGTGCTGGAAGTTGCTCTACAGTCTAATTTCACGATACGCGACCATTCAATCAGATTTTCAACTCTGGATCACAGGATTTTGGGCTAAAGTTTGAGTTTTCTGGATTTTTCTTGAATTTTTAGTGCAGGCAATCTCTGCAAATTCACAAGTAAACTGATTTAATGACTTATTGATAAGTTCGACCATCTAGAACAACTTTCTATGATTTTGTGATTCAAGTAAATATCTCAAAATAACTAGCTTATATAAAAAATGAAAATTTGAAAAAGGTCGAATTTTGTGACATTTCGAAAAAATCCTCTCTCAAATACCCAGAAAAATCGAATTTATACTACTAAAAATCGTGTGATACAGGGTTGGAGATTGAATTGGATGGTCGAATTTCGTGAAATTAGATTGTCGAGGAACTTTCAGCGCCTAATTCATCGAACATTTCGAAAAAAGCTGAAGAAAATCCCTCAAAACCTTTAAAACCGAAAAAAAACTCGAATTTCAGTCGAAAGTCGGGTGATTCGAAGTTGAAAATCAGATTGGATGGTCGAATTTCGTGAAATTAGACTGTAGAGCAGCTTCCAGCACTGAATTCATCAGAAATTCCGAAAAAATCTGAAGAAATTGTCCCAAATCCTCCAAAAATACCAGAAAACTCAAATTTCAGGCCAAAATTGTGTGATTCGAAGTTGAAAATCAGATTGGATGGTCGAATTTCGTGAAATTAGACTGTAGAGCAGCTTCCAGCACTGAATTCATCAGAAATTCCGAAAAAATCTGAAGAAATTGTCCCAAATCCTCCAAAAATACCAGAAAACTCAAATTTCAGGCCAAAATTGTGTGATTCGAAGTTGAAAATCAGATTGGATGGTCGAATTTCGTGAAATTAGACTGTAGAGCAGCTTCCAGCACTGAATTCATCAGAAATTCCGAAAAAATCTGAAGAAATTGTCCCAAATCCCCCAAAAATACCAGAAAACTCAAATTTCAGGCCAAAATTGTGTGATTCGAAGTTGAAAATCAGATTGGATGGTCGAATTTCGTGAAATTAGACTGTAGAGCAGCTTCCAGCACTGAATTCATCAGAAATTCCGAAAAAATCTGAAGAAAATGTCCCAAATCCCCCAAAAATACCAAAAAACTCAAATTTCAGGCCAAAATTGTGTGATTCGAAGTTGAAAATCAGATTGGATGGTCGAATATCGTGAAATTAGACTGTAGAGCAACTTCCAGCATTGAATAGATGAAAAATTGCGAAAAAATCAGAAAACCCCTCCCAAAACCCTCAAAAATCCAAAAAACTCAAATTTCAGTCCAAAATAAAGTCGAAAGCAATCGAATTGTTGAAATCCATAAAGATGAGATTGTTCTCCGTAAAATTCTGGTTCGATTGATATATAGATGACTGAAATTGATTGACAATGAACTGAAATCTATCGACCTAAAAAACACCAAGTCTCAACTTGAAAATGTGTGTTTGCCATGTTGTGTGCATTTTCCCTTTCGACGCCTGTGCCTCGTCGGTTTCTCATTTTCATGACTATCTATTCACAGCGAAATGACCAGTTTTAGACGGGCTTTCAGATGAGCACAAGACATCCTGATGAAATTGGCGTTCTGACTCATAAACCACGAACAAACGAAATCCGCGAAAAAAATTGAAAAAAAAGAAAAGAAAAAAATTGTTTTTTAAACTCCCTCCAATTTGTATACGGTAGCTGCGAAAAGTGTGCAAACACCGCCGCTCTTCATTTTCGTGGAAGAACAGTAATTGACATCGAAAAGTATTTTTCTCACTCCTTTGTTCAAATGAAAACGTTTGTCTTCAACATTGACAATAACATCCGTAAAATATTCAATTTTCTTCGAAAAATCGTGATAAACAAAGTTCAAATCGATTTCGATAATAATTGCATCATCTTCTTTGTAACCATCGCTATAAAGCCGACTGAAATCCGTATGCAATCGATACTCCTGATACTTTCTTGAAGAATCCAAAGCATACGAGTCTTTTTTTTCAAGATTTTCGCGCTTTTCCCCCCAAGAATCAGTTCTTCTCAGCAATTTTAAAGTTGCTTCGACTTCGCAAAACCAATTTTCATCCTTTTCGTTTTGAGAATCATAGTGAAGATAAATTGACAAATAACCAGCTGAATTATAAGCAGCGATTTTCCAACCAGTTGGTCCAATTGAAAATACATCACTGAAACGTGTTTCATTCCCCTTCAATGAATTCATGTTATCGAACCTCCATTTCAATGAGTTGCCGAAGCTTTGAAACGGGATCATTCTGAAAAAAATGAAGACCTATTTTCACCACCCAATACTGTTTTCATTGAATATCACCGGATTCATCTTACAAATATTCAAAACTCAATACAATTTTCAAAATCGAAAAATCTAACCTTCCACTTCTTCGTCAATCTTCAATTTCTCTCAAATATCACAAAATCCCTTGATTCCACGGGTATTCCACTCAATTCTCGATCTTTCAGTGAAACCCAAGTTCCTGAAAAACAAATGAAATCAAGAAATTACAGCTCAAACCGTAAAAATAAAGTTTTCAGTGAAAAAAAAGAAAAGAAAAAACAAAAATACTACGGTAGTTTTGTTAAAAGGAACATTGTAAACAAGAGTTTGGTCTCGTCGCGATGCGCAAAATTCTTTTTTTTTGTGAAGAAAAATATCGATTTTTCATTTTTTTTTCATTCATTTTTTGACAAAAACGAAGTGGTATTTGCATACATCGAAACATTTAATGTGACGCCAAATTTTCAGTGATTTCGCTTTTTTGTGAGGGAGAGATTTAAAGTTTTCAGGTTTCAACGTGAATCATTTGGATATTGCACCTCGATATGCTGCGATTTTGATGGGATTCTCGAATGGAATCGGAACTCTGGCCGGTTTGACATGTCCATTTGTCACCGAACAATTTACGGCTCATTCGAAACACGGCTGGACAAGTGTGAGTGGATTTTGGGGGGAATTTCAGGGTGAAGCACCTAAAAACTCATGAAAAAATCGATTTTTTCGTGCTAGAACCTGAAAATTCATTGGAAAATCGATATTGTCATATTTGAGCTCAAAATACAGCAAAATTCCGTGATTTTTATCATATTTGATACAAAAAAGGCTCTAAATTCACAGTTTTTTGGTTTAAAACAAGTTTTCTTGCTCCGGAACCTCGAATTGTCACGAAAAATCGATATTTTTCATTCGCGAGCTCAAAAAATCACAAAATTCTCCAATTTTGGACATATTTACTATAAAATACTCGATATTTCCAATTTTCTGACGAATTTTTAGATTTTTGACTGCAGGACCCTAATTTTGCATGAAAAATCACGAAAATCTTCAATTTTCGAGTTTTTCAGCAAAATTAGACTCTGAAATCCAGAATTTTCGAAATTTTCCGCTGTGACTCTCTCAAAATTGCAAAAAACATAGGGTTTTTCGTGTCAGGACCCAAAAAATCCCCAAGTTCACCTTATTTATCACCAAATCCTATATAATTTCCAGGTTTTCCTTCTCGCCTCTCTAATCCACTTCACCGGTGTCACATTTTATGCAGTTTATGCATCAGGCGAACTTCAGGATTGGGCCGAGCCAAAAGACGAAGAAGAACCATGGGCAAATAAGGATTTGGTGAACAAAACTGGAATTAATGGTGGCGGAAATGGCGGAGGAGGTGGATATGGTGCAGCTGCTGAAACTACATTTACTAATGCTGCACATATTCCGGCTGGAACTGATACTTCTTATCAGACTGGTTAGTTTTCGCATACAGCAGGCTTCCGCGTGCCGCTGCGCGGAAGCTTGCGGATAGCTTCAAATCCCAATTTAAAAATTTTCCAGCTCCGGCTTCAAATCCATTCTCCACAAATTGGGACGAATCGCAGCCAGTCGTCCAAAATCCACATTATCAACAATGGTAGGCCAAATTAGCCCCCTAATTAATTTATTTATCCTAATTAACTTATCCAATTAATTAATTAACCAATTAATCCCAAAATTAGTCAAAATTGTAGAGATTTTTTATAAAACGATTTAAAATTTAAAAAAAAACAAAAACAGACAACAAAAATAACAAAAAAAAATTGAAAAATTTCAGAAAATATCCAGATTAGAGCACATTTTTTATCTCTTTTTTGCTCAATTTTCCGCGTTTGATTTTTTTCAAAAGTCGAATATCGTTTTCCGTATCATCTTCGTCTTCCGAACGTTTACGTTTGAGATTCTGCAGAAAAATTGGGAAATTTTTAGGAAAAATAGAAATTGAGGGGAAATTTTATTTAAAAAAAAGGTGATTTTCAGATAAAAAAATACTCTGAACATTTTTATTTCAAATTTTATATTCAGAAAATTGCCACGTGGCATTTTTAAGCTAAAAATGAATAGATTGAAGTTTTTGAAAAATGCAAAATTTTCGCCACGTGGCTTTTCCTGAGACCAAAAATTTAATTTTCAGAATTTTTTCGGAAAAAATTGCCACGTGGATTTTTCAGAAAATAAAATTGTTATCATATTTTGAAGCAAATTTTTAGAAGGTCAAATTTAGTTCCAATATTAAGCCACGTGGATTTTCTAGGCTCGAAATTTCAGTGAAAAAACCCAGTGTTCACCCAAAAAACAATAAAATTAACTATTTTCAGTCAATTTCAGCTCATTTTAAAGCTGAAAATCGCAATTTTCAACGAATTTTAGATTCTCAGAAAATTTCAAAATTATTTTTTTCAGTAGAAAAAAATGCAATTTTCATATTTCCTGAATATTTTTAACAACATAATATCTCTCAAAATTCACAATTTTTCAAACTTTATAAGCTCAAAAATAAAAGTTTTTAAGACTCTGTGCCTATTTTTCACTCAAAATCCCCAATTTTTAGTCAATTTCAACCCAAATCCCACCTCATTTTTCTTCAGATTTCCACCTCTTCCACCTCTTCCTCCTCCAAATCTCTTCATTTTTCTCTGCTCTTTTTCTCTTCTTTTCTTTTCTTTCGCCGCCAATACTTCCACTTTTTTCTCATGTTTTTCCTTCATTATTTCACCTCGTTGTTTTTCCAATTTCGGATCCAAATATTTGATTTCCGATGTTTCGATGGAACTTCGCTCGAATTGATCCAAATCTTTGCGATTTGTTAATTCGCGCATTTTTGGGAGACGAAGAAGTGCATAGGCATTTGCAAGACCACAAATATTCAAATCTGGAAGAAAAATAGAAATGTAAAAATTTAGGAGTGCAAAATCCCAGAGATTAACATGAGCAACCCCGAAAACGTGGAAAATTGCCACGTGGAAATGTTTGTAAATTTTCAGCTCAAAATGCTCTAATTTTCACGATTTTCAGCTCAAATTTCCCAATTTTCACGAGGTCTAGTAACGCTCCGAAACCACGATTTTTAGCTCAAAATCTTCCAAATTTCGCGATTTTTGTCTCAAAATTCTCCAAATTTCATAAAACTTCGAGTAGGAATACGAACCTTCAGATGTTTTGAAAAATCAATTGGAAAGCTAGTAAAAACAGTCGGAATCAGATAAAGTCTTGAAGTTTTCGAGTGGAACAATTTTTTAAAACTGGATTTTTTCCACGTGGAAAAATTATGCAAATCCACCATTTTCCACCCAAAACCCCAACTCACCATCCAATGCACAAATAATATGACAATCATGTTTGGAATACGATTCAATGTGACTAACAAAAGCCCGTGTTCCAGCTTCCAAAATAGCTCGATCTGATACTTGAATTTTGATCATTTTTTGTCGCAATTCTTCGGATTTCAGCGAAGTATGAGTGGGAACTTTGACTTCTTCCAATTTTACCTGAAAATTTGAAAAAAAATTGTAAAAAATTGGAAAATGTCAAAAACGTCAATCTAACAACGAATTTTACATCAAAATTCTTTGAAACCTATTTTTTCCATGGAATTTATGTCACGCCAAAAAATTGCAGAAATTCAAAATTTTGAGGCTACAAACACCTACAGTACTCCATCTCCACCCACCTTTTCATGTTTATCCAAAAAACGCGACATATGGCAATTGTTCACTGGCAATCAAAATAAGAGCATTTCCATCTCTTCCACATCTTGCAGTTCTTCCAGCTCGATGTACAAACCAACTCGAATGTTTTGGTAGATCATATTGAATTACCCAATCGATATCTGAGATATCGATTCCGCGAGCCATTACATCAGTCGATATCATTACACCATTTGAACTGTCGGAAAACTGAAAGGAAAATGGGTTAAAGAACATTTTCTAATAATTTATTTGAAATTCAAAATTCTTTTCAAAAAATCCTACATTTTTAAGAAATTATAAAAGTATCTGAACTATTAAAACCACAACCTTTTCTTTTTTATCAAAAATTATAATTTTTCATCAGAATTCAGATTTTTTGAGGGAAAATTAAATTTTGAGAATAATTATCTGGGATATTTTGATTTAATCTCAAAATTCCTCTAAAAATCCCTGAATCCTAGAAAAACTTTAGAATTGTAGAAAAAATGGGCGTGGCTTAAATATATGCAATTTCATCGCACAGTTTTCAGCCATTTTCTACCCCAAATTTCATCATTTTTCACGAATTTTGGGTCAAAATTCATCAAATTCCATCATTTCTCAAACTTCCCTCTCAAAAATAACTCACCCCTTTAATCTGAGCAGCTCTATGCGAATTCGAGCATTTTCCATGAACAGCAAAAAGTGGTCGTTTGGTCAAACATCTCTCGAATATTTTTTGAAAATATCTGACAGAATTGCAAGCCGGGAAGAATAACAGGAATTTTTTGTCGGTTTTTTGGCGGATAAATTCGAGGAGGATGCTGGTTTTTTCTTCAGCTTCACAAACCTGGAAAATTAGATTTTCATAAATTTTAAAATGATTTCGGGATTCTTCAGAGCAAAATTTCGAATTTTTAATGAAATTTAAGTCAAAAATAGCCATTTTCCATACATTTTCTATCTAAAAACATGCATTTAGAGCTAATAATCAGATTTTTCACAAAATTCAGCTAAAAAATGTGCATTTTTCATCAATTTCATCTCAAAATCAATCATTTTTTCCCAAATTTTCCGCCCAAAATCTCACCGTAAAATAATTCTTCAAAGTACTCGGAGCCGCCGAATTTCTCTCCTGTGCACATTTGACTTGTTTCGCATTTCTCAACCCGAATACAACCAAATCATCATCTTCTTTGACTTGTGTCGCTGAGAAAAGACCAGTTCTACGTTGTTTTGGAATACATGACAGGATTTCGCGCATACTGGAAAAATTAGAGGGTTTTGGGGAGGATTTTAGACTAGAAATTGGGATTTTCAGCAATTTTCAATTGAAAATATAGGATTTTGGAGACTTTTGAGGCTAGAAAATGTCATTTTTCAGAAGATTTTTTTCGAATTTTCAAATCAAATTTTAACCGAAAATCAAAAATTTATCTGAAAATCAGAAACAAATCATAAATTTTCAGCCAAAAAGTAGGAATTTATCAGGAATATCTAAGATTTACAGCCGCGAATTTCAGATATACCTTGGCTGATAATTCCAGCTCAAAAATAACTGAAAATGGCTGGAATTTTCAGCCCGACAGAAATATTCATTTTTTGGTTGAAAATGTAGGTTTTCAACAGAAAATCCGTAGTTTTCATGAATTTTTCAAGTTTTTTAGGTCAAAATCTATAATTTTCCACCATTCTCCTCCAAAAAACTCACTGATCCTCAAATTGTATCTCATTAAATCGATCAGCTTCATCAATAATCAATAATTGAACACTTTTCAAACACCGTGAAATCAGCGTTTTTTCGTGTTGAATAATTTGGAACAATCTTCCCGGTGTTGCAACCAAAATGTTCACTCCACGATTTTTGAACATTTTCACATTTTTCTCGACTTTCTGTCCACCAGTCACAGTTTCCACGGATAAATTCAATTTTTCGCCAAATGGTTTGATAACACTCACAATTTGATTGCATAATTCTCTTGATGGACTTAGGATAATTGCACCGATTTCCTGGTTTTTCTGGATTTCGGGGGAATTTTGGAGGATTCGGAGAAGGGGAAGAACAAAGGAAAGTGTTTTTCCGGAACCGGTTGGACTTTCGACGACGACGTCGTGATTGTTGAGAAGATGAGTGCCGGAAAGAACCTGCAAATTTTGGATTTTTGGGGGGAGCGGAAGAAATGGAAAAGTTAAGCTAACTTTTTATTGGAGCAATTTTCTGTTTTTATGTATTTGTAGCTAGATTTTATGGTTTTTTTTAAATTTTCTGAAAGTTTTCAGTGAAAATTCAAAACTTTTGATCAAGAAGGCTCTATTATTTCAATTTTCTCACAAAATTCAAAATTTTCGGCCGGAGAATTCGGAGAATGTACATGGCAACATCACCTCCAAAATAAGCCTAAATTCGTTTTATCTCCAATTTTTCGTGTCTCTGTTATTTAGTTTGTTTTCATTCGTATAAGAAAAATAAATTGAATACTTCAGAAACCTCATCATTGACAAAAAGTACAAAAGACTTATTAAGTGTAAGTTTTTATATTATTATTATCATTTGTATTTTGAAACATATAATTTTCAGGAAATTGAAAGAACAGAATTGACTTTCGAGTCTTGCGGAATATCCGAAACAGACGGAGAATGGATATTGGCAACAAATTGTATTTTGAAACATATAATTTTCAGGAAATTGGCAAAGAAGAAATTACATTTCAAAATCGATCAAAAAGGCTTTTTTCAACCATTATTTGAATTTTCACACAAAATTCAAAATTTTCGGCCTTGAAATCAAAAGAAAAAAAATTATTAGATGAAAATTCTGAATTTCCAAAGTAATTTTTAGAAAATCTTGCGATTTTCATTTGAAACTCCAAATTTCCCTCAAAAATCTCCCTCTTCCTCATCTGTTTTCGTTTACATTACACAGCGACGCGCAAATGCACACAATTTTTCAAGAGCCTAGGCTTTATCGATTTTTTCTCGGCTTTTCCTTGAAACCTTCATTTTCCCCGTCAAAATGTTGACCTTTTTATAAAGATAAACCTTGCTTTTCAGAATTTCTTATTCTAAAATATTTAATTTTCAGATAAAAATGAATTCACAAAAAGAGCAGGCCGATTGGGGAAGTTATTATTATCAAAGTAAACGAAAAGCTGGAAAAACCCGATGGGTTTTGGACATGATTCATTCTCTAAATAATTCGCTGCCTAGTTTTAATGAACTTTTTGATGAGGTAGGCCCAAGTTTCTCAAAAACCCGGGAAAAATCTGATTTTTAGGAGAGTTTCTACGTTTTCGCCACGTTTTTTGTGATTTTTACGATATGTTTTGCGATATTTTTGGCGAAATGTGTGGGGATCAAGATCAAGGAACACGATATTCAATTGAATCGTGATTGGGGAGATCCGAGAGTTGCGGATCCTTTTAGATTTCCTTGGAATTCTAGTGAACATCGACATTTGATCAAGAAACATAAGAAGGAATGAAAAATAAATGATTTCACTTATTTTATATAAGAAATTCACAGCAAAATGATATATATTTACCCAAAAATAGGCTTACCTGCACATCTGTGAAGTTTTTGTAGGATTTATCGAAAACTTCGAGAATTTCTGGGCCAAGTTTTTCGCGAAATGTTCGCGTCGCAACTGCGCCAACTTGTGATGCTAGCGACATTTTCTGAAATCAGCAAAGTTAGGTGAATTTGAGAGAAAACGCTAGGAAAAACGAGAGAAAATGGGAGAAATAAAAATATTTTTTGCTGTCTGCAAACACCGTCACCCTAACTCTGCGGACGAGGCATTTTATTTGACGACAATTCATAAATATTTTTTTTTTGGTTTTTTGGAGCTTGAAATTTACCTGGGTTACGAGGTTTTCGCTGGTTAGGAATGTTGAAAAATTGAGAAATAATTGAATTTTTCGAAATTTGCAGGAAAACCTAGAAAAATTCAGGGTTTCACGTGAAAATTCATGGGTTTTGTGAGATTTTTGATTTTTCAGAGTTTTTTTGGTCAATTTCTGGAACTCCTACAGATTTCCAGAGAATTTGTGTTATTTTAAAGTAATAATTTCAGAATTTTCAAAGAAATTTTAAAGATTTTCTTATAAAATTTAGATTTTCAGAGAAATTTTCAGATTGTTCTTCAAAAATCTCAATTATCTTTACTATCTTGATATGTTTTCCATTTTACAACAAAAACTTCCTCATTTTCCTTCCTTTTCTCCCTGTGTAAAAAAACAAAACTTTTGACCCAATTTTTCTCTGCGTCTCTTCAATGTCTCGCAATCTCTCGCATTTCTATGGAGTTTTTGTTCGTTTTGCAGAAAAAGCCACGTCTTCTCGATTATTGGTCATTTTTAGGATTTTCAAAAGAAAGAAAAAATGGGCGGTGGTTTTGGTGACGTCATCTTACCGTATTTATCAATGACAGCTTTGGCGTCGACTGTTGGTGAGTGTTTTTTCGCAAAAAATCTGCATTTTTACGTAAAATTTTGTGTATTTCTTCTCGACTTGACGAAAAATTGCACATTTTCCAGGTTTCTTTCTCTGCGGGACCCAAATCTGCTACCGTATCCATCAACGTGGCACAACTGATGGCACAAGCCCCGCCCCTTTTCTAATGGGTTTTATTTCTTGCTCATTTTTCATTCAATATGGATTTTTGAAACAAGATGCGATAATTTATTCGACAAATGCGATTGGAGCATTTTTACAAGGAGTGTATTTGATCTACTTTTGGAGCAAAACGAGGAATACGGTAGGCTTTTTACTATGACTTGGTAAACTTTAAAAAAAAAACTGAAAATAAGATTCTGCTGAAATTTTACACTGGAATTTCAGTTGAAATTTTTGAAGTCCTGAAATTTGATAATTGAGATTCGAAGATTTAAAACCCTTGAGTTTTCAATTAGACTTAAAACTGTTTGGAAAACAATTTTTTAAGAAAACTTGAAATTTAGTCAAATTCAAAAATAAAGTGTTTTTTAAAAGAAAATTTCAAAATTTAATTTTGGTTAACTAATCTTTAAAGTTAGCCCAACTCCGCCTCAAAACCTCTCCAAAAATCTTTTCAGCGAACCCTCAACAAAATCCTCCTCATCGAAATCTGCCTAATTTCCACCCTAGTTCTTTACTGCAAATATTCCGGCGAATCCCGTGAAAATCTAATCTTCCAAATCGGCAATATTTGCATTTTCTCAAATATTCTAAGTGTTGGTGCGCCTTTAATGGATATTGGTACGGTAGTTTCGACAAAATCCAGTGAATCGTTGCCTTTTCCATTGTGTTTTGCCAGTTTTGTTGTTTGTTTACAATGGTTTGGATATGGAATGATTATTGAGGATATGGTTATTATTGTGAGTTTTTTATTCATTTTCAAAACCTAAATTCATTTTTTTATTGCAGGTTCCAAATTTCATCGCGACCATAATCTCAATTCTACAATTATCACTATTTCTAATTTATCCAGCGCCTTCGAAAAAATACGAAAAATTGAGTCAAATATGAGCAATACATGTATTTTACTGTAAATAATTGTTGTTTCCAGGGTTTTGTCGTGTATTTATTGATTTTTCAAAAAATTATTTTTCAGAATTGTTTTTTTTTTCAGATAGAAGGAAAAATATGAATTTTTCAACGTGTCCCAAAAATAAATTTTTATATGAAAAGACAATAAAAAATCGACAAAAAAGAAACAAAAATATATCGAAAAAAAGAAAAGTGAAATTACACAATTAAATTTCATCTAAAAACTTATTGATTGCATTTGTCAGAGCCCGTTTTCCTCTTTTTTCTCTTTTTCTTTTGCTGATTTCGCTGAAAAAATATTAGGTTTTTTTTGTTTTTTTTTTAAACGACCTACGCCAAAAAGTTTTGGACATCTAATTCTGGATAAGTTGCCAATATCCATTCTCCGTCTGTTTCGGATATTCCGCAAGACTCGAAAGTTAATTGTGTTTTTTCAATTTCCTGAAAATGGTATTTTTGAGAATACAAATGATAATAATAATAATAATATAAAAACTCACATTAATCAAGTCTTTCGTAGTTTTTGTTCCCAACCCAATAACAAGTTTCACTGAATTCTCCCAACTATTTAAATGCCATAATTGTGCCAGTTTTGTTAGATATTCTTTTGTGACAAACTCTGCTCTTTCAACAAGCAAATCTTTGATTCCTGGTTGACACACAATTATAAAAATCGGATGCCAAAGCACCTAAAACAAAAAAGGTCACTATCAGTTACTCAATTCAGATTGCTCACTTTGCAGATATCCTCCCCGAATATAATTTCAAGATTTCGCCGCCACGTTCTTTCTTGGAATAGTGTTTCAATATCCACATTTTTCTTCTTCAGCATAACATGTTCCACCAATTCAATCTGAAAATGCTGACATCAACACTCTGATAGTGGGGGTGAGTCTGGGACACTTACTCGTTTTGACGAAGTGATTTTGATTTTCTTGTGTTGCTGGCAAAGATTTTGTAGGAGAATATCGTTGTTTATTGGCCCCTCCAATTGATTCGCCGAATTGTCATGGATTAAATAGTAATTCAAACCCATTTGACCACCCACAAGTAAGATCAGAACCTCATTTTCTTTTACTGCCTAAGTACCCATTGACAAAACCACACCTTGCTAACCGCTTCATTCAGCTTTCTTCAAAAATCCTGCCAGTTCTCTCTGGTTTTTTGGATAGAATAGACATTAGATAGGAAAAATAGATTAGAAAACAACCGTTTTCTATTTCGATTAGAAAAATAAATGAGTGATATGAACAGAAGATTTTTTTTTGGCTTTCTCGAACACATCATCTAGAACACGTTATTCAGGGCACGTTCTTTTTTTTCAGAATTCTCGTTTTTTATTTAAAAATTAGTACACGTAAACACACTTTTTATTTAATTTGAAAAAATTTCGGAAATGTTTTGAACATTTTTGAATGAGGCGACTTGTAACGCTTTATGGTGGGGTATCAAAACACGTCATGCCGGTGGGGGCATGTATTTCTTATGATGGGGGGTTAAAATGCAATTTACCCGATTTTTGTTCCAAAATTCCGAGACCCTCTAAAGTTTGCGAAATTTTTGATGTTGGCAGAGAACGAATCGATGCCATTTATTTTGCTCGAAAATTTTGTGGTTCATTTCAAGCGGCCTTGTGTGCTGTATTTGAAAGTTGGAACAATTCAACATGGAGATGATGCGAGTGAATCGAAGAGACATCGACAATTGATGAAATGTAGGCAGAGCACATCGGCTAGTTTATGTGTGAGAATGGTTGGAATGCAATTGTATGAGACGGAGACTGAGGTAAGATTATTCGCAATTTTTTTAATAAAAAAAATGTAGATCTAATCTTCATTACATAAAAAAGAAAACCAAAAACGGGTGGTTTGGTCGGATAAAGGGACAGCCAATTGTTCGTTTTTTTCTTGTCGCGATGGCTACGGTAACACTAAAGTGGCGTGTGTTTTTTTCTGTTTTTTTTCCTGTTTGTTGCGGTTTTGGAGGTTTCGAGACGTAAGTCAAACTCAACTTTCTATTTGATATAAAAAAAAAACGTTTCTTTTCCAGGCGCCGCACCTTCAGCCACACGAATTCGCTCAATATAAGGGGAAAAGGTGAGTTCTTTTTTTTCAATAATGAAAATTGATTTTAAAATGAAATAAATTTTTAAGAGAAAAAACCCCATATTATCAAAGTAAAAAAATTTGGCAAAAAAAGAAAGGGAAGAAATTCAAATCCCAATTTCCCCAAGTACGGTATTCCTCTGCGTCACTAACACCGTTTCGAGACCACACCATTGGGCAGAGAAACAAAGTCAAAGACGCACATATGGGTCTCGCAGCGATTGAAAGAAACACCGTACTTGGGAAGAGTGTCATTTGAATTTCTGGGCTCCGTTTTTTTGCCAAATTTTTTTATTTTAATAATAATAAAAACGTGTACCATGATTTTAGTTTTGTATACTCAGAGAAAAGGTGGTCCATGGGCAGCCCCTTGAAGTGCCCCGAGGGCTGGTCCTAAGGGCAACACTAGTGCATTCAAGGGGCGGCCTAGGGGCAATTAAGAAAACTAGGGTATGACGTATTTAAATTTTAAAAATTTTGACGTGGAAAAAATCATTTCTGTTTTAATTTTTAATTTTCGCCATGGCAAAATTCAAAAAATCTTGCGCCAGGAAATCATTCACAATGGTGATTACCTTCGGAAATCTAGTTTATCTATTTGATCAAAATTAATCTACCTTTTTAATAAAATCCCGATTGGGTGGTGTCTCGATGGAAGCAGCATTTTTCAATGGGGTCCCCCCTGTTCTCATTTTTTGGATGTCTAAATTTTGGACATTTGCGGATTTTTTCCGAAAATCATACAACCGCGAACGTCCAAAAGGATCCGATCCTGGACCTTCTGAACAAAAAACACGTGATCTAACCACTTGACCATTTCTGACACAAGAAATTACCATCAATTTGCTAAGAAATGTTCGAAGAAAAATTTTGACGTGAGAAAAATAGTCTTTTTTCAGAAAAAAATTATTGTCAGAAAAAAATTTTAGTGAGCATTTATTGAGTACTGTTTAAAGAACATTCTATTTTTTGATCAAATATTGCCCCGCCTGGGGACTAACAGATCCTATCGAGTATACATTGAATACAGAAAAAAGATTTTCCATGGCAAAATTAGGAAGTCTTCCTAATTTTGCCACGAGTCATTTTTCGATAAAAAAAACTTGAAATTTTTGATGAAATCAATTGTAATTCATTTGTAAGATTTTTGAAAAAAACTCATCGACTCCATTTTTACATTTTTGGATTAATCCAAATCTGTAACTTCTTACTCAGGTCTCAAAAAAAAATCGGCCCGAGATTTTTGAAAAAAACTCATCGACTTCATTTTTACATGGAAGCAATTTTTCAAGATTTTAGGCTTAAATTGATTGAAATTCATTTGTTAAGCATTTATTGAGTAAAAATTTATCGATGACTTCATCCATGGCAAAATTAGGAAGCCTTCCTGATTTTGCCACGAATCATTTTTTGATCAAAAAATTTGAAATTTTTGATAAATTCAATTGTAATTCTTATTCTTAACATCTTTCGAGTACATTTAATTCAAAAAGATAATTAAATAAGTTTTTTTTTTCGAAAGTTTTTTCAAAAAAAAAATCGGCCCGAGATTTTTCAAAAAAAAAAGTTACAGATTTGGAATAATCCAAAAATGTAAAAAAAAATCGGCCCGAGATTTTTCAAAAAAAAGTTACAGATTTGGAATAATCCAAAAATGTAAAAAAAATCGGCCCGAGTTTTTTCAAGAAAAATCGGCCCGAGTTTTTTCAAAAAAAAAAAGTTACAGATTTGGAATAATACAAAAAATGTAAAAAAAAACGGCCCGAGTTTTTACAAGAAAAATCGGCCCGAGTTTTTTCAAAAAAAAAATCGGCCCGAGTTTTTCAAGAAAAAATCGGCCCGAGTTTTTTCAAAAAAAAAATCGGCCCGAGTTTTTTCAAGAAAAATCTGCCCGAGTTTTTTCAAAAAAAAATCGGCCCGAGATTTTTCAAAAAAAAAAGTTACAGAACGAAAAAAAGATTGAAGAAGTTTTTTTTCGGAAAATTTATCGATGACCTCATCCATGGCAAAATTAGGAAGCCTTCCAGATTTTGCCACGAATCATTTTTTGATCAAAAAACTTGAAATTTTTCATGAATTCAATTGTAATTCGTTTGTTTAACATCTTACGAGTACATTAAATTCAAAAAAATAATTAAATAAGTTTTTTTTTTCGAAAAATTTCTCGATGACGTCATTCATGGCAAAATTAGGAAGCCTTCCTGATTTTGCCACGAATCATTTTTTGATAAAAAAATTTGAAATTTTCTATAAATTTGATTGTGAGTCAATGTTCTGTGGACAATAATCACAGAAAAAAGTGAAACTGAAATAAATGAGAAGACTGTTACGCCTGGGGGCTAACAGCCCCTAGTCGAAATCAAAACATATTTCAAAGAGAAAACTTTTATTTTATAAAAATGAAGCTTCTCAGAATTCTCATTCATAGTTTTCGGAATTTCGGCCCTGCTATACATTCTCGAAATAACAGTCGGAACATCGAATAATAATTTTCTAATGAGCACATTCTCTGACTTCTGCAATTTCGGACTTGGACAGCGTGAGATGACACAATTTTCCAAAATCACAAATATTCCAAATAGGGGCAATTCATAATATAAATTCCTTGATTTCCTGTTCCTGCTTTTCACTTTGCAATTTTTTGGGACTTGTAGCATATAAAATATAATAAATCGGAATTGAGTTCCCCACTATTTTCTTGAATACCGAAATAAGTGAAATGAAAGAAATTTATTATTTTTGTGATCGAAAACGTATCTAGGTCACAAAACTAGGTCACGTGCTCATAAAATATCCTTCAAATTATTTTTCCCATTAGAAAATTTGCCCTTCGTGCTGGTCCGAAGGACAACACCCCGTAAATAGGAGCAAACCAAATTCCTACGGGCAGCCCGGGGGCAAAATTTTCTTCTTATTTCTTTCAGCGGAAACATTTTTTTCTTGCTCCAAAAGCTTCAAAAGTTTTTTAAAAACCAGAATGGTTTTATTAACTTTCAGAATCGAACAATTTGTTTACTAGATCAAAATTTTGGGATTTTTTGAATGAATTTTAAGCCTATGAACTTGAAAATCGTTTTTAACCCATTTTTTTCAAAAAAAAAATGGCCATAGATTTCTCTGCGCTAAAAATTGGAGATAGATTATCCATGGCCATTTTTAGAAGTACACTGACAGCTAAAGGAATTACATGTTTTTGAAATCCACATTTCTATAGTTCACTTAAAAATGGAAACTTTGTAACATTGATATCAAGGTTAAAATTTTCTAGGATCAGATTTTTCTGAAGTTTATTTGACCAGAAGAACAAAAAGTTCATTTTTTTGTCAGTCTAATATGTTAGGTCTTTTCACGACTTCATCCAATCGGAATATGAGAAAACGAAAAAGTAAGCAAGTCAACCTACTGTAGATAATTTCAAAGGTGAAATTTTATAACATTGACTAACTTATTTGACCAGAAGAACATTCTAGCTGAATTGATAATCTTGAGTTGTGATGTGTTTTGCTGGTCCTTATAGAATCTATGAAATTTAGAATCTGCTCTAGATTTCAGTGTTTTTGCCAATATGTTATGTTGCGGATGAGATTTTCAAAAATTTAAATCTTCTATTTCTTCTAAAAATTGCTATAATCTGAAAAGTTCTTTTAGGAACTTCTAAAAAAGCTCGGGAAAAACAGGCAATTTTGCTGCCGGAGGCGGCTATCACTGTGCCCTGAATGCGAAATGCGCCAACGTGTCTGGTGCCATCCACTCTTTTTCGCACTCTCTCGCTGCCTCTCTTGTTTTCTCATCCACTCTCTCGTTAACACACGCTCTCTTGTTTTCTTTTTTTCTCATCCACCCTCCTCGAAGCGCACACACACTCTCGCCTTCTTTTTGTTTTTCATTCAATTTTAGAAGGAAAGGAACTGTTTTAACAGTTGGGAGCATAATATGACATATGAAAATGAATGAAAATGTGAAAATTATCATAATTAAAGAAAAATATAGATGATTCTCACAGTTATAAATAAGAAATTTGTTTCACAATGAAAAATAGTCAAAGTAGAGCTCTAATGATGAAATATCGGATTTTCTAGATTTGAAAAATCAACCTCACAAGTTAAAGTGAAGAAAGGAAAGTAAGAATTAGAAAAACATTCTGAAAAAAGTAAGAAATGATAAACGAACGAGTTTTATAAAGTGCCTAGATATTTATAGGACAGATTTTTATTTAATTTTAGGTCAAATCATTCGAAAAACGAGTTTAAAATTTATAAATATCATTAGAAAATCACTGAACACAACTAACTGACTGAAAACTAACAAAATTTCAGACAAACCGTAAGATTCTGAAATGGTTCCTTTTTACATTAAATGCATTCAAAATAGTGTGAATAGTCAGTATTACGAGTCAAATTATAATATTAGATCAATTTTTATCATTTTCATTTCAAATTTATAAATTTATGATTGAAATAGTTGGATTTTGAAAAATGATAGCTTGGCATCATCATTTTTGAGGCAAAAGATTGGACCTATGAGAAACAGACAAGAAATAAGGTTAAGTGAAATAGGTACTTTTAATCCTCCTCTACAGTTCACATTGGTTACTTTTTTGAAAAAATACCCCATTTTCTTTTAATTTCGAAAAAACAAAAAAAAATGGAAATTTTCTGAACAAAAAATTTAAAATGTTTCTAATCAGTAAGTGCGCTCCACCGAAACAAAAAAAAACTACACAAAAAGCGTCAGTTTCCCTGTGGCGCTTTTCGCGTTTTTCATTCTCTGGGCACAGTGGGCTATAAATTCTTGTTATAATAATTATTATTATTATTGTACTTGTCGTCACGTTGTCCCACAACGTATTTGAATAAATAAATGAAAATAAATTTCTCATTTTTATCACAAAAAAAGCACGAAAATTCCCAAAAATTTGTACGTGACCTGACGTTTTTTTTGATACGTGTCGCGGTTTCTAGAACACATATTTATCTATTTCTCAGTTTGTATTTTTATAGAAGATCTTCCGAGACGATATTCCTGATGAAACAAAATGGGATTACGGTGTATTAGTGGATAGAGCAACAAGGTCCAGTGTGCTGGCACAAGTGAGTCTCAAAAATACATTCTATTTGTAGTCCATTTTGTTTTCCTAGATTGAACTATCGAATTTCATCGTTCTGCAAAAATACTCCTATGAAGAAGTCATGGATTGGAGTATCAAAGATTTCGACAGATTTGTAAAAGTTGACCATAATGTGAGCAAAATAGTTATAAAACATTCGGAATGTATTTACATCGATAATTTTGCAGATGCTACAATACGAAGTTTTCAGTTCGGCCAGCACCCCAATTCTCAAGGACAAATTACGAAAATTGGTTTTGAGTCATCCAACTACACCGGCTAATTTTATAATCAAATTGGTTCCGGCTTGGAACAAGAATAGTGTTGCGATATCGAGATTTATTGATAGTATTGCAAAAACACCAAACGAAAAACTTCTGAAATTCGAAAACTACCGTCTGATGATAAGAAATGATATCGTAGAAGACCCACTTCAAAGAAAGCTGAACAACAAGAGATTCGTACAAGTGAAAAGTGGATTAGTAACATATCAAATATCTCGTCCAAGAGACTTTCGTGAAGATTTCAGTGTATTTTTAGAGTAAGTAAAACAATCCAATATTTGTTCCCTAAATTACTTTAAATATTTCAGTGGGAGTAAATCATCTTTCCAATCGATGTCATGTGCAGAAGTTCTGAAGGCCTTCAAAGTATTCAGAAAAACTGGCGATTTTCTGTTAACTGAAAAGCAACAAAAAAGAAGAGCCATTATTCCTTGATTTTTCCGTTCATTTTTACACGAGATCTCAATAAAACTATTAAACATTTTTCTCTACGTTCTCTGCGTCTCTTCAACCAAAATTGGTTTTTCGCCGAAAGCCGATTTTTGACGTTGGGAATTTGTTGGAATTCGACGAGATTTTGAGCCCATTAGAATTCGGCGGAGCTGGAAGAAAATTTGTATGTAGACTAACTCTGAGAGCATAAAATAGTATTTTTCGGAAAATTCTAGTCTAGTACCTTTCGATTCTTCTTCTCCACTTCCACTTCCAATTCCTTCTCCATTTCAAATTCTCCAGTTTTCCTACGTTTCGCAGCTTGCTCCTCAATTTCCTTATTTTTGAAATGATATTAAAAACATCAATGATTTCAGCAGCAGTTAGTCTAACTCTGAAAATCTTCCAAATATAGCCTAAATTGTTGCTAAGCCGTAGTTACACTAACTTGTGGTTTTACAAAAAATTAGACTCATTCATTGTATTAATAGCTTCTAAATAAACTAGGCTGTCACTTTGTAAAAAAAATTGAGTTTTCCAAAAATTAAAAACGTGACCCAATTTTATTCTGTTCTGACGTGTTCCAAATTCCATTTCAGTCTCTCCCCCAAGTCCTCGGTATTTTCTAATAAATTCAATTATGAAAATGAAAAATGTGCTCAAAATAGGGATAACTTGTATTCCACCAATTATTACTATAATTTCTGGAATCCTCATATTTTCATTGATTCATATCGATGCACAAAATAATATTAATGAGAATGCTATGAATACGACATTGGAGAAGGCTGTGAAAATTGAGCGAAAACTCAATAAAACGAGCAAGATTCTGAAAGCTGATCCGGATTTTTTGAAAGAGCTCAAAGGGGTCAATGAACCCTACAACGATTTGGATAATCATTTCCGTCATGAAATTTGTTTGAGAGTAAGCTTTTTACAAAGTTTTATTCAAAACATAATTTGTTCAGCTTTACAGTGAAGAACCAGCTCCTAATAGATCAATAGAATGGGTGATGGAAAATCAGAAAAACTGTGCCAAAAAATTTACTGACGATGAAATAACGAAGATTTACAATACTTTTAAAGAACGTGTATGCTTTTCGGCTTTCTATCTTGCTGTTGAATATTCCAAGCAGGCTCTAAAACAGTTATGGAATGCTCATATCAAATTCGAGGATATACAAAAAGAACTATTCATCTGGGAAAACATAAAAAAATACTGGGTGACACTACAGGTGAGAAGACATTAGTCAGAATTTGGCATTTTGCCATTTCGAATTTTTGTGCCGGAAAATGCGGAAATTTTTTCAAGTACAGCCATCGGTCTTTGCACAAAACTAACCTTCAAACTGATTTTTCATTGATACAGGTCTTCGATGAAAAACTTTTGATTCCAATGGGCAAAACTATGCAACAAATATCTACAAAAATCAATAAAAACCACTTTGAAATATCACAAAGAATTCAAACTTCAAGATTATCGATTGGGGTCAATTACAGTATAGTATTCATCATATCGATTATTTTCTGTGTATCTGAAACTTGTTATTTGATATTTGTTGTTAAACGAGATAATGACGAACATTCGCTACTTATTCTTAATTTAATGACATTATCAGCAATAAGTTGCTTCGTAATGTTTGTAATTCTGGTTGTTTTTGGGATTTTGCACGCTATCGAAATATTTCCCGGAGCTTATGTTTGTGATTCGATATCAACTCCGAATTTGCCAGAATTCGTTTTTGAAACATTCGAAGGAAAACGTTTGAAGTTAGTTTTGATTAATTAGTGAAACATCAACTTAAAGTTGTTTTTACAGCAATGTTATTAAAAAATGTCCTTCATCAAAGAAAGTTCTTAAATGTTATCAGGTTTACATCAATTCCACCAAGATTATTGAAAGTTATGAGATATATAGGAATAAAGTTGAACCAATGCTGAATATTGACAATTTTACGTCTGGTGATGATGGATATTTTACATACATGAATGAGCCAGCACTATGTCTGCTAAACCACGAAATTGGTGGAATTATTGAAAAATTGGAGACATTTCGAACAATGGATTGTATGAAAAAAGAGACTGTGAAGAAAGAATTGGATAGCATTGTCGAATTCGCCAAAGGCCAAAACGAATGCATGCAAATGTTTAGGAAATATAAGGATACAACTTTGGTTAACAAAAAGGCTCGTCAAATAATCGATGGGAAATTTGTAGAATTTGGTGAAATGATTAGAGCAAGCGTGGAAACTATGAATTCAAAATTGAGAAGTGTCGACTTCGAATGCGAAAACTTGCAAATAACCGAATACCAAAATCTCAATTCTCAAATTTGCGATCGCTATTCAAATTATAAGAAAATGATTGGTCCACTTGCATATGTTCTCATGATTATTTGCTGTATTTCCATTTTTGCGGCTCATTTTGCCAATTCGAAAATCTTGGAAAAAGAGGAGAAAAATAGACAAATTGAGATTGCAGAGAAGAAAAAGGTGGGGAGTTTTGGAAAGAAAATTATGAGTTTTTTTTAAATTATTTTTCAGATGGAGCTTGCAAAGAAGGGCGAGGAGTAAAGGGAAATATTGTCATTGGAGCGTACCTTTTTTTTTGGAATGATTTAAATAAAGATTGGATTGGATCATGGAACATGACTTTAAGAAATAGTGATAAGTTACACTAACTTTCATAATCTCAACTATAGATTTCCTCTAAAAAATTAAACCGTTCATATTCACACGAGATTTCAATAAAACTATTTCACATGACTGAAAATAAAAAAAGTCAAATATGAGCAATACCTGTATTTTTCTCTATATTCTCTGCGTCTCTTCAACCAAAATTGGTTTTTCACCAAAAGCCGATTTTTGTCGTTGGGAATTTGTTGGAATTCGACGAGATTTTGAGCCCATTAGAATTCGGCGGAGCTGGAAGAAAATTTGATTTTAGGCTAACTCTGAGATTATTTTTAGATGTTTTTTTCCGGAATAATATTCTCAAATATAAACTTTTGCTAGAAATCCGAAAAAAATTGGAAATTCAAAATTCAAAAATGAGATTCAGATAAAAATTGTACCTTTCGTTTCTTCTTCTCCACTTCCACTTCCAATTCCTTCTCCTCCAATTCAAATTCTCCAGTTTTCCTTCGTTTCGCAGCATGTTCCTCAATTTCCTCTTCTTCTTCATGTTCAGGCTCCGCCTCTTTTTCTTCCAGATTCTTCCTGAGCGAAAACATATCATATGATCCAGAAGGCGGTTGGAAACTGTAGAAAAAGTATATTTTAATGACCTTACTTGGAAGATTCCAATATTTCTGGAGGGGGGAAAACTGACTTGAGATCGAAGAAATCTTGATTTTCCTGAACTTCTTCAATAATCTCATGAACTTCCATAATTTCAGGTTCCACTTGAATTTCTTGAGCTTCAACAGGCGCATCTTCCCTGCAAAAATATCAACTCAATTTTCGCCGCGGTTTTCCGAGCGCCTCATTGGCTCAGTGGCAGAGCGTCTGTCTAGTAAACAGAAGGTCGCTGGTTCGATTCCAGCATGAGGCACCGAAATTTTTTATTTTTTTGTTGTATTCGGCTTCAAATTCCACCTAGCCCAAAACAAGCCCGACTTACTGTACTTCATTTTGGCGCCACGATTGATCTAGGGGTACTGTAGATTGTGTAGATGGTATACGATTCACATAATTTGGTGTTCTATGAGTGCTGAGATCTGCGGTTCTGTCTTCCTCTCTGGAAAATTTGAATTTTGAATTTCGAGCCACGTGGAAACTAACACAGATGAAGTTTGAATTGGAACTTGAGCTTCGTCGTCGATTTGCATGCTTTCAGCAGGGATTTCTGGGGTTTCAGCCAAAATTTCGGGTTCTTCAGGAATTTCAGGCTCAGGCTTCTTGCGCGGTTTTTCAGGGCCACGTTTTTGCTTCTTTTTCGGAGCGATTCTCGAGATTTCCCCATTCTCATTTTCCAGATCGATTTCTTGCTGAAAATGAGGAATCTTTGGCTGAAATTTTCAGATTTTCAGTCGAAAACTCACAAATAGTCCTCCATCCACTTCGAAATCCTCATCATTTGTGGTTGTGGCGAGAAGAAGTTCGATATCAAAACTCGAATGCGCTTCTACAGTAAGAATAAGGGGTCTGGAAGAGAAAAATTGAATTTTGACCCGAATTTTAATTTTCAATTCTATGGGCTTTTCGGGGTCAAAACTTTTGAATTTTCTAAGGCTAGGCTAATTTAGTATTAAAATTCGCAAACTATAAAATTTTTAATGATTTTCTGGCCCTTGATCCTATTCAACCTGAAAATTTCAAATTTCAAAAATTTGTCTCACCTTCCCGCCAAATCATAATACAAACAAACTTCAGCGCTCAATTGTTCAGCCAAATTCAAAATCGCCAAAAAATCCCTGAGCGAAAACGAAATCTCGACATCAAACTCAATTTCATGTTTCGTCAATTTATCAACCGAAATCAGCGCCTCAGTTCTCACTTTTTTCGACGGCATTTCCTTCGAAAACCTGCTTGGAATATTCGTTGTATTCGATCTATCCCCCAAATTCGAATAATTATTATAATTCGACATCAAAATCCCTTTCTCATCAATTTTCATCGTAATTTCATGCTCATTTTTCATTTGACTCAAAAGCGGCAAAACAACACTGGCAAACACCACAGTTTTATTTCGGAATTTTGTTTTGTCGTGAAGTGGACGGAGTAAAGTGCCCGATGTTTCGAGCAAATTCACTTCGATGATTCGAGATATATCGTAGTTGAGTTGCAGTTTGACGCCCATTGTTTTGGCAAGTGGATCGATGCGAAATTCGCAGGAATGGAAGTTTTTGTCGCCGAAAGTGGTGGCACCTGGAAGATTATTATTGCTAGATGATAGTTAATTTTTTGAGGTTTGCACCTTTAAAAATGAAAAGTGCGGATTTCGTGGTAATCCGACAAACATTCGTATTCTTCTCATTAATCAGTGACATATCACAATCATTGAAAAAATCGGGAGCAAATCGAAAAACACTATACATGCTCTTCGATCGATTTATCGATTTGAATAAAAGTCCCGCATCTGAAACTTCGAGATAAACATCTTCTGCTAATTTCGCCAATGTTTGAACCGCTTTTGATAGAACTGAAACGTTTTTATCGAAGTTATTTGAAGTTTTTAGAAATGTTCTTACTTTTCAGGTTTGATTGAATCACAAATTGTGCTCCTTTGATATCCATTCGCTCATTTTGATTATCATTTAACGACAGTTCCGCGCATGATCGATTTAAAGACATTTGCTGCATTTTAATGCTGAAAATCGCTGAAATTCGCGAGGCGAAAAACAAAAATTCAAAAATGTTGCGAAAATCTGGCCTAGAAAACCAAACAGCAATCGCGCTCCACCGCACAAATTTCGAATTTTAATTTTTCTTTTTTTTTCCACGTTTTCCCAACAAAACTGAAAGAAAAACAAGTTTATTGATAAAAGTGAAAGCCCCCGTTTAAAATAAATTATGAAATTCAAATTATTTTCTAGTAAAATCAGTTGAAAATTGCTTAAACTCGTTGATTTCTGTTCAAATAAAGCACTGGGATAAAAATAATGATAATTAGGATAATTGCAATGTATTTGAAGTCGAGTTCTCTTTCAAATGGATTTAATTCGTCAGAAGTTTGCGGCGCTTCTTCGTAGGTTTCCTCGTATTCTTGATCATATTCGGTATTTTGGTGATGTTGGGTTGGAGGCGGCTAAAAATAGGTGATTTTAGGAGCGGGAGGTGGGAAGGAAGGGCTTTAGATCTAGGTATAGGCTTAGTATTACCTCATAACGCTCTTCCTCTTCTTCTTCAGCAGTTGGTGTAACTGGCTCAGGAGCTTTTGGCATTTCATGCAATTTTCCTGTAAAATTGTAATTACCTAGCTGTAGTTAAACGAAGAGAAGGTAAAACCTCGAATTTCTAAAAGCCTACCTTTTAGTACAACAATCGCATTAATTTTCGGATTATCAGCAGCGCCTTTCAAAAATTCCACCTTCAAATTCCCATAATATTTCTGAACCTGATCTTCACCAATCAAAATCTCATCACTTCCATTTTCCTCATTTCGACTTATCTTAACTTGCACATAAACATCATAACCATAACCAGTTCCTCCAGCTTTTTGAAAAATATCCAAATTCTCCACAACCAAGTGATTATTTATCGAAACATCGAACACTTTTTGATGCGATCTTTTGAAATAAACTTCGCTGAATTTCAAAATTATCACATAGAAACCTGCTTCTTTAAGTGGGAAATTATATTCGAAATTTGAATCGCTCCATCTTTCAGTTTGATAAATTTCAACATCTTTTGGATTTGCATTGGGAAATACGAATTGAGTTCCGTGATCTGATGCGGTTCCTGCGTTTGACGTATCTTTTTCGTATAAAATATTATAGGCTCCGAGAGTTTCGTCTCCTCCTGAAAATTGAGTTGAAAATCTGTGAATTTTGTGATTTGCAGTAATTTTTGGACGAAATTTCGTATTCGAAAAATTCAATTGTCATTTCCTGGCTGGAAAATTGCTAGAAATCTGGCTGAGATGCGGAAGCTATGCCCAAATTTTGATTTCCCCCCTAAACCCACCACAATTCACAGCCGCCACAACTTTTTTGCTCAAATCCACCAAATCCTCCGCGAAAACATCCGAAATCACTACCAAAAACGAAAAATAGTATAAAACCCAGTTTTGCCGCATTTTTCCTAGAAAATTTCACATTACACATGTTTTTTCACATGGAAACGCGAAGAAAAAAATGCAAAAACTTGACAACGGCTTTATTTTTTTGCTGTTGTTGCAATAAGAAAAAGTATGCGAAATAGGGGAAAAAAGGCGAAAAAGAAAGGATAATTAGTTGGCTGTCTATGTAGTTTTTTTTCGAGAGCAGCTCTCTGCTCTGAAAAAAATGAGGAGAATCAATTTATTGCAGGATAAAATGAATACATAGAACATGTACGAAAAGGTGGAAATGAAATTGAATTATCATAAAATTAGGCGGGAAAATGGGATTTTGGCGCCTAAAAGCCAAAAAAATTTGCATTTTCGAGCGAAATTGTCATTTTCCTGTTGAAAAATTTCTAGAAATCTGGGATTTTCAGAGAACCTTAGGAATTCTCTGAAAATCCCCGATTTTCGGCAATTTTCCAACAGGGATTTGGCTGGAACGCGGAAGCTATGCCCAAATTTTGAGCAAAAATGAAAATATAAAATTCAAAAAATAAATTTGGCAACGTGTCAAGAAAACTAGGTCACGTCGAAAAGATTTTTTTTGTAGAAAATATTAAAAAAATCTGCTAACGTGGCCAATGTTTATTTGTATAATGTTTTTATTGTATTGTACAAAACTGCACATTAAACGTGCGAAATATCTAATGCAAATGCGCTCCAATGAGAAAAACCGCAACTTTTTTTGTTCAACAAAACAAAACAAAACAAGTTCGTCTAACTCGTCTCCAAAAACGGCACTAAAAGTGTTCATTTGGAAAAAAATGTGTGCTCTTTGTATCTCTGTCACTCTCTCACATTTCCCTTATCTCTAACCGCTATCTCATTTTTTGTTGTCGTCAAGAAACACACATTTTCGTCGTTTTTTGCAGGCGCGGCGGCATAAATTTTTGATCTACGACAAAAATTTCGCTTAGCGAATGATAAATCGATTTTTGTCCCCTTTTAGAGTAAGTTTCCTCTAAAATTTAATTAATTAGTTTTGTCCTAACTAAGAAAAATGGAGGGCACACCACTTTTTTTTGTTACACTTTCTCTTTATGAGATCGATAAATATTTGCTTTGCTGGTGTGGTTTTTTGCTCGGTTTTTTGTAGTTTTTGAGGGATATTTTTGTCTAGACATTGGAAAAATGGGCTAGAATCTCTAATTTTGAGATTTAAAATAAAAATTCGAAATGACTTTTGAAATTTCCACGTCAAATTTTGAATTTTTATCAACGTTCAGTGGTGAACTATGACGTGGATTAAAAAATGCAGCATTTACTAAAAATTGTCATTTCCTAGCTGAAAAATTGCTGGAAATCGTGTATTTTCAGAGAACTCTATAAGTTTTCTTTGAAAATATCCGATTTTTATCAATTTTTCAGAAGGGATTTGGCTGGAACGCGGAAGCTATGCCCAAATTTTCTTACAATTGGCCTAAAATACCAATTCTAGGTTCTGAAACCATACCAGACACAAGAAGTGACCTAGAAATCCGAATTTTCGACCTATAACCCAAAAAATCCCACAAATCTTTGATGAATGTTAAATTGTTTGTTTTTGCTATTTTTAAAGATAAAACGACGCAAACTTTGTAACTTGTCACGTGAAAATCACACGGTGTTTTGATGCACTGAGAGAAAATGAGATAAAAAATGAGAAATGATGTGACTTTTTTCTGTGGCGCCTATAAAAACTCGAAGATCGCATCAGTTTTTTTCTAACTGAAGATTCTGACAAGATCTGAAAATTTCTAAAAGCTATGAGCTCCACTGACGAAAATACTGGTGTTGTAAGTTAATTTTTTTCTACAGAATTTTTTTCCGGTTTTTCAACGAAATTTCTTATCAATTTTATCATTCAACCTTTAAAAATCAGGCAATTTTTAAAGGTTTTTGATATCATTGAACATTTTTTTGTGGGAAATGTATATAAATAGCGATTTTGATCAGTTTCTAGGCTTCTAGACGACTTGAAACTTTCTGGTGACCTAGTTTAGGTTTGCTAGTCCACCATTTTGGATTTCTAGGCCGTCCAAACCTTTATTTAGTTTCCTAGGCCATATTTCAATCGATTTTTGTCCAATTACCCCTCAAAAATCCGATTTTCCACTTAATAAACCAGTTTTCCCCGCCCAAAATTTCAGCGTTCATCATAACAACAACATTTTTCAATTGTTTTTGTGGCAAAAAAGTTTTTTTTTGTCAAAAAAAACATCTTTTTAGTATTGTGTTGAAAAAAAAGCTATACTTTGTTCTTCTATTTTTTTGCACAGTTGTTTTCTTCCCGCTTTTTCTCTCTAAATCTCTCCCGAATTTATCTATTTCGCATCCCCCATCACCACCAAAAAAAACGAAAATATTTACTTGTTTTCGTCCGATTTTCGTAGGCTATACTACATAAAAACAATGCACGTGGCCTAGAAAATCCAATGAATAATGAATTTTCTAGGCCACGTTGTAGTCTTCTCGTGGCACCGCCCATTTTTTAATTGCCAAAAATTATCATTTTTATTGTTTTTTTTTTTGGTAAACAAACCGGTTTTTGGTTGCAGATTGGCTCAATTTATCGATTTTTCTCAACTACACCACAAATTATGGCGCCAAAAAAAGTGACGATTATTGGATCGGGAAATTGGTGAGATTTTGGGGTTTTGACTGGAAATACTCCAAATTTTTAGAATTTTCATGTGGGAATCTTGAAAATTGCTGAAATTTTGTCTTTTTGGTGAAAAATCTGGAAAAAATCTGAAATTTAACGTTAAATTTGGGATTTCCGATGAAATTATCTGAAATTCATAATCAAAAGGCTGCAAACAAACTAAACTTCTGAAAATTTCGGATTTCCAGCTGAAAAACAAGATTTTTGAGTATTTTTTGACATGGAAATGAGATTTTTCATGAGAATTTCAATTTTTTGCTGAGAATTTGAGAAGTATTAGATTTTTTCACTCTGAAAAACCTATTTTTCACAAAAATCCCCCAAATTCCCATTTATTCCAGGGGTTCCGCGATCGCTCGAATCGTCGGAAACACCACCAAAGCCTATCCACAAGAATTCGATCCCGAAGTTCGAATGTGGGTTTTCGAAGAAGTTGTGAATGGCGAAAAATTGTCGGAAGTCATCAATACGAGACACGAGAATGTCAAATATTTGCCGGGGAAAATTTTGCCGACTAATGTGGTAGGGATTTTGGGATTACTGAAGGATTTCCGGTCATTTTGAGACCCCACATGAGTATGCTCCTTTAAAATTCGGATTTTCTGGGTCTCGACACAATCCAGATCAAATTTAAAGGAACATAGCCATGTGTGGTCTTAAAACGACCAGAATTCCACCTGGAACACAGCGCTACTGGATTTTTCATGAAATTCTGAGAATTTTAACACCAAACACTACTATGTTCAATTAAAATCCAATTCTTCGCTGCGAGACCTAAAAATTTCATTTTTAAAGGAACATGTGCTTGTGAGATCTCTAAATGCTCAGAATTTTATGAGTAATGGATTCCACGTGGAATTTTCGATAATTAGGATACCCCGCAACCCTATGCGCCTTTAAAATCCAATTGTTCCAGGTCGCAGTCACAGATTTGGTCGAATCCTGCGTCGGATCACATCTTCTCGTCTTCGTCGTCCCACATCAGTTTGTTAAAGGTACATCCCTTTCTCCTCCTACAGTACCCCCTCTTTTCGTTTCAGGAATCTGCGAGAAATTGGTTGGCAAAATTCCAACTGATGCCCAAGCTATCTCCCTTATTAAGGTAAGTGCAATTTTTGGCGCGAAAAATTTTACGCATTTTTTGTAGTGATTGTGCCTAGTTTAGGGTATTTCATTCGACGTCACACAGTTAGAAGAAGAGGTATTTTCAGAGAAAATAACAAGAATTCTAATAAAAACTACAGTAACCCGATCGTTTTGAGACCAAACATGAATGTGTTCCTTTAAATTCGGGTCCCACCACGATTAAAAGGAACATAGTCTTATTTACTTTCAAAAAAAACGCCAATTTTTCCGGGAAAAAAATAATTTGCATGAAAAATCACTCACAGCATCCGGAAAATAACCAAATTCTCTCAAAATTTCCCGCCAAAAACCACAATTTTCCAGGGAGTCTCCACCGAGAAAAAGGGAGGACTCAAGCTCATCTCCGAAGAGATCAAAGAGATTCTCAAAATCGAAGTCAGCGTTTTGATGGGAGCGAATTTGGCGCCAGAAGTCGCCAATGACAATTTCTGCGAGGCCACAATTGGTAGGTTCATGGGAAATTTGCAGAATTTTGAATATGCTCCTTTAAATGGGTCTCGCCAGGAAAATTGTGATTTTAAAGGGACATGGGCTTGTGCGGTGTCAAAATGGCCGGGACAATGTGGGAAATTCAAATTCCTGGTTGGATTTGGGTTATTTTGATACCAAACTTAAATATGCTCCTTTAAATGGGTCTCGCCGCGAAAATTGTGTTTTTAAAGGAACATAGGCTTGTGCGGTGTCAAAATTACCAGGATTTCCTGGGGATTGCATTCTACGTGGAATTCTGATGTTTTTGATACCAATAAAGCTCATGTTTCTTTAAGTTTGGATTTTTCGTGGTGAGAAACAATTCTAAAGGAACATGGATTATTTGGTATCAAAAAATTCGATTTTGCTCGAAAATACCCAAATTTGTGCTCAATTTTTCCAATTTCAGGATGCAAACGAAAAGCCACCGACGGTCCTCTTCTCAAAAAACTCTTCCACACTGAAAATTTCCGCATCAACGTTGTCGAAGATGCGCATACTGTAGAACTCTGCGGAGCCCTCAAAAATGTCGTTGCTTGCGCCGCTGGATTCACGGATGGATTGGGATATGGTGATAATACAAAAGCGGCGGTTATTCGATTGGGTTTGATGGAAACTACTAAGGTACGGTGGATTTTTTGAGTCTTTAGGGGAATTTTGGGGGATTCCACGTGGAATTTGGAGCATTTTGAGTATAAATATGACCAGGTTACTGTAGAGAGGGAAATTTGGATGATTTTAATACCCCACATGCATATATTCTACAGTAACCTGTATTTTTGACGGGAAATTTGAATTTCAAATTTTTGCCCTACTTTTTTCCCAATCCACCTAATATTTTATATGAAAATACTCCAAATTTCACGAATTTTTCGAAATTTTCAAAGGAACATACAGTAACCCATCTATTTTTGCAGTTTGTCGAACATTATTATCCCGGATCAAATCTTCAAACATTCTTCGAATCTTGCGGAATTGCCGATTTGATTACAACTTGTTACGGTGGAAGAAATCGAAAGGTAAACACTGAACATCAAGGAATCTCAAAGGAAAATCGAGAAAATCAAGATTTTCGGGTAAATTGGTACCCCTCTGTATTTTTAAACAAATTTTGTCTGAAAATTGGGAGATTTTGGGCAGGAAATGGGCAATTTTAGACCAAAAATTTCAAATTTCCCACCAAAAAATCGCAAATTTTTTGCAGGTTTGTGAAGCTTTCGTAAAAACCGGAAAACCATTGGCCGAAGTCGAAAAAGAGCTTTTAAATGGACAATCTGCGCAAGGACCATTAACTGCGGAAGAAGTGTTTTTGATGATGCAAAAAACTGGATTGGAAACTAAGTAAGTCTTTTTTGGGTCTTGACACGGAAAACATTGAAAACGTCGTGAAATTTGGAGCATTTTGAGTGGAAATTTGGGTATTTTTGAGCTTGGATTACTGTAGGTTTTTTGGCGCGAAAATCATGAGAATTTCAAATTTTAAAAATCTACAGTAACCCAAATTTGTTAATTATTAATTTGGAAAATCCACGTGGAATTTTCGCGCTAAAAATTCAAATTTCAAAAAAAAATTGGAAAATTCAATTTTTTAAATTTTTGAATTTCTTTTTTTTTTTTTGAAAATCAGTTAAGTCTACAGTAACCCTTGAAAAATCCACGTGGATTTTTATTCTTCAAAATGTGTTTTTTTTTGCGCGTAAATCCAATATTTTAAAAACTTCCCAATTTCTTGAAGAAACTCAAAAACCCACCGAATTTCCACTCAAAATGCTCCAAAAATTGCCACGTTGCAGAATTTCCCCAACCATTGCTCATATTAATGCATCGTCCAAAGTGAAAAAAAAATGCGAAAAATCAAAAAAAAAAACGTCCAAACTGACGCATTTTTTTTCGCAGAAATCGCATTTTTTCGAGCACTTTTTTCGCGTTTTCTTGTGTTTTTCGAGTCAAAATGGACAGAAATTGAAAGAATTTGTCTGAAATGGTGTTTTTATTGATACTGGAGAAAAAATCAATGATGAAACAAGAAAAAAAACGATTTTGAAAATTTCAAATTTTTTCGACTTTTTCGACATTTTTTCGACAAACTAATTTTTCATGTTTCACCGTTGATTTTTCCTCCAGTATCAGTAAAAACTCCATTTCAGACAAATTCTTTTAATTTCTGTCCATTTTGGCTCGGAAAACACCAGAAAACGCGAAAAAAGTGCTCGAAAAAATGCGATTTCTGCGAAAAAAAATGCGTCAGTTTGGACGTTTTTTTTGATTTTTCGCATTTTTTTTTCACTTTGGACGATGCATAAATCAATTTCATTTTGCAGATTCCCCCTCTTCACCGCTGTTCATCGAATTTGCAAAGGTGAAATGAAACCGGCTGAATTGGTCGATTGTCTTCGTAATCATCCAGAACATTTGTAGATTTATCGCATTTCAAAATTTAATTTTTATTACTAGAATTTTCCCCTTCCCCCATACCTTTTTTTGTATACTGTGAATATACGAGTTGTGCTCCGCTTTTTGTTTTGGTGCCGAAAAATAATGAAAAATGCAGAAAAAGTTAGAATTTATCACAGAAAATAGTTGTTCTATTTACATTTTGGAATGGGAAGCAATTAAGAAGAAAATCAATAATTAACCTATTTAAAAAGGGATTTGGCCTAGTGGAAAAATTGGGCCTTTTTCAGGTCTCCTAGTCGAAAATTGGGCCTATTTTTTGAAGGCGCCATCCAAAAATTCGATAATCGAGTCGTAGATCATAAATGTGATTCCGACGTCCAAACAAACACGAGATAGTCGGGGTACTGTACCTTTGTAGAATCTGAAATGAGCATTTTTTGAATTCGGGGAAATTTTGGGGTACTGTTGGGTTTTGAAAATTTTAAGGCATATTTGTACTCAAAATTCTTCAAATTCCGTAAGGATTTCAAAAAATCTCAAAATTTTGCCAAGAAACTTTGAAAAAAAACCCCCAAAAACTCACGCAAAGAATCCCTCATTTCGCCAAATTTGAAGGGCACAATCGATGGTGTTTTTGTACTTTTTCGCCTCGAGACCCTGCATTCTCGTTTTCACAACATCAATTGGTGTGTTTCCTGGAAGAAAATCGATAATTTTTGAAGAGAGTACTGTAGGTACTGTAGACAACCATTTAAAGGAACATTCGATGTTGAAAATTATAATGTTCCTTTGAAGTTTTTACAGTACCCTTCTGTTTCTCAATTCAGATACCATTAATTTTCCAATTTAAAGGAACACGTTTAACAAAAATCAAATATTTTTAAAGTACTGTAGTTTAAAGGAACATACCGTATACCGACGCGGCTCCCGCCACAACTCCCATTGCTCCAACAATTGGTTTGGAAATTGTTTGAGTGTTGTCACCGCCACGATACCAATCCTGTAGAAAAATGGGGTACTGTAGATTTTGGCGCGGAGAAATTTTGAATTTGAATTTTTGCAAAATTCACAGGCCTAGGATTATTTGGTGTCAAAATTTTCCAAATTTTGAGCCCTAGGCTTATTTAGACTCAAAAAATCGCAAAATTCCATCACAAACCTTCAAAGTTTCCATAACAAAGAATCGAATCGCCTGATTCGAACCCTGTTTCGCCATAGTCGCAGTCACACCTTTATATAATCCACCAATTCCATCATTCGCCACAATCGATCGAACACCATGGAAAAAACCCTTGTATTTCGGCTTCTCCAAAGTTTGATCGTGAATAAATTTGACTTTGACAGTTTCCATGGGAGTTACAGCAAATATGGCTTCTGAAACACCGGCTCCTAATCCACACATCAATCTCATAATTGGTGTCAAATTTCCGCGATCATCGCAAGCTTTTGATTTGAGAAATTCGAAAGTTCCGAAACGGAATGAGGATTTTGGAATGGATCCATATAAAAGGACGGATAAACCACGATAGAGACCGAAGAAACCGTGACCTTTTACAGTTTGTTTGACACAATCGATGGGACCCTGCAAATTCAATTGTGGAATTAAGAAAATGTGGCAGTCCCTCGTAATCATTTCGAAAATGAATGAATGTCTGTGTGCGCGCGCGCGGTCGCGATGCGGTCGAAAAAAACAATGAAAACAATTGCCGATATTGATTTTATTACGACCGCATCGCGACCGCGCGCACAGACAGACATTCGTTTCTAAAATTACAGAGCTCAAATCTTAACATGAGTTATGACGTGGCAAAGTTCGAAAATTTCAAAAAATCGGAATGAAAACTAGCTTTCATGAAAATCTGCTTGTTCAGGAGAATCATTTTTGAAGCTGAAAGTTTTCAGCTTCTGAAATCTCGAAATTTGCCACGTCATAACTCATGTTAAGATTTTTTTTTTTGCAATTTTTGACGACGAAACAGTGAAAGTTGAAAAATGTGGCTTCCGTAAAAAATAAAAACCAGTGCAGAATTGAAATACTTCGTCAGTCGCGTGCGGCTGTGCGTCGCGGTCGGGAAACCAACAAGAATTAATTTTTCCTTAGTTTCCCGACCGCGACGCACGGCCGCACGCGACTGACGAAATAAGGTTTTTTCATTCATTCAATTCTGCACTGATTTTTTATTTTTTACGACTGCCACATTCATTTTTCAACTTCGACAATAGTCACCTTATATTTCGGCACTTTCGCTCGTTCATCCAATTGCAATTGTGTTTTGACGTATTCGGTTGGGAAAGTGATGCAAATTTCGATGGCTCCAGTGGCTCCGCCGATTACAATTCCTCGCACCGTACTTTGTGATGGTCCGTATTGTTGCCAGAGGGAAAGTGGTCTGGAAAATGTGCGCGATGATTGCGGAATAGGCTTCGCCCATTTTTGAGCTAGGAAAATGCAACACTGGCACACTTTCTATCGAGTAAAAGTGTGCCAGAGTTGCTGAAGCCTAAGCTCCACCTCTTTTTGCAAAGCTGACACAAGGAAAAACCGTGCCAGGCTTGCAAACTAGGCTCCACCCATTTTTTGCAGCCCTGGCACATCTTGTTCTACAGAAAACTGTGTCAGAATTGCAGGCTCCGCCCATTTTGCAAACCTGGCACAGTTTTTCACCTAATTTTCCCGCTGAAAACTCACTTATCACCAGGAATCGGCTTAACACCACCGGACATCTTTTTTGAACACTGAAAAATCGCGATTTTTCAAATTTTCCCGAGAAAAAACTAGAAAAGAAGAGAAAAGGCGGAGAAGAATTGAATTGGGAATTGGATTTTCTATGCAAACGAAAAAAAACTTTTTCGCGCGCTCGCTTTTTTTGTTGGAAGAAAGGAAGAAGCAAAAGGATGACACGTGGGCGCCAGAAAAAGGAGCCAGTCAGCAAAAATAAAGAGCAAAAATGAGATTTTCTCACAGGGGAAGACGTCACTTTTGGGGCGATCGCGCGAAAATCAAAAATTGGGCATAGCTTCTGCATTCCAGCCAAATCCCTTCTGAAAAATTGCTGGAAATCGGGAATTTTTAGCAATTTTTCAGCAGGGAAATGACGAAAACTCGATTTTTTCAAGTGGAAAACAAGCTCTAATTTTTCGAGAGCAAAATCAAAAACGAAACTGACAATCAGAAAATTTTCGTTGGCAGATTTGAGAATCAAAGAACCCACGAAAAACCTGCTCAAATCATCACCCCACAAAATTTTCGGTTTTTTTTTTGAAACTTCATCAAAAATTCGGCCGTTTTTCTCCAATTTTTTGTTGATAACAAAACAATGGCATATAATAGAGGCATAAAAAGGTGGTATGTTCTTTTTTGAACGCAAAAAAATCGATTTTTGATTGAAAAAATGAAAACTTGGCAGTGTTTCCGGGAAAAATGACCTTTTTAGTGTGACTGTCTGGAAAAATTGAAATCGGAAAATGAAAGATCAAACTAGACTGAAAATTTTCTAGAAAATAGGCAGACTTTGGCTGGGTAGATCAAAAATTTGGATGAAACTAGAGTATAGTGTTAGCTCAAAATATGGGCATAGCTTCAGCTTAAAATTGCTGGAAATCGGAAATTTTCAGAGAAATCCCAATTTTCAGCAATTTTTCAGCAGGGAAATGACAGTTTTCATTTTTAATTTAAAATTGTTACATAAAGTTCACGTTTCAAATTTATTAGAAATTTAATAATTGAGTTTCTGAATTCAAAAAAAAATTAAAATGAGACGTGAACTATGACGTGGCAAAAAAAAATAAAAAAATCATTTTTTCTTGGGTTTTTCAGTCATTTTTCGTTTTTGGAAGGTTTCCAAGTCATATTTTCTGGATTTTAGCTATTTTTCCGATTTTCTAAAGGTTTGCAAAACATTTTTGGGATTTTAGGCAACATGGGAGGTTTCTAGGCTACAAAACTTGCTGAAAATTTGAAATTTTCAGAGAAATCTCTAAAAATTCGATATTTTCAGCAACAAATGAATTTCATTTAAAAACCAGTTTTCTCCACCTATCGAACACAATGAAAAATCAGATAAACAACACAACTTTTCAAAAACATCAAGTGCAACAGCAAAAAAATCTCTTTTTTCAACATTTTTCGTATAGAACAAGAGAAAAACGTGGAGAAAAAAGAGATAAATTGATGGAAAATCGACAAAAATTGGGCCTTTTTTGTGATAACATAGAGATTTGGATGACCTTTTTTTTGTGTCTAGAGATTTTATCAAAACTTTTTTATCTGGGTTGATTTTCAAGGTGAAATCAGAGGAAACCCAACCTCGTGGAATTTATGAGTTTTTTTTCGATTAGATTTGAAAAGGATGCGAAAATAGACGAATGTCAAACAAACAAAATGCAAATAAACATCATTTTTGAACTTTTGCTGGTCTTTTTTCACAGAGAAAATAGATTTTTTCGATAAAAATGACGAGAAATATTTAATTTAGGGTTTCCGGTGCAATTTAATATATGATTTATTGAAAAACAGATAGATTTTCTGTCAAAAAGAGTTTTTTCAAAAAAAAAACAGAAAAAAAATGTTCATAGATGAGGCTAATAAAACACACTCTATTTCTCTCTCATTTTTTGGGTTGTTTACGTATTTTTTGCTGTGTTTTGAGAGAGGAAACGATGGAAAATGAGAGGAAAGAGATGAAAATGGAAATCGTCTCAGATTTCGGTTGGAAAATGTGGAAAAACCAGGAAAAAACAAAAAAAACACGCGAAAAAAAAAAGAAAAAACAGAGGTGGCCGAGTGGCCGAGGTTTGGTTTTACTAGTCCCCCTCTCCTCCCAGTTTTAAAAATTTTGCGCAAAATTGTTTTTTCGTTCCCAAAAAGCCATCGCTGCACATTCGTTATGTGTAAAAAAGTGTTGAAAATTTCAGAATGTATCAAGATTCTCAACCAAAATCAAGAACAGAATCTTATAATCCACCGAATGAGCGAAATAGTGAACAGGGATCATTGACTTCGAAAGAAATAACGGAAGGAGTTGGAACAATTAATATTGGTGGAAGAAAAAGTTCGGAATCAATTGATATGAGGAAAATCAGAGAAAGTAAAGAGACAAGAAATCCATCAGTCGAATTTCTGCCTCGTGTGCTTTCAAAGTGAGTTTGAAAATTTTTATCAAAGATTTTAATCAATTGGTTTCCATTGCAGACCAAAAAGTATTATTGAATTAAAAACACGTGAGAATTAAAAAAGTAGGTCAAGTGACGTGGATTTAAAAACAGTATAGGTAGCCATGTCGTCAATTGCGATGCGGTTCTGCGATGCGTGTTGACCTCGATATTTTCCATTGGATTTTCCAAATTTTCATTTCTAAAAACGTGTCGCTCACACGCATCGCGACTGACGACATGGCTACCTATACTGTTTTTAAATCCACGTCACTTGACCTAGTTTTTTATTTCTCACGTGTTTTTAATTCAATAATACTTCTAATGATAGAGAAGAAAATCCAAAAAATGAAGAAAGAAAACAAGAAAATCATCAAAATGATCGACCGATTCGAAGACAAATCTCAATGTCAGATAAACCTAGAACTTCTCCATATAAACGAAGTAATCGAGATATCGAATCCAATTCATCAGCTGGTTCTAGTTCAATGAAAAAGACAACAATTGAATTTTCTCTGAAAGATGTAGGTTACTCCTAATATCTCTTGATTTTCCAAGAAATGTTTTAGTTCTCCAATTTATCATATCCATATATCGATTCACATTGCCACGTTGATTTAATATTCAACAAATTCAAATGCGAATCTGAAGAAGGATTATCAACCTGGATGTCGAAGTATCCAAGATCTTTCAATAAAAGTTTCATCGGTTGCATTCCAAACTTCATTGAACCCCATCTTTTTGTGAAAGATGAATCAACGGAAAAAGATGAATTTGATATGAAATGGATTATAAAAGAATTGGATTCAAATCCATTATATTTGGGTGCGACTTTTGGTTGTCATCCACATCAAGTTAAACGGTAAATTTTTTCAAAGATAGAAAATCTACTTTTAATATCTGTTTTTCAGTTGGTCTGAGAAGGAGATATTCTGGGAGACATTGGAGAAAATATTAATTGATAAGAGGTTTAGATGTATTGCTGTTGGAGAATGTGGAATCGATCTTTACAAGTATGTTTTTATGGAAAAGTTATTCATAATTTAATAATTTCTAGATGCGAATCATCATTAGATCAACAAAAATCAGCATTTCGTCGACAAATCCAACTAGCCCTCAAATACGATATGGCTTTGGTGATTCATTGTAGAACGGGTCGAAACGGTGATGCCGAAGCGGAATGTCTTCAAATTTTGAAAGAGGAATTGAAAGGACAGCTCAGAAGATATTTGCGAATTCATCGACATTGTTATATGGAAAATTGGGAAAATGCCAAAAAATGGATTGAGATTTGTCCAAATATTGTTTTTGGTAAGTAAGTAGGGAAGATGAGTGGAAAATTTTCTGTTTTTCTATAGGTTTCACACCAGCAGTTTTCAATTTCTCCGGAAGTCAACTCGAAGCGATTCGAAATATTCCATTGGATCGGATTATTTTGGAAACCGATGCACCGTATTTTGTTCCATCGATGTTCAAAGATTATTTACAATGGGTCAATTTACCAGGAACCGGTGAGCATGGGTCTTTTGAAAAAAAAACAATTTTAGGGGCCGAATTAATTTATAAAAGTGGTTGGTGTACCATTTTATGATAATCCAGCCCGAGATGTTATTAAAATATTATCGAAAATCTCATCGGTACCACGCGCTCCACCGAAATAAACACGCAACGCAGACCGCGCCGCGCCACAACACACACACAAATAAGGGAACGATTCAAATTCCCTCCCTTTTTTGTGTGTGTTGTGGCGCGACGCGGTTTGCGTTGCGTGTTTATTTCGGTGGAACGCGCGTGGTACCGATGAGATTTCCGATAATACATCGAAACATTTCTGTAGCTGCAAGCACTGCTCTTCAAATCGCCAAAGTCAAAAACATTCCAGTTGGCGAACTCATGCGACACGCTCTTTTAAATACGAGAAGAACATATTCTTTATAATCTTGTGCATGTTTTTTTTTCTGTTTTATCCATTTTTCTGTTTTTTCCAGCTTTACTTCAAGTAAATTTTTTAACATTTTAAAAAAGTTATCAATCGAATTCCTCGTGTCAAAAATACCCAATTTCCACCTGTTTTCCATGTGCCAAATGCATAACTTTTTCACATTATTTCCAAGTAATCGGGGTTTCTATGGCTACTTTCAGCTGTTTTTTACATATATTAATATGAAAAGTAAAGTTTTTCAGTCTGGGAAAACTCTGAAAACATGTGCTTTTTATTTATAATTTCAGCTTTTCTAGTATTCTTTTGCGAAAATTGTGAAACTGCAGGTAAATTTTAAAAATTTGATAAATATGAAAAACACAAGAGTTAACGCGAAAGTGCAGATTTTTCGAAAAACGCACCATATTTGACGCAAAAATGCAGATTTCTGAAAAATACACCAAATTTCACGAGAAATTGCAGATTTCTGAAAAAAACACAAAATTTCACGAGAAATTGCAGATTTCTCATTTTCAGCGTGTTCTTGTGCACAATGCAGTCTAGAATTGCTCGAAGACAATTGCACAGAGATAATTGGACATATTATAATAAGTCTAGAATCACAAATGCCACCGTATGAGGTAACCTAAAATTAATTATCAAGGGAACTGTTTCAACTTGCAATCGAGATTTTCAATGAAATATATGCTGTCTAGTAGTTTTCGACCCGCTGATCACGTTTTCGTCATCTAAAATTGCAAAGCTCGACTCCTAACATGAGTTATGACGTGGCAAAGTTCAAATATCCCAAAAATAGGGACTTTGGAGGGTCAGAATTCGCCTTCTAATTATGATTTTCATGCAAATCTAATAGCATGGGGTTATTCAGCAAGGTCGATTACATAATTTTAGAGGGTTAATACAAAAATCCGGAAGAGTTTAAAAAAAGTTGATTTAGGTCATGGGTTGCAGATTTCAAACTTTTTTGAAAACTCTTCCGGATTTTTGTATGAACCTTCTAAACTTATGTAATCGACCTTCCTAAACAACCCTATTCTATTAGATTTTCATGAAAATCATTTTAAAGGTGAATTCTGACCCTCTCAAGTCCCGATTTATTGAAATTTTCGAACTTTTCCACGTCATAACTCATGTTAGGAGTCGAGCTTTGCAGTTTTAGACAGTGGAATCGTGATCAGCAGGTCGAAAACTACTAGACAGCATATATTTCATTAAAAATCTCGATTGCAAGTTGAAACAGTCCCAATGTTACTTCAATAATTAATTAAGTTTTTCAGATGATTGAATATAAGCTGGAGAACATGCAAAAATTGACGGGATGTTTGACAATAGCAAATTCAGGCTTCACAAATCTCAGTTTTCTTCAAAATCTGGAAATTGTCGAATATTCTGAAATTGGAGCTGCTGCATCTTGTCGAACCTATGCGAACACAATTACAATTGCTAAAAATGCACTTTTGCGCGATGTTTCAGCGCTGAAAAATCTGAAAATCCTGAATTCCGGTGAGAATACGGAATATGGATTGTATTTGGTGGATAATCCGAGTTTGTGTTTGGAGGAGGAAGAATTGGAGGCGTTTTTGAGATTTGACAAATTTTATGCACCACATTTTCGAATTTGTCATGAGAATTTGTTGAATAGTGGGTTTTTTTGTTTTTTTGCTTGAAAAATATGCGGGCGTGAGAAAACTGAGAGAAATTTTTCGGAAATCAATTTCCGGTTGATAATTAAGAACTAGATTTTTTGAACAATTTTTCCAATTTTACCCTTAAAATTTGGGATTTTCAGAATAAAACCTTCTGAACTATAGTCTTGTTAAATATAAAAACTTTATTGTTGAATTGATCGATTCATATCCTCAAAATCCAATATTAATAAACTTATCATTGTTGAAATGACACATTCGAGCAAATTGATGAATCTTGGACGCAGTTGTCGGAAATTTCGAGGATTTCTGGAAATTTTTAGGTTTTCTTGAAAATTCTTGAGATATTTTTGGGACTGCCTTTAAAAAAACTTACGCTACAATTATCATAAGATATAGTAAAATGGCGACCAATTGCATATCTGGGTTCCGAGTTCTTCCCCGAAATCGATATATCATAAACCATACAAAAATTATGAACCAGATCAATTGAGTTGGATCTTCATTTGCTTGAGAATTGCTTGAAATTGTATGATCTTCTGGTGGAATTTGTGGGGAAGTGTCCATAAAAATATTGTGATTATTAAGCGATAAATAGAAGAAAAGTGGTGTTTGTTCTAAAGAAAAGGTGTGAGAAAAAATGGGCGCGCTCCATATTGTTTGGCGGAGAGTTTTGGGAAGTTTCGGTGCGAGATATTGATTTTTGAATGCTGACTTTCTTAATAATTATAATCTTAAATCAATATAATTTTGAGCTTTTGGCACAATATCAATATTTTGAAACAACAAACACTTCGATGGGCTTTTTATTTTTCTGATAATTATACACATATCTAAATACATAGTTAATAAACATATAATGTAATTGGGGATAAATAGAGATAAATATGGGTGGGTTAATTATATAGCATGATAAGTTCGATAAATTATAATATTATTGTTTTTTGTTTTTGTTGTTAATTTTTTTATTTTTTTGGGTCCCATCTTAGTCCGCCTAGTTGCGGACAAATTCTCCAACAACATACTCCACAATTTGTCTCACAATCGTTTCGCACAATTCTTGCCGTCTTTCATCCTCAGACAAGTGTTTCATAATTCTGAAACATGTTGAATTTGTATCTTTTGTTAATTTGAGTTTTACTTACATAAGACCGGCAACTACCATGAATGCGACAAAAGTTTCGGTGATTGTCAGCATATTGTTTTAAATAGATAAACTTTTAAAGTTTTTTAAACTGGATGTTTTTGTCCAGAAATTAGAAATCTTGACATTTTTGAAATAAATTGCATGCTTTTCGCACAATAAATTACAATAGATCAAAACGTTTTTTTTAAATTGAAAAATTGAGGTTTCAAGTTCAAGTATTTATTTTTATTCGTTGGAGTTTAAAACTTGTTTTTTCCTAGTTTTTCAAAAAAAAAAACTCCATACATCAAAATCTTAAAATTTTCAACAACTTTTCAAGTTCTGTATTAATTTAAAATTTTTTTTGTTAATATAAGATTGGTGCAAATTTTCGCTTTTTGATCAAAACTCGAACTTTCATGTAAATGATTTTTGAGAACGAAAATTACGTTTGAAAATTCTTGACAGTGATGACCTAGATTTTTCTATGAAAAATCTGTATTTTCAGCTAAATTTGGAAATTTTCCATTTCTGAGTATGAATAATAACAATCTTCTGGCAGAATTCGAATAGAAATGGGGGAGAATGAGAGGGAAAATAATTATTTCTAGTGGGGAAAAAGACAAGGTGTTAGAAAAAGTGGGCCCGGTCTATATTGTTTGGTGGTTGGTGTGAGAATACCTCTTAATATTTTTCAGGTTAACATGAGCAATGCTTCATTTTTTGTGAAAAACATGATAACATCTGGTTGAAAATTTAAAAAAATTTACGAGAATAATCTTAAATTTAGGGATAAGCTTGAGAATTGGCTTATTTGGTACCAAAAAATCCCCAATATTTTTTTCCAGAAACCTATTGTCGCCTGGATAGTCTTTCATTTTTCAATCATTCAAATCTTCCTGAAAATTGTCAAGTTTTGACGGATTCAATTGTTATCAATGGATCTATCACATTTTCTTTGGAGGATTCTCTAAATTCCACGGATTTTCTCGATTTTTTCTATTTCTCGAATTCGACATTTCAAGAAAGATTGAATTCGATTCAGGAGATTTTTGGAAATATTGTTGTTATGAATTCGGATTTGGAAAATTTGGATTTTCCCAATTTGAGGAGGATTTATAATTTTCAGCGTGAGTTTTTTTGAAAAAAATTCTGAACTCATCTGCAGAAAAATTTTCCAAAGTAAAATACGTTTCAAAATGTAACTAGCTTTGAAAAAAAAAACAATTTTCTTCGATTTCTACTGCAAAGAAGTCTACAGTACCCTTCTTTGATAAATTTTTGCGAAAAAAACTACAGTACCCTTCTACTGTACAAAAATTCTAATTTCCAGCCACTTTCCCAGTGATTCTCCTTCAAAATAACACACGTCTCTCGGAAATCTCATTTCCTGCCTTCGAAAAAATCGATTATTTTGGCGCCTACAATTCCACCGTACTCTACGCCTACAGTAACCCGCTGCTAAAATCGTGTCAAGACGCGACGTGTCAAAATTTGGGTCAAATATCGATTGATCCTGGCGACACGGATCCATGCTCCAATTTTTCTTCGTCATCCCTAAAATCCAATTCCACGTTGCTGGCGCAAATTATATACACAGATATAATTGAAAATTCAAATTCGAAAAGTTTTCAATTATTTTTTGTTATATATTTATGGTTTTACACAAGTTAGCACATATGGAAGATTTTCGAAGGTTTTTGGATTTTCATATTGATTTTCTTGATCTTCTTCAGATTCTTCGGATTCGTAGGCAATCATGTATTCACTTTCAGGTACCTAAAAAATAAAAATTTGGATTTTTTTTCAAAAAAAAGGGCGGGGCTAAGAATGCAAACCTGGCACGGTTTAACTTAAAATTAGTGAACTAGAATTTTGCCGCCGAAATTCAGCCTACTGTTACTGTAACCCAAAAGGTTTAAATGTATTGCTGTTGGAGAATGTGGAATCGATCTTAACAAGTATGTTTTATATTTAAAAATCTTGAAAAGTTATTCATTTTTTAATAAATTTTAGATGCGAATCTTCATTAGATCAACAAAAAAGAGCATTTCGTCGACAAATTCAACTAGCCTTCAAATATGATATGGCTTTAGTGATTCATTGTAGAACGGGTCGAAATGGAGATGCTGAAGCGGAATGTCTTCAAATTCTGAAAGAGGAATTGAATAAACCGGGACAGCACAGATATTTGCGAATTCATCGACATTGTTATATGGAAAATTGGGAAAATGCCAAAAAATGGATTGAAATTTGTCCCAACATTGTTTTTGGTAAGGAAGCTTATTTTTCTTATAAGAAAGAAAAAGAAAAATACGATTTTGTGCAAAAACTGCTGCTTTTCTAGGTTTCACACCAGCAGTTTTCAATTTCTCCGCAAGCCAACTCGAAGCAATTCGAAATATTCCATTGAATCGGATTATTTTGGAAACCGATGCTCCGTATTTCGTTCCATCGATGTTCAAAGACATTTTACAATGGGTTAATTTACCAGGAACCGGTAAGCATTTTAAAAACACTAGAAATGAGCCGAAAAATGAAAATGTGGCAGCCGTAAAACATAAGAATCAGTGAAAAGTTGAATGAATGAAAAAACATTACTTCGTCAGTTGCGTGCGGCTGTGCGTCGCGGTTGGGAAACAAAAGGGATGATTCACGAACGCAAAAAAATGTTTTTTTTAACATCGAAAGATTAATTCACAAAAAACACATTTTAGGTCAAAATTAGTTTTCCGAGTTTTTCCGCCAAAAATGATGACAAATCGAGAATTTTGAAGCTTCTGGGGTGATTTCTAATGAAAATTGACCTTGCAATCCACTTTTCAGAAGTTTGTACTGACTTTTGGTAAAATAAACATTTTTCAATTTTTGTTGAATTTCGAAAAAGTTCATAAAATGAGGTAAAGTAAGCTTACTTTCGTCAGAAATCAGCCCAGAAGCTTCAAAATCCTTGATTTTTCATCATTTTTGGCTGAAAAACTCGAAAAACTAATTTTGACCTACAATGTTTGCTCTCTACATTATTCGACTTTTCGTGAATTGATCTTTCAATGTAAAAAAAAAACATTTTTTTCGTTCGTGAATCGCCCTTCTGTTTTCCGACCGCGACGCACAGCCGCACGCGACTAACGAAGTAATTTTTTTCATTCATTCAATTCTGCACTCGTTTTTTTTTTACCCCAGCCACATTTTTCAACTTCGACAATATTGTGTTTTGTATTTAGCTGCAAGTGCTGCTCTTCTAATCGCCAAAGTCAAAAACATTCCGATTGGCGAACTCATGCGACACGCTCTTTTAAATACGAGAAGAACATATTCTTTATAATCTTGTGCATGTTTTTTTTCTGTTTTATCCATGTTTCTGTTTTTTTTCAGTTTTACTTCAAGTAAATTTTTTAACATTTTAAAAAAGTTATCAATCGAATTCCTCGTGTCAAAAATACCCAATTTCCACCTGTTTTCCATGTGCCAAATGCATAACTTTTTCACATTATTTCCAAGTGATCGGGGTTTCTATGGCTACTTTCAGCTGTTTTTTACATATATTAATATGAAAAGTAAAGTTTTTCAGTCTGGGAAAACTCTGAAAACATGTGCTTTTTATTTATAATTTCAGCTTTTCTAGTATTCTTTTGCGAAAATTGTGAAACTGCAGGTAAATTTTCAAACTTTGATATGAAATATGAAATACACAAGAGTTAACGCGAAAGTGCAGATTTTTCGAAAAACGCACCATATTTGACGCAAAAATGCAGATTTCTGAAAAAATTTCACGAGAAATTGCAGATTTTTTGAAAAAATACAGCAAAATTCACGAGAAATTGCAGATTTCTCATTTGCAGCGTGTTCTTGTGCACAATGCAGTCTAGAATTACTCGAAGACAATTGCACAGAGATAATTGGACATATTATAATAAGTCTAGAATCACAAATGCCACCGTATGAGGTAACCTAAAATTAATTTCAGGTCAACTAATCAACTACTTTTTTCAGATGATTGAATATAAGCTGGAGAACATGCAAAAATTGACGGGATGTTTAACGATAGCAAATTCAGGCTTTACAAATCTCAGTTTTCTTCAAAATCTGGAAATTGTCGAATATTCTGAAATTGGAGTTGCTGCATCTTGTCGAACCTATGCGAACACAATTACAATTGCTAAAAATGCACTTTTGCGCGATGTTTCAGCGCTGAAAAATCTGAAAATCCTGAATTCCGGTGAGAATACGGAATATGGATTGTATTTGGTGGATAATCCGAGTTTGTGTTTGGAGGAGGAAGAATTGGAGGCGTTTTTGAGATTTGACAAATTTTATGCACCACATTTTCGAATTTGTCATGAGAATTTGTTGAATAGTGGGTTTTTTTGTTTTTTTGCTTGAAAAATATGCGGGCGTGAGAAAACTGAGAGAAATTTTTCGGAAATCAATTTCCGGTTGATAATTAAGAACTAGATTTTTTGAACAATTTTTCCAATTTTACCCTTAAAATTTGGGATTTTCACTGAAAATTTCAGGGTTTTTAGCTCAAAATCTTGGATTTTCATGAAATCTCAAGAAATTTGAGCAAAACTTTGTTTAACATGAGCAATGCTTCTTTTTTTGTGAAATAGTGAAACTTTCATATTCGGACTCGAAAAATCTATTCCTAAATTTCAGCTCAATTTTGCTGAAAATTGCGAATTTTAACATTTGAAACGCGAAAGTTAAGTTTTTCATGAAATTTGAGCAAAAACTTCTAACATGAGCAATGTTTCATGTTTCAATGAATTCCAACTCGAACGAAACCTGAAAATGTGCGCTTTTCTTAAAATGAAACCTATCTGAACTATAGTCTACACATGGTGTAATTTACTACCAAAAATCTCTAGGCTTCAAAATTTACAATAAATTTTCTGGTAGATCAAAAATGTTTTTCTCTAAATCTCTCATTTTTGCGTTGAATTTCGTCGGTTTTAGTCCCGCCCCAAAAATTGTGTCAGGTCTCAAAAAAAGCGCGAAAATTTTTGGGTAGTGAATTACACCCTGTGTCTAGTTAAACATAACAACTTTATTGTTGAATTGATCGATTAATTTCCTCAAAATCCATTATTAACAAACTTATCATTGTTGAAATGACGCATTCGAGCAAATTTATGAATCTTAGACGCAGATGTCGAAAATTTCGAGGATTTCTGAAAATTTGCGATTTTTTGAAAGCAAGCATGATTGTTTTTGGAAAATTCCGCGAAGCGACGCCTGAGGCTAACTTCAAAAGTACTATGCCGCCTCGCGGAATATTCCGCTTCTGCGCTCGAGAAAAACTTACGCTACGATTACAATGAGATATAGTAAAACGGCGACCAATTGCATGTCTGGATTCCTTGTTCTTCCTCGAAACGCAAAAATCATGAACCATACAAAAATTATGAACCAAATTAATTGAGTTGGGTCCTGATCTTGTTCAGATATGGCTTGATTTTCAGGCGCAATAGAAATATCCATTTTTTTAGAAAACAAAGGATTTTTGGCGGGCAAAAAACTAGGTGGTATAAATTGTTTGGTGCAGGGTTTTGGGAAGTTTTGGTGTGAAGTTCTGTACTTTTAACATGAGCAATGCTTTATTTTTCATGAGAATAGCTTATTTCGTGTCAAAATGACCCAATTTTCACAAAAAAATTTGAAATGAGATGAAAATAGCATATTTGGTATCAAAAAAACCTTAAAAAGAAGCATAGACCTTAAAAAATCCCAATTTTCCAGAAACCTATTGTCGTCTGGATAGTCTTTCATTTTTCAATCATTCAAATCTTCCCGAAAATTGTCAAGTTCTAACGGATTCAATTGTCATCAATGGATCTATCACATTTGATTTGGAAGATTCTCTAAATTCCACTGATTTTCTCGATTTTTTCTTTTTTTCGAACGCGACATTTCAAGAAAGATTGAATTCGATTCAGGAGATTTTTGGAAATATTGTTGTCATGAATTCGGATTTGGAAAAGTTGGATTTTCCCAATTTGAGGAGGATTTATAATTTTCAGCGTGAGTTTTTTTTGAAAAAAATTCTGAACTCATCTGCAGAAAAAATTTCCAAAATAAAATAGGTTTCAAAATTTTCTCAAAATGTAACTAGCTTTGAAAAAAAAACAATTTTCTTCGATTTCTACTGCAAAGAAGTCTACAGTACCATTCTTTGATAAATTTTTGCACTATTATCGAAAATCTCATCAGTACTACGCGCTCCACCGAAATAAACACGCAACGCAGGCCGCGCCACAACACACACAGAAAAGGGAGGAAATTTGAATCGTTTCCTTTTTTGTGTGTGTTGTAGCGCGGCGCGGTCTGCGTTGCGTGTTTATTTCGGTGGAGCGCGTGGTACCGATGAGATTTTCGATAATATCAATTTTTCCAGCCACTTTCCCAGTGATCCTCCTTCAAAACAACACCCGTCTCTCGGAAATCTCATTTCCTGCCCTCGAAAAAATCGATTATTTTGGCGCCTACAATTCCACCGTACTCTACGCCTACAGTAACCCGCTGTTAAAATCGTGTCAAGACGCGACGTGTCAAAATTTGGGTCAAATATCGATTGATCCTGGCGACACGGATCCATGCTTCAATTTTTCTTCATCGCTCCAAAAATCCAATTCCACGTTGCTGGCGCAAGTTATATACACAGATATTCAAAATTCAAATTCGAAAATTTCGCGCCAAAATGGTTTTGGCGCGAAAAGTTTTCAATTATTTTTTGTTATATATTTATGGTTTTACACAAGTTAGCACATATGGAAGATTTTCAAAGGTTTTTGGATTTCCGTATTGATTTTCTTGATCTTCTTCAGATTCTTCACATTCGTAGGCAATCATGTATTCACTTTCAGGTACCTTAAAAATAAAAATTGAATTTTTTTCACAAAAAAAGGGCGGGGCTAAGAATGCAAGCCTGACACGGTTTAACTAAAAAAAAATTAACTAAAATTTTTCCGCCGAAATTCAGCCTACTGTTACTGTAACCCAAATACAGTAGATCAAAGTTTGGCAACGAATTTTCCAAAAAATTGAATTTTGCAGTGTTTCTAAAAGAGCTTTATTTTTGCAAGCCTGGCACGGTTTTTTCTTAATTTCCAGTGTTTTTGTGAGAATCGCACACTTTTGAAGAGGTGGAGACTAATTTTTGCATGCCTGACACGCTTTTCTGGGCGAAGCTTCAATTTTTGCGAACTCACCACACTATCCAAAAGCACCGGCAAAAACACCAATCCATGTAGAATACCCAATCCAACCACAAAAAACACGGTGTTCACAAAAGTCCTCACAATATACGAATCAACAAAAGCCAAAAGCGAAACACCGATTGCAGTCGAAAGAGCTGATTGTAAAATTGGCTCAGTCATCACTAACAGACAATTTTCGAGCCGGTTTTTGCGTTGAATCACATAGTGAAATGTGGTGTGTGTTACGTAATCAACTGGAAATTTTGAGGTAATTTTTGAAACCAAGTGTTTTAGATACCTGAAAATCCAACACTCATGACAATTGTGATCATTGAAATAATATCTAGCCTCGTTTTGGTGGCTGAAAGTGCACCAATCACACCAATATTTACAGATAGGATAGCAAATGCAATACAGAGTGCTGAAATCGGTCTGAAAATCAAAATCCTAGAATTAATTCTACATTAGGACACACAATTATACCTTGGGACCATCAAAACACATATAGCTAACATTGTTAAAATTGCGCTAATCACATCGATTATCACATTATAAACTGTAGTTAATTGCTGATCGACAAGCAGAAAACTGGTGTCATAAATGAGTCCGGAAAACCTGGATTTTTCTAATATTTGGCGCATAAAGGTAGCGCGTGGTTCGTCGTTTTGTTTTCCAAGTTTTCGAATTCGAAATATCATTTTGATTGATTCGATTTTGCCAGAAAGTTGGAATCTCACATCGTTTCGATATTTGAGGTATTTTGGGCGGGAGAGGAATGTGTGAAGTGAGTCGGAGAATGTGAAATTGTTGAGTGAAGAGTGCTGGAAACAAAACTGGTTTTTAATTTTTGCTGCAACTGTATACACAATTCAAAAAGTGTGCTTTCACCCACCATTTCCCGCTCAAAATCCTCTAGCCAAAACTCGCTACACGACGCAAATTCTCCACCACCCAAATCTCGATACAATTGCACCAAATCTCTTCGCACCAATCGATTCTCCATATTCAAATCCGTCGTATTCACAACACCAAAACAGAATCCACCATAATCAGCGAATAATCTCTCTTGTGCCAGCAATTCGCGACTTACGTAAGAGTCATCTGGTGCTAGAAGTTTGAGATCGAGTCCGAGTGGAAGAGCCAATGCAAAATGAATTGATAGTGAGAGATAAATCTGGAAAAAAAGTTGTTTGAACTGCCGCCTAGCCGCGTTTTCGCTGCGAGACCCGTTTGTGTACAGTAGCCAAAAAGTGTGTTTATTTTTATTTTTGAGACCATTTCTGTGTTGGTATTCAACCTTAAATTGTCGATTTTTTTTGGAAATTCAAGCTGAAGAATTTCAGAAGAAAAATAGGAATCGAGCCCATCCTCAGTTCTAAACAAGGATTTGAAGCTGCAGATGGGTTTTTTTTCATTTTTTTTAAATGTTTTTCCACAAAAACCTACCAGAAACACCACTAAAACCAGAACTCTGCACCAAACGGGATTCAGAACTCGAAACAAAATCCTCGCCAAAACCTCCGAGTTCGCATTCATCGAATGTTCCGCAAAAATCGCCGGAAACTCCTGCGATTTTCGCGTCACAATAGTCTTGCAACACAAAATCGGATGACGCCCGTCGATTTCACGACGACAACAAAGCGACATAACGGCGTTGAAGAATGTGACTTGAAAAATGAACATGAATAGGATGGCCATCGCGCAATATGTGCAGAATACACCTGTAAATCGGGATATACATAGGTGTGAGGTCTTGGAGCTAAACCAACTCACGAACTGCATGAAAATCCGAAATACTTCCAATGGCGAAGGATAATCCGTCAGTTAGCGACGTTAAAAATAACGAAGCAGCGCTTTCGGTTAACGCAGAAATGTAGCGTTTTTCGGGATCGCCACGTGGCTTCGTCATTCGCCAACTTTTCAGCATTAGGAACATGTTATCGGTGCCGATGGCTGGAAATTTTAGGAAATTTTGGCGTCACAATGTTTTTTCATGGTTTTTGGTACCCCGAAACTGAATAATTGGTCTTTTGGGAGAATTTAACAACAAAATGTTCATCAACAAAAAATAACAATAAATAAAAAACAAAGATAAATACATTATTTACAAATATTCTTCAACCCATTGCTCATATTTCTTCATAACTTGTACAAACTGCAATTCTTCAAATTCGCCTTCTGGATTTTCTTGAATCCGTTGAATTTGTTCTCGAATATCTTCCACATATCTATCAAAATCCGATTTTTTGAACAATTGATTTCTAGCTCGGAAAATTTCAGCATTGCTGGGAAATTTTTGAAGAAGTTTATTGAGATTTGCAAATATTTCTTCATGTGATTTCGAGATTTTCAAAATCCGCTCATAATTGCTCAATTTTCTATGGTTTTCAGAAATCCGATTCATTTTTTCAATTCCATTTTCAAACCAGCTTTCCAAATTTTTAATCTTCTTCAAAACTTTTCCTCGTGGTTTTTTGTTCACTTTCGTCAAATTCAGCTCATTTTCCACAGTTTTTCTAGATGTTTCAGCAATAATCAATTGATTGTGAATTTCGATATTTGAACTTTTCTCAATTCTCAACTCATCTTCCAGATTTTTCCTCGATGTTTCAGCCGCTTCCAACTGATTCTCAACATTTTTCTTTGATTTTTCGACCAAAAGCATATCATGTTTCATGTTTTTCAACTGATTTTCCAAACTTTTCTTCGATGTTTCAACCGAAGCCAAATCATTTTCCATTTTTTCCAATTTTTTCTCAATCGTACTCTTCTCCTTGTTCACCGTTTTCAACTGATTTTCGAGATTTTTCTTAATTTTTTCTGTCGAAACCACCTCATTTTCCTTTTTCTTCAATGTCTTCTCAATATCGATCTTGGATTTTTTCATCGAATCCAATTCATTCTTCAAATCGCGAATGTGATCTGTATGTCTACTTGTTATATCACTCATATCTTCTGCATATTTTTCCTCACACTTCTGATGATCTTCTTTGATTTTTTGCACCTCTTCTTGATGTCTGCAAAATGTTTTGATTTTTAAATGTTCCCAGCTAAAAAACTCACCGTTTTCGTTCATCTTTCATTTGCCCTTGAATCGCATCCACAATACTTCTCAATTTCTTATTTTCATCCCTCATTTTTTCCGAAATTCGCTCCATTTCTTCTTTCTCAATCAATCGAATCGATTCCAAATCTCCAATATATTGTTCCCTTTTCGAAAATAATAATTCCCCATTTTTATCTTCAAAATCGTATAAATGTTCGAAATTTTTCATCAATTGTTTCGTTTTTTCCAAATTTTTGAAAATAAAATTCTTCAGATATTTCCAAGAATTGTCATCAAATGTTTTGCGAAAATTTGGGATTTCCAATAACTTTTCGAATTTTGAAATTGGTTGAGTTTCGCCAACTTCGAAGTGTGCAAGCGTATAGCTTAAAATATTAGCTTTTACAAGTTTTATTTAAAAAAAACACTTACTTGGCTATTTCTTTAACTTTTTCCACAACTTCGCACAACTTTTCATCTATTCCCAATTCCTTCATCGCATTGTTCAAATCTACTATAATTGTGTCATCTCCATTTTGTTGATCAAAAGCCGCACGTAAATCTTTCAAAGAAAGAATTATTTTATTTTCGAAACACATGTTCAACAATTCATAAATATCACTTTTCTTGGGAATTCTATTATCCATTATTTTCGTATAATGAAATTCGAAAACCTCCAAATCCAAGTTCAGTGGTTGAAAGGATTTTTGAACAAAATCAAGAATCTCCGATTTTTCGTATGATTCTTTCAATCGTAGTGTGTAAATTGACGATTTCTTCAATTTCCAATCATTTTTCAATTTTCCAATTTTCTCCTCGATTTTCCACATCTCAATTGCATATATTTTTCCAGATTTCCCAAAAAAATCAGCCAAATTCGTCTCGATCCACATTATCAAATTGGCAAATTCAACTTCGTAGATATTTTTGAATATTTCCATATTTCTTATCATATATCGTACAACTTCGCGGAATGCATCAGTCGCCAGTTTGCAGAATGTTCCGTAATTTGAAATAATCGGAGAGACAATCATAGTTGAGAAACTATAATATGGTTTTTTTAGAATCTGCAAAAAACTAATTTGAAAAAAACACAGTTAAGAATTGGTCAACTTTGAATCGAACTTGGTTTTGAGAATATCGATATCTAAAGAGAAACTTTATGAAAACTATTGCTTATCCTCAAAATCGTGTCCGATTCAAAACTTCCCTTCAGAACTTACAGTCAATTCAGCCATCGAAATCTTATATTTTTCCAAGATTTCAACAAAAGTTTGCTCATTCATCATATGCACAATTCCACATTTCCGTTCTTTTTCAGTTTCAGCATCGGATTCGAATTCGTCTTTCAAATCTTTCCGCAAGTATTTAATCGCATTAAAAACCTCTTTTTCAAAATAGAACTTCATTGGTTTTTCCGATATTTTCGACGTAAAACATCGAACAATTGGAAGAGGATTTGTCGAGGGTTCCAATGAATCTTTGAAATTTTCATGAACTTTCAAAGCCTTCTCAATGGTTCCTTTAATATCCATATAAATTTTCTTGTAGAACACTTGATATTTTTCGCTGGAAACTGGGAATTTATCGAGAAGTTTTTTGAAATGATCGACAACCACGTGTTCATATTCAGCATCAAAATATTTGCGGAGTTCGAACAAGTCTTCTTCTCGAATATCACCTTCAAATTCTCCTTGGCATTTGATTTCTTCAGCTGATTTTTCCATGGATAAAACTATCGAATAGGGTATTAACTCATAGGTATTCTCCATGTTTTCGTATTTTTGTCGAATCAAATGATTGATCCAGCACGAAAAATGACGTGAAACCATGTTATGCATTGGTATATTCTCGAAAATAGCTAAAAACATCAATATCATATCATGTTTCGAAGTATATTCATTCCCCTTTTCGTCTTTATAAATAGTTGCTCCACCATGTAAATTTTCTGTAAATTCTGTCCCGGGTTGTTTATCATATCCATATCTATAATATTCAGGCATATCCCATGCTTTTACAAGATCTTTTTCAAACATATTGATGCTGTCATAGACCTCTCCGATTCTTTCCGATTTATTGAACAGAAACAGCAAAAATTCTTCGGGTTCATCTACTTCATATTTTTCGAGATCGTCTTCTGATGGTCGAGCAACAATCTGAAAACAAAAATGAATTGTATAAAATGGGAAAAAACTTACATCATCATTGAGAACAATTTTTATACAGTTCAAAACATCCTGCACTGTCCAATCCGTCATTTTTGCAACTATAAAAAGGTTAGGTAGCTATTTGTCGCAAAAAAATAAACAAAAATGCAAAAAAAAACACATATGTGCACACATGTGTTTTCGAAAACAACAAAAAAATAAACAAAAGAAAAACAACGATACTCCGAATGCTTATTGTTTAGCACATGCGGTTTTTTGAATTTTTCAGATTTTGGCGCCAAAAAAGCAGCGAGGAATTCTCCCCAAACTCACAAACAACTAAAAATGGCATAATAAAAACCAACGGCAAAAATGGATACTGTAAATAAATCAATAGCGAAGTTGATGCAATTGTAGCATTAAACATTGCAAAAAAAACCAATAAAAGGCTGTGATTTCACCAAAGATTTTGGATTTTTGAATTAACAGCTCCAGAAAAAAAATGGATTATTGATTGTTTTCCGACCGCGCCGCACAGCCGCACGCGACTGACGAAGTAACAAGTTTGTAATTTATTCAGCTCTGCACTGGTTTTTTACAGCTGCCACATTTTTCAACTTTGACAATAACAAATGTCTTGAAAATAGTTTGTTTCCGTTTTCTGAAATTTTTCAGAGAAAACAAGAAGTTTTATTAGTGATATGAATATTGAAATACGAAAATAAATGAATAATAATTTTTAAACCTTGCAACTTGAAGTTGAAATGAGCCGTAAATGATTAATGATTAAATCTGTAAAAATTAATTTGTTCTGAAACCAATGGGAAAAAATCCCCTCACTTATTGTTAGAAAAAATGTTTGTCGTCGTGGATTTGTTAACCGCTTGGCGTGGTTTGCTCATTCTTCTGGTTTTCTTCTTTGATTTTTTGCACCATTTCTTCAAATCTGCAAATTTTTGCGATTTTTTGTTCTTTCTTTCAATAAAAACTTTTCTGTCTAGTCTTTTCTACAGTATGAACTGTATCTTATAATATAAGACATAAGAGATCAGAGTATCTCAAATACATTAAATTGGCTCAGGAACTTTAAATTTTCAAATGTTCCCAGCTAAAAAACTCACCGCTTTCGTTCATCTTCCAATTGCCCTTGAAGCTCATCCACAATACGTCTCAATTTCTTATTTTCATCCCTCAATTTTTCCGGATTTTGCTCCAATTCCTCTTTCTCGCTCAATTTCCTCTTTCTATTAATTCGCTCCATTTCCTGCATTTCCATCAATCGAATCGATTCCAAATCTCCAATATATTTTTCCTTTTTCGAAAACAATAATTCTCCATTTTTTTCCTCAAAATCGTATAAATGTTCGAAATTTTTCAGCAATTGTTTCGTTTTTTCGAAATCTTGGAAAATCGCCTTCAGATATTTCCATGAATTGTCATCAAATGTTTCGCGAAAATTTGGAATTTCCAATAACTTTTCGAATTTTGAAATCGGTTGAGTTTTGCCAACTTCGAAGTGTGCAAGCGTATAACTAAAAATATTAGCTTTTACAAGTTTTAGCCCATTTATTAAAAAAAAAATCTTACTTGGCTATTTCTTTAACTTTTTCCACAACTTCTTCCATCTTTTTATCAATTTCCAATTCTTTCATCATTTTGTTCGAATCCACTTCATTTTTCCCATTTCCACTTTGTTGATCAAAAGCCACCCGCAAATCTTTCAAAGAATCAATTATTTTATGTTCGATGCATGTGCTCAACAATTTATAAGCATCACTTCTTTTGGGAATTCTTTTATCAATTATTTTCGTATAATGAAATTTGAAAACCTCCAAATCCAAGTTCAGTGGTTGAAAGGATTTTTGAACAAAATCAAGAATCTCCGATTTTTCGTATGATTCTTTCAATGGAAGTTTGTGAATTGACGATTTCTTCAATTTCAATTCCCGGTTCGCTTTTTCAATCATCTCCTCGATTTTCCACATCTCAATTGCACATATTTTTCCAGATTTTCCAAAAAAATCAGCCAAATTCGTCTCGATCCACATTATCAAATTGGCAAATTCATTTTCGTCGATATTAGTGAAGAGTTCCAAATTTCTTATCATATATCGTACAACTTGGAGGAATGCATCAGCCGCCAGTTTGCAGAATGTTCCGTAATTTGAAATAATCGGCTGGACGATCATAGTTGAGAAACTTTTACATCCCATTCTTATAATCTGCGAAAACAATTTGTTTATGAAAAAAAACTGTTTAGAATTTTTGAAGAACTTACAGCCAAATCATCCATCGAAACCTTATATTTTTCCAAAATTTCGATAAAATTTTGCTCAGTTATCACATTCACAATTCCAAGGTTCCGTTCCTCTCTAGTTTCAGCATTGAATTCAAATTTGTCTCTCACATCTTGTCTCAAAGATTTGATCGCACTGAAAACCTCTTTTTCAAAATAGAACTTCATTGGCTTTTCCGATATTTTCGACGTAAAACATCGAACAATTGGAAAAGGATCTCTCGAGGGTTCCATTGCAAATCTGAAATTGTCTTGAACATCCATAGCCTTCTCAATATTTCCCCTAATTTCCCCGTGTATCTTCTTGTAGATTTCTTGATATTCCTCGCTAGAAATTGGATGTTGATCGAGAAGCTTTTGAACCTGATCGATAAGAAAATCTTCATCATCCTCATCAAAATATTTTCGGAGTTCGAACATGTTTTTTTCTCGTATAACACCTTTGAATGGTTGAACACTATCCATTTCTTCAGCTGCTTTTCGCATAGATGAACCTATCGAATATGGTACTAATTCATAGGAATTCTCCAGTTCATGGTATTGTTGTGGAATTAAATAATAGAACCAATGCAAGAAAGAAGCTGAAGCCATTTCATGCATAGGAATATCCTTGAAAATATCATAAAACTCCAATATCATATCATGTTTCGATAAGTATTCAATCCCCTTTTCGTCTTTATAGACAGTTTGTCCAGCACGGAAAGATTTCGCGAATTCCGTCCCTGGTCTATCATATCCATATCGATAATATTCAGGCATATCCCATGCTTTTTCAAGATCTTTTCTGAACGTATCAATGTTGTCATAAAATTCCCCAACTCTTTCCGATTTCTTGAACAGATCCTGCACAAAATCTTCGAGATCCTCTGATTTCTCATATTTTTTGAGATCTTCTTGGGGTGGTTGAAGAATTATCTGTGAAAACAAAGTTTGAAATGTACGAAAATGAATTGTGTGAAATGGGAAAAAACCTACACCATCATTGAGAACGAGTTTTATACAGTTCAAAAGATCCGGCACATTCCAATCCGTCATTTTTGCGACTATAAATACTTTATGCGCTGATTCACGAAAAAAAACTTTTTTTAACAGTTAAAAAACGTTTTTATTTCGTGAATCACTGCATTAGACAGCTATTTGTCGCAAAAAATAAAAAAAAAACAGTGAAAAACACACACATATGTTTTCGAAAACAAAACATAAACAAAAAATAAAACAACGACACTCCGCCTCTTGTTTAGCGAACGCAATTTTTTTAAAAGATTCTGGCGCCAAAAAAAAAACTCACAAACAACTAAAAATGGCATAATAAAAACCAACGGCAAAAATGGATACTGTAAATAAATCAATAGCGAAGTTGATGCGATTGTAGCCATTGTAGCATTGAACATGGCGAAAAATCCAATAAAAGGCTGTGATTTCACCAAAGATTTTGGAGAACTACAGGCAAACATGCAAAAAATGATGAGAACTAGAGAAGTCCACGGCATCCACGGGATAAGGAGCTGGAAAAAAAATGAAATGGGGAATTTTTTCACATTGCTCATGTTAGATAAATTTTTAATTTTTTCAATTATCCGCCGAAAAATCTATCTTTTTTTCTTCAAAAATTTAAATAAATCAGGCTAGAAAATTTGAAAAATTCTATTCTCAAAAAAAAATTTGAAAACGAAACTTGCTTTACAGTTTCAAAAAAATCCACGTCATAACTGATTTTCTCCCAATACAAACCTCCCCATTCCTTTCCATTTCCTTTGCCAAACTTTTCGAACTTGACCATAAAATCGTTGTCTCATTATTATTTTTCCCCTCAAACTTCCCAATTTCCCGCAAAAACGCATCAATCCACAAATCGGCAGCTTTCGAGCTCTCCAAAATATAAGTTAGCCTAACTGCCTTGGCTTTTTGAATTGCCGAATTTCCGTCGAAATCCTGTGACTTCGGAATTGTCTCGACTCCGCCGAAAACCATTGCATTATCGATTGAAAATTCGTCGCCGAATTTGAGACTTGGATATCTCAACAGAAATTGGATCGATAATTCGGGCTCCGAATCTTCGAGAGCTAATGAAATTGGGTGGAGAGTGCACGAGTTTTCGTCGGTTTTGAGGCAGATTTCGGAGAATTTTATGCCTGAGGCGGTCTGGAAATTTTTTTGGAGAGTTTTGGGTTAAGTATCATGAAAATTGACCTATTATTGCTCAGATTAGAGAAATTCTGAATTTCTCGAAAGCATTGCTCATGTTAAAGTTTTTTCAACAAAAAAACCATGTTTTTCCTGAAATTCTGACAGGGTAGGGTTACTGTATTTTCGAGCATTGCTCATGCTAGATTTTTTTGCAAAATTCAACAATTCAAAAATGTTTAAAGGAACATACCGTAATCGCCATCACAAATCTATGCAACTCGACCATTTTTCGAATTCCCTCGCTTTCCAAAATATTCCCTTGCTCATTTCGCGCCTCAATTACCGTATACACAAATTTGGCGCCAAAAATACTGTAGGTGTCGCGTTGCGGGTCTCGCGGCGGAAATAAATATATGAGTTGTTTGAGGTCTCGCAACGATTGCATATCATCCGGTAGAAAAACTTGCAACGTGTCATTTGTGATGTTCAAATGTGTGAAATTGGTGATGGTTAGGGTTACTGTAGAGAAAAAACTAAAATTTGATCTACAGTAATCTTTGACCTACCCATAAGTATTGTAAAAACCGGCGGAAGTACGACAAATGGAAGTGGCCAGCGAACAACTACCGTACTCTCATACTGTAAAAATTTGAATTCAAATTTTTGGCGCCAAAAATTCTGACCTACCTCAAAAAACTGTGTGACTATTGATTGAAAATTTAAGGATCTCATAGGCCAAATTCAAATAAGGAGAAGGTTTCAAAACTGTTCGAAACATCCCGCCAATTATTATAATTGGTCTCGACACGAGTTGACCTACAGTAATTAAAATTTCACTAATTTTCCCTTCACAGGTGGTGGGCTGGCAACCCGTCTCAGACCTGTGCCGCACCAGTGTTCCGAAAACCGGAACCGACCGGTCTCGCACCAGTATGACACCCGTCAGAGTTCCTGATCAGGGGTCAACAAGGGGAACTTGAAAATGAAAAAAATCTATATGTAGAGGACCAATGTCCCCAGAAACCAAAAATATAGACTTTGTGTTCATGTCCAATACGGACTAGAACAGCTTTTCATAGAACCTCTAATTCGAAAAAGCAAGCAACACTCGCTTCTCTTAAACAAACTGACTCGCAGACAGTTGGCTGTTTGTGCGTCTCGCTATGTTTTGTGTGGGAGATGGTCGAGCAGTATGCGACCCGTGACGCGCCAGTTTTAGGCGACCCGTGACAGGTCTGCACCCGTCTGACACCAGTAACAGACCTGTGAACGACCAATTTCACTGACTGGTGCGCTACAGGTCTGAGACGGATTGCCAGCCCACCACCTGTGTTCTTTTTGGAAAAAATTCAACAAAAAAAGTAGCGTGCACCGGGGATCGAACCAGCGCCGGCAGCTTGCTGGCTCAAAACACTACCACTTAGCCACGCCCCCTTCCCTGAAAGCAAAAGAAAAAGGCGAAGAGAAGACAGCTGTTTTCCCTCTGCGTCTCTCGCTTTCACACACTCTCTCCCCATTCTCTCTCTATGCATATTATTGATTTATGCGCGTTCGAGAGCAGAGCAGTTCGCAAATTACACACACACACACATACACACTGCACCTCTGCGTCTCTACACTCTCTCACATGTGTCTTCGTCTGCACTCTCTCATTTCACTTCGCTCTCTCGTCGGTTGTTTTTCGGAGAGAAACGGGGGCCTCCAATGTTTTGTATTATATTTTTATTTAGGACTGACTGATGTGTGAGAGCGAAACGAAGAGAAATTTTCTGTGCGATTTCGATTTTTTCGCAGTGCGCGAGAGAACATTTCCAGATATTTTCAGCATTTTTTGTCTGAAAATGCGCGAAATTTTGAGCTTTTTCGTGTAAAAATCAATTTTTTGCGCTAAAAATTCGATTTTCCCCGTAATTTTTTTTACGAATAGTTTTTCACAGCTGAAATTTTTCTAATCTTGATTAAAACTTGATTTTTTTGTTGAAAATCTGAAAAAACATTTTCAGGTGAAATTTTTTCTTTTTTTTAGTAGATCACAATTTATGCGCTAAAATGTTGAAATTTCTTGAGATTTTTGGCTCCCAAAACCCACGTCATAGATATTTAAAATTTTAGCGCTCGAAATCCACGTCACCTAAAATATTTTGACGCGAAAATTTCATTTTGAAAAATTGTGCCAAAAAAAGTTCCAAAATTTTTTGTAGATCAAAAGTTCCCGGGTCAATTCTGGGCCCCAAATCTCGAAATTTTTAGAGATGCTTTTGATGTCAAAAACCCACGTCATAACTATTTCAAATTTTAGCGCTCGAAATCCACGTCACAAAAATATTTTGACGCGAAAATTTCATTTTAAAAAATTGTGCCAAAAAAAGTTCCAAATTTTTTTGTAGATCAAAATTTTCCCGGGTCAATTTTTGGCCCCAAATCTCGAATTTTGACTCAAAATCTTGCAAATTTCGCGGGAAATTCAAATTTTCCCGCAATTTCCCGCAATTTCTCCGCGAATTTTCACCGCAAAACCAGGTCAAGCATTTGGCCGGCAGGTGAACTTATTATTTATAAAAATACTATTATAATTTCCTCCTCTTCTCCACCCACTTTTTCCTAAATCCTAAGCCTAACAAGTGTGTGTGTGTATGTACTTCTTCTCCACCCCCCCCCCCTTTCCTCCTCGAGAACTACACGGATTTTGTCTCTGGTTTTCTCTGCGTCTCTTCTCTATTTACTTTTGCTGTGTGTTAGTTAGAAGAAAAAAGAAAAACCAGTCTGTTTTTCGAGTTTTCTTTTTTTTTTTGAGGAGGAAAATTATTGATTTTTAGGGGAGGGCTTAGCCTAGCTTAAGCCTAGGCCCAGGCTTAGGCTTAGCAGAATGATTAGGCTAGTTGAAAGCTGGAAAAATGACCCAAGAACATTTTGATCTACACAAAAAATTTGGAACTTTTTTGGCACAATTTTTTAAAATCCCCATTTTCATTTTGTGTTTTTTTTTTTTGAAAAATCCCAGATTATCCTATTTTCTGTAGATTTGGCTTAACTTCCCCTAAATTTCTTTTTTTCAAATTTAAAATCAAATATTTTTCAGCTTCTCAAACTTGCCAAAAATCAATAAATAAATATCAAATTTTCATTTTCTTCACAAAATGAGCGCCAAAAATTCGATCGATTCGACGCCTGAAGAAAATGAGGAACCGGTAAGAATTTCTGAGAAAATTTCAGATGAAAATTCTGAAAATCTCATATTTTGCAGGTGATTCTGAAACTCATTCTAGTCAGCAGTAAAACTCACGAATTTTCATTTAGTCCAATGGCTTCCGCTTCAGATGTTACACAGTTTGTATTTGAGAATTGGCCTGATGGTGAGTTCCGCGCAAGAATGGGACTTAGCCTAAGTCTAAAAAAATTGTTAAGCCTTGAAACCTATACTCGTTGACCTAAGCTCGGAGGCTTCTGGGCTTTTTTTAAACTTCTCAAAAATGTTTGGCACTTAAAAAATAAGGCCCTAAGGTTTTAAGCTCCCTAGATAATAAAGCTATTCTCAAGCTTTATCAAAAAGTGGGATAATTTTAGGACCTAAAAATACACAAATTTTCTAGGTTTAAAAAAATTATCGATTTTTGACGAATATTTTTTCCAGATTTTCAATTTCTAGTTCAAAATTTTTTCGAACAAAAAAAATCACATCATAATGTTTTTCTATAATTAAAAATCCCCAGGAGACCACTTTTTAATTAGCTGAACTTATTTTTAACACAAAATTGTTCTTGTTAATTATTTTTTGCACTAATAGTTCAAAATTATTTTTGGAATGGATTCAGAAATTATTTTTGAGTTTTGAATTTAGAATTACAAAAATCTCACAAAAACTGAAAAACTATGACGTGGCATTTTAGAAATGAATAGAAAAAATTTTCTTCAAAAAAAAATACACTCACCATTTTCATTTCTCAAAAAAAAAATAGAAAATGATGATTTTCGGGGAGGATTTTCGCTTGAAAACCAAAAAAGATAAAAATTTATGTTCATTTTTATTTGAAAAAAAAATCATGAGATTTTGGCTCTACCGTACCCCGAGAGCCAAATTCGCGAGCGTAGGCGGAAAATTCCGCGAAGCGGCGTTGTCTTCCGCTTAAGCGGCCAAGCCTACTTCGAGAGCTTCATGGTGGAGTTACATTAACTTTACACCTTCAGAAAGTTAGCCTAACTTACAACCTAACCCTAAAATTTTTCCAGATTGGTCCGAAGATAAAGTAGAGAGTTCCTCAATGCTCAAATTAATATATCATGGTCGTTTTTTGCATGGAAGTGTCACACTTCAAGCGCTTCAATTAATTCCCGGAAAAACTACAGTAATGCATTTGGTGACTAGAGAAAATCTACCCGAACCTAATTCTAGTGGTAAGTTGCAAACTTGGGAAATTTTCTGGGATACTGTAGATCATTTTGATCTTCATTCTCACATTTTGTAGATCAAAGTTTTGATCTACCTACAGTACTTTTAAATTTTTTGGTAGATCAAATTTTTATCGCCCAAATATCTGGGGTTACTGTAGCTAGAACTTTTTTGATCTACCAATTTTTCACTTTTCCTCAAGCTTCTTTGGTCCTACAGTAATCCAGAATTTTCGGCTTCAAAACTCCCGTCTACAGTAGCCCCATGATTTTTTTTTGATTTTTCTACAGTACCCCAGGATAAATTAAAATGAAATTTTTTTTTACAGAAACGCTAACAAAACGGAAAAGTGCAAATTGTTGTCGATGTGTGCTATCCTGAATTTAATTTTTTTTTGTACAAATTTTTTTTCAAATTTTCCCGCGCTATTTTTTGTTCGCTACGGGACCCCAAATTGTATTTTTGTGTTTTCCTCATTCCATTTTTTTTCTGAAAATTCTAATTTCAAATTTTCCTGCATAATTTTTCCAACGATTTTTTTGTTTTCTGTGATTTTTTTCTTCAAAAATTTGATTTCCCTCTCCCTCTACAGTACCCGCCCCCTCCCACTCCCTTTAAAAATAATTCAAAATCTTGTCGAGACCCTGGTCATTTTTTTCTTTTTTTTGTATATATTTTTGTGTGAAAGAGCTTTCTGTTTGTAAAAAAAATAATGAATTTTTTTTGAGTTCTCTAGGAAAAATTCTGAAAATTTAAAATGTAATTTTTCACTATCTACAGTAATCCTAAGATTCACTTAATTTTGAAAAAAGGAAAGTTTTTTACACTAAAAATTTCCCAATTTTTTTTTGGAAAATCCACGTGTCAATTGTTGAAACGTGACCTACTTTTTTTCAAAACTCAAAAAAAACAATTGAAAAATATATTCAGTTTATGAAATTTATGATGATCAAAATGAACATCATCATAATGTTATTCTTTCTCATTTTTCATGGAATTGTGGTTTTTGGTGAACGTAAGTTAAGAAAAAAGACAAGAAATGAGAAATGTTTCATTATCATAATTTTACAGTCAGTCATATATTGTCCGTTTGGAAATGAGATTCACCCCGCGAAAAAATAAATTTGAATTTGAGAAAATCTCTAATTTCCCCCTACGTCGCGGTCGCTTTCCCATACAAAACCCCCGTTGGCTGTTTGCCAGCGCACTCTCTCGCTGTCTGCGTCTCCTGCAGCAAATTCCAATTTATTTTTTCGCGGGGTGAATCTCATTTCCAAACGGACAATATGTCCCGATGGAGACAGATCATATGAATTTCCACCTTGTTATTCTCATAATTCTTTTGAATATAATAATAATAATGGGAGAAGTTTCTGTTGTAGTAAGTGATTGGAAAGAAAACTCTCATAATTTCTCTGGAATGTTTTTTTGATCGACTCGAATATTTAATTTTTAAGATATTTGGTCTTTACAATGCACAGCTTAAAAAAAAGATTTTTTTGTGACCGTGATACGGTATGCATCGGTGTTTGCAGACAAGAGAGACCTTGTCTGTTTCGAACAAAAAAAAACACACAAAAAACTGTGCGGCAACAAAAAACACGCGCCGCACAAACGACAAGCGGCACCGCCCACTTTTTTCTTTTTTTTTCTGGAAAAAAAAGGGAAGCCCGTAACTAAAGTGTTTAATGTATTTTCTTCTTTTTTTTAGCTGTGCAATGTCCTGGTGGAGGATATGCTGTTCCAAAAAGAAAAAGTAAATGTGAGAAACTTCTAATACCTATGATGAGATATGACGGACAAGAAGTTTGTTGTGGTAAGTTTTAAAAAAAATGTGTGTGGAAATGTATTTTTCAATTTAGCAACACATTGGCTCGGATGTCCTGGGCTAATAGTGGAATCACTGCCGTGCAATCCGAATTATTCTTATGAACGTGAATTTAATTTACAAAACGAACATATGGAATATCGAGGTCCACTTTGTTGTAGTAAGTTTGTTTTGCTGTATCAATTGTCTTTCAGAAACTTCGGAATAACTATTGTTTTTTTTAAAGTGTTACCTATTCATGGTTGTCCCGGAAGGGGACGTGAACACCCTCCCAAAAATAAACCATGTGCAGCCAATCAATATCTTTATCAATTTGGAGATCAAGAAGCCGATAAATTGTGTTGCTGTAAGTTATAGTCGAAATTGAAAAATGTGGAAAACCCGTGCAGAACTTAATGGATGAAAACAACTGAACTTCGTCAGTCGCGTGCGGCTGGGTCAAAGCGCCACACGCCTTTTTGAAACAAGGAAAATTTGCAAATTTGAAGAGAAACTGAGAAAAAGACAAATCGAACTGCAAAATTTTTTCGCGCTGCAATACCAGTCAAAAATGTATTCATTTTCAATTTTTTTTTCACTTTTTCGGCTGGTTCTTTCGCCTTTCTCTGCTTGTCGCCCCTAAAAATAGATCAAAAATACGGAATTCGAGAAGAAAAACCGTAGGAAAAAGTTTAAAAAAATGGAAAATGAATAAATTTTTGACCGGTATTGCAGCGCGAAAAAAATTTGCAGTTCGATTTATCTTTTTCTCTGTTTCTCTTCAAATTTGCAATTTAAAAAGGCGTGGCCAAAACATGTAAAACTACACATGTTTTTGTGAAACATGCGATTTTTTCTGGCACATGTTTGGATCTGACCCATGTGAACTGACAAATGTTTAATGGATCTAACAAATTATGTTTTTTCAATAGTCTATTTTTCTTGCGATGAAAAGCTTTCGAGTTATTTTCAATTATCGCCCGCTATTTATAAGCTCCTACTTTTTGAAAAATTGAGAAAAATGAATAAATCGGCCCAGAGATGTCTGGTCTCAAAATCAATAGGATCATCACGAATAAATCATTTCATCACGTCCATACAAGGCGCCCGTTGAGTCAGACGCGAGACGACGAGAGTATTTTGCAAAAATATACCGAAAATGAATTTCGCTTCGAGATATTTTCAATAAAACATGTGTTCCTTGAAACAAAATACGGTATTTTTTCAAAGGGACACATATTTTCTCAAAAATATCTCGAAGCGATGTCTTTCTCTGTCTCAGATGACGTCATCAGACTCCCGTCGTCTCTCGTCTGACCCGAGGGGCAATTTTCTATTGGAGTAAATGGTCGTGTCATCTTCGATTTTTTGAAAAATTTTCAATCTGGCCATTTTTGTAGTTATCGCACGGTTCGACAAACAATATTCATTTATTCCATTGAATATTTGTCAGATCGCATGGGTCAGATCCAAACATGTGCCAGAAAAAATCGCATGTTTCAGAAAAATGTGTAGTTTTACATGTTTCAAAGCAATGACCGTGCGGCTGTGCGGCGCGGTCGGAAAAGAAAGGAAAAAAAATGAATTATTGATTGTTTTCCGACCGCGTCGCACAGACGCACGCGACTGACGAAGTCCAGTTGTTTTCATTAATTCAGTGCTGCTCTGGTTTTCATTTTTTACGGCGGCCACATTTTTCAATTTCGACAATGTTTAGTGAATTGTTGAAAACGTATTTCAAAAGAGCAATAAAATGCCGTGATTTCAGCTATCGATATTATAAAAAAATGTCCTGATGGAAGCACTCCTCATAATTCACCATGTAAAGATAGCGACTACGAGCATATTGATGATCATAAATTTTGCTGTGGTAAGTTAACTAGTTCAAGAGTGATCATAACTTTTGATATTGGTTCACAGCGTGTGTTTTACAACCCGAAAAATTCCGCGCATTTTTTTGAGAAACATTTGAGGTCTAGCGGTTTGACATTGTAAATTACACACTGTGCCATCTTCATCCCATATTTTAAAAATCAACAACGCAAATATTTTCTACAGAGCTCTCTGGATATAAATGTCCACTTAACGATATTCCAACCAATGGACCATGTGAAGCAGAAAAGTTCCTTTTTCAATTTGAACAGGGACCATCATTTTGTTGTAGTAAGTTTTGAATGTTTTATTCATCACTTATTATTATATTAGATGATGTGAAATGTTTGAATGAAAAACATCCAACCCATCTTCCATGTGCATCAAATCAATATGAACGAGAATTTGATTCTTCACGAAAAACTTGTTGTGGTAAGAAATGATTTTTGAATGGATTCTTTCTGTGAATAGCGAATTTCAGAACTTGCTGAATTGAAATGTTCGAATGAAGAAACACCAGAAAAACAGCCATGTACACCGGAAAGATATTTAACTGATTTGGGAGTAGAAGGAAATGAACAAGTTTGCTGTAGTGAGTACTATTTCAAATGAAATAAATTCAGATGACCTTAAGGTCTCCTGGGAATTCCCACAAAACTTCAAGAATTTGTTTGCAGAGCTCGATGAATTGAAATGTATTTCTGGAAAAAATCCAACCAACGAACCGTGTAATGAAACTCAATACAGAACACATTTGGGACATGCAAATGTTTGTTGTGGTAAGTCTTATTTCGCATTTTTGGAGATATATTATCGAAAATCTCATCGGTACCACGCGCTCCACCGAAATAAACACGCAACGCAGACCGCGCCGCGCCACAACACACACACACACAAAAGGGAGGGAATTTGAATGGTTCCCTTTTTTGTGTGTTGTGGCGCGACGCGGTCTGCGTTGCGTGTTTGTATGAGATTTTCGATAATATTTAGATATCACATCTTTTAAAATTCCAGAGCTTGATGAATTGAAATGTTCGAATGGAGAAACACCTCAAAAACAACCGTGTACTCCGGAAAGATATTCAACTAATTTAGGAGTAGAAGGAAATGAGCAAGTTTGTTGTAGTAAGTCTATTTTTCCCTTATTCGTTATTATCAAAAAAAACATTTTCTACAGAACTCGATGAATTGAAATGTATTACTGGAGAAACACCAACAAATGCACCATGTAATGAAAATCAATATGAAGAACATTTGGGATATGCTGATGTTTGTTGTGGTAAGAACAGTCGACTTAATCTAACTACGCTCTTAATTAAATACAGACTTTAATAAACTCAAATGTGCCAATGGAAAAGTTCCGACTAGAAAACCGTGCGTTGAGAATCAATATGAAACAAAATTTGGGGAAAATAATGAATTCTGCTGTGGTGAGTGAAGTTTTCTGAAGATCTAAATTCAAACTCGAAATCACAGATACGGAAAACATGAAATGCCCAAATGGTGAATCACCTCGAACAAAACCATTGAATGATGAAGAAATTGGAATGGAGATAATCACGGGTCAGAAGCTTTATTGTGGTTAGTGCAAGTTCTCAAATCTATTTTTTCTCTTTTCAACTTTTTAGATCCATTTTTCGAATGTCCGAATGGAATTGCATCATTTCACGATTCACAAACTTGGTCAAATTGTGGAAAAAATGATAGAAATATCAAACTTCGTTTAGATTTTCACGAATCGTTCAAAAGTGCTTTATTATGTTGTGGTAAGTTCAAAATTTGAGAGAGTGAAAGACAAAAGAAAACATTTCGAAAAACTATCGCAAGCCCAATATGCGCAGTCTGAAAGCCTGCGCCTAATTATCAATGGAGCGAACTTCCATTTTTACTTTTATTTTGCGCAGATTTTTTTTTTGAAAACCTTTTGAGGGAAGTTATTCCACTTGAAACATGAAACGATTTCAAAATATGGAAGTTCGCTCCATTGATAATTCCTTCGTTGTCTTCCACTCTCTCAATATTTCGAAATATTTCGCATTTCTCCTAAAATTCAATAATTTTACTTACAGAAGACGTAAAAAGTTGTCAAATCACGCAATCCACTTATAAATTTCTAACTAATGAAGAAAATGAATATGGATTGACTAAATCACTTTTGCCAAATCAAGAAAATAATGGATATATTCATCAAGTTATCAAAAATAGCGGAAAACAGCAATTTCTTTGTCGTAAGTTTTATAAAAATGATCTTAAAAATTAATTTGTGGTATTTTGAAGCTATTCCAATTGGAAATATTTGGTTGGAAATCTATAAACCTGTTGAAAGTCAAAAAATCCCAAAAGAATATTTGCCAGTTGATTTTATTGATATGAATCAGGAGAAAAGTTTGACGCCGTGTCAGAAAAATATTGATTGTAAAGGTCCGAATCAGTTTTGTGGGGAATATACAAGTTTTGCTGAAGAAGATGGTGAAACTTTGAAATTCTGCTATCAAAGTGAGTTTTTCTCAATTATTTAAAACGATTCAATATTATTTTCAGATCCAACAATTCCAGCTTCAAATATCTCAAAAGCATTTCAAATATCGATTGATTCACAGAGTTTTGGTGTTCAAATTTGTGACAAAAATGAAGATTGTTTGAAAAATGATAGAATTTGTTGGAAAAATGGGAAAACGTGGAATGGAAAAAGTGGAATTTGCATCGAAAGAAAACCAATCGCATTTATTTATTCAAGAATTTTTGAAGAAAATTCAAATTCTGATCATTTTTATTATGCGGTTGAATTGGAAAATGGGTGGAAAAATCGAGATTTGTTGAAGAAATGCGAGAAAAATAAGGAATGTGATATTGAAAATGGACAATTTTGTGATAATATTATTGGAGTAAATGGGGAAAAAGATTTGGAGAATAAATATTGTTTCAAAAGTGAGTTTTTGAGAGGGTAAAAGAGTAGAAGTACTTCCACGTGGCGAAAATCTGGTCACCAGATCTAATTTCCAGCCTTGAAATCTCCATCACCAATCATAAAACCAACAATTATTCCATCAAATTCTGGACTTATTTCATGTCAAAATTGTGAATTACCATCATTTTGTCATCAACAAAAAGAATTGAAATATCTCGATTTTTCGAATGGAAAAATGATAGAAACTTCGGGAATTTGTTGGAAAAGTCAAAATTGTGCTGATCAACAAACTGCATTATTTTTGGAACCAAAATGTCAAAATAATGAAGATTGTCTGAAAATACAAATTGATTCGAATTGTCAAAATGGACATTGTTGTCCACAAGGTTGGTTTGGACCCTTTTTTTCTGAATTTCAGGCTTCGAAAATCCAAAACCCCCTAATTTTTTCAGCAAAACTCTCAGCAGATGGAAGTTTTTCAAAAGCCAAACATCATTATATCACTCAAAGACCGTGCAATTCAACATATAATTTTCAAATCAATTTTCCAAATAGTTTTTGCGATCCAAAATCTTTGAAAATTGTTGTGATTGGAGAATTGTCAGAACATGGAGAAAAATTGAAATTATCATCGAATTCCAAAAAATGTGAGAGAAATATTGATTGTGGAGCTGAAAATGGAGCAGAAGTTTGTATTTTTGATGGAAAAATTGGGCAAGGAAAATGTTATTTAAATCCATTGACTTATAAAAATCCACCTGATGATTTTCCAATTTTGGCTGTAATTATACCAATTATCGTAATTATAGTTGTTTTGGTAATTGCTGGAATTGTTGGTTATTTGATTTATAAGAAGAAATACAAGAAGAACAAGGAAAATGCACAAAAAACTGAGAAATCTGTAACGGAAAATGAGAAAAAATCCGTTTCGACTCCAAAATCTCCGACTGTTTGAAAAAATAAAGTTTAATCCCAAAAATCCAAAATTTTCGAGAAAGGATATGTAATTTATTTCCTGATCCAAGAAAACTATTAAAAAATCAATATCAAAAATTAGATGAAAATGAGAAAATGTGGTGAAATCCAAAAATATTATATATGGCAATTTTCTCAAAAAATAAAAAAAAATATACAAAAAAAACGGGAAAAACTGAGCCAGCAAAGGCTAAACGGGTCAAAAATATCACATATGAGTAGAAATAGACCTAAAATGAGCCTGGGCTCGTGGAAAAAAGGCTAAATTTTGGGCGAATAGGGATTATTGTAGATTTCCGAGAAAAAAAAAAGTAGTCAAAAATGGGCGGAAAATGAGACCAAAAAGTGTGTGTGTGTGTGTTTGGGGCAAAAAAATTGGTGAGTAGATCAAAAAATGGCGCCAAAATTCTCCGGTTTCACATCTCGTTCTTCTCTTTTCGACAATACAATTCTTTCAATGTTTTCAATTCTTCGATGAGAGCTTTGTTTTGATTTTCCAGCACTGAAACACGATTCTCGAGGCATTTCACGTATTCCTGCAAAAAAATGAAATGAGATTGAGTTATGACGTGGCAATTTTGAGAAATTTCGCGAAAAAATTAAAAATTTCAGAATTTCCTTAAATTTTTTAGCCATTTCTCGATCTGAAATTGAAAATGTTGGAAATTTAATTTTCTGAAAAAAATGATAAAATGACAGATTTCAAATCACAAATTCGGCTGATTTTTGAAAATTTGATTAATAAAATTTCTATAAATTTTCAGCCAAGTTTTCGAAAAATCCAGGTTTTAGATTCTGAATTGATGAAAAATTCCAAATTTCAGTAATATTTTCTACCGCTTCAAGAAGTTCAGCAATTTTTCGGTCAGAAATTATATGAAAATCCCCCAATTTCAGAAATGTAAATTTAGCTCAGCCGGGAGCGCTTTTGCATTCCACGCAGAAGGTCAGAGTTCGAGTCCGCGCGAGGGCGAAGCTTTTTTTCTTTTTTTTTTTTTTTTTTGAAGTGTTTCCCAGTTATACTAACTTTGTAGATTATAAAACCCCGCCTACCTTTTTCTTCCTTCTACACTCCTTGGCAGCTTCTCGATTCTTCAACAATCTGACTTGTCTCTTTCGATTCGTCTCATCTTCTCCACCATGTCCTCGTTCCATTGGTCCACCGGCTCCTATTCGCATATTTGGTGTTCCGCCCATTCCAGTTGGTGAGGGACTTGAATCATATCCGGATAATAATGGTGATTGCCATTCGTTGAATGAGCCAAAATTTGGACTGTCTGCTGAAGAAAAAATGGAGGGTTTTTGGGGGGCTTTTCTGGGCTTTTTTGGATAATTTTTAGGCTTGAATTTAAGCCTGAATACCAGCCTAAATATTTGGAAAGCCTATGCATTTTTAGGCTCTATTCAGATACAAAACTGGGCCTTGAATTTTGAAAAGCCTAGATAGAGCCTTCAGGCCCAAGCCCCAAAAAACACTCACCAGAAAACGCGGACGGGTCCATAGTAACAATAGGTTTCGGGCCATCTTGGCCTAGAATATGATTGGATGATGAGGGGCCTGACGAGCCCGATGATCCAGAACCTGTTGATGTCGGCATGTTATTTGAGGATTGTTGTTGTTGTTGTGGTTGAGAAGAGGGGCCGGCTACAAGTCCATTTTGTTGGGGGCCTGGAAAAATATTGAAATAGGCTTGGTTAGGCTGGTCATAGGCTTTGAATTTCAGGCTTGATTCTTGAATTTAGGCTGAACCCTAAAGTTTTAGGCTTCTTATGAATAAAGAAATTAGGCTTATCCCAAATTTTGTTAGTCATCAAAATATTGACCTTTTTTTGTGCATACATTTTTTGTGGCCGGATTCAAAAAATTATATTCTGATTTTCTAGTCTGCTCCTAGATTTTCAGGACCTGAAAACCAGTCCTATACTATAACCGGGCCTGAGAAAAGCCTAAAACAGGCCTATTTCAACCCTGACCAAATTTCCCCTCAAAAATCTCCAAATTTCGTGCTGAAAAAAATTCCAAGGCCCAAAAATCGCTCAAAAATTCACCTCTCATCTCAAAAATCATCGAAAAAATGGAGAATACCAGCGAAAAAATATGAAAAAAAATGTATCAGGGGGTAGCGGGCAGAAAAATTGATAAAAATCTTCTCTCTCTTCTCTCTTGTTCACCGAAAAAAAAACGAGGAGAGTTGGAGAGAGTGTGGAAGATGGAGAGACGCAGACAGTGAGAAGTCAGAAATCAAGAAGTGATAAGAGATAAAATGAGAGAGAGAGAGGGTGTGCAGACAGCGAGAGAGAGAGACGCAGAGAGAAGAGAGAGGGGCGGGACCTTGTCTGAAATGCAGTGCAGTGTTTTTTTCGGAAATTTTGCAGGGATTATACAGGTGAGAGAGAGAGTACAGAATTTCGAGAGACACAGAGAAAAATGCGATTATTTTTCAAAATAGTTTTTGGTAGAAAATTTCCAGATTTTTGTAGTTTCAGCCAGATTTTCAGCCAAAAAACATTCTGGAATGTTTTTTCTATGGCTTCCAGGAATTAGAGGATAATTGGATTAGCTGAAAATTTTTTAGATTAAGAAAACCAAAAATTCTGGAAAAAAATGCAAATGACTAAGAATTGATGAAAAACTATATGATTTTTAGCCGAAAAATCTGGAATTTTGAAGCTGAAACCTAGATCTAAACTAGACTCTAAGCTTTCAGACTTCCAGACCTTAGCTCGACTTATATTGCTCAGGTTAAGCTGAATCTAGCCCAGAAGCTTCAGATTTGGAAATTGAGAGCTTGGAAGCCAAAATCAAGCCTAGAAGCCTAAGCTGAGCAATATAGGCCCAGTTTAAGCCTAAAATCCTACCCAGCCTAAAAATCATTAGAAATTCGTGATATTAGGCTGGAAAAATCTGGAATTCGTGGAAAAATTTGGAATTTTGAAGCCCGGAAGCCCAAATCGAGCCTAGAAGCCTAACCAGCCCCAAAATCATCAGAATTTCATGATGCCAGGCTCAAAATGCTCAAAAAACTCACCCAAAACACTATTAGCCGCCAAAACAGCCGCAGCAAAATCCAAACTTTTGCTCAAATCTCCCGGTTGCGCACCATTCATCTGAACAAATGGATTGACCAAATTTGAAGGAACCGGTGGTCCGCCACCAATTGGTGAACCATATGGTGAAGCGAGAGTTGAGGAGGTGATTGTTGAAAGACGAGATGAGGATGTGGTGGATGTTGTGGAGGAATTGTTGATGAGAATCGGTTGAGGTGGTGGCAAAAGGGGAATGTTGACCTGCAAAAATGATAAGTTAGCGAAACTCGTTTGGAATTCTGTAATTTTTTCACTAAACATCAAAATATACCGGATTCTGAGATTAGAAAAATATTTTTTTAGATTTTCAGAATTAGACTTCTTCCAAAATTTTTCTGAAATTGATTTTTTTCAAGTTAGAATTTGATGAAATTTGAAAATGTTTTTTTTTCGATGAAAAAAATTTATCACAAAAAAATGTTTTGAAAGGTTTCACATTTATTCTAAATCTAAATCTGGAAAAAATATTTTTTTTTTGAAAATTTGAATTTCAAAATATTCTAGATTTCTGAGCCAACTTAAACTAACTGTCAGATTTCAGAGAACTTCCCCTAACTTAGCCTAAATCCCCCAAAAAACTCCAAAACAAAAAATCAAAATAAAACTATTTTCTCAACAAAAAAAGGTCACGCCAACTTATTTTTCTCAAAAAATTGTTTTTTTTTTGGCCAGAAAAAAAAGTGGGCGTGGCTTGGAGAAGACAACATTCAAACCTAGGCTACTCAAAAATGAAACCAAAAACTCTCTGAGATCAAACTACACACATTTTCCCGAAATTTTTAGGTCAAACATTGATCATTAAAACAAAAACGGTGAAATCGTTAAAAAAATGAAAAAGTGACGTCACTTTTTTTCTCTACGTCTAAAATCTCTCTGCAAAGTGAGAGAGAGAGAGAGAGAATCTTATCATTTTTGTGTGAAAAATAGGTGTAAAATGTAGGTAGACATTTTGGGGACTAGAAAATTTTTGGCGCCAAATTCAAACCTGTAGGGGTGACGCATCCACCGAAGATGGCGGCGTTTCATCCGGCTCCTTTTTCATCACCTTATCCGACGACTCCAAATCCTTCAGAATCATGCTGCAAAAAATTTTTGATAAAAAATATTTTCAATATTTTTCAGCTCCATTTTTTCAAGCCCACCCACGCTTAATTAACTATTTTTCATGTTTTTTGGTTTTTTTTTTTGAAAAAAAAAATTGAAAAAAAAATTTTTTTTTTCAAAAAATACGCCTGCCAAATGCAGATTATAATTCAGAGAACGAGAAAAAAAATTTTTTTTTTGAAAATTAATTTTTTGAAACGTAGATTTTCCGGGATTGGATATTGAGACCAAAGAATTATTTTTTCGCGCCAAAATCAACAATTGCCACGTGGATTCTTGGCGAAACCCTATAGTGTTTGGTGTCAAACTGATCCCAAAAATGTTCCGCACCAAATGCCACGTGGCAATTTACCTTCTCTCAACAGTCAACGGTTGCATTTGCAACGATTGCATCACACTCATAATACACATATTCCATCTGGTCCTAACATCCATACTAAACATCGGACTAGGCGATAAAAGCCCCGGTAGGCTAAAAGTGGCCGAAGAGCTGCTTCGACTACTCAACGGTTGATGGAATGCGGAGCGTCGTTGTGGAATTGGAGAGGATAATGGGGAGGTATCATTATTGTTGATATTGCTCATATTAGATGGTGGACTACTACCTAATGGCAACATTTGGCTTAAAAACCTGCAAAAGGCTGGAAATGGGCGAAAACGAAATGAAAAAGGAGAGCGATGAGGAAACATTTAATCAACAAAACCAATAATTATTTTTTTTCTCGAGAGCTTTTTTGTGTGCTCAAAATGAGCCGAAGGAGGAATTAGGAGGATAGAAAGGTGCCAATTTAAGAGAAGAATGATATCAGATCACAAGGGGATAAATAATGGGTTGAGGTGATTTGGAGAAAAAAGTACGAATTGAATTGTGGGCAGAACTGGAACTAGACTATAGTTTGGGGGGATTGGAAGAGTGTGGGAGGCCTGATTTTCAGCATAGATCAAATTAGGTAGAACATATGGGCCTATATGATAGGGAAGAGCCTTAGAGGCCTAAAGAAGACTAGAAGGTGAGGCTGAACGAGCCTGAACGAGCCTGAGAGAAGCCTAAAGCTCATGACGAGCCTAACCAGAACTTCCCTTGATTCTAATGAGCTTTAAACTCAAACCTTAAAAACCCTAAATGAATTCTCTAAAGCATAGCCTAAATCTGATGAACCTTAAGCTGAATCCTAACTAATTTTAAACCTAAAAAGAATAAAGGACCTAGATTAATTTCTACAAGCCTAGCATGAATCTGTCGAACCCCAGGCTAGGCCTTGAAGCCTAAGCCTAGCCTGAGCCTATCCTATATTTTCGACCAACGAACATCTCTCGACTGACCAAAGATTCGAACCGAAACACAAGAAAAATAAAGCAAGGATTATCAAAAAAGATTATCATTTTCGATTGACGCAGGTGATGCCATTTTTGTCCGGATTTTAATTTCAGTAAAACCATATTTATCCTTTCCAAAATCACACGAAGGCAAGAAAAAAAAGTATAGGTTATGACGTGGCAGAGCAGTCCTTTTCACAAATTCGCCTCATTAGAGCGCTCTTCATTCCACGAAAAGGATTTTTCAGCAAAAAAGTATAGATTTGCCACGTCATATTGGTATTTGAAGATCAAACAACAATTCCAAATTTTCCGAGAAGATTTTGAGGAAGCCAAGTCAAAGATTTGATAATCCTGTTAACAAATATTTTTCAAAATCTTCTTGGAAGCAATTTTTTTGAACTTCCAAGATGATCTCTCGAGTCTAGGAGAGAAAAACGGATATGAGGTAATAAAAGGCTGTGAAATTAATTGAGGCCGAAAACTCAGGCTTGAATGAGCCTAGGCTTAGGCTAGAGAGAATTATAAGAACTATGAAAAGCCTAGAACCCGAAGATATTCGCTCAAAAACTACCTAGGCTCAAAATATGAGACAAGTTCGTACTAGACTCTAGGCTAAAGTCCAAACCTTACTAATCCTAACACCAATAACGATAAATACTTCTACTACCTTAACAAGCTTAGGACCAATCATAAGGTCGTTTCGGAAATTCCAAAAGATCAAAACAAGATTCAGGCTCGAAGAATATTCCTAATTGATTCTATGTCAACATTTCAAATTATTAGGAAAAGATCTGAGATCAAGGTAGAACTTCAAATCAACAAGGCAGATTCAGAAAACCAACCAAAAACCTTCGAGCTCTTCCAGAAGGTGTCACTCTTCCAATCAAAAAAAGAAGAAGGAGAAAAAAAGAGCAGGAAAGAAAAAATTAACATGCACCCCCACACACACACACACTTACAAATGTTGTGTTGAATGATCAGATTTCTCCCTCTCTCTCTCTCTCTTTCAGGTTCTCTCTTTCTCAGCTTTTCAGCCACAACAAAAAAAAATGCGCGCGAGAGCACAAGCCTTTTTTTGTCGTCGCCGTCGCAAAGCTGAGGAGAAACCACGCCTACCACCCTCATAACACACCTTCTTCCCTCCCTCAATTCAATTCTATATCTATGTGTATCTCACTTTCAGCTGAAAAATATGAGAAGCAGAAAAAGAAAAAGGGGAGGAGCCAAAAGGTGCGAGGAAATTGGACAAAGTACAGTGTGTCTGAGCGGATGGAGTACGGTATTGTTTTTGAGATGGCCAGTTATGCTAACTTCCAGGTACAGATCGACTGCTGAGGGTAGAGAGACGCAGAGGAGGTAGACAACTAGAGTTATAGGAATATCAGAGATGCAGAGAATGACTGTACGAAACTGCTAGATAGTATGCAAACTTGAGAGACGCAGGGGAGGTAGACAACTGGAGTGATGAGAATATTAGTGACGCAGAGAAACCAGACAGATTCTGAACTGTGTGAACCCGAGAGAGATGCAGAAAGCTAGAAACCAGACGTCTAGAGACCATGCGAGTTGAAGAGAGACGCAGAGCAACCCTAGAGAGTATAGAAACCTCAGAGACGCAGAGCTATCTAGATACTGTACAAATTCAAGAGACGCAGAGAAACCATCCGACTTCTAAACAATCTAGAGATCTAGCTAGAGACTGTACAAATTCGAGAGACGCAGAGAACTCAGACATCCAGACAGATTGTCCTTTAGGCAGTACAAAACGCCTAGAGAAGATGCACTATACTCCTACAATACAACTACAAATGTCAGCACTTATTCCAAGTCCAAATGATATCATTCGAGAAATATCTCCAAGGATTTTTGATAGGAAAAAATACCAGGTGAAAAATAAATGGAAAATCGAAATTTAGAGGAACGATGCTCCACGATTCCGCCAGGATGAACCTATTTCAAATATGACGAGCCATGAATCAGGGGCTGATTGAAAAGCCCAGCCTAAGTCTGATAAGCCTAGGACCCTTCAAACGATACTCCACAATTACATCTCAGAACTACCGTAATTTAGGAAAACTTTTTTCAAAGCCTCGAATTAAATTTGACATTTTCATGTGTGCGCGGAAAAGTTTAGCTGATTGCATGTTAAGCCGAATTTCACGAGACCAAAAAAATATGATTTTTTTTGTTGCTTCATCGGATTTTTTCGCGTGTAGAATTGATACGAATACAAAAAAATGCGAGGAGAAGTAAGAAGAGAGGGAGGAAAAAATGGACAAAATGGAAAAATAAAACAAAAATACAATCCACCCACGAAAACAAACGGAATTTTCAGAGAGGAATTCTGAAAAATCAAGGGATCTCGCGGAGCGCTGCGACACAAATTTTTAACCGAAAATTGAAACAAAAAGCCACGTGGTAATGTCAATTTTCAGTCCCAGGAAAACTTCCAGAAAAATGTACGTTTCAGAATTTTTTGAAAATTTGAACAAAAATTCGAAAATAATTTAATGTTTGTATGCCATCGATATAAAAAAAGGAAAAATTTCTGAATTTTCAGACTTCCAAAAAATGTACGTTTCAAAAAATTCTCAAAATTTTCCAAGAAAAAATAAATTTATTCTTATTTTGATTTTCTTATGCAAAAATACAGTACCCAGTAGAAAAAGGATTACTGTAGAATATGGTCCTACTCATACTGTAGGAATTTTCAAACAAGATAGGTTACTGTATCCTCTACAGTACACCAGAGGCTTCTCTTGTTCTACACAGTAACCTCCTCACTTTTGAGTTACTGTACCCTACAGTAACCTCCCCCTTCTCAGGTTACTGTACCTCCCTTCTCCCTACCGTACTACTACTCACCGATACGATGGCCTTCGATTGAGTTGTTCTCTGCGTCTCCGTGCCTCATCCTCGCTCTCTTCACCGGTCAAAGCCTGAAATTAATTTTTTAATAATCGGAAATTTTTTTTCGGGAGGCATGACTCATGTTAATCTTTCTTGACAAAAACAAAAGATTATCTCTGGGATTTTTAATGTGGATTTTTCAAAATTACTGTAGATCATTTTGACGCCAAAAAAACTACAGTAACCGCTGGAAAAATGCCCATTTTTCTGACCAAAACTCAGAGCACAACATGTCAAAAAGCAATCGGTGAGAGTGAAAGAGACGAAAAGATATTGAAATCGCGCGTGATCTACAGCCAGTTAAATTTGTGGGTCTAGGATTTGTTAAATCTAGAAATAGGTTTCAGCTTGACTTTTGAGAATTCATTTTTGAATTTTCACTGTGCTAAGCGACTAAAAGTCATCCTCGATTTTTTTCGAAACAAAATATGTTTAGCAACCGCAGTTTCAGAAATTATGGATTTTCAGACCCGCAAATTTTTAATGTACCTTTGATCTATTTTTCTCTAAGTCTTCTTCACTCTCACCGATTGCCAATTTTCATTGGGCTGACATGATGTGAGAGAGAAAGAATAAATATCCATGCATTTTTAAATTCAGGTCATTTTCCTCTTCTTCTTCAGATCCTCAACCAATTGATTAATTATTTATTCATTTGAATTTTTGAGACGAAAAAAAAGGGGGGAGGAAGTGAGAAGAAGGGACCATAAAGTGCAAAAACATTTTTCTGTAGATCAAAAATGTTCAGTTCTTGGCTTACTGTAGATTCAAAGTTTCTGGGATTACTGTAGTGCATAATTTCCATCATTCTTTGGATTACTGTAGATCAAATTTGGACACCAAAAAATCCTACAGTAACCCTATCATATTTATATTCAAAAACTTGGAAATTTTCTGGATTTTGTGAAAAATACTGGTCAGGTTACTGTAGATAGATCAATTTTTGGCACCAAAAAATCCTACAGTAACCCTTTAAAAATCCAGAAATTTTCGGAAAATCCGAACATCCCAGTTTCGATTTTCTACAGTAACACAGTCATGTTTGGTCTCAAAATGACCGAAATTTTCCCGCGCATTTTCTGCCGCCAAAATCTACAGTACCCCCTGCAAATTTTTACCTTAAACATCATCATCATAAGAGGTGAATCGGTGTTTTTGGGTTTCGAACCCGAAGCAAACGTAGTCATTTCTAGATTTGTCTGAAAATCGTTTTTGAGAGAGAAAAAAAAATAAATTTTGACGAAAAAATGGCGAAAAATTGGAGGATTTCAGATTGGGATTATCTCGCGATTTTTTTTTTATTTTTTCAATAAAAAAAATTAATTTTCACAAAAAAACAGAAGAATATTAGAATAATCTTCAGAAAATTCGCCCGTTTTTATATCCAAAAAAAATTATTTTGTACTTGGAAAAAACACCCACGAAAAATTCCCAAATGAGCTGAAAATTGTCTATTTTGGTAAATAAATTAGGCTGAAAATTCTGAAAATTGAGATGGCAGAAAAAATAAGTGGGAAGTGGGAAGTTATACAAAAAGTTCCGAGAAAATCCGAGGAAAAAAGTTGAGGGAAAGGAAAAACAGGTGAAAAATTTCAGGCATTTTCAGCTTTCAAGAGAGAAAAAAGAAGAAAAATCAATAATTTCGTTGCCACGTGGCAATTTTGGATTTCGAATTTCACAAACTTATCATTAAAAATAATGACATGTTGTAAATAAAAATCAATAAAATTTGCTACGTGGCATTTTCGTGAAAGCCTAAATATTCGAAATACGGCCCAGAAGCCCAAAAAAGCCTAAAAAACCGGATTTTTCTAGATTTTCAGCTTTAAAAAATTCACATATCACAAGTCACATGTTTTTTTTTTTGAAAAAAAAATGAAAAATGAGGGAATAATCCCACACATTTTCGCTAATTTCCTAGAAAAAAAATTTCAAGAAAGGGCCTGATTGTGAGAAGCCTAGAACTATTTGAAAAAAATATATTTGAAGGCCCGAAAAGTTTGAAAGTCCAGAAAAACCTGGAAATCTACATAGAAATATAGAAAAGAGCAACAGAAAGCTCAAAAATGGGGATTTTTGGCCTCCAAAACTGAGCAAAACTCCAAAAAACTGAAATCAAGCTAGTTTTTGACAAAAATTCAAATTTTCAGAAGTATCTGAAATTTTTCCAATTTCAATTTTCAGGTCCGGAAAAAATCCAGGAAAATGTACGTTTCAGAATTTTGTGAAATTTCGAAATGAAAATTGGAAAATCGATTTCTGCTAATTCTAGGCAATGGAAAAGTTCTGAATTTTTAGAAAATCAAATGCCACGTGGAAATTGTTAGCCTGAATTTTGAAATTTCAAAAATTTCAGAAATTTTTCGCGCCTCAAAAAAACCCAGGAAAATGTACGTTTCAAAAAATCCTCATAATTTTTCAGCAAAAAAAATATTGTTTACAAATCTGCCGATATTTTTTTAAAAAAATAGAAAAAGTTTAATTCAAGCACATGAATCATGAAAAACGAGAAAATCCCACACATTTGTCCATTTCCTAGAATATAAGATCAATTCTCTCAATTCAATTGAATTCAACAAAAAAACGGGGGGAAAAGAGCACACATTATTGTGCTCTTTTTCTCCTCCTTTTTTCAGAGCAGAAAAAATGCGCAAAAAAAATGAAATGAAATGAGATGAGATAATATTATGCACATATACTTAATCGGATTAGGATTTGGTTTTTTCTTGGTTTTTCTCGAGGAGCAGAGCAAAAAAAAAGAAAATGAGCCGAAAATTCGAGAAAAACAGGTGAAAATGTCCAGATTACTGTGGATTTTGTTTCCGAAACGTCTAAAAAATTTCAGAATTTTCAAATTATTCATGCCAAAAATTAATTCAGATTCAGCTCAAAAATGTGTCGTCAAGAAAAAATGACGTAATTAAAACTGAACCAAAACCTATTGACTAATTAGTGACAAAACCCCGAAAAACAATGCGAAAAATGAGAAAATGAAGAGAAATTTGGCAAACTAGAAAACACTACTAAATGATGAAAGTAATCGACGAGCGAAAAATCGATAATTTACAGAGAAAAGAGAACTGTTTATAGAAAACATTTATAAAACACTTTTAGGGCTGAAATTAGGACTAGAAGTTAGCCTATATCCAAAATGTTTCGAATCAAAAAAATTTTGTTTAACCAATTTTTGCACCTGTTTTTTAGTGCAAATAAATATTGGGCAATTTTTTACGATTTTTTTCGTGGAACAAAATTTGAGAAAAAGTAAATAATAAAAAAAAATTTGAAATTGGTTTGGGAAATTTTTGGAATTTAAATTTCATTGTTAGGCTGGAAATTCAATTTTAAATTTTCAGAAATTTCTCTAATTCCACAAAAATCCGTAGAAAAATTAAGGCTAAAGCTCAAAAATGAGGCTAGAAATCAAATTATTCGCTCAAAAATTTCTAGATTCAAAATTTAATTTCAGGCAAAAAAAATCCCTTTGAAATTTTGGAAATTAAGAAAAAAACTCCAATTTCTGATCCAAAAAACCTCGCGCAAAAACATTTTTCAATCGAAATTCGAAACTTTTGCTCCGCGAGCTCAACTCTTTTGCTCCTAGACAAAAAAATGTTTTGTGCGCGACACAAAAAAAAATCTTGCCTTCTCTCGAAAAAAAACGGGGGGAAAAAGTAATTAAATAAAAAATAGCAAAAAAAACTACATAGTGAATAAATGTGCACTAGATATTGATTTTTCAGAGCGAAAAAAAAATTTGGGCAGGGGGGGGGGGCTGAAAATGGAGTTTTGGAGCTATGAAAAAGTGGAGTTAGGCTAACTTGAGTCAGGATTTTTTCCTGATTTTTCCGCCTGAAATTCATTTTTGAACCCGGAACTCTCATAACTTGAATTTGAACCTTGATTTTCAAGCCTAAGCCTAGATTTTTTGAGGCCTAAAAATGCACTATCGATTTTCCAGAACTAAAAATTAATTTTCATTTTTGAGCCAAAAATGGCTGAAATATTCCCACAATTATTAATTTTCTCTCTCATTTTCTATTTTTTTCGAGTTATAAATAATTATAGAGTAAAAAAATTGAGCGAAAATGAAATGACAAAATTTTTTTCCAAATTGAAAAAAAATTGTTGAGGGCAAAAAAAATGTGACAAATTTTGTTCATCATTTTTTTTCGATGGGTTTTAATTGGGATAATTTTTGTCCGGTGATTTTTTTCGCACCGCGAAAAAAATCATTGGAACAAAGTTCAGAGTACTAGAGGAAACAAAATGTTTGTAGTTTGATGGCAAAAAATGCCACGTGGCATCAAATTCTCACTCAAAAAATCTTTAAAAGCAAAAGCAACAATTCAATTCTTCACAAAATGTTTCAAAAGAGTAAAACGATCCTTCTCGTCATTCATTTCTTCACTTCAAAATTCTTTTTCCGCGCGGCGTGCCGCGCGCGGAACGACAAAAAGTTAAACAATAGATTTGAAACGCCGTGTATGTTGTGTGTGTGTATTCGCTCTCTCGCGGTTTTCTAAATTTGGTGATCCCCCTCAGCCAAAAAAAAGAACGGCTCGTTTTGTGTGAGTAAATAAAGCGAAAAATGAAATGTCCTTTTGCACACACAATGTTTGTCGATGCGACTTTTTTGGCGCGAAAAAATTGACGGAAACTGGACAGGGCTTGCGAAGCACGCCCTGTACACTATTAGGCCTGAAAATAGTCCAGAAAGCCTAGAAGTCGGAAAAATGGTCCAGAAAGCCGAAGGCTATTTTAAAGAGCTTGCGAAGCACGCCCTGTAGAATTTGAGGCTTCAAAATGGTCCAAAAAGCCTTGAAGTAGGAAAAAATGATCAAGTAAGCCTAAAGCTATCTAAAAATGCTTTGTATAGTACGCCCTGTACAGTTTCAGGCCTAAAAATGGTCCAGAAAGCCTATCAGTTGAAAATTGATCTACAAAGCCTAAAGTTCTTTAAAAGGGCTTTGCATAATATTCCCTATACAGTTTTAGGCTTAAAAATGGTCCAGCAACCCTATCAGTTGAAAAATTTACCTATGAAGCCTGAAAGGGCCTTGTATAGTATGCCCTTTACAATTTTAGGCCTATAAATAGTCCATCTGTCGAAAAGTCGGCCTAAAACTGTCTAGAAGAAGCTGAATAGTTTCAGGACTAAAAATCGGCATATAAAGCCGAGATGAAAATTTAACTTCAGGAAACTTTGTTTTTTTTTAATCAACTTTTTTTTAAATTTGCCTAGAAAGTCGGATTTGATACTAGAAAAATGCCACAAATTCCTCAATTGAAACTTTTTCGAAACATGAATTTTTCATGTGGGAATTTGAATTTGCAAAAAAAAAATCTGACGAATTTTGAACCAGAATAAAAATTAATCGAGTAATTCCAAAGAATTCGCTTTTTAGAAGACAAAATCTACTATATAATTAAAAATTCAGATTTTCTCATAATCAATATTCAATGATCAAACTAGAGAAAAAATTAGCTTGGACTAGAAAAAATTGAAAATTTTTCAGGCTCAAGAATATTTAGCCCGGTCAAAAAATCAATCAATAAAAAATGTATGGAGCGATCGAAAAGTCAACAAAACAGTTTCAAGAAGAAGAAGAGCTTTTTTTGTCGAAGCACAAAAAAATGTCGAAAAAAATGGGAGAGAGGTTCAAAACGAAAACAAACAAAGAAAAAGCGGAGCACCAGAGCAACACAAAAAAATGCTCGAAAAATGTTTTGGCGGGGCAATTTTCAGCTGAAAAATGTGCATTTTTGACGCGGAAAAATGTACTTTTGGGGGAAAAATAGGGGAACTTCAAAGGAGTTTTGGAAATTCGAAAATTCGTCATTTTTTGGATGTGAATTTAAAGGGGGTGTCCTTCTACATGAAAAATCAAGTCCGCAATTGTGCGTCACATTTTTGGACTAACTATTAGCAAGCCTAAAGTTGATTAAAATCGCCTTCCATTGTTTAAAAATGTTAGGAAATGCATTTTGCGAGAAGTACACACAAATAAACTATGTGTGTGAAGAGCACACATGTTTTTTATATGCACTAAAACCTTAAAACCTGAGAAAAATATGGATAAAATGGTGAAAAATCACTCTAGAATCAAAATTAAATATGGAATGTTTCAGGAGCACCTTAGCTCTATCGATTAAGCCTAAGTTTCCCTGTAGCAGGACAACCCCTTTAACCCTATATTTATAGAACTAGAAAATTCAATTATGAAACTAGAAAAGTTTCAAAAATCCAAATCCAAAATCCAAAAATAAATAAACGCAACACAAAAAGTTGGCTCATTTCCTGGAAACAAATCCAAATCGAGCGGAAATCCGGGCAGATTTTTTGTGGATCGACTGAGCACACAAAAATTGCACTATTTATGGAAAGAGGGACCAAAAGGGTCAGGAAATTTTCAGATATAGATTCTACAAAATTTAGTTAGGAGATTTTTCAGGAATTTATTGTTAGAAAATTGAATTTTGAAGAGCCTTTTGGCGCGAAAACCCAGATTTCAGAAAATTTTGAATTTTTTCATGAAAAATCTGATTTTCAGAAGATTATTGAATATATTTGAATTTTAAAAAGTTTTCAAATTAGGCATGTCTCTTTTCTGGCGCCAAAAACATTCCCAGAATGAAATTTTCAACAATAAATTCTCATCGATGTTTGGCGCCAATATAAGAATTTTCATCGAAAATCTGAATTTCGCAACATTTTCAAAAATCAATCAATATTTAATATGTTTTTCTCAATATTTTCAGACAGTTTTTAATTATTGTTTATCAATTTCAAAAGAAAACACTTACCAATTCACCTCTTATGACAATTTTCCCACATTTTTTCCCGAAAAATTCCCACCGCCCGAAAAACACTCACATTTAAATGATGACCTCCGTGATGGTGTGCCATTCGTCTGAAAATTTAATGTTTCCAACCAAAAAACAAGCGCAAAACACTGATAGCAAAAAAATCGAAAAAATAAAAGTGTGCAGTTGCGCGGCACATTTTGTGTTTCTCACACACACCAAACATTTTATTTGACGCGCATTTATTTTTATTTTTTTTTGTTGTAAAAACTTGTTTCGTTCAGTTTTCCTTCATTTTAACGCAAATTTCAAGCGGAAAAGAAAATATTTATTGACTGAACCCATATAAAAATAAATACATATTAAATCGAGAGAAAATTTAAAGTTCATCGTGGACTTTTGGTGCCAAATCTGGGTAGACATTTTCAACGAACCATTCCATTGGTTTGCAGTTCAATCGATTGCGAATCTTGATATTTTCCGAAATATCACCGAAAACAATCTTTTTGCCGTTGGGTTTGGCGGCGAAAAAGTTTTTCTGAAAAAAAATTCGATTTTAGGGTCGCCAAATTGAGGAAAAGGCTTATTTGGTGTCAAAATGACGAGAAAAAAATCTCACCTCATAATTTCCAAGCCAAGTTTTCGCAACTCTAACCGCATTATAAAGTGCCGTGTCCATTCCAGGTTTCGAAGTATACGGTCTTCTCATTCTGAAAACGTGTCCAACTCTTGAACAAGGCGCCACCAACACTCTTCCACCACAAAGCCACGCCTTCAACGACAATTCAATATTTTCGGATCCCCAAATCTCCATTCCCATATCATATTCGCCCAATTCAACAAAATAATCGCGTTTCACAGCCAATAATCCACCTGGCATTGCTGGCGATTCGAATGGTTTCACATTGTTTTCGGGTGTCTCGAAGTATTCCCATGGGAGGTAGATCCATTTGAAGTTGAGACCCCAGTCGAAGCCCGATTTGGCTACCATTGATTGAGAATAATCGAATGTGACTGGGTTAATGAGATCGACAACGGGCAACACGATTCTGGAAAAATATTTGGGGATTTTTAGACACTAAACATTGATATGTTCCTTTAAGATCGTGTATTCTGGGTCTCGCCACGATAATTACAATTTTAAAGGAACATAGGCTTTCTGGCTGTCAAAATGACGAGAAATCCACGTGGAATTCGATAAGCTCTAAATATCTGAAATAGTTTTCGCTGTAGGACCTGCAAATCCGACAGTAATCTAGGCGAAGCTTGTGGGTGTTCCTTTAAAATTTGGTCTTGCCAAGAAAATAGAAATTTTAAAGGAACATAGGCGTGTTGGGTGTCAGAATGCTCAGAATTCCACGTGGAATTCTATCAGCACAAGTGACATGAAAAAATTTCGCTGTGGGACCCATAAACCTACAGTAATCCCATAAATCATATAATCCTAGGCTTATGAGGTCTCAAAACGATCAGAATTTGAAGGCGCATATACAGTCTACAGTAATCCTAGGCTTGTTAAAATTCTCAGAATTCCACGTGGAACTCTATCAGCACAAATGACCTGAAGAAATTTCGCTGTGAGACCCATAAACCTACAGTAACCCTAGTCATTGTGAACCCCCTCAGAAAATCAAATAACTCTAGGCTTATGAGGTTTCAAAATGAGCCAAATTCAACGGCGCATAACTAGACTATAGTCTACAGTACCCCAGCCATATTTGGTCTCAAAATACTCCCCAAAATCCTTACGATTTTGGATTCTCCTTAATCGGTTGCAACAATGGTTCCAACCATCCTTCAGCCACTTCACAATGACTATCCATAAATACAATAACTTCGGCTGTTGCCAAACGAGATGCGTGAACTTTTGCGCGAATCAAACCTTGTCGATATTCGCTTCGCTCGATTTTCAGCAATGATTCGAGATTTCGAAGTTTGGCGAATTTTTGGAGATGTTCGGTGAGAATGTGATCATCATCTGAGGCATCTTCGTAGAGAACAATTTCTTTGAGCAAAGATTTTGGAGTGAATTCAATGATTCCTGGAAAATTTGGATTTTTCATAAAATTTGGGGTATTTTGATACCAAATAAGCCTAGATTACGGTCATTTTGAGACCAAACATGTATATGTTCCTTTAAATTTCAGCCACAGTAACCCAGTGATATTTGGTCTCAAAATTACCGTAATCACGAGCTCTACAGTATCCCATTAATATTTTCATTTTCGCCGCAAGACCCACCATTAATCATTCGCAAAATTGTGCTCAATGCCTCGTTGTGATGAATGACAACCAAACTTGTCGAGAATTGAGCATCATATTTTTGCTCCGCGCATCTGGAAAAAGCTACAGTATTCGGGCTACAGTAACCTTTTGAATTCCCCTTGAAATTTACGTCATTTTGAGACCCAACAAGCCATGTTCCTTTAAAAATCGAATTTTCGTGGCGAGACCAGAAAAAACGAGATTTTTAAAGGAACATAAGCATGTTGGGGGTCAAAAAACGTAGAATTTTATGAAAAATCCGAATTTCCACGTGGCAAATACAGAAAACTTACAATTGATGAGCTTGTGGTCCAACATTTCTCGCTGGTCCCAATTTTTCCGAAGCCAAAGCGTCGAACGCGAAACTTTTTGTTCCCCATAGATATTTTTGAGATTCCTGAAATTAAATACTTTGGGTTACTGTATCTGGAATACTGTAGAAATCCAGATTACTGTTATTTTGAGACCAAACAAGACTGGGTTACTGTAGGCCTAATTTATAGGAACACAGTCATGTTTGGTGTCAAAAAATTCAAAATTTCACGATAAAATTGAAAAACCACGTGGCAGGATTACTGTTTTGACAGTACCCTCAGATTACTGTAGAAAACTCACAGATTCATCGAATTCGGTGCTGACTGAAGTGTGATTGCATTTTCGAACAGCCGTGCTCTCCAATTTCAGCCAACCTTCCAAACTGCAAATTTTTCGGGTTACTGTAGACGCAAAAAAATTTGTTTTTTTTTTAATTCAAACTCACTCTACGTATGGATCCACGTGTGCGCATTTTGGCCAATTTTCAGCTTTTTCTCCAGTTTCAGCACTAAAAACTGCGCAAGTCAGCCAGAATCCGGCGATTAGAAACCGCATTTGATTTCTTCCTGTCTGCAAAAGGTAAGAAAATTATATCTATTTTCCACTAAAAACTTCCAAATCGACATTTATACCCGATTCTTTGCTTTTTCTAGAAAAACAAAACCGGTTTTCTTATATAAAAAGAAGTGCTGACGTGGAATAGTTACAGTTTCTTCTCCCTTGTAAATTAAGAAAGCTAGTAACTAAACAAAAACAAGTAGAAAAACTAAATGAGATGAATATAAAAGGCGACGAAGAAATAGTAATAACAAGTGTGCCAAGGTCATTGTATCTCGGCCTTGTCCCAAAATGGGTTGAATTTTGATAGCGTTCAACTTCAACTTCAAAGAAAAAACAAACAGTTTTGTTAACAATAACAATTTTATTGGGGGTAACAATCAAATTAAGCCTTGGCTTCAGCCTCGGCGAGGAAATCGCGTTTGAGTTTTCCCATGAATGCGCGCTTCTCAGCGGTGGTTTGGAAGCGACCGTGTCCAGTCTTGGAAGAGGTGTCGATCCACTTGAGGTTGATCTTTTCGTGGGCGAATCTCTTGGTTTGGGTGATGAGGGACTTGCGGAGGGTGATCAAACGTTTCTTTGGTCCGAGAACAGCTCCACGGATCATAAGATAGTCTTGGTTGACCAATCCGTATCTTGGGAAACCTCCCTGAAAAATTAACATTGAATATTTGTAAATATTAGGAAAATAAAAATTTCGTTGTTCTCGGATAGGTTAATGTCGCCATACAGAGTACGAATTGCAGACAATCTCGTCATTGAACAATTAATCAGAAATATAAACTCACCATTGGGTTGATGGTCTTTTGGGTAAGATCGAAATCGGTGGATCCGTTGTTCTTTCCGGCTTCGGTGAGAGCAGATTTTCCGATGCGGTAGATCTTGTTGTTGACGTGGGTTCTGTGATGGAATCCCTTTTGACCAGCACGAGCAACGGTGAAGGCGACACGGGATGGATGCCAAGCTCCGATACAAGCGACCTTGCGGAGACCCTTGTGTGTCTTACGTGGAAGCTTCTTGGTGTGCCATCTGCTGGTGACTCCCTTGAATCCGTGACCCTTGGTAACACCGATGGTGTCGATCATCTCATCTTGAGAGAAGACGGTGTCAACTGGGATTTGTTTCTCGAGGTGTTCACGAGCCCAGTCGACCTTTTGAGCGACGGTTCCTCCGTTGATTTGGATTTCGACCAAATGAGCCTTCTTTTGGCGGCGGTTGAGGACCTTCATCTGAAAACAATGAACAATTAAAAACTGTCAGATTTTATAATCACTTTTACAAACCTGTGTGTGGGCGATGACACGGATTGACGAGCAGTATTTCTTGAGCTTGTTGAAGTCGGACTCGATGAGCTTCTTTCCATCTTCATCTTGCCATTTCTTGGCGTATTTGGTGAAAGCCTTCTTCTTGGAGGCAGCCCTGTATTTTCATATTACGATTACGAACCAAGTGCCTTTTTAGCGTTATTAACGCATTAGCCACCCAGTTCGATAACCTTCATGTACATTAGTACAGCGGAAGGGAACCGAATAAGAAATGCGACTGCAAATACAGAATTTGAATCACGAAATCTCATAGCAGGTGGCTAGACGGATTCAAAATTCAACAAAAACTTCAACTCACCAGTTCTTGTAGAAACGACGACGAGCTTCCTCGGACAAGTGTTCAGCCCAGATGGTGGTAAGAGCACGTGGTCCGTGTGGGGTGTCGATGTATCCGGTAACTCCGGCGATGACCATTGGTGGGGTCTCGACGATGGTGACGGCTTCAACGACTTCCTTCTTGTTGACCTTCGATCCTGGCTTGTCGACATCACGAACGATGTGGGTCATACCGGCCTTGTATCCGAGGAAAGCGGTAAGATGGATTGGCTTGCTGGCGTCATCCTTTGGGAAAGCCTTTATTCTTCCACGGAAAGTGCGTGAACGCTTCTTTGGGGTGAATCCCATATGACCATGTCTTGGCGCCGAAAATTTACGGTGCGACATATTTGTACCCTGCAAAAACAATAAATAATTTTCTATTTTCACTTGGAACAATAAAAAACTTGTTGAAGAAAAACGAAAGAAACTTCAAAAAATCAGAACAAATGAGCAAAACTCTGGCCTAAAAACAGTGAAAATGAAAATACTTTTTCCCCTTGGGCCTAAAAATTTGGCTGCGTACATTTTGTACACTTTCGCGTTTAGCAAATAAAACACGCCGCACTATGCACAGACGGCCGTCGTTCGGAGTGTCGTTTGCACTGTTTGTTCAAATTTTTTGGCGGTTTTTTGAACTTTTCGCGTTACCCGCTAAATTTTAACTTTTCGAAAAGATTCAAAAAATTCGAAACATTCATTTTGAATCAAAATGATGACATTTCATCGCTCTAACTCGTTTCTAAACCGTATCACATTTTAGGCCAAAGAAAATTCACATTTTTCAGAACTCTTTCAAAATGACTACCGGACCAAACGATTTCTACTACTCAAACAGATATTCGGATGACGAATTCGAATACAGACATGTTCATGTCACAAAGGTTTGTGATTTCTAGAGATTTTCTGGGTGTTATAATAAGTTTCTGTTCAGGAGATCGCCAAATTGATACCGAAAGATCGATTGTTGTCCGAAACCGAATGGAGAAGCCTTGGAATTCAACAAGTGAGTTTTTCTTGGGATTTTTCGAATTGTATACGATGTGGTAATTTGGGAGAAATAAAATGGAAAATTAGGTATTTTCGAAACGTGGAAAAAGGCTGCGTCGTGGAATTTTACATCTCATTTCGAAATTAAAATTGAGAAGAACTTGTATTTTCATTAGAACTTTAATGAAATTTGAAGAAAATAGCTCATTTTCGAATAAAATCCCAGAATAGTCGTTTTTTCTAAACCAAGTGTATCAAAAATCATTGAAAACCCCGTATTGAAGCTAAAAATTTTCAAACAACTAAAATTCCTTCTCCAAACCAACTAATTTTCTTTTTTCAGTCGCCAGGCTGGATTCACTACATGATTCACGGTCCAGAACGCCACGTGTTGCTCTTCCGCCGTCCACTCGCTCCAACCGCTCCAACCAACACCAAATCCAAACTCAACAACGGCAAATCGGCCGTCGGAGTTCGCTAAACTCCCCCCTTCAAACTTTCTTCTGTATCATGATCATCATCATTAATACCTATCTATCTAGACAAAATCAGGTATATTTTTCTCACAATAATCTCTCTTCTCTAACTGATTTTATATATACAACTGTAAATGTTTTCCTTTCATTTCGATTTTCCATGTGAATAATAAACAATTCCCATGAGAAAAGAACATTGTTGAAAAAGGAATGCTTTATAAGACTTAAATTAGAATAAAATATTACAGCTATAGGTTACAATAAAAATGACTGGAATTGCATTGGGAAGATTTTTAGGGAATTTTACATTAAAGATCACATATAAAATAAATAAAACAGGGGCTGCTGCTATTCAGGAAATCTTGGGTGAAATCAAATCAAATATAAATAAGTTTAAGCTCTTGCAGATCTTCCAGAAATGAGTTGTTTAATAACCGACTCATCAACAAGTGTTGTTGTATCACCAATTCCACTTTCAGTTCCTTCGGCGATTTTTCGCAAAATGCGTCGAGTCACTTTTCCGGAACGAGTTTTTGGCAAACCAGGTGCTTCTTGGATAATATCAGGAACAGCGAGTGCACCAATCTTTTCGCGAACCATTTTTTTGAGTTCGGCAATGAGTTGTGGATTAATTCTTTCTCCAACATTGAGAGTTACGAAAGCGTAAGGGAACGATCCCTTAATATCATGAGGAGCAGCAACGACAGCAGCTTCAGCGACCTAAGAAAAATATATTGAATTTTATATTGGATTTTTTTTCTCATTCTACGCTCCCCCGCAAAAAATTGTAGTTTGGAGGGAAAAAAATGCTCATTCATTGAGAAAAAATTCACAATTTCTGAATTTTAAATACTCCCGCTCGCCAAAAGCCCAAAACCCCATACCTTTTCATGTGCAACAAGAGCACTCTCAATCTCCGCAGTCGACAACAAATGTCCACTAACATTCATCAAATCATCAACTCTTCCAGTAATCCACAAATATCCATCTTCATCTCTTCTCGCACCATCTCCAGTGAAATAATATCCACCAAATGGCGCGAAATACGTTTTGACAAATCGCTCATAATCTCCAAAAACACCGCGCATCATTCCGGGCCACGCTCGATCGAAACACAAATTTCCTTCGCCGGGTCCTTCGATGACACGTCCTTCCGAGTCCAAAAGCACTGGCGACGCTCCGAACATTGGCATTGAAGCGGCTCCGGGTTTCATTGGTGTTGCTCCGGGTAAACAAGTTATCATATGTCCACCGGTTTCAGTTTGCCAATAAGTGTCGACGATTGAGACATTCGAATTACCAACCTGAAAAGATCAGGGTTTTGAAGGTTCAGGTGGAAAATTGGGAGAAATTTGAATCTCAAGATTATTGCCACGTGGATTTTTTAATGAGAATATTTTCCTAATTAAAAAAAATCTGAAATTTCAGATTTCCAATGAATTTTGGTCCCAAACCTGCCACGTGTAATTTTCGATGTTTTTCCACGTGGCATTATTTCCCGCTTCCAAAATCCCTTACCTTCTTATAAAGCCAAAGCCAAGCAGCCGGATTAATCGGTTCTCCAACAGTTCCAATAACTTTCAAAGTAGCTCTCGAAGTTCCGGCCAAAAATTCATCTCCCATCGCCATCAAAGCTCTCGCAGCAGTTGGTGATGTATACAATTTGGTGACTCCATATTTATCAGTCACATCCCAGAATCTCGAAGCATTTGGATACGATGGAACACCTTCGAACCAAATACCTTGAAGGCCATTTAGAAGAGGACCATAGAGAAGATAAGTGTGTCCAGTGATCCAACCACAATCTGCTGTGCACCAATAAATATCATCGGGTTGGGCATCGAAGGTGTATTTTGTGGTGGCGAAGGCGTAGGTCATGTAGCCGGCGGTGGTGTGTTGGATTCCTTTTGGTTTTCCGGTTGAGCCACTGGAAATAGAGCTTCTGATAGTCTGATATCAGAAAGTTAGCCTAACTTTCAAATTTTGACTCTAACATTCTACAGAAGTGATTTTCAAAAATATTTTGTAATTGAGAATTTCCAGAGCTCAAAAAACTAGATTTTCCAAATTTTTTGAATATCAAACTGAATTTTCAATAGAATTCCTTGAATTACAAAATTTACTTTAAAAAAAATTCTTTTGAAAATTTTTGTTTCCAAATTTCACGATATTTTTTTTCAACTGAAAAATGAGATTTTAAAATTCAAAATTTCTAATCAGAATTTTCAAATCTAATTCAGATTTTTGCTCAAAAATTCCTCAAATTCCCCATTTTCCCTCCAAAAATCCGCATTTTCCTTCTGTTTTTTCCCCAAAAACTTTTCCTTTTCCATCTTTTTCTTCGAATATTCAATGAGAAAAAGAAAAAACAAGAATACGAGCATTTTTCCCATGGCTCCGTTTTTTTCGCGGCACCGAAAAAATTGGATATTTTTTCGAAGAAAAAAATCAATGCTTTTTCGGCGGCCGCGAAAAGGAAGCTTTTTTGAAAAAAAAAAGAAAGGAAAATCAAATTTCACCGGGAAAGAAGTCTATAATTTAGTTTTGAAAGAGAAAAAAAAAATAAATTGGAGATTTTTACGATTTTTGTGCTGTGGGAAATGCTGAAAATCCCGATTTTTGGATGAAAAATGGCTAAAATTTCAGACTTTCGGATGAAAAATACGTATTTGGAGCATTTTTTGGCTCAGAAACAGGTGAAATTTCTAGGTTTATGGTTCAAAAACTGCTACGAAATATGATTCCCAGGTCAAAAAATCCCAAATTTTCCAATTTTTGCATGGAAATTCTCCAATTCGCATCTAAAGTTCCCCTGAATCCAAAAAAATCCAACCTTGTATACAACAAAAACAGCGGCGATTCAGCATCCATCCATTCAACTTCAGATTCCACATTTCGACATTTTTCCATTTCATTTTCATAAATTGCATCAATTTCAGTTGAATCAATCTGAAAATATTGGATTTTTGATGATTTTTAAAGCCAAAAATCGTCATTTTCCCTCACAGATTTTATCTCAAAAATTATTCAAAAAATCCAGTTTTTCTCAGTTGAAAACAACAAAAAATTAGATTTTATCTGTAAAATTGGAAAAATAAAAACTGTTTATAGTACATATAAAATTAAAGGGCGGAAAAAAGTGTGCCAGGGTTGCAAGCCACGCCCCTTGAAATTTGAGATGGTGTGAAAATTGAATTTTTTTTTGAAATTCAATACTCTGGCACCAAAACCCCCCAAATCCTTACCTTTGGCAAACTGGATCCTTCGGGTACAGTAACCCTCTTCAAATGTTCGACCATAATCAGCGAAGAAACTTCGACATTTTCCGATTTCGCCAATTTCACAGCCGAATTTGCGATTGTCTTGAGATTTATCGATTTTTGCCCGCGGAACATTCCATCAGCAGTTACAAGAACTTTGCATTGCGCATCGACAATTCGAGCACTGAGGGATTCGGCAGAAAATCCTGGAAAAAATTCTGGATGAGTTAGGGTAACTTCCTGAAGCTTTTTACACTTTTTGAACCAAAAATCATCATGAAAATGCACCATTTTTGGTCAATTTTTGACTAAAATGACACATTTTTCATCAATTTCCACCCAACTCACCAGCAAAAACAACAGAATGCATCGCTCCAATTCTAGCACATGCCAACATAGCCACCGCTAATTCCGGAATCATTGGCAAATACAATGCAACAACATCACCGCGTTTTACACCGTGTGATCTTAAAACTGCGGAAAATTGGACGACTTGAGCGTGGAGTTCACTGTAGGTTATTGTCGAGCTGTCAGATGGCTCATTTCCTTCGAAAATGTAGGCAATCTGGAAAAAGTCTATAATTATTTTTATTTACAGCAAGATAACCTGAAATTAGCCTAACTAAAAATTGGCCAAATTTGTCTCAAAAAGCTAAAAGCTCACCTTATTTCCCAATCCGCGTTTCAAATTTCGCTCCAAACAATTATAGGAGATGTTAGTTTTGGCGCCATCCATGAATTTACAATAAATATCGCCTTTTTTCGCGTCGAAATTCCATTCGAGACCTTTTGAAGATCCTTGTTCAAAATGCAATTCGGAGGCGACAGTTTTCCAGAACTCATCTGAGTTATTGATCGAGTTGGCGTAGATCTCGTGATAACTTTGAAGGCCAGACACATGGGCTCCGGCTAGAAGTGGAGCTGGCGGCAAGAAGATCTCATCGTCTTCGAGACCTTCGTTGTCGTTGGCGAGATTGAATTTGACGTGAACGTCAGACATTTTTTGAGAGAGTGAGAGACTTCTGGAAAAATTTGAAGGGTTTTTAAAGGTACATAAAGGGTCTTGAGACGAAAATTTGCGATTTTTTGAGTGTAAATACGCCTAGGTTGCAGTTGAAAAAATAATCGATGAGAAAAGAGGATTTTTTAAGAAGCATATAAATCTTGACACGAAATAGTGCTAATTTAAAGGTGCACGGAGTTCTTCAGAAAACCATTTGCAAATTTTTGAGTCTAAACAAGTGTATGTTCAGATTCAAAGGCGCATAGAGGTCTCGAAGGGAAAATCACAATTTTCAAAGCCGCATAGAACATTAAGCGCGAAAATTTTCTATTCCAAATAATCCTAGGTTTGAGTTTAAAGGCACATAAGGTTCTTGACACGAAAAACAATATTTTTCGCGCCAAAAACCTCATTTCCTATTTTTATTTCATTACAAAAAAGCTTATCTAACCAGGAAACGCTGATAAGTTACAAAGAACACAGAAATTTTGTGGTTTTTGTGACAAAGATCGAAATTTTCCCTTGAAAATGGTGTGACCCCGCATTTTGGAACAATAAACTTTTTTCGCAATAAAAAAGTTATCAACAATTTAACTATTAGCTGGAAACAAAGAACAAGTTCATTCAATTTTTGATTTGACAAAAGTCATGAAAAGTTTTCGTTCTCTGATTCCCGTGTGGTCATTGGGAGAGAGAAATAGTTGAGAGATACGTATTTATCAGATCAAAAACAACAACAAAGAACGGCGAAGGTCACTTTTGTACGCGAGAAAATGTGGAGAAAAATTTTTTTTACAAAAAAAAACAAAATTTCAAATCCACGCGCCACACAAATCGTGGCATCGCGGCGGGACCCGACGCACACACAATTCCATGCGCCTTGATTTTTTATTTTCATTTTTTTTCTTTTCTGCTGTTTCTCGGAAGAGAAGGGAGAAATTAGGCTACAGCTAGACCTACAAAGCGAGAGAGTATGCAAGAATGAGAGGCAGCAGAGATAAGAAATGGAGCGGAGTGGCGAGGCGCCGGCCGACTGAAATACTAGCGAGAAATGGGGAGAAACGGGAGGCGGGGCCTCCAAGGTTCGTCCGTCTCCGTAGCTCCGCCCACTTTTTGCATTGGAGCGCGTTTGCAACGCTGTTTGCTTTTTGAATGCTGTGTTTTACCGCGAAACTGGATATTTTTAGATTTTTGCAGAAAAAATGAACGAATATGCGATGCTAGTTGTGGAAACGTTGTCGAGACTTCAAAAGGAGGTGCGGTGTGGAATTTGGTTAGTTTTTTGAGCGGGAAATTCAAGAAATTTTATTTTTCTTACAAAAATTGTAGGAAAATTTGAATTTTCTAGTTTAGCGCGGGGAAGTTTTAAAGGGACATGAGATTTTCGCATCGGGGCCGAGAAAATTTGAGTCTTCTCATGAAAAATTCAAATTTCGCGCGAAAACTATTAATGCTCCTTCGAAATATTTGCAAAGCGCTTCAAGACCCATGCCATGTACCTTTAAATTCCTATACAAAAATTTTCGCCCCGAAACCCGAATTTTCTCTATTTTCAGCTGCTCCACATATTCTGACCCAGTTATCACAACTTGCCAACACAGTTTCTGTCGAAAATGTCTCGAACTTTGCTTCGAAAAAAAGCGCAAACTCTTCTGCCCAATTTGTCGAAGTGTTTTGGACAAACGTAGTTGCAAAGACAGTTATCAACTCACAATTGCCGTGCAAAATTATCTGAAACTCGCAGAAGCCTATGCTAGAGACAAGGATATTGCAGAGACGCAGAGTTTTGCCGCGATTCCGAAAGAACTTGCGTTTTGTGAGAGTCAGAGACCGATGGATATTACAATTATACCGGAGAATGATGGGAAACGCGTGGCGCCTGATTTTATAATACCCGCGTTGCCGACACGCACGCGGAAGAAGAGCGGAGCGGCTGCGTCGCGTACAAGTCTTGGAGCTTCGAGTGTGCCGCAAGCACTCATAGACCCTCCCCCAATTCTTGCGCCCCCAGGACCTTCACGGCCAGCCGCTCCACGAGCTCCTGAACCACCCAAAACCAACTCAGTATCTACCCAAGCTGACCTAGACCTTGCTCATGTTAACATCACCGAAGAAATCCGAAAAATCCCCGCTACGGACGAAATTTCGGCACTTTTCCAACTTTTGCCCAGTCTCGAAGTGGTCTTGGCACGAAATTTCGAAATTTTAGCGCGAAAATTTGGCGGGAAGGAGAACAATTTGACTGCGGGACGAAAAGTGCTCGCGGAAAAAGTTGCTCCTCAAGTTTGCTCTGCGGAGCCGGAAAATCTAGAGAAACCCGCGGAAAACGAGGATGATGAGGAGGAGGAAATTGTGGAGGATTCGAATCCGGAGCAACTCGAGATTTTGGAGCCCGTGAAAAATGAGCACGTGGTGGCTGCGCAGGTTGAAGAAGAGGAAGAAGGAGAGAATACACTGCATATTGATGTCACATCGCTTTCGAGCTGTGTTAATGAGGATGTTTCGAGAAGGAGAAGCGATTGGGATGGAACTATGCAAGCTATACAAAGTGCGTGAGCAAAATTGAGTTTTCTTCGGGTCCTGGGACGAAATTCGGATGAAAAATCGGATTTTTTTGATACTAAATAGGATTTCTGTCCAAAATTTCGCTCAAAAAATCGTATTTTTCATGAAATTTACGTGCCGGAGCCTTAAAATTCGATTCTTTTGGTCCCGCCACGAAAATATGGTGAAAAATGCGATTTTTTGATATTAAATGATGCTTGGGACCGGAAAAATTGGATTTTTCGGGTCCCGGGACGAAATTTGAATGAAAAATCGGATTTTTTTGATACTAAACAGGATTTTTGTTGAAAATTTCGCTATGGCACCTCAAAAAAATCATATTTTCCATGCAATTTACGTTCCGGAACCTTTAAAATTCGATTTTTTGGGTCCCGCCACGAAAATATACGATTTTTAACTCCTAATGAGCCTGAGACCTTGAAAATCATATATTTCCTGCTTTTTTTGGGTCTCACCACGAAAATCCAGAGATTTTGACTCCAAATTTGAATTTTCCCATGAAAATCTGCATTTTCTCGTCAAACACACCGAATTCCACGACAAAATGCAGACCTATCCCCAAAACCAACCAAAAAATCGATTTTCCACCAATTTCTGTACTGACGCGATTTTAGTAGCTCATTTTTAATGAGAAATGAGCGAAAATCGATTTTTTTTTGTTACAATTAGAAAAATCCACGTCATAGGTCACGTTAGAATACAAAATTTGCGTCAACAAAAATTTTGCTGACGCAGTTTTTGTAGATCCCAAAATCAATTTTGCAGACGAACAAGATCGAATCGATTTGGAGCTGTCAAATCCGCCAAAAGTCATCGCATGCTCTCGCATTTCCAACAACCAAGACGAAGTAGTTTGAGCATGCCTAGAATTAACCTGATTCCCAATTTTTCCCCATGATTTCAGGAACTTTTGGCCGATTTTCACGCGAAATTCCTATCAAATTCATGTCGATTTTCCGATGATGTTGATGAAAAAACAACGCATTTGGTGATGATGAATAGTGGTGAGGTTTTGGGGTGAAAAATAGGCTGAAATTCATGAAATTTCATCAAAAACTACCTGAAAATCCTTGAAATTCACAAATTTTGGACACCAAAAAAATTCCCAAAAAGTTTAAATCGAATTTTTCCCCGGGGAAAAATTCGTTTTTTCTCGCTTCGCGCGAAAAAATGACGTTTTTCCTGTTTTGTTTTCTTCTTTCTGAACAACAAAAAAAGAGATTTTTGGCCCCGAAATAAGGAGAATGGGGATTTTTTGGTGGGAAATTTGAAATTTTGAATTTCGCGTTTAAATTTGAGCTACAGTACCTGAAGGTTTTTAGCACCAAAACATAATTTTTGAAAACTTCATTCTCACGTCATACATAAAATAAGTCCCCCGAGTCAGTTGTCAAAGTTAGGGTCCCTCCTTGAAAATTTTCCAAAGTTAAACACCTTCCTCACATTTTTGAGCGAATTTTGGACAAATCTGGGAATTTTGGTAAATTATCAGCAGAAAATTGGCCAAGTTAGGAACCCTTCCTTTCAGATTTTTGAAAAAAGTTAAGCCCCTCACCCCGATTCTGGGGACCCATTTTATGTATGTCTCACGTTCAAAATCTCACCTACAGTACTCCTACAGTAACCCAAATTAAATTATTTTTTTTCTCTCACAGAAGGTCGTTCAATTCCCCAAAAATCGCTTCTCTACACATTTGCCGTGGCTCGTGGCTGCATAATTTTGAATCGAAATTGGATTGAGGATTGTGTCAAAATGTGCACTATTGTGGATGAGGTGAGCCCATTTTTGGATTTTAAAGGGACATATCGTAGTCGAGATGTGAAAAATCGGGAAAATTGTGGAATTTTGAAGGGGCATACAGTACTTATCGAGGAGTTTAAAGGAACACAAATATTAATCAACAAATTTTAAAGGAACATACAGTACCTTCCCCACAAAATTCCTGATTTTTTGCTCAATCTCTGATCGTTTTCTGTCAAATTTATCAGTTTTTTCTGCTCTTGCTGACACCATTTTTTTTGTTGGGGAAAATATAGTTTTTTTGTTTGAAAACAGCCCATGTTTTATCAGTTGTTTATTTTGTTTTTTTGGAGCACTGGGCACCAGAAAATGCACAAAGAATGAGCAGACGAAATTTGATTTTTCAATATTTAATTTTAGGTTGGAAATTTGGTACGGGAGGGGTACGGTATGCGCCTTTAAAAGTTTGGAAAAATCATTTGGAACATCTGGTATTACTGTATGTCCCTTTAAGATTTCAATAAATACTTTGATAATTCCAGGATTACTGTACGTTCCTTTAATATTCAATAAATACAGTTGTGCTGTTTTAAAACCTTCAGGATTACTGTATGAGCCTTTCAACATTATTTGTAGAAATGTTGAAATGTTCCTTTAATATCTGAAAGATTACTGTATGATCCTTTTATTGTCTTATTGCTTCAAAACGTCTAGAATTACTGTATGTTCCTTTAAAAATCCCAGAATTTTTTTTCCAAAAAGTACATTATTTTGCACTGAACTAAAATTCAAATACATAATTAACTAAATTTTCAATTTCCATCAAAATTTCAGCCAATTTTGTGCAAAAACTTCAGCAGACAGCAACTTTTTTCTCAGAAAAAACTGAACTATTTTTGCACGTGAAGACCACATTCTTTGAATAATAATAGGCATCATTTTTATCAGTCGCCCCATTTTTTTGGAGCAGCAAATTTGAGATCAGAAGACTTTTTTGGAGGGGGAAAAATTGGAAGAATGTGGGGGGTTTTAAAGGGAGGTACAGTAATTTTGAGCTGGAAAATGTGGATTTCTGGACAAATTTCAAGATACAGTACTTTTTAACTTCCAAGAAATGTTCAAAAATTAAATACATTTTTAAAGGGAGGTACAGTAGTTTTGAAAGGAAAATTTGAATTTTTGACGAATTTCAGTAGAAGTTCGGGTCTTTAAAGGGGCATACTGAAAATTTCGTTAAAAATTATATTTTAAAGAATATTTAAAGGGAGATACAGTAGTCTCCAGCTGAAAATTTGAATTTCAATTACGACTGAGGGTTTTTAAAGGTACATACCGTATTCTTCCCTTCGAAATCAATTTTTTTTCTCAGAACGACTACACAATTCTAGAATGTCCGGAAAGTTTGGAGGATTTTGGAGCTCGAAAAACACGTGGCGACAAAATTTTGGGTGAGTTTTTGAATTTTCAAATTCAAATTTTTGAAGTTTTCAAAATTGATTAATTTCAGGTTGGCAAAAATCGCGAGAAATTCAGCTGAAAATGCGCCCGAAATTGTTCACCGACTTCAAATTTATGATAATCCGAAGATTTGCAGCTTCACCCTATGTCGATTATAAGGTACGGTAGTTTTTGGCGCGAAAAATCTCATTTTAACCCAAATTTTCCTACAGAAACTCATCGATTTGGTGAAAATTGGTGGCGGCGAAATTTTCGAGAATTTTGGTGCTGATGCACCCAAAAATCTGATAATAATATTCTCAAAAACCTCACAATCGATTGGAGAATTTGAGAAAATGGAGAAATTGTATCGATGTCCCGTGAGTTTTTTTTTTTGTAGAATTTTGGCATTTTGAATGTAAATTTGAGAATTTTGAATTTAAAAAATCTCAATTCTCTGAAAATTTCAGCTTTGAAAATCTAATTTTTAAGACTGAAATTAAATTTTGAACTTTTCTAGCTCTGAAAATTTCAAGAATCCAACATTTTTAGTTCATAAAATCCCAAATTTTCAAAGTTTTCAGCTCAAATCCCAAATTCAACATTTTTTCCAGGTCGTAACAATTGAATGGCTTTTGGACAGCATAAGTGAATATACAATGTTACCGTATTCCGAATATTTGGTCAAAAAACAAATTTAGATCTCTATTTTTATCATAATTTTTTTGCTCAAAAAATCGATTTAATTTCATTTCCATTTCATGTTAAATAATTATAATTCGAAAAAAAATATAATTCCACAATAAATTTCAATTTTCATAAATTTTATTATGATTTCCGCTGAATTTCAGCCATCAAAAATCTGGAAATTGGGAGATTCTGGTGGTGATTTTAGAAATCTTCGTGAAATTTGACGAATTTTGACACCTCACAAGCCTAGGCTCAGAAAAATGTTTGCCACGTGGCAAATTTTCAAAGTTACAGTAACCTAAGCTTGTGAGATGTCTAGAATCTCGAAATTTCACCAGGAGTCCAAAAAAATCAATATTTGTAAGAGTTCATCAATTTTTGCAAAATTCGAAGAGTCTCCGAATTTTGAAAAAAAAAACAATTTTTTTCATAAAAATTAAAGACCTATTTTTCATGAAAAATAAAAAAGTTAATGACCCTATTTTATACTTTTCCGGACCAAAACATGTATGATCAGGATCGTCATTTGAAAAAGATACATTTTCCATATATGAATCCTTTATGTAGAAGAAATTTCAAGAGCACCACAATATTTGTTATGAGCAAAAAAAAATGGGGGTAACAAGAAAAAAGTGGGACACAATCAATAATATCAATCAATAATAAATCAATAATAAAAAAACCAAAAAGTTTCATGGAAGTTTACAAGTAGAGCAGAAATATTCCGTGCTTTCTGAACGTTTTGAATGCTTGCAGAATTTGATGAAAGACCTCGGAAGCTTTTACGACTTCCACTGAAAAATTTAAAATTTTTGGGAAAAAATATTGGACTGTTTTACTTACTCAAGAAATTGATCGAATGATTTCCTTTGATTATTAGGTCGTGATATCGACAAAACAATAAGTCCACATTTGTTGGTGCACCCCTTCAAGTTCAACTTTCTCTGCAATGGGTCCATCTCAATTTCGTTTTGGATCATCGATTTGTACTGCTCGAAGGGGAGAAGTTTTGATGGATGTGTTACGATTATGTTTTTCAATAATCGGATCAGATCAACCGAATTTTTGTTGCACCAAGGAACAACTTTTATGAGAAAAGTATTAGGAGCTTCATGGTGCTCCAGCAATTGTTCTAATTGTTTCTTCGAGTTGATATTTTTGTTGAATGATAAATCGACTCAATCGCATCTAGGAAAATATGGACTATAAGTAAAATGTGTTTTTACGACTTACTTGGTGAAGAGTGCTTTGGCGCGACGATTGATGAACCAACTGGTCATATTCACCCCTCAATTGATCGGGGAGATCATCACGGAATCCCATTTCGAATTCTGAAAATGATAAAACAATAAATATATGTGTTATAGAAACACGCAGCAAAAAAAAAGCGGAAGGTCACGTACAAATTTTCGGAGTTTTTTTTTGTTATTTATGTGATAAAAATGAAAAATCACAAACAAAAAAAGAGTCGGAAATTTCAGAGTCTCGGAATTTTAGGAAAAAAACTTACTGAAAAACTGCCTAATAAATGTGCAACGCACAAAACACCTAATAAAACAACTGGAGAAAACGTCCACACAAAAACAGAATGAAAAAGATGGGCGGTTTGTTTGTCGCCACCCTTGCCACGTCACACGTGCACGTGAAATAATTTAATATAAAAAGATCGAGCCGATTTTTTTTTTGAAAAATCTCGGGCCGATTTTTTTTGAAAAAGCTCGAGCCGATTTTTTTTTGAAAAATCTCGGGCCGATTTTTTTTGAAAAAACTCGAGCCGATTTTTTTTTGAAAAAACTCGAGCCGATTTTTTTTGAAAAAACTCGAGCCCATTTTTTTTTGAAAAAACTCGGGCCGATTTTTTTTTTGAAAAAACTCGAGCCCATTTTTTTTTTGAAAAAACTCGAGCCCATTTTTTTTTGAAAAAACTCGCGCCGATTTTTTTTGAAAAAAACTCGGACCGATTTTTTTTGAAAAAACTCGGGCCGATTTTTTTTTTGAAAAAACTCAGGCCGATTTTTTTTGAAAAAAACTCGGGCCGATTTTTTTTTGAAAAAAACTCGGACCGATTTTTTTGAAAAAAACTCGGACCGATTTTTTGAAAAAACTCGAGCCCATTTTTTTTTTTGAAAAAACTCGCGCCGATTTTTTTTGAAAAAAACTCGGACCGATTTTTTTTGAAAAAACTCGGGCCGATTTTTTTTTGAAAAAACTCGAGCCCATTTTTTTTTGAAAAAACTCGCGCCGATTTTTTTTGAAAAAAACTCGGGCCGATTTTTTTGAAAAAACTCGAGCCGATTTTTTTTTGAAAAAACTCGAGCCGATTTTTTTTTGAAAAAACTCGGGCCGATTTTTTTTTTGAAAAAACTCGGGCCGATTTTTTTTGACTTTTACTCTCAGCATCCCAATTCCCCTGCCAAAAAATCCCATTTTTAATTTCAGGTCGTGACAATTGAATGGCTTTTGCATTCAAAATATATTTTTATCCTAATTTTTTGCTCAAAAAATCGATTTTTTCATTTCATTTCCATTTCATGTTAAATAATTATAATTCAAAAAAAATATAATTCCACAATAAATTTTGTTATGATTTCCGGTGAATTTCAGCCATCAAAAATCCGAGTTCTGCCATATTTTTTCGCATTTTTTCAGCCAATTCTTCCGAGGTTTCTAGAATTGGAATTGGTTCAGGAGAAGATCTGAAAATGACACATTTTCAATTTCAGACTAATTAAATTTGCTGAAAATACCTGATTCTCTCTCGTTTTTCTTCGTGTTGGAAAATTTCATCTTCCAGGGGATTTTCAGCCATTTTTTGGATGCTCATCTGAAAAAACATTGATTTTTGAGCATTTTTGGCTGAAAATGACTGAAAATTGCTCATTTTAAGACAAGTTGATCATTTTCAGCCAAAAAAAACCCACCACAAGCATCGGAACTTCCGAACTGAATTTATTCATTCGGGAAACATCGGTGATTTCGAAAACTGCACGGCGTGTTGAATTTACGGGAAGTGTTAGAGTGACAAATCCGAGAGCCTGGAAAATTGAATTTTTTTGGAAATTTTTGAAATTTTCGGAAGTTTTATTAGATTTTGTTGGAATCCTGGTGAAATTTGGAGATTCTAGACACCTCACAAGCTTAGGTTACTGTAACTCTGAAAATTTGCCACGTAGCATAGGTAATTTTTCAAAACTACAGTAACCTAGGCTTGTGGGGTGTCAGAATTCATCAAATTTCACGAGGATTTCAGAAATCACCACTAGAATTCCAGATTTTCAGCCAAAAATCCCAAATTCCACAAAAACTCAGGCTTATTTGATATCAAAATGCTCCAAATCAAATTTCCTTCTCGAAAAAACCCACTTTATCACCAGTCAATCCACGATGCAACACTTTGACAACCAAATTTCGTCTCTCTGAGCTCATTTGAAATCTTGCGGTCCAATTCCATTTTGGTTGTCTGGTTTGTCGAATAACTTCCGAGTGCAATTCTCCTTCGCGACCCAAAATCGAAATATAGGCTGAGGGGCTGATTACACGACCGCTGGAAATAAAAAAATTATGAAAAAAAATATTGTGTGTGAAATTTGGAGCATTTTGATATAAAATAAGCCAGAGTTACTGTAAAAAAAATTATTTTCAGTTCAAATCGAAATTTCTAGAACTTCCAGTGATGATTTTCAAATTTTCAGTAAAATTTCCAGTTTTTAGACACCAGTAGTCATAGGGTTACTGTAAATTTGCCAATTTTCGTAGCAGGACCCAAATTTGGAGCATTTTGATATAAGATAACCCAAAGTTGCTATACATAGAAAAAAAATTTAATTTTCAGTAAAAAATTCAATTTCTAGACAATTTCAGATGTTCTTGCAGTGATTTTTGAATTCCTTGTGAAAATTCCAGTTTAAGACACCCTAGGGTTACTGTAATTTCGCGACGGGACCCAAAATTCTGCAAAACCTTAAAAATGGGTGTCAAAAATCTGGAAATTTCGTGAAGAATTCAGAAAAATCCATTAGAACACGTAAAACCTTCTAGAAATTCGAGTTCCTCATGAAAATTAGTGAATTTTGGCACCCAGAAAGCCTATATTTAAAAAAAAAACCCTGCCATGTGGGAAAACTACAGTACCCTAGGCTTATGATATGTGAAAATGATCCGAATTTCATGTAGAATTCAAATTTGATCTCCAGAATCCCAAATTTCCAACCTCTGATCCTCTACCGGCGGAAGTCCAGTCGCTTCATGTACCGTAATCTCCAATGTGCATTTTCTTCCAGAATATCCAACTTCTTCACTAATCGCATTTCTTGTCTGAAAATAATTCATTTTCAGCCGATTTTCAGCCAAAAAATCTCACCTGAAAATCACTGGCCGAATTATAAACATCAACATTTGTTGGCGATAAACATTTTCGATTTCTGGGAATATTCAAATGATTTGACGGGTAATTCGAATGAGAAGATGATGCGAATACAGAATCCGAGCCAAGACGAGAAGAAGAATTTGAGGAACGCGAAGAATGTGGGCGAAGAAGGTGAGAAGGCATTGGTGGAGATGAGGAATCTGGAAAAATAGGGAGTTTCAGAGGATTCCTCGTGGAATTTGGAGATTTTTGACACCAATTTTGACTGGGTTATTGTAGTTTTTAGTTTCTCATGTTCTAGGAATTTTCAAGACTTCTGGTGATAAAATTTGGATTTTTCATGAAATTTAGTGATTTTTGACACCCAACATCATAGAATTAAAGTTATCCTGAAAAATTTCACTATGCCACGTGGCAGGGGTCATTTTTCTCAAAATTTCACGAAAATAGGCTTGTTGGGTGTCAAAATTTCGCAAATCTTATGAGAAACTCAAAAATCCACGTGGATTCTTGGAAATATTTGTGTTTCAGAATCTGAAATCCCATTTTCCTCAAAATTTTCTGAACCTAGGCTTGTTCGATGTCAAAATTTCGCAAATTTTCTCGCAAATTTGCTCACCTTTTTCCCAATTTCCCGTTCCCATTGCACTTCTCGCTCTTCCCATTTCCCGCAAAATTTGGCCGGTTTTCGGTATCAAATTCTCATTCGCTTCGTCTTCTGTGGAGGCGCCGACTGTTGAAGAAGAACCACGATGTGAACGACATCTGAAATTGGGGAAAAAATGATCTAGGGTTACTGTAGGGATACTGTATTTAGAGCCTCAAAGCTCAGGAATCTGAAAAAATCCCAGGAATTCTGAGTTCCTTGTAAAATTTCTGTCATTTTGATGTTTAGAAATCCTAGGTCAAGATAAATCGGACAAAAAAGGTGACCCCCCCCTGGTTGCCACGTGGCATACTGAATTTTCAAAAATCAAATTTATCCTATGAATATGGGTGTCTAAAATCCGGAAATTTCATGTAGAATTCGGAAAAATCAATCAAAACTTATGAAAACTTCCAGAATTTTCAATCTGAAAATTTCAGCATTTCAAAAATCTAGATTTTTTTATTTTTCAGATAACCCTATCAATATGGGTCTCAAAAATCTGGAAATTTCATGGATAGCTCAAAAATTAAGTCTAGAATGTCTGAAAATTTCCAGAACTTTCAATCTGAAAATTTCAGCTGCTCAAAAATCTATTAAATTTTGTTTTTTAAGTAACCCTATCAATATGGGTATCAAAATGCTCCAAATTCCATGAAAAATTCAAAAAAATTCACCTCGACGAGCTTCTACTCCTCGTCCTTGCTCCTCCATTTTCTCTCACAACAAAAGTCTTTTCCAAATCCACAGTTCCTCTCAATTTCTCCAATTTTTCCATAATCGTTTTGACACGTGTTCCCAAATCGATTCGAATCAGACCAGTTCCCTCAAATTCATCTCCGATAAAATCAAAATCACGGCAAATCAAATACGGTGCAATCAAAAGCTCATAAATCGGAATAGAGCAACGAGCAAGAGGTCTCGTCTGGAAAAAAGAGATACTGTATTTTTTTGGCGGGAAATTCAACCTACCGTAAACTTTCCAGCCGCCTCCATTTGTACCAAAAGATGAATGTTGAGTTTGGCACGTTGCCAATGGGCCACTTGATCTTCGTGCATTGTTAAAAGTACGACACGCTGCAAAAATTCGGGATTTTTCGGATTTTTCAGAAAATTTCCAGATTTTTGAGCCCAAACATGGTAGGGTTAGGGTAATTTTCAGAAAATAAGACCTCTCTGCCACGTGGCAAACTGAATTTTCAAAATCTACAGTAACCCAGTCATGTTTGGTATCAAAAATCTGGAAATTTCATTAAGAATTTGAAAAAATCAATAAAATCCAATGAAAACTTCCAGAACTCTCCATCTGAAATTTTCACTGTCTCAAAATTATAGATTAATTTTATTTTCCAGATAACCCAATCAATATGGGTGTCAAAATTCTCCAAATTTTCTGGAGAGTTCAAATTTGACCCCCAAAATCTCTATTTTTCAGCCAAAAAATCTGAAAATCCCAAATTCCAACCTTATGTCGAAATTCGATTTTCGTCGAAGTCGCCGTCCGATTCGGAATTCTTACTGTAGCGCGAAGAGCGCGTGAGACGACTTCCAGGCAGGGAAATTGGTATTCCAGTTGGAATCTGCAACAAAACTGATTGAAAATCGCCATTTTGGGTGAAAAATCACCCGAAATTTCGCATTTCGGGCGATTTTTCACCCAAAAAAACTCACCCAAACAATTGTTTCATGGCGTTTAATTTCTGAATAAATGGATTCGGTCGAGTTAGGCTAATTTCATCGATTTGAATTCGGATAAACGATAATTCTTTGAGAATTCGCTCCAATTGAACATCGGTAAATGGGTCTAGAAACAAAAAAATTAAAAATCGATAATTTTTGGTGCCAAAATGTTGACCTACCTTGGACCCTTTTCTCTTCCTGATAATTATTTCCATGATTTTCGACTCGAATCGGACGCCTGCTGGGTCTCATCTGGAAATTTTTGGGTTACTGTAGAGCATTTTTGCGGGCGCGAAAAACTATTTCAAAGAATTTGAGCTACAGTAACCACAAAAAACCCATGTTGCTCAAATTTAGGCATGAAAACCTACAGTATCTCATTTTTTCCTCCTAAAAAACTATCATGTTCCTTTAAGTTAGGTTACTGTAGCTTCAATTTTTGGCACCTAAAAACTACAGTATTCTTGGAATTATTGAGGTTACTGTAGCTATGGTTTCCTGCTCAAAACTGTTCTGTTCCTTTAAACCACAACTGGATTACTGTACCTCTAAACATATTTTGAAATGATGGCTTTTTTGAGTTACTGTAGAATGTTCCTTTAAAAATTGCCTACTGTAGCACGATAGAAAAGTACAGTAATCCCAGAATTTTCGGGTGATTACTGTAATTGAAAATAATTGATTCTCTGGCTAAAAAACTATTATGTTCCTTTAAACTACACATGGGTTACTGTATCTCAAAATCATCAATTTTCTGCCAAAAAATCGAAGTTTTCGCGCCAAAACCGCGCAGATTACTGTATTTCGCTGCAAGACCCAAAAAATATCAAAAATGGCATTCACAACCACAGAAAACACCAAATTTACAACAAAAAATGTTAAAAATTTCATTTTTTTTTTAGTATAGAGAGAGAAAAAATCACAGTTCGTTCCAAAAAAAAGGCAAAAAATAGGGGGGAAAAGGCAAAAAATACAGAAAAATTTGAAAAATTCAAATTATAGCGCAGTTTGGGCGCAAAAAACTACAGGAAAAAAAAGGAAAAAAAGAGGCGAGGGACCACAAATAATTATAACAAAAAAACTAGATGAAGAAGAAAAAATTAGAGGAAAAAAATGGAAAAATGCAACTCACTCGGCAAAAATGGCACATTTTTCGGGAGGATGAGGAGATGAGCACCGGAAAGGAAAATTTGGTAGAAAAATCTGGAAACAGAGATTTTTGGGTGAAAATTATTGATTTTTCACATTTTTTTGATCCAGAAAAGTCAATTTTCCACTCAAAAAGGTAAAAATGTTGAATTTCCTTCTTTAGACAAAATGTTTGTTGCCTTTTCATAAATAAGTACATAATTATACCTATTCTATCGAGAACAAAGAATAGAAAAGAAATATGCAAATTATGTCCTTTTGTTATTTTTGGAAAAGGGATTTTGTGAGGTAAAAAGAGAGAACACAGCTTAAGGGCGTCCGGTCCGCGGCGGACCTGTAACCGACCGACAACATTTAAAGGTGTTTTATGAGTCTTCCGTGGGTCTTTCACAGGTGATTCACAGGTCGTTTACAGATGCTTTGTGTTTTTTCCTTGTACAGGTGATTTACGGGTCTTCCACAAGTATTTTGGAAAGTCTTCTACAGGTCTTCCGTGGGTAGTTTTTGAAGTTAAGAGAAAAAAAAGTAAAATGACCCTTGAATGACCTGTGGATGACCCGTAGGAAAGTTTATTCATTTTTGACCAATAACTGAAAAAATGAAAAAATCAGAAGAATAGTGGACCAGTGCGACAAGGAAGAGTGTGTTCACTGAGACATTTTCAATGAGAGATCAATCGTTTGATAGTTTTCAACTCTGAGAAAGAACCCGTTTCCACTTTTGCTGACCGATTCTCAGAGCTGCTAAGAAGTTTTTCTAGGATAAGTTGGCTTCCAAAAATATTTTTTTCTTTCGAAAATTCCCGATTTCCGGCTCATTATTTAGGATGTCGACGTTTTGATCAGAAATGTTTAGCGGCGTCGCAAACTCTGTATGATGTGGCTGAGTGAAGTTCAAAAAAATAAAATAAAATTCTTCAAAAATCTAAAAATTGAAAATCGGTCAAACCACAAGATGAATTTATAATCATTTTGTTCAGCTCGAAATTCTGCGTCGAATGGTGTTAAACATTTTCCACCAAAATGGTTTTAAAAGGTAAAAAATTAAAGGCGCATACAATTAAATGAAAAGGTCCTGCAGCGATATGTGTGTGGACTTCTCTCGGACGAAATGCACACCGCTGCTCAGGGATTTGAAAATGTTAATCGGCGGACAAAATACTTGTCAGCGATTAAAATGGGATGAAAATATTCATCGCCAATTAATCGTTTGAAGAAACAACGAAACTCCGCCGAACGATTAATCGGCGGACAACTTTTTCCTCACGGCCAAAACCTATCCTAGATTCTAGTTACTTTATCACCAGCATTTGATGCAACTCCAGAAAAGCGCATTTAGTTAAGTGGTAGAGTCTCAGGCTGCCGCCCGTGAGACCTGGGTTCGATTTTACCTCAGCGCGAACTTTTTTCTAGAAGGACGTTTCTTGTGAAATCGAGCAAATTCGCTCTACCGCACACCAAGCGATTAAAACGCGATTGAAACGAGATTAATCTCAAGTTGTCCGCTGAGTTCCTCGCCGATTAACATTTTCAAATCCCTGAGTGATTTTTTTTCTTTTTTTTCGTTTTTTTTTTTGTGTTTTCCACGTTTTATCGAGAAATTAAGTGTTTGAAGCTGCGAAACATGTATAAACCATGTTGCCTACCTAGGATCAAGCAGCAAATTTCTTTAGAACTTGAAAATTTATTCATAAAACACGAATTTAGAAATATAATTTTTCCTTTCGTTGATTTTTCAATTTTCAAATAGTAGAACGAATATATTTCGCAGTTTCACTCAATTCTAGTTAATTTTAATGAATTATTCTCGAAAGTTCCCTGTTAGAGTTGAAAATTTTAATGACATGTCGTTTCTTGATTCTCGAATTCGTCACAACTTATAATTTACTAATGTACGTAATCGTAATATAAATTTATAGACTGCCTCAAAAACAAGGATATCAACTGTGTTAGAATGGCAAGATCAAGATGGAAAGAAACTCATCGAATCCGACATCAACAAGCTCAGAAGCATAGTTTATCCATGTCACTGATCACACGCAGGTTTGATAACTCAAATAAGAAAGTCGGATTCTAATGGTTCTTTATTTTCAGATGTAGTTCCTCAACCACCGTCAATAGAAGACTGATTTAGTCAGAATTCAAATCAACAGAGGAACCTTTGCCCAAAATATGGACTTTTCTTGTGAGCACATCGAGAAGCAACTTCCAGCTGACACAGTCTTCTCTCACGACGAAATGAGCGACAGATTGGTGTCACCAAGAATTGTGGATTCAAGGAATTACACCATATCGCCTTTACTATTAAATGACAAAACCTACTCCAACTGCCACCGCACCCAACTTCCCCGCAAATCAAAGAGATGCATCGGAAAGACCATGAAAAATAAGTTTTTCTAATTTTTTTTTTTGATTTTCTAATAAATTATAACATTGTTCAAAAAATTGTAGTTGGTCAACCGAAAAGTAGAAAAAAGGTCTTTTACGAGTCATTCACAGGTGGGACTACAGGTCAAAATCGACACGTCTCAGACCTGTCACAGGTGTTTTGCCCACGGGTGTTTTACGGGTCTGTCACAGGTCCGCCGCGGACCGGACGCCCTTAAGCTGTGAAATGAGGGAAAAAATATTTTTTAAAGATTTTTGGGCAAAAAATTTGACATTTTCATAAAATTTTAGATAAGAATTCTCGAATATTCGAATTTTTTCAGAATTTTCAGAGTCCAAAACCCTCCCGAAAAATCCCCAACTCACCAAAAAAAAAAAATGCAAAAAAACCCGCTGCCACGTGTCAAGAATTGCTCGAAGTTCCGCCCACATTCTCATCTTCTGAAGACGATTCATCGGCATCTTTCAAATTTCGCATATCAAACTGCTCCTCTTCGACAAATTGACCAGATTTCTGGAGAAAAAATGAAGGTTTAGGGCTGTTTTGGGCCAATTTCAGGCTCTGTAGACCTATTTTTAAGCCCGAAAATACGTAGAAAACTATCAGGCCTTCTAGCCCTATTTTCAGGCCCTAAAGCCCATTTTCAGCCCGAAAAAAACCTACAGGCCGAACTTGTTCATCATTCCATTGCCACGGAATGACTGGTGGCAGGAAATCGAGATTTTGACAATTTTCGACACAATTTTCAATGACTTCTACGTCATCACCCGTTTCTTCGAAATTCTGCAAAAAAATGGAGCATTGCCACGTGGATTTTCAAGTTTATGGGTGAAATTTGGAGCATTTTGAGATAAAAAAAAGACTAGAAAGGTAAATTTTTTCCAAATGGATCTCAAAAATCCCCAAATTTTCTAAAAAAAAATCGAATGAAAACCCTTTGAGATCTTGAAAATCCCTAGAACTTTCAATATGAAAAGTTCCTCACAATTAAATCTTCTTCTTCTTCTAGTTGTTGTAAATTATGATGATTAGCTAGTTGTGGTCCCTCTGAAAACCGTCATGTTTGGCTGAAACCCTCGTCTTCATCATCATCAACAACTTCATTTTGTGGAACAACAAGGTTATTCCTATCTTCGGGTGAATTTGCAGGCTGAGCTGGATTGGCTGGAAAAAAAAACAGGGATTCTGAGAATTTTCAAGGTCCAACAAGTTTCAAAGTGGAATTTTCAGAAGTTTTCAAAGGTTCTAATATGGATTTTCAAGTTTCCCATGAAATTTGGAGATTTTAGACACCCATATTGATAGGGTTACTGTAATTTTTGAAAATAAGGTCTATTTGCCACGTGGCAAACTGAATTTTCAAAATCTACAGTAACCTAGGCTTGTGGGGTGTCTAAAATTCTCAAATCCCACGAGGAATTCGAAAATCCACGTGACAACCCTCAAATATTCAGATTTTCGCGGGTTCCGAGAAATTTTCAAGGTTCGACAATTTTCAAAGTGGAATTTTCAGAAGTTTTCAGAAGTTCTAATAGCGATTTTCAAGTTTCCTATGGAATTTGGAGATTTTAGACACCCAACATGACCGGGGTACTGTAAGTTTTGAAAATAAGGTCTCTTTGCCACGTGGCAAACTGAATTTTTCAAAATTGAGAGTAACCCAGGCTTGTGGGGTGTCAAAATTCTCCAAATTTCACGAGGAACTCAAAAATTCCAACAGTTTTCATAAATTTCCCTCACCTCCCATCGCAAATTCGCACTCCCTCTTGTCATTTTCGACCGTGAATGCTCCCAATCCATAACAAGTTCCGGCCAAAATGAGCACAAAACACGGGACATAAAGGGCTTTTTGGAGGGCAAAATAGTGACCGTAGGCCGTGTTGGATTCGCAGAGAGCGTCAGCAATTAGGCCAACCAGATATGGACTTGAGGCATCTCCGAATAAATGAGCAATCATTGTATCGACAGCCATTGCGGTCGAACGACGACTTGGAACAACACAGTACTGGAAAAATGGGGAAAAATTGGGATGAATTTGATGAAATGTGAAAATTTCATGGATTTTCACACAGTTTTTCAGCTTCCCGGTGATTTTCCGATAATTTTGATACCAAATAAGCCAAGTTATAGTAAATTTAGAAAAAAGGTGACCCCCCCCTTTTCAATGGTCCCTATAGTCAAAAAATCAAAATTTTCAGAACTATATAAATATGGGTCTCAAAAATTTGGAAATTTTCTGATAAATTCGAAGAACTGTACTAGATCTGCTGAAAACATCTAGAACTTCTGCTATGAAATTATGAGGTCAAAATGCTTCAAATCACCTCAAAATCCACACAGCAGCCACTTTTTCACACAGTTTTCAAGCTTCTTGGTGATTTTCCGATAATTTTGATACCAAATAAGCCAAGTGACTCTAATTTTAGAAAAAAAGGGATCCCCCCTTTCAAGGGTCCCTATAGTGAAAATATCAAAATTTTCAGAACAATATAAATATGGATGTCAAAAATCCCGAAATTCACTGAAAAATTCGAAAAACCACCCAGAATTCCCCAAAACTAACCATAATAACATCAACACAAACCGCCCAATTCATACACATTGACATAATTGCAAAATAGAGCAATAAAAGTGACCAATTGATTGAATATTCCGAAACAACAATTCCAAAGAACAAAAATGGTAGGGCAATGAACATGGAAAGTGCACAAATATAGACATCGGCTCGGGCTGATTGACAATATGAGAAACATCCTTTTCCTTCGGTCCAGGCTCGAGCCACGAAAGTTCCGACTGCAACGCCTAAAAGGCCAGCAATACATGTCACAATTCCAAACATCGTGTTAATGCTGGAAAAAATGAGTGAATTCTAGTCATTTTGAGACCAAACAAGCCAAGGATACTGTAATTTTGATGGAAAAAAGTTTTTTTTTTCAAAAATCTTCAAAACCATATCAAAATGGGTGTCAAAAATTCAGAAATTCACTGGAAAACTCAAAAATAATCATTAGAAAGGCTCAAATTTTCTAGATCTCTCGAAAATTTGGAAACCTTGAATCTGAATTTTTCAGTGACATCAGAGTCTGCCACGTGGATTTTCGGATTGCCTGTGAAATTCGAGTCATCCCACAATCCAGGGGTATTTCCACGTGGCATTATTCAAATTTTTCCAACAAAAAAAGATCATGTTTAGTATCAAAATCACCCAAATTTGGTGAAAAATCCAAATTTCCCAACAAAAAACTCACTACGACAATTCCGAGTCTGTAACAACTGGTACATTTTGAATAGTGGCCGATGCGTATCCAAGAAATCCAGGTGTCCACCAACTGAAACATCCGACCGAGAAGAACGACGTGGTGGTGCCGAGAACCATGAAAACGTACGTTTTTCTGGAAAAAAAAGATGTGGATTTTTTTTAAAAATTGAAATAAAAATCAGGCTAATGGGGATGACCTCCAAAAATATCGAAATTTTCAAAAATCTAGAGAAATCTCATGAAAATTCTATTGGAACTCTCAAAAAATGACCAAAAATCATCTTTTTTACTCAAAAAAAATGGCCAGAAATCGTGTCTTTATTTAAAATTGGACAAAATCATGTTTTTACCCAAAATTGGCTAGAAATCATGCTTTTCAGTCAAAAATGACCAAAATTGATGTTTTTTGCACAGAAAACCCGACAATTTCGATAATTTGCACTTTTACCCCGAAAAATCTTCAAATCCCCAAAACCCAACTAACATTCCAAACAAATACTTGCAATCGCTCCAAAAACCCCGATCCTCATCATCTGCTCCACTTTCCTGTGTTGCTCCATCACAAGCTCCTCTAACCGGTTCATCAAGCAGGAAGAACATCAACAAAAGGCAAATTGCACCAATAAATGGCGAGAATCTGACACCCCATTGCCACGAATTTGTCAAAAGTGCAATTTCAGATCCACAAATGAAACCGAGTCCAGATCCAACTGGAACTGCAAAATAAAACATCATAAATATGCGGCTCCGTGTTTTTCCTTGAAATAAATCCGAAATTATAGTGGGAGCAATGGTAGAATACGAAGCTTCTCCAATTCCAACAACTGCACGGCATGTCAAAAATAACAAGTAATGCTGGAAAATTGGATGATTTTTATTTTTTTTTTAGTGGAAATTTCAGAGTTTTTGAGCATTTTTAGGCTGAAAACTAGTATTTTCAGCTGAATAATCAGTATTTGGAAGAGAAATTAGTGGTCAAATTGACAATTTTCGAGCATTTTTGGTAGAAAATGAGCTATTTTTCAACATTTTTCCAACTAAAAACACAATTTTTCAGCAATTTCCACCCAAAATCCCGCGTTTTCTCACCCCAGGTTTGCAAAACGATGAAGCAATCACAGCCATAATCCAAATAATCATTCCAATCATCATCAAAAACTTCCGATTGTAGCGATCGCCAAAAAATCCAAAAATCGGGGCGGCTATCATGAATGTGAGAATGAAGGCGGTCTGAAAATCAAGATTTTTGAGTTTTTGTGAGAATTTCGCCACGTGGCATGTGAATTTTCAAATTCCTTGTAAAACTGGGGGGGTACATTTTTTGTTAAAACCATCCAAAACTCATCATGTTGGGTGTCAAAATGCTCCAAATTTCAAGGCGAGTTCAAAAATCATCTCTAGAAAACTTTTTGGAAACTTTCTGAAAATAGATTTTAGATCTCTAATTATAAGGGTTCTTCCAAATTTTTGATGTATAATGTTTTCGTTATCAGACAATTTATTTCTAGACCAGACCACCAGAATAAATAATAATCTCTTGTCATTTTTTTTCCCACCAAATTTGAATATTCAAAAGAGTTTTTTTATTTGATTAATCGTTTTCAATTGAAAATGTCTACTATAAAAGAGTTGCGTTGAGAAACAGAAAATCATTCGATTCAAAACATGGGAATCCTTCATATTCTACTCTTGGTTGCGACCTTCGTAACATCTTCAAATTGCGATTGTATTCGATATCTCGAATCTGACAATTCAATCGTTCAATTGGCAACAACTCAAAGATCACAAGGAAATCTGAGCTATGCAGGTAAGGAACGAGCGCTGTGCGCGAGTGTAAACCGCAAGCTTCCGCGTAGCGGTCAAGTTACACTACTTGTAAGCGTAATTTGGCCGCTGAAGCGGAAGATAGTGCCGCTGCGCGGAAGCTCGCGTAAACCAGTATTCTCCAGACTGTCAAACTCTCTGCCAATCCAATGCCTCCTGTGTCATCGCATCAAGTCTCGCTTCCGGTGAATGTTTAACAGTTGATTTCGGAAATGCCAAACTCGTTCATCAAAGTGGCCAATATTCCGGTTCAAAGTTATCAATCAAAGTAAACGTGCCAGATGATTCGTGCAATTTGACAGACGAAGAGGTTTTACAAGGACTTCGAATGGGCGGATTGACGGGTTCGACGAATTATGCAAAATATAGATATTGGCAAGTTATGCAAAAGAGATCCGAATCATATTGTGTTTAATCATGCTTTGAAACTTGATCATGGTGATTGTTGGGATTCGTGGTATGAAGGAGATCAACAATTCTGTTATACTGTAAGTTGGGAAAACGAGCGGAGCGAGTCTAAGCCGGAAGCTCCCGCGTAGCGGCTAGTTACCATAACTTCTTGAGATTCAGAAGTTAGGTTAACTGGCCGCTGAAGCGGAAGATAGTGCCGCTTCGCGGAAGCTTCCGGTTTAGACTCGCTTCGCTCGTAAAAGCGGTCAGTTAACCTAACTTCTAAACCTTAAGAAGTTATGGTAACTGGCTGCTAAACCAATATTCTTTACGAGCGGAGCGAGTGTAAACCGCAAGCTTCCGCGTAGCGGCACAATCTTCCGCTTCAGCGGCCAGTTAAGCTAACTTCTTAAGGTTCGGAAGTTAGGGTAACTGGCCGCTAAATCGACAAAGGAAAATACGAACTGTCCGAAACTTGTACGTTTCGGACCGGTGTTGAAAACGGCCAGTAACCACTCGAAAACCGGCCGGTTTGTGCTCGAATTCAACAAAAACGGCCGGATTTTGGAAAACCGGTCAGAAACCGGCCGATTTTTGAGTGGTTACTGGCCGTTTTCAGCACCGGTCCAAAAAGTACAAGATTCGGACAGTCCGGCCAGTTTGCATTCGCCTGTGCGATATTTTTACGAGCGGAGCGAGTGTAAACCGGAAGCTTCCGCGTAGCGGCACTATCTTCCGCTTTAGCGGTTAGTTACCATAACTTCTTGAGGTTAAGAAGTTATGGTAACTAGCCGCTGAAGCGGAAGATAGTGCCGCTACGCGGAACCTTCCGGTTCACCCTCGTTCCTCTCATAACCATATCAATTTCCAGTTCCTCTACGGCTCCTACGATCAAACAACAGCTCGTGAAACCTGCGACCTCTTCAATGCTCATTTATACGGTGCAGCTTTCCCAGTCGACGATGCTTGGTACGCAGCCCTCGGAATGCGTCGAAAATCAATCAGCGGTGGTTCAATTCTATTGGGAGCTCGTAGAAATTACACCTGTTTGGGGCAAAGCACCGGAAAGTGTGCGAAAGGAAAGGGATTCCAATTTACTGATGAATATGTCACCGAATTGCATCCACGTAAATTCAGATTCGGGGCTGGATATCCAATCGCCGGAAAGTGAGTTATCCTAACTTCTGGGGGACTCTTCAATAATAAACTATGTATTTCCAGAGATTGTTATGCTCTCCAAGTTCCACTCGCTTCAAATGGAACCAATTATCAATTCATCAATGTGAATTGCGATGGAACTTCTGAAGATCTTGTTGGAATCGCATGTGCTGCTCCATTGATTCGCGATCTTCCACAAAATTATTAATTTTCTAGTTTGGGCTGTTTTACTGCTTTTAACAATAAATTTTCCGCTTCGCATTGTGAAATTCTGATTATTTTTATACCCAACAAGCTTGGGTTACTGTAATTTTGCTCTTATGCCACGTGAAACATACAAATTTCAAATCTACCGTAACCCTATCATGATGGGTGTCTAAAATCATGCAATTTCCTTGAAAATTTCAAAAAACTTGGTTGGAACCCTCAAAAATCGCTAGAACTTGAGATTTTACAAGTTTGCGGTACTGAAAATCTTGAAAATTCAATATTTTATGAGATTCCAAGGTGTTTTCTTGATGCTTTGTGAAATTTGGATAGTTTTGACACCCAGCAAGCCTGGGTTACTGTAAATTTGCTTGCCACGTGACATAGGTCGAAAATTTCAAATCCACCGTAACCCTATCAATATGGGTGTCTAACATCAAGAAATTTCCTGGAAAATCCAAAAAAACCTGCTCATAACTCTCAAAAACTGTCACAACTTGAGATTTGAAAATTTTCAGATACAGAAAATATTTCAAAATTCTTAATTTTCAAGGTCTGGATGAATTTCAGGCCTAACTGGTTGTTTTTTCAAATTCCTCATTCGATTTGCAATATTTTTATACCCAACAAGCCTAGGTTACTGTAATTTTGCCAGAAAATGTGACCCCCCCCTTAGATTAGAAGGGGGGAGGGTCCAATTTTTGTCAAAATCATCAGAAATCCATCATATTTGGTTTCAAAATGCTGCAAATTCCAAGAAAAATCCCAATTTATCTCCGAAACCCTCCAAATTCCCACCTGCAACATTCCAGAATCCTTCTCATTCATCTCAAATTCCACTTTGAGTCGATCCATAACTCCAACAATAGTGAATCTATCGATATAATTCAACAAATTGACAAGCAGCAAAATCATAGTTGCAATTGCCTTCTTTTTCCGCGGCGGGTAGACTGCTGAAGAAATATACGGTAGGTTAGGGGAGTACTGTAGGATTTGCCGGGAAAAATAGGTACAGTATATTTTTAGGTCAAAAAGTACTGTACATTCAGGCCTATAGAGTACTGTAGAAATTTTCAAAGCCCAAAAAACTCACCTCCATTTTCAAATTCCTCCTCTCTGGCTGTTATTTCTGCTTCGGCCGGTTCCATTTTTTTCGAACTGTCTGACATTTTCAAAAATTGCAAAATGACCCCCAATTAATTTTTTTTGTCCCTCAAAAAAAATTTCAAAAATATGCCACGTTTCACTTGACGTTTAAAAATTAAATTTTAAAAAAAATTCACAAAATGTTCTGTTCGAAAAAATTTATTCAACAATCATAATTTCCTGATCTTCTCTCTGAAATACTCGTAAAAAAGGCGTGTCGTCTTCAGATTTTTGGGCCAGAAAATCGGGGCGAGACCCGGGATTTTCGGGGAATTTTTTGAGCGGATACCATTTGGCGGGATTTGTTGCCTCGTTTGGTTTGACCGTTTTCACATTTTGTACTGATTTGACGCTGATTTTTCCGGTTTCCGCGTTCCTGAAATTTGAATTTTGAGAGGTGAAGCTGAGGATTTTCACGAGCCGTGAATTTCAAATTTTTGCTGGAATTCCGAAATTTTCTAATGGAAATTCAGTTTTTAATCAATTTTTAGCGAAAAAAAACTCAAAATTAAAAAAAAAGTTCCACGTGGATTCTCGTTACTAAAAACTTCGGCAAAGATGCCACATTTTTGTTCACTCCAATAGATTTACTGTGATCTCTCAATTCAAAAATCCGAAAAAATTTTAACCAAAAAAATGTTTCCAAAAAATTTTCACGTATTCATTTTTAACGTGACCCACATATTATTTTTTTTCCAAAAGATTTGCATCCAAAATCAGTATTTATAAAAAACAAAAATGAAATCGCCGACTTTTTCGATTCTTTTCATCGTTTTTCCAATTCTCTGCTTTTCTACTATCGCTGCTTATGATACTACTAAGTATTGTCCGCACGTCCATGAAATTCCTCATATAAATCAACCTTCTTGTCCTAAATTCGACACACTGTGTATAAATCAATTCGGCGGAAAAGGACAGTGTTCAAGGGTCAAGTCCTCGGTGAGTATTTTAGCTGTTAGGTTGAAGCTGTTAGGTCGAAGAATACTTGTGTAGTTTAAAAAATCAATTTTCAGGGTAGAGAAGTGGGAAAATGCTGTCCGAAACCAACGATTGTCGAAGATTTTCAAACAAATCAAATATGCGATGATTCAAAACCATTACAATCCTACTCTTCATATTGCAAAAATGGCTATGTTTGGACACTTGGTAAAACAGCCTTTGAATATGCGCAATTAAAACTTAAATCTTCATGTCAATTCAATAAGGATTGTGAAAATGGAAGTTATTGTGTCTATCTCAAATATGAAGAAGACAAATGTTATGTTATTGAAGGAGTGAAAGAAAAAGCTGAAGAAGAAGAACGAAAAAAAAACAGAAAGAAAAAGATAATATGATGCTCTTTATAGTTATTGTTTCAATTGTTCTGGTTTTAATTGCTATCCTTGTAGCTGCTGTTGGAATTTTGATTTGTCGGAAAACGCGAAAGGCAAAAATGCAGAAGCAAGGTTCGGCTGAGAAAGGAAAAACGAGCAAGGAAAAGATGAGCAAAACGAAAAACGGGTCGAATGCCTAGTTTAGATCATAAATTTTGTGAAAAAAATTAAGTAGAAGATCATTTATCATTATTTTTTTTAAATAAAGTTTCACGTCAATTTTTTGAAACTGAAAATTTCATAGAAAATCTTTCAAGACTCACCATTCCGCCAAAATTTTAAAAACATAAAACAAATTTCTAGGATTTTCAGGGGGGAAAAGTGATCTTCAGATTTTTTTAAAACTGGAATTCTGAAAACTTTGAATGAATCTTGTGGTTTCGTATTCACTCCGAATTCCCGATTTTCAAATCTAGCATAAAACTTCGGGAAAGATTCCACATTTTTGTTCACTCCAATAGATTTTCTGTGATCTCTCAATTCAAAAATCCGAGAAAATTTTAACCAAAAAATTTTCACGTGTTCATTTTTAACGTGACCCACATATTATTTTTTTTCCAAAAGATTTGCATCCAAAAATCATCCAAAATCAGTATTTATAAAAAAAACTAAAATGAAATCGCCGACTTTTTCGATTCTTTTCATAGTTTTTCCAATTCTCTGCTTTTCTACTATTGCTGATTATAAAAAGTATTGTCCGCACATCCATGAAATTCCTCATGAAAATCAACCTCCTTGTCCTAAATTCGATACACCGTGTATAAATCAATTCGGCGGAAAAGGACAGTGTTCAAGGGTCAAGTCCTCGGTGAGTATTTTAGCTGTTAGGTTGAAGCTGTTAGGTCGAAGAATACTTGTGTAGTTTAAAAAATCTATTTTTCAGGGTAATATATTGGGAAAATGCTGTCCTAACCCAGTGGTTCCCGAAGATTTTCAAACAAATCAAATATGCGATGATTCAAAACTCTTACAATCCTACGATTTATATTGCAAAAATGGCTATGTTTGGACACTTGGTAAAACAGCCTTTGAATATGCGATTGTAAAACCTAAATCTTTATATGAATGTAAACTCAATAAGCATTGTAAAAATGGAAGTTATTGTGTCTTTCGGAGTGAAGATCGACTACGGAAATGCTATGTTATTGAAGGAGTGAAAGAAAAAGCTGAAGAAGCTGAAGAAGAAGAACGAAAAAAAAATCAAAAAGAAAGCGATAATATGATGCTGATTATAGTTATTGTTTCAATTGTTGTGGTTTTAATTGCTATCCTTGTAGCTGCTGTTGCAATTTTGATTTGTCGGAAAACGCGAAAGGCGAAAATGCAGAAGCAAGGTTCGGCTGTGAAAGGAAAAACGAGCAAGGAAAAGATGAGCAAAACGAAAAACGGGTCGAATGCCTAGTTTAGATTATACATTTTTGTGAGAAAAATTTAAGTAGCAGATCATTTATCATTATTTTTTTTTAAATAAAGTTTCACGTCAATTTTGAAAATTTCATAGAAAATCTTTCAAGACTCACCATTCCGCCAAAATCTTAAAAACATAGAACAAATTTCTGACTTCATTCTCCTTCTCCTCCAATTTCGTAACAACTTTCACTTCGCAAACCGTTAAAACCAAAATTTTCACCACCGAATCCACCACTGAGACCTCCAAAACATCTCCCTCATAATCACAAATTCCCAATAATTTGGCTGAAATTCCAGAATTCGCCAGTGCTTTTGGCACAAAATAATTGATCAAATTCTCCAAATCCAACGCATTTTTCGTCACAAAAATTGCCAAATTCTCGGGAATTTTTCGATTTTTTGTGAAAATAATCCTCTCCTTGTTTGATGTTTCCATCAAAAATCGTCGGATTTTCTGGGAATTTTCGAAATTCTCGAAAAACGGTTTTCCGGGGCTCTCATTTGTCCAAATAATTTGCTCTTGCTTTGAGAAATTTTGGTAATTTTTATCGATTTTTCGAGGGGTTTTTGAGGATATTTTTACGCATAAAATTGTTTCGCAAGTCGAAAAAATAAAGCCATTTTTGATTGGGTGAAGAAGGGATCTGCAAAAAAGAAAATAGAGGTTTTGAGTGGGAAATTCGGTGAAAATCATGATTTTTCAGCATTTTTTTCATTAAAAATCACGTTTTTTTAGGTTTAAAAACCCAACCCACTTCAAATTCTCGGTCCTTCGATTATACAAAACACTACTAACATCCACATCAATTTGCAAGTTCCATGGAATATAGAAAATTGTGGGGGAAACTCGAAAATTCAGTGATTCTTCTTTGAAATTCCGATCGAGTTTTGGGCTCCAAAATAGCAAAGTTTCGGAGAAATTGTCGAAAATTTCGAGTTTTTCCAAGATATTTTGGTGGATTTTTGACTTCTGGAAGAGGAATTTAGGGTTTTGAAGGGGCTTGGGTAAATTTTGATTAAAAATAAGCCTAAAATTAATATTAGAGCTCAAAATCCACGTGGCGGGCTTCGCAAGCCCTGTTTAGATAGTTTTCAGGATTCTAGACCGAAAAATCAATTTTCCCACGAAACTCCCCTTTAAAACTCACCAAAACTGCAAAATGTCCATTAAATTCATAAATCGAAATCTCCCTATATCCATCAAATCCTTCGCAAGTCACAAAAAATCGTGAACTTCGCAAAAATCCCACAGTTGCCTGCTCTAAACTCGCCACTTTTTTGAATTTTCCACGCTCGAATAGTCGCAAATGCTGCAGTTTGAGGGAAACTCGTGATTTCCGAACATCTGGACATATTTCACGATTTAACAGGTGGGAAGTGCGATTTTTCGAAAATCTATCTGAATTCTGTGAAAGTTGGGGGTTTTCAAAATTTGAGTTAGACTAACTTACTCACCACAATTTTAAGAATCTTGGGAATCTCATAATGTTCTTGATCCATGCCGGTTTTGACCCGAAAATCCTCGAAAACCCGAAAACAAAAAATAAAAACACGTGCAAATCCAAAACAAGCAAGCGCGCTCCAATAACAATCGTTTGAATTTCGCGGTGATGACAGGTGGCGCGTTGCGTGCAAGCGTTGCGGTCGCATCATTTTTCGAATTTGTCATTTCATTTTAGCTGGTTTTTAGCGTTGCTCTGGTGATTTTCTGTGTTTTGTGGGATTTTTGATGAAAAATTCCGAATTTTAGGTGAATTTCATTTTAAAAATGCTTCAAAATGTAGGAATTTTAGTGGAAAATGTCTAGTTTTTCAACAATTTAGGACTTTTGGAATTTTCCTGAATAATTACGGTTTTTCAAAATGATTTTGAGTTTGAATAGGTTTCTTGTGAATCTATCAAAATTACTATCAAAAAGCGTTGATTTCCAAGCGAGATTCTAGAAAAACTGAATGTTCTGTTGAAAATTCAGTTCTTCGAAAAATATATGAATTTCATCATATAACCATCCATAAATATCATATTTCTATAATCGATTATTTTTCCCATTATACACATTAACAATAATCATTTTTTTCCCAGTGTTTATTGTTCTTTTCTTCCACTTTCTATATACATCTTTCCCAATTCAATTTTTCATTTTCCAGCCAGAATGCCACGTGACGACCAAAAAGTGTATGTTGGAAATTTGCCAGGAGATGTTCGCGATCGAGATATCGAGGATGTTTTCTCAAAATACGGCAAGATCAGATACATTGACATAAAGTCAGGGCGAGGACCGGCTTTTGCGTTCATCGAATTCGAAGACAACCGCGACGCGGATGACGCAGTTCGCGGTCGTGATGGTTACGATTTCGATGGTCATCGACTTCGCGTAGAATTCACTAGAGGTGTTGGACCACGTGGTCCAGGTGGAAGACCAATTAATCAATCACATGGTGATTATAATAGTGGGCGAGGAGGAGGTTATCGTGGCGGCCATCACGGAGGAGGTGCTGGTCAAAGACGAACTGGTCATCGAGTTATTGTCGAAGGATTGCCGGCAACTGGATCATGGCAAGATTTGAAGGATCATATGCGCGAGGCTGGGGATGTTTGTTATGCTGATGTTGCTAGAGATGGAACTGGTGTTGTTGAATTCACCAGATATGACGATGTTAAATATGCTGTTCGGAAGTTGGATGATACCAAATTCAGATCTCATGAGGTAGAGTTTTGCGTGGAAAATCGAGAAATAATGGTTTTTGGAGAATTGCCGCGGTGAAAGAACAAAAGTTCACGTTTTGTTAGAAAATTAGAAATTTGACCAATTTTTTTTCAAAAATGCTAAAAATTCATTTTTTTCAGGGAGAAACCGCCTACATTCGTGTTCGCGAAGACACTTCATCTGGCAGTGGTGGCGGCGGTAGCCGTGGTGGACGCAGTCGCTCTCGTTCTCGTGAACGTCGCGCTTCGCCAAAATACTCTCCACGTCGTTCACGCAGCCGCTCTCGCAGTCGTTCTCGTTCACCAAGTCGCTCGAGATCACCATCCCGTTCGCCATCGCCACAATAAACAAACGAGCGAGAGAAATTCCAACGGTATTTTTTATTGGTTTCACCAAAACTGTTTTTTTATCTTCCCTCTTTCTTTTTCTAATTTTATTATCCATGAAAAAGACAAAAAAAGGTCTAACTCTATTTTTCCCTTTTTAAAAGTTTTCAAACAAACATCTTCCTATAATATTTTTCTATTTTTGTTAAACTGTTTTTTCTTTCTCCCCAATTGAAACCGATAAATAAAGTTTGATGTTTCAGCCTCCGATCTATCTCCGAGATGTTTGTGTGTCTAAAAAGGGAGGAGGAGGAATAGGGATTGTTATTATTGTCTGTCCAAAAACTACTCACAAAATGATCCGATCGATCGATTCAAAAAGGATTCAAATTTCGAATCGATACGCAATCACAAAGACCTCGAAATCGATCCGAAAATGATGTTTTTTCAAAAGGAATTCGAGAGGAGGGAGAGTGTGTGTGAAAAGTAGAGAGTGCGAGACAAAATTAGATGAAAATCAAGAAATTCGAACATTTGACGATCAAACGAGGATTTTTAATTAAAAAAATAAGTGTTAGGTGATTTTCGAAAATTCTGAAAATCGAGCTCAGAAAACTAAAGAAAGAAGTTCCTCAATCTGATTTTAAAATTCAATTTTGAAATCAGTTTGACATGAAATCTACGGTGCTATTGTTGGCGCGAAAAAAAAAATAATCAAGTTTGAAAATTTCAAAAAAAAAACCTAGCATTTCTTTGTTGTTAAAGTTTCGAATTTTTCAACAAAAATGCGGAAAAAATTCAAAATTTAAACATAAATTTGAAAAAACATCTGAAATTCTCCAAATTTTCTGATAAAAACTGATGATTTCCTGAAAATCATCAGAATGAAAATTGAAAAAATTTTCAAGTTGGAAATTCCAACATTAAAATTGAAAAATTCGAAATTTCAATAAATCTGAAAGTTGTTGAGATCACACCATTCTAGAATTTTCGAAATTGAAAGTTCAAGAAAAAATTTTAAATATAAAAGTTCGCCAAAAATGTTGTTTCGAAAAATAAACTCAAGCCTTTGAGAATTTTAAATTCTGTAACTCATGAAAAAAAAAAATGAAAATCTTCAGAATAAGAATTAAATCACACTAAATGTTTCCATTTTTGGAACATTTATTTTCAAAAATAAAAATAATTTCTGAAAATCTCATGAAAAATAGCCGAAAAATAGTTGATTTTTGAATCTCCTAGAATTTTGAATTCTCAGGAAAATAAGAAAATCACAATTCAAGATTCAATGAACATCTCCAAAATTAAAATTTGAAATCAAAATAAAAATATGCCATTCTTCCAAGAAGCATTAATTTTCGAAGTGAAATTCTTAATGTTTCATTTGAAAATAAAAAATCTAAAGTTCTGAAAAACTCAAAAATCACATGAAAGAGTTTCCAACGGTTCAATCTTATCTTATTTTTTTTACTTTTCAAAAATGCTCAATAAACTTTTATATATCTTATAATTAGTGTAACAACAACAAATAACAAAAACCACATTCAGGTCAAAAATTTTCAGCAAGAAGAAACTTCGAAAATCCTCAATTTTGCATCAGCACTAGAAACAGCCAAAAATCGTCCATTTTGCGGCGAAAATCGAATTCTTGTAACTGGCGAATCCACGGAAATTGGCGATGCGCCAATTCTTTGAAGCAGCGTCAAATTTCCATCCAAAAATCGATAAACTTCCAAAAGTCCACTTTGGAATCCAGCCACAATCAGTGGATTTTCAGAAGGTTGAACTGAAATAGCAGTCACAGGCTCTGCAGATTTTTGCGAGCAAATAGGAATCGCTTGATTTTCAGCCTCGTTGAAATTCCAGATTATGATTTTCTGATCTCGAGAAGCAGTGATAAATTGATTTTCGGATTCTGGGGTTTTGAACCAATCACACGACCAAATAATTCGGGAATGATGTTTTGGAGTGGAAGACCAGATTAATTGATAATTGAAGCCATCAACTGTAATTTGAGCAATTGGGAATATTAAAGGGACATGGGGTGAAATTTGGGGACTTTTTTGAGTATAAATAAGCCTAGGGGTCAATTTTTATCCAAAATTCAAATCAATTTCAGACCTGATTTTCAGCCAAAATCTGAAATTTCCAAAAAGCATTTTTTGCTCATTTTACAGCTCTGAATATCCTCTACAAAATGAGCCCAAGAATGACATTTGAAAAAATTAGTTTTTAGCTGAAAATTGTGTCTAAAATTAAGAGCCTTTAAAAACTTTTGCAACCCAAATTTCAGCCCAAAACTTGAAAAATCTAAAATTTTCAAAAACCATGTTTGGGCTCATTTTGAAGCTCTTCAAATTCTCTACAAAATGAGCTCAAACAAGATTTTTAAAAATTTCAGATTCTGTTGAAATTTTGGACTGAAATTTTGATTTCAGACTTAATTTTCAGCCAAATTCCTAAAATCATGCTCATTTTGAAGCCCTCAAAATTCTCTACAAAATGAGCTCAAACATGATTTTTGAAAATTTCAGATTCTATTAAAATTTTGGGCCGAAATTTTAATTTCAGCCAAGATCCAAAAAATCTCTACAAAATGAGGCTAAACACGATTTTTCCAAATTTTGACCCAAACCTCACCATTTCCCTCATTTTCTCTATACAATTTTGCAGTTCGATCACGGCTAACACTCAACAACAATGTTCCTTTGAAATTCCAACTAATCTGAGTTACGGTAAGTTGATGTCCAACAATTTCCGATTTTTTCGACCAATCTTCAGTGGACCATAGAATTATCACTGAATGTTCGATGTGACTTGACTGCAAAAAATTTAGTGGTGAAAATAGAGGTTTTTAGGTGATTTAAGGTGAAAATTAAGGTTCTTAAGGTAATTTTAGGTGAAATTTTCCCACCTTACACGCCGTGGCCAAAACTTTTCCCGTCGGATTTGTGGCAACCGCATAAACTTCATAACCATGCCCATATAATTTGTGTTCTTCTGGCCAAAGTGTATTCTGTTGAAGGGTGTCTTCAGTGGGAGCAGCTGAAAATATGCGATTTTTTTTGGGCTGGCTGGAAATCAGGAAGCAAAAATTACTCTTCAAAACCGTTGGAGCAGCTCTAAATGCATCTTCTTCCCAATGTTCTCCATCAACAGTTTCACCTTCACACATTGCTTTATTTGAGAGTCCCAAGGCTGGAACACAAGCTCCGAATTCGGCTAACTTGGTGGATTTGAAGGTCTGGAATTTGAGGAATTTGGCTGAAATTATCTTAAAATCATTGAATTAGAGTTAATTTTGATACAAAAAACATGATTTTCAATGTAAAATTCAAATTTTCTTCCAAAATTCCCGAAAAATCTGAAATTCATGGAACATGATTTTTCATGTGAATTTACTTCACACCTCGGCCAAGCCGTGGCTGACCAGAGTACAATTTTTGGAAAAATCTGAATTTCAGCTTTTAGAGGTCAAAAATTGAAAAATTCACAATTTTCAGAGGACAAAAACTGAAAAATTCATAATTTTTGTACTGTAAAAAGTCAGCGTACATTTTTTATTGTGGAAACCACGATTTTGGCTGAGGTGTGATTTACTTTCGGCTCATTTTTCAGCTCCAAATCTCATGAAAATTATTGAAAATACTGATTTTGATGTAAAAATCCTCATTTTTGTTCAAAAAATTTCGAAATTTTGCTCCAAAAATTCCCTAAAACTCACCTCTTCCAAACTAATTTCCGAAATCGCTTCCAAACTTTGGGCAAAACTTTTCGGAGCTCGAAAAGCTCGGAAAATCTTCTCCTCGGCTCCGGAAACGAAAACTGATTCATTAACCATTGAAATACACTGCATATCATGGCCGTGGACCTGGAAAAGCAAATATTTTGGGGAAAATGAGCGGGGAAGCCTGAAACGTGGATTTTCAGGTTAAAAATTGATTTTAGGCTCAATTTTCAGCTCCTGAATGAATTTTTAGGCTTTAAAATACCATTTTTGACCCAAAAAGTGGATTTTTCAATCAAAAATTAATTACAGGCTGAAAACAGGTTTTTCTGGCCCCAAATTAATTTCAGGATAAATTTTCAGGACCCAAAAATTCCTTACCTGAGGTCTAGCAATCTCCACAAATCCTCTATCCGCCTGATTCTCCCCTTCCTCATGTTCTCTCGCAAAAACTCTCGTCGTCTGATCCTCTCCACAACTGATCAAAAATCCTCCCGTTCTCTGCCAATCCAAATCTCTAACCTCACCAACATGTCCCCCAGTCATTGTAATCGCATTCCAAAAAGTCTTCTCGACGGGATCCTCGCATTTCCAGCCGTGCAAACCGCCGAAATACGAGCTGGCGATGATTTTCTCGGCGGAAGCGGAAAAGACTGCGGAGAAAAAGCCGGCCGCTTGTCCGCCGACGATTCCGAGTCGAACATCGTCGCGGAATAAATCGTCGATTTCTCTGGAAAAAGAAAATTGGGATGAATTCAAGGCCTTTAAGGGTTTTTACAATTAGAAACTAAATTTTCTGGAAAAAAATCGTGTCATAATTATTTTTGGCGCGAAAATTTTGAAATTCAAATATTTTCCACAGGGGTTTTATTACTACCGAGAATTAATCACGTACAAAACATTTTATCAGACGACAAAAAACCTCCGCAAACAGCGCGCTACGTGGCCGACAAAAAAACAATAGCGTGTGGCCGGCCTCGCGAGATGTCGGTCGCTGCAAACACACATATAGCCCGACTTTTTTCTTTTTATTTGTGTGTCTTTTGAGCCAAAGGGTTTTCAATTTTCTTTTTGAAAATCTGAAAACCTAAGCTCCGCCCACATGTCTGTGCGGAAAAAGATGGGCGGAGCCTATTTGCTCGATTACAATTTTGCATTGACTCGGTAGTGAAAAAACCCCTGTGTTTTCCACGTGGTTTAAATCTTGCCAAAACTTTGAATTTATATTTTGTCAAGTGAAATTTAGCCGCCAAGTTTAAAATGTTTAAATTTCCAATTATTTCCACGTTGATTTTTGGCGGGAAAATTTTTAAATTCAAATTTTTTTGGATTTTTTTGGACCACGTCAAGTTTAGGTCCAAAAAGTTTCATTCAAATTTTTTCCGCGTGGATTTTTAGTTTCCAAATTTTTTAGTTTCAAAATATATCATTTTTAAACCAAAATTAGTGATTTCTAGGCTAAAACCGCCTATTTTTCACGATTTTTTGGGTTAAAAATGCCCGAAAAATCTAAAATTTCCCCTCAAAATCCACCCCGTACCTCCAAATAATACAAGTTTTATCGCTACTCGCCGTCAATAAAACATTTCCTTGTTGATTCCAATTTGTCGAATGAACCCAATCATCATGTCCCTGCATAACAGCATACGAAGAGATTCGCATTTTTCCGACGCCAGAAATCGAGAATTTATTTTTGGAACTTGTCAGCTCTTCTTGGGATACTGTAGCCTGAGTTACTGTCGATTCCTCGTCTTTTTCGATTTTCCAAAGTCTGACAAATGTGTCTTGACCAGCGGAGGCTAGCAGAAGATTTTCGGGATTATCTGGAAAAATATTGAGAGATTTTTTGGGGCTTCTATGTTATTTTCACCCAAAATCTCACCATTAAAAGCAATCGAATGAATCCAATCAGTATGTCCAGCAACTGAAATCAATTTTTGAAATGCCGTGCGATTTTCATTTTCCGAAAACAATTCCACGAATCTTTTCGATGTTCCAACAGCCAAAATCGCCACATTTTCCAAGAAAATTGAGTCTAAACATAAGGCAAACGCGTTTTGATCTAGATTGATTGCGTAGGAATTCGAAACTTGGCCTTGAGGCCCGGTCCACCAGGCTTGAAAGCCTGAGGATGATTCTGAAACCCAGGATGCGGCTAGGACTTTTCTTGAAGAGTTCGAGGATCCACAAATACATCCGATTGATCCTGAAGCACCTTCTAGATTTGCCAAATATTCTAGATTTTCTTGAAAATCCCATAAAACTACAGTTCCATCAACTCCACCACTTATAAATTGCTCATCTTCTCCAGAAAAATTCTTTATTCGCTTCAGAGTTGTGATTGGTTTACTGTGTCGTTTTTCTGACAGCGAAATGATTTTTCCAACTTGATTTTCGGCTTCGGGAATTGTTTGAACAGCGATTTGCAAATTTGAGGCATATAAGACTACATTTTTCACTCGAGATGCTTCTAGACAATGTGATCTTGGGTTGCAACTTGCTGAGATAAATTTCTCCTTCAAAATCATACCTGAAACACGTTTTTTGCTCGAAAAACTAGAAAAAATTCAAAAAAATAAAAAATAAAAATAAAGGCGCATCGATTTATCTCAAAAACTCTCACAGCGATGTTGGAAAAAATGTATGTGTGTACTTCTCCCGGACAATTTTTCATTTCTTTTTTTTTTCGATTTTCCGCCCAAAACTTGATCACTTTAGGTTATTTTTGCAGTTAAAAATGCTTCCGGATCAAAAAATGACAGTGAAACAGAAAAATGAGGTGCGTAGGAAAATCTACAGTTCGACAAAAGCCGATAAATTGAACTGGAGGCAAATGAAAGACGAGAAGAAGCGAAAAACCGAGCAGAAATTGTTGAAAGAAGTTGAAGAAGCGAAAAGAAAAAAGGAAAACGAGGTGGATTTCAGTGAGTTTTTCAAAAGCAAATTAGTTTGTGAGCTCAAGAATTTGCAGCACCTCCATTCTCGATTTCTCTGGCTATTCCTGGACAATTTTTGAATAATGCACAATCCAGTGAACTTCGAACTTATATGGCTGGACAAATTGCACGAGCTGCTACGCTTTATAGGGTTGATGAAATTGTGATTTATGATGAATCATGTAGAATGACACCAGAGTGAGTGGATTTTGATTTAAAACAGGGCTTGCGTAGCACGCCCCGTATAATTTTAAATCTAAAAATAGCCCATAAAGACCTGAAAAATGAATAAAGCCTAGAATCCATCAAGCTCCATATGTTTCCAGATCAATCTCAAATTATTGGCGCGGTTCATGGCAAGGTCATCAAATTCCAGCCGAGACCAATTACGAGGGATGTTTTTACCTGGCGAAAATTCTGGAATATTTGGAATGCCCGCAGTATTTGAGAAAAGATCTTTTTCCGATTCAAAAACCGCTGAAATATGCAGGATTGCTGAATCCGCTCGATTCTCAACATCATTTGAAGGCGACTGAATTGGGATTTAGGTGAGGCAGCTGAAAAACATGAATTTTGGGGAATGTTACCGTGTTTCGTCTCAAAATGCTCCAAATTTTCCAGATATCGTGAAGGAGTTGTGCTCAAAAAGAAATCAAAAGAAGGCCGCGGCCCAATCTGCAACATTGGCCTCGAAAAAGAATTCGAAATCGACGAAGTTTGCCCGCTTCCCCCAGGCACTCGGGTTACTGTAGAGATCAAAAATCTGGAATTTGGCGCGGAGCAGAAATTGTGGAGAGGAAGAATTGCGAGCTCACAAGAGGTTTTGAAAGAAACTGGAATTTATTGGGGATATAATGTGAGATTAGTTCCGGGATTACAAGAGGTTTTGGAGGGAAAAAATGGAAAGAAATATGATTTGATTGCTGGAGTTTCGCAAAGAGGAAAATTGGCTAGTCAGATGGATGTTTGTATTTTGAATAAACCGTGAGTTTTTGAAGGATTTTGGGATAAAATTTTACTAAAAATTCATGATTTTGGGGATGTTTTGAGCTAAAATTCGAGAATTTTGATGAAAAATAAGCTGAAATTCAGTATTTTCGACGAATTCTGAGCTAAAATTGATATTTTTATGGGTTTCAACCCAAAATTCACAAATTTTGATGAATTTTGACCCAAACAGATCGAAAATTCAGGATTTTCAACTAAAATTACAGTACTCCCGTTTTAAAGGCACATGACCTCATGTACACCTTGAAAACCCCTCTGTTTTTGGGATTACTGTATAGACTTCGCTGTGAGACCAAAATCCAAAGAATCCTCGTAGAATTTGGGTTATTTTGAGATCAAATTTAACTTGGTTACAGTAGAAATTTTTAAAGGAACATAAGCATGTTTGGACTCAAAAAACTCGGAATTTTCTCTAGAGTACTGTAGATACTTCGCTGTGAGACCTAAATTCAAAGAATCCACGTGGAATAACGGTAATTTTGAGACCAAATATGACTGGGTTACTGTAAAGATATTTAAAGGAACATATGCATGTTTGGACTCAAAAAACCTCTAATATTCTCTAGTACTGTAGATACTTTGCTGCGAGACCAAAATCCAAAGAATCCACGTAGAATTTGGGTTATTTTGAGACCAAATATGACTGGATTACTGTAGATATATTTAAAGGAACATTGCCTTATTTGATCTCAAAATATTCAGAATTTCTCAAATTGTGCTCTAAATTTTCCCTGGGTTACTGTAGGGATATTTTAAAGGAACATAGCCCTCTCAATTCATTTTTTTCCAGAAAAATCCTTCTGGTCTTCGGCGGTGTCGCCGGCGTCGATGCGGCTGTCGAAAGCGAAGAACTCGCGGAATGGCGCCGCGCGGAAGACGCCTTCGATTGCCTAATTCGAACCACCGCTCAACCAAATGGGTCTCGAAGCGAACGAGTCGAGGAAAATGTGCTGGCGGTTTTGGCGCAAGTTCAAATGAGTCTACAGGCTATGCATGAATTATAGACTGGAAATTATTGATTTTTGGCTGGAAATTGTTGATTTTATCGATTTTTTCACTATTTTTCACCCCAAAATTCCATTTTTATTGAAATTTTCCCCATTTTTGTTGAACTTTTTGTTATAAATCTGTTATTCATCTTCTCTTCTTTTTACAAAAATCTGAAAATCCGGGTTTTCCACCCATTTTTTTCAAAAATACCTCTAAACCCCCCATATTTTTAGCCTCTACAGTACCACACAATTTAAAGGAACACCATGTTGTCCAAACTTCTTGGCGGGACCCGTTCGGTTACTGTAGCCCGATGGACTTCGTCTTTGAAAAATAGTAATCAGATTTATGCGAAGAACGAGGTGATTTGCAATGGAAGTGGGGGAATTGTGGAGACAAAGAGGAAAAGTGAGTTTTTTGGGGGGTCTTGAGGGGAAAAGTACCGTAATCCCCGGAAAATTTGCGATTTTTTGATAGTAAATATGGTCATGTTCCTTTAAATAGTGCCTACAGTAACCCAGTCATATTTGGTCTCAAAATTACTGTAATTCCACGGGGATTCTGAAAAGCGAAACATCTACAGTATCCCAATTGAAAAACATCATGTTCCTTTAAATTTCTCCACCATAACCTAGTGTTTTCTGATCTCAAAAGAACCGTGTCCCTTTAAAACATCTACAGTAATCTCTGGAATTTCTCTGCGTCTCTCCAATTATTTTTAGTTTTTTCTCTGTTTTTTTTCCAAAAAACAAATACAACAGGTTAATCTGTGTGTTCCTTTCTTTCATTTCTAAATTTAAAATTTTTGGTCGCGAAAATCGATTTTCTGAAGAAAAAAGCTGAAAAACCGGTTTTTTGCTGAAAATTTTTGATAAAATCAAAAGTTATTTTTCTAGAAAAATCTTGATTTTTTTGGCCAAAAATTGCTGTTTCTTTGACCTAAAAGAAGATATTTTTATTTTTATCAGAAGAAAAAAAATGATTTTTTCTCGGATGATACAAAATAATATAGTCTGATCGCGCGGGGCGATAGTTTTTGAAAATCACGTGATTTTCGCAGAAAATATGCGATTTTTGGCGAATTTCAGCCTGAAAAATGCAAATTTCAGCGAATTTTCAGTCAAAGATCGTCCTAAATCTCAAAAAATCAATAATTGTTTTGTTTATTTTTCTATACATTTTTTGTTGATTTATTTGCCCCTGGTTAGTGTTTTTTTGGTTAGGACTAGTTATTGACATAGATTTGGGTTACTTTTTCCAGAAAAATTGGGAAAAAGTATCAGTTTTCAGCTTTTTTCTTGATGAAAATGCTCAAAATGCTCATTTTCGAGGGAAAACCCGGATTTTCCCGCGTTTTTTGCAATGAAAATCAGATTTTTTGATAAAAAACGGAAAATTTTGCTGTTATCAATTTATTTTTGTTTTTCAACCCGGAAAAGACCCCGCGGGGGTTCAAAGTATCAAAAAAAACCAGTTTCTTTGAGTTTCGCGCGGAAAATTTTCAAAATTCGAATTTTCCCGCTATTTTTCTCAAATCTTTAATTTGGCGCCAAAAATCCCGAATTCAAAAATTTCTGATTAAAAAAAAATCCAAAGGTCGAAAATTGCCAAAAACAACCTAGAGACAACAAAAAACACGGACTTTCACCTTTTTTTTGTTTTCACGTGAATTTCTGCCGTTTCTCTGCGTCTCTCCACTCTCTAACCCCTCATATATTCTCTAACCGTCTGCACCCTCTCATCTCTCTCTCTTGCACCCCGATTTTCCCACCAGATGACCTCTTCTCTTTTTTTTGTTGTGGAGTGTGTTTGTTGCCGTTTTTTGGGGGAATGGTGACTCATGTGATTTTTCTCTGCGCTCTCTTGTTTTGTTGTGATCTCTAGAGAATTGTAGATAAGTTTTAGGGTCCTTAAGGCCTTGTTAACGGAAAATAACGAAAAATTGGATTCTTTAACAAAAAGACGCTAAGGTCGTTGAGAAATCCCTATTTCTACTGAAAAATAGGGTTATTCAAATTAAGATTTTTGGTGACTCATGTGATTTTTTCTCTGCGCTCTCTTGTTTTTCTGTGATCTCTAAGCGGATGTTTTTTACCAGACAATTATGAGAAATCTGCAATTTTTGAAGAAAAGACCTTAAAGCATTAAGGAATCCAATAAAATTGACCGTAAGGTCTTAAAAAAAAGTGCCTTAACACTAATTTTGGACAAAAAAAAACTGATAAACACATTTTGTTTTGGTTTCTGATCCCGAAAAAAACAAAAAGAACAATAGGTGCACTTCTTTTGAGAACAACTGTGAAAGTATTTTCATTTTCATTTTTTTTATTGAAAGAAAAAACGCATTTATTTTTCAAATCAAAAAAAAAATCACATGATTCATTTCTTTTTGGTGGAAAAAACCATTTAGAATGGTTCTTGTGATTGAAATTGATTTTTTTGTTGAAAATGACGAATTTTGATGCAAAATTTGTGTTTTTTTGTCACTTTTTTGGTCTAAAATGAGGTTTTTAGAGTATTTAAGGGCATTTTAAGGAATAATTTTGAATTTTTGAGTCGTAAGGGGATTTGTAGAATCTTCTTAAAGCTATTTTTGGGCTCCTGGCAGTTTAAGATTTAATTTAGGGTCCTTAAGGTTCCCAGACTCCCAGGTATCTCCCAAACTCCGCCCCTTTATCAACCGAATCAAAAATTTATAGTTTTATTTATTTTCTTTTTTTTTTTCAAAAAAACATGTTATTCATTTTTCGTTGTCTACCTCCCCTTTCACAAATCAAATTTGGATTTTTTTTTCAATTTTTGAAAAATGACGAGAAATTGTTTACACTTTTTCTTTTTGCGCACTTTCTTTCAACAAAAAATAGATTTTATCTTGTTTTTTGGTTGTTTTTGGAGAGAAAATAGGAATTTTTCGGAGGGTTTTAGGGCCTTAAGGTCGTTAAAAACCTTAAAACGCTCTTTAAGATCACTAAAATAGTCTTTAATGACCTTAGGGCTTTCTCAGGAACTCTAAAGGCTTCAGGCGTTCTTGGGACCTTATTAATGATGCTAAAGTCCTAGTTAAGGTGATATTTCTGATTCAAGTCATCACTAAGCCTTTTAAAGTCATATTTAAGGCCTTAGAGGTTCTAATTAACTTTTCTTAGGAACAATAACGTTAAAATTCTATTGATGAAGACCTTAAGCACCCAAAGAAGGTCCATTGAACACTTTAAGACAATATTAAAAATTCCTAAAGATTTTAAGATCACTAAAATAGTCCTTAAGGCCCTTAGGAACTCTAAGGGCTTCATTAAATATGCAGAGGTACCAGTTAAGATACTATTTCTAATTCTACTTCTAAAGAACCTTGACGTTCTAATTGCACTAATTGAAACCTTAAGTACCTTAAGGTCCATTGAACATTTCTCTGCAAAACTATTCTCTAGTCGATTTCTCTCTCATCATATCACCTTATTCCTAATTCTTGATACATTGTTCTCTTCTTTATCATCATTCGCGCCACTTTTCTTCTTTCGGCTCCGCCCCATTTCTTTTTCCAAGTTATCCTAACTTCTTCTAACTTCAGACTGTCTGAAAATTCACATTGAGATGTGAAAAAAGTTTAAATATTTTTACAACTGCAAAAATATTCTCTTTCTCTCAAACAAAATTATGGACTACTATACTGGAAGCTCGTATTTGTACACGGCATCAAATGCCATGTTTGTCAACCCGTTTTTGCTCATCGTAGCTGTTTGTGAGTTTTTTGAGACCTAGGCTCCGCCCACAAAACTGTGCCGCATGATTTTTAGAGCATTTTGATATCAAATAAGCCTATGAACGGTTTTTGCGATAAGCCCCGCCCACAAAACCGTGCCGCATTGATAATTTTGTTTACAGGGAGCTGGATAAAATGGCTATCAGTGTCAACTCTTATAATTGGTGGCGCCTCCTATATTGGCTATCTTTTCACCCCAGATTGGCGGGAAATTGTCGACAGTAAACACTATTATAGTAACTGGAAGGTACTAGCCACGCCCCTTTTTTATTGATTGATTTTTTGTATTTTTGTAGATTCGAGTTTACCTATCTCTACCCTTCAACACTGCTTCTCGAGTCATCGGCGGTTTGGCGAATCGCGAGATTCCGGTTTGGCTCCGCGAGCCGCTTCTCGGCACATTTGCATCGGTTTATGATTGTCGAATGGATGAGGCGGTTGAGCCGGATTTTAAGGTACTTTTTTTTGGGATTTTTTGAGCTCAGATTGAGCATTTGGAGCATTTTTGCTGAAAATCAAGAATTTTTTCAGACCTACCCGTCGTTCGCCGCATTTTTCAACCGCAAGCTGAAGGAATCCGCACGGCCCATTTCCGCTTCGCCATTGGTGAGTTGAGAATTTTTCAGGCTTTGTTTAGCCTAGAATTTGGGCCTAGGCCTAACTTTCAAGCCTAAGCCTAAAATCAGGCCTAAAAATTAGGGTTAAGTTAAATCTACGGTCTAGGTTAAGCCTAAGGCTTAGGCTATTTTGAAGCTAAGCTAAGGTCTAGGTTAAACTTAAGGCTTACAATTAGGCCTGAAATTAAAATCTAAACCTAAGCCTAATGTTTAGCCGAAGCCTAAGATAAGATTTTAGCTAACCTTAAACCTAAAAATTTAAGGTTAAGCCTAAGTCCAGGTAAAATTTTGAAGCTAAGCTAAGGTCTGGGCTAAACTTGAGGCTTATTGTTAGGCTAAAATTAAAAGCTCAAAGCCTAAAATTTACTTAAGCCTAAAGTTTAGCCTAAGCTTAGATAAGCCTAAGAGGAGACCTAAATTTAAAGTTGAGCCTAAGGATTAGGCCAAATTTTTAAGCTAAGCTAAGGTCTAGGCTAAACCTAAAGCTTACAATTAGGCCTGAAATTAAAATCTAAACCTAAGCCTAATGTTTAGCCTAAGCTCGAGGTTAAGCCTAAGATTTTGGCTAATCTTAAGCTTAATATTATGGTTAAGCCTAAGGTCAGGCCTAATTTAGAATTAGAAGCTGAGCCCAAGCCCAAGATAAGACATCCCTAAATGGCGCAGTCTAGAGCTTCGCTCAGCCTGCGCCTGATAAGGTCTAGATAAGGCCTAAGGCTTAGGCTGAATATCAAAGCTATCTATAAACCTTAGCCTAAAGTTAAGCCTAAGTTCTAGAAAAAAGCTAAACCTTAGCCTAAGCTTATGGTAAAGCCTAAGTTCTGGGCTAAAAAAAAACCCAAGACTTATACCAAGTCCAAGCTCAACTCCAACTCCTCACCATTATTTTTCGCAGGTTTCCCCAGCCGACGGAATTGTTCTCCATTTCGGCAAAGTCGAAGACAATCGCATCGAATACGTCAAAGGACACGACTATGACGTGGCAAACTTCTTGGGTGACGTCGATTTGCCGGCGAAAAATGAGCTGGATTTGTATCAAGTCGTCATCTATTTAGCACCCGGAAACTATCACGCATTCCATTCGCCAACTCGTTGGGTCGCTAGCCAATGTCGACATGTTCCCGGATTATTGTTGTCAGTTCGGCCAACTCTATTGAGTCATGTACCACATTTGTTTTGCTTGAATGAGAGGTGGGTTTTTTTGAGAAGTTAAGCTAACTCTCTCGCTCTCTTTTTTATTCCAGAGTTGTGCTAAATGGTAAATGGCGTCACGGCTTCTTCTCAATGGCCGCAGTCGCCGCGACAAATGTCGGCGACATTGTTGTCGACGCTGAACCATCGCTGCGAACCAATAAATTGACGCGACGCAAGAAATCGCAGAAAATTGCGAACACGGAGACCGAAATTCATGCGCCATATTTGTCGGGTGAACGAGTTGGTGAATTCCGCTTGGGATCAACTATTGTTTTGGTGAGTTTGAGACATTTTTATCTACAGTACCCTAATCTTGCTCTCGTTCCAGGTTTTCCAAGCTCCGCCCACCATCAAATTCGCCATCAAAGCTGGTGATCCTTTAAGATTTGGTCAAAGTCTAGTCGCTGATGGAGTTTAGTTTAACTAAATTCCAAAGTTTTTTGAAGATTTAATTTTGTTTACCTTGTACAATTTCACCGGGTCACTTTAGCCTACAGTAACCCAAAATCCCATTTGTATTTATTGTTTTTTCTTGATTGAGAAATGAAAGTTGTAATAAAATCAAGAAATTTCTGGATTGAAGTTGTTCAAAATTGAAGTTTTCCAGTTTTATTAAAATTAAGTTTGGGGGGGGGGAAATTTGAAAAACTTTGGATAATTTTAGGAGTTCAACATACTTTTTGGTGCTGAAAAATGTGGAATTTCTAATGTAATGTTTTAAATTATTAATTTTCGGCTGAAAATTTGTACTTTTTTTTGAAATTTGATTTTTTCTAGCGAAAAAAATATTTTGAATTATTTGTTTTATTTTATCCTGGGCCTATGCAACAAAATGAATTGCAATCAATTTTAGATCGAAATCTTGAAATTTAGCTCGATAATTATGGATTTGTAAAACTGGAAGGTCTTCCAGATTTACAGATTTTTGAACGAAAAAAAAGTTGATAAAAAATAATATTTTTCGAATACAGTATTCAATAATTTTTTGAAAAATTTGTAAATCTGGAAGCTCTTCCAGTTTTACAAATCCATCATTTTCGAGCCAAATTACAAGATTTCGATCTAAAATTGATTGCAATTCATTTGTTGAGCAATTATTGAATATTGTATAAAAAATAACAGATTTGGAATAATCCAAAAATGTAAAAATAAAGTCGATGAGAAAAAAGTTTATCAAATTGAAACATCGAGAGTTGGAGAAAAAAGTATCATCATGTATATATCAATAGAATCGTCTCAACATGAGGAATCTAAATATCATATTTAAAATATTCAAACTTTCAAATTTTTCCGGAGAAATTTGAAATTTTGAATAATTTAAATATTTACAACAATGTGGATATCAAACGAATCGGATTCGAATAAAAATAATTTTAACAACTCAGAGATTCGCTGGCCAGCTCGCCACCAGGTGGGGAGGCTGGCTGACCTGGGAACCACATGGAAACCATGTCGCCCGGTTTTTTTTTGCTGGCAAGGTGGCCAGGCTCTGGCTAGGTCACGGCCACATGGCTACCATGTGGTGGCCACTTCGCCGCGTCAAAATGAATTTTCATGAAAATGTCTGAAAAACTTGTGAATTGAGGCATTTTCGAAAAATTTGGCTCATTTTCTGTTTTTTCGCAGCACTAGAAACCTTAGGAAGTGAAAAAAACAGTAGAAAATGCAGTATTTTGAGCACAAACCACTGTCTTGCCAGCTTTCCAGAATTTCAAACACACAGGCCACGTCGCCGGAAAACTCAAGGCGACCTGGCGGCCATGCGGTTTCCAGGTGGCCGCACCGATCTGGTGGCGAGCTGGCCAGCGAATCTCTGAGAACACATGAATGTTATAAAATAAATGTTTTATTAAATCTACTTGACTGCTCGCGCAGGGAATAAACGCAGTGCACATGGCGTGCACAATCCTTACTATCCTCGTCGGTGAAGGATGCCCATCGATATACTCTTTAGTAGAGTATTCTTCCTTCCTCGCACCCTTCTTGGCAAATTAACGTGCTCACGCGGTTTTTTAGGCGTGAGCCACTGAAAAAAAGGTTTAATAATTTTTTTTTAAATTTTATTTAAAAAAATTTAACTTACTTGTTTTTTGTTTGGTGCAACAGCCAATCTGATTTTTAGAGTTTTCGAGATGTTATCTTTTATGGGCTTAAGCAAGTCATCATATACAATGTTCAGATTGATCTTAACGTCGTCAATCTAAAAAATAAACGTACAATAGATGAATTAAAAAAAATAAATAATTAAAATACTTACTAGAGCCTTGAGATCGGACCGTTTCCCTGCTTTTTCGATGTCCAAGATTGTATTTTTGATAATTTCTTGCGCAATTTCCAGAAGATTCTCAATTTTCAGCGTGTCCATGCTTTACGGCGTAGTTCGATGGAGCAAGTTTTGAATTATGAGTGTGTGAATGTATGTAGGTAAGCAAAAAAGTGTAACTATGAAAAGTGAGGAATAATTCAAAAAAAAAAACTAAACCGCACAAAAATGTCCAACATTAAACCATGATTTATTTTTTGTGTCCTTCAAACAGACCACCCTTTTTCATTTCAACTACAGTACCCCGTTGTGATTTGAATTTTCTCCGTTATTGAGTTGTCACCTCCGCCAAAACCGAAAAATGATTGATAGGTGGCGGCATATTTGATTCTTTGTTTAACATTGAAATTATTGAAAATTTGTAAAACTGGAAAGTTTTCCAGTTTTACAAAAATTTTCGAGCCAAAATTCATGTTTTCCGAATCATTGTTGCAAAGTTTGAGGACAAAAAATTTAAATTTATGAAAAATTAAATTATTTACAAACTAAAATTATTTGACAAAAATTATTATTTTTTAGTGAAAAACGTGTTCAAATTGTTACTTTTCGCTTTTTTATTCTTTTTTTCATTTGACAGATTTTCTCCTCTTTTTCGCTTTTTCGGTTGACTTTTTGATTCTTTCAGTTTTCTTGCAGCTTCTAATGCAATTCGATGTTCGTATTGCTGAAAAAAAATTAAGTTTGGGGGAGGGGGATTTTGAACAACTTTGAATAATTTTAGAAGTTCAACATATTTTTAGTGCTGAAAAATCCACGTGGAATTTCTCATTTAATTATGCATTTGCGGCTGAAAATTTCAACTATTTTTTAAATTTGATTGTTTCTTTGGGGAAAAAAGATCTTAATTTATTTTTTTTTAATTTTATAATGGACCTGTGCAGATTAATATTTTGTAATAAAAAACACAGTAGAGACAACGTAAAATTGAGTGAGCACACACAAAGTAAATTTTTTTTCGACCAAAAAATACAAAAAACTAATTTTCTGTCTGCGCTCTCTCAATTTCACGTTGTCTCTACTCCAAAATAATTAGCTGTATATTTTATTTTTCAGCACTCGGTCAGAAAACGGCGGGGTCGCTACCAATCGGGGCGGAGTCGCTACACGTTTCGGGGAACAAAAAAAGTGTAGCGACTTCGCCCCGATCGGTAGCGACCCCGCCGTTTTCTGACCGAGCATAGGAAAAATTATGATTACAAAATATTAACTCGCCTAGGCTCATGAAAAATAATCCCCGCAAAAATACCTTTCTCAACATTGTCGGCATATTCTTGAGTGCATTTTTGGATATTTTCTGTCCATCAACTTCCACATATTCCTCATCTTTTCCATTATTTTCCTCTTCTTCATCATCATCATCCAATATTATTATTGAATCATTTGGTTTTGTCGAAGTTGATGGTTCAATTATGATTTCAATATCATTTTCATCAGCTGTTTCTGGTTCATAAATCGACTCCTCATTTTCATTTAAACATTTTTTGTTGCTGAGCCAATCTGTGATTGCTCGATTTGCGGCTGGAATTCCTGGTGAGAATCGAGAAGCGCCCAGGTGTAAATTGTAGACTTTCGGGTGCCTGGAAACAATTTTTTGAGGTTAAAAATTTTCAGGTTCCCCCAAAATATTACCATTTCACATCATCTGTTGATTTATTACAACTCCTAATATTCTTCCACAACAATTCAATCAAAATCTCCGGATGATACGATGTGATTTTCAATGTTTTTTGCGGTTTTCCATCTTCGGTCAACAGCGAGAATACGAGATTTTCAGCAGTTCTTCGATTTTGTGCCTGATCAGTTGCTAATCGCTTTGCAAGTTCTTTTGTCAGGCCTTCGAGCCATTCTCTCATCTCTTTTACTGTTTGAATTGCGGATCGGCCGGGGAAATTTTTGCTGACTGCGATTGAGGAACTTTCAGCGCGCGGGCGGACCTGGAATCATATTTTTCAATTTTGAGGATTTATGAAAAATACATGCGGCCAGGAGCAGTGATTTTGAGAGTATTCGAATAATTTTTTGTTGAAAATTCGTTAAAGATTGAAATTAAGCTTTTCTAGTTTTAAATTTCTCAACTTTCAGCTAATTTTGAGCATTTTTAGGCTTAAATTTTTTTCTTTTCAAAAAGTGTTCAAAATAAAATCTAAAAATGTACCGGTTCATCATCATAACCTTCGGCAACACATTTCAAATATTCATGTTGCTCGGGAAATGCCTCCACAACTCTCTCAAATTCAATCGTCAAAATCTCTCCCATCGTCTTGATTTTCAGCATTTCCACAATTTTCGCGCCCATTTTCCCACCAAATCCCCGAATATCTCCAATCGGTGTCACTTTCAAAATATCTCTCACATACTGAAATGGAATAATTGTCTGCTGTCGAGGTTTGTGTCTGGCACACACCAATTTCGCCATCATTTTATTGTTGCCAATTCCAGCCGAGCAATAGAATTGGGTTTTTTCGCGAATTTTCGCGCGAATATCTTCGATTGCAATCGCGGCAATCATTAATTTCTTCTGATTTTCATCCGATTTTGTTTCCTCGTAAAACTTCGCGATTCTATCGATTCTCTCGTCTTCAGTCTCTTTTTTATCATTTCCATCAGCAATGTGAGTTGTGGGAAGTGCACCAATAATATCAGACTGAAAACAATTCACATTTTCAAGAAAATTTACACACAAACCAGCTCAGTTTCCTGCTCAACTTCCAATATTTTCTCAATATAAATCGATAAATCCAAAAATGCTTCATCAACCGATGCTTTTTCAACAATAATATTCGAATCGATATTATTGAGAACTTCAAAAACTTCAGCACTCGCATCTCGATATTTTTGAATATCCGCTTTATCCGCGTATTCTCCAATTGGTACATGACAAACATTCAAATCAGCGCATTTTGCTTTCGCTTCAGTTACAGTCATTCCACGTTTTATTCCGAATGTTCTGGCTTCATAACTCACTGCCAAAATTCTGAAAATGAAAAGAAATGTGAGTTATGACGTGGTTTTGGGTAGAAGTTTCCATTGATGATATTTTTACTATTTTTTTATAGTTTTTTTTTCAAATTTAAACTTTTACAGCCTTTAGCTTATTTTCAGTTCTTAATTTATTATGTCAAGGTTTTAGTCTGAAATTCAGAATTTCCAGGCTCAAAATCTGCCACGTCATCAACTCTTACCCTCCCAAAACGCCTTGTCTCGAATGCTGCACAACAATCACTGGTTTTCCCCACAAATCGGGTTGATCTCTTTGCTCAACTTGTGCATAAAAACAATCCATATCGATTAGCCCGATTATTCGTTTCATCTGAAATTTCAGAGGCTTCTGAAAATTTGCCACGTCATAACTCACCTTTTGAATTCGGCTGAAAATAAAGATATTCCAACAAGAATTTCAAATCTTGCGTATTATTTTCAAAATAAAAATAAAATAATTTATGAAAAAAAATTTAAAATCAAATATTATTTACAGAAAAATAAATATTCACAGAAAAAACCTGTTAGCTGGAAAATTCGACAAACCCCGCATAAAAATTCTCAAAAAACTCGGTATCAAGAAAAGTATCAGCGCACGTGTTGAAGCTTCCAAGTTGATCAAAAAGAGTTTTCAATTCTTTCCTCCTTTTCGCCGTCACCACCTTTTTCGGGCAAATCGGCTCTTCAATCATTCGATTCGCTAAATACTCGACCCAAAACAAATTGGTGCATGGTTGGAATTCTTGCCAATCTCGATTATTATTCTGTCGCATTCGTCGATAAACATCAAATTGCGGATCATTTTGACCTTTGAAGATTTCATCGTCATTTTCCAAATTCAAAAATACGGTTGTCGCTTCTTTTTTGATTCGGCTTAGGGTGAAATCAATGATGTTTGCTTTGACACCAAATGAATTGACTGTCATCAAATTGTCATTGAATTTATAGCTGAAAAAACATTGATGTGACAGTTTTTATAAGTTTGGGAACTTTTTTTATTTCAAAAATTTTGAAGCGATTTTTTTTGAAAATGAAGAACCTTCATTTTATTAAAAATCTAGAGTGAAAGCTGAAACAGTTCCCTTGTAAAAATCAATTTTTCTATAAATTTGAATAAAAAAGTAACAAATCACCAAAATTTTTGAGGGGTTTTCAACTAAAAAAAAGTAGAAATTCTCCCGATTGAAATGGTTTTGCCACGTTTAAAAAAATGCCAACCTCAATTTGTCAGCCTTCTCAACTTTCGCAATCAAAACATTTCCCAAGTGCATATCTCGATGCTCAAATTCCAATTCTTTCTCAGCAACAACAAGCGATAACAGAAGTTGACATAAAATTGATCGAATTTCGTTTTCACTTGACACAACAAACGATTCCAAATCATTTCCACCATTTGCAGTAACAAATGTGATATAAGTTTGAAGATTTGAAGAATAGTCACTTGGTCGATCATTCAGTGATTCCTTCTTTTCAGCATATAAATCCCAAGCCTTTATCAATCCAGCTGGATACTTCCCTTGAACAACATGGCAAGCTGTTAAGCTAATAAAATTCGGCGACGAATTCATTCCATCGATATTATTCAGAGCTGTCAACTCTTTCATAACCACAACTTCTGGAAGAACAACGGAAGATGTTGGCATAACTCCACCATTAAATAGACCATCAAAAATCGGATTATTTTCATCAGCTTCGATTGGCACAATTTTGATGGCCACCGGATTTCCATCATATTTTGTTGCAAAAACTTCACCATAAGCACCCTCTCCAAGTTTTTTGACATTGCTAGCAGTGAAAGTTCTGGAAAATAGGGATTTTTGTTGATGAAAACATTACAAAACTAACCCTTTCGGAAATTGCGTCCATTTCATGGCTTCCGTTTGGCCAACAACATGCAATAATTGATCGATTGGTGATAGTTCAGCACCAAGTGATACATCAGCAAGGTAGAACGGAAGAACTGATTCCTGAATGTTTTCAATTTTGATTTTAAAAAAATCCCAAGGAAAAAAAATACGAACATCATCCATATGAATAGTCATCGCAGTCTGTGCTCTCGACATTGTTCCTTCCGAATTGGCCACAGTTCGATTTCCCAACAAACTATCCAAATCCAAATCATCCAGCGAAATCTCCTCCATCAAACTATTAATCGAAGATCTTCTCGATGAGGCAGCCGATGCATTTGTCATCACAGATAATCTCGATTCTCTCATCAATTGTTTTTCCTGCGGTTGAATTGTTCGTTTTCGTTGTGGCGCCACTTGAACCTCTTCAATGTTTTCTTTTTCAGTTATATCCATATCCATCATTGTCCCTTGTTGTTGAAGTGTACTTTGTTGATGTTCTTGCATAGTTCTCGATCTTTTTCGATTCCAACTTTCATTATCTGTCAACATTTCGGTTAACGAGCAATCTGCAGGTCGAGGTGTTTTTGTTCTTTCTTCTTCAGTTTCCTCTTCAATTTGTGTCAAATCTTTTGCAGTGTTACAAGAATCCTCCTCAATTTCATCAAAAACATTCGAAACCGAAGCTTCTTCATCTTCAAAAACATCATTATCCTCGTCGTCTAATTTTGGTTGTGGAATTGTCAATGTTTTATTGATAACTGATGATTTCTTATTTGTTCTTTCAATTGGAGTACTTGCAAAATTCGACTGAGGATCGAAAGAAACTTCTGAAGAAGACGATAAAAGTCCGGACAATCGATCATCGAATCTTGCAGCGACTGGGGTGTCTGAAAAAATTGAGATTTTCGAAAATTTGAAAAAAAAACCTACATGAAAATTTGGAAAGCCGTTTTTCTATCTTCTTGGCCGGCGTTTTGATTTCTTTGGGAATTCCATCAAAAATTCGAAATGTTTTATTGCCGTCTTTCTCTGCAATTTTTTAATTATTCCTAAATTAACTTCAAAATATCTAACCTTTCCGCTCCTTTGCCGCAGTTTTATCCATAATAATCGTATCCACAAATTTCTGATGTGCCTTATTTTTGAATATCGGCGCAACAAATGCTTCAACTTTTTCCTTCACAACTTCTTTCTGCGGCTTCTTTTTCACCAGATCCAATCTCACCGCTTCTTCATATGGAATCAATTTTCCTCTCGCAAAATCCGTCAGAAACATTTTCTGCTCTCCCTGCATGATTTCCAAAGAAAAATCATCATCCGAATCGTATTGTTTGTTCTGAAAATGAACCTAGGTTAGAAAATCCACGTTTATAGTAAGATTTTGGCTTTTTTTGACAGTAATAACATCTAAAACTTACTAATCGCTCAATTTTCGAATCATTATTTGTGCCATTTGCCGGTTCAACATATCCTCCTGTATCATCATCATCATCATCAATAATCGATAAATCCGCTAAACTTGGTTCGACAGGTTTTGCAACGACTTTTCTGAATTATTTTTAAATTATAAAAGTTCTACTAGTCTCAGTAAAACTAACCGATTTTGCTTTTTCTTTTCTTGAATCTTTTTTGGCTCTTCAACAATTTTCGATATTTCTCCAGGAAATTCTACCAACGCTGAAGCGAAGAATTCACCCTTCTCTTTTTCGATATGAATTTGAGCTTTTAGCCTCAGTGAATTATGAAAGCAACGGCGATTTTTCGCAGCTTGAGATAAACGTTGTTTTTCCTTTTTTGGTGGCATTTAAATCTGCAAAATGTTGGTTTGAAACATACAAAATGCCTCAAATAGCGTGGTCGCGTGAAAAACAAAAAAAAACAAACATTCAAAAAATGAGAGAGGAATGTGCGCCCCATCGCACAATTTCGCTGTTGGCTGAGTATCCAATGTTTATGTGTGTGCGAAGAAAATTTCCCATTTTTTCATTTTCTTTTTCTCCTTCCCTAAATTGTTCCTTTTTTTTTAACTTCTGGGGCCGAATTTACTACTCAGCAGCCGCTGGCGTAGTCTAAAGCGTACAATAGAGCGTTTGTAGCGTCATACACCGCCTTAGCTACGCTCGCTTGTACGCTTTAGACTACGCTGAGGTGTAAATCTTAGCTACGCTCGTTTTTTTTTCAATTGAAATTTTTTTTCTGATTTGCTTGCTCGATCGGAACTGAATTCTAGGTTTACTATCAATATTACATGTTGAATGTGCCGATTTCTGAATTTTTTGAAGGAACTGCATAGAAACATGATTTATTGTACATTATAACAAAAAAAAACAGTAAAATAATTAAAAATAACACTGAAAAATGGAAGAATTATGGGATTCAGCGCTTCTTGACAATTTTAGAGGGTTTTTGAGACGGTGAGCTGATTGGAAGATTTTTTAATGACGTTGAATGATGGTGTTGAGTTCCACGTGAGAATTTCCAATTCTTGTAGAATATTGAGAATACCAGTTTTCGAACCTGAAAGAATAACTGACTTATTAGAAGGTTTCTGGAGTGGATATTTTGATTAAGATTGGCCAAAATCAAGACTTTATGACTAGGATATTGGGGGTTCTCAGACAAGATGGGCGATTAATCGCTTAGCAAATTTTCAGCTCTTCAGCTCACTTTAAAGTGAAGTGAGCTGAATTTAAAATGAGCTGAAGGATTAATCACCTATCACATATTCATAAACTAAATTAATTCAGGTGATTGATCGCTTAGCTAGCAGCTAATTCAAGTTACTACGCGACTCTTTCATATTTTGGGAGTTTTCGATTAGTGAACGATTTTTCTCACCTTTTGCCTATCCAACTTGCTTCATATCCCAATATCAATATTCTAGTAACAAGAATGTCGAAGTTGGAATTGATTCTGACTGAACTCCGAGTTTTAAATCAAAAACGAATCCGCCGGAAGGCGACTGACTACCAAAACCATTCTAACTTCCAATAACTGCTTGGCTCGGCGTGGATTTGTTTCAGCTCTGAAAACATATTTACTTTTCTCAATACTAATAGAATGCGTATTTATAGAACTCACTGAAATCTGCAGAACATGAAATGGAGATTGACATCGCACAAAACCACGAATCTAGACTGTAAAATAGAAAAATTGAATAGAGAACGATTAGAATCAAAAATAATAAGCATAATAGAGTTAAATTCATAGGTAAAGTCTCATGTGTCTTACTTTTGGTCTGCTGAAATAATTTCTCACTGAAAATCTTCAAACGAGAGCCAGTTTTCTAGTGAAAACCTCGTTTAATGAGTTGTTTGAAGTAGAAAAGTCTTTATAGTCAGGAAAAACACAACTGAAAAGTATAACTCCATGCTTTAAACATTTCAACACGCCCAAAAAAGAAAAATTTTAGGCCAAGAGAAAACGAAAAGAAAAAGTGAAAAGCTTGTACGCAACGCACAGGAATTGCAACGCGGCTCAGTGTAGCTACGCTCAGTCTACACCCGCGAGATTACAACGAGCGTAGCTAAGCCGTAGCTAAATTTCATCTAAATAACCCTTTGTTGTACGCTTAGACTACGCCAGCGGATGCTGAGTAAAGTGGTATACCAAAAATTACTGAAGAAAAATTGGGCGTACCAAAAATTGCTCAACAAATTTTTTTGGTACACCAAATTTTTCTTCATTAATTTTTGGTATACCACTTTAGTAAATTCGGCCCCTGGACTTCTGGATTTTGTTTTGCTTGCCAATTTTTGATAATTTTATTGTTAGCTAATGCAAACTAGAGATTTTCTCTTTGAAAAATAGTGTATTTGAATTTTTCTACGAAAATTACTCGTGAATTTTCTTTGACAAAAAATTTAGTATGATTTTTTCAGGTAACCATGGTTCGCATGAACGTTCTTGCCGATGCGCTCAACGCCATCAACAACGCCGAGAAACGCGGAAAGCGTCAAGTTCTCATCCGCCCAGCTTCAAAGGTTGGTGACATTTTTGGGATGATTATGAGTGACGTATTTTCTTCAGATGGTAGCAGCCTCGGTCGATATTGACCAAGGCTCTCCGTAATTTTAGACAGTTTATTGTTGTAGTTAACAATAAACAACTGTTTCTAACAGTCTAATTAAACGGAGACACCCTTGGTTAGTTTTACTTCGTCATCTACCTTCGGAATCAACGCTGGAGGTACATCTTGATGTAAAATCTAACTTCTATACGCTTTTTGGTATGATCAAGTGATAAATGAATCATGATCATGCTATGAAATCATATAGAAATCCACTTCAGTTATATCTTAGATTTTCAAACAGTTTTACCATATAACTTCAGGTCATTGTCCGTTTCTTGACCGTCATGATGAAGCACGGATACATCGGAGAATTCGAAATCGTCGATGACCACCGCGCCGGAAAGATCGTCGTCAACCTCACCGGACGTTTGAACAAGGCCTCCGTCATCTCCCCACGTCTCAACATCCGTTTGAACGTAAGTTTTTCTACATAAAATTATTTCCTAACCAGCATTTTCTACTTGCAGGATCTCGAGAAATACACCAACACCCTTCTCCCATCCAGACAATTCGGATACCTCATCCTTACCACCTCTGCTGGAATCATGGACCACGAGGAAGCCAGAAGAAAGCATCTTGGAGGAAAAATCCTTGGATTCTTCTTCTAAACAAAAGTTGTTAACAATAAATTGTTGTTTTTACATATATCGTCTTTTGAATCCAAACAACCAAATGTTCATCTCAGTTTCCGTATCTTGGAAAGAAGATTGAAAAGATATTGGGCAGCTTCCGCCTAAAAAAAATTTGCATTCCAAACTTCGGCGTCGTTCAGGACGATAATAGTTTCAGATGCTTCCCAGGATAATATCTTTTCTAAACATCGCTTCAACGAGTCGACAGTTTCTGATCCCACAAATATCTCGTCGGTTCAATTCATCTCTCGGACAACAATCTCCCCAATTATCTTTGACTTATACTTGTAAAGTTTGTGGTTCTCGACAGGTAAAATATACCGATTTATTCAAAAAACATTGATCAAATCAAAATTCAGGGTCCAAAAACATTCGCAAAATCGTCATATGAAAAAGGAGTAGTTCTTGTAACTTGCACTGGCTGTAATAATCATCATATAATTGCTGATAATATGGGATGGTTCGAGGATTTCAAGGTACTTTTGAATTTTATCGGAAAAATAGCGCGGATTCAGTTTCACTTCAAAAAAAAGTAGAAATGAAATTTTTCAAAGAAATGAACTATTTCCGAAATTCCACGTCATAGTTCACGATAAATTTGAGATACTCATTTATAGAATTTCACTTTTACCTGAAAATAATAAAAATATAGGTGTGCGAAATTAAATTTTCAAAAAAAATTTTGAAAATTTGGAGAAATTAATTTCCAAGTTATTTTTTGAAAAAAGTTTTTTTTGTCCTAAAATGCCACGTCATAGCCAACTCGAAAACCCAATTTCCAGGGCAAAAACATCGAGGAATATCTGAAATCAAAAGGCGAATCTATTCAAAAAGGCATCCGAATAAACGACAATACAATTGAATTCGACAAACAATAAACCAAAAATTTTATTTTTCAAGTTTTGCAAGTACAACAATACACATTTTCAAAAACAAATCCTTTCGGAATTTCCTCAAAATATCAGTTCAATTGAACTATCAAATTATTGAGGTTATTCTTGATATAAACAAAATATTCATCAAAATTGTGATTTGGTTCATTCGAAATCGGATAACTTTCAAAAAGCTCTTTTTTCTTGACAATTTCTTCATGAGCTTGGTCGAACGATTCCAAAAGATTCCACGATTTAATGCAATCTTTTGCCACCCGAGTTCGAAGTTCTTCGCTTTCTTCATCGCTTTTCAAATAATGTTCTACAATTCTATTATGAGCCATTGTTATTTTCGAACCTTTGACCTGAAAACTTAGAATTATATGTTACCAATGTGATCTCCACCATACACCACAATCAATAATGCAAAGTCTCCCATTTCCATCAATTCCATAATATTGTTCGCGAATACCTCTCAGATACAAAAGATGCGTGAGTAATTTTCGTTGAGCATACATCTCTTTACTCATCTCAAACCCCTCAGAATATGCTCCTCGAAAACCATCCACTGAAAAAGCGAAAATAGTTTTATGTGTAAAACTAGGCAATTTACCATTTTCATTCACAATATATAGTCCATTACCAGAAGAATGTGTGTTTGGAATGAAATGAACTGCAGGTCCGACTTTCATCAATTCAAACAATTTACGAACAAAAAATTCACGAATATCCAACTCAGAACGACCCGTGTGCTTTTTCATGTAATAATTAGCAAGTGAAGTTTCATTGCGCGAAACTTGGCAGATTATTTTGCCCTAAATTCACATTTGTTACTAAAATGTCTGTTTTTCCAAAAAAAATGAACACTTACCTGAACTCTTCTCTCATCGTAACACATCTTTTGACAAAGTATGTCGAGTTTCGAACTTTCAGAATCATCGACAAAAATCTTCGAAAAATAATCATGCATAGAATATTCCATATATCTCATCTCCTTGTCAATATATCTCCAAAATTCCTCTCGAAATTCTCGTCTTAATCCATCATATTTCGAAAATGTGACCAAAAATAGTGCTTCATTTAATGGGTTCAATTGATCCATTGCAAGATCTACATTCCGTTCAATTTCGCATATATCATTCGATTTCAAAGCTTGTCGAGCTAACTCAAAGAATTCAAGAAATGTTTTCCAATTTGCAGCCAGAGAGTGTCTCTAAAATCATTGAATAGTTCTAATTTGAATCAATCAATTTGAAAACTTACGACAATCACTTTACATCCATGTTTGATACCACAAGATTCAAGACTTCTTTCATCAGATCCAACAATTTCATTACCATCTTCAAAATTTAGGAATAGTTTCTGATATTTATGATCAATGTAGAACCCCAATTTTATTTTTGTTTTCACATCTTTTAGTTTTGCCTAAAATTCCAAATCCTACATTTTTTTTCATTAAATAAGCTAACTAACCTGGCTATCAAATTCATATTGAAACTCTTGATGAATCACGTCATTGTGATCTTTCAACTCGAAAAACAACTTCATTCTGAAATTTGAATGTAGAAAGAAATTTTCAAAGAAATTATTATTTTTCGTGAAATGAAAATAGCGGTAAAGATTTTTTTACACCACAAAAACAACAAAACAGGTGGGATGGCGTGCTTTCTGCACAGTCTTCCCAAAACTTTCTCTAACTCCCCTCGGTCTCTTCAGCATACCGTACTCTCTCTGAAAAATATGAAATTTTCCGCCAGAATTTTTTTAGTGAAATTCTGAAAAATAGCATTGCTCATATTAATACATGAAAATTTATTATTCAACTTTTGTACAAAAATACTTTCAAAAAAGAATACCAGTAATAACAATACACATTTCAAAAAAACAAATCCTTTGAGGATTTTTGGTCAAAAAAATGCAAAAACACCCAAAAAGTAACAAAATAACATAAAAATGAGGTACATTATTAAAAATATTATGAAATATGGATTCGAACTTCTTCAATATCCGAATCATTATCAATGTCATCAATTGTACAAGATTGCGAATCCATTGAGATCGGATCATCATATAAAACTGATTTATCCATTGGCGGCATCGAATTTGAATTCAAAATTGATGGCGGCGGAGCAGCATGTGCTGGAACACGTGGAGCTGCTTCTTGTTTTTCAAATTTCTGATCTTTTCGTGGTTTCATTGTCATATAATCGTCATCGTTTACAACAGGAGTGAGTTCAGTTGTTCCAACAATTAATCGACCTTCGACTCCACTTCGAATTGCTGCATTTATGTTTTCATCCAAACTTGTTCTCCAATCCTCACAATCTCTGCAACAAAAATAAATTAATTTTTATTTAAAAATTTAGTTGGCAAACTTCTTAAATAAAAATGATGCCACGTGGCAATTTTTCGAAATTAAATTTTGAATTTTGAATTCCACGTGGATTTTCTCCGAGTTCAAAAATCATTCCACGTGGCATTTTTCGTTCTTATGAAAATATTACCTCAAATTAGTCAACGCATCATTCATCTGTCGATTTTCTCCTCTTCTATCCGACATTCTCGCTCGATTCGACATTCCAAAATCAACCGAACTTTGATGTTTCATCAAATCTCTTCGAGTTCCTTTCGAACTTCCACAAACCGACGGACTTCTTGAATCATGTCTCGAAGATGGCGCTTGTGGAATTGCATTCGAGAATGGCCGAACTTGTACCATGGGGCGATTTGTGTTATTTTGTGTTGTATTGGAGAATCCGTCATTTTGTCGGAATCCACGTGGCGGCAAAGGTGGCGGATCGACGACTGGCATAAGGACACGTGTATTTCGCATGTGTGGAACGTCACAATGTGCACCGTATTTTGGATCACTGAAAATAAAGAAAATTAGATATTGTTGGGATTAGAAATCAGAAGTTAGTTATCACAAATCAAAATCATTTTGAAAACTCAATTTCACCTCAAACAAACTCGTCCTACTATTATTTCCAACCCTAAATAATAATCAGCTAATTAAATAAATCTGAAAAATCGAAAAGCATTGCTTAAAATATTAAGACAAATGTAAAAATTGAAAAATAGTTTTTTTTTTCGAAATTTTTGTAGAATCTGAAATTTCTGGAAAAAAATAGCATTGCTCATGTTAAAAATTACAATAAATCTGATTTTTGAACTAAAAATTCGTTAGATAATTTTTAACATGAGCAATGTCAAAAAAAAACAAAAAAATTAGAGATTCCCTAATATGAGCAATGGAAAATTCAGAATTGCTCATGTTACAGTGACCTTCCACAGAATTACATGAGTAATTCCTGAAAATTTCACGTATTAATATGAGCAATACTATATTTTTCGAGAATTTTCAGATTTTTTCGGTTAAAAAAACACAAACCTGGTCTTTTTGCAACACCGACAAACGAGAAAAACGCAACAAGCAATAATCAGCAAAAATGCGATTCCCAGAATGATCATAATTATTTCGAATTTCAGCAATAATTCGAGAATTGTTACAGTCGCCGATTCTTGACACGGGCTACTTTGAAGAATTCCTCCAGTACAATTACAAATGAAATCCGAACTTTCGGGATTTTGTCGTGGAATCGAAATACATTGACCATTTCCACATTTGTTTCCACTACACGATGGTTCGAATTCTGGAAAAAAATGAAGGAAAATTATTATTTTTTTTGTTATAATTTATAAAAACTAACCATCAAAACCTCTCGATTCACAATGTTTTCCAGTAAATCCATTGGGACATTTACACAAATATTCATTATGATATGGAATACATTGAATTCCGGTTGGACAAGGATTCGAGGAACACGGTTCGAGATCGATTTGACATTTATCACCAGAATAACGCATTGGACAAATACATCTGCAAAAAATTGGGATATTGAAAAAGGGTCGAGATTTGGAAGAGGAAAATGGGTACTCGAGAAAAATCAAGAGGCTATTCTTGAGAAAAATTGTTATTTTAAGATTTTCATTGGAATTCGGGCAAAAAAAACCTATTTTTCCCATTTTTTAATGAAAAATTAAGGAATTCTGGTTTTTTTTCAATTAGAATTTTTGTAAATCTAAATTTTGCGGATCAAAAAACCTTCAAGATTAATATTGAGATTTCTTGTAATTTTCAGTCCGAAGCTAGAAATTTTAAAAAATTCCAAAATTTTTGATAAAAAATTTGAAACTAATCAGGATCTCGACGTTTTTTCAACAGAAAGTTTTTGAAAAAAAGTTACTGTAGCTCCAGAAATGTTGTGTGAAAAAGCGAATTTTCTGGTAAAAATGCATCCAAATTTTTTTATTTTGGAAATTTCGAGATTTTAAGAACATTAACCAGAGTTGCTTGAAATTTTCAATTTTCCCAATTTTCTCTAAATTTTGATTTATTTTCCCATATTTTGGATATTTAATGAAATTTTTAAACAAAAATTTGAAAAAAGTTACTGTAGCTCCAAAAATTTCAAAATAAAAAAACGATTTTTCCGGTAAAATTCTTCCAAGAATTTTTCTTTCAAAAAATCCACAAACTTCCTTTAAACCTCGGAAACCGGTAAAAATCTTGAAATTTTCAAAAAAATTCCAAAAAATTCTGGAATTCCCCATTTTTCCGAAATTTCAGATCCCCCCAAAACTCACTCAAAACTCTTTCCCTGCACAACACAACTTCCACCATTTCCACACGGCATTTCACTACAAGGGGACGATGTCAAGGCCAAACATCCAGGCGCAGCTCCAAATAATCGAAGACCCTGTCTAGTTTTCGGCACTTTCCGTCCATCAACAGATATCGTTTTGAAACAAGCAGAAACACCGTGACTTATCTTTTTCTCTCCCTCCAAATTCAAATCCTCAACTTTCGCACCAAACACCAATTTCTGTGCATAATTATGCAAATTAATCACAGTCGATCCAATGGGACTAAAAGCTTCTTGAATATCACTATCATCAACAACTAATCGAGTTCTTCTTTGCCTTCTCGATATTCCAATTCGATGCCATTTTCCATCACCAATCAATATTTTCGATCGAACAATTCCTTGTCCACTTCCAGCATCCCAACTATATTCAATAAATCCATCAGAAATCGCAAGCATATGATAATCATGACTTGCTCCACTCCACATTACAACTCCATTTGTTGATGTTGTTCTCAGTTCGATTTCGAGTTCCATTCGACTTTCAATTTCATTTGAAAGCGACATTTCGAAATATCCATCTCCACCCACAGATAATTCAGCTTCTTCCAAACATTTTCCATCATTTGTGCAAGATGGTTTCTCACATCGATCTCCTTCCATTCCAAGTGGACAAACACATTCGAATGAATTTGAAGATGTTGATGGAATACATAATTGATAAGATTCACAAGGAGATCTCGAACATTGATTGATCTCTTTTTCACATCGAATTCCACCCAATCTGAAAAACAAGAGTTTTTTGACCATTTTTTCTAGGTCTAAAATATCCCGCCACTCCCTTTAAAAATCCCCCCGCAAAAACCAACCCATCTGGACACAAGCATTGTGCATCTCTCGTGTGATAAGGCGATACAAATCCAACATTTTCCGAAGTGCTTCTTGTCCATTTATCTTCCAGCAATTCGATTCTTTCACGACATTCTCCTTTTCGACAAACTCCAGGTGTGCACATTTCAGTTATCAATTGATATCTCTGGAAAAAAAACGGGGTAAAAATATATAAAGATAAACATGAGCAATCATAATTTTGAAGCTGCTCCAAATTTCTTATTAAAAAATATAACTTAAGCTTATGGACTAAAATGAGCAATTCTCAATTTTATGGCTTAAAATGAGTAATTCTCAAATTTATGGCTTAAAATGAGCAATCCTCAATTTTATGGCTTAAAATGAGCAATCGTATTTTAGGAGCCAAAAATTTTCCGGTTTTTTATGGATTAAAATGAGTAATTCTCAATTTTATGGATTAATATGAGCAATCATAATTTTGAAGCTGCTCCAAATTTCTGATTTTTCATCTAGTCTAATTTTATGGCTTAAAATGAGCAATTCTCAATTTTATGAGTTAATATGAGCAATCATACCCGTTCCCCTCCAAAAAACCCACCATTCCATCACTCTTATCCTGAATATTTTGAAAATCCAACTTCAATCTCGAATAAACATGATCGGGTTTCAAAAATCCTCTTCCAGGTCCTCTTTGCGCAGTGAACAATATCTCAATATCCTTCTCACTCGATCTTTTCGCTCTTCCATTCCCCTCAACTTCTTGCAAACTAATCAATTGAATATTCTCCGCATTTATATTCAAATGCGCTCCAATAACATTCCTGAATTTCGCCTCAAATCTTTTCATAAATTCATTAATATCCATCGATCGAATTCGAATCGCAACTGAATGTTCAATCGTATCACTATCAATTGATAAAACATAAATCTCAACATAACTAATTGTTTTGAATTTTCCATCAGTAACAGTCACATTAAAACTATGAAGACCATCAGAAATCGAATGATCTGACCAAATATCTCCAGAATTCGCATCAATTCGGAAATTATGGACCTTTCCATTAGGTCTCGGCGTCTCAATAGTCGGAAGTGGTCCCCGAATACTATCCTCAACAATACTATATCTTAATAGATCTTCCTCATCTTGATCGCTAGCTCGAAGTCTTCCAATATTTCCAGCAACAAGTTCAGATTGCAAAGTATTCACTCGAATTTTCAGCGGTTTCATAATCGGAGCATGTCGACTTTCCTCTTTCACCCAAATCGTTAATGGACAATCCGTCGATTTTCCTTTGATATCTTTCGCAATAACAGTCAACAAATATCGATCTTTCTTTGAATGTTGTAATCTTGCAGCCGTCATAAGATTCGATCCCTCAATTTTGAATACTTTCGCTCCATCGCCTTTAATTTCAAATTTAAAAGGTCCCGAATTCTTGGGACCATCCAAATCTTTCACATTAATCGATAAAACAATACTATTAATATTTGCACTTTCTTGAATAACCGCAGTCATATTACAATCTTCGAAAATTGGTGGATTATCATTAATATCTTCAATTTCAATATCAACATCAACTTCAGATTTGAGTCCTCCTCCATCTTTTGCCTCAATTTTCAATCGATATTTTCTCATCTCCTCTACTTCATAATCCAAATTGCCATTCACAGAAATCACACCATCTTTTGAAATAACAAATGGGATTTCAGTCTGATTTTTAATCGAATAAACAATTCTTCCAAAATGTTCGCTATCTTTATCTTCCGCCTCAACTTTCAATATTTCAGTTCCATTTTTCGAGTGTTCCAAAACTTTTGCAAAATATGTCAAATTCTTGAAAATCGGTACATTATCATTTTCATCCATCACTTCAATTTCAATCTTTGTTTCAGCTGTTAATGGTGGATTTCCAGAATCTTTCGCTTCAATGAAAATCTCAATTTTCTGCACTTTCTCAAAATCAAGTCCTTCGGCCAATTTCAAAATTCCAGAATTCGGGTCAAGTTTCACCATTTTATTCATTTTCGATGGTTTCAATGAATACGTCACACTTTCACCAAAATCTCCACCATCCGCTCGAACTTTGACCAATTCGTAGCCAATCGATTCAGATTCCATGACCTGCAGAAAATATTGGGAATAGGAATTTTGTAGGGTTTTAAGAATAGGAAGTGGGCTTACCTTCATCGAATAAACTTTTCGCTCAAAAATAGGTGGATTATCATTTTGATCAGCGACGATGATATTGACAATAGCTGGAAAAATGTTTTTTTTCAGAATTCGGGAATTTTTTGAAATAAAATATCCACGTGGAATTTCGTTGGCAGAAAAATTGAAATTTGAGTTTTTGGGTTTTTTTTTCAAAATATGTTTCGGCGGTCAAAAATCCACGTGAATCGTTTTAACGCGAAAATTTGAAGTTTTTTTTCATAAATTTTTTTTGGCGGGAAAAATTGAAATTTTAATTTTTGGGTTTTGTTTTCAAATTTCGTTTTTTGGTGCCCAAAATCCACGTGGAATGTTGGCGGGAAAATTCGATATTTGAATTTTTTGATTTTCAGAATTCTGAATTTTTTTTTAAATAAAAACACGTGGCATTATGTCGGTGGGAAAATTTAAAATTTGAATTTTTGAAATAAAATTTGAAAAATTTGGTGCTAAAAATCCACGTGGAATTTTCTTGGTCCAAAATTTTGAACATTTAAAATCAATCAAGAATCAAACCCTATTTTTTGACGCGAAAATTTGAATTTTTAAAATTTAGTTTTTGGCCCCAAAAATCCACATGGCACTTTGTTACAGCGAAAATTTTAAATTCAAATTTCTGAGTTTTTTTTCAATTTTTTTCAAGATTCTAATTGGAAATTTCCGAATTCCACGTAAATTGTAAGTTTTTTGAAATCGAAAATTCAGAAAAAAAATGTTTTTTTTCAGAATCTCCCTTCTAAAATCTCACCAGAATCCTCAAATTTCCCATCCGACACAACAATATCCAATCGATATTCCCCAATTTCCTCTCGATCCAACATTTTCACAACCATCAATACTCCACTTTTCGGCTCAATCAAAAATCGCTCATCAAATGAATTCTTCAATCGATATTCTAAACTTGAGCTCGAGTCCAAATCTTGTACAATAATTCTAGTCAATAAAATACGATCCTCTAAACTCGCTGCCAAATTCTCTTTAATCGTCAAATTCTGAACTTTCGGTGATATGATCTTCGGTGGATTATCATTCTCATCAATAACATCAATCATAAACTTCTCTTCACAAATAATCTCCTTCTTTTTATTCATCATAACCCTCGTAATTTCAAACATCTGCTCTTTCTCAAAATCAACATTCTCCTTCACTTTCACAATTCCATTTCTAAAATTGATCACAAATGGGATAGGATTCTCCTCTTTGATCGAAAATACATAATCCTTCTTCGAATTCATAGATTCTCCAATAACCACAGTTCCTTTCTTCGAATTCTCTTTTATTTGTAATTTCGAAACTCCATCCTGATTTTCACAATGAACTTCCGCATCTTTCCGAATCCTCACAACAACTTCACAAGTTCTCGCAAATACCCCATCAAATGCAGTTAATTCCAGAATATATTCCGATTTTTGAGACAATCCAATGAGTTCAGCTCGTTTGATCGTAATATTATTATTTTCATCAATCGAAAATATTCCTTCCTCATTTCCAGATGAAATAAAAACTTTGGAAATGTTGAATGGCGGAAGATCAAGATCAATAATCTCAATATTTGTAAGGAAATTGTCTTGAGGATTACTGTCTATCCAAACTTCATACTTAGATTTCGAAAACTGCGGTGGAGAATCATTTACATCATTAACAATCACACTAAACTTCAAATCAGTATTCAATCCACCTTCATCCGTCGCCCTCGCAATCAAATCATATTTTTCAATTTTCTCGCGATCCAAAGAACTCGAAACAGTTAACCATCCACTTTCCGGATTCATAACAAATTGTGAGATTTCTTCAACAAGTGAGAATTTGATAGTTCCACTTTTCGATGGTGAATCATCTCGATCAGTTGCAGAAAATATAGCAACACTCGTTCCAATTGGCGAATCTTCCGAAATCGTTAATCTCTCATAATCTCCTTGAAAAGCTGGTGCATTATCATTAACATCAGCCACATCAATAGTAACAGTTGTAATCGAATGAACATGTCCAGCAGCTTCAACTTTAATCGCCATTCTCCATTCCGATTTTCTTTCTCGATCCAATTCACTTTTCACCACAATCTTTCCACTTCCTCTTTCAACACTAAACGGTAAACTATCCGCAGCTTCAGCAATACTAAATCGAACTTCCTCAATTTCTTGATTCACTTGTTGAACTCTTCCAATAACACTTCCAATCGATGCATCTTCCGAAACACTAAACAAATAATGACTATTCGAAAATCTCGGAACCGGTGTATCCTTTTTCGCCACTTGTATTTCAACAGTAGTCGTCGCATGATGTGGCGGATTTGCCGAATCCGTCGCTTTCACAATTAATGAAAACGAATTTCCAACTTTATCTTCCAATTTCTTCGCAACAGTCACAGTTCCTTGTTTCGGATGTACACTGAAAACCGAAGAATCATCGAGCAATGAATATTCAATTGAATCTCCTTCATCATCATCAGTCGCAGATACCATAAGTACTGTATCTCCTTCTTTTGCTAATGCAGACATTGAACAAGAATACGAAGATAGCACAAATACAGGCGGTTTATCATTGATGTCAATGACTGAAAGAGTTAGAGTCGCAAATGCTCGACGACCAACTGCATCTTCAGCAACAAGAGGAATTCTGCAATATTTTGATTTATTTTTTTTCATTTTTGAGGGATTACTTGTTGTATTTCAACATTTGAAAATTGAAATAAATTTCCAAAAACAACTCACTGATAAATCTTATCATTATGATAATTGAGAACTCGCGACACATGAATTCTTCCCGTGATTTTATCAATTCTAACAGGCCATGCACCTTTCGATCCTCCAGATGAAGAAGCGGGTCCAAGTGAATAATGAATTGGAGTTATTCCATCTCGCGCATTTACTCGGATTAGGACCGATTTATTGACAGGTCTGAAAAAAAATGAAATTTTGAAGGGAAATCGAGGATTTGGAGAGGGGGTGGAAAATTTTTTTTGTCTCTGAATTTTTCAAGATTGTTCAAAATGGCCTGAAATGGAAAAATTATTTTAAAATTAAAATTCAGCCACGTTTGTTAACCAAAAATGTTTGGGTTTGGATTTTCAGAAAAATCACGAGAATGTTTATTCAATTTTTCTCTCAAATGATAATTTGGGTCTCAATTTCAACATTTCCTAATTAAAAAATTAAATTTCAAAATTTAGGTAAAAAATTTGGAAAATTGTTCAGTCTCTGAGTTTTTCGTAGTTTTAGAAATTTTAAATCCAGAAATTTTGAATTCCAAAAAAAAATTAGTTTTAAAGTTGAAATTATGCCACGTCATAATTTTGTTTGAAATTCCGAAACTCCCAAAATTTCAGAAAAATAGGAGGGGTTTTTTCTCAATTTTTTCTTCCAGGTCTAGAAATATTTCAATATTTCGTGTCAAATAAAAAATCCCGCCCCATCCCCAAAATAAAACACACGTGTTCTCAAGCGCACTGGCAACATATTGACTTTGTTCAAATCTCGGCGGCAATTGTCGTGTTCCACTTTTCTTGACATCAACCAATAATTGTGCATAAGATGTGAATATTCCATCAGTCACCGATACATTCAGATTCTTCTTCTCTATCACATCATCCTCTTCAATTAATCTGGCAAGTGTAACTTTTCCCGATTTCGAATCGATATCAAAAAGCGTCTCATCTCCATCAACAATTTTATAGAGCAATTTCAGATTATCGGAAAGCGATGAAACTGTGTCAAGATCAGTTACACTTAGAATCGTCACAAATTGTCCGGGAATAGCAGAATCATCGATTTGTGCAGAAGAGAATGAGCTCATGAATTTGGGAGTTTCATCATTTACATCATCAATTATGAAATTGATATCAACATCTGTTTGAATTTGTCGTTTATCGCTTGCAGTGGCAATAAATTTATACATTTGTTTCGTTTCGAAATCCAACAATTTTGCCAGACGAATTTCACCAGTATCCGAATCGATTGAGAAAGCTGGAATGATTTATCGATTAGATTTTTTTTTGTAAAAAATTTAGGGCTTTAAGCTTTTAGGTCTAACTTCAAGGCCTTTTAGATCCAAGTTAGCTAAAATTAATTCATAAAATAGAATCTTTGCGGTTTTTTTTTTCCAGATTTTCGTCAATAAATTAAATTTCCCTAAAAATAAATTTTTTGAAATTCTTCAAAACGACTTAAAAATTTTCCTGAAACCTATTTTTCAAAGGTTTTTGGTGTATTTAAAGCCCTTTAGGTCTAATTTTAAATTCTCCCTTAATTTTTCGCTAACAAAAAAAATTCCAACTAACCGCTCGAATCCTCTCCTTTAATCGCATAACTATCCGCTCGTTCCGCCCTAATTTCCAATACTTTTTCTCCAATCGCACTCGATTCCGCAATATGACTCAAATAGTTCTTCTTCTCAAAAACCGGCGCCTCAATTTTATTCGATTTCAAATTTATCACAACTTTCGCTCGACTTCTTAATTTCGGTTTTGTCGCTTCAATCGCCTCAATTTCCACAATATATTGATCTTTTTCAAGTTTTCTTGGATCTCTTTTCAAATGAATTTCTCCATTTTGCCAATCGATTTCAAATAACTCATTCTCATTCTCATTTTCTCCAACAATTTCAAATTCAATAATTCCACCATCCAAATTAATATTACTTTTCGCTGTCACTTTCACAATCAAATCTCCCTTCTTAATATTTTCCGGTGAAATCGTTACCGTATAAACTTGTTGACCAAAAACTGGCTGAGCTTTATCAACAACTCTTAAGGTTACTGTAGTTGTCGATTTGAGTTTGGGGTTTCCATTGTCTTCAGCTGTCACATCAAAAGTATAATCTTCGAGGGAATTTAGTTTTTGGGAAACTTGGATTTTGCCATTTTCTTTGATTGAAAATTGTGGAGGAATATTTGAAGATGAATATTTGATTTGTCCATTTAATCCTGAAAATTAGAAAGGTAAATATGTATTGAAAAATCAATCTCATTGATACAAACCTTCATCCTTATCAATCGCTTTCACAACAATAATCTCATCCCCAATTTTTGCATCCATACTAACTGAAACATCATAAGGAAGGCTAACAAACATCGGAATCTCGTCATTCAAATCCTCAACAATAATTTCAACAGTAGTCTGTGCAATCTGTTCCATACTTCTAGCCTGAACAACCAATCGAATAACCGCCTCAATTTCTCGATCAACAACAATTCCAGTTGATGTAATAATCCCAGTTCCAGAATGAATTGCAAACTCGTCTCGTGGATTGATTATTGAATAACTAACACTAGATCCACCAATTGCAGTTACAGATAAAAGTGGTTTTCCAACAGGATAAGTTGTATTTTCCAAAATCGTTGTGCTATATTTCTGCGATATAAATCGGAAATTCGAGGATTTCTCTGGTCTCGACACCCGAATATTCAGAGAATACGAATCAGTTCGAATTCCATCACTCGCAAAAATATCAAACACATAAATCTTCTCTTTCAATTTCTCCGCATCAATAATTCGAACATCTCCATTCGTCGAATTTATCGCAAATACACTTTTCGCTTTTTCATCTTTGATTGTATACCGTATTCTTCCAATCGTATCAATATCTTTCGCATTTTGAATTGGAGAAATTCGAATACTATTTGCAGTTGGTAGGTAGATTGGGAAAGATGTTATTGATTTTTCGAGGAATTTGGGTGGCTCATCATTTTCATCGAGAATTGTGACGATTACAAGAGCTGGCATTAGTGAACTTCGAGATGGACTTCCCATATCGCTGCAAAAAATCGATTTTTGGGGGGTGAATTTTGGATATTTTTCAAATTTTTTAAAATTTCGAGCCTTATTTCATGAATTTTAGGCCAAACCATTTGGATGCTGGATCTCAATTTCCGGATTTTCAGGGCCTCAAGACTTAAGCCCGATTTTCAACTTTTGGGCCTAATTTTTGGATGCTTTCTAGTCTGATTTCTAGAATTTTAGACATAATTTTGGAAAAATATTGAATTTTGGCTTTTGTTCAAAACTTTTTACGGACTTTTGAATTTTTTCTAAATTTCGAGCCTAATTTCATGAATTTCAGGCATAAGAAGGCTGGATCCCAATTTTTGATAGTTTCGGGCTGATCTCTAGAATTTTAAACATAATTTTGAAACAAAAAATCTTAAATTTTGGCTTTTGTTCAAATTTTTTTCTAAATTTCGAGGCTAATTTCAAGAATTTCAGACTGGGTCCCAATTTTAAAATTTTTAGATTTCTAGAATTTTAGGCAAAACCTGAAAATCCATTTTTTCCCTTCCAAATCCCCAACTCACTGTGCATTAACATAAAACCGCCACTCTTTAATCCTTTCAAAATCAATCGGTTTTCTTACTCGAATCGCTCCACTAATCAAATCCACAACAAAATAATCATCTTCAGGCATTCGATAAGCAACAAGTCCACTCGGTCCATTATCCAAATCCACCGCATTAACAATAAGTGGCGAATTATCCGAAATTGCAAAAACCGGGCTTCCAATTGGACTATTCTCTCGAATTTGTGCATTATAAACCTGTTGTCTAAATCTAGGCGCATATTGATTTGTTCTTCTTATTTTCAGAATAATCTTTGCCTCATCACTTTCTCCTTCACTTCCAATAACTCGAACACTACAATTCACACTTTTCACTTCATTTCTTTCTCTCGTCAACCATTTCGATAAAACAACAGCTCCAGAAAGTGGATGAACATCAAAATAAGGGCAAGGTTCAACAATCTGATATCGTATACTTCCATGATGTTGTGCAGCTAATACAATCAAAGGTGTTCCAGGTGGAGTTGAATCAAAAACTGCGAATTGATGCACTTTCCGATGGAATTTAACTCTCAAATCAATCGTTGAATTCGAATTTTTGATATGAAGTGTCATTTCATCGCTCAGTGAATATTTTGCCGAATCACTTGCTCGAATTCGTAGAATCGATTCAACATGTTCATCTCGATCTATTGGTTTAGAGAGGCGAACTTCTCCAGACAATTTATCAAGTTCGAATAACTTCTGTTCATTTCCACTGATAATTGTGTATGTCAGCATTCCATTTTCACCATTATCAGCATCAAATGCCGTGACTTTTGCGACAAGACTTCCAACAGGATCACTGGAATTATTTTTTTGACTATTTTAGAGGATTTTCCCCAAGTTTCCGGGCCACCCAATTAATTAATTAATCAAACTAACCTCTCATCAACAAATGCAACTTGATTAGATTGACTGAATTTTGGTGCATTATCATTTTCATCGATGACATTTACAATCAAAGTGGCGAAATTTTTGAAATTCGCTTGGCGAACTTGAACAATTGCTCGAATTTGACGAGATGTTTCAAAGTCCAGCGGTTCCATTACGATTACGTTTCCACTGCTGAAAATAACCCGAATTGAGGGTTTAAATATTTTGATTAGGAAAAATTCACGCGACTTAGCCTAACTCAAGAAGTGACCTGAAATTTAACATCCAACCAAAAGTTCTCAAAATAATTTTTTTAAAAAGGAAATGTTATTGAAAAAACGAATTGGGGCTTTAAATAATTGGAAGGGGGGGGGGAGTATTTCTGAATTTCACCTGACTTAGCCTAACTCAAGATATGACCTGAAATTAAATATTTAGCCTAACTATCGAAAAAATGGTAAAAATTCAAAATGATTGAAGTAGGGTGTCAAAGAATCCCCAAATTTTCAGCGAAATTTAAAAATAAAAATTTTGAGAGCCTGTAATTGCTCCAAAATTCAAATTCACAAAGATAATTGATGTGAGGTGTCAAAAATTCCCCAATTTTTCAAACGCTCCCATTTTGAGAGCTCTAAATCTTCCCAAAAACATACCTGGGTTCAACTCGAATCTTCTCCTCCATTACCACATCCTCAATACTAAAAATACTATAAACCAACGGTTTTGTTCCCGGTCCCATATCTTCTCCACTCGCTTTCAATGTATAAATCTGTGTTCCAACTGCAGTTTTCTCCGAGATATCTGTCTGATAATGCGATGCACTGAATTTGGGGCGATGCAAAGGCGATCTAGCAACTTGAATAATCACCGATGTATGATCAGTTTCAAATCCATCTGTACAACTAATATTCAACCGTAATTCTCCTCGTTTCAAATTATCCACTTTTTTCGCTAATAGCAATTGTCCATTGTCTCGTTTCACATCAAAATTATGAATATTATCACCGCCTGTGATATTCCACCATAATTCATCACCATCTTCGTCAATTGCCTCAAGTTTTCCAATAGTTAATCCAACTTGATCCGCATCTGAGATCGGAATAATATAATCCGCCTTCTTTCCAGATATCTGCGGTGCCTTATTATTCAATTTCTTTGGTCTTCCACCAATCGCAGTTAGCACAACTCTAGTGGCAGCAAATTGCGGAGGACTTCCTCGATCAGTCGCCTGCACAGTCAATGCATAACTCTCATCTCCATGAATCATCGAAACCGCCCGGATAATTCCATTCTCATCAATCGAAAATCTCGAATCCCCTTCGGTAATATTATAAAATATCTCCGCATTGATTCCCTCATCCAAATCGACCGCAAAAATCCGACACAATTCTCCGCTAAACTTGGCTCTCACATTATAATGATGAATTGGTTGAGTGAATTGTGGCGCATTGTCATTTTCATCTTCAATTCGAACAATTACCGCAACTTGCGAGCATAATTGCGGTTCGCCTCCGTCACAAATCGACACCCATAATTCGTGTTCGGCTTGTTTTTCGCGATCAAGTTTTCGCGATCCTGAAGTTGTTAGATATCCAGAAGTTAGATCAATTCGGAAGAATGATTGTGGATCTCCTCTTTCGATTCGATATTGAAGTGGAGGCGCTGCATCATTTCCAATATCATCAAGATCAGAAGCTTCGACTTTCACAATCACAACATTCTGCAAAAACTTGGAGATAATGATGGAATTTCGTTTAAGACTCACCGCTTCCGAATTCTCCTTAACATTTGCAAAATAAACCGGTTGCCTTGGTTGTGGTCGATGATCATTTCGATCCAAAACTCTCACAAACACATGTACAATAGCTCTTCGTCGTTCGCTTCCACTTCCTCGCATTTTTCCGCTGTCAATTGCTGCATCTCGTGCTTCGACAGTTAGCCAATGTGCTGATTTGAATTCTCGATCGAGTGAAATCGCAGTTCGAACAATTCCTGAAAAATATTTGGTTTATATCAGGTTTGAATCGAAAGCTCAAAGACCCAGGTTTTTCCAATCATTTTGAGCCCAAATATGCTCGAGTTTGGGCTCAAAATTCTCCAGAAAATCCAGCTTAAAAGAAAATGTCAAGTTTTTTCTCTAAATTTGACCTGAAATTCAAAATTCTACAGTCAAAATTTCGTAATTTTCAGATTATTTTCCTATCAAAAGTTCATCTTGAACAAATAATAAAAAAAATTCCAGAGTTCCAAGATTTTCTACATTAAATTTTCCGGCTCGAAATTACTCGCAAACTGATTTCTAAGACCCAATTTCAAACCAAAAATCCCGTTTTCTGCGGAATTTCCCCACCTGATTTGCATATTTCTCTCATTTTTCAAATTTTCAAATTTTCCCACTTCATCAATCAAAAAAAAAAAAAAACAATTCCCAAGGGAAACATTTATCCGTGGGAAATCTAAAACATACCTTTATCATCGATGCTAAAATACGGTCTTCCATCTCCTCCAATAATCGAATATCGGATATTTTCAGCTTTTCGTTTTTCATCCGCAATTTCTTTGGCTTCAATCATAATCACTTCGGTTCCAGGCGCAGAGTTTTCTGGAAAAAATGGGGGGAGATTAGGAGTTTTGATGATTTTTATAGAAGTTTTCAAGAGTTTATCCATCGCGAATTCTCGATAAAAATAAAATTTAACAATAAGAAATATTTGAAACGTAATTTTTCCAGTAAAATTTACTACAATTTTTCGGCAGTTTTTGAATCGGGCCAGGTCGTATTTTTTGAGAAAAATTCTGAATCGGGTCCTTTTTCGAAAAACTCAATTTTTTCTAGCCAAAATCATGAAATTTGGAAAAAATTGTCCACTTCAGAATTTCTCTCAAAAAATCGGACCTGGCCCGATTCCTATGGTCCGATTCAAAAAGTACCAACTTTTTTGCGTCACATTTACACACGTGGATTTTTGTGATTATTTTTTTTCAAAAAAAATTGAGTTCGGTGAAACATCATTGAATAACTACATAATTGTGAAATCTCGATAAATCTCGATAAAAAAATAAAATTTAGGAAAATCTTGAAACGTAATTTTTCCGGTAATATTCAGGGGAATTGTTTATCGCAAATTTCAACTCACCATAAACCGATGCTTCTTTCGCCACATCATCAAATTCAATTGCCAAATGATTCTGCGCAATATCAATCAATTCAATATGTAATTCACATCGTGTTGATAGCATTTGTTCTCCATTATCACCAACATCAATGCTCAGATTATAAAAACTTTGGCGATGAAAATCAAGAGGAATATCAGGAGAATGTATAAAAACACATCCAGTATGATGATCAATTCGAAATGGATTTTTTTCAGTTTCTTCAATTGTATATCGAATTCTCGCATTTTGCCCTAAATCTCGATCATTTGCAGCCAAACAAGTCACAAATGCTCCATGCGGATAATCTTCCGGAATTCGAGTTTTCGTAACTCGTTCCAAACAAATCGGCGGATTATCATTTACATCATCCACATAAATTGTTAGATTTACAAAACTTGATAGAATTGGAATACCATAATCAGAAGCCATTAGAGTAATCGATACAACATCTTGAGTTTCTCGATCTAATTGTTTGGCGAGGCTTACAATTCCAGATATTTTATCGATTTTCACAATATTGTCTGAATCTTTGAATGATGAGACAACAGAATATTTAATTTTTGCATTTTCAGCTCCATCGAAATCGGTGGCTGTTATTTTGATGATTTCTTTTCCAATTTGAGCATCTTCGCTGACTCGAACTGTATACCATGGCTGCAAAAAATTCAATTTTTGAGTTGATTTTTTGAAAATAAATCAAATTTTTTTATTATTTTAGAAAACCATTGTCAAAACTATATGAATTTTTTTGAAACAGTAGATTTTTTTGAAAAAAAACTTAGTAGGAAAGTTCAAATTTTCTTCGGATTTAAAGAGGTTTTTGTGCAAAAAATTAGGAATTTTGGGCTGAAAATTTGAAAAAAAAAACAGGTTGGCAAGAAATTTTTCTGATTTTAAGCCTAAAAATTCGAAAATTTCAGCTTAAAAACGACTAGAAATTCAACATCAAATTCCAGATTTTCAACAAAAATTTAACTATCTTTCAGCTCAAAACGCATAAATTTCGAGTCCCAAAATTCCAGATTTTCAATAAAAATCTGGTTTCCCAGATATTGAGCTCATAATTTCCCTTTTCCGGCTGAAAATACACAAATTTTCAGCTCAAAATCAGTGATTTTTTATAGTGAAAAATGCTAAACTTTCAGCTTTAAATTCCCCAAAGTTTAACATTTTTTAAATAATTTTTTCAGCCAAAATTCCTCCTCCCAAAACCCCCCAAAAATGTGTCTGATACCTTCTTCTTGTTTCCCCCCAATTTCCACCCTATTCATCCTTTTTTGTTTCTTTTCATTCATGCTCATTTCCTTCTCCCAACAAAAAAAGAAAGAAGTTTGTAGTGTCCACTACTATTTTCTATACATAAAATATATACTCTTTCTTTTTTGACCATAAAAGATGAATAGGAAATTTTTTGGGGGAAGAAAGAAAAGAAAGAAGAAGATGGGCCCAAAAACTAAAAATACAACTCTATGTACTCATCTAATTAGAATTGAGGACCAAAAATACAAACTTTCAATTTCAATTTCCCGTTTTAGGAATGATTAAATCCCCCATTCTTCATTAGTTAGAAAATTTGGATTTTAGGAAAAAAATCGAGTATTTTTTGAATCTGAAACTCGGGAGTTCTAGATTAAAATAAGAATAAAATTTGAAATTTAATAGTTCTGAAATTTTCTAGGCTGAAAATCTACATTAATTTAGAAATTGAAAACCTTCTGGAAATTTTTCGATCAAATTTTGGGGCTCAGAAATAGAAAAAAACTGATAATATCACTTTAGACCAATTTTCCCCCAATTTTCAACCAAAATTCACCAAACTCCTCAAAATTTCCATATTTTCACCCCCTTTCAAATTCTCAAAACATTCAAAGAGAAGAAGAAACACTTGAAAATGGAACATGTTGCACAGTATTAAATAACATGTCTCGCCCCCCTTATTTTCGCGCATAAACAAAAATACTCAAAATCTCGAATATCGCGCTCCCCAAAAACTTCTTCAATTTCATTTCATAACATTCTTAATTAACAACACACATTTTTGAGGAAAGAAACTGGAGAATTTTGAAAATGTATCTGATTTTCATGAAGAGTTTCGGACTCAAAAAATCTGCATTTTCAGGATAAATAAGCCTGGAGCCATTTTGGAGCCAAATTTGATGTTGGACCAAATTTTAGAATTTTCTACATTTCTCGAATCTTACCAAATAAAAAATCAAAATTTCAGTTCTTTTTCAAATAAATTTTGAAACGTAAAAAATTCAGAATTTTGTTTAGGTCCAAAAATTCTGTTTTTTTTTAATTTTCTCAACAAAAATTAATTCCTAGGTTGGTTATTTAAACCATTCGTACAATTTTTAATAACCCGCTATCAAATTTCACAGATGTCTGTCTTCTGTCCCCAGGAAAAGGAAGGGATTATCAAAATGTGTGTGTGCCTTTATTAATCCGCTACTCTCAAATTAGCTAATGCATGTATTCCCTTTTCACTCAAACATAATTAAATAAACAAACCTGATCAAATTGCGGTGCATGATTATTCACATCCAAAATTCTCAACTTCAACATTTTTTCAGCAAATTTTCTGGGATTTCCAGCATCTTCAGAGGTGACTTTTAACAAAAAATCAGCAGATTTTTGAGATTCTTTCAAGAGTTTCGTTAAATTCGATGCAATCCATACATGTCCCGATGTTTCGTTGATCGATAGAATTTGATCGGCGATTTTTGAATCATCATGGATGACATATCGAACAAAACCATTATAACCAGTATCTTCATCAGTGGCGCGAAGTTTGGCAATTATCTGGAAAAAATTCGATGGTTTTGGAGGTCCTAAAATGAGCCAAGAGCTTGTGAGAATTTTCTGAAATTCACGTTTTTGAGAGCCCATAACTCATGTTAGAGATGATTTTATTGAAAACCGAGAATAGGGTCATGTTCAGGAGGGTCGATTCACCAACATCGAAAAATTTTTCAAATAATCTGATCCACGAAAACCCCCTGCCTATAATTTTCTAGACCCCTGGGACCAAAATCAAACATATGTCAAGGTGTACAATATTTGATGTTATCTAAAACCAAAAGATGGTTTGACCTTCAGAATTACTGGATATCACACCAGTCACAAATCTGGTGGTCACCTAGAGAATTTTTATAGAAATTTTGTAGAATTTCGAATTTCCAGAATACAGATTTTGAAGGTCCCTAGATTGATAGCTATAAAAAATCATTAGGGTTTGAAGAGAATCCTGAAATCTCATAGGTATTTTCTGGACCGAAAATCAGATTTTTCGGTCCATATTTCGGGTCCAAATTCTCTTTATCTCATTTTTCGGTCGAAAATTCAAATTCTGGGGCCTTTATCTGATTTTTGGCCCAAAAATCAATTCCAACCCAAAATTCTTACCCCCTCCCCTTCCATTTCCCGGCTCCCTTCAAACATATCCCCCCTCCAAATTCAATATTCATAATAATCCCCAACCAATGAAATTATTCCCATCTTGACCTCCCTCACGCTCAATTTCATTTCACCGACAAAGAGACGACAAAAAAAAATGCATCGTCTCAGAAAAGCGAGGTAATCCCCCTGGCGCAAAAATATACACATTTTTTTGGGTAAAAAGGTCCCTAGTACAGCAAAAAAACAGAGAGAGAGAGGGGTAAAGAGGTCACTAATTATTACAATTTCCTGTATGGCCCTTCTCCCATCTGTCAAATTCCTTGCCCAAAAAACATTCACGCACCCTCTTGATATTCATTTATTGTTTTTTTCCATAAATACATATTGTTTTGTTCAAGAGAGGATAAGGATTTAATGAGTTAAATGGCAATAATTAGACAATTTTTTGGATAGAAAAACAGGGTTTCTAGACAACTTTCGTTCATTTTCCCTCTTCTTAATAATAAAATATTGCCTAATTCAATTTCGGGTGTCATTCTTCATTCTTCATATTATCGGGGGGTTGAGAAGAGGGCTTCTTTGTTATGAGTAGAAGCCCATAAATAATTGATCAATCTATTTAATAATTAGAAGCGAAAGGAATAAGAGAAAAGAGCCAAGGAGGCAAAATATAATAATGGGATAATTAAAGACTTCGGTGTAAATAATCAAAAACATCTGTTCAAAAGTGCACTTTTCCTGCTGATGCTGATGACGTGGCAAAAACAGGGACCTTATATTTATGACAATTTTTGACATCGGGCTTTGGTCGGGCTAGAGTTTCAGGATTTATGAATCCTTGGTTAAAATTGACCCATTTCAAGAATTCTTCAGAATTTTGAAAACTTTTCAGGTTCTATCAAAATTCTCCCAGAATTTTAAAATTTACATATATTTTCGGAAAATTTTCAGCCATAAAAAGATTTTTTTTTGAAATTTCAAAACACCAAAACAACATTATCAGTTTTAAAACTGATATATACTTGGTATAAAAAATTTGAAACGTAAAATTTTTGGGACTCACAATCAACATTTTCTATTCAAAAATTCATCAGAATCCAAACTTTTCCAAGTAAACGGTCTCAGGTTCGATTCCCCATGCTGACCACATATTTTTTTCTCCCCTTCCCAAATACCATCACAATAAAAAGGTAAAACAGTAAATTTACTCCGATCCACCTATACAAATACCGTAATTTGATATCATCTCAAATAAGGGCGGAAAAATACAAAAGATGCGAATGTTCTAAAGTGCACTGGGAAAAAAAGAAAAAAAAACACTTACAGTTCCAATTGGCGCATCTTCGGAAACTTCCAAAATTTCGGGAAATGATTCGAAAATCGGCGCATTTTTGTTGTCGCCTTCTTGAATCACAGCGGGTTTCGGTTTGGCGGGTTGCTGGAAAAAATTGATTTTGACTCAGAAATCATTGAAAATTGGAGAATTTCATGCAAAAATATAGATTTTTCAATATTAATTCAAAAATTTTAGTTTTTTTGCAGCTCAAAAATTATTTCTCTAATGTAAATTCGTAGAGAGAGTGCACACAAAATCAAGAGAGCCCAGACATTTTTCGACCAAAAATTAAGTAGCTTCGTATGAAAAATCTTCAATTTTATTGAAATATCAAAAAAAAAACGGAAATTTCATAAAATTTGTACAAAATTCAATAAAAATGACATTTTTTCTAGAAATTTTCAAATTTTGGCGCCAAAAAATCCACGTAGCATTTTTTTCCAAAAAAATTTAGATTTCAAAATTGTGTTGGAAAAAGAGCTTCTCCGAACATTGATCATAGTAGTGAGCCACGTGGCAAATAATTGAATTTATTCAACTAACATGAGCAATGCTCAATTTCAGATTTTTAGATTTTTTCCAAAATTTTGAATATATTTTTTCAAGGATCTAAACTTTCCTAGCTAAATTTTTAGGCAAAAATAATACATTTTTTTCAAATTTCAAATTCCCTCCCAAAAAAACCCCACCTTCGTTCCATTCCTATAAAACACCAAATTCAACGCCGATGCTCTCGACATCGGACTTCCCCAATCGACCGCCCAAACTGCCAAATTCCATTGATTCGTGCCACGTGGCAAAGCGCCCATCAATATAATTTCGCCAGATTCTGCATCAATTCTCATCGGAATCTCGGTTTCGCTAGCGATTTTATAGATTATTTTCCCATTTTCCCCATCATCTCGATCCTGCGCATCAACTTTCAATAAAACATCGCCCGGTTTCGATTTTTCTGATATAGCAATCGGTGTTTGTCGTTGCCATTTCACAGCCCATTGTGGAGCATGATTATTCGAGTCCAAAATTTCCAAACTCGCTGAAATCACAGCTTCCTTCCCATTTATTCCCTGAATTTTCGCGATAATCTCAAATTCATAAGATCTTTCGGCAAAGATCCTCGAATCACTTCGAATAATCCCACTTTTCTCGCCAATTTTAATCGGAAGTTTCTGGCTGGCATTCAGTGATTTCAATGAGAATCTAACAAGATCAGTGTCATCTGGATTTTCTAAAATTGGATTGATTTTTGCGATAAATCTTCCAAGTGGCGCCAATTCCTCAATTTCAAATTTCAAATTTTTGTCAGCGAATTCAATGGAGTGCTCAATTAAATGCTCAATATGAATAGTTGCACTAACATTTCCAATTTGTTTTCCTCCAATTCCCTCTTTCAAATAATCAATTCCAGCAACAATTGTGACATTTGCATTTTTCGGAATTTCATTAATCTGCAAAAACAAAACATAAATATAGAATTTGAAGGACTCAGGCAAATCGTCCCACCGGCGCAACACCAAATCTCCACTCACTCAACACCGTTCTTCCACCGGTGGGCCCACCGGTGGGAAACCGGTGGAGCTTCGGTGTTCCACCGGTGGGAAAAGGGGAACACCGGTGGAGTTTTGGTGTTGCACCGGTGGCGTTCAGGTGTTCAACCGGTGGGATTTAGGTGTTGCACCGGTGGGTTTGGAAAAGTTTTTGAGAGAAAATTATTCGTTTTATTTTTTCTGTTCAGAATGGAATATTTGAATTCCTTTGAGCAAAATTAGTTCGCCAGAGCGAACTTTCTGACTATCTCTTTAGTGAAGAGGCAAAAATTCTCCTGACAAGAGAAAACCTCAATAATAGAAGCATTTTGAAGTTGAAATTCGCGGATTTCGTGGAAGGTCATGTAGTGAGTTCACCGACGTTTCGCGAGGCGCGCTCTCCGCTATGTTTTTGATAGGCCGTTTTCAATGCTCGTCTTCCATTTTACCAACACCGGTGGAACACCAGATGAAAGGTGTACAACCGGTGTTGATAAGGTGGGAAACCGGTGCTAATTAAGTGTACCACTGGTGAGGTAAAAAATGTTGGAAAAAATAATTAAGCGGTGTTACTCCGGTGGGAAGTGGTGTTGCGCTGGTGTTAGAACGGTGTTCAGTCAGTGTTAGTTAAGTGGAACACCGGTGTTTTTTTCTATTTGGTGTTGCGCCGGTGGGACGATTTGCCTGAGGAGATATAAGATGAAACGTACAGAAAACAGCTTCCATTCCTCATTTTCCTGAACAATTTCGAACCAAACATTTTTCCGCTCCTCAATTCCGACTTTCACGTGCGCTTTTTGAGCGTCGGGGATATTTTGTAATTTGATGATTGCGGCAAGTTGACGTTGTGAAGAATATTTGATTTTTCGTTTTTCAACCGCGATTTTCAGAGTTTGCCGGGCGGTTTCAACGACATTGATCTGCAAAAATGAGCTGTGAAGTGAGAAAAAAACGTGGGATTTTTTTTTTGATGGAATTGGGTCACGTCACGTATTTTTATGGAATTATTGAATTTTTAGTCGGAAATTTTAAGGCCGAATCAGTTCAAAAATTGGTCTAGACCAAAAAATTCAGAGCAAAATAGAATCCCCCCTCAAAATCCCACCTTGACATCAGCTGTCCACGAAGGTTGCACCTCATTTTCATCATGATAAAACAACCTGGAAGCTCGATCTTCCGATTTAACCTTCAGCTCATAAATTCCAGCTTTAACATGTCTCAAAGTTCGAATCCAACCAGTCACCGGTTCAACGAAAAAATCATGCGATCTATTGAGCATCGAAAAATAAATCGCCGAATTTATGCCAATATCCGCATCGGATGCTTCAACTTGCAACACTTTTGAGAATGGTTCGATCTGAAAAAAAAACTTTTTGAAAAATTAAAAAAAAAAGAAAAAAAAATTCCTACTGTATCATCAATAGTCGCTTCATATCCTTCTTCATCTCCCAGAAAAACGGGACTCGCGTCATTTCGATCAATAACTCTTAGATGAACTCGGGTGGTTGTTTCGAGGTTTGATGAATCTCTTCGTTTACACGTGGCTTTGACAACCATATCGTAGAACTCCTGGAAATTTTCGGGGAGGTTGCGGTGGATTTGGGAGGGAGGGGGGGGGGTGAGAAGTTAGCTCAACTCTGAAAATGAATCATCATAACTCAATTATGACGTGGCAAAGCTTTATAATTTTCAAATTTTGCCACGTCATGGTGTTGGGAGTTTGACCAAAAATGCATCAATTCGTTTTTTGGCCAGATTTTGATTAAAATTTGACCAAAACAGTGAATTGATCAAAAATTGACCAAAATTTAGTCAATTTTCGCCATTCTGACCAAATTTTGAACAAAATATGGTCAAAAGAGTGAATTTATCAAAAATTGGTCAAAAAATGCACCAATTCTTCAAATTTCTCCCACCACTTTCATTTTATTTCACCAAATTCATGTTACAAATTGAGCCCAGAAGAATTTGCCCTCAAATTATCCCCAAATTACCTTCAATTCTCGATTCAACGGATTATCTCCCTTATATCGAATCCTCAAAAACACAAAATCTCCAACTTGTCTCGCATGCGCCTTGAAAAGCGACGATTTTTCGCCAACCACCTCGGCGACGCGAAATTTACAAGTCGCATCTTTTTCGGGTAATCGAACGCCGATTTTTGTTGTATTGTCACATCGCGCAAATTTCGAGCCAACCGAATTTTCCTCGACGGACAAATTGTAAAGTTGCGCAGTGAATTCGAAGGTCTCTGAAAAATTTGTTTTTTCGAGCCTGCAATTGACATGTTTTCCAGCTTTGTAGTGTAGTTATTTTCCAAAAACACCAACTTTTTTTTTCCTAACAACACAAAAATGTTCACATAAAAATCGTCCTTCATTTCATTTCACCAGCCCCTAATGTTATGCGGTTTCTTCTTTTTTTTTCCTTTTTTCCCAATCGTTTTTTGTCGGGTTGATGAATCACTCAAAAGTACATAAAAGAGTTGTTAACATCTGCCTTCGCAGCCCCAAAAAAAGGAAAAAAGAAAATCTTACGAAAAACTTTTTTCTTTAAAATGTTTTATAATATTTGTTTTTATTTTTGAAAAATATATATTTGTTTTTAAACATAAATAATAACAAATATGATATGATATGTGAAATATACGATTTTTTGTTCAAAAAATAAAATTTCACAACTTTTGACCCTTATCTTATCAAAAAGCAAACGGAAATTCAAATTTCCTCCCTCTCGCAAAACACAAAAAGAGTTGGGCTAACTCACCTTCAGTTTCCGCGCATATCGTTAAAAATCCCAGAAATATCAATAAAAATAGATAGAAAATTCGATTTTTCCTCATAATATATTCAAAATCGTCTAATTAATTATTTCTTCTAATTATCCTTGTGATCATAATAATTTGCATAAAAATGGCTTCTTTCTGAAAATTAAAAAAAAATGACAATAAATAAATGAAAAGGAAAAGTTCGCGACAAAAAGCAAAGAAAAAAAATGCAAAAATGGGGCGGAGCTAATCTGAGAGGGCAGCCAAAAAAAGGGGGCGTGGCTTGATGTTGCCAAATTAGAAGAGAAGAGGGTGTCACTGGGGGATTGTGGGGCCACCACATACAAAAAAAAGATGGCCAGCCGAAAAAAATAGGAAAAAAGTTTTATGGATAAATTATGGGTTTGAAAGGAGTTTTGGAGAGAGAAGGAGTGGGGTGAAATTGATTTATGGCAACAACACAAAAATAGTTGTAAAATATTGTGAAGCGTGGTTTTTTGGCGGGCGAAATGAAATTTAAAGGTACATAAGATTTTTTTTCTAAATATTTGGGTCTCACAGCGATCTTAAGCCTTTTCGAAATATAAAAAACCGTGGCGAGACCCACAGCCTCGAAAATGCATGGTTCTTTAAATTTTCAAAAAATTAAAGGTACATACGATTTTTCAAACATTTGGGTCTCACAACGATTGTGAGTCTTTTCACAATTATTCCGAAATAAAGGAGAAATCGTGGCAAGACCCACAGCCTCGAAAATGCATGGTCCTTCAATTTTTTTTAAATTAAAGGTACATACGATTTTCAAATATTTGGGTCTCGCCACGATTATTCCGAAATAAAGGAAAAATCCTGACGAGACCAAGCTTTTGAAAAACCAATGTTCCTTTAAAAAATCAAAGGAACATACAGTTTTTCAAGATTTAGGTGTTTTAAAGGAACATTGGATTTTTCGAAAAATCGTGGCGAGACCCATCTCTTTTAAAAACCTATGTTCCTTTATTTATAAAAATAATTTGAAAACGTGGCCTCCATGTTTCCAATTTTCAAAAAAAAAAATCCATTAAACTCTCGAAAAAAAAACAAAAACACTTTGCTTCCTGAAAATTAAGCGCATTTTATTTTATAAAATGAAAATAGCCAAATGCACTTTGTGACACAGTAGTAGTAGAAAATCTAAGCAAATGAAAAGTGGATAGATAGATAGATACTTCCTCTCTCTTTTGGCTCTCGCCACATTTTCAAGTGTTTTTGTTTTGTGCTCTTTTTTTTGATCCATATGTACATTATATTATCTAGATTATTACTTTTTCCATTCCATCCAACATCCGGTCATCGAATGAGGTTAATTTTAAATATGTAACACACGCGAGGATTTTTTATTCATTCAAAAAAGTATCATTTTTTCGCCTCTTCTTCTCAAAAAAAGAAAAGAAAAGTACACCTAAATATAACCTAATTTCTCGCAGTTTTTTTCTTCGAAAAAGGTGGCTCAAAACGAAAAGTAAAAAAAAACGAAAGGGACAACACAAAAAGAACACTGGGCCAGGAGAAAAAAGCGATTAAAAACGACGCATTTGGAAATGCGAAATGCCATAATAAATCTTTCGTCCAAAAAGGAAATCAGTGTTTTTTTCTGGTTTTTTTTGGGCGGAATGAGTGACCTTTTATGGAGAATGCGAGGGTAGGAATTATCATTTCCGAATAGATGGGTTGAGTGAGCTTTTGGTGGGGTTTGACTCCACGATACTATAGTCAAAGTTATCTCGAATCAAAGCCTGAGTTATGACGTGGCAAAACTCTCTTGATTCCAACAGCGAATTTGCCACGTCAGAGTTAAGATAACTAAATTTTGATTATGATATCGGGGGGTCAGAAGCTACAAAATAGTTTTTTGAATAGCTAATAATTTTTTTAGTAGAAGGGAACCGGTTTTATTGCTGATTACTCATTTTCGGTAAGTTTTTTGAACTTATCAGGTAGTTTATAGCTCAGCCTGAGAACATTTTTAAATTCTGTGAAGATTTTTTTTCGAAATGAGAATAATTTTAGAAATTTAAATAGAACACGTCAAAAAATTATTTTTCTGAGCTTCGCAATTGAAAATTTAAAAAATTGAACTTGTTCCACAAATGAAGAAAACTTTGGGGGCTATAAACTACGCCAAGTTCAAAAAATTTGAGTAATCAGCAATAAAACCGCCCCCCCCCCCTTTTTTTTTGAAAAATTATGAGAAATTCAAAAAAAACCCCAGCCAATCTATCTATGGTGCAAACAAATTACGTAAAGTTGCACCAACAATTTGATTGATACGCCAAAAGACCACAAATGAATGGAATAATAATAGGAAGAAGTATTATAATACGATTACTAATAACAATAATAGACAGCTGATACGCCAAATTGGAAAAAGAAGAGGAGAAGGTGCAAATCAAATATAACCATCTGCCTTTGCCTTTGCCCCGTTGGGGTGGAATATTCAAAAAAAGTTTGCGATCAAATAAAAAAATAATAATCTATTGTCAATTTGTTTTTTGCATCAAAACATATGGTGAACTCTCTGGGTCACTATGAAAATTTATTAGTTTTAGTTCTGTATGGGGGGAAAAGTGGAAGAATTCGAAAATAAAATATAATCGGTGCGAAAACAAAGGGCGAAACAAAAGTAAACTGTGGCCGCTCCCAAATAGAGAATATAATAATATAAGTATTGACTTTGTGAGAATTTTCTCTGTGTTTTTTTTTTGAGTTTGTGGGAAAAACGGTGGGCATGCCTTTTATCGCGGAGCCATGAATGAAGCAAAATTCTCCGGAGATATCGACTAAATGTCATTTTCATATTTTTTGAGCAAGTTAGTTGATATTTTGGGTTTTAACCTTATTCATAGGATAGACATGTCTAAGAAGATATTACCTTATCCATAAGTACATTAGGGACGTATCGACTAAATATCGACTAAACGTCCCTAATCTACTTAAGGATAACATAATGTCATTAAAAGTTATATCATTCTGATTGTCTTAGATCTGTCAATCCTATGAATAGGATTAAAACCCAAAATATCAACTCACTTGCTCAAAAATATGAAAATGTCATTTAGTCGATGTCCAACTATATCGAACGTGAGGATTTCGTGGCGGGACCCATTTCGAAAAAAAAACCCGCGAAAAAAACTAGCCGACGTTTTTTTGCATTTATTTTTGCGAAAATGTAATTTCAAAAAAATAATTTCACGTTGAAAACAGCATTTTAAACGTGAAAAATTTTTCCATTTCGAAAATTTTCAAATTTTTTGGTGAAAACTAAAAAAAAACCATCAAATCAAGGTGAGAGATGACAAAAGAAAAGGGAAGGAAATTTGTATTTATTTATAAGAATAATATATGTATGTATAGTGGTGTTTTATGACTTGGTATACCAAGTAAAAAGGAAGGGGGATGAATGGATTATCATCATGTAATTATTCTTTTTTGGGAGGCAGGGAGGCAAAAAATGCAGCAAAGTTTATAATATTGTTAGGGAGAAAGTGAGAAGAAAAACAGTAATATTTTAATTAAAAATGAGTCAGACTAGTAGTAAATATCTATGATACATTCAAATGTATAATTAAAATAATATTCATGCATGTTTAAATATTATTTAAAATCAGGTTTTGATCCTATGGGAAAATGATAATTTCCTAGCGCTTGTCAAAATTCATTAGAAATAATATCTTTTGACCCCATCTAAAGTATAAAGTTGGGGAGGAAAAGAATAAATAAGACTTTTATATGAGCATTTGAAAGAAAGACGAATAAAGAGAAAAATAAGAAGAAGAGCAGATGATGATTGAATGACAAGAATTAGAAAATAGAAGAATGAAGAATTAAGTATGTTTCACAAAATTGAAAAGTTTAGATGTTATCTTGACACTTTGATTTATTACATTTGACCACAACAGGAAGGTGCGGGGGTTTTCACTTTGTTAGAGAAAAAATATTTTTATTTATTTACTTTTTTCATAAAATTTCATTCAAAAATCCGTGGGAACTTTTTGAAATTGCGGATCGGATCCGGTTGCAAACAAAAAGAAGAAGTAAAAGAAAATCTCTTTTGATTCTGGTTAGGCTTATGGTATAAGATGATTTGTGTAATTGTTCGTCGCGGTGTACGCAGAAAAATATCTGCACCTCTTCATTTTTCGCGCTATTTTTCGAAAAAAAGCGCGAAAAATGAAAAGATGTGCGTACACAGCGACGAACAATTGCACAAGTCATTACTGTATGTAGAAAAGCACAGCAAACAGTGGAAAAGTCTCATCGTCAATGAATAAAAAAAAACTTTTTGAAATTTTTTTCATTCACAAAAAAACGCGCATTGTTTTCGTACGAATTTTGATTGTTCTTCATGCGACACCTGTCTCTATGTTTATTATTATTTTTATAAATATGCAGAATAAGCTAAGCTTGTGTAAAAAACCGGAATCTATCTAACCGAGCAAAAAAGTATTGAATTTCATAACATAATAAAATTTTTTTCGAAAAAAAAAACTGACAACAAACAATAAGTAAATGAATGCACTTCTTCAAAAGCGCGCGCGTCGTCACCATTTGTGGGTGAACACACCACATACCAAAAAAATGTGTCATCCCGCCACCGCCAATAAAACAGGGTGAGAGAGGGAGAGGTGTTGAAGAGATTTAGACGAGCAGACGGTGACGCAATTGCGTACGGTATTAAAGGAACATGGATGAGGAGAATAGGATAGAATAGGATAGAAGGCAGGAAAGAATGACCTATTGAATGGCAGGGGGTGATAATTGGGATTAGCAGAAAACAAAAACAAAAAAGGCGAATGGCGGCAAATTTATTTGAAATAATCTAGAATTCTTTGATTCCAAATTCGAAATTCGCTCCTTCTCAAACAAAGAAAAAGACAACAAGGAAAAGAGCGGAAAAATCAGTGATGTATAACAAAATTGGACACAACAAAAACGAGGACACACGAAAATCTGAGAAAAGCAGCTTGAAATAGGATAGGAGATATCTCTACACGATGGAAAAAAGTGCACACGATTTCCGGGAATTTGAATATTTTATTAGAAATGTATCGAAATTGGGCTGGAAAAACTTGAAACGCGCAGAAAATGGGAAAAATGAAAGTTTTTTTTCAAAAAAAAAAACAAAAAATAATTTCAAAAAATGTTTTCCCTCGCTTGTTTTTCGTGATGAGACCCACGAACCATTTCAAGTTATGCGCCTTTCAAAAACTACGGTTTTTTTATTTTCTTTTTTTTTTCTTTCAAAAATTTTTTTCACCGCATTTCCGAGACGTTTTGGCCAAAAGCCTTTCAGTAAAAATAATGAAAATGACAAAACCCTAAAATTCCCACTAAAAAGTATCAAAAAAGAGGCAACTCTTCATCAAAAAAGCAGAAGAAGAAAAGAAGCAAAAAGTAGAAGACGTTTTGAGCAAAAATATGGAAAAGAGCCAAGAAGGAGAGGATTAGAGAAAAACTGACCAGTCGGGGAATTGTGAAAAGGAAAGGGTTAGTATGGAGAGTGCAGAGAGAGGAATTTATTCAAATTAGCCATTATGAGCATGAAATTTGCGTAATTAACAATATGATTTGATTTATTTCTAGTTTTAAAAAGCCTTTGAGCAAAGTTGTAAACATTCGGAAATTGGAAAAGAGAAATAAATTAAACAAGGTTCAATTTTTATCTATCCGACATTTTGGCGCCAATTTTTATTTTCTCTATAGAAGGGCCGCAATTTATATCGAACATTTCAAGCAAAGTTCATAAAGTGTTAAATGTCCGAGTGGTATACATCCTCGCTTTTGCTTCACAAGACGCTGGTTCGACCCCAGCCGCCGGCATTTTTTTTTGTTTTTTTTTCAAAAGTTAGGAAATTCCAAAAAAAAAAGAAGAAAAGGGGGTATCATATCAACCCACCTGTCTTCCGCGAAAAAACCAATATAAATAAATTTGAAACAAAAAGAGACCTTCAAAATCCTCCTCGTATATATAACCTTCATATTTCATTTAATTAGATTTGAATTGAAAAATTATGTCTATTTTTTTTGGAATCAAGCCAAATTCAAAAATGAATGAATAGCAAATGACTCATAGTTTCTCACACTCAATAGTTTATTGTTTTTCTTCTTCTTTTTTTTTTGAATAAAAATTGATTATTCAAAAAATGCAATTTTTGGGGGTTTGGAGAAAATTGCAATTTCCCGGACCTCAAAGGAGAAAAAACGATTGAATCTTGAAATTTATGTGTTCCAATTAAATTGAGAAATGTTTGAAATAGAAAGATTTTTATCAGAAAAAGAAGAGCGTAGATTTAAAGGCGCAGCGGTTTTCAGAGAAAAAAAATGTTCGAAAGGCGCATCGCTCTAAAAAAAATAAAAAGCTACAGTATTCTAAAGGCACATAATTTTCACAGGGGAAAAATATACAGTACTTTCAAGGCACATAGATTTCTTTACAGGAGAAAGGCTACAGTAGTTTAAAGGAACATTACTTTTATAGGAATAAAGCTACAGTACTTCAAAGTTACAGAAACTTTTACAGAGAAAAACTACGGTATTCTTTAAGGCGCGGGATTTTTGATTGAAAATACAAAACACAGAACTACAGTACACCATTTTTAAAGGCGCATAATTTTGCTTCAGTAATTTAAAGGTGCAGAAACGTTTACAGGAAAGTATTTTTTCATTTTGTATTTTTAGGGTGCAGCAATTTTCACAGGATAAAAGCTACATTATTCTAAAAGCCCAAAAACTTTTACAGAAAAAAATACAGTATTTTTGAAGGCGCAGAGTTTCTTCAATCAAAAATTTACAAAAAAAACTACAGTACACCATTTTCAAAGGCTCACAATTCTCCCTGCAAAAAAACAACAAAATTCGTACCAACTCTTCGTTTTTCGTCCATAATTTGTTGTCGAAAAAACCAACTACTAAACAATTATAAGTGGGTTGGGTGTTCATCCATTTTTTGCCTCATTTTCAATTCATTTTTTCTTTTCCCTTTTCCATTTTCAGCGAAAAGAACACAGAAAAAATGGGATGTGCCAGGTACTCTTCAAAGAGCTCTTTCAAAAATACATAGTTGTTATAAAAATGAGTGGTGCTCCATTGTACTTTTTTGGTGGTCCCAAGAATAATACAACTAATCCTTGAGTTATCAATCATAGGGATTTAAACATTTTGAATTTTGAATTTTCAAAAAAAAAAGAATTCATTTCTTTGAAACAAGAATATATAGAAACTATGTGCAATATATTAAAAAATTTGGAAAAATAATAGGAAATTGTACCGTAATCTTCTTGTCATCAATCATAATTCTTTCTTTGGCTCCACAGGTTTTTCGGCTTTCGGTTTTCTTGGCAAAACTTGGAGGAGAACATGATATAAAGCTGGCCAGGCGACGAAATAAATAATGAATCCGATGAAGTAAAGCGATTGAACTGGCTAAAAATTTGGGATTTTTGTGTAATTTTGAGGGTTCAAAACAATTTTTGAAGAAATTTCGACAAAAAAAAATCTCACCGCAATCCAATATTTCGTCTTGATCAAACCAAACATAAGGAAAGCAAAACCCATCGAATAGGAAATTGTCAATTTTCCGAAAATCCAAATAAATGGACGGGCGATTGGTTGACTAATGGCTTCGGACCATCCAGGAGTGCGTGCAATCAAACCATAAAGCTAAAAACAAACAATTATTGAAATTTTTAGCTAGAAGTTTCAGAATTTCAGATGGAATTCTATGAGTTTTCTAATGTTTTACATCAAAAATTTTCCAGCGATCTAAACAATTTCTAATTCAAATTTTGAGCCTATTAAAAATCATCCTAAAAATCCCAAATCACCTGAGTTTGAGCTTGAACACAGGCCAATTCAATTCCGAAAAGAAGGAAATATCCCAAATGATAACCGTGCCAAATTGCCAAATATCCGAGGGTCAAAACGTGCGACGCAAGTTTGTTGTTCAACCAACGAAGACGGCGATGAATATGGCTGGAACAAATCAAGATGAGATTTTTTTGGAGCAGGAAAATCTTGGGCCGAATTCATATTGTCAATCCGAAAATAAAAAGAACCCCCGTTTAAATTGGCGCTCACGTACAGTAGACTAAAAATGACGTGACACATGCACATCAAACTGGTTGGCAAATAGCCAATTTCGCATTTTATTTTTCAAAAAGACTCCAAAATTTTGCAAAGTCTACTGTAGTCTTGATTTCCTAGGCCATTTCGGTTCTCTTCCAACGGTCTTTTTTTTTCGGAACGACAATAAAATTTCGCGTTCCAAAGAATTTTGTTCAGAATTTTTTGTCTGTGAATTCGAAAAAAAAAAACACAGTTCTAGGTTGCCGTGCAAAAAATTCAGCCAAATTTCCATAATTTTGGATTCAAAATTGTCAGATTTCTTCGTTTTCAAGTTAAAAATTGCATTATTTGCTGAAATTTCAGCTGATTTTTTCAAAATCAGTCATGTGATAAATGTTTTTGTGAAAAGTGTCATAGATTATTGACCCAAACTGAAAAATCCCCCAAAAATCCTCCTCACTTTTTGGCAAAAGTATTAGTTCCACAATTGAAAGACTCAACAACCGATTGATAATCATGTCCAGTTTCCCATTTGATGATATGCAAATCTCGAACTCCATCCCATTTATCATTTCCCTCTGCGTCTTTTCCATTGTGTCCAAGTCCTGACAGAATCGATGCTCCTTCGGTGATGAGCCAAATTGAGCAATATCTGTACATGGTGAGTCGGAACCAAATTGTTACCCAAGTCCAACGCCAGAAGAACGAGAGATTCTGCAAAATTTTTGATTTTTGAATTCAAATTTTGAAAAAAACATAAAACTTTTTAGGCCCTAGAAACTTACAAAGAACGCGTCAGAGTTGAAAAATGCGTCCGGTATCCAAACTTGTCCCCATTGATTGAAAACCATGTATGTACATCCAGCGAGGAATCGACCGATTGATGGAAGGAATCTGAGAAAAGATTTTTAAGGGCTCATAAATACAATCAGATTACTCTAAACTAGACTATAGTCAAAACTTCAATAATTTTTCAAAACATTGCTTTTTTAAGTTTAATTGAATTATTTCACTCTAAAAACATGAAAATTCGCCTAAAATTACGCATTTTGACCTGTATTTCATGAAAATTGACCTTAGAACCTTAGTTTTACGTTAAAGTTACCCTAAGTTCCTTATTTTTACCCAAAAAATGACCTATTTCTTATCACAAAACTAATAACTAACACTGTAAGCAATTTTATAGAGAATTTCGAGCAATTTTTTTGAAAATTGTACTTTTTTGAATATTTTTTTTCGATTTTCTTATATTTCTAAGAGCATTTTAGAGCAGGAAATAAAATTATTCTCTAAAAAATCCCCCGCCAAAACCTTACGCGCTTTGCGGCGTCGTTCCATTATCCAACCAATCTCCACCAACAAATGAGCGGAATTTGGCGAGAGTGAATTGTGGTCCAACAAGTGTTCCCTGGAAGAACAAACCGAATGCGGCGATTTCCAAAAGTCCCGGTTTGTCTGTGATGGCAGTGATTTTTTGATCAGCTTTCAGATTTTCCTGGAAACAAAGTATTATATGAAGGAAATCATTTTCAGAGGACAAAAATTGCCTAATAAAAATAAAAAACAAACCGGTTTCTGTTGTCCATCATAAACATCCATAACCAAACCAATAAATCGCAAAGTCATGATACAAAACGGTGTTGTCCATGTGATATCATACGAATCGGTTTCAGCAAACCAATAGCCGACTAAAAGATGTCCTAAGAATACAATATGTGCCGCATAAACAGAGGCATCTGTTCCAGCCATGAAATTTGTGATGAAATATGCGGCGAGAATCGAGAGAAGAGCATGGATCACAGCGTTTCCTGGAGAAATTATTGAAAATTTAAATGACCCGGCAACCCAGAAATAAACATGGATATTCATCTCTAGATTGTCCGAATCTATATAAAAAGTTGCGAAAAAACTTTTTTATAGAGCCTGAGGAAAAGCTTTTGAGGGACAAGAATATTCTAGTCACCATTTCTCAAAAGCTTTTCCTCGGGCTCTATAAAATTGAGAAAGCTTTTTTCGCAACTTTTTATATAGATTCGGACAATCTAGAGATGAATATCAATGTTTATTTCTGTGTTGCCGGGCCATTCACGTGCTTTGGGCTGGGATAAGGTTTAGATTTTTTTTCAGAAAAAATTTCATTTAGTGAATTTTTGAAGAAAAACCCACCACAATTGAAATACCAAATCGAAATTCCAACAATAACAAAGAACAAATGTTGAATTTGCGCAGGTTTGTTATAAAAAACAGTTCGATGAAGCACAGCTAATGGATAACCAACTAATACAGATAATAAAAGGCGAAGTGCATCTTCACTTGCATTTGTTGCCTCGCTCAATGTTCCAACTAAACCCATAGTTTGATTTCTGGAACGAAACTAAATGGAAATATAATGAGCAAAACAATAATTTTTTGTACGAGAAAAAAAAAACTTATCGAACGATTGATAAATGAAGCATGTAAGTATGTTATCTATCAATTTCACTTTGGTTCCAACACTTTCAGGAACAAGGAAACAGATAACTTAAATTAAATTTAAAAAAATTAAATGGTATCTAAAAATGGGGTGATTTTTTGTGGCAAAGTGATAAATAAAGGTCATTCACTCGAATCGATTGACCTACAAAAAAAAAAGAATATATTCATCTTTTTTTCGTTTCGTTCCAAAAAGTTTTTTTTTCGCAGCCTGGTTAGACACATGCATTTGAATGACGAAATGGGAGAGAGAGCAATAGAGCGCACAAACCGAAATGAGAAAAAATGGCTGATTTTTGGATGGGCGGGCGGTATGGGAGAAGAAAAAAGTGCATAGAATCTGTACTTTCGACTTGATACAGTTGGTAAGTTTAGATTTTATCAATTTGGGAACTGGTGAGACCACACATTTATGTTTTTGCTTGTCTGGAAAAATATTACACAATTTTGTTTTCGTTGGAAAAACAATTTTTCTTGCAAATATATATATATATATTGATGGGAAACTGATTCTCGCAGAGAAAATATTGTCTAATCGATTAGGACTAAATATTGATGAAAACAAATAAGGAACAATGTTTTGGAGACTTAATTTTCGCAAAAAAACTGTAGCATAAAAATTTCAGCCTACAAGAAAGCCGAAGTTAGCGGCGCCGCGTGGAAAACACCTCAAAAACGAACAAAAATGAAAAAAAAGTGAAAAACTAAATCGCAATCAAAACATTCGCGGGCTACTCTTCGCTGCGGGACCTGTGCATTGGAGCAACTTTTCCTCACTCCTCATTTTTGAATTTATTTTTCTTTTTCCACGTGTTTTGCTTTTTCGCACTGAAAATGGGAATTATCACTGTTACATCGCCCCAAATCGACTTTCAAAAAGTGCCATCATTAAAACATCAAAGTTCCTCAACGTCTGTAAGTGTTATTTGCCCGGTGTTCATGTTTTCAGTCAACTTTTTGCAGACAACAGAAATTCTCAACACTGCATTTTATGACGAAAGTACAGACTCTGAGGGAGATTTCGATGTCAGTGATGAGCCCGAGAAAATCGTCGAAAAACCAAAGGAAAAGGAAGACGATATTTTCTACTTGAATGTATGTTTTTGCACATATTCAACCTTAAATTCAATAATTTTCCAGATATTTGCTGTGATTCTTCTCACATCAATCGCCCAATTCAGCGGTTTGTCGGATCTCTTCCACTACGCCATCTATTTATTGACCAAATATATTTTGTCATGTTAAATGTCCAACTCATGTGAATATTATCATATATAGCGCCTGAATTTGAATGTCTTGTCAAATATTTTTAGATAAATTTATAGATTTTTTCAATCATTTGATTTCTACAGCACTTCCAAATTTCATTTTCGGTATTTTATCGACGTCTTCATCGGTGATTGGATGCGCTCTAGAATGTTGATGTCGATGATTTCCGTGTTTATGATGTTTTCGTTTCTTCATACATTGACAAAGTGGCTCGTTTAAAATGTGCTTCTCATCGCATTCCAAACTACATTCACATTTGCAACTTTGATCATTCCAAACTTGATTTCCTAAAGGAATATGGCGAAGAATAGAATGAAAGGGGCGGATATATAATCAACTTACCGATACAAGTATTTCTATCATTTTTATTCGCGCATTCACAAGTGCAACTTCTTCCAACAACAAATCCAGCTGTGCAATTTGGAGTCTAAAAAATCGGAGTTGGCTCAACTCTGAACATAAGTCATGACGTGGCAAAGTTTGAAGAAGGGTTTTTTCGAACTTTGCCACATCATAACTCAAGTTCAGAACTAACCCTTGCTCCACAATCAAAACACGAGCAAGAAGTGTGCTCTTCCATTGTGATCAATTTCGTCGAATTGATCATAAATCGATGATTTCCCATATAAATCATCTCAATGACAGTTTTCTTGACCAAATTCACAGTGTGTGGATGACAAGATTCCACCGAATCGCAACAACTTCCAACGCATTGATCGACCTGCGGGGATTTTTGAGGTTGAAATCTTGGATTTTCAATTAATTTACCTCATAACATCTGGGATAAATCACAACTTGTGGATCATCGGATATTGCAGGAATCGGAACACAAACCGATTGAAGTTTGCAAGTATCGTTTCCTTGTCGGATTTCTTTGATGGATTGCAAATGGCCGAAGGTGTGGTCTGAAATGTGAATTATGAGAGTTATGACGTGGCAAATCCCGGGAATTCGCCTACCATCAATAATCGTTCCCTCAACCGCAACATTCGACAAACTTCCAGCTTTCACTCTAACTGGCGCTAAAAATTAATTAATTACCCTAATTAATTAAAATGTTGGCTAGTTAAAAACCTGCAGTTACACCCAAATCATCTTTTTGAACATGTTGATTCGTCAATTCGGGATGATAAATAACGTGTAAATTATCGAATAATTGATGGATGCTTTTGGCATGTTTGAATTTCTGGCGGAGCTCCTTAAAATAATTAATTAATTAATTAGCCTTATGAAAATTTACTGTAAAAAATCGATGAATTTTTCAGTAAGAAATTCTGAAACTTTTGGTTAATCAGATAGTGCTAATTAACCACTTAATTGGTTAATTAAAGAGCTTCAGGTAATTAATTAGTGCTAATTAATTGACCGACAATAATTTTACATTTAAAAATTAGATTTTTGGTAATTAAAGTTCCTATTATTAATTTTTTTTTCAAAACTTACATCCGGAATTTGACAATTCACAAGACTTCCAATAACTAGAAAAATAAAAACAATTTGAGAAACCATGTTTTATTGTTAAAAAGAGAAAAGATAGGAGAAAATTGTAATGGATTTATATTGTTCAGGTGTCAGGTGTCTGATTGATTTTTCTTATTTCATGTGATTCTGACTCATTAATTTTTTTCTCGCAAAAAAAGAAAGAAAGAAAAGAGGTCAAAAATATTTATTGCAAAAAAATACAAAAAAAAAACATGTTCAAAAATATGCTCAAATGATTTGTGATACAAAAACACCCAAAAAATCCTAATTCAGAAGAAAATTGTAATTTTCGATGAGATCTTTACACAAAAAAAAACGAAGAAAAATTGTTCTTTAAATTTCAAAAGAAAAAAATAGAGAAGAAAATTGTATACTAATTTTGAAAATTCAAATTCATTTAGATTTATTTATTTTAGAAAATAGAAATAGAGAAAGAAAAACCCGTAATTAATACAAAACGAAAAAAGAATTAATAAACTAATTAAAGTTGTTCATCTCCAGAAGCTGGTGTCAATTCATTGGGCGAAGTTTTTACAACAATTACTGGCGGAATTGGCGCATTTTTTTCCAATTCTTCTGCTTCATTTGAAACATTTGGAGTTGATCGACGAATTCCGATCCATCGGGCGATTTTTTCGATTTTTCCTTGCTGAAAGAAAAAATAATTGTTAATTTTGAACTTGAAGTATTTTTTAAAACTACTTTTCAAAATACAAAAATCAATTTTTTCTTTTTTTCAATTTGCCACGTCATTTCCAGATTTTTTATCGTAATTTTTTCCCGAAAATCAACATTCTGATTCATCAAAACATTATTATACATTTTTTCCAGAAATATTTCATTCCTCTTCGAAAAAAATGTTTAAACATCTCCTAATTTTTCTGCAATTTCAAATAATATTCGTTGTTTCAAAAAGCCACGTGAGAATTCGCGGAACTTTTAATTGTGATTTACCAAAATTCTGTCGCTCCGTTAGTCTAAAAGAATCTGATTTATTGTAAGTTAATGAAATCTTTGGGAGTTTGAAGATACCTAGAATTAATTTCAGGTTTGATGATCACATCGTAACCTGGGATGAAAAATGTGTTTCGAATTCGAACATCGATAATTTCATTGATGAAATCGCAGGTGTCGCCGGTGATTTTTCGGTGATTTTTTGAAAATTTCAGAAATTCTCTATTTTCAGGCTGAAATTTCAATAATTCTAGATACAAAATTTCTGAAATTTCCAGCCAAGCTTCGAATTCTACCTAAAAGTCAATCACAATTGCACAACCGACGGAAAATACGAGGAACTGTTTTATGAATTCGAAGATGTGCCAGTAGACGAGTAATACTATACTCTATTTTGAATTGAATTTTGAGAACTTCTGAATATTTTCAGCATAGTTCATCTAAACTTCAACCTCGATTTGACTATAAATTCGACGGCGGCACAAGATTCTGATGAGATTCTGGAGAACAATTCAACAATTTCTCTGAATGAAACATTGAAATGTGATCAGCCAAATTTTTGTAGAACAATTTATTTGATGGAAGGAACTAAGGAGTGAGCATATAGTAATTATTTTAAGAATTGTTCAATTATTTTTTCAGCAACGCAAAATACGTGCACAAATATTCCGATTTCTGCGCTCACAATATGGAACAAAACAAAGATGTTCGATATTTGGAAGATGTTTCAGTTTCGAACGAATCTCAACAATTTTTCCTGCTCATTTTGCATAATTGTAATGCAAGAAAAGAGTGGAAAACTGCATATTCGAATTTTAAGAAATCGGAATGTCGATTTGAGATTGATATTGATTTGAATGAGAAAGACAGTCAGCAGGTTTTCAAGCCTCCTCAATAAATGTTTTCATATGGGATTTTTGAGAGAAAAAAAGAGTTATAACGTGGCAAACTTTGAATATTCAAATTAGAATGGATAATATAATATGATTTTTGTTTTGAAAAAATTGAATTTTTCAGAAAATTTTAGTTCAAAAAAATCTTGAATCAAATTCTCCCACCCCTGCCCAAATCTTCCACAAACCTTCAAAGTTTCAACATCACCAAGTGTATATCTTCTCGTCGGATCTCTCAAATTCGCACCACCTTTCGCTCTCATTCGAATCTTTTGCTCTCGACACATCAAAACAGGCTCCTCGATATTTTGACTCGTCACATTATTCAAAATCAAATTAGCGGGTCTGGCGGCTGGCGATGTCGACGGATTTCTTGTGCACGGCGACGGATCACTCGACGCATAATCCGAACTCGAATTCGGTTGACAAGTCACGACAAGTGGCGGTGCATTGTTGCTGCTTAATGGAGCTGAACTTGTTGTTGAATAATCTGAAGTGCAGGATAATGCATCGGTTAGATCTTTTGTTGGTGAATACGAGGTTTTGAGGAGATTATTCGAGTCGGCTGTGAGTTTTGTATCGTGCCAACTTTGTTTCTTTTGCATTTTGCGGATTTTTTCGCGAGTTTCTTCAGAGAGAACCTGGAAAGAAAGAAAATTTGGGTTGGATACATGATAAAACTTCAAATTTTATTTGCTTCCAAGCTTCCTGGAGCCAATTTTTGACCAAAATTGACCTAAATTTGGACAATATGAGCTTTTTGGTTAATTTTTGACCAACTTCTGGCCCAATTTTCGACCAAAATTTGGCCAAAACAAAATTTAACTAAAAAATGTGGCCATTTTTTCAGAATTTGGCCAAAAATTGGTCCACCTGTGCTTGAAAACCCCGCTCACCTCAAGTGCCGGACTGCTAGCCAAATTCAAATGTTCCGAATGATTAGCCAACGCATCAATCGCAGCTTTATCCGCATCAGGTGTATTTTCAGCCGCCGCCGTATTTCCAGCAATAAACAATCTTCGTGCCGAATTAATCTCCTCCTGTCTTTTCCGCCTTTTCACTTCTTCATTCTCCTCATCTCTCGATGTATCCGGCAAACTTCCCAAACTCGATTCCAACGATGGACTTTGATCTTGATCATTTTTTCTGGATTCGATTTCGGCATCAATATCTCGTTCCTGATAATTCCCACAAAATGCCGATTCAACACTATTCGATGAATTATTGGATGGTGTTGGTTGTGTCCATTTCGGATTAACTGCGGCTGGTGCAGTCGATTCGATTTTCAGCTTTGATTTCGATTTATCTCTCCGCGAATTTCGCCTCAACATATTTTTGATCTTTTGTCCTTTTCCCTCATTCATCATTGCTGCCGCTTGATCTTCGTTGGCTTTTCGAATCAAATTGTGCATATCGTTGAATGATGCAGCTGATACACCAGTCGGTACTCCAACTCCATAAGAACCGGGTTCAAGTGGATTTTGACCATCGGCTGGATGTTGTTCAGGTACTGCATCTTCAGCTGTCGACGTTTCATCGAACATCCAACCATTCTGCAAAAAATATGAATTTGAAAATTTTAGAGGGAAAGTGCTGTTTTTTTGGAGATTTTCTGAAACTTTAACTTTGCGGCGAAAAATTGTTATTTTTTCTGGGACTATAAAAATCTAAATTTTTTCTCAGAAACTCTGTCGAGAAAATTTTAATTTGGAATTTTTTGAGTAAAAAAAATTCGAACCTTCAAAATCTGAAATTTCCAAAAATTTTGAACTAAATTTTTTAGAGATTTAAACTTTTAGACTAGGAATTAGGTTTCTAGGGAATTTTTTGCGCTCAAAATACGAACCAAGTAAAACTGAAATTTACATAAAAATTTGAAATTTCAAATTTTTTGAGTCCAAAAATTCACAAAAAAAATATCGGACTATAAAAATCTAAATTTCAGCCCAACAATTTTGAACCAAAACTTTTAGAGGTCAAAATTTCGGCTCAAAAATTCTGTGAAAAATCTATTTTTGGCAGAAAATTTTAAATCAGAATTGAACCAAAATTTCTAAATTTCGGGAATAAGATTTTAGGAACAGAAAAATCTGAATTTTCTATCAAATTTCAGATTTCTCTCCCCCCTCCCTTTAAATACTTACATAATGAATCAATGTCTCAATAATTTTACATTGATCACTCATATGCGTCACCATCGTTGCCATATTATCATCCGACGGTCTCACAATCGACGGTCCAAACATCAATGCCAAATTGCGACATTCCATTTTATTCACATCACTGTGTTTTGTGACATCAGCTAGATGAAGAATCAAGAATCGAAGAGTTTCATAATGTGGTCGAGGAAGTTTTCGCAACAAATTCCTGAGTTTATGAAGTCGATTATGATGTGTTGCTATTCGATTGGCATCAATGAAAAATGGATATAATTTATCGGTCAAAAGAGGTTCGGGCAATTTTCGAAGGAACATTTTGAGAAGTGATGATACAACATTTACGTCACGCCAACGGGGATCGAGGGCTTCGACCTGAAACGAAATAAATGTGAACGATAAAGTTCAGAGGGGGAAATTTGAAGTTTTTTTCAGAAAAAACAAAAATTTTCGAAAATTCACGAGAAATCCTACTTTTTTGAACAAAAAAAAAGGAATTTCGGAATTTTTCGAGGCTTTCGTTTCACAAAAATCTGAATTTTGGAGCAAAAAAAAATATACCCGAATTTTAGAAGTTTTGAGCACACAAATTGTAATTTTCAGAGGAAATTTAAACAATTTTTAGAATTTTCTGAAACATCTGACAAAAAAAAATCAATATTTTCGAAATTTCATAAGAAATCCAATTTTTTGAACAAAAAAAAAACGAAATTCGATTCATAAATGAGATATTTTTCAGATTTTTCAGCCAAATCAAATCTCCCCCCCCCCCCAAAGAAACTCACATTTTGCGGATTGACATTATCCAATCCTCGATTCGACAACGAATCCCTCAACGCATTTACAGCCGCCGTATTTCCGGGAATTCGATAGATTCCAACCGTATCCATTCCATGCGTCTGAACTACAGACACACAAATTTGCACAATCATCGGAACGTGTTCTTCCGATGTTCCGATCGGACAATCAGCCAATTTAACACCTGAAATCAAGCATTTTTAATGGTTTTTTTTTAATTTTTGAATTAAAAAAAACTTTTTTTGAGAATAATTCTGCTAAAATTATTGCAGATAATGTAATTTTCAATATGACAAAGGTAAAATCTGATATTTCTGAATTGAAAACCATCGAAAATTTCTTAATCTGAATTTTTTCCCCAAAAATCCCTACCTAAAACCGGTTGCGGTGTTTGATTTGCACCCAATGCCAAATCATTTCCACTTCCTTGTTTCGCCGCTTTCGACTTCTTCCATTTTCTTCCCGATTTTGGTGTCGTCGATTCGCCGCCATTTTCAGCCGCATCTTTCGATGTTCCAGCTTGTGAGGCGCAAGTGGCGGAAAATGCTGGAGGCGTCGAATTTGTCGCACCAACTTCCATTTTTTTGTTGGCCGTTGGTGATTGAAGTTGAGAATTTTTGGCAATGTATCTGGAATAAAATGAGATGAGATTTCAGGTTAATTTCAGAAATATTAGAGATTTTCAGTCAAAAATTACTCAAAATTTCCAAAAATGTTTGCTAAAAAATCCACGTGGCAGGTCAAATTTAAAAAATCAAATAACATTTCCCAAAAAACATCTCTAGAGCAAAAATAGAATAAATTCGTATATCAAAAATTCCTCTTCTTCTCCCAGCAAAAAAAAACAACAACAACACCACCAATATTATATTTTGTGAATAAAAATTGCGATTTTCCGGTCAAAAAATCCTTGTTTTCGTCTTTTTTTTGTGGGGAGCACACAAACACACAAAAAAAGATGGAAAGAGAATAAATAAAGAAAAAAAAGAGACAAAATTGAGTTTTTTTTCTTCGTTCTCAATGTAATTTGAGTTACTTTTTTCAAAGAAAAAAAAGAAAAAAAAACAGTGAACTTTTTTCTTAAGAAAAGGGAAAACAGGGATTTTTCAAATTTTCCGAAAAATTTCTGGTTAATAATCTAATTTTCATATTTTCATGGGAAAAATTCACTGTTTCAAAAAATCCCTAAATAAATTCTGATTTTCGAAATTTTATTGACTTCATTTTAAACTTGAAAAAAATCCACGTGTCGAATTTTGGGTTTCAAAATTTAATTCCAGCTGAAAAATCGGGATAAAATTCTTGCGACTTATCCTAACTCCCCATATTTAGGTTCAAAAAATCGCCAAATTCATTTCAAAAATTCGCGAGAATCAGAGAAAACAAGAAGACTAAAACTAACGAAAAAAATGAAGAAAAAAAGAAAAAAGAAGAGGAAGACGACAGAAAAAAAAGAAAGAAACGGCGCCTCGAGCTCCGAAGAAAAAAAACGAAGAAGAAGACGTTGTGTGTCGATTTGAATCGAATTTGTTATTGAGGAGAGCAAGCACAGAGCTGCTACAAGGAAACGAAGAAAAAAATACGAAGAAGAAATTGGTGATGATGATGAACAAACTACATACAAACAAACAAAAATGGAATTATTGAAACCAAAAAATCTTGGCGAGAAAGTACGGTGTTTTTCGGTGCGAGACCCACAGATTGACTTTGTTTCTCTGGATAGTCTTGACACAAGGTTAGAGACGCAGAGGATATACCGTACTTGGTTCAGATTACTATAGAGGCTCCAGAAAAAGTCCCAAAAATTCTCAAATTTTGAAACAGTGAAAAAAATTTCCAGAACCAAACTATAAACAAAGAAAAACAACTAGAAAAAGTGGAATGAAAACAACAACTAATAAAAATTCAGCAAAAAAAAACAACAATTTTTCAAGAGAGAAAGAAAAAAAGAGAGCAGAGAGGAGAAAAATGGAAATGAGACACGAAAAAGAAGAAGAAAAAAAGTTGGTGCTTGAATAATTTTCAGAGAAAAAGAAAACAGAAAAAGTGTCAGGGGCTCAAAAATCATGTAGGGAATTTTTTTTTCAAATGAGTTATGACGTGGCAATACTTTCAATCATTGAATATTAATTTCGGCAGAGTAGAGTAGAGAAGTTCACCTACCTTTTTCTTTCAATTTTTGCCACGTCATAACTCTTGTTCAAAATTGAGCTAGTAAAAAATAAAAATTCTGATTCTTCAAAACCCAAGAATGATACGTTTCAAAATCATTATATCTAAATTTTTCCGAAAAATTTTTAATGAATGACTGGACACCAATTTTAATGAATGACTGAATGACTGGACACCAGGTTCTTTGGCAAAAAATTAAGTTCCAATATTTTCAGACAAAAAAAGTTCGCCTGAAATTTGAAGAGATAACATTAATTTCTATGGACAATTTCAGACTTTCAGAAAAATTTCAGAACTAGAAAAATAAAAGCCCAGTAATTTTCCTAGCTATTTTTCAGGTAAAAAAACCTCTTAAGCTGATTTTAAGCTCAATTTTCAGCTAGAAATCCTAGAAAATACCTATTTTCAGTCATTTTCAGCCAAAAAACCTATAAAAATCAACCAAGTAGAACAAAACTACGAAAGAAGAAGAAAAAAATGCGTTCTCACGATTATAGATTATTCGAGACACACACGAAAAAAAAATTGGCTAACCAAAAAATAAATAAAAATATGAAATAAGCATGAAAAAACACGCAAAAATTCAATTATAAACAGAAAAAAATGGCGAAAAAATGTGTGTGTGAATGCATGTATGTGTCAGTAATTTTTCAAGTGTGTAGGGGGGAAAAACTGGGAGAAAAATCCCCGAACTAACCTATGCATAATCAGCTGATTTTTTGCACTTTCTGTAGATGTTGAATTTGATGATAGTCCGCCAAAACTTTTCGATTGTGGAATTTCTGAAAAAAATCGAGATTTTTTTTTAAATTTTTAGTGGTCGTGAGCTTCTGGAGCTAAACATAAAAAGAAAAAGCCCTCAAAATCAAGTTGGGTCCTAAGAAAACCTAGAAATTGAAGAAAATATTCACTAAATCCTCTAGGAGCCTTAAAAACTCATAATATTTAAATTTTCTTTGGAATTTTTGAAGCAGTGAAAAAATTGTCTAAAAATTCAGGAAAACTCATTAGAAAACCCAGAGAACCTAAAAAAAAATCAGATTTCCTTGGCCTCTACAAACTTCTTCTAAAAATTCCCAGATTTTTCAATTCTGAGACTTCTACAAAATCCAGAATCCCGGAAAATCCAGAACCCCCTTCAAAATCTCTCCCCCTCCCTTCAAAAAAACTCACGATTACTATTAGCGGCTGCCAAAAATTGATTATATTTCGTTGCACTTCGATTATTGGCACCTATGTTATTCTCATTTCCACTTGTCGAACAATTTGAATTCGGTTGATGGTGCTGCTGAATCAATTCAGATGTTGTCGTTGAACATGACGACGATGCCAATGAAGCAATCTAGAAAAATAAAACAAGAATGAGAAAAAAAGAAGCGAAGAAGGGGGGGGGGGATCATAAGACTAAGTATAGTAATAATTATGTATATAGTCATTAGTTTCGGAAAAGGGGAAAAAATGGAGAGAAGAAGGAGAATTGAGTGGGCGAAATGGATGAAAAAATGGGGGGAAAAATGGAAAAATTATATAAATAATTATATATAGTGAAAAAAAAACGAAAGAGTTTGCGAAAGTTGAACAACTGATCAAATAGAGAACATATATCCAGGGGGGGGGGGATTTCGAAAAATTCTGAATCCGGCTCAGAAATCTTGAACTACCTTTTGTGGCTGAAGATCTGGAGATTCGTGAAAATAACAGATGGTCTGATATCAACATTTTCAAAGCCAGAAATTGTTATCATCAAAAATTGAAACGTAAAATTTCCAGGTCAAGATCTCAAAAATTCGAATATGGTCCGATTCAAAATTTATCCACATGGATTTTCAGGCAAACAGGAATTCAAAAACTTCGTCTAGTAACTAAGATGTTCAGAAAAAATCAGTATATTCTGAATTTTTTCGGTTATCAGAATTGGAATACTGTAAAAAATCCTACTAGATTTTTTGGACAATTTTTCGGACAAAAATACAGACATCCTGAAATTCAAGCCTAGCGGTAACCAATTTTTTGCGCTATGAAAAATAACCTTCAAAATTCGATGGTCGCACTTAACCGATTCATTCAACCCAAAGTAATTATTGTTCAAAAATGCGCCAAAAACAGACAAACAGACAGGAAAAAAAGGAAGAGGGGAGTTGATGGAAAACAGATCACGTCCTTGAAAATTGTCATGTTGCTACAACTACCTGTTTTTGCATTCACAATTCAATTGCAATTGCATTTCATTCACTCTTTCGCTCCTCTATTCACTCATTTCCATTCATAAAAATGTGAAATTGTAGACGATCGACGGACGGAAAATGAGGAGGAATGTTTGTACAAACACAAACACAAAAATGAGAATGAGAATGAGACAACTGTAGAATTGAGAAAAAAAAGAGAATGACATCGGAAAACATTCGATATGTTCTTGAAAAATGAGGGAAATCCCAAAGAAAAAAATATTATTAGAAATTTTTCAGCCTAAAATCTAGCTCTTCAAGGAAGTTACAATTCAGAAAAAAAAGTGAAAATCAAATTTCATCGAGAACCAAGTTCCAAAATTTGAAAAACAAAAAACAGGGGCTCGACGGGTACAGTAATCTTGAGGATTGCTCATATTATCTAAATATTTTCAAGCTGGTTCAAAAAATTGTTCCAAAGGCTCGCCTACAGTAATCTTAGACATTGCTCATACTAAAGTCTGGTTCAGGCTGAAAAATATCCAGGGTTCGAGTTTTCCCGGATTTCAATTTTTCTGCATGGCGCAGCTGGTAAGAGGCTAGACTTCTGTTCAGAGGGGCTAGGGTTCGAGTTCTCCTGGGCGCTAATCAGGTTTGGCTCAGCCGGTTAGCTTCCAGATTTCCGCTGAACAGGTCCAGAGTTCGAGTTCTCCTAACCGCTAATTTTTTAAAATATCCCGGATGGCGCAGCCGGTAAGCTGTTAGTCTCTCGCCCAAAAATCCCAGGGTTCAATCCCCGCGCAAATTTTCATGTTTTTCCCAAAAAAACAGAAGAATCACGTGTTTTTCTCATCGAAAAAGGCAAAAAAAGAGGGAGAACTTCATCAACCGGACCGGAAATTGGTATACATAATGAAGGAAAGAAGAAGATGAGAGTGCCTCGTTTTTTTTTTGCTTCTTCTAACTAAATAGAAAAAATACGAGGGAGGACGGGTTGCTATGGCTCGAAAAAGAAACCAAGAAGGAAGAAGAAGGGATGATGAAAAAATGAAAAAAAAAACGGGCGACGAAGACGACGACAAAGCGAAGCAAAAAGAGCACGAGAAGCAGGCAAGCAGCCAAATCATCAATGAGCCGGAAAAAATACATATATGTATGTGTATGTATGGGTGAGTGAGTGAAAAAACGAAGAAGAATATATCTATCTATTTATTTATTTCTGTGTGTGTGTGTGTTAGAGAAGCAAAAATCTGTCTCGATGATTTTGTGACCAACCGGAAGGAAAAGCTGCCATTAGTGCTCATAACATATTTTTAGGAGCTAGAGAAAGATGAGCCAATTTAGGGGTCGAAATTTTGAAAATTCTGGAGAAAAATTCAAGATTCAGATGGAATTTTTGAAAATTAAAAATGATTTTTTGGTGGAAAAATTCAGGAAACCCAGAAAAATGTCAGAATTTTCAATAAAAAAATAAATGTGGCTAACAATAAATTTTATTGAAAACTTTAAATTTTCAAAACCTACAAAATTCAGCTTTAAAAATGGAAGTTAACATATTTAGGATCAAATTTCAGAGCAATTCCAATTTTCAGCTTGAAAATCTGTCTAGAAATTTTCAAACAAAATTAACTTAAAAAATTTCTGAAATTTTTCTAGATGAAATTTTAAAAATCAAATAGAAATTTTCAGGTAGAAAAAATTCATCTCAGAACTTCGGACAATCAGAAAAATGTCAGAATTTTCAAAAAACTCAATTTTTTAGCTGAAAATCTTAATAACAATTCCAAATTTTCCGAACTTTTTTTCAAAACCTAAATAAATTAAGCTGAAAAACTTGAGCAAAATTTTCAGAAATATTTAAGCTTGAAAATCTGTCTAGAAATTTCAGCCCAAAAATAACAAAAAATCTAGTTTCAGCTCTAAATTTCCAGTTTTCCACAAAAAATAGAACAAAAAATATGTGTGCTGCCAGAAAATAGTAGATCCAAATAACAAATTCTCGGGGGCTCTTGGTAATTCGATACGGGCGGTCAAAACAACAAAAAAAGAATACGAGAAAAAAGAAAGAGAGAAATCAGCGGAAAAAACCAAATTTAATTTCTTTTCTCTAGTTTTGGCTGGGACCAAAAAGTGACAAAATGACGTGTGTTTTTCGAAAAAAAAAACAACAAGGAATTAATTAAAAAGGGTTTCCTTGGGGTCCCAAAACGAAAAACAAGAAGAAGAAGAAGAAAAAGAAGAAGATAGACTAACTTAATCCGTTTGACTAAAGAAAGAATATATATATATATATATATATTGACAAGAAAAAAGAAAGAAAAACAGAAGATATCGGGAAGAAGAAAAAAGAAGAGCCGAAGAAAAAAGAGCACACAGGAAGGAAGGAAGGAAGAAGCGAGTTCGAGACAAATTTAGATGAGTTTGTTTTTGGAGGACACACAATGAAAATGGAGAAATGCGAAAATGTGAGCAAAATTTTTGAGAAGAACACGCAAAAAATTTGGGGAAAACTTGAACATTTTAGGGGTATTTTGTAAAATTTGCTGATTTTTTGAACAATATTTTTTCGTTTGAATTTTGAAATCAAATTCAGAGCCTCAGACTTTACAAACTAAATTTTTAGGAGGTTTTTTTTAGATGAAAATTGAAAAATAAAATTTTCTGAAATTTGATCAATTCTAGAAAATTATTGATTTTCAAGCTGAAAACCGAGTATTCAATATTTTCTTGAAATTTCTGAAAATTTTCATTTAGAAAAAAATTTTGTCTTGAATTTTTTAAAGCTGAATTTAGGTCAAATTTGTGTTCAAAACAATTTTTTTACTTCTAAAAATTACTTAAAATTCTGGACTTAATTCAAATTTGACCCAATTTATTTGTTAATTGAAAATTCTAACATTTTTCATATGGTCCGAAAATTTTGAACTGAATTTTTCTACCAGAAATCATTTTTAAAAATTTCATAAATTTTCAGTTTTTTCAATCAAAAAGCTTTCGAAACCCCCCTTTCAGCCTAAATTGAGCCTCCCAAATTCGCAACAAAAATCTTACAGTACCCCTTGGAAAAAACTAATTAGCCAACATCAAAAAATCCACCGTATTCCCCCAAAACCTCTCAATTTTCCATTCTTGGAAAAAAAGGGGTTCGTTAGTTGCAGCTAAAAATAGTATGGATCAAAAGTTACTACAACTACAACTAAATAATGAGATGAGATGAGAAAAGGGGAAAAACTAGAAGAAGAAGAAAAGACTCACCGAATTGGAATTATGAAGTAATAAATTATTCGAATTATTGTTATTATTCTGTTGAATTTGTGCATTCGATTGTGAAGATGTTGCTGATTTTGAAGGCGAATTTGTGGTGGAAGAAATTGACAAATCTTCGGAATTCGATTGAAGTATTGAAATCCATGACAACATTTCAGATTCACTGGAAAAAATCGAATAAATTTTGGAATTTGTGGAACTCGGGAGAATTTCGAGCAAAGAAGGTGGTTTCTTCTTTAAAAAAATAAACTGTTTCCAATTTCTAATTTCCCGGAAACACTTTTGTGTCACCAGAAAAATTGCAACAATAACACTGTAAAACAATGAAAAAACCATGACCCCTGAATTTTATTTTCAGCAAAAAAAAACAGAAAATCATTTTAGAAATTAATTAAAAATAAACTAAATACAATTATGGAATCCAGCATATTTCAGCTTTTGAATTTGAGAAAAAAAAAGATTTTCCCAACTCACGTGTTCAATTCAATCAAATGTTCACTTCGATTTTGTGTCACAATTCGAATAACATGTCGCTGTTTCGAAAAAGTCGCCGACAGCCAATCATAAGCAATATCAACAATCGAATTTTTCACATCAACCCGATTATGTGAACCCAATTCGACAGTCTGAAAAATGCGCAAAATTCGAAAAATCAAGAAAATTCCAAAAAATCTACCTTTTCCGAAGTAAAAGATGGTGCTTCTATACAAAGATACAACGTATTCTGACTCATTATTGCCCATCGATCTTCCCAATGATGCCGTTTTCCAGATTTTCCCAGTGCAATTTCCTGGAAAAATGTGCATTTCACACCTTGGTGCAATCAGCTCATTATTTTAATACAATTAGGCGAGACCTGTGAGATGTCGGGACAATGGGTTATATAAGATAAGAAAAAAGTCAGAGAACAATGACTACCAAAACATTGCGGGCCTTTCATAAGACCCAGTAGATCAATTTTTGAAATCTCGGTTAGAAATCGAGAAAAAATCTTTTAAAAGAATACAATATTTTTTGAAAATTCAGAAAGAAGTCAGATTCAAACTGAAGTTTCTGGATTTGAATTTTTTTCCAGCCTCTTCAGATTTACAGAAACTAGATGTCGATAGAAATTCAACAGTTTCTCTGTCTACAAATCCAAAAAGCTTCTAATTTATCCCCAAAAATGCTCACCTGATGTTTGATCCAAGTCTGTCGATCAACCAATTCTCTCGGCAAAATAGTTCCAGGCAATGAGCAACGACTTGAAGGCAACGAAGTTCTCGACCGTTTCATTCTCGACTTTTTGTTATTCGTCTCATTTCCATCTTGTGATTTCTAGAAAAAGAAAAAATATTGAAAACAATGAATATTTTTATATTTTCAACAAAATGGGTGGGGGAAAAGTAGGGGGCGAAAACAAATTTCCGTTAATTTATAATGCACGAAAAAAAATGAAATTGAGTAAAATAGAAGTGAAGCAGGTGAAATGAAAACGAGAAAAATATGAAGGAAATCGATTTAAATTGAAAAAAACTGAAATCTGGATGTTTAAAGCTTATAAAATTCTGAAGAACTGTTTAAATTTCTAAGAAAATCCAAAATTTCGGGTCAAAATCTAGGGTTCATATTTTTAATGCTCTAAGTTGATCTGAAAAATGTTCCCCTAAAAACCCTCCCCCCAAAATCCCACTCACATTCGAATTAAACAATGCAATAAATCTTTGTAATCGATGTGTTGCTGGTGGATGTGGTGCATTCAAACTTCGCGATGTATGTTGCTGCTGTTTTGGATCATTATTTATTGATCGATTATGATCCATTGAAGATGTTGAACCCATTAAAGATGATGGCAATTCTCGTCCACTTGTTGTGTCGTCGTGTGAAATTGATGAGGAGGCTGCAAAGAAAACATAGATTTTTTTTGGTTTTGGAATTTCTAGCCAACGTTTTTTCAGCAATTTTCGAGCTTTGATAAAAAAACACCTAGATTTTCTAAATTTAAAGCAAATTTTGGATTTTTCAAAATTATGCCAAAGATTTCTAGAACAAAAAAAAAATTTTTTTTCCAATATAAAAGTCATTATTTTTCAGCAGAACAACAAATTCAAAAAATGCTATTATTGCAGAAAAACACATTTTTTTGTGAAAAAACTACAACCTTTCAGGAAAATAATTTCCCATGTCAAAATTTTTTCAACAACAAAAAAACCTAATCAAACAACATATTATTTCGAAACCAGTTTTCTCAAGTTGAGAATCTCAACCCAAAATGAATTTTGAAATGTGATGGTAGAATTCAAAAATAGATTTTGAAATCATCTAAAAACCCAACCCCTAAAACCTTTTAGGCTAAAAGCATCCATAAAAATACAGTACTTTTGAAATGGGGGATAATAAAAGGTTACTGTAAATGAATGAAATGAGTGGGCGAGTTTTGCAAGAAAAAATCTGCAAATAATAATAAATAAATATAATGTTTTTAGATAAATTTCTTATCAGTGAAACGAAAAAAATTGAAATTTTTGAAATGAAACATTATTTTATTACTGTCGAAAAAATTCAAATTTTTTATGATAATTTCAAAGATCAGAAAATATTCCAGAGACTTGGGAATCTAGCTACAAATTACAAAATACCGTGAAATTGAACAATTTTCTGCCAAAATTTTTGTTCAATGAATTTTCGTCGAAAAATCTATCTATTCAAAAAAAAACCCAAAAGCTTCGAAAAATCCTGATTTAAATTTTCCCACAAAAAATTATTTTCTGAAAAAATAGTGTATTTTATTAATAAGCTTATATACGTTTCAAAATAGTTGTTTATTTGAAAAAATTGTGAAAAATTATTGAAATTTTATAATTCAATTGTATAAATCTTGTAGAATCCCAAAAAAACTCACGCTCATTCAGATTCCCACTCATCGCTTCATCATTCATCGAAGTCGACGTGGCAAGAACATAGGATTTTGGACGAGCACGACGTATCATTTTCATCTCTTCAGCTGCAAAAATCAAATAATAATTTCATAGAAGCTTACAGGTTTGAAAATTCAGTTTTTTTTTCAAATTAACAAGCCTTTTTCAGTCAATTTCAGACAAAAACTTTTGTAAAAATCACAAAAAAAAATTGTAGTGTGTAATAATTAGTCCCATTTGATGATTCGCCTATTATGTTGTTTTACAAATCGAATGTAAAAGAATATAAAAATAAAGAGAAAACAAGAGAAGAAGATCAAGAATTCTGATAAAAAGAAGACGAAGAAGGAGAAGAATGAATTCAACTAGATACTTTGCATAATTTATACACACTTCCAATAATTGATGATGAAAAAAATAGGGGGAAGACGAAGAATATTTGAATATTTGTATTGAAAAAAAAATGGGAAAAGGTCATGAGAATTTGACAATTTGGTTGGTTCAGAGAAGAAAAAAAAGGACAGGTGAGAGCAACAAAAAAATGGGAATAATTAAATGAATAAAAGGTTGTTGGCAAATAAATGTCAGAATTTTTTTTGAAATGTAAATTGGTCGAGTTTGTGTCAAAAAATTGGGAGATAAATTCAGAGGACTTTTCAGAATTTTAATTCCCTAGGATTTTTTAAAAGTCTAGATATTCAAGACTCCAAAAAATTTGTGAAAATAATGAGCTTCTGAGCAATAGTTATACTTCGAAATCTAGAAAATTTCTAAATTTCTATTTTTTTTCAGAAAAACACCAAAAAATCCGAGGGTTTGGAAAAGTTCAACATGCAATTTCAGGCTGATAAATCTAGATCCCAGATTCTAATTTCAGTCCGAAAATTCTGGTTTCAAAAACCCAGAAATTTTCAAACCTTGCTTTGAGCCTGCAATTTTTAAGACAATTTCAGATGAAAATATCTTTAGAATTCCAACTCAAAAATCTGCAAAATTCACTTTTTCTAGAAAAAACTACACTTTTTCCCAGTTTCTCTAAAAATCCCCCCCCCCCAAAAAGGGTGTCAAAACCAAAACGCATTTAAAATTCGCTCATAAAAATATGGAAGAGGTGCGAATAAAATATGAAAAATAAAATAGTGACCAGGCAGGCAGGAGCAGAAGGCAGGTAACGAGCCAAAAACATATTTGTTGGGGGGTGGCGAAGCAGCATTTATCGACAGACACCTGCCTTTTTCAGGAGGACCGACCACATAATTGCGAGCGGGTGAGCGAAAAACCCTTCTTCCTTTTCTGAAGGGCGACGAGATATAAATTATGAAAAACAACTAATTATTCTAATATATATATATAAATATAAATATATAGCTGGTGGATCAAAACTAATTACATATGAGGAGGAAAAAAAAGATTCTTGGTAAATGCGAAAACAAAAAAAACCACATATGGAAACAGGAAGTATTTGTTCAGGTTAGATATACAATAATTTCGGTGGCCAAATAAAGGATGAAAAATATGAGGAATGGTCAATTTTTGCTAGAATTTGGGAATTTGGGGTGGATTAATGCGCAAGAATTTAAATTTTCAGCTTTTCAAAATTAAAGTTGGTTTTCCAATGAGAATTTTGAGCCTTTAAAAAGGCAAAATTAATTTTAAAACAATGTTTCAGTGCTCAAAATTCCTCTCAAGTTTGCTCGAAAAAAGTTCCGGAGCACATCTGTTGAATTAGGCACGAATCTTTTTTTCGAAATAAATTATTTTCTCATGAAACCCACAGTGTTTTGAGCTAGAATTTCAAACCAAAAAACTAGATTCTCCAAAAAAACAAAACAAGAAATCATTTTCAAATAGTCAAATTTCTTCTTCTTCTTCGTTTTTCTACTAAACAGCAACACGACCGAAATTCGACACCAAAATGAATGGAAAAATCGAGCAAAAAAAGAAGAAGAGAAAAGAGGACAAAACATACATGCATTTTGTTTTGTGTCCAACATTTTTCAAATGGGAACAGAAGGTGGGAAATTAATGAATTAATGAATTTTTAAAATCCACGGAAATCTAGTGAGTTTCGAAAATTGGACCAATTTTCTGGAAAATATCGTAAAAGTTCCAAAAGCCTGTTCAAAATTTTCTAGGGTTTTCAGAAAAAAATTCGTACGATCTTAATTTGCTTAAGATTTAGAAATCCTGATTTTCATGGTATGGTACCAAAAAGGTTCCACAAATTTCGGACCATCTTAATTTCGAGAAAACTCTCACTTTGACTCAATTTTTTCAAAAATTCTAAACCTGAACCTAAAAAATTATTTTTTTCAATAAAAAAAAATCCAGCGAAACAAAATAACTCAAAACCCATATCAAATTACTTTCCCAACTCCAAAATTTTTCCAAAGTTGTGTTTTGAAACAAAAAATCCTCTCAGGAAAACCCGTCCATCATTTTTTCTGACACTTAAAAACCCGAAAGGGTTGGTTGCGCGCAAAAAATAGAAAGAAAGAGAAGTTTAAGAAAATGCAACAAACAGAACTGGACAATTAACCTTTGTCGGCTTGTTGTAGAAAATCGATTAGGGGAAAATGAGAATGTGAAGAGAAAAAAGGCGAAAAAAGATGAACATTTCTCGATTTTTGGTATAAAAACAATTATCATTTGGAAGAAAAAAGAGAAAAAGAAGGAGAAAGTCAAATCGAATGATTAATGAGGACTACAAAAATCTCAAATTTCACCGGAAAAAAAGTGGGCAGAAGCAGCAAAACTTATAAAAATTCATAGAAAATATTTGAAAATTATGATGTCATGGAAGCAGCAAAAATACACTCAAATATTCGAGAATAACAAACAATTTTAATAAAATTGCGTGTTGACTTGAACTATTCATCAGGGCGACACAGGGAAATATTTATGGAAAAAAATAATGAGAAAATTGGATATTTGAAAAATGTTCCTTTAAATTTTCTGGCGGCAAATGGACAGAAAAATTAAAGGCGCAGTAAGTTTTGAATCCTGGGTCTCACAACGATTTTTTTGAAATATGGTATTTATTTTATGGAATGGTATTCTCTAGTATAGTTTGATCTCATTTAAAAATTAATCGCTGTGAGACCCACAACTTGAAAAAAATCCATGATCCTTTAAATTCTCTGGGTCCCGCCACGATTTTATTCATAAATGAATGCACTTTGAAAAAAATCGTGACAAGACCTGCCTTTAAATTTCAAAGGATCATGGATAATTTTTTCAATTTTAGATTTGGGTCTTGTCACGATTTTTCACCATGTTCCTTTAAAAATTACAAAAAAACACAAATTCCTTTCTTTCATCAGATGTAAAAAAAAATAATGTTGCGAAACGACGAGAAATATTTTTCGCAACACATTTTGTCCTTCCAGCGGAGATAAAATCCGTTTTGTCGGGTTTAGGTTTGGGAATTTAGTATACGATAAAAATGTGGCGAAAAATCACCGGGGAAAAAAATAATAATTTTTCAAAAATCAATCAGAAATTAAATTCCAAGTCTGTTTTTTAGATAAAAAATTCCCAAAGCTAATACTTTTCCAAAAATAAAAAAAAATTAAGGGTGCTAATTAGGTCATCCCAGAAAACAAAACAAAAAGCCCACAATACATCTGCCAAAACGCATAATAAATTCATCAGCAAAAAAATTTGTCAACTCAACCAAACACAGACATATGACACTATTCAATTATCCGCTATCACATTTTGCAACCCAAAACAATCCAAAAAGCCATCTGTCCCAATGATTTTCGTGTTGGTCAGACACAAAAAGCCAAAAAGTTAGTCATCGTGGGAATTTCTATGATTCAAACAAAAGACAATAGATATTCCAGGGAGACAAATATTTTGAAAATGAGAAATGGAAATTTAAAATGAAAAGAAGATGAAAATGAAGAGGAAGAGGAAAAACAAAAGAATTAGTTATAATAAGCATTGAAGGACAACCTAAATTTGTGTGGGAAAAACGAGAAATCTATAATTATTTTTCTCGACTTACAAATTTTGGTGAGAAAATTTTCAAATGGAAATTTGGATAACTTTGGTAGATCAATTTCTAGAAACAGAAAATATTCATCGAAGTTCGGAAAACTTCAAATTATTTGAATTTCAGGTCATTTGACTTCAAAGAACTCTCAAAAAACCAGATTTTCTTCAATTTCTGGCCAAAAAATATCAAAAACACATGTTTTCTGATCAATTCAATAAAAAACACAGCAAGCAACTCTAAAAAAGTTGAGTAAAACAAATATAGACATAAATAAACACAAGAGGAAGAAGAAGAAGAAAGAATACTTAGAAGGAGGTTACCATGTCAAGAAAGACCCGGTTCTTCTTTTTCTTCTAACACCTTGCATATTCTTTATTTTTCTTCTGATTTTCAAGTATCCACTTCAGATGAATCTAATGAAAATTTGGGTAAAATATGGAGAAGAAGAAAAAAAGAAGAGGGGGAGGATGAAGAAAATTTCCAGAAAAATTAAAATTTGGAAATTATTTGCAATGTAGTTAGTTAGGATTATGTTACTGTAGAATTTCGGATTACTGTAGAAATTAGGGCTACAAAATGTTTCAAACAAAAAATTTAATTCAGAAGGTCTACCTGAATTCTAGAATTAGAATTTCAAGCCTATTATTTTATTTTCTAGTAAATATCAGAATCTCATCAATATCCGATCTAAGTTCATAAAATCAGAAAAATCAATCTCAGTTTCAGATTTCTCTAGATTTCAGATTTCCAAATTACCTAACTTCCAGTTGGAAATTTTCAGAGATCTAACTGCTAGAATCAGATTTCTCCAAGATTTTTCTGGACCAGCATAGCCATGATTTCCCCCAAATTTCCCCACACTCCCAAAAAGTACTCACCATTATTCTGATTCGAATCAGTCGATTCACCACACTCTTCTTCGTCTGATTTCCGTCGTGTTCCTCCTGGAAAAAAAAAATTTTTTTCATTCAAAATTTCTTTGAAAAATATTCAAAAATCTTCCCTTTGTTACGAATAACTAGTGATACAAAACTCGCAAATTTTTTCATTTTCATTCAGCAAAAAAATCAGTTATGATAAAAAATGTATGAAAATGTGCGAGTTGATAAAAAATGCCAATTTTATTCAAATTTTATGCAACAAAATCGGTATTAGTGGGTGTTTCGATAGAGACAAAAAATTGAGGAAAAAAAATAAAATGTTTATAAGAATTCATTCAGTCAATTTTTATATATTTTCATGTTAAAAATTGTTTTGTAGTGTTGGAAAGAGGAGAAAAACGAGGGAAGGAGGGAGGAAAATTGGTCATTATATAAAAATTGTTGAAAAAAATAGGAAAATAAATACAACAACTTTTTCAAACTTTTAAAAGTGGTCCTCTGAATCGGAACTTCAAAATGGAATTCAAAAAATAAATTGGTGCAAAATAAAAAGGTTCCTGTAACTATTGAACCAGAAAGAATCGAAATGATCCGAAATTCAAAATTTTTCCAAAAAAACCTTCTGAAATTCTAAAAATAGCCAAAAATCAAGAAATGAAGCATGAAAGATAAAAGAAGGCAAAACGATGAGGCAAAGTCGGGGAGGCGGTTTGATTAATGTGTGCAAAGCTTGTCGGCGGGAAACAAACTCGACCAAAGAGAAAATGAAAAAAAAATCTCTGGAAAAAAACACACACTAGGCTTCTTCTTGTTCTGTTTCTGTCTTTTTTGAAGCGAAGCAAAGAACAACTGTTGTCTTCTTGATGAAGGAGAGAAAAAAGATGATGCGTTTGAAATTGGCAAAAAAATGAGGAGATGAACAATAGACTGACAAAAAACTTAGGTAATAAAATTGAAGGAAGAAGAAGAAGGCACCATCAAATAAATGATAGAAGAAAAATGAGGAGGAAAAAACAAAATGAGTCAAGCTGATTTTGATTTTTATTGGAAATGCTGCTTGTTTTGCAAATATTTCGGAAGAGATCAAGCTTCTGAACATAGAACTTCACTAAAATTTCAGATTTTCCGTTTCAGAAAGTTCAAATTTTCAAGCCAGAAATAAACTTTCCAGGAAAAAAATTAGGAAAACTTGAAAATCCTTCAATGTTTCCTAGGTCCGCGAAACTTTTAGTCCAAAAATTCAAATAAGAATATTTCTTCAACTCTTCAAAAAAACAGTAATGAGCAAAAAAAAATAACCAAAATTCTCATCCTCTTACAAAATAAGCCAAATCAAAAAAAAGAAGAAGCTCAACTTTTTTTTCCAAAAATAAAAAAATAAAACCCGCATCAATGTTTGTAAAGAAACTATCTCAAGTATGTATCCTAGCAGATTTTTGATCAAATCAGAAAAATAAACAAAATCAATTCTTCGTTCTTCTCATTTTCATATCCCTCTTCAATTTTCAGCCAAAAAAAAAAACACACATGTGGAAAAAGAGAGAAGAAAAAGAAAACAACAGGCAAATCTATAAATATTTATTACTACTGGGGGAAGATTTTCAGATTTTCATTTTTGATTTTTTTTTCTTGGGAACAGAAAAATAGAAAATAATCTGATTTTTAAGAAGATTTGTAGATTTTCTGAGAATATTGGTGGAAAATATTCTAGTTAGCGTAAGTATGAATGGAACCAAGATATGACGTGGCAAAGTTTGAAAATCTAGATTTTTAGGTGACGTGGCAAAATCTCGACGCTCATGAGATACCAAAATGCTCCAAATCTCAACGAGCTTCCAAAAACTAAATTTTCCACGTCGTAAATCATATCGATTAAAGCAAAACAGACGAAAAACACGAAGAAAGTGCAAAATTTCCCCAATTTCGAAACAGTTAAACAAACACATCAATTCAAATTGTATTGATAGATAACAACACATTTCACACGGGTGCAAAATCGATATTCCCTATGGGGAATATTGGAAAAAAATCGAAAAATAAATAGACGAATTTGGAAAAATATACAGTTTCGGACAAAAATGATGGTTTCAAATATAAAAATTCACGAGAATCTGGGGCCGAATTCGGCCCTTGTTCATTATTTTAGGTTCAGTCGTTTTTCAGTAATCCACAAAGTCGAAAAACTGCCTCCAAACTCACGTTTCCTTCGTCTCCTTCTCTTCCTCCGCTTCCCAATTTCAACAAAAAATTCCGATTGTAACAATAGTCGAAAAACAATCGGATAATATTCAAAATAATCAGCCATTCCAAAAATGTGACAAAAAAAATAACAAAACAGACCAGAATAGAACAGCAGAAGAAAAAATTGCAAACAAAAAACTGTGTTGATAACCAAATAGAAAAAACACACACATAGGGAAAAAGGGGGCGTGGTCAACAAATCATTTAACCGTGCGAACGAAACGAAAAAAGAGAACTATTTCAACAGTTCTTTTTTTACTGCGGCAAGAGAGCCAGCGATCAAATAAATACCAAAATCGATAACTTTTTTAGAGCAGCCTAATATTTGTGATTTGGCTCAGAAAAAAGACGAAAAAAATGAGGGCGTATAAGAATTCTCAGGTCGAAGAAAAAAATAACAGTTCAAGGTGGCAAAAAAAATGTTGCAAATTGATTTCGGCGGAAATGAATCGAGGAAAAAAAGAAGATGATATGCCTACAGAATCGAAAAGGCAAAACAAAAGCGAGAAGTCGATAATCATATTTATTTTGGCCACTGTACTAATATTAGGGTGAAGAAAATAACAAAAAGTGTGTGAGAATTTTGGAAAATTTGAGAGAACTGCGGAAAGTGACGAAAACAGCTATGTAATGGAAACTAGGCTATAAATTCCACGTGGCTTCTTTTTAATTTGATGAAAAATCAATTAGCCATAAATTGACCAAGCTGAAGTTCGATAGATTAGCGGAAAGAAGTCCAATCTGGCAAGATGAGCAATATTGACTTCAGTTAGTCAAAAGTTCGAGGCCCACAGGATTCGTGGGGAGAAACACTGAAACGGTGAGCGCACCTATCTGGCAGGTTGAGCAATGTTGGCTCGGGTTAGTCTCAAGTTCAGAGCCATCTCAAAAATAACTCTGATATTTTACAAAGATTGACTCAATTCAGAGAAAACGTTCATACAAAAATACCCTAGTAACATCATATTCTATCAAATCTGGCAAGTTAAGACACATCGACCCAAGTTAGTAAAAAGTTCAAAACCACCCCAAAAAAAGAGCGAAAAAGCATCGACTAGAATGGGGGTATGAATCACAAAGCGGTCTGCCCTCATTCATTCATAAAATATTATATTATATTCTCATATGAACAAGAAGAAATGAAGGATGAATGGATGAAAAAAACCCAATACTTATTGTTTTTTGTGTGTGCGTGTCCAATTCTAATTATTTTCGGGTTGGAACAAACGAACTAGTTCAATGTGAACAAATTATTGAAAATAAAAAACACAAAACGAGGGAACATGAAGATGGAAAAAAGAGAGGAGAAGAGAGAAGAAAGGCGCCCGCGCCAAATCATTTTTGTTTTGGTGAATCAAAATTTATTGGACATGACGAAACAGGCAAATATAGAAAAAAAAAGGAAAGAAATGGTGGGTGGTGGGATAGAAGCAGAAGGAACAACACCATGTTTTTGTGAGAAAAATACAAATTTTGAAGAAGCTCAGATCGTGTTTCCAAAATAGAAAGGGGAATTTAAAACTGAAAAATTCGGTCAAAATCAGAAAATTGTTCAGCATAATTGACGATTTTCAGGAAATTTCGGTTCAAAATTTAATTTTAAAAATTAAGGAAACTTCTGATAACTCAATTTTTGATATAAACTTTTTTTCAAATTTGAACCGCCTTTCCAGTTTAAAATTGGTCCAAATTTTTCCAAATTCTCAAAATAGAGTGGAAAATTATTAAAAACTGAAAAATTCGCTCAAAATGAGAAACTTGTTCAGCATCATTGACAATTTTCAGGAAATTTCTGTTCGAAATTCAATTTTAAAAATGACACGAAAATTTCTGATAATTCAAAACTTTCCCAATTTCTTTTCCAAATTTTTTCGATTTTTTATCAAATTCATATTTTGAATGGCCTTCTCGGGTTAATTTCCCGATTTCAACAAAATTTAGAAAAACAATTTTTACCCATAAATTCTCCCCCCAAAAAAACCAACCTTTTCTCGCCCAGCTCCAAATGCTCTTCTCCGTTTCCTGATCCAATTCGGGTGTTGATTTGGGTCGCAGCCGGAAAAAGTCGATATCAAATTTGCCGAGACTTTTACTCGTCGGTCTTCTCGTCGTTGTTCTCGGCCTTCGAATCGGTGTCGATTGAACCGGTTTTGGTGGAGTCTCCTTTTCTTTGGCCGCCATCGCCGCCATAAAACTCGCTTGTCTTGGTGTATTTCGAACGAGTTGGAGGGTTGAATCAGCACTTTGCATTCCAACATTTCGATGAGATTCAGATAATGATGAACTATCCAATGTTGAATCAGACGATGAAGAAGTTCGAATTTTATCCACATCACTTTCTTGACTATTCGATGTTGTTTTATTATTATTATCAACCAACATTCCTCCCGCATTTTTTGTCGTCGATCCATTTTTATTTTCCAAATCGATAAAATATCCAGCCGGTGATAATGTGCCACGTGGCAATGGACGAGATGTTTTCAGCCAACCGGCTTGAGCTGGACGATTTTCGGATGATGTCATTTGCCATGAAGATGTTGGTCGAGTTATTACTTTACTGCAAAAAAAATAATAATAAATTGTGAGGGAAAATGATTTGAGGAGATGAAATACTTTGTAAATATTTGATAATCACCACAAAGTGTCAAAAATATCGATTTTTGAAGTTATTTATGAATTTTCCCCAAATCTCTTTAGGAATGCCAAAAATTGCTAAAAGGGTCTTGTAGAAGGCCCAGTGTGTTTTTAATAGTCATTATTATTTTCTGTCTATTCCTATTTATTCGACCTGATATACCGACAAATCACTAGTTATGGCAACTGTTATAATTAGAATATGGAAGGTGTGAAAATGTACAACAACAAATGAATAAAACACCATCCCAATATTCTCACACCTTCCCTTTTCTAATTATAACAGTTGCCATAACTAGTGATTTGTCGGTATATCTGGTCAAATATATAGGAATAGACAGAAAATAATAATGACTATCAAAAACACACTGGGCCTTCTATAAGACCCTTTTAATAATTTTTGGCGTTCCCAAAGAGATTTGGGAAAAAATCGATGAATATCTGGAAATTTTTTATGAGAAATATTTTGCGAACATACGTCGCATACTCTCGTTTCAAATCCACCAGTGCACACCCTCCCCCCTTTTCCTTTTTCATTTTCAGCTATATAAACTTGACAATCTACATTTTCGATAAACGTTGAGCTCAACATTGCTTCATTTCGGCAAATATTCTCATTTTCAAATTCAAATTTTGATTCAAAAATTCTAATTTTTCAAAAACAAAAAAATACGTTTCAAAATTTTGATATAATTTATTATCAACTTTTTTCAATGCTACCATTGTATATATACACAATAAATCAAAACCAAAATTCTCAATATTTGGATGAACATTTTGAAATTATCGATTTTTGAATCAAAATTCGTGGAAATTTTAATCACTCCCAATAAGTGTTTTTTTCTCTGATGTTAGTAGGTTCAATGAGATCTTTGAGCTCAGTTCCCACTAATTTTGTTCTAAATGTCAGGTCAAAAAACATCGTTCTCTGCTGACTTTTTCTCAAATTTACCTATACTCTGGCGGTTCTCTCCTTCCAATCGTCGCCAAAGTCGCCGTCGATCCTCGATTCGATGTATTACAATACAATTGATCATATTTCGGCAACAAATTTCCGCTTCCATATCCAAACGGTGGTGCACGTCGATCTTGCCAAGACCCATAAATTCCATTTGCACGAGCTGAAAAAAATAAAATCGTATAGTAAGGAAAATAAAATGAAAATGGGCTTGAAATCCGCCAAATTGTACTCTAGAATATTGTACTCGCAAAAAATACATCGATTGCCCTTCTCGGGCAGCAATTTCGGGGCGAAAAAACTGCAGAAAAAAAAGAGGAAAAAATATTCACCTGTCATTTGGGAAACATCAACAATATTGGTTGTATGTGCTTTTCGCCTAATTGAATTCTCATTCATTTTTTGTGCATTTCCTCCACCAATTGATGTTGTGCTCGACGAAGACGACGAATAAATATTATTGGAACTTTTTGCGTTTTGTCGATGTTGATGATGTGGATGCATTTCGCCAAGAAGTTGACTGATTCGAGCATTCTGAAAAAAAAAGAGATTTGAATTTATGCGGAACAGAAAATCAATACTTTTAGCACTCAAAAAAAAACAGGGACCAAAAATACTTTTTATTCAAAATAGTTAATTTTAAGTTGTCTACAATCAAAATAATATTCTCCATATCTTTTCAAAAAATATAAATGATTCTTCAAAATTATTTCCATTTGACCACTTTTTTTTTCGGAAAACCCGAAAAAAATACGTTTCAAAAAACATAATATGGTAAATTTATTGAGTGGATTTGGTTGAATCATCGTAATCTATGGAGAATATAAAATTAATGTTATTTTTTTCGGGGTAATTTTTAAGATCAGAATTCAAGTTCTAGACTCTCACAAAATATTTCTCCTGAAAAAATCCAAATTCTCAATTTTTCCCAAATCTCTTTGGGAACGCCAAAAATTATTAAAAGGGTCTTGTGGAAGGCCCAGTGTGTTTTTGATAGTCATTATTATTTTCTGTCTATTCTTATATATTTGACCAGATACACCGACAAATCACTAGTTATGGCAACTGTTATAATTAGAATAGCGAAGGTGTGAAAATATTGGGACGCTCTTTTTTATGTGAGACAACAATTTTTTAAAAACTCTAGAAAATTATTGCAATCAAATTTTCAAAAAACATCTCCACGTTGAACAACAAATGGTTCAAGAATTTCAAGTCTAGACATTATTTTTCTCTATAAAACCAAATTCAAAACAACAATGGTGTTTTTAAAATAACATGGGCAGTGGAGTACAATTTGAAGGATGAAAAGGAGAAGCCTGGAACATCTAGATCATCTCGATTCGAACCTTTTAAGTCTTTTCTAATTTTGACGTAAAAATCCAAATTTTTTGAGTTCCGTAGATTTTTCGATCGAAATTATTGTTATTATGAGGTTTTTCCCGAAAAATGTCATTTTGCAGCTTTTTCACTGGAACAATATTTTATTTTGAACACAATTTCAGATATTCATCGATTTTTCCCAAATCTATTTGGGAATGTCAAAAATTGTTAAAAGGGTCTTATAAAAGGTCCAGTGTGTTTTTGATAGTCATTATTATTTTCTGTCTATTCCTATATATTTGACCTGATACACCGACAAAATACTAGCTATGGCAACTGTTATAATTAGAATAGGGAAGGTGTGAGAATTTTGGGATGGTGTTTTATTCATTTGTTGTTGTACATTTTCACACCTTCCATATTCTAATTATAACAGTTGCCATAACTAGTGATTTGTCGGTATATCTGGTAAAATATATAGGAATAGACAGAATACAATATTGACTATCAAAAACACACTGGGCCTTCTATAAGACCCTTTTAACAATTTTTGACATTCCCAAAGCGATTTGGGAAAAATTGATGAATATCTGGAATTGCTTCGAAATTTTCAGCCTTTTTTCCAAATTTTAAACTAATACTTCTTCTCCCATTCTAAAAATCCCTAACCAACCTGAACCTGTTCATCATACTGTAATTGATGTTCACTTCTCGCTGCCCTCAGAGCCCATCCAGTTTTGCTGCTCTCCATTTTTTCCACGTGTGCCCAATCTTCGCACACTTTTTCAAAATTCTGCAATTAGTGTTCGCTTTGAGAAAAACAGAATCAAATCAAGATAATAAGTATCATGTTGGAAGAAAAAATGAAGAAGAAGAGTAGATATTTACAATTTACAATTAAAAAGATTGTAAAATGCGATAAAATATTAGGAGATGAGACAAAAAAAACTGGGAACAAGTCCAAAAATAGATTAGTGAAATAATAAATGTTTACATTATAAAACAAGAGTTGATGGAAAGATCAGAAAATGAAAATGTGGCTCGAAATCTCAAGTGATACGGTAAATAAAATAAAATGTAACAAAAAATGATAAAACTTTGGAAAAATGTTACTTTGGTGGATTTAACTCAACTTGTAACAGAGATCAGATTGGAACTAATGACTTTTAAAAATTCTATTTCCAAAATTTTCAAAAAAAAAAATGTCGAATTCAAAATTCCTTATTTTTGAGCTTATAGTAAACGATCTGGAGCCAAAGAAAAATTCCCTTCTAGAAAATTCCACCAAAACAAGTTAGCTAAGCCCAAATTCTCCAGCCTACATAAGAAGCTTAAGAAAGACGCCAGGTGTGAGCGAAAAATCGCGCACAAAAAGGTCAGTCACCTTGACACGCTTCAACCAACGAGAGAAACGACGAAAAAACCGAATAGAAACCTTGGGTGAAAATGGAGAGTAATAATTAAAATCGGATTTTTGCCGCAAGGTGATGACAGCAAAAAAAAAAACGAAACAGATATCAAGGATGTTTTTGAACTTTCCAATATGCAAATTTCAAAAGGAAAACACCGGATTTCGTTTTTTTTTTCAGCGCGGGCAAAAAAAAACAGCCAAGATCCGACAAGATAAAAAATAACAATGACGAAAAGGAAGAACGAACAGTTCGACAGCAAAACGAGGAAAATGCGAAAAACAGACAACATTGCTGTGAGCGAAAAAAAAATAAAGGAGAGGAGAACGAAGAAAAAGAAGGGGACTTCTCATCCCACTTGACTCACACCATTATTTGTTCAAATCCTCTCGGGAAGCCAGAAAAAAAGATATGGAAGGAAGAAAAACGGGAGATAGCAAAGCAAGATTTTTAAGGAATTGTTTATTATGAGTACAAGATCTAGCACAACTTTTTGATTTGTATTCGAATAGGGATTTTAGTGATACTATTCAGACTTCTAAAACAATCGTGGATCTCCAGAATCAAGGTTGGAAGGTCTGAATTTTTGCGAGTACTGATTTTGAGGAGGCCGATTCAGAAATATTAAAGATCCAATTTCTGGGATTCACTTTGGCAAAAGAGTTATGACGTGGCAAACAAAACAAATCTCGAAATAAAATCGTGATTTCAGTGCTTCTCAGAAAAATCGGAATTAACAGCGTTCAAACTACACAGAGTGTAATTTACTACCCGAAAAAATTCGCGCATTTTTTGAGACCTGACACGATCTTAGGGGTGGGACTAAAATCGACGAAATTCAACGCAAAAATGAGAGATTTAGAGAAAAATTATTTTTGATCTACCCAAAAATCAATGAAAATTTTGAGGTCTAGCGATTTGAGGTAGTAAATTACACCCTGTGAACTATAAACTACAAACGTAGTGCTGTTCCACGTCATAACTCACAGATAGTTAAAACAAATTTTCGTCATAACCGATACAGCTTCATTTTTCAGGAAAAACGTCGAAGGAAAAATATTCTAGAATTATCCAAAGTCATCAAAAGAAGCCACATTGTGTTAACCAAAAAAATCGTAAAAACGTTTCCAAGATTCACCACGTCATAACTCACTGAATGCACCGAACATCAACATCTTAACAGTTCTTTTTATCACCCAATGTTTCGAAATGTATCCTACTTCAAACAAACAACACTTGATAAATGCTAAACTCTATTTATTCAGAGCCCACCAAAAAAATTGTCTATTACACAAGGAGAAAAACACAACAATAATTCTTGAAGTGGATGGAAATCATTCAAAAATTTGTTAGCAAATATGGTTTTTCCTCATGGCAAAGGAGAACAAAAAATTAGCATACAACTTTCTGGCAAGCGAGGGAGAAAACCTTTTTTATGCTTAGACAGAGAGAGAAGGAAAGACAGTGCGCATGGAGGGCACAAAAAAAAGAAGGAAATAAAAAAGAAGGACGATTAATACTACGACACCCTCTACCTTATTGTATTGATCATGATTTATTGAGACCATTTCGAAGAAGAAAAAGAAGAAGAAAAAGGAACGGACGAACGAATGAATGAATGACAAAATAATTACTATACAACAACCAAAATGATGTTTCTGACCTATTGAGTAACATTTTGTTGCAATTACTGACAAATGTAAATAGACTAACTCATTTTGAACGTTTGGTGGCAAACAATCACCAAAATCGTTAGAAATTACGAATTTTTTCAAAAATCGAAAAAAAATGAACTTGGGAATCGGAATTTTTGAATAGAAACATTTCGAATCACTTTCTCACAGTTAGATGAATAGGTCCATTATTCCCTACGCAAACAGCTAACGAAGTTTTGAAAAGAGAATTTGGATTTTTGGGAACCAAACAGCCTCCCACTTACATTATCATAGTTCTTCAGCATTCCCGAATCCAGCCATTTTTCTAAAAGCGAAAAATCCAAAATGCCTTCAACTACGAACACGTGGAAGACAACAATTAAAAGTTCACGTTTCAAAAAACAATATTTTTATTTTGTTGGGGAAATTTTTCATTCATTGTTTAAAAATGGATTTTTTTCGAAAATGCTGGAAAACAATGAAATACAGATATTTTTCCCCTACGCAAACAGCTAACGAAGTTTGGAACAGAGAATTTCGATGTTTGAGAGCAAAAACAGCCCTGAACTTACATTTTCAAAGTATTTCAGCACCCAGCCATTTTTGAAAAAATTTTTTAAATCCAAAATGCCTTTACCAAAAAACGTGGAAGTCAACAATCAAAAGTTCACTTTTCAAAAAATTATATTTTTATTTTTCTAGCATAATTTTTATTTCTTATTCTGTATTTATTCGGAAATGCTGGAAAACTATGAAATTGTAAGTTCATTGAAAGCAATTTTGCGATAACTTGTAAAATAAGCCTTTTCAACAAAAAAGACCTTGGTTAAAGATTAAAAAATCCATACTTATAATATTTAGCGGCAAAAAGTGAGAAAAAGAAAATGGAACAGGTTTGACTGGAACCAACTGAAAAGTGATATTATTCTTATTAATAATATGGAAAAAAAGAGATAAACTAAACACATTTTGTGTTTTCAAGTAAGCAAATAATATCTAGCATATCTAGAGATATCTATATTTCTGTCGGTTACTGTCAGTCACAAACAGCTGATGTTTGTTGTTATGGGGGTGTTAGCTCAACTACTTTTTGTCTTTGCGTTGGTTATTGAGATGAATATATATATATATATATGTGTATAAATAAAACATAAAAAGTGGCAACATTTCGGCGATACAAATAGAAAACTTGTAGTTGTAAAAACCATAAAATAATTTATACAACATTTTTTTACACAAACTTTTTTTTTAGTTTGGTTAATCTGGTAATTGGTCAGATTATAGATATTTGGTTATTTTTCAATTTTCAAAAAGAAAACTTGATGTGTGAATGGAATCCGAGAATTCCGGGAGAAAAGAAGATTACGGTTACTAAATACCAATCATTAGCGATTTGGGAAAGGACGAGAGAGGATGAGATTGAATTAAATGAATCAGTGAAAGCGTAGAAATGTTGTTGAAGCTAATTACTTTTCCTAAAGTAACTAATTCATCTTTTTTTTTACGAAAGGACAGGTGAACTTTAAAAGGGAAGAGGATTCTCTGAAAATGTTTGGAAAAAGTTTATGGAATTAATTTTCAAAATTACTGTTGAATAAAGTTAGAAGAATTCTAGTCTCAAAAATAACCCGGGACTAGAATTTGGTTCTTTTAACAGTAGTAATTTTGAACAGTGGTCCATAAATTTTTTCCAGACATTTTCAGAGAAAAAAAAAGTTATAGATATTTCCATCAGTTTTTTTTCAAAATACTGAATCAAAAATAAACAAAAAAGAAAAAAGAAACGATATTTTCAATAATTTTATGAGAAATGAATCATTGCAATGCGCTCAATTGCAATCAAAGTTCACCAAGAAAAAAAATATTAATAAGAAATTTTCAAAAGCGAAACAAAACAAAAAATCAGTCATTTTTTCTCGTCTTTTTCCTCACTCAATTTGAAACACTGTGTTCGATTCGCGCATTCCATAAATGATAAAAGTTGTTGACCACATGCACCCTATAAAATAAACAAGCTGTGCCGTGCAAAAAACACACCTAAATATTTAGGAGGATACCTTTTCGATGTCTTCTTCGTTTGTTGATTTTTGGCAATTTATAGCTTCTCGAAAATGATAACCACAAGGACTTGCAACTAAATGACTAACACAATGACATTCGAAATTAACATTTCCATTTGGAAGTGTTGGACCAGGATTATTTGAAGGATAAACTTCATCAGGTGGTGTGTTGGATAATTTTTGAATGTACTCATTTTTTATATCATTCCAAAATTCAGTGGGGCTTATTTTCAGAATTTGATGGAAACTCATCTGAAAATGTATGGTTAGAAGAAGTGCATGCATTTTTATGTTAGTTGCATAAATGATCAAAAAACATATAAGTAATAATAATAACAGAAAGAAAGTGGAAAGATCGCCGAAAAACTGATAAATGATAATAGATGGGTAAGGATATATCATTTTTTTTTGAGAAACAAAACAGAACATGTGCGAATATTTATCTTATGACGTAAATCAGGTCAGATTTTTGTGAAAAAGGTCGAATTAATTCAAACATTCGTCGTCTTCGACGAAAAACAAATGGCACATACGCGGTGCAGAAAAAGTTCGCCAGATGTCGAAAAATTCGGCGAAACGAAACTTTTATAAATCACCCCCTCCTACATAAAGCCTTTCTTTGTTTATAAGAAAACAGAATTTTGAAAGAAAGAAAAAGAAAATTTGAATTTACAAAGTTTCAATAAGCATCTTCTCAAGATTGTCAGAGAATTATGTTTATTTAACCTCGAAAATATACATTAAAAACTAGATCATCACATAGAAGACTGTGATAATTTATGATCATTGTTTATGCAAATGAAGAGAAAAAACCTGAAAGAGGGAATTTTATGATTTTTTTTGAAATTTAATGTTTTTTTTTGAAAAAAAATAGTGAATTTCGGATGTCTTCAAATAAATAAGATTGAGGAAATGACTTTGATTGATTGAGTATTTTCAAAAATACTTGAAAATGTAAAGACTTACAGCAGATTGCGCGGAAGAACAGCAAAAAAAGGGAAAGAAAAATAAAAAACACTTGAACAATTTTTTGAAAATAATTCCCGCAATTCAAAACGCGAAATTTCGCTCTGAAATAACTTTTAAAAATCACTCCTCCCTTCAAAAAAGACACAGTAACCATGTCTGCGTCTCTCGAAAACAAACAATGTTTCTCGTTGTTTGCAACAGAGCACACTTGCATTTCTACTTTTATTTTTTTCATTTTCGAACACAAAAATTTTAAACCTAATTTCAGGAATGCTGGAAAGATGAGCTGCACAAGTATTCGGATATTTAGTTTTTTAAAATCAAGAAGTTTGAAATATTCAACTGTAGCTGTTCAAGATCCCACCAAAACTGTAGAATTATCAGAATACACACCGGACAAAATACGCAATTTCGGGTGAATTTTTGTCAAGTTTGAAATGTAAAATAGGTCATTTTTTTCAGAATCGTTGCTCACGTCGATCATGGAAAATCAACACTAGCCGATAGATTATTAGAATTATGCGGTGCTGTTCCGCCAGGTCAAAAACAAATGTTGGATAAATTGCAAGTCGAAAGAGAACGAGGAATCACTGTGAAAGCACAAACTGCAGCATTGCGGCATAATGGATATCTCATTAATTTAATCGATACTCCAGGACATGTTGATTTCTCAGCAGAGGTTTCAAGATCTCTAGCAGTTTGTGATGGAATAATTCTAATGGTCGCTGCAAATCAAGGTGTTCAAGCTCAAACAATCGCAAATTTTTGGTTAGCATTTGAGAAGAATATTCAAATGATCCCTGTTATCAATAAAATCGATCTTCCTGGCGCAAACATCAAATCCGTCGAAATCCAACTCAAAAATCTATTCGAATTCAATGCCGAAGAATGTTTGCATATTTCAGCGAAAAGCGGGTTAAATGTTGATAAAGTTCTTCAATCAATTATTGATCGAGTTCCTCCGCCAAATGCTAAAATTGATGCGCCATTTCGAGCAATGATATTTGATTCGTATTTTGATCATTTTCGTGGAGCGATTGCTTATATTTTGGTGAAAGAGGGAAGCATTAAAAAAGGAGATAAAATAAGATCATATCAAAATGATAAATCATATGATGTTTCGGAGGTAATTTTCCCAAAGTTGCTAAAGTTTCCTCATAAATTATCCATTTTTAGGTAGGAATAATGCGACCTGAAATGGTAAAATGCACAGAACTTCGAGCTGGTCAAGTCGGTTATATTGTTTGTAACATGCGAACAGTTCAAGAAGCTGTAGTTGGTGAAACTTTATTCGCCTCAGAAACACCAAGGGAAACCGTTGAAACCTTTGCGGAGATCAAAAATGTTCAACCAACTGTTTATGCGGGCCTGTTCCCTGTTGAAAATGCGGATTATGAGACTTTAAAGCAAGCTGTTGAGCGACTTTGTTTGAATGATCCATCAGTGACAGTTCAACCGGATTCGAGTAAAGCATTGGGACTTGGATGGAGGGTACTTGAAAACTTTTAAAATATTTTTTTTTGAGTCTCAAAATTTCAGATCGGATTTCTCGGCGTCCTTCACATGGAAGTTTTCGGCGCGCGTCTTTCTCAAGAATACGATGCAAGTGTGATTCTTTGTCAGCCAAGTGTTGAATATCGAGCAATTATTAAAGATAATGAAACTATCCGGAAAAAACGATATGATGGACAATCTGAAATTCGAATTCTTGATCCGAGTAAATTTCCGGAAGAAAGTGATGTTGAAACTTTTTTGGAGCCTATGGTTAAGGTGAATTTTGGGAATTGGGAGAGATTGGAAAATTTAAAAACTCAGAGAAGGTCTGGCTGGAACGGCGCGGTTCGCGAAACCCAAAAATCTGCCAATCCGCGGCTGACACAAGAACTTTAGCGAAACGTCCGCGAAATTATACTCCGCTGTTAGCGAAACGTCCGCGCAACGCACTCTCGAAATATAAAAATGCTTCACTACCCCTGATAATTATCAGAAGTTAGTATTGACTTGTAGTTCCAACCCGGCCTCGATCCCAATCCTGTCGTTTTGTAGTCATCCATCTTCCTCGCTGCGCCATCCTCGTTGTCGCGTACGCGATACAATTTATCCTTTTTATACCCTCCCTCTCGAGTTCATCCGCGGATCCGCGAAAAACGCAAAAAATCAAATTTCCAAGTCAAAAAATTTCGCGGAATGCGCGAAATTCGACTCTCATTGGCTGAAGTTTCGCTGTCCGCGAAATTTTTTTCGCGGAATCCGCGTAATGATTTTCACCCAAAAATCGGTGAAAAATCGTCCGCGGACCGCGCCGTTCAAGCCATACTTTCTCTGAGAAGATTTCAGGAAAAAATTGAGATTTTTGGACAAGGGATATTTAAAAAAAAAATTAAAAATTAAGCTCTAAAAAGTTCAAATTTTTTATTTAGCTCGAAAAATTCAAATGTTGGGCTTGAAATTTAGACTGAAAATTCTGAAATTCGAATCAAAATTTCTCCGTGTAATGTCACATTTTTTTCAAGATTTCAAAATTTTGTCATGCCAAAGGTCGCTGTAAAAGTTGAAGCCTAAAAATCTTAAATTTTGGCTTTAAAAATGGAGCTAAATAATCATCCGAAAATTTTTAAAAAAACTTTGCCACGTCATAAGTCATCAGAGTTAAACTAAGCATTTATTGACAACAGGATCATCATGATCAGCATGTCAAAAATCACTAAAAAAATTATTATTTTCAAAAAAACCTTCAGTTAAAACCTCTCAAAATCTCATATTCTAGGTTCGAATGATTGTTCCAAACGAAATGATGGGAACTGTCAATGGTCTTTGCTCAGAATGTCGCGGCGAACGTGGAGAAATCACATCAATCGATGAAACTCGTCTCATGATTATGTGGCGATTACCATTGGCTGAAATTGCTGTCGACTTTTTTGAGCGCTTGAAAAAATTGACATCTGGTTATGCTTCTTTTGATTATGAACCTGATGGATTTATGGAGACGAGATTGATCAAATTGGCTATTTATATTAATGGGAAAGAGGTTGGTGAGAGGGTTTGGGGGTTTCTTTAAAAGTCTTTTTTTTTTGATTATTTTTGAAAAATCAAGATTCAAATTTTGAATTTCTGGATTTTCAGAAAAAACTCTTTTTTATTCTGAAATTTTTTTAGAAGAACTAAAATTCAAATTCACGACTTAAAAATAGGCTCCATATTTTTATAATTTTTTGCCACGTCATAGCTGGATATTTTTCTGATGGATTGAATTCTGAAATTTAGTTTTCCTGATTCGAAAATTTTTGTTCAACTTAAATTTTGGAAAATTCAGAAATGTCAGATTCAAAAAGTTGAGGAGGTTGGTTTTCTAAAGTTTTTCCAAAATCCTGAAATCTACAAAAATATCTAGGCTTCTCGAATTTCGACCGAAAATAGGTTTTTGCCATGTCATAGCTCAATTTTTTCCAGGTCAGCGAATTCTCACAAATCCTTCCAGTAGCAATGGCACGAGATCGCGCAAAAACTCTTGTCCAACGACTGAAACGCGAAATTCCACGCCAACAATTTGAAGTTGTAATTAAAGGTAACCAATTAATTAATTAATTGCTAATTAAATATTTCAGCATGCATCGGAACTTCAACAAAAGCCATATCACAAATCACAATTCAACCAATGAAACGGGACTTTTCACAATTGCTCAAAGGAAATTTCGGGGGAGGAGGTAATTAATTTGCTCGCTAATTAGTGAAATACTTAATTAATGAGCAATTTCTAGGCATGGAAAGATTGAACAAAAAATTGAGTCATCAAAAGAAGGGAAAAGAACGGATGAAAATGTTGGGAAATGTTCAAATTCCAAAGGAAGCGTTTTTGAATGTGCTCAGAAATTAATTAGGAGGTAATTAATTAATTAATTAGATAGATAAGTAAGTATATAATAAATATTTATTGAAAAATATCACAACAATTCATCGGTATCATTATCAACACTTGTAATATCAAAACTTGCGTTGGTTTGTTTTTGAAGAGGAGCGCGGCTGGAAGAAGAAAAATATGTGAGTTGTTTTCTAGGCCGCGGACTAGATTTTGAGAGGGGTTCTAGGCCACGGACTAGTTTCTGAGGTATTTCTAGGCCGCGGACCAGATTTTGAGGGGTTTCTAGGTCGCGGACTAGATTTCGGGAGGTTTTTAGGCCACGGACTAGTTTTTGAGAGGTTTTCTAGGCCATGGACTAGTTCCTAGGGAATTTCTAGGCCGCGGACTAGTTTTCGAGCCGATATTAGGTTATAAAAACTCCAAAGTTTGTAGTTTTCAATGTAAATATTTTTTTTAAACCAGTAAAATCTGAAGTTTTGCCACGTGGATTTTAAATTATTGAAAATTACATAAAATTTTTGAACTCAAAAAATGCCACGTGGCAAAAAAATTGATCCAGAAAATCTATGAGATTCTCAAAAAAATGTACCGTATACTAGAACACGTTGGCAAACTAGCCACATCCAAATGCGTCACATCAATCGATTTCGACTTCGACATTCGTCGTCTCGAATTCACGCGTTTCTTCAAATTCTGCCAACTCAATTTGGGTGTGTTTAGTGTGAAGGTTTTGGGTTTGCCATTTGAATGATTCGATGAGATGCTCATATTTCGCGCGCCGCCCGGTTTGAACATTTGGGGAACCGGCAAATCGACTAGGCCTGCACTTTTGAGACGTCTTTCAGCCATCGCCGCTCTCTTCTTGTTTCGCGCTGAAAACAAAATTTAAGGGATTTTGGGGAAAATGACACTGCAAAAGAATCGCGGTGGCAAAGGGATAGGCAATTTGAAAAATTATGATTTTTTGAAAGGAAATGCTAGGAGAAAGCTATGACGTGGAAAAAATGAAAATTATGTGGCCGTGGCCGCGAAATGTCGGGAATTCGGCCAAGGCAACAAACTCGCTCTAATGTTTCGAAAATCAGGGCCGAACATTTCTCGGCCACCCAAATTGTTAGGCCACACATTTTTTATGCCACGTCATAAGCAACTCTCCTCCAATTTTTCCCTCCAAAAAACCAAACAGTGATATTTAAAGCGCGACATGTGAGTTTTCAGAGAAAAATAGGAGTTAAATTCCAAAGAGAAAGAGAAAAAACTGAAAAAAAAAACAGTAAATAGGTGGGAGAAGCTTAGGCAGTTGTGAAAGGACCTACCAGAGGAGGAAAGATTTGTTCGTTGAGAAGATTGTTGGTCGCCAAAATATTTTAATTTATTTTTTATTTTCAAAGTTAATTAATTAATTAGCCAAAAAAACACAGCCACGAATAGCCAGCCACCTGATTTCGATTTGATTTGGAGCTCTTTTGAAAATTTGAATTAGCCTAACTCTTCATCAATTTCACACAGCCTTTTACAGGGTGAATCGAGAGCGGAAGAAGATTTTTGCCTCGAAATCAGATGGCCTGTTCCTCTTTCCCCAAAACCTTCTCCGCCCTCCGAACTTACAATAAGTCTTCTGATTAATATCAGTATGTCCAGTTTGAAATCCAGCAGTTCTCAAAATGCCCAGCAATTCATATCGGAATGCACTAATATCTTGCTTAATTTCATTCACATCATCTTCCGAAACTCCTTCACTTTGCTGTTTGACACGTTGCATTTGGGCGATGTATCTTTGAACCAGGTTTCGAGTCACAAACTGGAAAACGAGATTTTTTTCTCGGTTCTAAAATGAAAATGAATTTCAGGTGATCAATCATATACATATGATAGGAATCATACTCTATCTAATTTCAAGGGAACTTTTTTTGTTGGAAAAAAAAGTTCCCCTAAATGTCGTGCACGAGCACCGCAAAACATGCATAGATTTACGGATATTTTCAACAAAAAATACTGTTTCAAAAAATATAAATAAATACCATGAAGTTATGTTCAGTTCTAGCGATTTTTCTCAAAGTTTTCTAAAATTTTTAGCTGAAGGAAGCAAAATTGGAAAAATTTGGAGACTTACGCGATAATTATTTTCTCGATCATTGACAACTCGAAGTATTTTTTGATTCTGAAAAAACAAATTTTTAACATGAGCAATGCCTGAGTTTCAAATAAAAAACACTGGAAGTTTTAATATGAGCAATGATATTTTTCAAAAAAAAAACCAGACAAACCCTCAAGCTTTTCTGTTTTCCGTGTTGAATAAATTCGGAGCATGGACAAAAACGATCAGACAAATAACGAAAACAATAATAGATGGATTTTGGTGATGGAATTATATTGAATGGTGGTGGAAGGGTGGCAGAATCATCGAAATATTCGAGGAATAATCGACTTCTTGCGAATTTCCATTCGATGTCGGCTTGTGACTGAAAAATTGGGGGAGTTTTGGGAAAAAATTTGGAATTTTGAAATTTTAGTAGTTGGCGGACAAAAATTGTACCTTAAAGACACGTAGAAACCTAGAAATGTGTGTTCGTAATCTTCAAAATTTGAACGCGCACCTTTTTTCAAAGTTGTGTGTTGTTCGTTTGAAAAAACAAAAAATAAATAAAAAGTGGTGGTACGGTATGCTAAGAATGCACACATGTGCGGCAAATCACGGACATTTGTGCAAACACCAAATTTCGCGTCGGCTGAGCGATTTCAAAAAAGGCAATTTCTTTTTTTGACTTTCGCTAAACTCAATATTTTTCACTTTTGTTTATGTACTTCCACTATTTGAAGGATGATAAAAAACATGCAAATAATGATTTTTGAACGATTTCTAGTTTTCTACGTGTCTTTAAAATATTTAGGATATTGAAAAGCGAAAAGATCTCTAAAATATTTTTGACCTACAGAATCAGAATCTACAGTAACCCAAATTTCGGTACATCAGATCTACAGTACTCTACTCCACAAGTCAAATCAATATCTAAAATATACTATGGCTCAAACTGCAAGAAGTACTGTACTTCAAAATTCACTGTTGAGGGGTATAGGTGACCTCAAAGAATTACTGTAGTCTCATGAACTGCAAAACTACGGTATCTCTAAAATTGCAAAAGTTCTACAGTACCCCGAACTGCTTAAAATTATAGATTATTTCTGAATTTTGGGTTGAAAATCGTGATTTCTGATGGTTTTTCAGCAAAAATCGATATTTCAAACCTAGAAGCCATTTTTCTTTTCCGCTTCTTCAAAAAAAAATCCTACCGAAATATATTGATATGAATTACTCATCATAGCAATCAACATATTCAATAAAACAATAATCGAACAACAACAATAAGATCCAAATATTGTTTTTCCAGTCCATTCGGATAAAATATGCGGTTCTTTCAATCGAAAATGTGTCAAATCAATCAAACCAAAAAGTGCCCAAAATAGAGTTTCAGCAGTGTGATATAAACTCGCACACGATTTATAATGATCTGCGCATGATTCTTCTAGATTTTTATGATCTTCATTATTTGATTTGAATTTTAGACATTCTTCGGCTCGAAGTGATGCATAATACCAGAGAAGTTGATTGAGACCACATGAAAATGAGAATAAAACCAAAGCGTAGACCATGAAAAATTTCACTATATCGATTACCATTCGACCTGAAATTTAGCATTTTTTTGGATTTTGGAAGGTTTTTTATCATGTTGATCAGGAAAATTCAAATTGAAAATTTTTTTTTTGAGATTTTCATGGAAAATTAAATCAAGTCCGTTTAAACAGCGAATCGAGGATTTTTGTTCAGCAACAAAATACGTGCGCTAGAATTTTCAAACTTCCCGCCAATAAACTCGGAGTTTTGGAGAAGGAACATCGGAGACGCAGAGAAACAATTAACAAATGATTTATTAACAACACAATCAAAAACTCTAATTTAAAGAAATATATAGGCAGAAGAACAATAATAATTCAGAAACCTACTAAATTATCAAAACCAGTTGTGAATTTACTTTTTTTGTGTGAAAATTGAAAGTTCTCCTTCAAAATCATAATAACAGACTGTAAGATATGAATTCGGTTGATTTTTATATTGAAACTTATATTCTTCATATTCATCACTCTCTCTGGAAATTATTTTGTTTTTGTTTTGAAAGAAATCAGTAAATCATACCCATACGGATATACTGAAACATTATTCAAGTTCTCGAAAATCTCGCTGTCTAAAGACCAATTAAAATTCAACCGTAAATATTGAATGTTTCTGTTCAGTTCTCCATCAATACAGCGCTTCAAAAAAGTGTTGACTTCCGGAAATGTCCATTTCACTGATTTAAGTTCAATTTCTTCAGCTTCCATTTGAAATACTTGATCGATTGATAATTTTGGGATTTCCAAATAAACGCGTTTTTCAATTTTACAAAGTTGTTGAAAATCGCAAAATCTAAAATCGACTCTCTTTTTCAATTCAAGAATTTCCAAATTTTGCAATTGTTTGATGTTTCGTTTTCCATCAAAAGATACACCGTCCTGAAAAATAACTTGAATATTTTCAACAAAATCTCAAGCTCACCTCGATTTTTAACTCTTTCAAACTTTTACTTCCAATTTTGATGAAATAATCATAATATTTGAGAATAACATCATCAACTTCTCCAATTTCTTTTTTTTCCCAAAAATTGCGATTGAAATTGATATCTGAGCAGATCACACGAACTTTTTTAGGCCGACAGTTAGCCAGGTGGGCGGATGAAGAAGGCGAGTGGAGAAAAGGGTTCAGAAGAAGATCGAACAAGCGGTAGAAAATATGAAGAAGATAAGTGAAGAAGAGGAAGAAAAGATGAAAAAGAGTGGAACTGTGGTCGGCTGAAGAGTCAGTAAACTCGAGTACTTTCTCAACATCTTTTGATATAATCTTAATAGCCAATGAATTTCTCCGGTATTTGAATACTTTGATTGATTCGATATCAATTCCACTCATTTCAACTTCTTCTGCACATTTTTTTGAACAAATCGCGAATCGACATTTTGATTTCGTATCCATCAAATCGATAATAGTACTTCGAAGTTTATAAGGAATATCAAACCATCCCTGGAAAAAAACAAAATTAGAAAACAATCAGACTTTCCGTGAATTTTACCTTTTCTTCAACATCCTCCGATATTTCCAACTTTCCGAGTTGAAGGCCCATCACCTGAAAATAAAAATCAATAAATTGAAGTGAAATTTGTCGCTCGAACAGATTTCATCAAAAACTGTACAAAAAAACCAAAAATAAAAAATAAATGCGCGTCAAACCAAATGCAATGTGTGCATTTGCATACCGTATCTTTTTGCGAAAAATATTTTCTTTTTTGGCGTCATTTTGAATTTTCCCGGGAATTATTGCAGGTGTTTGTGGGTAGTGGTGCTTGCGGATTTTTTCAAGGCGTATTTTTACTGCAAAAGTTTAGGTTTCTAACTTGAAACTACAAGAACTTCCTTGTTCAAAAAATTATTTTTTTTAATCTGAAAAAAGTCTCAACTCACCCAACGAGATTTTCAATGGTCCAAGATGTGGACTAACAGTAAAAACATGAACAAGTTTCAGCGACGAAAAAATGTTGGCAGTTGAGAAAAAACATTCGGCGACCAGAGTTGGATCAAAAGAATCCCATTCGGCTCGAGCAATTCGACGAGCATTTTTGTGTATCAATGATTCTTTTTCGACCTGAAATTAAAATTTGAAGGAATCAAGGAAGGCATTTTCGAAATCACAAAAAATTTGTGAATTTTTGAATATTGAAGCTTTGAAATTCTGAATTTCAAAGGGAATTTTGAAATCAACAAACCTGATAATAGCTAACAACCCGCAATGCAAAAGTGCACAAATATAGCGAATTCGTGATGAAATCCAAAATATTCCATAAATTTCGACAATAATTGAATAGACCAGATTCCCATAATTGTTTGATTTCAACCCATATCAAACCAAGTACCCATAATAAAATAGCGCATTCAATAATTGTTGGAGGCGGACCTCGAGTTTCTTTTCGAAATTCGCCAGTGTTGAAAAGTTGATCGATTACTTGAACGCGTTGAGATGCCATTATTAATAGAACTGCAAATTTTGGAGCAATTTTTGGGACCACTTTCAGATTCCAAAACTCACCAAGAAAGAAAATATAACTACCAGTATGTGACAAGAATTTAATAAAAGGTTTTCGAGCAAATCTTCCGATTGGACTATGTGGAGCAAAAAAATAGATCAATGAGAGGATCGGAAACATCATCATGCCGAAAATATAAAATATGAATTTGTAGAAATAGTTGCAGTTTCGAATGTTTTCCACGCCATCGTACCAAATATCGAGAAGAAGTTGTTGACAATTTGGATGAGCGACGAACTGGAAATTAACAAAAATTAGATTTTTTATCGTGGAAAAATATTTTTTAAAAATAGGGTGCAAGGACGCTCCAGCGAACAACTGGTGTTTTTATGAAAAATTCAAATTTTCATTTTTTTTAATTTGTTAATCGTATCATCTTCGTATCAAGAATAGAAATCGTTAAAATTAGATTGAAAAAAGTAAATTCGCTCCAGCGAACAACTAGTATTTTTATGAAAAATTCAAATTTTCATTTTTTTTTAAATCCTGAAATCATGTGAAAACGGATAAAACTAGCAAATTCGCTCCAGTGAACAAAACATGTTCTGGTGAAAAATTCAAATGTTATTTTTAAATTTATAAAGAGATTTGAGAAACACAAAACTCCTGGAACAAAAAAATTAAAATTTTTAATTTTTTGAATTTTTTGATGAAACACACTTTGTTCGATGGAGCACACTTGCTATTATTTCATTTTTCTTTGTTCTTTTGAGAGTTTTTTGTGCCACGTCATAACCCTAACCCTCAATTGCTCACCCGTTTTTGTGAAAGTTGTATAGCCAATTTCAATCTAGCCAATTGTTCCGTATTTGCCGTATTTGCTGACGTCACATCATGCCACGCATTTGTTGTATGATTCAAAACAATTTCCAATTCTTTCGAACCTCTAACTTGATCCAACATATGAACACAAAATTTCTGACATTTCTGCGACAATTCTTCATAATCAGTCTTGAATTCATTCTCAATATAACTCAATCGCCTCAATTCCCAACTCAATTCAAAAGCATATAAAATCGGATCCCTCGCTGAAAGACAAATCAAAGAGGGTGATGTTAGAGCACGATATGCGTTTATCCGAGATCGAGATAATCGCAGAGAGTCTTCTTCTCGTGCCACATAACATTCTTGACATGAGCAACGAACATCGTGCGGATGTGGAACACTTCCTTTTTTATCGAGGAATAGTTTGATGCATTCGTAGTTGTCTTTGTGAGCGGCTAGAACTATTGGTGTGACATCTGGTGTGAAAGCAGAGTGTTCGGTTATTTCGACACCTTGACGCTGCAAATTATTGGAAGTTGAGGGGAGGGAGGAAGAAGAGTTGGCCTAACTTTTTGAATTTAAAAGTTTTTCCAAAAAAAGTTATCTTGGGATTTGAGATAACCTTATTGGTATAAAAAATTCGGGAATTTTTTTTTGAAAAATATTTTTTCCATTTTTTTTCTGCTCAACTTACTTGAAAAAATTATTCAAAATTCTAAACTTTGCTAATAAAAAATAATGAGAAATGAATATTTTAAAATGAAATAAGAATTTTTGGAAAAATTTGGGTCACGCGAAATTGTTGAAACATTTTTTATAAATATTGTTCTTTCTGAAAAAAATTCTACGGTTTTTTTTCAAAAATTTATTTTTTCAAAATTGAACTCTAGGCACGACTACTTAAGATCTAGGATCTCTAGACTTGGTTACTTGATTTAAATGCTCTCAAGGCAAGGCTCCTTGCCAGAGTGTATCTATAGATGTGAGTCCTAGACAATGATGTTTTTTCGGCGCGGCTACTTGACAGCTAGCCTCACTTTTTTTATTTTAAAAATTTTTTAGGCATAGAAACTTTCAAGTTTAAGCCTCGGCCTCATAAAAATTTTAAATCTACCTTTTTGATAAAATCCCGATTGGGTTAAACAATAAAAATTCAGATAAGTTCCCCAAACAAACCTCCGCATCAAATTTGTCCATTTTTTCCAAATGCTCCACAATTATCTCCACAGCCTCCACGTTTTCCTCACCAATTGCATACAAAATCGCGTCTCCTGTCTGCAAATTTCATTTTTTTTTCAGATTTATTCAAAAAGTGCAAAAAAAAGAAGAGAATCAAACCTCAATATTATGGTCCAATAGTAATTCGATCATTTCGATATTCTCGTTTTCAATTGCGATGAGAAGTGCATTTCTGAAAGGAATTTGAGAAGATTGGGTTTCCAGATTTTTCAGGGAAAATGTTCGGGGTTTGAAAATTCTCTGAAACTGAAAAAGCTGAGAATATTATTTTGTTGAATTGATTTCTGGTTCTAGAACTAGAGTACCGAGAACTGCAAAAATAATTTTTTTCAGATTTTTCTGGGAATTGAGAAGTTTGAAAAAAAAACTACAGTACTTTAATGTGTTATATCCTAAAGTGGAATTACAGTATTCCAAACTGCAAAAGCAGAAACTACAGTATAATTTTTAAAATTAAGAAATAACTTCTGAGAGTAGAGTTACAGTATCTCAAACTGCAAAAATCATGTTCTTCTGAATCCAGAACTACAGTAATCCAAACTGCAAAAATTCCAGATTTTTTTGCATCCAGAGCTACGAGAAAACACTACAGTACTCCGAACTGCAAACCCCTGATAAATTTGAAAAGTTCTTAATCCCTCTCTCATTAGATTTCTAAAAATTTAAAAATTTTTGAATCACGCAAAAATCAGCTATTTTTATATCATCTCCCACCTAAATAATTCATAAATCTCAACTTTCAAAGCACAAAAAAATTTTCGAAGAAAAATGTGTCAACTTTTCTCGAAGAGTCGCAATGATGAAGTTTATTGGTTTTTTATGAGATTTTGAGATTTTTCTTTCCTCATCCCCGGAAATCTTTCAGCTTCTTCTTTTTTTTTTGAGTAAATTTTTGGCTCCAAGGAAAAATAAGTAAAAAAAAATAACAATAAGTAAACAAACCTTCCCAAGGGATCCAACGTGTTCAAATTGAAATTTTCGCCGGAAATATTGGCCAATAGTTTTCGAACACTTCCGATGTCACCACGTTCGCAGGAGAGGAGAAATTGTTTTTCGCGCAGTCGCGCAATGTCGCCTGGAAAAATTTGAAATGTGAAGTTTGGCTGAAAAAGATCTGGAAAATTTTGAATTTAAAATCTAACTGAAATAATTTACTGAAAAAAATCTAGCTGGAACTTTGATTTTCAAATTTGAACTGAAATTATTTTCTGAAAACATTTTTAAATCTTGAGGCTCAAATTCCCAGCTAAAAATTACCCTAACATATTTTTTTGCTGAAACTTACAGTCTCCATTTCCACTTCCACGATCTTCTGATGTTTGGGCTTGCATTGTGTCTGGAAAAATTTGAAATTAGCTATGACGTGGCAACTTGAAATCAGTGCAAACTAGAAAAAATATAAATTTTTTGAGTTTTAAAAAAAATCTCGTGAACTATGACGTGGCAATTTCAATTTCATTTTTTATGGAAGATTTTCAGAGATCTGATTTCTTCCGACCAAGATTCCAAAATCAACATTTAGTTAGCTCAAATCTGAAATATGACGTGGCAAAATTTGAATTTCAGAATTTTCAGCTGGCTCAATTTTGCCACGTGGATTTTCTGATTTTGGGATTTCAAGAGCTGCGAAACAAAATTCAGATTTCGTAACTAAAAACCACATTTCAATTTCAAATTTCAATAATCCGAGCAAAAAAACAAATTTCACAACAATCTAAATTCTAAAAAATATAATTTCCTGAAGCCCAAAAAACTTCATTTTTCTTCGTGTTTTTTCAACAACTCCCCACTTTTTTTCTCGCTAGCATAGATATTCAAAAATTGTGAATTTGTGCCTGGGGATTTTGTTTTCCCAACCAGAAAAATTGCGGGAAATGAGACCAAAAAATTGCAAAGCAAGGAAAAAAGTTTTCTAGCAAAAAAGCAGAAAATCAAATTTGAAATTTAATTAAAAAGTCAAAGAAGCCACACATTATTGAATTGGAAGACAAATGTACGAATTTTTATTTTGAGGGATGAGAAAAAACAAAAAACATGGAAGAAGTCCTAACTTTTTCTATTTACCTAACTAAAAAATCCCACGAAAAAATCAACAAAAGTTTGTAGTTCCAAAAAAAAATTCAACATTTTTTTATAGATAATAATTATCGAGAAATTTTTAATTAAAATTTTTGTCTGACAGAACGCTTCATAAAAATAGATGTTATTTACGATAAATAATCGAAAAAGTTGCACTTTTTAATATATTGTTAGAGAAAACCCAAATGGCAGAAAACTGGGAAAAATTCGAAAATTCGTGTGGTTAATTGCATTTTTATGCAGCCAATTGAACTTTAAAAAGTTTTGGGAAATGCGTCATTTCGGCTGGAAAAAAAAGAGATGAAAAAGATTTTGCAGGCGAGCGGCATCGAACCTGGGTCATGCGGGTGAAAAGCAAAAGCGCTGCCACTGCGCTATCTGACCATTGCGGTAATTGAAGGGGATTTAGTAGAAAAGCTAGCGTTTTGAAATTTGAGTTAGAGGTTTTTAAAATTGAAGTTGAAAAAATTTCGAAAAATTTAAAGCAAGACCCTCGAAAACAAAACACAATTAGCCAAATTTACAACACCTCCCGGCATCCGAAAAATAAACTTATTTCCGGAAAAATTTAAAGATCTTTGAATAAAAATAGCAAATATGCTCTACGGAACAAAAACAATCTTTTTGAAAAATAAATAGAGAATCAGTTTGTTCAGAGGAGCAAACTTGCTCAATCGGCATTTTTTTAAATCTTCAGAAAACTGGCTCTACAAAATCAAATTAATTTTTTGAAAATAACTTCAAAACACAATGTGTTCAATGGAGCGTATTTGCTAAATCTGCCCAAATTATCCTGAAAATTAGCCAAATTTCCTCAAAACTCACCACTATTCGAAAAAGAAATCGAAGTTGTTTTTCGAAAAGATCCTTTTCCACTTTCATCATCTTCTTCATTTTCGAGCTCTTCAGGAACAGTCAAACTTTTTTGAAACTTTAAAATTTCCGGTGGATTCATCTGAAAAAAAATATATGATATTCTTTTGCTTTTTTCTTCGCTACTTGAAATGAACTGAATGAAATATGAGATAGATGCAAAAAAATGAAGAAAAAATGAAAAGAGATGCAAAATGTGGTGGAAATTGATAGAATTCCAATTCGAATACTATTTCATTTTTTTTTTGAAAAAAAATATTTTAGAAAATAAATCTTGAAAAGTTCGTATGAAAATCTAGAAATCGGATAAAATTTCAAGAAAAAAATGAGCAAAAAAGAGAAGACAAGAAAAAAAAAACAAAAAATAATTGAATCATGGATGGACTGGAAAAATAGGATTATTGAGAAATTTTGTGGAAATGGGAGAAGACAGAAATTTGATTTATTTATCTATACTTTTTCGAAATTTCAGAGATTTCCTGAGGATTCTTGGAAATTGCTTGAAAATTGGCTGGTTTTGAGAATATTCTAGATCCTCACAAGGAATGGTTTTCAATGTTCCCCCAAGGAAAAAATCGAGAGTATGTGGAATGTTGAGGGTTCCCGTGGGTAAGAAAAACCCTAACGGGAATAAGGAGAAAAATGCCTTATTCTCGAGAAAAAATGTATTTTAGGTCGATTTTTACACCATTTTTTGATTTTTAGAGCATCTGTAACTCGATTTTGAATCTATTTCATGAACTTTTGAGTCGTGGAAGTTGTTCAGAATGGTCGATTACGTGTTTGTGAAACTTTTTATGAAAAAATTAGACATTTTTTGAAATTTGGTTTTTTTAGTCGGGGTTTTTCTGATCAAATGGTCACCAAAAAACACAAAAAATAATTTTTTCCATTTTCAAATGAACGGAACTTGAAAAATTTATGACGGTCAACAGACGTAATTTGGTCCGTAGAATCCAAAAATCATAGTCTCGATTCACACAAACTTCTCCTTCACAACGAAAACGTTGATTTTCTATGAATTTTTCAAACTAGAAATTTGATTTAGTGGACTTTTGGGACCAAAATTATTTTATTCCTAATTTTGGTCGAAGTAATACTAAAGTACGCCGTTTGCGCTACAAATGGATTTTTAGACTGACATTTTTCATCAATTTTGAAAAAAGTTTCGATTTTTCTAAAAAATTTCATCGCAAAAATCAATAACACCAAAATTTTCTAAAACAAGGCATTTTTCTCCTTATTCCCGTCAGGGTTTTTCTTGCCCACGGGAACCCTCAACATTCCACATACTTTCGATTTTTTCCTTGGGGGAACATTGAAAACCTTTCCTTGTCAGTTAGAAAAGTTTTGGATTTTGTTCTCCGAAAAAATTCATTTTGAAAACTTTGAAATTCTGAAACTTTGTGCCAAAATTGTTTTTTTCAAAAATTAAGTACTGAAATTTCCACGTGGATTTTTTAAGTTTTGAAAATTTTCTGAACTATTTTTTTTCAAAATGTAAATTTTTGCCACGTCATATCCACGCTTTAGCCTCATTTTTTTCCATTTAAAATGTCAGATTTCCCGCAAAAATCTTTGATTTATGTTTTCTGAAATTCGAAATTCCAGAATTTCCGGCAAGCGGATGTGTTATAAAGTGCTAAAAAATTAGCCAGATGCTGTTTTTCGAATTATATTTTTAATCTATGAGATTTTGTCGTTTTCGCAGACATCATTTTCGATAAGTCGCATGTTTTTGCAACAGAAAAAAACAAAGAAAATCCAGGCGTGAGAAGAAAAAAGAAAGATAAAAATGGTTTTGAGAAGAAACTTTTGGTGGAAGAGAAAACATACATAAAATAAGTAGAATAAAGTCAGACTTTTTTGGAGGAAAGGAAATTTGATTGAAAAAAAAACGGAAAGAGCAAACTAGAAACAGAACAAGGTTTTGAGGTTTGGAAGACATTGCTCATGTTAATCATTACAAGATCGAAAAATCAAGCATTGCTCATGTTATTTATTGGTTACGGTTGAATTAATTTTTTGAGAAACATTTTCGGTTGCTCATGTTAACATTTTTTGTATAGTCCCTAACACCATTCGTGTTTTTTCTCAATCTTCGAACACTTTTTTTTCAACTCACAAAATCAAATTTGCCTCTTTTTTTATTCTTCGCCTAGCCTTTTTGTCCTAAACAGAAGCACATGTTTTTTCTTCGCCTTTTCTTTTATATATATTTTTTCGCCAAAAATTTCAGACAAAAACAACACTTCTAGTAATTTAATTTGAAAAAAAAACAGAAAAAAAATGAAGGCGGCGGGAGGAATTGAACCCGCGTCTTGAGATTGAAAAGCAAAAACGTTGCCACTGAGCTACTTCACTATTTTTCAACGAAGTGCGAAATTCGTGAAAAGCATAGCTGACAAAAAATATTCAGACAACAAAAAAACAGAACACTTCTAGTAATTCAATAAAATATTTAATTGGAAATTGGATAAGAAAAGTCAAAAAACTGACAGAAAACAATTTGGATGCGAAAAAATAATTGGATTCTTTCGCGGGAAAAATTATGAGTATAGATATCTACAATTATAATTAAAAATTCACTTTCAGAGCTCAATTTTTCGAGCGCCAAGTTTTTTGATGAAAAGGAAAAAGAATAAAAATCGAGGCAAAAAAAGGGGTGAGAAAAGTTAAACGAATTTGGAAATCCTCAAAAAAAGATGGAAAATTGAATAAAATATTTTATCTTTGACGAAGACTTGAAGGAGGCGAAGAAAAAACGGAAAATTTATAGTGGAAAAGTTATGGGGAGGGGCAAACATTGATTTTGTCTTAACTTTTTAAAAATGTGAGGTCTTCTAAAAAAAATGAAAAAAAAAGAAACTGGCGGGCAGAGGGAATCGAACCTGGGTCTCGTGCGTGAAAGGCAAAAGATCTGCCACTAAACTACTCTACCGTTTCTGAAACTTGCTGAAATTTGGTAGAAACCTTTAGCGCAACTTGCAAATTTTCAACAATTTAAATTTTACGAGAATTTTTTTACGACACAACTAAACAATTGCAATTTTACACCGAAACCTTTTGAAAACTCCGACAAAAAATGTTTGAAGGAAAAATGCGAATATTATTGACTGATTTATGAGCTATTCTTCTAAAAAACAGCTGTATTTCGGCTAGAACATGACTTTTTTACACCAGCTACAAATTTCATATTCGACGACAAAGATGAACAACAATTTTATGGGTTATAGAAATCTTGATCCAAAAAATATTCCAAAAAAAAAAAAAAACAAAAGCCCCACGCTTTTTCGAATTACTAGCTGAAAATAGATAGAAATAACATGCTCTGAAAATGAAAAAATAAACAAATTTGTAAATTGTTTTTTTTTTCAAAAAATAGACAAAAGAGAAACATTTTTCCTCTTGGAAGCAATTGAATGGGATAATAAAACAAAGAGACAAATTTTTGCAATCACTATAATAAAATGACGACAAATGACTCGTGAGAATTAAATAGATGGATACTCAAATCTCAACAAATTCGGGGAAGCTTTTCTTTTGAGCTGAAAGGAAAGAAAAGAAAAAATACTAAAACTTTTAGAACAAAAGTGACCTTTTCTTCTTTTTTTTAGCTGAATAAGTGGGAAAATTGCATTTGCGCACGGACCAAAATGCACTTTTTTACTCTTAGTGATGTTTAAATTATATTTGTTCAGAGAATGCTTCCTCGAACGTCTTTAAGAAAAAAGAAAAAAATTCACGTGAAATAAAAAATATAGTCATTTCAACTTCCCTCCCCTTTCCTCTCTTGTTGTTCGGTGGAGCGCACTTTCTTGACCATCTGTTCGTTGCATTTTTTATTTTTTTCTTCGCTTTTTTTCTTGTTTCCTTTTCGTTCAGGAAAAAATGGACGATGATTCGTTGGCTGGAAATTCAGGTGAGCGTTTTTGTTTCTATTCTATAGAAAATTAATCAACAGTATTTTTGTTCTAGGTGGAAAAGGATATTGGAAGCAGAATTTGTATTTATTGCAAGAAAAAGCGCCGAAACCAAATGCAGTTTTATGTCGAAGACAATTAGAAAATCGACCAAGGCAATATGGCCAAGAATTTCATGGATTAATAGAACGCGCAGATGCCGAAAGAATGCTGTTACAATCTGGAGAAGGCGCATATCTTGTGAGAGAATCGACACGTTCAAAAGACGCTTATACATTATGTATGGTTTTTGAAGGAAAAGTTATGAACTATAAATTATTTTATGACGGCGCTTTTTATGTGGGCGAAAAACGATTTGATACAATGGATCTTCTTGTTGCTGATGGTTTAATATCAATGTTCGTTGATTTACACGCTTCAGATTATATAAAACGAATGGCTGACGAAGCGATTTATGAGGATAGTCCTTATTCGAAATATACAAATGCAACTTCAGATATTGCTCGAAGACCAATTACAAGATCTCATAATTTTTCGTCATATACTTTCAAAGCTCCACATTACTGTGATTATTGTCGCAATTTTCTTTGGGGTTTAGTTCATCAAGGAATGCGATGTGAGGATTGCGGATTTGCAGCACACAAAAAATGTTCAGAAAAAACACTGCATGATTGTAGACCTGAAGCGAAATATGTGAAAAGAATGTTTGCTGTGGATATTACGACACTTTGTATGGCACATTCTACTGATTTACCACCAGTTGTAACACTTTGCATTGATGAGGTAAGCTCATTTGAAATTCATAGTCTTTTTCAAAAAAAAAAAGAAATATGTTTCATGTCAGGTCGAAAGTCGTGGATTGAATGTGGAAGGAATTTATCGAGTTTCTGGATCGCATGAACATATGGAAAAGTTGAGACAACAATTCGATTCGAATCAAAATGTTGATTTGAATAATGTAGCCGATATTCATACAGTCTGCGGATTGTTGAAATTATATTTCCGACTTCTTCCACAACAATTAATTCCATTTAGTGTGCATAAGAATATGCTTCTGGCTTATCAGGAGACGAATAATCGACCGATTCATGATAGAATTCGGATATTGAGGTAGATTTTTGAAAAAATTCGGAATTGAGTTATGACGTGGCAAAGTTTGTTGCCTGTTACAAGGGAGCTGTTTCAACTTGCAATCGTGATTTTCAATGAAATTTATGTTTTCTAGTAGTTTTCGACTCACTGACTTACGATTCCGTTGTCTAAAACCGCTAAGCTCAACTCCTAACATGAGTAATGACGTGACAAAGTTGGAAAAAGTCGAAATATTGCGACTTTGGGAGGTCCGAATTGTTAATCGAGACTCCTGAATAACGCTATGCTATCAGATTTTCATGAAAATAAATTTGAAAATGAGTTTCGACCTCCTAAAGTCGCAGTTTTTCGAAATTTTCCAACTTTGCCACGTCATAGCTCATGTTAGGAGTGGAGTTTCGCAGTTTCAGACAGCGGAATCGTGATCAGCGGGTCGAAAACTACTAGAAAACATATATATTTTATTAAAAATCACGATTGCAAATTGAAACAGCTTCCTTATTAGAACACAGGCCCTGCTGAACTATTCACAACTTTTTTCCCTTCCAGAAAAACCATAATGGAATTATCCGACGCCAACATCATAACCCTTGGCGCAATTTTGGCACATTTGAAAAAAGTGTCGGAGCACAGCTCGCAGAACAAAATGACCATCGAAAACCTGGCCACAATTTTCTCGCCAACACTTTTCTGCTCTGGCGCCATTCCAGCAATGCCAAATCATCAATTGTTGCATTTTATGATCAGTAATCCGAGAATTGTTCCAAAACATCAATAATTCGGGATTCAGATCCTCAAGAACCGGTATTCTTCTTTTTTTTTGCTCCAAACTAGTCCATAATTTTTTTTGAATTTCAATTTCTAAACCTGAATATTTCACTTTATCTCTTCCCCAAAAGTATCTCCTTTTCGGTGCTCATTTCACAATTTCTACGCATATTCGAACGAAAAATCATCATCTCACCCCCACATTTTTCTCCTGTTTCAACTAACCACATGTTCATTTTGTCTTGCGGGTTTTTTGCGCATCTTTTATTTAAAAATACACATATTTTTGCATTTTTCTCTTGTTTGAATGAATTTTTTTTTGAAAATTTCTATTTTTTATTTTGAAGTAAGATGAAAGAGGTTTGTGGAGCCTTGTATTTTTTATTGTTGGGATTTTTTGAATTTTTCAGATTTGGACTTTTTGGCGCTGGAAAATCCACGTGGAAAAATGGCGCGAAAAATTGAATTTTTGAAAATTCAGAATTCAAGAAAAAAATGAAATTGCAGCATGAACGAAATTTTCAAAATTTAAAGGAAAATCAAAACATTTTGGCACCAAAGTTTAAATTTTCAGAAAAATTTGAAAACTATTTAATAATTTCAAAAATAGTTAGCTTCTAAAAAATTGAAAATCCACGTGGAAAATTTTTGGGTAACTTTGAGAGAAATCACGAAATTTCACCTCAAAATTTGAAATGTGGTGATAAAAATTCCACGTGGAAAAATTTTCGCTCAACTCTGCCACGTCATAACTTTTTTCAAAATTTTTCATTTTTTGCAAATTTCAGAATAATTTTAATTTCTCAAATTATTTTTTCAATCAATTTTCATACCAAAACCTCCTATGAATCACCGGAAATTTTGTCTTCAAAAAGAAAAAAACAAAAAATAGTCTTATCTGTTTTGTGCATCTTCCTATAATTCATCATCGCAAAAAAAATATTGGAAATTCTTTTTTTCTGAAGAAAAAAATATATATAATTATTTCCTCTCTCCAAAAAATTTTCCAACAAAAAAAAACATTTATTTTCAAATAAATTCATATCAAATTTTATCGATCCATAAATAATTGTTTCTTTCTTTCACTAAAAAAAATTCATTATTTTTATTTATTTCAAAATGAAAAATGAAAAACGAAATGGACAAAATTGCATCTTTTTTCTCCCCGAAAATTTCTTCAACTCTCTGCGTCTCTCACTGATTATATTCACTATGCAAAAAAACTACGAAGAGACCACTTTTTTTGTTCTCTGTTTTATTTACTAAAGTGTTTCAAGTGTAAATAAAATGTGAAAAAATTGACTGAAAATGAGCATTTTCTGTGCATTTTCCGGTTGATTTGAGGTAGTTTTGAGGAGAAATGAGTTATTTTATGTATGCATAAGAGAAAATTAATTTTTCATTAGAAAAGTTGCATTTTCCAGTTTTCGTAGTGAAAAAAAGCTTTTTAGGGTCAAAATTTCGAATTTTTAGCGCAACTTTTCCTCTAGAAATCTCTATTTTCAAGCCAAATTTCTAAAAAAAAAATGTTTTTATTCCTCGAAAATCCCTAATTTCTTCCTCTCTCCCCCACATTTTGTTCCAATTTCAAAATCCCATAAATCTAACAACATTGACACATTTTATTTAATTTTCATTTGATTTCTGGTTTTCCTCCTCCTCTTCTTTTCATTTTTTCTCAAGTATTTCATTTTATTTTTCAAATTTTATATCAAAATTAATTTTTGTAGGATGAGAAAATAATGGATGTTTCATCTGGAAGTGTGATTTTGCCAGAGGATCGAATGACTGTTTCGTGTCCACCCGAAACTTTTGATGATAAAGGTATTTAAGGAAGGGTTTGGGGAATAGTTAGCTCAACTCAAAAAAATTTCCAGAATCAACATTGAATGTGATACCTGAAGAATCTACCAACGGAACTCGACTAGATTATGAAATTCAACGACCTGAAAGACCTGGCGAAACAACATCTCAACATGGATCAAGAAGATCTTCGTGTTGTTCAGCTGATGATGAAAATGAAGAAGATGATGTAGAAGTTCGAGTTGAAACTCTGAATATTGAAGATGAAGATTTACCTGAACAGCAACAAAATCAGAAATCAGAAGAAGAAGCAGAAGAGCAACCTTTGACAGATCGATATGGATTTTTTGTGAATCAAAAGATACCTGGTCAAATTCTAGCCTCCTCCACGGAAAACACAACAATATCGATTGAAAAATTGAGAAGTCGAGAAAGAAAATGGATGCATATGATCAAAAATTGGCAATATTTTATGGATGAAAAATTCGAGTTGGTCAAAACACGATGTCGAAAAGGAATTCCGCCGAGTATGCGAGGACAGGCTTGGATGTTGTTGTGTGGAGGATTGTATCATAAAGAGGTGTCGCCAAATCGATTGGTTTTTGATGTATGCGCGGGGGTTTTGGAAGGGGGGATGGGAAATTACAATTATCGAAACCTGAAGTTTTGAAATTTTTGATTTGGGTCATGAATTTTTGAACCAACTCGAATTTTCCAAAAAAATTTTGCGAATCACGAAATGTTATGTGAAAAATTTGAATTTTGAAGTTTTCGTGCCATAAAGGCTTGAGGTGAAAGTTTTTCAAACGATACTCCACGTTTACGCGGTCATTTTTCATGCTTTTTGATGAGAAATGACCCCGTAAATGTGGAGTATCGTTTGAAATACGAGAAACAACGATGCTTCGTGTTTACACTTCGAAAAATGATGAGAAACATGCTATCGTGAAAATCACATTGAAATTTCATTTTCACTTTTTAAAAAAAATTGAACTGAAAATCTGAGTCAACTCTAAAAATTTTGGAATTAAGAACCTTTTAGGTCTAATTCCCTACCTAAAAATTCTAAAATAATTTTTTGATCTATGACGTGGCAACTTTTAGCCCCTCATAATGTTTTTGCAGTATTGTATAAATCAAGATGGCGATCCAAAATGGATTGATGATATTCAAAAAGATCTCAACAGACAATTTCCCGAACATGAATTGTTTTCAAGAACTGGAAAATATGGAAATGGAGGGTAAGTCTTCATTTTTAATTAATTAATTAACCAATCAATAATTTTTTTTTTCTTCTTTAGAAAAGACGATTTATTCAATCTTCTAAAAGCCTATACAGTCGTCCATCCGGAAGAAGGATATTGTCAAGGACAGGCTCCGATTGCAGCGGTTCTTCTAATGCATATGCCAGTTCGAGATGCGTTTTATTGTTTTGTCCAAATTTGTCACAAATATTTGCCCGGATATTATAGTCAAGGTCTTGAAGCGATTCAAATTGATGGAGATATTTTGAACAAATTGTTGAAGGAGAAATCGAAATTGACTTATCGATTGTTTGTGGGTTTAAATTTTGCAGTGGAAAATTTTCGAAAAACCAAAAGACCTGGAAAATATACGTTTCTAGGATTTTATAAAGTGAATAAAAATTATACAGGAATGATGGATCTCTTATTCTTGTACGTGGTGGCAAAAACAATGAAAATTAGGGTTTTCATAAATAGAATTCTTCGAATATCTAGTCCGTGGCCTAGAATTCTCATGCGAAGGTTCTAATGACCGAGAAAACCAAATCTCACAAAAACTAGTCCGCGGCCCTGAAAACCTCCATCCTAGGACCATTTTACTAGAAATCCAAACATAATTTTCAGAATGAAAACACTCACAAGACTCCTGAAATTTCAAGCTCCTCTCTATCTCCCCAAATATTATTTTTTCTTCAGAAAAAGAACAACATCGATCCAATCCTCTATATGGTCGAATGGTTCATGTGTGTCTATTGTCGAACACTTCCCTGGCCGACAGTTCTACGTGTCTGGGATATGTTTCTTTGCGAAGGCATCAAAATCATGTTCAAAGTTGCGCTGGTTTTATTGAAATACGGTTTGGGCTCACCGACACAGTGTAAAGATTATCCGGATATGCATGCGATTTTGACGAGACTCAAGAATTTACCGCCACAAATTATGACCGAACAATTTATTGTGGAAAAGGTATATCTATTTATATTTGAAATATAATTTTAAAAATTCTGAACAATTTTTGCAGGTCTGCGAAATGACTTTAAATGACAGTGAAATGGAAAAGTTACACTTCAGCGCAATGAAACTTCGCCAAATGAGATTTGACAAAAATTCCTAATCGATTTCAGTTCAAAACATTCCCTTATTGACTTTTTAAGTGTCTTTCTTTTCTATTTTTTTTTGCAAAAAATTGTTCTCCGGTGCTAATTATATTGTGTGTATATAAATAATAAACAAAAATAAATAAATATTTTAATATTTTTCCGCGTGTTCTTTTATTCTACGTGTACTTACAGAGTATTTAAGGCGGTTGGATTTGCACAGGAAAAAAAAACATTTTTTCATTTTTCTCGAAAATCGGCTAGAGAGTGTGAGTTTTGGGGAGACGCAGAGAAGCGCGGTGTGCAATTGTGCGTGACGGTGTTTGCAGAATAGGAGAAACTTGCGATTTTTTTCAATTTCGCCGGCGACTTTTGGGGCTTTTAGTAGAGAGGATAGGGATTTATTATAAATTGAGAATTTTGCAGTTCGGGTAAATCGAGATGGCTCCACAACCGGGACAATCCAGTAATCACCCGCTACCAGCAAAGGAGCTCGGATGTTTCAAAAAGATCATTGTGAGTTTTTTCTCTCGATTCATTTTGAAATTTAGTTTTTTGGGGAAGTTTTTCTAGATTTTGAGCACAGTTGGGTGAATTTTACAAAAGAAAAATCAATAGATTTCTGTTAAAAACTACTGAGAAGTTGAATTTTCCTAATTATTTCACAAGGGAATTTTTGATGAAATTTATATTTTCTAGAAGATTTTGGCCGGCTGATTAGCAGCCTGGTGTAATAAAATGTACAGCTTATGAGTTATGACGTGGGCAATTTTTGAAAAATCATGGTTTGATAATGCCAGAGTAGTTAGCCACAAATTCCAAGCTTTGCCACGTCATAGCTCATGTTCAGAGTTGAGCTAAGTTGATAACAGGGTTCGGTCAAAAACTACTAGAATGCCATTTTTGTCTTCAAAAACCAATGAAATCCTGTCTGTTTCCAGAAAAGTTATGAGCAAAAACAATACAAAGCTGGGCTTAAACTTGCTAAGCAAATCATGTCAAATCCAACATACGCCGAACACGGTGAAACTCTCGCCATGAAAGGTCTCATTCTGAATTCGATGGGAAAAACGGCGGAAGCGCAAGATTGTGTGAAACGTGGATTGAAAGCGGATTTAGGTTCGTATGTTTGTTGGCATGTTTATGGATTGGTGCAAAGAACCGAAAAGAAATACGATGAAGCATTGAAAGCTTATAAAAGAGCATTGATGTTGGATAAGGACAATGTGACGATTTTGAGAGATTTGTCATTGTTGCAAATTCAATTGCGAGATTATGAAGGATATTTGGCATCGAAATATGACTTTTTACGGTTGAGAGGCAATCAAAAGACTTCATGGATTGGTTATATTGTTGCTCATCATTTAGTCAAAGATTATGATAAAGCATTGGGTGTTATGGAGGAATTTATCAAAAATAATAAGGTAGGATCTTTAGTTTGCCTCAAAATCAGAACAATTCGTTTTTTTTCAGCCTGATGGATATGACTTCGAACACTCTGAATTGATTCTCTATCAAAATATGATTTTGCGCGAAGCTGGACGATTCAAAGACGCTCTTCATGCTTTGGAGCAAAATTCGACACATATCGCTGATCGTGTTGCTTATCAAGAAATTCGTGGTACACTTTTAATGGAACTCGGGCATTTCGAAGAGGCGCAAAAAGTTTGGAAACAATTGTTGGATCGAAATCCGGAATCGTTGGAATATTATAATCAACTTGAAGCGTGTCTTAGAATTAATGGTGAGATTTTTTTTGAAAAGAAGGGGACTGGAGCTGAAATTTTAAATTGAGAATTATTGAAATTATGAAGTTCTGAAGTTGATCAAGATCAGGAAATCTAAAATTCACTAAAAACAATTTTTTTAATGAAAAAAATAATACTTAAGTTTTATTAAAATTTACGAATCTCGTCACGTTTTTTCTTTTCACATCGGTGAGTTTTACGATTACATTCATAGCTATAATTTTTGCATTGACCACCTTTGACACAGAATTGTGAAATAGCCAGAGTGATAAGCATGAAGAATATGAAAATTTTTAGCATTTTTTAAACAATTTTTTCGAAAGAAAATCATCTATTTATGATTAAAACACCAATTTCCAAAGTTATAAAACATGGGAAAAATCAAGAAATCAAAAAAATCAAAAATTTTTAGGAAACGAGAAAGACAAATTAAAAATGTATGACGATTTGGCGAAAAGATTTCCACGTGCAGCTGCTCCACGTCGACTTGCTCTTTATATGGTAGAAGGTGAAGAATTGCGCACTCGACTACATTCATGGATTGTTCCAATGATTCGAAAAGGCGCGCCAAGTCTATTCGCCAGTCTTGTTCCACTTTATGAATTCCCGAAAAAAGTCGAGGTTATCGAAACGCTTATCAATGAATTTGTGAAGAAAATGGATGATGAGGGATATAATAATGTGTCTCTCGAGGAAAATGGTGAAATTGAGCCGCCTTCGACTGCACTTTGGTTGTATGTTTTGGCTGCGCAACATTTTGATCGAGTTGGAAATGTGCAATTGGCTTTGAATTATATCGAAAGAGCTTATCAGCATACACCGACTTTGGTTGAGAATTTGATGTTGAAAGCTAGAATTTATAAGGTAATTTTATTTGGGGAGGGTTGGCGATTCGAAAAATGCTTTAGAAATATCTCAAAAATAATTTTTTCATAAAACCTCGAATTTTTGAGATTTGAGTTCATTTTTGATCATTTCCGATTTTTGTCAAAATTTAAGAATTATATTTCACAGAATTTTGGACCCTGAAACCACAGGAAGAAAATGGTCGAAAACTTCAATGTTTAAAAAATATAATATATAAGAAAGATGATATTTAGTTTTGTTTCTGGACCAAAAATTAATTAATCTCAAAATGTTTGCAGCATGCTGGAGAATATGAAGAAGCAGCTCGTTTGATGGATGAAGCTCAAAGTCTTGACACAGCTGATCGATATATCAATGGAAAATGTGGAAAGTATTTACTTCGCGCAGGTCGTCTAGAAGAAGCTGAAAAAATGTTGTCAAAATTCACACGTGAAGGCGAAAAAGCATCATCCCATTTAACTGATATGCAATGTTTATGGCATGAAATTGAATGCGGAAAAGCGAATCGATCATTGAATAAATACGGCGAAGCATTGAGAAGAGCACATCATGTTGAATTCCATTTCAATACAATGATTGAGGATCAATATGATTTCCATAGTTATTGTATGAAGAAAATGACTTTGTCAGCGTATGTGAAATTGTTGAGATTGGAAGATGTGATATGGCGAAATAATTATTATTATCAAGCTGCGAAATTGGCGATTAAGATTTATTTGAGAATGTTGGATCGACCGGAAGATATGAATGAGCAAAATGGATTGATTCGAGATGGAATGAGTGAAAATGAGATCAAAAAGATGAAGAAGAAGTTGAAGAAACAAAAGGAATTGGAAGAAGAAGCGAAAAAGAAGGAAAAGGAAAAAGAGGTGAAAGAAGAGGGTTTGCAAAGAGGACCACAAATTGATGGAGAACAATTGTTGAAGACTGCGAAACCATTGGAAGATGCTGCGAAATTCTGTCAGCATTTACATGTTTTGGGAACTCAACATGTTACTGGATATGCACTTTGTGCTGAAGTTTATCGAAGGAAGAATAAGGTTTTGTTGGTTTTGAAATGTTTGAATGAGGGAAGCAAACTCGATTCGCAACATCCTTTGCTTCATATTCAGAAAGTCAAGTTTTTGACATATTGTGAGTTTTTGAAGAGAAGAAAGCTAGAAGTTTAAAAACTGAAATTCTAGCCTAAAAAATGCACGTTTTTCTATTTTTATTTTAAATTTTTGATAAAAAATCAAGAAATGTTTTTTTTTTTCTAAAAAAATATCTAAATTTTTCCAGGGCCAACTGTTGAATTGAATGGTGTTGTAAAAGACACAGCTGAAGATCTTGTCAAAACAATTTTCGGAAACGAAACTGATGCGAAAAATTTGAATGAGCAATTCAAAATCGCCAATCAACACAGCTTTGCGCATCGTTTAGCTTGTAAGTTTTTTCTTGCAAGAACTTTTTTCATTCGATATTTTTATAGACGCCGAAGCGAGATCGAGTTATGAAGCTGATTCATCATTGAACAAATGGTTATTGAAATCGGTGGAAGATGAGACTGTTAATGGAAGAAGTTTGAAAATGTTGATCAAGTTGAGAGATGGAATTGAGTATGGGAAATATGGAAAATGGTCGAGTGAAGAGGTGAGTTTTTTGGAATTTCCTGCTAAATTTTGAATAAAAATACTAGATTTTCATTAATTTTTCCATTCTTCAGATCACCGAACTCAAAAGATTGGCTCATTTGAAATATCCATTATCGATTGAATTTGGCGGTGGATTGGCTAAACCAAAATCCGAAACCGAATAGAATAACTTGTTTTTTGTGTCGTGTTTTCCAAATAGCATTTGGCTCTCGAATCGCTCAATCAAAAACCGGTTTTTTTCGGCCCATCCTCTCCCCCTTCTTCATTACTTGTTTTGTTATTTTATTTATTTATTATTCGTTTTTGAAGCAAGGGGCATTTTTTGGAGAATTTCGGGCTGAAAATTACTCTAATCTGAAATTTTTTCAATTCCGAATTTTCCCGCAAAATGTTCCCCTTGTCTTCTTTTTCTGTGCCTCAATCCCCCCTCCCAAAAACTGCTTTTTCCCTCTTTCTCTCATGATAATAGACCCTAATTAATTATCATTTTCCCCCCTTTTTTGTCACAAATTTTTAGGATTTTTTGCTTTAGTTTACCTCTTTTTTCTCTCCCACAGCCCAGTTTTTTTCTCTAAATTTTATTTGCTCTTTTTTTTAGATGTTTTCTTTTTTCTGTTGATTTTTTCTCTTTTTAATAAGATTTTATTTAAATTTTTGTGGAATGTTTGGCTCTGGAAATCGTGGATTTTGACGATTTTTATATTTTAAAACATTTTTTGATAGATTTTTATTGGGTTTTTTTTAGAGGTTTATGTCATGAATATAGCTGTGGTTGATACTGATCATGAGGATAGTGGTGAGTTTTTTTTGGAGGGAAAATTTGAAAAAATCGAAATTTTGTTACAAGTTTCGATAACTCTGAAACCTGGAAATTTTTAATCAAAATCTAGAAAATTCGCAGATTCTCCTCATTTGAAAAATTATGAAATTCAAAGAAAAAAAATAATTTCGACTGAAAAATTTGAATAAAATTTTTATTAGGCATTTTGCATTGTTTTTTTGTTTTAAACATTTAAAAATAAATTCCAAGTGTAGAGAATTTTGAAATTACATTATTTAAATTTTTGAAATATCAATGAGACGTTGACATGTTTTCTTCCAAATTTCAAAAAACTAATTTGCAGATGATGGCCAAAATTACAATCATCAAGAAGAACAAGGATTCAATGCGGCTTATGAATCGAAAGAAGTTCTTGGTCGAGGAATTGCGTCAACAGTTCGAAGATGTATTGAAAAAGGAAGTGGAGTTCATTTTGCTGTGAAAATTGTTGATATTTCGACTGAAAAACAAAGTGAAGTGAGTTTTACGCGGAAATTTATGTTCAAAAAACTTCTTTCTAGGCTGAAGCCAAAAGGTTACATAGTGAAACAATATCGGAAGTGGAAATTCTTCGTCAATTATCCGGACATCCTTCTATCATCAAAATCCATGATTTCTATCAAACTCCATCGTTTCTTTTTGCTGTTTTCGAAATGGCGCCACGTGGCGAATTATTCGATCAATTGAATAATACGGTAACTGTTTCGGAAAAGAAAGCGAGACGATTAATGAAACAATTGTTTGATGGAGTCGAATATATGCATGATCGAAATATTGTGCATCGAGATTTGAAATTGGAAAATATTCTATGTATTGATGAGGAGAGAATTGTTATTTCGGATTTTGGATTTGCGACGAGATTGGAACGAGGGCAAAAGCTAAGAGGTAAGGGTTTTGGGGCTTTTTTTTTAATTCTGAAAATTAATTTCAAATTTGATGAAAAATATCAAAATATATATTGCTTCGCTTAAAAATAATATGTAGGGTTAAATTCTACAAATTTGAGATGTCCTTGGATCAAAAATTGACTCAATGAAATTTTTATTATATAAAAATTGAAACAGTTAATTTTTTTTTTCAAAAAAAAAGTAATAATTTAATTTTCAAGTCTGAACCAAATGTCTAGCATTGAAAGCAGGATAATATTAAAACCAAAAATTAGAGAATTGAACTTTTAAAAAAATTTTCTGATAGTTCTCGGTTTTTTTTGAATCTCAAGAATTTTATGATTTTTTTTTCACTTTTCACCACTTGAACCATCAAATTGCAATTTTCGGAAAAATTATATACGAAAAAATTGAAACAGTAAATTTTTTGAGAAAAATATTTTTTTTTGAAAATTTATGTCTGAACCAAATTTCCAGCATTACAAAGAAAAAATATTGAAACCAGAAATTCGAAAATTAAATTATTAAAAGAATTTTCTTATAGTTCTCGATTTTTTTGAAGCTCAAGAATTTTATGAATTTCTTTCTACCACCTGAACCATCAAATTTGATTTTTCGAAAAAATTGAAACAGTAAATTTTTTGAGAAATTTTTTTCAACTTTTTTCACTCTGAAAACAGAAATATAATTTCAGATCTTTGTGGAACACCAGGCTATTTGGCTCCAGAAACCATCAAATGTCAAATGTATGACAAAGCCGAAGGATATTCATTTGAAGTCGATTTGTGGGCACTTGGTGTTATTATGTATACACTTTTAGCTGGATATGCACCATTTTATCATAGAAAGTTAGTTTTGGTTTTTAATCAATTAATTAATTAATATAATAACTCATTTTCACAGACAACTTATGATGTTGCGAATAATTCAACAAGGAAAATATGAGTTTCGAAGTGAACAATGGGAAAACATCACAACTGAGGCCAAGAATTTGATTTCGAATTTGTTGGTGGTTGAAGCGACGAAACGGTTTACAGCAAAACAGTGTTTGCAACATGAATGGATGAATCCGGCACAAATTCCGATTGTTGAAGTTGTTACTGTCAAAGATGATAAGGCCAAGAAACGATTCAAACAGGTGAGAGTTTTTTTTGTTAGTGGAATCAGATTGGCTGAAAATTAATTATTTGAAAGTCTTATTTTTTCCACCTATTTTAATTTTCAGGCCATCATTTGGGTTCGATTTTTCATCCGTTTGGCGAAATATAAATATTTGAAGACTGTTGTTGATCGAGATGTTTTGAGAAAACGACCATTTAGAGATAGAGATGTAAGTTTGTTTCTGGGTATAAATTCTAAAAATTCTTTTTATCTAAAAAAATATTGAAATTTCAAAAATCTTACTATTATTTTCACATATGGAAAGTCTACACCTAAAATTTTTAGTTCAAGATTTTTTTTCAAAAATTTCTGAGACATCTGAAAAAATATCTGAAAACCGAAATTTTCGATAGGATGTCAGCTTCTCTCCGAAATTTTTAGGATTTTTGAAAGAATCGATATTTTACACAACCTTTTCAAGCAATTTCACATTTTAAATAACACTTAATTTTCTGCTAAGAATCTTGTTGATCTGAACTTTTAGGTCCATAATTTAGAGCGTTAAAAAATCCCTATACTTTTTTTTAGATCCGCCACGAAGCCGAAGCCTCGATGTTCAGTGTCTACGGTCATTGGGTAAATCGTGGTTTCTACTATTCTCGCGACATGCTTTTCGCCAATAAACCACGCCCAAAAATGGCGAAATTCGATGCAAAATCGCCAACCACATCATCGTCCCTAAAAGTTCCACAATCCTAAGTAAATTCAGATTTTTCTCATGTACATATTCCCCTTTTTTCCCCTTGTAAAAATATATAGGCATTTTCTAGATCTTGTCAATTTTTCCCCAACAAAATTATGTTTTTTATGGTGCCTGTAGATCTCGCTTTTTTCTCTGTAATTTTTCAAGTGAATGAAGAATTTTTCTTTTTTTTGTCTGAAAATTTGAGCTCAACTGTGATTTTTGCAGTTTTTATATATATTTTTTTCAAAATTTTTTCTCCATTTTCAAAGTTTAATTTTTTCAGATCTAATAGTTTATAAGAATCATGAAGTGAGTTTTTTCTATAATTAATTTTAGACTAAACCTAAAATTAATTTCAGATTGGATATTGATGGACTGCGCGTTTTATTTCCGTATGATTACGTGTATCCGGAACAGGTTTTGTATATGCAAGAGGTGAAAAAAGCGCTTGATGCGAAGGTTTGTTCATTTTTTGAATTTTGGGCTGAAAATGAGGGGTCTGGAATTTTTAGCGCGAAATTTGGAAGTGGAAGAAATAATGAAATAAATTTTTCCCGATTTTCAAAATAATAATAATTTTGAAACAGTGAAACTTTTTTAAAAAATTAAGTTAAAAAAATGTACTTCGAAGCTGAAAATTTTGGCAATTTTCAGTTTTTTTGATTTTTGAGGTAAATTTCAACGAAGATAGTATTGAAAGTAACATTTCAAATTCTAAAAATAATTCATGAAATTTTGAAATAGTGAAAAAAATTTTAAAAAATATGGGATCAAAAATTTTTTAGCTAAAATCATTGAAGATTTCTGGAATTTCGAAATTTTGCTTTCTCAAAAATTTTCTAGTAGACCATTTTTATCTGAAAATGATTGAACCATAGAAAATTTGGAAGTTTTCAGTTTTTCTTGATTTTCAGAGCTGAATGTTGATGATGATAATACTAACAAATTTTCCCATTTCAAAAAAATATTTCACAAAATTCTGAAACAGTGAACATTTTTCAAATCAAAATTTTTGACTAAACTTCAAATCACCAAATTTGCAGGGACACGGATTGCTCGAAATGCCATCCGGCACCGGAAAAACAGTATCATTGCTCAGTTTAGTCTTGGCCTATATGCTACAATATCCGGATAAACTCGACAAACTCGTCTATTGTTCGCGAACAATTCCAGAAATCGAGAAATGTGTGGAAGAAATGCGAGTGCTTTATGATTATTACGAAAAAGAGACGGGACAAAAAGTGCCGAAAATTACGGTTGCAATGTCGGCGAGAAAGAATTTGTGCATTAATGAGGAAGTTGTTGCGCAGAGATTTGGTGAGAGGATTTTTGAGGAGATTTTGAGTTAGGAAAAATATGAAATCTTGAATTCTCTGCCATTTTTTTGAGTAAAAAAGTTGGAAAATTGGATAAAAATTAAATAAATGTATTATTTTTTTTGGAAAATTTCAGTTTTTTTCCTATTTCTTCGCTTGTTTTCAAAATTATTGAAAATAGATTCTGAGAAAATTTGAAATCTTAAAATCTAAATTTCAAAAGCTTCAAGAAAAATTGAAAATCTAAATTTTCAGAGATTTTTTCTGTAAAAAGTCTGCGAAAAATCCTTCCAAAATTTTTGCTGAAAAACCTAACCCCTCAATTTTCGCAGGCACCGCAGTCGACAGCGCTTGCCAAAAACTAACAGCCTCATTTGTTCGCGCCAAACGAACCCTCGATCCATCGATTTCCTCCTGCGCATTCTACGAAAATCTCGAACAAAACAATTTTCAAGTTCCGGATGGAGTTTGGAATTTGGAGGATTTGCGAAAAATGGGACGAGAAAGAGGTGTTTGCCCGTATTTTGTGGCGAGACAAACTATTAATAAAGCACATATTGTTGTTTATTCATATCATTATATTTTGGATCCCAAGATTGCTGAATTGGTTTCCAAGGATTTTAGCAGAAGGTTGGTTATAAAAAATTTGGTTTTCTAGGCCAGATTTTCTCAAAAAGATCCTTTTTGATCCAATATTTTTGTTTTTTTGGCTAAATTTCTGATCCTAGGAATTATTTAAAATTAAGAAATAAACAATTTTAAGGAAATTTTTCAAAATAAATTTATAAAATTCTATGTTTTTGCAGATCGTGTGTTGTTTTCGACGAAGCTCATAACATTGATAATGTTTGCATCGAATCAATGTCCGTCGCAATTTCGCAGAAAAACACGGATAGAGCGATTCAAGAGTTATCGAAACTCGAAACAACTGTAAATCGTCTCAAAGAATCAAACGCCGAAAAATTGCAATATGAATATGATAAACTCGTGGAGGGATTGAGGCGAACTGAAAGAGAACGAGCGAATGATGAAAGATTGGCGAATCCAGTTCTACCGGATCAGATTTTGCAAGAAGCGGTTCCGGGAAATATTCGACAGGCTAATCATTTTATATTGTTTTTGAAGAGACTTGTTGAATATGTGAAACATCGATTGAGAACACATCAGGTTCTTATTGAAAGTCCTGCCGCATTTTTGAAGGTAAGGGAGTTTTGACTTTCAAAAGCGAGAAAAATTATCTGTGAACCCAAGAAAACGAATTTACAGTTTACATAATTCGAATCTGATTTTCATAATAAAATTATTTTGAAACCTATTCCCAAATAATATTAAAATGTGAAATTCATGGTGATTTCTTCCTGAAACCGTGAAACGTACAAAATCCCAGTTTTTGCACAAATTTTCAAAAAAAAAATATTTTTAATTAAAATGACGTAGCAAACTTGCTTATTAGAAATAATAGGCTAAAGGTTAGTTATATTTCAATTTTGCCGCGAAATTCCAATTTTTAAAAACTGGATTCACAATCAGCTATGGATACTGTAAAGTTCCATTTTTCAAGAATTTTATACGTTTCATGGTTTTTTCTTTACAGTGAAGGTGAAATTTTGGTTTAATAGGTCTCGTGTAAACATCAACAAAAAAATCTCACTTTTCATTTTCTTCAGGATATCCATGAAAGAATGTGCATTGAAAGAAGACCTCTTCGATTTTGCGCCGAAAGATTGTCAAACTTATCGAAAACCCTGGAATTAGCCGATGGAAGTGATGTTTGGGCATTATCTCAGATTTCAACACTTGCCACACTGGTTTCCACATATTCGAAAGGTTTTTCAATAATTGTTGAACCAGCGGAAGGTAGTCAATCAGCTACAATAACTCTAAGTTGTCATGATGCATCAATTGCAATTCGGCCAGTTATCTCAAGATTTCAATCAGTTATCATTACTTCGGGAACCCTTTCACCACTTGAAATGTATCCCAAGGTTTTGGATTTTGATCCTTCTGTCATGGCATCTTTCACAATGACCCTAGCTCGACCATGTTTGAGTCCATTAGTTGTTGCAAGAGGAAATGATCAAGTTGCGATGACTTCGAGATTTGAGCAAAGAGCCGATGTGGCAGTTATTCGAAACTATGGAAATCTAGTGCTCGAAATGGCTAGTTTAGTGCCAGATGGTATGGTTGTTTTCTTCACGAGCTATTTGTATATGGAAAATGTGATTGGTGTTTGGTATGAGCAACATATTATTGATGAATTGATGAAGTATAAATTGTTGTTTATTGAGACGAATGATGCGTTGGAAACATCGGTTGCATTGGAGAAATATGTGGAGGCTTGTGATAGTGGAAGAGGAGCTTGTTTGTTTTCGGTGGCCAGGGGAAAAGTTTCGGAGGGAATTGATTTTAGTCATCATTTGGGTGAGGATTTTTATGTTTTTTTTTTTAAATTAAATTTGGGGGAAAAACAAACCTGAATTCAAATTTCGGACTCAAATTCTGAGTTTTCGCTAAAAATCTTCAACTTTAGTAATTTATTAATAAATTTGCCTGATATTCAAAAGTTTAGAGAGCAAATCATTCAATTTAAATAATTAATTAGTCTTATTACCATACTTTAAAATCGCCCACCTTTTTCAACAAAAAATTGGTGGCTTTCGATTTAATCATATCATTTTTTCCCTTCGTCGCCTTAATATTTTGCCATTTCGAATGTCCCTTTAAATCTACAGTACTCGTTGATACCATTCGCATAATTGAAGGCGATTTTACGATACAATTTGAGCTAAATCGAGCTAACGAAAACATCCTGAAATTTGGGGAAAAGTAGGAATGTCCCTTTAAATCTACAGTACTCGGCAATTTGACGATATAATTTGAACTAAATCGAGCCGACGAAAACACACTGAAATTATAATTTCAAATTGTTTTTTTTTTCAAAAAACAAAATTGATTTTCCCTCAGGTCGTTGTGTAATAATGCTTGGAATTCCATACATGTACACGGAAAGTCGAATCCTCCGCGCACGTTTAGAATATTTGAGAGATCAATTCGGCATCAAGGAAAACGATTTTCTGACTTTTGATGCAATGCGACACACGGCTCAATGTATGGGAAGAGCACTCAGATCGAAAACCGATTATGGATTGATGATTTTTGCCGATAAACGATTTTCGAGACAAGATAAACGCGGGAAATTGCCGAGATGGATGCAAGAGTATTTGGAAACTGCGTCGACGAATTTGAGTATTGATGAAGCTGCGCAGGTTGCGAGAAGGTAGGGGGATTTTTTTCGAAGTTTTGAAATTAAATTTTCTGCGCTGAAAATCAATAAAAAATTATTTTTCTAGAGCTAAATTCCACGTGTCAAAAAATTTTTTCCTCTAAATCCGTATATTTTTTATTCTGAAAATTTTCCAACAGAATCCTCAAAATTTGTCAAAAAATTTATCAGAAAAAATCAGAAGTTTTTCTAGAACCACTACTAAAATTACACGAATTACAGTGTATATTTGAAGCTTGCCAAAATCACTCTGAAAATCCTTAACTATTTCCAGATGGTTAACTCTAATGGCTCAACCATTCACAAAAGAAGATCAACTCGGCGTCTCTCTTCTCAATTCTCAAATGTTGGATTCGCAATCAATGAAAAAATTCGAGAGAGTTGTTGAATATATTGATTGATCTCCATTTTTCTCTCTTTCAAACCAAAATCACTTTGTTAAATAATTTATTTTTTTTTGTGTTGTTCTCAATTTTTTGCACGGGTTTTATAAACTTTTTTTCTTCTTGAAAACAATTTTGAATATTTTATTTTGTGAGAATGGTACAATCCCATAATTAATCTTTCCAGTTTTTTATTGAAAAAAATCCCTAATTTTCCCCAAATTTCAGAATGTTTTCGTTAGCTCGATTTAGCTCAAATTGTATCGTAAAATCGCCTTCAATTATGCGAATGGTATCAACGAGTACTGTAGATTTAAAGGGACATTCGAAATGGCAAAATATTAAGGCGACAAAGGGAAAAAATGATATGATTAAATCGAAAGCCACCAATTTTTTGTTGAAAAAGGTGGGTTAATTAGGAATAATACATTTTTAAATTTAAATTTAAATTTCAGTACTAAAGAGAACTCTTTACATTATTAAAGATTTTTCCTATATATCTCAAGCCTGAAATTTAACCTAAATTCAATTTTTCAAGGTTCGCGGAGCTGTTAGCCGCGGTGGTTTCGATTTGAAATTGAATCGAGAATTGGCTGGACTGGAAAATGACTTCAGAGCACAGGGATTGCCATTGGATACCTTCAAGAATTTTTTGCAGAAATTGAAGGTGAGCTGAAACGTGGCAATTCCCCAAACTCTTTTTTCTCACACAGGACAAACCAGAAATCGAATATCATTTCGATATCATTGGCCCGGCTGGCACATTTTTCATCGTTCAAGCTGAGACATCGAACAAAAAAGCGTTTGAAAATGATTTGCGAAAATATTTCAATAAACTTGGCGGTTTTCGATTGGCGGCGGATGGCGGAGTTCGAACTTGGTTTGAGGAAAAAGGTGTGATTTGTGTGGAACCGATTAAGGATGGAAAAACATTGACTACTGAACAGGTGAGATTTGGGGGGATCAAAATTAAGTTTTAGAGCTGAAAATTAGAATTCGAATCCGAATTTTCTATTTAAAAAGTTGAATTTATCAATTTATCAGAAAAAAATCACAAAAATCAAATATCTTCTAAAATTAGTCTGAAAATTCTTTTGAATTCTTCAATAAAATTTCAAAAAAAAAATACTTTTATGGGATGATTTTCTGAGTATTAAGCTGAAGCTCTTAAAATATTGATCCAAAAAATTTGTTTTATAAATTTTGATTTTTGAAGTTCCAATTAAAATGTTTTCAAAAACATCTCCCCCAAACTTCCCGCCATAAAATCCCCTTTTTCTTTTCCAGATGGAAGAAGTTGGAATCGAAAACGATTGCGAAGAAGTGTCTCTAGTCGAAGAAGACGGCGGTCAAAAATTCGAATTCCTCTGCGAAGCCCAAAAATTGAATTCCATCGAATCTGGTTTGAGTTCAACTGGCTACACTGTAGTCTCAGCTGACATCGAATTCCGCGCAGTTCATCCAATCGAATTACCACCCACGGAATCGGCGAAAATCGAGAAGTTTTATGAGATTTTACAAGAAGATGAACAAGTTCGAAATATTTTTGATAATGTTGCAGAATCCGAATAACTTCTTCTTCTTCTTTATGTGTTAGATTTTCATTAGTATTTATTGTTTTTATTTAGGACCTTGTTTTTTTTGTTATTGAATTTGAATATATATAAATTTTTACCCGCCTTTATTCAAAAATTATTTTTTTTTCTTAATTAATTAAAAGTGTAAAGCTTTCTAATTGCTCGTACATCGTATTTTGATAATTTGAATGATTTGGTGGATTTTCGATAATTCCGACGCATCACCGAATTTTTGCGACGAGAATGTCGAAGACCCAAAACGTGACCGATTTCGTGGATTAGAACCTGCAAATTGAAATTTGTGAGAAAATACTGAAAATTTTATTTTTCTCTGAAAAAAATCAATAAATTTATTTTTAGAAGAGGTTTTTCAGACCCTTGAAATAAGTAATCTCAAAAAAAATTTTTAAAAAATGTTTTTAATCAGGTTATTTTTGAGACGTGAACTTTATGATTTTTCCAAAAAAACCACGTTTAAAAAAATTTATCTTATTCATTTTGTGAAATCATGAGAAAAGAAATTGACTGAAAATTGTTGGATCTGAATTTACTGTAAGTCAAGAATAGGTTAGAAGCTTGAAAATTGAGAATTGTATCAATTTTGAAAACACGATTCTGGGAGCCTTTTCAAAATTCAGAAAAAAAAAACCCACATATCTCAAATCCACTTCGCCTTTTGTCTGATCTCCAGTATGCCATAATTCATCAGCATCCAAATGTAAAATACCATTTGTTGGATATGTTGAATGAGCAACAACACCGCCACGACCATCAAATGACTAGAAATTGATTAATTAATTAATTAAGTTATTTTCAGATTGGACAAGCGCAGTTTACAACAAAAACCCACAAAACGGAGCCGTTCAAAACCATCAATAAACAACGAGAAAAGGTGGGTTTAGAGTTTTAATTTTGTGAAAAATTTCAAAGATTTTGATGTCTCAAAAATATTCCCTCACCTCAATACACGAATGATTTTTCTTGGCAAAATTGATATTAATATCAGCTGGAATTTTTGAATTTTCCTCCAATTTTTTGATTTTTAATAGACCTTCCAAAGCATATTTCCACTCATCGAAAGCGTTTTCAGCTAATTCGCTGAAAAAATTTGGCTCAAGTGCCACGTCATAGGTCACTTACCTCACAATATTTTTCTGCCTTTGAGACAATAATTCAAAAGGATCATCGAATTTCCAAGTGATAGTTCGTTTCTTCCAAATTTTCTTCTCAAAATTTCGAGACTCTGAAATGAATTTTCAAAAATAATTTCAAACATTTTAAAAAATTAATAAATTACGTCACCTGTTATCAAAACAGCGAAAAAAAGAAGAAGAATAAGATGGCGCATGCCGAATTCGAAAAGCATATAATCTGCCTCTTCTAACATTAGATATCCATAAAAATTGGCGGCAAAAAATGACGAAAAACTTGATTTTTCTCTCTTTTAGTCTTCTCTTCCTCTTCTTTTTTTGGTCAGATGTTTATATTAGCTAAGCAAAGCCAGGTTGAATGAATGAAAAATGATAAGCTTTGAATTGAAACATATTTTTTTTTTAGATATTTGATCGTCGGAAGAGGCTAAGAGATTTTTGAATTTTGAAAAAAAATAAACGAGAAATGAGATTTTTGATTGATCATTTTTGAGTGAAAGTATGTATTTAGTTTTTAGGGTGTGATAAGTAACTGGATTTTGTCAGGGCTTTTTACTTCCTGGAAAATTAGGATTGAAATGCCGTGCAAACAATGAAGTAAACAATTTTGAGAATTTTTTGAGCACCTGAAAATTATTAAATTTCAAAAATATTTAACAAAAAATATTGAGGAAAAATTGTGTGAAATTCAAAAAATTTTTAAATTTTTCTCACTCAAAATTAATTTTTTAAGTAACTTCGGCTTTGTTAGTCAGATATATCATGGAAAAATTTGAGCTAAATTTTAAGCTGAAAGATTTTTCAAAATTTCTCACTAAAAATTAATTTTTTAAGTAACTTCAGGTAGTCAAATATCATGGAAAAATTCTATTTTCAAATTTTGAGCTGAAAATTGAATTTTTCCAAAGTTTTGAGACTTTTTTTTCCATTTTCTGCTCAAAAATCGATGAATTTTTGAAAATTCAGACTTTCTGAGTATATTTTGTAACTTTAGACAAAGCAAAATTCCGATTGAACAAAATTCAAGAAAAACGTTTTACAATTTTTTTTGGCTGGAAATTTCGAGCCTTTTCAAGCCTTTCCAAAAATTTTTAAATTTTTTTAGAAATGAAATATGAATCTTTTCCCGCATTTTTCAGAAATTTAAATCTTCGCAAAGTTTCCGAACTCTTTTCTTCCCTAAAAAGTTCTTTCGGTACATCGTACCTTCTTATCAAACTTTTCTGACATGTCAATCAAAATTCCGTGTTCTAAGTATTAAAAGTTCAAAGTCCCCCCCCCCCTGAATTTCCACTTAATTTCATCAAAAATTGTACCTTGAAATTCAAATTTATCGATTTTTGATCTACATAAATGTTATTTAAGAATAGAATAAAAAGAACCTTATCAGCCAGGTTTCTTTAATCCACCATCATAAAAAACTGATAAAATGTCGCAAATTTCAATTGATTTATTAGTACAAAAAAGTGGAGAATGCGGAAAAATCAAAAAAAAAATTAAAGTTTCGAATGAGGCGATCCAATAATATCAATAAGATTCGCGCTCGCAAACACATTCGCCGGATCCAATTCACTTTTGATGGCTTTGAGAAGAGCAATTCCGACGGCACCGTTCGTTGTCAACATCCATTGTTTACGCAATTTTCCGACTCCGTGATGATGTGAAATACTTCCGCCGCAGGCGATGATTTCGTCGCGGGCGGCTGTCTGAAGGATTGAATTGTGGTTTTGGGAGGTTTGAGGATTTTCCCAGGGCAGGTCCGCTCGTCTTCCAAGCTCAAGTAGGTCCGAGCTTGAACCTAGCCTGGCTTTTGCATTTTTCCACGTAATAAGTTCCCAGAGATCTTCTCAGGAGAACGACCGCGAAATCTGCGCGAAAAGCGGGGTCTCTGCGATTCGCTCAACCTTCGCGGGAGAATAACGCGTTTCGCACAAACCTCGCGCAATCTGAGCCTCGGTCGACTGGACGTCGCGAAATTTGCGCGAATTGCGGGGAACTTCGCGTTTCGCGGAAATTTCGCGGGCTTCCTCCGCCGAATTGGAGCGTTTCGCGACATTTTCGCGCAGTAGCATGGTATATAAAAAACATTTTCGCTATTCGCGTCACGTGCGCGCATGGTCAAGTGGGTAAAACAAATGTATTCGAGGTGAGAGGTTGTGGGTTCGAGGTTGGGTGAGTGTGATAAATACAAATGATGAAATGATGATCACCTGAATGTGAGGATCGATCATGATGACATTTTGTTTTGAAATTGAGAGGACACCGCGAAATTTACGCGAAACGCGATAATGAAACCGCGAAATTTACGCGAAACGCTGTAACAACACCGCTAAACCGCGGCGGATGCGCGGCGATTTAGCGGACTTCTGGGGTTCGCGTTTCGCGCAGATATCGCGGTCGTTCTCCTGAGTTGCTAAACAATTTATTCCGTTTTCCTCGAAGCTTGGTGTCAAAAATAGCTTACAAAAATAGTTGTGACTTATTTATATTTCAAATTGCCTCCGAGAGTTGTGCAAACACTGTGACGCACTTTTGCGTACGGGAAGAACTTATATTTCTTCGATATTTAATTTTTATTTTTTTTTGGTTCAAGTTTAAGTCAGAAGCTTCGTGGGTGCTCAACCGGAATAGCTGTCTGACCGCCTTTAATAACACTCACCTCAATTCGATCATAAACCTGCAATCCATTCTCCAAACCTCTCGCATTAAATCCAAAATAGAAATAAACACATGCTCCAGCATCATAAACTTGTGTCACTCGACAACTCGCCAAAACCGGATGTTGTACACCTTGATTCTTCGCCTCTCTTCTCATTAATTCTTTCACATTTCGACATAACGTTTGAACTTTGTCCCATGGAACCGATGTTTCGAATGATTCACCGAGAACTCCGTGATTCATTCCGAGATCCTGCAAATTTTCTTGTTATCTTAACTTTTAAGTTACCCTAACTCACTCTAAGATAGGCGATAGCAAAAGTGAGGCGATAACCGTATTGTCCATTCTCCTCTCCTCCAACAACTCCCGAAAACTTTTGCGCCAAAGCATTGAGTCGTTTCTCATGTTCATTGACCTCCTCAAGACTTCCCTCATAAACACAAGTCGCTGCGCAAATCTCTTCAACACGGAAACCTTTCCATGAAGTGATATAGAGTTTAGACACTGTGCTCTTTAATGAATGCCACCAAGAATCAGAGGCGATCTGGAATTCACAAGTCTTTGAAAATATACACATTTGAATGTAAGTACCTTCAATGCTTGTCCCATCACAAATTGTTCATTATCCATTAATCTGAGCGATGCTGGTTGAATCCGTTGTCTGGCGACTTCACGGAAGAATTTGACACCATTCTCGAAGTTTGGGAAAACAAAACTTCCGTATCTTTTAACTTCAGGAAGTGGGAAGATTTTCATAGTAACCTCGGAAACAACACCCAAAGTTCCTTCAGATCCCAAAATGATTTGATGAAGATCGGGTCCACTAGAGATTCTTGGCACTTGACATTGTTTCTGAATAACACCTTTCGGTGTGACGAAAGTGATGTGAACAACAAGATCCTCAATATTTCCATATTTATTCTTTTTCATTCCACTCGCTCTTGTCGAAACCCATCCGCCGACTGTTGAAAATTCAATCGAATCCGGTTCGTGTCCACATGTGAATCCTTTGGCATTCAATTGTCTCTCAAAGTTTTGCCCAACGATTCCGGCTTGTGCACGACATGTCAAATTCTCTCGATCGATCCAGAGAATTTTGTCGAGAAGAGCCATGTCCAATGAAATGACTGCGCGTTGTTCGGTAACTGGACAATCCAAGGCGTTTGAGACTGAAGTTCCACCACCGATTGGGATTATTGCACAATTATGGCTCATTGCTCCTTCGACAATCTAGAAAAAGGGAAATGTTAAGAAATGGCTTGATGGTCCGATTCAGACATCCTGAAAATCTAAGCTTGTCCGATTCCCGATGACTTCTATCTAGAAATCGGAATCAAATTTTAGACTAGCTGAATCGGACCAGGCTGACCGAATTCCCGAAGCGAAATCTGGTCAGGTCGGCTTTTTGATTTAAAAAAAAATCAAGCCCCCGACTCAGCCCACCCGTACCTACCTCAATAATCTCCTTCTCAGTCTTCGGCCAAACCACAACATCCGGAAGTCTCGGAATCTTTCCCTCTCTCAAATTCAACATATCATGCACAGTATGTCCGTGTCCACGAATCAATCGAATTCTTGGCGCATTCGAAAACGAGATGTTTTTCTCTTTCAAATATTCGAGAATATCGTCATTCTCGACTGGCGCATCGATCTTCACATCCGACAATTTTTGAGCCGGTGTTGTGAAGTTCAGATCGATTCCGAGATAGTTCTCGAACCAACCGCGGAATGCTGGCATTTCTTGACCAGAAATGTCATACCTGGAATGAGGAACTGGAATTATTGGAAAATTTCGCTTCAAGGTATTCTCTATAATTTTTTGTCCCTTTAAGTTTCGAACAAAATTGTGTTATTTTGAAGCGGTGATGAAAGAAAATCTAGTATTGGTTTTAGAAATGGGCGTGGCCTATCGCAACCACCGCACACTTTTCTATCCTTCGTGGGTGGTCTAAAAAGTTTGCGAGCGTTGCACTTTAGCCACGCCCCTTTATAAACTAACTTATCACCGGTGAACGAAACATTTCCTTTTTTATTGATCGTAAATTGCGAATCCGTATATCCCCAACCATTCCACTTCAGAATTTTGTCACTGAAATTTTTTTTTCGGATGTTTTTTTTGAAATTTAAAAATCTTACCGATATGATTGTGGAACATCGTGTTCGATGATCTGGTAAGATCCAGACATTTTTCCAGCTGAAAAAAAGGGTTTTTTTAAAGAGGGAATACGGGAACAGGACAGGGAAAATGGGCTGATTGATAGAAGATAGGTGGGAAATTATTGAGGGTATGTATAATTGTTATCAGTTCTTTTTTTTTTGGTAAACGTGCTCTTCTCTCAAAATGGAAAGGTATAAGACATAGACATATGCACAAATGATAACAAAGTACAATGAGAAAAGAAGGGACCGCCTTACGACCCCAATTTTTGATCCGTTTTTTGAGAACGGGGATTTGAAGTTCATTTTTAAAGGGAGGAAGGGGGGGTTGCGTTTTGGGCCCAAGATCAGTGCTTTGCGGAAGCCAATGCGGAAAATTCCGGTTTACAGTCAGCCTTTAGGCTTCTGGGTTCTGGGTTTAAGCTCAAATCCATGTCCGGGTCCAATATTCATTTTTAGAAAGTGGTAAATTTTCTGTAATTTCTTTGACTAAAAATTTCTTTTTCTAAGATTTCCTTGTCAATCAAAAGTTTGGATTTTTCTAAATTATCAGTCGATTAAAAAATTATGTCATATTTTTTTTTGGGCTGAAAATGAAGGATTCTGGGATTTTTGTTTATCTAGAAGTCTCTGTTTCAAAAATTTGGCAATTTTCAGTTTTCATGATTTTTAAAGCTAAATTGCAACTATCACAGCAATTTTCCCGATTTTCAAAATAATTTATAAAATTTTCGTTCAAAAAATGCACTTCAAAGCTGAAAATTGAAAATTTTGGCATTTTCCAGTTTTTCTTGATTTTCGAAGCTAAATTTCAACTATTGGAAAATTGAAAGCAATTTTTTCCCATTCTCAAAATAATTGATAAAATTTTGAAACAGTGAAAATAAAAATATATGGGATAAAAACTTTTGATAAAGTCACACCATTTTTAATTATACTCAAGAAAAAAGTTTACAACATTCTTAAAAAATAATCGTAAAAACCCCCCAATATTTTTTGCAGAATGATTGATAATTTGCCAATCCCGGCGATCCGAAGAATTTTGAATTTTCTCCGTTTCGCCGAAGTCAAAAATTTGTCAGAAGCATTTCCAAATTCAGTCGAAATACAAGGATTATGTGAATTAGAGATCAAAATAATGATGGGAAGAGAAATTGAAAATCGAAAATATTTGAATTGGAATCGATGTGCTTATGATGATTTAGATGATATAATGGCTGCACGAGGTATTCATTCATTGGCATATTTCCCGCCAAATCGATCGATTTATTGTTTTGGTGGAGAAAATCGGCAGACTCAAGGAAGAATTCAAGATCGATTAAATGCATCGCTTAATGATTTATGGCGCTTGGATTTAGGTAGAAAAAAATTTTTTTTTTTGAAATTCTAACTTTCAATTTTCATATTTTGTTCAGCAACTCTTCGATGGTCCCGTGTAAATGTTCCGATTGCTCCATATCCTTCCGCCAAATTCGGCGCCTCTTTCGTTGTTTGGAAAGACGAAATTGTGTTGTATGGTGGACTGTGTTGGACACGAGATCAAACTATTATGTCGCCGCACATTTCCGAATCCGAATGTCATATTTTCAACCCACAAAAAGGGGTTTGGCGGGCAATTGCGACTGAAGTTCAGGGACCTGAAGTGAATGGACATGCGGCATTGATTGAGAATGATCGAATGATGATATTTGGTGGCAGAGCTGGAAGGGGACAGTTAATGGTTTGTTTTTTTTTTTTTGGAAATTGAAAATTCCGAGAGCTGTTTTTTTTTTAAATTCAAACTTCAAAGGATTTTACTCAAAAATTGTATGAATTTTTTTCATTTCATTTTTTTCATTAAAAATCTATTTTCAGGATTCACAACACTTGCATATTTTGGATTTGGTCAAGGAAATTTGGACAACAATCGATTTATGTCCAACAATATTTTCTGAAATTACACGTGTCATTCGACGTCCCAATGGATTTCCAATGTGAGCGAAAAAATCATTTTCTGCTTTAAAAAATTATTGAATTTTTAGGATGGATCTTGATAAAACGACATTAATTGGGCTAGGAAAAAATAAATATTTGATAACGGGTGAAATGGATATGGATTATGGTGAAGCGATATTGTTGAGTGAAACTGAAGATGGTTGGAAATGGAAAAGAATTGAAACAAATGGAAGATGGTGGAATGATAGAATAATTGAACAAAATGGAGAAAGAATTCGAAATTTAAGATGTAATCTTCCAAATGTTTTATATTATTCAATTGCTGTGATTCGAAATGAAGCGGAAAATAAATTACGATTAGTTTCGTTGGGAAAAGCGAAAAATGAAAAAGAATTTTTGAGAAAACCCAATAATATTCTCGAAATGTATGATAAAATACAACAAAGATCTCAAACATTTGTTCAAGTTATACAAACTGAAATCGAAAAAGAGATGGAGAATCGGAAAGATTCTGAAACATCTTGTTGTGAGCATTTTGAATTGGAATTTGAGGGAACTTGGTGTCGAATTGAGAATTGTTTTCTGATGAAAAATGAACAGGAGAAGTATTTGCCAATGAGGAATCGGATATTTTTGAAATGTGAAAATGTGGAAAAATGGGAGGGTTTGATGTTTGATGATGTGGATTTGTGGGAAATGAGAATGAAGCTGAAATCACTCGTCACACAATTACGTGGGTTTTTTTTTATTGTTTGGCTGAAAATTTGATTTTTGGTTGAAAAAATGTGATTTTTCATGAGAAAATTCCCAAAAAAAAATTTAGCAATTTTTTTCAATTTTAAAAATTTTTTTGAGTCAAAATGAAGTTTTGCTAGAAAAAAGTGTTGTTTTTCATCAGAAAATTCCCAAAAAAATTTGTAAAAAACATTTTTTTCAATCTAAATTTGGTTCAAAAATTCTAGAATTCTGAAAAAAGCTGCTCATTTTTCAATTTATCTGAAAAATGCTCAAAAAAATTACAAAAAAATTGTTTTGACTGCAAAATTTTACAAAGTCAGCTCCATAATCGTCATGTCTTTTCAGACGCAAAACACTACAACATAAAAATCGATAAACCATTTTGCGCTCATTTACCAATGAGAAATCGATCGATGAAAAGATTCACAATTTATGTTGCCGAATTGGATTTAAATCAGGAAATCGAGAAAATCGAGTAAGTTTTAGTTGTTTTTTTTGGTAACTGAGTAATTACTTAATTAATTAATTAAAGCCTATGCTGATTAATATTGTGTAATTAAATCGTAAAAATAATATTAGTTGACCCTTGAATTCCCTTTTAAAAAAGTATTTTTATCTTCCACTAATTAATAATTCTTAATTAAGATGGATAGCTCAACCAATGCAATATCGCGCATCTCCAGAAACCAATTGTTATCGATTGATTTCGGCTGAAAATGAGATAATTATGCATGGCGGATATTTTCATTATAATGAAACAATGAGTCGAATGGGACATACACATATTCTAACTCTTGTCAAAAATGTGCCGCAACCTGAATTCACAGCTCCAAGGATTTTTGGAATTTAGAATTTGAATTAGAATTTGGTTGGAAAATTGAAATTTTGTATATTTTTTAAATATTTTTTTTGTAATTTCCTGTGATCCCGGGTTTTTTTCAATTTTTTTCCAAATTTTGAGCTTTTGCTAAGTGGAAATTTGTGTTTTTTGTATATAAAATACATTATTTATTTATTTTCGCAGTGAAAATTTGTTTTTGTTATTTTTTGGTCCAATGAAAACCTATATTTTTATTTTTTTTTGTAGATCAGAGAGAATTTATTTTTTAGGAGAATTTTCATCAAAATTCTCTGAAGTTCTAGAAATATTTTTCAGAATGATTTCTCGAATTTTCAGAAAAAATATTTAAAAAAACCTTTTCAGGATTTCTAGATTTTCAGTTCCACCTAAATTTCACATTTTTCTTCCCAAAAATCAATGTTTTTTGATGCGTCGCGTTCTTTTTTCCTAATTCTAAGAAGATTTTCAAATTGTAAACATCTATCTATTTTTTATTGACTCACCCACTCTTCCCCTTTTTTTCCTTTCTCCCAAATATGACCATCTCCATTCTTTTTTCTTTTTTCTTTTACTCTCGGGATTTTCTTTCTCTCCATCTTTTCCCTCTCTCATTTCTCCTTCTCTCTCTCTAGGGCAAAATTATAATGTTTTTCCTTTTTTTACAAGTTTCTCGTTTTGTTTTGTTTATTTCTTGTTTCCGGTTTATTATATACATTTCTAACATAAATACTATGAAAAATATTTTGATTTTACAGAAAAATGACATCTTCACTTGTGATTTGTTCAATTCCAGAAGATGTTCGCGCCGAATTCAAAAAATTTCGATTTTCCAAGGCGACTACAATGAGTGCGCTTATACGTGAGTCATTTTGGGGGGAGAAATTTGAAAGAAAAAAGTGGGCGTGGCTAAAAATGCAACGGCGCTTTTTATTGGAACTTTAGAGAAATGAATTAAAAAATACGAAATTTTCTGTTAAAAATTCATAGAAGAACGTTTTTTCTATTGATTTTCGAAGAAAAACTTGGATCTTTCTCCCACTTTTGCTCATTTTATTTTTATATGTATCTTAAAAATAGCAAACTTCAGTAGTAAATAATTCTAATATTCCTGAAAATATCCCCGGTTTCCAGTCAAAATATCTCGCGATTCGCACGAACTCAGCATCGAAGAACAATTCGACGATTCATCATTGGAAGAAATCCGCGAAGAACTTCCATCTCAACAACCTCGTTTCATTCTATTAAGTTGGTGTAAAAAACACGAAGATAAACGAATAACTTATCCGATGTCACTTATTTATTATTGTCCAACTGGAAGCAGTCCAGAATTACAAATGATGTATGCCGGAAGTCGAAATTTCATTGTTAATGAGTGTCAGTTAACCAAAGTAAGCATTTTTTTCAGGAAAAAAATTTTTTCTTAATTTTTCTCTTTCAGAACATGGAAATTCGCGATGTCGATGAACTCGACGAAGATCTTTTGGATTCTAAATTCTAAAAAACTTATCTCAAATTTTAAATAAAAAGTTTAATTCCAAACGTACTTATTAAAAAAATAATAAAAATTTCCAGAAAAAGGGTACGAAATATGGGACAGGGGGTACGGAAATATTAATAAAACGAAAAAATTTAGAGGAAAAAATTGCAAAATTGGGGACGAGGATATAATTAGAGAGAGAGAGAAACATCATTATTTATAGAATTGATGAAAAAATACCCGAAGCTTGTTTTGATAAATAAATAAATGTTGGGGGGGGGGGGAAGTGGAAAAATGGGGGAAAAGGTCACTGGGATAATAATATAATATAGGGGAAGACAGAAAAATGGTTATTCTGTCCAATTTTCAGCCGGATACATATCATAGTTTGCATAGAGAACTGAACCATCGTGCGGAGATTGGCCCGATTGATGAGATGAAGATTCTGAAAAAATTCGAGAGGTTTGACTTGGATTTTTGGGAAAATTGGGAAAATTCGCTGATTTCGAGAGAAAATTCAGCTTCTGTTCTGAAAAATTTAATTCTAGACAATTCTAGATTCAAAACTTTTAGGCTAATTTAAAGTTCTGGCTAAGATTTTGAAAAATCTCAAAAAGTGCGAAATTTTCGAAAGTCAGAGGATTTTTGTCAGATGCTCTCAGTTTGAATTTCAGAATTTCGCAATTTTCAAAATCCAAAAAATGCAAACCTTGTCTACCATCTCGACTACTTCCATCATCAACTTTCATATCATCACCATTCTGATCCTGATCAGCCATTTGTTGTCTCATTCGATTTTCCTGTTCTCGTTTTCGTTGCCGCCTTTGTGCATCTCTCATCGCATTATATTGTCTTCGCTGCTCACTATTCATTCGATGATATTTTGCTCGCGCCTGTTCGGCTCTTTTCATCCGCCGAGTTTGTGCTTCGACAATTTGTCGACGAGTGTCTTCGTCGAGTTGTTCCATTGGAACACTGTCAGCCAATTGGCACAATTCATCGTCTCGCTGGCGAGATCTTCGCAGCATATCTGCTCGACGCGCGTTTTGTTCTCGACGTTCTTCGACAGACATTCGATGATAGCTGGAATAGTAGGAGATATTGAAAGTCGAGAAAATTTGGGTGACAAATTTAATTCTCCATTTATTTGAACTTGAAAATAATTGGAATTTTTAATAAAAATTTAAGTTTGATAAAATGGTTAAAATCTCATTTTTCACTCCCAAACTTTCAGACAAAAAAAACCAACCGCATTCTAGCTCTCTCCGCTCGTTTCGCTCTCGACAATGCCAATTTATCAGCACTCAACATCGATGTAACATCTCCCATATATGCTTCATCATCTTCAGGATGTCCGCCATTTCCTCCACCCATCAAAGTATGATCATATTCATTCATTCGAAGATGTGTTGAAGTTGATGGTCCATAATCAGAAACTGGTGGAAGAAGTGATGGTTTTTGTTCGATTGGTTGTTGTTGGGTGATTAGAATTGTTTGACCATTGCTGATTGCGCTACAAAATTGGAATAAGAACGTTAAGGCCCTAATGAAAAACTCACTTCAATTGATCAGTTCCACTTATCGGTGTTCCATCGGCCATTCGAATTTCAACAGGTTGTCCATTCGCGTCGAGACCCGTTCTCAACATCTCGTGCAGCGCTTTTTCATCGATTAATTGGCTCTGCAGAAAAATAGGATTATTTGTGGGGAAATTTTGAGATCTAGATTTTCATCTGAAAAATAATTTAAATTTAGGTTAGGAAAAATCCGGAAAATATACATTTTTATGATCTTTCACCAAAATTTCAAGATTTTCAGCCAACAATTAATATATTTGTATTGTGCCCAATTATTTTGAAATTTATACCTGAAAATTCAAAATTTTTGATTGATTTTCAGCCTAATTTTCAGATCAAAAAGAGCACAAATATTTAGTTTTTTTGAGCTAAAAATTGAAAACCTTTAAAAATATTCCAATTTTAATTTTATTTCTAGAGATTTTTTTCTCAGAAGCCCCTTCAATTCTCTGCCTCAGCTTGAACTTTTCTCAAATTTTCTACGATTTTCTCATTTCCCCCAAAACCGTTACCTTATCAACAATAGTTGTATCCTGAATATCAACAATTTCCTCCTCACAACACATCATAACCGGTTCATTTTGTCTATTCTGAGCGATGCCTCCTCTTCCTCGCCCTCTCGATCTTGTTGGTTGTTGTTGTTGTTGTTGTTGCATTCCGCCTCCTCCAATATTATTTCCACCCGATGTTTCAACAATCATTTCATGTTCCATTGGTGGTGCCATATCATATTGAATTGGTCCACCTGTAGAATGTCCGCCACTTGGTCCACCACTCAAATTATTCAAATCATTTTGTAGAATTGTTTCGAGGGTTACTGTATTGTCTAATTGTTGTTGGCGTTGAAGAGCGAGATGTGCTTGTTTCGTTCGGCGAACTACGTCTTTTTCCATCTGAAATTGATTTTTATGAGTTCAAAACAAGACTTCTTTTCTAAATTTTCGAAATCTAGAAAATTCAAAATTTCAAGCTTAAAAAATGCTCAATAAGTCGAAAATCTATAATTTTCAGATTAAAAAACTAGTTCGAAAAATTCCCCAGGTTTTTCTGGTTCAAAAATGTGATTTGAAAATCCTAATTTAGGATTTTAATTTAGAGAAAAGAGAGATTTTTCGGCTATAATCTAGAGCTTCATAGATATTTCGTTGAAAAATTAGATAAGTTCAAAAATTTCTACTGTAAATTCCAACCCTCAGAAAGTTTAGAATTAAAATAATTCTAAACTACTGTATAATTTAGCTGGGAGCTCAAAATTAGAAAAAAAGTATGTTTACTGTAAATTTCAAATTTCAGAAAGTTTAGATCTAAAATTAATTATTGAAAATTCAAAAGCCGTCTAACTTCAGAGCTCCACAAATCTGCTATTTTTTCTGGTTCAAAAATTCTAACTTTATAGATTTATCTCAAAATTTCAAACTATATCAGAGAAAACTCGAATTTTCACCCCCCCCCCCCTCCCAAAAAACAAACCTGCGCAAAAATCTCATGTTGTGTGGGTGTGGCAACCTGATTAATAATATCCAACATGTGTTGTTCTTGTGTCGCATCATCCACCGTCGTCAATTGATCCTGATAAACACTTCCATTATCGCCTGTCGATTCCTGAATTCCCGACATATCACTAAAACATTCCATCGACTCGTCATTCGTCTCATTTCTTCCACTTTCCGGTGGCGCCATCATAAGCAATGGATCAATTTGCACATTTCCTGGACTCAAAACAATATCATCCTTCTTTCTCGTTTTTTTGGCTGCCGCTCTTTTCAAATTATATTGTTTCCTCTCATCTGGCGTCATTCTTTGATATCTCAATCTTGCCGATTCCGCTTTCCGCGCATTTCTCACCATAATTTGTTGTGCTTTTGCCAATGCTTCAGCTGATATTCTTCCAGCTGGCGTCGATAATAACATCTCTTCTTCCATCCGTCGCCTTCGAAATGCTTCAGTTCTTCTCATATTATAATCTCGTTTCTGTTCTGGTGTCATTCGATGATATCTCATTCTTGCCGCCTCCGCTTTTTTCGCATTTGCATTCTTCACATGTTCTCGAACTTCTTCCATATCAGTTTTTGAATTTTCGGGATCCAATCCTAATTGTCGCAATCTTCTTCGATGATTATACAATCGCCTTTCATTTTCAGTCATTCTTTGATATCTCGATCTTGCAGCTGCAGCTCTTCGTTGCCTCGATCTTTCTTCTCGATATTTATCAGCCATTGCTGCTTGTTCCATATGGATTTGTGTTTGAATATCTTGCATATCATCAGTCTCTTTTAGCAAAACTTCCAAATCTTCATCGGATTTTTTGGCTCTTTCAAGACGTAATCTTTCATCAATCAATCGATTTCGAATATCATTGGAATCATCCGAAGTACTGGCTCCATGTTGATCAACAAAATATGAATCAAGATATGCATTCATTGTATCTGCTTGTGCAACTGCTGGATGTTCTTTTACTTGTGATGGTAACATTAGAAATTCTTCTTTTGTTTCATCGTCTCCAATTATTTGAGTTGTTTGATAACCGACTTGATCATATGAACCTTCAGCTGCCGAATAATACGATGTTGACTGCAAAAAAATATGGATTTATTGAATTTTGGTGGAAAATTTGAGTAAAATCAATAATTTTCAAATTTTACTTGAAATTTTTTTTTTTGAAAGTTGCTAGATTTTTGAGTTAAAAAATTAATTTCCGGGGTTTTTTGCTGAAAATCTAGAAACTTTCATGATACATAAAATCTCAAGCGGAAAATTGTTGAATTTTTCATCAGAAACATAGGAATATTTTGAAAACCTGAAATTAAATTGAAGCTGAAAAATTTCAGTTTTTTTAATGAAAATCTTTAATTTCTTGAGCTGAAAACATTGATTTTATCTGATTTTGATTTTTTAATATTGAAAATCTGAAAATAATGGTAATTTTGATTTATTTCTGATATAGATTCAAAAATTTCAGATTTTTGAGTTGAAAAATTGATTTTCAGGATTTTTTGCTGAAATTCTAGAAATCTCCATTTCTGAAAAAAAGTTTGTTTCATCGGAAAATAACCGGAACATTTTTAAATCCTGAAATTAATTTTGAGCTTGGAAATTTCAGTTTTTTGAGCTTAAAAGCATCAATGTTAATTTTATAAAATCTGAATTTTCAGATTTTTAAATTTCTCCCTGTTTTCACCCCTCCCAAAATGTCTAACCTGATAATCACTTTGACTTGTCGTCGTCACAACAACATGTTGATTATTGTGCTGCTGCTGTTGAATATTCTGCTCATCAGCCGACGTGACAAACACGTGGTGATGATTCATGCTTTTCGCCTAACCAAATCTGCAAAAAAAAACATTTGATAGGTTAGTAAAGATACAAAAAAATACAAATAAAATGGGTTAAAAATATTTCAAACTGTTTCAAAAACAGGTGGAATTTCGAATTTTCCAGGAACATCCTATAACATATTATTTATTTTCCACACACATAGAGTAGAGGTTTCAAAAAATATGGGTTGCGAACAGAGAAAAAAAAACAAATTGACAAAGAGTAAATAGTGAAAATAAATGATAATTTGGGAAGGTTCAAATAAACAAAAAAAAAAGAAGAAAAAGGCAGAATTATTACTGTAGTTTTGGTGTAATTTTTGTGTGTTGCGAGATGATGGATAAACTATGCACGATAAGGATCCATTATTTGAGTTTGTTGAACAGTTGTTGGAACTGATTGAGATTGTTGATTTTGTTGTTGTTGTTGTTGTTGAACAACTCGACCATTATTCTGATTTGACATTATCATTCCATTCGAATATTGCTAGAAAAACATATTTGATTAGGGGTGGAATTTTTAGAGCTTCTGGTTTTGTTGATTTTTAAGGTGTATTTTTTACAATAGTCTGGCGAGAAAAATGTTTTTTTTTCATTTTTGAACATTAAAATTTGAGAAAATTCCAGTTTTTTTTTAAACCAGGGAAATTTTCGTTAGAGAATGTTTTAAAAAATTGTTTTTTCTAGATTTTTTCATCATTTCCAAGTTCCAAACCAACCTGATGCGATTGCAATTGTTGTGGTTGCAATTGATGAACAGTATGCACCTGATGATTAATACCATTCGACGATCCAGCCGCTCCCGACAAATTCAACTGAACCTGTTGTGCCTGTCCACCCTGTTGTCCGCCATTCGATTGTTGCATTATATATGTTTGTTGTTGTGGTGGAGGGGAGACAGAACGAGTTCCGTCTTGGAACAAATTCTCCTGATTTGCACGTTGTTGGCGCATCAAAACTTGTTGCGCTTGTTGTGTTCGTTTCATGACATCGCGTTCCAAACTGGTCAACGCATCCAAATCCTCTTTTTTGGTGGTGATTCCAGTGCCAAGGCCAATTGTTCCAGATGATCCAACAGCCATTTGTCCAGCATTCATCATATCTTCCAATTCATTTCGTCGACGTTTTGGTGTATATCGTTTTTGATTATATGACTGCAAAAAATTATGGATTTCCACAAATAACTTTTAAACTTGAAAGTTAGGCCATATTTGGAGTAGTAAATCCTCTAGCTTATTCAAGATTTGAATTTTATAAATAATAATTTTTTGAGATAAATTGGATTACATATTTCACTGAGATTTCGAAGTTTTTTACAGGATGGTTTTCAAGAAACAACAAAAAAATCTGGGTAAAGGCTAGCGGGGAATGAAGAAAAAGCGGAAGGCGAGAGCGATACGAAAAACTAACATCTCCGAGATGATCCTCATCCTCTTCCTCTTCTCCAATTCTTCCATCATGCATCGATTGTCCTCCTCCTTGATTTGATGCATATAAAAGCAGTTCAGCTGCCGACGCATCATTCATCCATTGCTCCTCTTTGACAACGATGTTCGAGTGTTGTTTATTGGAATGCGATGAGTTGGCAGCCTAAAAGCACACACCGAACGATATCAGATCAACGAATTTGAATAGAAAGTGAGAGAGAGAGAAAGAGGATGTGTGTGGATCGTCATCGACTCGGAGAAGTTGAGGACACGCCGCCTTTTTTTGAAATGAAAAGCCCCAAGAACCCCGGGTTTTTTCTCGCCACACACACACAAGACACAGTACACAGTACAACAGAAAAAAATAGGATAACCAAAAAAGATGTGAGTTAGCCTAACTGGGGGTGGTTTAAGATAGGAATTGGCTGGAAATCAAAGACTGGAACAAGGGTTTTAGGTTTTTTTTTAATTCTCAGTTTTCACCTATTTTTGATCCAAAATTTTTAATTTCGCTTTAAATTTAAATGTTTTTTATTATATTTTAAGTTTTGGAACTCAAATTTATACGAAAATTTTCAATTTTTGAAAAGCGCTTATGAAAAATTCCAAGTTTTTAGCATAATTTTCACCATCCCAAAACCAATTTTCAATAAACCAGCTCCAAATTACATTTTTCGCCTGTAGTGTGTGATACATGTGTGTGTGACAAAAAAAATCAACTCAAAAAGCGTGAGGGATTAGGAAAATGGGATAAAAACAGAAATTCCACATTTTTTTTTAAACTTGAACTAACCTTTCGCTGATCCGGTGTCATTCTTTGATATCTCAATCTCGCTGCCTCGGCCCGTTTCGCATTTCGGACCACAATTTGTTGAGCCCGATCCAAAGCTTCACCGTTTATCCGACCAATTGGCATTGCCAATAACATTTCTTCTTCCATTCGGCGGCGTCTGAAAATATTTGGGATTATGAGATTTTTTATTAGGTGATTAAATTAGGGGCACCTACCTGAAAGCCTCAGTTCTTCTTTGATTATAAATTCGTTTTTCTTCGTCAGTCATTCGGTGATATCTGTAAAAAATTCGAATATTGATTTTGTTTTCAATTTTTATGGGAATTTACAAATTTTCGTCTAAAAATTCAAAAAAAAACGGATTTGGTTGAATAAAATGCAAATTTTTGAAATGAAAATTGGCAGAAAAATGCATTTTTAATCAGATAATCCGAAAAAATCCGACTTCTGATCAAAATTTTTTGTTTGAGAAAATAGTAATTTGAGTTAGGAATTCCAAAAAAATTCAATTTTTTTAAATTTTAAATTTTGGCACCCCCCGCCCCAAATTCAAAAATCCAAACTGACCTCTGTCTGGCGGCCTCGGCCTTTTTAGCATTTTGCGATTTAATATGTTGTCTGACGGCTTCGTCATCTTTCATCGGGTCTCCGGTTGCCATACCCGAAGCCTGCAAATGAGATGATTGACTCTTAAAAAAACACAAGTTGAAGCGCGGTAACACATAACGTATCAATGGATTTCCCCTTGATTTGAAGGAAATCCATTGATTTCTTTGGAAACTGAAGCTTACCTTAATTGCTGACATTGCATTTTGCATTTGTCGCATTCGTCGACGTGTATTATGTGCTCGTCGTTCTTCGGGTGTCATTCGAGCATAGCGAGTTCGAGCCGCTTCCGCCCATTTTGCACGCATTCGTTTCTCGCGCAATTGTTCAGTGATATCCGGATCTTCCTGAAATTCAACGGTGTTTTTATTGTGTTTTTAATAGAGCACCAATTTGCTCACCTGAATATCATTGGTTTCTCTCAAAATCGATTCCAATTCTTCCATTTCCTTTTCTCGTTGTCTTTTTCGTTTTTGTGCCAATGTTCGTTTCAAATTCAATTCGCGTTTCTCCTCGTTCGACAAACGATGATATCTCATTCGAGCCGCTTCCGCTTGTCTCGCCTTTTTTGCGCGTTCTTTTTCGGATTTGTCGGGGGAAGAGGACAGTTTTACGTTGACACTGTCGAGCGACTGAAAAAAAAGCGAGAAATATTGGGAATGTTTTGGAAAATATCGAATCAGGCTAGGGAAATCGATTCAAATTCATTTATGAAAAAAAATTTTGGACCTAAAATTCAGAAAATTTTGGACCGTTTTCAATTTTTGGGACCAAGAAAATGTAAAGATCCAGGATTCTAAAAATCGATAGAATTTGCCGAAAATTTGAAAATTCTCTAAAAACTATCATTTCAAAGTTTTAAGCTCTTTTCTCATTCATATTTTGATTTTTCTGAAGAATTTTTGTCCGAATCCATTTCCCGAGCACGATTCAAAAAATTTCTGACAAATTTACAACAAAATGACTACATCAAAAGCCTACCTTAATTTGTGGAACAAGTTGAGTTTGATATTGACTGACAGTTTGTTGAAGTTGTTGTTGAGACATCTAAAACCACATAACACATCACAACCACAGTGAACCAACACTAATTTAAGTACAAAAAAATCTCTAAAAACCATCAACTCACATTAACTTGCACCGGTTGTTGAGTATTCCAAGAAGTTGAGGTAGATGGTGTGGTGCTATCGATGAAATAGGCATCAAGCATATTCACCAAATTCTTCTCTTCACCCATTCTTCGTTGAGGTGTTTGTTGTAACTGAAATTTCACTTTCCATGTTTTCATCGTAGGAATGAATAAGTGCACTTTTTGCATAGGTTGCCATGGGTTTCAATGTGAAAAAGTATTTGAAATTATAGTTTTTATAAATTGTAGGTATAATTTTTCCATTTTTTCATTCGCATTGTGCACTTATTTTTTCTCTTATGAAATTTTTTCAAAACTTACAGTGACATTATTTGGTATAAAAGCTGCTGAGGAGGATGAATGAAAAGGTGCAGTTGTTGAGTTGGTATAAGTTGATGTTTGATACGAGGATGGATGGAAGGATAATCCTTGAATTTGTTGGTTTTGCCCGCCATTATTACCACGGGGGTCCGAATTATATGTGTACGATAAATTTTGGTTCATTCTGTAAGTTCCTTTATACGTTAATTACTTATAAGAAAAAGATGAGCAAGTGCGCTCTATTGAAGATTGTTTATGGATGAATAAAAGAAAGCAAAATGGAGAGACGACGAGATAATGAGAAAAGGAAAGGATTGAGAGAGGGCTAAAAGTGGACGGAGAAAGGCGATTATTAATATTTTATGGAGTTTTGGTTGGGTGAAGGAGAATTTAGGAAACGAATTGGGCGAAACTCTTTAGAAGAACGAAAAATATATATTTCAGAGAATTTTATTTTTGGAAAGAGAAGATTTTCGACTGCGATAAGAGAGACTCCAGTTTCAAACTTTTAAATTGAAGATTTTTATCTTGGAATCAATTCCAGAGAAAAATTGGTTTTTGTTAGAAATTTTCGAACAACGATTTTTAGTAGTTATACTATTTTTCAGTATGTGAAAGGAGCGTAATTCAACACCTTAAAAATCGACCCAAACCCACTTCGGACTAGAAGAACCTGCCCAATAGGGCTTATTTTTCAGAATGGTCCGGTTCAGACATGAAAAATAGACTTTTAACCCTAGAAAACTCAGTAATGTTTTTCGAAATCCTGGAATTTCGAAAAGTCTATTTGAAAAACGTGGAAATTTTTCCCGCAATGGAAATATGAGATTTTTGACCTACGACACAAATTTTTTCATGGTTTAGCTTAATTGTTTTTTACAAATTTTTAAAGTTAATTTTTTTTCAAAGATGGTAAATTTTAGTTTGAGAAATATTTTAGAATTTATATTTTGTATTTTTGTTTTTTTTCCATTGGTCAAGCCAAATTTCGTTATCACAATATTTTGTTGATTTTTAAAATCTCCGCCATCTTCATCTCTTTTTTCTTCTTCTCGGTTCTTTTCTCTGTTTCTATGCGTTCGTTGAGAAGTTAGCGGCGTTAAAATTAAAAGAGAAGAAGAAGATGGAGAAAAAGAAGAAACACATATAAATACATATATACAGGAGGCACAAAGGAAGAAAAAGAAAAACGACGCAGCAAACCAAAAGAAAGAGAAGAATGAGAGGCGATAGAAATCGAAGAAGTGGAGGGTGTGTCGACCGCATCGCGTACGCAGACGCCTAGTCACTATTGATGTGAAGGAGACGCTGTACACACAAGAGAGTGTGGGAAAATAGGAGGGCAAGGGGAGAGAGTATGGGTTGCGGAGAGAAGTGAGACGGTTAGCGAATGACGACAGCATATTGATTGTGGAGGGCGACGGGTTGGTTGATGATATATATATATAAAGAGAGGAGATGTATGCTGATGGAAAAGGAAACAGGGGGGAGGAAAAGGGGGGAGAGCTCTCTCTTTTTTCGGGTTGATTGAGGAATGAGACAGACAAAAAAAACATAAATATAACAGAGAGAAGAAAGACATCAAAACAAACCAATTTCTCAACACATTTCTTCTATTCATTGTTTCTCCTACTCAAACCCTTCTTCGGCTTGATTATTCATTTTTTGTTTTGTTTTTGTAACGCAACACAACGCAACAATTGCACTTTTTGCATGTAACACAGAAAAACAACTTGTTGTTTACGATGATAAATTTGGCATTTTTGTTGGTTGGCGGCGCGCCAAAAAGACATCTGGGCGAGGGTGTTCAAATAGTACTGTACATGTTTTTTGCACATAAAAATGTAGTGATTTTTAGAACAAAAAATGCTACTTCACTATTCTTTTTTAGTATTTACAGTCGTTTCTGTAGAAGTTCCATGGACGCAAAAATTTCCTTATTTTTTCAAGAAAAAAATTCAAAGTTTTTTATTCAAACTATTCAATTTGAATTTTTTTAGAAATCAGTTTTTTCTTATTTATGTCCAAAATTCGGTTCAAATAATTTTGTATAGCAAAAAAATCCAATAATTTATTCGCTGAGAGAAAAACATTCTCCAAAACGAATTCAATGTTTCCGGATCATTTATTTCTGCCCCCAAAATGACAGTAATAACCTTTAGAAAGAAAGGTGTGTCAAAATAGGTCGAAACCCAAAAAATTGACTAGGGGTTTAGAATTTTCAGCTCGTTGAAAAAAGTGTTTTTTTTCCGAAGAAACCAGAATAACGAAGTGTTTCGAACTTTTCGTTTCTCTCAAAAAGCCCTTGAAATTTGGCCATGGAAACGAAACACAAATCTTTCTTTTTTGCCCCAATGCACTTTCAGATTGTTGTTGTTTTTCTCATTTTTTTTTTTTTTTGGAAGGTCAAATTTTCTCTATTTAACCCAACTAAGAGAGAAAAGAGAAAAAGCAAACAAAAATGCAATCAGTTTTCAAAAATCCACCAACAAATATTTACATTTGTTTCATTTTTCCATTTTTTTTTCGAAAAAAGGTAATGGATATCTCCAAATATATATATATATATATATATATGCATTCTCAAATATCAAAAATTATGTTTTTCATCATATTTCATCCGGTGCAAAACGAAAATGAATAATTTCGATACATTTTTGATGATTATTGAATCATTGTAGTGTAAATAATAAATATTTGTTCAATTTTATAATATATTTGAACACATTTTGTTCGAATTGGCCCCAAAAACTTTGATTTTAAATGAAAAAAAAAACTAAACAATTTTCCGCTTGCCAGATGTGGAGAAATAGTGAGAAAGGAGAAGAGACGCAGAGAGAATAGTCAGAAATTAATTAGGGAAGAAAAAAAAAAGAAAAATGATGATGATGGGTAAAAAAAAAGGAAGGACAAATTTGTAGTTATGTTATGTTTGGTTTGGTGGTAAAAATATTGTGGGAAGGTGAATATTTTGGAAAGAAGCAGAAAATAACAAATCACAAGATGAAGAATGGGAAATTGGAAACACAACTTTGAAAATGGGAAAAAGAGCAAGTTATGAAAAAAAGCCTTTGAAACTTTTCAAAAATACTGGAGCCAAACTAATTAACAACTTAATTATATTCCACGTGGTTTTTTGGAATCGTGAACTTTGAATTTAGATTTTTGGGACGTAATAATAAGGAATTGATTATTAATTTCTTAATTCTCAATTTTGAAAAAAAATCATTAATTTTTATGCCGAGAATTTTATGATTCCGAGAAAACCACGATTTTTTAGCAAATGAAAATTGAAAGAAATTGAGAAATTATGACGTGGCAATTCACATTTTTGAATGAAAAATACTGAAATTTTCTTGAGTTGGAAAATTTTGATTCATTTTCAAAAAAAATGAATTTCATTTCTCAAAATCTGACATTTTGAGCATCACAATTTCAGTGAAAAATTTATGATCCCAAGAAAATTAATACCTTCAAAATTCATAGCGAAATTTCAAATTCCAATTCCAATTCAACTTTTTTCATCAAAATTCAAAATGAAAATTTTTCCACGTGAGAATTCGGTTCTGAAATTTAAATAATTCCGAGAAACCTTCTTATTTTTCAAAATGAAAAATTCCCACGTGGAAATTAGAAATTCATTTTCTAAAATTGATTTTTTCTCCGAAAAAATTATAAAAGCTTTCTAGGTAATTTCTAACTTTCCCAATACCCATACAATTCCCGGATCGTACCATCTATTCAAAATATGCAAAAATTGTTAACTCCACCTCCGTCTTTTCCTTCTTCTTCTTCTTTTTCGTCTTTCATCGTTCATCACTAAAAGGCTTACGGTAGGTAGAGAAGAAGAAAAAAAGAACAGAAAAATACTCGTGATCTCTTTCATCACTAGGAAAATAGGAAAGAAGTAAAAAGAAAAGGGGGTCTGTCGAATAAGGCACACCAACAACTGTCTGCATCTCTCATTTCGCCACACTATTCAATGTTATGGCCTCGATTCTCATTGTGTTTGCGCCGTCACAAATGTCTAGACCCTCCTTGCCATCTACACTATTTCGTCGACGCTTTCGTCTGCACTCTCCGCATTTTGCCTGGTCTCTCAAATCGATTCGTTTGATGGCCTGTGCCTCGTTCGTCACATTTCTCTATTTCGCTCTCATATTTATTATTGCGAAGAAGAAGAAGAAGAAAAAGGGAAAGAAAAGGGGGACTTTTTTTCTGTGTCTCAAAGTCTTCTGGCCTATCTCTTATATTCGACTTCTTCTTCGCACTCTCCGTGGGAAAACTGTCCCTCAGTGTAGGGAAGCACCTTTTTCACAGAGATATCAGAATTCGTCGGGCATGGTTTTTTGGACCGCGCTGAGGGTTAGTATGAGCCCATGAGGGCTTTTTCCAAATGTAATATGGAGCGAAAATTGGCGCCAAAAAATACAGTAATATCGGCGCCGAAACCAAGCTAAATTATTGTATTTTCTAGCGCCCAAAAACACGATCATTGTTGTTTTCCATCAATTTAAATTTTTCCTTCAATAAAACCCCCGACCGGTTCAAAACAGGCTTTTTTGCTTCATAATCCAAGGACGCTACCAGTTAAAAAATATGGCTGGAATTCATGCAAAAATTTACTTTTTGCTATTTTCCCATCTTTCAAGGTCAGCAAATTGTTTTAGTGAAAACGAAATACAATAAATAAAACGATCGAAATGAACGATTCTTCGCACAGTGATAATTTTTCAAAAACAAGAGATTTTTATTTCAAAAAAAAAAACAATGCAGAAAAATGTAAGTGAAACAGAAACATAACAAATTATACAGAAACAAATGAATTATTCGAATTTTTCCGACATTGGACATTTCGATATTCCATCAGATGCAGAATCAGCATGATTTTGACTCCACAAAGCTGCGAATTTGTCGAGAAGATTGAATGCTGGAGCGATTGCATAGAAGAAGAAGACTGCCTGAAATTGGTAATTTGAAGGAATAAACTGGTGGGAAATTAAACTTGATGATGAAATTTAAATCAAACTTGTTGAAAGAACCAATTTAAAAGTCTTCTTGAGCCGTTCTTACCTTGATAAAGTAGAACATTGGCCATTCTCCCAAAAAAGTGAAATCGCAAATCGAGAAAATTGTGAGCAACAACCAATAAGCATGCATTCGACGACAATCGCGTTGTGAAACTCTTCCCGTCATGAAATACGATGTTTCAACAATTGGATAAACCAAGCAGAAAATGAATGAGAAAAGAAAGGCGTAGTTGTAGAAAATGTAGCTGACTGTGGAGAAAACCGCAAACATAATTGACAACTGGAAGAAATTAGGTTAGTTGAGATTAAATTCAATGTTGAACTCACAGTTTTTCTTTCAGCGCCCACATATTTTTCAACATTTTGCAACGCGTTTTCCACTGGTTTGAAAGCCGACGACATTTTATCTGAAAAATGCTTCCTTCATAACTTTATTTGGCTGAAAAATCGAAAAATTACCCGGCTTTTGGGCAAAAAAAAAAGAAATGAAAATTTTGAAAAAACAAAATCGAGCTACCGTACGAATCCGCACGAGACCCAAAAAGTGTTTCCGCGAAAGTACCTTGAATTTTTATTTTATTTTTTTTTGCAATTTTTTTTTCGAAATTTTCAGCGACTCAGCTGTAAAAACCGATTGTGCGCCAGCAATGTCTGCTGCACTCTTCTCTCTCGCATTATATCACACTTGATTGGAATGGTCTTTTTTGAATTTCTAAAAAGTTAAAAAAAATGAAATTTATTGTTAGTAAACTCCGAATTTTATTAAAATACACATTTACTCCATCGACTTGAATTTCATGATTTGTTCCATCGATATTCTGTGGATGAACCAAATGTGATGCAAACAGATCTACAACAACATTGATCCGATTTCGGCTCAGAAATCCCCTGTCCTGCATTTCTTGAACTTTCAATTTCATAGAAAACTTTTGATTTTCACCAACTCCATCATGAACTATTATAGTATTTGGAATAGTGATTATCTCGTCTTGATTAGCGTCCTTTTCGTTTTCGATTCTTATCAATCCATATGCTTCAATTGAAAAAGTGGAGTTGTTGTGTTCGCGAGACACCGAAATGACAAATTGAAAATTGCCATTTTTCTTTCGCATCAAAAGTTGCCTGAAAGTAAACATGAAATGATTTCTTGAATTCAAAAACTAACCAATTAAATCCTTCCGATGTATACGTATTGCTTTGCACAAAGTTTATTCCAACCATATGGATATTCCTGAAATTGAATTCGAGAAGCTGCTTGGGTAAGTTCACCGGAACCATTTTGAATCTTCTGTATTCTCGATGACTTCGATTGACTTCTATCGAACAGCAATGACTAAAACCTCGACTGAAAAAACAAAACTCGAGATGATGACAAATTTTCGCGGTATTTTCAAATCTGGCGGCGCGTATTATTCTCAATAGAGCGAAAATTCTACTCTTTAAAAAAATTAGTTTCTCACCCCCATGCATTGAAATTTTGCTCAAGTTTTTTTTGTAAGGAGAGATTGAAATCTTTCATATTTTTTGACAATTACATAGATTTTTTTCTATTTCTCGCAATAGTGACTTTCATATAAAACTTTTTGAAAACTTGGTTTTTTAAATCCCAGCCATTTGAAAATACTTGTTGGATAGATTTGGTGGAAAAACTTTGAATCTAAAATGTTGTGGTACAAATTTCTCGCCGAAAAAGTGAGATAAATAGTGTGTGGCAGACACACAGCGTGTCGAGACCCGCGACTGTCTGCGACTTCGGGAATTTGCATGTTTCTATTGGAAAAAAAACACAGTGAATTTTAATTTAAAAATAACAAAGCCCATAAAACGGTTTATTCAATTAAATTCATACAATTCTTCTCCATTTTCCGCCAAATTTGATTCTTGATGGAACATAATCGGGGCATTCAATCTCAAGTTTCAATATTTTCTTCTCTTCCTCACTAATTGTTATTTCAACATCAATTTCCAAAACAACTCCACTGATCTCCGCAATTGGCGAAATACGGATCTTATCAGTCAAAACTTTATATTTCAATTTAGTGTTCAATTCAGTTGTCAACTCTTTCATCTCTGAATTTGGTCCCTGAACACTTTCAATAATTGATGTAATTGTACGATATTCAATTGGATTTTCAGAGTTTTGTGAAGATCTTGTTGAGCTTGAAGTGCGAGAAGAATCTCTAGAAGATGATGAAGATTTTGATTTTCGAGGCGAAAGTGTGAGAGGTTTTGGAAAATCTTTGACACAAAGACTTCCAGGATTAATAACATCAGCAGTTCCACGTTGATTCGTTGGATTGTGAGCTCTTACAAATTGTATTTCACATTGACTTCCAGCTTGTGGTAGATTGAGAAGAAGCTGGAATTAGGTACCTTTTTCACATTTTCTTTCTTCCCCTTCTTACCTGCTCAATTTCATCAATAGCACGAAGAGTTACTCCATTCAAATACGAAATTGTGTCTTTTGCAGAAGTGTTTGACATTATTAGCGGAATGAGACGAGAAAATTCGAGACGAGAAGGGACGGTTTTTTGACTAATTAGAAATTCGAAATAGAGCTGACTGTTCCTTCACTCACTCTGAAATCTGATTCACGTCCGCTTATTTTTCAATGTCACGTGAAAAATCCTGTTGTTGAATATTTTCTATTTTCTATCTCATTTTTCAAATCTACACCTCTATTCATCCAAAATCGCAATACTGGCACACTTTTCGCTCTTTAAAAAAATTAGGGATGGATGCACTTTTAATTTTTCCGCACAGTGTGTAATTTACTACCTCTAATCACTAGACCTTGTGTCAGGTCTCAAAAAATGCTTTGGGTAGTAAAATACACTCTGTGTTTCCATTACTAGAAATTCAATAACATCCAATTTCTAGAGAAGTTGATTAGCTCGGAAAATAAAATGAACAGGTGAAAATTTTCCGACGACAAAACTGTCATAATGGATGCCTACCTCGCCAACAATTACACACATTGTGAACAGTTTTCATTTTTTGAAACAAAAGAATTTTTGATTACCTCACTTCATATTTCAACTGTATTTGCTGTACCATTAACTACTTATTGTCTTTATTTGATAATCAAAATAACACCTGATAAAATGAAAAATGTGAAATGGCAAATGTTGCACATTCAGTTAACGTAAGAAATATTTTTCACTTTTGCGTTGGATTTCGTCGATTTTGAGTCCCATCGTGTCAGGTCTCAAAAAATGCGCGAAACTTTTTGAGTAGTAAAATACACGCTGCGTGCGGAATTCAATGTTTACCTAATTACCTACACTTTTAAACATCCAGAAATTCCAGTAGTTTGCTGCTTGATGTAATGGTAAATAGTTTGGGTTCACCAGTTTTGTATTTACCCGCTCCTGTTGTTTCTATACATGGAATATTCTCATGGATCGGGGTACCATTCAAGCTCACTGTATATATTGGACAATTTAGCGCGTATTGTAAGTTTCTTATAGATTCCCAAAATTGAATTTTTCAAAAAATTCCAGTGATTGGAATGTCAGTTATAGCATTATTTCAAAATCGGCATAGTGCAATTTCTTCAATTCGATATAAACTCGAATCAAAAATTTCTTTATGTCTTTATTATTCATTTTGTTATTTTGGTGGAGCCATTATTCTTAGTTTATATTTCTTTGATATTGATTCATTGAACAAGGAAAATAAGTTGAAATATTTGGAAATTTATAAATGCCCGCCAATTGAATATTTTTCAAATGACGCTTCTGTTATCACAAATAAAGTTCAACTTGCTGAAATTTGTATTGGAAGTTTGGTAACATTTATTTGCATAAATGCGTTTTATTTCACAATATCAAGTGCCTATAACTTAGTATTTTCTCATCCTTCAAATGTATCAGAAAAAACAAGAAAAATGCAGTTGAAGTTTCTAATAATGTGTGTTATTCAAATTGGTATTCCTATTATTGCACTTGTCATTCCGTCTTTTCTAATCATCGCCTTTATTTCACTTAATTTAATTAGTCAGAAACTGAATAATTTCACAATATTATTATATGCAGCACATGGATTGCTTTCAAGTTTTTCACTTATTTTTTGTCACCAACCGTATCGCGATCATTTCTTGAGGAAAACATCGAAACCCAATCCAAGAAAATCAAACACTTTTTATGTGTCCAAGACTTTGTTTTTCAAATGAAGTATCTGATTCATAGAAAGTCTTTTTTCCAGAATAACAGCAGATGAATATTTTCAGACTTTATTGACTAAAAAATCATAACTACATAAATTAGTTATACTGAAGAAAAATATTGGTAATAAAAATCCAAATAGATACTTTCAAAATGAAATGTTGAAAAAAGACAACATAACATAACATTTTACTCCTGAACAAAAGTGACACTGGTGACAATTTGATTTACAGAGAGACGAGAGATACAAAGAAAATATGTTGTGAGTCGAAAGTTCTGAAAATATAAACTTCAGAATTCCATCCATCAGTCGGAAATTGATTGGAATTCATATGTGAAGTTTTGACTTTGCAAATATCTGACGTGACCGACAATCAGCCTCAACGTGTGCCACGTCATCAGATAAGAAAGCTTATATAAAGCGCCGTTGATAGCATTCGAGACTGGACTACTCTCTCATTATGTAAATAAATCTTTTAGTATTTATCTGTGCACTGATATTCTAGTATTCTGTTTACACCCACTATCAGGGTTGTAATACTTTTAAAAAGTTTTTTTTTTGAAATAAGTAGGAATTGAAATGAACCGAAGTTTGGATGGTAATAAGAAAAATTGGCCAAAAAATCGTGGATCGAAGGGGGGCACAAATGGTAAAAATACCAGAAATATTACAAAAAGTAAGGAGGAAAAAAAGCAAAAAAAACTGAAAATTTGAAAAAACCGAAGAATTCTGGCCAGAAAGGAAGCTCTGCAAAGAAACCACATGTAAATGATAATATTGCGGAAGCATGTTCACATATTTTGAGGCAGCTTGGGTCCACCAAATGCGGAACAAATCTCCAAAATTATTGGAAAGAAATCGAGCTAGAGGATGATATTGAGGTAACTTATTTTATCACTGGAAAACTAGTTTTTACCCAGAACAGAAAATGTTTTTGTAGGACAGAGATATCCAAGCTTTTCTTGGTCACATGGAAGATGACTATAACCAAGCAGAACATGTAGAAGTGTTGGATAAAAATCGTGTGAAACTGGACAAAACCGAAATCCACGCCAGTTATGTTGAAGTCGATATTGCTCGCAAATTTGTTTTGGCCCAGCTTCCACTTCTCAATTCAAAAATACTCGAAGATTTTTGGACAATGATTTACCAGGAAAAGCTGCACAATATATATTTGATTTGTCATCCTGGAGATTCCGCGAAAACAACCGATGCTGATAAATTCAGTGAATATTTTCCATTGACAAATGGACAACATGAACATTATGAGCAAATTTGGGTTCATAATCGAAAAGTTGAATGAGGAGGTTTGGGTGGCGAGTCAAATAAAACATTTATAATTGAAGTTTTGTCAAATGGTTGTGCCCTTTTTTATTCAGAAATGCCTGCCGCATGAATCGGGAGGCGGGATTTAATTGGCAAGGTGCGGCACGTTTTTTTATTGAAGAAAATTTATTATTTCTGTTTTTTCTTGGAAAATTAAGTGAAGAAAAAAAGATGAAATCGAAAAAACAATTTAAATTACGTGAAACGTGTATTTGTGGCAGAATACGTGGCCGGCAGGAAAAAGTCAGAAAATAATGCCTGTGTCGTCATTATTTTCTCTCATTTCAACCGATCCGACTATATCAAAACCCCAATTTCAAACGAGAACATGGATTCTGATAAATTGATCGAAATCGTCATAGATATGGAAGAAGCAACACCAAATGATAAATTGGTTATCACCAAAATTCAAAGTGGAACTGTTGCCGAAGGAAAATTGAAAGTGAGTTATCTAGAATAAATATACCCAACTTCACAGTAATTATCGTTTTTAGATCGGAGATCAAGTCAAAAAGGAATGGTCAAGATTGCAAAGATACCAACGACTTTTTCCGCGCATTGCGATTTGCCGCACCGACTACAAGAATTTTGGTGAATCACGGCGACAAAAAAGCAGAAGAAGTGTGTTTCAAGATTTCTGGTCTTAAAAAGAAATTGAAGTGCCAAAATATCGAGGACACAATCAAAAGACTCATCAATTGTGAAGATGAAGCATTGATTCTATGCTTCAAGGCGACAAAAAATAAGTTTAGCCTTGAGGAGAAGGTTCGTTTTAAAATGTGAAATAGTTAGAAATTACTGGTTTACAGATTGTTATGATCGAATATTGCGCTAAATTGTCGTCGACTGGTGCAGAAACAACAACGGAAATTATAATGGAGATGCGGCAAAAATGGAAAGAATTGGACACCAAAACTTTGAAAACATGAATTCGGAGCCTTCCTGGAAGTAAGTAAAAGCATCAGTCAAAATTCGATAATCTTATTCAAATATTTTCACAGACAATTTCCCTGGCCCTTATCAATTGTTGGTTCTATCCAGATGTCACCAATGAATTGATAAGAATCTCCACTTTTCATAGCCCAAATGATGATTTGTTCAAGAGGATTGGGCCAGCAATGAAGAAAAATCCTATTGAAACTATCAAAATTTTGACCAACATCAAAAACAAGAATGAAATATCTGTCGCTGTTGATGAATTTCGACAAATCGAATGGCAAATACAATTTGGAGAAAAGGGTTATAGTGGAGTAAACCTTGAAGATTTTTGGAAGATCTATGGAGATAACCCAATTTTGCCAGATTTCTTCCAGTGAGTTTGCCTATAACTGAAAAAACATAATTTTTTATTGATTTAGAAATGAAAAAACAAAGAGACAACGGAATATGAAGTTGGACACGATGATCGATCATTTAAAAAAGTTTGAAATTATTTATCCAACGCAATGCTTTGACACACTTCCGAATCGCCGGTTCAAACTTCGAATTTTTCCAACAAAGGTGAATTTGCAAGCAACTGGAGGAAAAAAGATTTTAAAATTCCGAAATCTGTCACAAGAAAATCTTGTGTTCAAAGTAAAAGTTTCGGACTCTGAGCAAATCAAAATAACACCAAACTTGGGATGTGTTATGAGCCAGCAACAAATAACAACGACAATAACTCAACGTCGCGGAAAAGTTGCAAAGCATCGACTGGTTATAGAATTTTTGAGGAGTGAAACAATTGAAAACGAGAGAATAAGAGAGTTATTCTCATACAATGGAAATGATGTGGAACAAGTTTCTATCGAGTTAGAAAGTCTGTGATTTAACAGTAATTTGCTGTATTTTTTTTATTCTATGATTTTTCATGAATAAATGTTTATTAATAAATGGTTCTTAAATAGATATGACTCAAGTCGAGAAAAAAATAGCTAAAAACGTTTTTCAACAAAACTTTTCTATTCATCAAACGTCCCACATTTGCAAAACGAAAATTTTTAAACAAACGTTTGAAAAAGGTAGCCACAGTGTCCCGAACGCGTATTGCGCCAGCACTCCACACTCCACAAACTCTCTCGTTTTCTCTCTATCTCTCATCCGTCTCTTCAGCAAACCGCACTCTCTCATCTTTTTTTGCGCTTTTGTTTACTTGCTGAAAAATGCTGGAAATGGAATTTTTGTAACTAAATCGAGTATGGAGAAGACAGAGGAAGAAAAATTGAAGCTGTTCCAAGTTGTTTGATGAAAAATGGTTGAGAATGAAATGAGCAAGAGCTCTTCAAAAATAAGCTTGTGCAAAAACATCATTTTTGACCCGGGAAAGCTGATAAAATTCAGTGCTATACTTCCAAAACATTTAAATAGGACTCCTCAAATATGTGGAATCAATGATAATTCAAAACTATGTCGTTTTTGTTATTTTCTTTTCCATCGAAATTTGCCCAAAATTGATCAAAAAACCAGATTTCAGAAGTTTATTTTGATAAAATATTTCCTAAAACACCTTGAAAGTGTTCTAATTCACATATTTATCATAAAACAAGTGCCGAATCACATTTTTCCTTCATAAAATTTGAATTGTTTTTCTTCAAAAGATATTAACTAACTTATTTTGAATCCAATCTTCACATGTTTTATATCAAAACGTTCCTCTCATTATTCTCCAGAACATATAGCTCAGTTTGGGAGTTTTCATGCAAGTATAATTCAATTCTAATCATTTCAAGAAAAAACCTAGTGTTAAATTTTCAAAAAACCGAGGAACAGGCTTGTGCGCTCTGCCGCACATGCACCAAAAATGCGCACAACTTTTCTCTGGCTACGCGTTGGGGGCACTGTGCGGTAGAAAATTGTGGAAAATTTCTTGGCAAGGACTAACTATTCATGGCCTAGGAAACCAAAAAAATAACAAAGTTCGCCCATGCATCTTATTTGTTGCAAAGAAAACTTTTATTCTTTTCCCCGCGCGGTTTGCGTGAACACTATGGTTGTTTGTTTTTTCCATCCATATTTTACTTTTCAAAACCAACTTTACCGAAAGTATATCTACCTATTTAGATACTTTGATGGTCTTAAATTTAGATAAATCTAGTTATAAGTTTTCATTTTGTTATCTCGATGTGTCGCTGTTCATTCATTTTCGAAAAGATCTAGGTCATTAAATTCCTCATTCCAGCGACAAACTTTGATGAGAAAACCAACAATATGTCAGCCTCACATCATTATCAGCAGCAACATCATCACAAGTCAGGAAAATCTAGAGAATCTTCATCGTCACGAATAGAAAATCATAAATGTAACTTGGGTTGGCAGTATGTGAAAATCGATGGGAAATCATATCTTCGAGTAGACGGTGAACCGAGATCGATTAAAAATGAGCATGAGTTTCAGGTATTTTTCTCTCAATTAAACATTTCTTTTTATCAAAAAGTGTTTTCAGAGTGTACGAAAATTCGGCGTTGTTCACGATCCGATGAAACTGCAAAGAAATGAAAAAGCATTAGTTGATCCAAGAATATCGATCCAAACCAAAAGCAATACAATTTATGACAAATATTCGATTCGTTCAAATGTTTCATTCAAAGCTCCGAAATTTCGAATAGATGGTGATTATGTTGCGATTCCACCAAAACGAGAAGTTGCAATATTTAATATGGATGATAATTGTGATACAGATATTTTGACTGATTTTGCCAAAGAATGTGGTGCAGTTGAAGATGTTTGGGTTTGCCGTCATCCAGAAACTAAAAAACATATGAAAATGGCTTATATTATTTTCGAAAAACCGAAAGACGCTTTGCTATTTGTTGAGAGATATCAAATAGTTAAATTAATGGCGACCCGAATTGAAGCACAATGTGATCCTTATTGTAAGCTTTTCCCCCTGTTTCAATTTTAATTTCTCTTCTTTCAGTGACCCATTTAAATGAAAAGTACGAAAAAGAAACAAATCATTTATTGCCTTTACCAAAACATCTGCAAATAATTGATGAAAAAGTGTTGAGTGGTTTTCGTGAAGAAATTTTGAGAAATGAACAAAATTTGAAGTTGGAGGAATCTGTAAAACCAGAAATCGAGGAAGAAGACGTTGAGATTGATGTAGTGAAAATTGAAGAGCCGCCGTTGAGAAGTCATACTCCACCTGTTTTTTCTCAATATTCAATGCAACCATCTTCAAGTTATGATTTGGATATTCCACCACCTCCAGCAAGACCAGTTAAAGGTATTTTTAAGTTTTTTTTTCAGTTGCATGTTATGTTTTTGGCTATTGCACGCACCAGACTTGGGAATTTACACGTTAACGACTCAAAATTTTGATTTTCATTATTTTTGAAGATTCTTAGAAAAAATCTATTATTATTTTTCACTTTAATAAGTGCCTTAAGGTCTTTAAATCCATCAATTTCGTTAAATTTATATTTAAAATCTCCACTGTTTCTAAAGTGGAACTTTTAAAAATCTACTATATACTATGTATAATATAATGATCCCTAGACTCTAGTCACGTAAAAAACTCCCAGGTCTGCCACGCACGCTTTTTTGTTCTTTGTTCAGCAAAAAGTCCTCCACCACCTCCACCACCACCACGAAAAACATCACTACCTCCTCCTGCACCCCCTCCGCCACCTCCACCAAAACCCCGTCGTTTCGAACCGTTTCGCCTCAAAACCCCATTGAAAAATCCGTTTGGTGTCGTTTTGGATGAATCGATTTGGCGTCCCAATAAAACATATGAACCATATCCGGAGAAGGTGAAGTTGACAGAAGTTGAGGAGAAAGAGTTCAAATGTCCGGAATTGCCTAGAAAACGAAAAATTGAGGAATCGAGAGATAAAGAAATGAATAATAATAACAATAATAATAATAATGAACGAAGAGTTAATCCAGGTATTTTTCACTTTGCATGTTGCTTTGCTTTCACCTGATTTTTGTTAAACACCGCAACATTTTCCATGATTTATAAAACAATTTCTAGATACATCATATCACGGCTTCCCTGAACCGCCTCCAAAATATTCGGAAATCGATCCAATAAGAAGATCGCATTCTCACAATCAAAGACCATCTTCATCATCAGCAAATCGATCAGATTCTGGAGAAGATCGAAGACATCGAAGAAATACGCAAAGATCATCAACAGAAAAAGATGAAACGGAAAAGGTTTTGAAAGTTGAAACATATCGAATGAGGTACATTTTTATTGAAAAGGGAAAAATACTCTTTCAAACAAATGTTTTTTGCAGAAGTATCAAATATGGTGGAAATGGATTCAAGATGAGTGAATATGTCAAGGAATATAAATCGAAAACATTATTAGCTGGAGGATTGGAAACAATTTCATCAGATGATAGAACTCCAAGATCGAGGAGTATGTCGATTTCTTCAACTTCTTCTGTTCCAACTTATCCGGATTCTGATAGAGATCGAAGGAAAAAGGTGAGGCTTGTTGAGAAAAGGGATTAGTTATCTCCAAACCTCACCTCACCTCGGCCAAAATCGTGGTTTCCACAATAAAAATTGTACGCTAACTTTTTACAGTACAAAAATTGTAAATTTTTCAGTTTTTGTCCTCTAAAAATTGTGATTTTCAATTTTTGACCTGTAAAAACTTAAATTCAGATTTTTCAAAAAATTGTACTCTGGCCAGTCACGGCTTGGCCGAGGTGTGAACCTCACCCAAGAACCTGAAGAAGTGGGAAAAAAATTGCCCGCCTGAGGCTCGCCTTAAAGACCCTAAAAAGTTTTGCCCACGTGAGGCTCACCTTAAAAATTTTTGCCCACCTAGGTTTTTCGAAAAAAAATTGCCCACCTGGAATTCCAGGTGTTGGGTGAGGTTTGGTTATCTCACAAAGTTTTTTATCTACCTTTTTAATATCAAAATATTAAAAATGCCCATTTTCCAGCCAAAATCATCAGAGCGACGAAAAGAAAGAAAATTCGGATGGGAAACCGAATCGGATGACACTGATGACAGTGATCGAGACAGACATCGACGTGGAAGAAAAACAAGACATTCATCATCGAATGATCGAGAAAGACATCGAAGAAAATATCGAGAAAGAGATGATGAGAGAAAATCGAGAGGATCAAAACCAAGAACACCGCCATCACCAAGAAGATCAACAACAACAACAACTTCCTCATATTTATCATCGTGTCAACAACAGAAACTTGGTATTCCTACTTTTGATAAAACTCGTCCACCGCCGCCGCCGCCTTCAACAAATCGAATTCCTTCAACAACATCGATGTATAAAAAAATAATTGCACCGTCGACAAATATTGAGGAATCACATTCGATGCGGAATATTCGAGAAGATACTCCGGAAATGCCTGCGGAATCGTTGCAACAAAGAATTACTGGATTATTTGGAATTGGAGAGAAAGAGCAAAAGTGGGTTCTATTTTTTAAAAAAAATAAATTCTCGATCTTAGACCCGAAAACATCGATCATCAACAAAAAACAATTTTACAGGCCATCTACACCTGATCCAAAACCAATTCAAATGACAACTTATACTCCGATGACATTTGTGAATACATCGATGGATCGACATTCTTCGGAAGATATGGATGTGGAAGTTTCGAGTGAAGCGGATACGATTGAACATAATCGAGAGACGGAATTTGAGAGACAGCTGAGAATGAAAAAGGAGAAGATGGAGGATGAAAAGAGAATTGTAAGCTTTTTTGGAAACAGGTTTCAGGGATCGGTTCCCAAAAAACATTATTTTTTCCAGAGAGACCTTAAAAATGGGTTGAATCATAAATCGACTAGCAAAATTGACCGAGAATTGCTCAAGAAAATCACCATGGCTCATACCGAATATATTTTACGCCAAAAATTATCATATGTCGATGAGTTTTTGTTGAATCGAGCTGCACAGGATGAGGAAAAAAGAAAGGTTTGTTGTTTTTTGTATCGGATTAGGCTGAGTGGCCAAATTTTCCCCAAAATAGAATACGTTTCAAAATTTTTATAAGGTTTTTAGAATTTGATTTATTTTCGTTAATTCAAAGCTTAGTTTGATGATGAAAAAAATAAACTTTCCTGCTATCAAAAATTGAAACTGGTTCCATTCTGAAAAAATACCCTAATTTGAGCCCTCATTTTATAAATATATATTTCAGAAAGAACGCGAAGAACGAGCTCGTCTTGCAGCCGAAAATCCGATTATTGAACCATTTGCTGATTTTATGGTGAGATTTTGTACTATTGAAACTGTAATTTTAAACAATTGGAAGTCTTCACAGAAAACATTTTTTTTTTAATTCTCGCGAAAATTTTTTCATTTAAAAAAGATGCAAAAAACATTTTGTTTCAAGTTTCTTGAGCTTATTTTGATTCAAACTGCCACGTCATAGTAGTTCACCCTCCAAAAATTATTATACATATTTTTTTATTACACCATTTTTTTCATAATTAGCATTGTATGCACATCTCTTCCCCTTTTCTCTCTCATAAAAAAGGCGCGAATTTGCAATGTCTGCCACACTCTCTCATTTTCCCCCACTCTTTTCTCTCTCGATGTGTGTGTTTGTTATTTTCTCTCTTTCTCTAACCACCCTCTCTCCTTGTTTTTTTCCTGGATTTGTTTTCCAATTTAATAACAACCTGAAATCTTTAGATCTCATGTGTTAGTGTGTCATAATTGTATTCTTTCTGAATATCATCTACTATTACGTGTTTTGTATATAATAATATCTATAAAATGACTCGCTCAAGTATGTCTTATGAAGAATGGAAACGTATCAAACTGCAACAAAAATCACAAGCTACTGCTGGAGCATCGGGTGTTCGAGTGATTTATCGAAGTGTTCTACAATCCAATGAACAACCGCCACGACATGTTTATCAATTAACAAAGAAATATCATGTGAATCAGAAAACTGTGCCATCAGTTGGAATTCGCCCGAAAATCCCGGATTTTAATGATAAAATGATGGTGATTAATGGGAAATTGGTGAAAGTACGAGTTGTACAATCACCAACAAAACAATCGCCATTGCCACCAATTCTTTTGCCACCAAAACCACTTCAACGAACTGATTTATTGGCGAATCTTCAGCGGAATACACCATTGACTGAATTGCCAAAGTTTAAGAGTCCTCCAGTTTTTAAAGAACCACTTGGCAATAGATTTTCGTTTAAGGTAAACTAGGGTTCCTTAAAAAATTTAATGTTTTCTGTGAAGATTTTCAATCTTTTCATTTTTTTTTCAAAGTTATTCTTCATATATTTCCAGAATTATGTGCATTCTGCTGCAATGCCGTCTAGAATTGTTAAAAGAGAGAAGAAACACACGAAAGAAGATGAAAAAAGAGCTCGAACAACATCGGATTCTTCAGACAAATCGAATTATGAAGTGTCTTCTAGCAACAGCTCTGATAATGATTATTCGGATGTTGAAGTGAAGAAATCGAAGAATCAGCGAAATTTGATATCATCATCGGATTCGTCATCGATTGCTGGACAATCTGATGATTCATCGATTAAAAAATTGGAATCGGAAGAAGAAGAGGATGAAAGTAGTTCGAGTAGTAGTGATGAAAATGAATCGAGCGATTTTGAACAACAAATTAAATGTGAGTTTGGAAAGAGTGGAAAGGAAATCTGGATGTTTTCAAGAATTTTACTGGAAAAATAGAGATTCGTTCTAATTTAAGGTTTGGAGTCTGAGATTTTTATGATCTGAAATTCAATAAAATTGAAAAAAACTATTCTCATATTCTGAAATTCATTATTTTGCAGCCAACAAACGCCGAATCCTCGATTCATCAGATGATACAACTGATTCGGATAAACCGGTCAAAAAACGAAGTGCAATGAAAAAACAAATTGAAACAAGAGAATCATCAGTTGCTTCGAGTATTCGAGAAGAATCTGCGAATTTGACGACAAAATTGGAAAAAGGCGAAAAAGATTGTCGAATTGTCGAATGGCAAAAAATGGATCCACGAATTGTTCCACGAGGTTTGTCGATTTTTTTTGTTGCTTTTTTTTACACTGGTTTGGAATGTATGTGGTTTTTGACCCACGATCCGCTTGTCAAAAACTGATTATGTTGACTCTGAATATGGGTTATGACGTGGCAAAATTTGATCATTTTATTTTCAAGTTACAGTTTCAAAGGTAGTTTTAAAAATGATTGTGAGTGAATTTTTGAAGCTGAAATTTTTTAAAATTTATATTTTGCCACGTCATAGCTCATATTCAAAATTGAGCTAACAAGCAGTTTTCAACAACGGGATCATGTTCATTCACCTTTTTGCATGTTTTTGTTTTATTTTCCTTGCACTCACTGATAACCCGCTTATACTTACGTTTCGCAAAATTGTTACATAAGTGCAAAATGGGGAATATCTTACAGAACCTCAAATTTCGATCAAATCCAATGATTATCATCCTATTCTTTCTGAACATTGTTATTTTGCGTTTGCAGATAAAACACATCAACAATTGGTTGTAAACAATCCGCTACCACTTGATACGGTAAGGTTTTGGGAGAAAGATTTGGCAAATTCTAATTTCAAAAATGTATTTTTGCAGCCAATCCCGTCACAGCCAACATGGGATTCATTACACGGAGAAACATCGGGTCCATTGACTTTGCCACAAGTCGCTAAAAAAGTGTCGCCCAAAAAATCGAACAAACGGAGTAATTATAGAGAATTGTTGGATTTGTATAGTTCACGGTGAGTTGGATTTTTATTTAGGGTAAACTAGAATTCTAAAATAAAATTTTGAAACAAATATAAAACTATTCATTTTTCTGCTAATCTCAAAAAAATTGTGTAAATTTTAAAATCGGAAAGCATATTTTTGGCTTCTCAAAAAAATTTGTTAAATTCTGGAATACTTCAAAATTTGCGAAAACCCGCTTATTCCTAGATTTTCATTGTTATTTTTTCGTTTTCATCATTTTTCCTTCACTAAATTTCGAAATGCAAAAAAATCTTGCCAAATAAATCCCGCCTCCCGATTCACGCGAGAATTTGTTTTTTTTTTCTGCGACAAGCATTTCTGAATTTAAAAAGTCAAGATTTTATGGCTGTGAGAAGTTCTTCCGAAATGAGAAAAATATATTGCAGAAGTCAACCGGTTTATCCACAACCATCTACAATATATTATCAAAAAAGAACAATCGAAGAAAAACGACGAATTCTGTTTGATGTGGATGATTTGTTGGATTTTGAAGATCAAATGTATTTAGGACAACAACTCATCGAAATGCAATCAAAAGTGTCAAATGAAAATGATTTGCCGTGGAAAAAACGATTGACATTCATTGAATGTGCAAGACCCAAAGAACCACTCATGAAAAGTGAACCGATTCGATCAACCAAAGGAGCACCTGATATTTTCTATGATGATAGTGATTTGGATGGTGTGATTCCGGTTGAAGAAGGATGTTCGAGAGCAAGACCTTATAAGAAAATGAGCATGAAATTGAAGAGAAGTTTGATGAGAAGACCGGGAAATGGAACTGGAAATACATTGATAACTGAAAGAGATGAGACTGCACTTCGACATCAAACTATCAAAGAGAAAGAAATGAAAGCGTTGCAGAGAAGATTGTTGACTTCGATGGGAGATATGACTTCGGATATTTTCAAGATTAATCAATTGAAGTGTCGGAAGAAGATGATCAAATTTGCGAGATCGAATATACATGGATGGGGTTTGTATGCGATGGAATCGATTATGCCAGATGAGATGATTATTGAATATATTGGACAGAAGGTAAGAGATTATATGCATTTAATTAACCAACTATGTATTCTGTTCCAGATTCGATCGCATATAGCTGATGTTCGTGAACTTGGCTATGAACGTCGTGGAATTGGAAGTTCGTATTTATTCCGAGTTGATGAAGAAGTTGTGATTGATGCGACGAAAAAGGGAAATTTTGCCAGATTCATTAATCATTCGTGCTCGCCAAATTGTTATGCTAAGGTAAATTTTATTAAAATCTGGGAGCTTCAAAAACTTAACCAACCAAATTCCAATATTTTCCAGGTTCTAACAATCGAAGGAGAAAAACGTATTGTGATTTATAGTAAAGGGACAATTAATAAAGGCGATGAAATAACATACGATTACAAATTCCCGATTGAAGATGAAAAAATTGATTGTTTATGTGGAGCGAAAAATTGTAAAGGATCATTGAACTAAATCTGTATATTTATAGGCCGGACCTTTTTCTTTCTTTCTTTTTGATCTCTTATCTCATGTTTTTCTTATTGAAATCAAATGCCCTGTGATTATTTTGGGTCCCTCTTAACCTTTTTTTAGGACTTATTTTTGTTTTATCCGGACCTCATTTTGATTTTACCTCTTTCTTACTTGTTTTCTTTCCCCCGCCCCTTTTTTATATTTAACATAAATTTTTTGAATTATCAAAAACTGAAATAATTTGAATTTAAAAATTCGTGAAAAAAAAATTTGATGAAAGTTTTGTTGAATTTCAACGAAAAATTGCCAACTAATCAATAACGTGTCGCGTGAGAATAAAATTGTTTTGAAAAAAACTTGAATTTTAAAATTTTCAAGTTTTCCTATAGTTTTCACTGATCACGATTCCGCAGTCGAATTCAACTTATCTCAACTCTGAACATGAGTTATCTATGACGTGGCAAAGTTTCAGTAATTATTGCAGTACGAAAAGAATCCAGTAAAGTTCAATACAACAGTAATCCTTGCAGTTCGAAATTTAAGAACTACAGTACTCACGTTTTCTCTGCACTCTCTCACTGTTTCTCTTTTTGGCTTCGGAACAACTTATAGGGGGTCAATTGGAGTTTGGAAAGGAAAACATGTTAAAAAGGGGGGGGGGGTAAGAAATACATGTTTTCCTTGCCAAACTCCAATTCACCCCCTATAAGTTGTTCCCAAGCCAAAAAAAAATGGGTGGAGCTTGAAATGTGTAAAAAAAAAGAAGAAGAAAGAACAACGCTCCTAGATACTTCATATTGTTTTATTTATTAATTATAAAATAATTAGAGCCTGCGATTTGTTTTGTTTCTCATAATTGTTGTTGCTGGAAAAATGGCGCTACACAATTTTAAAAATGAAAGCGAACATGAATTTCACTACGGAAACGTTGAGAAGATATTTTTCTTTGATTGGAACGAAATCGAAAGTCCGGTGAGTTTAGTTTTGAGCATTTATTTGAGAGTGAAAGTTTATAATGTTTTTGAAGACCCCTTCAGAATTGTTGAATTTATATTTCGTGAATTTCAAGCTTTGCCACCCTATTTTTATTTCTAAATTCCAATCAAAACCTCTTTTCTTGCAGTTCGATATTCTTCCAATGGAAATGAAAACAATGATTTTCCTATATTTGGATCCGGATGACATAACTCAATTTGGAAAATGCTCAAAAAGTTGTCAAAAATTATTCAAATTATTCCGACCAAAAATCAAAAGTGTATATTTTCGAGGAAATACAATTAGACCATTGAAAAATTATCAAAATTATTTGATACAAGTCCAATTTCATGGATATCCGTGGAACATATATGAAGTTGTAGTTGAAACATTGAACTCAATCAATTCGAAAAAAACTCGCTTGAAAAAATTATCGAGAAGAAATACTCAAGATTACCACTATTATACTCAAGAATCCACTGTTATACTCACGAAGTTAGTTTTTTTTGTTTGGCTGAATTTTAGAAAATTTAGTCACCACGAAATTTTGATCCAATAATGATCGTGTTTTTCATTTTATTGAAATTTTGCCTTAAAAGTTATGACGTGACAAAATATAAGCAGATTTTTAAAAGTCCAAACTCACAGCGAAAAAATAATAATTTTTTGTTTCCGTGTGATACGGTGCCTTCGGAAATCTTCGAAAAAAACAAGAAACAATTTCCGCAATGAATTTTTTTGAGACCTTCGGATTTCGAATCTTTGTATTTAGATACCACCGTTCAAACCCGAAATTTCGTCCAATGAATGCTCTTGAAATGTTCAAAAATATTATTGAATTCAACAAATCATCGATTGATGAAATTTCAATTGAAGCAACTATTATTGTAAGTTTTTTTCAAAAAATGTCTGGGAAAGCAAATTTTTATTTATGGGGTGAGTCAATCGAATTAATCGACGTGTTTTTTGCGATTAATTGACAAAAAAAGTGAGTCTTTTAGGGCGATTAATTTCACGTTTTTGTCAATTCCTCGCTTTCATTTCTTGGTAAAAAATGCGATTAATTGCATAAAAAATAGAATTTATTTGACCTATATTTTAAAACGTGACCTATATGAGTTGGTATTATCAATAAAAAATTGTCTTCTCTCAATTTTCTTTCATTTCGAAATGAATCCAAAAAATAAGCAGTGAATTTGGGACACGTTTCAAAAAAGAGGTCAAATAAATTCTATTTCATATTGAAATTCCTCATTTTTGAATGCAATTAATTGCAAAAAAATATGGAATTAATCGACAAAAACGTGAAAAAATCGCACAAAAATGACTCACTTTTTCTGTCAATTAATTGACAAAAAATAAAATTGACTCACCCCATTAGCCGAGATCGTCCTTAACTTTGAACCTAAAGATCTTTTTAGGAATCAAAACACATGAGATCGATCGATATTTATTCGGAAAACTTGAAAGTATTGCGAATTGATGGCTATTTCACAGATCATCCACAATGGAATCAATTTCTCTCGGTTGAATTTCTTGAGATGAAAAATTTCAAAATTAGCTCGCAACATTTTCCAATGATAAAATCAAAGTATCTTGCGTTGGACAGAACAGTTATGGACAAACAATTATATACACTATTTTTAAGACATTGGAGGGATGGATTGATGGAAAATTTGAGAGAAGTTTCGATGGTTGGAGATGAACATACTTGGTTTGATTATTTGTTTGTTGATTATACGATGCTAAGATTTGTGTCAGGAGGAGATAGGGACTCATTGGACCCGTGAGTTGATAAAAATTATAGACCTATCATATTTGAGTTAACACCGTAAAGTTTTCAAACGTGTTCATAAACGTTGAGAATTATTTTCAAAATTCGTGTCATAACTTTAATTAACAAAATTAATTCCGATTTTTTTCAAATTCCAAAAACTTCTGAAGTACTCGAGCCACTTTTTCAAAATATATTTTTGCAGCAGAAATCATTCATTAAGATGTGTTGTTGTTTGCTCGCTATCAGTAGATTTCAGTATCCAAGGAGTTTTGATTGATGATATTAATAATTTGCCTGTTCGATTGAATCTGAGGCGAAAGGATTTTTAACAATTTTCTGTTCTTATGATTTTTTTCCTATGTTCTATTTACCAAATAAAATGCGATTGACCTCTTTCTTACTTGTTTTCTTTCCCGTCCCTTTTTTATATTAAACATAAATTTTTTGAATTATCAAAAACAGAAATAATTTGAATTTCAAAATTCGTGGAAAACGTGAACGTGAAAATCCACGTTTTTTCTTTCGCCACGTCTTTTTTTGGGAATTGGCAGCATTTTTCGGATAATATTTTTGAAAGAAAATGGCAGCGAATGCGCTTACTTTAAAATTTGTACAAAATGAAGGTTGGTTGAACTTTTTCGAGAAAAAATTGCTAATTTTACTACGGTATGCGAAATTCGTGCAATTATGCGTCGCTGTGTTTGCACACCTGATTTTTATTTTCACTGTGCCCGGAACGCGACAACAGAGAAAATGTTTTGCCTCTACCCTTTTCTCATACTCTCTCGTGTGTCTTTTTTTCTCTCTCGTCTCTTCACAACCCCACACACTCTCGCTGAAAACTGACTTTTGAATAAAAACCGCAATTTGAAAGCTTGAAACTCGGAATTTCGAAGAAGTAAGATGATGATCAGAAAGAGGAAGAGTAGTAGAACGCAGAGATATGAAATTCACTCAAAAAAGTTCTGGAAACGGCTTTCAAACACGGGTTTGAAAAAAGTGAATTTCTATTTTTCAATTTTTTTCATCCAAAAATGAATTTTTCCAAAATTTTCGTAAGAGATCTTGTAGAGAAGGTTAAGCTGGTTAGATTCCAATATCAAAGTCTTAACAATGATAGCTACTTCATGAAATTATCGCTCTCAAAGTTTCATACATGGGCAAGTTTGGCAGAAAACCATGAGTTCAAATGAACATTATTTGAAATTGTGTTTTAACAACAATGTAATATAGGTCTTCCTCTTTCAAATGATGTATAAAACTTCAGCTTTTTGGAAATAATTCGATGAGAAAATCCAGATTTGGTTTCAGAAGTTTTTTTCCCCAGAAAAAAAAGAATGGCCGAGATTTTTTGTTCTGGCCGAACTAATCGGAAACTCGGCCATTGTTGCGCTCAGGGCACAGTGTATTTTTTTTTATTTTTGAGCGTTTTCAGTATTTACAAGGCAGTTTCGGCGAACTCTGAAAAATTTCAACTAACTTTGAAATACCATCTGATTCGTCTTGTTGAGATAAATCAGGAGAACTATGTAATTTTCTCTGAGACGCTTTCTCAAAAAAGTTGGAAGCGAACAACTAATTTTATAGGCGCACATAATTTTGAGCCGGTCTTAAAACGATAAAGGTTTTCCCAGTTGAAATTGTTTTTTACAGTTTCACAACAAGATCAAAAGTCAGAAGAAGCTTCAATCAAAAGATGCGAAGATTTGATAATTTCATATGCCAAAAAACTGGCAGCTGAAAATGACTCAATCGGAATTCAAACCCTAATGACATCGATCAAATCATTCTACGAAGTTTTGGGAAAAGCGAGAGCAAGTAAATTGATTCGAGAACTCGTTGAATTGTGTTTATCGATTGATCAAGGCAAAGCTGAGAAGATCAAGGTTTTGACGGATTGTATTGAATGGGCCACGTCGAATCATCGAGAATTTTTGAGAAGAAATATGCAAGCACGACTTGTTCGATTGTATAATGAAGTTGGCGAATATACAGAGGCTCAGAAATTGGGTGAGTTTGAGTTTTTTTGGTGGACATTTGATTTTTGGATGAAAAACAACAATTTTCAGCTCATACTTTGATCTCCGAATTGAAAAAATTAGAAGATCGTGAACTTCTAATGGAAGTCGCATTGGAAGAAAGTAAAAGTTCATTTTACTTGAAAAACTTTGCCAAAGCAAAATGCTCTTTGGTTCTCGCGAAAACATCAGCAAATGCAGCATATGTTACACCACAACTTCAAGCAGCAATCGATCTCCAATCTGGAATTTTATATTCCGCCGAGGAAAAAGATTTCAAAACTTCGTATTCGTATTTCTACGAAGCATTTGAAGGGTTCAACCAAATGAATGACAAGAAAAATTCGATGAAATCGCTGAAATATATGATTTTGTGCAAAATCATGTTGAATGAAACTGAACAAATTGAAGGAATGATGGCTACAAAAGAATTTCAGTCGGTTAAAGGAAAACCGATTGAGGCGATTCGAGCAATGGCTGATGCATTCAAGAAAAGATGTTTGAAATCTTTCCAAGAAGCATTGACAAAATATAAAGAGGAATTAGTTGGAGATCGAGTTGTATCAGTTCATTCGATTAGTTTGGAAGAAAATATGCTGCAAAAGGAGATTTCGAGAGTTGTTGAGCCGTATTCGGAAATCGAATTGTCTTTTGTTGCCAGGAAAATTGGAATGACTGAACCGCCGATTGAAAGAGCTATTGCTAAAATGATTCTTGATCGGAAATTGCTTGGGTTAGTTTTTTTCCTAATAAAAATGTTTGGATTAAAAATTTCTAAATAAAACCGGGACTTTTGTGAAAACTGAATTTTAGATCTCTTCTCTTTGAACTCACTAATTTTAAGTATTTCTCAGATGTATTGACCAAAGATCTGGAACAGTTATAATTTATCCACCAGCAACATCAAATCGCCCATTTATTCGTGCAATGACAACAATTAAAGAAATCACCAAATCAGTTGATGCTTCTTATCAAAAAGCCAACAAAAACTTGAAGTAACATCTTCCTTAAAACTTGAACTAGTGAATTTTTGAATGAAGATATTTATTTAGATGAGATTTTTATTGATTTACTTGGTATATATGTTCCATGTTTTTATCGCAAGAATTTCCATCGTTAATCAAAATCAACTCGAAACATAACTGAATATCCGCCATTTTTTGAATATAATCCTTTTTTCTGTTCATTCCATTGATTTTCGATGACATATGACTCATGGTCTCTTTATAAAAAATAATATTATTTTTAGTCTTCGATAAATTTCAAACCTTTTTTTCACATAATTTTGTGATCCTTCCCACTTTGGTTCATCGAGAGTCATTTCTCCGTTGATAATGAAATACTTGAAGTTTTCTCTTTCTTTATTCTTGCTCCAATTTTCGATGAATTTATTTATACCATTTTGTGTGATTTTTCCATTGTTCTCAATAACTATTTTCCTAGATTCGAATTTCAAAAATTGTTCGTCTGTGAATTCCACACCAAAAAATTCAACATTATCGATTTTATAAATCTAAATTTTTTGTATTTTTATAAGTTGACATGAGAAAGAAAGAAACATACCAATTCACATTCGCTTATTCTATACGATGAACCTCCACTTGCATAATCCAAACATCTCAAATACCTGTTATCAGTTTTACTCAACAACCTGACAGCAACATCTTCCGACACATCACAAAGTGTCAAACTTTCGACACGACTCAAATTTGCAATTTCTTCCACATTTGGAAAGTATCCAGTTATATATAATGCTGTATAATTTGACATCAGAACTTTTTTTCGATAATTTTGAATCATCTTCAATGTTTTTTTACTTTCAATGTAAAAAGTTCCAGAAGAATACCAACTATAAAATGCATTATTTTTTAAATTAAATTAAAGAGAATTGATTTTTAAGAAGATTATTTACCAAAGTAAACATTCTCCATCACTATTAAAAAAATAGCGTTTCCAATTTCTCGTTTCAATTCTGTCAAGTTCTCCATTTGCGATATGTACACTCTTGATACATGAAATACTATTGAAAAAATCTTCTAAATCATCTGTTGAACAAGCTGCCAAATTCATTCTATAAAGAAATAAATTATCATTTTTAATTGATAAATAAAAACAATTAACTTACTTGTCTTTATCATCTAAATAATCAAAAACCATTAATTTCAACTCAAAAGGTAGAATTCTCCAAGACATTCCGAAATCGCAAACCTAAAAATTCAATTTTTGATGAAAATAAAAAAAATCACAGATCAATCGATGGCCGAATAAATATTCAAAGGAATTCTAGGCCACATAATTTGGTTCCCATTTTTTCAGCGTTTCGAAATCGAAACGTTTCGATTTCGAAAAAACTAGTCATGCTTAAAGCTTGAAAAAAGTTCCTATTTGAAATATATTTTTTGCAAAAACAAATAATAAAATTCTGAATTTTTCTTTCAGGGTTTGCAGAGACCGTATTAATATTTTGTTCAATTGTCTACCTTTTTAATATTCATCGGCAGAAATAAAAGTTCTCTTGAAACTTTCCATTTTCCAATATAATTTTAGAACGAGTTGTAACAACCCTTCAAATTTTTGGCGTCAAAATGGAAATTGTCTAGAAAATGTTACGTTTCAAAATTTTGAGAAAAACAATTTGAATGTTAACATTCATGTTGGGTTGTTATTCTTCCAAGGAAAAAAAAACACCGAAAATTGAATGTTCATTCGGACTTCACTGAATTTGAAAATGTTCAAACCTGGGAGTTTCAACCTAACAATAAGTGTTCTAAAGATTGAAAAATTTTGAAGATGAAATATTTTTTAAATCATAAAAAATTGCGGTCTTGCTTTTCAGGTTGGGCGAACCTGAAAATCTATTTATTTAAAGGCACATCTTATTTTATTCCACGGTCTCGCTAGTTTTCTCTACATTTTTGTACTTTTTCCTTATTTTAGTGAGATTATTTGTTATTTTCTGCGATTTATATTATTATAATGTTTCAAATAAACCCCATGATTGTTTTTTCTTAATTCTTCAAAGTTTTCAAAATGAAATCGTAAATAAAAAAATACGTATTTTAGCCAAAAATGTTCTCTGTTCGTTCGTCTTTATCCTTTCTCTCAATATTTTCCCAAAAGGCAACTACTACTTTTGTCTCTCTCTCTCTCTCTTTCCTCTTTATCTCTATTCACTCTAAAGTTAGAGAAGCAGGAAATGGTTCAAGAAATAGTACACGAGAAAAAGAGAAGAGAGACAGGCAGACAACCACATCGACTCTTTCTCTTTTTTTATTCAAGAGCACTATTTTCTTCTCTAAATATCTCTTCATTTTTGTTTTTGAACATGTTCTAGATTTGTATTATTATTTTTTTCAGGTTACACCTTGCCGAAAAATCGAAATTTTTTGATTTTTTCTTGCCTTGGCCTCAAGCGGGTATCTGATCACCCTCTGATGGGAGCTAATGGGTCTTCTCAATTGGAAAAAGAGATTACTGGCGAATCATTTATTGGAAATGAACATTATTATGGCTTAGTTAATGTGAGTTTTTTTTTTGATATTTCAGGGGAGGGGGCTGGTTTTGGAAAAAAAAACTGTAAGGCACTGTAATGATGCCGCAAAAATTAGCAATGTTGAAAATGAGCTATGACGTGGCAAAATTTGAAATTTCTAGAGGTTTTTGAAGCCAGAATTTCGACTTCTTAAAATTATTTTAAAAATGTATTGTTCGTGGGTTAATTCGAAATTCTAGCTTCAAAGCCTCTAGAAAATTCACATTTTGCCACGTCATACCTCATTTTCAGCGTTCTTTGTCCTCCCTCTTTTTTTTCAAAAAAAATCTCCCAAATCAACATTTTTTTCAGTTTGGCAACACATGTTATTGCAATTCTGTTATTCAAGCACTATATTTCTGTAGACCATTTAGAGAGAAAATCCTACAATATAAGCAACAGTTGAAAAAATCTGGTGCGGCTAAAGAAAATCTGGTAACTTGTCTCGCTGATCTCTTTCATAATATTGCTACGCAAAAACGACGAGTCGGCACAATCGCACCAAAACGGTTCATTACGAAATTGAAGAAGGAAAATGGTGAGTAACAAAGTTACCCCGGAAACTAGTGAAATTTCAAATTTTGTAGAACTATTTGACAATTATATGCAACAAGATGCTCACGAATTTCTAAATTATTTGCTCAACACAATTTCCGAAACTTTAATCGAAGAAAAAAATGCGGAAAAAGATCGACAACAAAGACATGGAACGATTAAAAAAGGAAATATTACTGTAAATTTGGCGCCAGCCACAGCGGGTCTTGAAAAGAATTTGGAAACGGCGGCGGAAAAAGCGAGAAATGAGACGACGTGGATACATGAAATATTTCAAGGAACATTGACCAATGAAACGAGATGTTTGTGTTGTGAGACGGTAAGATTTTGGATTTTTGAAACATGTGGGGCAGGTTTGGGACCTTTGAAAACCGCACATCACAATTTCGCATCTCAAGAAGATTTTTCCAAATTATTTCATAAATATTAAAAATGTTTGGAAATCTTTGACTTTTCATTGTTTACAATTAAAATTTCTTGAAAAATATGAATTTTCATGTAAAAATTGTGAAATTTGATTTAGAAAATCGTACTTAAAACTACAAATTTTCCGAAAAAAAAACCGATCCGCAATTTTTTTGAAACTAGAATTATTTTGTGTTTTAGTTATCCCAAAGTTTCATTTCCAGGTCTCAAGCAAAGATGAAGATTTTCTCGATTTATCAGTAGACGTCGAACAAAACACATCAATAACCCATTGTTTACGAGTATTCAGTGAAACCGAAACATTATGCGGAGATCAGAAATATTTCTGTGAAACATGTTCTTCCAAACAAGAAGCACAAAAACGAATGAGAATCAAGAAACCTCCACAATTATTGGCTCTTCATTTAAAACGTTTCAAATATGTTGATTCGCTTAATCGACACACCAAATTGTCATATCGTGTTCTTTTTCCGCTTGAATTACGGCTTTTTAATGTGGTGAGTTTGAATTTTCTGGGTTTGGAATTTGAAAAATTCTTTGAAAAATATTGTGGGCTATTTTTTTAAACTCACAATAATTATTTATAGAGTCAAATTTTTCAATTTTATGATTCAAAAATTGGGAACAATTTATGCGAAAATTACAAACTTGGAATACAATTTTGTGATAGTTTTTCTACCTAAAAATTATTTGTTGTAGAGCGACGATGCAACTCACGGCGATCGATTATACGATTTGGTTGCAGCAGTTGTTCATTGCGGTGCAACTCCAAATCGAGGACATTATATAACATTAGTAAAAAGCAATTCATTCTGGCTATTATTCGATGATGATATTGTCGAAAAACTCGAAATCTCATCAATGGAAGAATTTTCTGGAATGTCTTCCGATTGTTCTGGAAATGGTCTTCAAATGCCATCCAACAATCAATCACAACAGCAGAAAAACAGCGAATCTGCTTATATTTTATTCTATCAGGCACGTGATTATGATGCTTTACGACCAAATCATCACGCCACTCATGCCTCTATATAATTCTGTGATCTTGTTTTGTTTCCCCCCCCGATTTTTTCTTGTTTCATCAAACGTGTTCAGTGAGTAGTTTCATCCGGTTTATCTAATTTTTGAAGAGAAAAAAAATAATTATTTGAATATTCCTCACAATATTTTTATGTATGTAAATATTTATTTATCACAAAATAAAATTTCTTTTAAAAACACAGAGATGCGGAACCCGTAGAATTTTGGATATTTACTTAAGGCAATATTTTGGCACATTATTTTTGCTTACAATAAGGCGTCCATTTCAAATCACATTGTAGCCTAACATTAACAACAACAACTGGACAAGCACCAAAATATCTAACATCTCTTCTAATAATTTGATATTTGATGTCACGCAAACCCGAAACTCTATCTCGTTTTCTTTTCATTTGCCATTGTTTATGATCGCTTTTCTTCGAATAATCTCGTTTTCTTTTTGGTCCATGAATATGGCGGAAAGTATTTGTGCTGTTTGTTGAAAGACCAGAAACTCGAGTCAGATTTAGTTTGGCTTCCCTAGAAAAACAATTATTTTTGCAAAACAAACTGAAAACTCGAAGAAAAAACTCACATAATCCTCAAATAGAATTCATCATCTTCCAAACCCCAACCCCAATATTTATTCGACATTCCATTCAATTCCTTATAATCCGCCATTGTCAACATCAAAATCCCTCCAATAAACTTTTGATAATGATATTTTGGATGATATTCGGGCGAAGTTATATGCCGAATTATTCCAATTTCCGGAAAACCATATGGTATTTCGGGATTGATTGGCAGCAAATCCACATCATTCATAACCATATAATCACAGCCTAATCTATCAGCTTCATTCCAACCTATCTGAAGAATGTTTTTTTTTTGAAATTGAAAAAAATCAATGAAACTCACATTTATTAAAGATGCTCTATTAAACCGAAGATCGTCAGTTTGATTGACAGCAATCAAATGATGTTCAACTTTCTGTTTATCCAAGAAATCTTTCATATACGGTGCAAATTGTTTGAGTTCTTCAAATCTATCGCGATATGGAATTATTACACATAATTTATGAGATTGTTTGGGCGAAATTCGAGATTGTGGGCGAGGATCTCTGAAATTTTCAAAAATAATTTTAATTTCTAGCTAGAGATTCAAACATACACATATTCTTCATCGAAAAGCGTATCTCGAAATTCTTCACTGACTAATAGCAATAAATATGAAAATATAAATAGAACTAATATGAATAACAGGAAAAGCAAGCGGAATTTCAATTTCATGACATTCGTTCTGAAATAAATACAATGAATATTTAATGAGAAAATCGCACGGCGAAAATTGAAAGTTCGGAGAATGTTTATAATATTTGAAAAAAACATAGGGAAAATAAACAAAAACTTTTAGTTTTTTTCGAAAAACTACAATTTTAGGCGATAAAAAACTTAAAAAAGGTTTTTTTTTTGAGAAAACGAAAACTATTATAAATATAGACAAAAAATTCACATTTAGAATGACCTCGAATCACCTAAAACACAAGAAAAGTACGTTTTCTGGAAAAAAAACCAGACACACAAAAAGACACAAAAAAAAGAAAAAATTAAAAAAACTGGTTGTCTGCATGTGCGCTCTATTGAGAAATGAGCCGCGACGCGAGTGTTTGTAGCCGCGACACTCAATCCATTCTCGATTTTTGGCCGCACGGCCATCCTTCGGTTTTCGATCAACACAAAAAATTGGATTGAGTCTTCACCAGTTTTTCGATTTTTATTTTCAGTTTTCGCACTTTTACAGCATATTTAAGCAAGAATTGAGAGAGTGTACATATTATTTGGTTTCCTCTTTATGTTCTGATATCTTTGTGTTTGAAGGTGAGGTTTTGGATATTGAATATTTATCATCATTGAGATTTATTGTTCTATGGAATGAATTTTTGTAGAGCTCCAGTTCTACGAGCGAAATGAATAGAAAAATATGAAAAAAAAAACGTTGACTCCAGTTATCAAAAAAAAAAATTGTATAAAATAACAGTTTTTTGAAAAAATGATGGAAAAACGTGGCTCCCTCGAAAAGCTGCAAAATTTAGAAAATTCTTCCAAATAGAATTTCACTTGCAAATTTTCAGTCCATCCAAAATTGTTCTTATTTTTCTATAAATTGTAAATGTTATGAAATTTCGATTGATTACATAATGTCGAAATAAACAATTGAACTATATATTCTCATTTTCCATCATTTTCCCCATTTTTTCATATTTTTCGAATTGTCCTTTATTTTGTACATTTTCAATCGATTTTATCTTATCAGCAGCCTCTTGTACCTCTTCTACCTTTTTTGTTCTGATCTTTCGTCTCTTGGCCAACAATAATTCTGACTCAGATGTTGCAGGTATGTCCCTCGATCCTCTGGTCAAGGCCGAGCAGGGCCTCTACGCTCCATTCTTTGGAAGTCTTGGAGTAACAGCCGCAATGGCTTTTGCAGCTGCAGGATCTGCTTATGGAACAGCTAAAGCAGGAACCGGTATTGCTTCAATGGCCGTTGCTCGTCCAGATCTTGTGATGAAAGCGATTATCCCAGTTGTTATGGCTGGTATCGTTGCCATTTACGGTCTTGTCGTCGCTGTTATTGTTTCCGGAAAAGTTGAACCAGCTGGTGCGAGTTACACAATCAACTCAGGATTCTCACAATTCGCCGGAGGACTTGTCTGTGGATTGTGTGGTTTGGGAGCCGGATATGCGATTGGAATTGCTGGAGACGCGGGAGTGAGAGCTCTCTCACAACAACCGCGAATGTTCGTCGGAATGATTTTGATTCTTATTTTCGCTGAAGTTTTAGGATTGTACGGTATGATTGTTGCCCTTATTTTGGGAGCAACATAAGAATTTCCATTTCTTCATTATTTTTTTGTTCTTTGTTGAATAAGTTTCCATATAAACCTGTGATGACCGATTTTATGGTCACTTTAGGTTTAGAGCTAGCAAATCTCTATTTCCCTCCTTTGGCTATGTATATTTTTCACATTCCACCCCCATTTTTTTCTGTCTTGCTATAAAATATTTCTAACGATTATTCATTTTTTCTAAATTTTTTTGCGTTTATTATCGCAATTTATTTATCTTTGATATTGAAACTTGTATATATTAATTACAATAATTTTTCAAGACCTAATCCAGAAATGTCGTACGATCTTCAAACCGCCGAAAAAGCCGCCTATGCTCCATTCTTCGGATACATGGGAGCCGCTTCAGCTCAAATCTTCACCGTTTTGGGAGCTGCCTACGGAACCGCCAAATCTGCTGTCGGTATCTGCTCAATGGGAGTTATGCGACCAGAATTGATCATGAAATCAGTTATTCCAGTTATTATGGCTGGTGAGTTTGAAACATCCAGGGCTTTCCCTGTCATAAATGTAGCTAGAACTATTTTTTGAAAACATTCAGGTATCATTGGTATCTACGGTTTGGTCGTCGCCATGGTCTTGAAAGGAAAAGTCCAAGCAGCTTCTCAGGGTTATGATTTGAACAAAGGATTCGCTCATTTGGCCGCCGGTTTGACCTGTGGATTGTGTGGATTGGGAGCCGGATATGCTATCGGAATTGTTGGAGATGCCGGAGTTCGTGGAACTGCTCAACAACCAAGACTTTTCGTCGGAATGATCCTTATCCTCATTTTCTCTGAAGTATGTTTTCTCGAAACCATTTTTTTCAGATTTTTTCAAATAATTATGATTTCAGGTCCTCGGACTCTACGGTATGATTGTTGCCCTTATCCTCGGAACATCATAAGGAAATTATTAAAAAATCTATCTATTTTATCTATCCCTGTGTCTATTACTTCACTTTCCATCACCCACCCACCCACCCAAATTTAGTCGTTATTTCATGTATTATATATGAATATTACATAGATGTGTATTTTTTCCATTCCGCTTATTTTTCTCGTATTTCTCTTCTCTTTTTCTTTTCTTTCCCTCCCATCAAAAATTCGTCAACCATTCTCAGTTGACTTTTCATGTATTATTGATAATTTTATAATTAACATCAACATCACAAAAAATGATTTTCGCCAAAAGAAATTGTTTTTTTTACGACTTGTGTTAGGACATTAATGTGTTCTGTGGCCAGAATAAATATCTATTTTGAAAAGAAATGTGTAGAAGTCTTTGGTTGTTATCCGTGTTTTAATTAATATCTAAAAAAAGGTAGAGGGTTCTAATAGTTTCAGAAAATTTCAGATGGATAGTCAAATACTCGAAGAAGTTATTAGAAGTGGGAATATTCCATGTCATGGAAGAACAGGTTTGAAATTTGAACTGTTTTTTGAGGCCTGTTGAAAACTGGATTATTTTTCAAAAAAAAAACTTCAAGATTTCCTGATTAATTCTAGAAAATTCCGAAAAAAAATTATTTTCACCACAAAGTTCGAAAAAATCCTTAGAATTTTGGCCCACGTGGCAAATTTCAAAATTTTGTTTCAATACTTTATAAAAACTTGATATTTTTTAAACTGAAATTTTTTATTTTGCATTTTTCACCCAAAATCGTTTTATTTTCCTGACTGTATCAATTTGAAACATTTTTTTTCTCGAATAGTTATTCCAAATTCATAGTCTTCCCAAAAAATTTTTTTAAATGGAAATTATGTGAAAAAATAATTTTTCTAGGAATGTTGTGTAGTGGCGGGGGATTGTTACCGCCAGCATTATTAGACGAGGCAAAAGTTCCCAAGTTTTACCTGGATGCGATTTCTGCGTGTGGAGCGAATACATCGACTTCGTTGCCAAATACTGCCCTTGGTTAGTTTTTACAGATAGTGGTTCAGACAATTTTCAGATTACCCAAAATGAAACTCACATTTTCAAAAAAAAAAATTCTGACAAATAGCAATTTTTTCGAAATTAGAAATGAATTAATTTTTTACGTGAACTCAGTTCAGAAGATTAATAAATCATTTCTAAAAAATATCACATTTCTATCGAAGAGAAAAATCTTCTCATTATCGAAAAATAACAATTGTTTTTACAGTATACAATTTGATGAACACATCTGGTCTCCAAAAAGATGTATTATCGTATATTTGGAGTGCTGTAAATCGAGCAAAACCTGGACAATTAACCCGACCCGAATTCTTCTCTCTAATGGCTCTCATTGCATTGGCACAAAAAGGCGAATCTCTAGCTGCTCTATGCGCCAAAGATTCCCTCCCAATTCCATATTTGAATCCGGTTCAATCATTTCCTTCTTCTGCGCCAACCACTTCGTCATTTATTCCACCGTTATCCAAGTGAGTTTGGGAATTGTTTTTATCAGGGAAATTATTGTTTTATTAAAGAATAAAACAGACAACTTCTGCATTCATCCCAACATCTTTGCTTCCACGAAAAAGTATGAGAAAAAAGAAGGAAACTGATCTTATCAAGGATTTGAATTCACCAACAACACCACAATCAAACAATAGTTCACCATCGAAACAAGGCGCAGCTCGTGATTTGATGGGCTTAAATTTTGGCGCTGAAAATATTAAAGATGAAAATCGAGAAACACAATCTGAAACTCCAACAATTCGATGTTGGCGAGAAACTATTCACGCAATATTTCTCATTTTTCAAGAAGCCAATGATTTACTCGGAAAAGCCAAAAATTCGATTATTGAAGAAGTTGTATCAACTGAAAAGGGGGAAAATTATATGAAGTTAGTTTTGAGAAAAAAAATGTTTATTTTTATTTTTCGTCTTTTTTTGCAGAAGTTTATCATTAGCATCGGAAATTTTGGAGCGAGTTTGTCGATCGGCGGGAGTTTCTTTACCAACACAATCAACTAGTGAAGCTGAAGCTTGTAGAAAATGTTGGAAGCGATTGAGCCCATTTTTGAGCAATAATGAAGGGATACAACGAAATGAAGATGAATCAAGGTTGGGAGAAGTTTTTTAATTGAAAATTCGGAAATTTTTAGTGGAAATCAAGATTTTGATTATCGATTTAAAAATTCAAATTTCTCTAGAAAATCAGCAGTTTTCTTGTTGCTCAAAATTCACAAAAATTTGAAAAAAATCTGGAAAACCTCTTCCAAATTGTTCTTCAAAAACCCAAAAAATCCGAAAAAAAATTATTTTTTCCAGAAAATGCGCAATTTGTTGTCAAAACATAATAAATGGAATTGATTACGGTGGACAAGTTTATGATGTTATGTGTGCAAATTTATGGGTGAATAATGTTAGTTCAATGCTACCAAATCAACATTTGAAGTTGTGAGTCAATCCAATTCAGGGTATTTTTTTAAATACATGTTTATAAATAAAATTAATTGATTAGAGATAATTATTTGAATATGGGGAGGTTTAGGTATTTTAAGATTTTTAAATTTTACCACGTCATAACCAGAGATCAGTAAAATCTAGATTTCCACCTGAACCTCCCCATTGTAATTAATTAATAATGATATAATAATAATATTAATATATTTTTGAATAATATGTTTTTTGCACGGATATGAAGATTTTATTCTATTTGTCGTTTGTGATTTCATCCACGGTTTTTGAAATGGCCTGAAATCAAAAACTGTGATTTTTCCAACAAAAAAGAAAAACACTTACATTATCAATGTGATCAGCGGTTTTGGAGATTTCCTGAAAATTTTGAGGAAATTTTTTTTGAAATTTGAATTTCAACTCACATTTGCCACGTTTTCCGAAGTTTCTACGATTTTCTAAAAAAAAAAAGAATTTTTTTTTGTTTCGAATTTTTTCGAAAAAAACTTACATCTTTTGCCAGCTCGACTTTCTCCAAAATATTTGAGATTGTCTAAAAAAAAATTTTTTTTCATTTAAAAATTCAAAATTTTTTGGAAAAACTCACATTTTCCCCAGATTTTTCCAATTTGTCAGAAGTTTCCACGATTTTCTAAAAAAAAAAAAGTTTTGTTTCGAATTTTTTAGAAAAAAAAACTTACATCTTTAGCTTCTTCGACTTTTCCCAAAATATTTGAGATTGTCTGAAATGTTGAATTTTTCATCTGAAAATTAATTTTTTTCAAAAAAAAAAAACTCACTTTTTCACCAGATTTTTCCAATTTATCTAATCCTAATTCGAGATTTTTAATACCGTCCGAGACTTTCTGAAAAAAAAAAAGTTTTTTTATAATGAAACGTTGAGCCAAAAATAAATAATTTGCTAAAAATCAATTGAAAAATGCACGAATATTCATAATTTTTGAAAATTATGAAATTTAGCTCCAAATTTTTTAAATGAATTTCCTACCTCTTCAACTTTTTCAACTACCGTATTCTTGAGTTCTTCAACTGATTTTATCTCTTTTTGAGGAGCAACTTTTTGCTCAATGCTCTTTTCTTCATCGCCATTTAATTGAGAAACTTCGACCTGGAAAATTGGAATTTTTGAACTTCAGACTGAAAATTGATGGAATTTTGAGCCAAAAATCATTAATTTGCTGAAAATCAATTTTAAAATAGCTCTAATTCATATAATTTTTGAAAATTTCTGAAATGTAGCTCCGAAATCGATCGGACCTGAATTTGGGCCTTTTTCCTCTAAGCTTCAGCGATATTTGGACGATTTTCGGTCAAAATTAGGCCAGATTTTGAAGCTTGACATCAAGGCTTTTCGAATTTCAGCCAAAAATGTTACCTGATCATTCATCTCATTAGCTGATAAATTTTCCACTGCAATTTGTTTTTCTTCATGTTTTTTTGTCTCAACTCGAATAGTTTTCTTCAAATCTCCTTCTATTTCCGGAGCATGCGCAAACTTTTGATTTTCCACAATCTTCACTTTCTTCTTCGAATCCTCCAATTTCTTCTTATGTTTTCTCATTTCTTCCATAAATTCTTCTCGATCTTGCACAATATCTGGTTCAGATGCAATATCATCGTCTTTTGGAGTTATGACATGTCGAATTGGATCTTTTTTTGGGGTTGACATTGGTTTTTGAGGTACTGCAAATTATTGGTTTGAAAGGTCCCTAGAAATGTTTCGCCCTCTCATTAAAATCCCGTAAGGTGAAATTTATTTAGAAATGTTCATTTCTCCCGGTCACGTGAAATTCTGATAAATATATATTTATCAAAAGTGCTTCATTTCTTACCTACACGTGTGGTGTAGGCGGGGAGAGTGATGCCTTCCAATCAGGCCACCCTCCTTCTTTTGTGGGTTCGAGTCCCACTCGGAAAAATTTTTCGCCCTCTCATTAAAATCCCGTAAGGTGAAATTTATTTAGAAATGTTCATTTCTCCCGGTCACGTGAAATTCTGATAAATATATATTTATCAAAAATGCTTCATTTCTTACCTACACGTGTGGTGTAGGCGGGGAGAGCTCTGCCTTCCAATCAGGCCAGCCTCCTTCTTTTGTGGGTTCGAGCCCCACTCGGAAAAAATTTTTCCCTATATCGAGTAATGCAGATTTTCGGAAATTTTGTTCCTTTCTCCCCAAAATTGCGAAAATTCGACATTCCAACGCGGCAAAAAAGAAAAAAAGAAGATGGAACAAAAAGAGCTCAAAAATAAAGAGAAAATCGAGAGAATATCACGCGTGACCCATGAATGAAAAAGGCTGATTCTTCAGATGCCATTGGCATTGTTCAAGAATTCCTAATTCCTAACGGGTCAAGAATGTTATTCAAGTCTTCAATACGAAAAAAATATTGTATAAGTTTTTTTTTCGAAAAATTTATCGATGACTTTATCCGTGGCAAAATTAGGAAGCCTTCCAGATTTTGCCACGAGTCATTTTTTGATCAAAAAATTTGAATTTTTTCATGAATTCAATTGTAATTCGTGTGATTTACCTCTTACGAGTACATTTAATACAAAAAAATAATTAAATAAGTTTTTTTTTTCGAAAGTTTTTTCAAAAAAAAAATCGGCCCGAGATTTTTCAAAAAAAAAAATCGGCCCGAGTTTTTTCAAAAAATCGGCCCGACATTTTTCAAAAAAAAAAAATCGGCCCGAGTTTTCAAAAAAATCGGCCCGAGATTTTTCAAAAAAAAATCGGCCCGAGTTTTTCAAAAAAATCGGCCCGAGTTTTCAAAAAAAAAAAAATCGGCCCGAGTTTTTTCAAAAAAAAAGTTACAGAACGAAAAAAAGATTGAAGAAGTTTTTTTTTTTCGAAAAATTGATCGATGACGTCATCCATGGCAAAATTAGGAAGCCTTTCAGATTTTGCCATGAGTTATTTTTTTATCAAAAAACTTGAAATTTTTGATGAATTTAATTGTAATTCGTTTGTTTAACATCTTACGATAACATTAAATTCAAAAAAATAATTAAATAAGTTTTTTTTTCGAAAGTTTTTTCAAAAAAAAGTTACAGATTTCGAATAATCCAAAAATGTAAAAAAATCGGCCCGAGTTTTTTTCAAAAAAAAAAATCGGCCCGAGATTTTTCAAGAAAAATCGGCCCGAGTTTTTTTCAAAAAAAAATCGGCCCGAGTTTTTCAAAAAAATCGGCCCGAGATTTTTCAAAAAAAAATCGGCCCGAGATTTTTCAAAAAATTCGGCCCGAGTTTTTTCAAAAAAAATCGGCCCGAGTTTTTCAAAAAAAAAATCGGCCCGAGATTTTTCAAAAAAAAATCGGCCCGAGATTTTTCAAGAAAAATCGGCCCGAGTTTTTTTCAAAAAAAATCGGCCCGAGTTTTTCAAAAAAATCGGCCCGAGATTTTTCAAAAAAAAAATCGGCCCGAGATTTTTCAAGAAAAATCGGCCCGAGTTTTTTTCAAAAAAAATCGGCCCGAGTTTTTCAAAAAAAAGTTACAGATTTGGAATAATCCAAAAATGTAAAAAAAAAATCGGCCCGAGTTTTTTTCAAAAAAAAAATCGGCCCGAGATTTTTCAAGAAAAATCGGCCCGAGTTTTTTTCAAAAAAAAATCGGCCCGAGTTTTTCAAAAAAAATCGGCCCGAGATTTTTCAAAAAAAAATCGGCCCGAGTTTTTCAAAAAAAAAATCGGCCCGAGTTTTCAAAAAAAAAAAATCGGCCCGAGATTTTTCAAAAAAAAAGTTACAGAACGAAAAAAAGATTGAAGAAGTTTTTTTTTTCGAAAAATTGATCGATGACGTCATCCATGGCAAAATTAGGAAGCCTTTCAGATTTTGCCATGAGTTATTTTTTTATCAAAAAACTTGAAATTTTTGATGAATTTAATTGTAATTCGTTTGTTTAACATCTTACGATAACATTAAATTCAAAAAATAATTAAATAAGTTTTTTTTTCGAAAGTTTTTTCAAAAAAAAGTTACAGATTTCGAATAATCCAAAAATGTAAAAAAAAATCGGCCCGAGTTTTTTTCAAAAAAAATCGGCCCGAGATTTTTCAAGAAAAATCGGCCCGAGTTTTTTTCAAAAAAAAATCGGCCCGAGTTTTTCAAGAAAAATCGGCCCGAGTTTTTTTCAAAAAAAAATCGGCCCGAGTTTTTCAAAAAAATCGGCCCGAGATTTTTCAAAAAAAATCGGCCCGAGATTTTTCAAAAAAATTCGGCCCGAGTTTTTTCAAAAAAATCGGCCCGAGTTTTTCAAAAAAAATCGGCCCGAGATTTTTCAAAAAAAAATCGGCCCGAGATTTTTCAAAAAAAATTCGGCCCGAGTTTTTTCAAAAAAATTGGGCCCGAGTTTTTCAAAAAAATCGGCCCGAGATTTTTCAAAAAAAAATCGGCCCGAGATTTTTCAAAAAAAAATCGGCCCGAGATTTTTCAAAAAAAATCGGCCCGAGATTTTTCAAAAAAAATCGGCCCGAGATTTTTCAAAAAAAAAAGTTACAGAACGAAAAAAAGATTGAAGAAGTTTTTTTTTCGAAAAATTGATCGATGACGTCATCCATGGCAAAATTAGGAAGCCTTCCAGATTTTGCCACGAATCATTTTTTGATCAAAAAACTTGAAATTTTCTATAAATTTGATTGTGAGTCAATGTTCTGTGGACAATAATCACAGAAAAAAGTGAAACGGAAATAAATGAGAAGACTGTTACGCCTGGGGGCTAACAGCCCCTAGTCCCTATATCGAGTAATGCAGATTTTCGGAAATTTTGTTCCTTTCTCCCCAAAATTGCGAAAATTCGACATTCCAACGCGGCAAAAAAGAAAAAAAGAAAATGGAGAAGAAAAAGCTTAATAAAAAGAGAAAATCGAGAAAATATCATGCGTGACCCATGAGCGAAAAAGCCTGATTCTTCAGATGCTATTGGCATTGTTCAAGAATTTCAAAATCATAACGGGCCAAGAATTTTTTTCAAGTCTTCAATACGAAAAAAAGATTGAATAAGTTTTTTTTTCGAAAAATTGATTGATGACTTCATCCATGGCAAAATTAGGAAGCCTTCCTAATTTTGCCACGAATCATTTTTTGATCAAAAAATTTGAAATTTTCTTTATCTAATTGTAAATTTGGTCGTAATTTTCATTCAATTTTTTTTAGCTTCAAAGTTTCGGCTCGGATTTTTTCAAAAAATCGGCCCGAGGTTTTCCAAAAAAATCGGCCCGAGTTTTTCCAAAAAAAAAATCGGCCCGAGTTTTTCCAAAAAAATCGGCCCGAGTTTTTCCAAAAAAATCGGCCCGAGTTTTTCCAAAAAAATCGGCCCGAGTTTTTCAAAAAAAAAAAAAAATCGGCCCGAGTTTTTCCAAAAAAAAAATCGGCCCGAGTTTTTTCAAGAAAAATCGGCCCGAGTTTTTTTCAAAAAAAAATCGGCCCGAGTTTTTCCAAAAAAATCGGCCCGAGTTTTTCCAAAAAAAATCGGCCCGAGTTTTTCCAAAAAAAAAATCGGCCCGAGTTTTTCCAAAAAATCGGCCCGAGTTTTTCCAAAAAAATCGGCCCGAGTTTTTCCAAAAAAAAAATCGGCCCGAGTTTTTCCAAAAAAAAATCGGCCCGAGTTTTTCCAAAAAAAAAATCGGCCCGAGTTTTTCCAAAAAAAAAATCGGCCCGAGTTTTTCCAAAAAAAAATCGGCCCGAGTTTTTCCAAAAAAAATCGGCCCGAGTTTTTTTTTGTTAAGTGACTAGGGGCTGTTAGCCCCCAGGCGTAACAGTCTTCTCATTTATTTCAGTTTCACTTTTTTCTGTGAATTTATTCAAAAATTGTAAATCACACGAATTACAATCAAATTTATAGAAAAACTCGAATTTTTTGATCAAAAAATGATTCGTGGCAAAATCAGGAAGGCTTCCTAATTTTGCCATGGATGACGTCATCGATAAATTTTTCGAAAAAAAAACTTATTCAATTATTTTTTGAATTAAGTGTACTCGTAAGATGTTAAACACACGAATTACAATCAAATTTATAGAAAATTTCAAATTTTTTGATCAAAAAATGACTCGTGGCAAAATCAGGAAGGCTTCCTAATTTTGCCATGGATGAAGTCATCAAACTATTTTTCGAAAAAAATTATTGAATCTCTTTTTTTATTTGCATAATTATAGACATGACCGTCTCCAAACAGAAATTTCGGTTTGGAGACATGACTTTTTCTCAATAATTTCATTTCTGGATGAAATTCGGATTTTTTTTGTTTTTTAACAGTGTTAAAAATTTTCTTTCAATTTTTTTTAGTTTCAAAGTTGGTTCTGGGTGGCTTACTAAGCCTAAGCCTGAGAGGAAGTGTCATTTAGGTCCCAACTCATCGATTTCATTTTTACATTTTTGGATTATTCCAAATCTGTTACTTTTTTTGTTGAAATACACGAAAATTAAAATTTCAATTTTTGTCAGCTACCCGCTCAAATCGAAATTTTCATTTGGGCGGGTATTTTTGTCAAACAAAAAAAACTCGGGCCGATTTTTTTACTTCCTCTCAGGCTTAGGCTTAGTAAGCCACCCAGAACCAACTTTTAAACTAAAAAAAATTGAAAGAAAATTTTTAACACTGTTAAAAAACAAAAAAAATCCGAATTTCATCCAGAAATGAAATTATTGAGAAAAAGTCATGTCTATAATTATGCAAATAAAAAAATAATTAAATAAGTTTTTTTTTTTAAATTTATCGATGACTTCATCCATGGCAAAATTAGGAAGCCTTCCTGATTTTGCCACGAATCATTTTTTGATAAAAAAATTCGAGGTTTTCTATAAATTTGATTGTAAGTCAATGTTCTGTGGACAATAATCACAGAAAAAAGTGAAACTGAAATAAATGAGAAGACAGTTACGCCTGGGGGCTAACAGCCCCTAGTCCACTCACAATTATTATATCTAATGGGAGTTGCTTTGAAATCCGAATGTGTCGCACTTTTCTTGGGTATTTTCGCATCGTAAACGCGTTGCTTCGTTGGAATTTTGTCCAAATGCGCGAATGATCGAGGAGTCGAAGAGCCGAAAACAAATGAATTTCGATTGTCTGCTGATCCTTCTCGTGACAAAGATCGAGCTCGAATTATATAATCACGCAGACTTGGTTTTTGTGTTTCGGATTTTTCATCGAGTTTTGAAGGAGGAACCTGGAAGAGGGTTTAATCTAGGCTTAGTGTAGGCATAGGTTAGAATTTTTCAAAGATTTTTCATTCCCTTAGGCTTCTTGCAGGCTTTTTATGGGTACTGTAGCTCATAATTTTCAGCACAATTTTCCGAACTTATTTGGAGCCAAAATCATGAGAATGTTGAGATACAGTAGTCCTGAACATTTGGTGCAAATATTCATACTGTAGATCATAATTTATAGAATTGGGAGATAGAGTAATCCTGGGATGAAATTCTATAAACTTTGAGCTACAGTAGTCCAAAAAGTTGTCCCGAAAGTTCAAAAAACTGTGGGCTACAGTAATCCAAAAAAAAATTGGCGCAAAAATGTTTCCTGTAGATCAAAATTTATCAAACTTTCAGCACAATTTTTCAGGATTACTGTAGCTCGATTCGGCGACAAAATTCCAGTTTATATCTCGGCCCTCCCTCTGTTTTTTATCGATGTTTGAGGGAAGGACCTAATTCTAGATACACAAAATGAGTTTATTTTATAGTAGTGTGTGTATTTTTATTTTATTTTATTGCTCTGGAAAACTAATTACACTTTTATAGTTGGAGTTGAATCACCAAAAACTATTTTTATTGAGAGAAGCCCGAATGTATGGAAAAAAACTAGGGTGATTTCTTAGGCTTGGTATGATCCTAAGCTTCAAGGCCTTAAATCGGGCTTAGCTAATGCTAGGGCGATTTCTATTAAGGGTAAGATAAGGAAATCTTCTTAAGCTTCTCCTTAGGTTTAGCGGAGAAATTAGGCTTCTGCTAGCTCTTTAGCTCACCTTATTCAAATGTGATAATTCTCTCGGAGTACTCGATCCAAATGCAAAAACTCGTTGTCCACGACTCAATAAACGATCACGACCATTTGAAGATGCCATTCTAAATATGTATGAATATCTATTTCAATTTCAATACACCAAAAAAGGTATAAATATTACAAAAAGGTGGGAAAGTGCACATCAAATAAATAAATAATTCAAAATTTGAAGAACATCGAATTTCAATAAAATATTGTGTTTTGTTTTATTCGAGAAAAAAAAAATGAAAAAAAAACATTTAAGTACTGAAAAATCTATATAATCCTATGTTGAATTGAAGTGGAAAATTGAATGAAGTGGAGTGTGGTCCCTTGAGAAGAAAAAAAGGGAAAACGGAAGGAACATGACACTTTTTTGGAATCCAAGAAAACGAAGTTTGTTTATTTTTTTATGTTAGAAAGAAAGGAATTTTTTTGGTTGAGAAAAAATTAAAAAATAAAAAGATTGTCGGTAGGTGGGGTCGAACCCGGGATTTGCAAACGACAGTCGCGCGTGCATACCACTAGACTACGCGGGTGCTTCTGAACGCCTGAGCAAATTTTATATATAAAACGCGCCACAATAATTTTTGCTTCAACAGAAAAATTTTGAACTTCAAAAACCCTTCCATTTTTCAAACTAATCTGCCACTAAATTCACCCGAAGGACCAATATTTTATTCATGTTTTTTCTTCCAAAGAAAAAAAAAGGAGAAGCCGATTTTTTGAAACTTGGCGAAGAATACAAATTTTTGCTGGAAGAAAAAAGTGAGCAATTTTCGAAAATTGGTTGTGGAAAGGAATGTATTTGGCAGAAAAAAGTAGAAAAAGCCGGCATGAAAAAAAAATAAAAAAAAGAAATAAAATTGCTCTTTTTTGGGTTTGAAAATAGGAAACTGAAAGAAAGAAAAGAGAGAATGAGAAGAATTGTTATTTTTGGGTGGCACAAAAAATTGGAAAACATAAATAAATTGCTGAATGGATTTTTTTTTGGAAAAATAAAAACATTTTTTAAATTAATTAATTAATTCAATCTAATTTCAACAATATTTTTAGCGCTAGGGTTACTGAAGTTTTTGTAGATCAATTTGTTGAGTCGAAGGGTTACCGTATTTCATTGGTACTGTAGCTCAGAAATTTCAGCGCAATCTTCCGAGGAAAACATTCTTACTGTAGATAATAATTTATAAAATTGGGAGATACGGTAATCCTGAAATCTGTCGGTGAAATTCTTTTGAACTACAGTAGTCCAACAAAAATTCCCTGAAAGTTCCAAAAATTGTGGGCTACAGTAATCCTGAAAATTTGGTGCAAAAAGGCTTACTGTAGATCAAATTGTTTTGCATTTTCACCAATTTTTTCAAGGATTACTGTAGCTTGAGTTGATGCTAAAGTTCCTACAGTAATTCTAAAATTTTGGTCCCGAAATTCATTATTTTTTCCAGAAACTCCTCCTCTCCAATTTCATATCTTGTTTTTCCCCGAAATTCCCTCTCAACAATAATTTTATGTTCCATGAAAATTCCTGAAACGATTTCTTGTATTTAAAAATAAATATAATATGTGTTTTGGGTGTGTTGAACGCATAAAATGAAAACCAAACAAAAAATCGAGAAGAAGAAGAAGAAGAAAAACTATGATTCATCATATAAATTTTTGTTGGTACGATCAAAATAGGAAAAAAAGAAGAAGATTGTATTATTATTATTATATTATTAGTTTTTGTCCGAGAAACAAAATACGATGATTTTCTTGTTGTTTTTAGCAATGCTTTTTGGTAAGTTTTGGGCCCCAATATTTGAGGCGAGAGTTCAGTAGACCTCAATGCGCTGATCATAATGATATAAAAATCACCCGGGAAAATGGGCACTGAATGGTGTAGTCGGTTAAATTTTACACATGTCAATTTAAGGGTCGCGGGTTCGACTCCACCTCGGAACTTCATTTTTAATTTTCAGATTTCGTTTTCAGTCAATCATACAACAATGTTTATTGTAGAAGACCTTGGTATTTTGATAATCCACGTCCAGCTCCAATGTAACTTTTTTCTACTTACATTTTCTCAAATATTGCAATCCTAAATTATTTCAGACCTTGCCCGGTTCCGTCGTTTTTCTCATATTATGAATGTTGTGGTGAATTTCGAGAAAATTGTTGTTGGAAACTTCGATCGGAGCCGATGTAAGCGAGCTCTAAAAATCTGTGAAAGACCTTTATTTTTGCAGATATATTGTCGTGATTTGCTCCATAATTCTGTTATTAATTTGTTGTTGTTGTTGCATTGGTTTTGCGATTTTCTCACTCAAGAAATCGAAAAAGCAAAAACAGGGAAATGAAGTTGCAATTTCGAAAGATGAACAAGTTCAAACTGTTTCAAATGGAGTTGATGATAGAAGAAGATCTTATGTAGCTGCGAGAGATCGGGAAATTGATTATAGAATGTTTTAAATAATAATTTCATTTCATTTCGGAATGTTTTAATATAAGTATTTAAGTATAGCTTTAAAATAAAAAAATTAAAAAAAAGTTTTTCTTATTCATTCTGAAACAACACTCCGCTCAATGACACTGCAAACATCCCGCCAATTTTCGTCATTCAAAAGATTGGGCGGCAAAGTTTCCCGCACACATTTCATTTTTTATCTGTTTCTCCCATTTTTCGCTGTTTTCCACGTTGCAAACTGAATTTCAGGTTTCGAACATGGATCATCTTATTTCGGGACAAGTTCAACAAGTCGAAGATGCCGAAGGAACTCGTGCACAACAAGAATTTTCGAAATTCCTTCTCAAGTAGGATTTTTTAACCTATTTTTATTCTGCAAAAGCAAAATGAGAATTTTTACAGCTTCAAAGATGAGAAAGGCGAACAAATCTACAAAAAGGCGATGAGAGATTTGACTCAACCTGAAAGAAACACTCTTTTTGTTGATATGCAACATATTTACTCACATAGTAACAGTTTGGCGACAAGTATTGAATTGCAATTTTATAGGTGAGAGGAAGAAGAAGAAACAAAATTTTCTTAGGAATGACAAATAACTTCATCATTTTTCCACGTAGACAAAGAATGTGCACGTGGAAAATTGACATTTCTAAATGATAAGTATGAAGCCCAAAACTTCATAAAAAAATATACTGATATTTTTCAGAGTTTATCCATTTATGTGCGAAGCTCTTCAATTAGCAACAATCGATGAATGCGATGAAAACGAGCGACAACAAATGTTCAAGAAACAACTCTATGTTTCGCTTCATAATTTGAACACAAAAACCAAAGTTCGCGAATTGTCGGCTGACAAAGTTGGAGGACTTGTCAAAATTTCCGGGCAAATAGTGAGAACTCATCCAGTTCATCCCGAACTTTCTCGTGCTACTTTTGTTTGTGAAGATTGTGGAGTTACTACAAAGGATGTTGTCCAACAATTTAGATATACTCAAGTAGGCATTTATTGATGAGATTATTTAAATATTAGATTTTTTCCAGCCAACAAAATGTTCGAATCCTCAATGCATGAATCGCACTCGTTTTTCTCTTGATGTCAACGAATCAACATTTGTTGATTTCCAAAAAGTTCGAATTCAAGAAACCCAATCAGAACTTCCACGTGGATCAATTCCTCGAACTGTCGATGTTATTATTCGAGGAGAAATGGTTGAAAGTGTACAACCAGGTGATAAATGTGATATTGTTGGAACATTGATTGTTATTCCGGATATTGCTCAATTAAGTACACCTGGATTACGCGCTGAAACATCGAATCAAAATCGTGGAAGAGCACTTGATAAAGATAGTGGAATTACTGGTTTGAAAGCACTTGGAGTTCGTGATTTGACATATAAAATGGCATTCTTGGCTTGTCATATTCAACACAATGATAGTCTTATTGGTGGAGATGTTTCTGGTCATATTGAAGAAACTGATTATTTCGAATTATGGCAGAAAATGTCAGCGGAAGAAAGAGAGATTTTGAAGAAAATGAGCGATGATCCAAAAATTGAAGAACATATTGTTGAAAGTCTTTTCCCAAATATTTATGGAAATTATGAAGTCAAACTTGGAGTTCTGTTAATGCTTCTTGGTGGAGTTCCAAAGAAAAGTAAAAATGAGGGAACAACTCTTCGAGGAGATATCAATGTATGTCTTGTTGGAGACCCTTCAACTGCCAAATCACAAGTTTTGAAAACAGTTGAAGAATTCAGTCCTCGAGCAATTTACACATCTGGAAAAGCATCATCAGCTGCTGGTTTAACTGCGGCTGTTGTCAAAGATGAAGAATCTTTTGAATTTGTTATTGAAGCTGGAGCATTGATGTTGGCTGATAATGGTGTTTGTTGTATTGATGAATTTGATAAAATGGATCAAAAAGATCAGGTTGCAATTCACGAAGCAATGGAACAACAAACTATTTCGATTACTAAAGCTGGAGTTAAAGCAACACTTAATGCGAGAGCTTCGATTCTTGCGGCTGCAAATCCAGTTGGAGGAAGATATGATAGGTAATGATTTTTTAACACATGGGACAAAAATCTATCAATAATAATTAAATTCAGATCCCGCCCATTGAAATACAATGTCCAAATGTCGGCTCCAATCATGTCACGTTTCGATCTTTTCTTTGTTTTGGTTGATGAATGCAATGAAATCACTGATTATGCAGTTGCACGACGAATTATTGATAATCATCGAGCAATTAATGAGCATATTGTTAGACCAACTGCTTATAAAATTGATGATATCAAGAAATATATTGCATTTGCCAGATGTTTCAAGCCAAAGGTAATTTTATATCACTTGGAGAGATAAGAATGATGAAAAAATTAATTCTAATTGAAAGATAATAATCTTTAAAAATATTTTTCAAAATTTTGGAGCATTTGACTTTATTTTTTGAAGTCTTTTTATCTAAAATCTAAAGGAGATTGTGCCTGATTTAATTTTCTGTTGATAATTTTCCAAAATCCCAAGGTTTATTCAAAAATCGCTTAAAAATGTAAGAAAAGGGGTTTAACTTTGGAAATTTTTAAAGACCTTAACTGAAAAAAATTGGCTCGAGGACCTATTTTATGTATAATAACATGACAATATTGTTTTTTTTATTTAAAAATCAACGCATTCGTTTCTCCCACAAATCAATTGATTTTCAGTTGTCCACCGAAGCAGCCACCGAATTGGTTCGCGAATACAAAAAATTGCGAATGTCTGACAGCAACAATGCAGCCACGTCATCCTGGCGAATTACTGTACGACAACTGGAATCATTGGTTCGATTGTCGGAGGCATTGGCAAGATTGCATTGTGGAAGAGAAGTTAAAGCTGAACATGTTTTGCAAGCATCGAAATTGTTGAATAAGTCGATTGTTAGGTGAGTAAAAGGAAATCAGTCCACAAAATATGTGGAATTTTCAAAATACCACGTGGATTGAGTTGAAAATTGATTTTTTCGAAAACAATCGAACAAAATCCCCAAATTTTGTAGAGTTGAACAACCTGATATTGGACTCGACGATGATGATTGGGACAAGGAAATTGTTGTTGTCGAAGGCGACAAAGAAAATGCTCAACCGGCCGAAGAAATGGAACACGATGGAAAACGCATTGATCCAGCAAAACTCAAGATCAAGTTTGAAGACTACAAAAAACTCGCGGATGTTTTGGTGTTGCATATGAGAGCTGATGAAGACAGACAAGGAGAAGAAGAATATGCTGGAGTTAAACAAAGTGCATTGGTTGATTGGTATTTGTCGACAATTGAAGAGGAACTCGAATCGGAAGAAGATTATAATGTGCAAAAAATCATCTGCGAACGTGTTCTTCGTCGTTTGACACATGATGATCATATTTTGCTTGAAGTTGAACCAGGACAAGATCCAATTTTGTGTGTTCATCCAAACTATGTTATTGCTGACGAATAATTGCTTTTTTTAATTTTGCATTTTGCATTTACCTTATTTTTTACTACCTTATTTTTGTATGATGATCTCCTTTAACCTTTTTCTCGGTAAACAAAACTCACATAAATTTTCTGGTGAAAAAAAGCAAAAATTTCATATTTAACAAGATTAAAACATTGATCCATTGATTAATGGTCTCAATTTATCCTCCGCATATTCTTTTGTATATTCTCTGTCCCGTTCAAAATGATATTTACTGTTTGTTGTCACATTGCACTTTTCCATGAGTGTTTGAATATATAGGAAATCGCTGAAAATGTACATTTTTGAAGTTAGGTCATAACTATTTTCGAGATTTCCAGAATTACTTACATAGCTCTAACCAATGCATATATATCTTCTTCATCTTTCTCTTTAACTTTTCTAGAAATGTCGCTAATTTTTTGCGAAACATCGATAAAATTCACGTTTCTGAAAAACATTTGTTTGAATAATTTCCAAAAAAAATTGCTCACTCAAATCCTCTCTCTTTCATTTCGCCAACGAATTTTTGAACCTCCGAATTCAATATGTTAATTTCTCTCAATTCATTGTGTTCTTCGGAAAAATCGTCATCCACGGTATTCTTCGTGTCCTAAATGCAACTTCTTTCTTTCAAAAATCCCCCCAAAAAATGTTAACCTCATCAATCCACGAATTCGAAATCCAATGAATTTCCACATTTCTGCCAGCCGTCAATTTTGCAACAAAAACCAAAAATTCACAAATTGTTTTCAGTTCGAAATTCGGATGTCCGCCAAATGCAAATACCAATGTTTTCACTTCGATCCAATCATGAGAAAAAATCTCTTTGAGAAATTCCATCATTGTGTGGCTGCAAAAAAAAAGAAATGTGATTTTGGATATGAATTTTTCCAGAACTCACAAGAAAACATTTCCAAGTTGCGATGGAAACAATTTCAAATTCGTATTCGTAAAAACCAGGTGTAAAACAGTCAAAAGTCGCCAATCGCTCAAAATCAAACAAGCTGAAGTAGTTTTTGAAGAAATTTTGTTTCTAATTTTTTTTCACCAACTTGAGATTTTTCCACAAAGATCTCCATCTCCCTGAAAACGTTCCACCAAATCGTGATGTTTGTCAGGTGATTCATCATTTTCTAATTGAAGTCTTCGCCTGCACAAAAATCAGAATTATTGGCTTTATGAGGATCCAATAAATAAAAAACCCATTTTTAATACATACTATGAAAAAGAACAGTGTTTTGGGACCATTTATTTAAACTAACTTGATACCGGTAGGAACACAATCATTACTTCTAGTGTGTCGCATTCTTCTCGGAAATACATCTCTCCAAAAACATTTTCGAAATGCGTGAGCCACGTCACTCAACAAATCCGAAACACAAAGTGCGAGCTGAAAAATATTTGATTTTTTCAAATTAATTGGCCCAACCTACCTCTTTAGCAGTATAATCTTCCTGCAATCCATATCTTAGCACAAATTCATTCGAATTCTCTCTTGTATACCAAATACGCGAACCCAATCTTCCTTCATAGTTTTCAACGAGACTCACTGTGAAATAACATTTTTTACATTTCAAGAAGTAAAAATAAACTTACAATCCTCCAGAATTCTCGAAAACTTAATAGTCCTTTTTTCTTTATATTTTAGTCTGAAAAGAGGATGACGAATCTGTGAAAAAATTAAAAAATTAGAGAAAAAACTAATCGGAAAAAATATTTTGCTGTCAAAGATCTGCTCCCTGAGAGCTGAACCAACCTTTTGATATGGAAACTCCATATGTGTTTTTAAATAATTCCAGCCATCTTTTAAAGTATAATCAGCGTGTGCTAATGTCACTCCATCATCTCCATCATTTGTATACCAATCGAGTGGATGACAAAATAGACGCATTTTATTCAATGGGCTTGAGAAATCTGGAAATATTTGTTTTCAAAATTTTGAAGAAGAGGATTTATATGTCCAAATTTCCTGAATTTTCAGACCCGAAAAAATACGTTTCAAAATATTCATATATTTTTGCAAGAAATGTTTGAATCAGTCGTTTAAGCCCCGATATCTTAAAAAAAATCAGAGAAAAATTCTAGACTACCTGATTTAAAAAATTTGATTTGCTGAAGTTCGCTCTAAAATCAGGGCCCTAAAAAAGCCTGAAAATGTTGAAAAATTCAAAAAAAATATTTTCCGAGTTGGAAAATTTTCCGCGAAAAAATACGTTTCAAAATATTTCTATATTTTTGTAATGAATTTTTAAATCAGTCTTGGCAGGCCCGCTATTAGAAAAAAAATCAGAGAAAAATTCTAGACTACCTGATTAAAAAAATTTGATTTGCTGAAGTTCGCTCTAAAATATGGGCCCTAAAAGCCTTAAAATGTTAAAAATTAAAAAAAAAAACAATTTTTTGGATTGAAAATTTTTCCGCGAAAAAATACGTTTCAAAATATTTCTATATTTTTGTGAGACATAATTAAATTCCAGGAAATTCAAAAAATCAGAAAAACTAACCAACAAAATGCACATGTTTCTTTCTCATGATATCTTCTTTTTGTGTACAAATATCCATTGGTTCTTCTTTCACATTTTCCAAATTGAATTCGATATTCGGCTGAGCAATTGGTTTAACTATTCTAGGAGCACGTAATTCCTTTTTTAGAATTTCCTGAAAAAATTAACAAAATTGTGAAATCCAATACAATGTTTTCAAAACTAACAAGAATATCATCATCGGAATCACTGGAACTTGCCAATTCTTCAGAATTTTCTCGATTTTTCGAAATTCTCGATGAATCTAAATATGATCTTCGATCCATATGCATATGTTGTGAAGCTTCCAACAATTTTTCCATCGATTTTGAGGATAATAATCTGTTGAGTGGTGGTGGACTTGTTTCTCGAATTGGATTCGAATCATTCAGAGTGAATTCCTTTAAAATTATAAGTAAATTAATAGTTTGAAATGAATTAAAAACAATAAATTAGAAAGATTTGAGATTTTTTGATGCTTGGGAATGAATTATGACATGGCAAAGTTAGAACTGGCTTCAGAAATCCACCTAGGACTTTGACAATTCAAAACTTGAAAAACTAGAATTGTTCTCTTTTTTTACTCCGGTACGGCAAAAAAACACTGATTTTAAAACTGTCTTACAGAAATATATGAATATTTTGAAACGTATTTTTTCGCGGAAAATTTTCCAATTCAAAAAATAATTTTGTTTTTTTAATTGTTAACATTTCAGGTAGTAAAAATTTCAGATCAAGTTTTTTTTAAATAAATTTTTGCCACGTCATAACTCATCTCAGAAATACAACGTGTCAAAATCGATATTCCGAAAATGTCGAAAAACTCACCGCAATTTCATCAATCAAACAATCAATATCATCAACTTTATTGAAATTCTCCTCAAACTGTTTTCTTGTTTCATCAACAACTTGTCTTCTCTCAATTTGTTTTTCCAATTCATCTTTTTCAAAAAGTTCATGAATTTTTCGAAATTTATCCTCCTTCTGTTTCAACATAATATCATGTGCTTTCATCCAATATTTCTCAAAAATCCCCGAATTTTCATCATATTCTTCCTGTTTCAATGTTCCAATATTCGTTGTTCTCGTCAAAGCTCGCAAAATTTTGAATTCAAATTGATTTAGAATATTGTGAATTTCCAAAAACTCTTCATTTTCTTCTTTTTTGATAATTATTTCGAAGATTTTGTTGTCTTTCAAAAAATGAAACTTTTCAAATCTTCGAATCCATCAATTTTTCGCAAAATCTCTTCAAATTCATTATTTTCACCCATAAAATGTTGATTGATAATTGGTATCGAATTATTGTATTTTGCAAGTATTTCCTCGTTTCCAATTGTCACATTTTCCCATTCAAGAGCTGTCGAAAAATTGACCAACGCTATTCCTGAAAAAAAAAACAATATTTATTTTTCGAAAGTTTTTAGTAGTTCAGAAAAATCTAGAGCTCCAAAACTTTCTAAAAACGGATCTTCAAAAAATACCAAAATTCTGAACCTAAAAACAGAATTTTCAAATTTAATTCTAATTGTAAACTATATTTTCAGCTCATCAGAACTTCGGGATTTTTTCAAGTTCCCAGCCTTCCCATAATTTTCCAAAAACAAAAAAAAACCAACTTCTCTTTTTGGCTGCCTGTTCATTTTCCTCTCTTTTCTTTTCTTCTTCATATATTTCAATTTCTCGTTTTCTTCTTTCCAATTCCTCTTTTTTCCTGATTTCTCTAGCCTCTCCATCTTCCTCGTCTGAACTTCCAGAACTTCCACCTGAAAACATCTGACATGAATTTTTTCCTGAAAAATTTCAAACTCACCAAACAACAAATCCATTTGCTTAATTCTAAAATTCCAAGCTGAAAATTCCACAAATAAAATTTCAACGAAAAAAATAAAATCTCAAAAATATATATCACATAGGAATCAAAAAATTCTTGGGTAAAAAAAATATTTTTGAAAAAAATCTCAAACAATAAAAATTTATTTCAAAAAAAGTGAATAACAAAAACAACAAGACTTAGAAAATTCAAAAAAATTATAATTTTTGACCTATAACAATATAATTTCCCTGTTCTTTTTCAACACTCAACAATTTGCAGGAATCAATTGAATTTATGAGAATTTCAGCTTCGCCTTCTCGAAAAACATGATAATATCTGGAAATTTTGAGAATTATTGATTTTTTTTGAAAAGCTTAAATTGATTGGATAATTTCTCACTGTTTCAAAAAATTAATAAATTCAAACTTGAAAAATTACATTTTGATAGTTTTGAAATTCCGGTCAAATTCCTTTTTTAAGCAGAATCAAATTTGTCTGTTTCGAAAAATTCATATAGTTTTGAAGGGATGTTTTTCACTGATAGACACTTTAAACTGAATTTTTGTCAAAAAATACCTCAAAAAAGTTTCTCCTTTCTGATCAATTATCCATGGAACCAAAACATCTTGTTGTTCAAAATCTTTTCCATCGTGAACTTTCAATCGATCTTCTTTCTCCTTCACATTTTCAATTTCGTCCTGAAAAAAAAATAATTTTTGATAAATAAATATAGATTTCAGCGGAAAGTGCAGATTTTTCGGAATTTTTTTCAATATAAATTTTTTCACTTCTTTCGAAAACAAAGCGATCAGAAAATATCTCACAAAAATATGAAAATATTTTGAAACGTATTTTTTCCCGGCAATAAAATTAGAAGATTAATCGAAGTGAAATAAAGGTATAAGGGGAATTTTGACGCAAAAAAAATTGAAATCCAAATTTTAGGTGCCAAAATCAACCTAGGATTGTTTGCTGTCAAAAAATCTCAAATTTTTCAGTCAAGGCTTATCTAGTCTCAAAAAACGTCTAAAATTTGTAATATTTTCCCTCTCAAAAATGCTCCCGGCATCAAACCTTATTCCCCCTCATTTTGGCATATTCCGATTCCGATTGATCCATCGACCAAACAGTCACACAAAACTTTCCACCCGGTTTAACAACTCGAATAATTTCCTCAATCATTTTCCGCCGTCTCTCAAATGTCGCAATATGATGAAGAACTGCAATTGATATAACAGCATCCGATGAATTATCGAGAAATGGTAGACAAAGTGCATCACATCGAAATACATTGCACTCTTTTTTCGCAGCAATTTCACATAATCCTTGACACATATCACAACCAATTTTGATGAGACCATCTTTTGGTATCAAATATTTACCATTTCCACAACCAATGTCATATAAAATACTGCCACGTGGAATATCATCAATAAATCTGAAAACAAAAAAAAATTTGGATTTTTTTTCATTTTTTTTTTCAGAAAGGTAAATATTAAACAATCAAATTTTATCGATCAATATTTAAAGTTTTGAATTTAGATATCAATATATTTTGAAACGTATTTTCCCCGCGTTTTTAAATGAAGGAAATCAAGATTTGCCACGTCATAACTCATGTCAGAATTCTGAAATCCCCATTTCCAAGAAAAAGTGCCTACTTTTTAACAGCTTTCCAACTCGAATGTCTCGTTTCATCAAAATGCGTGGCAATATTCTCATAAACATCACTAACATAATTATTCTCCAACTTTTTCGCCAAATTCTCATCATTCGGCACCGACATTTCACCTTTTCGATTCCAATCGCAAAATTCTTTCCAATTACATTCGCACGGTTTTCGGCGGATTTTTCGAAGAGTTAGCGAAACTCGAGTTTGTCGTGGAATCACTCGATTTGTCAGAGGATTTACGTCATATTTTCGATTGACGATTCTGGAAAACAGGATTTTTTATCATGAGTTATGACGTGGCACATTCTGAAAAGCCTATTTGGTCTCAAAACATGTGGATTTTCGGCGTCAAAAATACATCCCTCAGATTTTCATGAAAATTATTCTGAAGCTAAATTCAGTCTTGTGAAACCTAGATAATTTTCAAACATACAAAAATAATACAAATTTTGTTTTTTGTTTCGTTATTTTCCGAAAAAAGTCTCAATATGAAAATCGCATTATCAATCAAATTCAAATAAAAAATTAAATTGATGAGATTTCGAGTTGTATAAAAACAAAACCACATTCCATCGAAATTGTCAATCATGAAAATATTGATATTTTTCTCGTTGGTTTCGTTTGGTTTCAGTTTGGATGCACGGAAAGAGGTTCAAAGATTTGTAACCTCACAACGAAAACATTTTATGGTGCGAGATGTGGATATTGTTCATGATGATTTTGAATGTCATTTTGCGAATGGAACAATTCTTCATAAAGGTTGTTAGATTACTTTCCGATATATCTCTTTCAACAATCCATCAACTTTTTCAGATTTTGAGATAGAACAAATCAATTCATTCACCGCAGAAGAAGTTCAAAGATTGCAGGAAAGATATATATCAGCTGTGACAGGATCGAAAGCATATTGGGCTGAATTTTGGAACACTCGAATTGCTAAATTCAGACCTGATGGGCTTTTGGAACTCAAACAATATATAAACAATAAAATAGCTTTTAGTTGGCTGGCGAAAAAGGACAAATATATCGAAGGGGGATATAAGTTCTATCGCTACACTGAGTACTAAAAGTTTTTTTCTTAAAAATAAATCGTTGCATTCAAAAAACAAAAAATTACCCATGTTTCCATCGATATCTCGATTCTCCCTTTATCAAACACAACGATCTCTTCTTCAATAGAATCGGAGCAAGTCTCGCCGAATTCGCGCCATCTTTAAATTCCATCACAACATCTGATAATAAACTAAGCGAAACAATTGGATCATTAAATGCAGAATGTGTATCATAATGTGATGGAATACCATGTCCCGGTTCATATATATTTGCTGTTATTTGATCGGGTCTCTCTGTAATGAATCCATCATCCAATAATCGATCGACTATTTTTTCGATTATTTCTGGTATCTTTTCGGCTTCTTTCCATTCATTTGCCGAATTTGTGGAGTAATCGAAAACATGACCAAAATGAACAACTGCACGATGTTTTAATGATTCGAGATTCTGGTGTTTCGTAAGATAATCTACCAATTGGCTTTCCAATTCTTCCGATATATAATCATCGAGTATTTCCAAATCATTCGGCCGGAAATTTTCACATTTTTTGGCAGCGGGTACTGTAGATTTAAATTTGACATTTTAAATTCATATTTTTCGAAAGAAAACTCACAATTTTCAACAAACGAAATAATAAATGGCTGATGAGATGTTAAAAGTGAAGGATGAACCAAACCATTCAATTCATTTCTGATTTTTACCGATGATTCGACTGAAGAACATTGAACGAATGAGTAGGATCTGAAGGAAACATTGGATTTTTGCCACGTCATAACAAATTTAATTTCCAGCAAAACTTCAAGAAAACCCCCACCTTTTGTTCGGATAGACGATAAATTCGCAAAGTGGATCCAAAGGCAGAAATATATTTTCGAGTTCTTCAAGTGTTACACCACAAAGAACACTACTATTGCTAACCAGAAGATACTAGAAAAACAAAAAATCATATTTGATTTGGTTTAATTAATTAATTATTAATTAGGTCTATATTCTAGGTATAACTTCAGGAGGGGAAGAAGGAGGTGAAAAACTAGGTGATGCGTTTTTCAAGGCGCATACAGTATCTTCGTATTTTTTAGAAATAAAATGACTGTGACATACAATTTTTAAATTTAAAATCAATCCCCGGTATTTTTTCACAATTTTCCGGCTCAAAATTCAAGTTTTCCAATATTTAGCACCATTTTCCCCACCCTTCATATTTCCAATATGAAATTCCAAACCTTTGTAGGCTCTTTGGCAACTTGAACATCCGGATCATGTCTTTTCAATTGCTCCACACTTTTATGGATTTTTCTCGCCAATTTTCCGCCTTCGAATTTCGTTCCTTTGGGCTTATTTTTCTCCTCGTTGAAGTCTGGAAACTATTTTTTGATGGATTTTTGGATTTCGAAAAATTTTAACTTTTGCCATGTGGATTCTAATTTTGTTTTGCTAAAAAATTTCTATTTGAAAATTTCCAAAAATGTTTTTTTTAATTTTTTGGAAAAAAATTTTCACACTTTCATGCTTCAAACTAAAATCAAGTCTTGTTTTTTTTTTCTCGTTTTTCTTGTTTTTTTTTCAAATTTTCTTGGCCCCAAAAAAACTCACACATAATTCAGTTCCCAAGCCAACAAAAATCTCAAAAAATCCTGAAATAACCTGCTGAAAATTCCAAATCTCCCAGAAATTCAAATATTTCCTCAACGAAAAAACATGACTCAAAAACAAATTCACTTTTTTTTTCAAAATTCAACAATTTACCCGAAAACAGATAACAAAACAAATAAAAAAAATCCTAATTTTCTTGTGAAATAACAATATGCTTCTTTTTTCTTTCTCTTTTTGGTCGATGCTTTTCATTATTATTAGTCCATGGTCCCAAAGAATCATTCGAATAAAAATCCATAGGCCAATGATCTTTCGGGATTGAGATCTGTAGGAAAAATAGGGTTAGGGCTAAATTAGACTACTCGAAAAAATTAAAAAGAAACTCACTGAATCAAGAGCTACAGCTAATTCAAATGGATAAAGCAAAGGTTTTGGAAATTGTGTTCCCCAATCAATCGATAATCTTGGACATGCAACTTGTATCCAACTGAAAATTGTGATTTTTTTTTAATTTTTAGGCTAAAATCTCTCACCAATCAACTTCTGGCATCATTTGCAATTTATCGGGAAATATTTCCGACAGCAAAACTCTCACAAATTTCTTTCCCTTCTCCAATAATCGCTCCTCTAAATCCTCGATAATTCTCACATTTCCCTGTCTTCCCAATGTTCCTTGAATCAGTCCGAAAGTTGTGCATTTTTTCGCAATTTCAATGGCGTTTTTTCGATTTTTTCGCATTTCATCGTGATCATAGTATTCTTGCGTCAATTTTCGCGAATATGGATCATATTGATAGGCTTTGATGGTTGGATTATGCATCATTATTGATTCTAAATGAAATCGACCATCTCCAAGATAACTGAAATTAATTTCAGGTAAAAGAATATTAAAAATTGAAAACATTTCCTTACATAATAGCATCGAAATCTTTCTCAACCAATTTCGGAGAAGTACATCCAAGAATCTCTCCAGGTGACAAAGGTTTACATTGAGGAATTTCAACATGTATTTGACTTCCATCAACATTGAATGTTGTTTTTACTGTCTGAAAAATATCATTTAAAATTTTTACAAAAAATATCCGAAATCGGCTCTTTTCGGAAATAAACGGTTTTTGAGAAAAATAATTTTAAGTTTTGAATGCTGGAAAATTTTAAAAATTTAAGGCTTAGTGAAATTCCAAAAGAGGAGAAAATCTTCTCTTCTTAACATTCCCCCATCTTCCCCTCCCAAACCAACTAACCTGTAGCGAGGGAATAAATTGAACAGTGCTAACCAATGCCAATCTCTTCCCATCAAAATTATCTCGCACACAATCAATAAAATGCGATAAATTGATATCAATATTCACGAATACATAAAGCATCGCAATTCCTTCGGTATTTTGAATTGGCACCAAACAACTATGTCCATAATGCACTAATAAATCGCATCCCATTGATTTGGCTGTATAATCATCAACACAACATGCACCATAAGTAACGTCTCCCATAATAACCGTGTCACATTCGGTGTATTTTTCGAGAATATCGGCAATTATACACGAATACATTATTAGACCTTCGGGGAATTGCAAGGCGACTGGAAAACAATTATTGATCAGGGTTAAGATTATTGGGGCTAAAATTTAAAAATTTCCCGAGCCAAGAAGTTTTTCTCGAGCTCAAAATTTCGCAATTTTTTAAAAACAAAAATTCTCCCCTCCCTTTAAATATACCGTATTTACTCCCAGTTGATCGAATTTTCCAAATTGTCTTTGGAACTTCAAATGAATAATTCGAAGGGAGCTGAAAATTTAATTTTTCAACTTCTAAATTTAGAATGAAACTTACAATTTTCAAATTTTCTATCAGATTTGTATCCTGAGCAATTAATTCAATTTGTGTCGAAACTTGCGCGTTCCGTGACATTCTAAAGATATTTAGATTCCCAGAGTGTTTTCCCATTTGAAAATATGCATTGAAAATATCAACAAAATCACAAAAAGATCCATTTTTCTTTTGGGAAAATATTGTTTATTTGATTTCGTATAAAATTGGGGAAAATGAATGAATAAATAAATAGGAGATCGAAGTTAGAACAAAATAGAATGAAAAATGAAACGCAATTTACAAATGGTATTATAACTTTTTCAAAAACTTTAAACATCGGATTTCCAGATTCTAATCGAAGTATCAGGTTCGAGACCACCGGATGCAATCATATTTTCGGCTGGATGACAATCATTTGCAACCACAACACCTGGGAAAAACAGCAAATTATTGATTTTTTGAGAACAGGTTCGGATTTTTTTCAATTCAATTTTTTTTGAAACTAGTATTCTCCAAGGGAAAAGCGACATTGGAGAGATTCTCAGGGTATTTGGCGTCAAGGTTGCGCGTAGGATTTGTTGTTTGCGGGATGTCGGTGTTGACACATACTCTTATTTTTTCGTTCTTTCTTTAGGTTTGGGATTGGGATTAGGTTCGGGATATTTTTAATGAACGTTTTAAATTTCAATTCTTTTTCAAAAATGTTTGAAACGTAACATTTTTGACTATTTGTATGTGGACTTTAAAGCAAAACTTTTTAAAAAATTGCATAGAGAAATGTGAGTTTTCCCTAAATATCCAAAAAACCCTACCCTCATGCCCTTCCAATGTTTGAACAACATCCTTGGTTTGCAAATTCCAAATATAAACTTTTTTGTCTTCAGACCCGCTGATAATCCATTTGCCTCCAGTCACCGAGAAATTGGCGAAAATGCAGAATTTCGTATTCTCATGACCATTGTATTGCTTCAAGCATTTTCCCTTATTAAAATCCCACAATTTTAGAGTGTTATCGAGATTCGACGCCAGAATATATTTTCCATTTGGCGAAAATTTGACAAAAGCCACCGGGGGATTTTCGTCGTCGACAAGAGTTTTGACACATTGACCATTTGCGGTATCCCAAATACGAACGAGACCATCATATGATCCAGAACAAATTAGACTTCCATCGCTGAAAAAATACATGAAATTTAATTTCTAGTACATATTTTTTTGGACCCACCGATTGAATGAGACAGCCGAAACTGGGTCAGAATGTGCTGGCAAAATTTTAATACATATTCCAGTTTTCACATCCCAAATCCGTATTTGTTCATCAAATGAGCCAGACACGATGAGAGATGATTGTGGATTGAAATTACAGCAAAATACATAATTTGAGTGCCCTTTGAGGGTTTTGAGACATTTTCCGTTCGACACTTCGAAAATCTGAAATATTCTTCCAATTTCTTTACGTTAAAACATTCCTGGCTATATTCCAACCTTCAACATTTTATCATCTGACGCAGTCGCAATGAATTTACTGTCAGCGCTCCATGACAAATCATTCAATCCCAATTTGTGTCCCACAAGCACTTTCTCGACTCGCCCATCGTTAACATGGTAAATTCGAACAGTTTTATCAGCTGAAGCACTCGCCAAAAATTGTCCGCATGGTGAGAACTTAACAGAGGCTATCGATTTTTTGTGTCCATCGAGAGTTCGTACAAGTTGATAGTTTGGAACCTGAATTTAGAGAGAAACGTATTTTGAGAAATCAGAATTTATCTTACATCGCTTTTTGGTGTAGTTTTCATTGGTGTGACTTGTGCAGTTGGTTTTGTGTTTTCTTCGTCGTTTTGTTGCTTTGCAGCTTGTGGGATTTCTTGACCGTTCATGTCTGAAATATGAAAAATGGCAAGTAGTATAAAAAAGGAAGAAAACATGAGAAAATATGATTCATCAGAGATAAATGATAATGCATAAATGACCCTCGTTGCGAATTTAATATTCGGGTCTTCCGTGTTAATATTGAATTCAGCTACAAAAACCTCTTGCAAAGATAATTTAGGCTTTCATAAGTTAGGAGATACAATTACACACATATGTAAATTTCACAATGTTCTAGGATCCCAAGCAAAAAACAACTCGGCGCCGTCAACTTCTTCGAACTATATTTATGTGACGTCACATTACTGTTTCGTCCAATTTTTCCAATGAAAATAAACGTGAAACTACGAAAATCTGGCGAAAAAACAAGCTTTTGTCTGAAAAAATCCTAAGCCCGCGACAAAAATTTTGTTTCACATCGTGGCCGAATTTTCAATGCATTTTCTAGGCCATTCACAATAGAGCGCACATGCAGACTGCTGGGAGGGTTTTTCTTTTTTTCGAGCTCGAACTATTGAACTGCTAGTAATGTGCCGGTACGTGGATAAAACTAAAGTAACGGAAGTAATTTACACGCTTTGATACTGGGAAATGGTTTAGGTGAGTTGATTTTTTTTTTGAATAATAGTTTTTTTGGAAAAAAAAAGTGTTTTGTAGAGCCAGTTGAACCATCCGCGACCAAATGGAACTTCGAATATTATGTCAAGCGTTCCGAAATAACCAATGAGTTCTGGAGAAAAAAGACCGTCTCGAGCACCGATTCTTGTTGGGAGCATTTGATTACGATTTTTAATGTGAAGGATATTTTGCAGGTGAATTTGGATTTTATGGGGAAGAGATACTTTGAACATTGAAACTTTGAAGTTTTTATTGAAATTCAAAAAAAAATAAAAGGCTTTATTGAAATTTCTTTAGAATTTAAAGTTTTTATGAAATTTATAAATGTAGCAGCTTCGATAATCAGAATCGATTTGTAAAATTCCACGGGAATCTAAGGCGATGTTGCAGCTGAGTTTCTCCTCCGAGGCGAAATTCAAAAAATGCACTGTTTCGCCTCCGCGTGCAACACGTTTCTCCAAATCCAAATTGTTCAAAATATTTCGATTCCAAACTGGGGGCGATTGACGGAATGTCTGCAGAGGAACATTGAATATTAAATCATATATTTAAAGCTAACCGTTTTTGGAACTCGAATTTCGGTGTTATCCGATACTCTAACAGTTGACAAGTTTTCCGTTAAATCGTCGTCATATTCACAAATCATCAAACGAATCATACATTGGATTATTATCTTTTTTCGGAAAAAAAAACCGTCTCGATCAAGTTCGTGTATCGGTCTCAAAAATTCTGTCGGCGTTGGTTGTTGTAAAAGTGGTTCCGTCAGAAAAACACGGGACAACTTTCCTTGCTCAGCCAGTTTCCAATTTTTTCGATTTTCCAATCGGTAAATTCCACCAACTTCGGACGAATAAATTCCGCCACCTGGATTTCGGAGCTGTGTAGCTATTTGGAGCTTTTCGTGTTTCCGTCTCAATCCCGCAGCACTGAAAATTAGTTATTTTCAAAGAAAGATGTCAAGCGTTTATAAAACTTACAATTTGAAGGCACCAACATCAGTTTCTTGTCCAAACATGAAATTTCGGTTGAGATTCTCGTAATCCGTTTCGAAAATGTAGTCGAATTGAAAATGCTGAATTCGCATCTGAAAAATATTGATTTTCTTGAGAAGAAAAAGCCACATTCACACGTTTCGTGGAAATTTAGTTTTTAACGAAACTTGGAGAAAAACTAACCTTCAACAATGTTTTGCAAATGCTGGAAAATGGAAGATTTTGGGACTTTCAAATTAATTTTGTATTTTTTCAATGCTCTTCATTGACGCACTTCGAGAAATGCGCACAAGGAGGGAGTTTGAATTATTTCATTCCTGTCTGTTTTCAAAGACTTGTTTTCAATCTTTTTTCTGATTTTTTTTTGCTGAAAGACATTCCATCATTCATATTTTTGGATGAAATCTATCAAAATTTTCATGTGAAATAAATATACATGTTTATTAAAAAATACACAAAACATTCGGATAACATTAAACAATATTTACATCAGAAGTTACACATCAGAATTTAGGAATCCCTGTTAAACCATCGATTAAAAAGATGTCTATGAAATGGTCTATTTCGCTCTTCTCGCTCTCTTCTTTCAATTTCTCTCTCCTCGCATTCTAATGGTTCTCTCAAGCTGCGTAAAATAGGTTCATTAGGTAGAATAATCTGGATTTGAAGATTTGCAATTTTCGGACCATAAAAACCTTTCCAAAATTGATTGTCTCTTCCAGAAGTTATAACTGTCAAATGTCGCATTCTCGATGGATATTCATCCATTTCAACAACCAAATCTTCCCAATCCGCTCCTAAAATTTAGAAATTACAAAGAAAATTCAACATAAAGAAAGAGAAAACCTACCAGACCATTGTTCCCACTCTTTTCTACTAATACCAAAACTTTTATCCTCCGGCACATCCCGATCATTATAATGTAACGGCACGTTTGTTGGAGGCTTCGGGAGTCTACCCATTTGTACAGCCAATGCTACAACAGCACCACAATCATGTCGATGATTCACTTTTTGAGTGACACGGATTTTTGGTCGAACATAATCGAGAACCCATGGCTGAAGAAAAACTGTTTTTGAAAAAAAAAGTAATAATGAACTTACTTCGATACCAAATTCAACAAGATTTATATCCACCATTATACATGATTCACGATATGAAAATGCGAAACAATTAGTGACACTTTCATCGGGTTCACAACCATCACAATTATTTTGAATAGCAATTCTGAAATAATCTATACATACATAAAGTTATGGGGTGATTTGAAAAAAAAACAACTAACCCATCTCCGCCACGATTATACCGAAATTTATATTTATCAGAATGTTGTTGGATATTCATATCATGCTCAATTTCATATGGAATATACAAATTAAAATAATTCCTTTTCGATAATACAATTTTCCTGTAGTCAAATTGAAAACTTTCGGATTCTTCTTTCGAAACTTCATCCCCCTCAAATCGATTATTATGTGCTGCATGTCTCCATTTTTGCGAAGGAATCTTTTTTCCATCCATTTTACTTCTTTTAATCCAAAATGATTCATTTTTGGTGATTTGGCGGAAAGTTCGACAAACTTTTCCGCAATTTTGCAGCGATTTTACATCAAGATACAAAAATATGTTTGGCCAAACCTCGACAGGAATATCTGTTGCAGAAGTTGTCTCACTGAAAAATTATATTTAAAAACAATCTGAAAATGTTTTTAGACAAACCTTGCTTTCGCATCCGCTAGTCCCAATTTCCCCAAAAACGATTGTGCAAAATCTTTGACATCCCGAGTAGTCATTTTCTGAAATAATTTCAAAAAATTGATCGAACTTTTTATTTTCAGAAAATCGATCTCCAAAGGAACAGAAAAGAGAAAAACATATTGTTTGTTTCTGAAAAAACTGAATAGGGCAAAAAGAGAGAAATAGTGAGGGAATAGTAGAGGGAGAAAAGATAGAGAGAAGGAGTAAGTATTTCGCAATAGGAAAAATGTGACTCATGTTTAAGTCAGCTGTTTTTCCCGTTTAAGATGTCTGGACCATTTTTTTCCGGAAGAAATCCCGTATGCCGTTGGTTCTAACTGGTAAAAAAATACAAAAATGTTCACGTATTAAAATTTACCGAAAAGAAAAAAAAATAGGTTTACACGCAACAAAAAAAATGACTATAAAATGGTCTTCCAAACCTCAAATCGCTCATTTTTGTACCGTTGAAAAAAACCAATAATAAATCGATCGTGTACAATTGATATTGAAAATGGGCACAGTTTGTGAACTCGTACAATTGCCCGATGGTAGTAAATGCGGGGAATGGACGATTATTAAGAAGTTGGGAGAAGGAGCATTTGGAGCTGTGTATTTGGTGAAAGGAAAAGAGAAGGATGTGAATTATGCGTTGAAAGTTGAAGCCGATACTGATCCACTTGGTCTTTTGAGAATGGAAGTTTTCGTTTTGATGGAATTGAAGAAACAGAAATATGAGGGTAGACATTTTTTGGAAATGGTTGATAAAGGTGCCGTTGTTGGAAAATTCAATTATATGGTTATGACTTTGGTTGGAAAAAGTTTACAGGTACAAAAATTGTTTAACAACCTAGGACTTCCAGCAGATTCACTGCGAAAATCAAAGAAAAAACCCGTATTTTTCCCTTGTTAAAAATTCAATTATCTAAAATTACAGGATCTCAGAAAGGACGCGCCATTCAAAAAGTTTTCAATGGGAACTGCAATCTCAATTGCTAGACAATCACTCGAAGCTGTTGAAGATCTTCATAATCTTGGAATTCTACACAGAGACATCAAACCGGGAAATTATACGATTGGAAGAAAAGAGATGCACGAGTTGAGAAAAGTATACATGTTGGATTTTGGAATGGCAAGAAAATTTGCGAGAGAAGATGGAACTTTGAGAAATCCGAGAGCTAGAGCTGGTTTTAGAGGAACTGTTAAATATGCGCCACTTGCTTGTCATATTCAAAGAGAACAGTGCAGGTAAATAATTAAAAATATATATTTATGAGTCATTTTCAATTCAATTTTTCAGAAAAGACGACATTGAATCGTGGTTGTACATGGTTGTCGAAATGACTTGTGGCCGACTTCCATGGAGAAATTTAACTGAAACCGAAGAAGTCGGAATGTTCAAAAAAGATTGTAAAACAGCTCGTCCGAGATGTTTGTTTGGTGGCTGTCCAAGAGAATATACTGAAATCTTTCCAATTTTGGATAAAGGAAAATTCTTCGATGCTCCCGATTATCCGGCAATTTATGAGTTATTGGAAAAGGCAATGATTAATACAAGAAGTAACGAATTCCCTTACGATTGGGAATAGAGAATTGTACGAAATAAAGGTTTATTCTCATTTTTAGATGTTTGCTATAGTTAGCGCTAACTCGACGAAAAAAATCACTGAAAATTGGGCGTCACAATAAATGTTTCCATCAATAATGTGCAAACACCGCTTCGTTTTTTGAAAAATCAACGCGCGTTGCGAGACACGGGAGAAAAATTGTGTGCGCCTTTGATGAGGGATACGGTAGAAGTATTCGTGAATTTTTAGTATTTTTTTTTAAATTTTTTGTGGGTTTGAGCGCTGCAATTTTTGGAACATCTAACTCGCCTATTGTAAGCTTGCTCTTCCCGCTTTTTGTCGATCACTGCGTTTTTAGACCCTATCAGCAACGCCTTTTGAGTTTGTCGCTGCGTTTATAGACCCTGTCGGCATCTCCCTTTGATGCGTTGAGGTCTCACAGCGATTTTCTAACCGAAAATGAATGTCTGCGTCTCTTCGAATTTGTGTGGTCGCACGTCGACGTGAATGCGAAATTTTTCAATGTAAAATGAAAAGTGCGCCGCAAAATTGCATTTTTTTTGAAAGGGCGGAGTCGAGGGTCAGCGAGCGATCAGAGGATTCTGGTCGTAATTTCGCGTCTAATGCATTGTTTTTTCATTTTTGTCTATGTGAGAGCCATATCTATTTAAAAACCATTTATCAATAAACATTCACTAATAAAAACATCATAGAATTATAAAAATTTCGAAAAAAATATTCGAAAATCAAGTACTTTCTATTTCAACACTCACAATTTCCACATTTGAATTATTTGAGAATAATTCTTTGATTTCTTCGTTTTCCATCTTCTGATTTACTTGCAAAAACTCCAGAACCAACCGATATTTTCCAACTTTTCCGTTACGTTGGTGAATAGATAAGATGATTTGTTGATTGCTGTTGACGCTTCCCAAATTAGGGGTTATCTTGCATTCGGCCGAATCTGATACTTTTATTTTAAATACCAGATCTTCTTTCGAGAGGTTTCGGAATTTCAGTTTTTTCTTTCCGGAAGGAGCAGTTATTGTGCATTTTGTTGGAAACATGCGTATTTTGAATAGGCGATTGGGTGTTGTGTTGAAACATTCATTTGGATAGTTGTTTTCAAACGATTTGAATCGATCAATCATCGTCTTCAATTTTGTGTTTCTGTTTCTTCTGGCTCGCTGCTCTCTAAATCAAGAAATAATTTATGTTTTTCAGTTATCGGCAAACTCACTGGAAAAAATCGTGTAACAACGGACTATCACCATACATTTCCAGAAAATCTTGGAGAGGTTTTCCTTCATCACCTTTTTCCTCGAACTTTATCTCCATTTCGATTTGCCGTAAATCAACAATTGTGCCAGCTACACTATAGTATATCCTTGGTTCTATTATTCGATAATATTTTGATTGTTTCGGGAAATTTTTGTTGATGGCTGGGCCAATTCTTTTGAATACCTCATCAGTTAGATTGTGAAATCTCGATATTTCGTTTAATCGGTCGATAACTTCTGGATAACACCAACATTTGACAAGAGCAATGGAAATTGTCTGAAAATATTCAAATATTATTATTATTATCGATTTTTGTCCGATGTTTTTATTTACCCCTGTCAAATTTCCGAAATCTTTTTTCAATTGGTTGGTGTCCATTTCTTTCCAGGTTTGGCGCATTTCCTCCATCATGTTTTAATGGTTGCCTCTGCTCCGGTTTTGCTCACAATCTCGCACACATATCAATCATTATAACCTGTAAACCGGTAATTTCTAATTGTTTCACTGTTTAAGCAAACCTTCTCTTCAAAATTGAATTTGGCTTGTGTCGCTTTGAACAAAAATGCTACGGTGTCGTTTTCGCAGACAATCAATGATCGAATGGTGCTTTCAAGGTTGTCGCTCTTCACCTTCCTTTTCAGACCCGATATCTGGAAAAAATCACTCATATATAACTTCCAAATTTTGGAATTTTAGAAATGAATTCCGGAGTGAATAAAAATATTTTTCGATGAAATCCTAGCATACACACCTCGGGTACGTGTAATGCTTTTCCACTATGAACAATTGTTATAAGAATAAGAACGTTACCTTGTCATCGATTTCAGGAACTGCTTGATGGATTGCATCAAAATTGTAGAGCGAATGTTCCGATTTGGAATCCATTGAAACTCTGAAATGAGAAGAAATAAAGCTCTCAAATCGAAGAAACAACGTGGATTTTCACGTTCACGTTTTCTGCGAATTTTTTTTATTGAATTTGTTTTCTTTTTTTGATATTTGAAATTGGTGAAATTATGAGAGAAATATCACAAGTTACTAGATCTAGATCTAGTATATAAAATAGAAATACAAATCTGACAAACGCGTACAATAAATTTCGCTTCGAGAAACTGTTTGAACACAAAGCGCATATTTCTTTTTTGAAAATAATGAAATTTTTCAGTTTTTCGAACGTTGAACGCACGTTATTGGGTCGATATTCAATCAATTTCAACACCCAAAAAGTGATTCACAAAACATTCACTTCAGAACGAGATATTGATCGCCGTATTCGAAAGTCTGAAATAACTGAAAACTAGAAAAAGTTGTGCAAAATTACAGAAGTTTGCCTAACTTGACCAATTCATACATTAATTATCTTTGTATTCAATTTTGGAGTCTTCACATTTTCAAAAATAAGTTTGAATTTTATTTCTCTGCCTTCCTTTAATCTTCCTCTATTTTCTCATATACAATGTTCCTTGTGTGAATTATTATTGAAGTATAAAACATGTAAATTCACAAAATAATGAATTGAGAAATTCAAACACACAATTATTTCGCGCCGCTGGCAGAGCGCAGACAGCGGGAGCAGGGTGTCGCACACACAAAAATTCACGCATATCCGGGCTGCGGTACACGTGTACCAATTGAAAAATGACACGTCATGCAATGACGTCACACTAATCAACGTGAAGCGATTTTCAATACCAAATTTCAGTGTTACAGAAATGTTCTCAACGAGGGTTTTTCTTGTGTGTTTGTTGATTGGAGTGTCTTTGGCCGAGGAGGAATCTGGAGCTGTAAATGTGTTGACTGAGGTGAGATTTTCAGATTGATGTTTGACTAGGAAACTAACTATAAATTAAATACAGGAAAACTTCGAAGAATTCATCAAAAAATACGATTTCGTTCTCGTCAAATTCTATGCACCATGGTGTGGACATTGTAAAGCAATGGCACCAGCATTCGAAGGAGCTGCTAATTCATTCAAGGATAGTGAAGATACACGTTTGGCTAAAGTTGATGCAACTGTTCAACAATCCCTTGCTGCAAAATATGAAGTTCGTGGTTATCCAACTATTTTGTTCTTCAAAAATGGTGTTCCACTTCAATATACTGGACCAAGAGATGAACAAGGAATTGTCAGTTGGGTGAACACTAAAAAAGGTCCGGCTGTTATTGATATTGATAGTGAAGAAGCTCTTAATGACAATCGCAACCAATTTGTTATTGTTGTTGGATTGTTCGAGGTAATTTCATTTTTTCATTGATTCCTCTTTCATTCTTCAATTCTTTCTGTTTTAGAATAAGAACGAGATCTTTGAAAAACTTGCTGAAGAAAACGATAACAAAATCTTCGCCACCATCTCCAACAAAGATCTTCTCGAAAAACTCGATCTTGTTTCGAAATCTGGAATTGCTGTGATCACTAAGACCGAGGTCAATGTTTTGCCAGAATCAGAAATCACTTCGGAGAATATCGCAGCACGATTCATTCATGGACACAGTCTTTCATTAATCAATGAGTTCAGCGAGACTTCAGCTCAACAAATCTTCGGCGGAGTAATCCATGAATTTTTGTTTGTTCTTGGTTCAAAATCCAACGATAATTTTGAAGGAATCTTCGAGCAATGCGAAAGTGTTGCAAGAGAGAATCGTGGAAAATTGGTGTTGGTTTATGTGAGCCCAGAATCACCAGGAACTGAGCGAATTTATGATTTCATCGGTGTTCCACGTGATACTCAACCAACTTTCCGAATTTTGAATCTTTCCGAAACACCAAAGAAATATAAACCAGCCGAAAATCAATCAGTCGCTGATTTTGTATTGGCATATTTCGAAAATCGAGCAATTCGTGATTTGAAAACCGAAACTTTGCCAGCTGACTGGAAAGATGGAAATATCAAATATCTTGTTGGATCAAACTTTGTTTCGGTAAGTCTGTTGAATCGATTGACCTTCACAAAACAATAACACTTTTCAGTTCATCTCCTCAAACTCTGGTTACGTTTTCGTCAAATTCTACGCTCCATGGTGTGGTCATTGCAAACAATTCGCTCCAGTTTGGGAAGAACTCGCAAGCAAATTCGCCTCAAATGAAAACATTGTTTTCGCCAAACTCGACTCAACCTCCAACGATGTAAGCAGTTGAATATTTAGCAATTTCAAAAATCTCTGTTTTTCCAGCTCGAAAATGTCACCGTCGATTCGTTCCCAACTCTTAAATTATTCAAAAATGGTCAAGAAATTGAAACTTATTCGGGAGATCGATCAGCGGCTGATGTTGAGAAGTTTATCAATAAATATATCAACGCTGCCAATGAGGAAGATCAATCGATTGAAAATGAAGATGATGAGAAGGTTCATGAGGAATTGTAAAAATTGCGAAAATACTTGTTTTTCAGATAGTAGTTTTAATTTATTTGTTTGTAAAATCATAAATTATGGTTTCAGTAGCCTAATTTTGGCGAGCAAAAATTATACAAATTTCAAAGGATCCGACTTTTTCAAACGTGAACTGTGACGTGGAAATTTGAAAATTTTAATTTCTAATTCCGAAAATATTTTCTCCAAATATCTACAACAAAAATACTTACCATATTCAATCATTGATACTGAACTTTATTGTTGAAAATGTCTTTCTATCGAAAAAAAACATGAAAAGCGGTGACTAATTTTGCAGTTCTTTGAAATGTTACAATATAAAAGCCGAGAAAAAACAAGAAAATATATCAAAAATGTCTCATTTCAAGATTCTCATTTGTCTCGTTTCGATTTTCAGCTATGATTTTGTATTCGCTTGCAGTTCTTCGGATTACGGTAAGCAAAAAGGGCTTCTCAAGTTCGAGTTTGCAGTTTGGAGTGAAAATGAAAAAATCAGAACAATTAAAAAATCGAAAAATTTCAGATCAAGTAGTAACAATAAAAGGAATGAATCTACCATTTCCATTTGTTTATACAACTTCTTCAATCGATGGAATATCAGCTGCCACGTCATCAAGTGAAGCACTCAAAAATATTCAGGAATTCGGCCAAAATGTTATAAATAGCTTGCTGAGAGTTACCCTAACTGAACTCGGATACACTTCTTATCTTATTGATTCGATTCTTTCCAGTCTTGATGTCACGGTTTGTTTTTTTTTCTAGAAATTCAAGAATTAATCCGAAAATTTTTTCAATTTTCTAGGTGTCCTCTGATTACCAACCACTTTCATGTGCCAATTTCATCGCCTTATTCGAAGCTTCTGCAACAACTGCGGCGCCAGTCGTAAATACAAATCGAAAAGGAACATGGTGTCTTTATACAACAGATAATGTGGTCACCAAAATTTGTCCAAATCAAGTGAGCAATATTTTGTTTTTGAAAAAAAAACAATTGGGCTTTTATAAATAACTTTTCCAGGGAAATACAAGTTCAACTTGCGTTGCTGAAACAATTTCACTTCCTTCAAATGTCACAACTATTAATTTTGATTTCATTGTAAGTTATAATAACTCTAAAAATCTCTAATTGTTTATATTTTCAGCCTGGCTTCCTTGCTGCTCAACCCACCAAATTCTGGAAAACCTTGAAGAGCTCTTTGGAAACTCAATTGAAAACTGGACCTTATTCATCAGCTTTTCAATCGGCCACAGTTGATTTCAAAAAATCATCGACTTAAAAAGTTTTAATTTTTAATAAACAACGCAAAATGTCAGAAAATTCTGAATAAACCGCTTTAAATTTCTTGATAAGGTTATAAATTGTTTGATAAGGAAATGTAAGCTAAGGTCTTTTTCATTTGTCATTCATTTTTCTAGAATGTGGATTCTTTTCGTTCTCATTTTTTGTTTGAGTTTGGCAAATGCTCAGAAAGGTGAGGAACTTTGGAATCTACCGTAATTTTCATTTTATTTTTTTCAGAATGCTATGTTTCGCCTTGCACCCGTGATATAATAATAGTTGTGGATGGTTCGAGTTCAATGAAAACCAGCACATATGTGACACATGAAATCGATACAATTCTAAAATTGATCGATGGCTGGACATTTTCCGAAAAACAAGTTCGTCTCGCTGTAGTTGGTGCATATTTTGGAAATGAGTTTTATGGTGTCGATTATTTTACGGAAACTTCTTTGGTTGATAAACGACTTCAACAATTTCGAGTGGCTTCTGTTGAATATGGATTATTTAAGGGTGATTTCAATACGTAAGTTTGTGCCCAAAAATGCGTAATTCTTCCGTTTTTCAATTCAGAACAGTTCGTTATCTCGATGAAAGATATGTTGGTAATCGGGCATTATATTCACCACGTTCTAATACTCAAAAACGTATTATCATTTTCACTTCACATTCCGATTCAACTGATATTTCTTCAACAAAACAAACATTGGAAACATTTGCGAATTTGAATTATTATGTGACAATTGTTGGAATTGGAGTTTCCGAAAGTATTTATAAATCAACGAAATATCACAAATTTGTATCGATTAGTTTTTCGGAGTTATCATCGGTTTCTACAGCCACAATTAATTCAATTATTGATGATGGAATCTGTTTTTATGATCATACAGTTCCAACACCAGGTAATATATAGAAAATTCGTTTTTTTTTCAAAATAAAATCCTTCAGCTCCGCAAACTTGCACAACATCCACTTCAACTAAACCCACAACAACCACCAAATCCGCGACAACCAAAAAATCGGGGCCAACAACTACAACTGCACCCGTAAAACCAACACATCCACCATTTCCAATTGGTGATTATAATAATTGTAGTTGCACTATCTCTGATTTATATATCGATATTATATTTGTTGTCGATACTTCAATGGCGATGGGAAGTTCTGGATTGATGATGGTGAAAGCGGAAATCAATACATTGATTGGACAAGTAACTTTGGATCCGACACAGAAAAAACATGTTCAAGTTGGATTGATTAAGTATAGTGATGTGGCAGAGGTGAGGGAGTTTTCAAACATCTACAGTAATCTTGAAAATTTCTGTCAAAATCTTAGATCAAGCCAAAAATACAGTAATTCCAAATTTTTTAATTGTTTTACAGTAAATTGCAAGATTTCGAAAGTCATCAAAAAACTTTGTCTTAAAATTTGGAATAAAATTAAATCTACCGTACCTTTGGATGCTCAAAACGCTGAGAAAGTACAGTAATTTTCTGAATTTTCAAATAATTTCAATTTGCTTAACCTACAATTGATCTACAGTAATCCTAGATTCTAGATCATAATTTTGAAAATCTTGAAAAAAATCTGACTACGGTAATTCTAAAACATTTTGTATCATAATCTAGGGTCAGGTGAAGTCTACAGTAACCTCCGACTTCATAAAAATTAATTTTCAGATTGTTTTCAACCCGAAAGATTACACTGATGAAGATGAATTCACTAATGATTTATGGACTGATCCAAGATTGGAAAAAGTTGACACCGCGGCTGAAGTTAATCTTCTTGAGTGAGTTTTTTTCGAAAAAATTCTGAAAATCCTAACAATTTCGCATTCCAGCGGACTGAAAGAAGCAGCAAAAATGATCGAAAAAATGCGAGATGGTGTGAGAAAAGTTGTTGTTGTTTATGCTTCAGCTTACAAGTAAGTTACAGTACTTGCCCTTACAGTACCTGACACAGAATCTTTTTTTTGCAGCGATGAAGGAGATGATGATCCGGTTGAAGTTGCAGCAAGTATTCGAGAAAGTGGATATTTTATTTCAACAGTCGCATTTGTTGAACCCGGAGTTACAGATTTAGTGCTGAAAATGGGAGAAATTGCGAGTCCACGGATGAATTTCACATCTTATAAAGATGATTTATTGGTGGATGAGTTGGAAGATATGTTTTGTCAGGTAAATAAAAACTTGGTTTTCAAAAAAAAAGAAACATTTCTGTTGATTTCAGGTTAATTGCTATTGTCCAAATGGCTGGAAACAATTGAAACTTGAAAATCGTTTTTATGCCGAATGTTATTTCCCAACTCAAATTGATGCGGCATGGAAAGTTAACAAGTAAATATTTTAAAGAAAAAATTGGGTGGGATTCAAAAAATAAAAATGCAGTTGCGAAAATAGTTCTAAAAGATTTATTCTAAAACTTGAAATATCAAATTGAAATTATTGCCACGTGGCATTTTTTCTTAATGTTTATGTGGAGAAGTTTTCCAGATGAGTTTTTTTAAATTCAAAAAAAAGTTCCCCAAAAATTCCATGTAAAGAAATCAGATTAAAATCTATTATAATAAAAAACCTGAATTCAAAACTTTCTGAATCTTGGGGCCAAAAATCCACGTGTCATTTTTTTAAAAATCGCATCAGAATTTCAAATTCAGAACTTTCGCGCCAAAAAATCAGGCTCAGAAATTGTCTCTATATTTGCAAATCTGCAATTTTTATTTATGAAAACCCTTTCCCAACCCCAAAATGTTGCAGAGTGGAATGTCAACAATTATCCTCTGATCATTCTGGAAATGGTCACTTGGTCTATGTGAATTCCGAACACAAAAACCAATTCCTAAATGAATGGTTCATCAAAAAATGGGACGATGAAAGCAAAGAAACTATGAATTATGATATCGGATATTATTACGATCAAACAACCAAAAAATATAAATGGGTGAATGGTGTCGATGATAATCCATATACAAATTGGGATGTGAATAATCCGAATTTATCGAATGGCGAATGTGTGAATGCGAAGAAAATTGGAGATGCAAATAGTAAAATATTCAAATGGGAATCGGTGAATTGTTTGACTCATCATAGTCGAGCAGTTTGTCAAGAAACTGCGTGTGATACTGATTTTTATTGTGATCCAAGTACATTGGAAAATTGATTGTCGTGATTCATAAATTATTTTGTGTGCAATAGAACCAACTTGATTGCCATGTTTTATGTTTTTTTTTCAATTTTTGGAAAAAGGAAAGTTTTCAAGTGCATCTAAAAAGTAAAATTTGAAGCAATAAATTATTCATTTCACCGTATTTGACAAAAAAAGCGGGGGAGGGGCAAAAAAAGGTTAGTTCGTATTTATATAATATGTCTAGTTCTATTTTTGATAAGAATAGGATGAAACCCGTTGAAAATTTCAAAATTTAGAATTTCTAATCACATTTATCGCATAATCTTTCACGTTGATCTGATGTTACATGAACACATCGACGGCAGAAAATCTGGAAATATTGAGTTTTTTGGGAGAATCGGAAATTTGGAAAGCGGTGATAAATTTTATAATTTCGAGTATTTTTAATTGAAAATTTGAAGAATGGTGAACAGAAATTTTAAATTTTAGAAATTCGTTCCTAATTTAAAAAATTGTATCGAAATTTTCTACTTCGAAATTTTCCTCCCAAATTTCAAATTTAATTTGTTCTCGTTTAAAATCCACGTGGAAAGCTGCAATTTTTAAAAGCTAACTAAATTATTTCTGAAAATGTGGCTGAAATGTTAAATTCCCAGAAAAACCGGAAATTCAAAACTTTAGCACTCCAAATTCACGTGGAAAACAGAATTTTCTAAAAAAAAACTTATGAGATGTTGATTTTCTTCAAAAAAGTCCCTCTCCCTCAAAAAACCAACCAAACCACATCGATGACAATGAATTCGTCGATCAATTGTCGACGAAAATTCTCCACGACATGCAATGTTTGAGCAACGTGTTGCACCGCGTAATGGTTGCCATTTTAATTGATATTTTGATATTGATTCATCCTGCAAATATTGATTTTTTAAAGGAACATTGGCTGGGAAACCTCAGAAATTCGTTGTTAAGGTCATACATGGCATTGCTCCAAAAACTGTGAGGGGGAGATCATGGCATTTGGAAAAATTTTTCGAGGGGGGGGGAGATCATTTTTACTCAAAATTTCCAAAAAAAAATTTTTTTTTCTCAAAAATTCTTTCCCGCCCAAATCAAAATTTTGATTTGGGCGGGAAAAATTTTTGATTAAAAATTTCCAAAAAAAAAATTTTTTTTCTCAAAAATTCTTTCCCGCCCAAATCAAAATTTTGATTTGGGCGGGAAAAATTTTTGATTAAAAATTTCCAAAAAAAAATTTTTTTTTCAAAAATTCTTTCGGGAAAAAAAGCAGCCTCGTTAGGGCCTATTTTAGGCCTGTTATTTCAGAATCTGAATTCAGATTCTCAATTTCTCAAGCTCTTACAATATTCAAAATTTCAAAACTCACCGAACACATGCTCGATTCCATAACTCCACTTTCCTGACTATTTGCTCGCTCCAAAAATGGAATCGGTGAAGATATTTCAAGTGGATGCGATATTGTCTGAAAAGGAAAGGGGAACATCAAAAAAGTTGTCGATTTTTTAAAGAAGAAACTAGGCTTCTTAGGTTTCTCGTATTTTGTTTATTTTCAGACAAAAAAACCACCCACCATATTCTTAAATTCCTCAGTCGCACTACTTGTTCCACTATCAATCATATTACTCGATGTTTGTCCAGATATTCCAATTTGCGATCGTAATTCAGCCAATTTGATTCGTAATTGTGCAACATGTGATTCAAGAACTCCAACGTGTTCAATTGCAGTCATTGTTAAATCATCAATTCTTTCACGTGGTTGAAGTCCTTCATCGAATCGATTATATAATCCGATCCAAACGTGGAAATGAGCTGCGCGGGTATCCAAATCCAAAAAGAGCAGAATGTGAAGTTGGCTGGAAAATAGATAACTATTTGAGAAATTTTGGATCAGAGAAACCGGCGATGAGTAAGAATTTTTCGGAAAAAAATGTTCGGAAAATAATCTTAATTTTTTAAAAATAAATTTAAAACTTTTGCTTTCAAATGAACCCTGATTTTTCATCCTAGGCCCAGTACTTAGTACTTAGGCTTGAAAAATTAGGCTTTGAAAATATGGCCTAAAATTTTAATCAGAAGATTTAGACCAGATCGAAAATTTGGGCTTTGAATGGCCCGTGGCTAAGTTTAGGCCCAGTTTCAAGCTTGAGAAAACCAATTTTCTAGGTTTGGAAACAAAAGTCCAAGATTTTCAGCACTTTTTTAGAACCACCCCCCCCCCCAAAATAAATTACCGCATAAAATGGATTAATATAATCATCATGTCTCAAATCCATCCAATTCCACAACGATTTCGTTCGTTTCGCCACATTCAAATCTCTTCGATCTTTATCACAATTTCCAATAAATGTTCCAAATTGGCAACTATATACATTTTCGTGCATTTCAATCAAATATCGTTCATTGAATTGAAAAGCGCGCGGTCTTTGTTGCATTATTTGCCAAACACAATCGAGAAATTGACTGAATATTGGTGAAACTTCTTTGGCAGCTTCATCATTTAGTGCTCCAACATGACCACATCGATCATCGAATTTATGGCCGAAGCCGAGCCAATCTTTTTCTATCAGAACCTTGAAAAAGTGGGAATTTTTGAGAATTTGGGAAAAGAATTTTTGTAAAATGTGTTGAAATTACCTGAAATCCATGAATAGTTCTATAATACGGATCAAGCAACAATTGACACAATGCAACAGTTTGCGATGTTCTATCCCAACCATCCGAACAATGAACAACACAAGATGTTCCTCGACTAATACTTTCAGCTAAAAACAGAGCACATTCAATTACAGCTCGAATATGTTTCAACCATCCACTTGTTTCCATAGTTTTCCAATATTCGGTTACATCTTTGCATTTTGTAACAGCATCCAATAATTTCGCTTGACTATTTCTCATTACATGAATATTTTCGATATCGAAAAAATGAAAGCGCATATTCGAATAATTTCGCTCGTCTTCGAATCCTTTTCCTTGCACTTTATTTACCATTGCGTTTACCTGAAGAAAAATATATTGATTGATTTTTGAATTAAGGAATTTGGTGTAAATTTTGTGTTTTTGAGATTTTCCAGTTTAAATTTAAAAAAAAAATCCAAGATTCAGATGCTTCAAAATCTACATTACTATCTTTCAGGGCTTAAAATTCGGATTTCCTGTTCGAAAATAGTTTCAGAGGCTGAAAAAAAAATATTTTTCATGAAAATGGATCAAGAAATTGCTAGATAATGGAGATTTAATAAAACAATCTGCATTTCTAGTTAGCGCAGATTCTTAAATTTCCAGTAAGTTTCAACACAAAAAACCCTCGAAAAACCAACCCGTGGCCGTGTATCAACCAAAAATAAATTCTCCGAATTCGTATTAGCTTTGCCTATAAGTTCCATCAATTTTTCATCCTCAACACATCTCGCCGAAAATCCAGTCAATGGTTGAGCACATCTACAAAGAGCAGCACCAGTTGATTTATGATAATAAGTGAGTGCCGGAAGTCTTCCTCTCGACCGAAATCTACAACTTCCCATTAGAACAGCTGTGTTGGCAGATGTTGGAAACCAGAGTCGATCTGGATATGTATCGCAAATCTGAAAGGGGCAACTGCGAAATTTATTTTTATGTAGGAAATCAATACCTGATAATCACTATTAATATCAGATTCCATCCATTGATCTTGTGGAATTTCCTGTCTTCTCATTTCCGCACTCCAATCCAATCTTTTCCATGTTTTTGAATCTTCATTTATTTCTCGATTTTCGAATGCCAACAATTCCGAAACATTCACTGAAACTAAAAACTCATCATTTTTTATTTCGAAAAAAGGAAAGTGGAAGTTTTGGATTGGGAATCGAAGCTAGCTTCAAAAAAAACCCCCAAAAAATTTCACAAACCTGGTTTCGACGCGTGCACCAATGTTTCATACAAATCCTGACACGCTTTATCGCGACTAATCAACAATGATATCACTTGAAAATGTTTACATCGAATTATTAAAATACAACCAGCTGCTGTAAGAGAACCACGTTCGACTGAAGCAATCAAACCATTCGCCAACTGAAATATGAGAGTTTTTTTGATGACGTAAGAAAAGTTATTTACCCAAAGTTCTTTGGATCCATCTTCAGCTCTGAATATAATATGAGTTGTAGTCACATGAACTGTTCCTAATAGATTTTCGTGTGCACCAAGTCGATCCACCAAATAAACTTTGTCGACCTGCAAAAAATGAATATATACAAAAAACAAATGATGCTAATTTGACACGTGTCACTTTTGATTGACTTTTCTCTCGTTCTCTTGGCTCAAAAAGAAGTAGTTCCTGAAGGAAATAAATAACTTCCTAATTTCGTTCAGTATTTGTCCCCAAGGACAAATAATTGTTTTAAAAGCAAGCGAATACGGATCTTTTGGTGAAAAACACAACTTGCTAAAACCTTAAAACTAGGAAAGAAAGTGCGCTCTATTGCACACATTATTTTATTTGTGTGTACTTCTCTCGGAGAATCACATCCAAACATTTATCGAGTATTTTAGGGTGTCCCAAACTCGATGTTTTTTGTTGACAAAATATTAAAAGAGGATATGGCCTAGAAAACCAAAAATTTCCAAAGTCTACGGTAGTGGTTTTCTCTTCCACGGCTTCAATATTTAGGAGCATTTTTAAATGAGGGAAGAGCTCCTCCCGATTTATTTTTGGAGGATAATATGATTCAGATTTCAAGCCCGGACCAATTACGATTCAGGCATACCATCATAGCAATTCTTCCATCTTCTCCATATCCACAACCAGTCAGCGGTGTTTCTTTTCGAATCAATGATTCATACAATCCACTAATCTTATCTTTCAACAAAGATCCAGCTACAGTAATATCTTCAGTATACCCGGCTGCAGTTGACATTCCTTGAGATGGCACAATATTCTGTTTTGTATATCCATCAAAACCCCACGAGAAATTAGAAGTGCTTGGTGTTGAAATAGTGGCATAATAGCCAGATAGCGACATATTATTCCACCATGATGAAAGTGGAGTTGAAACCGATGAAGGTGAAGACATTTTTGAGCATGAGCATATGTGGAGAGAATGAATATGGAATTGCAACAAAAACCACTAAAATAAATGAGGAATAAGTAAGTAAATATGTGCTTAAAAATTCGAGAGAAGAAAAAGAGGAGAATGTGACAAAAAATAAATAAGAAATGGCAAAAAACGAGGAGACGACAGGAAAACAAATGAAAAGATGGATATACGCAGCAGAAGGGGACGGACCATGAAAAGAAGGAGCAGAAAAAAAGGAGAAGGAGAAAAATGGAAAGTGAAGCCATGTGGGCTCAGCGAAAAAAAAAAGAAAATGCTCTCGAATTTCAGACGGCATTTGGAGAAGAAGACAATTATAGGAATTGAATTGGTGTGTGACACAATAAGTGAGAGGAACGGGCCGGAATAACAGAAAGTTTCGAAAATGTCTACCAAAAATATTGAGATGTGCAAGATTTTTAGAATCTTGGATTTATTTTGAAACGTCGTCCATTATCAAAATTTTTCTCAATTCGGAGAAAATACAGATTTTTTGAGAATGAAAAAGTTTTTGACAAAATTTCAAAAAACTTTCTGCTGAAACTCTAGTATTCACCAAAAAAAAGATTTGATACCAAATTTTCACAGAAAAAAATAATTCAAAAATTCGGGTACTGAACATTTTTTCATAAAGCAGCGAAACATTTTTTCATGAAGCAGTGAAAAACTCAAATGTTTCTTGAAACGTAAAAAATCTGGGAAAAATTCCACACGTCAAAAATTAGATCTACAATTCGCATTTTTCTCAAAAAAAACCTTCAGCAAAGACATGAAAGGAACATAGGTCGATTTTTAAAAAGCCCCAAGGGAAAACTCGAAAAAATATAAAGTAGCGTTGTTCGTTTTTTCGTTGCAAAAAATAGAGAATGAAAAAAAGGCGGTGATCAAAATAAATAAATAAATAACTAAATAAGCATGTTAGTATACCGAAGAAGAATAACTTCCGTTCGAATAATTTTTTTTAAAAGTGAAAAATATATATTACGACTTTTTCTTTGTTTTTGGGAACAGTTGGGCGCTGATCTTTCAAAATTGGATTCTCTAATCTTGGTTACTTGATATAGAAGTTCTCAAGGCCCCATGCCTTATCAGAGGAATATCAAGACAATGCTCCTGGATAATCAGGATATCTAGGCTCAGCTATTAGATCACTAGGTTTTCTAGGCTCAGAACTTCTATGACTCAAGAGTTTTCTCGAACCATAACTTTTTCACGGTGTTTCAATTAAAAATTTCAGTTTGAGGAACAAAATTCTCCAGCTTTTTTTGAGCAAAGATCTAATCAAAAACTAAAAATAAAAAAAAGAAGACACAAAATGGTCAATTCAAATTCAGTCAAGCATAATGATGTGCTTCTTTTTCTTCTTCTCAATCCATCCATCTTCTTTTTTTTAATTTCGAGAAAAACCACAAAATGAAAAGAAAAAAAGAAATCAGATGATACATGTTTTCGACAACACAAATAATTCTATTTAATTAATTTTCGGCCAAAAAATGGGTTTTTTAGAAACCAGAAATATTGTCAAAAAGCGGAAATTTGTAGAATATTTTAAAAATTGCGAAAATAACTATTTTTCCAAAATAATCCAAGAGTTTGGCCCGGTTTATGATTGATGGTTGAAAAAAGAGGAAATTGAGAGAAAATAGGTCGAAGTGGGGGATTTTCGGGGATCAAATTTTGAGAACTTTGAGTTTTGAAACCCTGAAAAATATGGTTACGTGGCAAATTTCTAGCAAAGCCTTAGGTAAAGCCTTGTCATAGCTGATTGTAAGGCTTTATACAAAATTCTAGGCTTATGTTAGATAAGACCTTAAGCTTAGGTAAGACCTTACGTTAGACTTGAATGAGACCAAATTTTCACTCGATTTTTTATTCTGAAAATTTTTCAATTTCGCCACGTCACAACTCAAAACATCAAGAAAACCTAAAATTTATTCAAAATAAATAAAAAATACCAATAAAATAGAAGCAGCTGGTTTTTCTTTTTTCTTTCTTGCTCCTTCCAACAAACTAGTTTTGGGCCAAACGTTGTCAGGAAATGCCACAAAATGTCTATTTTTGTTGTGTGTGTGTGTGTGTGTGTGAGTGTGTTTTTTTCTCTGTTTTCTCTGCCAAACCCTAACCTCATTACATTATTTATCATTTATTGGCTTTGCTCTCGGTAAAATGCGCAATGCACTAAAAAACAAATTGCAAAAGTTTCTCCGAGGATTTTTCGGAGTCTAGAAATTTTTGCTTATTTTCTGACAGAAATCACACATTTTACACAATCATATCTGATCTTGATTTGAAGCTTTTGAAATTTTCTACAAAATAAGCAAGATTTTCACGCCTTCTATTTTTGGTAGAAAATTGAGCCTAATAACTCAGTATCCACCTAGATTTTCAGCTAAATTTGAAACTTCATATTCAAAATTGACCAAAGCATTTTTTGTTATCAGCACGTCAAAATAAATCTATTCAAAAAAATTCATGAAAAATTTCGTCGGAAATTGAATTTCAAAAAATTGATCGAGAAAAAGAACAAAATTTAAAATTTGAAGAAAAATAACATATTCATCAAATGAAAATGGGACATGAAAATAAAGAAGATCAAATCTGGATTATAATATTCTTTTTTATATAAAAAATACTTCAGAAATATTATCACAGTTCAAAAACAAACAGTGTTTTAATATTTTTATTCTTTAATTGTCATTGAAAACGAACGTCTTATATTTCAATTCTGTTTCTAAAAAAAGTAATGAAACGTAAAATTTTCTAGACTATTTCCATGTTTTTTTTCAAGCCAAAATTTTGAGGGGGGTGTGAAAACATGATGAAAACACGTACTAACTCGGGAAAAATCCCGCAAGTGCCGGCAAGAATTGCAGTAGAGCCGCAATGGCTGCGGGTGAAGCCGCCGTTGTTGCGGGGGAAAGACAAGGGGAATGTGAGAGAGCGCAGACGCTCGCTACTTTTTGTCTGCCTGCCTGCAGCCATTGCGGCTCTACTGCAATTCTTGCCGGCACTTGCGGGATTTTTCCCGAGAAAATATTTTGAGAATGGAAAATATAATTCCAGACGATTTGAGTTCTGTAGCCCTTAAAATAAACAAATAAAACACGTCATTTCTCATTAAAATCTTCAAAGTTTCTGGAAATCCGATTTGAAAAAACTGGGAAATGAATAAAAAATGCGAGAAATACTAAATTCTGATATCATTTTTCGTGTCAAACTGCAATTTTCTCGAAGGAGAGATTTTTCCAAAATCTTTTTTGGTAAGAAAGACATTTCCGTGAAAGAGAAATAATTTTTTGAACAATTTTTCATAAAAATCAATACTTGATTGAAGTGATTCACGTTATTTTTCCCTGGAAACATTTCCAAAAAATAACTTTAAATGGTTTTCGATACAATACAAACTAAAGTTTAGTTCTTAAGAAAATTCGTTAAAAAATACTTCAAAAGATGAAAATATCGATTTTTCAAGAAATATTTCATCGCTTCAAGCAATTATTTACATACAATTTTGAAACAGTAATTTTTATTATGCAATAATATTTTAAATCATAGAGTTTCTTGAATCAACATTTTGAACAAGGAAATTTTAAATATCAATATTTCAAAAATATCGATTTTTTTTTTCAAGCAAAAATTCTCAAGCAATATTTTTATAGTCTAAATATCTCCCATACGAACTTCTTGTTTACCAAATTCCCCAATAATTTTCCCAAAAATCCCCAATGAATCAACTAACCTTTGGTGTTATAATATCTTCAAATCTCATATCATTCGTTTTCAATTTTCCTTCTGATTTGAAGACGGCCTGAAAATGAAAAAACACTTTTTCGATATAAAAACTTCAGTTTCCAAAAAAATCAATGCAATTCATTTCGCGAATTATAAAATAAACTAAATATATTCTATAAAAGTTTGTTCGTGAATTCGAGTGTTTTGTCCGCAAAAAACGAAATATGATGAGAAGTTTTGAATCAAACAAAATGCTAATAAACAAAACGGGAAAATATTTTGAGAGGGAGAAAAGTTTATTTTACTCGTTCAGAAAAATGTGAATGGAGAAAATACATAATTATACAAGAAATAAGAATAAAAATTATAATACGACTAAAACCGCTAGAATTTGATTTATTTATACTCTTTCGAAAAGAATTGCAATTCCTTGTCCTCCTCCAATACAAGCTGATCCAATTGCATATTTGGCATTTTGACGGCTGCAAAAATTTGAAGATTTAGGTAGAAATACGGGTCACAAAATTTAATTTTCAGATCTAGTAGTAATTTTCAATTATGGGAATAACATTTTATTAAAAATCCAAGTCGCAAGCCTTGGAGATCAAGAAGAGCCTAGGGTTTTTTAAATCAGGATTTGAAATTTCAAAAAACTTACTGCAATTCATAAGTGATGTGTGTTGAAATTCTTGCTCCAGAAGCGGCCAATGGATGTCCCAAAGCGATGGCTCCTCCATTTGTGTTCAATTTTTCCAATGGGATTCCCAATTCTCTTTGAACAGCCAATGCTTGTGGGGCGAATGCCTCATTGACCTGAAAAATAAGAGTATGAAGTTCTTCCTTCTTTTTTTTTCCAAATTTAAAATTAAAATGAAATGTACTGTAACATATTTCTGAATCAAATTTCAAGTCAACAAAATAATTTACCTCAAAGATATCAATATCATTAATCTTCAAACCGGATTGTTTCAAAACTTCACGAATAGCTGGAGCTGGTCCAATTCCCATAATAGTTGGATCGCATCCAACAGCAGCGTATGCAACAACACGAGCCAATGGTTTCAATCCTTTTGCCTTAACCGCTTCTTCTCCAGCCAATACAACAGCTGCAGCTCCGTCAGAGATTCCAGATGCATTTCCAGCATTTACAAGTCCATCTTTTTGGAAAACTGGTTTCAATTTAGCCAAACTTTCGACAGTTGTTGGTCTTGGATGTTCATCAACTTCGAAACTTTCTTCACCTTTGCGTCCTTTGATAATAATTGGGGTGATTTCATTTTTTGTAAATTCCAGCTTCTTGTGCTTTCTTCCAAAGAGTTTGTGAGCGAAGAGCGAAATCATCAGCATCTTTGCGGGTTACCTGAAAAGTTTTGTAAATATTTTCGAAAAAAATTGTCGAAATTTATTCAAACCTTATATTGAGCTCCAAGTTTTTCAGCAGTTTGTCCCATTGCCAATTTCGCATAAGAATCAGAAAGCGAATCCCAAAGCATATCTTCAAATTGATAATTAGTTCCAAGAGCAGTTCCAAATCGAATATTTCTGACTGCAAACGGAACCATTGACATATTTTCAGTTCCACCGGTCAAAACAATATTCGCCTCTCCCAATTTAATTTGCTGTGCACCATTAACAATTGATTGGAATCCCGATCCGCACAATCGATTTACAGTCAATGCTCCAACATTTTGTGGAACTCCAGATTTCAATCCAATATGTCTGGTGAGATAAATTCCATCGCGAGAACTTGCGACAACATTTCCGAAAATAACGTGATCCACATTTTCTGGAGCAACGTTTGCTTGTTTCAATGCAGCTTGAGATGCGACAACTCCAAGATCGGTGGCTGAGATATTCTTCAATTTTCCGCCAAAAGTACCGAAAGCAGTACGTTTTGCACCAACAACGAATACACCTGCAAAAATTTACTTTGTTAGGAACAAAGTATACATATCAAACATTGATTCCTATTGAAAAGTACAAACTGATAAGAGATTTTTGTGGAAAATTTTGTACTTTTGAATGATGAAAGTCCTAATCTACTCAGAGATTCGCTGGCCAGCTGGTCACTAGGTGGGACCGACTGCCCATCTGAAATTGACACGGACAACCACATCGCCCGTATTTTTTGCGAGACGACCTGGTCGCGAGGTGGTTCAGTTCATGCAGACCACCTCGCCCAGGTTGTCCAACTCGACCCGACCTCGCGTCCAGATCGTCTCGCTTAAGAGAAAAAAGTCCAAAAAACTTGTGAATCCGAGCATTCTAGAAGAAATTGGCTCATTTTCTGTTTTTTCGGAGTACTAGAAACCTTAGGAAGTGAAAAAAACAGTAAAAAATGCACTATTTTGAGTACAAACCACCGTCTTGCTGGCTTTCCAGGATTTCAAACACACAGGCCACGTCGCCGGAAAACTCAAGGCGACCTGGTGGCCGAATCAAATTCAGCTCGTTTTGAACTTTCCGGCCACCTGATCCTGATCTAGTGGCGAGCTGGCCAGCGAATCTCTGAGTAGAAGTTTAGCCTGTAAATCTCTAAAAACGAGTTCAAATAAGATGAAAAATTCTTATCTTGGCTGAAAATTTGAACTTGTTTTTTTTTTAATTTTCAAAAATTTTGGCTGAATTTTTCCTCCACATTTTCTGTATCCATCTCAATTTTTCAGCCAGAATCTGAATTTTTGAAATTTTCACTTGAATGCATTTTGTGGATGTTTTTTTTTGAAAATAAGCTTCAAAATGAAAGAAATTTTCTAAACTCTATTTTGAAAAAAAAAACTCACTTTTGCTAGCCATTTTAATTACTGTTTGATGGTTCTGTAAATCAAAGAATTATAATAATAATAATTCAATCAACTCTCAAACAAAAAAAAACAAGAAAATAATGGCCGGGATGAGAACGAGAGAAATGAAGAACGAAGAAAAGATAAGAACACGCGGCTGCTTGTTTATTTGTGGTAGGTCACTAGTTATCTCTGACAAATGGACTTCGGCCTCTAAATATTTTGGGGCCTACACATTATAGATCATTATCATCACCGATCAGTGATGTTGTTGTTTTTTCCTGAATTCATTTTCAATGTTTTCTAGCTGCACGAAATTTCGTTAGAGTAAACAGACAATAAAAATCAATAATATATTTGAGAGGGTTTCAGTTGAAAACCTTTTTAAAATGAAATTCCCATTTTAACATTCATTTATTTATTACTCTCCCAAAAAATTAAAAAAAAACAGGTATCGGGTGCACCAAAAAATTAACGATAGACAGGAGTTTGTAAAACACAAGTTTAGAAACAAGGGGAATAACAGTGAAAGAAAGATTGACCCAAAAAACGGATTTAGACAGCTTCGTCGTTCCAACTAATTGATAATTTCGATTTGACAACCGATCCAATTTTCTTTTGACAACTTTCGTGATCTTCATAGCGAAGAATATCGAATAATGGCTTTTGAATCATTTTTGGCACATCAGCATCAAGAAGTTTACGCTTCAAAACTTGCCTGGAATAATTATCATTGATTTGAGTTTGATTTTGTAGAAAAGTAACTAACCCAATTCTCATATTTGCATCATCATCATTACAATCTTTCGTCCAAACACTAATTTTCGACCCTTTTCCTCTAACATTACAAACCAATCCACAAATCGAATCCATATCTTCTCCAAATTGTTCACCAATCAATGCCATCAAAATCTCGAGCCAGATTGTATCAACCATTTCAGCTGGACGTCCTTTTTCAATTGTTACCAACCAACGACCGCCTTTTGCATTTTCCGGAACTTCCCACATTGGTTGAATATTATCACGGAAAACATTATAATCGCACATTGCGTTCAAACCACTTGGTGGGCGGATTGCATCATAAAGAGCCCAGAATTCTGGAACACTTTTGAATGTGTAGACTTTTTTCAATCTTTCTTCCCATGATTTGTTACGCTCATCGTTCAAATACCTGGAAATTAGGGATTTCTAGATTCAGATCGAGCCGATCCAAGAAACTTACCACCAGGTCCATTCTCTTTTGAGTGGATACAAGGCAACAGCCGTTGCGGTTGGCGACTCAACGCTTGGAATATTTTGTTGTTCTTCAACAACAGTTTCTCCCGGCATACCTGAAAAGCCATATGTTTAGATAAATATTATAATAATGAAATTCAAAGATATATGAACTTGGTTTAATGACCAAAGTAGTTCGAACAAAAACAAGAGCACAAGAAAGAAAAAATTTAAATTATTGATTGATTCGAAAATAGAAACGTTGCAAAAATGTGACACGTGTAATAAAAAAAAGTAGGTCACGTAAATAATGCCACGTGTTACCAAAAAACCCGTAAATTATTTAGGAGATTAAATAAATGATTTTGAAGATACTTAAAATATTTATACATCATATTCGTCATCTCCTGATGGTTCTGCAGAAGAGGAAAAAAGACCAGTCGAAGAAGGAGCAACAAATGAAGTCGATTGCATTTGAGCTTGCTGTTCGAGTTCTTGTTGACGCGCTTTTTGAATAAGTTCTTGTTGCATTTGGTACAATTGCTCTTCGGGAATCCCACATTTTTCCAATCGAGAATTCTTTCGCTTCAGCTTTTTCTCGGCTTCAACCTGAAAATAACATGTGATTATAGTAATAAAGATGATATAAATAAAATAAAATAAGAAAATGATTCAATAGAGAAACATTGTATATTTACCGACCACTTTTGTTGTTTGTTTTTCACTATGATTAATTTCTTACCTTACAGGCGTCTAGAACACTATTTGCCGCTTCTAAATAATCCGGAGGAAATCCTAGATTCTGCAATGCTTTTTGCACGTGTTCATGATAAATTGTCTTCCGCTGATCTTGACTCGCAATTCTTTGGGCTTCTCTTGCAATGTGTTTCACGAATTCTACACAACATATATTGATCAAATCGCGAGATTCATTTGCAATTCTCATATCAGGAACCACTTCCTGAAGAATAACTGATATTGATATTTATTTTTAAAAAAAAGTTCTTACCTTTATTATCTGATTGATTCCTTTTTGTGGCAATCCAACCTCATTATCCTCATCCATCTGAAAGCAATATTTGAAGAATTAGAAAAAATATATAATATTCAGATATTCAGTAGAGTTATTAGAAACTCGTTAGATCGAAAATGTTTTTGAAAAAAATTGGAAAAAACTTCATCGGGCAGATATAAAAGTATAAATTATGAAAATTCGAAGATCAATTTTTTCTCATCAGAAGTTGGTAAACCCATTTCTTTTTGTCTCTGATCATACATCATTTTCTCAACCATCGCTCTTGTTTCTCCATCCAAATCACTCAATTTCGAATTTTCTGGTTGAACTTTCTTGGTATTGATAGCTGGATCCGTTTCAAGGAAACGATTCCACCATTCCATATCATTCACTTTTTCCAATGTAAGAACAATAGCTTTTCCATTATCAATTACCCAACTTGAATTGTCAACTTTGATCTGGAAATTTTAATTTCTTTCTTCTTTTTCCATCATTCAATCTTTAATCTTGTCATCATCCTCTTTTTTCTCATCAGTTTTCGAGGTTCCACTAGACGAACCATTCACAGAAGCAGAGGTTGATTGATTTTTGGCTCTTTCGAATTCAGCAGCTTCCTAATCGGTTATTTCAACAACTTTCGATGAATTTCTGAATTCTTCCTCTTCTTTCGCCTTTTGCGCATCCCTTCTTTCAGCCAATTTTCTTTCTTGTTCTTCTTTTCGTTTTTTAGCCTCCTCGGCTTCTTTCAAAGCTTTGATACTGTGTTTATCAAACTTTTCGCGAAGCAGTGATTTTGCTTGTTCAATCCCAGCACCACTGTAAAAATCGGTCTTTCTCGAAAGAAATTCGAAAATAACATCAAGAAGCTGAGGAACTCCTCCTGGAAGTTGCTGAGCTAGCGAAAAAAGTACGTTGTCAAATTGTTCGCTGGACATACCAACCTGAAAAAAAAACTACAAATGATGATTAATATTTGAAAAAAACGATGAAATTTCGTAATACGGAAAGAAATATGATGTTTCGGCAGTATTTCAAATTCTTATAGTAATCAAGTTAGGTTTTTCTAATTATTCGAACTACAAATACAACAAATTTTTCGAAATCAAAACCTAATTTCTACATTTTGGGACAAAAAGGGGAAATATGAAAATCGCGTGGAAACCGGGAAATTGGTTGCTATGGTGATGGGTTTTAATTACATATAACTAAAACCTAATGTTGTGGAAAACCTATTTATTGAATAAGAGCCTTGGATATAGGTAAAAATGGCGTGGGACAAGTAACTTCCCAAAAACTGGGACACAACGAACATTTTTTCAAAAACAGTTTTTCGGGGGTCAGTGCGCGCAACACTGACGCATTTTGTGTGCAATTGACACGTTTTTTGCAATTCTTGTTGGCAGCGCGGGAATTTGAAAAAACAAAAAATGGAGAACAGGAAAACTCTGATTATTGCATAAAATCACAACGCTTTCTGGAAAAATCTTGAATTACAGCACCACCTACCAGTTGAAAAAACTGTATAAAAACGAGGATTTCTTCTCAAAAAATTTGGTTTAATGTTCCAAACATTATTGTCCCAAATATTCTTGATCAATAGGTTGAGCACATCTACAAAAAGCCACACCAGTTTGTTTATGATAATAAGTTAGGGCTGGAAGTCTTCCCCTCGAGCGAAATCTACAACTTCCCATGAGGACAGCCCATGTTTCGGCCCCAAGTTATCAGTCTACGTGGACTACGTAAACTTAGAAAGATCTTTAAGTGGAGAAACCACTTCGAGCCTCCACAATTTATAACGAGACAAAAACAACAATTTATGAGAACAACAAAAATAAGAAATGAACGATAAGGGGCAAATATCAATCAAATAAGGCTAGAAATAAGGGATAAAAGGAATAATAACAATCTTGTTTCATTGAAACAAATCAATTTGATTTGATTTAATCAAAAAACAAGCAAAAAAAAACACAAACCAACAGTCCAATTTGAGATGCTTCAAATGTTGAATTGTCCAAACATCTCAATGTCTCGATAAATCACTTAAAAAAACGAAATTATTACAAGACTCATTGGGTACTCTTTTCGGAACCGGTTGAAAACTTTTGGAAAAAAAGAAGTTTTTTCTAGAAAAGTTTTTAACCCAAAATTTTGGGTACATAGCCGGTTCCGGAAAGTTTTATTGTCAATAATACTCACCTTGTGCGCTTATTATTTCTAAAATATCGCCATAAGTGTGAGTTCCCTTTCCCTCATATTGATTTCCTCGAGTAATTCCAATTAAGTTTCCGGTTCGAACATGATAAATTCCTCCTAAAATTAACTATAATTACTACTACTACTACTTTTACACATACCGCCGGAATATCCCGGAAGTCCTCCTGATGTTCCATATATAAAACCATTCGTTCCATTTGAAATTGTCGATACGTGCCCGATTCGATACGATAACTTCAGCTCTCCAAATGACGAGCCCTGAAAATGAATTATTAATATTTATAAATTTAGTCATGTTTAATTACTCACAACTGCGATATATTGATCAAGAATATTTGGGACAATAATGTTTGGAACATTATCGAAATGTCCTTCTTCTTTTTTGAATACCGCGTAATCAGACAAAGAGTTCATTGAATGAATTTGAGCTCGATGTTCCTTTCCTCCGTGATCTTGCAATAATACATGTTTGCCAAGAACGCGGAATTCATCGGGAATACAATGGAGCGCGGTGACGGCGAATTCCTTCGTTAGTTTCACACAACAAATGCATTCATTGTTGAATTCAATAAACAATGAATAGGAATTCGCCTTAGAAATCAACGCCTGATTGGAGAGATCGATAGGTTCAAAGAGCATTCTAAAAAATATTGCATTAATCAAATAACCTAGAGAACATAATAATATGAAAATATACAAACGGATTTAGTTATATAAACATGCAGAATAAAGTTCCCATTTTAACATTTTTCAAATACAAGCAGAATAAACGACGCGAAACTCCTAAGAGCTAAATTAAACACACCCGGGTGTTTAATCAAAAATAAAACAACAACACTCCGCGAAATGCGTGTTGTTTAGCGCTAAACAGCACGTGTCAAACGTAATTTCGCGGAGTATTGTTGTTTTATTTTCATTTTTTTTTAAAAGATTTTATAGTATTTCGGTAGTTTTGGACGTTCGCAACGATGTTCGGAAAAGGTGCAAAAATCAAAAATTTTCTAGGTAATTTTCCTGAATTTTCAATTTATTTTAGCTGCACAGAGATTTTAAAATATCGGTAGAGTAAATAGACAAAAAAAAAAGAAAAGTAGAGTAAACAGACAATTAAAATCAATAATATATTTGAGAGGGTTTCAATTGAAAACCTTTAAAAATAAAATTCCCATTTTAACATTTATTTATTCATTACTCTCCCAAAAAATTTAAAAAACGGATATCGGGCGCATCAAAAATTAACGATAGACAGGAGTTTGTAAAACACAAGTTTAGAAACAAGGGGAATAACAGTGACTCACTATTTGCCGCTTCTAAATAATCCGGAGGAAATCCTAGATTTTGCAATGCTTTTTACACGTGTTCATGATAAATTGTCTTCCGCTGATCTTGACTCGCAATTCTTTGGGCTTCTCTTGCAATGTGTTTCACGAATTCTACACAACATATATTGATCAAATCGCGAGATTCATTTGCAATTCTCATATCAGGAACTACTTCTTGAAAAATGTCTGATATTGATATTTATTTTTAAAAAAAGTTCTTACCTTTATTATCTGATTGATTCCTTTTTGTGGCAATCCAACCTCATTATCCTCATCCATCTGAAATCAATATTTGAAGAATTAGAAAAAAAGTATATAACGTTCAGATATTCAGTAGAGCTGTTAGAAACTCGTTAGATTGTTTTTTTCGAAAAATAGGAAAAAACTTCATCGGGCAGATATAAAAGTATAAATTATGAAAATTCGAAGATCAATTGATTTTTGCATTTGAGAAGTCCATTTCAGGATGTTGTTCCATGAATCTGAAAATTGTAATATTACACCATGTCTAAAAATATAGTGAGGAACTTACTTTTTGAGAACATCTTGTTTCTTTTTCTCATCAGAAGTTGGTAAACCCATTTCTTTTTGTCTCTGATCATACATCATTTTCTCAACCATCGCTCTTGTTTCTCCATCCAAATCACTCAATTTCGAATTTTCTGGTTGAACTTTCTTGGTATTGATAGCTGGATCCGTTTCAAGGAAACGATTCCACCATTCCATATCATTCACTTTTTCCAATGTTAGAACAATAGCTTTTCCATTATCAATAACCCAACTTGAATTGTCAACTTTGATCTGTAAATTTTAATTTCTTTTTTTCCCATCACTCAATCTTTAATTCTTACCGGTGCTCGATAATTTCCTTCAACAATCGGTGTTTGACCCTTAAGTCCAACAGACACTTTGGTTTTCTCAATTTTCACAACAACATCTCTACTTCTAACTGAAAACGAGGCATTCAATGGAATTCGAACTTCAACTTCTTGCAATGTTTGTGTCCATTGAAATTTTTCTAAATCAGCGCCGTTTCCAGAATTCGGTTTCATCAGACTGCTATCTTCCTCATCCTCATCGTCTTTTTTCTCATCAGATTGTGAGGTTCCACTGGAAGAACCATTCACAGAAGCAGAGGTTGATTGATTTTTAGCTCTTTCGAATTCAGCAGCTTCCTCATCGGTTATTTCAACAACCTTCGATGAATTTCTGAATTCTTCCTCTTCTTTTGCTTTTTGAGCAGCCCTTCTTTCAGCCAATTTTCTTTCTTGTTCTTCTTTTCGTTTTTTAGCCTCTTCAGCTTCTTTTAAAGCTTTGATGCTGTGCTTATCAAACTTTTCGAGAAGCAGTGTTTTTGCTTGTTCAATCCCAGCACCACTGTAAAAATCGGTCTTTCTCGAAAGAAATTCGAAAATAACATCAAGAAGCTGAGGAACTCCTCCTGGAAGTTGCTGAGCTAGCGAAAAAAGTACGTTGTCAAATTGTTCGCTGGACATACCAATCTGAAAAAAAACTACAAATGATGATTAATATTTGAAAAAACGATGAAATTTCGTAATACGGAAAGAAATATGATATATCGGCAGTATTTCAAATTCTTATAGTAATCAAGTTAGGTTTTTCTAATTATTCGAACTACAAATACAACAAATTTTTCGAAATCCAAACCTAATTTCTATATTTTGGGACAAAAAGGGGAAATATGAAAATCGCGTGGAAACCGGGAAATTGGTTGCCATGGAAATGGGTTTTAATTACATACAACTGAAACCTAATGTTGTGGAAAACCTATTTATTGAATAAGAGTCTTGGATATAGGCAAAAACGGCGTGGGACAGGTAACTTCCCAAAAACTGGGACACAACGAACATTTTTTTGAAGAACAGTTTTTCAGGGGTCAACGCGTGCAACACTGACGCATTTTGTGTGCAATTGACACGTTTTTTGCAATTCTTGTTGGCAGCGCGGGAATTTGAAAACAATAAAAAGATGCAGCACAGGAAAACTCAGGATTTTGCATGAAATCACTATATTGCCACGTCATAGCTTGAAAATGTTCAGATTTCTGTCTTCAAATCACATGATTCCTCGTGATAAAAATGTTTGTTTTCGATCCTAATGGAATTTTTCAATAAATATAAGATAAACCATTTTCTGCGTCTCTGAAGAATACATGAATTTTCCTGGAAAAAATCCTGAATTACAGCACCGCCTACCAGTTGAGAAAACTATACAAAAATCCAGCAAAAAGATATTGAAAAGGAGGAAAATCTTCCAAGTGAATATTTGACCCGGGAAATATTTTTTTGATCAACTAAAAATGTTCCCGCGTTAGTTCTGGAAACTATTCGCAGTTTTCTCAAAAAATGTGGTTTTTCGGTTTCTTCTTTTTTTGTTTGTTTTGAAAGTGTTGAAATCCATATTGAAAATATCAAATGTTTTGCTCTTTTCGAATACTTCCGCTCTTTTTCAATGTAATTCAATATGGTTTTTATTTTCATTTTCATTCACATTTTTCGATTTTCCACAATCTCCTGGGTCCAATAATAATATAACTCGGCTCATTTTGACCCTTTACAACAACCCACTTCAATTCTCATTTACCGTATGTTCCAAAATGTCTGCGTCTCTCGATTTCGTTTTATGTCTAATTTTGAAGAGTAATTGACTAACTGGCGAAGGGAACCCTTTATCTATACCGCATTATTTTTTGGGGTTTTTTTTGTTTTTGTAAAAACAAATATTTAGAAATGAGGTGAATTTTTGTAAAATGTTCACGTTGTTTTAAAAAAAACTCGCGTTCAAATAATAATATTTTCTGCCAATCCACAGTAATCCTGGTCTTCTTTAGTATCAAAATATTTGGAAAATATTGAAATAATATTTTTTTGGAACCCGGAATATTCTAAAAATCTCACCTCAAATTCAAATTTTCCTCATCACACTAAATAATTCATCAAAAATCCCAACAAGTTTTCGCAGTTTCAAAATCTTCTACCTTTTTTCTTTCCAATAATTTCTACCTGTCCTCTCATTTTTCATTTCACCTCGGAAACTCATAATAAATCATGCACCACTTATTTATTCCAACTATACAAAACAACGTGCACTTTTTTTCTAGAATATATCTTATTCGATTGTAATTTGATATTTTTTGGTTTTGGTCAGAGGAGCTGGCTACTTTCGAGTGAGTAAATAACAACTTCCGATGTTCAATAAACCAATTTATTTCATTTTCAACTTTTTTTTTTGAAAATATATATAATTGGCAAAAAACCTTGGCTCGTTCAATTGACCTATCTTTTCTATTCTACTAGACTTCATATCCTAATTATCTAGTACCTGAACACAGCGGGGAGGATTTTCTTTGTTTTTATTGGAGATCAGATAATTACTGTAAGCCTAGGTATTTGTACTACTAATTTTTCGAGAAAACAAATTTCATAGAATTTTTAGGGTCTCCCAAACTCTAAGACATTTTTACCCTAAGCTTATCTAAGCCTAAGCCTAGGCCTGAGTCTAATACTTTTTCTAAACCTAAGACCTCAACTAAGTATAAGGTATTGCCTAAGCCTTGTCCTAATTGTAATAAGCTCTAACCTTATTCTTAATTCAAGGCTTTTAGGCTCCAACCTAAGCTCTAACCTAAGGTTTTACCTAAGCCTAAGGCTCTACCTAAGCCTAACTTGCATTTTTAAATTTTCTTCAGCAAAATGAATTTTCGCTCTTTTTTTTTTGAAAGATAAGACAAATTGAATTTTGTGTCTGAAACATTTTACACAACAAAAATTCATTTTTATTTTTCATTTTCCATTTTTTTTTTTCATAAAAACCTCCAATCCTCTTTTCGAGAAAAAAAAAACATCAGAAATGACAAAACTCGATGTGACAACTTTCCTTTCCCTAGTTTATTTTTTGTTTTGAATCCATACATACATAGAATACAACTCACACTTGGCCCAAAACCCGTAATTTTCAAAAAAAGAAAGAAAGTAGTAGGTGTTTTAGGCTAAAACATAAGGAAATGGGGGATTATTTATGCTCGATAGATTTCAAATCGGTGCCCGGCTCCCCTTATTTTTTTCACATCTTCTAAACTTTTTCTTGTTTTTTCTTTGAAGTTTTGCCAAAAAAAGTATTCATGAGGTCTCAGAATAATTCAAAATGTTTTGAAAATTCCGAAAAAAAACTAGGCTCTCTTAAACTCAAAGCCTAACCTAAACCTAAGGCCTCATCCAAAATTCCAAACCTGTTCTTCTTCTGCTCACTATGCGTATTTTTATCCCGCTCTCTTTTCCTTTTAACAACAAAACTTCAATTTATTTCAAGTCCCAAAACTTTTTTGTTGTGTTGCTCGTTCTTTTTTCCGTCTTCCCCATTCTCATATCATTTTTTTTTGAAACGTATTTCTTTCGGCAAATGGGCGTGACATTTTTTCTGGGTGTCCAGAGTTTTTTTTGCTTCTTTTTTTTGAAGCACTATCTATTCAGGGGAGCGCGTAAGAATCCATGTGGTCCACTAAAGCCCAGGCCTGTTTAGGACCGTAGTTGATCGCAATAAGCCTAAGCCTAAGATATTCTCTAAGCCATGTTTGATCGAAAAAAATTGAATCCTCAAATAAATCCTCTGAAAATTGAATGAGGAAAAAATGGCTGCGGTCTTCTTTTTTTTCATTTTCTATAATCGTGTTAGTGTACATCCATATGGGCACAACTAACATGTTTTTCATAATATTTATAGATATTTTTTTTTTGAAGATAGACCCAAAATCATTTTTTTTGTTTGAGAATCAGTCTAAGGTTTTACCTAAACCTACTATCCTTGAAAAAATTGGTCAAACCAACTATATAATATTTACATTTCAAAATAAAATACAACCTAAAATGTCCATCATTCTGTCTAAAAACGACACATTTTTGGGTGGATTAATTGAAAAAAAGTTAGGATGGACAGCACAAAAAATAGTAGGAGAGGGAGGAGCAGAAAAGGAAATATCTAACGGCAAAAAACAACGCTTTATTTATTTTTTTCATCGAGAATTGAATATTATCCATAAGTTTGTGTGACTTGGAATTCTTTGTAGTTTCAAAATTTGGTAAAAACTTTTCGGTGAGGTCCAATTTTTTTGCATAGCAAAATTGGAAAAAAATTAGGACCTTGGTTTTTTAGGCCCTAAGATCTTGCTTTTTTCTTAAGACGATCCTGAGCCCTAATTGATTATTTCTGAGCCTAAATATATATTTGATCTTAAGGTTAAAGTTAAGCCTAAGGACTTGTGTAAGCCTAAGGGCAAATCCAAGCCTAACAGCTAAGCCTAAGGCTCTGCCTAAGCCTAAAAGAACTTGTATAAACATAAGGCCCTACATAATCCTCAAATTTTTAATGGTTTAGCCTTATCATAGCCTTACCATAGCCTAGAAGCTTGTCCAAACTTTGCATAAGCCTAAGGCTCAATTTAAGAGTAAGATGATTCCTAAGCCTAAGGTCCTTCCTAAGCCTAAGGTGTTGTCTAACGCTAAATTTTATTCTACCTCATTAATTTCTATTTATCCAAAAATCCCAATAAACTTTAGACTTTTTCTTTCAAATTGTATCCCAAAAAATCGATGTTTTCTGGATTACTGTATTTTGAGAGGGTACTGTAGGTGCTAAATTACTGTAGATTATGAAATTTGGAGCATTTTGAGATCAAACATGACTGGGGTACTGTAGCTCTGAAATTCTCTAGATCAAAATTTGGAATCTTTCAAATTGTACCCCGAAAAATCTAAATACCAGATATTTACTCTCATGCATAGATATTTGCATGCATTTTTTTTTCCATGGTCGCTCACAGTTCCAGCCAGTCACACTCGGATGTCATTTATTTCATATCCGTTTTTGTTTATTTTACTCATTTTATTTGCTCGTTTTCTTCGTGTCACTTGATCGTGTGAATAAATCGCTTTTATCTATCTTTTTTTTGCATCCCGAAACAATAATCATTTTATTCCTTATTCCTATTCTTATTCTTGTTTTTTCCAGACACACATCTGATTTTCCTACTGAAGATGCGAACCTGAACATCAGAAAATCATGAGACTTCTTATTTTTCTTGGACACTTTTTTCTAACTTTGGTTCATTGTCAAACTTGCCCGCATGCGACAAATGCGAGAATTCAAGAATGTGTTCAACCGGTTGCAGAATTCGCGAAAGTTATAAATAATCATGATTCAAAAAGTTCGGATTCGGAATTGGGTGGAACTTTTTCGTTGCCAAAGATGGGAGCAAGGGTGTTTAATGAGTTGTGCAAGTGAGTTTTAAAATGTTATTTTTGAACCAGAAGGGTATAAGCTTAAGACATTGCCTAAGCCTAAAGTTCTTTGTGAGCCCAAGGCCATTCCTAAATATAAAAAATCCCGATTTTTACAATTTTTTACTCAAATCACAATAAAAAAATGATTTGGAAAATCTTTCAAAATTATTTTTGTTTATCCCAAAACCAGAATTTTTTACGAATTTTTGTTTTTAGAAAATTTAATTATTTTTCAAAATCAAAAATTGTTCCGCGAAAATTTGAGAACTTTATTGTGAATTTTCTGAATCAAATTTTTTGTAGAGATTTTTCTCATCTTTATTTCAAAAAAAAATCTAAATTTTTCCCACCAAACCAAAAAAAAACATACAAAGAAATATTAAAGTATGCCCTTGAGACTATCATTTCTTTTCCAGACACATTGCTCGATTCAATAGTTGTATACGCGATCATCGGTCAACTTGTCCCCGACATGTCACTATTTCTCTTATTGATGCTTCGTATGGATATTTATGCAATGAGGGATATAATAGTGAGCACTTATTTTTTTTTTGCAATTTTATTAGTTTTTTCTTCTTTTTTTTGGTGGAAAATTTTGTGAAGAATGGGAATATCAACTTGTTCATCGGAAGGTTTTTTGAAAAAAAATTCTAAAAAGAGTTGATCTACAGTACTCTTGAAAAGCTGCCACGTGGCAAAAAAAAACTCTGGAAAAAAAATGAATAATAGAAAATTAAATTTCAAAGATCTACAGTACCCTGAAAAATGTTTACTGTAGATTGTATTTTAGTCTACAGTATTATTCTTCAAAGACTCTCTGCCACGTGGCATTTTTGAGGGGTACTGTAGATCAAAACATGAGCAATTTTTTTTGAATTTTGATGCACAGTATGCTTCGAGCCCATTTTTCCACGTGGAATTCTCGATGAGTACTGTAGATCAGAAGCTAAACAGAATTCTCTGATTTTTGATTCACACTATATTTTTTTCGCCACGTGGCAATTGGTGGTGTACTGTAGACTAAAAACTGAAGAGGGTTTCTTGAATTTTAATGTACAGTATTCTTCAAGTCCATTTTTCCACGTGGCATTTTTGAGAGGTACTGTAGATCAACTAGAATTTTAAAACACAACAAAATTAAGTGGAATTTCTGAGGGTACTGTAGATGTAGACACACAAGATTTTCTGAATTTTCACATGTGAATCTTGATCTACAAATCTACAGTAACCGCCAGAGATTTCTCGGGGGTACTGTAGACAAGAAGATTCAGAACTCTCAAATCAAAATATATTTTCAGCATTCATCGAATCAGCCGAATGTCTGATGGAATTAGATCGACAACCTTCAGTAAAAGCGTGCCACGATGAAACTCTCAAAGAAATCGAAATGGCAAACACTGAAAATGGCATCGATATGTCAGCAAAAGTCGATCGAATGTGTGGAGCTCTCAATTTCTTTTCCGGATGTGTCAGAAATCCCATTAAAACCAATTGTGGTTTCAAAGCGTGGCAGGTTTGTTCTCATTTTCTTGCGAAATAAAATGTAATTAAATTTCAGATAATTTATCGTGTTTTAAAAGACACAACCAATACATTGATGCCAGCTTGTCAATTCACAGGAACATCTCAAAAATTGGCACTTTTTCAAAAGCAACAGGAATCAACTACATTTTCAATTTTATCAACTACAACTACAAAAATGTTAACTTCAACTTCAACACTTCCAACAACTACAACTACAGTAATCGCCAAAAAATCAGATGTGAAAAAATATGTATCTGAATTGATAAATTCTTCAATTATAACTCAACTTAACTTAGGTATTTTTTGTATTATTCTAGTCATATTATTTTGAAAACCTCTTGATTTATTATTATTTATCCTTTCAAAATACGTGTATCCAAATAAAGCTGTTTGAATTTATGACGTGACCTATTTTCCAAATAATTTTAAAACGAAATCTGTCATTTGAAATGCTCATTTCCCAAAATGTGGAATTCAAAAATTACCCTATTATTACTATTATCAGTGGGTTTTGGTCTCTCGTTGAAATTTGATCCAAAAAATATCAAAATTATTGTGGATGCTCATAATAAAATCAGAAGTGATATAGCTCGTGGAATTTTTAAATCACGTGGAAGAATCGAAGGACCTGCGAGTAATATGCAGAAAATTGTGAGGATTTTAGGTTTGAGTTCTAGTAGGGCTAGGTGGATTTGAGACTTCGGATTTTTGACAAGATCGGAATCAATTTCGAAATTTTTCTTGGAGTCAATTGCCTGAGAAAAATTCTATTTGGATTTTTTCTGAAATTCGAAAACGAAGAATCAAAATTTTCAAAATTTTGAAAAGCCTTTCAGACACAAATTATTCTAGATTTGGGATGATCGAATCGCTGAAAACGCTCAAAAATACGCTGACATAACAAATAAATTAGTACATTCAACGCCAAATCAACGCTTGGGATTAGCAGAAAATGCAAATCAAGGTTCAGCTTCTATTGGTTCAACTGATGATTCGATTTTGAAAAATGCAGCGGAAAGTTGTTTGATTGCATGGGCGAGAGAAGCACAGTCATTTGGATTGAGGAATCCGAACACGTAAGTTTCAAAATTTTTCTTTGATTATTAATTTTAATTCAATTTTCAGCGGAAGAATCGAGTTCATTTGGAATAAGCTTCAAGGAAATGGCCATGTGATAAATATGATTGCAAGTGGAACAAATCGAATTGGATGCGGAATATCAAAATGGAAGAATGGCCAAAAATTCAATGTGTATGTATTCTGTCAATATAAAAATCATGGAAATCTTCAAATTCCAAATCATGTTTATCTCGAAGCATCAACTTGTTCTCAATGTCCGCCTGGAACTATTTGTGATAATCAAAGTGGATTATGTAAATGTCCAGAAGATGGAAAAGGATTGTGTGCTCCTGATAATGTTACGAAATATTGGAAACAGTGAGTGACTATTAAAATATTTATTTGTTTTGAATAAAAACATCGTTTAATAAGATCAGGTAATAAGATCAGGATCAGATGAAAAGCAGTTCAACTGAATTCAAAGTCAGAGAATGATAATATTGGGGCCAATACAGATTTTTCAAAAAAAAATTATAAGCAACTAATAACAAAAAATGGTTTTGAAAAAAATTGTTGATATTTGTGAAATCATAAGCGGAAAAGGGAACGAAAAGAAATTGCTAACAAAAAATACTGATCAAATTAAAGCAACTTAACTAAAGAAGGAAAAAGATTATGGAAAATTGGGGCCAAAGTTTTGTGAAAAAGTTATAGGATACTGTAAAAAAAAATAATAAGCAACTAATAACGGAAATCGAGTATTGTGAAGCTAATAAAATTATGAAGCTTATGAAAAAAATCAAAAATTACGAAGAACAAAATGAAGCTAATAAACAAAAAAATACTTGTGAAATGTGATAATTCAAGGATGATCAAAACTAACAAAAAAAAATAACTTGGAAAAGATCGGAAGAAATTTAAAATTTCGAAAAAAATCAAATTATTCCAAGTCGTCTTCCTCGATCAAAACTCTTGTGAACACAATGTTTGTTGGCTGAAAAAATTGAAATTTGAAACATTCTATTCTGTTTTTTTTTAAATCTAACTTACAGTGTTGTCAACACGACGTTTTCGTGTTTCGGGAAAAGTGAGCTGAACCATGGCAAATAATTCATGATCCAAAAGGGGATTCACACCCAATTGACCGAAGATTTGTCTTTTTCGGTCGCTGTTTTCAACGACTTCGGTCCCATAGCGAATCACGCAGTGATCATATTTGAATTCGACTCGGCCTCCGTCAGTTATAACGAAATCAACTTTGAAGTTAACGCCCATGATCTCGCGGTAATAGGCTCGAATATCTGGAATCATTGAAGAACTTTCACGTGGTGGCCGTTCCACATCATCTTCTCCGTTTTGATCTCCTTCAACATTCCCGTCTCCTTCTTCTCCATCTTCCAAATCACGATTTGTTTGAGTTCCTTTAGTCTTGCTTATTCTGATTTCTTGAACCACCAAAATATCATTAATGATATCAAATCTATCTCGACGAGGAGCTACTACAACTGGAGCTGGATCTTGTGGTTGTTCATCCTCCTCTTCATCCTCAGCTTCTTCATCATTCAAAGCCGCTTGCTCTTGCTCTTCCCCCAATTCTTCAACTCTGTCATTTCCATTGGCATCTTCACCTTCAGCTTCTTCAACCTCTTCAACGCCTTCTTCTTCTTCTTCTTCTCCTTCAGCAAAAACAACATTTTGTTGATTCCATCCAGCGCGAGCTCGAACATTCACCCGAATTGGTTGTTGTTGTTGTGCTGCGAAATAGTGTTGAGCAGCTTGTTGAAAATGATAATGCATGTCTTGAATGTTGAAGACGTAGCGAGCAATTTGTGGGCCACCTTGTGGTTGGAACATATTTCCCATTGGTTGGTTGATGTACATTCGTGGAATCATTCCAAGATCAGGCTGAAAAATAAAATTAGGAAGTGATTACTGTAGATTCGCGGCTCAAGACATTTGAAAAATTGAAAAAAAAAGTTCGCAGGCGAGGGGAACCGATCCTTGGACTAGAGAGCAAAAGACAATAGCGCTAACCACTTGGCCACCTAGCTGTTTTTCTCGTGGTCAAAATTTTCGTAGAAAAGAGAGCTGCATGCAAACCCCCTTGTTAGAGCTACCGTTGTTCACGCGAAGTCAGGTACTGTAAATTCGCTGTAGGACCCATTATTTCCCGTAAATCTACACACTATAATTTATATTCTTTATCCATCACATCTAACCAATTGTTTTTTTCCAACGAGTTACAAGAAAACAATTGAACTCTCACATAATAATTATTTATTTATTCTAACAAGATGCTGGTTGTCCTGCCAACCATAGATAAAAAACCACACCACACCTATTAATTTTTATCTCCCCAAGATTTTTTTTTTTGAAAAAAATTTGTTAACAAATTTTTATGGACACCTGACACAGATGGACAAGTACAACTATGCAGATGTTTTGAAAAAAAAATAGTAAAATGTATTCAGATGTTATCACAGGTGTTGCCTAAGGGTCATAGGATACTGTAGCAGAAGTTTGGGGTTTGTTCGGAAACCTAACAGAACTGGAAATATATTGGTAATTAATTTCAAGTTTCCAAATTTAACATCAAAGTTAAAATTTCAGGAGTTCAATTTTTATAACTTCCAAACTAGAAACCTAAACTTAAAAAGCGAATTCAAACTCTTTTGAAAACTTCATTTTGCTTCTGAAAAATTGAGTTTGAATTTCAGAAAAGTTTCATGATTCATTTTGAGAAGACTTCACTTTGCAAGATGTTTTACTGAGGTAGGGGAGAGGTTTACTGTACTCAGCTCAAGAGCAGCCGGTGTTATTTTTGAGCCCTGGGATACTGTAATAGATATATATCAAAATTGAGTTTCTCACAATCTGAGCATTACTTTTTTTGTCACAATTATTTTTGGTTCACAGTGTGAATTATTTTTGGTTCACAGACTTCACACGCAATTATAATTACGAATTCCCAGAAAACTAACCATTGGAAAACGATGCAAATCGCAAAAAGCAACAACGCCATTGATAATTTGACAACCACACAATTGATTCATTGTTGAGTCTTGAGAGTTGAGAGCTTGTTAAGTATTTAACCTGAAATTAATTCTAGGGTGGTCTTCAGTTGGGTTGATATGACAACCGAAAGAAATTGCACTATAAAAATACAACTGCATACGAAGAAAAAAGAAAATTTGAGCAACCACAAAAAAATTGAAATGAAATGAAATGCAAAAAAAAAAAAACAACAAGATGACAAGGAAGAGTAAATTATATCGACACTGCTTTTTGTGGTGTGAAGAAGAAGCTCATATAATTTATGTCTTATTCTTTGGCGCCTTCGCCGCCGAAATGAAATAAAAAGGATCGAGAATAAGAGGAAAGGAAAGGAAAGGCAAAGGAGAAAGGACAAATAGGAATGGAAAGTGTGATTATTTTGTGCTTTTGCTGGTTGTGTCGAAAATGGGCGGAGCCTATCCAACTAATGTAAGAAACAGGAGAAAAAAACGAGGATGGAGAGAAATTATAATATCAAATGCGCGAGACCTACATGGAAAAGTAATATGAGAATAATTATGCTTGATGAATTTTTCAGAAGGAAACTTTTTTCGAAGCTGATGGTGGAGTTTAAGACTTGATGAAACTTGGTAGAAACTTAAATTAGTTTGAAATCTTGGAATAAAAAAGTTTCCCAATTTCAACAATCCCAAATTCAAAAAAATCTATTCTATGAAGCCACGTGGATTTTTTTTTAAAGTTTAAATATGATTGATCTGAAAAATCATGGCACATTTCAAAATTTATGTGACACGTGGCAAAACATTTTTTGGAATCGTTGAAATTGCCACGTGTCAAAAATCTTGAGTTCCAGAAATTTTTTCACAAAAACTGTTACACTTCATTTTATGATCTACGTGATAAACGTTTCTTTTTTCTTGGAAAAAAATGACATCAATTAAAAATGACCAAAGCAAACAATTCCTAACAATTATTGTAAAAAAAATAATTGGGCACACTTTTGAAACATTTTCGTTATATCATCATACGTATAACGACCAAAACTTATTTGCCTTTTTTCACAAAAACACAAAAAGAAATGACCGGCGGCAAATGAATGAATCATAAAAAGAGTGCTTTCTTCGGAAAATCATGTACTTTTGGAATATCTTTTATTTTTTTTTTTTTTTGAATATTGTTTGGCGGGAAATGGGATAACAAAAAGGGAAGGTGACTACAGAACAATGAAAAATGACTATTTTGTGGTGATGAAGAATTTTAAAAATCAATGGGAACATGGGAGGATTGAAATAGTGTTATGCTATGACGTGGCAAATTTTGAATCTTACTCAAAACTTTGGTCTGTTATTTTTTCAAAACTGTCTCTAAACTACATTTTCTTCCCGATAAATCGTAATAAAAATGTCTTCGAAAAGTACAAAAACTTTATTTTTCCGGAAAACTAATAAATACAATTGGGATTTTCGAGAAAATGAAGCTTTTTGAGGGGTGGGGGGCAAAAAATATTGGAAAAGTAATCAATAAAATAATTTGTGCTTTACACAGTTTTTTGTGTCAAAACGAAAAGCCTTCAAACTTTACAACACACGGGGTGCACAGTTTAAAATTTTGTATGAACTTTTTCGGAATTGAAGGGGGTTATCTTTTGAAAAAGTATCAATTTTACAGCTGGAAAATATGTATGTGCAAATCTACATTTCATGTTTTCCAAAGGCATCTGTGAGACTTCATCCGTCTTGTTCATGCTCCTTTTTTCATTATTTTTCCATGTAGACTCCAAGACAGTTATTTCCTTCTCTTCTTATTGCACACGGTTCTTCTTTGCTGCACCAAAATAATTACGTTCAAAATAATTAGTTTGCCGCTGCTGTTGTGTGTGCTTACACCAAATTCTACGCACAAATGCACTGTTTGGTCGAGGATCGCTGCCGGAAAAACCATTCCTCGGAAATAATTAATTAATTGGTCAGAGACATCAAAAGTGAGTTTTTTTTTATTTTTACAGAGAAAAAGGAATATTTTTCTTTGTTTATCAATCGATAATAATTGTGTATTTGCGAGAATTGATTGGGAATTGTTTATTTTTTAAAAAGTGATCATTGAAAATATTATTTAACAATACAAAACATTAAACTTTCATTCAGATGGCGAATCCAGCTCGAGATGGTTATCAAGAATTCGACAACGAGCCCGAGAATCCAGGAGAAAATGAAGGTCATTCACGTCGAGTTGTTGAAGAAGACACTTCATTATTTCATGATAGAACTGTCACCGAAAATTCGCTAACTCCTGAACAAGCTTTTATTCACATGGTGAAGGCAATGTTGGGAACTGGATTGCTCTCATTACCTCTCGCTTTCAAACATTCTGGTCTTTTTGTGAGTTTTTTTTTTGAAAAATTTGTTCAAAATTGATGCGTTTAGCTCGGTCTACTTCTCACAGTTATCATTTGCTTGATTTGCTTATATTGTATGCGTCAGGTTGTTTTTGCTGCACATTTCGTTTGTAACAGGTATAATTTAGTATAATTTTCCCACAAAATATATCAGAAGGTTACAGAAATGGTCGAGATTTGATTGACTATGCTAACATCATGCGCGGAGCTGTTGAAATGGGCCCACCTTGGATCAAAAGACATGGATATTTTTTCAAACAACTCGTCAATGTGAATATGTTCATTTCTCAACTCGGATTTTGTTGTGTATATTTTGTATTCATGGCTGACAATTTAGAAGATGTATGTTTTATTTTTTTTTTGAAAATTTCATAACTAAAATATAATTTTTTCCAGTTCTTCAATAATAACACAAATATCCACCTTTCAAAAGCAGTTTGGATGTTAATTCTTCTAATTCCAATGTTATCAATTTGTTCAATCCGTCGACTTTCAATTCTAGCTCCATTTGCAATGGCAGCCAATTTTGTCTATGTTGTTGCTGTTGCCATTGTCCTATTTTTCTTCCTTTCAAATCTCAAACCAGTTTCATCATTACCTTGGTTTGGAAAACTAACAGATCTTCCATTATTTTTCGGAACTGTTATGTTTGCTTTCGAAGGTGTTGCTGTAATTATGCCAATTGAGAATCGAATGAGTTCCCCGCACTCATTTATTGCTTGGAATGGTGTTCTCAATTCATCGTGCCTTGTGGTTCTCGCTATCTTTTCCGTGACTGGTTTTTATGGATATTTGGCTCTTGGTGACGCGGTGAAAGATACAGCAACTCTTAATTTACCAATGACTCCGTAAGTTTACTTTGAAATAGTAAACTTTTGAACTTAATTCATTTTTTTAAAATAGATTCTACCAAGCAATCAAATTGATGTTTGTTGGATGTATTATGATTTCGTATCCTCTTCAATTTTATGTTCCTATGGAGCGAATCGAAAAATGGATCACAAGAAAAGTGAGAACACAAATTACGAGCTATGACGTGGCAAAACTAATATTTTTTCTCAGATTCCTGTTCACAAACAAACTGCCTACATCTACGGAAGTCGATATTTCGGAGTTCTTCTAACTTGTGCAATCGCCGAACTCATTCCACATCTCGCCTTATTCATTTCATTGATCGGAGCGTTTTCAGGAGCATCGATGGCGCTGTTATTCCCACCGTGCATTGAACTTTTGGTGAGTTGAACATTGTTATTTTGGTTATCTATAAAAACTATAATTTGCAGACTGCCTACTCGAAAAACGAGCTCAACAATAAATTATGGATCAAAAACATCTGCCTTCTGTCATTTGCTGTGATCGGATTCACAACTGGAACATATTCTGCATTGGTTGAAATTGTCAAAACATTCAATTAACCTCTTCATTTTGTATCAACTCATTATATTGCATGCATGTCTGTATTTTGGCCTAGTCTCACTTAAAACAAAACGAGATTTCTTACATGTACCCTTTCTTCTGTGAAAAAAAAACAAAAATGTGCATTATTAAATTAATTTTATAAATTATTCCTTATTTTATTTTTATTGGAGAGAATGTGTGAAGGAAATTGGTTTTGTACCATTTCGATATATTTTAAATTTGAATTTTCAGGGGATTTTTTAAACGGAGTCGGATCGTTTAAAATTTGGTTCTCTTTTTTTTATCAAACCCAAAAAAACTACGTTTCAAGTCAAATTCTAAATAAATTTATGAATTTTATAAAACAGTGGGTTCTTGAAAAGAAGAGTTTTAAAAATCACTAAATTTCCACGTGGATTTTTTGAAGGACTACTCAAATTTTCTCCAAGTCTTAAATTTATTTTAAAAATAAGTATGAAAATTTTTCAAAAAATATTTGAATTTTTTTCAAATTCCCTCATAATCTCCAAATTTCAGATGATTCGTTTTATTTCAAGGCGAAGTATAGGAACCACAATGCAAGCTGCATCCATGGCTTCTCCAATGAGTTCCAATTCAGATATCGATTCATCATCAGTTCGAAAAATCGGAAAAGCCCTCGAAACATATTTGAAACACAGCAAACAAAATATTGCGATGATGGAAAAACATCGAAGCGAATTTGAAACTGGAAAAAGACATTTGGCTAAAATGATGAGTTTAGATATTCATGAATTAGATCAGAAAGCTATTGATAGGTATTATTTGTTGTTGAGTTAATCAATGTAATTAATTATTTTCAGAGCAATTGAATATTTATTCCCATCTGGTTTGACTGATCCAAATGCTCGTCCAGTAATGCGTCCACCTGATGAAATTTTACCGCGATTTCAAAGATTCGAATTCGATGAAGAAGGTAGACCAGAAGGCTCGCGATTTTTCACATTAAACCCAAAAATTTACGGATTATTATCTGAAATCGGAATGAAAACACAATCAGTTATGAAATTTTATGATGAACATGTTGGAAGTCGAAATGTCAACAAAAATGATTTAGATGTTGCGTGAGTTATTTTTTTTTTTAGCTTTTTGTTTGAAAATATTCTGTTTTGTTCAGAAACCTCAGCGGTTCACAATGGATTACACATGAAAAAATGAAGAAGAAGTTACATGAAAAGTTTTCCAATGAAATGGTTAGTTTTGTTTTTATTTCATTTTCAAAATTGATATTTTAATTTCAATTTTTAGTACGCTCAAATTCTGATCGCTTTCGAGAATTTGGCACAACTTCAAGGATCTTCAATTGAACACAAGTTTTTGATGGAATATCGAGAACCACTTACTGCTTCAACTGGTTCGAAACTTTTTGGTCCATCAATTCCAACTGTTCAAATTTGCGCGGAGACAAATCGAAGATATGCGGAAGTTGTGTAAGTTTTTTTTTGGGTCATTATGGAGAGAGGTCCAAAGAATTGTTTAGGGGAGATTTCCTAAGTTCAGGATTTTCCCGAACTTCTAAGAGTTTTGATTTTCATCATTTTGGAATTGATTATTTTTGACAGAATAATATATTTCAAAATTTAAAAAGTAAAAGTATTGCTCACTTGAAAAGACATGTTTTTTTTAAATAAAAATGATTTAAAATCATTTTTTTTTGCAGAACTCATTGCAAAGATACCCGAACAACAGTTCGCGTTTTCGATGCTGGAAAAGGAAAATTCAACATCGACGGAATTGATTTACACGATTTCCGACATCTTCAATCAAGAGAAATCCTTCTAGCCCCATTTATTGTTAGCTCAACGCTTGGACGATTTGATGTGAATGCGACTTCGGTTTCGATTTCTGCTGAAACACCAGAAGCTCCAAATAGAATACAGTAGGTTAAAAAAAATGTTGAATCTTTAAACTAAAGTTTTTCCTTCAGAAAAACTTCAATTGGTGGTCAAAGTAGTCTTCCTCGCGCTGTTCGACATGGAACATCTTTATGTATTGCTGCTTTGAATCCAGAATGTACAGAGAAATTGAGATTATGTAAGGGGTCCAGTTTTCATTTTCGAAATTTCAATATACCTGATTTTTCAGCCGGACTTTTGACACTTGATCCACGAAAGAAAGAACGTAGTAAAGTTAATCAACCAGGAGCCAGAGCTAAATGGATTTGGAAACGTCGTTAATCGAATTTCTTTTTTTTTTGTTTTTCAATAGGTTTAGTTTTTACTCTGTTATTGTTGATTTCTGATCTTTTCGTAATAAAATCTTTTATATTTACATTATTCATCTGGATCTTCGACTCGTTTTTTTTGCACTCAATTTACAGCCTATTGTATTTTCATTTCAAAGTCCTTACAACCTCCTGAATCACTGGTCAATAAATTTTCACAAACTTCTCGATGTTTCTTTTTACAGCAGTTGAAACAGCACATTTTTAACTAACATAAGCGTATTCATCAATTATGGCTCATCATTTTGTAAAACAGTGAAATTATCGACAAAAATTTAAAAAAAAATTTTGGACGCCACTCGGGGTCGATCTTGGAATAGCCATAATGACACCGCATTACGCCTGTGGTAACTAACCGACTGAACTACGAGTGCGGCCTTTTGCATCGAAACATTTTCTCCTTATCTACCCACTGTGGTCAGGCACACGCTGCCATGCTGCACTCTAACATACGACATACTAAAATGTGTGTGTCTGTTCGTTCTCTCCAATCGCAACACTCTCTCGTCATCTTTTTTTCTATAGGGAAAAATTTTTGGGACATCTTCATGTATTGCTGCTTTGAATCCAGAATGTACAGAGAAATTGAGATTATGTAAGGGATCCAGTTTTCATTTTCGAAATTTCAATATACCTAATTTTTCAGCCGGACTTTTAACACTTGATCCACGAAAGAAAGAACGTAGTAAAGTTAATCAACCAGGAGCCAGAGCTAAATGGATTTGGAAACGTCGTTAATCCTATTTCTTTTTTTTTGTTTTTCAATAGGTTTAGTTTTTACTCTGTTATTGTTGATTTCTGATCTTTTCGTAATAAAATATTTTATATTTACATTATTCATCTGGATCTTCGACTCGTTTTTTGACAATAATAAAATATTGGGCAATTTGAAAAAGTTCGAACAAATGATGATCGAATTGAACTTGAATTGTATGCGTTGGATGATCGGCGAACTCTGGAGATTTTGTGCGGGAAGCCAATCGCAATGCGTTGAAGGCGATTTGAGTTGGATTCTCGTCTTCTTTGATTGTTGTGTGAACCTGCAAATATTCGATTTAGGATCGGACAATCTCAGATTATTTTTTGAGAAAAATTTCCAGCGGAAAATTGAAAAAAAACTAACAATTTTATTTCCCTCGCATACAATATATCCGATTTGTCCAGGTATTGAGTCCAATTGCTGGAGACTGAACTTTGTCTTTTTCACTGGTTTTGTCATCTGAAAATCAAAATTTTAACGAAATTCGTTCGATTTAGGTCGTATGCAGAAAATATTTAAGTTAGAATACATGTTAATTAAAGTCAAGCTATTTGAAAATTTTTATGAGATAATTGGGGTTCAGGGTTCAAGTTATAACAAATCCAAAAAGCAAAGATTAATGAAATTTGCCTAATTTATCCAATTCGAGCAAAAATCATGTGATAAATTTCTATTTTCACATGGAAAACTAACAATAAACAAAACTTCGCAACAGAAAAAAAGAAAAAATAAAATTCTTCCATGGAAGAATAATTCGTAATTTTCTAGTCCCCCAGCCATATCGATTGCACACAACAACGAAAAAAGGAAAAAATGGGCCGAAAACATTACAAAAAATGTTGACCTTCATCATCATTTGAAATATTATTTATAGCAGAAAAAAATAAAATGAATCATTTTTCCGAAAAATGAAAACTTTGATTCTATTTTTTCTATTATTTCTGGTGATTTTCACTGAATCAAAATATCAATGTAAAAACTTACAAGGAAAATCAGTGGATTGGTGAGCAAAAAAACTGATAAGACTTTTGATATCGATTAGGGCTTATCTTCAGGTTTGTCGTCTACAAGCTGCCAAAATTATCTGGTTCCACGAATGGCAAAAATTTTGTGTATTTCGATTCGGAGCAAACAGCGTGGCAATCTGGAAATGATATAAATGATCCAAAATCTGGTGTAGGCGCTACAATTTCGCAAATATATTATTCGAAAAAAGATGATTTTCATATAATGTATAGTGATGATGATCCAATTGGAGGACCCGATTCTTATCGTGGACATGCTAAAGGTATAAAAATCAAGTTCGCAACTTTCCTTAATCTTAAATTAACAATTCAAAATAAAATTTTCCCAGGTGTTTCGTTATTTGATTCAACAACTGGTTTTTGGATCATTCACAGTGTTCCAAATTTTCCATCTTCAAAAAGTTATGCGTATCCAACAACCGCTGAAAAATACGGTCAATCATTTTTATGTGTTTCAATGGAAGTCAGTCATTTATCAACTTTGGCTGATCATTGGAGATATATTCAAGCCTCACCATATTCTTCAAATGCTCCAGATAAATTTTTAACAAGATTTCCAACTTTGAAAAATGTGATTGCAAAACAATCTTTACCAAGATCAGCCACACAATTTTGGACATCGAAAACAATAAAAACAATAAATGGCCATACTTTGATGAGTTATGCAAAACATCGCAAATTTAATGGGGATATTTGGAATGATATAATATCGAAAGAAAATGGAATAACATTGGCTGTTGAAAGTTGGTTGAATGGAAATGCTGATGATTTGCATACAACTTGCACTAAAACAAGTCAAACACATGATATTATTGAGATGAGAGTTATGGGAGAGAATTTCAAATCTTCGAAAGATCATTCGAAGTTTGCTGTTTCGAGTTCGAATAACAATCCGATTGTTTGTTTTGGAGATCTTAATCGACAGGTAAACCAGAATTTTTGAATTGAAAAACGGACCTAACCCCGTTTCTTCCAGAAATCCCAACTTTCCCGCGGCGGTGGTGCACTTTGTCTTCAACATCGAAATCTTTGGGAAATTTATCATAATTCTGTTGTACAAGTTGAACCATGTAAAGGATCCACTCATTTTTCGTTTGAAACAATTTTATTAGCGCTTTTTGTCATTTTTAGTATATGACAATTAGTTCGAAATTTCTGACAGGAAAATCAAGGAATTTTTGAGTTCTAGAGAGAATTAGAGACCTTAATAATTAGTTTGTAAAACTAAAGAAATTAAAAAATAAAGCTTCTAACTTCTAACTTTGCTTTAACACTATGCTTTTTGAAAATTCCAGATCAAAAATTCAGGTAAGTTTTGTTTACTCTTCAATTTCTGAACCTTTTCACACATATATCTTTGAACAATAAATAACACAAAATATTTCCACTCGAATAACCAGAAAAATCTTCCTTTTCTATTTTTTCTTCTATTTTTTTGGGTTTACTTTATTGTAATTTGAACCTGTCTAGGCTAGTTATTCTATTCTATTCTAGGTTCGAAAATAAAAAAAACCAAACAACCAGAATTTTTTTGTCTTGTTTTCGATGTGAAATTGGACCCTTCCTTGGAGCCAATTTTAATTCAAATTTTCTCGCCATATTTACATGAATAGCTCTAAATTTTGGATTTTACGTGTTTTTTTAGAAGAAAGGATGTTTTTTCGAACTTTTTTTGAGCTTTTCAAAAAAAAAAACCAGGATTTATTTTTAATATATTTTTGAATCTGAGCAAATCCTTTTCGTGGGTTTTTTTCAAATTGCATTTTTTTGGATTTAGGGAAAAAATTTTAACGAAAAAATTCTTGTCGTTATCGTTTTTCAAAACGTTTGAAACCCAATAATTTTTCTACTCGGGTTACTGTATTTTCAGTTCTTTTTTCAAAAACAACAATTTCAAAACATCAAAAAGTACACTAGAAAATTTGTCATAATTCAATTTTCTTCTTCGAAAAAAAAACACCAAAACATTTGAAGTTTGTCTATTTTTAAGGACCTTCTTCTCATCACAAGAAATTTCGCCAATTTTTCTATGAAATTGCATTTTCGAAGTAATCTATTTTCTTGTCCGACAAAAATAAATCCTTTTTTTCAGCGCTATCTTGAAAAAAACACGACATCACAACTTTGCTTTTTGGGTGTCAGCTATAATAAAAATATAACAAAAATAATTCAATTTTTTTCTGGAACTTTTCAGAAAATTGTTTTTCCTGAATCCGGAAAAATCTAGACTTTCCTAGGCTTTTCTAAGGGGAAGAATTTTGTATACTAGTTACAGAATTCGAAAAAAAATGTTTTCCTCCCCAAATCCCCATAAAATCGTGTCAATCGGGTTGAGTTTATGTGAAATTTTTTAAACCCAAAAATTCTAGACAAACCCATGTATTAGTTAAAAATAAGTAAGTTAGAACAAATTGTATAGAATTAGGTGACATTCGGACGCGAAAAACGAAATCAAAAATCTCCGAGTTTTACACGAAGAATTCTTATAAATAAATGATAGATGTGATTAATTTTTCTCCTTTTCTTCACATAGTTTTCTGTGGAACATGTTCACGTTGTTGTTATTCTTCTCTTTTTTCTTGCATGTCTAACTAAAAATGCGATATACCCAAGCAAAATTAGGTTTTTTATCCGAAAAAAATAATATTGTTACCTATTCATTTGTTTTTTGAACACTTATTCTCTTACTTCCTTTAGAAGTATAGAAAATGCGTCTTGAAAGAAAGATTTAAAATATTATATTTTCGACAGTTAACTACCATTGCTCATATTTAAACTTCAAAAGCCAAAAATTATTTCACGTTGTGCCGTTTAGCTCAGCCGGCAAGAGTTTTATCGACAAGCTGGAGGGTCCCGAGTTCGAATCCTCATGAACGCTTTATGTTCAAATTTTTTAATGACTCTGGTGCTGCAATTTTGGGTAGATCAAAATAATTTTCAGGAAATTTTTCGGATATCAAAATACACCGTGTGTGCTGATTGATTTCTGAATTTTTTATAGAAACTTTGAAGATTTTTTCAAATATTTTCTAAGAACCCAATTATCCTAATATCCGGTTTACTTTACTTCTTCTTCTTCTAATTCTAGATTCTAATTAGTTCAAAATCCCACTCGATGTTTGAAAATTCAAAAAATGCACGAAATCTCGACCAAAAATTGTGGGGGCAAACATAAAGTAACACTTTTGAAATTCGAGAATTTCTAAGTTTATTTATTTATTTACCCGAATTTCTTTCGTCTTCCTTTTTCTTCAAATGTGAGAAAAAATGAAAGACGTTTTTGTTTTTCTCAATTCACTGTCTGTCAGGTTTTATTTTAAGAATTCTTTTTCTCATAAGAAGAACTCGGAACTTTAAAAAAACGTTATTTTTAAAACATTTCTAGACTGCTTAAGTGAGAATTATCAATAATTAATGATTTCTTATTTCTTTTTTTTTTGAAAGCGGAAATTCATATTTCCTATCAGATTTAGTTTTTTTTTGCAAGTTCAAATCCCAATGAAACGTTTGAACAGAAATCAAAAAGTCAAAAACGTTCCCAACCAACACAATTTTTCTCAGAATTCCATTGGAAAAAGCTAATTCCAGTAAATCTTTTTCTATCTCGTTTTTTTCGTACAAAATAGCTTATAACGATGTCGGCATAGACAAAAATTTCGTGTTCAAGGAAAATTTCAAAAGTTGCCCGGGTGATGGCGTGGCAAAACAGAGGTGTAACATTTTTCACATTTTTGCTAATTGGCTATTTGCCTGGATACTTATACAAAGCTTTTCTGACTAAAAATAGTAATAGTCTGAAGAATTCTGATTCAACAAACTTAATCTCTAGTTTCCCTTAATTGTTTTTGAACTATTAAGAGAAATATCGATTCTCAGATAAAATTTTTAATGAAAATCAGAAGTTTGAACATTTCAAGCTGAAAATCGATAGTCAGAGAGGAATTCAGAATTAAAACTTGAAAACTTCGCAAAATTTCTGACAACATTTTTTAACCAAACATTTTCCCAACCGTACTTAGGAAAATGATATTTGAGTTTCCTTTTTGTATAATAATTTACAAGTCTCTAATTTTTCCAAATTCAAACAGGTTTCCAAAATTCCATCTAGCTCATTTTGAGAAAAGTTAAAGGTCAACCTTCTGCTCCTATGATTTCGAAAAGCATAAAAAGCTTTTTATTTCTACATTTCCTACAAGCATGAATTTTTTTCATGTTGTTTTTATATTTTTCGAAAGTCGAAGGGCGAACATTTTTCTTCTTTTTTCAAGGATTTGTTTTTCTCCAACAATAGTGGATGAATAGCAACGAGGATGCTTTTTTTGCTTGAACTTTCTTTTTCTTCTCGCACAAAATAAATTTGTACTTTCTTGTTTTCAGATATAAAACTATCTTTATTCTAAGCTGTTGTCTAGTTCCTTGAATTTGAATTTGAAACGGGTGAGATCCGGAAACTGTTTATCTCAAAATATACTTAGACATCTTTGAATCTCATTTTTCCTAAAGTACAATTGGGAAAATTTTTGGTTACAATTCAAACCTGTTAATTTTTTTTTTGAAATTCTTAAGTTTTAATTCAGAATTTGCATCTGACTATCGATTTTTAGCTCAAAATGTTCAATGGAAAACTTCAGATTTTTTCAATCATAGTTACAGAACTTTATGGCAATATTTTCTTTAAATCCACCCCTCTTTATAAGAATTCATAAACCTAAGAATATTATTATTATTAGATTCTCAGCCAGTATTTGTTTTTTTTTGGAAGATCTTCGATTACGCCGTTTTTCTCAATGAATATCTAACTATTTTCTCAGATTCAAAAATTCATCTCATTAAGGAGTATTTCTAGAAATATCATAATTATTCAACAAAACTCAATCCTTTTCCGTTACAATTCAATTAGTCCATTCCGTGTTTTTTGTTCAAAAACCCCGCCCATTTTTCTTTAGCTCCTCCCATTTTTCATTTGGTCAAAAGCTATTTTCCTTCCTATCCTTATTTTTCAAAAGTCGTTTTTTTTCACACCCGCGTGTAACAAAAATTTCCTTCCGGACATTTCCAGTTCATTTAATTCAACTTGCAAGATTTTATTTTGGAATTCCAAGTTTTCAAATAAAATTGAAATTTTTTTTCGACAAAGATCATTTTTTGAGTAACCTTTTGAATGAATGAAAATATCCGTTTTTGCAAAAAACTTTTATTTCAATTATATTTTTGGAAATTTTTCAATTTAGAATGACGAATAGAATGGCTGATATTATTTCGATGTCAGCTTTGTCGGTTGTTGGAATTCTTGGCAATTTGGTGGTGATTTTTGCAATATCTGGAGATAAAATGATGAGAAAATCTGTGATGAATATACTATTGATGAATTTGGTGAGATTTTGAAAAACTTATTTTGAATAAGGACTGAGGAATCGAGCCAGGTCCAATTTTTAGGAGTTGTCTGATGTATCATTTAATAAAGGTTACCGTTTTTTCGGGCTCTTCAAAATTTCCACAAGAAAATCCTGGCACGATTCAAAAACTCAATTTTTCAGGCCATCGCCGATTTATCAAATCTCATATTCACTGTACCGGAATGGACTTCAATCGCTTTAAATAGTGGAAAATGGTATGTTTACTTCCTTCTTGAGTAAATTCGATAATTGCGGCAATAAATAAAAACATTCAAAGTGCCTCTATGTTTTTTCGAAAAAGCCATATTTTGAGAGGGAAATGTAATGAGTTCAAATTTTTTTAACGAACGGAAGAAAGACGGCAAGATTTTTGAGCGACGAAAAAAACAAAATAGTGCAGTTAAGAGAAGAAAATTGCAGGATTTTGCCGGATGTTATGTGTCCAGTCAGTCGATATTTGGAAATTGTTTTCTTATTTACATCTATTTCGACGCAGTTGATTGTATGCATTGAAAGGTAATCAAATATTCGAAATCTCTGATGAAAATCCTCGATTACAAAACTAACTCAACAAAAGTCCATTTCAGATACATCGCAATAGTTCTCCCAATGCAAGCTCGTCATTTATGTTCTCGTCGAAATGCGGCACTCGCTATTTTCATTGCTTGGCTTTTCGCCGCCATATTTGCGACTCCATACGCAGCATTAAGTTACATGAGAAATGGTAAGTGGAAACCTAAATATCTAGGATAACTTTTAAGCTTAAAGTGTGGTTTCCCACGGTGTTTGTTTACAATCAAGTCTAGAACTAATGAAATCCTTTTAAAGATCAGAATCAGCTTTTTTTCCTGCTAGCTCATTTTTCAAGAATACTAGACGGAATTAGAAAAAGCCACGTTTGAAAAATTTTAATCCTCAAGTTGGATTTCATATTTTTCTGGAAAAAACTCACGTCGATCCGAAATATGGTGAGGCTTGCTCGCGTGGAATTTGTTTTTTGATAAAACTTTTCCTAACAAAAAGATTCCGAGACTATATTGTATCCCACCCATCTTGTTTCCTTTACGAAGGTAATTTTCCACGAAAAAGTTCCGAGAAGAAAAAAACGAAAAATTGTTATTCAACGTGTAGATGACAGCCAGATTTTATTCCAAACAACTCGAAAATTAATCCATTCACAACAAAAAAGATGAAAACAAATTTGAAGGGACCATTTTTCAGAAAGTTGCTCGTTGAAACAAGTCAAATGGTGGAACAGCTATAAACTTGCCGAATTTCTACTTTTCTATTTCATTCCGTGTCTTTGCATAAGTGGTGTTTATACAAAAGTTGCAGCTGTTCTCTGGGCCAAAGATCCAACTTTGAACAATGAAGGTAAGTAAAACTCTAATAAAAAGATCGGTTCATTGGCATCAGAATAAACCTCCAATGACCAACGTTCTGAATCTGATCGCCACAATTCTAATCCTCCTTGTTTTTAATAGAATCACTTTAATCTTTTAGCAAACATCAGTTTCAGTTGTACTCTGAAACTTCATAATTTGGTTTATGATTCAAAACTATTTTTTTCTAAAAAAAACATATTCCAGCTCGACATTGTCTTGAAAAACCAAAAACATCATCTCGTAGCTCGGATGCTTTGCGAACTCGTCGAAATGTTGTCAAAATGTTGATTGCCTGTGTGGCTGTATATTTCATCTGTTATTCGCCTATTCAATTCATATTCGTTGCAGAGTATGTTTCATTTTATTTATTTTTCTTAACAAACTTATATAATTTGTTTCAGAATACTTTTCGATTTTCAATTCAAGCACAGTGGTACTTGGGGATTTATTTTCAGTGTGTTAGCCATGACGTGTTCGGCCAGTAATCCTCTTCTATACACACTTTTCTCAACAAAGTTCAGACGGAGGTAAGAGGAACTCTTTATATTTCTTTGTTGTGAAACGAATGAAAAAAGAACAGATGCAGAAGGAAGCAAATCTGATTCCAAAAATAATTTAATTCGAGGCGCATTTGACCGAAAACAGGCAGTTTCTCACGTATGACAATAATTTTAGACTTTCAGGTTACGCGATGTGATCTACTGTCAATCTTCAAAATCTCATCAGAAACAAAAAGAGCTTCTGAAACGGAATTATGTATCGATCAATAACACAACAATAACTGCAACAAGGGCTAGTTTCAATTAACTAATTAATTAATTCTTTATCTGTAGTGCCATTGTTGTTTTTTCATTGTATATTTATACCAATTTTGAGATATTTTTTAAAATTCAACGGGTATTTTCCGCCGATCCAAACTTTTCTTTTCAAACAAAAATAATTCACAAAACCACACTGTTTAATTTCGAATTGTTATTCTGATTGTTTTTTTGCTGTGCTTTTTTGATCTCTATTTATTTATTTTTTCGAAAAAAAACGAGAAGCTTTTCCATCTTTAAAATATTCATTATTTTCTGCTCGAACGGGCCGGATTTTTCATTGTAAAAAAATTCATGTTATTTTCATGTGTGAAGAAATACATAAACGAAAGGTCTTCTTTTCTGTGAGTGGAAAAAAAACGGAGAAAACCCGAATTCATCAATGAGAATATTAATGAAAGAAAAACGAAGAGAAGGAAGAAATTAATGAATATATGTATGTACTTATCAATAGATGTGAGATGTGTTGTGACGTTTTACAGAGAAAAATAGAGGATTTGACCGAGAGAAAGGAGAAGTGGGTGTTAATTAAAATGTGTCAAAACTATAGTATAGTCCAAATTTTTTTTGAGATTTCAAATTTCTCGAAAATTATCCAAGCGATGACGATATTTCCAACAAAAAACTTACAAAATCCTCATAAATTTCGTTCCGAAACGCGGAAAAATGATTTATTCCTGAATGTCGAATTCTCTTGGAAAAAAGTGATTAATGTATTTTGCGTAGCATTGAAAATCTGAAAACGAACAATTCTATATAATTAAATAAATCATATTAATTAAATGACGAAGAAAAACATAAAAATGAACAAAAATCGGCCAAAAACCAAAAAAAAAAGGAAAAGGGGGTTGAAAAAGAGAAAAGTGAAACATTGAAAATGTCGTGAACTTGCATGATATTAGTTTAGGCTTGAAGTTAATGTAAAAATTGATATTTTGAATTGCCTTATTCAACGAAATTTTCTAAAGAACTTGAATTTATCATCCCGAAATCTAATAATATTTCCAAAAATGAATATTTTCAGATTCGCGCTCAATACTTATACGATGAATCGGAAAATACAATTCTACTTCAAACAGTTGAATAAACTCACATCAAAAGTTATAATTTATGTGTATTTCAAGCCCAAATATTTCCAATTATGGACCATAAATTTTTGTGCCGATAAAAGTGCGTGATACCTGATATTTGGATCTTTCACCATTAATAATCTCATAAGTGCCTCTTTTCCGCCCAATTGTTCGAGGAAATGTTTTCCACGTGGATTGAATCTGCAAAAATTTTTTTAAATTTTCTATGGCTAGATCCAATCCCCTCATCCTTATCCAAAAACCCTTACCTAACATATTCTCCAATATCATGAGCTGCAACACAAACAACCAGAGGATCATTACTATTTTCGAGCAATCCAATCAATATTTTCAACAATTCATTGCGATTCTCATTCAATTTCGACGCATTTTTCTCCCAAAATTTTTCACATTTATGAACTGGCGACCAATGAAGACAACCGTGACGAAGTTCACTTTCATATTCATCAAATGATGTCAAATCAACTGTGATTTTTTGAAGATTTTCGCGTAGAAATGCAATATCTTCCTGAAAAATTCGAAAACTAAGGAAACTTCAGAATTTTTCAAATGTCAAAACTTTGTGATTTTTAGAAATAACTTACAAGCAATTCAATATCATCAAATTTTCTTGTATCAATCAATTCCAACTTTTTGATCAATTTACATTGAACCATTTGAAGAGCTGCCTGCCTATAAGAAAATCCCATTTTTTTTTCAAAAAATACCACATTTTGAAACCTACTTTTTATGAACTTTGTCCTCAATTTTTGATAGAATATTCCGTAAAGTAGCAAGAATAATTCGAATAACTTTTTCTTTCGAACATGTTCCTAAAATTGTAACAATCATTTGAATAACATTTGAATTAAGAGTTTGTTCGGCTGCATAATGATTGAATGTCAAAAGCCACATGCAAAATATTATTTGATATTGAATTTGGAAACCACATTTTCTTGTGGAATATAATGCGTGGATCAATGAATCATGACCATTGTGATTTGCGAAAGCAACTCTAGAAAATGGATTTATATCGCTATACAAACCCCTTTCGATTCCCATCCACTAACCTATAAGAATCACATCTGAACAAGGTTTGCATACATCTCGTCGTACTCGAAATATAATCATTAGCCAATCCTCTATTCATCTGCTCTCTAAAAAATCCCATAAAATATTCCAAATCATCGCCAGACATTTTCGTTTTTCCCAATGTTGCCAGTTTTGTTACGATTTCACAAGTTATGTGAACTGTGTATGGATCAGAACGAGTTAGAAAATTGACGAAGAAGAAGAATGGTGATCTGAAATTCAAGAAATACAAAGCAACGTTTGGAACACATTTAAAAAAAAGGATTTACCTTTTGGATAGATTAGCTGCTACTTCGAATATTTCAACTCTAGTTCCATCTTCGATTAACAAATCATCAATTACAGTCAAAACATATCGAACAAATTCGTTTTTTGTAACTTGAGATGCTAAATGAATAAATGCGTAGACAGCTTTATCTTTATAAACATTCAAAACTACATTTCTTTCGTGTTTATTAACTGCATCTTCATAAGTCACTATAAAATCGTAATCGTGGTGTGAAATCATTCGAGCTCTAAAAATTCATGAATTCGAAAACATTTTTTTAAAATAAAAAACTCACTTTAGAAATGGCAACCAATTCATTTTGAGCTGGCGAACTTTTGCAGTTTCGATTTGCAAATGTGATCGCACCAATTCTTGATCATCTCCATATACCATTTTTTCTGAAATTCAATTTTAAAGTCCCTTCAAAGACTGGAGAAATGATCAATATTGAGTGATAAGACAAACAGAAACACCGTTTAAAGGAACATCACAAAAATTCTTTGGGTCTCGCAAAGACACCGTAGTTTGTTTAAAGGCACACAAGAAACAACGGCTCTTCGCATCAAGACCCGCCCGCCGAAAAGCAATTTTGAAACTATACTTTTGTTTTTGTCATTTTTTGTTTTCTTTTTCGAGCTCAGAAAAGAAGGACGGAGAACTGCCGAAGGAAAATTTACTTACAGCCACTGTCTGTGGGCCTACACTATTTCGCTAAAATTTTTCACTAGCTGTTATTCAAGAGTTATTCAACAGTTTTCCAGCCTATTTCTCTGAGAAGATAATCATTTCGAAATTTATTGAACAGAATGTACTAACTTTTCTTTTTTTTGTTTATTGAAAATGCAAAACATTTTGTTGAATAACTGCATTCAATTATTTATTTGAGCACATACCCTTTTGAACGTGTTTGTAGAATAAAATTTATAAAAAATGCTGATATTTGTGATGTGTTTTTTCTAGAAGCACGTTCACGTTTTTTTTTTAATTTGTTCCTTCACAGCTCATTCAATTTTTCAAAATTCCACCCCAAAAGAAACACCTCGATTTTTTTCTGCATTTTCCCGTATGCTTTGGTGTTTTGAGTCACAAGTAAGTGTGTTTGTGGTAGCACTTTCCTCGTTTTTATTGTTATATTTTTATTAAAAGAAAGTGTAACACTTTTTCTCAGCCACTGTGCATTGCATTCTAGAAAAATCCATAATTCTTATCTTATCGTCTAAATATTTCGCAATATTTTTCTCTTTTTCCTATTACCTTTTCTATAGAATTTTTTCCAGAATCGATCGACAAAATGTGTCAATGTCTTCTTGCTATTCTCGCTATCTTCCTTCCAGTAAGTTTTTTTGAATACATGAATAATGCTCTTTTCAAAACGATTTATTTCAGCCAGTCGCTGTTCTTCTTCACGGTGGATGTAACAGCGATTTCTGCATCAACTTGCTTCTCACCCTCTTGCTTTTGGCTCCCGGAATTATCCACGCTTGGTGGGTAATTTTGTGCAAGGAAGATCGTGCCACAAACATCTACATCCAAACTGTAAGTCGATTTTGTTTCAATCGAAAATGAATTATTTTTTCACCTGCTCAACAAATCAAATAAGTATAAATTTATTTCCAGAGCCCAGGACAACAATACGGAAATGCTCCACCAGCCTATTCACAAGCCTAAAAAAGGCCCGCAAAAATGTAGATAATATCCATGACACGCTTTAATTAAGTGAAACCTGCAACTTTTCTAAATTTTCACGTGTATTCTAATTCTTCCCCAAAACTTTTTCACAATTTCCATTGAAAATTTATATGTTTATATATATTCTACATTCCCATCCCCTTTTAAGTATTCACTTTGTTATACAAAATAAATGGTAATATTCTAGAATTGTTGTTTACTTCCTTGGGTATTGTTTTGCCAATCCCATTGATATATTTCCTCTTTGTTCTCTGACCAACGCGCGCGCAATTCAAAATGTAAGTAGTCTCTAACTATCTGCCTCGTTTTTTTTGCCGTTCTGAACATCACATGTTTTTTTTTTATTTGTGTGCTGCCCGCCTCGTATTTATAAGCGCGTGATTCGTGTTTGAAGCATTTTTGTAATCTATGATTTTCTTTTCCTAGGGTTCAGAGAGATAATTTTCAGTTTTTGATTCGTATTTGAAAAAAAACCCTTTCAAGCGGCAAAAAATTTAAATTTAAAAAAAATTCGCAATCTTGCTCTCGAAACGATGATTTGTGTATTTCTCTCGGAGAATTTCAATTTTACACGCCATCTTTGTGAATTCTCGATTTTTACGCGAAAAATTATAGCGAGAAAATATGTCTTGGTCTCGAAGCGTTTATTTAGCTGTGTAGTTCTCTCGGATTTTTGACTTGCATATTGCAATTTCCCCACGTCTCAAAATGCCGTGAAATTCAATAATCTGCCTTGTTAACCTTTTATTTTGACTATCAAGGTCAATTTTGATAAGCATTCTCGCAACCAAAAAAAAAACAGGAAAATGTATATAAATAAGCAAGCATGTGATGTTGCCATCTACACATATTTTAACTGTCTGCCAATCTTATTTGTTATCTCTGATTTTTGAAATTTGATATATATTTAGTAGACGAAATATTTGATAATTTCAGAAATCGAACAATCAATAATGTCATCGGCTGAAGCTCTTGCTGCTGAATTCGAACAAGATGGAGGACCGGTAAGTCAACATTTTTGAATATGGCTCTGAAAAGAGCACAAAAAGGCTCTATTGATTAGATCTCTAGTCCTTGTAAAAAATTTAGTAGACCAAATTTAATTCCAGGAATTCCACGGAAACGGCAAGCGCTCGAAAAACGAACGCGCTGATCACAAACACGGTGCTCAACCAGGAGGCGATACTCGAAAAATTGTTGAAAATGCGGTGAATGGAGAAGCCAAGAGAAAGGAGAAATAAAATGTGCATTTTCGAATTTTGTAAATACTATTTTCTAAATTTTTCAAGTATATTCTCTCTGCACATAAATCTTTTTCTCATCAAAATGTGTTCAACTTTTTTCAATCGTCAAAAATCGAGAAATATTATTACTTTTGAACTTCTTTGAAGCAACTTATCTCTCGCAACTCCCAGGAAAAATGAGCACCACAAACGGCCAACAAAACTTCGAGGATTTCGAAGATGATCCATTTTTCGATAATTTTTTGGATGATCAACAAAATACGCAGGCATCAGATGAGAAGTTTTTGGAAGAGCAAAAGAAGTTGTTAGAATGCGAAGAGACGATTGGAGAGGATTTCGATCCGAAACCCGAAAAATCACTGAATTTTGAGGAGGCTTGGAAAACTGACAAAAATTCGACGACTTACGAATCGAAATATAAAACTATTCCGTTTTTGAAAGAAGATGTTGGCATTGTGAATTGTGAGTTTTCACGGGGGAAGGGTTGAATCTCTGAAAATGAGTTATGAGGTGGCAAATTTTGAATTAAACAAATTGGGAAAAAATCACCAAAAATCGGGGAATCCCCTTCTAAATTTTGAGAAAACAGCAAATTATTCGAAATTTCCAATGTTTGCCACGTCATAGCAAAGTTAGGCTAAATAGTTTTTGACAACAGAATCATGAGTCAACATCTATAAAAAAATTTTAAAGGGGTTTTTAAATTTAGAAATGTGAAAAACACAAAAATAAAAAAAATCACGCGTGAACTGCCACGTGGCAAATATAAATTCATTTTCAAATCCACATTTTTTCCAGCAATGAGCCACGTTTCTCCAGACGACATTGCCAAATTAATAAGAAATATCCAAAACTCGGTGTATATTCTCGGAATGGATGAAGGTAAGTTTACTTCAAATACCTTAAATTTTCAAAAACCCCTTCTCGAAAATTTTCAGCTCGCGAATGTCGACGTGGCAAATTATTGGGAGTGCTCAAAGAGGATGAAACTAAATAATTACTAATTAAAGATCTCAAATTTGTTATTTTAAATAAATATCATGCAATAAAAATCAATAAATATAAAACATTGGGCAAGTTTTGGCAAAATTTTTCAAATATTATTCACAATCCAGTCGAGAGCTTCTGGTAATCCTTCTCCTTTGATTGCACAACATCCTTGAATTTGATATCTGAGAGAAAATTGATTTTAGACGGCTTTCAAAAAGCATAAAATTTATAACTAACTTCCTATTCTTAATCGTATTCAATCCTAATTGCGTCGATATTTCTCCAGGCGTCAGTGAACCGGGCAAATCTTGCTTGTTAGCCAAAACCATTAGATGTGCTCTAGAAAGATCCTCATGCGTCAACATTTCTTGAATATGCTCTTTCATTATTGGTAATCGTGTAACATCAGAACTATCGATTACTGAAGAAAAATTGTTTATGATGGGAAAAGTTATGACGTCATTTGTGGATTTTTATTGAAAATTTTTAAAATTTTTTCATAAATATAATTAAAAATTTTTTAAAACTTGAAAAGTTTAATTTTATCAATTTTTCAAGTGGATTTCTGTTATTAAAAATTTGAATTTTCGAATTTAGCGAAATTTTGCCACGTCATAATTTTGTTGTTTCGACGATAAATTAAAATGTTTTTTAAGTTTCCAGAAATTTTTCAATGTTTCATAAACATTTTCGAAAAATTAATAATTTTTAGCCTGAACTTAATAAAGTGCAATTGCCACCACGTTGAGAAAAAAACAACGGCCGTCCATTGAAACGGCCAGCGCAAAATTGGGGAAGGGAGTGACAACTCAGAAAATGCGCTGACAGCTAGCACGCGAGCCGGCAGACGGCCGTCGAATTCTGATACTAATTTGCCAGTTTGCTAGCTCGCAGACAGCGCCTGCTAGGTTCTGCCAGATGGCCGCGAGGTTGCTAGCTGGCAGAACCTAGCAGGCGCTGTCTGCGAGCTAGCAAACTGGCAAATTAGTATCAGAATTCGACGGCCGTCTGCCGGCTCGCGTGCTAGCTGTCAGCGCATTTTCTGAGAATGCAAGCGTGCTCTAGCGAACATCGTCACAAGACCCGTCCATTGTGTGCACGATGTTTCGGTTTTTTGGGATTTTCTTTTCTTTTTTTTGTTGAAAGTTTTTCTTGGTTTTTTTGACTCAGCATCCGCTGGCGTAGTCTAAGCGTACAAGGAAGGGGTATTTAGATGAAATTTAGCTAAGGCTTAGCTACGCTCGTTGTAATCTCGCGGGTGTAGACTGAGCGTAGCTACACTGAACCGCGTTGCAATTCCTGTGTGTTGCGTACAAGCTTTTCACTTTTTCTTTTTGTTTTTTTTATTGGCCTAAAATTTTTATCTTTGGGTGTGTTAAATGGTTAAAGCATGAAGTTATACTTTCCAGTTGTGTTTTACTTGATTATAACGACTTTTCTACTTCAAAAAACTCATCAAACGAGGTTTTCACTAGAAAACTAGCTCTCATTTGAAGATTTTCAATGAGAAATTATTTCAACAGATCAAAAGTAGAAAATGTGAGACTTTATCTATGAGTTTAACTCGATTATGCGTATTATTGTTAGGTTGTAATCGTTCTCTATTCAATGTTTCTATGTTTCAGTCTTGAATCGTGGTTTTGGGTAATGCACACTGCATGTTCTGCAGATTATGTAAGTCACTTAATTCTATCAATATTGAGAATAGACTATATCATTTCAGAGCTAAACCTGGATCCAAGCTAGCTATGAGAAGTTAAAGTCAAAGACTGACTCAAAGCACGCTTGAAAGTTCAAATGCAAATTCAACTCGAAACTATAATTTGGTTGTCAGTCGACTGTTGGCGGTTTTGATTCAACTACGCAATCTTCGAAATTTGGAGTTTATCCCAATCAATTTGGCATTCTTATAACTACAAACTTCGAACCAATCCCGGATAGTGGATTTTGAAAATCAAGCTGGTCAGTGATTTGCGAATTTGACACAAATATCGAAATTGGGATATGAAGCAAGCTGGATTAGGCAAAAGGTGAGAAAAATCGTTTCCTATTCAAAAAATCCCAAAATATGAGTCCGTATACTCAAAGAAAAAGTCGCGTAGTAACTTGAATTAGTTGCTAGCTGAGCGATCAATCGCCTGAATTATCTTAGTTCAGGCGAATAATCGTGAAGCTCACTTTACTAACCGATTAACTGCCCATCTTGTCTGAGAACCCCCCATTTCCTAGTCATAAAGTCTTGATTTTGGCCAATCCTAATCAAAATATCCACTTCACAAAACTTCTAATAAGTCAACTATTCTTTCAGGCTCGAACACTGGTATTCTCGATATTCTACAAGGATTGGAAACTCTCACGTGGAACTCAACACTGTCATTCAACACCATTAAAAATCTTCCAATCAGCTCAGTTTGTCTCAACAACCCTGTATAATTGTCAAGCAGCGCCGAAAATCCCATAATTCTTCGATTTTTCAATGTTATTTTTAATTATTTTACTGTTTTTGTTGTTGTTGTTACATACAATAAATCATATTTATGCAGTTCCTTTAAAAATTCCGAAATCGACGCATTCAACATGCAATATTGACAGTAAACCTAGAATTCAGACCAAATCAAGCAAGCAAATGAGAAAAAAATTTGAATTAAAAATAAAAACGAGCGTAGCTAAAATTTACACCTCAGCGTAGACTAAAGCGTACAAACGAGCGTTTGGTGCGTCATACACCGCCTTAGCTACGCTCGTTTGTTCGCTTAGACTACGCCAGCGGATGCTGAGGAAAGTTTTCTTCTGTTTTTGTTTCTATTGTTATTTTTTCATGTTCGTGTTTGTATTTTACATCACTTTCTTGTCGAATTTCAACGTTTGTTTTATTTGAAACTCGTGAAATTATCGATGAAAACAATATATTCAAGATATTTCTTATTTTCCATGCGTTTTCACCGATTTATCTTAAAAATTATGTTGCTTTATCAATAATTCAATATTACAGTATTGTCTGCCATGTGCGCGAGTTGCCAAGTCAATGAATTGATGTTCAGTTGTCAAACTCGGAGGAGCCGCTGATTTTGTTGTCGACGAAACTTTCAAGGTTGGTATTTATACTTACAGGACATCAGAAATTATGATATGAAACCTTGTTATTTTCTAGAGCTTCGAGTTTGAATTCAAATCAATGTTTCGAAGTGTTCGCTTGAAAATCCGTTTGAATCATCCAGAGAAGATATCATTTTACGAAATTCGATGGCTCAAGTGGAACACGAATGCTCAATCTACCGCTGAATTCCTCATGAGGGAACATTTGAAGGCGACTATTCAACATTGAAGACAGTGGATATAACCTGATTCGAGCTGAAAATTCGAAGAAATCAACAACAAGTTCCTGTTAAAAAATCAACAACAAGTTCCATGAAACTGGATATGCTCACCCAATGTTATTGCTCGGATTCATTGGAAATTGTGCAGCCTTTCCGTTTTATGCGAAAGCGAATCTTTTGGCGCCAAGTTTGACATGTCAAAGAATCAATGAATCAGAGGATAGTATCAATCAATTGAATAATTTCAAACAAATCACGGAATGTCAGGACGGGGCACCGAGAAGAAGATTGAAGACAACGTCGTCGCCATCGCGAATATTGACTGAACTTCGCAGAATACATTTTAATTTTATGATGAAATAATCATTTTTTTTATGAATTTAATTCTAGTTTAATAAATTTTTTATGATTGTTCTATTCTTCTAAAGGTAAGTATTAGGGTTAGCCGCGCCTTTTCTGCATTTTCTAGGAATTTTCGGTTCAAAATAGAGAAAAATTGATTTTGAACCAAAACTATTTTTGAAATCCCGCCGTAATTCCTCCTACAGTAGCAGGCGCCCCTGTGTCTCTGACATGCCCCGCCCACTCGTTCTTTTCTTCTCTAATGTAAATTTTGAGAGGAGAGGGACGTTGGGAAAATCTCGCCGTGCCACGTCATAAACAACTACTTTTACTCACCAATAATCATAACATCAGTCTGTGTATAATAAGTTGCCCATGATTTTCGAAGTGTCTCCTGTCCTCCAATATCCCAAATTATAAAACTAATATTTTTATAAGTGATTTCTTCAACATTACTTCCAATCGTTGGTTTTGTGTGCACTTCTTCTCCGGTTACACTAGAAATTAATTTTTTTTTTGATTGGGAGCTAATTAAACTCACTAATGATACAAAATCGTGGTTTTTCCCGCATTATCCAACCCGACCACAATTATTTTATGTTCTGAATCAATTTTTTTCTTGAAAATTGGTTGAATTTCCTCAAACTCACTTTTCCCGCTCCACCAATTCCTGAATAATTTTGCTATAATCAATCCCATCCTAAAATCAATTCTGAATTTAATTTTCAATTTTTTTCAAAAGATATTCAAATCGTAGTTCAAATTCGATAAAAAGCAACAAAAAAAAAACACAAACATTTTCAAAACTTTATTCATTTTTTCGGATTTTTTCAATAATATATAGTTATTTATAAAAAAGGGGTGGGGGAGCGCGAAAATTTTAAGAATCAAGTCAATCACAACACACTGAAAATATAACAACAAAAATAATATGAAAATATATAGATATATAAGAAAAATACATATAAAAATAGAAAAATACTGAATGGGACCACAAAAAGAAGCCTATTTTGTGGTCCGATTCAGTATTTTCCAATAAAAAACAACCTGGACGATTTTTGGGGGAACAAAGGGGGGACAAACATACATTTTCGAGAACGGGTAAAAAAGTGAAATTTTGTCTGGAAAAGAAGAAGAAGAAAAGCTAACAAGAACTGGATGAGAATAAGGTGACTAAGTACATTTTCAGATTATGCAGCCGAAAATTAGCAGTGTGTTGGGAAAGTGTGAAAATCGAGATTCTCGCGCTCAACGGTGTTGGTTTTTTGTGTTGAGAATCGTTGATTTTTTCGGGGGAGGAGGGAAATGAAATGAAATAGCACATGAATACAGAAGAAAGAAAAAGAGAAAAAGTAACAGAAAATGATACATGAAAAAATGTTTTTAAAAAATGAAAAAAAAGAGGGGCGATGCTATTTTCAGTGACGAGCTATTACATTTGATGTTTGAAGGTCTCGGAATGCTTTTTCAACACATCTAAAACGTGGGAATTTTGTGATTTTGGTTTAGTTTTTTTTGGGAACTGGGGCCAAAAGTGGTATACCAATTAGAATTTTTTTTTGAAAAATTAAACTTAAAAATCCAAGTATTATAAATATTAGAAAATCTGAAAATTAGAGCAAAACATTAATTTTTTCATACTTCTTTCATTATTTTCTGAACAAATAAAACTACACTGCTCGACATAATTATAACCTCACTTGATTATTTTTTGAAAAACTCAAAATTTCGAATTTTTCAAAAAATCAAGTGAGGTTATAATTATGTCGAGCAGTGTAAATAGATGAATCAAAACTCAGAGTTAAAAAAATTTTAAAGAACATTTTTGAAACGTATTTTTTTCCAGAATCGAAAAATTGAATTTTTTTCAAATTTCCAAATTCGACTTCACGTTTTTCAGTGTCTAAAGTTCAAAAAAAAATTCTGAAATTTTGAGCAAAAAGTTAATTTTAACTTGTTTCATTTTCTGTCATAAATAGTTTTCAGAAAAACTGGCTTATCAAAACTCACTGTTGAGAAATTTTTAAAGAACATTTTTGAAGCGTATTTTTCCCAGAATTGAAAAACCAACTTTTGGCACCAAAATTCAAAAATCCAAAGTCAAAAAGTGAATTTTTTCTACATTTAGTGAATTCCAAAATCTCACCTTTTCAATTGCGAATATTCGAGAATAACCTGAATATTTCCATCTCTTGATACCATCTCAATTTTTTCCGATGTTCCAGCATCCAATTTATTAAGACATTGGATTATATGAGCCATATCAAGCCATGGTTTTCCTTGATCGGTGACTTGATGAAATACATAGTCGCGGAATAATTTCAGCATGAAACGATCGCCGGTTTCAGACCAATTTTCATCGCCGTTATGTCTGGAAAACGGAATTTTATGGTTTTTCAGATGAAAAAAATTGCATTTTGAATTTTTTCCGAATTTAAATCAAGCCCAAATGCTTCTGATTATTTTCACAAAAATAAATATCTCCAAATTTCCCAAACTAAACTACACTCTAGTTTAATTAAACTCACTCAGCTCTTTCCAATACAGTATTCAATTTACACAATAATCTAAATAATCGTCCATTCTCCAATTCTCGACATAACTCCGCTTCTAAACAATCATTTCGTTGTTGCATATTTTCCATCTAAAAAATCAATTGTAAAAGCGTTTTCCCAGAATAAAAACAACACTTACATAACTATAAAATCTAGCGCCGATCATTGGCATAATATCATTTATCGATTTTCTGTTATTTGTCGAATTTGTTAATAAACAGCTAAAAACATTATTTTTACGGAAAATGAAGAGAAAAGAAACGGTACCTTATTAGATTTTTCATATCCAATGAGTAATTTTGTGATATAATATTCATTGATGCCATCAACAAATCTCTTCTTGATCCATGCGGTTTTCCAGTTGCTAACGCAACCAAAACACATCCAAAAGCTTGTAAGTCATCTTGTTGATATTGATGAATTGATGAATGAATTGGCTCCGAATTTATCACATCCGCAATTCCACAAAATGATAAAAGGATCTAGAAAATAATTTGATTGGGGTTGTTTAGTAGAATTTAACCCTCTGGTCACGATACCGCTATCAAAAATTACATAGCTCAACTCTGAGCATGACGTGGCAAATTTTGAATGGGTGAAAGGTCCAATCAATTTGAACCGATCTTCGATATCATGCCAGGTTAATCATATTTTAGTAGAAATCTGACCATCATAGAATGTCTTGAGAAAGCTTAAAGTGTTTGAGAAATTCTATTGATTTTCGATGGTCCGATTAGGAACTGAATTGTGGCCTGGCTCTATTCCCCGTAGTTTGCCACGTCCTAACTTAACTATCGACAACTTCCAAGCTCTCCAAATTTCCTCACCTTATTATTACTATAAATCAATATCTTGTTCAAATCGATACTTCTCGCTGCTAAACCATTTGCATGAATTGCTCGAAGTGCAGCAGATATTTGTATAACATATGACCATAATGTACTTTCAGGTATTCCAGTTCCAACTAATGGTGTTGATGACATTGTACTCGTTAGTTTTATTCCAGCTTTAATTTTGATTTTGAAAAACTGGACGAAAAAAAAAATCAGTAAACTTACTCATTGAATCTAGAAAAGTGCCTGTTCTCGAATCGAAATGTTTTGCCTTTAGAGTTTCGGCCAATGGATAATAATCATAGACGAATATGAGGGCTGAAATGATAATTTCAGATATCTTATTTGAACTTCAAGATCAAAATTCAAACTCACAAATATCATCAAAATCTCGAGTGTTTGGAATGATTTCTCTTAGTTGCACTACATTTCCGTGAACCAATTTCTTCCAACTTTCAGCCGGTGCTGTTTGTTTTCCTGGTTGAACACGACAACCGTGAATTCGTCGAATGCAATAAGTAACACCATCTCGAATCGATGATGCTTTATAAGTTGTTTGCGATAAATTAGTAACTGATACATTTTCCAGCGGAACAAGGTTAGTTAGATGTTCGACTTGTTGTGGAATTCCAGGATGCGCGAGAACATCGGCTTTTGCATCCATTGCTAGTTGACGGTTGAGTAGTTCCTGGACAAAGGAATTGATGGAAGTTGAACATCGACTAAATGGCATTTTCATGTTTTTCTCAGCAAATGTTGGATTTTAATCGTATTCATAGGATAGAAAAGACTACGACAAACCGAATGATATAAGTGATTTAGGGACATAAGTGATTTAGGGACGTTTAGATGATCGGCTCGGCTTATCGACTAAACATCGCTAAATCACTCATGGATAACGTAAAGCCATGGAAATTTATATCATTCGGTTTGTCTTAGACTTTTCTATCCCATGAATACGATTAAAATCCAATATTTTAACTCATTTGCTGACAAAAACATGAAAATGCCATTTAGTCGATGTCCAACTATAGAAAGTCGTCATTATCATGTCGTCTTAATAAAAACCAACCAATTTGAAAAATAAAACTAACCATTTTAAGTTCAGCACTAATAAATTGAGTTTGCCCATTTCCCAACGCTCCTTTTGGTCTAAATTTTCCCACATGAGGAACTGGCAAAGGCGAATGATATGCAAACATTCCAGAAGTGTTCACAATCACATGTCCTTCAGGAATTTGTTGCAATTCCGGTTCTTCCTCATAATGTTCTTGTTCATGTCCACCTTCTCCAGCTTCACCCATCGGAGGTTGCCAGAAATACATTGTTCCACCTCGATTCTCCGGTTGATAACGCTCGAAATTTTGTGAAGGAGGAGCTTGTGGTTGTTGGCGAGGTTGGAAAGCTGGAGGAGGAGTGAAATTGCTGTTGCCGCCTTCATTTATTGAAAGTTGTGAAAATGATTGCTGAACTATTTGCTGTTTGTGCTGTTTTGGGATGAATGGTGGAGCCTGAAGTTATTTTTTTATTATTTTAATTGAAAGCAATGATCTTACATTTATATGTAGACCAACTGAAGATCCAAATGATGAACCAGCTAAAAAAATTCATATTTTATTTTCTCTTTTTCTTTTCTCACAAACCTTGCCGATTAACACCCAAATATTGGCTTAATCTCGAACCTGCTGGCGCTCCACCATTCAAAGGACCACCATCATATGCAAACCCGTCCGCTGGTTGCATAACTCTAAACTGTTGATCTTATTGTAGTTTGCGGAGTTTATAGTGAAGCGTAAGCGTGGAATCGAATGATGTGAATGAAAAAAGTAACAGGACCAACGATTCGAACAAAATGTGCAAACACGCACACGACAAATTACACACAATTATTTTCTGTTTGCTGATTTTGTGGAACTTGAAAAGGGGATTTTCCCATCGGTTTTTTGAAGTTCAGTAACAAAATATACATGTTTTTGTAGATTTTGACCCGGTGAACACGATGCCGTTGTCAGAAACAAGAAAACTTGCTTCTGTGTAAAGTTATGAAGTGTGCAAAGTTATTAGTAAAATCAAGCTCTAACGTTTTTCAAAGTTATTCACGTATTTTCAAGCGAGGAAATTGCTGAAAAAACTACGGTGCGAACCCCTACGTGTGTGGTGCATTTGTGCGTCAGCGTGTTTGCACACAAAATGTCTCTGCGCAATAGCGTCTCTCTTTTTCGCACACTCTCTCTTAAAGGAAATTTTTTCAAAAAAGCAATAGGGTCCCGTCACGAATACCGCGAGAAAAAAGTTACACTAAATCCACCACTCGAACCTTATTTCGATGCAGTTTTTTACGTAGATTCTAATGGTGTATATAACTTTTCATATGGTTCAGCCAATCTGAGTTTTTCCATTACAAACGGTTCATGTCCCTTTAAACTGGCGTTGCCGTTTTTTCATGAGAAAAAAAATGCGTGTATTTTGATGAAAAACTAATTGTAGAAAGATCGATTAGATGACTAAAAATTTCTGAAAATGTTAAAGGTTTCCTAATTTTTGTCACGTCAAATAACATTTCAAAACGTGTCGACACAGATCTTCCAAAAACCCCACTATAAAACCAGAAATCCCTGAACAAAACGGTATTTTGAATTTTGTTGATAAAAATCATATCTGAATAATAAATTAGTATAAATGTCATCAATTGATAATAGCAAAAGTTTGAAAACAGCTTCATCATCAAAAGAATACAGCGCTCTGAACGATTTTGTGCAAGTTAGTTTGCAATGGAGAGATTTATTGTGAGTTGAGGGATTCGGGGAAAATTGGGGAATTTTTCATTAGAAAATCTAGGTCGGTTCAAAAAATTTTCATGGGGTGGAATCATGTGTCTAAATTATCTAATTGCAAATTTTTAAGTGTTGTTGCAAAAAAAGAAAGTCGAGATTTATTAATAAAAGTAAACGGAATAGCAAAATCTGGCGAATTATTGGCTTTGATGGGTGCAAGTGGAGCAGGAAAAACAACACTTTTAAATTATTTAATGCATCGAAATCTAAAAGGGCTCAAAACTGAAGGAACAATTACAGTAAATGGAAATGAGATGGGAAATGCAATATCTTTAATTTCTGGATTTGCACAACAAGAAGAATTGTTTATTCCAACTTTGACTGTAAAAGAACATCTTTTGATTCAAGCAAAACTTCGAATAAAAGCAAATTCGAAAATTAGAAATGAAAGAGTCGAAGAAGTTATGCAACAATTGAAATTGTGGAAATGTAGAGATTCGAAAATTGGAAAAATTGGACATGAAAAAGGAATTTCGGGAGGAGAAGCGAGAAGATTGACTTTTGCCAGTGAAATGTTATCAAATCCTTCGATTCTTTTTTGTGATGAACCAACTTCGGGATTAGATTCATTTATGGCTGAAAATGTTGTTGAAATATTGAAAGGAATTGCTAAAACTGGAAGGTTTGTTTGGGATACTGTAGCGCCTACAGTATAGGTTGAAAAATTCTGATTTTTTCGAAAACATCGAATAGAGCTACAGTAATCCTTGCAATCCGGGGTACTAGAGTCGGAAAAGTTTGTAATTTTTTGTTACAAAATGAGTTGAACTCAATTTTTAGGAACTAAACTTGGCTACAGTAAACCTTGCAGTTCGAATTACTGTTGGAGGTGAAATTTGTCATTTTAAAACTTCCTGAATAATTTTGTGAGTAGAAAATAATTGACATTTCCGAATTTCACCTGGAAAAATTCAGTGAACAATCAAAGGCAAGATTTTTAGCCAAATTTTTGAAATTATGCCTAGAGAATCCAGATCTGAAATCTTGTGCAAAAACACTGAACCTTCACATTATTTTTAAGTTTTTCCAGTAGGAAAATACGAGTCTGAAAATAAAAAATGTATTTTTTAACCACAAATTATCTTTGCAGAACAATAATTTGCACAATCCATCAACCATCTTCTCAACTTTATCAAATGTTTGATCGTGTTATTTATCTCGCAGCCGGAAGAACTGCATTTTATGGAAGTCCACAAGAATCAATTGAGTTTTTCGAGAATTGCGGTCATAAAATTCCAGATGAATATAATCCAAGTGAATGGATTATTTATAAATTAGCAGTTCAACCAGGAGATGAATTGGCTTCGAATGCTAGAATTTCCGAAATTATTTCGGGTTTGTTTTGGATTGAATCTGACTCGGGGACCTGTGCCTTTACAGTAATTCTTGCAGTTCGGATTACTGTAGGTGTACAATTTTGTGATTTAAAAAAATTTAATATTGCTACAGTAATCTTTGCAGTTTGGATTACTGTGGCAAAAAATTGTGATTTTTTCAAAGCCAGATGTTTTTGGACACAGATTACGGCTACAGTAATCCTTGCAGTTTGAAGTACTGTAGTCGTAGATATTTCTTGAGATATTCAAAAATTGCTCATTTTATATTTTGTCGAGAAGATCAAAAAATCAAAAATCTCATTTGAGAATTAATTTTTGACAATTTGAATTTGATTGTGATCGAAATCTGAAACTTTTGAAAATTGAGCCAAATCAATATAACCTGACCCGATTTCGATTTCTCAAATTCGATTCCAAAACTCTTCAAATTTGCAGCCTTCGACAAAAGTGAATATAATCAAAAAATGATTGGTCAACTAGGAATAAATGCTGATAAAACACCACCGCCTTTCATTCAAAAAGCCAATATTTTCATCCAATTTGGTGCTTTATTAAAAAGATGTGCTTTGGATGTTTGGAGATGTCCACAATTGGCAATTGCTAAAGTTATACAAAAATTGGTTTTCGGATTTTTCCTGGCTGCACTGTATTTTCGAACTGAATATGATACGAAAGGAGTTCAGAATATTAATGGAGCCTTGTTTTTTATTGGTGCTGAATTGTTTTTTTCGACGAGTTTTGGTGGGTTGGTTTTGGAAATGAAAATGGGTGAAAATTTGAATTTTTTCATTTTTTGAAGGAAAAATATAGCTGAACTGCTGGAAACATGAAATGTTTTAAAGCAAAAAATTTTGGAAATTTTTTAAGCTAATTAATTTCTGAGCGAAAAAAGTTACATAAACGTAAAGTCCAAAAATTTTCCAAGTGTTTTCCGCTGAAAATTAATCTTAGAAAATTTTTGAGAATTATGAAAACAGAAATTTTTCGCCCTAGAAAATATACGTTTCAAAATTTTTATTAGAAAAATTTCCAAAACTGGAAAATGTTTCTTTGAGAAAAAATGTGTATCTACTCCAAATTTTCAGCAATAATCAACTTCACAAACAGCGAATTCCCTCTAATCGCTCGCGAAATTCACGACGGCCTCTACAATGCATCTTCATATTTTGTTGCTCGATGCGTTTCTCTTGTTCCACTTTTCACATTTGACAGTATTCTTTTCATTTATCTCGTTTATTGGTTTATTGGATTCAATTCGAGTTTTCAACAAGTTTTATATGCTTCGATTCTTACTTTGGTTACAAGTCAAGCCGCTTCTGCAACAGGAATCACTATGTCATGTATTTGTCCCACTCCAACTGTGAGTGAAAATATTCAATGAACACAACGGGTTTGTTGATTTCAGATGACAGCTGTAGTTGCGAGTCCAATAATGGTTCTCGTTCGTGTTTTCAGTGGTCTTTATGGAAATCTCTCAACATTTCCACCATTTATCAGATGGATTCGTCATATTAGTCCACTACGGTTGGTTTTTTTCCTTGGAACAGGGTAGAAGTTGTTGAGAAATATAATATGAGCAATTATTAGGTTTTTTAAAATTTTAGTCAAACATGAGCAATCCCAAAAATTCAAAATTATATGACAACTGTTCTATTGTCCGAATATGAGTTAGTTATGACGTGGCAAAGATTGTATACTTTTCTGATGCGTGAATATTCATGACATTCCTAAATTTTCAAAATTTGCCACGTCATAACTAACTCATATTCAGACAATAGAACAGTTTTTATAAAATTTTAGGGATTTCTCATGTTAGTGAATTACTCATGTTATATTACAGAGTTCACTAGGATTTTGGGTCCTTCAGAATTAGGAACTAATAGAAAAACTTTATCAAAACCTCAAAGAGAAATTCCCCATAAAATCTTATTTTCAGCTATGTTTGTGAAGGATTTCTTGTAAATCAATGGTCTTCAATCGATGATTTTCATCCAGAATTAAAAAATAATTATACGGATGCGATTCGTGATGAAATCCTCAATTATTATGCATTCTCATCTGATAATATCTATCTCGATATTTATGGATTAGTTATTTATACATTAGTAGTGCTTCTCATTGGATTCATCGCATTTTTGATAAGAGTAAAACGTGCCAGATGAAATTGACATGAATAAAACTAATAAACTTCACTTTAAAACAAATACAAATACAGATAAATATAGAAACAAAACAAAAAACAAGAATCTACTCATGAATATGGCACAACATTTTCATACTTCGAATATTAAATGAATACATATATCGAATCCAAACTGACCAAAATAGTGAATTACTGAGCTCGGAATCGATTGAAATCATGAAAACAGTGGCTGATCGTTGCTCGTGAACTTTTCCGATTATATTCAAATTGTCAGAAGTGTGATCGAGGGATAGAAAAATGTATCGACCTGCAAAATTGGAAACTTTTTGATTTGTATTTGAAAATGGGGATTACCTATTTCAAAGAAAGTTGACATTTCATCTGAATTGCATTCATCACTTATGTCGATAAAAATGCGGAGTTGATTTCCTGAAAAAACTTGTTTTAGCAATTTCAAATTGCCACGTCTTAGATCTCTTGGGTTCGTAATACGAACTTCGTATAACAGTTTTTCAACAAAAGAAAAAAAACTTCCCTTGCTCATGTTAAACTTTTTCAAATTCCAAAAACTAACCTTCGGCACTTATATGAAAAATATTGACAAATCCAATTTCCTTCAGATGAACATTAAAATCATGAATTTTCAAGGATTCCTTAAAAACATACATTTGGATTGGTTTCTCCAAAATTTATAAAAAACTCACAATTCTTCCATAAATTATTGAAATATCACTTATTTCGGTGTTGACTCTCTGAAAAATTAAAAATAAATTTTTTTTTTGATTATTTTCAAAGTAAAGTTTTATTATTTACTTGGAAAATTTTGTAGAATTTAAATAAACATCTACTAAAAATTTTCAAGCAATTCAATTTTTCAAAATTTCTATCAGTACATGTAACTTTTCCTGAATAAAAAATTTATATTTTTTTCAAAACTTACATCTGGAATAGAAATAGATCTACTGGATCCTTCGATAGATTTACAAGTTCTTATTTCTTCCGATAATTCATTATGAATAATATCATTATTCTTCTGATCAGTTAATAATTCAATATTCCAATGAACAACATCAAAATCAATAGTTTCGGCTGATTCTCTTTGAAAAATTCGTCGATTTTCCGTATCCACAATAATAAACTTCTGCCATCCACATCCATTTTCGAATAAAAATGAAGAATCGATTGTGATGAAATAATAAGCTTGCGGGATATTTGGTATCCAATTGTTGTTATTGTTATTGTTGTCATTTTCATCGATGAGGATTTCGAAACAAACTATTTTTGGATCATTTTGCTTATAACTTGCTGTTTTATCGCATTTTTTGGCATACAAGAAATTGGTTTTTCTTCTGACAATTCCATGCACAATCCAACATTGCGAAAGTAGAACAATTTCTCCTGAAATTAAATTTTGAAAATGATATGAGCAATTCTAAATTTTCATGAAAATAAGCTCTTTTCAAATTATGAATTCAACATGAGCAATGTGAAATTTCATTTTTTTTTAAATTGGAGAAAATTTTAAAATTCAAAAAAAAATCTGAAACGGAAAAGTATAGGGACTTTTGAGAAAAATTCAAAATTTTCAAGTCTAGTTTTTTTGCGGTGACGTAGATTTTTCGAGAAAAAAAACTCACCATCTTTTATCCAATCATAACACCTTCTTTTCGCTGTAAATGTACAAAATCTTCTCTTATTCGATGTATTTTTGTCGATTTCAATCCAATTTTTATCCGTTTTCAGATCATTTCTCTTCATTTCCTCCTGAAGTTTCAACCAAACATCTGTTTTCTTACAAATATTTCGTTTCTCAACGACGAATCTTTCAAAATCATGATCAATTTGGATGAAATAATCGAATCTTTTCGATATTTCGAATTTCGTATATTTTTCAGGAACACCTTCAATTGTCAGGACAATAATATCATTCATAACTCGTGTAACCATTGCTAATATTGATGTTCCTTCGTCGTTTTCCGATGTTAATTTCACAAATCTTCCTGGAAAATAATTATTTTGAAGAGGGGAGGGTTAGAATTGAAAATTCAAAGTTTGATAAAATTTGAAAAAGGTTAACATTTCTTGAATTTCAATTCGCTTCTAGAAATTTTCGGGGGATAAAAAATGCAGGATTTATGTTTCAGTAAAAATTAACAACGTGAACTAGAAAATACGGGGCTATAAAATGGACGTCTCACAAAAATCGCTCAGTTTTCAACGAGCAAAAATCAATTCAATTGAAATTTATTCAAAATGGGTCTTAAAGAGAAACTGAAAAATTAAGCGAAAAACTCGAAATCGCCTAGAGTTGGAAGGAATAAAGGGAGTATAAAAGAAGGAGGCAGCTTCAAATCGGTAAGAAAATTATTGAGTTTCGTCTGATAATTCAAAAAAAATTGGATTTTAGAGAACACCAACTGCAAAAGAAGCCAAAAATTACGACGAAAAAATGATGAGAAAATACAATCTCACGAAAGAGCAACTCAAAATGGCTAAGTTAGTGGAAATTTGGGTGGAAAAGTAGTACTGTAGTCAAAGGCGCACACTTCCTGCGCGTTTAAAACCAACAGGCAGCTGTTAGCCACTAAGTAACCTGGATTTTTGCAGACAAGAAGCGAACCAACAACGCGAAAACTGGATAAAATATAAAAAAGAGCAGGTGCTCGACATATTCGGTTCGAAGAGCAAATATGTTTCGAAATCCGCAAAATCTGACGTGATGCATCCACACGCTTTGCGAAAAGTGACAACTGTGATAAATAAGGAGGGAAAGGAGATTCCGATCGAATTCGGAAAACGACTCGAAATTCTTCTTGAATTACATCGCCCAAATCCCAAATTTCACATCATCAAATCACAAATTTCGACGGAGAAATCGAAAAATGCGCTGGCTTCGAAGTTCAAACAACGCCATAAGCTTGGAAATCAGAAAGATCGAAGCAAGGATAAAAAAGACAAATATAATCAGATGAGAAGTTCGATTGATGGCGGAGGAACAACTGGAAGTAATGGTGGAGTTGAGACAACTGGATCTGCTAATATTGAAAGTTCGAATAAAGAAAATAATGGGAGTTCGAATAAATCAGGAGGAAGTGATTCGAAAAAGAATGATGATCGTAAATTTTCGCCGCCAAATAAAACATAAAAATATTACAACTTTTTTTAAATTTCAGATATCAATTCCACTGATTCTTCTCGCAAATTGTTTCCTAAGGATTGGTATGCTTTATCATCTTCGCGAATTTTGGTCAAGAAAGGTCGATTGATTTTTTGGCAAGCTGAGGAGTAAGTTTTTGCGTCAGAATGTGGACTCGAATATGAGAGAAGCTCAACCAATTTCCAGAGGCGACGAACAAAACCAGGATTTCACAGATGACGATCAAAAATTCTCAGTCACCACAGATGTTGTTTTGGAAGTTTTGGAAGGGAAACGTGAAGTGAGGACAACAAATTTGAAAGAACCTGGCGATGGATTTGGTGATTTGAAGCCAATCATCGAGGATTATAAAATATCGTCTCTCCCAAATCCCTTATTCGATAATACTCTCAAAGGAACTGTTGATTTTGAATCGAAAAAACCGAAAGATGTAAAAAGTGGAATGTCGATTCATTCATCAAAAAATCAATGGGAAAAGAATTGTGAAGTGTTTGTGTTCAAAGGCGAAACGATGAAACGTTTGAAGAACACGAAAGTTGTTCGAAAAACTGAAATTCTTGAGGATATTATCAGAAAACCTGATGAATAAAGTTTCTTCTTTTGAAATTTGAAATCAGGAAACTTTGGGCAACGATATAAATCGCAATTATCTGTCCTGCCACATTTTTTTCACCAGTGAGAAAAAACTAAAAATTTTCCATCTCTTCCCCTCAAAAATCACCTTCCAACCATTCAAATCGTTTCAAACTTTTTCTATTTTCCACTGAAAACGAGAGTCGACAATGAGTTTGTTGATTTCCATTAATATCTGCATACGAATTCACATCCGATTCAACCAATTTCAAACTTCCAATAATTTCACATAACTCATCAACATTTTCAATCAATGAATAACCATGTAAAACTACATCTTCACTTGAACAACTTCCACTTTCCGACATATTTTCTTTTTCCTTTTTTTCTGCTTCGGATTTTTGAGAATCACGATCAATTGATAAATAATATGGGAGTTCTTTTGATAATCGCATTTTTGTGGATGTATTTTCAAATCCAATTATTGCTACATAAATCTGAAAGATTTTTTGGTGAGAATTTTGAATTTAAATTGTAAAAAATACCGTATTCTGATCAATTTGACAAACATCTTCTGAATTATGGAAAACTTGAGTGACGCGTACAAAAATTGGACCAGGAATATCGGAATCGAGTGAAAGACGCAACTTGTCACCTGAAATATTGGGTTTCTGAATAAATAAAAAATGAAAATTGAAAATTTCGGATTTAGTATTTCAGCTCAAAAGTTTCTGGGAGAAATTCAAACGTCGGGAGCTCATAACTTTTCGAGCAAAAACCACATTTCATTTGAAAAGTCTAGACTTTGGTTTAAATTTTTTTCACACAAAGTAAATGTCAAAAATAGGTTTTCAAACATACATAAAATAGGTCCCCCGAGTCAGTTTTCAAAGTTAGGGTCCCTCCTTGAAAATTTTCCAAAGTTAAACACCTTCCTCACATTTTTGAGCGAATTTTGGACAAATCTGGGAATTTTGGTAAATTATCAGCAGAACATTGGCCAAGTTAGGCACCCTTCCCTTCACAACATTTTAGGCTAATGATAGAATGCAATAGGGTGAGAGGAAGAGATGATCAATGTCGGCAATACGTTTGAACGACCTCTCAGAAAATGGAGTTTTTGTTCTCATTTGAGCACGTTTGCCCACTAAAAACGTATGTTTTCTCTAGAATCTCTCTCCTCTCATCCAATTGCGTTTCGGAACGTTGTGCTTCAGATTTTTGAAAAAAGTTAAGCCCCTCACCCCGATTCTGGGGACCCATTTTATGTATGTTTTCAAATTTTTTGACATTTTGCGAATCGAATTTTTTTGTCAGAAGATATATTTTGTCCTGAATCATCCCATCACATTTTCTTTAAATCTAACCTCTTTGAATAAACTTCAAAAGTGCATTATCATTTTCATCGATCAATTTGAATTGTAAAACAGTCGAATATTCATTTCTCCATTCTCCCTCATCTTTTGTTCGAAATCTCTTGAATTCTCCTCTCAAATATTTCCATCCATCATTCAATTGTCCATAAATATCATTTTCTATTTCTGTTATCTGACTTTTCAAATTCTCCGATTTCTCAGTATTTTGATACAATTCAATGGGATAAATCCAAACATCCAAATCCTCCCAAATATCAATAGTTTCCTCATTCAAAACTGTGATCACAATTCGTGAATTGCATATTTCAACACATTGAATTCTCGCGTGACAAAGTGTTTCTTTTTCCGACATTTTATTCGAATGCGATAATCCGACAACTGTGTCAATTAAAGATTCTCGAAATTTCTCAAAATCGAAATCATCATCCAAATCACTTCTCGATGCGATTCTCAAAGTTGTTGCATCTTTCGAATTTGGATTCAGACTAGAACTTGAATTTGCTATCGAAACCTCTTGTTTTTTGACAAATGGCGAAACTTGCGAAAGAAGTTTTGATTTTTTGAAGAACATCTCGCTTCACGAATTGATGCAGAATTCTATAAATGTGTTATGTATTTGGGAAATAAATCGATTTCGAGAAAAAACACTCACGGATCGTAGGAATATTCATTTTCAGGTGAATTTGAGAAAAAAAGACATCGAAAATGTTGAATTTTGCATTTTTCAGCATAATCGAAGAGGAGAGAAATCTGGAATGAGAAAATATGGCTGAATTTTTAGTTTCAAAAACAATGGTGATTTTTCTAGCAATTTATAGGGTCGACATTTTCAACAAAAAAATTCTAGAACTTATTGAAACCATAAAAAATCCGGAGACTTTCAGTTTTCATATTTCTGAAAATTTTAAAGTTAGTTCCGAAAAAAGTTGTTTCATAATTTTCAAAATTAAGAACTGTTTCCACGTGGCATCTCTTCTAGTTTTTCTGTTGTTGTCAAAACGCCAACCTGCTTGGTCATCGCATCATATTCCAAAACCTCAATCGGAATTTCAATCGGTTTCGAATATCCCCGATTTGACCTCGAATGCGAAAATATCAATTTCATTCCGACTTGAAAATTCGAAACCGATTTCGCCGTCAATTTTCCATCAACTTGTCCTGTTAATCTATACCATCGAACACTTTCCAGTTCACCGACTTTTTCCATCTGAAAGAGGAGGAAATTTTTTTGAAGAATCTGAAAATTGCTGGATAAATAGATGCTTTCATCGTGAAAAAATACATGGTCAATAGAAAATATAAAAATATCAATAAATTCAATACTACTTCATTTTCTAAACAGATTATTTCTACAAAAATTAATTATCGATCAACTTCACCGAACACAACATCCAATGTTCCAATAACAGCAACAACATCAGCAATCAAAGCCATATAGCAAATATCATGAAGAGCAGCTAAATGAGCAAATCCTGGAGCACGAATGAAACATCTGAAAGTATTTTTTTAGTTTGAAAAACAGTTTTGGAAATTCAGGTAACATATCAGCTCAGTTATTGATTTAAAAATTCCAATATTCCCTTATTTAGGTTAACTAACCTATATGGTTTACTTGTTCCATCAGCCACCAAATAAACACCAAATTCACCCTTTGGCGCTTCAATCGGAACATAAGTAGCACCTGGTGGAACTTGATATCCTTCAGTGAAGAATTTGAAGTGATGAATCAATGATTCCATATTCTCTTTCATTTCGGCTCTTTTCGGTGGGACAACTTTATGATCATCGACTTTGATTTCACCGGCTGGCATTTTATTGAGACATTGGAGAACGATACGAAGAGATTGTCGCATTTCTTCGACACGGCACAAATATCTGGAAATATGGAATTGACATGGTTTTTGATCAGATATATGCCCTTGAATACCTATCATAACAATCTCCTTTAACACCAACAGGAACATCAAATTCAACTTGATCATAAGCATCATAAGGTTGAGTTTTTCGAACATCTTGCTTGATTCCACTTCCTCGAACCATAACTCCACTGAATCCCCAATTCAACGCATCAGCAGCAGAAACGAGGCCAATATCAACTGTACGAGCCTTCCAAATTCGATTTTCAGTCAACATATCTTCCAATTCATCGATTCTGGCAGGGAACTGGAACAACGGTGGTTAAAAGGAAACCTGATTATGATTTACCTTTATCGCCCAATCATAAATATCATCCATTAATCCAATTGGCATATCATAAGAAACTCCACCTGGTCTCACGTAATTTGCGTGCATTCTTGCGCCAGAAACTCTTTCCGAGAATTCGAACAACTTTTCACGTTCTGAAAAAAAAAATCCTGACTACACTATAGTTAAATATATTATAATTTATAGTAGATTTCAGAGGTCTTGATTAGTTATCAAAATCCTCTTCAAAATATGGATTCCATTAAAAACCTTCAAACATCCAGAAAAATGGTGTCATTGCTCCAATATCCAAAGCGTGTGTTGTAATTCCCATAATATGATTTTGAATTCTGGTCAATTCTCCGAACAAAGCTGAAAAAATTATTTCTCTTCAAAAACGCAGTTTTTGTTTCATTATTTACTTCTAATATATTTTGCTCTTGGTGGAATATCAATTCCGAGAAGTTTTTCGGTTGCCAATGAAAATGCTTGTTCATTACACATCATTGACACATAATCGAGACGATCGAAATATGGAAGCGCCTGAAAAATAAAACATAATGATGAATCAGATGTAAACATTTATAGAACACACCTGTGTATAATTTTTATGTTCAATCAATTTTTCAGTGGCACGATGAAGAAGGCCGATATGAGGAATTGCTTTGATGATGACTTCTCCTTCCAATTTTAATACAAGTCTGAGAACACCGTGAGCAGCTGGATGTTGTGGACCAAAGTTGAGAATCATGTTTTCCAAATTCTTTTCTCGTTTTTTACCATCATAAACATCACTCATAACTGGATCATTGTATGCCAATTTTTCTAATTTGTCTAATCCAATTTGCTCGTCAAAATCAGAAACTCTTTCTGACATCCATAACTTTCCGAGAGTTCCGCCAGTCTGAAATAATACACATGTTCTCTCAAACAAAATTCGAAAACCCTCAAATTGTAGGAAAGCACCTTTTTTCTAAGAAAACAAAACAAAAAACGAACCTTGAATTGACGCTCAAACTTTGCATCCGGATACCAAATTGTATGCGAATTCCTGATTGATGTAGTTGGCGCGGCAAATACAACCGACTTTAGTGGGTTCAAACTGCGAGACAACATTATAAATCACCAAGTTTCTCCTCGCAAAAAGTCGTCTGTCAAAAGCGCCCGTTTCACAGCCTCCACACCTGCGTGAAGTCTGCGTCTCACTCTCTCGTCGTTCGCTGAGTGAGATGGAGCGCGTTTGCTGCACTCACTTTTTTCCATTGAAAAAAAACTTTTTCTTTATTTTTTCGTGTTTTTTGGTCTCCACGAATTTTTTCTGCGCTAATACGAAGCTAAACTTCAAAATAGAAGAGATTTGGAAGACAGAGATATATAAAACATCTTATTTCGAGTCGAAATTCAAGGAGAACATTCGAGCGGAAAAGTGAGTGTTTTTTCAACTTTTTTGACTTCAAATTTTTGAGCAAGAAAAATAGTTTTACAGGTTATGGGACATCTACAGAAGCGCACGTTGAGAAGGAGAAGTGTTCAAAAATCAAAAAACTCCAAAATACAGCTCTTTGCGTTGTCCGAAAATATGACATTTTCAACTTCAAATCGATGCTTCCACCAAAACTGAACTTCAAATATCGAAATAGTTGATGCGAAGAAATGTGAGAGGATGTCAGATAAATACGAATCATGGAGAAAATCGAAGATTGGATGGAGTTTGGTGTCAATATTCTATGATTCTGGGAGAGAGAGACAACAGTCATGTTCAATGGCGAAATTGTTAAACTTCTGAGCCATGGATTATTGCTTATGAACGTTATCCGAACTTTGAGAAGCACTATTTAATGAATTGGTTCGTTTTTTATAACATTCTGTCACGTTTCAAGTACATGAAAACTCGTTTTCAAATCTACTTTTCAAACTTTATCACGATTGTCTAGTGTATATTTTCCAGGTCCTCTACCAACTCGAATCTTCTCTATTACACTCTGAGATTGGAATGCTTCGTATGGTTTCACATGGATCGAAATAATTTTATAATTTTCGTTGAATTTTAATCGAAATTTGGGCGATTTTGAATGAGAATAAATGTTGTTTCATAAATTCGAGTTTATATCCTGAAACTAATTACAGAAAAATGTCGGTTGACATGGCACGAAACCTAAAAAATGAATTGATTGTATTTTTTTCAAATTATCCCGAAGAGAAAGCTCAGAATCAGTGTCAAAACGGTCATTGATTTTGTTTGTCGATTTTCTGATTGAAAATGTGGCCAATGTTTCTCAAAATGTATTTCTCTGCTTTCGCGAGATGCTCCTCTTTCTTCTCATATACAATTCATTTGATGAAACCCACGATTTTCAGAGTATTCAATGAAAAAATGCTGAAATTTTTTTCAAAAGAAAAAAAAACGAGAGAGCGCCTCCCGCTGAAGAAACCGAGAGAAAAAAAGATGACGAGAGAGTGTTGCGATCGGAGAGAGCGAACAGACACACACAGTTTAGTATGCCGTGTGTCAGAGTGCAGACAAGGCAGCGTTTTTTCATTTGTGGACAGCGTGCCGTTTCAAAATGAAAATAAATTTTTGAATGTGTCGGTTACGGTTGTTTGTCGTTGCGAGACCCACACACAATATTTTGTGTTCCTTGAATCTACAGTATTTTTTTCAATTTTCGAATTTTTTTTGAAGTTTTGAGGTCGTCAGCAGAGTCGAAAAATTCAAAATTGCAGAAAATTAAAACAAAAATGGTAAATTTGAAAAATATAAATTTAGTTTTATTTTTAGAAGGTGAACTATTTTTAAAAATGGTGTTTTTTTAATGAAAATTCAACGTTTTGTGAATTCAGTCCATTTTTCAAAATTACAATTAAATCTTCAATTTTCCATGCATTTTGTAAATAACCAGTGAAAGGCATAACATAACATATGTTTTGTTGTTTTTTCTGTTTCTCAATCCCCAAATAGGGGTATCCTAACCAATACATAGATATTGTGTTCACATTTTTGTCTCTCCTCACTCTTTCTTTCTTTCTTCATATTCTCACCCAACACATATTCATGCCCAATTTTTTCTCTGGTCTCCTTCTCTCAAGAAATAAAAACATTTTTTTGAAATACGCGGGCGCGCGCCTGTTGAATGTTTGCTCGGTTGACCACGCCCAACGATAGCCGCGTCGCACAACACAACAGCCGAGTCGTCAGCGACGCGGCTATGAAATGTGCGACGCGCCCCGCCCACTTGATCGTTTTCTCCCTCAAAACCCCCTTCATTTTTCTTTATCTCCCGCTCCATTACTGTTTTTCTTTTGCTTGCTCTCAAGATGAGCATATTTCGGATAAAATACTCCTTTTCACATATCTTTTTAGGCTAACTGTTGTTTATTTTTATTATCGAAACATTTCGAAAATCCTAAACTTCTGTTTTTTCAATTGAATTTCAAGGTGAAAAATTTGAATTTTCTTTAGTTTCACAAGTTTATAATTTAGGGCAATTCTCTTATGTTGATCTCCTGAATCTTGAAAATAGGCCTGAGATTATTTTTTAGCTTAAAACTTTAGTTTTCGAAAAAAATTTGAATTTTGTCCAACTTGAAAAGTTCAATTCCATCTCATTTTTATCTCCCAAATCTTGAAAATAGGTCTAAAATTGTCCATTTCCATTTGTTCACTCTCATTTTTCGTTTCACTATTTTTTATCAACAAAAAAATCAACATAGCATTTTTTTCCAGCAAAAATGGTTGACCGTAAAGCTGTTATCAAGAACGCTGATATGTCCGATGACATGCAACAAGATGCCATCGATTGTGCCACCCAAGCACTTGAAAAGTGAGTTATATGCTTTAATTATGCATTATTACACTTGGTCGATTTCATCCACGTTTCAATTCATTTCCTTTCCTCTCCTTGATCTTTCTTTTCTATATTTATTTATAACACTTTTGCGAAAGTGTAAAGTGGACACATGTTGGGTGGCAATATAATAATGGGAAAATGATATGTGCTCCTCGAGAATTATAACATTTTATATTAATTTTCAGGTACAACATCGAAAAAGATATTGCCGCTTACATCAAGAAGGAATTCGACAAAAAGTACAACCCAACTTGGCATTGTATTGTTGGAAGAAACTTTGGAAGGTTGGTATTCAATTTGAAAACCTAAAAATCTCATATTTTTCCAGTTACGTCACACACGAAACCAAACACTTCATCTACTTCTACCTTGGACAAGTTGCAATTCTTTTGTTCAAATCAGGATAACTCTTGAATCTTCAAATTCTACCCTGATCTTCTAAAAATAATTGTGACCCTATACACGTGTAATCCCACCAACCATCACCCACCAAACAATTTTCCATTTCTCCATTTAGCTTTCTGAATTATTCCAATCTCCTATTTTTTTTATTAGCTCTCATTTCTATTGTTCCAGATTATTATCAAACAAAATTTTAGCATCAGCTGTTCATTCATCAGTTTTGAAAAGAAAACAAAAACCAATACAATATCCATAAACTTACTCATAATATGATCATTTTGCACAGAAAACGAAAATGAATAAAGAAATGGTTGCGTTTGATTAGTTTTTTTTTTGAAACGGATTGATTTATTCTTCAAAATCAAATACATTTAGTAAATTTTTGATAGAATTCTTGAAAAATGTGGTAAATTCAAGATGGACGACAAAATAGGATCAATGAATTTACCACAAGCAGTTGTTGGTCGACTTCTGAAAGAGGAAGATATTTCAGCTTCGAAAGTGAGTTGAAACTGTAGTTCATAAAAGGTTGCTCATTTTTAAGGACAATTAAAAAATTTCGTTCTCTGAAAATCTGAAGTTTAGCTGTAAAATTTCAACTTTTCCGTAGCTTTGATTTAGCACTAAAGCCTTGTAAAAAGTGAATTTTCTGGAAAAAAAAAGCAACCTGAGGAATCCACGAGGCAATTCCAAATTATTTGCGTTGAAATCTGTGGCAAGTTAGAAAATTAAATTACAACTCAAAAATCCACGTTGAAATCCAAAAATGGTTGTTTCCAAACTGAAATTTTTACGTGACCGGATGACGTGGCAATTAGCAATGCCATTTTGAAATGAAAAAATGTCATTTTCTAAAGAATATCCACGTGGCCATTCTAAAATTATTGCCTAATTGTAAATTTACGAAATTCTGGACAAATTTTAAGTGACCTGATGACGTGGCTATTTAGAAATCATTTCTTAAACTAAACAATTTTCGAACCCAAGCTTTCCTATTTTCCAGGAATCTCGCGAGACAATAAGCCGTGCTGCGGCCGTATTTCTTATCAATTTATCCGGATTAGCAGTTCAAAATGCGAAAGAGAACAAGCATAAAACGATTTCCGCTGACGACGTTTTAAAAGCATTGCGAACTTTTGATAATAACACAATTTATTCACAGGTATTATAGTATTTTTCATATTCAAAAAAAACTTTGTTAAAATTGAAATTTCAGTGTAAACAAGCTGTGGATGAGTGGAAAATTATCAAGCAACAAAAATCATTAGCAAAGTCATCTGAATCTCAAGAAACACAAGTATCTCAAATTTTTGAAGGTCAGTTTTATAAATTTTGTGACAATTTAAAAACTTTTTATTTTTCAGAAACAATGGAATAACAAGAACAATTATCAATACGGACTAAAAACTTATCACATCTCACTTTTCACAAAAAATTCAAACCCATAAACATTCCTTTTATTTAAAGCGTTAAATAACTTAGGGACAGTGATAAAAATGCACCTAAAGCTAGTCTTATTAACCAGGATTTCGGAGGAGGCGAAGAGGAGGGATAGAACATATTGGCTGATTTTTGAGCAGTTGAGGTCCACATGTCTTCCCAGGTTTCGAAGTTTTGCTGGAAAAAGAAAAAATTGGGGTTTTTATATTCGAGTCGGATTTTTGTGCCAAAAAATCATTTTGGAATTTGTTGATTTGAAAAACACCCCCCCCCCCTCCCAAACTCACACTTTGCACATTTTTCTTCAACTTCTCCAATTCATTCGGATAATTTTCAATCAATTTCCTCAAACATCTCAACAATTCCCCCGAATCATCAAAAATATAACCATTTTCTCCAACTTTCACCAATTCACCAATACAATTAAAATTCTTCGCCAAAACTCCAACTTTTGCTCCAAACATATCAACAACTTTCATCGGTAAATCTAAACCAGAAGTACTAATATGCAAAGAAACTCCAATATCTGCGGAATATAAAATAACTGGATAATCATCGGCTTCTAACCAAGGTGTTATTATTTTCACATTTTCCATTTTTCGTTTCTCAATTATTTCCAAATATGATTGTTTTAATGGCCCTTTTCCAGTTATGATCATCAAGATTTTTGGATCATTTGAGTTTTTCGAATCATTATATTCGAATAAACAATCTAATAAAATTTCGAATTTTTCATCTGGTGTCCAAGAAGTTGAAGATAATAAAACAAGTGGTCTTTCGAATGGCTCCAATATTTCAATTTTTCCATTTTTTTCCGTTGTGATTATATTTTCCAAGCCAATTTTGTTGTAGACATTGTGGATTTCGAGAGGAGACGGTTTACTGTAAAATTCATAAATTTTTTGTGTGGCTTTTGAAAAAACGTGGCTCAGAAAAGTTATGACGTGTCAAATTTTTTTTGCTAAAAATCTGTATTTTTCAAGTTTTTGCCACGAAAAATCGTGTTTTAAAACTTTTGGCCTAAAAAATTCCGCTCGGAATTTTTCCATTTTGAGAGTTGAGCATTCAGAGCTCAAAATACAAATTTACAAAAAAAAACTTTTTTTAACACAAATCATAACTTTGCCACGTCATAGGCTGAATCTTCTTGATAAGCTTCAAAAAATCAAACCTAAATTTCCACGTGGGTGGTCTATCATAAAACGTGTCAGCTGTAATCCCCCATTTCGACTTCAAATCATTTTTCATCGCATTTGTCACACATAAATTATAATCTGCACATTTTCCGAAAAATCCTTCCAAAAATGCAATAATTCCAACTATTTTGGCTTTTTTCGATTTATTTTCCTGAATTTGTTCATCCGATAATTCTGAAATCTTTTTTTTTTGAAAAAATTGAAAAAAATCCAGATTCTTACCATATTTGTCCTTCAAAATCGAGTACATATAATTGTGCCAATCAATAATTAATTTCGATTTTTTCATTTTCGAAATCAGGAAACAAACTGGAATTGTTGGAAGAGCTGGAGGATTTTGCAAAATTATCAGGCTCAGATTTTGAGTTCGGAAGAGAAGAACGAAAAATAGTGTTAGGAAATTCCAGATAAGTTTGATTGGAAGTTGAAAAATTGGAGTGAATTTGTCGAAAAAATCGGGTGGCGGTGGAATTGAAAGAATTCTGGAAAAAAAGGGCTCGGTGAGGTTGAATTGGAATATTACGTGGCAAATTATCGAAACAAAAAGTAATTTGTTTTGAAAATCAAGGAAAAAATTCGATTTTTGAACTTTTTCAGAGAATTTGCCACGTCATAACTCATGATAATATTGAAAAAGAAGCTGAATCTACAAATGAATTATTTTTCAAAAATCAAATTTTGGAGCTCAATAACTCTGTTAAGTATTGAATTTTCAGATTTTTGAATTTTTTAAGACAATTCAAATTAAAATTTTAAGAAGCATATTAACACCGATATTTTTCCACTAAAAATTCCCAATTTAATTTTTCTTTTATTTCCCTAACCGTATATTTTGATTATCCATAATATGTTTATTCGGAGTCGAGTCGAGAAATCCAACAATATTCACCAGAAATCCTTGATCAGCCAACATTTTTGCGTGGTTACACATTCGAGGACTTCGACCAATGTCTCCAAGGACAACAACAGCACATTCCCATTTCGCATTTCTCAAAAAAAAAAATAAAATAAAATGAAAAATGGAATTTCGATTTTTCATGGGGACTCTGAAGAAAAATTCCACGTGGATTTTTCAGCGCAATTTTTATTATTTGAACTAAATTTTTTTTTACAAAATCAAAATTTTCAGGTGAATATAAAAACTCACTCATTTCCTGAATCTGCCATATTTCTTTTTCTGAAAAAAAAAGAAAATTACAAAAAAAACATGTTTCAATCTAAAATATTTATGCACGGTTTCAAAATGACCGTAAAAATTCAAGAAAAAAAAACAAAAAATTGAAATGAAATTATTCTTGATGAAGAAAAAATAATTAAAAACGGGAAACTTTGGCTTAAAGTGGTAGAAGAAAAGAATAAAGGGAGGCAAGATAAATAAACAGATTTTTGAATTTTCAAAAAAATAAATAATAAACTACATGATTATTACAATAAATATTATTACAGGAGAAAACAGAGAGAAAAATATGAATTTTAATTTCAGATCATATTGAAATACCAAGTTATTTTTCCTAACAATTAAAAATAAAATAAAATAATAATAAATAAAAATGAGGATCATCAATCAATAATTAACACGAATCATTCAATTCATTCAGTTGAGTCACCAAATTTTGTAAAGTTCGAATTGCGATTGGTGTTGGAATTTTTGGAGTTGTTGAAGAAGGTCGGCGGGATCTGCAAATATTTGAAATTTTGAAAAAAAAATAAATTGGGAACGAAGTGTTTTTGGGTTTCAAAAGAAAATTTCAGATCAAAATTAAATTCTCAAAAAAAACGAACCGATCATTTCTGGCATGATTATGATTATCAGCTCCTTTTCCATTTCTCTCATCTTTTCGACTTGATGGTCTAATTGGAGATTTAATTTCGCGTAATGAAGAAGAAGAAGAAGGAGGTGAAAAATCATTGGGTGTCAAATTATTATCATTTACAACATCGATTGGCGAATCTGACATTTGACTCGAATTTTGTTGCATTGGTGAAATTGCATCCGGTATCCACGATGACTGCAAAAAAACATTAGATTTGGGAAACAACTAGAAAAAATTACGAAATGTAACTATTCGGGGTTTGCCTAGAAGGCTTCAGCAAAAACTATCCTAAAAGTAATTCCACGTGGCTTTCAAAAATTTTGAATTTGAATTTTTCACACCAAAATTTTCCAACAAAAAATAGCCACGTGTATTTTTTCAGCCAAATTGTTGAATTTAAATTTTAACAACAAATATAACATTTTTTAATATGTTTTTCAAAAAAATCCATGTGGTTTTCTAGCGCCTTTTTTTTTCAATTTTCATAATTTCAAAGCCGAATTTTGACAATGAGTTTTGTCAAATTCTTGAATTTGGAAATACATTTTCGTTGTTTGAAAAAATGCCACGTGAACAAATTTTCGAATTAAAAATTTTGAAAATCAATGTCACATGGAACTGTTGGTGAAAAATATTGAATTCAAATTTGGACAATCAATTTTCGAAAACTTTTGGAAATATTCCACGTGGATTAAAAAACCTACTCTACTTGGTGCAGTTGGTGTATAAACCGACGATGGCGACGACAACAAATCCATCGAATTTCTCGGAGTTCCACCCAAATTCGCCGGTCTTTTCTCAGACATCGATGAACTTCTCGAAACCGATGGCGATGTCATTGTTGGATCATCAGCTATCATTCGATCTTGTCTCGAAATCCCTGGTGTATACATCGATTTTCGAGGTGGAGCTGGAGCCGGAGATTTTGGAACATTTTTCAATGCTGGTTTTTCTTTTTTCTTGATTGGTGTTGATGAAGAAGGCGTGTCGAATATATCAATACTTATTGGTTGTTTTGTAGTCGGTTTTTCCTGGGCAGAATCGTCTTTTTCTTCGGATTTTTGAGAATCATCCATAGAGACATTTTCAACATCATTTTCTTCACTGTTTCGTTTCGTTTCCAATTTATACATTTTCTTCTCAAATGGCACTTCAACATTCTGAAGAATAAAGTTTTGGAGTATTTTGGGCAAATTTTTTTCACAAAAATATTTTAAAAAATTTAGAAAAACCCTCCCCCGAATCAACCCAAAACACTAACAGTCTTAGTCTTTCTATAAGCCGATTTCAATTGTCCAGTTCCTAATCGAACCATTTCCATCATCGGATCATAATTATATGGATTCGAAGTTGCTGGTTCAGTCGATGTTATCGCAGTTTGTGGCAATCCACCTTGAAACAGTGGTTTTTCCGGCTTCTTCTTTTTCGATTTCGACATTCCGTGTGCAGCAATCAGCGATGCATCCAATGAACTATTCTTTCTTTTTCTCTCTTTTTCTCGTTCTTTCAATTCCTTTCTCTCTTCTTTTGTTAATTTCAATTTTTTCGGCGCTGGTTCTTTTTCAGTTTGTTGCTGGAAAAATAAATGTTTTGAAGAAAAAATTCTCCTAAAAATTAATTTCAATTCAATTTTGTTAGATTTTTGAAGCTGTTTCTCTAAAACTAATATTTTATGTTAAAAACTTGCTCAAAAAAGATAAACCGAATTCAAATTTCAAATGCCCAAACTCCTTACATTTCCATATTTGGCAGCTCTTTCTTTCTCCTCTAATTCCATTTTTTCTCTCCATGTTTTTTCCTCAGTTTTTCCTTCCTCTTTCATTTCTTCAACAATTTCATCTTTTATCAAATGATTCGCTTTATCCGCCGCAACTCGACTACTTCTTCTTTTTGTTTCAACTTCTTCGGGCTCTTCTACTTTCTCAACTTCTAATTTCATCGGAGCTTCTTCAAGTTTCACCGGTTTTTCTCCATCATCCAATAATTCATCCGGGAAATTTTCGACTTCAAATCTTGAGGCGCTTCTTGGGCATTCTTCCATCATCTCAACAGATTCTCTACGTGATGTTATCTCAAAGTTTCCACTCTCAACAGATCCACGGGTCTGAAAAATATATAGGGATTTGAGTTTAGGGAAAAAAGAGGGGAGAGACTTACATATTTTCTTTTCGGTGTTATGGTTTCCTCAACGACTTTTCCTTCCTGAAAAAATAAAATAAGAGGTTCTTCTTGGAAATAGGTAAACTTTGAGAGAAAAGTTTTTGAGAGTTTTATTTTTTTTAATAAAAAAATTTACTGTTTCAGAAATTCAATAAAATTTTGAAGCCTTTAGAAGTGTTAATTTCATAGTAGTAAGACTTTTGGAAAAAATAGAAAAATTATCCTAACTCCAGAGTTACTTTAGATCTGAGTTACAAGAGAAATTCGTAAGCTCAAAATTGTGGTTTTAATCTAAAAACAAATTTTTGGACAAAAGTTTTTTTATTCGAAAAAGTTTGTGTTCGATAGAGCAAACATTGATTTTCCACATGATTTGTTGTTATTTTATTTATGACACATAATTTTCGAATAAAAATTTTGAATTTCAAAAAAAAATCGATTATTTCTAATGAGATTAAAAAATAACTCGAAAAAAAAAATTTTTCGACAGAAATTCTAAAAATTCAAAAAACCCACCAATTGCATCTTTCTTCTTTTCAAAACCGATTGAAACGCATTCAAAAGTGAAGCTGGTTGACAAATTCCTTCCGAAACTTCAACTTTTCCTTTTTTCTTGAGATATGCTCCAAGTGCTTCCAATTCTTCCAAAAGTCGTGGATTTATTTTTTCAATCTCTTCTGAAAAAATAATTTCTCATTTTTTGTGAAATTTTTGCAGGTTATAAACAGGCCTGATCGGAATGGACCTTGTCGGAAGGTTCGGAATGAGCACACTCGTTCCGAGTGGTCAGATCGTAATTCCGAATTCCGAAGCTCCATTCCGACATTTTTACCTCGGAATTTCGGAATTTTTCGGAATGTTTCGGAATGATATAAAACTTTAAAAATATGTCTTCAAAAGTTACATTTTTCGAGAATCACAAGAGAAAAAGAGATTTTTTGAAAATGACAGGTAAAATTCATCAACTTTTCCATTTTTTTTGTTGAATTTTTCACTAATTTCAGCTCAAACATTCCGAAAAATTCCGAAATTCGGTAGAAAAATTCCAGAATTCGGAAGAGAAACACATTCCGAAATTCCAAAAAGTTTCGGAAGTAACATCGGAATGATTCCGATTCCGAGAAAATTGATTCCGATTCCGAGACACGTTTGTCTCATTCCGAAAAACCTGTCGGTTTCGGAATTTCGGAATTCCGATATTCCGATTCCGATCAGGCCTGGTTATAAAGGGCATAATTATCATGATTGTCTGAAAAAAAGTTATTCAGAAAAAAAAACAAACCTTGATTATATTCAATTGGCGGTTCATATCCAATCGGTAATTTATGATCAGGTACACATTTGTTTTTGACAAAATCGTGTTTCGAATTTTTATAAAAGATGAGCGGATTTGTTTTGACCAATTCATCAATTTCCGCGTCTCTTTTTTCCGCATCATTTTCAAATGACTCTGCAAAACATTGTAATTTTGGTAATTGAAATTGGTAAGGTCTTTAGAACTCAGGATTTTTGAAAATCATTTTGATAAAGATTTTTTTGGGGGCTTCAGAGAAATTGGGTTAACAATTTACAAGGCTCGCCATGAATTCGAGAATCTCAAATTTATTTATTTTTTAATTCCTGGTAAAAAACATTGTGAAATTTTTTAATTAAACAAATTTTCAAACAGTAATTTTTGGAACAAGTTTACGCTCATTGTTCTAAGCCTGTTTTGAACTTCAAGTTTTTTTTCAGGCTTAACTTCCAGTCATGGAATATTTTCTCTGGAATAATATCAGAATTCTGAATTTTTCTGACAAATAGTAAAATAAATATTTCATTAAAAACTAACCATTGAGTTGTTCCTCATCAAATTCATCTTCTTCAGCTTCTAAACAACTATCAACACGAGATGGACGAATTGGTAATCGATAAATAGTATTTTCAGCATGCATTGCGATCACTTTAACTTCTCCCTCATTATGTTCTTCATTTCCATTTGGCACATGATCATTTGTCAATTCTATACCGTTTTGATAATCACTATATTCAATTTTCTTCAAATGTCCTCCAGCTTTCTTCCATTTTTCTCCAACATAATCCAATGTTGCGTCTTTGATTCTCAATGGTCTTGCATATTCTCTTCCCGTCCATTTTTTGACATAATCAGCGAGCACATAAAATACAAGTTCTTCGTTATAAGGCAATCGAAATTTGCGAGTGATCTGTATTTAAAAAAAAACATTTTTGAGAATTTCAAAAATCAACTACTTACATTCAATCGATTTTCACACTGATAAACCCGAATTTGCATTTTACATGACATTGAATGCAAAAAATTTCCACCAAAAACCAAACTATCTTCAGGCGTATAAACCGCGTGTATCCAACCACTTGGAATCATCATCGTATCTCCTGGCTCGAGAATTGCACAATGACACGATTCAACAGATTTTCCGAAAAATGAAGAATCTCCAACTGTTTGAATAAATTCTTGATATAAAAGGAAATTGGTTTCAGTTGGTGGAATCAGCCAAAATACTTTTTTGCCTTTCAAAACATGATACCAAACCGATGTTCCACTAAAATCAATGTGAAAATCGGTATAACATTTGGCAACACTCATGAGGCAATAATTTTGAACTTTTGGGAAAATGTGATGCGGTGTATAATTGTTGTCTTTTCCAAAACTAATCCATCGTTGTCTCAATGCATCCGGCCATTTATTTCCAACCCAATCGATGTTTCGAACCAATGATGGACTTTGAACGAGATCCTATGAAAACAAGGTTTTTATTGTTTGAAAACTTCCGATTAAAAATCTCATCTTGAAAAATACTCACTTCCAACTTTGTCAGCGAAAATTCAAGTGACAAAACATTGTATAAAATATCCCGTTTTTCTTCGGGTGTTTTATAAAAATCAATAAAATTTTGAAGATTCATTTTGACACTTCCTTGATTGCGAACTTCGACAACTTCGATCATTCTGTTTCCTCCAACAATTTCTAAAACATCATCAACGGTGAATGAACTATCGGGTAATCTGAAATATTTTCCAGTTATACGATCTCTTCAATGTTAAAAAAAAACTAACGTCATTCCTAATAGTTTTGGATCACATCTGAAATGCAATGGATAATCCAATCCTGTTTTCTCGTAATATTCTTCATTCAAATCAGCTGGATCAATAGTGTGAACAAATTCTGGATGTTTGAAAGTTGGATCATTCATGAGTTCAACGAAGTCGTATTTTACAACTCGCTGGAGTGATTCCTTATCAAATTCTTTTGCTTCTACTTCTGGTGAACTTCTTTCATCTTCAGTTGTTGAATCTTTTTTACTCTGGAAATTAGAAGTTTTGGAAGATTATATATATATATATTTCAAAAAGAAAAAAAACTAACCCTTCGGCCTCTTTTTCCCCCACGTCCTCCGCGCCCTGCCGCTCCTCCGCCGCGAGATTTGCGCTTTGGTGGCATTTTGCTGAAAAATATGATTATTTCGGTTTGTCCTAACCTCTGACACGTTTTAAACGTGGATGACGTAAAATTATGACGGAAAAAAGTAATTTCGCGGGTACTGTAGTTTTCTAGAAGTGCAAACACCGTTGCACACAATGCATTTTAGATGACGCGCACGTATTTTTATTTTTTCGCGAAAAATTTTTCTTGTGTTTTTGGGGGAGAGCTGGGGTTAAAACTGAATATAAGAAAAACTGAATGTAGAATCGGATTCAGCGCCTTAAAACATAGTGAAATAAGAAATACGAAACATTTTTGGAGTAATTGAAACCGCGGGATTCCGCTGTTTTTTAACAAGTTCAGGGTTTTTTCGAATATAAAGCCAACTTTAAACTAGTTTAAATGACAATTTCACCAATAATTTTTCTTTCGAACCTTCAAAAAACGCGCTAGCACTATAACAGGCTGACGTGTTTTGTTGTCGTTTCTCTCAACACAGCAAGCCAACATTGGCGACGCCATCCTATTTTTTGTGTGTTTCTCTCGTTGTCTATGTTCTCCAATGCGTCCAGTGCAATGCTTGTTGTTTGATCGAATAAACCCTTCATCCTATTCATCTCTTTCTTTTTGTCGTTTCTACCAACAAATGGTTAAATTTTCATATTCTTTTCTCTGATTATAAAACCATTCACAAGTCTCAGTCAATTTGTAGTTTGAAGAAAAAACATCACTGAAAAAAGACCAAATAACAGTTGTTCCACTTTTTGTTCTCTTTTCTCTCCAAGTACAAATAGTATAATTTTTGCTGAAGAATTTATCACAAAAAAGTTCTGAAAAATTATCATTGTTTTGTCAGAACATGGAAAACTCTTCAGCTTTTATTTCCAGAGATTGCTGAAAAGTTTCTTTGTAAGAAATTTTAAATGAAACCAATTTCTGAACAAGGAAGGTTTCCTATTAGGTTTTCCCGCCCCTTTTCTACATATCCCAGCCTGTTGCGCATTATGACGCGATTTCTTCGTACATCTGGCATTGTTCCAATTATAAATGTGTGCATTGTTTGATTTATCGATCAACTTTCCCCCTCTTTCTCATATTTTCACCCATCATTGTTTTTTTTTCGCTTAAATTTCATATAACTTATTGTTGTTTGCAGTTGGTTCATAAATTACACCACATAACAAAAAATGACAGTGGCTGCGGCAAAAAGAACAACAAGCGCTGCGAATAGATCGAAAAAACGACGAGGTGGTGGAGTTTCAAATACAGCCAATTCGTATGAAGACCATCAACAAGCTACTAATTCATCGAATATGGCAAATACACAGGCGACCAAATCAACTCGGGCAAGGTAAAGATTTGGGAATATTTTTGGTTGATGTCATTGACTATCAAGGGAATAGAATGAACTTTGCAATAATCATGGATTTCAACAAAAACTCTCAACCAGAAACACTTTTATTAGAGCTCGAGTACAAAAAAACTGCAAGTAAAAAATATTTTCTTAATATAAAAATTATGATGGACATTATTGAAATATACAAAAAAGCTAGATTGAATGGGCTCTACGGGTGAGTTCGGAATGGTTGTAGGATTCACCGTTCCTCGTGTCCAGTGATGACTTGGCAGAAGTGTGTGGTGAATTTGCGCCTTCTAAAATCTACCGTATTTGACTGAGTTGAGAATAGTCCGTGATCAACTTACATTGAATCTCTCGATTCCGATGATTCCATTCTGCTGGCGAATAGTGGTTAGGTCATAGTAGAGAACTGAAGAAGACTACCGATTCGGCGTCTTAAATAGTCGCTTAGGCGACGTCATCAATTTCTAGGCCACGTTTTATGTTTTCACGTCATAGAGACATTTTTTTCCAATTTCATTTCTCGAAAAAAAAATAAAATTTTGTGGGGTTTGCTGAATAAAAAACACTACCAAAGTGAGCAAATTTATAGTATCAAAAAGATTCTGAAGTTCAATGACGTCATTAATAGAAAAAAACATATTTTTGATTATCCTTTTTTCCAATTTCCCGTTTCCCATTCCTCAATAATTTTTTTTATATTATTTCAGAAGAACCGCTGTAAAAGATGTTTCAAATCACAAAATCACGGAATTTTTCCAAGTTCGACGAAGTAACCGAAAAACGAGTAAACAAATCGAGGAAGAGGAAAAAGATGCGCTACGGGATGCATTGGCAACGGGTTGCAATGAGAAAATGTTGGAAATCTATACGGATCCAATAAAAGGCCGTGGTATTCGAGCTGGCCGAATTTTCAACAAAGGCGATTTTGTTGTCGAATATAAAGGTGATATGATGGATTATTCAGTGGCAAAACAATTGGAAGAAGAATATTCAAATGATGAAAAAATCGGGTCATATATGTATTTCTTCACATGGAATAATAAAAAATGGTGTATAGATGCGACAAAAGAATCGAAATATAAGGGAAGACTTATAAATCATTCTGTACTTCGGCCGAATCTTAAAACAAAAGTTGTTGAATTTGATGGAAGTCATCATTTGATTCTTGTCGCAAAACGAACAATTGAAGAAGGCGAAGAACTTTTGTATGATTATGGAGATCGAACAGCAGCTACTATTGCTAAAAATCCATGGCTTGTTAATACGTAATCGGATTTTTTCTTGATAATTTCTTTTGGATACTTTAAAATTCATTTATCTCATGGAAAATCTTTCATACCTAAATATGTTTCCAATCTCATCTCCCCTCTTTTTTGGCCCTTTTTCCTGGCCATTTTAATATCTTATCTGCTCACATTTTTCTCATGATAGGAACAAATTACTTCTGTAGCAATATTCCTACTTCAAGCAAATTTTGAACAAAAATTATTCATTCCTTTATATTTATTCTCCAAGAAAATCCAAAAAACCCAAAAAAAAAAGTTTTGTAAAATCACTGTAACATTTCATTTTCTTCTATTTTCTTTCTTTGTTTTTTTCTTATTTATGACTGGTTTTCATGTAAAATACATACTCTTCACACATTTTGTGACTTCAAAAAATAAATTTTCATATTTCTTATCTCGTCAACCGTTTTTATTTCTGCAAGAGAATGGCTTTCCGTGAATGTTTTGAGGCTTTTTGAATGAGGGATAACTGGGGGAAAATTTCAGGAAATTTATGACAAACCCGATTTTGAATGTTGTTGTTGTCAGTTTTCATCACAAAAGAGGGTGTGAGGTAAGAAAATTGGGAAATTTTGAACAAAACCAGTCGAAATCGTTGCGAGACCCATCGCCAGAAAAATTAATGTTCCTTTAAAAATTTTAAGAAACGTTTATTTTTTAAACGAAGGGTCTCAAAGCGATTTTGATATTCGCCACGATTTTTTATTACTTACAACAAAAATTAGTCTTTTCTTTTATTTCCAAAGTTTTCACCAATTTTTATTATTTCAGATTTCGTAACAATTTTCTGTTGAATTTTTTTTATTTTTTCAAAACTATTGGAATTTTGCACTGAAACAGCCTGAATGCTCAGAAATCTTTGAAAACTATCGGTTTTCAGCTCTTTTATAAAAAAAAATTATGAACTGGAAAAATTCTTGGCTGAAAATTCCGAAAATTGTTAGTTTCACAAGAACCGAAAAATTCGATGTTAAAAATGAAAATGAAATTTAAAGTCACGTGGAAATTTCACGTTTTTTATTTAAAAAAAAACATCGAAAAATCTCATTTCTCAATATTTTTCAGGTTGAATATTCGCACCCTCCTTTAAATGGACCAGGTGAAAATGGATTACCAGATGAATGGCATTTACTTCCATCTCTTGCTTTACCCGATGGTGTTCATAATTGTCAGAAAGGTACTTTAAAAAAAGCCCTGAAATCCTCTCAAAAGTCTTCTAAAACAATATATATTTCAGACACAATATTTTTCATGCTTCCCTCAATAAATGAAAAAGATAAATGCGTATTTGGCCTATCTTGTTATCGTCAAATCGATGCAAATGAACTACTTCATCGACCTGATGACGTCACAAGAACAAGTGTGCAAAAAAGTGTTGTTGTTATAACTCGAATTCCACTTTTTGGAGCATTGAAGGCGAAATTGGAAGTCATCACACAGGCGTATTTTGAACAACGGGATTTTGCGAAGGTATATCTGGAAAAACGATGAAAATTTGAGCGCTCGAAAATTAATTTTAATTTCAGGTCGAGGTACTTGCTCAAATGTACACAAATTTATGCGATATTTTTGATGAAAATCTAACCGGCGAATATTTTGCCAGTTTAGCTCTACATGGTAAGGATTGATGATTTTTAGGCTGAAATTAAAATTTTAAAAACATTTCAGAAATTTCGGTTCAGGACTTGTTTATTCGATTTCGCCATCGTGCATTACTACTTTTCAAATTGTTTTTGCTAGAAAGAAAGGTTGGTTTTTTGGGGAATTAAATTGGGGGAAATTAATTTTTTACAGAAAGTTTAGATTTGAAAAAAAATATTCCAGATTTTATTCATTGCTCCATCTGCAAATCGAATAGGAGAAACTATGTTAGCTGCGATTTCATTGTTTCCTAGTTAGTTTTTTTTCAATTTTTCATTTTCAAAATCCGTTTCAATATATTTTTCTAGAAGTTTTGGAAGAGGGATTGTATTATTCAAATATTGGATTATTTTCGAATCAAGAGCCAAAAATCCAACAAAACCCCAAACCGAAAAGCAATCCTGATGAAATAGTTATCGAAGAAGATATTGGTGTGGAATTAGCTCGAAATGATCCGATGCCTAAAGATTCCTTCGGATTTCCATTAAGTCTTTTCGGCCAGGGTTCATATTTCGATCCATATTTATCAATTCAATTTATGGATTCAATTTTGAAAGTGAAAAGTTGTTCAGTTGGTGCAACAAATGCATTATTTTCAATGAAAAAAGAGATGTTTGATGTGATTGTGAAAATTGAAGATGATGGAAATATTGTGCATAATCATGTTGATTTTGTGAATGAGGAATTGGAGAAGATCTGTGTTCTAACTACGGCTGATTTACGATTTGCTGATTTTGTTTTGAAAAAAGTTGAGGAACAAATGAAATCTAGTACTGCTGAATTTGATGGAAGTGATGAATGGGTTCGAATTCAAATTCGAAATTATCTTCTAAGTATTTTATCAACTTCGAAATCCGATTTGCAATCTGCAATTCCTCATTTTGGAGTGGCATTTATCAATTTATGGAGGAAAACTAAGAATTATCGAATTTGGATGGCAAAAACACACTCGGATATAGTTTCAGTTCCACCAGGACATATGTTTTCTGAACAACAAGGAGTTTATGATGTTTATTTGAAATTGGAACATGCTGTGAATGGTGTTGAAGGAGCGTCGAAAGTTTTTGGAAGTGTGAATACGGCTGGGAAGAATATTGGAAATAGTATAGGTTAGATTTTATCATAGGGGTTTTTGGAAAGAAAAAAGTTCTGTAATTTTTTTCAGTCAAAAAGATACAATTTTCAGTTCTAAAAAAATAGGCTGAAATTTCACACTGAAAATCTCAAAAATTTTTCAAAATAAGTTATTTTAGGAGTTTGAGAGCAAAATTTCAACTCGATTTTTGAAAAAAAAATTTTAATTGTAAGTAAATTTTTGGACTAAAATTTTTTTCATAAATTTCAAATTTTCAGCGAAAAAAGTTTCTGCGCTGAAATTTCGCCCTAAAAATGTATCTGAAAATTTTTGAAATTTGCCATTTTTAAGATTTCCAGTGCAGAATTTCAGTCTTGAAACTTATTTTTTGAATTTAAGCTCTCTTCGACCGTGAAATTTTCAGTGGAAAAAAGTTCTTGGCTGAAAATTTCGAAATACTCTTCAAAAATAAGCAATTTTACGAGTTTTGGAGACTAAAAATTATTCTTAAATGTATTTTTCAGCAAAAAATTCCGCCTGAAATTTTGTTTTGCTAGATTCAGCTTTAAATTTTTGTCTTGAACTTTCTTTCACAAAACGGCCAAATTTCATGTTTTCCTAATTGTCACGTCTTAGCAAATTAAAACTCCTAAAAATTCAGGTGAAACTGGAAGCCGAGTAAAAGCGAAATTCTCAAATTGGTGGAAAGGAAGACAACAACAACAACAACAAACATCTTCTTCTTCGAATTCAGTAACTGAAGAAGGAATTGAAGCTATTGAAGAAGATCGAAAATAACCATTGATCTCTATTTATTTATTGTATTTCAGTTTTTCGAGAAAAAAAATCCGGTAATTTTATTGATTGAAAAATAATTATATTGCATCCCTGTGAATAAATTTGAATTTAAAAATAATATTTTTATCATCTGCATATTTACTTTTAAAAAAAGATTATTTACAGGAAAAAAATAACTTATTTGACAGAGAATTTAAATTTAAAAAAAGTAATTGTTAAAAATGACAACAGAGAATTAAATTAACTGTGTTGCATATTTTCTTTATTCAAAGAAACACTGTCGAGTGATGCCAAATCGCCAATTGTTTCCGAGTCACAAACACTTTCTTGATCCGATTCAAGTGAAACTTTGCTTTGATTTTTGGGTTTGGATTTGAGGAACGAGTTGAGTCGCTTTTTGTCGATTTTTAGGTCTCTGCAAAAATGAAAGATAATTTTTTTTCGAAAAATCTCAAAATAAAAATAGTTTTGCTTCTTTCTATTAAAAATTTTATTTAAAAAACTCATATAATTTATTCAAAAAATTTTCATATTTCTTAAAATTTGGGCAATTTTTCCCGGAGCTCATTCCGAAGTTTTTATCCCAAATTTCGATAAATTCTCAAATTTTGAAATTTTTTTGAACTTCAAAAACATCTTCAGAAAAAAACTTACTGCAATTTGTGTAGAGGAATTCGTAAACCAGGAAGTAATGCGAAACTCTTCCCTTTCTTCTTGGTTTCACTGGTTTTTGATTGACGCGAAGTCGATCGAGCTGAAAATGTTGTTCATTTTTTTTCTGCATTTTCAATTGTTCCACTTACGAACTGCAAATGATGGCGGTAGAACAGTTCGTTGATCTTCCATTCGATGTTCACTCAATCTCGCAATCATTTCAAACAAATCCAATTCGGGTTCTTCTTTTTTCGCAAGTTTCGCCAATTCTCTTGCTTTTTTCGCTTCAATTATTTCATTAATTGTCATTTTCCAAACTTCGAAAGTTGTCGTTTGTTCGAATTTTATGGTTATCGTTTGTTCATCATAGATAATATTTGAAGTTTTGATTTCTTGCATGATTTTGTCGATGATTTCATAGAAATTTTGAAGATTTTCATCATTCTTTTGCTCAACAGCAGAAATACTGGCTATAACCAAATAATAAACAGCATTTTCGAGGTTCTTCATTCCAACCAAAGCTTTACAAATTGTCAATCGAATTTCTTGCAACAATTTCATATCACTATTTCCAAGTTGTTCTATCGATTCCAATCCACATTCATAAGCTTCCTCAAATCTTTCACAAATCTCAAAACAAGCTGATAATTTGATCATATAGAAAGTGGCGATTTTCAAATCATTGCATTTTTTCGCATAATTGATTGCGCAATTGAGTTTCTCGATTTGCGACAACAATTCATTTTGATAACAAAATCGAGCCATTTCATATGATAATTCATGTACTTTTGCATAGTTTTTACGCTGAATCGATTTGTTGATGCATTTCTGATATTTCTCGATGGCTTTTGTGGCGGATTTTTCAACAAGAACTGTGTATTTTGCTTCGAGCCGATCTAATTCGAGGCATAATTCATCACCAATTGCATATTCTCTTGATTCGCTGGAAAAACTTAAAATAAGTTTTATTCAAGGCTTTTCTGCATATTTTTGCAAAGAGATACTCACCCTAATAGTTTTTGGGCCTCTTCTAGAACCCCCAAATTGTCTGATTTTCTGCAAAACGCTTCATCCAATAACATATCAATCAAATGAATGCGAGCAATTGTTGAAGAAATACAATCATTTTCATCTTGCGCATATTCAATAAACTCTTTCAGCACCTTCTTTGCTCGCTTTTTTCGATCGAGTTTCATACAAATCGCAGTCAATCTCAAATACGCGTCAGTCGCTGATTTCATATCTCGATTCACTCTGCAAAAATATTTTGATTAGAAATCGCTAGTTGTAATTTAAAATAATGTGACTAACTTGTGCAATTGTACTTCATATTGATAATACGAAAAGGATTTTTCGTGAAGTCCCAGTGAATTGGATACTCTTCCGAGCCACATATAAATCGTTGGAAGAAGATTGAAATTTGATGTGCCGTGTTCCAAACATTCTTCGAGTTTTGCATAACCTGAAGACTTTCTGTACTACAATTTTTCTCGAAATAAAATCTTAAATACCTGCTGACAAATCACCGCTTTTTGCAGTATTCAATGCATTGTTCAACATTTCGATGCATGTCAAGTCATCTTTTTCCCCAAATGAGGTAGAGCAAATTGTGGTGTCCATCTGGAAAAATTAACAGGAAACTCAAAAAAATGGCTTGTTTTTTACACTCAAAATTAGGAAGAAAATAAGAGCGAAGAGCAGTAAAGGTCACGAAAGTAAGTTTATTAGCAAGGACAAAAAATAATTGAGAAGAGCTCTGTGAAACTTCCAGAGCCCACGCGTTTTTTTTTTTGAACGAATCGAAAAACAAAGTTTACCCGCGGGCCCGTTAGTGCAGACTGCAAACACGGCGACGAACAAATGCACACAAAAAATGTGCGAATGAAAAAAATCGTTCGGTCTCGTCACGAAGAGCTACAAAAGTTAAAGGAACACACTGAAAATGAAATAGGTCCTGAGGCTTTTTTGAGGTTGCCACGTTTTTTGCACACCCGTTCAAACAATGAAAAAATTAGAAATTTCTTTTATTCACACTGCGCCACAATTTGCAAAGGAATTAGCTAACTAAGTGGCAAAACTAAATATACCATTAGAATCAGCGCATCGAGATCTGTGTGAGACTACGCATTTCGAAATTTTTAGGGTCCTGCGAAGAAAGTTAGCAATCGCGACAAGACCCAACGCATGAAATTTATCATGTTCCTTTAATACTGTAGTGCGAAATATAACGGCGAACAGAGAGAATTAGACAAAAGTGTTTGCACAGTTTTTTGTTTTGTTTTACAGTAGAAAACACTCATTGCGTGGCTTGAACGGGTGTGTTTGCACCTGTTCAAGCCACGCAATGAGTGTTTTCTACTGTAAAACAAAACAAAAAACTGTGCAAACACTTTTGTCTAATTCTCTCTGTTCGCCGTTATATTTCGCACTACAGTATTAAAGGAACATGATAAATTTCATGCGTTGGGTCTTGTCGCGATTGCTAACTTTCTTCGCAGGACCCTAAAAATTTCGAAATGCGTAGTCTCACACAGATCTCGATGCGCTGATTCTAATGGTATATTTAGTTTTGCCACTTAGTTAGCTAATTCCTTTGCAAATTGTGGCGCAGTGTGAATAAAAGAAATTTCTAATTTTTTCATTGTTTGAACGGGTGTGTTTGAAAATTATTTTTCATTTTTTTTTTTCACAGTTTTTGTTCACTCGGTTTTCAGCGATTTTCAGCCGTGTTGCCGATTGTGTCTTCTATTATTCAGAAATTCAAATGTAACTTTCTGCTTTTTCCCGTCTTATGTTCAAAAAATCATTGATCACTGTTCATAAAACAGAGTTTGTCAATAAATTGCATACTTTGACCCCTCGTCCGTTCTTTTCTTTTCTCTTATCTTTTTTTGCTTTTTGTCTCTCTAAATCTCCATTTACAAATAACAACACGTGGGGTCTTTCCTCTCTTTGTAGCCTATATTTTCATTATTACCATTTTTACTATTCCTAAGAATCTTCATATGAAAGTTCACTTTTCAACTAAAAAAAACAAAAAATGTTTGTTTTCGTTTTTTTTCTGTTGAAAAACAACAACTTGTCTTCTCTTCTTCTTTTTTCTCTCGATAATTTTTTAGTATACTAGTTTGTCAACAACTGCTATCACTTTTATTTAATTTCAGCGTGAAACTTCCAAAAAAAATAAATTCATAATTTATTTTCAATTTTTGCAGAAATGCGTATCAGCGGTGTGACACTTTATAGGATATCTTCACAAGTTCGGAATGTTGTCAATGGACAATGGACAACTACACATTATACTGTCAAGGTTAGTTTGAAAAATACTCAATTTTCGAAAAAAAATGAAGATTTGCAGGACAGATCAAAAGATGCTCGATGGAAAGATATTGATATGACACGTGTTAGTGAAGAATACGATGTTGCAATTATTGGAGGTGGTCCTTCTGGTCTTTCAACAGCTATTAAACTCAAACAATTGGCTGAAAAAGCTCAAAAAGAATTGCGTATTTGTGTCATCGAAAAAGCTCCAGAAATTGGAGCTCACACTCTTTCTGGAGCTGTTATTGAGACACGTGGATTGGATGAATTGATTCCGAATTGGAAAGAACTTGGAGCCCCGGTTTATCAAAAAGTTGATAGTGAATCAATCGCGATTTTGACTGAAACTGGAAGAATTCCAGTCCCAATTGTTCCCGGTGTTCCATTGGCAAATCATGGAAATTATATTGTTCGTCTTGGAAAAGTTGTTCAATGGTTGGGTGAACAAGCAGAAGCTGCTGGAGTTGAAATTTGGCCAGGTGTTGCAGCCGGTGAAGTATTATATAATGAAGATGGAAGTGTAAAAGGAATTGCGACAAATGATGTTGGAATTGGAAAAGATGGAGCGCCAAAAGATGGATTTGAAAGAGGAATGGAAATTCATGCTAAATGCACAGTATTTGCTGAAGGATGTAGAGGACATTTGAGTAAACAAGTTCTCGATAAATTTGAATTACGAACTCATCCAATGACTTATGGAATTGGATTGAAAGAATTGTGGGAAATCGACCCAGCAAAGCATAGACCTGGATATATTGAACATACTATGGGATGGCCATTGGTAAGATTATTTGTGATTTTATTTGAGATTTTATGATGTTTTTCAGGAAAAACATCAATATGGTGGATCATTTTTATATCACATTGAAGATGAAGGACAACCATTAGTTTCTGTTGGATTTGTTGTTGCACTCGATTATTCGAACCCAAATATGAATCCATATAAGGTAACTTCTTGGGATGAAAATTGAGTTTTTTCTCTCATCTAGTGGCACATGTCACTAATAGATTTTGAAGTTACAAAAACTTTATTCAACAAAAATACGTGTGATTTTCAGTATAAAAGGGAGCATCTGAAATTTCTGATTCCAAACTTAAGATAAATTAAATTGTAAAAATTTGTTTGTATAATTAATTGACCCAAATCTAAATTTTTCTTAGGAATTCCAAAGATACAAAACGCATCCCTCGATTTCTAAACAATTAGAAGGTGGAAAACGCATTGGATATGGAGCTCGTGCATTGAATGAAGGAGGTTTCCAAAGTATTCCAAAATTGCATTTCCCCGGTGGTTGTTTAGTTGGATGCTCGGCTGGATTTTTGAATGTTGCCAAACTCAAGGGAACACACAATGCTATGAAATCTGGAATTGTTGCTGCTGAAGCGATTTTCAAGGAATTGGAGACTAATTCCGAAGCGAAATGTGAGTAAACTTGGGAGTTTTGGGGGAAAAATATATGGGATGAAAATTGTTTTTCTGAATTAGAAAAATATGTATGCCTCTTATGATTTCAGCAATTGACCCAGCTGAATATGAGAAGAATTTGCAAGACACATATGTTATCAAAGAACTCAAAGCCACTCGTAATATTCGTCCATCTTTCAATACATCACTTGGATGGTTGGGAGGATTATTATATTCTGGACTCTTCTATGTTTTGGGAAGAGGAAAAGAGCCATGGACTTTGGCGCATGGAAAGAAAGATAATGAGAAATTGGTGAATATCAAAGATGCGCCAGCAATTGATTATCCAAAACCAGACGGAAAATTGACTTTTGATTTGTTGACAAGTGTTTCATTGACTGGAACAAATCATGCGGAAGATCAACCGGCACATTTGACACTTAAAAATGATCAGGTTCCACTTGAGGAGAATCTTGCCAAATTTGGTGGACCTGAAGCCAAGTTTTGTCCAGCTGGTAAGATTTTGAGCGGGGTTGGGGTTTTCAAAAATTATTCGGCTCCAAAATTTTTAATTTTGCACAACAATTTGAATTTGAAAATTATGACACCAAAAACTCAGGAAATTTTCTATAAAATGAACATATTGCTTCCCAGAAATCCGAAAATCAAATTTTGACGCTGAAAAATTCCACGTGGCAACATTTTTTTCTACCCGAATCACCACGAAATTTTTCCAGGAGTCTATGAATTTGTTCCATCTGAAACTGACGCATCAAAACTTCGCCTTCAAATAAATGCTCAAAACTGTATTCATTGCAAAACGTGTGATATCAAAGATCCCCTTCAAAATATCAATTGGGTTACACCAGAAGGCGGCGGTGGACCAAAATATCAAGGAATGTAAATTTTACTAGAGAATTTTTTGTATAAACAACGAGGTGCATTTGATTTTTATAAATGAATATTTTTCTATGAAGACTTTTGAACTTTGTATTTTTTGGTTTCAAGATATTTATCGCACGTGTCGAATGATAAGGTTCTGCCTTTTTCATTGATTTTCATTTTTATTATTTTTGAGTAAACTATTTTTTCTTGTTTAAATTATTTAACTAACTACTATATTAATTTGTTTTTTTCTATCAATACCACTTTTCTGTTGTTCTTGATAAGATAACCTTCAATGGCACTTTCAAAATTTTTTATTTACCTTATTTTTTGCAGATAAAAAAACATGTTAGCTAGAAGAACAGTTCGATCATTTTTGGCGGTTAGGGTGAGTTTTTAATCGAATTGTCAGAATTGAAAAATTTCCAGACCCGCAAAATGTTTTTGTGCATTTTTGCGTGCGCGTGTTTGCACACTCGAGCAGCGCGAAAAATATTTGAATATTTTTCAAAAGTTTTGTGTGCTGTGCACATTTTTTTCTAAAAGTGGAAAAAACCGTGATTTATCGGAAAATTGATTTTTTAAAAAATTGCATTAGTTTCTGTTTTAAAATAAACATTTTAAAATTTTGAAATTTGTCCGCGGAAAAATCCTGCGCAACTGCAGACAGATCATTTTTTGATGTTCTAAAATTGCAATACAAAAAATTGACCATTATATAAACTCTAATCAAATGGGGCGATTTGTTATCTTTTTCATCTATCTATCTACTTTTATTATTTGATAATTGAAGACAAAAAATTGCCAAGACATATAGATACATTCATAATTTTTATACCGAACAAGTTTTTTCTATCTTATGATCATTGAGATTAAACGAGACGAAAAAACTTCCTCAATTGATTTAAATCAAGATTTTCGTCGTTGTTATTTAGATATTCTGTATCCATTTCTTCTTTTTTCATTTCAACTTGTTTTTGTTCAGAATTTGAAAATGGCTGATCGTCAAGTACACACGGAATTAATTCCAGTCAACAGAACAAAATATGCGGCTGGCGAGAATATTTTAAGAGATCATGTTGAAAAAATCGATCCAGAAGTTTACAATATTATGAAGAATGTGAGTTTTACTCAAATTTTGTTGAATCAATCAAGATTTCTATAGGAAAAAGCTCGCCAACGTCGTGGTTTAGAGCTCATCGCCTCGGAAAATTTCACAAGCAAAGCAGTTATGGATGCACTTGGTTCGGCAATGTGCAACAAATATTCAGAGGGTTATCCAGGTGCAAGGTGAGCAAAGTTCAATATATTTTATAATTGACAGTTGATTGACATTTCAGATATTATGGTGGAAATGAGTTTATCGATCAAATGGAATTGTTGTGCCAAAAAAGAGCTCTTGAAGTTTTCGGATTGGATCCAACAAAATGGGGAGTGAATGTGCAATCATTATCCGGTGCTCCAGCTAATTTGGCTGTTTATACAGCGATTGTTGGAACAAATGGACGAATTATGGGATTGGATTTACCTGATGGTGGACATTTGTCACATGGGTGAATATACTTTTTTGAGTTTTGAAAGTCTGAAAATGGGAAGCAAAAATTGCTTGGGAGAGAATAGAGATTATTGGATTTTTAAGAATCACGGTTTTTGAGACCAAATAAATAGGATTTGGGGCTGGCGTGAAGTATTCGTATTTTTCCCACGTGGATTTTTTGATCACCAAAAAATTCGTTCACATGAATTTTGTGATGCCATGAAATCCACGTGTTAAAAATCGATTTTCAAGATCACAACCGAAATTCCTTATTTTTTGCTCAGATTCTACACACCAGCTCGTAAAGTATCAGCAACATCCGAATTCTTCCAATCACTTCCATACAAAGTTGATCCATCCACAGGCCTCATTAATTACGATAAATTGGAAGAGAATGCTCTTCTCTTCCGCCCAAAAGTAATTGTTGCCGGTGTTTCGTGTTATGCTCGTCATTTGGATTACAACAGATTCCGTAAAATCGCGGATCGAGCTGGCGCTTATTTGATGGCCGATATGGCACATATTTCTGGACTTGTTGCTGCTGGTTTGATTCCATCGCCATTTGAGTATGCTGATGTTGTTACAACTACAACACACAAATCATTGAGAGGTCCAAGAGGAGCACTTATTTTCTTCAGAAAAGGTAAATTGTAAAATTTCTGTTATTTTCACGTGACCTAAATACAACAAACGTGGAAATTTAAAATTATCAACAAAAAAAACATTTCTCGAAAAATAATCCAATTCTTTAGGAGTTCGATCTGTGAACGCAAAAGGAGTTGAAATCAAATATGATTTGGAGGACAAAATCAACACAGCCGTTTTCCCTGGACTTCAAGGAGGACCACATAATCACACAATTTCGGGTATCGCAGTCGCATTGAAACAATGTTTGAGTGAAGATTTCGTCACTTATGGTCAACAAATTTTGAACAACGCCAAAGCTTTGGCCGAAAATTTGAAGAATCATGGATATACTTTGGCGACCGGTGGAACTGATAATCATTTGCTTTTGGTTGATTTGCGACCAATTGGAATTGAAGGAGCACGAGCTGAACACATTTTGGATTTGGCACATATTGCATGTAATAAGAATACGTGTCCAGGTGATGTTTCGGCTTTGAGACCGGGAGGAATTCGATTAGGAACACCTGCGTTGACATCGCGTGGATTTAAAGAGGCTGATTTTGAACGAGTTGGAGATTTTATTCATAAAGGTTGGTTTGAACTAGTAAAATTATTTTTTGAATTTTTTTCGAACCCTCAAAGCTGGATTTTTCCACGTAGCTTTCATATTTTAAAAATTGATGAATTTTCAAAAGATTTTTGCCAAGTGGATTTTTGGCACTATAAGTTGTTTTCAAAGAGTCACGTGGATTTTAACACGGTTTTCCGAATTCTTTGCCACGTGGATTTTTGGCGTGAATTTAAAAAATTGGTGGGCATTGCTCATGTTATTGGTTTTCGAATTTTTCTTCAAAGTTAATAGCTTTCAACTGTTTTTCCTCTCCAATTCAATATTTTTTGCAGGAATTGAAATCGCTAAAAAATACAACGCAGCTGCCGGAAAAACATTGAAAGATTTCAAAACTTTCACCGCAACAAACGAGGAGTTCAAAAATGATATTGCATTATTGGCACAGGTATTTTTTTAAAATTCTTCTCATTTTCCTCTAAAAATCCGATTGTTTTTCAGGAAGTCGAATCGTTCTCCGGAAAATTCGAAATTCCAGGAAACGAGTTATTCTAAGTTTTATATTGGAGATTTATTCACATTTGATCATGAATTGTTTGGAAATTGTATAGTTTTTGTCGTATGGTTTCATTATAGAGAAAATTATAGATTTGGAACCGAAATTGGAGCAGACAATATGTAAGTAGGGGGGTTTTTGGCGCCTAAAATGCTACAGTAACCCGGATTTTGCCACGTGGAATTTTTTTTGATATCTTGTAAATCTTCAAATTTATTCATTTCTCAAAATCTTTTCAAAATAAATTCAAAAATTATTGTCAAATTCTCCTCATCTTCAAGCATATTGTAATGATCCCCAGATATTTGAAAAACCTCGAAATTTCTTGAAAATCTGAAATAATTTATTTTTCCTCTATAGAAAAACGACTATTTTTCTCACTTTTTCCATCCCAAATCTGTTCCATCAATTGATAAAACAAAGATCTTTGTGTCGAAATTTGGATGATAATTTGGCTCGAAATTTTTTAGAATCTGAAGAGTTTTCCAAGAAGATTCGGCTAATTGATTGATATTCATTGAATCAATGTTATACTTTGATAGATTTTCATGGATGTCCTGGAAAATTGGATTTTCTTGGAAGAATTTGACCTTAAGATATAGATTAGGCGTTTACCTTCTTGTGATTTTCGAAATTCAATTTGTTGATATTTTCCCAATAAGTTCCAGAATCCAACAAAATCACATTGACTTTCCCAAATTTTTTCGAAGTTTCAAAAGCGAATGTTCCAGCTGCTGAAGCTCCAATAAATGTCAGATTTGAGATTGGAGCTGAAATATTTTTATCCCACGTGGCATTTTTCATATTTGGGCTAACTGACCTTTTTTTCGAATTTGTTGCTCATAATTCTCCACCACAATCTCCATTGTTTCCCCAATAAATTCTTCCAAAAACACAATTTCAAAACGATTTTCCAAATATTTTGCCAATTTCATATAAGGAATGCATTCTCCATACAAAGCGGGGAAAAATATCAGATATTTTCTAGATTTTATTTTTGAGTCTATAAGTTTTTTGAGATCCGAATAAACTAAATTTGACAGTAATTCTTCGACTGAAAGAATAATTTCGAATCTTGATTGAATTAAATATCGAAGTCGAATTAGAAGTAGAGAATGACCTCCAACCATGTAAAAATGATCATTTGGTTTTGGAGCATTTTTCAGAAGAGTTTTCCAGATCTCTTCTAATTTTTCGTCGTTTTTCGAATCGTTCTCACAACAATTACTCATATTTTTCAACTTTTTCCAGATCAATTTTCGAATTTTCAGTTAATGGAAATTCTTTAATTCTCAAATATTTGCTGGGAACTTTATGCTTCTCCAAATTTTTCAGACAATGATTTCTTATTTCCTCAGCTTCTATGTTTCCCGTGTAAAATGCGTGGATATTTTGAGATTCTTCGTCGAAAATTGTTTTGACTTTTTTGATTTTGGCCAAATCTTCGATGCATTTTTCGATTTCGCCGAGTTCGACGCGGAAACCGCGGATTTTTATCTGCAAAAATGGGAATTTGAGAGATTTTTTGAGGGTTTTTGGCATGAAAAATCCACTTGGACATTTTTGTGTTAATGATGCTGGAAAACTCAGAAATTCTACGTGGCTCTTTTTCTGAAACTGATAATATGTTTTTGTGCTGAAATTTTTTAAATTTAAAATTTTCTCAAAAAATTTGAGCTCACGTTGCTAGAAAAATCCAAAAACGTTTTTTGTTTTAAAAATCAAACCTGTGAATCTTTTCTTCCTTCAAAAATCACTTGATTATTTTCCTGAATCCGACACAAATCTCCTGAATTATACCAATCTTTATCTTTTTCTCGTTTTTCCATCTTCAAATATCCTCTCATTTTTCCAATTCCATCAATCAATAATATTCCATTTTCATCCAATTTTATTCTCGTATTCACAGCTGGCAATCCAATATTTGTTGAAATATCGTCCATTTTCATTTTCTTGCTCAAAGCAAATGCTGTTGTTTCAGTTGGCCCGTAATTCTGAATTACACAACATCCCAATTTCAGCGCATTTTTCATGATTTTTTCTGAGAGTTTTTCTCCGCCAACAATCCAATATGATAATTCTCGAAGTTTTTGAATATCAAATGATTGAACTAAACTTGGAAATAATAGGCAATGAGTTATATTTTGGGATCGAATCATTTTTGAGAATTCGGATGGATCGAAGTCTTTTGAATATATAAGTCTGGCTTGAGATGATATTGTCATAACAACTTCTAATACTGAATTATCGTAGACGAAATTTGTGAATTGATAAATTCCAGAATTTGAGCGAACGAGCATTTCCAATGTTGAAGAAACACTGAAATTAAGGTCAGTTAAAACAAGCCCAAATGTTCTCAGATCAGTCAGAAACTTAAAAAGTTCAAACCACTCAGGGAATCACGGGCGAGATCTCCGCGATTCGCGGGACCCAGAAATCCGCGAAATCGCCGCGAACACGCCGCGATTTCGCGGTTTTCTGTCTGCGAATCGCGAAAATCTCGCGGTTCTCTCTCAAAAATCAAAAAGTAGAGGCGACGCGAGACACAACTAATCGCTTTTAATCATACTCACTCGGCCGGCCTCGATCCGACACTCTCTGGCTCACACACATCCCTTTTACCCACTTGACCATCCACGCGCACGACTCATATCGCTGAAACGTGTTTCATATATCTGCACTCTCGTCGAGACAGCCCGCGAAATTCACGCGAAACGCGAACTTCTCTGCGTTTTGCGGAAATCTCGCGACAAAATATTTTCGACCGAGTCACTTCGCTAAATTTGCGCAATTCGCAAATGTCCACCGCGAAGTTTCCGCAAAACGCTGGACGCCCGCGAATCGCGTAGATCTCGCCCGTGATTCCCTGAACACATGCCGTCAACGCGGAGGCTCGTTGTTTTTTCTCAATTTTTCCATTTTTTGGAAAATGAACATTTGCATGAAAAACTATTTTGTTTTTTTCCTTACTCACCTCAAATTAACCACTGATTTTCCAGAAATACAAACCGATTTTGGTTTTCCAGTTGTTCCACTTGTTGTTATAATATAAGATAAACAATGATTATTTGAAATATTAAATATTCTCCCAGAACTCCTATAATTTTTCCCAATTACCTCGAAGACCATTGATGTATCCTTGATTATTTGTGATATTCGATTTTCTGGATAACTTTGATCTATCGGAAGATATGCACCTCCTGCGATTTGAACTGCTAAACAAGTTAGAGTTGTTTCAATCGATTTTGTGCCAATTATTCCGATTATATCATCTGACCTGATAGTTGACACTTTTTTACGGAAATTTTGGTTTTGGATTTCTAAGGCTTGAGTGGAAATGAATGAATAAGCTTGGGAATATGAGAAGGAATCAGTGAGTTGGGATTTTGATTGGAAAAGTTTTTGGAGAAGATTTGGCCAGGGATGACTTGGGATATCTTTTCTTTTTCCAAATATTATTCCATTCTTTATTTTTTTCTTTCTGTCCTTGTTGTCACCTACAATAGATCCCCTGATTTCATTTAGAATCCTCGAAACTTCTTCAAATGTATATCGATTTGATCGCATTGTCAATTTATATTTATTTTTCACAAGATCCACATCGAATTCAATAGGAAAGTGTAGTTTTGTTGGAATTAGATCAAGAAGTTGTTCATCATCGCTTTCATCATATTCCAAATCATATCTACAATTCAAATAAACACTCGCAATTTCGTTTTTTGATTTTGTACGGAATTTTTGAATCACATTTAAATATGGATAATTCATATCGATGATTTGAGATACACTAAATTCCGAATCTGTGTTAATCACTAAATTATTCAAAAAATATCCGCAAATATTCATTGTTTTCTCATTTCGATTCAAGATTGGAAATGCGATATTGATTCCTTTTTCCTTCGAAATTGCAGTGGAACATTTTTGAAGGAATAAATTGAATGGGGTTAGATTATATTTTCGATGTTGATTTACAAGATCTTCATCAATTTCAATAGACAGTTTTACAACTTCTATTTTTTCTTGCCTTGTTTCATTGAAAGGTTTTGCTTGGAGCAAACTATTCATATATTTTTCATCAATATCCACTGGTTTCCTGATTTCAGTACAGTAATCGCTATAATTATATTTCAAAGGTTCTGGAGAATTTCTTAGTTTCATAAATTGATTCATAGTTTGATTGGTTATTTGAGTTGATCGAGCATCACTTATTAAATGATGTAAATGGAGAAATGCCACGTTTCTCCCGGAACTTTGTAGAAAAACGGCGCGAATTAATGGGCGACCATCGAGAACATCAATTATCTCATTGCAAAGGCTCCGAATTCCATCAAAGAGTTCAGTATCATTTTCGAATTTTAAAATTGTCATCGGAATAAAACATTCAGTTAGTGATATAATTTTCTGAATTGGCTCTCCTGTTTTCTCATCAATTTCAAATATTGTTCGATATATATTCTGCTGTTGAATTGTGTTGAGAAGTGCGCGATGAATTGATTTCACTTCAATATTTGATGGGAATCCTTGAATAAATGGTAATTGATATTCTGTGGAAAATTGGGTGATTTGAGAGAGATAGAACATTTGAAGTTGTTGATCGGATAAATTGAAATGCATTGGTAATGTGGTTGGAGTTAGCTGATCTTCAGTGGGAATTTGAGACGTTTCTGATCTCCCATAATTCTGAATCGCGTTTTCCAATAATCTTGGTGTCGGGTTCTCAAAAAGCAATCTAATCGGAATATCGATTGATTTTTGTTCATTTATCAAATCAACTAATCTCATGGCTGTTAAAGAATGTCCACCTTTATCGAAGAAATTGTCATTCTCGCTGATCTCTTCTGATTGCAAGATTTCCTTGAAAAATTGAATAATTTGATTTTTATTAGTTTGATAGGTCAATGAATCAATTAGAAGATTGATTTGTGATTCAGAAATTAGTTCAGAATTATATTCGAGTCTTGCAAGATGTTTTGAATTAGAAATTGTGAGGAGAATTGGAAATTGATTGAAGGAGTTCGAAACTTCGTCAGGTAAAATTTCATCATGAAAATTAATAGCAAAATCAGTTTTTGTTCTATATTCCACATTCGAATATTTCTGATTTATCTCAATAATTCTTTCTGAAATAGTTTGTAGATCATCATTTTGTTTAATTGAAATTGGCAATGTATTTGCAAACATTGAAACTGTTCCCCAATTTTCAGTCGATCTATTTGCAAATGTCATTGAAATTGCAAAATCTTCTCGAATTTTGAAGATTTTTCGAAGGGAATTGGCGTAGAGTTGGAATACTTCGGGTGTTGAATAAGTTACTCCAAGTTCGAATGATTTAATCGAGGATTTTCTAGATGATAGCAAAGAGAAGATCCGATGATTTGAAACTTCTAGATATTCAAGTCTTGAATTTTCTAATTCAAAATTATTCTCAAATTGTTTATCTCCGTTCATCAATTGATTTTTGAGAATTTGCAAACTTCTGGCGTCACAAATTATATGATGAATACTGATTTCAATTGTGTTTTCTGATTTGACTCGAATCCATGTCTCATAAAACTTCGGAGAAACCAATGATGTTTGAAAGCTTGTGTAAAAAACTTCAGTCGCGGATAAAACTTCAAAAATCCATTTTCCACGTTTTCTCGAAAGTTTCGAGCGAATCAAATGATTTCCGCAAACTATAGAATTTATCCGATTTCTTAGTTCAGAACTATTTCTCTGCAAAGTCTGAATATTGAAGTTTAATCGATAAATATCTGGATTTTCAGCCATTCGACATTCAAACAATATTCTTTCTTGAATATGATTCAATTTGATATCATAACTGGAGTTTGGCTCCAATTTTTGAACTTCAGAAGTTTTCTCGACTACCTCATAAGCTTCTTGAGATATTTTCCGAAGGGTTCGAAGTTCAAAGAATTTTTTAGGGTTCAAAATAATTCCCAAACTTTTCAATTTTTGAATTGTTAACATAATTGAAATTGAATCAATACCGTCTTTGAATATATCCGAATCTGGGGAAGTGATTTTTGATTCGCTGTAATATTCAAGCCATTTTCGAATCAATTCTTGGATTTCTGAAGGGTTTTCAGTTGGGTTTGGGGTCGATTTATGAGTTTCTTGATCAATAATTGTGCATAGTTTCAGTTTGTCGATTTTCCCAGTTCTGAAATTGTAAATATTATTTTGGCACAATTTTATTCAATTTTGAAGATAAAATTTTTCTCAAATAAATTCTAGAAATTTGGGATACTTTTTTAAATGTTTTTTTTCTATGAAAATCCACATAAAATCCTAAAAACCAACCTTGTCAATGGGAATTCTTGTAATTTGATAACTCGATTTGGAATTTTATAAGAAACCAAATTATTTTTGAGAAAGTCTTCCAGTTTTTCTATTGAGCAATTTCCGATGAAAAATAATGCAATCTCTTTTTTCTTGAAAATAATGCAAGAGCAGGAATTAACCAATTGAGATGACATTACGATTTCTTCGATCTGCAAGAATTATTTTAATTCGGAATGGGCTAAACATTTTGATCAGGAAATTTATCATCTTCTTAGTTCACAACGATGTTCCGCGTTGACGACATAAGGAAATTTGAAATTTTGAAATTTAGATTTTTTTTTGAAAATTTCGAAATAGTCAAAGTTTCTAGAGTTTTCGAGAATAAAAGATTCTCTAAAATTTGAGACATAAAATCACTAAAACTCACTTCAAAAAGATCAATCCGAAATCCATTTATTTTGATTTGTGAATCATTTCTACCAACAAATTCAATTTCTCCATCAATATTTAATTTCACAATATCTCCAGTTTCCAATCTTCTCAATATTTCTCCACATCCAAAATATCCTCTCATTAATCCACATCCTTCCAAAATCAATTTTGAATTCCTCGAATCAATTGCACATATTATATTATCATAAGGTTTTCCAATATTTCTCGAATCAGTTGTATTTTTCATTCGTTTTCTAGTTGAATACACAGTCTGTTCAGTTAACCCATATTCTTGCCAGATTCTTAGCAACGGAAATTTATCCAAGATTTTCTGGAGCACATTTTTCTGAAGAGATTCGCCTCCAAATTGAAGAGTTTCAAGATTTCTGAAACATTCGAAATCCCTATTTTTTGATAGGAAAGCTGGCATTATATAAGCATTCCGGCATTTTTCGATTTCTTGAGGATTTGGAATCGAATCCTCACATAAAATTAATGACGAATTATTTATTAGGGTTTTTGTGATATCAGCAAAAAATATATCGAAACTTGGATCAACAGTTTGACAAATCACACTATTTTCATTGAGAAAATAGGTTTCAGTGTAGTTTCGCCCAAGATTTGCATGTCCCTCGAAAGCAGTTGCAACTAACTTGGGTTCTCCTGTACTTCCAGATGTACATGTGACATAAGATATATCATAACTTGATAATCTATTAAAAAATCTGCACTTATTTGCTTGAAGGTTATTTTTTGGAGAATCAATATCAAAATCAATAAAATTTCCAATCTTATTTTTGATTTTTTCAATAGTTTTTGAAGTATTTCCTTGATGAAATGGGACTGCAAATAATCCAGAATTCCACGAAGCAAATACACCGTGTAATATTTCCAATCGAGACCCACCAATTATCACCGCATTTTCAATCGAAAAACTACAGTACTTTTCGAGATATTGATTGATTATTGATAATTTATTGATTTCTAAGCTAAAGCTCCCATTAATTTTCAAATTTTGAATTTTTGTGAAAAATTGATGTTTTGGAAAATCAGATTTTTTTCCGATTAGTTTTGAGAACTTCTTTGAATTCTCCCGAGCATTGATTTTGCTGAAAACATCTTTGATATATTGATTGATGACGTCAGATGAATAAAGAGACGATATATATTCAACCTCAATCGATTTTTTTCGAATATACCAAGTCATTGGATATTTCGCTATTATTTTTTGTTGCTTTTTCTCTTCTTCACAAAAATGAACTCGTTTCTTATTATTTTCTGCTCCAAATTCATCATCAACTATCAAAACTTCAATAATTTCTCCATTTTCACCGGATAACTTCACTATTTTCTCATACGGATAAATTGAGTACCGTCTAGCATTTCGAATCTTTTCCTGAATACTCGAAGTCTCCGAATTATTGTTATTGATTGGCAATAAATTGCTGAAACATCCCATTGTTTCATTGAATTCAAAAGTTCTCAAATCAACTACAAATCCAAGTTTTGAATTTTCTGGCAATATTTGACTTATGAAATGAGTCATTGCTTCGAAGCGACTTCCAGGAAATTCAGAAATCTTGGTTTGGATTCTCTTTGGGATCATTTTTTTGATTGTAAATCCGGAGGAATCCTTTGGTAGTTCTGCTGCTTGGAATTTTTGAGTTTTCCAGTATTTTTCTGCAGCTGAGAAATCAATATTTCTCGTACAGTATTCATAATATTGCCTTGGTTTGGAGCTGAATAGTTGCTCATCGGAGAAGAATTCGTTTCTGAAAATTGCCAGCGATTTTCCATCAATGGAAATATGATCAAAAATCAATATAATATCTCGATTCTCCGAATAAATTTCTAAATTGCAACCCAAGATATTCGGAGATTTTTCCAAAATTTTGATGAAACATTCAGTAGCAGAGAGAATGAATTGAAAATCTTCGAAATAATTTGTGCGCAATATTGAATGTCTCATAATAATCCAATTAATTCGGATCTCCGCCTCTTTTTTATTTTTGAATTCGACGCGAATTGTTTCGTCAAATTGTTTCGAATCTTCAGTCATTTTTATAAATAATATTCGTTTTTGTTGCGATGACAATGGAATTTTGAATGGATCAGGGTTTAGATTTGGTACAGGATTGTTTTGGGCTGCTTTATTGGAGTCAGATGTTTCTCCCTGATCCAGAATTATCCTGCTTTGAACATCTTGCAATGTTTTACATCCAATTAAAAATCCAGAATCAGAATTGGCACAATTTGGAAATTCATTTAAAATATGATATTCTAACTCGAGGATTCGAATTGAATCTATCCCAAAATATTTGATATCTTCATGAAAATTGAGATTTTTTCCTGGTAATTTCATTTTATCAGAAATTATTGAAGCAATTTTTGAGGAGAATGAGGAATTCGAAAGATCTTTAGTTGAATTCGAGGTGTTTTCAATTTTTGAATTTTCAGAATTCTCCTCATCTCCATGTTTAGAAGATTGTGCCAGAATATTCCTAGAATCTTCAATTTTTGAGATTTCAGCAGTTTCTTTGAATTCTGAAGAATTTGTAAGATCTTCAGCTTTGCAATTTTGTACCAGAAGTTCCAGGGATTTTGAATTTTCAGCTATTTCCTCGGATTCTGAAGAATTTCGAAAATCTTCAATTTCTGAACTCTCAGATTTGTTCTGATTGATTTCTGAAGAATTCGACAAATCTTCCACCTCCTCACTCTTTCCAATTGTTTCCAAAATATCATTTTCGCTCAAAAAATATCCAATTTTCTCAAATCCCATTTCTCCATCTTCACTCGAAATTCCACGTATTTCTCCAAACAAACTTCCATAAAAACTGAAAAGTTTCACATTTGCCCGATTTTCGCCGCATTTTTTTTCCATCGAAATTCGAATTTTTCCGAAATGCACAAATGGCAGAAAAATGGAAGAAATTGATTTGATTGGTTTTGAAGAACATGTGATAAATTCGAATAATATTTGAATTGCCTCGAAAATTGTTGAACGATTTGTTTGGGTTTCTTTTTGCAGATTTATGTGTAAATAAATATTTTCAGTTGAATCTGGGTTTTGACGAATTTTAATCAATTCTTTGGGGATTCGAAATAGTTCCAAGATTTTTTCGAGAAGAAATGGATTCTGATGGCTGATATCATAATCTCGAAGTTCTATTGATTTGTGTTCTTTTGTATTTGGAAGAATGATTTGAGCTTGAAGTTCTCGAATAATTTTGGAATTTGAGGTTTCGATGTGATCTGGAAAAATGGGGATTGAGAAAAGTTTGCAGATCAAAAAACTCCGAATTTTTTTTTACAACATATCTTTTAAAAATTTTCGAAAGTTGCAATTTATTTGGGATAAACAATTTTTCGAAAAATAAAAAAAATCGCAAATTTTAAAGATTTGGAACCAATTTTTTTTAACTTGTAGAAGATCACTTTTCAAAATGATTAAAAATAGATTAATTTAATTAATAATTCTAATTTTAGCCAACCTACCATTTTCAATTTCCTCCTTCTCTTTTTCCTTTTCCAAAAATATTCCAAACATCATTTCCTCATTTTCATTAATTTTTATTTGATGAATCGCAACACAAATATCAAATTCGACTGAACATTTCATTTTTGAAATTTGAACAAAATATTGTTCCCTGAAAATTTTATGCAGAAATTTAGCATAAATGAAAGAAAAACTCACAAATCATTTCCAAATCGTAAATTTTTCAAAAATATCACAAGCGATTTCTCGAACATTGAACTCTCATATTTTCTTGAAATTTCGGGTAAAATTTCCGCAAAAATAATTTCGTTTTCATTTTGAGAACTCATTGCAATTGAAATAGTAACAAAAACTGTTAAAAGAAGAAAAAAAAGAGGAAATACGAGGAAAAATGACAAATTGGCTGAAATTTGGAGAATTGTGCATGAGCCATAATTTTTCTTTGAGAACATTTATTTGAAAGAAAAAAAACAAGCTGAATATAAATAAATAAAACTCGTAAAAAATAATATGATACAAAAATTTGAAGAAAAAATGAAACGAAAAAAATTATGTTCGGAACCGTTTGAATAATGGATGACGTTCGGTGATTGCCTGGAAAATTCTTAATTTTTGAGATTTTGGGCTCGTTTTCAGGTCCGAAAATGGGTTCTTCTTGTAAAATTAGTACTAGAAAAGTAGTTTTTCACAAATATTTTTTCTACCGAATATTTTTGAAAAAAATCTGGGTCCATAAAAAAATTATTTTCCAAAAAAAAAAACGAACCCTAGCTTTCGCATGATATTGTGGTCCTTGTCCTCCACTCATACTTGACATTGTCGCTTCTCTTCTCGATACTTTAATTGTTCCATCCGCCAATTCTTCTTTAATATCTTCTTCTTCCGCGTCCGCATCCGAAGTAGCTAAGACTTGTTGAAGAAGTTGAATTTGTAACTCTTTTGTTCCATATTTCAAATCCTCGTTTTCCATTCCAGGCAATTTATTGACAACTTTATATGCATAACCTTGATTGACCAAGAATCTGGAAAAAATTGGAGGAATTCAGGTGTTTCTTTCGGAAATATTCAGAATTTTGAAACAATTTCTGAATCAATCAAAAATATTTTTTCTCACCTTTGTCTTTTTCTCGAATATCCCATTTCTACAGTATCCTGTGATACTAATGAATAGAAAAATGCATTAAATTGATCAGTTGAATGTTTTTTTGCTCGAAGAATTCTTCCCAATCTCTGCGCTTCTTGTCTTCTCGATCCTCCATGCGCCGAAATTTGAATCAAAACATTTGCTTCGGGTAAATCGAATGAAGTATCAGCAACTTTTGACACAAAAATCGTGTTGACTTTTGGATTGTATTGGAAGTTTTGTAGAATTTTCATTCGTTCATTTTGCGAAGTTTCACCATATAAAAACGGTTTTTGCATTTCGATCGCATATTTTTTGAGCGCAAAAACATTATCCGAAAACACAATAATTTTATCGTTTCTTCTTTCATGGAATCGAATCAAAAATTGACAAATCCTGAATTTATTCGGATTCATAACAGCAAGCAGAAGTTTTCGCGCAATTTGAGCTCGAAGATAATATGAATAGAATTCCGAAGTCATTGGACACCAAACTTCAGCACATTGAACTTTCGCAATATGTCCCGCTTTTTGCAATTCCATCCAATTTGCCTCGTAGATTTTTGGGCCAATCAAGAAATTCAAATCTGTGATTTTATCATCTTCTCGAACCAAAGTCGCTGTGAGACCCAATTTACAATGAGCCTGAACAATTGTAAGAACTCTTCTGAACATTTTCGCAGGAATCGTGTGCACTTCTGAAAAGTTTTTGGTTAGTGGAGTTAGATAGAAGATGGGGAGGAGAAAATTACCATCAAGTAGTAAAAGACCCCATTCTTGAGATTCAATAAATTTCATAGCTTCTTCAGCTGCAAATGTACGTCTTCCAGTATAAGCAACCATTGAATATGTGCTGATACAAACCACTGGCTGAAAATTGTTTTTTTTTTTAACTTTTCATAGAACTAAATTTGAAGCGGGATTTTTGAACAGGAAAATTCTGGAATCTTGAAAATTTTTAGAAAAAAATCAGATCAAAATTTATCAGTTTTTTCCGAATTTCTTTAGAATTTCAAATTTTTAAAACAGCTTTCTGAAATTTTTGTTCTGAAAACTGCTTACGAAAATTTTCAAAAACTACAGAGCTCAATCAGATCTTTTGAAGCGGGATTTTTGAATAGGAAAATTCTGGAATCTTGAAAATTTTTAGAAAAAAATCAGTTTTTTTCTTTAGTATTTCAACAAATTAAAGAATAACTTTCTGAAAATTTAAACTCCGAGAAATTTCAAAAACTAAAGAGATCAAGAAATGCCACGTGGAAATTCTATAATTTTATTTGAAAAACTTGTTTTTTAATCCCGGCCCCAACAAAAACCTTTGAAGCATCAGCTCCAGTTGGTGGTTGATCTCTAGCTTCTCTCGTAAATCGAATCAATTGTTTATCCTGAATTGTCGACCATAATTTGAATTGTGCTCTCCATTGTTCAACTGATACATTCGAATTCGCCAACACCAAACATCTTTTATTAACCGTAGTTACCGCAGTCACACCAACCAATGTTTTTCCAGCACCACACGGTAAAACAATCACACCACTTCTCGCTCGACTATTTCCAAACATTTTTCTCAACGATTTTTCTTGATATGGCCGAAGTGTTGTTGATGGTTTCAAATCGATTCCCATATTTGGATTCATTGTATCATTTCTAAAATCATATTCAGCCAAAAGTGGATATTCCAATTCAATACATCGTTTTTGTACAATCTCAATACTCTCTTGTTTTATCTCAAATGTCAATAATTGCAAACTTCGAATCTCTGCATCTTCTTCATCATCTCCATCCATTTTTCCGTAAAATTCATCAATATCTGCGGGAACTGCCGAGTTTTCGCCAACTTCTTTTTCTTTTTCAGTTGTTTCGTGTGAGAATTTGATTTTTTCCTGTGTTTGAATTTCCGTCTGCTCAACTGGTTTCTCTCTGTCATCGAGAATGCAAGATTGGATAACTTTGTCTTTCAAAAGTTTTTGCATTACATCAGAATGTCGCGATTCGACGAAATATCGATTGTGTTTGAGGACGAGCTTCACTTTTCCATAACTCACTGTGCACATCTGCAAAAAAACCTTTTGGGAAGGGGAAAATATCAGATTTTCAGAATGCCTTATAAAACTAGAAAATGGTTAGCTACGCAGTAAAACTAGACATTTTAAAGGAAAAGCGAAAATCTAGGTTACCCCGACTCAAAATCCCTTCCTTTTTAAAGCTTACCTGAATAAACTGAATAATTCCTTTTGGAAGATGTGATTTACTCAATCTCTCCAAATATTCAATGATATCATTCGTCTGTAATCCAACTGAAACTGCTGCATAAAGCGAATATGCAGTCAATTGATATTCATGAATATGTTGAGGACGACAAACTGGCTGAAACAAAATATATTAGATTTATCTTATCTCACAAAGGAACTTTTGCAATCGAGATTTTTGAAGAAATTTATGTTTTCTCGTATTTTTCGACCCCACGATTTTGTTATCTGAAACTGCAACGCTCAACTACTAACATGAATTATGACGTGGCAAAGATCGAAAAATTGCGAGGTATATAAGAGCCTTCTGAACAACTCTATTTTACCAGATTTTATGAAAACCATTGTTTTGACCTCCCAAAGTCGCAATTTTCGATCTTTGCCACGTCATAACTCATGTTAGGGGTTGAGCTTAACAGTTTTAGATTACAAAATCGTGATTAGCGGGTCGAAAACTACTAGAAAACATAAATTTCATTAAAAATCTCGATTGAAAGTTGAAACAGTTCCCTTGTCAAAAGAGCAACAAAAAATTACCTCAGAAATAGCGATCAAAAAATCTCTAGCATGTTTGTAAACTGGACTGAAAGATTCGAGAAAAATGTGTCCATCGGGTGCGACCCAAAGTGGTCTACTCATATAATCAGCTTTTAGTGGCATATCTCGACGATAGTCTTTTCCACCAAATTCATCCGTCAATACAACATTTCCTTCTTGGCTCAAATTTTGCGACGCCGCTTTTGGAACTAAAATTGAAGGTTTCTTTTCATGTTTTTTTCAAAAATGTTCGATAAAAACATTTCGGCCCGAAATTGCAATTTTTGAAAAAAAGAACTCACTTGCACTTGTATCTTTTTCCGAATTTCCACCATTTCCAGAGGATCCTGATTGTTCATCAGCATTATATTGAGATTTGTAAGTATCCCATTTTCCACGTCTTTTCCGATCTTTTGTACTCATTTTCTAACTTACTGAATTTATTTTCAATATAAATTGCGACGAAAATAATTTATTTCGAAAGTGTGCAAACACGTCGACGAAATTGTACACAAATAAAAAGCGGAACTTATAATTTTTTGCAGAGTAAATAAAACATTTATTCTGCACCATAAAACAATAATATTGAGGCAAACTGAAATCAAGCAGTATATCCATTTAAGAAAGCGATTTTGTTTTTTTTTTCGGCTGACATTGTTCATAGATTTGATGGTAATAAATGAGCTGCTACAACTTTGATATTTGGAGGAAGAGAAGTTGGAAATTTAATGCATGTCCATTCTTCACATTCTTGCCCATTTGCTAACATGGTTTTTCGACGTGTTTCAATAGTTTGATACGAATCCTTGTCTCTATCTTGAAAAAAACATTATTTTTTTGAGGATAACATTTCGGTTATTCAAAAAAATAATTACCTTCTCGAAGTGATTTCGATGGAGAAGCCAATGGAGAATTACAGAATCCATCGAAATTTGAGTTTGCGGAATTTCGACCAAAAATTGACTGTTGCAACGACTAAAATTTTCGTATTGAAACCAAATCATGTTTCTAATAAACTAACCGGCGAAACATTATTAACTGATCGAAGAGAATTAACCGGAACACGTCTTGCATTATGTCTACTTTGACTCTTCGGATGAATCACATTTTCATTCATCCTACTTTTTCTCTCTTCTTCTTCTTGAATCACATTCGGAAATATCGCATCGAGATTTCTTGTCAGTTGATCAACGTTTTTCTCTGGAAAATTTTCATCATAAAAAAATTACGAGGAACTTCACGTGCGACTTTTTAGCAGAACAAACCTTGCTCATTTCCGTCATCGTTATAACGATATGCACTGAAATAATCGCTTTTGGCACGACTACCAAATGACATTTTCGATGGTGTACGGAATTTTGCAGGCGAACCCATAACGTCAGTTGCACCGGAATCTCCAAATCCAATCGAGGGTCCAGTTTGATCACCAAAATTATTCAAACCCAATCCTCAAAATCAACAAATTTCTCAAAACCTTCCAACGATTTCACCAACCTTTCTGCGGGCAAAACTTTGAAAAATGTCCAGTTTCGTTGCAATGATAGCAAATTTTTTCATATCGCGAACTTTTTCTGGAACTTCTTTGGCGACGTCTTCGCTGAATATGATGATCATGCGCCTCGCCAAACAATGACTCTTTTTTAATTCCAAGCTGCGAATGACTTTCGGATGCTTCGCTGAACTCTTTTACATCCACTTTCGCATAGTAACTATTGACAGTAGCATTTTTCGGTGGCTCGTATTCCGATTTGAGAACCTTTGCAACGTCTTTTCTTTTTTGACCAAAACCTCCGCCATAAAATGACATCCCATCATTTGAGGCAAACTCTTCGCTTTGATTTCTCCCTTTCAAAGAATTCATTCTCATCATTCCATTCGAATCCGAGGTTCCACTTTTTGCCTCGAAACCAAATCCCTCGCTCGAACAACACGATTGTCCTTCAAAACAGGTAAACAATTAGATAAACTTTGAAGGATCATATAACTCCAATCAGCCTTACGGATAACTTTTTCACAGCTTTTATTGTGAAACAACAAACCTTCTTCTTTTGCCGAATTTCCAAAACTGACGAGTTCAGTTGCTTGACCTCTAGCTGAAAATATATGAGATTTTGACTTGAAACCCTTTCCAGAATCAAACTAACCATCACTTCCAGATTCTTCAGTCCTTTTTGTTCCTCTGGATGGCCAAGGATTATTGCAATTGTTGTGCTCATTCATAATTACCTAAAATATTCTGACATTGATTCAAAATACATCGAATCGCGCTTTTTAAATATGAGATCTGAAGTGTGGTCCGCACTGTACACAACAAGCAAGAATTGAAAAATCATCAAAATATGAGAGCGACACGTCATCAGCGAAAAGAATATGAAACGGCGCCCCCAAAAAAACATGTGGAATGTTCGCGAAATTTTGAAAACTACAGTACTGTCCTAAAAGGCGCGGTGTAAGACCAAACAAACAGGTGTGCATGTTCCTTTACAATTTCCACCGTATTGGGAAAATTTGTGTGTCTATTTTTTTTCGTTTTTGACGAAAAAAAATATCTGCACAAAATCAAGCAAGTATGGTGCCTATTCCCGATAAAAACCTCAAGTTTTCTGAAAAACTGACCGATTTACCATTCAAAGAAAACACAATCTTCAATAAAAAAAATCAAAAGTATTTATTTGACATGAAATCTTCTCGAAAAATACGATTAAAATTCAAATGCAATAAAAAAATAATGTAAAAATTATTGTACAAGAAAAAACGAGACTTGTTACTTTTTGGATTTTTCGCAAGTCTCATTGAATATCGTGGCGGCATGTCTCCACTCCGAAATATCGAAATTCTTCTTCCAAATATCGGCAAACATTTCAATAGCCTTCGACCATTTTGGGAGTTTTGAGCATGATGGAATGTTCAAATATTGGTGGATGATTTCCATGGCTGGTTCACGCAATTTGTCCCGTCGTTTGATTTCGACATCCATTGAATATTTTCCACATTCGGAGCGAATTACTTTTCCATATTTACCAGATATCAGAACTGCCATTGTTGCAGCATATCCAAAGAAATCGGGCTGATAAGTCCATCCACGACCATCCTATAAAATCCGCATTCATTTTGAAAAATAATACAAAATATCGGCTGTCCTAATTTTTCATCAATAACAAAATGTACTGGAAAAGGACGGAAATCTAGTAAAAAACAACATACAATCATTTCCGGACAATCAAATCCTTCGGTTCCAGCTTGTCCTTTGAATTCTCTTCCTTCCAATCTCGACATATCAATTGCGGTTCCCCAATCAATCAACTTCACAACAAACACATCATCTCCCAGCAGTTTTTCCGCCTCCCAACTCATATCGATTTTCCGTGTCACCATAAAATTATCCGGTTTGAGGTCGCCATGAATAATTCCGCATTCGTGAACTTTTTCGATTATTTTGGCGATTTGAACAAGCAAAAAGCAGGAGATGTGCCAGTTTCGATCCTCCAAATTGTTGATATTGTCGAGAAGGCTTCCGAATTCATGATAATCGTTGATGAGGAGCGAAGCATTTGAGAAAATATACGCGTCGGTGATTTGCATAATGCATTGATTTGCAATTATTTTACATCTTTCATAAGTTTTTTGCAATAATCTGAAGCGCAGTTGATCGCAAACATACACTTCCCAATGACATGAAGGTCTCTCATACTGAAATAAAAAAATAATTGAATTTTTAAGGGATATTATTAAATTACCTTCACCGCCACCAATTTCTTCTCTTCGGACATCGCTTTATAAACTTTTGCATATCCGCCTTGTCCAAGAAGTGTTTGAATTTGATACGTTTCTCCACCGGCTTCAAATGATCCCATCGCAACAATTCTTGGGCAAGTAATTTCAAACTCGTGCTGATCTGTTGGAGTTGGCACAAGTTTCATGATTCGAGATCGTAAATTTTCATCCCATGGATTATTTTCTCGGCGAATTACTTCACTTCTTCGTCGATCTTTTCGACCGGTTTCTTCAACTTCAAGAAGCGGTGTCGATTCACCGATTTCATTCGATTTTTCTTCTGGTCCAAGCGACAATCTTTCAAGTTGAGCAGAAAGTGAGTCATCTGGCTTCACGTTTATTTTTTCTTCAATCTGTGTTCCCTCAATTGCAACTGGTTCTTGACAGAAAGTTGGAGAAACACTCGAATGACTTTCAAGGGTCTCATTTTCATCCGGAAATGCGAAAATCGAGGTTTCTTGCTGTTTTGTCCATTTTGGCCCATTTCCAAAAAATTCCTCAACATTGACAAATGGAACATGGCTTGCTGGAGTTGAAGTAATGACGCTCGAAGATCTGATAGCGCAATCCATTGAATCATCCCAACCTAAATGATTTTAATTATTAGAAAAATAATAGAAATTAAACTTGACTTACATTGTTTTGTTGATTTTTTGGGCGAAGGAGAATTGCTATCATCAAATTCTTCAACAGATCCGTTCGATTTCACAACGTCTTGTTGTTCGAGTGATTTGGAATTCCCAGAATTTGTATGAACAATGAAAGTATGTTGAGGATAGCGAAATACTTTAGAATCGGCGGTGGCATTTTGAGTTGATACCAAACTTTCCATATCTTCAGTAACTTTTTCTGGTTGCTCATCAGATGTACAAACTTCCGAATTCCCAGAATTTGTATGAACAACAAAAGTAGAATCAGGGTAACAATACACTGAACAATCGGCGGTGACATTTTGAGTTGATGCTAAACTCTCCATATTTTCAGATTCTTCTTCCGGTTCAAAAACTTCTCCTCGTTGTTTCGAAGATGATGCAATTGATTGTTGATTAGAAATGAAAGATTCACGAGCTTCAGATTTCTCAGCAATTGAATAAACGAAATTAGGTTCGAGATAAAAATCGGAGGTGACATTTTGAACTGGTGCGAAATCATCCATAGCTTCAGAAACTTGTTCTCGTTGTTCGAGTGATTCGGAACTCTCAGCGGTTGAATTAACAACGGAAAAAGGTTCAGAAAATACTGAACAATCGGTGGTGATATTCTGAGTTGAATCCAAACTTTCCATTTCTTCAATCATTGTATCTTCAATAACTATTGTGTCCGAAAATCCGGCATGATTGTTTTCGACCAGATTATTGAGCCCAATATTCGATCTTCGCAGTTGTGTCGATGTTACTGGAAAAACATTGTTATTATAAAAATTATATCTAAAAACCGACCTGAATCACAACTTCTTCGTCCTTCTCTTCCACGCTCCAATCTATCATTATCTTGCTCGATTTCATCAATAGATATTTCTTCGAAAATTGTGACAGTCGCTGGCGGATTTTCGTTGACGTTTCGAAGTGGAATACAATCATCATCTGGCGAGAAAATCAGTGATTTTTTCTCAGAATCCGATATATCAGATGTTTTTGATTCTTCATCAATAGTCGAAAGTTCTCGTCGTCGCTTCTCGTTTTTCACACTTGAAACTCCATTTTCAATAATAACAACCGAGTCATCTTGCTCTTCGATATCCATACAATCTCCAGCCAAATCGGTGAGCATTGCCACTCTGAATTCCTCAGGAGATGTTCCGAATTTTGTTTCATTGTCCAAAAATTCAGTTCGTAGCAAGCTTTTAGCTAAAAAAAAATAGTTTTTTAACCGAAAATTTTCGAATTAATAAATAGAAACATACTTTTTGGCCCGAAAAAGTCCTTTTTGGCTGGATCAACAATTGGACACGATTTTCTTAAAATGTTGATTGACGATCTTCTCCGATTGTTTGCTCTTCCAAAATGACGTGGATTGAACAATATCATTGTGTCATCAGGATCAAGAAAGAGATAATCGGCTTCATCTTTGAAATAAGAATCAACCAAATCTCGAAATCCCGCTTCGATTTTTTTTTTCGTCATTTTTGTCTTCAGCCTTTCCCGAGCAAGATCCAATACATATTTGAATTTCTCCAATTTGTTGTCTTTTCCGTATCCTTCCGCCCATTGTAAATGAAATTTGAGCGAAGTCTCAAAATGTCCTTCTTTGTCGATTTGCTCATATATTCCAGTTATTCGAAGTCGTTGACTCACGTTTCCCAGCACATTATACAGTCTCAAAATGGCTTCATTGACTCGAATTCGGTCGAATATTTTGTCACTGCGAATTTTTGTCATAGCCTCGATGACATCCGATTTCAATTCATTGGCTGGCAATCGCAATGCCATCATCTCGACTTGGGTAACAAAACCAAGAAAAACTTCCAAGGTTGGGTATTTCGAGAAGTGATTGAATGCGATTTCAAAATCTGACATTTTTCTGCTTGAAATCTGCAATTAGGTTGATTTTTAAATTTAAAAATAATGCGAAAACGTCGAAAAAATAACGATTCAAGAAAAAACGTGAATATAATTTTCGACAAAATCTTGAAACCACGAGCTCAGAGAAATGGGCTGGAGAACCGGCGGAGAAAACGACCTGTCGGCGAACTTTCGGACAACCGCCGGAATGTCTGACCAACACTATTTCGTCGAAACTTTTGTCCGCCGGTTGTCCGAGAGTTCGCCGACATGTCGTTTTCTCCGCCGGTTCTCCAGCCTGTTTCTCTGAGGAGGAACGTACGCTATATAGCGTACGTATGCGCATGAAAATTGTCGGATTTTCGAAAATCAAAAAATCATTTGAAAATTAATTTAAATTTTAGCGGGCGCGGTACTGTAGTTGTGTGTCTTACCAGTTCGCTGTGAGACCCAATGAACAATTTGAATATTTATTTTTTTCTCATTTTTTGAAGTTCAAGATTCAAAACTTCGAAGAATTTATTTATTTAAAAAATAGAAAAAAGTTAAAACAGGAAACAATGTGCGAATCTGAAATTAGTCTGAAAAATGAAAATTCTGAGCAAAACCCTCTGCTTTGTGCTGAAAATCAGGAAAAACAAAATTGAAGCTATAATTTTTATGAATAAATAAATAGATTTTACAACTCTTATAATAACTTATTGCTATCAGAAAAAAAGAAACTCTACTGAAATTAATATAAATAAATAAATACACAATGAGACAAATATGCAATAAATTTCTTACAGTAAATAAGGTTCGGGTTACTGTAGGATGACTCACAACAAAATAAAAGTGAAACATCACAATAAATAAGGAGAATGGCGAGAAACTTTTGGATGGGAATTTATAATTTTTGAAGAACAAAGAAAGAAGAAGAAAAAACATTACATAAATTATTGAGAATAAATATTTCAGTTATTTAAAATAACTTGGAAGACGTCATTGATATTCGCAATTGCCATCACATTTTTCGATTTGAGTGAGAGCTGGAATAAAATATCGATTGATTCAGGAAATATTGAGTTTTTGACGTTTTTGGAATCTAATTTGATAGTAAAAGTTTTTGTGACAAAGTTACAGAGCTCCAAATTTCGGAAAATCTCTAGATTTGGCCCCAATTTTCCGGTCCTTTAGTCAGCTCTCAGTAGATCAAATTTTTTGTGGATTTCCCGAATAACTTACCGTAATTGACGTATTTGTTGAATTAACTTTCAATTCTGACAAAACACTCAAATTATTTGTGTATTTCACAGAATGATAAAGAAGTTGTTGATTATCAACTTGTCGACGAGCAACTGTGAAAATATTGTTGTTTTGGAGCTTGTTGCAAATACCATCTACAAAAAATTCAGCTTGTTTACAGAGTTGAAAAAATTGCAATAAAAAACTAACCAGCATTCAAATTATTCAAATTCTGAAGCGTAAATTGTTGCTCATTTTGCTCTGGTATACTTTTCCATTCCTCCAAAAACTCTCGTTTTTCCATTTGTCCATCTTCGCGGAAATACGCCAAGAGTGGCACAATTGTGGCGAAATAAAACACATTTATATCATTTTTGATAGCGACCTGCAAAACAAAATTTTTAGATTTAAATATTTGTTTGTGTATTTATTATCAGAGAATAATAGATACCTTCTATTTTTCTCGCCCTATCATAAGAATATGTATATTTAGGCGGGTTTGTGTACTTTTGATGCGTCTCATATTTTTTATTGATTTGTCACACTTTTTGATGATAAGTCAGTTTTTTTTGACTATTCAACTTTTTTTTTTAGAAAAAAACACACTTTCATAGGATAACATAGGGACAAATTACACAAGCTTCAAGTTTACAGAGCTAAAAATTAAAATTCCATGCTTTCCACTTATTTTCACACCGTTTCAACTTTCATTTTCAGAAAAAAATGGGTGGTTTGTGTCCAGGCGGCGAAACCGTTGAACCAGATCGAGTTCAAAGATCGGTTGTGAAAAAGAATAAAAAACAAAGTGAAATAATTCACTTTTTCATGTTAGGCATTGAAGGCGCCGGAAAAACAACAATTATTCGACAATTGAAATGTCTTTGTATGCAAAAACCGCTCAATTATCAAATGTATGATGATGATTGGAATATTATTGATCGCGAAAAAATCTTCGATGAAAACGAGCTCGTCGGCCTCAAAAACGTGGTTCGAATCAATTTGCTAACCGCCGCCGCTTCTTTGATTCGAAAAACAAGAGATCGATCAGCAGAAGATATTCTAGTTGGATCAGAAGCCGCTGATAATATATTACAAAAATGCACAGAATTGTATGAGGGACCAGTTGATATTTATGATTCATCAAATCAAATAAGCAGTGAATTTGGTGTTTATATTCTTGAAATACTTGCTGATCAAGAAATTGTTCGCTCACTTGAAATGCCGATTATCGGATTGAAAATCGAGGATGGAACTCGGTATTTTTTAAAAGACGAAGGTCGAGTCAAGAATATATTTAATGATTCATATCAACTAACAAACGATGACATCGGTAAGATTTTTGAAAATTATTTGAAGGCAATGGTATTTTCTCGAACACAAATATTTCAGTTCATGTTCGTAAACCAACAGTTTCCTTCAAATCCTACAAATTCCGAATCAAACAACTTCGCGTCGAAATCCACGACATGGGCGGTCAGAAAAGCGAGCTGGTCAAGATTCCACAATTCATGTCGCAATTTCTATCCTCCAGTGGGCAATGTTTCCTTCTCTACGTTTCTTCGTTAGCCGCTTTTCAAGAACCGGACAAAGATGCAAAAGGTCGAACTGTTCTTGATAAAAGTTCCGCCATTTTTAGAGTAAGCAAAATTTTGGAAGAAAAAAAGAGAAGAAATATTTTAGAACGTATTAAATTTGGATGGTGTTGATGAATGTACAGTTATGATATTTTTCAACAAACAAGATCGATTTGAGGAAATCTGTAGAGATACTCTTCATAATGATTCAGATGGAGAGAAGAAAAAACAATTAGAAAAGGCTGTGGGATATGTTCCGAAACAGAAATTAGGTGAGCCCTCAAATCAAAAATTCTCTAACATTGTCATATTTTCAGTCGGCGCAAAGAAAGGCAAACCGGAAAACTACGACTATTTGAAAGATTCGATTCGTGATCGATTTATCGGAATTCTCAAGAATCATAACGAGAAAAAGAGTTATTATATGAAATATACGCAGGCGACTGATGCACAGCTTATGTCAACCATTTTTTATGCCGTTGAAAATGAGATTATTTCCGCATTTTTCACACAAGCAAGATTTTTGTGATAACTTATTTTTTGTTTTGAATAAATGAATAAATAAATACTGACTAACCTGAAGATTTGTCAATGGCTGAGAAACTTGAACTGGTCCAGTTGTATCGCAAGCAATTGTGAACTGAAAAAGGGAATTTTTGTAACTCAAAAAAATCTGAAACAATTTAGGAAAACTCACATTTTGACTCTGATTTGGCAAAAGTGGTGCTAATGAATTTGGCTGTTCAGCCGGAACCAAACCAAATGAATTTTTATTGAATTGAACCGCAAAATTCGACATTGCTTGCATAGCTTTGTTGGTAATCGTAAGCTCCATATAAATTCGTCCACTTTTACGAATAAATGTTCCCTCAACTTGCATTCCCATTGCTTTCGATGCGTCCAACAACAATTCCTTTGGATAATTATAATTCAAAGTGTTTGTTGAGAGTGCATTTGTTCCGAAAATCTCAGCAAGTCCTCCAATCGCAGCCGGTTGTTGTTGCGATGGAATTTGTGCGGCTGCTGGATTTCCAAGGCCGAGTCCAGCAAGTGGATCAAATGGATTATGAGCTGATTGAACTGGGACAGATGGAACAGACACGTCTCCACCCAATCCTAACAAATCATCTAATCCACCTGATGATGTTGTTCCACTCATTGTATTTCCACCAAATGCGGCTGTTGTGGCTGGTGCATTGAGATCGAGAGACAAAAGATCAGCGATGACTTGATCTTGAGAAGGAATGACAGTTGGTGCGGATGATGTGCCATTTCTTGAAGAGGATGATGTATCCAAAAGATTTGCTCCACTGAAAAAAAATGAATCAGTTGCAGAGAGTAAAGGGAGTTCCAAATACATTTTTTTCAAAGTATAATTCGGCCTGAAAATTCAGTAAAATGCCACGTAGCTATAATGTTGAAAATTTCATCGGAAAACTAATTCACGTAATCAAAAATGTCTATTTTTCTTGAACTTTGGGGCCAAAAAGCGTGGCTAAAAATCTTGAATTTGAAATACAAAAATATTGCTCCAAAACATTTCTTGGGTAAAAAAATTCGAAAATCCCTAATTTTGGTAGCGACGAGGCAAACATTTTCCCGAGAAAAATCCATGTGAGAAATGCCTAATTTTTGAAATTCAGAATTTTGATACCTTCCACGTAGCAAAAACTCCAATAGTGAAATTTTGAACCCAAAAATTATGTGTTAAAATTTCAGAACATTTCAGAACTAAAATTTTTGTGCTAAAAAATAACATGTACAAAAAAATTGAGAATTTATAAAACTTGAATTTTGGCTGCAAAATTCCACGTGGCACAAAGTTCACGTTTTTTTTCAAATTCTAAAATTGGTGCCAAAAAATGCTGAAATTTTCGAATTCTAAATTCTCTCGGAACAAGAAAAATCCTCCCATTTTCTCGCCAAAAAAGTTTCCCAACTGAAAAAAAAAACAAACTTTGTATTTGTAGTAGTCGGGTTGATTTGTCTCAATGGAGCTTTGGCTGGATCAATGAATGCAGAAGGTGGTTTATGATAAACCGACGCAAGTGTTCCAATATGACAAACGAGTTGTTCCAAAAGCGACGGTTCCAACAAATCAGTCTCTTCCGAAATCAGCGGTTTTTCAGTCAACACGACATTTTTGGCGGCTGCTGGATCGGCAGACAAAAGACGCCAGTAGATGAAACCGCGATCTCGCAAATCCGGATTATCACTGTCTTGTGTGGCCAATGAGAGAACTCGTTGAACAAGTGCTTGCGCGACTCCTGGTCTTTTCAAAAACAATTTGACGACTGCGGTGAGAAGTTGAAGTTGGACCTGCAAAAAAACATGAATATTTTTTATTTCAGATTCAGAAAAAAGGGTTACCTGTGTATTTTCATCATGGAATCCTTCAACAAAACTTTCAAGCAATTCATCAGCATTATCAATTCTTTCAGCATATTCTCCAATAATCCAAATCATTGATGCACGAGCTTCTGGTTCATCCAAAGTATCCAAATTCTCGCAGAGAGCTGAGATAATACTTTCATATCGATTTGGATATTTTCGGAAAATATCTTTGATAACAACAACAGCTTCTTGCACAACATAATTGACTTTTGTTTGAATTAATTCCAAAAGTGTTTGCACACATCTTTCACTACTCGCTTCAACTTTAATTGCACATCTTCCAATTGCTCGAACTGATTTTCGAACAAAATCAACATCAACTTCAGTCGCATATTCTTTCAATTCACTCAAAACTTGCGAGATATTACTTTGTTGTGCCAATCGAATCATAATATCCAATTTCTCCATTTTCACATAAATTGGATCATTATATTTGACAAAAAACACCTTCATTTCTTGTTTCAAAATATCTGGGCGTTTTTGAACAATCAAATTAATATTTCGGAGAGCAACATATTGAATTTCTGGCTCAGCAGAGAGAAGTGTGACCATTGGAGGAGCAAGCTTTTTCGTAAGCTGAGTAATAAATTCCGAATCAGCTGGCATAATATCAATTAATTTCATCAAAACTTTGACAGTTGATAAAACAACAGCGGCGTTAGCATGAGCAAGACGTGGTGAAATACGTTCACAAATATTTTGAGCTTCACGATCATCACGTGGAGTATAACCAGCAAGAGCATCCAAAATGAATACTTGTCCCCATTCGGTACATTCATTCAATGCAGTCAGCAATTTGTTGACCATTTGACTATTTACTTCGATCACAGTTTTTTGTTCATTAATTTCAGTTAGAGCAGCGACTGCATTTGCAACAACCATTGGATTTGCATCAGAGAGAAGATCGTTGAGTAATTCAACGAATCCTGGAAATATTATTTTTATGTAGGTAAAGTATTTCAAGAAACTCAGAAAAATGTCAGGCCTTCTAGATTTTATACAGGCTTCTAAAAAAAAAGCTTTTCAAATTTTTAAAATCACAATTCTGTCATTAAAAACTGTCTAGGCTAACTCTGAATATGAGTTATGACGTGGCAAAAGTCTAGGCTTTCTTGGTATCAAAAATCATTATTTTCGACCAAATTTCTCATTGAAATGCTTGAAACGACGTGCAACAGACTTTTCATGAAATTTTTTAAATTTTAAAATTGCAACCTGCCTCATTTTCAAAAATAAATATTATTTTAAAATTCCAGATTTTTCAGAATATTTCGAACTCCGAAATTTAAAGAATTTGCTGTTTTTGACAACAGGCTCGTGATATTCTATCAAAAATCTCGAAAACATACCTTGATCTTTAACAAGTGCCGGATTCATATCATGCAATTTCGCAACACAAACCGCCGCTGTCTTTCTAACATACGGATCCTCATCTTTCATACATTTTCTGAGTGGATCACATAAATATTCGGTGATTTTTTCCACTCGAATACAACCCATTGTTCTGACAGCCAATGCACGAATCAATGGATTCGGATCTTCGCAATCTTTCACAAATGTGTTGACAGCCATAATTGCAAGATCTGGTTGAGATTTGGCATAATTCATCAAATAAAGATAGACAAGTTTTTTGAGCTCAACATTATCGGTTTGCATACAATTTACAACATCGGGAAAGAGAGCACTGCAAAATATTGAAAATTATAATCCATCCCGAAAACGCGACTTTTTGGGGACTTTCACTAGCCCTCGATTATCCCAAAAAATGAAAACGTCGCTTACCTAACATCTTTTCCGACAGTCATACTTGCGATAACTTTTTTGACCGCCTCTTTCTTCTTCTCCTTCTTTTCCGAATTCAATTCGGTCTTCAACTCGAAAATCTCTCCTTTTTTGGTTGTTGTGAAATATTTGGAATCCGTCATATTTCGAATTGTTTTGTCGAACCACTTTTCAGGGTTGACACTTCTGAAAAAATGATTTTCAATTTCGTTTTCAGTTTCCTCACAAAATAAATCTCACAAAGCTCCAATAACCTGGGCGCTGAACATTTTCGGGTAATTGAGAAATGAAGAAATAAAAAACAAAAAACACGTGTACTTATGAAATGTCACGTTTTTACACGTTTCATGATTAATCAATTCTTTTGTTTTTTTCAAAAAATAAAAGAAAAACAAAAAAGAAAGGCATAAGGCGGCATTATTAGGAAGGTTTTGAGAAAAATCTATATCATGGAAGGAAGAATTCTTTTTTGGGGGGAAAGAATGAATACATTGCGCACTATGAGAAAACGAGAAAAACGAGAGTACGCAGAGAAGAAAAGGGGAGAAAGGGGGCCACGTACTCGATATGCGCACACACAAACATGTCAGTTTCAATGTTGTTGGCGCGTTTTTATTTGGATTTTATTTGGAATTGATTTTGAATAGATTTTTGGAATAAAAATATGCAATTAAATATCATTAGGCATGAATTGTTGCCGGATATTGACTCACAATCAATTTTACTCCCCTTATTTTATTTATTTTTATGACTACTTGATTTGTACGCTCTTTGTTAAAATAGCGTGAATTCTGAAAACTTCATGAAAAAATCAAAAATAAAACCAAGGAGTGCGAGAGACCTTGTGAAAAGAGTAGTGTGCCAGAGAGTCTGTAAACACCAAGTCCGCAAGCAACATTTGTTGCGAAGTACAGTAACCCGTGAAATTTTATTTTTTTTTATTTTTTCAGAGAACTTTCCAAGTGAAAATACTGTTTCAGGATGTCACAACAACTTTCTTCAATGCTCAAAGAACATCAGAAGAAACAACATTTACGGAAAGAAATGCAAGGTCAGCTTTTATTCATAAAAAACAACCTCAAAACCGTATTTTTCCAGAAAAACTAAAAAACGAAGCAGTTGTGGCAGCTCAACAACTTTCAACAGCAGTCGTCGATCATTTAAATGCAAAAGTCTCTCAAGCATATGGAAATCAAAAAAGATTAGATGTCGAAGCAAAAAGATTCGAAAATAATGCGGCTGCTTTAGCAAAACAAACAGAACAATGGTTATTTATTACTGAAGGATTGAATTATGCATTGAAAGAAATTGGAGATGTTGAGAATTGGTCGAAAACTATTGAAAATGATATGAAAATCATTTCTGAAACTTTAAAAAGAGCTTATGGTACGTTTTCCCGAAAGTTTGAATTTTTCAAAATTGAAAGTTTTCAGAATCGAAAAATTTGCCATCTGTTTCTACGGAAAACGAATCTAGTTGATAATTTTAATTTGTATATTTAAATAATTTATAAAAATGTAAATAAAAACCCGAGATTCGGTTAGTAAAATAAGAAAATAAAAAAAACAATCAAAAATTGAAATAATTAATAATTATCATAATTTTTCAATTTCCTTTGTTAATCGATCAATTTCATCCAAATATTCTTGCTTCCGCTCAATTTTCTTGATTTGATTTGGTTGCGGAACAAGTTCTCCCGATTTTACGCGATTCTGAAAATATTTTTAAAAAGCTTGAAAAAAAATTAAAAATCAATCAATACCTCCATGCTTTCGATATCATCCAATTTTTTCTTCGTCAAATCAATCTTCTTTTGAATATGATCTTTTGGTGTAACACACATATTTGGAGCTTTGTTTATTGCTGAAAATCGATAAGTTTGAGTATTTAAAAAAAAATAAAAATTTAGAAATCCTTTTTTTTATTTCCTCAAATTAATTTTGAAAGGGCTAAAGATCAGAAATATTTTTGTTGTATCCAGAAAATTCCTAATTCTTGCAAGAACAAAATCTTTAAAAGATCCAATGACGTGGCATTTTTGAAAATACTAGGTTTTCTATAATTCCAGAGTTACATTTTTCCAGAAAATGTTTCCTATCAAACTATATTAGCCTTCGGGCTAAATCTTCAAAATAATGAATTTCTTCTCCCAAAACGTTTTTTCTCACCGCTAATCGGTTTTTTGGATTGTAATCCAGCAGCAGCCATTGCTCTTGGCGTCATTCCAATTGCCGAGCTACTTGTTCTTCCCGAACTTGCCGCCGCTTGCATTCGATTCTGATATTTCGGTTGTTCGTCTTGTGGAATATATCCTTCTTTCACTTTTCTCGCTTTTCTCCATGTTCCATCGGGTCTTTGAGTTGCCGTGATGAAAGTCTCGCCTGGAGGAAACGGAGGAAATTTTGATTTGGGTTCAAAAATACGGCTCTAATTCAGGAATTAACATTTTCAAAATTTATCTTCTAAAAATTGAATTTCGCAATTTTAGATAAAATTTTTTGGATAAAGAATATTAGCTTCAAGTTTTGGTATTCCTGTAGAAAAATTCAATAGATAAATTCAGCAATTCTTACTTTTTTTCAGAAATTTTCCTAATTATTGCTCAGATTACTGTGGTTTTCATTAGTTCTTCTGAATTTTTTAAAGTTATGCTGAAAATACTGTAGTTTCAAGATAATTCTCTTATTTTTTAATCATTCTGAAATTCATACCTTCTTCAGTTCGAACTCTCAAATCTCCTCCATCATTATTACAATCTGGCTTAGCTTTTGACATGTTCTTCAAAAATCCACATTGTTTCAAAAGCAATTTCAAAGTTTCCGATAAATTTCAAAATTCTCGATGAAAACGATTCCGGCCGAAATTTCAGACATTGATAAAACATAATTTATTCTTTTCACATTCAATAAATAAATACGGGGACTATTGAAATCACATAAATCACGAACAAAAACTATAAAATAAATAACATTTGATTATTTTTTGGGGAATAGGAATAGGAAATAAAGTGTTTTGCGGGAATCAGGAAAAGGGTAAAAAGAAAAACAAAATGATTTTGCACCTTTCAAAGAGAAAAAAAAAAGAAGAGAAGCGAATAATTTGGGACAAATTGGGGATGGGGGGAAACCGTGTGGGTAGGATTTTTTTGTTTAGAAATTCAAATGATTCATAAAATTACATAAATGCTCCTGGTGCACCATAAGGTGGTTGACCTCCTTGTTGTGGATAACCGGCTGGTGCTCCACCATATCCTCCTGCACCACCATATCCCATTGGTGGAGCTGGGGCTCCATAAGTGAGCATGAGTTGAGGTTCCACTGAAAAATCAATATTATATTCTGATTGTGAAGGAAAAGACTAGAAATTAAAATCCCAAACAAAAAACTCACTAGTCATTCCATTTTGTTGTTGTTGTTCAGCTTTTTCTTCTTTTCTTTCAGTTTCAGATCTTTCCAATTTCTCCAATCTTGTTTGATAATCTCTCATAACTTGAATCATATATGGCATAGCATAATCCATAATTTTATGTTTCCATGCCAATTCCATAATAACATCCGGATGCAATAAATCATAACAATGATAAAGCGACGCGGCAAAACAATCGTGCAATTTCTCCTCCAAAAAGAATCCCAACAATTCTTCTGCCAATTCACCGCTTCTCGATTCAGCAGCATATTCCATTGCATCTTTGTACAATTTGTCTTTTTTGCAAAGTTCAATCGATTGCTTCCATCGGTTGTTTCCTTTGAACAAATATGCGGAAATTCTTCGGAATTCAACAAGTGCATGTTTCTCCAATTGTTGAGCCAATGCAATATTATCAAAGTTGTCGTGTGCTTCAATTGAAGAACGGAGTCCAGCATGATCTTCTTCATCAATCAATAATTGATTCAATGCTTCATTAATTGCTTTGTTGTTCAAATTTTGGACTTGACGGAGATATGGCTTCACAAGTGGAATTTGTTTCACTGAAAAAAGCAAACATTGTTTAATAGGAAAACAACTAATCAGTCTCAAAAGTTTTAATGGAAACTAGGCCAAACTCACATTTGTTGAAGAACAAAACAGTTCTTGAATGATCCAATCTTGGCGATAAAACAACCAACAAATCATTCAACAACAATGGTTTATAATCCAAATAGAATTGCATTGCTTTATAATACAATTCGACATTGGCAACTTTAGCAATGACTTCTTTGAAATGTTGTTCTCTCCACGATTCGGTTGGATGTTGAATCATTGTAAGAGCCGCATTATCGTATTCCTCATATTTGTCATACAAGAAAACTAATTCGGCCCAAAGATGAGCTTGTTCCGCGGCTCTCAAAACTTTCGGTATATTGACTCGACTCCAGAACAATTCAAGATGCTCTCTCATTTTCTCTGGTTTATATTTCGAATAGAGAATCGCCAACTCGGTGAACATTCCCATATGAGCACGTTCGAGTCCAAGAGCAGCTTCGAGCAAGGCTGAAAAAAACACATTTTATATTCATTTTTGTAAATTAGATAAAACTTACAAATGAGTTCTTCGAAATGTCCACGATCTTGATAGAAATTGATCAATTCCTCCAATTCATCAGCATGCACAACAATATGCAATCCACACATTTGAGCCAATCGGAATTCTCCATTTTCAACGCAAGCGAAACAAACTTGTTTCCAGGTTTTTGTTGAATTCGCTTTACGAGCCGCATCAACAGCTCCTTGATATTCACCCAAACGAACCAAAGTAACAGAGAGTTTGGCAAAGTTCGAAACATTGTTGAACAAGATTTTTGCGGCATCAAACATTCCATTGTCGAAACAACGATCACCAATTTGTCCAATTTGAGCATGATTTGGTCCAGCGATGAATTCTTCCAATTCGGCGAGTCTTCCAGTTTTTGCCAAAGCATAAACAAGTTCGGTTTCGATGTAAGATTCACGAGACTTCTTACGAGCCATTTGGAGATAACGAACAAGATCTTCCCAATGTTCTAAAAGTACATTAATATTTTTAAATGCTTAAAATTCTAGTTGAAAAACTAACCAGTTTGTGAGCATTTGTTGACAACTTCCATATATGCTCCTGGATCATCAGCCTTGATAAATGAATCAACAGCTTCTTTCACCAAATCTTGTTTCAATTGAGCTTTGGCCAAAGATGCCCAAACATCCGATTGATTACATTTCTCAGCAAATTCATAAGCTCTGTCCAAATTGCTAACATTTTCGATAAGAACATTGATAGCACTTGAGTTCACATCGAATTTCTTGAAAATAGCAAAAGCTTCTTCATACAATTCCGAAGTGATGGCAATGTTTGCAATATCTGGTGCATCATAATTGTCCAATTTTTGAATATATTCCATAACTCGTGTACGATCAGCTCTCATTGCGGTCAAAATCAACAAATTTTGAAGATTTCTATGCTCCGAAAATGCCGAATTGTCCAAAACAATTTTCTCCAACAATTCAATGAGTTCATTTGGCAAATCAGCAGCCATGAATGCTTTAACAGTCACCGAAATATCTTCTGGATCTTGAGTTTCAGACAAAGCAGTTTGAACAACTTGATCAATCAATTGTCGGCGATAAACATTTTCCTCATTCAAAACTTGTTCCCAAAGTGTGAAATCGCGTCTTTTGACAAGATATCTGGCAAGATTTTTGAAGAGCGAATTCTCGTTACAAACATTGATCAATTCCGCATCACATTGTCCACGTTCATAGGCCAAAAATGCGTAATGTGGATCTCTTTTCTCACAATATTTTCCAACAACTTTGCTGTCATAATATGGATTTTCTTTCAAGAATCGTTCCGGATTGTTGTTCGAATCAATATAGATTTTCGCAGTCGCATTATGTGTTGCTGCATCAGTTGCGCCTTCTTGAATTCTAGATTCGAGCCAATGATTCAACAATTTCAATCGGTTTCTTTTCTCAACCTCTTCAACCAATTCATCAATATCGAACTTTCCTCGAGTATTAATTATAAGTTGTTTAATTGCATCTTCACTACAATCAACATCAAGCAAAGCTCCAACAACAATTGGAAGACGAGCAGCATTAACCTGAAAACATATAATTAATTTTCGATTCAAATTTCAAAAAAAAAAAATAATTATTACCTTTTGGACGAAGACTTCAATGTATTTTTGAAGTTGGTTTCTGTACAAATACAAAACCAAATCGTGAACCATATTATGTCGATCACAAACAATAATAAGTGGAAGTTGATCAGTCAATTTGGCTTCTTTCAAGAAATTCTTAACTCTTTCCGCATCATAACATTGCGATTCGCGACAAATTCGTTCGACTTCTTTAATTTGTCCAGTTCTTGTGGCCGCTTGGATATATTTGAAATGAACTTCTGGATCTTGGCTGAAGTTGACGATTGATCCCAAGAAATAGAACAATCCTTCGTATGATTTGTGATTCTCAAACATTTCAATCAATTTATCGGCGCCAAGTTGTTCGTGATATTTTGAGGCAATTTGGACAACGACTTGAAGATTTTGACGGATGTTTTGAGTCAACATTGCTTTGAGGCATTCCAACGAATCTTCGACAGACAATGAACCGAAATATCCAACAAGCCACTGAAAAAAAAACAATTTTAGATTTAAAGATTTTTCAGGCTAAAAATGTTTGATTTAAAAATTCTGAAAACAACTTTTTTTCAATGTTTTCTTAAAAAATAAAAAAAACTTACATCTGGTTTCAAAAGATGTGTATGTACAACAGTTCTCTTGATATCATACAAATCGGTAAAATGCTCCAAGGCTCTTTGCAACAATCCAGCTTTTTCACACAATTGTCCAATTGCAGCTCGATCATAATGCGAGAACATTTTATTGGCCAAAATAGCATCAGCAACAGCTGGAGCAGCCAACAAATTCATTTCAAGAAGACGAGTTTGAAGATGTCCTTCTTCTGGTTTATCACCTTTCAAAACTTCCAAAAGGAAAGAAGTGCATGGTTGAACAGCTTGAACTTCCATGAAACAATCAATAATTTGGGAAAGATCAGCAAGTGGTTCTCCATTTTCGCTTTCTGATACCAAAAGTTGAGCGAATTTCGATCCAGCATCTTGATTTCCAGAACGCAAGATTTGTCTCAATTGGAACAAATAATCTGGTTGGAATCCAACACGTTTCGCATACAATACAATCTTGTCAAATTGACCAGTTTCAGCGAATGATTGAACAACTTTGTGTGGAACATTTCCTCTCAAATAAATCGATAATGCGGTATTTGGATCAGTTGGTCTAATCAAATCTCCCAATTCTTCACAACACTCCAACTTTTGATCATTCAACCATTTTGTGATCAATTCTTTTCTTCCTTGCGCCAAAACTGGACGACACAATTCCAAAGTTTCGTATTTGTTCAACTTTCCTTGATCCAACAAAATACCGAAATATTGCAAAAGTGGAGATGGTCCACCGCCAGTCGCTGGACATTGTTGGAACTTTTGAATTGTTGCTGGTGTTCTCAAAATTCCTTGTGGAGCCGATGCGGCAACCTTGGCTGCTTCACCAAATTGTCCATTGCTGAACAAAAGATTGAATTTGCGGACAAACAAGTCTTCGGCTCCCGGTAAATCACAACGAACAGCCAATTTGAGCGCCAAATCAGGATTTTGCAAAGTATTCGTAACGAATGGCACCAAATTTGTTTCATCGATCGAAACCGAGAGAACTTGTCCTTTTCGATTGATTCCCATAATTCCACCAGTGTTGGATAATTCGCAGGTGACAAAAACGGTGTCTGTTGAGATACGATTCGAATAAATACGACCTCCTGATTCAATATCATACAAATGTACAAAGCCATGTTTTGTTACCAAATAAATGACTCCTTGTTTAGAAGAAACCTACAAAAATTGATTTTTTATGAGTAATTGGTAATGGGGTGAATTTCTGACGTAATTATATAGATAGATAAAGATCTCAATATGAAAAAATCGAGAATTTCAAGAAACTTTTTGGTTTTTTTATAAAACACGCTTATCCGTTCAAAAATGCGTATTGTCATTCTTCATCAACCCAATTCTAATCAAATCCCAAACGACTGAATGACTAACAAGAAAAAACCTGTTTCTCTTTTAATTTCCTATCTTTTTCATCTACCTATAAATCAGCCGCCGACAAAAATCAAGTTTGTAAAAAGAATAAAAAAACCCAATATTTACCTGCATCGAAACTGGGAAATCTTGTGCAGTTTCAGCCGTATATGGTACATCAACATTCTTTTTCTGGAATGGTTGATTTCCAGCCGCTGGCGATCCAACTTCAATAATATGCAATTTTCCACCAGCCTCGTTTTTGACGGAGAAACAGAATAAATTCGATGGATGTGCATTTCCTTCAAGTTTGAATCGAACAAAACAAGCGGCATGTCCATCGATTGGTTGAGAAACTTTTCGTTCGGTACTGTACAATTGCATGTTTCCAACAACTCGATTATCTTTTGCAGATATTCCAATTAGAACAAGCCATTTCGAATCAGCATCAGTTCGATAATTTATAATTTGAGTTCCGGAAAGTGAAAGATGACGATCGAACATTTTCACAGGCGCCGCATCACCTGAAAATTGAATTGGAGTTCAAGTTCAGAATCATCTATGAGAAAAATCTTACCTTCAATCGACCAATGATAAACAGCACTGTCTGAAACCAAAGCAATCGTTGTTTCATTAATCCATTTCCAGAAAACAACATCTTCGGTATTTTGATGGGCCTTCACTTTTGCTTTCAATTCGATATTGAAAATTTGAAGAGTTTTTCCAGCTGTAAGAACAGTTCAATTAAACTTTTCAATAATTCAATTAACTTACATTTAAGCGCCAAAATTTTAGCGGTTGGATGCATGATAACAGAATCAGCAGAAATTGGGCGACGAGTTGGATTTGTTGGTTCAGCCAAATCAATGATGACAACTTGTTGTTGATCGCCAATCTGAAAATAGAATGAATTTTATGAAATAATTTATTTTAATTCAGAAAACCATACCATTTCTCTGACAACGATATTTTTGTCAGATTCCATTGTAACATTAGCAAAAGTAATGTTTGGCTGACGAATTCCAACATTGGTGAGCTGCAGATGCTCATGAAACTTGATGGGTAATTGTCCGCTGGCCATTTTTACGTGTTTCTATTAATAATTTTTAGTCGAGGTTGGCGGATGACACACAAAACAATAATAAATTAATAATAAATTAGAACCCTGAAATGAAATGAAATTGGAACACGTTTCATAAATATATAGGTTTTTTGACGCGAATGGGATAAAAATCAATATTCGACAGATAAAACAATGAGTCAGCCGGAATTCGGAGAGAAATAAAAGAAACAAGTTTTTTGTTCAAAGACAGCTGGTAGGAAACAGGTCAAGGATGAACTTTTTAAAAAATCAATATTGAGCAAAATTCATAAAACAGCGAGTTCAAAAAAAGAACCAGTTTTTGTTGTAAAAGTTGTTCTTAAAGTCCATGAAAAAAACTGTGTTAGTGAAGATAGAAAAAAGATTTTGATTAGAAAAAAAGAGAACAAGAGCATGCTCAGCTATTTTGAACATCCAACTGGACATTGAAAGACCGGTCTAATCGTCCGAATAAGACATTTATGTATTTGTCTGTTGTTGATAGAAGCAAAAAAGAAGAAGAAAAAGAAATAGTACTAGAGAAGTGGAAGAAAAGTCTCCTCGTCATCTTTTTTGTTGACCGCATCGCGCGACCGCCTCGCATTGCCATATAGCAAATTTTCGTGAATTGCACAATGAATCATCTCTCTCTCTCCCAAATAAATATCTATTTATTCCATGGTCACTTTTTGGAGGAGAGAGAGGAAGTTTGTGTTATGAAATCTGATATATGGAAATGTGATGCGATAATTTGATTTTTGAAATAAATAAATTCATAAACAATAAACTTTTGATTCCAAAAACGAGGAGTTTAATTTCAAACAAAAAAAATCAATGCATCTAATATTAGACACTTGGAGCGAGGCTAAAATTTGAAAACTTCAAGAAAAAAAAAATGAAAAAACAGAATAAAGGCGCACGCTGACAATAAAAAAATAACGTGGCCGAACTCTCGCAGCGAAAAGTTGAATTTTCGCGGGAATTTTAAATTTGCGGGTTTGTTTTTTCCGTTTTATTTTTTTTTGGAATGAAATTTTATTTTCCAAATCAACTTCATCAGGTAAGTCTGAATCAACGAATCAATCAGAATGAAAATCTGATTTTCAGAGCTACTCCAAATTTTCGGTTCCCAATTCCATCCATCAAACTATAAAAAAAATCTTAAAAAAATAAATAAATGGAAAATTTGGAGTGACTCCAAAAATCAGATTCCGTATTGAAATTATCATATACTTTCTTTAATTTCAATTCAAGGTGTAATTTGTTTTCCAAAAAAGTGTAAATAATGAAAAAAAATAGGAATTTTAATTTCAAACAAAAACAAAAAATATAAGGATAGAACAAGGATCACAAAGTTTTTATATATTTTTCATAACACTGGCGAAACAGAAGATCTTGAACTTTCCGCATCCAAAAACCACAAATAACGATAAGCTCTTGATAAAAGATAGAAACTGAGCGATGTTGCAAACATTGTTTTGAGCCAAGTTTGTGTTCTGAAATGAATGTTCGTTTTGAAAATGTGTTTATATTCTTCAATAAAAACTCGATAACTCACGGGAAAATGGTTTTGAACAAAATAGCAGCAGGCAAACTAACGCAATTAAAAAGAGTCGATGACAAAACACTGAATTCGACTCTTTCCCACGGATTGATACAATGAAAATGTCTTCTGAAATATACGTAGGAACCGAGAGCCACGTTGGCATTTAACAGGATTGCATTTTTTGAAAACAAGATCGCCGCCAGTTGGGAATAAACTGCAATTAAAAATTAGAGTGGTTTATTGAAGTTTCTTTTTGGGGGAAAAAAAGAGGGAGGGGGAGTAATTAGGTATTCTTTTGTTTTTTCTGGATCAGAACGATTGTTAATTTTTTAGATTGTTTTGAATTTCTAAAGTTGTCTCAATTTTCTCTGATGGAAAAGAATCTTTCTTGTGAAATTCTATCCTAATCAGCCATCCACTGCCACTCAAAAATCCCCTCAAAAACTAACCGAGAAATAATGTTTGGACTGAAAAGATGAATTGTATAAAGTGTATGAGATACGGCACCAGAAGCTGGCAAATAATGCGACAAAAATGTGCGCAATGTTACACGTGGAAACCATTTTTCCCAATCGAATCCGAAACGCGATTGTGAACTTGTTGAAGACGATTCTTCAGATTCTCCAGTTCTCATAGTTTCATTATCACTAGAAATGTCAACTTCCTGCAAATATTTAAATCTTATATTGAATTTAGAAGACCAAAAAATCTTCGGAGCGAAAATCTAATATGAGCAATGATTTGATCAAATAGTTATGATTTATGACAGAATTGCTCATATTAGTTTTTGATCGAAAAAACGCGAAAATAAGAAACAATTAATTTTGTTAATCTGAAAAGAAAAGCAGCGTCTGTTAGATTTTCGAATTGACAATAAAAATAAAAGATAGCTGATCCCAAAAAATTCACATCTCTTACTTCAATATTCTTGTCACCACTTTGCGGTGCATCATTCATTTCTCGATCATTTTCTGGCTGTCTTAGAACTAGCCCCGAATTATTTTGATCATCACTTTCTGAACTATTCAATTGTGCACCATCAACTTCAATCAGCCCTTTGTTTGATGTCTCCATTACATTCTCAATGAACTCTAAAAGTTGTTCATACATTACATCCAAATCAACCAATTGATCCGCCATCCAAATCTCCCCATATTTTTCCGGAAGACGGTCTCTGAATTTCATACTTCCATTTTTTTGTCGTTGGAACAATTTTTTAATAACCAATGGATCTAATTGAGTTAATTCTTCCCAAAGTCTGCAAAATCAATTCAATCAATCAAGGGTTTTTTTTTCGAAAACACTCACATTTTGTTGTTGTTTGCCGCTATGCTTACTTGCCTATTTAATTCATCATCGCATTTTTTCGCTCTGAAATATTCTGAATCCGAAAAGCCCTCATATGGATTTGCCATAATTTCTGGAAAAAAACTACTTTATTAAAATAAAATCGAAAATAAGAAATGTGCGATTAATTGGACTAGTCAGGAACTTTCTATCTTAAATAGGGTGAGAAAACATTTGGACACCCCGCATATATGGATGGACGCTGATTACAACAAGTAAGTAGACGCTGCGCAAAAAAGGAGAGAGTGTGTAGAATGAAGAGATTTCTATTGTATTTACCATTTTTTCTAACTAATTTAGGGACCAGGTAATGTCTGCGTCTCTCTTGTTCATTCATTCTTACAACCAAATTTGATATTTTTTGGATCACGTAAAAATGTTTTTATTATCAATGTCAAATTGTGTGGCACCGAATTGAAATAACGCTACAGTAATCCCCACACACTGAGGATTACTGTAGCGACACACAAAATTTTTATTTTTTTTATTTCATTTCGGTGCCACATAATTTGACGTTGATAATAAAAACATTCTTATTTTTCTTTTATTCACAAGGGAAATGTTCAAACTTCCACTCCCTTTTTCAGCGTGTTGAATAAAGTTGTTTTCCAGAATTGATGCCGAATCAAAACGAAGAACCAACGCGTGAATATTTGCTATGGAAAAAAGTATTTAGCGACAGGCTTAGTTTACTCAACCAAGCAAAAAATAACCAAAAAAGGTAAGAGTTTTCTAAAAACATCCTTAATTTCCGTTGATTAATTTTTGAGAAAAGTGATTTTGCAGAATTCGAGAATTTTTAGCTCTTACAAAGTTAGAGAATTCAAAGAAATTACAACAACAAAATGAAGATTCGGATGTAATGGAGACATCAAACAAAGGGCTGATTGAAGTTGATGGTGCACCATTGAATAGTTCAGCAAGTGATGATGGAAATGATTCAGGGCTAAATCTAAGACAGCCAGAAAATGATCGAGAAATGAATGATGCACCGCAAAGTGGTGACAAGAATATTGAAGTAAGAGATGTGAATTTTTTGGGATCAGCTATCTTTTATTTTTATTGTCAATTCGAAAATCTATGTAAGAGACGCTGCTTTTCTTTTCAGATTAACAAAATTAATTGTTTCTTATTTTCGCGTTTTTTCGATCAAAAACTAATATGAGCAATTCTGTCATAAATCATTACTATTTTATCAAATCATTGCTCATATTAGCTTTTCGTTCCGAAGTCTCCAAAATTCAATATAAGATTTAAATATTTGCAGGAAGTTGACATTTTTAGTGATAATGGAACTATAAGAACTGGAGAATCTGAAGAATCGTCTTCAACAAGTTCACAATCGCGTTTTGGAATCGATTGGGCAAAATGGTTTCCACGTGTAACATCGCGCACATTTTTGTCGCATTATTTGCCAGCTTCTGGTGCCGTATCTCATACACTTTATACAATTCATCTTTTCAGTCCAAACATTATTTCTCGGTTAGTTTTTGAGGGAATTTTTGAGTGGCAGTGGATGACTGATTAGGATAGAATTTCACAAGAAAGATTTATTTTCCATCAGAGAAAATTGAGACAACTTTAGAAATTCAAAACAATCTAAAAAATTAACAGTCGTTCTGATCCAAAAAAACAAAAGAATACCTAATTACTTCTCCCCCCCCCTTTTTTTCCCCCGAAAAGAAACTTCAATAAACCATTCTAATTTAATTGCAGTTTGTTCCCAAATGGCGGCGATCTTGTTTTCAGTAATGCAATTCTGTTAAATGCCAACGTGGCTCTCGGTTTCTACGTATATTTCAGAAGACATTTTCATTGTATCAATCCATGGGAAAGAGTCGAATTCAGTGTTTTGTCATCGACTCTTTTTAATTGCGTTAGTTTGCCTGCTGCCATTTTGTTCAAAGCCATTTTCCCGTGAGTTATCGAGTTCTTATTGAAGAATATAAACACATTTTCAAAACGAACATTCATTTCAGAACACAAACTTGGCTCAAAACAATGTTTGCAACATCGCTCAGTGTCTATCTTTTGTCAAGAGCTTATCGTTATTTGTGGCTTTTGGATGCGGAAAGTTCCAGATCTTCTGTTTTGCCATTGTTATGAAAAATATATGAAAACTTTGGGATCTTCAGAAAAATTGGAACATATTTTCAAGCTACAGTAATCATGGGTTACTGTAGATCATTTGTAGCCAAAAATATATGAAAACTTTGTGAACAGCCTCCACTGAACGGTGTCGGCGGGATATCCTTTCACCTTTGCCCTTCATTCAGAGAATTGTTCAACTTATTTTTTTTACTATTATTTTTTGGTTCATAATACAAAGCTAAGTCGATTTCCAAATCGATCTGAATCCGAGAATTCAAGAAACATTTTTCTAGAATAATTTTGAACCAAAAATTTTCATTTTAAATAAAAACAAAGCAATATAAGGATAGATAACAAGGTGATTATTTCAATAAATAAATAAATAAATTAATTAAATTTTAAGATAACGAATTATTCAAATTCTATGTTCTCCAATTCTTTTCGTTTTTCATCAGACAATTTAAACTCTTCTAATAATTTGATACATTTTTCGGCTTCCTCTGCAGCATACTTCAAATCGTTAGGGCCGTAACTGAAGCAGCAATCATACACATCGTGATATCTGAAATGAATATTCAACTTAAAAATTATTCATAACTCTTCAACTCACCGGCTGAAATTTTCAAATAACGAACCAATTTCTTCTGATATTTCATTGGCGAATTGTCGTTTGTAACTGTCCGAATTCAAGGTGACGTTCAAAGAATTATCCGACACAAACTCTTAAAACAAATACATTTCCGAAATATTTAAAAAAATAGAAATTACTTTGTATAGCTACTGATCCGCATATCCACAACAGCACAGATGCTATTCTGCAATTTCCAAGTTTGCAGCATTTTTTTGACAATTCCAAAATTGATCTAGGAGTGTAGTCTTTCACGAGATTTGGAGAATTCTGAAATAATCTAGTGATTCTATATCCCAAACCCTCTGTTTTTGTGTTTATGATTTCACAGGATAATCAACCTTTAGCTACCTTTTCACCGTTATAACACTACTTACCTCACCAGGATTGGGATCGAATAAAACTTCAACTCCTTGACAATTGCAACGCATAGCCAATTTGAGTGCCAAATCAGGATTTTTTATAGTATTCATTACACATGGTACCACATATCTTTTATCGAGCGAAACAGTAAAAACTTGTCCTTTTCCATCGATTCCCATTATTCCTTTTCGAATTTTGGATAATGGACAAGTAACAGAAACAGTTTCGGGTATGAAAAGATCCGAATAAAAATGAACTCCTGATTCAATATCATGTAAATGTACAAATCCATGTTTTGTTATCAAATAAATTATTCCTTCTTTAGAAAAACCTGAAATAATAGATTTTTAATGTGAAATCTTATGCCAAAAAAAATCAAAAGTATTTACCTGCATCGAAACTGGGAAATCTTGTTGATTTTCATCCGTATATGGTACATCAACATTCTTTTTCTGGAATGGTTGATTTCCAGCCGCTGGCGATCCAACTTCAATTATATGCAATTTTCCACCGGCTTCATTTTTGACTGAGAAACATAATAAATTTGATGGAAATGGATTTCCTTCGAGTTTGAATCGAACAAAACAAGCGGCATGTCCATCGATTGGTTGAGATACTTTTGTTTGGGTACTGTACAATTGCATGTTTCCAACAACTCGATTATCTTTTGCAGATATTCCAATAAGAACAAGCCATTTTGAATCAGCATCAGAAAGATAATTTATGATTTGAGTTCCGGAAAGTGAAAGATGATGATCGAACATTTTCACAGGCGCCGCATCACCTGAAAATTAGATTGTATGAGGATCTGTGAGAAACAAATTGAAAATCTTACATTCAATCGACCAATGATAAACAGCTGTTTCAGTAACAAAAGCAATCGTTGTTTCATTAATCCATTTCCAAAAAACAACATCTTCATTATTTTGATGTTCCTTCACAATCGCTTTCGATTCAATAATGTAAATTTGCAGTGTTTTTCCAGCTGTAAAAACATCTCGTTATTTAACAAAACAAGGAAGTACTATATGCCCACGTACTGTAGATCAGCTTACCGAGCATTGATTTTCAAAAATCTACAGTGGTTGATCTACAGGTTTATTTTTATTTTACGAATGCTGTAGATCACGATACTGTAACTAAGTAATTCAAGAACAGTATTCATCCACAAAAGTCTACAATAGTTGATCTACAGTATTCTAAGGGGTTGGAACAAAGAATGCTGTGTCTCAACCAATTTTTATGTGTAAACTAACATTTGAGCGCCAAAACATTGGCAGTTGGATGCATAATAACAGAATCAGCAGAAATTGAAAGTCGAGTTGGATTTTGTGGTTCATCTAATTCAATTATTACAACTTGTTGTTTATTGTCAATCTAGAAAATATTCAAATTAATGAAATCGAAATAATATTTTCAAATAAAGAAAGTCATACCATTTCTCTGACCACAATATTTTTGTCAGATTCCATTGTAACATTCTCCGAAGTAATATTTTGCTGACGGATTCCAACATCAGCGAGCTTTAGAAGTTCTTGAAAATAGACGGGTGGTCTTTCGGCCATTTTTACGCGTTTCTGAAGAGATTTCACAAAATTCTGAAATTGAAGTTCAAAACTTTTTACGTTCAGGGGATAACAATTGATTATGGGGTGTAAAAAATGAAAAAAAAATATCAAAAACTTTGAACTAAAATATGATAGTTCAAACAAAAATCAATACTTATTTTTGGATGCTAAGTACATAAGTTGCGGACCATAATAAACATTCGAAGGAGAGAGAGAGAGAGATGCAGAGTGTGAAAGACATAATCGCGAGATCGTTTTGATTTATACATTAATTGATCCACAAATCCAGCAAAAAGTTTCAAATCCAATTTTAAGTAATAAAACATTTTTCATTTCAAACAATTTCAAACAAAACAATATAACGATGGATAACAGGGATATCATAACAAAGTGTGCAAAAACTATTGTAGCTGTGCAAGTTTTCCATTAATCTGGATATTTGAACATTTTTCGAGTTTTTCCGAGAACAAATCAGTTGGATTTTCACTTTCACCTCCAGCATCGCTGAATTCTTGAAGAACTTCTTTGCGCAGCTTTTTGATCTGGAGAATTATTTTTTTCTGGTTTGGACGGGTTTTTTGTTCAATTTTTTATTAAAAACTGTGGACCTCGGCCAAAATCGTGGTTTCGAAAATAAAAAAATTGTACGCTAACTTTTTACAATATGAAAGTTGTGCAGAAATTCAGATGTTTTTAAAAATTGTACTCTGGCCAGCCACAGATTGGCCGAGGTGTGACTGTGGATCAGAAACTAGAGGGTTTTTTGAATCATGGCCCATGAAATTTTTGGTCACGCCCGAAAAAAATACAAACCTTCATTTCTCCTCCATTATCTTTCAATTTTCTCTTGATAACCTTTTTCCATTTGAAATTAACCGTTCCATTCTCCTCTGACTCAACCTTCTTATTTTCCTCATCCGAATCTTTTTTCGCAGATTTCGAATTAGCCGCTTCTTTTTGCTCTCGTTCAGTTTTCTGCAACTCTTCTTGTTTAGCAATCGCTTCTTGTCTCATTTTTTCAGCTTCAGCTGCAATTGCTTGCCAAGCTCTCAATGCGAAATTTCGATCTCTTAATCTACAGGAATTCATGAGAAAATTGATGAATTTTGCTTCTTTTCTTGGAATATTCGCAAAACCGGCTACACTTTTCAATAATTCTTTGACTTCGTGATCTTGAACTGCGTCGATTGCTCCATTTACTTGATCAACCCAAGCATTCTGTTTAGCTTCGCCCTTGAAAATCAATTTTTTTGAAAAACTAAAGCAATCTGAAATTTGAAGAAGCTCTGAAAATCAAATTTTCAAAAATATCTTTTTCAATAGAAAAATTCCAAAACTTTTATTTTCTGAACCTCAGTAATTTCTCAAAAAAAGTTGTAATTTTTTCTACTTTCAGATCAAAAAATAAATTTTGGTTTCAAACCCCAATTTTCCCAAAAAAGTTCCATATTGCTCACCTTATTCTCTTTTTCAACATAATTTTTTCCACCATATTTCTGATTTTCTGTGATGCATTTTATGTGGCCTTTGTGTGTTTCGCGTCTGAAAAAAAATTAAATTTCCAGCTGGAAATTATCTCAAGTTCACAGTAAGTCTGAAATTAATTTCTCTAAAAATGGCTGAAACTCACGTAAAAACGAGCTGACAATCAATACAACTGAAAGTAGCATTTCTGCATTGAAAACTGTGCTTTTCGACCTGAAATTAATTTTTTCACATTTTTTCAATAAAGAATATCTTACCTGATTCTTTTTCAGAGCTTCGCCACAACCATTACAAGAAAAGAAGACCATCTGAAAATCGAACTCAAAATTGATCAAAAAATTATTTTTCAAATATTCAAAAAAGTCACAAACTTTTCTTTTCGAGGAAAATATAAAAAAAACTGGAAAATTTATAAGTAACCCGAATTTTGTACATGGACTATGCTGAAAAATGCGCTAGAAAATAGAAAATCACAAAAAAAGATCCCAAAATTGCACACAACCCAAATAAATTAATTAATTATCTCTGTACAAATTATTAGTCTATGTATCTTTTTCAATTTGTGTTGGCAAAATGGAATAATGTGATCCGCCAAACGACGAACTCAACGAGACACTTTTGCCATGGAAATCATAATAAAGTGTGCAGTGGAAAAAGATATTGGAGAATACGGCAGAATATTCGACGAGTGCAAAAAGTGTATAAATTCCAGGTTCGCAGAATGTATTGTGTCGCCAGTATAAATATCCGCCCATTACGAAACAGAATATGAATATTGCGGAACCCAATATTTTATATTCATAGGATCGTTCGCCCTGGAAAATTGAAACATTTGAAAAATTAGCAATTCTGGTTTGATCCAAAAAATTATAAGTTAGGATCAACCTCAAGACAATAATCAACATTTTTGAATTTGTTCCTAGAGTTAATTTAAAAGAAAAACTGAATTTCGGATACAAATTCCAAAAAAATCCAAAAATGTTCAAGTAAAAAAAGTTATGTGCTATAAAAATATCCTATCAGAAATCCAAATGTTTTTTTTATTTTTTTATTTTTTCAGAATTTTCATTATTTAAAATTTGAAACCATAGCGTATTTAAAAAAATGAGAGATTTGATGTGGAAATGGTAAAACTATTTTTTCCCCATAAATTTGAATTTTTTTGAACAATCAAAATACAACAAAAAATATTTTTCAGAAACTTTGAATTTTTCGGACCTTCATTCTTAAGGTAATCCAATATTTTACCCCCTCCCTCTCCCCTCAAAAAAACTCACTAAATTAGTTGCTCTTCTCCTTCCGGATTCATTAAATAACCAAGTGCTCAACAACATATATAAAATCGAACAAATCGCAAAACCACCAAAACATTTCGCGTGTAATCCATGATCTTCACTTGAAGAAATCGAAGTGAGACCCAACAAAAAACAATTTTCAGCTAAATTCAATAAACACGCCAAATTACATAATCTTTGAAATTTTCGAAATCCGCTGATTGGTCGAAGTGGTGAACTGGCAAGAAAATTTCGGAAGGCAAGAGCAATGAGTAAACGAGGTCCGATGTGTAAACCAATCAGAAATCTCCAGATATATTTTTCTGGAGAATATGTGGAAACTGCGGCGGATATTGAGGGAAGCCTGAATTGGAATAATTATTGAGAGTCGCGCAATGAGTTATGACGTGGCAAAGTTGTAATTTAGGCCTAGAATCGAATTCTAAATTGTTTTTTGCCAAAGATTTGATTTTTGAAAATAATGGCAACTTTTACACGTCATAACTTATATTTCAAAAAAAAAACTAACCAATTGGGAACTTCACAATGAGTTGATATTGCTTGATCGAAATGAAGCCAAAGTGACAAAATAACACAAATGAATAATGCGGAAGATGGTAGACCAGCTACACAAAAAACTACATATCTGCAAAAAAAATCTTGAAATATAGTACTGAAAAAAAACTAATAAGCTAAATTTTTTACTGAAATTTCTGAAAAATCAGTTAATTTCTTATGAATCCTGTGAACCGGTTTTTCAAAATACTCCGTGGGCAAAACTTCAGATGCTTTTTCTTGAAATTTTCCAATTTTTAAAGTAATTCCCAAAAACCTCCGCTTGTAAAACTCACTTGAATGGCAATGATAAAATGTCATCTTCCCCAAGTGCCATAACTAAAAAAATATTTTCTAAAAAATTTTTTTGCAAATAAAAAAAATATGGATGACCGTTTTCAACGGATTTTGAAATTACAAAAAAGACTTGAACACTTCTCTTTGAAAACAAAAACAATCTATTTCTAGCAGAACAAAACAAAAACAAAAAACCCTATCGATATTTTCCTTTCCAAGCGATGTCGTAATTTGATAACCAGCTTGAACAGTTTTGCATATTGTACCTGCAAAAAATATTGTATTTTTTTCTTCAAATTTCAGATATAGCTTGAAATTCCAGTAAAAGACCTACTTTATAACATTATCCCATTCAAATCGATTCTTATTCATATTTTGAATTTCCTCCTCTTTTCTTCTTCGTTCAGCCAAAATAGTCTCACTCACAAATTCCACTGGGAAAGAGAATCGTTCACATAAATACAACAAGAATGCTTTTGCCTACAAACATTTTTCTCATTAGAAATTGGATGGAAAATCTTGGAAAATACCTCAATTTCAGTAATATATCCACCAACTTCAAGAATGATTCGATTTGCTTTGACAGGTGTCACATATTTTTGAATACTACCTTTTCCACCACCAAGTCGTGTTCCTTGTGCTTTTTTCGTTCTTGGGAGCCATGGAGCATCAACTCGCCAAACAGCAAATTGATTATCGATTAGGTTTTTGTTGATGCGATCCTTCAAAAAATATAGTTAGAGATTCTTTTGAATGAAAATTATGCTTCCTAGTAGTTTTGACCTTATCTACTAGAAAACATGAATTTCATTAAAAAAGCTAAACATACCTGAATAAATTTGAAATCATCACTTGAAATAAAACCACCAGAAATTGCTGCAAGACCAAATTGTTCATGTATCAATTCAGTATGAATTTCTTCAACTCCTCTAGCTTCAATCATTCGTTTCGTTGATTTATACCTAAAATCCACGCTTGATTTTCATTCAAAATAAACCGATCCTACTTTTTCTCTCCCTTTTCACCATCATAAAATGGTTCAGCTGGCATAACCGGAAGCTTGAACTGTCCATTTGGTGGGAATCGAACATCTATGAATTGATTTGTTGAAATGAATAATAAATCTTGTAAATAGCAACTTACTTTCATATGTGACTGGAAATGGATATTTCTTCATTCCGCGAATTTGCTGAATGCATGTCAGCAAACTTTTCGGCTTAATCATACCTGAAAAACCAATTTTCATTGAGAATTTTGGTCGTCGCGCTCGTGGAAAAACAAAATTGTGGCAGCAGCTTTTGTCACCTTGAAATAACTCAACATAGGAAATGCGCTCCAACGCACAAAGGGAGGCTGTTTGAATTTATTTGTTTGTGTTCTCACATATGTATTAAAAAATATAATTGTTTATTATATTGTTTGTATAACCATAAAATCTAAATTTTCTGAAACAGAAATTAATTCTCTACGACATGCAACTGATTTAATGATGTTAATTTCAAATTATTGATGTCAATTTACAAAATTTTTAAATTGTAATTTTAAAAATAAATTTACAAAGTCTTTCAGGTCGAAAACTTGTTCAAAGAAGTTCTTCAAGAATTCAGCGATGCTGGAGGTGAAAGTGAAAATTCAACTGATAAAGTTCTCGAGAAAAAACTTGAAAAATGCTCAAAAATTCATATTAATGGAAAACTTGCACATCTACAGTAGTTTTTTCATACTTTGATATGATATTCTCGTTATCTATTGTTATATTGTTTTTTTTGTTCGAAATGAATGATGTTTGATTTAAAATTAATATAAAAAATATATTTATTGGATTCGTTGATTAACTTGAAAATCGAATAATTCTTCGAAGAAGAGAGGGGGATCCGATCCGGACAGAAAACACCGTAATTATGTCTTTCTTTCTGCGTCTCTCTAGTATTGACATTCTCTTTTTTGAGCACCTGGCGTGCTCCATAACTTATGGAGCGTCCTAAAAACTAGAAAGTAATATGGCGGACTGTCTTATCATATGTCTCTTAGTAGATAACATTTAAAGAAATTGGACAGACGTGAATTTCATATTTTTATTTGTTCATTATCGATGGTTTTCCCTTTCACGTATAATATATTTTAGGGTTCTAACCAATTTGTTATTGTTTCGTTTGAATCCTCCAACATTGCCTAAATAATATTTATATTATTATTAACAGAAACAGCTAAATATGGCCGAAAGACCACCCGTCTATTTTCAAGAGCTTCTACAGCTCGCTGATGTTGGAATTTGTCAGCCAACTATTACTTCTGAGAATGTTACAATGGAATCTGACAAAAATATTGTGGTCAGAGAAATGGTATAAATTTCTTTAATTGAAAATTTTATTTTGGTTTATCAATTTGAATTTTTTCTAGATTGACAATAAACAAGAAGTTGTAATAATTGAATTAGACGAACCACAAAATCCAACTCGACTTTCAATTTCTGCTGATTCTGTTATTATGCATCCAACTGCCAATGTTTTGGCGCTCAAAAGTTAGTCATTTAAAAAATCGGTTGAGACATAGCATTCTTTGTTCCAACCCCTTAGAATACTGTAGACTACTGTAGGCTAAATACTGTTCTTGAATTACTTAGTTACAGTATCCTTGGTAGCTGATCTACAGCATTCGTAAAATAAAAATAAACCTGTAGATCAACTACTGTAGATTTTTGAAAATCAATGTTCGGTAAGCTGATGACAGTACGTGGGCATATAGTACTTCCTTGTTTTGCTAAGTAACAAGATGTTTTTACAGCTGGAAAAACACTGCAAATTTACATAATTGAAACGAAAGCAATTGTGAAGGAACATCAAAATGATGAAGATGTTGTTTTCTGGAAATGGATTAATGAAACAACGATTGCTTTTGTTACGGAAACAGCTGTTTATTATTGGTCGATTGAATGTAAGATTCTCAATTTGTTTCTCATAAATGATTCTAAACTTAAAATCCAATCCAATTTTTCAGGTGATGCGGCGCCTGTGAAATTGTTTGATCGTCATCTTTCACTTTCTGGAACTCAAATTATAAATTATCTTTCTGATGCTGATTCAAAATGGCTTGTTCTTATTGGAATATCTGCAAAAGATAATCGAGTTGTTGGAAACATGCAATTGTACTGTACCCAAACAAAAGTATCTCAACCAATCGATGGACATGCCGCTTGTTTTGTTAGATTCAAACTTGAAGGAAATCCATTTCCATCAAATTTATTATGTTTCTCAGTCAAAAATGAAGCCGGTGGAAAATTGCATATAATTGAAGTTGGATCGCCAGCGGCTGGAAATCAACCATTCCAGAAAAAGAATGTTGATGTACCATATACGGCTGAAACTGCACAAGATTTCCCAGTTTCGATGCAGGTAAATACTTTTGATTTTTTTTGGCATAAGATTTCACAATAAAATCCATATTTACAGGTTTCTTCTGAACAAGGAATAATTTATTTGATAACAAAACATGGATTTGTACATTTACATGATATTGAATCTGGAGTTCATTTTTATTCGGATCTTTTCATTCCTGAAACTGTTTCTGTTACTTGTCCATTATCCAAAACTCCTGGAATTATGGGAATCGATGGAAAAGGACAAGTTTTTTCCATTTCAATCGATAGAAGATATGTGGTACCATGTGTAATGAAAACTTTAAAAAATCCTGATTTGGCACTCAAATTGGCTATGCGTGGTAATTTTTTAGGAGTTGAAGCTTTGTTTGAGCCCAACATATGTGAAGTAAGTGGTGTTATAACGATGAAAACAGTAGTCCGAGATGTTTGAATAATAGAATAATAATACAAGAATCTGAATCTATGTAGTATTGTTAGAGAATCTAATAACAAGTCTATTAATTGTAAGTAAAATTTAACTAGGTTGAGAATTTGAATTTATAATTCATTTGTTGTATTTTCTGAATAGATTTAGCAGAAGTCCAGTTTTTGCGCGCAACATCAATTATACTCATTTGACCATACTCTTTCTTTTGAAATACAATTAGTTTTTCGTTTAGGATCATTGATGAAATATTTCAGAATTCGTCAAATCTCGTGCAGCACCACACTTCTAGATCAATTTTGGAATTGTCAAAAACATGCCGAAAACTTGGAAACTACAGAATATCATCTGGGCTATTATGGATATCCGGATCGCTAGCTATACAAAGTAATTTTTATTTTATGAATATTCAAGAAATTCATATGTTTTAGCATTCATATCAGATAATTCATTGAACGTCACTTTGAATTCGGACGATTCCAAACGACGATTCGCCGATAGATTATCTGAAACTATTGGAACGCTATTCTGCGATTTTGAGTTGTGAGTACAGTACATTGCAATGAGATATACAATTTTGGTTTTTTGTCAATATTGAAAGGGGGTGAAAATTGTGTGAAAACTTAGTCATTTTTCATGCAGATTCTGACTGTATTCACTGATTCATATAATCGCATCTCGATTCGTGAAGTTTTTTGGACTGATGATCAAAAATGGATTTTTGAATATTTTCATTAATTTCAGAAAAGCGTTGAAAAAAGTTCAAGCTCATTGATACGTGTTTTTCATGCCTAAAGGAGACTGTTAGCAGTCGATTCAGACCTCAACCTAATCATTTCATCGCCTACAAGGCTCATACTGAAGGCTCCAGTATGAACATTTAGAAAATCAGAAAATATAGAAATATAGAATTTTCATGACTTAAGTCTCAAGTATCAATGAACTTGAATTTTTTTTCAACGCTTTTATGAAATTTGTGAAAATATCCAAAAATCCATTACTGATCACCGGTCCAAAAAGCTTCAAGAATCGAGATGAGATTGTATGAATCAGTGAATATGGTCGGAATCTGCAGGAAAAATTGATAAGTTTTCACACAATTTTCACCTGTTGAATATTCATTTCAGGTGTCACGATGCATATGATTGCTACATGAATTACGACTCTGACGATTTAAAGAATTGTACGAAGACAGCCCAGGAATTTATTAAACTATTAGAAGAGTTCGTAATATGTGGAGAAAAAAGAAAAATATTGGAGAATACAAATTTTGATTTATAAGCTGAATTTATTCATTAGTATATATTTAGTAGAAGTAGATATTTGTTTATTATATTGTTTGTATAACCATAAAATTTACATTTTCAGAAACAGAAATTAATTCTCTACGACATGCAACTGATTTAATAATGTTAATTTCAAAAATAAAATTACAAAGTCTTTCAGGTCGAAAACTTGTTCAAAGAAGTTCTTCAAGAATTCAGCGATGCTGGAGGTGAAAGTGAAAATCCAACTGATAAAGTTCTCGAGAAAAAACTTGAAAAATGCTCAAAAATTCATATTAATGGAAAACTTGCACATCTACAGTAGTTTTTTCAAGCTTTTATATGATATCCTTGTTATATTGTTTTTTTTTTGTTTGAAATGAATAATGTTTGATTTAAAATCAAAATAGGAAAAAATTTATTGGATTCGTTGATTAACTTGAAAATCGAATAATTCTTCGAAGAAGAAAGGGAGATCCGATCCGGACAGAAAACACCGTAATTATGTCTTTCTTTCTGCGTCTCTCTAGTATTGACATTCTCTTTTTTGAGCACCTGGCGTGCTCCATAACTTATGGAGCGTCCTAAAAACTAGAAAGTAATATGGCGGACTGTCTTATCATATGTCTCTTAGTAGATAACATTTAAAGAAATTGGACAGACGTGAATTTCATATTTTTATTTGTTCATTATCGATGGTTTTCCCTTTCACGTATAATATATTTTAGGGTTCTAACCAATTTGTTATTGTTTCGTTTGAATCCTCCAACATTGCCTAAATAATATTTATATTATTATTATTAACAGAAACAGCTAAATATGGCCGAAAGATCACCCGTCTATTTTCAAGAGCTTCTAAAGCTCGCTGATGTTGGAATTTGTCAGCCAACTATTACTTCTGAGAATGTTACAATGGAATCTGACAAAAATATTGTTGTTAGAGAAATGGTATGACTTTCTTTATTTGAAAATATTATTTCGATTTCATTAATTTGAATATTTTCTAGATTGACAATAAACAACAAGTTGTAATAATTGAATTAGACGAACCACAAAATCCAACTCGACTTTCAATTTCTGCTGATTCTGTTATTATGCATCCAACTGCCAATGTTTTGGCACTCAAATGTTAGTTTACATACAATCTATCTACTATCTATCTATTATCTACTATTTTTTATCTACTAATTGGGAAATTTTTTTGGCAATAGTGTGTCCGGGACCCGTTCTCAAAACTGTGTGCATAAAAATTGATGATCAAAAAAAGAAAAAGTTTCTAAATGTTGGCAGCTCGGTGCGCATCCTAATCATTTATTCTGAAAATATCTGTGAGTGCACGGAGAATCAAAAGTTTGAAAATCTCAATGTATTTTTCGCATTTAAAATGTGGCGCTCGACTTTTCTCAATTTCCAGAAGACCATTTTTGATGGGACCTTCATCATTCTATCCCAAATTCTTTCCCATCGAGGCGCTAATATTCGATTTTTAAAAAAATGCGCGAGTTTTCACGTGAAAAATCAAAACTTTTTTCATGTAAAAAAGAATGATCACGTTTTTAACCGAAAAAATTAAAAGGCCACGTTTCTTATCTGATCGTTCTAATTTCTCCCATAAACGAATATTTTTAGTCATTTCTCAATGTTTCTCTTTCTCTAATCGAAAAATATATTAATTAGAAAAACGTAAGTCAAACTACTGTAGATGGCGTTACCCAGCGAAGTCCTTCTATTATCGATTAAAGGGGTTGTCCTTCTACGTCGAAAATCAAGTCCGCAATAGTGCGTCACTTTTTAAAACTAACTATAAGCAAGCCTAAAGTTGATTAAAATCACTTTCCATAGTTGAAAAATGTCAGGAAATGCATTTCGCGAGAAGTACACACAAATAAATTATGAGTGTGAAGAGCACACATGTTTTTTATATGCACTAAAACCTTAAAACCTAACAAAAACATGAATAAAATGTTGAAAATTCGCTCTAAAATCAAAATAAAATATGGAATGTTTCAGGAGCACCTTAGCTCTATCGATTGAACCTAAGTTTCCCTGTAGCAGGACAACCCCAATAGGTTCCTATTGTTAGCAGAACTTCATGAATCTACAGTACTTTCCGATGGGAATAAGATCCGATTTTCCGAAGTTTTTGAATCGGGCCACTTTTTTTTTTTGAAAAAATAGGTATTTTGGGTGCGTGAAACAATTTTCAAAAATAGGGACCAATTCATAATTTATATTCAAAAACCCGGGCCTAAGCCACATGCAAAAAATTCAACGTTTTTTCTGTGTCGATCTACATTTGTTTTTTTACAGCTGGAAAAACACTGCAAATTTACATAATTGAAACGAAAGCAATTGTGAAGGAACATCAAAATTCTGAAGATATTGTTTTCTGGAAATGGATTAATGAAACAAAGATTGCTTTTGTTACAGAAACAGCTGTTTATCATTGGTCAATTGAATGTAAGATTTTCGGGAGACCTTAAAAACTCCTCCTTTTTGTGTGGCACCTTTTCTCGCATAATTTTAAAATATTTTGGTATCTTATTCCGATCATACTTCATTATGATAATCTTATTTTTCAGGTGATGCGGCGCCTGTGAAAATGTTTGATCGTCATATTTCACTTTCCGGAACTCAAATCATAAATTATCTTTCTGATGCTGATTCAAAATGGCTTGTTCTAATTGGAATATCTGCAAAAGATAATCGAGTTGTTGGAAACATGCAATTGTACTGTACCCAAACAAAAGTATCTCAACCAATCGATGGACATGCCGCTTGTTTTGTTCGATTCAAACTTGAAGGAAATCCATTTCCATCAAATTTATTCTGTTTCTCCGTCAAAAATGAAGCCGGTGGAAAATTACATATAATTGAAGTTGGATCGCCAGCGGCTGGAAATCAACCATTCCAGAAAAAGAATGTTGATGATCCATATACGGATGAAAATCAACAAGATTTCCCAGTTTCGATGCAGGTAAATACTTTTGATTTTTTTTTGGCATAAGATTTCACAATAAAATCCGTATTTACAGGTTTCTTCTGAACAAGGAATAATTTATTTGATAACAAAACATGGATTTGTACATTTACATGATATTGAATCAGGAGTTCATTTTTATTCGGATCTTTTCATTCCTGAAACTGTTTCTGTGACTTGCCCATTATCCAAAATTCGAAAAGGAATAATGGGAATCGATGGAAAAGGACAAGTTTTTTCTATTTCGCTCGATGAAAGATATGTGGTTCCATGTGTAATGAAAACTTTAAAAAATCCTGATTTGGCACTCAAATTGGCGATGCGTGCTAATTGCCAGGGAGTTGAAGTTTTGTTTGATCCCAATCTTTGCGAGGTAGATGGTGCTATAACGGTGGAAACATTATTAGCTAAAACAGAAAGTTGGAAAATCTCATGATGAAATTTAGAAAATAGTTTCAAGCTCTTCCAAAAGTAATAGCTTCCAACTATGGGTCTTTCAATCTTCTCCGCTCAAAATTGTCTCTGTTTTAGAACTTCTGTTGATTATCTTGTGAAATCATAAGCACAAAATCAGAAGGTTCGGAATACGAAATCATTATATTATTTCAGAATTCTCCAAATCTCGTGAAAGACTACACTTCTAGAGCAATTTTGGAATTGTCCAAAACATGCCGAAAACTTGGAAATTATAGAATAGCCTCTGGGCTAATATGGATATGCGGATCAGTAGCTATACAAAGTAATTTCATTTTTTGAATATTTCAGAAATTTATTTGTCTTAAGAGTTCGTATCGGATAATTCTTTGAACGTCACCTTGAATTCGGACAGTTACAAACGACAATTCGCCAATGAAATATCAAAAGATCTCAGATCGCCATTTGTCAGTTTTTCCTTGTAAGTATAAGAATTATGAATAATTTTAAAGTGAACTATTCATTTCAGGTGTCACGATGCATATGATTGCTGCTTTAATTACGGCCCTGACGATTTGAAGGATGCTTCAAAGGAAGCCCAGAAATGTATTAAATTATTAGAAGAGTTCGTATTGTGTGAAGAAAAAAGAAAAGAATTAAAGAATATTGAATTTGAATAATACATTTTGATTGTTCAATCATTCACATCAGATGATATTGTCCATTCTGCTAAATTGATCAGCAAGGAATGAGAGGGTGAAAAAAAATGAAAGGTAAAAAATGACTTTCGAGCCAGCGCCAGTTGGTAAAATTTGGCTTTGTGTTACAGAAAAAATTAAGCCCTCGATCGCACAACATGTCAGCCCAATGAAAATTTCTATACACAGGTAAAGCGCAATAGGTCTGAAATGGGTCTCATAAGTCTCTCGCATGGCGCCCATAATAGGCCCATTACAGACCTATCGAAAACAAATTTTCGATAGGTCTGTAATAGGTCAATTATAAGCTTAAAAATCATCGAATTTTGAGCTATTTTTTGTGCAAAATGGGTCTATTGTGGGCCTATTATAGGCCTACAGTGCATCCTACATGAAAATCAGCAAAAGCTGAAACTCTATTCTATCAAGTTCTACTAACTCCCAATGATGTCTTACTCTTATATAGCTCAATTACAGGGTAAATCGAGAGAGACAGAGAAAACGAGAAAACATCTTCAAAAAGAAATCCAAAAGATGAAATTCAAGAAAATTTGATATATCGTTTCGAAACCAAGCGCGGGAAAAGTTTTTAAATTCGAAAAAATTTGAAAAACATGTTTCCCGCGCTTGGTATCGCAACGAGCAGCCGGACTGCAAATGAATTTGGTGTTCCGTATTTCGATTGGAAGGTTTTGTGTTTCTTTCTCGGTCTCTCTCGAATTGCAATTTTCCCCATTTTTGAAAGGCCGTGTGAATTTCCACACCCGCTCAAATAATGAAAAAATTAGAAATTGCGTTTATTCACACTGCGCCGTTGCATGAAAAACTAAAAATACCAGCGTGTTCAGCGTGACGAGATCTGCGTGAAACTATATAATTTGCGACATGTAGACCCCTAGGAAAGGGGGCTTTTCGAGACCCAATAAATTTAGAAATGTATGTTCCTTTGAACTAACGAGGCAGTGTGAAACTTTGAGAGATGCAGAGCCGCGGATTTTTGCTACCGTAGAAAAACTCTTTGCGTGTTTCAAACCGGTGTGTTTCTGCCTTTCTTTTCTGCCAAATTTTTTTACTTTGATTTTATGATCCAGCGTTTTATACAAACTAAAATAATCAACTTTTCCTGAAAAGTTTAAAAATATCCGCTTAGTAGATAATATAATGTATAAATTTAACTAAAATTTTAAATGTGAATATAATGTAAAAATGTAAAAAAAAATGTATAAATGTAACTGTACAATGTAAACTGTAAACTAATTCAAATGTAATTATGAACTAATAACTGTATTATTATTATTATTATTTTATCTGTATATGTAATTATTGGTTTCTTTTCGAAATCTGTATTATTTTTTTTTCTAGTAACCTACTTATTCTTTTGAAAAAATACTCTAAAACTTAACTTTTTTTCGATTGTTCATACCAAATTTGGTTTTAAAAATTGTTGCTAGTTTTTTTTTATTTTGGATTTTTGATAAATTGATTTGCAATAAAATTTTTACAAATTCTCGTATAAAACTTTCAAAAAATCATAATCACCGTAAGCTTTGACGCTTTCAGATAATATTTAAAAAAAAAACAACATTATAAATTTTAACGATCTTATAGATAGATATTTTGTCGAACAAACAAAAATAAAAAAGGAAGACAAGGTAGTTTCAGAAATATTGTACAAAAAAATGGTGAATATTATGAGTGAGAAAAATCATTCGATTCTCAATTTTCTTTTCAATGCGATGATATCATCGCGACGTTTTTTCGATTCGGCTCCGCGGCGTGGTTTCTTCGCTGATTCTCTGGAAAATAATTATTATTAATCATAAATGAAAAATCCAAGTTTTATAAATAAATAAATACAAACCTTGCCGATTTTCCAGGAATCAATCCCTCTTCCAATGCCAAATCATATTCTCTATCGGTCAATTTTGTTGTGTCGATGAACTTTTTACGAGCCGAAAATGTGTGTGGAGTATAACCTCCAACGCGAGTGATTTGTTTCACATCTCTATGTTCCTTTAAAAATAATATTTTCAGTAATTTTTAAGAGGATTTGAGATAACTCACTCTTTTGGCTGTTTTCTTGACACTTGAGGGAGTTCCTGACTTTGGTTTCGCAACTTGTTTGAAATCTTCTACCTCTTCCTCACCGAATTTGAATGTCATATTTTCCGGATTTGTTTCTTTCCAATCCCTAAAATGTTTCATTGTCCTAATTTTTCACACAAAAAAAATCAACATACTTTTGTCTGAGTGGTTCACGCTTCTTAACACTCTTTGGTGTTGCCAATCTTTTAATCGATGTTGGACAATCTTGTGTCAATTCTTGATGTCTCTTCAAAACCTTTTCCTGGTGGTCCAAAATCGACTCCATTTTTTCGTTTTGTTTCTCGTGGATTTTTGCAAAATGATCTCGATCTAGAATTAAGTTCTTTTTTCAAAATAAATTCTCAAAAACTAACTGAAACTCACAATTTTTCGGTGCTTTCAATCTGGTTGGAGTCTTCTCGCGATTTTCCTCAACATGCTCAGTAGTTGGAAGAGCTTCAGAAACCACTACATTTGATTTTCGGATAGATTTTCTTGCTGAAGTACGAGCCGCGCTGTTTCTTGGTTTTATGTCTGAAAACCAGCAAATTATTTATTTCAATCAAGCTTCAATAAAACTTACGGAAACTGTGATCATCAATTCCATATTCTTCACACAGTTTTTGTCTTGTTTCCTCGTCCAAAACAAGATTTACTTGATTTGTCGGCGTTTGTTCATCTATAACTTCATTATTTTCAAATTCATGTTGAAAAAATGAAAACTTACGAGTGAAATCATGCGTTCTGTTGGTTACAGCTGGAGATGATACATCCATTGTTTCTTCCTCTTCTTCTTCTTGCTCAACAACTGGTTCAGCTACTTTTTCAGATAAGAAAAACTGAAACAATTACATGTTTTATGAAGAAAAACTTAACAAAACTCACATCAAGCAGGCGTTTCTGCAAATCAGTCTTTTTTCCAGCCGCTGACAATCGCTTCGACTTCAACTGCTTTCTCAGTTCATTGTAATCCAGGCCCATAATAGTTTCCTGCTCCATTCTGAAAAAATAACAATAAGAATCATAAATTTCATAGAATCAGAGAAAATGTTGAAGATTGAAGAAAGTTCCAAAAAGTTTTAAGTCAAAAGCAGTAGCAAAAACAAATTATTTTTTGGGAAATCCGGCGTGAAAGTTGTCGCAAAAAATTTCGAGAAATAAAAATGTTTGCGCGTGATATTAAATGTCGGCGTTGGTGCAAACACGTGTGCCTACAGTACTCACAAGGGAAATTTTTTTTTCAAAAAGTAAATTTTACTTTGCTGAAAAGTTATTCGTTTTGACACTAGAATTTCGATGTTTTTAAAACTGGGATAGGTGAATAAATAGCGCGATCGCTAGTTTTTGAAAGAATTTTGGAATTCAAATTTGGAGCAAAATTTTTCAAGCTGAAAATCCAATTCTAAAGTAGTAAATTAATTCAGCACAGTCTTGTACATGTTCAAAAACCACGGCGTTGGCGGGTTGTCAATAGAGCGCACCTTCCCCAAGACGAGAGCGTGTTTATGTGGAGACGCAGACACAAAATCGAATATACGACTAAATTCTCTTCGATTTTTTACAGAGTCGTCAATTTTGAACAATGTCGGATCAAACGTGAGTTTACGAAAAAATACTCAAAACATTTGAAACTTGTTTTTACAGAAACTTGAGAAATGAAGATTTTCGGAAGCTGCTAACATCCGCTAGAAGCAATAAACCAGCGGAGTCAACAACAATTGCAGAACAACCATCCGCAAGTTTTCGGCATAAACAACCGAAACCAGCGAAATTCAAGAAACCATCCAATATTCATCAAAAATCAAAGAAAGAAAAAGAAGAAGCTGATGAAGATGAGGCAAAGCTACGTGATATCATGAAAAACTATCGAGATCGTGCAGCAGAACGGAGAAAACAAGGAGATGTGAGTTGCAGAATTTTTGAACTTACGTTTTAAAATAGTGCCCGATTGAAATATTAAAAAATATTAGAAATTTCCGAACCGACCATTTTATTTGTTAGTAATAAAATAAAATGCTTCGATTTGAAAAATTCAATAAAAAACGTGAAAAACACAAAAAATATACGTGTTAACATTATTTTAATCAGGAAAAAATTTATTCCAGAAACCGGAAGAAACCAATAAATTGACTGCTGCTTATCGTGCTGTTCCAAGTGATGCTCGAACTGCGCGAGATCAAGCTGATATGCGAAAACAAGCGATTTTGGAATCGAAATATCTTGGAGGAGATATCGAACATACTCATTTGGTAAAAGGTTTGGATTATTCATTGTTGAATAAGGTTCGGAGTGAAATTACGAAAGAAGATAATGATGAAGATGATGATATTGACAATGCTTTTGTAGGTTTTTATGTAGATCGAAAATCTCATTCTGAAAATATTAATGTTACAGGAAGAGGGAGGAAAAGTTGCTCCGACCTCAATTTCAAGTGAATTGGCACAATCACAATCAGAAAATCGAATGGTTCGCTCAATGCATAGAGTTTTGTTCAAAAATGAAATTCCACTTCGAAATGAAATGTTTGCAAAAGGAAGAATGGCTTATGTTGTTGAATTGGAAGATGAAGAAGCTGAAATTCCAACAACACTTCTTCGTTCTCTTCATGATTGTCCAAGGAATGAATCTGCACAGTCTATACAAGCTAATAATTTGATTATTTCGAAGCTTGGACAGGTATGAGCCACGTTAATAAATTTGACCAACCTGGGCTTCAAGATAGTTTTCAATTTTTATTCAAGAAATAATTTATTTTCCAGGTGCTTTCATATTTGCGAACCGATAAACAGAAAAAGAAAAAAGAGGAATCTTCATCATCCCAAACATCCAACGAGAAAACAACAAAAGCCAAAGGCGATAGTATTTATGATGATTTAGATGATTATGTTCCAACCAGAAGAAACAGGTTGGATTTTTGAAATCATCTCATTTTCATTGATTATTTCCAGGTCTCGATCCCGATCTAGAGAAAGAGAAAGAGAACGCGAGAGAGAACGAGATCGTGACCGACATTATCGAGACCGCGACAATCGAGATCGTCGCGATAACCGACGCGACTATTTCGATAAGCCGCGAACTTCGGATCGCGAAAAAGAGCAAAGAGATCGAGAAAAACAACGAGAAGAGCGAAAAGAACACGAAAAACAAAGAAAAGAGAAAGAAGAAGTTGAAAAAGAGAAGAAAATGGAAGATCGATTGGAAAAACGAAGAAAAGAAACTGAATCGGCTGGATATGATGAATGTTATCCTGGTGGAATGATGGAAATGGATGGAGGATGGGATTCGGATGAGGAAACTGATTTTAGTAAAATGGATATGGGAACGAAGAAAAATGGATTGAATCGATGGGATTTTGATAATGAAGAGGAATATTCTAGTTATATGGTTTGTTATTTTACAAACATTGAAAATAACTTTGAATTTTACAATTGAGAACTTACTCGATTTTTCGAATTCAGATTTTTTCGCAGAAAATCAACTTTCAAAATTTTATCAGGAAAATATTGAATTGAAAGTCTTTTTCAAAAAAAAACCTGAAAATACATTTTTTTTGTTTAAAAAAAACTTTTTTTTGAAAAATGTCTGCCTTATTTTTGACACAATTCAGAACAGTTTTTTTTTCAAAAATTTAACTTTTCAGGAAGGCCGTGAAGCATTGCCAAAAGCAGCTTATCAATACGGTCAAAAATTAGGAGACGGAAGAAAAACGAGAAAAACCGCCGTTGTCGAAGCGAAAAAACTCGATCGTGAATTGACTGAAATCAACAAAATTATGGAAAAACGCAAAACTGCGACCGAAAGGTAATTTATTTATTCATGTTTTTGAAATTTCATCAATAATCAATTTTTTCAGTGGCGGAGACTACAAAAAACCAAAATATTGATTTATGTCAAAAATATATAATATCACGAAAGTTTTGGAATGCTATAAAATTTTGCAAATTAGTAAAAGTAAAATGAATAAATTTAATTTTTCGGTTTTTTGTACACAACACGATCGACTTTGACATTGTCATCGATTAAGCGATAAAGATATGATACAATGCTATCTGATTGAACATCGAGAAGAGCGAAAGAAGCTGTTGGAGGGCTGCAAAAAATTAGATGATTTCTTTTTGATGGAAAAATTGAACTAACCTATTTTTGATAACTGAAAATGCTCCAGTTGCACTTCCTGGATCAACATAGAATCGACCATTTTTCTGGGAAAAAAAACAGTTATCATGCTGATTTTTTACATTAAAAATACCTCAACAGCTGTGCATTCAAACGTATTTCCAGTCACAAGAACATCAACATCAAGTTGTCTAGCAAGTAGTTCCAACATCTAAAAACATTTCAATAATAAAAATCCTTATCGAATTCACATTCTTACCCGAGAATCTCCCCAAGGAATGATTTGATGTCCATGACATAAGCCAATTCTGAATTGACCAACGGTGATAACCTGAATTCAAAAAATTGAATTTTTGAAATAGATTTTTCATACCTTTGTATCTGGATATTTGGCTCCGTCGTCGTCATCGAAATCTCCACGGACAACATGAACATCTGAGGATAAACTTCTGGAAAATAAAATTTTTGAGAAAAAACTTTGGGGTGGTTTTTTGAGCCAACTTTTTGAATATAAAAATTCCAACTCCTAAAACACATAGACAACCAAGTTTGCTCTATTGCACACATAATTTATTTTTCTGAAATGTTCGGAAAAACTTTTTTCTTATTCTTAAAATTGATTTATTTAAATTCTCATATTTTTCGATCAGGAATCAATTTTTTTCAGATAAATCTTCTGCGAAATTTTTAGACAAATAAATTAGGTGTGCGATAGAGCAAACTTGATTTCCCCGTTTCAAAATTACAAACCTCAAATACTCGAAAGTCTCCCGAGTACATAAATTTCCAGTACACAAAACATGCTGCATTTTGTTTGGCACCAAAAGTTTGCGAAACTTTGGTGATAAACTAGCTGCACGGTGTGGAAGATGAAGGTCTCCGATTAATAAAACCAGCATCTCAAAGATCTGTAAAAATTAGAATCTGAAAAAAATTTGAATTAATTGAAGTATTTCAAGGTATAAAACCAATTGACAGAAAAATAGTATATCAAAAATCAAAAAAAAAAACCTAATTTATTTTAAAAACCCGTAAATTTTTTTGAGCAAGCAATTATTTTTGAGCAAATCCTGCAGGTCCCTTTCTCGCATCTAGAATTGTTCCAAGAGTTTTCGGGAAAATCGACCAGGCTTTGAATTTTTCACCCATATCACCCATCAACATATTATAGGCTTCTGAAATTAGAAATATTTTTTGATTTACTTTAAATTCAAGAGAGCTCACTTATAAGCTGTTCTTGAGTATCTCTATCTTTGCAAAGTTTGAGAAGTCTTCGAAGTCGAGCTTCAATTCCAAGTTGAGCGAGGAATTCGCTGCAAAAATTGAACCTGGTTTTGATTCAAATCTAAATTCAAATTCCCAAACACAAACCGTTGATTATTCGGTCCATAAACTAGACTTGATTCTTTTAACAAACTCGAAAGATATCCAAAATCGACATCAGCAGTCAAATCAATAGTTCCAGGTGATTCCAAAGGATCAACTTGTTTATGATTTTTATAAGCTCGAAAAGAATGTGTATCTCTTGAACCATCATGTCCATAATCAATAAAAAGACCGAAACCTCCGAATGTTTTTATTCGATCTGCGACTTGATTTACAACTGTTCCAGATTCCGGTGAGCATTCCCATGTTTTGCGATGTTTGTCATTTCGAATATATTCAGGGATCAAACCTCTACAAAAAGTAATTTCCATGTTTTCCTCTTATGAAATTCTTACTTTGTATGAATATTTTCAGCTTTCGAATGCATAAAACATAAATTGTCCCCATGTTTATCAATATTGATATAAGTTTCATGCCAAGTTTCGGGATTTTTCGAACTTCTGCTAAATTGATGGATTGGTAAAGCATCTAGAAATTCATTTGCTATAAAAACAGTGAAACCATTTGGAATATCATCAATCGATTTGTACCAAAATACATCAACTCCAGTTCGGGATTTGTTTTTCTTCACGTATGGAACATCGCCTGAAATAATGATAGGGTAAAGAATTTTCCACAAGATTCTTGAAAATTACCAGTTGGTGGAGTTGAATTATCAACACAAAGCACTCTTTCTTGTTCTTCAATCAAAGCATCGGATGTTTCAACGAGATGAACACTCACATCTTTATCTTGAAATTTTTCGAGAGATCTCAAAACATCATTCATCAATTGAGCTCTTCCTGGTCCTAATTCAACTAATTGCCAAGGTCCACGATATCCAGTATTTGCTAATTCATAAAACACCCAAACACCAATCATTTCTCCAAATAATTGAGTTAATTCTGGCGATGTTATAAAATCTCCAGAATCACCGAAAACTCGCTGTTTATCAGAAAACTGTCCGTAATAACCTACTTGTGGTGCGGAAATTGAGGTTTTCATATATTCGGCGACTGTGATTGGACCAGACGCGCGAATTTTGTCGATGAAAAATCTTTTGAGATGATTCACTGATTTTTTACTATATCCAGGTGGTGTGAGTATCTCTTTCGATAGCCATCGTATACTTTGATATCCCAATATTGTTCTCATCTGCAAAACATTTATGTCAACTATTCCATCGATTTTTTCACAAATATTCAAGGCTCAAAAATCGAAATCTTTGTTAAGTAGATACATTTCCAAGTAGCCAGAAACATGATAAAACTGTTCGCACCACATATTCGTCTCCACCACACATTATTCACCAATGGTGCGCCAGATAAAAAGGGGACACCCAGCCGGCTCACAAATAAAACATGCGCGTGAAATAAAATGCAATGTGTGCATGTTTAGGATAACACACAAGGTGTTTGCGGACTAGCGGCGCGTTATTTCAATTTTGTTTTTTCGTGTGCGATCAGCTGATTAACAAACTTCAACAACTTGCAATAATGACTACCGGAGCTAATGATTTCTATTATTCCAACAAATACGAAGACGACGAGTTCGAATACAGACATGTTCATGTCACAAAGGTGAGTCTAACAATGAAACTTTCTATAGAAAATTGTTTGTTTCACAGGAAATCGCAAAATTGATTCCAAAAAACAGATTGATGACTGAAACCGAGTGGAGAAGTCTTGGAATTCAACAAGTAAGTTTTAATGGTTTACTCTGGAATTCAAACTAAATCAATTTTTTTCAGTCTCCAGGATGGATTCACTATATGATTCACGGACCAGAGAAACATGTTTTATTATTCCGAAGACCGTTAACTAACGCAAATAACGGTGGAGTTTGCGGAAAATCTACTAATGCCGTTAGTTTTCCACTCTTATTCTAAATAATCTAATTCCAACCTTTTGATTTCAGGTCGGCGTTCGCTAATCATCATTTTTCATTCAACAGCTTGCAGTTCAAAGTTTTCCTACCTCTTCGTTAACCATAAATATTCATTTATTGTTCCGAAAACTTTGATATGATTTTTTCTATTTTGTTGTAAATGTATTGTTTTTTTCTTTCTCGTTTTGTATAAATGAACTCGTTCAACATACTTTTCCATAATTTCTGATGTGAGATGATTTCCTTGGATCATTAACTAAAATATTTCGCACAAATTCTGAATTTCCATAGATTCAAGATTTTTAGAAATGCCAAAAATTATTATGTCGTTAGTTGCGATGCGGTTGCGTGTTGACCTTCACATTTTCTTCAATTTCTCATTTCTTGAAACGTGACGCTCAACCGCATCGCGGCTGACGACATGATTGATCTAAGTACATCAGCTTCCGATTTACTCTTTATAAAAGGCCGTGCAGGAACACACTATTCTTACAGTTTGCAAAAAATTCAAGGATTTCAAGCCGTTGCCCGCGATTTAGCAGCGGAGTGTTGTTGTTTCCAACAAAAATTTTTTTTTTTTTCGAAAAATCATCAATGTATAGACGAAAATGTCATTAAACAAAGATATGCACCCACGAAATCCATACAAAGAAAAACCACCAGATTTCCAAGCTTTGGCCATCGAATTTCCTGAATTTCGAAAATATTGTCGGATAGGAAAAAATGGAAAAGTTAATGTCGATTTTCAAGAAGACGCGGCAGTTCGATGTTTAACCAAAGTTTTGTTGAAAAAAGATTTTGGGTTGAATGTAAGTTTTCTCATTTTTGAATAATAAATCCTTCTCCCCCAAAATAAACCTAACCTAAATCTTCAGGTTGAATTACCGGATGGCAGTTTGGTTCCACGAATTCCTCAAAAATTGAATTACTGCTTGATTATTGAGGATTTCCTGAATATTAATAATTTATGCGCTGAAAATGAGAAGATTATTGGAATTGATATTGGAACTGGAGCATCTTGTGTTTATAGTTTGTTAGGAGCAAAATATTTTGGTTGGAAATTTGTTGCGACTGAAGGAGATGTTATGTCAGCAGAAGTGGCTCATCGAAATGTTTCGAATAATTATTTGAATGAGAAGATTTTGATTGCTGAAGTTGATCCAAACGCGAAAACTATTCTAATGGTATTTTGTATTTTATACACGGAGAAATTACAAATAATCATATTTACAGGATATGATAAATAAACTGGGAAATGATCAAAATTTCACATTTTGCATGTGTAATCCACCATTTTTCGAAACCAAAGAAACTGAAGAACGATTCACTTATGAACCATCTTTGGATGGGGAAAAATACTCGAATCGCGTGATTTTTGAAGAACGATCTCAACCACATTCTATCACTTTTGCATCTTCTGCTGAACTACAAGTCGAAGGTGGAGAAATCAATTTTGTGAATCGAATTATTGATGATAGTATTATTTTGAGAGATAGGATCAAGTTAGTTTTATTTATTTTTAATACAAAAAATTGAAGAAAAATATTTCCTTCCAGAATTTATACATCAATGCTTGGTAGAAAACAAAGTATAAAGCCTTTAAAACAACGACTTGAAATTCTTGGAAATGACGTCAAATATTATGTGACAACTTTGAATCAAGGAAAAACTCAGAGATGGATTTTGGCTTGGACTTTTGTCCCGGAAATTGTGTTGACTTATATGGATCGTCCTGCAAATTTGATATGCCTGAAGCCTGGATTAATTCGAATTGAGGAGAAAATGAAAGAATTGCAATCGATTGTGAGACGGGAAAATAATAATATTGTAAGTGAAAAAATTAGAAACTGGAAGTAGTAAGAAAAACATTTTTTTTCCAGTTAATTTTCGAATGTCGTCGAATAACCTGGAAACATCGAAGAGCACAAAAACGTGCTGAAGCCAAACTCAATCTTCCGAATGCAAAAAGATCAAAACTCTCATCGATTGAAGCTTCATCACAAACTTATTTGGGAACTGGCGATGGAAAAGATTCATTGAGTGATTCTGGAAATTTTGTTGATGTTAGAAGATATTCAACATCTTCTGCGAAATTTTCGGATTGTGAAGTTCAGGTAATTTTTTTCAAAATGTTTCTAAAAAATAATTCCAAAAAGTTCCGAATTTTTCGAGAATTATTTTTTTTTTCAAATTTTCTAGTTTGAATTCAACAGTTTCAGGCGTCTTCTGACCCAAAAATTCGACGTCATAATGAAATTTTGGCATAAAAATCCACGTAATCAAAATTTTTCAGGCCTACTTTCCTTGCTCAAACTATTCGAATCCAAATCTTCGATTTCGTGTCAGTTCCTCTTCAATTCCTGGAAACAATCTCGAAGATCTAATCAGCATCGAGCTTTTGAGTGGAGCAAAACATAATTTGAATCAACTTTTACAATTTCTTAAAAATTCCCTAGCGTCATAATTTAAATGGTTGTTTTCTAGTCACTATTTAATAACCCTGTTTTTACTGGAATTGATCTCTAACGAACGTGTTTATATGATGGTAAAAATAAATAAATAAAAATTGGAAAATCACAACAATTTCATTTTATTCGTATTCAGCGATTGATTTATAATATTCGGATTGATTTGCTGCTTTTTGATTGTCTGTTCGTGCAACTCTTCCTTCGAAGCCATTCGATCTGAAATAAAAATAATTTGCAAAAAAAGTACAAAATTTTCTGACAAAAATGAACTATGAGATCGAAAATTTCACCTATTGAACTTGTTTTTTATTCTGCGAAAAACAGAAAAATAAATTTCGAAAACTTAAAAAATTGTCTTTAAACTCTTTTCAGGTAAATGTTTCACTGAATTTTAGAATTTTGAAAAAAAAACAAACCTATCAACTCCATCCCATCGATATCCCGGCGGAATTCCAAATCGATTCGGTGTCCATGTTCCATTATAAGTCGGATAAACCAATTCACCTCGATCAATTGCAGTTTCTCTTCGCTTTTTTCGAATAACATTTGCCATTGGATCAGCTTCATGTAATACTTCTTTCAAATGTCGATTCATTTCTTCATCATCTTTTCTTCTTGCCATTGGTTCAGCAGCAACTCTCGCCATTTCTTCCAATTGTGCTTGTCTTTCACTAATCTGAGCAACACCTCTATTCCATCCTTTATATTTTTCTTTCAATTCTTCAGTCTTCTTATTTTCTCGCTCTTTTTTCGCTTTTTCTTCTTCAGTTTCTTCTTTAGCTCCACGCCTTTTTGTTTGTTTTGTTCTATAAACTGTTTCAGCATTTCGCCCAGAAATTGTTGAATCCAATTCATCGAACATTTTCGCCTCTTTTCTTCGAATTCTTTCGCCTTCTTCTTTCAAATCTCGAGCTGATTGAAGTCCAGCTTTTTTTCCATCCAATGTTTTTTTGGCCACTGAATCATCATCGCTATCGATTTCTTTTTTGATTTCTCGATTTCTTCGTGGCGGTGAATTATCACGATCTGACAAAAAATATGGGTTTTGTGGGGGAAAAATGGTCTGACAAAATTAAATATTTTAGTTGATCAAAAAATTTTGAAAGAAATTATTACAAAAATACACTGTCCGAATTAGAGGAGCCTCAAAATTTCCGGCAAATTTTTGAAGAATTTAAACTAAAAATCGAGCCTAAAAAATTTATTTAGGCTATAATTTTCAGTCTCGTATTCCCTAATTATTTTTAGGGCGGTTCCAAAAAAAGTTACCTTTCATTCTTGGCGGCGAATTATCACTATCATTTCGTCTTCGTTGTTTTCTTGGTGGCGAAACATCGCTATCACGGTCATCTGGAAAAATAGGATTTTTTGTTGAAAATTCTGATTTTTTTCCAGAAAAAATACCTTTTCTTCGTGGTGGCGAATTATCACTATCGTGGCGTTTTCTCGAACGACTATCTGTAGAAATGAAAAATTTTGGGATTTATTTATTTGTTTTTTATTTTGGGGTCACGTGGTTTTTTGTTTGAAAGCGTGAAAAAAATTTTTCAAAAATCATTTTCTATTTTTTTTTCACAAGAAACTCACCATTTCTGCGAACTGGTGAATTGTCGCTATCATTTCGTTGGCGTCTGGAAGGTCCGGGAGAACTATCTGAAAATATTGGAATATTCAAAAAATCCACCTTAGTGAATAGAGGTTGATACTCACTATTTCTTCTTGGTGGCGAATTATCACTGTCATTTCCTCGATTTCTAATTGGAGAATTATCGCTATCGTGTCTTTTTCTTCGTGGTGCTGGAGATGGTGATTTTCTTCTTTTTGGAGACTCGTCACTGTCGTGGCGTTTTCGGCGTGCTGAAAATAACAGATATATTTCTTATATAATCGTAAGAATTATGAATATTACCCGTTCTTGGTGGTGATTGATCAGGTGATACAAGTTCTTCTTTAATTTCTTTTTTCACTTCTTGAACCGATGAAAATGTTTGTTTGAAACCAGGATTTATCCTGGCTTTCTTTACACTTTCTTTCAAAACTTCAATTTCTTCTCGTTCTTCATCTGATCCAATATCTTTTTGCTTTGCAGCTTCAACTGCAATGAAAGCGTCATCTTCGATTAATCGCATTCTGAAAAAAAACACTATTTCGAATAATTTTTCAAAAAATAAACCAACCCAACGTATTTATCCGGTTTTGAACTTTTCTTCTTCTTTTTGGGTTTATCGGAAGCATCATTTGATAAATATTTCTTCAGATATTCAGCTTTTGACGACATATCACGCTATTTTTGGCCGTCCAAATCGAGAGAGTTGCGCAGAGAAAAAGACGCTCGTTTCTCGACACGAACAAAAATATTTTGGTAATACTACTGTATCTATTGCTTCGCGTGTGTCTTTTTCACGCGTTTCTCGAAACGAACAAACAAAAATATCATAAAACTACTGTACTTAAAGGGAGTTTTCGCGTCTGTGTCATCTCTCTCGATTCGGACGCTCTTCTTCTTTTTTAAAATAGCGTGATATTTGAATTTTCGCACACCCCGCTGAAACGAGAAATGACTGTTTTTCTACTGTAGTACGCAATCGAAAAGTGTGCAAACACCGCGTCTCTGCGTCTCTCGAAAATTCACACTGTTTTGTTCGTTCAAAGGAACATACATTTATTAATTTATTGGGTCTCGAAAAGCTGGCCTTCCTGGGCTCCTAGGAATTATGAATCATATGGTTTAATGCAGATCTCGACACGCTGAATCTCGTGATATTTTTCATTTTTTCTCTAACGCCTGTTTTCCTAACGAAAATTGGTACGCCAACTATTTCATTGATTTACGTTGCAGATTAAAGGGACACGTATTTATTTACCCGCGTGGTCTCGACGCAAATCGTAACTTTCTTCGCAGGACCCCTAAAAATATGAGTAACATAGTTTAATGTAGATCTTGAGACGCTGATTCTAATGGTATTTTTAGTTTTTCATATAACGACCTCTAAGGTATCTAAAATTGGTACGCCAATGAGAACAGCATTTTGCTAATTTTTTCATTGTTTGAGCGGGTGTGTTCGAAAACAAAAATTAAACTCCTCCAAAAGAAATACACAGAGAAAATGTGTGGAATTGCGTAAAAGTGTTTGCACAAATTTGTATTTTCGAACTGAAAAATTCGAAATTTCGATTTTGAGGTGCAAATAAAAATGACGGAAGAATTATCATCAGTAAAATGGCGCAGGAAAGTTTTGCAAATCACAGAATTGCTCTGCGAAACTGTGAATCCTGAGCAGCTCTTGGAATCGGTCAGTTTTCCAGTGATTTTTCATAAAGCCTTTGGATTTTTTAAAGCTACCATATTTGCATGAAAGTGGTTGGGATGAATTAGTCGAAGAGCGTTCCGTGAATAAAACTTGTGGATATCCAACTTGTTCTCGATCTTGTCGGCCAAACAATCAAAAACAATTATATCACATCGATAGAAAATCAGGAAAAATTTATGAGAATTCAAATCTTCGAAAGAAATTCTGTTCGGATCATTGTTTTGACAAATCATTGCAAGTAAGAGGACAATTAGAAACTGAAGCTTTATGGATAACTGGAGAAAACTCGAGATTTGGTAAAAATAGAGATTTTATTTTTGGAGAGAAAAACTTATTTTCAGATAAATCCTATGTTTTGCCAAAAGATATGGTTGTTGAAATAACCGAAGAAAAACCAAGGAATATTTTACCGAAGAAAGTCGAAATTGTGCAAGAAAATGATGTGAGTTTTGGGATATTCTTCTGACATTTTTGGATTTTTTTTTCAGTTGCTGGCAAAAATTTCAAACCTGAAAATCAAAGATGAAGAAAGTGATAAAGAAGACAATGAAGATGATGAAAATGAGGAATTCAAGCACATTGAACCATATGAAAAATGCTCAGTGAGTTCTAATTTTTTTTTCCAAAAAAAAGTAGTATTTATTCTGTTTAATTTTGTAGGACGATGAAGAATTTGTGAATTCGATTCAGAAATTTGTGAGAACCAAGGAATGCTCAACAAAATCGAGTCCGAAATCAAAATCACAACCTCTTCCAAATTCTGACAAAGAAAAGGAGATTTTCGAAAAATTGCGAAGTAAATATGGAAAACAAAATGCTAAGCCTAAACCAATTTTCATCGACCCGCCAAAAATGTTATCAGAAAAACAATCGAAAATGAGTCGCGGTTTGAAAATTGAATGGATTTCTAAACTTTTCGGGTTTGTTTTGAGATTCAGAACCTGAAATTTTCTAGAAATCAAGAAATATAATTTTTGCAGAAGTTGGATATCTGATGAAACTCGAAAAATGATCAAAGAAGGTTTTCGACCAAAAGGTGGTGATATTGAACAGATTTTGATGCAATTTTTAGGAGGAGCAGAGCAAAAACTTGAAAATGTGTGTTTTTTTTTCAATTTTTTTTGAATTTATTTTCAAATTAATTTTTTCAGAAAGTCGATTTGCCAAACTTGGATAAATATAATATTCGAGAAAAACGATTGAATATTTTTATGCAAACTATCAAATTGAAGTGAGTTTTCTTGGGTTCTGCCTGGAAAATTTGTGTAGAAGGCTTACTGTAGTTTTCTTCAAAAATAAAATTTTCAGCTGGTCAGAATTGGAAGCGCGATTGGACTTGAATTCGACTAAAAAAGAATTGATGGCTAGATTTTGTGCAACATTCAATTTCGATTCAGAAAATATAACGGGTTGGACAAAACAGGAAACAAATCTTATTGTTGCCACGATTTTCTTGGCGTAAGTTCAAATTTTCTCCTGAAAGTAATCTAGTTTTTCTCTATTTCAGATTATCACAAGTTGATCCGGAAATTGAAGACGATTATTGTCGAAATAATCAGATCAGCGGCGAATTTATTGAAATAGCAAAGCAAATGTGTGGAGATATCAGTTTCCCAGATATTTTGAAAATGATCAAAAATGTTATTGGAACATCTTCTGCATGTTGAATTTTTTAACGGTTTCAATAAATTTATGAAAAAAATTAACAAAAGACAGGAAAATTCACCGATTAGATTACATCTATTTGAATATTTATTGGTCATCGTCATCGTCCGAGTTTTCATCATCCGAAGATTCACGATCACTTTCGAATGTTCCTTCAGGAAGTTGGTAAAGGCGAATAACAGCGGATTGTGGGTCTTTCATAAGCAAGTATTTTCCAGGTTTTTGTTTCATGCAACTGCAAAAATAGATAATTATTGAAAGTTTGACTTTCTGAGAGATTCGGCGGAATTTTTTTTCAGAAAAATTCCAATTGTATTTTTTTTTACAAAAAACTTACGCATCAATAACACATCTCAAAATTCCCCAACAGTTATCCATATTCAATGCAATATTGCTTGCAAATTCAGTTGGTTTAACATATTGAGTTCCCAAAATCACATGATTTTGTGTGCTTCTTGTGCTAACTCTTGAAACATATCCAAGTTTCATTGTATCGGAACCAGCAAGAACAGCTTGAAGAGTCCATTTTGCAACCTTGGCACTGTTATTTTTGATTTCAGTCGCCATAACAGCTCCTTTTTGCGAATCCAACTTTGTTCGCCAATCAACTCCTCCCGATTGAGAACTATCCCATTCATTGAAAGCCTTGATTGTCAAAGTTTGAAGTTCACTTTGTGGACCAATCATAACACCATCCAATTCAGTACGAACAACAAGTTCGACTGGTTTTCCATTCACACCATTTCCCAAATTCCATTTTCTGTATTTGTAAGCTGTTCCAGATTCTCCAGCCTCTTCTTCTTCAAATGGTGCACGTGGATGTTTCAATTTGTAGCCATCCTCATTTCGGCGAACAACTTGTCTTCTGAAGTTTTGATTGATATAAAATGCTTCAGTTGACAAATCTTTAGCATTATTAATTCCAGTTCCATCGAATGGTGGAGTTTCACTGCTTGTCTCCGAAACAGTCAAAGTTTCAACAGGATTCAAAATATCTTTGGTGTTTCGTTTATCAAAGAACAATTTGTCGCCAATTCGATAAGCAACAATATCCCAAGAATAAACTGATCTTGGAGCAGTCATCAAAGTCGCCAGAATAATATCTGTTCCGAAGACATTTCCAACACCACTTTGAGCCAATTCTTGAATAACAGTATCTTCTGTAGTAGTGACATTGTAGTAAACACCAGCGCATCTTTGAAGTGGAACCGAATTTTTGACAGTGATACGATCCATTGATTTTTCGTAGTATTGGAGAATACCGTATTGATGATCACCAATATCTTCACCATCGTGGATATTTGGAAGAGCAAGTTTGGAGAATGCACTCAAGTTCATTTCTTCGAGAACTGACCATTCTGGTCGAACTTGAACAGATGGAAGACGCTCCTAAAATTTAAGAGTGATATTTTTAAACTGAAAAATTATAGTTTACCTTAGGCCGATCTCCGCCAAAACGACCACCTTGACCGCGTTGACCTTGTCGAGCGTTTCCTCCGCGACGTTGCCACATTTTGAAGGCACGTTGTTGTTCTCTGAAAAAATCCACATAACTTTTTCATGACTTTCCTATATTTTCTTACTTGGCGATGGATCTCTTCATCTTCATATTTTGTGATTGGTTAGCCAATTCTCTCTTATCGTTTTCTTTTTGCATCATCTTACGAATATGCATTTGACGAACACGGAAGTTTCTTTGAGGATTTCTTTGCAATGGTTTGGATGAGTCAACCAATTGGAAGTTGTGGTCATCCATTCCATGAATATAATCGAATTGACTTCCAGCATTGGCAGCTGATCCATACATTCTCTCATTGTAACGTTCATTTCCACGACGGTAGAAGCGATCAACACCGATCCAATCAGCAACACGACCAATTCGATCAGCTTTGTTGTATTGTTGGAAGGGTATTGAATCTTGACTTGATGTTGGAGACAATGGACCCCATCCGGATGCGTTATCGGAAAGTGAAAGGAGCTCAAAATTAGGTAACGCCATACCTGGAAAAATTACTGTTTTGGGTTTCGGGAAGTAATTTTAGAATTATTTTATAGAAGTTCATGTTAAAAATATACCCTTTTCAAAGTGTTTATGCTCATTTCTATATCTAGAAATTCTACAAAAAAAACCATTCAAGAAATCTAAACTTTTGTTAATTAAAAAAGCAGAATAGGATATGATAATTGTGGAGAGATCGATTTTTAGGTAAAATAATACAATTAAGAATTTCAAGGATTCCAATGGATTGCAAAAGTTGTAAACCCTACTTTAAAAAATTCGCATATTATTTTCTGATACAACAAACACATAAAACACTGAAAAGAAGCCAGAAAAACGGGAAAACGGGAAGTTAGGAAAAATTTTGCCAAAAATCACAAAAAACACGCCAACACGAAACTACAAAAAAGACGTCAATCGCGCTGAGCTTGCGTGTTTTTTGTAGTTTTTTTTATTTTCCAAACACAAACGTCTAAAATTAACTTCGTTTTCAGCTAGGAATGAACAAAGCTCCAAAACGTGTAATTCTACAAAAAGATCCGAATGGTCCTCCAGTTCTCAAGCCCGAACAACCACCCTTGGTAAGTATTTTGGTTTTAAACATTTGAAAGAAATGTTTTTTTGATTCTTTTAAATTTATAAGGCTCTAGGCTCTTTTCTATTTCATGGGACCTTGGTAATTCAATTTTATCAGTTCTAAATTTTCAGACGCAAAAAACTTTTTCTATCTTGCCTCCGCCTCATTCGGTAGGTCTAACTCTCTTCATCATCATTGTTGTTCGGAAGTAAGTATCTAAAATTTTGTATTTTTGCAGAAACGATTCACATATGCCGATTCAAACATTCCAAGTAGTAGTAACAATTCAAGAATATATGTAAATGTTGGTAAATCTGGTTCAAATAAGGCATCGACCAGCCAGATTAATCAAAGAGATATGCGTGAGTTTTTTCCGGATAACTTCTTGCAGAAAAATAAAAATGTCGGATATTTTAGAACTTCTTCTCTCTGTTTATCAAAGAAATGGAAAATCAAGTATTCGTACAGTTTCTGAAGCTGCAAGAGTTAATGGTCTTCAAACTGTCGCGCATACTGTAAGTTTAATGTTTTTTTCTTAATCTTCACATTAGATATTTTCAGTCTGGAGCAAAGTTCGCAGTTCCTCTAACTTGCCAGGCTCATCCAATTCGTCTAACAGATCGAATTCCCGATGAGAGCAATGATATTGTAAATCGTGAGTTCTTTATTTTTTTTTGTTGAAAAAAATCATTGGTTCCCGAATTTTTTTTTCAGAAAATGAAGCTTTACCATATTGCCGTTATTGTCATTCAGTCATCAAAACTTGGCAAGGATATGAATATCACGTTCTTCAAGCACATATTAAGTTAGTTTATCTTGAAAAATAATATTGATTGGAATATTTGAAGGTATCGCGCATTTCGATGTATTCAATGTCCACGCGAGTCATTTTTCACTGAAGAAGAAGGTCGTTTTCATATAAGTGTTCATCATCCGGATTGTCAAGTTGCGGTAAGTTGAGAATTTTAATTTCATATCATAAAAATACATTTTTTTTCAGCTGGTTAAAGATTTCGATCAAGTAAAAGAGGAAATGGCAAATGAATTTTTCAAAAAACCTTTAATGATGATGAGAGACGGTGTATGTTTCTAAAAATACTATTTTTCTTCTTCTTATTTCCACATATTTCAGCCTTCTGTTACAACTACAAAAATCAAAAGCATCCAAAGAAAAGCTGCGCTGGAAGTTATGAAATTTCATAGGCTACGATTCAAAGAGCCAATTGTGGTGGTTAGAAAAGGGTGAGTTAGATTGTCCTCAATTTTTTTTCGTCGAAATATATGCTAAATTTTTTTTTCAGATTAAAAGTTGATAAGAACACCCAAACTGCGGGTGGAGAAGTTGCAAAACCTATTCGAAGATATCAAAATATTATTGCACATAATCCGTATGATGTTGTGAGATATGCTGAAACGGTTGGTTATTTTTTGAGTTTCCCGATATAAATCTTGTTTTTTCAGCAACGCCGAACAATGAATCGGGCGGATTATGCTAAATATTGGAACTTCAAATCTTGAATTCACCTTTATCAAATCAAATAGCAATTTTTAATCAAAATCAATTTGTTGTGACTTTTTTTATAAAAATGTTTTATTCGTATTTTGATTTTCCTCTGGATTGAGAAAAATGGTTTTGATAACCAGTAATTATTTTTTTTATTCTTGAAAGTGTTTGTTTTTTGTGTGAACAGATGATTTGATGATGTGGAAAAATTAACATATGTTTATTCAGCTGAAATAAAATCGGAAAGTGCTCTGAATCAGGATTTTTAAAATTTTATGGTTTTGATTTTTTTTTGAGAATCCAAAAATTGAACTTCTTCGAAATAATTTCAAAAAATAAATTAGATTTCAACAAAGCTATCAAAAATAATACAGTCTTGAAAAAAAAATTTAAACTCAACTCGCAGAAAATTTTTAAAAAAATCACTGTTTCAAAAATAATTGATAATATTTAATATTTTATGAATTTTGTTCGGATCTTTGGAACATTTAACATATAAAATCCAGACTTCAAAAAAATTCAAATTTTCTGTTTATTTACCTATAGTTCCAATATTCCTATCTAAATTTTTTTTTGTTCTTATACCAAAGAACAACACCAATATTAAATACTTATGTATAAGTAATATAAATAGTATTTCTTCTAAATATCCATTTTCTCTCCTTTCTCCCATTCCTTTCTCATCCCATTCCCATATTTCTATATTTCCCTCCTTTTCTCTCATTTCTCCGAAATAAGCAACGTGTCAGTGGGGTTAGTATGTATATATACAGTACACATGTTATTTCGATATTTTCTGTGTTTCTCTAACTTCTCCAACTAAATTATTTTCCCTCTTTCTTTTATTTTTTTAGTCGGCTGCTATTTGACAACTCGACACGAAGAACAATTCGAAAAACTGTTTCCTCGATTGCTTTTTGAAAAAAAGTGTGACATTTTTGAACTTTTTGATATTTGAATCATAATCAGAGATAATTTGATAATAAGAGAATTTAGAGAAAAAATATTTTTTGAAAAAAAATAATGGTTTTCTCTGAACTCTCTTATTTTTACGTTGTCTAAAATGCTACATTTTATTAAAACTTTTCCGTTTTTTAAAAAGCAATTATGTATATTCTCAAATTGTGTCCTTGTAATTAAGTGTTTTTCTAAAGAATGACGATTTTCTAACATTTTGTTTTCTCTTTTTACAAGTGTCTGTGTTTTCATCCTTTTGAAAAGTATCGAATTTCTTCATATATCAAAAACGAAACAAAAAAGATTCATTTTTTCTAGAAGGGTTATTATTCATGTCTGCGGCGGCGGCGGAAAATAATGATAATGAAGAAAATGATAGAAATGGATCTGGATCAACGAAATTTATGTCTTCGATTAATGGATTGGTTCCCTCCACGATTTTTGATAGAGGTGAGGGTTTTTTGGGGAGGCATTTTGGGATAGGACCAGGTCTGAGCGTGCTAACGTTGTCTTATATTAATAAAATCTATCCGAGCCTTTATTTGGCCTTTTTTCAAACGTGAAGCTCAACTTGGACCTAAAAAGACCCAACTCTGATCAATATCAATTTTCAGTAAATTCTGACATGGACGATTCCGAAGAAATGGAAGAAATTCGAGAAATATTATACGAAATGATCAAAAAGAATTTCTCAATGGGTGTTTCTGCTACACATTTAGCCGAAAAATATCATGAAGAGTGAGTACTCTTCAAGGATTTTAGTTTGAACCAAAGTCTATGTTTTTTTCAAGATTTGTATCAAAAGGATTGGGACGTGAATTACCGGAAGATTGGATTCAACAAGTCACCGCTGCTGAAGAATTTGAAGCTCAAACTCGTGGGCCAATTACGATTTTATTTGTGAGATTGTCGAATACTTCATCCTTCAAAAGACCACCAATTAATTCAGTTAATGTGAGAGGTTAGTTTTCTTCGGGTGTGGGGAATTGCTTGATTTTCCCCCAGATATTTTCATGTTCAGAAAAATTTACTGCTTCCATGTTAACATGCTTCCAGCCTTCTAACCTCTTATTACTAACTTGTTTGTGTTGTCTAATCGTATCTGAAAAGTGAGTTTTTATTGTTGTTTTGTTTGTGGTCCATGTGCATTTTTCATACCTGGACTGAGAAAATGAACGGTCCATGTGTGATTTTCCCCCTAATTCTATGAAATTTTCATATTTCTAGTTATTTCCACTGATCGTGAACCGACTGCTGATGAATTGAAAAAAATCAAAATTCGGAAGGAAAATGAGCCACTTGAGCATGCGAAATTAGTAAGTTTTCTTTCAAAATCTAGTTCAAGTAATGATCTACCTAATTTCGCAGTTCTCAAAAACATCGCCAGCTTTAAAACAATCTGCTCAAGTATCAGTTGTTTATTCCGAAACCGCTCTTCGATTTTTCATCCGCGCGATCTCGGATGATGATCAATATGAGAGAATTGGAAGCACTTTGGCTGAAATTTATGCGCAGGAAACACCGCCTTCACCTTTGGATAGTCGAGTGGCGATTTATGTGAGTTTTTTCAAATAGTTTTGAGATCGGAAATTTTTTTCGAAAAAAAAAATGATAAATCAGATTTCCGTGAATATTTCTTGATGATCAAAAATAGGTGCTTTTCAAACCTGAAATTAGCAGGGAGCAAACAATTGATATTTTAAAGTTTATGAGAAAGTTAATCTAAGGTTATCTGGATTTTTTATTGGCCAGATTTAATTTTAGGACTTAAAAACAAAACACCAAACATTTCTTGCCCCTTTCACCAAAAATATTATCTCATTAAGGAAATCGTAACTGGCGGTGCTTATGCTCTTCAAGATTCAAATGGCGCCTGGTTCCGTGTGATCGCAAAAGAACCGCCAAAATCTGGACATGTTCAATGTCATTTTGTTGATGTTGGAGTATGCGAGCTTTTCCCTGTGGCAGCTCTTCGACTTTTACCACCAGCTGTTCATCCGGTTATGTCCAGTAAGTTACTTTATTTTGGGAATGAAATATGAAACAAGATTTTTTTTAGTTGGATCAATGGCGAAAGAAGTTCGTCTAGATGTGACTGAAGAAGAAGCACTGAAGTTTAATAATCGATTTAATGAATTGACTTCGGAGAAAAAAGATGGAACACAGATTTCGATTAATTTGATTGTAAGTTATTCAGCCATCTTTGAGTTCTAGAAAGAAAATGATTATATTTTCAGCTCAAAAGTTTGGGAGAATCTGAAAATGGAAATGATTTGCCAATTGTTGAATTAACAAATTTGGAAGATCAATCAATCACAGAAATGCTCAAAAAACCACAGGGAGTTGTTAGGTAAATATTTAAAAATGATTTTGTTTCAAAAATTTCCAAATTTTTTCAGACTAACTCTTCAAAATAACAACACTCTGAATAAAACTAACAATAATAGTGTTTCTACAAAACCTGCAACTTCTTCTGCTGTTTCGCTGAATGTTTTATTCGATAAACCGCCGACGGTGAGTATTTTGGGAGGTTTTTGAAGGGGGTTTTTTTGACTAGAAAATGCAAATTTGGGTTTCTAGGCCACCAAAAATCATGTTGGTTTTTCATGCCAAATACAAAAATTCTCTAGGAATAATCTAGTTATTTCCGAAATTTTAATAAATGTAAAAAAAAATATAAATTTTCCAAAAGACGTGAACTTATTACGTGGCATTTTCAAATTTCATTTTCCCAAACAGATTTTCCCCCGACCATTTTCAAAAAAATGTTTCTAGATCGAACCGATGACTGTTCAACAAATGCCAACTTCTTCGTTCCCAGCAAATGCGATTTTTGCTGCCGGACCAACGGATATTTCATTGCGACAACTTTCCTTGGTATGTTTTTTGAGGAGTTCAATTGAAGGGTACATTTGGGACCCTCGAAAATTTCAAATTCTTTACATTATTTTTTTGCAGGATCCAATGCCTGATTATATGTACTCGAAATTGAATGAGGAGTGCGAACAAACCGAATCAATTCTAGATTCAAATCCTGAATTCGGGGGATTCTACGGAGCTTTTATTGATGATCGTTGGGAACGTGTTCAGTGTATAAGATCGAGTAAAATAGGTTAGTTTTATTTTTTGATTTATTGATTACGAGTAAAATTTTTTTTTTAGATAAGCAAGCATATTGTGTTTATTTACTCGATGTTGGTGCATTTCAATATGTTCGAAAAGAAAAAATGCGACGATTGAATTCGAATTCGCCGTTCAAGAAAATGTTGATGTTCAAGTGTAAGATTACTGGAGTGAAACCGTTGACTGGAGAAGTTTGGAGTCGCGAATCGCATGAAGCTGTTAGGGAATTCTTTGAAGCTGCTTGTGGAGAATCGGTTGTTGTGAGTTTTTTTTTGGAAATTGGCTTTGTTGAGAAGGGGAAGCTTTTTTTGCAAAAAATATATGAAATTTTGAATTCTGCAATTGTGTAAATAGTTTCAAAACTAAAATACAATTTTGGTAGTCTAGAAATCCGAAAATTTAATTTATTTTTTGATTTTCTATATGACAAGTTCTAGAAGAAACTGTAATTCAGAGTACGATTTACAATTAGAAATATTTTTGAAAAATTCAAAATTCTCTCACAAAAATCCTAGGCTTTCCCTTCCAAAACCCAATATAATTTAAGGTTGAGCCAAGTGGTAGTTGGTCTCAATGGAAACAATTAAATGCTCCATCAGTTCCAATGTGCGAAGCTCGTCTTTCTTGTTGTGGTCGAGATATAAGCGAATGGCTTATTACCTGTGGACTTGCACTTCCTCTCAATTCTCCTTCAGCTCCTCAAAATTTGCTCACATTTGCACAAAATCGAAGTTAGCTTCAGCTTTAATGCCCCTTTCCTCTTGATATATATTTTCCTCTATCTATTGCTCATTTCATTTCAGTTCTTGTCTTTTTCTTGTGATTTCTGTGATAATTTATTAACTAATAATACTAATAGGTGCATAAAACTTTACGAAAATTAATTGGCTTTGTTAATTTTTTTCTTTTTGAGATATCGTTTGTTTGAACACGCGTTTTGTACTTACTTTATTCAGCTTTTTATTTTTTTTCAATTCCAATTCTAATTTTTTTGCAGTAGTTTATGCTGAGTGTTGGAGGTGGTCGTTCGGCGGTTTGTCGAGCTGTTATCGCAACTTCAATAGTTTGGCTTCTTCTTGATGTTGTGATCTTATTTTATTATTTGGATCCGGCAACTTCGCAAAACGATCAGAGGTTGGTTTGTGATTTTGGGAAGATTGAAAACATTTAAAGGAACACACACCTGACGAGACGTGTCCAAAATGGACACTGTACATTTTTTTCAAAAGTCACACTGCATTTTTTTCGAAAAAAAACTTTGTTTCCTTTTCATCAACATTTAACTTGGGGAAATAAATGCACATTTAGTTCAGTGGTAGGCCATTTTACTAGTGTTCAGAAGGCCCAGGTTCGAATCTTCATTCGAGCTAACTTTTTTTAAATTTTTTCCCAACTTCAAAATCAACTTCAGATTGCGAATTTTTCGAAGTTTCTCGGTGAAAATCAACTCAGCAGACTTTGTTTTAGTGTGGTAACATAATGTGCAGTGTGGAATTTACGTGACTGCTTAGCAAACCATAGTGTCACTGAAATTTCAAAAAAATTGACTTTCTATGAAAAAACTTCAAATTCCACACTGCACATGGGTAAATTCAAAAACTACGCTTAAAAATACACCAACTTTCTGAATATACCAACCCTTGATATGTGCTCGAAAAAAATGCCGTCCGATTCTTTGTAATGTCCATATTTACCATCAAAATGGACACTTCAAAATAACAGCGAAATAGGGCATTTCCACACTGCACTCATGGTGTTCCACACTGCCTATGACCTTAGCAATCTATTGGAAAAAATCAACTATATCCGTTAAGCCTAAGCTTAGTTATCCTAACTTCAAATTTTGAGCAACGTTGCAACGCATTCGTTTGAAAACAGTTTCCTTTCCACCAACATTTTCCCCTCGGGAGAAAAAGAGATGTGGCCGAGAGGATAGCATTTTAGACTGGCGAGCATGAGACCAGGGTTCGAATCCTCCTGCCCGCGGACTTTTTTCGAAAAACTTGAAAATTTCACGCTGCACATTTTTTTGAAAAAAATTTTCACACTGCACAAAAAATTTGGGACACTCTCTCGTCAGGTGTGAAGGAACACCAAAAGCTAATAGTCACTCTAGCGTATCCGAACAAACACTTCAGAACTCGAAATAATCAATGTCAATTTACAAATGTTCGCAACAAATAAAAAAAAATTTGAAAAAATGGTGAAGTTTGCGCCAAAATAAAAAAATGGGAAAAAAACCGTTTGAATTCCCTCCTCAGAGGACTCAGAGCGAAATGTGCAAACACCGTCACGGCAGAATGCACACAAAAAATTATATTTTTTATTTTTTTTGTTTTTTCGGGAGTTTTCGCTTGTTTTTCACTTTTCAACGATGAATTCATATATTTTTCAGTAAATTGATGTTGGCAATTCTTCTCCCAACTGCCTCGATCATGTTTTCGACGGAGGAATGCGGAATTTCGTCGATTTTCAGTCAAAAAGTGAGTATTTTGAGAAATTACAGATTATTCTCATAAATCACTGTTTTCCAGGCTCATCAATGTGAAACATGAATAAAAACTGCTGAAAAATCAAAGAAAACCGTAGAAGTAGAAGAAAGACCCTGTGAGTAGTCATGAATCGAGGCGAATTGGAGAGATTCGATGGATTTTCATGATTTCAAGTCAGTTGCGACCGGAAGTCGTCATCTTTGCCATCCAAACTCATCCAAAGCACTTCTTCGTCAATAATTCTGCTCATCAATGTTCATTTCACAATAATTGTATACATTTACTCTATAAAAAGCTGTTTTCTGTCATTTTTCAATAAAATTTGATGAAAACCGGTTTATTTGTTAAAAAAAACGAATTTATCAGAGCTCCGACCATTTAAAAACAACTGTAGGCGCTCGAAGTTCGTGGAAGTCATATTTATTTTGAATATCATCAGGCTGTGTTGGAGAAACGTTTTAGATCGCGTGGATTTAGTTGGGTTCGAGCATTGACTCCCATTTAGATATAATAGAGAAAAGGGACTGAGATCCCTTAATCTCTTAAAGAGAATAAAAATGAGAGAACACAAGAACAAAAAACTACTAATTTATTAAAAGTATATAAAAGAAAGAAAGAAATTAGGATTTAAATGGGTGGTTGTTGTGGTAGAATGCTTTTGATGTTAATTTAGCGCGGTTTAGGCCAATGGTGGCTCTAAATGTGATTGAATTTCCTAGGGGGGTGTGAGATAGCCCAAATATACATGAAAACCCATCGCACACGCGTAAAACGCGCAACCCGAAGACCAAAAACTTGAGCAGTCTCAAAAAAACGATGACAATTCTTCAACGGCGAATGTTTTCCCGGAGAAATTCGAATATTTGAATGGCGGCCTTGCCGCCTCAACCCAACGAGACCCGAGCGAATAAATATGTGTGCCTTGAATCGGTTTTGCGCTCTCGTCGTCTGCGCGCTCTTGCATCCACACACTATTTCGCAGGAATAAATAATTTCTCTCTTCAAACAACGGTTTTTGCTCGTTTTTCCTCAACTTTTCAGGTCTCTGGAGTATATGGTTGTCTGACGACGTGATTAGCGTCTTCGCGAGTGCGCCGCAATTTATATCAACTTAATTAAGTGGGGAGAAATCACTCAATTTCTCACATTCCCCCTCTACATAAGATTGCGAAGGTTACTGTAGTTTTCCTTGTTGAAGACGAAGTCAGTGTTGAATTTCTTGTGGAGTGTTTCGGCGATTTCGAAGACGACATCAATTCCATTGCGACGGAGAGTAGGGGTGTCTTGTTGAACGAATTTGAGTTCCAGATTGAGTAGTGTCACATTCCATAAAATCGATCGACATTTCCGTGTGTGAACAGCAGTCCTTCGATTCAATGTTCCAATATTGTTGTACCAATCGTTGAAGTCGATCCAAAGATGCACAATTTTTTGCTACCCCTTCTCCTGATGTTCAGGATACTGTAGCAATTGAGGTGATCTCTTCTGGATCGCGAATTTTAAGTTGTTATGCCCTGATGGCTCAAATTTTAAGTAGTGATGGTGAATGAATTTTTGACTAACAAAGAATTGATAATTGTTCGATTTTTTGCAATCGACTTGGGTTGTCAAGTTTGTCCAAATGAATTGTTTTTCTCGTGGCAGTATTATCGCCAGCGTAGATGAGAGTTTTCTTGAAATTTGTCGAAAAAATTCGAATTTTCTTGTTTTCGATGGTTTTATCGAAATTTGTGGGGTATCCCTGGTTGAATTGAAAATGTGTGGGGGTATCCGTGGGTAAATCAAAATTTGAGGTTCGATAGAACCCTTCCCCCTCTACATAAGTTGACAAAGTGTTGAGCGATTTTGATTCATGGTTAGTAGGTGCAGTAAGTGCTAATCACATGAATTGCGGGAATTTTGATTGGGTTGATTTAGGGGATGAAGTAGATGCTCACAAGGTTGCGGAGTTTCAGATTTCTTCATCTATCGTTCATCAATGTGAACGAAATTATGTTTTATCCGAGCAGCAATGAAAGGTGATTGGCTCTGCCACAACTTCACATCTTCCACGGCATTTCTCCGGTGATTCTTCTCTTGTTCATTTTTTGCGAAATCCTTTTTTCGCCCTTTTCCCTCAATATCCGATTTGGACTTGAAGTCCTTTTGAATTTGTGCGATTTTCCGCCTCTTTTGAATCGTGGCCATATTGTGCAGATTCGATTACATGCCAACTAGTTCCAGAATTTCATCCAGATCCGCCGATAACCTCCAGGCCTTTGAAGCCTCGACATCTCTTTCCGAAGTTTCTTCTAGTTGGACTTCTTGTACCAATTCTCATGGTCGATTTCGATATTTGAGTTCCGACGACCGCAAACATCTCTTCGATTTGTTGGCTTGTAGGCTCGTTCAATTCGAGATTTTTCGCTCAGGATTTTGGCTATTTTTGTAGCCGTTAGTAATAATTCTGGTATGTGATGAATTATTTTGAAGTGCTGTGCACTGATGGTTGTTAGTTTTCAAAGTTGTTGGCTTTTTTGAAAACTTTCACTGGTTAGTTGATAACCATGGGTGTTTGAATTTGATTTGGCCCTTGTTGAAATCTTCCAAAAGATATACATTCCACTCTAAGAGTTCTGGAAATTCGGTCAAAATGTCCTTCAGGATCTAATTTTCTTTTACCCAGCTTCTTGGGCGTCTCCAATCGGGTTTTGAGCGATGAAATCCTTTGGTACCTGCCAAACCTCCCAAACTTCTTCTGAAAGTATTTTTGGTTGATTTTTTTGGCGTTTAAGCTGTCATTCGTTCCAGTTGCTTTCCTGCTCTCTCTTATCTACCCTGCTATCCCCGGCAGCTCTCCATTTTAACTGGGGGCTGAAGCGAGTGATTAACTTCGCAACAGTGGAATAGGAAGCATCAGTTCCTATCCCCATAGTCTTACGGTCCGGCCTTGTTCACGCTCCGGATGTAGATGTTGGTTGAGACGGAGCGAGGAGGAAGATGTTTCATTATGGTGTTTTGAAATCACCAGTGTGTTTTGAAATCACAAGGGTGTTTTGAAATCACGCTTGAATTTTGATTAAACAACACTATTTTATTTGGCTCGCTGACATTCTTGACTTGTTCAATTTCTTCTTTAACTCTCCCCAACCTGATTTTCGGTTTTGCCGATTTTCAGTTTCTAACGTTTTTAGAGTGGGTTTCAGATTTTTGATGACTGGAATTCCACTGGAACCCTCCCTAAAAAATTTACCTTAACTTGCACAAAATCCAAATCGATTCGAACTGTTCGACCACCAATCACCCTCTCTCAATAATCGCAGACGTCTCCTTGATTTCTTGAGCGGTTCTCTTCCGTGGTCCAATTGGTTTTCAGCGAATTTGGAAAGCCTGTAAATTTTTTCGGGTTGACTCCCTCTGAGTTCATGCGCTAATTTCCTGCTGCTTCCCTATCTCACCGCTATCCCGGCAAATTCTGGCGAATCGGGGCTGGAACGGCTGATCAGACCGAACTCAGTAGATCGATGAGACCGACGCTCTATCGTCCAATAGACTTACGCTCCGAAATCATGTTGATTTCGGAAGTAGGGAAAGGCGAGCGAGGAAAAAGCTTGATGATGCAGCTGTGCTGCGAGTTAGTACATGAATCCTTTTTACGACAGGTTAATTGAAGCTTTGCTTCATGATTTCGCGGAATTTGGATGATTTTTGACAGAAAGGTTCAAGACTTTTGAAAATTTTGGTAGAAAGTTTGAAGCGCTTTCGATACCTTTAAAGGAAGTTCAAGGAACTTTTGATGAATCTCGGCAGGAAGCTTAAAGAGCTTTCGATGCTTTTTGGCTGAAAAGTGTGATGAACTTTTTCGCCTCCTGGCTGAAAAGTTAGAAGACCTTTCAGCGCCACTTGGTTGAAAGGCTTGGAGCATTTTCGACACTTTTGGCAGCAAGTTTAGAAAGCTTTTGACAACTTTGACAGAAGATTTGCAAAAACTCTCGATCCAGCTTACAAAAGGTCTGAAGGAGTTTTGGTAGCTTTGGTAGACAGTCTGCAAAACTCGAGACAGTTGACAGCACGTTGATCTTTCGATAACATTGGCAGAAAGTTCAAAGAACTTTGGTGCTTCTTGGCTGTGGAGTTCTGGGAACTCTTTGTGCCTTTGGTGCGAAGTTTAAGCTTGTAGGTCCTCTTGACCTTTTTCTTCTGTGATCCAGACATCAATTCATGAATGAGAAAAGAGATGTTGGAAATTCTTTTGATTTTTGGGAGAATTCTTATAAATCTCTCGAAGGTTTGAAAGTCTTTTGAGACTATTTGAAATTCGCCAGTTCGTTTCAAAGAACGAAGCTTGTATTCGAAATGTTTGACAATTTCCAAACTTCCTGTCCTCCAAGGGTCGCCAATTTTTCGAATTTCTCAAGATTTTGGAAATATTTGCAAACTGCCAGAAGTTTTCGAAATTTGAAATTTCCAATTCTTTGAAGGGAGAAAACATTGATTTTCTTTGAATGTGAATTTGCAAAATCGGTCTTTGGTTTCTTCGGAAATTGCGTGCTTGGCCAATTTTCCCGGAAGAGTCAAACGGACAGCAGTTTGAATTTCGCTGGATGAGATGGTTGAGCACTTGTTGTAGCGAGCCAATTTGGAAGCTTTGACGGCGAATCTTTCGAAAACATTATTGACGAATGAGTTCATGATTGACAGAACCTTGATGACGCTCCAGTATTTGGTTGAACTTGTTTGAGAACACTGTCGATGTAGGTGTTGTGAGATCCTTTCTCTTGGTGTATCTCTTTCTCACTCCAGGCTTTTGGCAGATGTTTTCCGAAGACCTGCGACATTTTGCCTCAATTCGATGATATTGAGGTCGTTTTGGTTAGTTTGGCGAACTTCTGCCCGCGATTTGAGTCGTCTGCCGTTTTTCTTTGGGATTCAGAGGTTTGAATCCTCCATACCATTCCCCATGCAAGACCGTGACTAAAACTTTGGTTTGCGTCTTGCGCGGGGATTTTTAAGGTTTGGAGGCTTCTTGCCTCTTCAGAATCTGGGATTCTGTTCCTTCTATTCACGGCTTCTGACTCTCAAACGGGTCTTTTTTCGTCGGCACAACTCCGAGATCTATTTGCCGTTGGCTTCCAGAGCCTTTGGCTTTCTTTAAAACTTTATTGGCCTCTTGTGCCTCTAGTTTTTGTCAACACTTGGTCTTTTAGACCTCTGGTTGTTTTTTGAACTCCTGGTCTTCTGTGACCTCTGGTTCAGTTTGAACACCTGGTCTTCTTGTGACCTCTGGTTCAGTTTGAACTCCTGGTCTTCTTGTGACCTCTGGTTCAGTTTGAACTCCTGGTCTTCTTGTGACCTCTGGTTCAGTTTGAACACCTGGTCTTCTTGTGACCTCTGGTTCAGTTGTGCCGATGTTCTCTTGGTTTAGGTCGTAATGCACCATGTAAAATCGCGTGGATTTAGTTGGGTTCGAGCATTGACTCCCATTTAGATATAATAGAGAAAAGGGACTGAGATCCCTTAATCTCTTAAAGAGAATAAAAATGAGAGAACACAAGAACAAAAAACTACTAATTTATTAAAAGTATATAAAAGAAAGAAAGAAATTAGGATTTAAATGGGTGGTTGTTGTGGTAGAATGCTTTTGATGTTAATTTAGCGCGGTTTAGGCCAATGGTGGCTCTAAATGTGATTGAATTTCCTAGGGGGGTGTGAGATAGCCCAAATATACATGAAAACCCATCGCACACGCGTAAAACGCGCAACCCGAAGACCAAAAACTTGAGCAGTCTCAAAAAAACGATGACAATTCTTCAACGGCGAATGTTTTCCCGGAGAAATTCGAATATTTGAATGGCGGCCTTGCCGCCTCAACCCAACGAGACCCGAGCGAATAAATATGTGTGCCTTGAATCGGTTTTGCGCTCTCGTCGTCTGCGCGCTCTTGCATCCACACACTATTTCGCAGGAATAAATAATTTCTCTCTTCAAACAACGGTTTTTGCTCGTTTTTCCTCAACTTTTCAGGTCTCTGGAGTATATGGTTGTCTGACGACGTGATTAGCGTCTTCGCGAGTGCGCCGCAATTTATATCAACTTAATTAAGTGGGGAGAAATCACTCAATTTCTCACAAAACGTTCAAAATCCGCGATTGCAGGTTGAAAACGCAGTTTCCTACCAAATTTACTTATTTCGCCACGAATGTTCTTCCAATCTGCAATCAATACGTTTTGTTGATAACCAGAATATCGAATTTACTACTTAAAGTCGTCATTTACTATGAGAAACAAAGAAAAAATGGAAAAACGCAAAAAATATTTTTCGAAAACAAAAAAACAAAAAGAAAACAACGACATTCCGCTCGCCTGGTGTTTAGCGTAAAAGGCGTGGCAATTTGATTTCGAGTTTTTTTCATTTTTCCACAGAAAAATATTTTTTTCTCTAAAAGTTCAGAAGAATTTTTTCATCGAAAAGTGAGTATAGGGAATGAAAGTAGGAGTATTAAAGTGTCTGTTTTGGTATGCGCGGCTTCATCTAGCGATGTTGACCTTTTAGTTTTTGGTGTTCCTTTAAATTTTGCCTGAAAATTTGGAATTAAATTGAAATTTTAATAATTCAAAAAAAGCCGAAGACCGGAAAAATACAAATTTTATCAGAAAAAGCAAGGTTTTTTCAAGACATACTTCTGAAAATTTAATTTTTTTCTCAAATTTCTGACAAAAAATATTATAAAAATTTAAAAAATCCTCAACAGTTTTTTCTTCAGGATTCTAACACGAGCCGAACGACTTGAGCCACAAGTAAAACATTCAGTTGACAATGACGTCATAGATATACGAAATCCCGTGACTCCTCAAAAGATTGTAATAGATCCAGAAATCGAACGACAACTCCAACAATTAATGAATAATCAAGCATTCGAGAAAGGATTTGAAGGTCAAGGTGGAACTGGTGTTGTAGTTCCAGAAGATAAGAAGGATGTTAAAGAAAAACGATTCTTGGAAAATCAATTTAATGTTGTTGCATCGGAAATGATTTCAGTTAATCGAACTTTGCCAGATTATCGAACACAGGCGTAAGTTATTTGATTGAAAGGAAATTCTGATTAAAAAACACCAATTATTTGTAGATGTCGCGATCGATCCGATAAATATGCCGAAAAATTACCAAAAACTTCAATTATCATTGTTTTCCACAATGAAGCCTGGACAACACTTCTTCGAACTCTTCATTCTGTTGTCAATCGGTGAGATTTTCCTGAAAATTTTCTGAAAAGATTTTCGATAAATTCCAGCTCGCCAATCAATTTGTTGGAAGAAATTATTCTTGTTGATGACAAATCGGATCGAGATTATTTGAGAAAACCGCTGGATGCTTATATTAAACGATTCCCGGTAAGATGAGCATTTTGAGTCTGAAAATGAGATTTTTTGACTGATTTCGAGCAGAAATTTGAGTTCAGCGTGATATTTAGAGCATTTTGAGTATAATTTTGATGGGGGATTTGAAAATTTGGAATTTTTGACCTGAAATTACCATTTTTGCGAAAAATTATGGAGGAGGGTCAAGTTTTTGAAATTCCTCAAAACCATATCAAATTGGATGTTCACAATCTGGAAATTCCATGGAAAATTTTTTCCCGATTTCTTATGGATTATCGGATGTTTTATAAAATTTGCGGGTTTTTGACACCCCACAAGCCTATTTTTTCATTTTTCTGAAATTTTGGAGGATTTGAGCCCTGAAATCTGAAATTTTCTAAATTCTTCAAAACTATATCAATTATATCAAGTTAGGTGTCTAAAAACTGGAAATTTCAAGGGGAATTCAAAAATCACCGAGAAAAATCAGAATAAATAAATAAATAAAAATTCAGAAGACCCTCGAAATTTTTGAATGTTTTTTTTTCAATTTCACGAATTTCTTTTCAAAATATCCTGAATTTTAAAAATATGACAAATATTTAGATTTATATCAAAATATTTTTAGTTTTTTCCGACCTTTCCATAATTATTTTTTCCGCAGATTCCCGTTCATCTTGTACATTTGGAAGAGCGAAGTGGTTTGATTCGAGCTCGATTAACAGGTTCTGGAATGGCAAAAGGAAAAATCCTCTTATTTTTGGATGCTCATGTCGAAGTTACCGAAGGATGGTTAGAACCATTAATTGATCGAGTTGCTGAAGATCGAAAACGAGTTGTAGCCCCAATTATTGATGTCATTTCTGATGATACTTTCGAATATGTCACCGCTTCTGATACAACTTGGGGAGGATTTAATTGGCATTTGAATTTTAGATGGTATCCGGTTCCGAAGAGAGAATTATTGAGAAGAGGATCTGATCGATCGGTTCCGATTCAGTGAGTTTTTTAAAATTGAAAATTATATCAATCTTTTATATTGATGTAGGACTCCAACAATTGCTGGAGGACTTTTTGCGATCGACAAACAATTTTTCTATGATATTGGAAGTTATGATGAAGGAATGCAGGTTTGGGGAGGAGAAAACTTGGAAATATCATTCCGTGTTTGGATGTGTGGAGGATCTCTCGAAATTCATCCGTGTAGTAGAGTTGGACATGTTTTCCGCAAACAGACACCTTATACTTTCCCTGGTGGAACTGCAAAAGTAATTCATCACAATGCAGCAAGAACTGCTGAAGTTTGGATGGATGATTACAAAGCGTTTTTCTATAAAATGGTTCCGGCTGCAAGAAATGTTGATGCGGGAGATGTTAGTGAAAGAAAACAGTTGAGAAATAATTTGCAATGTAAATCGTTCAAATGGTATTTGGAGAATATTTATCCGGAAGCTCCATTGCCGGCCGATTATCGATCTTTGGGTTCGATTTCGAATCGGGCTGATCAGAAATGTATTGATACAAATGGAAAGAAGGATGGACAGTCGCCTGGAATGCAGGCTTGTCATGGAGCTGGAGGAAATCAGGTTTGTGTTTTTTTGAATTTGGAAAATCCATGAATTTTGAATTATTTTCTACGATCTAAATTTTATTCAGAAAATCCCCGGTTTTCGAAATTTTCAATTTTTCTCAAATTTTACCCTGAAACCTGGAAAAATTTAATGAAAATACTAACAAAAATTTTTTCTCAAAATGAATTCAAAACTTAAAGTGAACTTTTTTGAAATTTCAAGTATCGGCGTCGAAAAAAATCCACGTGGCTTTCAGAATTTAAAACTTTAAAACTTTCGAAGCCAAGTTTTCAATTTTCCAACTTTTATATCTCTTCTCCCACAGACAATTCGATTTTCGGATGGTTTTACAATCAAAATCAAAGACACCGCCCCAGAATATGAACGCTATCCATTTTTAGCGAATTCGCAGGTCTAGATCCCCCTCGCATGTTTTTTCTTTTTTTTTTAATTTTCAAAAAATATTTGGTTCTGAGTGGGGTCCCTTTTATTCTCCTTCTCCTCAAATATAATAATTTTCAGGCTTGGGCAATGACTGGAAAAGGAGAAATTCGATCGGATGATTTGTGTGTTACTTATGGAGCTGTTTTCCAAATGGGACCTGAAGTCAGGTTAGAAAAATGTTCGGTTAGCAAAATTAATCCGAAACATGTTTTCAAATATGATGAGAAGGTAATTAATTAGCCAGTTAATTAAATATTTTAATTAAAAAAATACATTTTTCAGTCTGGAAATTTGATTCATGTGAAAACTGGTAAATGTGTGACTGCATCTGATACAAAAGTCACAATGGATACTTGCGAAAATAATCGACAGGAACAAAATTGGCAATTGGAAGGATATCAAAATTAGACAGATTATTTAACTCGGTGTAAACATTCTAAATAATTAATAATCACATCACTCACTCACTTTATAATTTATTCCTTATTGAAACTCCAAAACAAAAACTGGTCCCAACATTTTTTTTCCAAAATCAGAATCATAATTTTTATTTATTTATTTATTGCATTTCATGGTTTTCTTTTTGTGATAGTATTCTTTTTACCTGGTTGTGAGATATTATTTTTGTCCCAGGTTTTTATTATTTGTGAATTGTTCTTTCTTTTTTTGAGATGAGAACAGTAATATAAAAAATTTTATTGAAGATTTTTGAGGATTTTTGAATTTTTATGTGGAATATCATTATGATCTTGATGATCACTACCTCATTTGATTTTTTTTTTTTGAGATTTCTGATGATAATTTGAGAGCGATTTTTAGAAAATCCGAAAGCTTCAGAAAATTAATGAGATATTTTTTTGCGAAATTTAAAAATTAGAAAAGGATAACCATATATTTTTTAAACTTTGAAGTTCAATTTTGAATTTGTAAAAATTTTTACTAAATTTTCTAGAGTCTAATTTTCCGTAGAACATAATACTGCCCTCTCAAAGTTTAATTTTCTTAGATCTTCTAATAACCTTTTGCACACTATACACAAAATTTCTAGACGTCAAGTTTTTCTGAACTTTTTAGGGTAGATCAAAAATAATTTTTCTCTAAATCTCTCTCCCAAAATTGTGTCCGGTTGAAAAAAAATTACACGCTGTTATTTAAAAATGTTTTTTTTTCTAAAAAAAAATACAGCGTAACCTATTTTTTTCAATGTTCCATTTATTTAAAAATTGTATCATTTCTAGATTTCCCTAATATAATTCCGGCGGCAACAACGAAAAATATTCTGCAACATTTTGGTGCTCGCAAATGTCGACGATGGAATTCTATTGAACAAGTGAGTTTTTTGGGGCAAAGGTTTTCACGGGGTTTAGAAAAAATTAGTTTTTCTGTAATATTTTATCACAACTCTGTGTAGGTCTCTATTTTTTCAAAAAGTTCCAAATGTTTTATTCGACATTAGGAAAATAAATAAATATATCACAGAAAAAGAAAAAGAAACACATCGCAAAAAAAAGAGATTCAAAATGATAAAAAAAGGGGTGCACATGCACCTACACATTAAGTCACCAATTATACTTTGGTAACCAAACAAAAAAAAATTTAGTCTACATTGAGAAGTTGGACTTGTTAAATTTCGTTGTTGAGCGGAGCATCAGCCAAATATTTATCGCGACAAATTCCGCGAACCGCAACTTGATGTGGTGGACATTTCTCCTCGCATTTCTTCACAATTCTTTCACCAACAATTCGAAGCACTTGAACTTGTCCATTTTTACATGGTCCAATTGATTCCTTCTTATTATTTGCTGTTGCTGTATTCTTTCCTCCAACTGGTCTTCCACGATTTGGTTTCACAGTTGCTACTTTCTCCTCTCCACTTTCTTCATTTGTCTCTTCTTTTGTTGTTGTTGATTCTGAACAACATTGGAATCGATTCGATAATGTGCTCTTCAAACATTTATATCCTGATGGACAACTATTCGAGCCAGAATTTGAGCATTGAACTGGAGTTCCAGTTGATGGGAAAAGAAGGGCGGTTCCAGTTGAACATCCATGATTGTTTGATCCACTTGGTGAAATGCTCAATGGTTTATTTGAGCAACAATAATAGTTTTTGCTCTTTTTGGAGAATGTGCATTTATATCCACTTGGACAAGGCGATGATGTACATTGTTTTGGAGTTCCGTTTACAACATAAGCTGCTCCACGGTCACAAACATTGTTGGCTTCTTCGATTTCCGAAGTCTACAAAATAGGGGTTTTGAAAATGGTATCAAGATATATTTAAAAAATGAATAATGCTCTAATATTTAAAAAATGAATTCTATGCTTTCCACTCACCTCTTTTTCTGTTGGTTTCGAACTGAATGTTGTCTTTCCTTTAGTAGATTTCTTATCACCAACAATAGCCGATGCTTTTCCACCACCGCAACAAATATTTTGTTGTGCTGTTTGCGAGAATTGACAACTGTATCCTCTTGGACAATTTGGTTTTGATGGATTACAGAATCGAGCATTCTTTGTTCTCAATTCCAAGAATGGAATTTGTCCCGGAATCGGACACGTCGACATTGGTCGCGACATTTTCTTCATACAAACATCCTCAACAGCTTCTTCTCCATCTGGACAAGTACATGTTGTGTCCAAACAATTCGATCCACCTTGACATTGTTCATCGGCTTCACAAGCTTCACCAATAAGTGCTTTCAACATACATTTTCCACCGACTTCAATCTCATTAACTCCACAATCAGCCATACAAACACCGTTAAGTTCGTGATGTCCTTCTGGACAAGAGCATACGGTATCACGGCAAACAGCTCCAGATGGACATTGAACTTGATTAGAACATTGTTCACCGAGTGATTTTTTGTCTAAACAAGATCCTTCGACAGCAACTTGTTTAGCATTGCATTCAGTTTTCTTGATTGGTTCTTCATTTGTTGTACAACAAAGTTGTGATCCAGAAATGCTTCTTTGACAAGAATATCCTGATGGACAAGTTGATTGTCCAATTGCACAAGATTGTGGTTCTCCAGTAATTCCAATAAATGCCACTGAATCATTTGGACAACCTCCTGACATTCCACAACATTGGAATTGATTGTTTGTTGTTGAGAATTGACAGAAATATCCAGTTGGACAATTTTGTGAGGCAGCTGTACAGATTCTTGGTGTATTTGTGGCCACTTCTCTGTATGCAACTTGATTGTTTGGACATCCGAGAGCAGCGATTGATTTTGGAGTTGTGATTGGTGTTGCTCCACAACATTGATATCTTTGATTAGCCAATGACCATTGACAAGAATATCCGGTTGGACATGGCGCATTTGGTGGATTGAATGGATCGCAAGGTGCGATTTGATTGTCTTTCATGAAAACATATTCATTTGGTGGACAACCATCTGAAACACTTGCGACTTCTCCTTTACAACAATAACCAGTTGTGAATTCATGAGCAGTTGATTGACAGCTATAACCGTTTGGACAAGTAATAAATGCACCAACTGTACAAGATCTTGGCATTTGCGATGATTCCTCGAGATAGAATTCAGCCTTGTTTGGACACAAATGATTTCCCGAGCAACAATATCCTTGGAATGCTCCTGGAACATCGGATTGACATGTGAAACCATTTGGACATTGATTGTTGTTGCTACTAATTGTACAACGAATTGGAGCCTTTGAAGATGGTTCACGATAGAGTGCTTTTCCAGCTGGACACAAATCTCCAGTTATTGAGGCACAACAATAATAGCGGTTCTTTTGTGCGTTGAAACGGCAGAGATAGTTTGATGGGCAAGATCCTTCAACATTGATAAGACACTCACGAACACCCATATCAACTGCATTCACGTAGGCTTTTTCACCTTCTGGGCAAACATCTGAAAAATATTAAAATTTGATATGAGCGATATGTTGATGTCTAGATGTTCTTACCCATATTTGTGGCTCCGCAACAAACAGAATTTGACGATAATTGATCATAAGTACATGCGAAATTGCTTGGACAACTGTTCGACAAAGCAGCATTACATTCATATGGCATATTTGTGTTTGGATTAACATAGGCAACATCTCCTGGTGTACAAGCAGCTGATAAACAGAAATTGTTACATTGTTCCATTGTAGCAAAGTTGTTCAAGTTTCCAGAACAACCATTGTAGGTGAATTGTGTGCATTCTTTGGTAACAATATTGAAATAGAAGCGAGCAGCAGCCGATGAAGAGCAAGATGATCCTTGTTGTGGAGGCAAAGAGCAAATGTAGGCACGTGTTGGACAGCATCGATTAACAACACTGCTTCCAGAATTCACAGATGTGCATTCATGAGTTCCTGGACAGACTTGACTAGCTGAGCACACCATCAATTGACCGAATTCATTACGTTCCGGTGTTCCACCATTTGGACATCCACCAACTCCACAATAACCTTCACAATCGTCACGAGTAGCGAAATTGTTTGAATTTCCGTCACATCCATTATATTGGAAGGATTCGCATTCTTGAGTTTGTGAATTGTAGAAATAACGATATGATGAACCGGATCCACAGGTGACACCTTTGTGTGGTGAAAGTGTGCAAGTATAGGCTTTTGTTGGACAACATCCCCAAACATATCCGTCAAAGTAGCACTCATAGTTTACTGGACACGAATTTCCAGCTCCAGAGTTTGAACACACGTAATAGTTTCCTTGATAGTCTTTGTAAGCGTCTCCTTGTGGACATTGTGGTTCAGCTGAAAATATTTTTTGTTCATTTTTGATTCATCAATGAAAACTTACGAATGATATTTTCACATGTGTTTTGACATTCGAGAAGGGTTTCGAAGTTATTGTCATTTCCTTGGCATCCCGTGTAATCAAAGATTTCACAAGCACGAGTAACAGCATTATACCAATAACGTCTAACTGATTGTTTACAATCTCCCAAGCGAAGTGGCTGCGAGCAAATGGCTTCTGAAAATTAATTTAGTTGGTTTTTGCGACCCTAGATAGGAAACTTACGTGGTCTTGGACAGCAAACATTGTGATCACTTTGACATTCGTGAGTACTTGGACAATCAGCATTTGCTGAGCATCGTTGATTACTGGCTCCGATTTTAAGTGGAGTTCCATATTTGCATTGAAGTTTGGCACAGAACAATTCACAATCAGCTGACGATTTGAAATTGTTGAAGTTACCAAGAGCACCATTATAAGTGAAAGCGATGCATCTGCCTTGTTCAGCATCATAATAATACCGACTTGATGTGGAGAATGTCATCGAGAAACTGCGTTTCATCAAAACTCCTGGATCGAAATTGGTTGATCTCAATAGATCAACTGGTCGGCCACCGGTGTTACTGCAGATACTGGCGACTGTTGGACAACACAATTGCATACTTCCGATTGATGTGCATTCGAAGTTGCTTGTACAAGATGAGGCTGTTTGACAATTGTTGACAGGTTCGTCTTCGTTTTGACTCGAACCAGTCAAATATTGTGGAGAACCACGTTTACATGCTGAAAATTATTTTTGTTTATGAATCATCAGGTTTCGTTTTTTGAAACTTACTATCTCTACAGTATGATTCGCAATGTTCTCTTGTCTTGAAGTTGTTTGGTGATTGCATTTCGGTCTCATCCCATGGATCCCACATAAATTGTTCACAAGTTCCAGTAACTGCATTATACCACCATCTTGGTCTGACACCAGCTGGTGCAGCACTTCCACTATCAGCTTCACGTTTCGGTTGAATACAAGTGAATGCACGATTTGGACAACAAATACCATCAGATGATGGATGAATATCATAAACACCTTCCATTGCTGTTTTCACATTTGCCATTGATGTTGTTGAAGTGACACAATCATAAACATCTGCGATATAAATTCCTTCGCCATCTCCAGCATTATTTGCATCTGTTGCATAAGCACAAGCACCTCCACCATTAGCTGAGAATGTTGTATAATCAGTTGATTGTGAAGAGCAGAATTGAAGTGGATTGATGTGTTCACCCATTTGAATATCAGCATCATCTGGATCTGTCATATGAGGATTTCTGAGTTGCGAAACTGGCATTGTTAAAAGATCATCGTCATATTCTGGTAATGGACATTTTGGAACTGGATCTCCGTCTTCTCCAGAATGCAAAACACATACAACTCCATCTCTACTTTTAGCTTGAACATATGGGATTCCATTTACATCTTCTGGACATTCACAACGCGATTTTTCACATCTTGATTCTGGCCAAACTGCTGAACATTGTTCTGCGTATTGACAACCAGACTCTCCTGGATTTTTCTTGAGATAACAATATCCTTGAATTGCGACAAAGTTGGAAAGACATGTGCAAGCACCAGTTGAACAGAACATTCCCTGAAAAAAAATGAAATATATTAATTCGAAACTAATATAGATGTTCTTACTGTCAAACAATCAGTGTTGAAACTGCAAAAATCTCCAACTCTTCCCGATCCAGCAACACCTTGTCGCTTATAGCGAACATTGCCAGATCGACATTTTCCATCAATGAAGAATTGATTTTTTGCGCACAATTTTCGTTCAAGCTCTTTTTTCACCAAATTGCAAACAATGAAGGCATTTTCGTGCATATCAGTTTTGCTGGAAATTGAAGTTTAGATTCGACAAAACCCGTGAACATGAGATAGGTTCAAGAAGTTTGGTATGTGTTCCAACTCACTTTGTTGCTTGATCACAATATAAACTGTCAATTGTTGTTTCTTCTTCACATTTATCTCCTTGTTCTGGTATCCTACATAATGATCCATCACAACCATCTCCTATTCGACAAATTGTTGTCTTTTCCGAGGATATAACTCCTGTAATTTGTATTTTATTTCATTCCCTTTTTGGTTTTGTTGCTCTATAGAAACTATTCCAAAAATAGACCTAATAATAAATAAGTACACAAACATTTTCCCTTCTCCAAAACTCATATAAAATGGTCACGATTAAATCAAATATAAGCCATTATTCATTGAACTATTTTTCAATCGCGCCGAAGAATTAGACGAACTCTCTATTTGACTTTGAAGTCTTCTGCACTGCGGTCACTCGAGTCGGAGATCAAATATTGTGTGTGTGGTTGTATAAACATTGAATAAATTGTGTACTTGAATTGTAATTGAAACTATCACGATTTTTTTGGCTGGTTTGTTGGTGGTTTTTTTTTGTTTTTTTTGGAGATGAACTACAAAATACCAAAAAATCAAGCAGTTCAGCAGAGAAATCATAATAGAGAGAACGGTTTCGTGAGAAGATTTTTAAACAAAAATTTTGGCATTGAGCAAATATGGACATTGTGAACTTTTGTTTGATTTGAATTTTTTTGGAAATTTCCTCATCAAAGACTATAATTTTAACTAATTTGCAGCAAAAAATTGTGATTATATTTTCTAAAATCCTCCAGTAAGCTCTTGGAACTTCAGAAATTTTACTTTTTAGAAGTTCTTGGACTCAGAGTTTTTCTTTCGAAAATTGAAAATCTGATTATTTTCAAGTCTGATTGATGAATATTTATTCGACTTTTTTGAAAGTTTGTCAGATTTTGAATTTTTCCGAGAACTTAACTTATTCATCGAGACTTCAGAAAAACAACTACACAGAAATCTGCCTATTAGAAACATGTTTCTTAGAATTTCTAAGGATTCTGAAACTACAGTACACTTCAGTGGAAGTTTGTAAAAATCTATCAAAAATAAATATTCAAATAAAAAAACTCACCTGCTAGCAGGAGTACATAAATTAATTGTCGCATTTAAATATGCAGAAATAAATGAATAATAGGTGTCTTCAAACGAATCTGAATTGAGCACAAATTGACAAATATAAAATGAGTAATATTATAAATTGAACATATAATATATTAATAGATAGTAAGTAGACACCTTTTTGCTCTTTCTTCTCCTTCTTCTTTTTATTCTTCTTTTTCTTCTTTTCTCTTACAAAACTTCTTCTTCGTACGTATTTGGAAACGAACGAAGTATATGTCTATTGTTGAGAACGGGGTTGGGGGTTGAATGGGGCGGAGATTCTTCCCCGTTGCTTCTTATTCGATTCGATTCGATGGGTGGAGCAATACCAACATAAATAATAATAATAATAACAACACTGTGTATTTACCAAGTTTAGTGTCTTCTTGTACATTATTTATATACGATTCGGATAAAAATCGGTGTTTTGAGTGTTTTGCGGTGTGGTGGTTTCGTACCCTCAATAATTCGTCTTGGGTTTATCAGTCATATAAAAAGTTGTTTACTCAAGATGGATAATGTTCGCGTTTTGAACAAGCGGATAATTTTTTGGATGAATTTTGGACAAAGGGTTTACAGAACAAAGAAAACTATGAGCTTTGATTTTTGAAAATGAAAATAGATAATTCGGAATTCGAAACGTGAACTTCGTATTCGCCACGTGGCAATTCAGAGAGCATTTGTTAAAATTCGCATTTTCCGCTTATGCAGTGCTATTTGTCACTGTTTTGTATTCAGACTTGATCCGAACTTTGCAAAGAAGTTCAAAATTTTGTGGGAACATCCTATATGTTCCCAAATGAGTGTGAATAATTTGAATCAGCTGAAAGCGATTAAATCAGAAATTTTTCAGATGTAGTTCTGATATTCCGAAGCTCAAGATTTAGAGTTTTAAATTTGTGCCAATACTCTGGGAGCTCGCCAAGTCAAATTTAATTTTGTCTGTCAGCTCCAAATGTTCTGAACCATGTTCATAAACATATGTTTGTTTTCCAAATTCATAGAACTTCAAACACATTCTTTTCACCGGAAATCCGATATGCTCAAAACTTATTGTTTTACTATTCTGTTTGTTTTTATATCTAATATTCGTGTTTTGACTTCTGAACTTTTATGAAATTATTTTCCGCAGTTCATTCCAATCATTTTCCAAATTTTGCAACAAAGATAAATTTAGAGCATCGTTTTTCGGAAAGATGTTTTTTTTTTGAAATCGAGCCGAGCCGAAAGGTATTTAATTCAAATCGGGTCAGCGGTCAAGTGTGTGTTTTGTCTCTTTTGTTGTCCACATCGTTTCTTCGTCTTCTCTTATGAAACCATAAGCCGATAATTCAACAATATATATATATATATATTTATAAATACAAATATATATAAATATGATATGACGATGATCACGCATCAAAAACATTATTTATTTTTGAGGGGGCACACACAAATACAATGAACTGTAAAAGTAAGGAATAAATATGAATGAATTAAGACATCTTCTACATGAGACGCGAGGAAATTGAAACCTCGATAATGGGATTGAAAGAGAGAAAAAATGAAATAACAAAAATGAACCGTAATATCAAATTGTTTGTGAAAAATGATCATCGTTGCTGTCTCTCTGAAAAAACTTTTTGAATGAGACATCTCTTCTCTAAACCAAAAAACATACCACAAGATGTTCGATTTTGTCGAACTACCATCAAATATCCACGTGGACAAGCTTCTGATCGTTTAACTCGCCCGTTCGGACAACACATTTTATTCTGACAGGTATATCCTTGAGGACAACCTTTCACAGGATTACAAACTAATGGCATATTATTCTGTGGGAATAACATTGGTTGTCGACCATCGGGGCAGATGTATTTGCCAGTTGTTGTTGAAACCACCGGTCGACCTCCTTTTGCAATAACTGGTCGACCTGATATCACCACTGGTCGACTAATTACTGGTCTACCAGATATTGGTTTTGATGATAGAGTTGTTGGCGCGATTGAACAACATACATAAGAACCGATAAGTTTTGAATAAACACATGCTGCTGGTTTTGGACATTTTTGTTTGGCACATTGGATGAGTGTATAGTTTGTTGATATTACTGGTTGACGAGGGGCTTCGCAAATGTTAATGTTATCTGAAAATGTTTCCTAGATTCATAATATCTGCTTCATTTTGTGCTTACTTAGACATCGATCTTTGAATGGTGAACTTCCTTGCGCACATTTACAAAGTTTCTCAATACACTGTGTTCCATTTTGACATTGTTCATCAATTTCGCAGATTCCACCAATTGTCGTTGTTTTATCATAACAAGTATTGTTTTTGGTGATTTGATCTTCTTTACAACTATTTTTCTTCTCTGCGACAACATCAATTATCATTTCTTCATCGATGATTTGAATACATCTCCCTTCCATTTCTTTGAATTTTTTGGAACAATTACAAATTTGTCCAACACATTCAGCACCTGAAGTGCATTGAGAAGATAGTAAGCAAATTGAACCGACTGCTCCACGAATTCTGAAATTTTTAATTTTCGGTTGAATCGTAATTGATTTTCACTCACTTGCATTCCCCGTTTATCAGAACTGTATCTGGAGGACATAGCGATTTTCCACTTGTTAATTTTTCTAATGGCATTCTTGTGGAGTTAGTTGTTAAGGTTGGGGTAGCTTTGTTATCTTCGATTGTAGGCCAAAGTGTCGTTGATGTGATTTCTTGAGTTGTAGATGTCGAGGTTGAAGAACTCAGCATTGGTTTATCACGGTTACTCTGAAATTTTTCTATGATTCAGGTTCCGCAAAGTCCTTTTACCTTTATCATTATAGTACAACAAGTTGATCTTCCACTTTTTGATGTTTGACAAGCATATCCCATTGGACAATTTCCAACTTTAGTCGAACATTCTTGAGCTTCTCCAGTTAGATCAATATAAGCAACTGATTCTCCAGGACAACCCGCTTTATGTCCGCAACATTGAAATTGTTTGTTTCTATCCGAGAATTGACAGAAATATCCAGTTGGACAAGATCCACCAGAAGCCGTGCAAACTACTGGATGATTGTTTTGAACTAATGCAACTTGTGAGTGTGGACATCCAAGTTCTATAAGAAAGTTTTTTTGTTATAGCTATCCTCATGGTTTTTCGTGTTCAAAACACAATCCGAAAAAAACATTTGATTGAATTCTTAAAATTAATCCTTTTCTTCTTTGTTTCTAAACGACCTCAAATCCTATTGTTGCTCATTTTTTTTTTGATATGTAAGAAGTATGTAAATAGAGTAAACCCCATCAAAAAAATCTGATTGATGATAGGAGTAACCCCGGCTCTTTGTTTGTCGTGCTCTCCGCGCTGAGCTTCTTCCTTGTGTGTGTGTTGTCTGTGTGTGGTGTGCGCGTTACCCAAACAATAACTGACCAGTACTACCATCCAAAAAGCTTACACCTGCTCAACGGACAAAAGTACAATGCAAATAGAATTGATACTACCCGCTACTTGTACTCAAATACTTTTCAAGATCAACTAAAAGTGGGGGAGATTATATACCTTCTTGTTCAATTTCATCTTCTTCGATCGGATCTTTTCCACAACATTGATATCTTTGAAATGCGACAGCGAATTGACAACTTAATTTTGAAAAATTAGAGATATAATTACAAAATAATAGAATTAGTACCTGAAAGTTGAAGGACATCCCTTATTTTCTGGATTGAAAGGATCACACGCCACAATTTCTTGTTTTCTTGTATACGCATATTCTCCTGGCGGACATCCTTCTGAAATTGCATTAATCTCTCCTTTACAACAAAATCCACTCATTGAAGATGGTGTTTGTTTATGACATCGATAACCAATTGGACAAGATATAAATGCGCCCGGTGTACAGATTCTTGGCATTTTCGATTTTTCATCCATCAAAAATTCCGAATCAGCTTTGCAGATATCTGAAACCGATTTTATAAAAACCTCATTTCAAACTTGACAAACTTCTTGCTGAACAGCAGAATCCTTGAAGAACATTTTTCGATCTACTTTGACATGAATAACCGTCCGGGCAGGAATTTGGTGTATTCAATGTGCATCGAGTTGGTAACAATGTTTTCTTTGCTCGGAAAAGTGCACGGCCATCCGGACAAACATCTGCAAATTGAATTAGGGATCTGAAACCACAAGGTCTTTCTGAAACTTACTTTCAGTTGTTGGTGCGCAACAATAATATCGATTTCTTTGAGCATTGAATCTGCATAAAAAGTCGGCTGGACAACTTCCTGGGATATTAATTGCACATTCTCGAACTGATTCGTCCAATGCATTGATGAAAGCACGCTCTTCATTTGGACAAACATCTGAAGAAAATATTCAGAAATTGCTCAAAGGGACTTTGGATAACTTAGAATTCACAGTAGCTCTTTTCGAACTCACCCATACTCGTTGAACCACAGCAAACATAACCGGATGTCAAAGAATTGAAACGACAATTGAAATTAGCTGGACAACTATTGATTAGTACATTATTACAATCATAGGCTTTTTTGGTATTCACATCTTTGTATGTGACTTCTCCGACTGCACAACCTGCTGAACTGCAGAAATTGTTGCATTCTGATTGAGTCGCAAAGTTGTTCAGATTTCCGTTGCAACCATTGTATTGGAAAGTTGCACATTCCTGAATTGTTTAAAATTAATTTCATTTTTTAAAGAAATACTCACTCTTGTTACAATATTGAAATAATATCGAGAAACTGATATTTTTGAGCAATGATTTCCTTGTTGTGGAGGCTGACTGCAAATGTGTTGTTTTGTCGGACAACACCTATTTCCAACATTTCCATTGGCTGGAATTGTCAAACATTCGTGAGTCGAAGGGCAAGATTTTTGATCAGAACATTGCATTGGTCGATTTGTTGTTTCATCTCGAAGTGGCATTCCTCCATTTGGACAACCGCCAACACCACAAAAATGTTGACAATCTTCAGAAGTTAGGAAATTGTTGGAATTTCCATCACAACCTTCATATTGGAAAGATTCGCAAGTTTGTTTGTTTGAGTTGAAATAATATCTAAAAAGGATTCAGACACTTCCAGATCTTCTCTTGAAAAATTACCTGTAGGATCTTCCTGAACCACATTGAACACCTTTATCAGGATTCAATGAACATGTGAATGCTTTTGTTGGACAACATCCATTAGTTGTTCCATCGAAAAAGCAAACATAATTAACTGGACATTTCGGCCCGTTTTGTTTGTCGGAACATTGTTGGAAGTTACCATTTCGATCTCGGAATGCTCGCCCATTTTGACATTTTGGCTCGACTGAAAATATCACAAGCCATTCAGATTTACAATTGGTTTTTTCAGTGAACTTACTATTGATCCCTCTACATTTTTGTTGACAAGCTACTAAACTCGGGAAGTTATTGTCATTCCCTTGACATCCGGTGAATTGGAACATTTCACATGATCTGGTTGCTGCATTATACCAATATCTTCGAACTGCAGAAGTACAATCACCAAGTCGTTTTGGTTGAGTACACAAAGATTCTGAAAACGAAAAAAATTGGTTGTTTTTTAAAGATTCATAAGGAAATCTTACGTTCTGTGGGGCAGCATACTTTATGTGATCCTTGACAAGAATGAGAAGATGGACAATCTGCGTTGGTTTCACATCTTTGCCATTCTTCACCAATTCGAAGAGGATTTCCATTCTCACAAACTACTGAAATCAACAAGATTCATAGGTGATATATAGTTGTATCTTACATTTTGAACAGAATGATTCACAATCTTGTTTTGTTAGGAAGTTATTGTAATTTCCCAAACCGTGGAATAAGAAATTGACGCATCTTCCTTGATCGATGTCATAATAATAACGAGTGACTGATTTGCTGAAATATATTTGTATTTTGTTTTTTTTTCAAAAAAAGTTCTCTCTTACTGTCCAGCAATTTGATATCCACGATCAAAATTTTCCACGGGTTTTGTTGGATGGAATCGGCCACCAACAGCACTGCAAATATGTGCAGCTGTTGGACAGCAAGTTTGTTGCGAACCGATCAGAGTACATTGATGTTCCGAATCACAACGAGAAGTTGATGAGAGACAATTTGTACGAGGAACTTCGTCGAGGATGGAGTATTTGGAGGCAGCGAATTCTGGAGCACCTCGTCGGCAAGCTGTAGAAAAACTAGTTTTTTTTTCTCCCTGATAAGATAAGGTTACTTACTATCTCTACAGTATGATTCACAGTGTTCAGCACTTCGGAAATTATTCGGTGAAGCATTTGTGATTGTATCCGGATCCCACATAAATTGAACACATGTGCCAGTTGCCGAATTATACCACCATCTTGGAACTGATGGTTCATCTCCAGATTCTAATGGTTGAATACATACATAAGCTCGATTATGACAACAGATTCCATCGACTTTATCCGAATATTCTCCGAATAATTCATTGTTGACTTGAGGATGTGAAATACAATTATAAATATCGGCGATATAAATATCAGTTTCACCGTCTGGATAAATACACCATGTTGAACCATCTCCACCATTTGAATTATGCGTTTCCGAAGATAGCGAATTACATAACACTGGCCTACGATTTTTTTTGTTCAACTAGTATAATAATTGGCTGGACTAAAAAAACTTACATATAATTTCCCGGATTAAGCGGATGAGAAGTTGGATTGGCTAAAATTGTAGCCGGATTTGGATTACCATTGTGAGGTTCTGGCAGAGGACAAGATGGTGGAATCAAAGACGAAATACAAACAGTTCCATCGCGAGTTCGACTCGGAACTGTTTCTTTTGGACATTCACATAAACCAGCACTGTTACAAAGTGTTCCAGGCCAAACAGCTTCACATTGACGAGTCTCAACACAACCTGATTCACCAGGGTTCACTTCTGAAAATTATATTGAACTTTAGTACAGCCTCTAAATATTTTCCCATTTTGACATACTTGGCCAACAATGTTGTGAGATTGATACAAAATCACTCAAACAACTACAAACTCCTCCGCCACAAAACATTCCACGTTGACAATCAGTATTGAATGCACAAACATCACCAACTCGCGATGAACCTGAATTCCGTCAATTTTTAATTTTTAATTTAACATTCATTGCTCATTCCAAACCTGTAACTGCTCTCTTTCTCCTTCTTATATGATTATAATTACTCTCCGATTCTTCTTGCACACATTCCCTTGTGATTTGATTGAAAATTGCTGGAGGCATATTTCGATATGAGCAATCGAATTGAATTGTCTAAAAATATGTATGGATTTTGTTTATTTTTCATGTGATGACTAATTTTGTATTTTTTTTTAGCGAGAAGTTGTGTAAATAGAATATTTTTGTAATCTATATGTTTGTTAGAACATGGATCTGACTTCTATAATAGCATAGTGACCAAATTTTCACGCCGAGTCGGAAGATCTAATTTTTTTAAAAAGAAGTCCGAAGGTTTGGCTAACAATCCTAGATCAGATAGATCAGAATCTCAGAAGAGATGTCCTAGATTCGAGCCCGGATATTCTAAATCAATCTGAAATTAAAGCCCAAGCCTAAGCCGTTAGTTAGGCTTGAAAATATCAATTTCAGAATCTTTTTTGAAGTGATTTTATTTTTTCACTGAAAAAATTTGGAAAACTGAGCTGATCTAGAATTTTTGTCAGATAAAACATGTCCCATTTTCTCACATAAAAGTTTAAAACATGTCCCCTGTCTAGTTTTTCTTACCTCTCCATCAATGCACATGAAATATTTTGAAGAGTGATATTCCACTTTCCTAAAACAAAAATATATCATTTTTCGATGCCCAAAAATATTTACTAACTTTGTATCATTATTACATTCATAAACTGGAAGTCTGTCATTATGATTACAAGGTTGTCCAATTTTAATCAAATCACATTCATCACAATAAGCATCTTCTTCACAATATCCTTGACATTTATTCAAAAATATCACTGGAATTATTATAAAAATTAAAAAATTAATTATTTCTGATAACTTACGAAAAATAATAATAATATTCGGTGGAAACAGTAGCCACCGTCTCATTTTGTGACAAAAATATGATGATAGACGGAAAAAATGGGAAGTTTTTTAATCGTGCGTGTGCGGACGGATGATTTTAATTGGTATCAGGCTCGAAATAGTACTAGAGATAAATGGATACTGTCAAGTGGAGACCGCAATTCACGCCTTTTGACACACACACACAACTAAACACTTTGAGAAATCGCCACCTTTTTGCGCAATGTTTATTTAATGATATTTCGATAAGATGAATGAATATCAAAATATTGGACAGAGTTCGACAAAAAACACATTGGAATATGTCTGGGCTCATTTTGGCTAGACCTTCAAGCTTGAAAATAGGATTTCTGGGGGAGGAAATCAAAAAAGTCTGAATTTTTTGGTTTGCCGATGCAGTCACTGAAGATGTTGTGGAAATTCGAGAAATATTAATTTTCAAACAGAAAGAAATTAGAATTTTGAAAATTTCAAATTCAGTAACTACAGTATTCTGAAAATTAAACATGATTTAAATTTTGAAAATCGATGACTTCTTGATTTTCAGAAAAATACTTTTCGAGGTAGATAAAAAAATAAATCTCTTTGAAAAAATACTGTTATCCAGGTAAATTTTAAAAAAAATTAAATTTCAAGATTTCATAGCCAAAAACATTTTCAGTTAAAGTCGCGCCCCAATTTTTCTGTCAGATCTCGCAAAAATCCTGAAATTCTGAGATTAGGTTGGATTCTCAATTTATCGCATTTTCCTAAAAGTTTCCAGAATCTAAATGTTTTTATCCACATTTTCCTTCTCTTTTTCTCTTCCTCTTTTCAACTATTTCTCTATCTTCTCTTTTTTTCTTTTCCCAACATTACATTTTCTTTTTCTCTCCCTCAATTCCATCGAATATTTCTTTGCTGCCAGCCACTCGCCTCTCACCACCGTCGATAGCTCAGTTGGTAGAGCGGAGGACTGTAGAGTCAGTGGGTATCCTTAGGTCGCTGGTTCGAATCCGGCTCGACGGAATGTTTTTTGCAATTTCTTTCTTTCTCTGTTTATTTTTTTACAATCACAGGTGAGAAGAAAGTTTTGGGTTGAAGAAGGAAGATTAATGAGAGGTTATTCTTAGTTCGCCGAATGGAAATGGACATGTGTGAAAAAGTGTATTAGAAAAATAGAGATTATTGATTTATGCACTTTTTCTCTCCTCTCTTTTTTTCCTCTACTCATTTCATTTTAAAATGCTCTTTTTTTTATTTATTTCGGTTGTTTGCATTTTTCAATTTTTTTCATTTCATTTTTTTTGAAATAGGTCTGTTTACAATAAGATAAGATTCAGTTCCATTGTTATCAAAAAAAATACTATTTGTTTCTTCCATTAATTTTTCAAACTCTATAGAATCTCGTTTTACTTTCGCATAAAAAGATAAGAGTTTATAAAAACACACCATTTTCGGCGAATTCGTTTTGGGTACTTTTGGACAACCCTCTTCTTTTTCTTCTTTTCGATTAAATTTTAATATTTTTTTTTGTGTTTTGTGATAAGACACTTGATTTCTTGAACACTGCTGACCAGGAAAGACACGTAAATACTTAAGTATATTTAAATTGGTGATGATATTATTTTATTTAAAAGTCAGTTGTGACGTACGGTTCCGATAACATTGATATTTTTCAAGAGAATTTGCGATAGTCAAAAATAGTATATTTCACAGTCGCCAGACCTCTTAATACACCTAAATACTTAAGTATTAAATCATATTGTTCTTATGTTTAAAAATAGTTTTTCTCTGGTTTCTCCCAATTTTTTCAACATAAAAAACTTTACCAAAATTGTTTTGTTCAGTTTCAGTTCCAGTTTTGTTTCTATTGTTTCTATGACAAAAAATTTGCATTTTTTCCATGTTTTGTGTGTGCCTTATCGATGAAGGTTTTTCTTTGTATGATGTGATCGTAGTACATTTGACACCTCAATGATCATATCAAAAAAAAGCTCGTAACACTTTTTTTCTGGGCTTTCCCCGAAAATTTTGAAGTTTTTTGTCAGAAGATATTTAGTTTCGTTTTCTCGAAATTTTTCGACTTTAAATTTATTTTTTTCTGAAAAATATTATAGTATATGAACCAATGATTCCGGAAATATTTTCCTTTTTTTTCGTTTCCGTCTTATCAATTTTTTCATAATTTTTTTGTTCCATCAAAATGATAATGAGACGAGCTACCGTAGGAAAGTTTTGACATTTTGCGCATTTTTGTTTCATACTACAAAAGATCAAAAGATCAGTCAATGTTTTGAAAAAAAAGTTTAAAATGAAAAAAAAAGAATGTTTTTTTTTTGAAATTGAAGTGTCTAGCTTCGATTTCAGATTTCTCATAGATTGAAAACGTGTCTATTTATAAATAAAGTATTTAACATTGGATTTTTGATCAAGAACTACGGTATTAATGTTTTTCCTTTGTAGATCAACACGATCAGAACATGCTTGGATAACTTTTTTCCGTTACAGCTATCATAGATCAGATGGCTTGAATAGGAAACAAGAGAAAATAACAAAACATAGTTTCATATCTCTAATTGTGAGTGCGTCGCAACGTGGCTTGCAAGAAAACTATTGTCTAGTCTTATGAATTGAACAATTGAGCAGCAAAAAGTTCATTGTTTGAACCCGAAAGTATCACAAGAGGTTAAAACAGTAGATAAAAAATTCCGCTGAGTTGGTCAGACTAGATTTTTTGATTTTGAGCCGCGTTACAAACCGCTGCGCTCATACATAAAATAGGTCCCCCGAGTCAGTTTTCAAAGTTAGGGTCCCTCCCTGAAAATTTTCCAAAGTTAAACACCTTCCTCACATTTTTGAGCGAATTTTGGACAAATCTGGGAATTTTAGTAAATTATCAGCAGAAAATTGGCCAAGTTAGGCACCCTTCCCTTCAGATTTTTGAAAAAAAGTTAAGCCCCTCACCCCGATTCTGGGGACCCATTTTATGTATGGCTGCGCTATATTCTCACAGTAGTTATGTTTATTCTCACTCGTTTCTGATTCATGATAGTGTCATTGATTTTAATAACATCAGAAACTAAAGATAATTATTTTCATCAACGTGTTCACGATGTGTGGTGTATCCTAAGTTATGAAATTTATATTATGAAAAATAATTTCAGTTAGTTGAATTTAAAAAATTACTCAATATTGAAATTTACAAAAATCAAGTATGTTTCAATTTGGATAGAAAATTGGGCTGATATAATCATTAGCTTCTGAAAATGTTATTTATCGTTACTGATTTGATCCAAAATTTGATATTATGAAATTTCGATTGATTTTCCTATTTTTCCAGACTCCAAAAAATAATAAACTGTGTGATTTTTTTCTTTCAAAAAATAGTTTTCCCATTTTTCGCAAGTCCCCAAGTTCAGGTTACTGTAAATATTTCGTTTCAAAGTACTAAAATACGCATAAAAAGACAGTTTTCTTCTCGAATCCGTATTTTTTTGCTGTTATCAGTTTCGATATGAATATGTCCAATTAATTGCATTTTATATTCAATAATAAGATTACTGTAGTTTTATTGATTATTATTATTTTTGCAGAATTCGAATTGAAACAAATAATTTTCACTAACATAATCGGATTGAAAAATCAAACAAGGAAGTTTCGGAAGAAAAAAAGAAGAGAGAATGTGGTTATGAAGGATGAATGAAAAACCAATTGAAAGTTCGCCATTGATGACAAGAAAAAAAGAGAAACAAAAACAAAAAAATATTGAAAATATGAATATGAAGATACAAAAATTGGAAGAAGATTTGGATGAAGATGATTATGATGATAATATTGGAGCGACTAATTTGATACAATTATTGGATATTACTAAAGCGTGAGTTTGAAAAACATTGGAAATCTAGGGATGCTGGAAGGGTCCAAAAACCTGTAAAAGTTATAAAATTCAGAATGTTCGGAACATTGATTTATTTATTTATTGAATCATATCACATTATATACATTGAAAAAAATACATCATAAAATCAAAATATTTTTAAGATGGCGAGAAATCTGAAATAAAGCAAACTTTTTAAAAAATAGCACAAATGTTCCTACAAAAATGCTTGTCTTAATGATCTTTAGTATAAACATTACTATCAATACGCAAACACACATCAAAATTAATTTCTGTTTGATCAAAAGATCAATATTTTCAGATTTCGACCATACCCATTATTTATAACATGTTCGATGGCTTTTTTATGGTCGCTTTGCGCACTTTCAGCAATTTCACCCGCATTTACAGCGCAAGTTACTGAAAATTCGGATTTTCTTACGATTCAACAAGATGTGAGTTGGGAAAAAAATGAGAAAAATATTAATAAGACAATTATTTTACAGTTCAATCTAACATCGAGTTATATAATTGATCCGGCTGAATTTACAACATCGGTTTATTTTGCGGGTAATTTATTGATTGGACAGTTTTTTGCCACACTTGCAGATCGGTTGGTTTTCAAATTTTCTTGACTAGAATCATAACTTTTCCACGTCATAAAATTTTTTCAGATACGGTAGACGTCCTGTAATTATTGCAGCACTTTTCATCTCAGGAATCGCTGGCTCTTTGGGCTCATTAGCTTCAAGTTTTCCCCTTTTGCTATTGGCCAGATTTTTACAAGGCTCCTGTTATACAGTAAGTTTCTCTCCCTATCAGAAACAATCAAATAAAACCAAAAATTCAGCCACTGACAACTGTCAATTATGTTTTATCAAATGAAAGTATTCCAAGTCGATCACAATCAGTTTCCTCCATATTTTTCGGTGTTTCATGGGTGCTCGGATATTGTTTTTTGGCGCCACTTTCGATTTGGTTTCCAACTTGGCGACTTCTTCAATTCGCAACTTCTATACCGTGTGTTGTTATTGGACTATTTTTTGTTATGTAAGAGGTTTTGGGATTCTGATTTCTCGAAAATCGCAATATATTTTTCAAAACATGTTTGGTAAAAATTTACAGTTTTTGAAAAATTTAGGATACAAAATGACCATTAAAAATAAAACACATTCTGAAAAATTCAAAATTATTTTTATTGAAGAAAAATTTTGAGCCAAAATTTAATCTCAGGTTCTTAATGCTGTTTTAAATAAAAAATTTTCACATGCTCAAAATAAGGGCCTCAAAATTTGTAGTAATTTTTAGAGCGGCCGGAAAACTAGCAATAACAAGTTCCTGAAAATTTCAATTTTAATAACATTTTTCAACTCCATTCTTTCCAGAACTTTGCCAGAAAGTATTGCTTATTCAGTTGAACGAAATCAAAGAAAATCAGTAGAAAGTTGGATCAAAAAAGTGAGTTCTTAACTAAATTTTACCAAATCTAATGAATTTCTCCCCTTTTCAGAATGAAACATTTTCTTGCCACAAAATCCCGGCTGATATCGATCAAATATTGGAAAAAGAGAAAAAGACAGGAGCATCGGAGAACTTGAAAATTCTTCAAATTTTTCGAATGATTCATAATGATACGGTGATTATTCGACGGGTTATTTTTGAGACAATTTTATGGATTATCACTTTTATGACGTATTGCGCATTGAGTTTGACGTCGACTACTGTAGGAGAATCAAAACCGATTGTTTCGTTTTTATTTTCGGGTATTGTTGAATTGCCTGCTTATTTGGTTATACCGATTACATTGAAATGGTGAGTTGAGAGAATTTTTTTGAATTTTCAGCAACTCAAATAATCTGAATCCATTTAGGTGCCGTCGTCGACCTGTTCGATTTCTATGCCATTCAATCGCCGCAATTTCCTTAGCCATCCTATTTTTCATTGTTCGCGGTTCCACATGGCATTTACCAGTTTGGCTTCTCGCCAAATTCTGTGCTGCTTGCTGCTATATTTTTTGCTTTATTTATGCCAACGAATTATTTCCAACCTATTGTAGATCATGTCTTATCGGTGTTTGTTCAACGTTTTGCAATTTTGGTGCAATATTGGCACCGCATGTTTCAAGTATGGTGAGTTTTGAGGAATTTTTTTGGAATTAATTTTTATAAGTTTTGAATATTAAATTTTTAAGCAAAATTATCACAAAAACTATTAAAATATGATTTTTCAAAGTTTCTGAACAACCCTAGGTTATTGATTTTTCCAGAAGAAAACATCACAATTTAATTTCAGGACCAATTTCTACCAAACTTATCGTTTTTGCTACTTTCTGTCACTGGTATCATTTCGGCTTTGTTAAGCCTTGCACAACCCGAGACCAAAGCATAATCATTTTCCCTCCATTTTTTATTGCAATTCACTTTTTCTTCCAAATCTCACGTGTAACTTTTCTATCAACCTGTGATAAACTAATAAAACTGACAATAAGTAATAAAGTTATTTTTTTCTTTTTTCAAATGTATTTTAATTCTCTAATTCTAATTTAAGCCAATCTCTTGACCTCAAAAAATGTGTTGTTAAAGTGTGTAAGGAAATCAGCAGCAGACCTTGAAAAACCCGTAGTACATATACATAATACATAAATTTCCGTTTTTGATTTATATCTCAATTCGCGGTATTTGTTTAGATCTCAAGCTTATCGCATAATTATTTTTTATTAAGCATATTATTAAATTCTTCGGGCTTTCAGATGAGGATGTTTGATTTCTATTCATAGAAGTTTAGCGCAAAAAATGTTTTTAAAAAAATAAAAGCGGTGTATTCTTCGCGGCGAGACCCATGTGTGTTTGTTGTTGCGCCTTCAAAATGTTACGGTATATACTTATTTTTTTTATTCTATTAATTTTCACGTTTTTAGTCGTTTTGAATCAATCTATGGATCTCGTCGCGAAAAAAAACTGTGGAAAATATTTTTTTCATGGATTTCATCTCAAAATTTCCATTTCAAATGAATTTTTTGATTTTTATCAATGCTTATTCATAATTTATTTGACATTCATTTATCCTATCAAAATTTATTTATTCGATTCCCAAAAAAACCGCCTCTCACTTCACTTCCAAATATATCCTTTAATTGAAAAAGGAAAAAATTTCACCTTTTGTTCTTTTTTAAACAGAAACAGATATCAAATTTCTTCTTCTTTTTCAAAATTTAACAAAATTTTGAATATTATTTACTTTTTGTCTTTTCTTTGTTCAGAACATGAAAAGATACCCTTTCATAATAAACATTTTTTTTTGTTTTTATTCTCATAGTTTTTTTGAGCCAAAATTCACACAAAAAAATGTTATGCATAGAATTTCGGGGTCACATTTTATTATTGTACATCAGTTTGATTTTATTGCCGTCTTTCTTTTTCGAAGAAAAAACGGTTCGAGGTTTTTATAGAAAAGAAAAACCAGGTTATTCAGTTGGAAAACTGAAATCACATATAACTTTTATTTGAAAATCAGTTTTCTTTTTTTGAATAACAGAACATTTTCGAAAAATAACGAAACTCCGCCTTTTTACGCAGTGTTTTAGTAGCAAGTACGAAAATTTCAGGATTTGCCTAAAAAGCAGCCTAAGCCTGGTTAAGCCTACATCTAAAATTTCAAATAAGTCTGATTTTTTGAAGGAGCCCAGGATTTTGGGTAAGGCTAGAATTTTGGCCAAGCCTAACCTTTCAGTTAAGCCTTTAAAAAAGTTGGTTGTGATTTTTTTAGCACCAACTTTTTTTTCGCAAACATTTTTTGATAAGAAAGTTATCAATAAACTTCGATTTTTTGTTGTTTCAAATTTTGGAATGTGTGTAAATATTTTTCATTATTCATCTGAATTTCATTAAATTGTTATTGCATTTTCCGATTCAAAATTTGCGACCTCCAAACACCTTTTTATAATTAATGATTTGTTATGATAATACATAATAAGGGATTTTGTTATTGTTTTTCGTTTTTTTTTCGATTGAAAAAAGATGAAAGAAATGAAGAAAGTATTTATTATTTTAAAAGAAAAGAATTACGATTGAAAAAAATAAAATGAAATAATTTCCGTATTTTTGGCGCGCGGCTTCATTGAAACAACTTTCTCAAGTTTTTTCTCAAATGATCAAGTGAGGCTTTTATTTTCATTCATTTTGAAAACTGGTTGACTTTACTCAATTTTCTAAAAACCTAAGATTTCGGCCCAACTTTTTGTTTAGCGCAAAATTTCAATTTTGTAAAGAAATTATAGGTGAATTTCTGAAAATTTTGATGTTTCGGAGCCACGTGGATTTCTGGAGCCAGAATTAAATCTTTAAAAATCTACCACGTGGATTTTTTGCCTAGAAAATTTGATTTTCTTTTTTTTTTGCCCTTCAATGACCAAAACTTTGATAATGCATTTTTTTCCGAAAACCTAAAAAAACTAGATCCATTAGACGTTTTTCTCGAAAATTAAAAAGTTTTTTTTCATGTTATTTTTCTTCAAAAAAAAACGGCATAGTTAAGTATTTAGAAATGAAGGTCGCTTTTTTTCTAAATAATTTTTTATTTCAAAAAAGACTAGTCTTACTAGAAATTGATTATCGATGCTGCTGTGCTCACTTAAAAACATGTAAACATATCGTTTACTCCGAAAATAGTGTGGAAATTTGGGAGATTTAGAGAAAAAACAAATAAATAATTGAGATTTTTTGACTAGAAACCACGTTGTTTGCATTCGAGAGAACTTCGAGGAAATTTGAGTTTCTGCAATTTTTTTTGCTATTTTTGGATAAGAAGTGTGATATTTTTTGAAAATTCAATTTCGGAGGCGTAAAATTCACGTGGATTTTTTTCTAATTTTTTGAGCAAAATTTTTAGCCGCAAATTTATTATTAAAAAATCTACCAAAATATCTGTTGATTCCATATGAATACAAAGTACTTTATATCCATTTCCGAACATGTTTTTTTGCCAACTGTTTCACTTTTATTTCGTCGTTCAGTTCGTTTTTATGAACAAAAAGCGGATAATCGGTTGGGATTGGAATATTTGTTGGCACAGCCATTGACGATTCCTTTTTTGTTTTTGCCAACACAGTTTCTCATTCTTCTTTGTTTACGTCGCAGAAATTTTGGTTATCTAAATATCTTTTTTTATTTAGGGATTTTGTTGTTTCCATGGAGACTTTTGAAATTAGAAATTAGAATCAAGGATTTAATTTTAGAAAGAAAGAAAGAGGTCACGTTTAAATTAATTAATTATTTTTTTAAATATTTTGTTAGAAAATTTTTCCAAGTGGATTTTCAGCGCTAACAAAAATCTCTCAATTTTTATCCCAAAAAGTACGATTTGGTTGTATTATTGGAAAGAAAAAGCACTCAAGTAAGTAGAATCAACACTTAACAATAATATTTCATATTTTATTTATTTTCGTTTTTGCCTGCCTATTTATGACCAAATAATAATAATAATAGACTTTTTGAGAACAAATTGTTACTTTTTTGCTTTTCATATTTTTTTTCAGACAAAAATTTAAAATTTTCAAATTTCAGGAAACGGAATGGATTATGATTGTGATACTTTACAATCGGCGAAGAAAAATCGAGCTGCAAGTCAACAATTTTATCAATATTTGATGACGGTTAGTGGAATTGGGGTTTTGGAATTAGAATTCTGAGAAGTCTAAACTTCAGGAGCAAAAATATTCCAGAGACAGCCAAAAATTAGTCTTAAAAACCAGCTTTTAAGTCTAGAATCAGCTATTCTTCCTGAAAAATTTCATCGAAGTCCAGAAGTGTTTTTTCTTCTGAAACCGCAATTTTTCCAACAAAAAAAACGTTCTCGTTTCCTGATTCTTTGACCTCAAAAATTGTTTGCCCCGAAAATAATTAGTTTTATACAAGTTGCAACAATACAAGGTCGTCTATATTCCAAGAAAACCAAAAAAGTTTTTTTTTCGCTCACGTTCTCATCTAAATTTAAAAACCTTCCAAAAGTCCCTGCGTGGCTCAGTGGTAGTGGCTTTTGCTGCGGCTCACAAGGCTCCAGATCAATTTTTGGGTCCGGCAAGATTTTTTATTTTTTTCAAAAACATTTCTGAAACTGCAGTTTTAGAAATATTATTTATTTATCCTCAAAAAGCTGCCCACTAATTGTTTCCTAAATATATATTTCCCACCAAAAAGCACCCCAATCAACAACAATAAATTCCTTTTTCATCTGTGTCTCTTTTATACCTTCGCGCACACCTGGTTCTTCTTTTTCTCCTTTCTTTCATAATATGTACAAATATATGCATATATCTCTGCGTCTCCTATTTTTCGCATACTATTTCATTTGGTGACACCCGGCGCGGTGACCACACTTCGATTATTGTTGTTAGTCATTTTGGGTGTACATTTTTGTCTCTGTGAGTGTATACTTTTTGAAACAAATGAATCGTTTCAACTCCGGGTTTTTCGGATTTCATCTCTGTTTTTTTTTAAAGAATTTCCTAGCTTCTATATGAGACAAGAATTAGGTGGAGTTTTAGGGCCAACAATTTCCGAAAACATTTCGATTTTTGAAATGATGTAATCTGGATTTTTTGCTCTTCCGGGTTTTCGGATTTCATTTGATTTGTTTTTTAAAGAAATTTTCTAGCTTTTCTTAATGTGATTTAAAAAATCAGGTTTTTTGATTTGAAAAAAAAAAATTCCGACAAATATTCTTAGTGTATTCTAGGCACCAAATTTTGAATTTTAAACATGAAGACACGTCGATTTTTGGCGCAAAAATAAAACTTCAAATTAAAAATTCCACGTGGATCTTTGGCGCAAAAATAAAACTTCAAATTAAAAATTCCACGTGGATCTTTGGCTCCAAATTTGAATTTTGAAATGTTTCCAAAAGTTCAATCAAGGAATTTTTTAATTTTCAAAAATTATTATTTTCATTTTCATTTTCCGACAAAACATTTTTTCATGACTCATCCCAAAATTCCTCTCTTTTTCTCTTCTTATCAATTTTTGTTGATCATTTTTTTCAAAAATAAAAAATAATAATTTGCAACTACTTTTTTGCAGCCAAAAATCTCTATGAATCCACCGGCCAAGGTAAGTTTTAACAACAAAAAGAGAAATAATGACCTTAGATGTTATCTTATCGATTTTCTTGCGAGAAAAACAATATATGTCCAAATATGTTGTTTTTATCGATTTTTGGGGTTGATTCCTTTTTCCAAGAAAAAATATACATATATTTTTCCCAATAATTTTCGCATTTAAATGTTTTTTTTTCAACAAAACATTCTGCGCGAAACATTTTTGTGTCTATTATTTGTATTTATTTTGAATGACTCATGTTAAATAGAAGACATTTTTGAATTGATTCATTTCTCCATTTTTAGATTTATGGAAATATTTTCGAAATGTTGTGAAATGTTTCAGACAAATATTTTCCGAGAATTTCGAATTCAAACTTTTTGGGCTAGGATTTTATGATAAAAAATCAAAAATCAGTTAATTTTTGGGGCCAATTCTAATTTCAAATTTGCAAGTTAAGATATTTTCGGTATAAAAAGGGCCCTTCAAAAATACTCAGATTCAAATTATTTTTTAAAGGTCCGCTTATCCGATATTCCAATTCAGGACCTGTTCAAAAATTCTCTAATTTTCACAAAAAGTTCAAAATATCATCCCATTCGTTTTTTCTCTCTCCTGTTACTCATCCTATATTATTATTATTATTATTATTTGTGTTCATTTATTCATTTCCTTCTTTTTTTCCGATTCTCAAATACCGGATCGTTTCCTTCTTTCTCCAGCTTCTGCTTCTTTTTTTTTTCATTCGCTTTGACGCGCGAGAAAAAAGCACACAAACAAATATACAACAAACACGCTTTTGATCAACTCTCATAGCAGAAGCACAAGACGAGAAACAAGAGTGTTTCCGGACAATTTTTTTCGAGTTCGAGTGATTGATTTTGTTACTTTTTCTTTTTTTGTTATTTTTGAAATTTGTTTCGGATTTTTTCTTGAAGATGGAATTTCAATTGTTACTTTAAAATTCAAAAATTAAATTCTGCGCGAAATTCCGGAATTTTCAGAAACATTAGATGTAGAAGTATTTTCAGTTATAAAGCTCTCAAAATTCCAACTCTAAAATTCTGTGCAAAACTTCTGATTTTTTCCTGAAAACTGGGCTCATTTCGTTTTTTAAAATTATTTTTAGGGGCCCTAAAGGTTTTGTGGCTTCTATCTTTTGTAGATCAAAGTTTTTGATGCACCAAATTATAAAATTAAACTTCAAAAAATATTGATCATCAAAAAATTCTACACCCAACCGTTTTTTTCCAACCAGTTTATCTAGCATTACAAAAAAAACGATTTATTATTTATTTAAATATAAAATTATTAAATGCGCGAAATATGCTCCGCCCATTTATGACTCATTCATATTTAATAAAACTAGAAAAATTGATCGATTTTTCTCTGAATTCCTCTTTAGCCCTAAATAATACAAAGAACCTTTTTTGTGAAGAAAACAAGATGGTGTCTCCTGATTTTCAACACTATTTCCATGTTTCACCCCCGATTTTAATTACCATTCGGATCGTTACCGACACCTGCTGCCTTTTTCCTTTTTCCTTTTTTCTCCTTTTCTTTCTTTACATTTTTCACATTTTTTCATAAGGTCATTTCATTTTAAACAAAGCAAATACAATGAAAAATAAATGCTAATCTACAATTTTTAGAAGAAAAAAAAATATTTTTTCAGCCAACTCGAACTTTTCTTCCTCACGATCACAGTCAAATGCTTCATCGAAGTCCTTCGGGTGCAAAACGAAAAATTCGGCAGAAACGAGAGGAAGCGTGAGTTTTGGGGGAGTTTGGGAATTTTTGGACAAAAACTTTTTTGGTCCAAAGTTTTTAAGGGATACTTCAAAATTCGAAATTATTTTTGAAAAGGTTCAAATAAATTTAAATTTGATTTTCAAGTTGAAATTGAAGATACCTTAATTTTGAGGGAAAAAGTTTAAAATAGACCACCCAAAATGTTTCCAGAAATATTTGGTCCAAAATATTTCAAGCCTGAAAATTTGAACTATTTTGATTCAAAAGAATTGAGGATCTTCAGATCACACATAAAATTTTTATATCTGAAAATGATTCAGGTTTTGATTCTCGAGTTTAAGTTGGCAATTTTTCCACTATCTAGATTTGATCTCCCTAAAAATCTAACGAAAAAAAAAACATTCCCAACTTTTTTTCCGAATATCCAATTAATATCACCAGATGCGCAACACATCTGCATATTTTCCACATATTTTTTTCTTTTCACAAAAAATGAGTCACTCGCAGATGTTCCCCCACAAAAACTATCCCATCATTTTAGCGCATCTCGTCCATCTCCATTTCTCTCACCATCCTCATCTTCTTCCACAAATACCACCAATTCTTCGCCAACACCAACCGAAACTTCGTCGAATTATCGAAGTTTGATCGATTCCGGTGATTATCAATCGATTATGCCGGATTTTGTGCCTGAAGTTGCTCCACCAGTTCCAACGCCAAGGTAAGATTACAGGGCTGCAGGATTTTGGAATGAAGCTTACAATTAGACCTCCCCGTAAAAGCGAAATTCAAAAAATTCAAATTTTAGGTCACTTTCATTTTTATCAATCGAAAGTCTTGTTTTACGGAGATACTCATCTTTTTCTTCTTTATTTTTATCTGAAAATTGATCCACTTGAAATATATTATAATTAATTACTAATTAATCAATTTAGAAAAATATTTCGTGATCCAGTTTTTTTTCTCTTCACAATTGCATATTATTAGGTACAATTTTCGTTCAATTCTCAAGTATGCAAAAAAAAATCGGGAGTTAATTAGAGACTAGAATAAAAGCTAGAGAAATTTTAGAAATGGGAAAAGTTTTTGTAAAAATCCACGTGGCAAAGTATTTGGCTCAACTGGTAGAACGCTTATTTTCTAAGTTCAAGTCAAGAGTTCGATCCCCACGCGGACAACTTTTTTTTAAATCGAAAAATCTTCATTCTATTTAAAATTCCTCTGCTTTCTCCAACAAAAAAAATGACACAATAATTTCCGTCTCCCAATTACGAAATAAAAATAACAAAAATATTTGAAATTCCTTTCCATTTTCACCTAAATATTTTCATTTCTCACACCCATTTTTAGCGGCGTCGCGCGGCTTTTATTAACAACATTTATTTCTCCTCTTATCTTTTTATGCCAAATATCATCTTTCCTTCTTTCTCATTTCATTTCAATTCAATCCATCTCCAACAATTTTTCCTTTTTTTACGTTTTTTCTCGAAAAAGGCTAAATATTTACATTAGTATACGATTGATAAGCAAATAAAGTTTTAGTTTTTTTTGAAAATTTTTAATTCATATTTTTTTTGCAGACTGTCTGTCCCATTTTCAAACTCAATGAGCTCTTTGGAGCTTTCGACTTCTACAACAAATTCATCTTCATTATTCTCGTCGTCTTTGTTGATTCAACAAAATATGAAACCAACTGTTGAGGTGACTGAAAAATTAGAAAAAAATTATCAAAAGAATTTTGGACTTTTTTTTTCGAAAAACATGATGACTTTCTTATCATGAATTCCCAAATTAATCCTCTTAAACCTTAGAAATATAATTTGAAATTTGAAATATGAAATCATTCATAATTTTTTTGTAGTTCAACAATTCGGGGCTGAATTTTTAGATCTTAGAACTTTTCATAAAAAAAGAAAGAAAAAAATTACAGAAATTCTTTTCGAAAAAATAATTGAAAAAGTTGAAAAACACAAATTATCAAGTTTATAATAAAAATTTAAAAAAAAATGAATTAAAAACATTTTCCTGATCCATCCAAATTCCCAATTTCCAGGTGCACCCAATGCCAGTCGACGAGCGTTCGTCAATCTCTGGATCTAGTCTAAGCGGAAGTATCGATCTCGACATTTACAAACCAAAACCACCAGTTCCAGTCAAACCAAAAGGATTATTGATTGATCATTTGAACAGGTACGCCCCATATTTTTTTTGTTGCTTATCAAAAATTCACTTTATTTGCTATTTGCTCTCATTTTTTGTAAAAATACAACGAGGAGCGAGAAATTCTGAATCATTCGATTTTATTTCGTATTGTTTTTTGCTACATTTCAATGTAGAAATAATGTGGTTATTATTTTTAATTTAGAAAAAGAAAAAAGTGTAAAGTTTTGAAGGTCACATTGTCTAGTTTTCAAGGAAGAAGAAGCGTTTTCAACAAAAAATTTCGAAATTCATCTCAAGTTTTCTTTTTTTCATTTCGTCTAACATTTTTTCCTAAATCTTTTGTTTTGCAGATCAACTTCAATGACTTCTCTCACTTCACCAGTTCAACACACAACTTCAGCATTTTTGAGCAATTTCATGCCAACTCCATCGCTCATAAATCTTCAGCAAGGATATAGAAATCCCGATTTGGGAAGTCAGGATTTGGCAAAACTCGAGAACACAAGACATGAGGTGTGTAATTTTAACTTTTAAAAAAATTTTGTCAAGAGTTTAGCGCCAACAATTTTTTTTCTAAATTCTAGAAATCAGGAAATTTTTATTTGAAAAATTTCGAAATTCAAAGATTCAAAAACAGTGTGAACACGGTCATGTGAATTTTTTCACTTCGAAAATCCAGAATTCCAAAATTTAAAATAAATTGCATCGAAAAAAAACGCCACGTGGCTTTTTTGTTTGAAAGTTGAAAATTCTAACATGAATAATTTTATCGATTTTTTTGCAGAGCATTCAAAAAGTGAGCCGAAAACTAAGCACATACGAGGAAGAAAAAAGTCAAATCGAAAACGAGTTGGACGAAATCGAGCGAACCGGATCGCGTCTTCTCGCAATCGTCGAACATCACAACAAAAATCTGGCTGCAAAAATTCGTCGATGCTTGGAAAATAGTCGAGAATTGATTGCGATTGAGACGAATTTGCGATTGCAAATGAGCAAATTGGATGATCGAGCAAAAGATGGAGCAATCGATAAATCGGCTGCACATTTTGAAGAATCGAGATTGAGGAGACGATTTCAGGAGACGGACTTGTTGAGAAAAATTTATATGAGAAGAGAGAAGGAATATGAAAAGGAATTGGTGAGTTGGCAAAAGCCACGTGGCTCTTTGGTAGATTTTTGGAAAAAATCTAAAAGTTCACATTTTGAATGTCAATTTTTTTCTTTTTCAAACTTTTTCATTAAAATTTTTCTTTAAAAAACTTCCAATTTTTCTTTTAAAAAAATCAATAATCCAAAATATTCATATATTTTTCAGTCAAATCTTTTCAACGATGACGAATATCGTCGTTGGTGTCTCTTCAAAGATGCCTCAACTCGACTTCTCAAAGACGACACATCAGTCGATTATTGTATTCGAGAATCTCGAATGAAACTCGACGCTCTTCATCTCGCCCCCAGAACTACTGCATAATTTCATGACTTCTTTTCTTCTTCTTCAAAATTCAATTTTTTGAACGGGTTTCTTTCTGATCGAAAGTATGAAAACCTTCATTTCTTCGGACCAATGTACATACTTTTTATTGTGATTGTGATTTCATTTTTTGATTCATATAAATTTTTATTTCTCATTATTTTCTGGATGAGTTTCTTTTAAAATTTATTAGAATGTGGAAAGAAATTTTAGAGCTGAAAAACTTGGAAAAACCACAAAAATTTTGTGCAAACGAGACTACGCAATGACGCGCGGATTTTCAGAAAATTCAAACCTTTGGGCCATAGAACACAATTTTTCATATAATTATTTATTTCTCATTACTTTCTGGATTCATTTGTTCCATGATTGATTCGACGCGTTCTTCAAGAATTGGAATCACATCTTTTTCGATGAACAAATGCGTTTCGTCGAGTTCCTGGAATGATTGGAATTTTTTTTGATATTGATAACATGACAGCTTCTGTATTTGTTTCTTCTTATCAATTCGAATAATTTTGATGAAAAATGAAAAAAAATGATGGGAGAATGAGGAAAAATGAATACGGGATACAGTAGTTTTGAATAGAAAACGTTTAATTTTTTTTTAATTTTTCGAAATTTTCGGTAAAATAATTTTTAAAACTGCATTTTTCCTCAATTTTTCAAATAAAAATTCAAATTTCACTAACCCTAACAATAAACTTCGATCCCAATTGTCTCGATTCATCCATATGAATCAACAATTGTCTGAAAGCCGGATCACTTGTCAAAATCACTCCTTTTTTGACATTAACCATCTGAAAATACGATTTAAATTGAGATTTTTCAAAAACAAAAATCAAAAAGATATTGAAAGCGAACAAAACGCTTCCTTCGAAATTCGAAAAGCGAAAACTGAAAAATAAAATAATTTACTATATGATGAAGCTATTCACAGAAATACAAATACAAATAAATTATGCAATTTTAAGTTAAAAATCATCCATTCCGAGTCCAAAAACATCGAGTTCTTCGAGTTTTTCATCGATTCGATCGCGTAAAAGATTTTTGGCATTTGTTATCAAAAGTTGAGCTTGAGCTCGTCGAATAACACCAAGAGCTTGTTGAATTTCAAGAACACTGGCACGAGCAACCTGCAAACATTATATAGTTAAACGATGCTCCGGGTTTACACACAAAAGTTGATAAAAAAGTATAATTTGAGGAAAGTAATCAATAAATGCTTAGCATATGAAATAACATCAATTTCAGATTGAAACCATCAATTTTGGCTCGAAAAAGATGGAAAGTTTTCCAGTTTCACAAATTTTTTACCGAAAAAAATTGTCAGAAATGTTAATTTTTACACAAAAATCAAGAATTTACAACGATGCTCCCCATTGACGGCAGGGTGAAATTTTCAAACTCAGAAAGAGAATCTGTTAAAAATCTGTGAAAAAACCAACTTTAGCAACAGTTCTCAACCCAGCTTTATATAACAAAGAAGCTCTTGCTTTTTTGACTCCATCAATAGCCATCAAAGGTATCAATTCAGGTTGTGCAGCTTCGGATAACCTCTGAACCAATTCAGGTAGCAATTGTCGAAGTGGCCAAAGATTATTGATTTTCTCCGAGAATTTTGCAATTGATGCAGCTTGTGCAATTGCAGATTGTAATGTTGCTTGCAGCCATCCTTTTTCGACACCAAATCTTTCCGCAATTTCAAACATAGGTTGTTGATTCCAGATTTTTTGCAGCATTAATGCGATATAAAGTCGCATTCGTGGACTTCCAGCTTTTTGTTCGAGTCTTTTGATATTTGCTTCTAATATAAAACGTTCTTTCAATCCACATTGACCCAACAAATTCTTTTCGCTTTGAGGAAGTGCGTTATACTGAAAATGTTCAATTTTTTTTGAAATTAAATTAAAAAGTTAACTATTTGATCCCATAATAATTTACAGTTTTCTCGAACAAAACTCATTATGAATTCATAGTTATGCACTTTTTGGAAGGAAATTGAAAATTTTGAGAAAAAATTCTTTTACAACGATGCTCCGCATTGACGGAAGAGGAAAAGTTTGAAGATTCAAATTTTTTAATTTAAGAAAGCTGGAAATCGGAATTTATCTTGAATTTGGCCAAAATAAGTTCATAGAATATTTTGAACAAAACCTCAAGATCGTAACCTTTCAAAAAAAAATCCCCAAAAACTAACCAATTCCAAAAAAAGATCCCAATTAATACAACATGCTTGTTCATATGGAGTTATAATAAAAAGTAGATGAAAATGTGATGAAAATATAACACCCTGATTCAAAGATGATATCAAATCAGTGTGCACTTGAGTCGCTTCTTCTGGTCCAAATCCCGCATTAAATACAGCTTTTCCAAGATCTGATGGTGTTATAATATTCTCATCGTCAATTGTCACAAATTGATCGCGTTTTAATCGTTCAATCGAATTTCCAATCACCTCTTTCAATTTCTCTTCAGTTTCTTGCGAACCAATCAATGAATATCTCATTGCAGCCATAAGTTCATCAAAAGTCACAGCAATTTTCAAACTAACAAGATCTAATAAAAACGAACTCATAGTTTCTTCACTCGCTAATCCACTACAACATTTCGGAATTTCGGTTTGCAACATTTTCCTGAACCATCTTTCCTCTTCACCTTTTCTCACAATTGTTATACAATCTCCTTTTGTATCAAAACCAGCTCTTCCAGCTCGACCAGCCATTTGAAGATATTGCGCTTTTCCCAATTTCTCTCTTCCAACCATTGGTGCTTTTATAATAACTCTTCTAACAGGTAAATTAACTCCAGCTGCTAAAGTCGAAGTTGCGCAAACTACATAAATCAATCCTTCCATAAATGCAGCTTCTACACATTTTCTTTCATCTTGTGTTAAACCGGAATGATGATATGCAACACCAGAAAGAAGGCATTGTTTCAGGTTTTGATCCATCTGAAAAATCAGCTAGAAATCTTTTAATTCGAAAAAAATGCACAAACTTTTTCGTCTTCATCATTTGCAAGAGATGATTGTAAAAACGCGTCCATTTGTTGTCTTTTCGCTTGTCGAATATTGCTGAAAATTGTGATTTGTTACAAAAATCTAGAAAAAAAATTCCGAGAAACTTACGATGGCAATGATCTTGCTATAAGCATCGCAACATTTTCACAATTTTTCTTGTTCGGACAAAAAACCACTGCTGAACTTGATGGGATGACTTTTTCGAGCAATAAACACACGCCATCTGGATCCGTCTTGATTCTCTGGAAAAAAGACAATTTTGGTGATTTTCTCAGGGATTTTTTGGAGTTCTGCAAGATTTTTCTAGAAAAATCAAATTTTACAGGAATTTCTAGAGATTTGTGTTTGCTCGATCTCAATTTTTCAAACATAAAAACTATACAGAAATTGAATTGTTCGAAATTTGAAAGAAAAATTACACTTTATTTCTAAATAATTTTAGATTTCAAAAAAAAACGAACCGGTGGTGGTAAATCTCCGGCAACTTTCAAACTTCCATCCTTCTCAACACAATACATTGTTCTCTCAATTTTCACAAATTCCGAAAGAGCAACCGGTCGAAAATCAGTTTTATAAATAAACGCTCTCATCGCAACTTGCAAATCATCCAAATTCGGAAGAGTCGCCGACATTCCAACAATTTGCCCTCTTCCTTTGTATAAAAATTTGGCCAATAATTGTTCCATGATTGCTCCTCGATTTCCATCTCCAATCATATGCAATTCATCAACAACAACTAATCCAATATTATCCAATTTGTCTAAATCTATCAATGAATTTATCAACATATTCGCCTGAAATTAATAATTTTTGGATGAAACTTAATGGAAAGCACGCTAACTTTTTCAATAGTTGCCACATAAATCGATTGTTTTTTGCGGCGATTTATTGGTGGAAATCGGCCTTTATTCGATGCATATTCTTCAATATTTATACCAAAAGCTTCTTCGAATGGGGCCAAAGATGACATCTGAAAATGAGAATTTTTTGGGCTAAGAAATTGGAGCATTTTTTGAAAATTCAGAACTTTTCGAAGAAAAAGGCCCAATTCTTTTCCCGTAGTCCGATTGTGGTTTAAAAGACATTATTTGTAAAAACGTAAACTTTACAACAGAGGCCCGGACAAAAAAAGTCATGATCTCAGAATCGGCCCAATTTTTTTTCTTAGTAAGCCCCATGGGTGGGGAACTTTTTCCACCAAGTTAGAGATCATGATATCGTTTCGCCAATTTGGTGGGACCGGGTGAAGGGGAAAATTGTTTTTCGAAAAAAATTCGTAAGTCGGTTTAACGTTCATATTTTTCGATGATTAAAAAAGCATTTTTCTCGTCTTTTGACGCTCTTTGCGATGGAAAAGAGCACGAATTTCGATACTCTATCCTAAAAAAAATTTTTTTTTCGCCATAATACAACATTGCTTGGGAGTCATTTCCGCTCTTTCTAACCGCTTCCAAAATGTTCCTCGTGCTTTTTTACCCATATTTAGCTACTTTCAAAAAAAATCGCCGGCACCTATCAACCTCGGAAAATCACCTAAAAGGGCGCGACTCAAGCGCGCGCGCTCATATAACACACATATGTGCGTGTGTGTGTGTTTGTGTGCATTGAAGGATTACTGTAGGTGGGAGAAAAAGTTTAAAAAAACGACTTTCTCGTGGAAACGATGAAAATTACAATGAATAGTTCCCAAAATGAAGTACCCCAAAGGCATTTTACATGCAAAAATTTTCTTTTCGGACTTTCAAGGGGTTGGACTTTTTTTTGATATTTTTTAGCTCTGAACTTTGAAAAATCGTATTTCCACTTACAGTGGACAAAAAATTTCGAAGAAAAAAGCATAATGGATCTCAAGTATCGCTCTATTGACTGAAAATAAGAGTTGTTAAAAAATAATTTTTTCGACCTAGAAAACTTGAAAATTTCAGAATAAACAAAAACATTTTTGAAATAGTTTTTACAAGGGAACCTTTTTTACTCACACGTCGACCCAACTGCTGCAAAGGGTGTACGGTTTTTCGGTTTTTCCACGAAGTGCTACGACAATAAACATGGACTAGAATTAATGAAACTCCTTATTTCCACAGATTTGAACACACTGATCACGAATATGTAATCAGTTTTCAAAATGGTTCAGTAGTTTTTTTGCATTTTGATGCATTCTGTCTCACACCCATTGCAGCTGTTTGTTCTTTAGTGGGTCGACGTGCTCAACACTCCAAATCTTGATGAAATTTCGTCCATAGACAGCTTTTCGGGTCATAAGAACACCCTAAAAATTTTAGTCTCCCAATGGACCTCTGAGCCAAGTTCTGGGCTCTCAAAAGTTCGAAAATTGCTGAAAATTGCTCATAAAAGTCATCATAGCTCCATTTCAAAATAATTTGTGGGAGAAATAAAATTTCAGATAATGATCAGCATAGTCGATTTACTAAAAGTACAACAATAAAACTTTTTTTCGAAAAATTTTGAATTTTTTTATTTTTCGGCTCATTCTTTTTTCATAAATGAATTTTTCTTGAAAATTTGATTTATTGATGGTTTTTGGGTAAATCGACCACGCTGATCATCATCTGCTACTCAGTTTTTCATAAAAATGATCGAGAATTGAGTTATGATGTATTTTATGAGCCAATTTTGGCAATTTTTGAACTTTTGAGAGCCCAGAACTTGGTTCAGAGGTCCATTGGGAGACAAAATTTTTAGGGTGTTCTTATGACACCAAAAGCTGTCAATGGACAGAATTTCATCAAGATTTGAAGTGTTGAGCAAAAAAGGTTTCCTTGTTTGAGGAAGTATCAAGTGTTCTAGTGCCAATTTTCAAACTCTGCGTTTGAAGTTACGTACAATAGCATGTTAAAATTGATAGGTGTCCGGTCCCCGGTGGTACTGGAAATTGATTTTATGTTTTTCTCGGAAATTTTTGAAAATGTCCCCCTATTTGCGCCAGAAAAGCCGCTATGACCAGCAACCGTGCCTGGAGAACCACTTTAACTTGGTACGGCGCCTTGCGAGTTTTTATATCACGTCGTTGCGCTTTCAGAGACCACCAGGCAAGGTACGGCACTTAAGCAAAGAATTCGATCAAGAATCCACGTCTTGATAGCCACTATTGCTAATTACTGCTCCTAGTGAGCAACTTTCACTAGGATCACGCCTAGAACGCCTAGAAACACGCCTAGAAAGTAAGACTGACAAGGATCTACGTCTAGAGAGCAGCTCTGGGAAGGATTTACGCCTAGAAAACATCACTGACAAGGATCTATGTCTAGAAAGCAAGTCTGACAAAGATTCGCGTCTAGAAAACCATTATTATAAGAGTCAACGCCTAGACAATTGATCTGGCAAGGAGCCGCGCCTAAGAGAGCTATCCATGATTTTTTCTAAGCGGGACTCCTTGCCAGAATGAACTTCTAGGCGCGGAACTTTGTCAGAATAGCTTTCTAGGCGTTGTTCCTTGTCAGTATTTCTTTCTAGGCGTGAATCCTTGCCAGAGCTGCTCTCTAAGCCTGAAGATTTGCCGGAATGATTTTCTAGGCGCAGTACCTATCTATGATGATTTTCTGAGTAGTTCTAACACACTACTGTACGTAACTTTAAACGTAGAGTTCGAAAATTGGCACTAGAACACTTGATACTTTCAACAACTCTTATTTTCAGTCAATAGAGCGATATTTAAGATCCATTATGCCTTTTTCTTCGACTTTTTTTGTCCACTGTAAGTGGAAATACGATTTTTCAAAGTTCAGAGCTAAAAAATATCAAAAAAAAAAAAGTCCAACCCCTTGAAAGTCCGAAAAGAAAATTTTTGCATGTAAAATGCCTTTGGGGTACTTCATTTTGGGAACTATTCATTGTAATTTTCATCGTTTCCACGAGAAAGTCGTTTTTTTAAACTTTTTCTCCCACCTACAGTAATCCTTCAATGCACACAAACACACACACACGCACATATGTGTGTTATATGAGCGCGCGCGCTTGAGTCGCGCCCTTTTAGGTGATTTTCCGAGGTTGATAGGTGCCGGCGATTTTTTTTTGAAAGTAGCTAAATATGGGTGAAAAAGCACGAGGAACATTTTGGAAGCGGTTAGAAAGAGCGGAAATGACTCCCAAGCAATGTTGTATTATGACGAAAAAAATTTTTTTTTTAGGATAGAGTATCGAAATTCGTGCTCTTTTCCATCGCAAAGAGCGTCAAAAGACGAGAAAAATGCTTTTTTAATCATCGAAAAATATGAACGTTAAACCGACTTACGAATTTTTTTCGAAAAACAATTTTCCCCTTCACCCGGTCCCACCAAATTGGCGAAACGATATCATGATCTCTAACCTGGTGGAAAAAGTTCCCCACCCATGGGGCTTACTAAGAAAAAAATTGGGCCGATTCTGAGATCATGACTTTTTCGTTGTCCGGTGGGTTTTGCAGTTTTACAAAGAGTGTCTTTTAAACTAATTAGGTGTCAAAAAAGCCCACCTTCTCCTGAACAATTGCAACATATGGCAAAACCAAAATAGCATTCCGTTTTCTAACAATCGCTTCTCGTAACATCAAAATCTCAGCAATCAAAGTTTTGCCGGCTCCAGTTGGCAATGATAAAATACAATTTTGACCATCTAACAATCTTTTATCGGATAAACATTCAACTTGCCAATCATAGAAATTCTTCAGATTTTTGATACTTTTATATGTTTGCATATCAGAATCGGGAAGACATTTCGATGGATCCAATTCATTTGTTTTCACATTATTCGAACTCGATTTTCTTTGAAGAGAAGACGAAAATTGGCGGAAAGAAAGCATAAATGGATCATCTTCATCGGGCGGCGGTTCATTTGCTAAACATGCAGCAGTTCGAAAACCATCAGCCAATTTTGACATTGAACTTCTTTTCATCAATGGTATTCCATTTTTCTTTTGTAGGGGAGTTATTGATGAACTTTCACATGTTCGTTTTCTTGCTGAAAATGAAATACAATTGAAATTATTTCAAATAACGACTTTTTCGAAAAAAGCGGGCCAATTTTTTGGTTCCGATTTGGAATTTTTTGAAATAAATTAATAAGGTCACACCTTAAAAAATTTAAAAAAAACGTTATCAAACGTGATTTGGAAGAACTCCATTTTTAATTAAAATTGATAAAGAAAATAAGCGTATTTATCAAATATGATTATAATAGAGGATATTAAAGAACTCGAAGATGTTAATAAAATATCAAACGAAAAAGACGCAGCAGATTCTTTGATGGACCAAAATTATTTGAAAAAGTTGGTGAATTGCAAAATTTGTGATAAGCAAATGAATATTGCGAGTAGACGATTGAAACGTAAAAGAGATAACACAAATGAAGAAATATATACATATTATGTGAGTTTATTAAAAAACGCGATGTCATGAAAATTAACAATAAGTATAAGAAATTGATTGATGATTTCAGTGGCGCTGTCGTAAAACTGATGGATCTGACTGTAGTTCAGGAAGTGTTAGAGATGAATCATGGTTTTCGAACTTACATGTCGATATCAAAACAATATTGAAAGTATTTGTGTTGCACGGAAAAAGGTATGGAAGTACTTTTTGAATTAGATAGAAAAAATGTCATTTTTTAAATCTATGTATATTGGATATTGAAAAAAAACTAAAATGAACTTCAGATACAATAAGAAAAGTATTTCAAATCTTGTAAAATTGAATTACAAAACAGTTTTGGAATATACTAATTTGCTACAAGAAATCGCATTGAGGTGAGAACAGATCAAAATGAAATTAACAATAATAAAATGTTTTTAATATAGATATAATTTGATGGAAGTCAATAAATTTATTATAATAATAGAGGATATTAAAGAAATCGAAGATGTTGATAAACTAAAAAACGAAAAAGACGCAGTAGATTCTTTGATGGACAAAAATTATTTGAAAAATGAAGTATATTGCAAAATTTGTGATAAGCAAATGCTAATTGCGTGTAGACGATTGAAACATGAAATTGCAACATGAAAGAGTGAAACGATTGAAACGTATAATTCAATGGAAGTCAATAAAATAGGAGGAAATGGTTCAGACGTATTCGTTTTTATGGATCAAATTGTGATTAAATATGAGGATCATAAAACGAAACAAATAATTTTGGGTATGGAAGCGGAAACTGATAAAATGTTTGCAGAATTAGTTGAAAAGGAAGAAGTTGATCAGGATATAATAGAAAGTATTTCAAAGTTTGTGAGACGGGATACAATTATCAACACCGGTCCACAATTGAATAAGATTGAGTTCGAGAATTATTTTGATGGAAAGAAATTGAATGAGTAAGTAAAAAAAATGTTCTTTCAAAAAATAATTCCATAACTTTTTCAGAGTACCGAACTAAAAATGCAGACGAGGCGATGAGATGGAATTTGAAAGATAACTACTTGAAGGGATTATTTGCAAGTATTAAAATATGAAGAATGAATGTTTAGATGTACATAAACTATTGAAAAACAGATTGTGAGCCAATTTCTATGAAAATTTTCCTTTTCATGGTTTTCTTACCGTTTCGGTTTTTTAAACCAAAAATCAAAGACGAAAAATCTATGTAAAAACCTAAAAATTACATTAGTTACAGTAAATTTTTCACTGCGCAATTTCTGATTACACACATTGTATGTTGCTACAGTACTTTCACAAACATTTTTCCTTTTCGTTGTATAGAAATAGATTGGTGAAAAATAACGAATTTTGAGATTGTGAAAAATTTATTGAAGCGTGGCCTATGTGTTGTTTATCTCAACGTGGAAATCAAGATACACGTATGCAGATAAGAATAGTATATAAAGATGTCTCGTAGCTCATTCAAATCAACCCATAGTTCAATCAACAAAAACAATGGCTCAATCAGTTCCACCAGGAGATATCCAAACTCAACCAAATGCCAAGATTGTCTTCAATGCTCCATACGATGACAAACACACCTATCACATTAAGGTAATCAATTCATCAGCTCGTCGTATTGGATACGGTATTAAAACAACCAATATGAAGAGATTGGGAGTTGATCCACCATGTGGTGTTTTGGATCCAAAAGAAGCTGTTCTTTTGGCTGTCTCTTGTGATGCTTTTGCTTATGGACAAGAAGATACCAACAATGATCGTATCACTGTTGAATGGACAAATACACCAGATGGTGCTGCCAAACAATTCCGTCGTGAATGGTTCCAAGGTGATGGTATGGTTCGTAGAAAGAACTTGCCTATCGAATACAATCCATAAGCGATTTCTTTTCGTTTTAGAAAATAAACGGTTTATTTCCATAAATTTCGTGTTTTTTTTTTTGTTTAATTTTAACAGTGTTAAAATTTCACTAGAGAATTTCACAATTTTAACAGACCATCAAAGAAAGATAAGAAAGTAGATTCTCTTATGAATGATTTACTGTAAAATATGCAATAAGATAAACAGGTCACAATTGAAACGTAAAAAATCGAGCCAAAAAATCAGGTTTTTTTCGAAAAGTAATTTGAATCGGATATCAGTTAACCAGATTCTTAATAGAATTCGGAACCTTTCAAAAATTTTCCAAAAAGCCCCCATTCACCTGTAATCGGCGATATTTTCTCTGAATTCGTAGATGGTTCGACATTTTCGGGTTCTGGCGTTACTCTTATTGGACATGTATATTGTTTTGATGTTGATGGAGTTTGTTGTACAGATACTGAAATAATTATAAACTTTCAAAAAAAAATTCAAAGAATAAACTCACAAATTCTATCAGCAATCGGAGTAAAAGGATCATCTGAATCTACAGATTTACATCTCCGTGTAGGAGTTTTTAGCATGACCTAACTGAAAAATGTATTTTTCAAACGCTTCTTCGTTCGCTAAAAAACAGGCATACGGAGTGTCGTTAGCAAAATATTAGTTACGGGTGAACTTCAGTTACACACACTTTTTTGGATAAATTCTCAAAATCTTGAAATATTCATTTCGGAGAATAAGCTCATAATATATATTTACAGGGAATAAGATTGCACAATTTAAAATAAGGGAAGAAATTAAAAATTGGCACACTCTAACAAAATATACTCGTAAACCGGTAAAAATGCAAAAAAATGGGGGGAAAAATAAGTAAAAGAGATAAAACAAAACCGGTAAAATGTGCCTATATCATTTTCTAGGGGGTTTAAGTAAAAATGAGGCAAGCGATGATGAATCACAATTGGATGGAGATGAGAGAATTGTACTTCGGATTAATCGACGAGAACTTGCTGAAAATTTATTTTGTGGGGGAAATTGGAAAAAAAACAATGTTGAATTGGCCCAAAATTGTGACTTTTTTGAAAATCAAAAAATTTTCAATAAAAATCTAGTAAAAAAAACAAACATTCTTCCATAGTCAGAAATTTAGCAATTGAAGTTTTTCAGCAGATTTCCAAATTTTTAAAATAATTATCATTCATTTGAAAAATTATATTTTCAACTTATTTTCATTTCATTTCCATTTTCGAATATTTCCTCCATTAAAAAAACTCACATTTATCTTTCTCATTTCGAATTTGATATTCAGAAACATTCATCATCTCCTGTTCCATTGATTGTTCCACTGCTTCCATGATTGCTGTCAGACTGTGGCTTCGATGTCGTAAAACGCACGGCGGTGGCCACGGAATGTCTGAAATTTTCGAATTTTGAACAAAAAATTCGAAATTTTGAAAAATTAAGCGTGTTTGGTGCTTGTGAATTGATAGTTTTCCGTGATTTCCAAGAAAAATTGAAAAGAAACACAAAAGTACCTGTCTGAATACCAATTGACCTAAATACCGTTTAAAATAATAATATTTTGATACTTAAGATAAGTTAAAATAATATAAAACATACACTCTTTTTGCGACAGTTGATCCTCTTGGAGTTGGAATACGAGATCGTGGTCCAGGAATTTTCTGAAAAAGTTTTTGCTTGAATTTATTTTCAAAAAATTAATTGACATACGCTATTTGTTGCAAGTTTATTATCATCATTCGATTTACTCGAACTCAATGATCCAACAGAAGAATGAATTGATGTTGATTGGCGATTCGCATCCAAATCCCCATTCAATGACAATTTTCGACCAACTTGTCCATCAGCCGCGCGGCGAAGAGCTGAAAAACAACAACATAAAGAAAGTCCTGTGTGAAAAAAAGCAAACCTTCTTCTTGCATATGAATCAAATCTTGCAATCCCTCGAGATTTGATGTTCTTTGAGTTTGTGGCATTGATTTTGAGCCGATTGAGGAGGCAACTGATGCAGGTCTTGATGGAGTTGATGGATTTATTGTAACTTGTGGGCAATTTTGTTGAGGGGATGAATCAGTTTCAGCCTGAAAAATGAAATAAATTGAAATTTGTACAGTGAAACCATTTTTCAAAACCGGCTTTTAAAAATTATAATTTTTTGAAATCAAACAATATTTTTCAAATTTTCAGCCGCTTGCAAAAAAGTTACCTTGATATTTTTAAAAACAACAAAACATTCAAACACCTCGGGAAAAATATGGCAAGCCTGTCGCAAGCTTGCTACGTATTTTGGTGTTGTCGCTAGCTTGCTACACAAAAACACGCTGTTTTTCGAGTTGCCAACTTATGTCGCAAGTCTTGCGACATTTTTGGATCCTTTTTTGATGTAGCAAGCCTTGCGATATGGAGAAAATTGCGTCAGTTTTCAGCCTCGCTTGGCACATTTACTGTAGCCAGAAAAATAATTTTGTTTTTTTTGTTTTGTTTTCCCTATTTTACACGATTTCGAAGTGAATAGTTTATTTTCAACGCATTTTTTTGAGAGATTAACATTATGAGCCTAGTGGGAAACGTTTATAACGTTCTGAATCGCTGTTTTCCGTATGGTTATTATGTTTTCAATAAAAATATTTTAGGATCGGTTGGATGGTGAGTCAACAGACAAATTAGGCAATTTTGGAAGAAGGAAAATGGATCAACAGTGTGGGAAAGATACTGAGTGAGTTTATTTTTAATCAATCGAATTCCTTTTGCGAAAATGTTCTAAAAAGTTTCATTTGTAGGATCAGAACCGAATCATCAAGTTGGAGTGCGTTTCGATTGATCATGGCTACACAAATCGATAAAAATAGTATTTTTTGAGCAATGATTTGAGGTCAGTTAAATTGTAATAATTTCATGTTTTCAAAGAGGAGATAGACTACAATATTTTTCATATTTTAATAACGTACTCACATATTAAAAAAAACATGTGACTCACATGATGTGAGTAGGTTTTAAAGGGGCTGGGACCAGGCTTGTGCGGAAAATGGAAATGCGTTTTCCGATTTTCCGACTTTTTTGGGAAAATTTCGGAAAAAATACGAGTCGGAAAATTTTCCGGATGAAAATTTCGGAAAATTTTTCCGACAGATAATTTCGGAAAATGATTTTTTCCGAAAATAAAATTCGGAAAAATGACTTCGGAAAATTTTTCCGACCTGATGGATTCGGAAAAGCACAGTTTTCCGAAATTTTCCGAAAACCTATTTTCCACACAAGCCTGGCTGCGACGCAAAAAAAAACTGTATTTTATGAAAAAGAGCATGCTCAAATTAGAAGAATCTATGAACAATATATATAATTTCGAAAAACTATCCCAAGCCCAAATAGGCGCAGTCTGAAAGCCTGTGCCTTAACAATATTCAATCCATAACCTATGAAACATTGAAGCAATCCATAATATTATAATTGTATATATTATTTCAGAGTTCATATTCGACATCAAAGCAACATCTCAAGGACGCTACAATTGTAGAACACCGACAACAAGAAAACATACATTTTTATCGAATTTTTAAAGTATAACTTTGTAATCGTTTTGTCTTATATATTAAATGTTCAATAAATAGTCTCTTGGTATACTGTTCTCTACATTTTTTATTAGGAGGTCCAGCGATTTTTAATGACCTCGCGTATGCGTTCGCAAGACTTGCGACAAAGTAGCAAGGCCTTGCTACACGTATGTAGCAAGCTTGCTTCAGGCTTGCTACATAAAATGTCGCAAGCTGGCTAAAAATGGTAGCAAGCTTGCTAAAAATGGTAGCAACTCTTGCCATATTTTCCCCGAGACAACACAATCAAAGTCAGAAAAAGGCTAACCTGACTTTTTGCAATTCCCGAAATACCCCGTCTTGTTATTGTTCCAAATTTCGGAACATTTTGATTAGCCGACGAATTAATATTATGTACACGTAAAACAGATCGAGCAGTTCGAGAAGATAATGGAGTTGATGTTAATTGTTGAGAAACTGTCATACCATTATTATTTGTGGTTATTGGTTGATTATTTCGTACCATTGTATGCTGAATGGGACAATATGTTAAATTTAGACGATAAAGTTTTTAGTAAACATAAAAAACATCACAATTAATTTAATGACCTGATAATCCAGAAATATTCAAAATGGAAGTTTTTATTTTCAGATATCAAAAAAATTGCAAAAAGAGTTAATTCTTTTTGTTGATTTTTCAAAGTTCAGTATTTTCAGGTCACTTTCATTTTATACCAAAATTATTTCTGGGTTACTCGGCCATTATTTAGAATTACACGAAAACATACATAACTTACCGAGTGTTTTACATTAAAAGTTGCACTGATTGGGGATTGTCTAACAAATTGTTGTTCGTTTGTAGGACGTGGACTGACAGAAGTACTTCTAGCTGATCGTAATCCATTCATCAATAAATCTCGATTTCCTCCATCGGTTACAGTTTCTTCTTCAACGCGAACTAATGATTGTGACATTGCCATGTTACGATTTAATGAAAGACCTGAATATCATTTTGTTTTTCTTTCTGAAAATGAACAAATTTTCAACAAAATAGGTGCCATTTGTTCTTTAAAAAACCAATCTGTGTAGATTCTTTCATAGCAACACAATAACAATAAATTTACAACATTTACCTGCAGATGTAACATCTTCTAACTCATTCTCTTCGGGTGCATCAAAAAACTCATCTTCATCCTCATCAAAATGCAATGCTAATCCAGAATCTTCCAACATAACCGAAGTGCCAACCGACAAATTATCAGGTGAAGTTGATCTTTCCAATAACCATTCAGACACTTTCATATTTGGTGGAAGTTTTGGAAGTCCTGGTGTTGGTGGAGCTGCTGGTGGTTGATTGCTAGAGATTGGTTGATTCGAAGAATTGATAGGAAGTGAGAATTTTCGATCAGAATCTGTGTTCATTCCACTTAATAACATAGCTAATAATTGAACTTCTTCTTCATCCATCGGTTCGGATTTGCGAGTTTCTTCTGGAAGCGACGCTTTTCTTCTCAATTTCGCCTCAATTCCTGAATTATCAACACGAGATCTTGGTGTGTGAAAAGTCTCTTGCATATTCATATTCATATTCAAATTCTGTGAAGGTGGTGGTGGTGCAGGTGAACCTGATTTCGAAGAGAGATCTTCAGAAGCTGATAATTTGGTCTCATCTTGTTCGCGAACTGTTGAAAGATCAAGTCGACGACGTCCACGTTCCTCTTTTTTAACTGCAAAATGCAACAACCACAATCACAACAAAAGTACATTTAAAAATTCCTAACAGGAACGATTGATTCATGCACATGCAATCAATAAAATAATTCCAACTTACCTCGTTTTGCCTGTGATTTTGCAATTTGCTTGCTCAGAATTGAAGCACTCGCTGGTAGATTCAATTTGTAGAAATCGCACATTGTTCCTTTATCAGTGACATCCTATAAACAGTAAATTTGAGATCCCACCAGGTTATTTAATCTTCTTAGTAATTCCGAGTATTAAAAATATAACTTACATTTAATTCGTCGTCATCTGTTGTGAACTCAAAAACCTTCTTGGTGGCTGTAGCTGCCATTTTCTGAAAAAAAAAACATTTTTTATACTATTTATGTTCGAATCAATGAACATTGCGACTATAAGACATCATAAATACAAAATACCGGTTATTCTGTTCAAAAGTTGATACAAAAAACATAAAAATAGTGTTGAAAGGCTTAACGACATAAAGGCTTAAAAAATTAGGACGATTTCAACGAGATAAAAACATGAAAAACGTCTAACAAAAAAGGAGAGAAAACAATCGAATTTTCGGAAATAATCCAGTCACTCCCATTCCTCTTCGTTATTTTCTTCTTCTCTTTCTATCGATTGAAAAAAGAGTGTTGAAAAATGAGAGACATAGAGGCGTTGCAATAGAGCGAGAATGCACTATTTGCTGAAAAACCAGATGAGACATGAAAAGAGGAAGGAGAAACGGAATAATTTATGTGTTGAATAAATATATAATTGTTCTTTTTAGATGGTTGGTGGGATATTTATCGAGAGTACAATATAATTAAGTTATTTGCACAGTTTTTCGATGTAAAATCAGGAAAAAATGAGTGTTTCGTGGATTACCAGATATCTCTTTCATTGTTTGAAATGAAAACGTTTGGATAAAACTGGCTAAAATTCAAGAAATGCTGACAATTTTGAAACGTGATCACGTGAAATTTTTGCGAAAAAAAAAGAAATTGCGTCATTTTTTATGTGTTCCGTGTGAACACTACAATAAATTTTGAATTTGTGCACACAAATTCGCCTACAGTAATCCGTTTTTTTAAAATTTTTCTGAAATTTTCCAATGTTTCACAACAAAATCTCTCTAATGCAAATATTTATTACTTATCAAATTTAATGAGAAACATGAGCAGAATGAACGTGAACTCCTCCATCAATTTCGATGAGATGAACACCGTGAGATGGAGCACGTTCAACAAAATCGGCGAAATGGTTTCCGTTGACCAAAATCTGTAAAAAAAAGTTGTTTTTCTAATTTAAAGTTTGAAATTATTACATGAATGATTCCGCCATCTGAAATGAATTCCAAAGTGTAAATTCGATTTTGTTGGAATGGTTGTGGGAAACGATCTTCCGATTGCCAACTTCCTGATTGAGTTGAATTGTTAACAACTGCTCCTTCATCAAATCTTGGATTGAAGTGAAGAACAATATCATCTGGTGAAACCAAATTGATATGGAATCTTGGTTCTTGAGTTGGAAGAAGAACTAAACGGAGACGAGATCCATTTGAGAAACCTTGGACTGGAATTCTCGCTGGAGTTTCCTAGAAATAGAGGTTTCTTGAATTGTTTTTTATATTTCAACAATTTTCTTACTGGATTGAAAAACTCGCTTCTGAAACTGATACCAACTCCTCCACCGATCATTTTCTTCTGTAAAATGAACAAAATTCAGAAAAAAAGTTCACACGAATAAAATCAATGAAATTGTCCACAAATCAAACAAAACGACCATTTTTTTGTGAAAATGCCACGAAAGTTTTATCAACAATGCGTTTTATACTCAATGCTTTTTCTCTTATCGACAAAGAGAGTCATGTCATCATCGATAAGTACACATGGAAAAAAAACGAGAAAATGAGAGAGTTCAATTGAATATGAATCATCTTGGTTGAACTAGAGATCTTATATGATTTTCGGACTGGACAAAATGTAGGAAATTGAAGATTTTGAAATTTTTCATCATGAAATGCATTTTCACAAAAAAACCTGTTTTTGTAAATTCAGATAACTTTGAAATTTTAAAATCAACGTCTAGAAGTATAAATTATGAAACATTGTGGTTATAATCGAAAAAATTCAGCAAATTTTCAAATAAAAAATAATGGGGATGAATCATATAGAAATAAAACATGGAAAACGATTATTCACAGAAAACTTCAAAATCCCATATTTTTTCAATGGTTTCCCCATTAAAAAATATAATCGATTAATCGTGACAAGATTGTTTTATTTTTCTTCTCTGAATCACAGTTTCTTGTTGAAAAAATTTCATTATTTTTCAAAAAATTTTCTACTTACTTCTAAATTCTTTTTTCTTGAAAATTAAAAATTGTTGATCTTGACCTATCTAATTTCCCACGTTTTTCCTGTCATTTTCACTTTTCCAAATTTTTTTCATTTCCAAAAATGCCTGCAAATCCGTTCGCCACTCAAATCGAACCTCTTCCCAAAATATGGCCTGTTTTCTTTTGTTCCAAAAAAAAGTGAGTTTTCGCAAACATTTTATCAACAGAGCGCGCTTGCTGCAATATTTCCATTTCGAATTTTTTCGTTTTTATTCAACCGAAACAACCCGTGCTTTTACAGAAAACACGTTCTTTGAGAATATTCGATGGTGATGAAATGTCAGAGGATAAAGCTGGAAAATTAATCAACTCTGCAAAACCATTGTTGATAAAAGCAATCGACTATGAAAAAGTTGGAAAAATCAATGATGCTTTGCCAAAATATATGGAAGGAATATCGCTTTTGATTGAATCTATGAGGTAACATTTGATTAATTAATTGATTTTAATGTATAATTAGCGTCTTGTAGTCTTATGAACAATGATGATCCGAGAAAAGAAAAACTTCGACCACAATTAGATTCGTATTTGTCTCGAGCGGAAGAATTGAAAACAGAATGCAAAATTGAAGTTAGTTTTTGTTTTTTATGAATATTTTTGTTCATGAAAACGCCCGAATTTCGTGTCCCGAAACCTTATGAGTCATTTCTCAAAATAATGTTTCGTTTTCTAAACCGAGAAAATAAAAATACAAAAATCCAGGTCAAATTCTTGGAGCAACGAAAAATCAGAGCTGACGAAGTTGGCCACGGATACGACAAGATATTTCTGAAATGTTGCGATGAAAAATTGAAGAATGTGCGCGTTGAAGACGCCTATATAATTGCTCATCATCAAATTCTCAACTTTGTGCGATTTTGTGAATTAATTGTTCAATCATCGAAGAATTTGCGGGTTATTTCTTTGAAAACTGGTGAAGATGCTAGATCAAATGTTCATGCATTTAACGATTTACGAGCGTGGGTTTAGAGTTTCTGAGAGGGTTTTGATTACCTGTTGATTTTACAGAAGCCTGGAACAACACAAAGTAACACTGCATGTCGAGTACAGCGGGACCATTCATGATCGACAAATAACGTTGGTTTTTTTTTTTTTGAAATTTATTGAAGGAGTTTTAAAAACTATTTCGAGTATATATACAATTTTTGCAACCCTGGCACACTTTTTCATGTGTAAAAAAATATGTGGCAGAACTTCTCACCTCCCCTTTCCCTTCAAATATCGCAATCTAAAAAATCCCAAATTTTTCAAGATTCGACAATGGATGGGTTGTAAAAATTGGCCGCGGACTCGATTATTTCAAACCTCCACCAAAAGGAAAACAATATGTCTTAGGTGCTTGCGATATGAATTTGAGACCTTGCCATGAAACCACCATCGATATTTTCAAATCGAAAAAATAAAGTTTGTACATATAAAAATTGAAAATTACATATATTGTTAATTAGAAAATTGGGTGATTTTGACCCTGAAATACTTTTTTTTTCAAAAATTAAATCCTGGTTCACCTAATAATTGTATGTAATTATTTTCACAGATGGTTAAGAAAAGTACACAGCCGGAAAATAAGGAGGTTTGTAGACATCTATGAATGTATTTTTGAAAAATTGTTAATTTTTCAGATCGCTCAATACAAGCAGAATCTTTTTTGGAGAAGCTGAAAGATTGGTGAAAGAGGAGTTTCCAAAAAGAGTCATTGAATTTGATCAGATTTTAAAGTCGCCAAGATTGTCATACGATAGATTGTCGGAAATCTTGCCAAATCCAGACACGATTCTTCCGATTCCAGCGGTTGAAGTGAGTTTTATTTTTAATTTTTCATGACTGTTTCCAGTTAGTCAAGATTACTAGTATCCGTGTTTTTCATTTGAAAACTCGTCGAAATTAATTTTCTCTCTAAATTTTCAGAATGGAAATGACGAGCCAGCATCGAAGAAAAGAAAGATTCCAGAAACAATTTCTGGTGCACCAGTTTATGCATTTTCAAGTGGTTCTGTCCCATGCAATGATAATTTGGCAAAATTAATGGATGAAGTCAGACCAAAATTGAGAGAAGCTGTTGAAATGACCAACACGGTATTCTATTGATGTTCACAAACTAAATATTTTCAACAATTAATTTCAGGTCAAAATGTGGATCACTTTATTGATTCCACGCATCGAAGATGGAAACAATTTTGGTGTTGGAATTCAAGAAGAAGTTTTGGGAGAAGTTCGAAATGTTGAAAGTGAAGCTGCCTCATTTCTGGATCAAATGAGTCGATATTTCACGAGTCGTGGAAAATTGATCACAAAAATTGCCAAATATCCGCATGTTGATGATTATCGAAGAGCCATTTTGGATATGGATGAGAAACAATTCATTAATATTCGGTGAGGATTTAATTTAATGATCTACTAGTTCTGGCTCAAGAAAAGTGGATAGAGTTTTTTCTGAGCTTGAATCTTAAATTTCGGGATTCATGATTTCCAAAATCCAGAATTAGAAACAAAGAAAAATAACTAACTTTCTTATCTCAAATTGTTGTTGTAAAAAATTCTACAATTCATCAAAAATAATTTTCTGAAACATTCAAATTTTCTCAATTCGAATATGATTTTTTTCCAAATAATATTGGAAATGTTTTCCTGTTTTGAATCAGAACCCAAAACCCCGATCTCTAACTCCAAACATCAAATCTGATAATAATTTCTCTATTTTTTTCCAGCTTGGTTGTTCTCGAAATGCGCAATCATTTCTCAACACTTCATGATATGATCATGAAAAATTACGAGAAAATCAAAGTTCCACGAAATTCCAATGCCGAACATCTTTACTAATTTTTCTTTTTTTTTGCTTTACCTTTTCTTTTTTACCCCCAATTTTTTATCTATCGAATTTTTATTGTTTTGTTGAATTGTTGAATGTTGAAATTAAATTAAATCATTTTTTTAAATATTTTTGGAAAAATCTTTGGAAAATGGTATACTCCGTTTTTGAAAATATCTGATTATAAATAGCAATATGGATTAACTTTTGATTCCGGAAATTTTAGAGAGAAAATGTCAGCAGTTTTGAAAGAGGATGGACTCGAAGTTGCACACGTGGAAGATGATCGAGGAGTTCAGGTAAGATTTTTTGAGAGAGTTTTGAAGTTATCGGAATCGAACCTGGGCAGATTTTGTGAAAAAAACATTAAGGCCGCATCAAAAATTCTGATTTATTTTTTTGAAATTTCAAATTTCAGGGCGATGCTGCGATTATCGATGTTGATGATCGAGAGGAATATTTTGTGAAACCATTGTATACGTATTATTGTACTTGTGGTGAAGTAAGCTTTTATGTTAACCATTTCTCATAAAGTTATTTTCTTCGAAATTCGGAACTATCAGATTTTTAGAAGTATTCTCCGAAATCGTACAGTAACTCAATTTTTGGTTTTTCTACCATATAATTTTTTAAAATTATTTAACTTCGTTTCAGATGGCAATGATCAGTGATACATTAATTTGCCGAATGCCATTACGAAAAAGAGATTTGGCTAGAGTAATTGCACCGGAACGCACAACTGCCAAAATATTTGCGACCCAAGGAGATAGTGTTTATATCAAAAGAAATTGCGGTTTAGAGCAACAATATCGAAAGATTTGTAAATCTTGTAAAGTTCCATTGTTTTATCAACATCCTACAAACATGGCTTGCACTTTTATTTTTAATGATGCACTACTTTCTGCTCAAGAAGTTGGTGGATTTAGTGGAAATAATGAGGAGCAGAGAGCCAAGAAAATTGTGATGAAAAGAAATGTTAAGAATCAGGGAAAAAGTGGAAGTGTTACTGTTTCGACGATGGAAGGAGAAGAAGAGGATGAATTAGAAGCACGGGAAACTGCACAATCTTATACTATGAATGCTCGAATTGTTCATGATACTTTGAAAAGAAAAGGAATTATGAATGGCAAATTTGTGACGCCGAATGATGTGCCTTCATCTTCCAGTGAAGCTAAAAAGAAGCGAGGAACGCTTTTATAATTCTATATTTATCATTTACTGTTTTTGCTATATATAAATCTGACAGTTTTATACACATTTTGTGAACACAAAACGACGAGTTTCTGGCAATTGCCAATTGATGACTTGACTCTCTTTTTAACAGTGTTAAAAAATCAAAAAAAAAAATTCGGAATTTCATTCATCGATGGAATTATTGAAACATTTTTTCGGTTGATTCACAAAATTCGGAGACTCTTCGAATTTTTTGGTTGATTCACAAAATTCGGAGACCTTTCGAATTTTTTTGGTTGATTCACAAAATTCGGAGACCTTTCGAATTTTTTTGGTTAATTCACAAAATTCGGAGACCTTTCGAATTTTTTTGGTTGATTCACAAAATTCGGAGACCTTTCGAATTTTTTTGGTTAATTCACAAAATTCGGAGACCCTTCGAATTTTTTTGGTTGATTCACAAAATTCGGAGACCTTTCGAATTTTTTTGGTTGATTCACAAAATTCGGAGACCCTTCGAATTTTTTTGGTTGATTCACAAAATTCGGAGACCCTTCGAATTTTTTTGGTTGATTCACAAAATTCGGAGATCCTTCGAATTTTTTGGTTGATTCACAAAATTCGGAGACCCTTCGAATTTTTTTGGTTGATTCACAAAATTCGGAGACCCTTCGAATTTTTTTGGTTGATTCACAAAATTCGGAGACCTTTCGAATTTTTTTGGTTAATTCACAAAATTCGGAGACCTTTCGAATTTTTTTGGTTAATTCACAAAATTCGGAGACCTTTCGAATTTTTTTGGTTAATTCACAAAATTCGGAGACCTTTCGAATTTTTTTGGTTAATTCACAAAATTCGGAGACCTTTCGAATTTTTTTGGTTAATTCACAAAATTCGGAGACCTTTCGAATTTTTTTGGTTAATTCACAAAATTCGGAGACCTTTCGAATTTTTTTGGTTAATTCACAAAATTCGGAGACCTTTCGAATTTTTTTGGTTAATTCACAAAATTCGGAGACCTTTCGAATTTTTTTGGTTAATTCACAAAATTCGGAGACCCTTCGAATTTTTTTGGTTAATTCACAAAATTCGGAGACCTTTCGAATTTTTTTGGTTAATTCACAAAATTCGGAGACCTTTCGAATTTTTTTTTGGTTAATTCACAAAATTCGGAGACCTTTCGAATTTTTTTGGTTAATTCACAAAATTCGGAGACCTTTCGAATTTTTTTGGTTAATTCACAAAATTCGGAGACCTTTCGAATTTTTTTGGTTAATTCACAAAATTCGGAGACCTTTCGAATTTTTTTGGTTAATTCACAAAATTCGGAGACCTTTCGAATTTTTTGGTTAATTCACAAAATTCGGAGACCTTTCGAATTTTTTTGGTTAATTCACAAAATTCGGAGACCTTTCGAATTTTTTTGGTTAATTCACAAAATTCGGAGACCTTTCGAATTTTTTTGGTTAATTCACAAAATTCGGAGACCTTTCGAATTTTTTGGTTAATTCACAAAATTCGGAGACCTTTCGAATTTTTTTGGTTAATTCACAAAATTCGGAGACCTTTCGAATTTTTTGGTTAATTCACAAAATTCGGAGACCTTTCGAATTTTTTTGGTTGATTCACAAAATTCGGAGACCTTTCGAATTTTTTTGGTTGATTCACAAAATTCGGAGACCTTTCGAATTTTTTTGGTTAATTCACAAAATTCGGAGACCTTTCGAATTTTTTTGGTTAATTCACAAAATTCGGAGACCTTTCGAATTTTTTTGGTTAATTCACAAAATTCGGAGACCTTTCGAATTTTTTGGTTGATTCACAAAATTCGGAGACCTTTCGAATTTTTTGGTTGATTCACAAAATTCGGAGACCTTTCGAATTTTTTTGGTTGATTCACAAAATTCGGAGACCTTTCGAATTTTTTTGGTTGATTCACAAAATTCGGAGACCTTTCGAATTTTTTTGGTTAATTCACAAAATTCGGAGACCTTTCGAATTTTTTTGGTTGATTCACAAAATTCGGAGACCTTTCGAATTTTTTTGGTTGATTCACAAAATTCGGAGACCTTTCGAATTTTTTTGGTTGATTCACAAAATTCGGAGACCTTTCGAATTTTTTTGGTTGATTCACAAAATTCGGAGACCTTTCGAATTTTTTGGTTGATTCACAAAATTCGGAGACCTTTCGAATTTTTTTGGTTAATTCACAAAATTCGGAGACCTTTCGAATTTTTTTGGTTAATTCACAAAATTCGGAGACCTTTCGAATTTTTTTGGTTGATTCACAAAATTCGGAGACCTTTCGAATTTTTTTGGTTGATTCACAAAATTCGGAGACCTTTCGAATTTTTTTGGTTAATTCACAAAATTCGGAGACCTTTCGAATTTTTTTGGTTAATTCACAAAATTCGGAGACCTTTCGAATTTTTTTGGTTAATTCACAAAATTCGGAGACCTTTCGAATTTTTTTGGTTAATTCACAAAATTCGGAGACCTTTCGAATTTTTTGGTTAATTCACAAAATTCGGAGACCTTTCGAATTTTTTTGGTTAATTCACAAAATTCGGAGACCTTTCGAATTTTTTTGGTTAATTCACAAAATTCGGAGACCTTTCGAATTTTTTTGGTTAATTCACAAAATTCGGAGACCTTTCGAATTTTTTTGGTTAATTCACAAAATTCGGAGACCTTTCGAATTTTTTTGGTTGATTCACAAAATTCGGAGACCTTTCGAATTTTTTTGGTTAATTCACAAAATTCGGAGACCTTTCGAATTTTTTTGGTTAATTCACAAAATTCGGAGACCTTTCGAATTTTTTGGTTGATTCACAAAATTCGGAGACCTTTCGAATTTTTTTGGTTAATTCACAAAATTCGGAGACCTTTCGAATTTTTTGGTTAATTCACAAAATTCGGAGACCTTTCGAATTTTTTTTGGTTAATTCACAAAATTCGGAGACCCTTCGAATTTTTTTGGTTAATTCACAAAATTCGGAGACCTTTCGAATTTTTTTGGTTAATTCACAAAATTCGGAGACCTTTCGAATTTTTTGGTTAATTCACAAAATTCGGAGACCTTTCGAATTTTTTTGGTTAATTCACAAAATTCGGAGACCTTTCGAATTTTTTTGGTTAATTCACAAAATTCGGAGACCTTTCGAATTTTTTGGTTAATTCACAAAATTCGGAGACCTTTCGAATTTTTTTTGGTTAATTCACAAAATTCGGAGACCTTTCGAATTTTTTTGGTTAATTCACAAAATTCGGAGACCTTTCGAATTTTTTTGGTTAATTCACAAAATTCGGAGACCTTTCGAATTTTTTTGGTTAATTCACAAAATTCGGAGACCTTTCGAATTTTTTTGGTTAATTCACAAAATTCGGAGACCTTTCGAATTTTTTTGGTTAATTCACAAAATTCGGAGACCTTTCGAATTTTTTTGGTTAATTCACAAAATTCGGAGACCTTTCGAATTTTTTTGGTTAATTCACAAAATTCGGAGACCTTTCGAATTTTTTGGTTAATTCACAAAATTCGGAGACCTTTCGAATTTTTTTGGTTAATTCACAAAATTCGGAGACCTTTCGAATTTTTTTGGTTGATTCACAAAATTCGGAGACCTTTCGAATTTTTTTGGTTGATTCACAAAATTCGGAGACCTTTCGAATTTTTTTGGTTAATTCACAAAATTCGGAGACCTTTCGAATTTTTTTGGTTAATTCACAAAATTCGGAGACCTTTCGAATTTTTTTGGTTAATTCACAAAATTCGGAGACCTTTCGAATTTTTTGGTTAATTCACAAAATTCGGAGACCTTTCGAATTTTTTTGGTTAATTCACAAAATTCGGAGACCTTTCGAATTTTTTTGGTTAATTCACAAAATTCGGAGACCTTTCGAATTTTTTGGTTAATTCACAAAATTCGGAGACCTTTCGAATTTTTTTGGTTAATTCACAAAATTCGGAGACCTTTCGAATTTTTTTGGTTAATTCACAAAATTCGGAGACCTTTCGAATTTTTTTGGTTGATTCACAAAATTCGGAGACCTTTCGAATTTTTTTGGTTAATTCACAAAATTCGGAGACCTTTCGAATTTTTTTGGTTAATTCACAAAATTCGGAGACTCTTCGAATTTTTTTGGTTAATTCACAAAATTCGGAGACCTTTCGAATTTTTTTGGTTAATTCACAAAATTCGGAGACCTTTCGAATTTTTTTGGTTAATTCACAAAATTCGGAGACCTTTCGAATTTTTTGGTTAATTCACAAAATTCGGAGACCCTTCGAATTTTTTTGGTTAATTCACAAAATTCGGAGACCTTTCGAATTTTTTTGGTTAATTCACAAAATTCGGAGACTCTTCGAATTTTTTGGTTGATTCACAAAATTCGGAGACCTTTCGAATTTTTTGGTTAATTCACAAAATTCGGAGACCTTTCGAATTTTTTTGGTTAATTCACAAAATTCGGAGACTCTTCGAATTTTTTTGGTTGATTCACAAAATTCGGAGACCTTTCGAATTTTTTGGTTAATTCACAAAATTCGGAGACCTTTCGAATTTTTTTGGTTAATTCACAAAATTCGGAGACCCTTCGAATTTTTTTGGTTAATTCACAAAATTCGGAGACCTTTCGAATTTTTTTGGTTAATTCACAAAATTCGGAGACCTTTCGAATTTTTTTGGTTGATTCACAAAATTCGGAGACCTTTCGAATTTTTTTGGTTGATTCACAAAATTCGGAGACCTTTCGAATTTTTTTGGTTGATTCACAAAATTCGGAGACCTTTCGAATTTTTTTGGTTGATTCACAAAATTCGGAGACCTTTCGAATTTTTTTGGTTAATTCACAAAATTCGGAGACCCTTCGAATTTTTTTGGTTAATTCACAAAATTCGGAGACCCTTCGAATTTTTTTGGTTAATTCACAAAATTCGGAGACCCTTCGAATTTTTTTGGTTGATTCACAAAATTCGGAGACCCTTCGAATTTTTTTGGTTGATTCACAAAATTCGGAGACCCTTC